TCCCCGCGCATCCCCACCAGGCGTTTACAGTTTTCCTCTGGGACACACTGTAACCCAAGCTCTTTCGCCCCAGCCCGGCGTATCCGCAGCCATGCGTCTCCTGTCCTTCGCTCGCAGTCTCTACAATATCGACACCCTAGACACTCGTTTCACCAATCCGTCATTTGTTCCTTACCAGACTGTTATCGATGCGCGAACCGATCCAGAACTAACGAAGGACTCTCTGGATAAGTCACGAGCGCGAGGGCATCCGTCGAAATGGAAAACCCCCGAATTCAAGATGTACATCTGCCTTATCGCCTTTATAATCCCGTACATGCTCTGGATGGCATACGATGTGTCAAGGCGTATGCTATTGATCTCCACCCTGTTTTATTATTGTTGAATCTGACCACAGCTTAGCATCTGATCCACGATATGATAGGTTCAGCAGATATCTGTCACCTGGTTGGATCTTCGGCCGTAAGATTGATGCTTCCGACAACCAGTACTATGTCTTCCGAAAGAATCTCCCCTATATGTGCTCGCTGCTCCTCTTCCACCCGCTCTTGAGAAGGGTATGGAACGCTGTATACCCAACCAAGCGTATACCCCAAACATCCCAAAGCCGCCTCGACCAGCGTGCATCCTTCGACTACGCCTTTGCATTCATATTTTTGACAGCCCTGCATGGAAGCTCCGCTCTGAAGGTCTTGTTCATTCTGTACATCAATTACCAACTCGCAACAAAGCTTCCAAGGAGGTATATCCCTGCAGCTACTTGGACTTTCAACATCTGCACCTTGTTCGCCAATGAACTGTCGAATGGATATCAATTTCGGAATATAGCCAACTATGTCTCGCCACCAGTAACGACTACGGTTGGAAACGGGATAGAAACAGCTGACTCGAGGCTGATGTGTTTTGGCCACTGGCTTGATGGCTTTAAAGGAATCTTGGCCCGGTGGGAAATTCTTTTCAACATCACCATTCTACGGCTCATCAGCTTTAACCTTGATTACTACTGGAGTCTTGACCGAAGTAACTCCAGCTCCCTTGAGGTGAGTTGTCTGAAATTAATAAGATCTGTTTGTACAATCATATTCTAATATACTAGGAAGAAGCAGCTTGACCCCGCCAATCTTTCCGAGAGAGATCGTGTCTATATTCCAGCGGATGTTAAAGACTTCTCCTTCCGTAACTATGTCGGATATGTTATTTATGCGCCACTGTACTTGGCGGGCCCCATTCTCACTTTTAATGACTATATCTCGCAGCAAAGATATCGCCCCGCCACTATCGAGACTTCACGCACTATCCGATACGCGATCCGTTTGCTTCTGGTGTTTCTGGCAATGGAAGTGATGCTCCATATCAATTATATTGGCGCAATCGGCAAGGCCAACCCGGATTGGGGCTCTTATACTGCCGGCCAGCTGGGCCTCTTATCCTTCCTCAACCTGCACATTATCTGGATGAAGCTTTTACTCCCCTGGCGACTCTTCCGACTCTGGTCGCTCGTTGATGGCATCGACCCCCCCGAGAACATGGTTCGATGTGTCAACAATAACTTTAGTACTCAGCTCTTTTGGCGCGCATGGCACCGGTCGTATAACCGGTGGCTGGTCCGGTATATCTTTGTACCCCTGGGAGGCGCCTCGTTCCGCAACTGGCGGGCTACGGTGCGGTCTATTGTGACGTATCTGGTTGCCTTCACTTTCGTGGCTTTATGGCACGACATCAAGATGCGGCTCCTGATCTGGGGATGGCTGATTGTCCTTTTTATGATACCGGAGTGGACTGCGAACCACCTCTTTCCCAAACGAAGGTGGGAGCAATCGCCAAATTATTATCGGATGTTGTGCTGTATGGCAAGCGTGGGGAATATCTTCATGATGGTTTCTGCTAACCTGGTTGGCTTTGCCCTCGGCTTGGACGGCTTTCTGATTATTTTACGGCAAATCCTGCACGACTGGTCTGGTATGTCGAGTATATATATTGTCTTTTTCCAATTATCAATTACAGTCACTTACTTTTGGAACAGGTGTTATTTTCCTCTTTGCAGCTATTTCCAGCCTGTTTGTAACTGTGCAAATTATGTTTGAGGTTCGCAATACAGAACGGCGCCAGGGAGTTGTAATTAGATGCTAATTAATATCACCACTGGAATTGTATCATATAGTCATGGGGTCTCGGGATATTTTGTTGGTGGGAGAAGCACTTAGTGCAGACAGAGCCTGTAACAGCAAGAGTGTTAAACCCACCTTGTTGGGGCTATGATCTGACCCATAAGGGCTTGCTGCCCTGGAGCGGACCTAGAAGTTGGGGATATCAGCGGAGCCGGGAACGCAGCTACTGTATTTAATAGGGGACCGCACTGCTAGCTACTGCTGAATACCACTTAAGCATCTTACTGTATATAACGCCTTTGTTAACGACGCTTTAAAAGTCGCCTAGCTGACCCTGCAGCCGTAAAGAATTTTTCCTCCAGCTTGGGGCTGTAATACTTAGCTACTGTTTGGAGTTAGACAGAGGTCAATAGAGCCTCGAGTCCCTGGATTCTCAGCGTGGATCTTGTGGGTCGGTACATACTTTGCTTGGGTCGGCGCTTGCTTGTATCTCGCTGTTTATAAGATCGAGTTGTATATATGGGTTATTGCTAATACTCCACAATGTACGTCCAGGTCCATGGTGCCAGCCATGAGCTCCTTGTTGCGTTATTCCTATGATACAATACCAAATCACCGCCTCACCATCCTCCTTTGTTGGTGTCTTTTTCTCTGCCTTATTTCCCACTTGACAACTCTCCTTAATTATCCGCCTCGTCCGCCTCCCTCGCACTCTCCTCCAACCTCCAACCCTTGTCCTTTTGTTTTTGCACAGTGTCTAGTTTAATCCCTTGGCAAGTTCTAGACTACGGTATAAACATACCCCATCAATCTACGACATGGCGAGTAACTAGGGAACCGAAGTCGACGGTTGAGAGGCGGGGTTTAATTTCAGGCTTACCGTTACTCTCCATCACTCCCTGCAGCTATTGTCAGCGTCGCTGTCTTCGCCTTCCTTACATTTTTATATATATAACGCCTATAGAGAGATCGAGCATTCTGTTTTCTGCCTTCGTAATTAGCGGCCTTTGTTGGCAGAAATCATATTATGCAAGCGCTGACCTATACCTTTGCAGTTCAAACGATTGGCTATTGTGGTAGAAAGTGGTGTTCCTATGATCCTCTTGCTGTTGGTGGGTTGATTCTTCAGGCCATCCTTATCCTCGTGCCCCCGCGCTGTATGCCGCCTCTATTTATATGATTCTCGGCCGCCTTATCTGCATCCTCCATGCCGAACAACTGTCCTTGATCCCGGTGAAATGGGTCACTCGGGTTTTCGTCACTGGGGACGTCATCGCTTTCTCACTGCAGGCAGGAGGTGGGGGCATACAATCTTCCGGAACGCTGGTAATTACGAGTTGGGTGAAAAGGTTATTGTTGCCGGTCTTTTGTGTCAGACCTGCGTTTTCGGCTTCTTCGTCGTTAAGTTGATGCGTTTCCATTAGCGCCTCAGAATCAGACCAACTCGTGCGCCGGCCAAGAGTGCCATTCCTTGGATGCGACACCTCTGGGTTTTGTATGTCACCAGCGATATCATCCTGGTCCGCAGTGTTTTCCGAGTGATCAAATACCTCCAGGGCAACGATGGATATATTATTTCCCACAAAATTTTCCTATACGTCTTCGACACAATCCTCATAGCCGCAGTCGCGGTTATTTTCTTGATCTGGCATGTGGGAGAAAGATGCCCAAAAAGAAAGGCGGTGAGCGGCGACGTTACCGTTATGGTGATAATACGATGGAGGTGGAGGTGGAGAAACTACCCCGAAAGAGTGTAAAATAATTAAAGGCAACTATTTTCCACGCCGTAGATGTCGATTTGTCTACGCATCTTTCCAGTACCGTGATGTTTCGGCGTATTGTTCAGGGGCTTAGGTTGGAATCAATTAAGTCGGGGCGGCAGTGACTGAATCTATGTTTATAACTGTATTAGAAAGGCTAGACGTTAGTATTTAGAAGCCAAGAAATAAGAGAGAAGAAGTGTTTGGCGTATTATGCTTTGAATAAAGAGCTGTCATACCTGTCGTTAAAGTATCATGTCTTATCGCCGAATGACCAGTAAAAGCAAATGCGCAATCTTCTAGTGCGCAGCGTAATAGTACAGACTGATATCCGCAAAGTGACCATTCATTCATAATACGCTCTCGTGAGTGTTACCCCCTCCTGAAAATTGCAGAAGTGCCATACGCGTGAAGCATCCTGAGATAACAGTTGCCGTGCATTTGGGCTTTGCCCAGAAGACCAATAGTTTATGCCAAGGAATCAATTGGGCTTGGCATATCTAACTATGGAGCGAAGTCACTTAGTTCAGGCTAAGTGTATGGGGACCGTGGACCGTGCTTCGAACTTAACCTGCTAAGTACGAGATGGGATTACTGGTTCGCATTTAAGTATACGTATACCCATGGCTAGAAACCTGCACAGTCCCTATATCATCTCGGCCTGGCCCAGCACTGGCTGTTAATACCTTGGACCATCAGAACTCAGCAAACCACGCACTATTAACCAGCCGACCCAGCACCAACAGCAAATTCGCAGTCTCCTGAGAAGAATAATCCCATTTGGGCGAGGCGATGCAGGACGAAGCCTTGAGGCCGGCGTTCGACGATGTCACCACCACCGCAGACCGTTTTCCAGGAATTCTCTTTGATGAGCGTCATGGCGGCCACCAGACGGAACCACTCAGGCGATTAGAGGCACTGCCGGATGGGTTCGTTCATGTCACATCCTGTTCTTCAACATCCAAGCTGTCGTTAGCAATGTCATGGGTCAGGGACATAACTCTTTTCAAAGCTCTACTTATTGTCTACTGCCTTAACGTGGTCGCGTGGGGAGGCATGATTTTTCTGTTGCTCTGCGACGCCGCCCCTGCCATGTATGTGTCAACCAACTTGCGCCGACATCAACTCTCCACGCCGGAAATGGATCGAGATCAACTCGCAGATCCTGAACGCCCTGTTTTGTCTGCCGGCGTTTGGGCTGGCCCCGCGACGATCTCGCGGGGCCTGGCAGCTGGTTCGGTACGCCCTTGAAGGAAGCTCCGAGCCGCTGCGACGCCTGGCAGCGACATATCGAACGTGGTTTCGGCTTCCAGGCTCGCAGACACTGCCAGTCGACGTCAGCCCTGCTAAAGTTGAGCCGTGGCTGTCTCAGTCATCGTCACTGAAGGACATGGTGCCTTATCCTGTGCGGTGCATCCCGGAAGCACCTCCTTCAGGGCGACGAGCAATGCCGACCCCGTTGTGGAGGTTGGGAACTGTAGTGGGGTTGAATTTGATGAACACGCTATTTCAGGCCATCCTCTCGGGATTCATGTGGTGTTACAATCGGCATACTCGACCCCCTTGGTCTGTCGGGCTCTTTCTCTGCCTGGCATTCGCCTCCTCAACGGCTGCCGGCGTTCTCGGGTTTATCGAGGTCAGAAGGGTGAAGAAGGTGGAGGGAAACACTAGGTGGATGGCGGTGGGTGCCGAGGCTGAGGAACAAGAACTTGGGTGTCAAAATCGACTATAGGTTTGCTATCGTTTGGGGGGCAGAAGATGCCAGGAGACATGGCACAAACCGGATCAGATGTCGTCTCTAGATTATCGAGTTTGGGCTGGCAAACACGAGATGGCGTCTTGCATTATGGCTCGAATACTCTAGAGGTGGGCTGGGCCACACTGCCGTCAAAATTCCACATGAGAGTAGCATGGAAAAGAGGTTTCATAAAGTTTTGTTTTTCGATTGAAAACCCTCCTCGAATGAATTCAGCTTTACTCCTCACTTACCATATTTCGTAACTCCCCGTACCTAGGCATGGAGGTTCGTAGGGAAATGACTGATAAGAGTTTGAAGCCATCCTGGTGAGGGTCTGGGCATCCACGGGCATGATACTCCTAGCACTCTGAAGGGGCGGACTGCTCGTTAGGCGCTGATCTACGCGTGGTGCTAACCAGCGTCGTCGCTTCGGATTCGTTCCTCGTATCTCGCGGCTTATTCTATTCCCCTTTCCTGGCCCCGGCACTCTCCGTTACGGCGATGGCGTCACGTCGTCCCGTCCATCTAGAGCGAGATGTCCGATGTATACGAGATGTCCGAGATATCCGAGTCTGGATTCAGAAGTGCCGCCGAGGCCGCGTAAGAAATCAAGGGCGGGGTGTTCCTCTTGTCGCACAGTTACAGTGGTACACGGACTCTATTGTTGTCTTCTAGCTTCCGCGAACCATAAGCCTCATTTCGTAACTATAGACACGCGTCAGAGCTAGCCTTACAACCACTGCCGCCTCTCCAGATTTTTCAGAAGGATACAAAGGTTAGCAAAGTAAACAAATATGGCCATAAAGTCCTTGGTCGGCAGCTTTAGTAGACGTAGAAAGTCGTCGATGCATCGATTGATGGATCCAGAAGGGCCCACGTTTTGATTTCCTTGCAGAAGTGGGTTCTATTGTTTGACTATGGACACAGCTCTGCCGGTATGCTCCTTCCATCTGACGATGCTTACTCCGTAATATGTCTCGCTCCGCTCGTTCAACAGTAAAAAAGAATTTTTACGAGTCAGAGTTCTCACTCTTCCATCCTCCGGTAGAGAATTCCATTCTTATGTGTCGTGGTCTACCCCTCCCATGTGGCCACTCATCCTGACTGTCCCAACCGGTGGGTCTCGTTCCTTACCCCCGGCAACCGCTATCATTCGTCCCTCTGATTAGCGTTACTATCCCCCTCGTACCTCGGGCTTACTTTCGTAGGTCTTCCATGCCGTTCCGTGCAAGTCAGCGTCTCCTGTGGTATGCCCATCCTTTCAGTCTGGTCCCCAGTCTCCGGTCCCCTTATAACCAAACTTAAGTTTCGCAGCAAAGCTGCTCAAATTATAAGGGAACCTGTATCGATCCACACGATTAGTGTGTGATGGTACTTCCCTCTTCGAGTGATTCTCTGAGACTGAGTTCGTGCCCTCACTCAATCTCTTCTTTCCTGGTGTCCGCTCCCTTTGGTCGCTCTTGATCATTTTATGATTCCATTCTCTCGAATGCCCTACCGCACTCCAGTATTTACACACCTCCGCTTGCTGGATCGTAGTCTCACGATCTCTTGGTGGATTCCCACTTGAGGTCTTCTCGACCCGTGCACACCCTACGTCGCTCTGCTCCTTCGGGGATGAACCTACGCTTACGCTCCGGTGCCTCTCCTCCCTACGGTCGTCGGTCTCGAATATATAATCACAATGAAGTTTACATCTACGTATAAATAAAATGTCACGATAATTATAATGGTGTTTACAATGACGAATAAAATATAAAATATCTACAGAAAATATACAATGTCGCTCCGACTTATACTGTTTACTTGCGCTTACAGTATTCCCTGTTCGCGTACCGACTAAAGTTTAAAAGTAAATTGTGATATCCAAAAGTGAGGCTATTCCCACCTTTCTTACTACTGCATCGACCCGTCGACTATATCTTCTAAACACTCTCTATTGAGATATGCTCCGGCTTGTAACCTCCGGTAAAACGCTTTGTATTGACTCTGACAACTGTCAACGAAGGCATCCTATAACGCCTCAAATATAGGAATTAGCTGCGGTGTCCCCCTCCTTGCAAACCTACGAAGATACTCCTCCTTGCAACCCCTATCCGGATAGATAAGATAGAATAACATACTATATTGAATAAGAGTCTGCCTGATCTCAGGATGGCTAGATACTAATAGAATATATCGGTTCGATAATTTATTAACTATCGCCTCGACATAGTCCCGGACAAAGTTAGGATTGCGCTCTCCGTCCGCACCAAAGGAAAAAGAAGAAGAATCTAAATCCAAGACCTCCCGATCTCGGATCTGATGTACGCCTGCAGCAGTGGACTTGCCTATACCGGCAAAACCCGACACAACAACAGCCTGTTATCCCACACGCATCGTAGCGATGTACTCACGTCCTCCCGGAGTCCTTGAAATCACCTATCGCCCAAAGGGCCATATACCGTCTCCCGACAGCTAGTCTACCAAGACAAACGCAAAGATGGGAATCTCTCCCAGATCCCAACTATTCCACCTAACCTCACTTCTCGTTCGATCCCTCCTTTTTTAAGAAAAAGACAGTAAGCGCTTGCGCGAATGCTAACACAGTGTCACTCCATTCCCCAAGAATCCCTCTTCGGATTATATGTAGCCAGGCTACAATATGATACCGTCTCCCCCAGATCCGTATTGGAGCGAAGCGACCTTGTCGTTCGAAAAGTCAAACAATTCCTGTCTCGTTCCCCTCGAGTTAGTATTATTTCTCTTGAAATAAATCTAGTGTGCACTTACCCTGTTGCGTGGTCCGTAGCATGGACGAAAGAGCGCCAGCTCAAGTCGCTGTGTAGGATGGGCGGTAAATAAAAAAAAATATTTACAGGATCAAGGTTTCCAACTGATCGGCCAAAGCCAAGAAATCCTTTCTATACTCCCTCGCCCGCTTAGTCGTACTGTTGGCCATTCACCCATGAATGTCCGCACAGGTGGGGTTGCCTCGTCCCTCTGCACCAATAACCCACAAGCCACTCCGGTCGTCCCTCCCTCACGTGTTATGACTCAACCTGATTCTCGGTTGCTTACCTGCGTAGGTGCGGGAAAGTGCTGACGCATCAATCCCTCCTTCGACTGCCGCCCTCATGCTTCGGTCTGGTCCCCAGTCTCCGGTCCCCTTATAACCAAACTTATATTTCGCTGGTAAACCAGCTCAAAGGTCAGGATATCGATCTATCAGAGGTTTCGTAATACAGGGTCATAATCCAACAGCTTATTATCTCTTGATGGATCCGTTACGGTCAATTCGATTAAATAGATAGGGATCAATACAGTGATGATGATGTTGATGATTGCTTGTGCCGGTCATCCGGATCGGCCGGAAGAGGGGTTATTATACCCCCCCTTCTGACTAAGGTCAGGATATCAATCTATCCGAGGTTTCGTCATACAGGGTCATCATCCAACATCTCTTCCACCCCTCATATTTTGAATCAATATATGAAGACCCAAACGCGGCTGACTCTCTCATCAAACCTGCATCTACATCTTAGTGAAGAGGAGGAGCTAATTGACTCGACCGGGATGGCTCGACCGGGAAGAATAGCAGGCGGGCACGCGAGCCTTGAGCCGGGGCTTTCCGGTCTTTGGGGATAAAGGTTATCTGATCGGATGCTTGCAGCCGCTAGGGCTAAGATTGGTGGGTTCCTTCAACAGGAAATGCCGTATCGGGTAGGACCAGTAGCCAGACCTATTGGGGCCATAAATTGGGAAGGTCTCGGACAGGACCTTCTAGACATCATCATCCTCCTAGCATCTCATTTTCAATTAACAGTCTTTTGACCTATCCTTTGGAGACCTATTGAAAGTCCATTTGATCAAATGGTATCAGCTGAAAAAGCTATCTATTTTGCCCGGCCGTCCGGTTTATCCGGACCCCAGACCTGACCCTATCCGACCTTTCCGACACAACACTATCGCGGTCATCACAGCTCTGCCTCTGGGTGGGTTGTGTGTGTTCTTAGTGTCCTCTGCTCACTCTCCCACTCATTATTATCTTTCCTTTTTATCTTTTTCTTTACTTTTCTTATTTCCTTTAAAGAATATTTCTATATCTAGATTGAAAAACAACTTAGCACCTTAGCTTCAGATAGTAAATATACCTAACCCTTACCCTAACCCTAAAAGGACCTCACCGATGGGGACCAAACCAAGCAGAAGCTGGGATCTGTCCCAGGCATTGGCGATGTCACGCATGTGTACTTTGTTGGTAAGAGGGAACCGGAAGGCCTCGGTGCTTGGTTCCATAAGCAACCTAACAACTGTTGTTAGCATACACTGGCCACGGTAGCAGCCCAAAGGACCTTGTCAAGGTGAACACTCTGACTGTTGACAATGCTCTAATCGTACTGAACGACTTATGCTCGAAGATAGAATTTTTCGTGTTACAAACCGGCGGAAAGGCAAACAAAACCTTCCGATCTGATAACCTATTTCTAACGTGTTGACAGGGTTACGGTGCAGTCGGGGCCGGATGGCCGCCTGCGCCTTAGAAAGAGGATCTTGCATACCGGAACCATACGCCTCGGATATCTTCTACTATACGCAGTACGATGTCGTAGCGAGACACGCTGCCAACAAGTCATGGAGATGGTCTGAGATCTGGCCATCGTATCCCGTGCGTTCATTTCTAACGTTGTCTATAAAATTCACCCTTTGGCTGTCTCCATCGCTCCATGTCTTCCCAACTCGACTAGCATTCCGTTAACAGCCAGGATTTATTCCGCACCACAATGCCATAAACATCGCCCAGTCCCTTGCACTTTATCTTTCCTACTACCGCTCTGTGAAAGGCACTGGGGCCAAGTGTGTATTCCCCGGAACTCCGGGGTCCTGGACAGCACTCCGCACCGAATCTTCTCAGGACCTGATTGCCCATTTCCACATCCACGTTTCTTTGCTCGCTGAAAAGACCAACAGACGCTCCTTTAACGTCGGAGATGGCGATCCAGTGTCGTGGGAGCTGACGTGGCCGGTGCTATGCAAATACTTTGGCCTCAACGGAGTTGGGCCCTCAGCGAAGAATGAGGGGGAGATCTATGGCATTGAATGGTTGATGGACCAAAGATATTCGTGGCCGGCCTGGATCCAAGAGCAGGGTCTCAGGAAGAATGCTCTGGAGGATATGCAGTGGGATATCCTCCAGACTGCCCTGATACTCCCGATCCGGATTGACTTCGAACTGAGTGCATCCAGTGAGATTGGGTTCCGGGAGACACTGGAGCCTGGCGAAGGCTACATGTTGGCATTTGATCGGATGCGAGAGGCGGAGTTTCTCCCATAGGGGAGCTCAGCTGAGATCACTGCAGCCCTGGCTCAGTTCGGCTAATATCACGGATTCGAACTCCATAGTTTTGTCAAAGTTGTCCAGTCTGTCGAGGACCCGAAACCGCCCTGACGAAAAGAACATGGACTGAGGACTGCGATATGGAACTTAAACAGTTGCACTCTCTGTACCGGAACCATTGGCAGCTAACTTCGAAGGAGTCAATTGGTGACCCTTGCACGCTGAGCCACACGTCATGTCATGTCGTAATGGGGCCTGGGAGGATAGGGATTGGCTAGCGCGATATCGGTAGATGCCGATGTGTCGCGCTCCTTGGAATATAAAAGGAAAGGGTGGATGGCCTTGTTTTAGGCAGTAGCCTAGCATGAACTATAAAAAGGGCAAAAAGCTAAGAGGTCCTTCTGTCCTCTCTCTATGCAAGGGGGAGCTGAGGAAGGGTGAGTGAAATGAATGCGCGAATGCATCGCATGAATATGGCTGAGGTATGAAACGGGGGCTTGAATATGTAGGGTGCACGAAGCCGAGGCCGTGAGTTGTCAGCGAATCAGAGCCCCGAACCTGCTCTTCCCGATACCGCTTGGGCGCTGGTGAGCCGGATGGAGCTTCGTCTTCTTTTATGGCTATCTCGAGGTGATAGATGGCTATAGAAAGCAGGCTTTCTTACTTTAGAAAGAGGATTAGAAGAGTTACTCAGACTAACTAAAGGTTAAGTACTCGCAAGCTATCTCGTTATACCAGATTAGCTTAACTAAGCTAAGCTTCTAAGGCTAAATTAGCTAGATAATAAAATAAGTAACCAAAAAAGCCCAGTTAACTCAGTATTTCCCCAGAGGGGGCGGCCTATATCTACTACTACTATAGCACAATATAAAGATTATTAACCTTTCCAGGCCGAAATCCTAACCTTATTTGGTTATTATATAGTATCTCACTATTAATTCACGCTTCATCCCCCGGCTGCTAGCAATCTTTAAATATTATTACTTCTTCCTTTTATCCCCAGCCCCACAATCACCCATTATAGCGCCCTCAAAGATCCTCTCCCGGACTCTCCGCTCTATTACTATCATCAAATTCGACTAACTCTCCAAATAAAAGACTGCCTATAAAGAAGCTAAACACACCCTTCTCCACGATGTAGATCAGGAGCCTAACCCTAAGTGAACCAAGATTCTCGTCGAAGGCGCTAAAAAACTCCCCAATCAATTGCCACACTTTGCCAACCTCGGGACCTCATCGATGGCATCGAGCTTCTATGAGTGCATAAAGCATGATGTTCTAGAGATAGTTCGTGCCGATTTGCCACATATACTTACCTAACACTTGATGACCTTACATTAGAGCAATATATCCTAGCAACTTGGTAGCGTTGGCAAATACCGCGTCGCGGCTGCTCGAGCAGCTATTGTCGAATGCTTATATATCTAATGAAGAAAATGGGGAACTCATGTTAGACTTGTATTATAAGTCATAGTGTGAAAATATATAACCCAAGGTAGTTTAATCCAACTAAGTAAATTAATAAATTATTTGTCTGGGAATTGATCCTCCATCTTCTCCCCTGCAATTATCTTATCAGCATTGAGCCTTACACTCCACCTTGTCATTCTAGTCTCGGCCGTGTCCCACCAACCTGACCATTTTGAATCAATGTTGCTCGTGTCTTCCTTTGGCCCCCTTGTTCTGTGAGGGTTGAAGATGGGAGGCTGGATGGCGAGACAATTGTGATGCCTCCGCCCGCGTTCGCCATTACAAAACCATCGCATAAGGATATCGACTGGCGTAGTAGGGTCTTTGAGAGCAATCTCGCGTAGGAGTTCCTGGGCTCCCTTCTGGGTGACAGCATAGGCCAAAAGGCATATACCCTCATATGCATGATGAACGACACGAGTATGGTCAGGATATTCATCCTTCAAGGTATACGGCTTCACGTATGAGAGTAGATACTCCTTGGCAGGGACCGTTTCATCGTCTTTTGAGACAACACGCCCCCTAGGCAGAGAGCCATCTGCAGGTGGCATTTGCATGCCACAGTGGCCTAGCCAAAGAAGATCCCACTCATCTCCATATGGAGAAAAGGTTACAGGTGACGTTTCGGGGAGGTTATTGAAATCCAGGCTAATAATGCCGTCTGGGGATTTTTTTGCGGGTTGTCGATACTGATATGACGTATCTGCGTATGAGTTCTGTCCTGCGAGGGGCTGAGTGAGTGCTTGACTTGATAGAGCCAAGTCGTGAAGTTGTCGTCGAAGTCGTACATCCCAATCTGCATCATCTTCGAGTATCAGAGCAGTAGAGATATTGTTGCGAACAATCCTAGGGGTAACATGTTAATACTATACAAGAGCCTTAAGAAGACAGGCCACGTTAGAATGTTTGCACATATACCACTCACTCTTGCAATGCGTTCATGTGGGCACGCCAGCACCCAAGAGCACCAGGTGATATCTTTTTATGTTTGAATTCCTTTGGAAGAGCCTTGTCTGAAATTGAATCACCCAGAACGCCATTGATAAACTGGAACGTTATGCCGCTCAGTGCAGTGTTCAGAGTCACGGCGTCTCGACGGTCGGTACGCTCGGGCAGCCCGACGACGAAGACTTGTTGAAACTATATTAATGTACGCGTTAGTAGAGACGATGCTGCATGTGGTGGAGATATCGAGAATGTGCGCGTAACCTTACCCCGAGAGTATGATTGCCAATGTCGTTGAGAAGGCCACGCGCCCTGGCAGACTTACCAAAGCCATGCCAGCTCGGGGGCGAGGCGGCGGGGACGCTGCTGAGGAGAAGCCAAAAGATGACAATGGTGACGCCGAGGGCACCGGCAACCCGTACCAGAAACTGTCTAGGAATCATACGAGCGAATTGAGGGACAGGCAAAATCTAAGTCTGTATTGTCCTCCCTATGGAACGGGTAAATAAAATAGAAGTATTAGTTAATCCCCAGGAAATGTCCAAGGAGGACATTTGTTTTAGTATGATCGTGGCTGAGGCTGACTATGACGTCTTTGACTTACGTGGCATGATGTCATAATGAGCAGTGAAGTACTCATACTCCTCATATGGATCCAACCAATAAAGTCACTACGATTAATGCTTTATTGCAGGAGCTCATTGATATCAGAACCTTATTTCATCATACCAGGAATATTATCAGCAGAGTCTAATTGGGTCAACGCAGCACTTCATTCACACCTAACAATATGTTATACGAACTGGCCAGTCACACAACGTAGTCAGGAATCAAGAGGAATTCTCTTAGAGTAAAAGATTATCTGTAAAGACTGACGAGTTGGATTGAGATGTATTAGGCTGCAATCTATCTGACTAACGGGACCCCAAAAATACATTTCTAACTGGGAAACCCCGTACGGTATATTCCACACAGGTATTGCCCAGCGCGATAGTCACGATTCAGAAAACAAGGACCCCTATCTAGGCCATCTCTGGGTATATGAATCCAAGGCATCTATCAAGAGGTTAGGGTGCTCTAGTACACACATACCCAGAGGGGGGACTAGAAGCTCAACAGTAAAAAAAAACACCAACAATAGTATCAACAATGCAGACCATATACCCAGTCTATTTAAAGGTCAACAGTATACTCAGACAGACTAAGGTTTCTAGTTTAATCAAGGCATTTATAATAACTTTAATTACTGTTGAAATTACTGTTCTGACTTCTGTTGCAAATTCTGCATCACGTGCTTGCACGAGTGTGATAAGTGACTTGGTCTATTGATTGTGAACCTAATTACAGTCTCTTGCCTCTTCCAGACCTCCTCCGCAACATCCCTCTATCGTTCCAGCTTCACAGCTACTGTCGGTGGCGACTAGGTTCCTTGGGGTTTATAATGTCAATTCTTCGGCTGCAAGTTAACCAACACTATAAGTTATCGTTCATCGGCTGTATAGTCTATGCTGTTTAGCCAAGACCACACAAGCTGTTAAGAAATGCCCTGTTTGCCGGAGAAATTGTATCCCTTCAGCAGTTCCAAACTAGAGTCTTGAGATAGTATATGTAACGATCTGCACTTCGTATTACACCTAGTAGCCCGTCTAGCCAAAATGTAAGTCTATATAGGGCTGGGTCCGCCGTGACACTGCACGAGCCGTAAGAAAAACAAGATACGGGGTCTAGATTACTATTTTCATCATGTTTTAGCGTTTGTGGGTATGATGTGGGAAAAAGCCGTTTTCTTGGATCTTGTATTTCCTACCTTCAGTGCAGACTGAGAGAGGCAATATGCAACGATAGCATAGATTCGGGAGGCAGCAGCGACATCAAACCTGCATACCTTGTACCTATCTGTACCACTTGCACCGATAGAGCCGCCGATAGTTCTCGCTTACGACTATGTCGGAAGACCAAGAAAAGATGGAAAGGCTACCCAGACACCCAGTTAAATGGCATGTTGGCATTGCAGTCAATGCATCGGAGAAAGGGCCATTAGTGCCCAGGCTACATGGTGGAAGGTATAGTCGCTCTGGCTGAGAGAGGGGCGTGATCCAATATCGCTGGGCGGGATCGCATCAATTTAAATATATACACCTTTAACTCTAGCTCCCCTTTAACATTATTAATAACTCTTAAGGATCGTGAGCTCGTCGCCAATCACGCCACCCTCGCCATGAATGAATTTCCATGTGAGTTTCTTGGCGCTATTGATAGTAAGCTTACTGAAGCCAAAGTGGACTTGATCGAGGAGGACGGTGAAGTTGAGCAGAGGATTATCACCCAAGGTGCTATGACTCTCAATATTTCCTGCAGCTCCATTGATGATATGAGTCATAGAAACGCCTGGGTTTGATTTATAGGTGTTGTTGTTCATGAATGCGGAGTGATCAATCGTGCCGTTAGTCTTGAGTGGCAGCAATCTCTCGTACCAATGGATGTGACTTGCTCAAGATCAGTATGAGCCCGTTGGTGTTGGCCTGCAGCCACAAGCGGAATTGACTTACCCGGCTAGATATACATCAACACCATTCTTTAACATCAAGCCTTCAAAGGCCTCTCGGAGATACTTCTGGTAAGATGAAACTTGGGAACTATACATCGGGCGGTGGCCCATGACGATGACCCATGGTGTTTTATGTCGGTCGACGCTGGCGAGATCCTTTGCAAGCCATTGGTATTGCTCATACGCTTTGGTGTCACTATAGTTTCCGACCGCGCCAAAGGGACCGCTATCAGTGACATATGTCTCGGAAGCAGTTGGATGAGACTCGTCTCCTTTCAGGTCCCGAGCGAAGGGCCATTCGGGACTATGTGCATAGTCGGTCTCTGTGTCAATGGAGACGAAGTGAGCCAGGCCGTAGTCGAAGGAGTACCAGAAGTTTCCGACGCCACCAGACGCTTCTCCTGCCATGTGAAAGCGATTTTGATATGCAGTGAAATTTCTAGCGCTTGATCAGTTCTCTTGTTCAGAATTCCTTGTTGGAAACTATTCACCTCTGGGAAGGGGGGCAGCTGTAGTAAGTGAGAGCAGACTTATCAGCGGTGCCGTTGACAATATCATCGTTCAAGTATGCGGTCAAGACGTTCTTTGGGCCATCAAATTCAGCACACGTTGCCTCGTGATTTCCGGGCAGGACCATGTACGGGATCTTGGTAGTGATGCTGCCGATCCATTGCTGCCAGAGGTCCCAATTCGATTCGTACAGAGTGCTCATATCTCCACCTTGGGGACCACCTTGGTTGGGGATTTCTCCGGCCGGTAGAGGTTTTTTATACTCATCGGGGATGGGAGCACTGCCAGGAAGCTCAGTGGATGTGCCATTATAGCACACGGGCCAGCTATCTTCGCAAGGCAATATGCCGGAATACCAATCATCAGCATAACTAAGGTCGCCTCCATGCCACGCAAAGGCTGCACCCTCTTTAACAACCTTGGTCAGCTGCTTAAAGGTTCCTGCCGCGTTGGTATATCCCATGTCGTTCAGAATGGCAACAGAGAACTCTGCTTTGTCTCCAGGTGCACGAGCGGTATCGAAGCTGAGAACCTTAGACACGGTAGTGCCATTAGCCGCCGGGATCTTGTAGTAGTAAGTCTTTCCGGGCTTCAGTTGGCTGATCTGCACATCATGGAAAAATTGGCTACATTGGGTAATGGCCGAAAATGCAGAGCAAGGGGGTGTTCGATCGTAGCTATAGACTCGTATTAGCAATCTTACTGAAAGCTACTCAAACTACCGCGCTGGCAGAATCAAAATCACGTACGTAGTTGTTCGGCCAGTGGCCTTGTTGTTTAGCCGGTGAGGGCTAGTTCCCCAATAAACTGAAGGGGCTTCTCCCAGCCCAAAAGGCGTCTGGTAATGAATGCTGATACCATTTGGCGTATATGCCAAGGAGATGACGTTGACATTGTTGGTGGGTTTGTGAGATGCCGGCTTCACAGCAGGTGGTTCAACTAAGCGAGGGAATCCTTTGCCGTTTCCATTGAGGGTCTGGTCAACCCAATCCCCAATTGGGACTTTAGGTCCCGTATATGGGTAGACCTCATCGACCGTCGGGGCGCCATCTGTTTGAGCAGCCAGGAGCGCTCCGAGAAGCATGCATGTAACAATGGACTGCATCTTGGCTTCAGGTGTTGAGTGAGTCCTCGGCTCTAACAAAGAAGAGAAGACAGGAAGTGAGGCCTGTGGTAACAGTCCGACTTGCAACGATGACCTCGAAGTCCACTGACGATCCAAAGCGGGCCATGGTATTTAATAAATACTTATCAGCAAAGATCGACTGGAATATGCAAGAGCTACCGATCCCACACGTGCCATTGAGACATATAGCAAGCAAAGGTTCAATCCAAACCTCGGACCCATTTCCTGTTGTTATGCGGAGATCTTCTGTCCCGTCCAATAATCAACATCATGACCACACGTGTAGAGATAACCTCTGCCGCGTTTCCGTGGCCCATCCGCAGGATTGCCCTGTTAACTCCAAGATTCCTGTGCCTCACTAAGTTATTTATGGGCAAGTCATGCTCGCTAAGGATCATCCTTGCTCGATTATGGTTTGTTCATCAGGGACTTTTTGGTCACCGATCGGATGTTCGGCACACTCTGTCGGGGGAAAATCTTAAATAAGGAAAGTGCATAAGATGGGATCAAAAGTGCCGTCAGAATATGGCAGCTAGATTAAGACTTCACCTTAGCATCCAGATAAAGGCAAAGAATTGTCTGTCTTCAATAACGAATGACAATTGGCGCTTCGTCCGTCTAGTTGTTATCAGTTGATCTAAAACTCCTAATCACAATCCCTTACAATGAGTAATGTTAAAAAGAGAAATGCTTCGCTTGCTGTGTGCAATGTAGCAGGTTATGAAAAAAAAAAAAAAACTGGACATGCCTTGGTCACGGCCCATAGCGCCCCACAAATTCCCAACCAATCATAAGTAGATTTCCCAGATCGTGACGGTACGTGTCAATCCTAAGGGTAGAGGGTAGGCAAGGGGGCTTTCGGTACTTGATCGAAGTGTGATTGGGACGTCGGCGTTGAGCAATATAGGTCACGGTCTAGTAATGGGTCAAAAGGTAGTCTCGATGTTGATAGCTGAAGGGCTGGTGTCCTAATAACAGCCAGTCCTTGGGCTTAACATACTAAGGTGCAGCCAAAGTTATGGAGTTTGCCATGTCTCCATTCAGGCAACTGCTTTCGGAAGATGCCGTGAATTGATGTGTGAATTGGGTTATCTCACTTTGCTGCGTTGGTCTAGACTGGTGGTAAGACCAGGGCGAAGCGTGAGAACATTTTAGATTATAACTGTGCCACCATTGCCATCTCTCACGGAATCACCGCCGAGAAGGTTGAGACGTTTAACCAGAGGACGTGGGGCTGGAACGGGTGCAAATTGCTCTGGCGTGGAACGTCCATTTGTTTGAGCACCGGCACGCTTTCATTCCCTTTGTCCATCTCTGATGCTGCCTGCGGGCCGCAGATTCCCGGCACCAAGAAGCCATCTTCTGGGAGCAGTGATACCTGGGTCAAGTTGAATTCTTGTCCTTTGAACGTTTGCTGTAACATTTAGGGCAAATGCCGAATGACAGACGGCTTTTGCGTAATCGCCAAGGCAGCCACCGACGCTCCTGGCACAACTACAGCAGGCAAGAATTCATGTGAGTAATCCGTTGCCTATTGTTCTTCTATGCTTCTTGATGATCCTTCTAACACATCCAGGCATTTTCAGCTGTGGCAGAGATATCATCAATGCCACGGCACCCGCCAAGACTATGCGCGTTGCCTACTTTAAAGCCTAGAACTCAAAACGCGAGTGCTTGAACATGGACGTCAATGAAATCGACAAATCAAAGTACACGCACATACACTTCGCATTTGCCGACGTCACCTCGACCTACACCATCGACGTTAGCGGCCACCTACGTCAGTTCAACCTCTTCAAAGCTATTACTGGAATCAAGAAGATTATTTCCTTTGGTGGGTGGGACTTTAGCACGATGCTGAGGACCTACAACACTCTACGGGAAGCTTTCAAATCTGCGAATCGAGCTACGCTCATCAGGAACATTGTTGCCTTTGTTAAGAAGCACAATCTGGATGGCGTTGATATTGACTGGGAGTATCCGGGTGTAAGTGACACTTTGTCTCACGCTCTGTCAACGGTTTCGCTACGGCATAACACAAATATTGATGGGTTGATGCTAACCAATATCGAAAGTGCCCGGCATTCCCGACATTCCTTCCGGGTATGCTGTTACCGGAAAGGACTATTATCAGACATTGAGTGGCCTGAATACGGCCTTGGGCACCAGCAAGTCCGTCTCATTCGCAGCTCTGGCTTCATATTGGTACCTCAAAGCCTTTCCCATAAAGGAAATAGGGTCCAATATTGACTACATCCTTCACATGACATATGACCTGTAAGGTGAGTGGGACTACGGCAACAAATGGACCTCGCCTGGCTGCACCATAAGGAACGGACTCCGCTCCCACGTGAACATCACCGAGACGAAAGAGTCTTTGTTCGTAATTACCAAGACAGGTGTCCCGTCTAATATGATCGTGGTCCGAGTTTCGAGCTACGGGTGATCCTTCAAGATGGCTCAGGCCGGCTGCACTGGGCCGACGTGCAAGTTCACGGGCAGCCAACGAGTATCAAATGTAGCAGAGGGCCGTTGCCCCAACACTGCTGGCTATATCTCCGACACAGAGATTCAGGGAATCAGTGACTACGGCAAGGTGATGAAGCAGTGGACTGATACCCGGTCTAATACACTAGTCTATAATCAAGAGGTTAGGGTGCCCTAGTACACGCATACCCAGAGGGGGGACTAGAAGCCCAACAGTAAAAAAAGAAAAACACCAACAATAGTATCAACAATACACTAGTATATAATAATACGAAGTGCGTTGCCGATTTGGACGAAGATATCAAGGCATCCCGGGCGAAGCTCTATGTGTCTTATAGTTTTGCTGGAATATCCGACTGGGCTGTGGATTTGCAACAGTATGTTGAGTAAGTTACTCTTTACTGGAATGAAATTGTCGTATACTGACTTGTTGTCAGTGGTCCCAGCGAAGACGATGGTTACGACCCAGATTTCGTGGCCACAATAAGCAATTTTGGGGATTGTGACTCTGACTACATCAGTCTGGGCCAACTCAAGGACTGAAAGTCCAAGATCCCATACTATTGCATGGACCAGTACATTGTCGATGTTGAAATCAATATCATGGACGATGCGCTCGGCAGGTACAACGACCTGATTGATAACGGCTACGACGACAAGTTTAAGGTGTACACCGACGACTACTTCAAGTGCGAGAAAACCAAATGGAGGACATGCTGTAGCAGCTGCAACTTCGCTACTTTCTTGGACAGTTGCGATAAATTATCTGGTTGCAAAAAGCGGCCATTGAACGCATAGAGCCACCTGTCCAAACGTCTACAAGGACGGGTCGGATGGCATCGACTGGATCAACACAAAGGTGCCCAACGTGACTGGAAGACTCGGATGGCTTCTAAGAGGTCATCGCTAAAGACTCTGGCATTGAGAAGGACCGGATCAAGTTCGATGATATCGACGTGAAAGTCTCGAACGGGTGTAAATTCGCTGGTGAAGGCATCAAGGAGTGTCAGAGGATACAGGATAATTGGTTCCGGAACTATCCGCAAGCCAGCGACAACTTCGAGGTTTTCAATCCCAAGGAGGTGATTGGCAGGTTGTACGACAAGTCCAAGAACCTCCTTCAGCGCCTCCAGCTACTCAAGGCCGTCGGAGATCTCGATTCCTGACCTGGTCGACGCAGCGTCTCTCCTGGCACTGACAATGGCTCAGGCAGTGGAGAGCATGGAAAAGGTCGTCGAAGAAGCTAAGATTGCCAAGGCCGAGAGAGAGGCGATGATTGCCAACTTCCTCAGCGGAATTCTCCTTTTCATCCCCATCGTCAGCGAAGTGGCAGCGGCGAGCAGTATGACCGCGATTCGAGCCGCGTTGCAGTGGTCGAGGCCGCTGGCGAGGCAGGACTGATGGCGTATACCATCGCCCAAGGCCCTGATAACGCATTAATGACTGTGTTCAGCACCTTGGCGGGTGCAGGATTGGATTGGGTCGCGAGAATTGGGGCAAGGCGGCTACAGCGAGGAGGGGTGTGTGAAAGACGCCGACGTCAAGAAGTTGGGATCGATCAAGTATGATTTAGATACAATCAATCTTCTCCGTGGAGGGGCATGTAATATTTGATCCAAGGAAGGCTGTCTTGATATAGAATGTAAAGTAGGTTCCAAATTGTAATTTGTCAAGCTCAGGAGGGTTCATGTCACCCACGGCCCCTCAAGATTCCATACCATTTGTGTCCTGCGACTTTCCATTCTCTACCGTCGCTCTCGCAGGGCTTCCCCAATCCCCCCATGGCAGCCGCTCACCCAAGTACGAGGCTTCCTCAACGGCAAAATCGATATATTCTCGGCTAGTGCTTGGTCTGGATCGAAGAGGCGGAATATGAAGTATCTGTTGGTTTGCCTCAGGGTCTCGCTGAGCATGCGGACATGACCCAGAAGCGCCCTCCCCGGCTTGAAAAGTGACACCGGTGATTGTTTCTGGAGCCGGGTAGAGAGGGGACTGCGGACTATGACTGGCTCGATCAACTCCCCAAGGTCGAAGGGGAGGCGACGTAAGATTAAGATCTTACGAACAATTTTGAGGTTGCGGATGTCAACAAGTAGCTTCAGCTTCAGCAATAGAACATCAAAAGCGTGATTCAAGGCTAGATATTGGCTAAAGAATTCTGGCTCCTCAAAGACACCAGCCCCGCGAATATCGAGGTGAGGCAAGGCCATGTCGCCCCAGTCGTACTCGCTGTCTAGGTCACGCGACGCCCACCACTTGACGAAATCATAGCACTCCTGGTCAAGATACGACCGCAGCATCATGGCCGGCATAATTTCCCGCAGCCCCATGTTGTCGACCCGTGACAACCTCAATATATCTTGCATGTGCTCAAGGCCCTCCTCACAGCCAGCAGTAGGGATGCCACATACAAGTGGTATAAAGACCGGGTAGAAAATAAGGTTGAAGACACATAGGTATGGTTCCTGAAGCATAAGCACTTCCAGAATTAGTTAAATTAAGAGTCCAACCCCTTATTAGTCCCAGTGGATTCTAGCTGTAGACAGTTAGTACTAGCTAAGTACCTTATTAACTACGGCTTACTACTATCTGCTACTTTTTCTTTATGGATTAAGATTAAAATACTGTTGGATAGCCTGTATTAGGAAACCTTCAGTAGATTGATATCCGGACCTTAGTCATGAAGGGGGTCAAATAACCCCTCTTCCGGCCGGTCCGGATGACCGGAAGGTCATCGCGATCATCATCATCATCAATTTGGACACTATTGCAACGATTGAATTGACCGTATCGGATCCATCAAATACTATTTATTAAGTACCGTAACAGGCGATTTGGGACACTTGGGCTGGCTGGTCGCTAGCAGGGCTGTCTCTAGCGTGGTCCGGACAAGGTTAAAGGAGACGGCCGGAGCCGTACAGTTAGGAGACATCGGTTTTTAATTCCTCAGAGATTCTTCCTGTTAGTCGAAGAGACCGAAAGGTCTCGAGAGGCCTAGGAGTTCTATTATTTTGCTGTCTTTATTTCGAGAGATTTATTTGAGTCTATTTGTTGCTGTTCCTACAGTCCTTATCTAGCCTCAATCTTCTACCTCCTGAAGATATCGGGCTGCCGCGGGCACTATTAACGCCTTGCTAACGGACCTTCCTGTGACGGACCTGATATTCCGTCTTATAAGATGCTTTTCTATCAGGAGGTATAAGACTCAGATCTATCCGACTTTATATATGTAATCTGTTGCAGCTTCGGGCTGACTAGCCAAGACGTCTGAGTGACGATTTTCTGTGCATCTCCTATAGGGTAAGTTGATGAGTTGAGTGTTGTTCCCGTCCCTTTCTGCTGCTAAAGTACTTGATATACTGTTTTACTAGTTTTTCTCCGAGTGTGCCTGCTAAGGAGACAAAAGGAACCACACACCTCTACACAACCTCTGACAAGATTGTGATTTCTAATATATATAGGTACTGTTAACCTTGCTGAGAGAAGAGAAAATTACGACTTACCAGTCCATCAATGGGACCAAGTGTTTATTCTTACAACCTGAAATCGGCTTCCATGCAAAGGGAAATTTAGGAAGAAAAGTCAGGGTTGGAGATAATGACAGATGCCTGCCAGATTATTTGATACGACGCAAAGGTCCCATGGTGGTTACGGCCCTACGAGAGTATGCGCCCTCTGGTTTGGTGCAATATGCATGCATATTGCACATTTGAGTTGGCCCAGCAATGGAACGTAAACAAGAATGTTGAGCAGCCTGATACGAGGACCTTTTTGCTCTCAGCCACTCGAGTTCCGGGAGGGCGAAGTCGGCTCGGGCCCAGTCGCGTAAATCTTCGACCTGCCTGAAGACTTGGTTTTGCCGCATGAATACAATATTACTCAACGACGAACCTAGACTGTCCTGATTTATATTTTCACCTAAAATCTTGAGTTGCCGGCAATTTGTCCTGAGTTTGAATGATTTTCTGGTGGCGCAACCAGGTGTCCAATTCCAACCACCTAATGGAACCCGAAGATCCCACCAGCAAGCAAACTTTCACCCTGCTGCCCCCGGCAAATTGCCCTGTTAGGAGAAGCCGCAAGTATCCGATGGCTCTGTGCGGCAGCTAGAGGATTGAGAGATAAGAGATGGAAGCTAGCGAGTACGCGGAAAGCGGGATTGACGCCTCCGCGTGGCAAGGCTTCGAAACGCCACAGAAGCATCATTTCATCTTGCGGCCATCCACTAACCGGTTCTTCTCAGCCGACCGGTAATTAGGCAAGCCACAGCGACAGGGGTGCGGGAAGACTGAGTTCTCCTTTTCCTCCTTGACTCGCGTTAGGCTCTTGGCTTGTCACTTCCCGTCACGCTCATCAAATTCAAATTTGAATGCTTGGAAGCGGCTGGATAATGACGAGACGGAAAATGGGCTGTAAGCCGACTCTTCAACGTAACCCGGCATTACCTGGAGGCAACCGAGAATACCCCGGTGCCTACATAAGTACATTTCTGGGACCGCTAGCAGGGGTCCGATGTCGATGCTCGGAAATATTCCGCACGCTACGCTTCTCGGTCACGATCCGGATCTCTTCTCCCGGGGGCATGGCCAGTGTTGTCGCAGAGCGATTAAAAAGCAAACATTAATATATTATTTCTTGCTGTAAACCGTCAATCAGGTTTGCATGGGATTATTTGTCGCTACATGTCCGTCTGAAGATTCCATATTCTACACCAGACCGTTGTCAGATCCATCTCCACTCACACGCTCAGAGTCTGATGTCTTCCGAGTGATTTGTCGCTCTGTTGTCTTTGCATCTTTTTGCTCCGTCGCTGGTCGAGAGGTGGATTGTAGACTTTGCATGTAGAAATTGCTACTGTGCACGTTGCTGCTGGTATTGTGAGTGTGGTTGCGACTCTGTAAGTCCTTGACAAGCGCGTAGAAGAATGCTGCGTTTGCGACGACACATGCGCAGACAATTTCAATCGACGCCCACTGTTTAATCTCGTTAGGTGTGATGCCTAAGGTTCAAGGCGAGTTGAATTATCGTACCAGGGAGCGCGAGGCTTGAGTTACGGATGAGATGAGGATGAGGGGGACTCGAATGATGGTGATGGCGACGACAACGAACCCGATTCCAAAGAGGAATGAGAGTTGAATTTTGCTTCACACGCCGTCAGTTAAGACACAAAAGATTCCTTGGTCCTAGGCGTTGGGGCCAACGTACTGTTTGCGGGACAGCTGGGTGTTGTACAGCATGGGGAAGGGTAGGGCGAGGAGCGCGATGTCCGTCAGTGCATTAAACACGGCCATGACGAGAAGGTTGACGACTCCTCGACTACAATGGTTGGCTATATTGGATACTGTCAGCACGTCGGTTCAAGAGTGACTATACGCCCAGACATGGCAACGTACGCGGGCGATCGGCGATGAGATCCCAAGTCCTACAGTTATGACTGTCAGCGTACGAGGAGAAGAAATGCTGGAAGATACCGACAGGTGAAGGGGTCGACATTCTGTCAGGCTCGCGATAACGACGGCGATGAATGTAGCGAGCACGATCCACCACATAGAGATGACGGCAATTCTCCCCCATTTAAGATGACTGACTAGTCGCGAGTAAAAGGCCAGCAGACAGAGCTTCAATGTCCACAAACTACAGACTCTTTAGCAACCGAAAGAACTGCAGTGAATACGGGAGAGCCCACAATAGCGCGTAAAATAAACGCACCGGGACCAGAAGCTTCAGTGCCAGCACTCGATCCTGGTTAATCTGGTCCTCGCTCTTCCCCAGGTCTGCTGCGTCCTGCGCCGTGGCTGGGTCATGCGACGTCGTCGGGTTCAGCACAAAGCTCATCGTCATCAGCACCGTGCGCGCGACGAGCGGCAGGAGCGCAAAGGTCATGTAGGTGTCATCGACGCGCCATCGCCGATGGCAGCGAGGATGTTGCTTGCATGGGCAGAGGATGCGGTAGGCGCAGCGGGTGAGGATGAGGATGCCGCAGATAGTCGCCGTTGCGATGACGAGGTTGACGTGGGAAGGAAGGGCCACCATTGTCAGTGAGTTGTTGTACAGGACTGCGAGAGGTGATGGGAACGCAACGGTTCCCCGTCCATGTCTGAGACATCGAGGGATGGAGAGAGATCGATTATAGATGGGGAACACCCATGACCTGGAGGCCACGAGTCATGGACATGTCAAGTGTTCAGCTCCGATCTCATAGTCTGAGCTAAAAAGGAAGCGATCCAATGGTGGCAATTCGTCCCCTCTCAAGCCCTCTCCAGCCCCTGGCAAGCTTGAAATGAACCCTGCGAAGGGTCAGTGCGGGGGTTTTGATTCCAGGGGAAGAACCCCTCAACTTGTACTTATTCGTAGCACATCTCCGTGCGTATTAGCCTTTGTCTGAGCGCACCCATCGCTTCGGTAGCGAGGCACTCGAACAGGTGACAGCCGCGGTTGATACCGAGTGTCACCATGACCTGACGTGTCAAATGGCGAATGTGATGCCGGCTCTCGGCCACATGTCACGCATAAGTGCATCTGAGTCTAAGTCTGTTTAGCGTGTGTCATATCGATCGAGCAAAGGGAGACATGCCCCGAGGTTCGAATAACGAGACAAATGCCGCCAACACACACAAGACAGTGACACCCAGACATCGGGATGCTTTGGAAATAAGGGGACTGACATATACTAATCTCTGCCATGAAGCACTAAGCCAAGGCCACTATGACCTATCAAAACAAACGGAGCCCAAAAATAAGGATGTGTTGGATAGAGACCATGGACTAGGAATCCCTCGATGAATTTATATCCGGACCTTAGGCAGAAGGGTGTCAGATAACCCCTCTTCCGGCCGGTCCGGATGGCCGGAAGAAAGGATCATCACGATCATCGTCATCACTTTGAACACTATTCCATTGATCAATTTGACCGTAACGGATCCATCAGGATGTGCATATTCCAAACCCATTTCTTGGATGATTTTGATTGCCATATTGATTCGGCTCCTGATTCACGAGTGAATCTCTTAAAGAATAGTCCCTTTGCTATCCTCCCTGTCCCAAATATGTCCCATATCTTTGGATAGTTGGACAGCGCGCTGTTGATCCATCCTATAGAGCTCAATCTGCGTGTTACGCCAGCACGTTGCGAAAGACACGCCGGGCAGACTCTCATTGGGTAAGTGGCAGAAGAGGTGTATCAACAGCATGGTCGCTTGCTCGTTCACATTCCATACTCCATCGAGGCAGGATGAAGCTCTAGAAGCGAGCACGGTGTGCGAGGATCCAAGAATGGCGTTTCAAACAGTGTCCTCCAGCACCCTGACGCATGCTGTGGTTATGACTATCGCGGCTTTCCTGCACGACTCAGCAGGCTCTACAACGTGAACGGTTGCTGCGATACAATGGAGCTTTGTCATGGGGACGTTCCCGTATGCAGCCCGTGAGTGGCAATAAAGAGAATGTGTGATGACTGACAGAGGCCTTTGAACTCTTCGCGGCTGACACTGCTAGCGTTATACGTAGCTGATTGAAAAATTTGGGCAATGTTAAAACCCCTGATACCAGTGAATGGGATCACTTGTGACGGCAGTTACTCATCGATAATAATGTCGATGTCAACGCAAATGGTGGTTCGTACGGCAACATTACAAAAAGCATCAGCAAAAGGCCACGATAAGATAGTCCAACTACTTGTTGAGAATAATGTTGACGTCATCGCACAAGGTGCAAAGTACGGAAGCGCTCTACAGGTGGCATCGGTAAGAGGCCATGAGAAGACCGTCCAGCTGCTCATCGATAATAATGCGGACGTCTGCGCGGAGGGTGGAGTTAACGGAAGTGCATTCCGGGCGGCAATAAGAAAGTCATCCAACTACTCCTCGATATTAATGCCGTCGTTAATGCACAAGACGGCGGATATTATGGAGCTGCTCTGCAGGCGGCAGCGGCAGGAATCGACGAGAAGATTGTTCAGCTACTCATGGAGAAGAATGCCGACGACTATCTTCGCAATATTAGAGGATGAGTGCTATTGTCAAACTAGCTTGAAAGTTATTCTTTACGTTTTGAGTGTCCAATATACGGCGATTGAAGCGGTGTCTACTGCTTACCGACTTAAATGCTTGAGTAGAACATGCCGACTCTAAAAACATCGAGAACAAAAGCCCAAACAAAGTGGCAGCCAGTCTGTCATATCACGTTACTGCTATTTAATCAGGTATTCGGATCATTGTGGGCATGCAAAGTTCTAATCAGCTTCCTGCCGAAGTTCTACATTAATTGCTAACACCGTCGTCCTGGCTGCTATGTAAAGTAAAGTAAGATGCTTGAGAACAACCAGATCTCGTTTTAAGTGTTAGGTTATGGCTGCTAATGATGTTCCCTTATGCTAGACAGGTAGTAGCCCAAGTTTACCTTCTCTCACTAATTGCAGACATAGGTGTAGCACACATATCCTCCCGTGATGATCGAGTTGCCACCCGTAATGCCACATTGCTTCCCAGCATCTCCATTGTTGAGTTCGCAAGTACCAATGACCGAACCGTCACCTCCATCCTTGTACATGAGAAACTTGTTGCCATTCTTGTAGAAGTTGAGCTTTCCCATGCCGCAGAAGCCTGATTTGATGGAAAAGACACTATCACCGAGACCTCCGTCGACTTTCCCGGTTCGATCGCCAGTGGTAAGGCATTTGCAGTTCCAGTAATTAGATGGACAGGCCACCGTAGACGTCCATACAGTTTGACCCGACCCGCTGGAGATGGCAGTATTTCTGAGGGTGTCGATATGGAAATCCGCCACCGCGAAAGCAGGGAGTAGGGCGAGTTGAAGAACAGTGTCGAAACGCATATTGTCAACTTGAATAGTGAGATTCTAACTTAAGTAAATGGAAGCGTGTTTTGATGATTGAGGTATTGATTGGTATTGTGAATGGTGGATGCGAGGAGAGTTGTTATATCGGAGGACTGCAGGCTCTTATATTATTCATGCTATGGTCGATGGTCTTCCGTCCAGCATGTACCACCTCACTTGGACATCATTGCAGATCCGGTACATCGATCCAAAAACATCCGAGTATTCAGGAATACGAGAAGGGATGCATCACCATCCCATACTGAAGCCGGTCCCTGGAACCAGCAGCGGCCGATCCTTGGAAAAAGCCTGTAGAAAGCCAATGTTTCGTTTCCCATCAAGCAAGCGCACCAATAACATCGACTTGATATCGGCAAAGTCGTGATTTATATACTAGCCAAAGTAGTAGGAATCGTTTCTAAAATGTTTAAATGTATTCCTATTCAATTATAGTAGCAGCTGTCTGACAATCGAATTATCTATGTTCATAAATTGTACACTCATCACCCCACAAGGCACGCTCGGCATTTTCCTATAGCCCTTGAGCCCTGAAGGTCAATCACTGGCGAGATTGCCCGCGGAACATTGCTGAGCTGTCTGAACCTGAAGCTGCAAGAAAGGGCGGCCGACAGGAGGAACAGGGAGCGGCCGCTGAAACCCACTATGCACCCGCTCTCGATTGTCTTGGCCTGATGCGAGCTGCCGCATTAGTTCTCTAGCGTGCCTAACTCAGTGGTGTCACGCTTCACGTCTGTGGCTTCAAAATGTCCTGATGTTCGGATGACTCCCCCTGGCCCGTAGTGGTTTGGTTATCAACAATCAATAATATTGGGCATCCCGGAGACGATTTGAAATACGAGGAACATGTTGAGAAGTTAGGGGGTAATAGCAGCGCGTTTAGCAGCTGATGTGTTGTTTACAACATATGCTAGTGATTCGTATGTGATAGGGACTATGGGAGTCAGGTTATGTGTAGAATCAAATGTCTTATCTATGGATAAGCTGGGCAGATTGTGGTATGTGACAGCTAACTGCTCAGTAGATGCCCAGCTTGCCAGGCATCCTGAGCCAGCTGCACGCATCAGCTGGTTACAAGTTGGAACCACCTGTTAACAAACCGAGAATTCTGGGATGACACACAAACAACATTGGAATTGGCGCCAACTCATGTTATCTCGCCACTGGTGTCTTGGCCCCTCGCGCTTCCGTATCGGTGTTGGTTGCTCTTCCCGAGGCCCCATTCACCCTAATAGGTCGATGGTTGAACGTTCTCAATCCAATCTAACCATTATCTCCCTGCAAGCCTGCCGGCTTCTCCAAAGTTTGGTCTTCCTGCAGTCTGTCAGGTGGGAGCATCTCATGTCCTAACCGCTTGGCGCCAAGTTCGCCAAGCAGCCGGACAACCGAAGCTGCCCACGCCCTAGTGTTCTGCATCACTGCGGCGTTCAACTACCATATTAACTCTCCTACTGGTTGTTGATGCCGGAGTGTAGAGTTGGGATGGGCGCATATGCACAAGCACGTTGCGTATAAAGTCGGCGTTGGTAAATTGGCTGCCGCCTTCCACCACCTTCCACTTTGGGGAAGACACCCCAGAAGCCCCACATTCTCCTCGTCAGCTGATCGGTCTCGCCTTGTTGAGGATCAATGTTTGATGGAGCAACGGCTATTTCGATCCACTGGTGGCTGGGATGGGAATGTCTTGTCAATGGCTTCCGCTCGTTAGGAGTGGTTACCTTTTTTCTTGCTTAACACAACTGCACATTTTAACAAACTGTTGGGTTGATAGGCTGAGCCAAAAGTATAGGGTACCCTAAGGACGCTGTAAACTGCAAAAGTGGAACGCTCCGCTAGAGAGCTCACGTATTCCAGTTTTTCCTAGTTCAACATACGCGGAGTACTTACGGCGGCTTTTTGAGAATTTAGTGAGGTTTTCCACCGGTTTCCCCTTCGGCCCAGCTGATCGAAAGTCTAGCTGGGGTTTGTGGCCATTTTTCGAGGCCTAATCGTATATTAGGTATGCTCCCGACACTGATTTGCGTGGATGTCATTGGGCGAGTTGTTCCCGGAGTGGCCTCAACTGGGCGAGCTGCTCTTGCGTTAGCCTCAACGCCGAGCCCAGGATGTCTCACCATGCTCAGCTCACATACTGGACTCTCTAAGAGCGAGAATTGGATCAGTTCCGAAATCCCATACCGTGCGTTTCATTTGAGGGAATATTGTGACCAGCGATTGGGCTTTATCGTTAGGAGTCTCTTCGCTGCGACCGAGATTCGTTGGTCTCGATTAGGCGTGCCGGGGATTGGACTTAGTATTGATTAAAAAGAACGAGCCACGACTTAATATTCGTTTAAACAGTGATGTAAAATGTACCTTGCTAGACAATCCGAGAGACCCATTATGGCTACGAGGGTAGAAACTGAAAGCGGCCCGGACGTGCCGCGGCGGCTCTGCTAGTGGAGGGCACCTGACAGGTCTGAGGTGGTCACCCGGTAATCAAATGGCCCTGATTCACGCATTGGAGCACTACGCAGTACTCTGTACTCCTGTTGGGGAGGTAAAAGAGATGCCAGCAGTCGAAATGTCCAAAATGCTCGAATTCGAAAGTCTGAGAAGGACGATCCGCTAACTTCCTCGGGCCTATTTCGTATTTCGCCTTTCAAGCTCATCCATTTCTAATAATTTGCATGAGCATCGGGTCCAGTGTGACCAAATGCAGTGTGACTTGTGTTGGAGAGACCCTGTACTAGAAAACCTTCCATACATTAATATCCGGACCTTAGTCATGAGGGGGGTCAGATAACCCCTCTTCCGGCCTGTCCAGATGGCCGGAAGAAAGGATCATCAAGATCATCTTCAATTTGAACATCAGTCAATTGATCAATTTGACCGCAACGGATCCATCAAGTACCAGTCAGATTTCCGTGAAGACGCTATTTGCGCTACGATCAGAAGGGCTTTTATTCCCTATTTTGACATCAATTTTACCCAATTTTACCCACTTTACGAACAGCGCAATGTCCGCCCAAAATGCCGCATCTGCCGACCAAAGGACCTTCGGACATTTGAAGATTGGGCAGATTGGGACAGGGCTTTCCGGATTAAGGCACATTCGGCCGATATCTGGGCCCTGATCAACCCGGATCGGGATGATCAGCCCTTAGAAGAGCCGGTCACACCGACCTTCAGCAGCTATTTCCGCCGAATCCCTGCACAGCAGATCGGGCCCGGTTTACCCCGAGAGACCGGACAGTCTTCTAGTCAGACCCTTCCTTTGATCCCGATTTTCATCCCCGAATCTAAAGATCCGATCGAGAGGGCCCGATCTATCAAAGAATTGACGGCTGAAGACAGGGCTGCCTACCAATCTGACCGTGAGGACTACGATCAAGACTACAGGAAGTTCGTACACCAACATCAATGGATTGATAAGATCAAAACATGGGTCCTAGACACTGTAGCCAAGGGACTATTAGCTAGTTTCTGCGATCCTGAACAGGACTTAAGGAATTGGTATACCAACCTCAAGAATAACGTTGGGGCCTCAACGACTGAGGAGCAAAACGAGGCCTCGACTCAAGATCAGAAGATCCTATCTGCTATGGCTAGGGCTTCTAAGGATAGCATTGGGGCCTCAACGACTGCGCAGCAAAACGAGGCTCTAGCCAAATATCAGCAGATCCTATCCGCTGTACCTAAGGCTCCTAAGGAATTCCCTAACTGGCTAACGGATTGGGAGCAAGCTACACACCAAGCCCGGACAAGAGGGATCGGAGGCCTAGACAACCCAAATGTGTGGTTCAGCGACCTATGTCAATCTATTGAGCCAGTCCTGACAAGTTGGGTCTCGAATTTTCAAGGGATTTATCAAGAGAAGTTAGAAGACAAATCCCTAGCGATCCGGACCGTGGCCAAGACCCTACGCATAGAGGTCAGCCGGCGAGGCTTCCAGAAGCCGGTTAAGGCCCTAGGCCGAGTTAATAGAGGGACTTTTGGCCCGACCTACAATCAGTATCCTGATCAAGCTGCCCAGCCGAATCAGGAACAGGATCCCGATAAGAAAGGTCAGCTAGCCAGATCGGCAGGGCCCCGCCGGCCGAAACGGAACAGGAAGCGCAAGTCCGATCAACCGGGTCCCGAGGCAAAGAAGGCTAAGTCTAAGGATGGCCTGGATCAAGGAAAGGCCAGTCTGATCTGTGAGGCCTGTGACGGCAAATGGCATACCTGGGTGACATGCTACTACATCTTTCAAACTACGGCCCCAGCCTGGTTCAAATTCAGACCTCTCATCCAAGACCGTGTTAAATACCGACTTTCCTTTCAAGAATGGAAGGACCGGCTCAAGAACCTTAAGGGCGGATCAGCTAGGTCAGATTGACGAGGCCGGGAAGTCGGCCGCTGCGATGACTTGATAAATTCTATCAAGGCGGCCTTTCCGGCATCAGGATATCCCCCACGGAAGTCAGCTATCCTAGACTCCGGGACCACAATCCATATCTTCAATAAGATCAGACGGTTCCTAGGATATCGGCCTGCTAGAGCTGATGATGCCCTTATTGCCGGAGAACACGAAATCCTAGTCCAAGGATACGGCCAAGTCAATATCATGACCAAAGGACCTAACGGCCCTAGGTTCATCACTGCGGAAGATGTGGCATATTGCTCTGACTTCCCTTGCAACCCAGTATTCCTACAAAGGCTGCACATAGAATCCGTCAACCAACGGGCATCATTTCCGTTGCATCCACCTGGAAGACGGTATACACTGATCAGTCGCATTTGGGCTTCGCATTATGTTAATACCCCTTTGTTCTTGGCGTCTTGTCATCGTCTGATCAGGCAGGCCCGCAATGGCACTAACTTATTACTGTACGGAGTACGGATAGTCACTTGGTAAATTGGTACAAATCCCCCCCCACCAGCCACTCAACAGTGGCTCATCGGTCCGCTGGCAGTTATCGGGACAACGATATCCAAGCGATGAGGAATTAAGCCCTGAGATTTGTGTGCTTATGGATTCTAGTGCAGCATAAGCGAGGAATAATTTTGTGCCAATGTATCCAAGGTACGGGTGGAGTCCAGATCTTGTGGTAGCAGACTAGCAGAGTTCGGAACAATTCACGTATTGCGTGTCCAGGTGGCAATTGAACATACAAACAAGAACAAATTGGTAAACCCCAGAGAATGGTCATACAGAAGTGTATTCAATCCGACTGAAGTGGGGGTGTAATGCTTCTGAGGTTAATATGATTCGACCCCAGTCTTTGTGGTAAGCACCTATAATGGACATTGGAGACCGAAGTGAGATGTCCATTTGATCAGTTCTTCTGTATATCTCTGGCTCTCTCACAAGGATTAACCACTGCCTCCACAGTAATCTAAAGTCAATGTCGACTTTGCATAACTAATTCGCAGGAGCTTACTTTAGCAATAGTACCCAATGTCTCTCATATATTTCGGTAGCTCTTATGAGCCCGTGTACCGTCTTTACGGAGCGTTACTCTGAACATATATCTCTATTATTCGCAAAAACTGTAGGTTTGATTGATCTAATGGTATCGAGTAAGGCTAAAACAAAATTACACAAGGATTGAGATCTCATTGTCTTTGAACCGATCTGCCTCCCTCTTCAACATACAAATGCAGCTCGCCACTATGAACGCTTCGACGTTTCTGGTGCTTGTTTTCTTTTCATCTGTCCAGGAGCTCATATTCAACATGAGTCTGCCCCCGTTGCCACCCATGTGCTTCTTCGTGCCGGGGGTCCGAAACTCGTCGTTGCGCACCAACTGCGCAACACGAACACCTCTCTTCCCCACCTTGCCGTCCACTGACGAAACGGGATCAGTCCTTTCCAGGATCAGAAGTGAAGCTGCATTGTACGCCTCCTCGCGCTCGGCGCGACCCCCGTACCGCCACTCAAATGAGCCTAAAGACGTGTCAAATCTCTGCGAGCGCGAGAAGATAGAGCGACTCTGGACTTCGACCAGTTCACACTTCACATCCTCGGCCTCGATGGCGTCCTCGACCGAGATGGAGGTCCTAGGAGGGAAAATTCTCATTCTGGGAGATCTACCCGGGCCCCAGCGGTAGATGGTTGAGATCAGAGGAGTATGATTCGGGTCGGAACCGCGGACGAGAGCGCAAGAGTTGGAAGATCTCTTCGGTCGAAGAGAGATATACTCTACTGCTCCAGAGTCCACACGGTAGACGGAAATTTGTTCCAGTGTCTTGCCGATATACGCCTGGTTTGCGTCATATCCTATCGCTTGGACCTGGAGTTGACTAGTCGCAACAAAGGCATTTGATGACGAGGAGCTGCTCGCGGAGTGGCCGTTTACCGCGTCATGGTAAGCGGGTGGAGCATCAGACTCCCAGTCTTTTGACGAATGTGAGCTCATCCTGACGAGTTACTGAATTTCCGAGGAAAGTTTTATTTGCGACGGTTCTGTAAACAAGATGTTTTTTTTAGAGCAATGAAAAGGCGTATGTTAGAGCGCACTGGGATAGAAGGTATCTTGGTTGATTTTATTATTGAGATGTCCTCGACTTTCTCATTACGTCATTGCGCAACTGTGCATCGCCCGCACCATTCTCGACTAGGCAGGTCATCGTGAATGGATCGCCCCGTCGCTGCGTTTTACCATTCTGGGACTGTCTTACACTCAGCCCCATTTTCTCACGGTAATAACGTCATCCGTGAGTAAGCCTTGCAGGGCGCAGCAAACGCATCTGCGCTAGTGAACGGGTGAACGATGCAATGTAATCCACGTGCCAACGACGAAATGAGTGTTACATGGGGCATCCATGTCGCCCGATTCCCTGCCTCAGGAGTCGGGCGAGGCTGGGCTCCCCCATGCAGGAGACGAGACAATTTTCATAAGGCAAAACTCTTTAGCGAGTTAGTTTCCTTGGTTAGGTTCATCTACTCCATACAGGTGTCTCTGTGTCGCCTTAATTCGGTTAAAACAGAATTAAAAAAATTCTCTAGATTTCATCAAGTATTAAGGACCGCCTTTTGCATGGTCCATTGTGAGCGTTCTGCTGTTCTCAGTATTGCCCAAAAGAAACTATCAGCAGGCAGAAGGATTAGAGCTTACATGATGTTCATGAAGGCCTTACGTGAAAATAGGTGTAGTAGATAGGAAAGAGAGGAAGGATTGTGCCGTAGAACGTTTACGCCTTCTCGAAATGAAAGGGATTATGAATTGGCCCTTTTTGATTGGTCCATTGTACGATCGTTCGCCTGGGTGGGTCTAATACTCTTGGCTTACGTTGATTCATCCCTGTTTATTGGTAGGAAAGCAAGCTCATGGGTTAGACTCCACGACTTGGAACATTCTCACTTCACCGTTATATATGCCATCTTTCGCCGCATGATCGTCATTGTTCAGACCATTCAGGGCAATCTTTAAGACTCTTGAACATCAAACCAGCCAAGATGCATCCTACTATTCTTGTTCTTACTCTCGGGGCCTTTGGCATCGCTTCAGCCACCAGCCCCTGCGGCCACCACGACAGCGAGCCTCCAGAGGGAGAATGGAGGGCGGCCAGAGCTGGAGATAGTATGAACAAACTGCCTGGAGTTTCTTGGTTAGGCTTTGTGAGCTAATACTGATTGATAGTGCGGAGTCCATGCCCTATGCTCAACGTCCTCGCAAACCACGGCTACCTGCCGCGCGACGGCAAGAACATTGATAAAGAAATTACGCGTCATGCAATGAAGAATGGTCTGAATTTGGACAACGCTTTTGCCGACATTATGTTCGACCCCGCTCTCCTCACGAGCCCCAAGGAAAACTCCTCAACTTTCGACTTGAATGATCTCAACCGTCATAACCTTCTGGAACATGATGGAAGCTTAAGGTATTTGCCAGAGGAGTATGCGTCAGTCCAGATGGCGCTAACCTAGTCATTACAGTCGCGCAGACGCCTACTGGGATGACTCTCAGGTCTTCAATACAACAGTCTACGCGGAGACTCTGACATACTTCAAAGGCGACACCGTCGATCTGAAGTCTGCCGCTGCCGCTCGCCTGGCTCGCATGACTACGTCGCAAAACACCAACCCGACATTCTTCGTCAACAGCACGGCTCAATCAATCAGCTTGGGAGAGACGGGAGCCTACATTCTGGCCCTCGGCGACAGAGTCGCTGGCACTGTACCTCTGGACCGAGTGAGGATGATGTTTGGTAAGGCCACTCGTGTACTTGTATTGCATCTATACTAATTGATACTGTGAACAGAGCAGGAGAAACTACCTTTTGAGCTTGGCTGGAGTCCTGCCGAAGTTGCTACGGCAGAGGACCTCTTCAACATTACTCAAAGAGTCATTGACAACACTGCCTTCCCGGAGCTGCGGGCTAGAATGAACGGCGGTATCCATGCTGGGATTGTTTCAAAGCACCTTGTTTAGTCAAGTGATTGAGACGCGATATTTGATGCTTGCACCTCGCTGTATCACAGAGATGCATGACACATCAGGCATCTACTGAGCGGTTAGCTGTCATATAAAATAACTGCTCAGTATATCCATGGAAAAGATATCATTCTAAAGTCCGGTCTCGGCCGGACTGGTATATTTTGGTTATAAGTCCGGGCGTACAGAACCTCAGACATGTTGGAGATTAATATTATTGTCATTTGGATCCTATCATCCATTGCAGTGTGCAACTAGCGAGTCTTAAAAGTTATGATGTAGCACTACACTCTATGGGGTAGCGCTCAGTTGTTCCCTCTGAACTAGTTTGTGATGCGAATTTTATCAGGACAATAGAGGCAAGGTTATATAGAATCGAAGATGTCTGGTATGATGGCTAATTTCTCAGCAGAACCCTTCCTAGAATACAGCCAGCTGCATAAATCGACCGTGCAAAAGATTTCTGCCGGGATGTTATGTGAAATGAGGCCTGGCTTTTTATATTCCATCCTGGTAGTCCGATTGCCAACAAGGAGCGTCAGCATTCCCACTGCCGAGTTCTATCGCAAGTTGATCTTTAGCAGGGGGCTTTGCAGGAATGTCTGTCGATATATGGGAAGATGTATTGGGCTTACTCTGAGGTAAACCTTGGGCTCGAACGCAAATTGACTGGGATATGGGCATGTCGATTTTTCTCTACAGACTACAAGGTCAGCACCGCGCATCTTAATGATACAAGAAGGGACAAAGCCCTCTTTACGAATTGAAAGAATTTGCGGGAAGACAAAGGTGTTTATAAAAACACTCGAAGAAGCACATACCTTGTAGCTTTACTGGTGCTGTTGTGATTTGCGCAGCTAGTCGTATCCTTGGGATGCCTGGCCTGGTAGGTATCTACTGAGCAGCTACCTGTTATATCAGGCAACTGTTCAGCTTATCCATAAACAAGATACCAGCCATACTGTACGTAACCTGACCCGAATGGTCTCTATGACATATGCATTATCTTGGCTGGTCAACGAAGCATTAAAATGTGGCAGAGTGTTATGAAGGTGCAGAGGAAGGAGACTCCCCACTTATTTACATGCCATCTCCAGAAATATGAATCCCGACCTGTTGTCGTCCCAAGCATTGACGCTAGGTCACCCTGATGCGAATGTCATACGGACCATAGAAGTCAAGTCATGTGTAGAACCTAACATCTATTGTCTATGAATTATTGAGCAGATTGTCAGATACAATAGTCAATTGCTCAGCAGATCTCTAGGACACGGCTAGATGCACGCATCACCCCCTAGGTATACCAAGATCGCCACATGATCCAAATCTGCTGCTTCCATGGCCTCTGGCCCGAATCCCGCACTGCCCCACCTCCCCAAACACCCTCGCTGTGCTCCGCCATACCCCGTCGCAAACAGTGGTTCCAGGACTGGCCCAGTACAAGGTCTGTTGGATCTCGTCACTCTGCATGTGGAGTCTGACAGTCTATTAAGTGCCTTTACGCAGCGGAATCTACTACAAAAATAGAGTCAAATAGAGTGATTTGAATCGAGGATAAGTGCGACTTTACTAGGCCGTTGTGACTGCTGGATTGGCTATTAGTGTTCATTTTAACCGGCAAAGAATTTCCCCTATCTACAGTCCCCGGAGCCCCCCGCTTCCTCAGTTATTCAGACGGACTAGAGCCTCTGTGTGACAGGACTAGATCCTCTGTGTGACACATCCCCTCAGTCGAGACCATTTTACTGGTGGGAGATGCAATTGGTGCAGACCGGGTCAAAGATAGAAAGTCTGGGTTCACCCAAAGGATCAGGCTCAAACACAAGCTCCAAATTAGACCCTCTCAGGAAATAGGCTGAGTGGATAATTAAAGCACTTAATCAGATGCTTTGTAACACAACTAAGGGGGAAATATTGTATGGAAAGTGATATAACCTGCTCCGACAGCTGGAAAGTTGAAAAAAATCAAGAAGGACATAAGGCATTCCCTTACAATAACTTGGAAGACGCAGTTGCTTTAAGTTTTAGCTGGTAAGCCAGGCTAGCCCTGTCGTTATTAAACTCTTGTGCGTCTGTCAGCACTGTGACAGTCTCTGAGACTCCTGCTTTCTTGGTTATCTGGCAAGACTGAATCCCTCTATCTAATGAAGTCTGCAATTATATAGAGAATTGGTGACATTCTCCTCTTCAAGATTCTATGTTCCTATAGCATTAACAATTGCATCCCCAACCCAGCCACAAGTCCTTTCCCTTACGGGCTGATCGACCGCTGAGCATGGACGTCCAGCCATGCACAGCCACAAACCTCGGACCTACTCCATAAACCACAGTGCCAGTGCCACACGCCACAGTGCTGCACACCAGCGCACCATACACCACCACTCCGCTACCACTGCCACATTGTCCATCACATCACAGCCGCCACCGCCGACTCGCGGTTTTGGGTTTCGCCGTGCGTTGTTGGATCCGATACAAGGTGGAGACCAAAGATGATGATTATCTTGCTCTAGGATGCCAACCCCCCTCTTTTCGCGAGAGGGGTTTTATGTCATCTCACGCCCCCTCTGACCCAGGTCAGGATATCGATATATCACAGGTGTAATAAAAGGTCACAACCCAACAGTTTCGACGTGCGTTTGTATTCTGCCAAGCCACCGTACTTTCTCCGATGTCGAACAGGGAACATTAGCTGGGCTCGGACCGTGGTAAGACAGGTTAATTTTACCTACTGTGACCTCGCCGAAATGGTACTACCCGTACGGACACGATGTTAAAAGTAACGTGTAAAATATAATTGCAGATTTAGGGCAGCCCGAAGGGTAATTGCGCAGCAGATGTCTGACTTGTCATGTGTCCCTAGGATACAGCTAACTGCACGCATCACCGACTTCATTACAATACAAAGGGGTTGTTGACACGACTTGTGTGTGTAATCTATTATCTAACTAAACATTCTGATTTAAGCCCTTATTACGACGGTCACTTGACGTTTCTTGTGTTTTCGTCAATGGATGTGACAAGAAACGCCTTGCCTGAAAAACGCCTGCCCGAAAAACACCAAGCAAATGAAACCATAATGTCAACCGCCCAATAGACCCCCGATGATGTGACTGTAGTCGAGGCCCTCCATACTCCCCCGCCCGGCGGTGATGTACACGACCCTCGCATCCGAGCTGGTATACAACATGGCGTCCAATTTTAGACCCGCGGCGGCAAAATCCGGCTTCGAGAATCTCGCGATGAAGGGCAGAGAACTGCCTGATCCTATTGATTAGGGGCCATGTACGGTGATGGGCCGTCTGTTTGCCCTGACGCGCCTCCGATTGCACTTCTGATGTCAGTCCCACCTTCCTTCGGTTCCTGCCCAGCTGTAGGAGTGGTTTCGCGGCTCCTCACGATCATCTCTTGCAATGCGGTATCGACCTTGGCCATCACATTCCTGAGTATCCGGATATTCGCAAGAGTCGTATCCCGATCCTTACTGTATAGGTCTTGTACTGTTTCTTCCAGTCCTCGGATACTGGCAAGAGTGGCGTCCCGTTCTGTCTTGTATAATTCTTGCACGTATGCGTCGAGTTTTGCCTCGGCGTTGTTGATGATCTCGATATTGACACGGATGGCTTTGGAGAGATTGTCTGGTTCGCGCTGTCGTACCTCGCTGTCAACGCGTTGAGCCATCTTTGTGGCGTTGGTGGGAACTGGGTTAAAGTGTCAGTGAAACCCACCTCAAACGAGAAAAGAAGAAAGGAGAAGGAAAAGAACGTACAAGTTCACGTCTGGGGTAATATCAGCGGATTAATTGGGTGCTGTAGACTTACCAGCGAAGCTCGGGTTCCATGGAATCATATACCTAGGGGAGGTGAGAAAGGCGGTCGGGAGTGGCAGATAATGGCCACTCCTACCAAAAACAACAAATGACAGCGACCGACTGATCCTCTGTGATAAGAGGTCGCGGGGGCTGTTTTTGGGTGCGAACTTGGTAATATTAAATACATTGAACTAGCTTAACTGGAGACGGCCTAGCGTCCTGGCCTGCGGGCTTCTCCCCCAGACGGGAACAATTTCATGCATCCATTCGGCGCTTTATGACACCGCGGCTTACGTTGGTCGTACAACCCCAGTTCGTGGCCTTGAGCTGCCCTCCTAAACATCAAATAAGCCAGAGGTCCCCTCTCGCAGCGAATTCTCATGAGCTGCGTAACTCCTATTGCGATCTGCAGAAGCATGAACACCATAGTACGGGAATAGCGGGAATGACTCCGGGATGTATTTTGCGGGGTCGGCTCTCGAATAACGTAATGCAGAAATGAGTAAGCGAAAATAACGTAATGGTTTCAGAATGACCGGGACCACCGGCTGTTAAGCCGTGATCCTACAAGGAGTAGGAAACATTTGGTGATTGCATCCAACTGGTCGAATCTGCGGTCCCTTGCATTGGTCGGCTTCGGTCTCGTGATCGTATCACGGGTTGAAAGTCCCGCGTCGCTAATCTCGACGAGACTGCCTCGTCAACGGTCAATAAACCCCGTTCGATCTGATCTCCTAGGCCTCGAAGGATCACGGCGCAGGAACAAACGACGAGCTAACTGGTGTTGGCGACAAGTCAACCTGTACTATCCGCAACGACTGCGTCTGGACGCCGACACCACGGCGAGTATCGCTTGTTATGGCTAGCTTCTACGACAACCTCGCTGCCGTCACCGCACGCGGCCTTGTTCAGGCTTGGCCTGAGGGTGCTAACAAGTCGGATACACTTATAGCTGACCACCATTTGAACCTCACGGCCCTCAAGCACTGGAACTACACCTACTACACCAACGACACCATCTCCAATGGTTCCAAGTGCTACCTGGTGTTCCCCCCATACCAGCCCGTGTATCTCTTCGGCAATGGCACCTTTATCAACAAAACAACCTGCTACACGGCCGTCAAATCAATTGGCACTCGCGGCCGCACCGGTATCTGCTTCGCCACAGCCTATGGCTTCTGTCTTGTACTGCTCCTCGTTGCCCTCGCCAAGCACGGCAAGAACCATCTAGCTCCCGAAAAGCGCTTCTATCCGATCAGTCGGCGGTGGCAATGGTACTGGGGCATTTTTGTCTGCGCCTGTGCTTGCATCGGCCTGTTCATGAACATCGACGTTGATCGCTACTACCTCCAGGAGCTTCCAATTACCGTCACCGTTTTCTTCTGGTACCTCTTGTGTATGGGCACTCTTGCTCTGACGTGGGAATCTGTTCGCCATTGGGGCAGTTGGCTAGAACGACAATTTATCGATCCAAATCCATTTGTCCTCGAGCAACACGATCGTCGTGCGATGGTCGAACTCTGGCTACCCATGTGGTTCTACTTCTGGGTCTGGATGGTGAGTAAATCTCCGAACTAGATATTCCATTCTGATCTATACCTGATACGGCTTTACAACACTGCAATTTTTTAACTTTGAATCCAGAACTTCTTCCTCGTCGTGCCTCGAAGTTGGTCCTTCACTCAGAAGCAGCACTATCCTGGGCAAGCCCTAGAGGTTGCCAAACCCGCTGCAACAAGCGGTCGCTTCAAGGCCGGTGCCTTCTGCCTCATTGTTGCCTGGCTCACTATGCTCTTCTCTCTGCGGCACTCGATTAAGAATTATAGGGATCGTCACCGCGGTATCATTAACCGCGCCCTCGGCTTCACAAAGGCTGTGCCATGGCGCTTCTACCTCACTATTCCCATCACCGCAGCCCTAATTGCTTACCAGGCTTTTATCGCTTGGGAGTGGGAATACTCTCTAATTAGAATCGGTACTCCGATTTACATCATTTTCATTTGGGGCTACACTCCAACGCTCCTCATCCTGCTCGTCCAAATCGTCTACGGATTCACAACTCCAAACGAGGACGAAGAACTCATCAGGCAGAGACATGAGAGGAATGACAGGATAGACCAAGAGCTTGGCATCGTCAAGAAGCCTGGTTGGTGGCACCGCGTCAAGGGTGAGCACCTGATGTCACTCCGCGACAAAATTGCCTCGAACGTGATGGAGATCGGCGGCGGAAGGGGTACCGGTCGCCGCGTCGAGACAGGTGCTGAGCGACACGCCCGCGAGGAGGCTCTTGCGGCTGCTGGAGGTCAAGAAATGGAAATGTACCCCGTGATGAGGGCCAATACTAACAACCCTCGGTCTGACCGAGCCGGTGTCTCCGCTATCCATCGCGAACAACAATCCCTCGCGAGTCGCTACGGCGGCAAGTCGGAACATCGTCGCCACGAGCGTATGATGCAAACCGCCACCGGTATCCTATTTCCCAATGACCTCGAAGCCGAGCGTGCCCGTCACCACGCAGAAATATCTCGAGATGACACTTCTCCTCCACCCTACACCGATGGTCTCCGTAGTCGCAACAACTCCCGACCCGGGACCAGCCACGGCAGCAGCAGCGCCGAGACAAATAGCCGCAGCAATGCTCCGCCGTATCAAGTCAGAAGCATGCTGGATGTCTAGGCCGTTTCGGTCCTGCGATGAACAACCTGACTAGTTTCACGATGGGCTCGATTTTACTAGCTCAACCAGACGGATTACGATAATTTTACATCTGCGAATGTGATGATCGGCAACGAATCCCGAAAACCAACAAGCTTCTTTAATCAGCATATTTTAAAATAGGGAGATTGAAATGGGGTGTCGTACCATCCACCGGTGCATGATTCTACTGGGGTCACTTACAGCGAGAGGTGTCTCGAGTCTGTGCAAAGGATACGCATCCCATGTACCTAAGTTGCCACTCCATTTTTGAAGTAGTTGACATGTTCCAAATCTTGATTTCAGCATTAATAATAGCTTGGAAGACGAAAAATATGTCAATGTGTACGCTTGCGCTAACTAGCCAGTCTCATGTGGTGGTTGTGAGTTGAGCGATAAGAAGCACATGCAAGTCATGGGTGGGACAGGAAATCGTCCAAGGGGATCTGAAAGCCAAGAAATATGAGAGTGGAAACATCTCGGTGTTTATAACCTTGGCCCAGGGCTAGACGAATGTTTGAGTTCCCGCTCTGTCCAAGGCTGTTTTTTGTCGAGATTCTGGCTACTCCAGGCTTTGAGGTAAGATACAATCGGCTCATCAAATGCACTGGATGCTTGAACTACATATCTTTCGCACACGGTTCAATGGTGACTTCTGAAGCTGCATGAGAAACATACAATTCGGAATTGTATAGCATTTCTCTTCTTTACACAAACACAGGTCGGGTTATTCCACTAAGTCGACGTGGGACCCGTTATTTAGTAGCAAAATCCCAGCCCGTTGCTGTGTTCTTTTAATGACGATCTGTCAAACACACTCTACTATCCTCGCCGATCCGCTGTCGCATCTCCATCGGTTCACGTCTAGGATTGATGTCAAAAGCTCGAGTACGATACGTCTTGAAACGCCTAGTAACGACCGTGCAAAAATTCCCAGTGTTGGAACACTATCAACATGCCAAAGCAAAATCAATTTGGATCGCGATATATATTACTAGATAATTCAATAAAATACTAAGACAGTGAAATGTGCAAGCCCAAATTCCAATCGATAAGAATGAAACGTGTTCGTAAGGAGAATGACAAAAAGACCAAAAAATACGCCGATGAAACAAAGAAAATATAAAGAAAAGCTAAGTTGTAACAGGGCTGGTGTTACTAGCCACGTTGCTTGGTGTTTAAGACATTGTGGAACGTTGGATGCGGTCCGTCTTTAGCAATCCTGCCTGGCTAGTCGAAGATGGGACGAATCCAATCTGCGCAAGGTATTTGATGTTGCTCCTAACTGCACGTTGTAGGGGCAGCAACTCTTTTGGTTGGGGCGTTGTTTCGGTAGGTGAAAGGGGCGCGCCCAAGTGACCGAGGAAATGTTGAACTGGCCACAATGGATGGCTGTCTCCGACCTTTTCCACATGTTCAAGTGCTAGAGGAATCCACTTTTCTAGAGGCATTGGCTCGCATGGTGTTTCTAGCCCGGTGTTTACGCTGTCCCAGAAAGTAGCAACCGGCATGCGATTAGCAACCTCGACAAAGGGCGTGACCGAGGTGGTGGTGAGAATATGGCTGATGATGGTTTCGGCAACAGTGTGTACGTCAGAAATCTGCAACCAATGGTTGCTTGGCTCTTGAGGATAGGCTTGCAATTGTGCTGCACCCGAGACAACTCGCCACATGAAGTCGTCCGTGTTGGCGACTCCTTCCTCAACAGTGCCAATGATCAAGCCCGGCTTGACGGTTGATAGGCGATTCTGATTTGCTGGAAGCTCTGAAGAAATCTTGTGAATGATGGCTTCTGAGAGGAACTTGGTCTGGTTGTAGCCGTTGCTTTGCGCGAGCATGGTGGCGTTAGCGGACATGTCTGCGTGGATGTCGATCTTGGCACCGCCGGAGACGTAGACGAGTCTAGGCTTGATGGGGGATGATTCTGCTGCTTTGATCAGGTCGACAGTAGAGTTGACATTCGCTGCGCGGAGCTTGGCGTAGTCGGCGTTCCAGTTAACAACTGCGCCGTTGTGAATGATGGCATCAATATTCTTGCCACTAGATACGCCATACAGCCGTTCCAAATTCGAGTCACTTAGACCTAGCTGGTCAAGCGAAAGGTCACCAGTCCAGACCTCGAGCTTAGCGTGATTTCTGTTGTTGTCCCACCACTTGGCAATGCGCGCTGTCTTTTTGATTCGCTCCAGTCCCTGTTGCGCAGAAGTGGCGCGTACCAGAGTGACGACGGTGGCGACGGTCGGCAAGTTCAAAAGTTGCCTGAGAATTTCTGTACCGAGGTATCCAGTTGCTCCAGTGAGGAAGATGCTCGCCCGTCGGGGAAGTGCAGAAGGGCGACCCGCGGCAAAGCCCTCTGAGCACCTGGATAAGGTAGTGTCTAGGATGGTTGATAGCTCAGCCATCAGGTCAACCTTTTCGGGTTCTCTCTCCCTGACGTCTGCGTCTTCGATGAAGTCGGCTAGGCCGCTGACGGTCAAATTCTTATCATTCAAAAGACCCAGGCCCAGTGCAACGTTGTGCTCATTGTGAATGAACTTGGCTAGGGTGACGAGTTGAATAGAATCACCGCCAAGGTAGTAAAAGTTGTCGTCAATGCTGATAGAATCCTCACGGACCGAGAGAACCCTTGACCATAGGCCACGAAGGCTGCGTTGTATCGCAGTTGAAGGCTCGCGGAATGCCGCTCGTCGGCTAGCCTTGTATGTCAAGAGCTCTTCTGTGGGCATGGCCACAGCCTGCTGGCGCAACAGTGACCGGTCGAGCTTCATCGAAGAAATGAATGGCATGTCTCCAAGAGCCAAGAAGATATCGGGAACCATGTAGCTTGGAAGAGCATCCTTGAGATACCCCGCTATGGCAGTAAGCGATTTTTGCATGGCCGGATCCAGCTCGAGAATTGAAGTGCGAAGGTCGAATGGTTTCTTGATTTTATCTCCTCCATCACCAAGGTTGTTGAAGTTGATGAAGGCGACCAGTAGATCGCTTGAATCCTGGCGAATCACATCCACCACCACATTTTCAACGGCGGAGAGGGCTGCTTTGATGTTGTACTCAATCTCGCCGAGCTCGATACGAAGGCCACGGGTCTTGACCTGCGTGTCCTTTCTCCCAATGTAGTGGATTGTGCCGTCGTAGTTGTACTTGACCAAATCTCCTGTCTTGTAGAACCTCTTTGGCACGCCAGAAAAGGAAGAGGGCAACCAGTTGACATCCTCAATGAACGAAGCTGTCGTCTTGTCCATGTCATTGAAGTAGCCGCGTGCCAGGGTAGGGCCTTGCACAAGAAGCTCACCCACGCAGCCAACAGGGACTAGGCGATGGTAGTCCTCCGCATCAGCGATCCAACATGTCGAATTCTGGCTGCGGCCAATAGTCGATGCTGACTCTCCGGGAGACTGGAAAACGTGTGAGGTAGCGTCGACGCAGACTTCGGTCGGACCGTATGCATTTATGAGTTTCACACGTCCGTACCAGGTTTCCAAATTGTCTTGCGTCATTGCTTCGCCACCAAGGACCAATGTTGTAATACCAGGGGTCTCTTCAGGCCGGAGGGTTCTCGCAAATGACGGAGTCAGCATAGCAACGTTGACTCGAGCCTTTTGAACAAAGCCGGTGATGTTTTCCAGTCGGGCAGCGTCAGATGGGACACAAATAGTGCCGCCAAATACGAGAGGAGTGAAGATTTCAGCTATACTGCCGTCGAAGATGTAGTTGGAGAACTGCAAGACGCGCGATTCAGGGCCAAGGCCGTATGCCGTACCATGTCCCTTGATACTAGAGCACACTGCAGAGTGCTGGAGCACGACACCCTTTGGTTTGCCTGTCGAGCCTGACGTAAAGAAGACGTAGGCTGCACTTTGAGGGCTGCACTTCGGAAGACGCATCGCAGGGTTGATCAGCCTAGGTAGTCTCGACATGAATGAGTCCGAGAGATTGACAGATTCAGACGTCATGTGCGCGCAGGATGACGCTGTGGTAGGCGACACAATCATGAAGGAGGCATCTACTTCCTTGACAAGTGCTTGGCGGCGGCTGTGTGGGTGTGACGGGTCAAGTGGCATAAACGTAGCTCCGGCCTTCATAATTGCGAGTTGTGCAACAGTCGCCCACCTGCATTTCTCCAAGCACATCGGTACGATTGTCCCTGGCTTCACACCCATTTGGGATAGGTGAATGCCAAGCTGGGTCGAGATTCGATCCAGCTGACCGTAGGTGAGACTTCCCGCAATCGAGAAGATGGCCTCACGGTTGGGATGGCGGGAAGCTTGCTTTGAGATGAGGTCGTGAACGCAGGCATTGACGGCCTCCGGTATCTTGTTGTTGTTCCACATGTGAATTTGCTTCACGTCGTGGGGGCTGAAAAGGTCGACTTGCGAGAGAGGCAGGCTTGTATCCTTGGTGACCAACTGAGCAACCACATGTTCGAAATGCTTGCACATCCACTGGATCTGTTCTGACGAAACCCGCTGAGCATCGTAGTTGACGGTAATGGTTATGCCTCCATTTTCGCCTAGTACACACTGGAAAACGAGCGGGTAGGTATCGTAGCTCTCGTTTGTGGTCTTTGTGCCAGGTACATCGGTGTCGATAAGCTCGAACGCCGATTCTGCCCCTGCTTCCACCTTCATAGATGGCTGGATGATCAAGAGATTCTGGAAGTCACATGCCTCCCGAGCCGTGTTGCTGAGCTTGGAAATGTTCTGCAAGCCAGTGTATTCGAAGGGGATCATGTCGTTTGCTTGCTCTTGCACAGTAGACAAGAACTGCGCGATTGTAGACGCGGGACCCACGCGGACACGCACAGGAACGGTGGCGATTGTTGGTCCGAGGATTGCCTGCATGCCCGGAACAGGCGCGTTACGTCCAGAGACGGTGCTTCCGAAGACAACATCGTCAGTCTCCAGATACTTGGCGAGGACGATTGCCCAAGCAGCGCGCAAAAGGCTTGATGTTGTGATATTGGCGGTGCGGTGCTCGGGGATGTGGATGTCGCTGGTGAACAACTTCGGGGAGCTTGTCTCGGAAAGGGTAGTGCGGTCGTCCGGAAACTTGGCCGTGTTCGCTCCCTCGAGTTGTGAGAGCCAGAAGCGTCGTCTATCATCTGCGTTGGACGACAGCGCGTAATGGACGTAGTGACTGAGCAGAAGAGGCTTGAAATGCTCCTGGCCATCATAAGAGCTCTGGAGAATGCTAAGCATACATCCAAGCGTCCATCCATCGTAAATGGAGTGATGCATGTCCCACACTAGGTGACTGCGGCCCTTTGTGGAAGCGAGCATGAAATAGGACAGAGGAGTTCCATAGCCCACGTGAACCATCGGTAATTTCAGGACTTCGGAAAGCGAAGATCCTTCAACATCGCGCCAGGTGGCCTCCTCGTCCAACACAACCTGCATCATGCCCCGTGTAGAGAGGATAATCCGCGTACGTAGATTGGCGCACGCTGATAGTGTGGCTTGTAGGGCAGACTTGAAGCGGATGAGATCGACGTCCTTGCGAAGCTCAAGAACGAAGCGTGCCATGTAAGAGCCAGGCTGCTTCTCGGCAAGTGCAATCAGACCCTCCTGCAATGGTGTGCATGGGAAACCATCCTCAATCAAGTACGAGTCGACTTGACACTGCTTGCTGGCCTCTCGGAGGACTTCAGAGCGCGTGTCCTTGGGAATCATGGCCCAGGGTTCCATGGTCAATAATTGCTGTTCATTTCCTGAGAGAGAAGCTCCAGCTGCGACTTGAACCAGGCGAGGGTCCTTGAAAATGTCAGCGACGGTAAGAGAGATCCCTTGCTCGCCAGCTAGAGCAACCAATTGGATCGCAGCAATAGAATCACCACCAAGTGACATGAAGCTATCGTCTCGGCCAATGGATTCCGTAGGTATCTTCAAAATGTCAGACCAAAGTGCCTGCAACTTAGCTTCCATGTCGGTCTCGGGAGCTCGCTTCTTGCTGCCAATCAGTGCGTAGCTGGCCATTTCTGACGGTGTCAGAGTATCTGCCATGGTACGAAGTCCCTTACGGTCCAGTTTTCCAGAAGTGGTGAAAGGGAAGTAGCTGCAAGGGATAAAAACTGTCGGGATCATGTACTGAGGCAAGGATACATGAAGTTGTCCGACCATGGTAGTTACTTGGCTTTCCAAATCGCGCGTGAGAGGGATGAAGGCTCCCTCAGAGTCTCCCTCAGAGTCGGGACTGATGGCCCGGCTCTTATCGCTGAAAGAGAAATAGGCGACGAGGGTTGGAGCACGATCGGTCTCAAGAACGTCGACGGTAAGTTGCTTGATACCCGGCAGAGCAGTACGAATGTGTTCCTCCACTTCACCAAGCTCAATGCGCAGACCCCGGATCTTGACCTGTGTGTCTTTGCGACCGACAAACTCGACTGTACCGTCATGGTTGTAGAATCCGAGATCTCCAGTCCTGTAAAATCGACTCCAATGAGGTGATGTATGCTGCGGCGCCCACTCTGGTGAAGTCACTAGAGCTTTCGCGTTCGAAGTCGGATCTGCGAGGTATTCGCGCAACAAAGTTGGGCCCTGGATAACCATCTCGCCGACGCAGCCATTGGGCACCAACCGGGTTGGGTCTTGAGGGTCCACGATCCACCATGAACATCCGACGGGCCGCCCAACTGTGAGCGGAGAGTCGGTTGGTGACGTCCATTCGTGGAGACCGCTGAAGACGCAAGTCTCTGCAGGTCCCCATCCGTTGATGAGGCGCACCTTGCCATACCATGTGTCAAATACATCTTGGGCAATCTTTTCGCCACATAATAGCAGGAGCTTGAGGCAAGGAACATCTTCAGGCCTAATCGTGCGTGCGAAAGAAGGCGTAAGGAATGCCCAGTTGACATCCTTATTGACAATGAATTCCTTTATGTTGTTCATTCGGTCGTGGTCAGACGGAACGCAGACACAGGCACCGGAAATCAAGGCGCCTACGATTTCGCCCACAGACACATCGAAGACATGTGCAGAAAATTGCAGCATCCTGACGCCTGGTTGGATCCCAAGTCTCCTACTGATTGCCCGCTGGCTAGTACAGACAGCGCGGTGCTGCATCACTAAGCCCTTGGGAACACCAGTAGTGCCGGAAGTGAAGAGGACGTAGGCTGGGTCGGCAGGCGAGACATATCCTGCTGGTGGGCGCATGCTCAGTCTCTTCGATCGTTTCTCTAGCTTCTTGTCCAAGGCTGTCGACAACTCGATGACATATGGCACCAAGTTACCACATATATCGGCATAAGTCGGCGAGGTTATGGCAATCTTTGCACCCGTCTGCTCCACAATCTGCTTGTGGCGTGAAGTAGGGTGCGCTGGGTCGAGAGGAACCCAGGCGCCACCTGCTTTGTTGATGGCTAGTATAGCGACAATATACCAACCCGACTTCTCGAAGCATACGTGGATGAGGTCGCCTGGCGTAACGCCAAAGCCATTGATGAGAAGGTGAGCAACTCTGTTTGAAGCCTTGTTGAGTTGGTCATAGGTAAGTTCCATGTCCCATGCAGAAACAGCGGGATCATCTGGCCGGCGCTGCGCTTGTTCCTCGACGAGTCGGTGAAGGCAGGCATCGGCAATGACCAAGTCGCTGTCATGTTGGTTCCAATCTACTGCTTTTTGCAGATCCCAGGAACTAGCAACGTTCACGTCATCAAGAAGCTTCTGCTCTTGCGTGCACAGCTGATTGATAACGTGGTCAAACTGATGAGAAAATGCCTCGAGCATCGACTCGGTCACGACAGTGGAGTCATAGACAAGGTCCACGTCGACGCGGTCGCCATATATCATGCACAAGGCGACAAGGGGATAACTGAAATATCCCTCGAGCGATTGACCTGCATCATAAGCGTCAGGGTTGATGGGAACGAAAATGGCGTCATCTGTGCCATCTCCCGAAGCCATCTGTTGCATCGGTTGGATGACGAGCAAACTTGAGAAGTTGCAGGCTTCCTTGGCTTCTGGGCTAATATTGGCGATATTTCGGAGGCCAAATTGCTCATATGCGACCATCCCTGAGGCTTGTTGCTGAATGTCTCGGAGGAGGTTTGACAACGGCTCCTGTTTGTTAAGCCGCAATCGGACCGGAACTGTCGCGATCGTCGGCCCAGGCATGCTATCCACGCCGGGTACAGGGGCGTGGCGGCCAGAAACTGTTGTACCGAAGCAGATGTCATCGGTGTCAGAATACCGGGCCAGCATTATCGCCCATGCGGCGCGCACGATGGTGGCTTTCGTGGTGGAGGTGTCCATTGACTTGGGGAACAGTGTGCTTGTCTTCATGATACAGCTGACCGGTTTGGAGTCAGCCGACATGGTGGTGCGAGGAAAGACAGCGCGTTGTGCTCCAGCCAACTGCGATGCCCAGTATGACTTGGTCGCAGCCTCGTCAACTTGAATTGTATAGTTAACAAAGCTAGAGTATGGCAGCAATGCCGGAACTGGTGCTCGCTGGTAAAGGGTCGAGAGAACACCCAGTACCAAGTTTAAGCTCCAGCCGTCGAGGATCGCGTGATGAACAATCAACGTAAAGAATCGTCGACCGCTTCGATCGATAACGAGACCATATCGGCAGAGCCTCGATCCGTACTGCATGTGGATTGTCTTTGCAGAGGTCATGGCGGAGTTTAGATCAGCGCCATCAACTGTGGGTTCCCAGACAGCCTGTTCTTTGACGATAGTCTGGACAGCAACACCATCTCGGACCACAATCCTTGTGCGCAGGTTACTGCAATGCTCTAATGTCTGGTTCCAGGCTGCCTTGAAACGAGCAGTGTCGATATTATCAGCAAGCTGGTAGACATACTTGGCGGTATATGAACCAGGCTGCTTGACGGCCAGAGCCATGAGACCTTCCTGGAGACTCGTGCAAGGATAAGCGTCCTCGACGTCCTGGTTGCTCAAGAGATGGCACTCGTCGCGGACACTAGACTGGATTGCGCTGGGAGAAGTGTTCGATAACAGACTGAAAGGCTGTACTTCAAACGTCGCCCCTTCGTCTTCGACGACCTTGGCGGCTACGGCTGATAGTCGAGGATCGGTGAAAATGTCCCTGACAGTAATCGTCAAGCCTGCCTCTCTTGCGAGAGTCACGAACTGGATGGCGGTAATAGAATCGCCGCCAATTCGGAAGAAGCTATCGTCCCGGCCAATTTGTTCCGTGGGAATCTTCAGGATTGTTGACCATGCCTGTTGGACACGCACTTCCATAGGCATTGTAGGAGCTCGTTTTTCGCCCTCTGCGAGGGAGTACTTGGCCAGCGACTCCCGGCTAAGTGTTGCTGCCAATCGCTTTAAACTTCCTCTGTCCAACTTGGTCGATGTGATTGAAGGCATGTACCGGCAAGGGAAAAAGATTGCCGGCACCATATAGCTAGGCAGAGTGACAGATAGATGACCGATAGCTGCTGTGATTTGACTCTTAATATCATCTGTGAGCGGCAGCAGGATGCTGTCAGTGCCTGACTCGGCGCCTCCGGTTGATGTACGGGTCTCGTCACTGAAGCAGAAATATGCAGCCAAACTGGCTCCTGATTCTCCCTGGAAGAGGTCGACCGCGACTTGTCGCACATTTGGCAATGCGGCGCGAAGGTGATGTTCGACCTCGCCCAACTCCACACGAAGGCCGCGAATTTTGACCTGCGTGTCTTTGCGGCTCACGAACTCAATAGTGCCATCATGATTGTAATAGCACAGGTCGCCGGACTTGAAGAACCGGTTCCAGTTTGGCAACGTGTTGTGTGGTGCCCAGGATGGGAGCTTGGTCACAGTGCTTGCGGCAGTCCGGACAGGGTCTGCCAAATACTCCTGGAGCAAGGTTGGACCTTGGATAACGACTTCTCCAATACACCCTGTTGGGGCGAGCCTTTGGGGGTCTTGCGGGTCAACGATCCAGCAATAACCACCAACCGGTTTGCCCACAGTCTGGGGTGATTCCGCTACCGACTTCCATTCATGGAGGGTGCTGAAAACGCAGGTTTCCGCAGGTCCCCAGCCCGTAACAAGACGTAGTTTGTCGACCCAAACTTCAAAGACATCCCTGCCAACAGCCTCGCCAGTAAGTAGAAGAAGCTCGAGCCCAGGCATATCTGTCGGCTTCAAGGTCCGTGTAAAAGAGGGCGTCAGGAAAGCCCAATTGATCTTCATCTCATTGACGAACTCCTTAATACCACTCATTCGCACTTCTTCGGAAGGCACACACAGAGTGGCGCCCGTAAGCAAAGGGCCAATGATCTCGCCGATACAGAGATCAAAGACGAAGGACGCAAACTGGAGGATCCTGACCTTCGACGTCAACCTGAGCCGCTTGGCAATAGCTGTCTGGCTAGTGCAAAGAGCACCGTGCTGCATGACGAGACCCTTAGGCGTCCCCGTACTTCCAGAGGTGAACAATACATAGGCTGGATGATCCGGAGTGACACCACACACCGGCGCAATTGGGGACCCTCGCTCGGCTGTAAGCTGCTCATTAAGCGCAGAGGTCACAGTCGCTACCAGCGGTGTAAGGCTGGCGCATCTCTTTGCGTTGGCGGGCGATGAGAGAGCCAGACGGGCGCCAGTTTGCTTGACAATCTGCTGCTGGCGCTGGAGTGGATGCGAGGGGTCTAGAGGCACCCACGCGGCGCCTGCTTTATTGACGGCCAAAATAGCCACAAAGAACCAGACAGACTTTTCAAAGCAGACGTGAATAAAGTCTCCTGTCTGAACCCCGAAAGTATCTCGTAGGTGGTGAGCCAGCCTGTTTGCTGCTCCATTCAATTGGGCGTATGTTAATTGACCATCCCAAGCCTCAATAGCAGAGGCCTTGGGTTGATACATTGCCTGCAATTCGACGAGCTGGTGGAAGCATGTTTGGATAATCTGGGGCTCTTCCGGGTTGTAGTCTTGTGCCATCTTCAAATCCCAGTCGCTGGCGATGGATATCTTGTCCAAGAGCGCATCGTCTCGGTGCAATAGCAGCTGTTGAACAGCACGGTCGAAATGATACGACAAGGTCTGTGATTGAGATTCGGTTATGACGTTGGGGTTGAAGATGAGAAGTAGTTCGACGTGGTCTTTGTGTGTGAAACATTGCAGGACCAGCGGGTAAGTAAAGTAGCCTTCGACGGCCTCCTCGTCCTTGAAGGAGTCTGGGCCAGCCGAGAGCAGAGGATCGGCTCCCACGGATTCATCTTTGGCAGTCATGTGCTGCACAGGTTGAATGACAAGCAAGCTGGAGAAATCGCAAGCTTCCTTGGCCGCCTGGCTAACCTTGGAGATATTTCGTAGACCAAACTGCTCGAATGCGACCATATCTGCAGCTTGTTGTTGGATCCCCTCCAAGAAGTCTGCAACCCCCTTCTGGCTGTCTAGTCGGACACGGACCGGAATAGTAGCAACAGCCGGTCCGGCCATTCTATCAACGCCTGGAACCGGAGCATGGCGACCGGATACTGTCGTGCCGAAGCAGACATCGTCAGAGTCGCAATACCGCGCTAGGACTACCGCCCATGCGGCACGTAGGATTGTCGCCTTTGTGACTGAATCGTTGCTTGTAGAGTCAAATGAGATCTTGTGCTTCATAATGCGGCTAGCCGGCTTCAAGTCTGCCGCAAGATCGACCCTCGGGAAGATAGAACGTTGAGCTCCTTCCAGCTGCTCGGTCCAATAATCGTTGGCTGCATCTTGGTCAAGTTGCTGGATGTAGTTGATGAACCCGGAGTACGGCTGTGGTGCTGGGACGGGCTGCCCGGCGAAGATACCATACAATGTACCAAGTGCAATATTCAAGCTCCAGCCATCAAATACAGCGTGGTGGATCATTAGCACAAAGTAACGCTCGCCGGTTTCTTGAGCAACGAAACCGTAGCGGCATAGCCGCGACCCATATTCCATCTTGACAGTCATCATAGTATCCATAAAGGATCGCAAGTCGAGTCCTTGTGTTGACTCCCACGTTGCCTTTTCTCGAATAATAGCTTGGATCGAGTGTTCATTTTGGAGCAGGATTCTCGTACGCAAGTTGCTGCAGATATTGACGGTCTGACTCCAAGCCTCTTCAAAGCGAGCTCGATCGATAGAATCAGGCAGACGATAGACGTACTTGGCGATGTACGAGCCGGGCTGCTTGACCGCTAGAGCGAGGAGGCCTTCTTGGAGACTTGTGCAAGGATAAGCATCTTCGATATCCTGCCCACTTGACAATTCGCAGATTTCTCGGACGGTCGACTTGACAACTTCGACGTCGATATCTGCTAATAGAGAGAACGGTACAGACTCGGATGGCTCTATGTCGTCGGTTTCGGTGACTGTAGCAGCAATGGCAGACAACCGAGCATCGGTGAAAATGTCCTTGACCGTAATAGCCAAGCCGGCTTCTCGCGCAGCTGTTACAAATTGAATAGCTGTAATAGAATCGCCACCAATACGCAAAAAGCTATCATCGCGTCCAATAGAAGCAGCAGGCGTTTTAAGGACTGTCGCCCATATGTCTCGGAGACGGGCTTCCATGGGCGTTGCTGGTGCGCGTTTCTCACCATCGACAAGTGAGAACCCAGCTAAAGAGTCTCGACTGAGTGATGCTGTCAGACGCTTGAGCCCACCTCGGTCCAGTTTGGTCGAAGTAATAGAGGGCATGAACTTGCAGGGGAAGAACATTGTTGGGACCATGTAGCTCGGCAGGGTCACGGTCAATTGGCCTACCAGAGCCATCAACTGGTTCCTCAACTCAGGAGTAACTGGAAGGAAAATGCTCTCTGCGGTAACAGTGCCCCGGTGAGTATCGTCAGTGAAGCAAATGTACGCTCCAAGGTTCGTTCCAGTGTCGGTCTTCAACACTTCCACGACGACTTGGCGTGCTGTCCCTAGGGATGCGCGTATGTGATGTTCGACCTCGCCCAACTCGACACGAAGGCCGCGAATCTTGACCTGGGTATCCTTTCGACTAACGAACTCAATAGTACCGTCTTGGTTGTAATAGCAAAGATCTCCTGACTTGAAGAACCGGTTCCAGCGGGGTAGGGACCGGCGGGGAGCCCATCCAGGAAGCGAAGCAACGGTTGATGCCTGGGTCCTAGTTGGGTCTGCAAGATATTCGCGGAGTAAAGTAGGGCCTTGAATGACCACCTCGCCAATACACCCCGTTGGAGCAAGTTGCTGAGGATCATCCGGGTCAACGATCCAACAGTAGCCTCCGACCGGCCGGCCGACAGTTTGCGGCGACTCCTCTGCTGTCTTCCATTCGTGCAAGGTGCTGAAAACACACGTCTCTGCAGGACCCCAGCCAGTAATTAGTCGCAATTTTCCAACCCAGGCCTTGAAGACATCCCGTCCGACAGCTTCACCTGTAAGCAGCAACAGCTCCAGTCCGGGTAAATCTGCAGGCTGGAGAGTGCGCGCAAATGAGGGGGTCAGGAAGGCCCAGTTGACCTTGGTCTCGTTGACAAAGTCCTTTAGGCCACTCATACGGGTCTCCTCGGATGGAATGCACAATGCGGCTCCGTACAGTAATGGTGCGATGATCTCACCGATGCACAGGTCAAAGACAAAGGAAGCAAACTGCAAGATCCTAACCTCAGAGGTAAGACCGAGCCTCTTTCCAATAGCTGTCTGACTGGTACAAACGGCACCATGCTGCATGACAAGACCCTTTGGAGTTCCTGTGCTGCCTGATGTAAACAGGATATAGGCGGCATGATCTGGGGAAACGGCCACGACAGGTGGCTGGGGATCGCGGCCAAACTCCTCCATCAACTCCTGGTCGAGTTCAGACATGACCTCTATCACACTTGGCACCAGCTCAGCACATCTGGCGAAATTGGCTGGCGATGTAAGGGCGAGAGTGGCTTTAGTCTGTCCCACGATCTGTCGCTGCCTCTGTGCTGGGTGGGATGGATCCAACGGGACCCATGCGGCACCGGCCTTATTGACAGCTAGCAGTGAGACAAAGAACCAGACCGACTTCTCAAAGCAGAGATGAACAAGATCACCCAGCTTGACACCGATGGCATCGACGAGATAGCAGGCCAAGCGATTAGCAGCACTATCCAATTGAGAGTACGTTAACTCGCCGTCCCAAGCGTGAATAGCTGGCGCATTGGGCTGGCGTCGCGCCTGTATCTCAACAAGCTGGTGCACGCAGGCTTCGATGATCTTGGGATCTTCCGGATTGAACTCGATGGCTTTCTTCAGATCCCACTCACTGGCAAGAGTTACGGTATCCATCAGAGCATCGCCCGGAGCTTGTAGCTGCTTGACCGCTTGCTCGAAATGTTGCGAGAACGTCCGCAGCTGTTGCTCAGGGATGACAGCAGGGTTATAGATGAGCATCAGTTCGACATGGTCCCCATGTGTCAATGCTTGCAGAACCAGTGGGTATGTAAAGTAGCCCTGTAACGACTCTTCATTTTCGTACTCATCCGAGCCGACTGGAAGCAGCATGGGCTTGTTCTCGTCGCCTCCGGAGGTTACATGTTCCACTGGCTGGATAACCAACAAGCTCGTAAAGTCGCAGGCTTCCTGAATATCACGGCCGAGCCTGGAGATGTTGTGGAGACCAAATTGTTCGTAAGTCGCCATGTCGGATGCTTGCTTTTGGATACCGTGAAGGAAACTGGAGATGGTCTTTTGACGGTCCAGATGTACTCGTACTGGTACTGTAGCTACAGCCGGTCCAGCCATCCTGTCAATCCCGGAGACTGGGGCATGACGCCCAGAAACAGCCGTGCCAAAACAGACATTGTCAGTATCGCAATAGCGCGCAAGGACTGTAGCCCATGCAGCACGAAGGACAGTTGCTTTCGTGATTGAGCTGTTGGAAGACTCAGAGAATGGAATCTTCATGTTCATGACTTGACTCGCTGGCTCGGCCGGGTGTGTGGGATCCGTCAGTGGAAACATAGCTCGCTGAGCGCCGTTCAGTTGTTCCATCCAATATGCGCTGGCTGCGGCATGATCGAGCTGGGTGGTGTAATTGATAAAGCTGGAGTACGGCTGCAAGGTTGGGGCCGATTCGCCGTGATAGAGATTGTATAGGGTTCCAAGGACGATGTTCAAGCTCCAGCCGTCAAATACAGCATGGTGAATTATCAGGACGAAATACTCCTGGCCGCTAGGGTCGGTTATAAGAGCGTATCGACATAGTCGCGAGCCGTACTCCATTCTGACCTTCTTCGTGCTTTCCATGACATCACGAAGACTAAGGTCATCGGTAGGCTCCCACATCGCTTTTTCGCGAATGACGGCTTGGATCGAGGTACCGTCTTGTGATACGATTCTTGTCCGTAGGTTCCCGCATTGTTCGACGGTTTGGTTCCACGCCATCTTGAAGCGGCCGGTATCGACTTCATCAGGAAGGCGGTATGCATACCTCGCAATATACGAACCTGGTTGCTTGACTGCTAGAGCCATAAGGCCTTCCTGGAGACTCGTACAAGGATAGGCGTCCTCAACTTCATCGACACTCGCAAGGTTGCACTCAGCTTGGACTGTGGATTTGAGAGACTCGACTCGACCATCCGGCAGCATGCTAAATGGTGCTGCCTCATATGACGTGACCTCGCCCTCGACGACTTTCTCTGCCACAGCCCACAGCCGGGGATCAGCGAATAAGTCCTTGACCGTAATGGCCAGGCCAGCGTCGCTTGCCACTGTCACGAATTGGATAGCTGTAATTGAGTCGCCACCAAGACGAAGGAAACTGTCGTCCCTGCCAATTGAACTGGTCGGGATCTTTAGAATCGTAGCCCAGATCTGTTGCAGGCGAACTTCCATGGGTGTTGCGGGGGCGCGTTTTTCGCCGTCTGCGAGCGACTGCTTTGCTAATTCTTCCCGGGTAAGGGTGGCTGTCAACTTCTTAAGTGCGTTTCTATCCAACTTCGTTGATGTAATTGATGGCATAAATCGGCAGGGGAAGAAGATTGTCGGAACCATGTAACTAGGAAGCGTCACACTGAGCTGGCCCACAACGGCAGTAATTTGGTCCTTGAGCTGGCCCGTAAGTGGGAGAAAGATGCTGCCAGCGTCGAGATTGGATCCCGTGCGAGTGTCATCTTCGAAACAGTAGTACACAACGAGGTTGGTACCAGCGTCGCCTCTGTGAACATCCACAACGATTTGCTTGACGTCTGGGAGGGCTGTGCGCAAATGATGCTCAACCTCGCCGAGCTCCACACGGAGGCCACGAATCTTGACCTGTGAATCCTTACGGCTGACGAATTCGATCGTGCCATCTGAATTATAGAAGCAGAGATCCCCAGATTTGAAGAATCGCTTCCAATACGGCGATTCGCGACGCGGCGCCCACTGTGGTAGTGATGTGACAGAAGAAGCTGCGGTCCTATCTGGATCTGCGAGATATTCACGTAGGAGAGTTGGTCCTTGGATCATCACCTCGCCCACACAGCCTGTCGGGGCTAGCTTTTGAGGATCAGCCGGGTCAACAACCCAGCAGAAACCGCCCACCGGCCGACCGACTGTGAGGGGGGATTCAGATGTTGAAGCCCATTCGTGGAGAGTGCTAAACACACAAGTCTCTGCAGGTCCCCATCCATTGATAAGACGGACCCTTCCAAACCAGGTGTCGAGGATGTCCTGACCCACAGCTTCACCTGCCAGCAGCAGCAGCTCCAGACCAGGAACATCGTCCGGTTGCAGAGTGCGTGTAAAGGCCGGAGTGAGGAAGGCCCAGTTGATCTGCTGATCCCGGATAAAATCTTTGAGGCCGTTCATGCGCATCTCCTCGGAGGGAACGCATAGTGTAGCACCAGCAATCAAAGGTCCAATGATTTCACCAATGCAGAGATCGAACACAAATGAGGCGAACTGCAGTATCCTGACAGATGGCGTCAAGCGTAGCCTTTTCCGGATAGCTGTTTGGCTAGTACAGACAGCAAAATGCTGCATCACAAGGCCCTTAGGAGTTCCCGTACTTCCGGAAGTAAAGAGAACATATGCCGCGTGGTCCGGAGTAACGTCAGAAGCCGGCGATGGTGGGGATCCTCGTTGAGTCGTGAGCCATTCGTCTAGGGTACCTGAGACCTCTAGCAATTCGGGCAACAAGCCAGCACACTTCTTAACATTGGCGGACGAGACTAATATCAAGCTGGCTTGCGTCTGCTGTACAATCTGCTGCTGGCGTTGGATCGGGTGTGAGGGGTCTAGCGGAACCCAAGCAGCACCTGCTTTGTTGATGGCGAGCATTGCGACAAAGAACCACACGGATTTCTCGAAGCAGGTATGCACTAGATCGCCAACTCGGACTCCGAGAACATCAATTAGGTGGTGAGCCAACCTGTTTGCAGCCATATTCAGTTGAGAATATGTTAGCTGACCGTCCCAGGCATGGATAGCCGCAGCGTTGGGCCGTAGCTGTGCCTGTTGCTCGACGAGCTGATGCACCGAAGAGCGAATGATTTCCGGGTCCTCAACGTTGTAATCGAGGGCTTTTCCTAGGTCCCAGTCGCTGGAAATCGAGATGTCGCGCAGAGGCGCCGCAGTGGTTTGAAGCAGGCTCTGGACGGCGGAATTAAAGTGTTGTGCCAGCGCTAGAAGTTGTGCCTCCGGAATGATCTCGGGGTTGAAGATGAGGACCAATTCAACATGATCATTGTGAGTAAAAGCTTGGAGGACCAATGGGTATGTGAAGTAACCATCAACTGCTTCCTCGTCCTTGTACATCTCGGGACCGGCCGAAAGCAGAGGTTGTGCGTCATTGGACGCTGACATGTGCTGAACAGGTTGCACAACCAGCAGGCTAGAGAAGTCACAGGCTTCTTTGGTGTCCTGGCTGATCCTCGAAATGTTCTGCATTCCATATTGCTCATATTTTACCATCTCCGAGGCCTGTTGTTGGATGCCTTGTAGCAACGTCGAGACTGATTGCTCCTGGTCTAGTCTCACTCGGATAGGGATCGTTGCCACAGCCGGTCCAGCCATAGTATCGACACCTGGAACTGGCGCGTGACGGCCAGACACTGACGTACCAAAGCAAACATCATCACTATCGCAGTATCGGGCGAGGACCATCGCCCACGCGGCTCGGATGATCGTGGCCTTCGTAATCGAATCATCTGTTGACTTCGCAAACGGAATTGTCTCTTTGACGACGCGGCTGACTGATTTCGCCTTTGTTGGTCTAATATCCGTCTTCGGGAACGTGGCGCGCTGGGCTCCGTCCAACTGGGCACTCCAGTATGACTTGGCTGCAGCATGATCAAACTGGGTAGTGTAGTTGACGAAGCCAGAATAGGGCATCAATTTGGGAATCGAGTGCCCCCAGTAGAGGCTATGCAACGTACCCAGCATGATGTTCAAGCTCCAACCATCGAAGACGGCATGGTGGATGATGAGGACAAAATATGCCTTGTTGTTTTCGGTGACAAGGGCATATCGGCAAAGTCGAGACCCATACCGCATTGTTATGGGATCTGATGGATGCATAAGGGAGCTTAGATCACTGTCGTCCGACGATTCCCACTTTGCTGGTTCGCGGATGACAGCTTGAACCGAAAGTCCGTCCTGTACCACGATCCGTGTACGCAGGTTGGTGCAGAGTTCCACCGTCTGAGCCCACGCACCTCTGAACCGAGGTACATCAAGATCAGCGGGAAGAGAATACACATACTTCGCCATGTAGGATCCCGGCTGCTTGACCGCCAGTGCCATCAGTCCTTCTTGAAGGCTGGTGCAAGGGTAGGCATCCTCGATGACTTCCGTACTTTCGAGCCCGCACTGGTCTTGTATAGTCAACTTGGTTGCCTCGACATCGCCACTTGGAAGTATGCCGAACGGCTCGGACTCGTATGTCAATGTTCCATCCGAATCCGAGACCTTAGCTGCAACAGCTGACAGTCGCGGGTCCGTAAAGATGTCATTAACAGTAATCATCATCCCTTGGTCGCGAAGAAGAGTGACTAACTGGATGGCGGTAATCGAATCGCCACCAAGTGCCATAAAGCTGTCATCGCGACCGATAGAATCAACCGAGACCCTGAGCACCTCTGACCATACACTTTGCAACTGGGTCTCCATTGGGGTTTCTGGTGCTCGCTTCTTTCCACCAGCGAGCGCATACTCAGTTAATCTGTCCGTGCCGAGCGCTGATACTAAGTTGCGAAGTACCTTACGATCCAGCTTGCCTGATGTTGTGAACGGCAAATAAGTGCAAGGGAGGAAGACAGTTGGGACCAGGTATTGGGGCAACGACACCCGCAGCTGTCCGACCATAGCAGTGAGCTGGCTTTCCAAGTCAGGCGTGAGTGTGAGGAAGGCGTCTTCGGACCTGGCATCTTGGCTGGCTCGCTTGTCCTGACTGAACGAAAAGAAAGCGATCAAGTTTGAGCCGGCATCGGTCTTGAGCACTTCCACCACAACCTGCTGAACTCCTTCAAGACAGGTGCGGATGTTTTGCTCGATTTCGCTTAATTCGATGCGCAGACCGCGAATTTTGACTTGCGTGTCTTTGCGGCCGACGTACTCGATTGTGCCGTCTGTGTTGAAGTAGCCCAGATCTCCTGTCTTGTAGAACCGGTTCCAATTGGGAGCGGTACGCTGCGGCGCCCACTGTGGAAGTGAGGTCACCACGGCTTCTTGAGTTCGGGCTGCATCGTCGAGGTATTCGCGTAGCAAATTCGGGCCCTGAACAACAATTTCACCAATGCAACCCGTAGGTACCAGCTTCTGGGGATCTTGCGCGTCGACGACCCACCAGTAACAACCCACCGGGGATCCGATGTTCACCGGCGACTCACTAACGGATTGCCACTCAAACACCGAAGTGATCACGCAAGTCTCAGCAGGGCCGTACCCGTTGACAAGACGCACCCTGCCAAACCACATCTCCAAGACGTCTTGACTGACAGCCTCACCAGCTAGCATCAATAGCTTAAGACTGGGTAGGTCATCGGGCTTGAGCGTACGGGCAAACGTGGGAGTGATGTAAGCCCAGTTGACGTTCTTAGTGTTGATAAAGCGTTTCAGGTCATTCATACGGTCATGGTCTGAAGGCACGCAAATGCAAGCTCCAGATACCAAGGCTCCGACGATTTCACCAACGGAGACATCAAAAACATACGCAGAGAATTGCAGCAGTCTGACGTCAGGTGTAATGTCTAGCTTCTTCGCGAGTGCCAATTGACTAGTGCAAAGAGCACGGTGCTGCATGACTATACCCTTAGGTACGCCAGTAGTGCCGGAAGTAAAGAGGATGTATGCTGGATGAGACGGATTGACGTCGGTTGCGGGTGGGTGTACACTCCAGTATTCCGATCGTGCCGCGAGTTTGTCGTTCAAGGCCGGTGTTAACGGCACAATGTGCGGAACAAGACCCACGCATGATGCAGTATTAGCAGACGAAACTACTGCAATCTTTGCGTTTGTTTGCTGAACGATCTGTTGATGTCGTATACGGGGGTGCGCGGGATCAAGAGGGACCCAAGCGGCACCAGCTTTATTGATACCCAGAATGGCAACAATATACCAGACAGATTTCTCAAAACAAACTTGGATAAAATCACCTGATTGCACACCGTAATCGTCGATGAGAAGGTGGGCAAGCCTATTTGCAGCCTGGTCCAGCTGTGCATATGTAAGTCTTCCATCCCACGCGTCAACGGCGATGTTGTTGGGGTGGATTCGAGCTTGCTTTGAGACAAGCTGGTGCAGACAGGCGTTAACAACATCGCGCTCAGCATCATTTGACTTGATCGCATTTTGCAGATCCCAATCACCAGCGATAGAGATGGATCCAACTTGGCTCTCATCCTGCGTGTAGAGCTGCTGGAAAACGTGGTCGAGCTGATGGGAGAGTGCGTGGAGCTGCGACTCGTCCACAACGTTGGCGTGGTAGAGAAACTCAAGTTCAATATGGTCCTCGAAGGTGAGGCACATTAAGACGAGAGGATAGCTGTAGTATGCATCCTCGTCTTCGGTGTAATCATCGGAGGTGGCCGGGGCAAGAATGGCGCTGCCGTCGGTCTTCCTCGCTTCAACTATCTGCTGCACTGGCTGCACGACCAGCAAGCAGGAGAAGTCGCAGGCCTCCTTGGCTTCTTCGCTGACGCTGGAAATGTGTCTTATACCAAACTGCTCGTATGCCACCATTTCTGAAGCCTGCCGCTGCACATCCTGTAGGTAGGTTGAGACGAGCTTTTCCTTCTCAAGGCGTACTCGCACAGGCACTGTGACCACAGTAGGCCCTGTCATCATATCCACGCCAGGAACAGGGGCCTGGCGACCCGATACTGTAGTGCCGAAGCAGACGTCATCGGTATCACAGTATCGAGCAAGAACCATTGCCCAGGCTGCTCGAAGGGCTGTCGCCTTGGTGATGGAAGCGTTCGCCGCCTTCGGGATTGGCATTGAGGTCTTCATGACCCTACTGACCACTTTCGATGGCCTCGTGGCAAAGTCCGTCCTGGGAAACGTGGTTCGTTGGGCTCCTTGCAGCTGCTCCTTCCAGTACGCGCCAGACGCAACCTGGTCCAGCTGTGTGGTGTAGTTGATGAAGTTGGAAAACGGCTGCAGAGTTGGAACAGATTGACCTTGGTACACACTGTAAAGAGTGCCCAGAATAATGTTGATGCTCCAGCCGTCAAAGATCGAGTGATGAAGAACAAGCACAAAGTACCGCTGACCCTTCTCAGCGATGAGGGCATAGCGACACAGTCTTGTTCCATAATTCATCTCCAAAGACCCGGCTCCATTCATAAAGGTCTGCAGATCCATACCATTTGTGGCTTCCCATTTGGCTTCTTCGCGAATAGTAGCCTGCACAGAGGTGCCGTTCTGCCACACGATCCGCGTACGTAGATTGCTGCAGATTTCGAGCGTTCGATTCCAAGCAGCAGTAAAGCGTGCGACATCGACATGATCTGGGAGATGATAGACGTTCTTGGCAGTGTAGGATCCTGGCTGCTTGACTGTTAGGGCAAGCAAGCCTTCCTGGATGCTGGTGCAGGGGTAAGCATCCTCAATATCATGCTCGCTCGTGAGACCGCACTGTTCTTTGATGGTCGATTTGATGGCCGTGAGCTCGCCGCTTGTCAACAGAGCAAAAGGCTCGGTTTCGTACGACTTGACGCCCTCGGCACCCTTGGCGTAGGCAGCCATCCGGCTGAGTCGCGATTCCTCGAAGATTTCAGAAATCGTCAGATTAATGCCGTGCTGCTGTGCCAGGGAAGATAACTGAATTGCGGTGATGGAGTCGCCGCCAATCTGCAGGAAACTGTCGTGCTTGCCAATCTGCTCCGGTGAGATCTTGAGGACCTGAGCCCAGAGTTCCCGTAGCGTAAACTCCATCTCAGTCGTAGGGTCCATCTTCTCTTCGCTACCGAGCGAGAATTCATTCAACCTTTCCTGCGACAGAGCATTGACAAGTTCGCGAAGTCTCTTCCGGTCCAACTTTAGCGTGGCTCCGAATGGCATGGCTTGAAGAGGCAGGAAGAGAGTCGGAACCATGTAGGCCGGCAACACCCGCTTCAAATCATCAGTGAGGTTCCTGAACGAGCTTTTGAGGGGTTCATCCATTGACAGAAGCCACTCTGAGAGATTCAAGCTGTCGTTCTTTGTTTCTTGATCCTTAAAACTGACAAAGGCGACAAGTGCCTCGCGAGAATCACGATGAAACACGTCAACAGCAACGTAGTCCACATTCGGTAGAGCCTGCTTGATGTTGTACTCGATCTCGCCAAGCTCAACTCGGTAGCCACGAACCTTGACTTGCGTATCTCGCCTTCCAAGGTACTCCATGGTACCGTCGAATCGATATCGCACCAAGTCGCCGGTCTTGAAGAATTGCCTCGTGTCTTGGGCCGAAGATTGCGGTAGCCAGGCCACGTTCTTAATAAATGCGGCGTTGGTCATCTCTTCGTTGTTCAGATAGCCCCGGGCCATCTGCCGCTGCACCAGAAGCTCTCCGGTACATCCGATAGGGGCGAGGCGTTGGTGGTCATCAGCTTCGACAATCCAACCGGCACAGCCAAAGGGACGGCCAATTGTGGCGGCTGGCTCATCGACTGGCGATTGGTATACATGTGAAGAACAAAACACGCAGATTTCAGATGGACCGTAGGCGTTAGCCACTGTAACGTGGTCGTACCACGTATCCAGAACATCTCTCGCTGGCGCCTCGCCAACGAAGATCAGCAGCTTAAGCGAAGGGATATCAGCCGGGATCAACGTCCTAAGGAACGTCGATGTCAACAGCGCCGTGTTGACCTTGGTCTGGTTGATGAAGCCTGCGATATTTTGTAGTCGTTCAACATCAGATGGTATACAGACTGTGCCTCCGAATGCGAGAGTCTCAAGGATTTCACTCAAGCTGACATCAAATATGAAGCTGGAGAATTGCAAGACTCTAGATTCCCCGCTTAAGCTGTAGGCTCTGCCGTGTCCGACGGTGCTGGTGCTTAAAGCAGCATGATCCACGATGAATGACTTTGGCTTGCCTGTCGATCCCGAGGTAAATAAAATATAGGCTGCATTTGAAGGCGCGGGCCTTGCAAAAATGGTATCATCGATAGTCGGAGAGAGGCTGGTTATCAATGAATCCGACAACTCGATGACATTCTCCACAATGCCTTCGCAAGACTCTTTTGTTGTCGGTGACACCAGCAAAAAATGAGCCTTGGCCTCCTCAATAATAGCCTGCCGGCGACTTGCTGGATGAGAGGGATCGACGGGAATGAATGTACCGCCAGCCTTCATAATGCCGATCATTGCAACGATTGCCCACGATGACTTCTCGAAGCAGAAGGGAACCGGCATCTCTAGTGACACGCCCAGCTGCGAAAGATGTGTGGCTAGAAGAGACGACAAGCGGTTTAGCTCAGCGTATGTGAGACTGCCGTCGGATGTGGCAATGGCCTCAGAATCGGGATCCAAAATCGCGCGCTCAGAAATCAGCTCGTGCACGCAGGCGTTGACTGGAAGAGCATCGGCGGTGTTCCATTGAATGGATTGTTGCAAGTCCCAGTCACTGGAAATCGATATCCCGGCTAGGGGTGCATCGCCTGGCTTTGCCAGCTGCTGGACGACATGCTCAAAGTGGTGGGAGAGCGCATGGAGCTGGCCCTCAGGTACAAGTTGCGGGTTGTATGCAAAGAGCAGGTCGACTTTGTCTTCGTGGGTCAAACACTGGAAGACCAGCGGATACGTGAAGTAGCCCTCCAGTGCATCTTGGTCTCCGTATACCTCCGAGCCCGCAGCCTGGAGGACCGCGTCCGACTCGACGCCTTCAGAAGCGATATGCTGCACGGGCTGGATAACCATCAGACTTGATAGCTGGCACGCCTCCTTCGCCTCGGGGCTGAGCCTGGAGATGTTCTGCAGGCCAAATTGCTCATATGCCACCATCTCTGACGCCTGCTTCTGAACGTCTTGGAGATAGCCAGAGACTGAGAGGTGCTGGCCCACACGGATCCGCACTGGGACAGTTGCGACCGTAGGCCCCGTCATCATATCGACACCGGCGGCCGGCGCGTGTCGACCAGACACTGTTGCGCCGAAACAGACGTTATCAGTGTCACAATACCGCGCAAGCACCATCGCCCATGCCGCCCGAAGAATCGTCGCCTTGGTGGCAGGGCTATTTTTCGGCATGGTCATCGAGATGGCCTTCTTCATAACACGGTTGGTCTGCTTGTCGGGGGCCTGTTTCGAGTCCGGTGCAGTATCAGTGCGAGGGAATGTGGCTCGTTGAGCTCCCTCGAGCTGTGCCCCCCAGTACAGCTCAGCGGCGTCTTGGTCGAGCTGCTTTGTGTAGTTGATGAATCCGGAGTATGGCTGTAGTTCTGGTATCTGTTGTCCTCTGTATATGCCGTAGAGAGTTCCGAGCGCAAGATTCAGGCTCCATCCATCAAAGATGGCATGATGGATAATCAGTACAAAGTAGCGCTGGCCGCTCTTTTCGGTGACGATAGCATAGCGGCACAATCGCAGACCATATTGCATCTCAATAGACTTTGCGGAGTCCATAAAGGATTTCACGTCGATACCGTCAGTCGGTTCCCAAATGGGTTCTTCGCGGATTACAGCCTGGATCGATACTCCATCCCGAGCCACGATCCTAGTCCGCAGGTTTCCGCAAGCCTCGAGCGTCTTGTTCCAGGCGTCCTTGAACTGGACGATATCCGTGTTCGCAGGGAGGCCGTAGACGTATTTGGCAATATAGGAGCCTGGCTCCTTGACGGCCAGCGCCATCAGCGCTTCTTGAACACTGGTGCAGGGGTAGGCGTCCTCGATCTCCTGTGCGCTGGATAGATCACAGTCTTCCCGGATAATTGACTTGAATGTGTCGATCTCGCTGTTGGGTAGCATTGCGAACGGTTCCACCTCATAGGTCTCTTTTTCCTGGAGTTCTGTGACTTTGGTGGCGACAACCGACAATCGAGGATCGGCAAACATATCCTTGACGGAAATCTTCAAGCTGACGTGGCTTGCAGCGGTGACGAACTGGATAGCAGTAATAGAATCACCGCCAATTCGAAGGAAGCTGTCGTCTCGGCTGATGGACTCTGCGGGGATTTTTAATGTCGTTGCCCACATCTCTTGTAGCCGTACTTCCATCTCCGTAACCGGCGCCCGCTTCTCGCTATCTGCGAGCGAGTATTCCGCTAGTTTGTCGCGGGAAAGAGTGGTCGCCATGCGACCAAGTCCGCTTCGATCGACCTTTGTAGATGTAATCGATGGGATGTATCTGCATGGAAAGAGCATCGTGGGAACCATATAGTCAGGAAGGCTGACGCTCAACTGGCTCATGGCATCCATCATCTGCGCCTTGAGTTCAGTTGTAAGCGGGAGGAGCACGCTGTCCGCGTCGGGATCGACGCCAGCAGCGGCTTTCATATCATCGCTCATGCAGTAATATGCAATCAGGCTCACTGCCGCCTCGCCTTTGAAAACGTCCACCACGACCTGTTTCACTCCCTCGAGAGCCTCTCGAAGGTGATGCTCAACTTCGCCGAGCTCGACTCGTAAGCCACGAATCTTGACCTGCGTGTCCTTGCGGCTGATGAATTCGATGGTTCCGTCGGCGTTGTAGTAACAAAGGTCGCCGGACTTGAAAAATCGGTTCCAATATGGCGAAGTTTGTTGCGGTGCCCATTTGGGCAGTTCCGTCATAGTCGCTGCGGCGGTTCTGACAGGATCCGACAGATATTCGCGTAGCAGCGTCGGTCCCTGGATAACTACCTCTCCGACACAACCTGTTGGGCATAACTTGTGCGGATTATCTTGGTCGACGATCCAACAGAAGCCTCCCACAGCTCTACCGACCGTCTGCGGCGACTCGTCGGCTGTCTTCCATTCGTGGAGGGTGCTGAACACACAGGTCTCAGCAGGGCCCCAGCCGGTTGCTAGGCGTAGCTTCCCGACCCAAGTCTCGAAAACATCCCGCCCGACAGCCTCTCCCGTAAGCAACAAAAGCTCAAGGCCGGGCATGTCCTCCGGCCTTAATGTCCGTGCGAATGATGGGGTGAGAAAGGCCCAGTTGACGTTGGTGTCGTTGATGAATTGAGTCAGGCCGCTCATACGGGCGTCTTCAGATGGCACACAAAGGGTAGCTCCGGAGATCAGAGGAGCAACAATTTCTCCAATACAAAGATCGAAGACGTAGGAAGCAAATTGCAGTATCCTGACACTCGATGTCAGGCCAAGCCTGCTGCTGATGGCAGTTTGGCTTGTACACACAGAGCCGTGCTCCATAACGAAGCCTTTCGGGATACCAGTACTTCCAGAGGTAAAAAGAACATATGCCGCATGGTCTGGAGTAACTGCAACATCGGGCGCAGGCGGGGCAAGCCCGAAATCGTCAATCAGCTTCTGATTAAGGGCAGGCGTCACCTCGATGACCTCTGCCACCAAGCTGGTGAGCGTTGCGGCATTGGAGGGTGAAACCAAGGCCAGACGGGCTTGGGTCTGTTGGACAATCTGTTGCTGACGTTGAAGAGGGTGTGAGGGATCCAGCGGGATCCAAGCCGCACCAGCTTTGTTGATGGCGAGAATCGACACGAAAAACCACACAGACTTCTCAAAGCACACGTGGACCAGGTCGGCCGGGCGAACGCCAGCGACATGGACCAAATGATGGCTCAGCCTATTGGCAGCGCAATCCAGCTCTGCGTAGGTCAACTGGCCGTCCCAGGCGTGGATCGCAGGCGCATCGGGTTGTTTGTGCGCCTGGGCTTCGACGAGCTGATGCACACAGGATCGAATCAGCTTGGGTGGTTCGCCGTTGAATCCCATGGCTTGTTCCAGGTCCCAGCCGCCGGTGAAGGACAATAAGCCGAGCGGCGTCTCCTCGTCGTCATCTTCGACGCTGTCGGACATCTCCTCACTGCACTGACGCATTAGCGATTGGCATTCCATATTCCATCCCGGGACGTGCGGTCTTCCCTTTCATCGTAGTATTCGCTCTCGTCGGAAATCGGCGAGCTGTCGTATTCGTCCGACATGTTGGCGGTTGCAAATGGTTCGGTCGGTCTTAAAAAAAGTACAGTAGGGTTTACAAGTAGTGGAAAGTCGGTCTCGCCTGTCGCATCAAGGCTATTAGGATTCGGAAGCTGCAGAAGGGAGTTACAGGTAGGTAGCTATCCTGCGTGAGTGGTGCAATTGCTGGTTAGCTCAAAATACGTCGGTTCGTTACCTATTCACATTCGTTCATGGCGAGGTTATCGCAGTCGCAGGTGCTTCGACGGTGAATTCGCGAATAGCTGGCTTTCCAGTTCACAGACGGGAGGCTAGGAAACCGACACAATGGTCATGGAACCTCACAGGAGTCATGATCTGCCCTGCCCGGCCCCTAGTCCCGGCCCCGGCCCCCAGTCCCGTCTGTTTCGCCAAGGGTCTCAGCGAAGGCTCATCGGCATTGGTCCCATCGCGTCATGCAAATAACGTAAGGCTGGGATGGCTGAATAGTTGACAAATCCCCGCCGCCCCCACCTTTACGTAGCGCTGAGATCGTGAAGCCAGGGGTTCAATGCTGGCCTACAGCCTGACATGTGCTTACACCACGCCCATAATCGTACGAATAGAAGTCCATTCCCACTATGTAGCTATACAATCCCCATCACATTGACTTTCTTCGCCTTATTTAACACTCGGTCTAGAGCTACTCGAGAAGGTGTCAGCCTGATTGCTGACGGGCGGCTCACATAGTCTGTGCAGCAAACAGACAACAGTCATGTCACTCAGAACGTACCAGGTCTAGAAATCCTGTCATACTTGGCGGCCTTCCCCAATTGATATGCCATGTCACTACAATTATTGCGGGCCTCGTCCAGGATGTATGGCCTGAAGAAAGGCCCAAGCCTAAAACAGAGCATTCATCTACCAAGCGTCTTTCCAGCCGGTCACCCCACGTGGTCCTACCCAGTAACGGAATCTGCAGACCAAAAATTGGAAATGTCAGGGTATTTCCTCCAAGAAAACATCAAACTAGTAATGTCACATTTAGTACTGGTGGACTATTACCCTGAGACTGTAAGCTTAGAAATCATCAGATGCAGAGTGATAGGAGATGGGTATTGAACGGACATTAGAATGCGATGGTGTAGGATTGATGATGCGGTTAGCCAGCCAGCTCAGTGCTCCGGTCCACGGGGTACGGTCGGACATTAGACAAGGTGCGCCAACGCGCAAAAATGAAAAATCTCAAATTCTTGTCAACCTTGAATATAGAGCTGTAGCTACTCTAGTCTACTATAAAAAGGAAGGTTTTAGTTGCTATAGCTTCCTATAGAGAGAGGTTTGCACCTGCTGTAGCTTGATGTAAGAAAGAGGGCTGCAGCTCTGCAGCCTGCTATAAGAGAGGGGGCTGCAGCTGCTACAGTGGGGTGACGGCTGTTGAATCTGCTATACGATAAGTGGTTATAGTGGGCGAGGCATAAATTTAGTGATTTGGGTAAGTTTTCCCTCCACCCACTATCAAATTTAGAGCTCTGGCCACTGTAGCAAATGCAGGTTATAGTGGGCTACAGTGGCCATAGCTCCATATTTCTCACAAATTTGGGGGGCTTGGTTTTGCTTGTCGCCTTGCCCAATGTGCCACCGTTAGAGCGCTGCGGCTTGAGTCATCAGACCCGGTTCCTAACTATGAGGCCAAGGAACCGGCTTTCCGCATCATAAAGCCATACAATAGTCAAGTGAGCCATGGGAGTCAGATGAAATGAAGCATGTGAGATGTTTTGGTACTATGAATACTCCGAGCTGTGGTCTTGCATAGCTGGTAACTACCTAGAGGATACAGACAGCTGCACGCATCGTAAAGTAAGAGATTCGATCACCCTGCATGCAAGTACGAGGTCACATGAAATTTTCAGATGAACCCTTCATTTCCATTTATTATATCGCCAGTCCAAGATTGATGCACAAAACTCCCCAAATCTCGACGATTACCTCTCTGGATCCGTCCCTAATGCTGACTATTCTGAGTCACTAGATCAACCCTCAATTGTTTTGTTTTCGTCCTCTTTGTTTGCCAGTCATGGTTTGCCAACTCCCGCTATTGATGTAACCCGCCAGTTCTTTCTTTCATCAACTCTCGTCGCTTCCTGTCCTTCTCCTCGTCCCAGGTCAGGAATTCATGCAGGGCGGCACCGGCTGGCACCATGGGCAGCACAGGCACCTTTCTGTCGGTGACAACTTCAAGGAGTGCGGGGCCTTCCGAGTCAATGAGCCACTGCAAGGCTTCTGTGGTGTCTTCCGCCTTGATAAGTTTTCTTTGTTGAACGCCCATGGCTTCAGCCACCTTGATAAAATCCGGGTTCACTTGATGGGTATGCGCGTATCTATCCTCGTAGAAGAGATTCTGCCACTGCGTGACCATACCTTGCTCCTCGTTGTTCAAGATGATGACCTTGACTCCGATGTTGAATTGAGCAGCCGTGGAGAGCTCCATGAGAGTCATATTAAACGAGGCATCGCCATCGATGTCAATAACAAGGGAGTCTGGCTTCGCGACTTTGGCTCCGATAGCTGCTGGCAGACCAAAGCCCATAGTCCCCAACCCGCCAGATGTAACCAGTGTTCTCGGGTGTCGCCATCTGAAATGTTGAGCGGTCCACATCTGGTGCTGGCCAACACCCGTCGTGATGATAGTTTCCTGCTTCCGATGGGCGGTGAGGTTGCTCAGCTCTTCAATTAAAGCCTGCGGCTTGATCAGGTCGGCACGTGCAGTTTTGTCGTAGGCGTTCAGAGGCCATTTCGCCTTCCAGTCCTGAATCTGGTCCAGCCACGCTTTCCGATCGGATTTTGACTTCTTCCCAATCTGAGGCAGAAGCTGGGCAAGATTCTCGGTAACGTCTCCTTCGACTGCTGCAGTTGCTTGGACAACTTTGTTGATGTTCTTTGGCATGATTTCGAAGTGTACGATGCCGCCACGACCTTCACGGGCCGCCTTCTGCGCTCCCGGCGCAAATTTTGATACCGAGCCGGTGACACGGTCATCAAAGCGACCACCGAGGGCGATGATGACGTCCGCCTCTTGCATAGCCATGTTGGCGTACCCGGCACCATGCATCCCAACCATATGGAGTGACTTCTCGTCTAGTTCGTCAAAGGCACCGAGCCCGTGCAGAGTGGTAGTGACGGGAATGCAAGCTTTATCGGCAAGCTCCCTGAGCATCTCAGGGCCGTTGGTAGACGAGATTATGCCTTGCCCGGCGAAGATAATGGGCTTCTTTGCGCCGTTGATCAACTCTGCGGCGTGCGATATCGAGTTGGTGAGTCGTTTCCGGCTTTCCTCCAGGATCACACGCGATGCAGCATTAGAAAGTCCGGGAATATTCGACTTTCCGGCGATAGCCTTTCTTAAAATACCGGCTGTGACATCCTTGGGCAAATCTACAAGCACAGGTCCAGGCCTGCCGGTAGTGGCAATGTCGAAGGCTTCGTTGATCCGTTGGGGCAACTCGGCAACATTATTGACTGTGACGTTCCACTTCGTGCATGACCGAGAGATTCCAATAATATCGGCTTCTTGAAAGGCATCCGTCCCGATGGCGCTTGTGGGAACTTGGCCGCAAAAGACGACTATCGGCGTGCCATCCGAAAGGGCATCTTGCAACGGAGTGATGACGTTCGTTGCCCCAGGGCCGGAAGTCACAAGCACAACGCCGGGCTTTCCAGAGGCTCGAGCGTACCCCTCGGCCATGTGGCCAGCGCACTGTTCATGCTTGGGAAGAACAAAGTCGAGATCCTTGGAACCATAGATGGCATCGAAAACGGGTAGGATTGCTCCACCAGGGTACCCGACTGTAAAGCGGTGTTAGACAGAGAACGTCCCGAGATGGGGAAAGGGTTGGGTTGTGTCAGTCTTACAAATATGCTTGACACCTCTTCTCCGCATCATCTCATGAAATATCTCCCCACCCGTCATTCCAATAAATCTATAATCCCAGGTTAACTAACACCCTCGGGGATAGAAGCAGCATGAGTCACTACTCACGACTCATCCATGTCTGGGACCACAGGACCCACCAAGGGTTGAACATGACTGCGGGGATCGCTGGTTATCGTGTTGTACTCGGTACTAGAATAGCTTGGACTAGGTCTCCAGATAGATTTACAGTCAGTTAAAGTTGAGCCCGCAGTTTTGGGACTCACAGAGCGCAATTCTTTGGATTGCGTTGGGTGGGTAGTGTTTAAAACCTACGGCGAAGACACAGCTACGGTGGCCTGATTCCTGACGCTGGCTGGCATCTTTCTATTGCCAGAAGCAACAGTCGACGCTATATGGGAGGTGATTGCCCGAGGTTGGCATCTTGAAGTCTGGGCAAGCGCCTTGAATGTTTGGCTTGCTTGTTGTGACCGAAGCATCATGATGGATAATTGTGGAGGCTTGGTGATGGAGTAGTGGTAGAGTATTGGCGAGGCAAAGAAAGCCTTAGGGCATTAAGGGAGGGATTTGCTCTCCCGAATTGGTATGATGGTGACAGCCCAGGGGACTCTGGAACAGGAGGGTATATTATAAAGCCGTAGGGTTCCAGAACTTCCAGTTGTGGCGGGTGAGCAGGGGGGTGAGCGGTATCGCTCTTTTCGAAGCCCGCTCCCCGCCTTATAAGTTGGTCCACAACACGGACCAAATTCTTTTACATGGGGATGGCGTCGGACAAAACTACCAATACTGACAAAGGTTCGCACGCGACATGCTCACGCTCACTGACACCACCTCTTTTTTTTTATTACCTTTTTTATCTTGTCGCAAAATAAATGGTCCGCTTCCGTTCAATGTTGGACATCAAACTCCATCAGTGCTAATCACGATTGCAGGATTACAGCCATGTTGCTCAGCCCTCTATGCTCTGCACAAACAATACCTTCAGTGGCCACTGCAAACACCTCACCACTACCTTTGGTCTTTTCCAAATCCATCAGTAAGTTCCTGCCAAAAAGGGCGGAGTTGCAGTGGCTCATGGGTGCAGCGCAGCGCTGTAAGAAAATAGCGGGTAGCGCTAACTGGGCGTCATAGGGCGTGGTCTTCCTTACGTGTGCAGCAAGGGCCTGTCCCATTACGTCGGAGGGGTAGTCCAATCTGCTGCGAAGGGAATATCAACCGGCTCTCCACCAATGCGGACCGTGCGCATTAGTGTTGTATCTTGACCAGTGTCAAGTCAGCCAGCAAAATGGAGCGCTTCACAATATAGAGCCGAGAACGTACCCTGTGTACCTCAACAACCAGTCTGATGAGGCAGTCTTACACGTGCTTGCAATCGTACGTCCTGGTGTGTTGGAAAACAGATGCACAGTCAACTCAACGTGCGATCTAGAGCCCCCTGTCAGGGGGGGAATCGACGAGGAAACCCAGTGCTCCGTAGGATGAGAAGGATGAAAAGGAACAAAGGCCCCGGCATACTCCCAGCCACTTGGTGAATCACAACTGAATTCCATTACATACAATGAAGGGTAACAATACATAGGCCCTGTTGGTCCCTTGCTAAGGATGTCATCCAAATTCGGCTCCAGACGTGAGGGAACTACTGCCCACGGCTTTCACAGCCATGCCATAATTAAATGGCTACCTACAAGAGACCAGCAAGCAAGACGAAACCCAAATCATTACACAATATATAAATCGTCTTTGATTTCCTAATTGTAGATCGAAATTCAGGTCATGTCATACCAGAAATTGTCCTGTTAGTTCCATTATCTTGCGCGCACATCAGGATACACCAGCCCACACAAAAAGTGATCCTGTCGGGCGGACTCACGTAATTCAGAAAACGTGAGACGAAGCTCGCAGGGGGAGGAGACCAATAGGATTTGGGCGCTGAAGAGCGCACTTATGACTACCTAGCCCAAAACAAGCCTAGCTTCAATCACCACCTCACTTAGGTGGGTCATATTTCGCCTCCTGGTCTGTGTGCTTAACTGTGGGGAATCGACTACCCTATAGGTCATCGTGAACAAGAAACAAATAATTACAATGGGTAAAAATTAAGGAGCAAGATTTCATATCATGATTTTTTATTACTCTGGGAAAGAGTGAAATAATTCTTTCTTTTTTTCCGAACATTTTCGTAGCCATAATCATTCAACGAAATTGGCCTGAGTTGTGTTGAATTTACCTATGTGAAGACCACACTAACTTTGTCCAAGTAATGCAAGGATGTCCCGGCAACCCGAGGTAAGACCAATATGAATGAATAAAACTGTCGCATTGAATAAAACAGGCTCAGGAGACTACCTACAGTTGCAGACACCAGACTCGAGAAAGCTCGCGTGCAGGCTTGCGCACGCGTCGCCCACCGTACCTAGGTTGGAGGGTCCAGTTTAGCCACAGTGGTAACGCCACAGCTGCGCCACAAGATTGAAGTTTTAGCGCAGGGATAACTTCTTTTGCGGCGCACACTGCACGCATCAGAACCAAGCTACAGCAAACCAATGCATTTTAGACGGTGTTTCGTTACAAGCTGGTCATTGTATTAGCATGTCGCAAAAGATAGATTTAGGTACATTGATAACATCAATTTCCTAGTGGTCCTTGTTTTTCTCCAGAGGCTGACCCTGATGCTTCCCTGCATAGTTTCAATCACTTCATACTGTGGTCTTCAGACAACCCGACAATCTAATGGTCATGATAATTTAACAGACACTTCCATAGATTTGACAGAGCTACATCGCTTCATTAAGTGACGGGAAACTTAGCTTTGCGCTCGAAAAATGCTGGGAGTGTAAAACCATCGAGGTTCAGCAGCGTGAATTGACCACGCACGCCTCGAAGCCATTTTGAGCGTGCTATTTTGAAAAGTAATAATAATATAGATGCTAGGAACCCGTCCCGGGGCGTAATTACACCGGAGGACTATAGCACACTGGTCGCAGCCGGAAGCAACCACCCGCAAGCTGATGAGTGCAACTGGCCGTATCCTAGGGATGCCTGGCTCGCCGGGCATTTGCTGAGAAGTTAGCCGTTATATAAAACAACTGTCCAGTTTATCCATAGACAGAATATCTTTGATTCTATACGTAGCCTGACCCCCATGGTCCACATGACTTACGCATCACAAGTACACCGATAACTGAGCGCAACCTCACGACAAGAGACTAACTCCCTTCAAGGAAGCAGAGGGCCGGACAGCCCTAGGGCACCCTAGCTACGAGAGTAGTTGGCATTGGACCAGGCAGGAGAAGTCGGTAGGAAAGAAAACTGCGAGCAGTGAAAAGGGATATATACAGGAAAGGCTTTCCTCCCGGAGCCTCTTCCTTGGCTAGTAGACGAGAGACTTACTATAAGCTTGATGTTAAGAGGGATAGAGTCAACTTTGGTTTGCTGAACCGATGACATGCAGGCTTTATAGAAAACACGAAGAATCTATGCGAACCATGATGGTACACTGACTTGTACCCTCCCATTACCGAACTAATAAAAGGAGAGATCAAACTTGAGTTGTCACAATAGCTACCCTTAACTAAAACATATTTTATTCATGTCAGTCCCCACAAGATGATGATGATGATCAGTCATCCTCGTCATCGGAGTCAAAGTCAAACACCTCTACTCCACCGGCTGCCTTCCGCCTTCTCTCTTCCGCGCGGGCCTTGGCCAAGTCCTTCAACACCTTCCTCTGCGTCTTTCCGGCAGCAGTCTTTGCTAAAGCCTCGGCAAACTCGATGCCGCCCGCAAGACGCTTGTGCTGGGAAAATTCCTTGTTCACATACTCATGCAACTCGATCCTAAGAGCTGCTTCATCCTCGTCCTTGAAAGCCGGGGCCTTGACGATGAAGGCCACCGGGAGCTCTCCAGCAGACTCGTCAGGGATAGGCACGACGGCGGCATCGGCGACCTTGGGGTGACGCGCAAGGAAATGCTCCAGCTCTGCCGGAGAAACTTGCATACCCTATGTACGGTCAGTATTATGGCTGAAAGAGGATTGTATGGGGAAGTGTGACTTACTCGGACCTTGATCAACTCCTTGATACGGTCAATGATGAAGAGGTGGTCATGGCCGGCAGCGCTTTGTCGGAACTCGGCCAAGTCACCCGTCCTCATCCAGCCGTCCTCAGAGAAAATTCCCTTTGATTCAGACTCATTGTCAAGATATCCGAGGAAAACACTGGGCGAGCGGATGAGCAACTCGCCTGGCTTGCCGTATTCTGTAATCTCTTGGCCATCGTCCTTGATCAGGCGACCCTCGCATCCCGGAAAGAGATGACCACAGGTGCCGAACATGTAGTCAAGAGGGTTTCCGAAAGTAACGGCAACCGTGGTCTCGGTCAGACCGTATCCCTGAATAAGATGGCAGCCGGACACGAGCTTGTCAAATGCCAGGGCGGTTTCCTTGGACAGACTGGACGCGCCGACGACGGCAGCATTGACGTGGCTTAAATCATACTTGGCTACGAGCGAAGGAGCTTTTACCATGGCCGCAATCATAGGAGGAACCTAATCAATCGCGAGTTAGCTAACGAAAACCACTTCAGGTGAACAATTGTACGTACCATCCAGAGTCGTCCGATTCGGTAATCGTGAATGGTCTTCAGTGTTTCCTCTAGATCAAACCTGGGCAAGACAACAACGCCATCTCCTCTGTAGATGCTCAACATGCTGACACCAACCAAACCCAGGTTGTGGCTGGTAGGGAGGACTCCGAGGCACAGCTCTGGCTCAGGGTTCTTGTAGGTAGCATCGGAGGTATATGCTTGCATAATGTTGGCGATGACATTCTTGTGAGAGACCTTGGCATTTTTCTGGACGCATCTACTGTTAGCGCTCCAGTCGTGAGTGAAATTAGATGTAAACACGTACAGGAAGTCCAGAGGTGCCACTGGAACAACACAGGAAAGCAGTCTGGCGTGCACCTTGACCCTCAGTCCAAGCCAACGGCTCCAGGGGCGGTAGCTGACGACCTTCGTCGATCAACTGATCCACAGTTGGGATACCGGGAGGGTTCTGTGCACCACCCAAAAGCTTCGAGGGCACCTCGACCAAGAAGACATTCTCCTTGGGAACACCGGCTTCGGCGGCAGCCTCAAGGGCTTTCTGGAGGAGCGGCAAACATGTGAACAAAGCCTTGCAGCTGACTCTTTTCAATTGATGGGAAAGCTCTGGCACGGAATAGGCCGCGCTGATAGAGTTGGAAACACCATTGATACGTTGTGTTGCCCAGGCGGTTGTCAAGTTGTCAATCTGGTGAGGCCTGAATTAGCTTCTTGGATACGGGAATGGCGGGAACGCGATGCTCACCGTGTTGAGACTGTAGACACAAGTAACCTTGTCTAGCTCGTTTCCCTCGTTTACTTTCCATCCAAATCTCGTAGCAAGGGCACGGGCCAAAAGCTCGATTCGCTCTGCAACCTCCTGCGCTGAATGCGCCTTACCCGAGATACCACAGGTAAATGGTGGCTTGGAGTCGCCGATAGGATGACGCCCAAATTTCTCACTACCACCAAACAGGAATTCATGAACGGGCAGCGTCTCCGGTGGGTCAAATGGGAGCTGCGGGATGTAGGACGGTGACTTAAACGCCATGCTGTCGAGAGTTTGATCACAGGGCTTAATGGTGACGGAACTGTACGGGTAGCTCACTTAGGCAGGTCTCCATGGCAAGGTTTTATTGACATAGCCAATAAGCACATGCTACCGTGCTTACAGTACAGGATATGTCCCGATGATGCCGCCAGTTACTACCTTGCTTACACTTACGTTGCAATGTGGAAGCCCACCTTACCGTACGCCGCCCACCAGCTCATACTAACTTCACACATAAATCCAAGACAATTCAGCTGATCAACCCCGGATTTTTCTTACAGATACCGGCTTCCATTATATGTGGAATAGTTACCCAGATCATCTTGTGGAATCAGTATAAAGACTCTATGATGTTGTTACACTTGGATTTTTTGCTGCCTCTATCACGTGGGGCACGCTGGACTGAAAGAAAGTCAAGTAATATCACATACCAAGTTAGTCATAGTACATCGCGAACTGCAGCTGCAAATGGAGCCGTAGTGACAGCTATTAACCGCGCTTTGGAGAGTAATGGAAATCCTGAAGTGGTTAGTGGCTTACGTGAAGCTCAATGTGTGTGGATCGTCGACTGACATAAGTGTCAATGCGGGCACTTCTGAAACTAGGATATCAGGTTGGGTACGTACCTGAGTGGGTCAATCAACCTCAGGGACTAAGTTGTAAGGGAACTCGTGGACTGTATTGAACTGTTGGCTTCTAGGATGAATGCATTCGTCTAGCTGGCAGGATTTAAACCATGTATCGGGGCTGTGGTGTCAGCAGTGGGTTAAGCGAGTTACAGAGAAGGTCGTCCTAGGAAGTCTAGCGCACTGGGGCAAGTTTCCAAGGACAGGAATGGTCAAGATACAGGGGACGTTAACTTCAGATTCACAATGGAGTTACCCGACTACTCGTGCATGTACGTGTATTGTTTCAGGAGGTTCCTGTTTGTCTATTGGTCACGACACGCGTACACGAGCCGTCGGCTTGGTGCCTGTCTGGGATCAACATTCATAGCCGAGCAGTTGAAATCACAGCGGCGGTCACCGCGGGCTTTTTTCTTGAGATCGGTATGAATGGCATTTGATGAATTAAACCCATTGGTCTCGACCTTGTCCCTATTTCTAGAGATGGATTTTGCCATTAACTCACCAAATGTCGTTGCATTGGTGTCTAGAGACTGAGTGGAATAATGAATTTCAAATATTGCACGCGTGTGATGCTGTTTTGTGAAAGCTCCCCTGTCCTTGTCTTATGCCTTGACCTGATGCAATCTCCTATCATTGGCGCTTGGATTGTGATGGGATTAAAGAATGATCAAGGAGAAATATGTAATTAATACTCATCTTAGTGGCTACTTGGGGGGCGCGGTAGTCTCGGGGACTTGACTCAAAGCTGGAAGCCTAGACTTTGTGGAGGTTCTCTCCGCGTACAACCCTAATACTCACATGCTCGAGTTCACACGCCCTTTTCTCACACGCCCTTGGTTCAGGCCATCCCTTGGGCTTGGCACTGCCTTTGTGGTGTTCGTCGCCTTGACCGGCTTTAAGCGCATTTACTCCGAGATGTCGCGGTCTTGTGTCCCCCAACGGCAAACTGCGCGAGGAGACTGGGTAGTGATTGGATTGTGTTGCCAGTAGCTCGGGGCGCCTTGTTGAGCCCGGTGGCGCTGTGCATTATCTCTATCACAGTCAAGCTGTCATTGGATGCTCTAGGTGTTCTGTACTGGATGCGCGTGTTCGTAGAAACTGAGCGTTGATGATCCCCGATCAAAAGGTCCCAGTGGATTGCGCGTTGCACTCTCCCTGCCACCAATGCCGCCGTCCTGATTACCACCGGTCATTACGTGAGTTGCGTTGACTTCTTGATCGTCGTTTATTTGTTGGATCCATAGGTGGGTAATCTTGATTGTGCGAGACTTGGCTCCCGGTCATGATACGGTCGTGGTGTTTCTCATCGCGGCTGACTTGAGTTGGCCCCCAGCCCCGGATGTCCAATGTGTGCCCGTGGAATGAGAGGTTTTATACTGCCCCATTGACACTATCACACACGTAAGAACATAGGAAGCTTTCGACACAAACGACAGAGCTTAGTATATCCATCTCTCGTAACTGAGGCACAGTAGACTCGGGAGTTAGTCGTCAAGAACGTTGCTCATTGGAGTTCCGCTGTATAGTCCCTCTTCATTAGAAGATGCATTTTATGCATGGTCATGATACTGTCGAGGGCGATGTGATAATTCCGCCTCGTGTCACGAGCTGATCGCATACCTGACTGAAGGAGCCCTACGATCTCGTTATGAAACCGGCGAGTCAATTCCCAATTGTACATCATATATTATCTCACCGACGACTGTCTGCATGTATTAGTACAAACGTCTTTACAAGTTTAACAAATTCAAGCTCTATGACCTAAGATGAAGTTACTCATGTTCCAAATGTGTTTATTTTCTGAGGGCACCTTATCGATGCCATCGTCTTCACGTTATTTGGATCAACCGATATTCTTCAAATCATACAGTCATGGGATCTAGAGGTTAAGTGATCGTTTGAGCTGACACTAATTCATGAGCAAAGACTTTCATAATATTATCACTCTTGACTGAGGCATGACGAGCTTTGTTATGTGATACTGACAAATGCAACATCTCAGGATTACCTCGACCATTCAGCCAGCTGCTATAATTACGAATGATTGATCAAATAGACACAGACCACGTTATCTGAAAACAAAAATGATGCTGCTCTTTTAGGTGATCTATTACGTATTTGTTGAACAGCCTTTGTGACTCCTTCCAACGAGTCAAATGTGTCGTCACCCGTTCAACGAGATAACACTTGTGAACAACAAATTCGGTATGAGAATAAGAATATTACCTCTCATACAGTCTCTTAAAGCAACGAGAGAGTAATTTATGACGTAATTCATCCTTGGGTTCCTGCGTCTGTAGCTTGTGAGGTTTCGTATCTTCATCATAGCTGTCAGTAATCACTTAGTCCCGTTTCCGCCGTAAGACATTGTATTAGATCGACGCGGTTAATAACAATGAGCTGCTGTAGTAGTGAGTAAGATGTCTTGTCAGCTTTCACAACGAGTTGTTATGTCGTTGGAAGTGAGATCAATGTCGGCTGATCTGGTGACAAGAGCGATATTCTGGCCTCCAAATTTGAGGGTGATGAGAGTAAGATCCTTTGCCGCAACTTACGAGACAATCTTGGAGATCTTCGAGACACCAGTGTAGAAAATGTGGTCACTAGATGGTTTAGGATATATATACCATCTCTTCAGGTCCAACAGTGACGCATGTGATGGCTTTCTGGCCGAGGTATTTTCGGATGATTTGATCAACAGGTGCTGAGAAACAGCCGCACGCTTGGATGGCTTGAGCACTACGGCGCAGCCCGCCGCGATTGCCCCAATCATGTGTTACTGGAGTACACCGAATGGAAAGTTTCAAGCACCGATGGCTGATGAGCGAGACCCCAAGTGCTTGTTTGCGGAAGGTCGCATTGCCGAGGCGGTTTATGACATTGGACTTTCCTGGTCGCTAGTCTTTCATCCGCTCATCTAACTTGTCCGACGGATGCCAGATATCCACCTAAATGATCAGTGAGCGGAGCTTCCTAGCGATTCTTGTGAAGATGGGCACGTAAGGCGGCGCAAATGTGACCCTCATTATCGTCAATGATCCACCAAGTGCGCTTCAGCTACATGCGCCTTCGTGCCATGTCCTTGCGCCGGAAGCGAAAGTTACCCCGCCCGGTTTGCAGTCCTACGTTGCTGGAGTCCCGGAGAGCAAGCTCAGGAACAGGGGACAACCTTATTTGGTCAAACTCTACAGTGGTGGTGTAACCCATCATGGCGAGTCACTGTCCTTTTAGTAACGTAATGCAGAGCGGTGAAATATGGGGGATTCCTCTGATCTTTACCTCCATGGAGGCATCGCCGAGAAACACTTGCGCAGATCGATTACACTGACTGTCACCCGCAGGGTACATAATCCTGCTCTCCCATTGTTTCTGACCGAACTGCTCACACAACGGCCTGCGAGCGTGGGATCATCGATTCATCAATTGTTTGATACACATCGATTAAAATGCTCAATTCCATAAAATGCGACTTGGTGGGGTGAGTTATAACTTTAGTAAACATACGCGGGGGTGACAAGATGCCCACGCGAAAACCAGCAAGCCAGTTATATACTTGCTAACCCTCTTCCTCTCCATGAGACATTGCCAAGTGCCAAGTGCCAAGCTCCAGGTTCCAGGTAGTCCATCTCATCGGTATTTGAACCTGGTTAGGACAGCCTGTGACCTAGCTAGTCCCTCCCTTCGCTGTTTCTTCTTTCGCTGGAAGACATTGGAACACCACATTCGTCAGTTCAACTGAACCATTCACTGTGAGTCTGATTGCAGGAACCTCATTCAAGTCACATGCACTGAAAATCATTGTGATAAATTGAAACAATATCTACAAGAACTTGCCCATATACATGCAGTGGGCTGATTTCCGTTCTGCTGCTTCCTTATGTATCGGATGCAAGTGTGGCAGCTATGCGGCCGTTATGGAGCAATCGCGTGATATATGACGGGAGGACTCGAAACGATCCTCTCTCACGATGTCCTCCAGGAAAGATTTCAAACTGTCAACCGCAAAAGCTTTTGTGTCCGCCCAAGCAGGGTATAGCTTCACTTGAACTATACCCAAAGTTCTCCCTTCCATCTCGTTTAGGCGCCCTCTCGCCTTGGACAAAACCTGACAAATTTACTCAACCGGCTCAAAGGTAGATGACAGTGGCTCTGGAGCGAAAATGGGAATTTCCATGCGCAGCTCTTCATGGGGCTTGAGCGAGTCCATGCGACTGGAGATGTGGCCGTCGACGACCGGCCGGCGCGTGAAGAAGATGAGCATATCGCGAGTGGCCTCGCGGGTGGGGTCAATGGCGTAGACGGGTGACAGGCTGTGCTTGTACTCGTGGTCGATGATGACGAGAGTATCAAGGAAGTGGCGGTGATGAGCGCGAGCACGGATGAGAGTCGTCTGGGTGTCATTGACCGAGATACCCGTAGTCTCTTCCATCTCGTGCATGTAGGTAACGGCACTCTTGGGCTGCATGTTGTTGCTGCCAAGGTATGTCGTCATGGTGTGGTCAACACCGTCGCTGTGAACGCCTTCAAGAGCGGGCTCGCCCAACAGGTTGGGAGTAGTCACAGTGCGTAGGTTGAACAGGGTGCACACCCACTTCTTGGTGTCGTAGTTGAGCTTGTCGCGGAAGGTTGTCTCAACTCCGTGGATGACGGCGGCCTTGAAGACCATGAGGGCCTGGAAGGCCGTGTTGAGCTGAAGCTCGTCCTCGACCTCGTCGAAGACGCGGATCTGGCCAGAGTCGTGGCGCTTGAAGTCTTCCTCAAGCGACAGGGCAAAGGGCTGGAACTCCAGGCGCCGGAGCTTCTTGGCCTCCATGTCGAAGCAGAAGCGGCCGTTCCTGGACCGGCGGAACGGCAGGGTAGGGTCTTTGTAGAGTCGGTCGCTGACTTGCTGAAGCCTGGCGAAGTCGGCCTGGGTGGCGCCGAGCTGTGCTAGGAGCGGCACCATCTCGGCGCCCTCGATGAAGACGAAGCGCTCCTCCAGATACCGCTTCCTGATCTTCATGATGGTGGCAATGGCCTGGTAGAGTTGAGGCTCTTGCTGCCGCGCCACAATGTTAAGCTGCGGGCGTTGGTATTGGTGATGGTGTTGGTGCTGGCTGGCGTGGAAGGCATTGTGAATGGTGTCAGACACTGGCGCGGTGGCCACGGCCTCGGCGGCTTGCACCTTGGACGACACATTATACTGGCGTCTGGCGAGATGGCCAGCAATTGCCATGCTCGATGAGCGCAATGCTCCAGCACTAGCCACGCTGGCTCGTCTTGCGGGTACGGAAAACATTATGGGAAGGTGTCTGATGTGTTATCAAAACAGCTATTGTCCGAGTAACCCATCAACTCGAGACTGTAGATCGGCATCGCGCCCCAGACTATAAGAGGGAATACGCCATCGCCCACGAGCGTCAGTTGGGAACAGAAACAGTCCGGGTTGCAGCGAAATTGCCGAGCTCCCTATGCCGAGATGCATCATCCACACGGCCCGTCATGACGTGAAGTCCCGGGCCCGGCCGTGCGTGCTCGGATGGTTCGATGAGGCCGAGCAGTAAACAGCGCTCACATGGTGGGGGTGCCGTAATGGAAGGATGAGCAATTGCCAATTAAGGACCGTCTTTCACCATAGCTGCCTCTATCGCTGCAGTAATCGCTGGCCGGGACGGTCCATTCGGATTCCCCAGCCAGGTGTCGAAGCCAGGTGGCACGGCGATTGGACCCTGAAACGACCAAGGAAGTATTATCACATTGTCGCCTTGCAGATTTGCGAGTGGAGCATAGGGCGTGTGCATATCAGGGATCTGCTCCTGGATATCCCCTGCCCAGTTAGAGACATCGACCGGGCCACGCCCTGGCTTACTCACTCGCATATTCGTACCGCGGGGATACCATCTGTCGCGGGTGTAAGATGATAGTGGGTAAGCTCTAATGTTGACCTCTAGCCACTCCGGCGCCGGCTGCGTCAATTTCGAAATTGAGAGCCTAGACTTGTTTCCTCTTGGCGGCAGTGTATTATGCGGCTGCCCTGCACCTTATGACCCTATACTACGTATTATGGCGCTAACCTCGCGGAATCCTTGACGGCTTTGCCAATCTTTACCCTCTACCGTAATCAGCTTATGCGACTTGGCGGTAGCCGCTTCTATAACCCCAAGCCATCGTGTCATGGTAGTATGGTCATCCACCGGAGTGTACAGCCCAGTTGATCCTTGAAGCTCCGTTATCAATCTACCAGTGCGGATGACGGACAGCCCGGCTTGAGTCGGCCATGGCCGTAGGAGCTCGATCGAGGTAGTGGCGATGGTTTCATCGTGGTACGTGCTGGACTTTGGGGGGATTAGCGCTGACTTTTTACAAATAATTCGGAGCTACATACAAATTAGACACAGTAATCATCGAGATTAGATAGAGGTAGGTACTGACGTTCATTCTAACAAGCGGTGCTGAGCGAGAAGTGTCGGCCGCCTTGCTCACGTTCTTGCAACTCTCCCCGGTGCGATTTCGCCGGGCGTAAAAGCAAAAAAAGCACGACAACTTCAACAATCAGGTCAGTTTACTAGTCATTGAAACTATCTATCGAATGATATGGCATCATCGTATTCGTGTTTTATGTGGCCATGTCGGGCCGGTGCAGGCCCGGAGCAGGAGCGGGCGCATAGTTGAAACTAAGGTTTTCCTCCGCAGCATACCTCTTGCATCTGACCTTCCAGATGCCACACCACAGCTCCAATAGCCATTGAGCGCCAGGTATCGTGTATTTTGGACAGGATTATTGAGCTATTTTCATACCCTCTGCAACCCTTTGAGACTGTAATTGGATACAGGCGAAGTGATGATAGTGGCATCCCGTACGATGCCGTTCTTGATCCAGACCGCCGGACCGGCTCAAGCCAGTCGTCACCAAAGTTAAATAGAAGAGACCAATCGTAGAAATGATTTGATGCCTTCTAGTCCGGAATATGCAAGAGGATGGCGCAGACCTCGCAGACAGTAGGTGGTTTCCTGAGACGTGGCATCGGGACAGCCAAGTCGCAGATAATTGTGTCGGGATATTCAGGATGCCAGTCTTCGTTGAAGTCGTACTCGACCAGAAAATGCACCTGCAGTAGTCAATCTAATGCAGAAGAAACCATGGAAGCAATGCAGCGGCTTCCGCCGAGCGTTGCATTCCCTCGTCGGCGACAATGCTCGGCAGCTCATCTACTATTACTGTACTCGGATTAGGTGGGCCCGCGACTGACACATCCTCCTCAGTCCGTAGCGCCTCGACACGACCAGCAAGCTGCACAAGCTCATTGGTCTTCGCAAAAACGGAATTCCGGTAATCGAAACTTGCGGGCGTGCGTGTCAAATGATAAGCGGAGGGATACTCTAGCCCCTCCGCGTGGGTTCTCGACACTGGAGAGACAGACTCTTACAGCTCAATCCATCTCCGAGCCTCTCTCCGAGCCCAGTCCCCTCCAGTCCAGTCTAAACCACGCAAGTAGCAATGAGTTCGTCGGCCACAATCACGGAGACGCAGCCCCAGAAGGAGCTCGCCAATGTGTCCTTGGTCGCGGAGGCAGAGCCAGAGTGCCAATTGGCAAACCTGAGCCATGGCCCCAACCCTCTTACAGGTGCGAATTACCCCGTCGAGCGCAGCATGAAGCAGCTGATACTTTTGCGAATTGGAACCATGTACTGACGGCTGGCTAACTGTTTGGCAGGCATTCCCACGTTCGTTTCGTTCCAGGCGCATCGCGAGCACATCATCCTGCACATGGCCGCCGTCTTCCGCAACTGGGCGCGCGTCGGCTATATCGAAGGCATCTCCGGCCACATCAGCGTGCGCGATCCCGAGTTCCCAGGCTGCATCTGGATGAACCCCATCGGAAAGCACTTTGCTCTGATGAACGCCAGCGACATGGTGTGTCTCGAGATCGCCACCGGCAGGATTGTCGGCGGCAACAAGGTGAGTGAGAGTGTGAAAGAGTCCTGTTGGAGGATGTGATGGCAAGGTGTTTCTCAGTCAAGACTCATACTCTTCGTTTCAAGGTCCGCCCCGTGAATAAGCCGGGCTTCTTTATTCACTCCGAGATGCACAAGGCCCGCCACGACGTGCACGCCATCTGCCACGCCCACACCATGGCCGGCCGGGCCTGGACCGTCTTCGGCAAGCCATTGGACATGATCACCCAGGACGTATGCGACCTGTACGACTCCATCGCCGTCATGAACGAGTACGGCGGCATCGTCGCGGCCGACGAGGAGGGCAAGCAGATCGCGCGCGCCCTGGGCCCGCGCAACAAGGCGGCCCTGCTGCTGAACCACGGCCTCATCACCGTCGGCAACACGGTGGACGAGGCGGCCTTCCTGCTGGGCCTGGTCGAGCGCAGCTGCGAGATCCAGCTCAAGGTCGAGGCCGCGTGCGCCGGCAACCCGGAGCTCAAGAAGACGCTCATCCCGGACGAGCTGTGCAAGTTCAACTTCCAGATGGCGGGCGAGAAGAACTGGCTGTATGTCGAGGCCCAGCCCGACATCGAGTACGAGATTGAGATGGCTGGGGGTGTTATCAAGACTGGACTTGAGAACATGAGGGTGGATAGTCTTTAGAGTTTCTCTTGTAAATAACAATACGAGCGGTTGATCATGATCTCCAGACCCAACCTTGCCAGTCACCGTTAAAAGCCGAGGAAAGGAGATGTAAGTAAGCTTTGGAAATGGCGTATCAAGAGGTTAGGGTGTCCTAGTACACGCATACCCAGAGGGGGGACTGGAAGCTCAACAGTAAAAAAAACCAACAATAGTATCAACAATACAGACCATATACCCAGTCCATTTAAAGATCAACAGTACACTCAGATAGAGATGATGCATATTAAAAAGATGACTCGTTCATATGATGAAAGATCAATGCAAACAACGTACACTAATCCATGCCATCCGCATCAACGCCTTCGTCCATGATTTATGACCACTTCCAACCATCCCATCGACTCAAGTCCACCCACGCCAAGCCAATAACGAGGTCCCAATCGATTTAAACCATGCCAAACAGGGGAAATTATATTAAATGATCTCAGACAGGATATGATGTTACTTTAATAAATGCTGATGCTAAGCGAGCGTGAATGATGGACGAAAAGAAAACGAGGGTGATAAGGGGACGAAAGAGAAATTTTACGATCAACGCGAAATTCTTCAGTTTGGTTGCTGAAGTGGGTGCAAGACAACTGAACCCAAGGTTCCTTTATCCATAGATGGGAAAGAGTCTCGTTCACTTGAGACGAAAGCTTGCCCGTACGACAACTTTCTCGTGTCTTCCTCCCATTTATGTCGGCGATCCTGTCCGCCGCAGTAAAGGTCCCTGATGGTCACCGCTAGAAGCCGAAAGCGGCCGAAGCTAGCTTATTTGGCAGAGGACGTGGCGGAAATGCTTGTCTCCTCCCAGAACGGCTTTTCCTTGTTCTTGCGGCCGCCGCACAAGCCGAAGGGGTCGATGGCGGTGACGACGAAGGCGCGGTCGTCGGTCCAGCCAGGACCCTCGACTTCCGTGACGCCATCCATGGAAAGGTACAGCTTGTGGTTCTGGGGCAGGTACTTGCGAGGGTGTCGGACGTTCCAGAGGAAGGTGTAGGCGATCATGGGCAGGACCTCGAAGACGTAGAAGAACCACTCGTAGCGGATGATGGGGCTGATGGAACCAATGTCGCCGGGCTTGACGGTGCGCAGAGCCTCGGCCCCGAAGTGCTCGACCGTGCGGTAGATGCAGCGGACGAAGATCAGGAATGAGGTTACATACATGGTCAGGCAGGGCGCGTTGACGCTGCCAATGTCAAGGCCACGCTTCTTGACGTGGTACTGGAACCAAGCCACGAAGCCGACAAAGATGAGGATGACGACAATCTGGATGATCAAGGAGGCCTTGAGAAGAGTCTCGCCGAGACTAGCCAGATCCGAGGGGATCTTGGGATTGATGGACCAACTCACACCGAGGGCGTTGAGGACCTCGACCACGGCGGAGATGGTGCCGAAGGTGGTCATGGTACGGCCGGGGTGGATCGGAGAGCAGTATGGGACATAATAGAGGATACGGCCCAGAATGTGGTAGTTGGCCAACTCGTAGATGGGGCTGCGAGGATTTGTCAGAGGAGCCTTCACAATGAAACGGAATCGTCTACTCACGGAGCCGTGTAGATCAGAACGGTGCTGGCCAGAAACACGTCGACATTGTCATAGTTCCAAGCGCCATAGGCACGAAGTGCGAAGCCAACCGTGAACAGCAGACTCGCAAAGGGAATCAGGGTAGTGACCTTCCAGGCCCTCAGACGACTAAAAGGAGAAACGAAAGACGTTAGCCACCGGTCGTTGAGCAACGGCGAACGAGACGTCTTACTAGCACTGCCAGATATGCCAAGCAGTCGACGCAAAGAAGGCAGCGGCACCGAAGATGGCGGCGCCCTTGTTGGGAGCGTAGAAGTAGACGCTCCCGGCGACTGCATCCCGACGAACATGTCAGCTGGCGATGGCTTCTGAGGCTGTAGGGCTGGACGGGGGGACTAACCAGGTTGGCCGTCGGACATGTTGCGAGACTGGGGTTTGCGTTTTACCCCGGGCAGGGTCTGGACAAGGAGCGAATGGAGGAGAATATTGAGTAATTTGACGGATGTGTCGGAAGCAAGCGCTGACGGCTGTTAGAGTAGACTTATGAAGGACGACGAAGCTGGTGCGGAGGGGGGTCGAGGGATCGAGGGATGGTCGAGCACATCACTAATAGCCCACGTGACGGTTCCGCTGGCCACAGCCAAGCCTGGAGGAATCCCGACATTTTCGCAAAGAGACAAGAGATGGGCTTTACGTAAATGCCAGTATTACGTGTCGAACGGGCTTGGGGTCGTCCGCTGGGCGGCGTTTCAAAGGGCCCAGGAGATGGGTTGCTTCTACGTGCCCGGGGCGCCATGCGTGTGTATGCGCGAGTGAGTCGGGTGGTATTACGATAGGGTGAGGAGGTGCCCTGTGCTGCAGCGCCCAGCGCCGTGATTAGCGGCCTGCTAGCGGAGTGGTTCCAGTGCTTCGGCCGCTGGGGATTAACGCCGCGCACCGCCAGCAGGCAGCCACTTAAGCGCTGCGACCCCCCCGAGCACAGCCCCTGCGCCGCTGTCCCGCGCTGCAAGTTTTGGGCAATAGATCGTCCGCCGCTGCAACCATGTCGCTCCCCGTGTCGTTCCCCGGGCTCAAGACCAACGGCCACACGCCGGTTCTGCGGCGCGCCGACGAGGTGGATGATCTGGTCGACGCCGTCAAGGCCCTCATCGTGCCCTACATCCGCGCCGCCGACGAGGCCGCGCCGCACAAGCTCACGGGCGGCGGCGCATATGGCACGCCCGCGAACGTGCTGGTCGACAGGATGGAGCCCGCTGCGCTGGCGGAGCGCATGAGCTTTGCGCTGCCGCTGGGCGAGGGCGCGGGGCGCGAGGGCCTGCTGGACCTGGTGCGCGGGCTGCTGCGCTACAGCGTCAATACGTGGGACCAGGGCTACCTCGACAAGCTGTGCGCCAGCACCGATGCCGTGGGCGTCGTGGCCGAGATGCTGCTCGCCGTGCTCAACACCAACTCGCACGTGTACCAGGTGTCGCCGGCGCTGACCGTCGTCGAGAAGACGACGGCGCGCACCTTTGCCTCGCTGTTTGGGCTGGTCGGGCCTCGCGCGGGTGGCATTACGTGCCAGGGCGGCAGCGCTTCCAACTTTACGTCGTTGGTGTCTGCCCGGGGTGCGCTGTATCCCGACACGCGCAGCGAGGGTAATGGGAGTTATCGCTTCGCCGTCTTCACCAGCTGCCAGGGACACTACTCGATCCAGAAGGCGGCGTTGGCGTGCGGCATGGGCGTGTCGAGCGTCGTTGCGGTGGAATCCCACCCCGACGGCCGTATGGATGTCGATGCGCTGAGAGCATCGGTCCTCCAGGCCAAAGCAGATGGCCGCACGCCGTTATATGTCAACGCCACGGCTGGAACAACCGTCTTCGGCGCATTCGACCCTCTGCCGGAGATCGCGGCCGTATGCGCCGAGTTCAACATGTGGTTCCACGTCGACGCTTCATGGGGCGGCGCCGCCATCTTCTCGCACAAGCACAAGCACAAGCTGGCCGGCTCGCACCTCGCCGACTCGCTGACCATCAACCCGCACAAGATGCTCAACGTGCCGGCGACGTGCTCGTTCCTGCTCACGCGCGACACGGCGCTGCTGCACCGCGCAAACACCCTGCCGGCCGGCTACCTGTTCCACAACGACGCGCCCGGCGACGACGTCTGGGACATGGCCGACCTGACGCTGCAGTGCGGCCGCCGCGCCGACAGCGTCAAGCTCGCCCTCTCGTGGACCTACTACGGCGCCGCGGGCTTCCGTCGCGCCGCCGACAACGCCTTCAGCACGGCTGCGCACCTGGCCAGCGTCGTCGAGGCCCATCCGGACTTTTGCCTCGTGTCGAGCAACCCGCCGCCGTGTCTGCAGGTGTGTTTCTACTACGCCCCCGGCGGCCGGATGGGCAAGAGCAAGGAGGAGAATACGCGGCGCACAAAGGACCTAGTCAAGAAGATTGCCGCGCGGGGGTTCATGATTGATTATGCCCCTGGAGACGCGGGGAGCTTTTTCAGAGTCGCTGTCAACTGGCAGACCTTGACCGACACTGTGGAGGGGATCATCGTTGCTCTTGAGCAGCTCGGGAAGGAGTCGGTTATTGTGTAGAGACATTGCAGCATCTTTTTTGTTTAGACTGGCTTGAGATTCCATCTTTTGGTTGCGTCTTCTTCTTGTTGGCGGGGGTTACTACGTGGATAGATAGACGATGCTGGCTAGAACGGTTGTTTACTATAAGATAAAGGAACTCACATGGTACATGATTATTGATCTTTGCCTTTATAGTACGAAATAGACTTGACATTTTAAGGATATGTGATATCAGGCATTTCTGTCCCGGGACATGCTGAGTTCACCAACAAAAGAAGGAAAGAAATTGTAGTCCGGTGCTACGTCTATAGCGTTGCGACAGTCGGACGGCAGTGGCCCACCCGCTAGAGGCTCATACGACGTTGCTGGTCGCCTGCTATCCGTAATTACTCGTTATTATGGCACCAGCACGAAGAGAAATTACAGCAGAAATTTGAAATGGGCTGAGTAAATTTAATCTAGTTGGGTAGGTACCTAACAACTTGCATGAAAAATCCTGCCTTCCGGGTCATCCCAAAACTCAAGCAACCTGACGCAAACAAATCCCCCAATAACGAAAAAGCATGCCACTGCTACACCATCAAATAGCTCTATAGTCTAGCTTACGGTCCGCCATATCCAACATGTAATACACAAAACGTCTACCCGTTCAGGAATCCTTTAAAGTCTCCAGAATGCTCAGGCCCTCATTCAGCTGGACCGTGAGTTTAGAAACCTGAAAAAACATATTAGCTCGACAGTCTCGTTAATCGCCGCGAACCCATTACTCACGTGCTTAAAGTCAAAAACGCCATAATGATTCGTGTCGGTATCCATGCTGGCCTTGATGAAGCTCGGATACGCGCCCTCCCAGCCCAGGAACCGCTCGTCGCGGTACAAGTCGACAAAGCACGCCTTGTCCGACGGCGTCTTTGTCTTCGCGTACCCGACGCACCGCACCAGGACGGTCGGCGGCGGCCCATCCCCCGCGGTCGCCGACTCGCCGGCGTCCTGGTGAAACCGCTGCACCTCGACGTTCCGCCACCCCTCGGTCAGCGACTTGTACAGGATGCCGCCGTCCTCAACGCGGTGCGTCTCGCCGCCCACGCGCAGGGTGACGGCGCGGCCGCCCAGCGCGGGGCCGTCCCACGGCGGGAGCTCCCAGTTCTGCAGGAGCTGGTCGCAGTTGGCGAGCGACTTGCGCACCAGTTCCGGCAGCTTGCTGAAGTCCGGGTCGGCGCCGGCGCCGGGGAACCGGTTCATGGCGACGTGGTAGGGCGAGTCGATCATCAGCATGCCCGCGACGGTAAACTTGGGCGAGGGTGTGTCGGCCAGGATGCGTGCCATGACGATGGAGAGGTAGCCGCCGAGGGACCAGCCTGCAGGTCGAGATGCGCAGTTAGTCTAGGCTCAGCTTGTCGGAGGTGCATCGGGACGGTCGCATTTCACAACCAGTCCCAAAGTAACGAGGGCTTCACTTACCGCCCAGCAGGATAGGCCCCGAGAGATCGATAGACTCAATCAGCTCGATGTAATGACGAGCCATCTCATCCATGCCGCCCTCCCATGGCGCAGCCGTAAAGAACCGCGGGTTATGGATGGCCCACACATCGCGATGCAGCTTCCCCAGGCTAAAGTAACCAAAGGTCGTGCCGCCTCCGTCGTGGATCAACACCAGCGGCGTGGGCTTGGGCGACTTGCCGGCCGGCGCGGACTGCACTCTGAGCGGGTTCTTGTCCATTGTGAAGAGTTGAATCTACGGGCAATGCTGTCTGTCTGTCTGTCTGTCTGTTTCCCGTAGCTATGTACGCTTCGAGCTGCGATTCCGCTCACGGCGATAGCATCTCGGAGGCAAAAGTAGAGGGCGCGACGAGGGGCTGCGCGGGGCTGTCGCATGCCTTCGCTCCCTCCATGGACCAGCACCGGCACCCTCGTCCAGCGCTAGGACGGAGGTGGCAGGACGTGAGATGGCAGGGCATGGCTGGAGATCCCATTGCCGGACAAGGATACGACGGGCCGGGCCACATTACGTTGATGGGGTATAAGAGGCCTGTGGGGACCGGAGCCCGGTAAGTGACGTGAGATATATCCCGTAAGAGGGTGTGGGCCAGCGATCGACCATCCTGTCGCTGGGGATCGACATCGCGCGTCCTCAACTGAACCGCCAACTACGCAAACTGCCTGAGCTCTCCTATGCCGATTTATTCTCTACATTCATGCCGCAGTTATCGTCTCAGAGCACCATCCCGGGTGACAACTGTCAAGGCGCATCTGCACATTATCAGGTGCATCGTACATGGTTCACTAGCCGTCACAATGGGTCCATCCAGCACTGTCTTACGCGAGCGCTCCAAATAACCCGATTGAGATTTCGGCCCATGCATCATTGGCTGATGCCCGTCCGTCCCTTTTTCGCAGCACTTACGCGAGCGCTCCATGCGACCCGATTGAGGTTTCGTCCAAGGCGTCATTGGCTGATGTTCCCGCTCCACTACCCGATCATCCGTGAGCGTGGTTTAGAAATACCCTGGTGTGGAGATAAAGCCATGTCGTCCGAATATTCTGACGCTAAGCCACGTTACGTTATTTGCGCCAATCCGATAAAGCTGACCCCCAGCTCAGGATGTAAGGCTGTGAGGCTGACCGTGAGACTTTGGGCGAAATTAGTATGCTGGCATGGTGTCCCATCCGTAACCCTGGTCTTAGTTGGTTGTGCTTCTCAGAACGGTTGACGACTAGCCCGCAGTGTTGGCTCAGTGGCAGTGAAGCATGGCTTTAGGGTACCAGCGATGGCGCATCGAGAGGATCATGTCTGACCAAATGTGTGTGTCCGCGCAAATAGATTCCACTTTCCAGGTGGACCGTCAAGGACACATTGCGAGCGATAGTGTTTCTTCAAGTATAATTGCTCCAATCCGTGTCATGTCTTCGCAACTGGTATTACTCATGATGGTAGCTGGGGCAAAAAGTGGGTCTATAATCATGTCGTCTACGTAGTATAGTAGACATACTGCGAGTCTCAATATCACTCCTTTCGTATCGCCGGACCATCCCACGCCCTCGGAAATTCCTCCATCGTCTCTAAATGGCATGTCCACTACCAAATATTACTAAACATATCCATCAGTCCCGCCTAGGGATTATGAGCAGGCATCAGCACCGAAAGTTAAATCCAGGTCATCCTCAATCCATCATGACACAAAGATTAACTTGCAGTAGATGCCTTACGGTTCCACATTTGCTCAGAGACTAGCGAGATACTGGTTTCATACCATAGCCAAAGGGGAATGTGTTTTGAGAAACCATTGTCGGTGGCATTTGATCAGAGAAATATGGATGGTGATACCCTGTAGTAGCGGCAGCCGTCAAGTAGAACCTACCACACTTGCATCGCCACTTCTGGTCCCACATTCTTGGCCGGAAAAGCCAGCTTAGACCTCAACGACTAGCACACCTAAGCAGTCTACACTATGGCTTCCAGTGACGATGCCTCCGTCTCCTTCAATCCCGCCACGGACATCCCCTCTCTGGAGGGAAAGGTCATCCTCGTGACGGGAGGCAACAACGGCCTGGGCAAGCAATCCGTCCTCGAGTTTGCCCGACACAACCCGGCCGCGATTTGGCTCGCGTCTCGCGATGTGAAGAAAGGCCAGGCCGCTGCGGCGGAGATCAAGAAGCAGGTGCCCGATGCGCGCATCAAGGTCCTGCAGCTTGATCTGGCGTCTTTCGAGTCTGTGAAGAAGGCCGCCAGCACCGTCTCCGCGGAGACCGATCGCCTGGACATCCTCATGCTCAACGCGGGCATCATGGCGTCGGCTGCTGGCTTGACCAAGGATGGCTACGAGATGCAATTCGGGACCAACCACATGGGCCACGCTCTCTTCGCTCAACTCCTCATGCCCGTTCTGCAGAAGACGGTCAGGAGCACCGAAAACCCCGACGTGCGCGTCGTGGTCATCTCATCTGCCGCCTATCAAGCCCGACCCGAGGGAGGCATTGAGTTCGACGGGCTCAAGACCCAGGCTGAGAGCATGCCGACCGTCGTGCGGTACGGCCAGAGCAAGCTCGCCAACATCAGCTACGCGCGCGAGCTCGCTCGGAGACACCCTGAACTCCGCGTTGTCTCGGTGCACCCAGGCCCCTCGCGGACCAATCTTGTCAGCAGCATGACTGGGTTTCCCTTTTGGCTTCGCTGCCTAGAGCGCCTGTCCAACTTCGGATACACGCCTGTTCACGAGGGCGCCAAGACCCAGCTGTGGGCGTCTGTTTCTACGGACTACACTAGCGGAGACTATGTCGAGCCTGTTGGAGTCCGTGGAAAGTTCATTTCTGAGGGGATTGTGGAAGATCTGGATCAGAAGCTGTGGGACTGGACTGAGAAGGAGTTGCGGGCACATGTTGCCTCGGTGTGAATGGTTTGGAGAGCGTCACGGTTCCTGATGTGTTTACATGGTTTTCGTATTTGTTTCTAGCCCAGTAATTTGAGCCCGTTATTCATCGGCGTGATACATGTTAAATTGTACCTGATTCGGACAGAATGTGCTTGTATATTTAAACTCAACGGGACGGCATTCCGCCATTATTTTAAATACCGAGAGATTCGGGAATCATCGATATGTCCTTACAAGACTCTGCCATGCCTAGAATAATCTGCGTAGAGCCGTTACTAAACTACATCGTACAAGAGTCCAGATTGCGCCTGGCACTGTCATGTCCCCGATGACAAGAACTCAGGATTCTCGCTAGTCACATTCCCAGCTCCTTCATCTCCTCGCTTCAGCTCCGAAGCGTATCATAAGCAACAGAACCAATGAAATACCGTATCGGAGGCCATGCGATATGACCATCATCCCTGGGCCAGGGGACTAATACAACGCTACGCTGAGCGCATGGGGGTGAACTCAGCGGGGGCGAAGCAACGCCCAATGGCAAGCTCCCCATGCCGGCGTCTGACTCCTGAGTCTGGTCTACACGAAAACGTGGGTTTTTGTGGACCAGAGGTGTAGGGGTGTAAGGCCATCGGGGAGTGCGAGGGGTTAGAATAGCTTATCACATGTGTCTGGTGTCGAATCATTCATTACCTACCACCAGAATCGCAATGCCACGAACGTGCATGTGCGAATCTTGGCTAGCCCGTAAGTAATCCTCATTACACCTTACCCAATTCGCAGCGCCTTGTAAGACGTCTAGACATGTACAGTGCAGGCTCCGGTGATTCGCTGACGCCCATATCCATCAGCGACATCCATCATCAAGCGGTTCCCATAAGCTCAGGGCCAAGAGCATTGCTGTTATCTATCAATGATTTACCAGTGATTTTCCAGTGGCACTCTAGTCCAGCCCATCCCGAGGCTGACAGCAACCAAACAAATTCATGACGCTTTTTAATTCTTGACAGCCTGGCCAACAAACCCCACTCAGACCGTCGTTTTACAGAACACAATACCTGCCACACAAACGCCAGAACTCAACCATCATATTGTACAGCCATTGGGTTTACACGCCGACACCCTTTGCCATTCGTCTTTTTATTCCCCACTCCCCACCGTCCATTCATTGATCAGCAACGCTCTGTGAGCCTTCAGTCGGCATGGGTGACGCGATTTTTAACGACAAGCCGCTAACAAACGGCTACCACGATGTGCCCGGCGCCACGGGAGACGATGGTCTCGAAGCCATCGCCATCGTGGGATTGAGTTGTAGATACCCTGGTTCATCAAACCCTCAGAAGCTATGGACCAATCTTGCGACCGGTACCTCGGCCTGGTCCAAAGGGCCGCAGAAGCGGTTCAATATGGAGGCATTCTATGATCCTAATAACAGCACTGCAAGTGTGGTAAGTTGACATTGTCCGAGTCTATGGTCTCGGTTGTTTCTCATTTATATTGGTGATGCTTCGATACATGCGCAGAGCCTTGCGCTCGCATGGAGTTGATCTATCTAAGCTAACCTGTCAATTACAGACAAACACCAACGGCGGCCACTTCCTTGACGAAGACATCGCCGCCTTTGATGCTCCATTCTTTGGCATTCATGCTGTTGAGGCCAGGGTAAGTCTACTAGCCCGTCAATCCCATGCATTTTCTCATCGTGTTAGGCCATGGACCCGCAACAACGCATGATGCTAGAGGTTGCATACGAATCTTTTGAGAATGCCGGTATGACAACGGAGCAGCTGTGGTCTTCAAATGCGGGCGTGTACGTTGGGCAGTGGACTTCAGACTACGCCGAGGTCCTCTCCCGCGATACTGAGTACCCGGCCACCTATCACGTTACTGGATCAGGCCCTGCCATTACCTCAAACAGAATATCATACCAGTTCAATCTGCAGGGTCCTAGTTTGACTGTCGACACTGGCTGCTCCTCAAGTTTGGTTGCGCTGCACTTGGCGGTGCAGAGTCTCCGGTCCAAAGAAACCGAGATGGCCTTCGTCGGCGGTGTCAACCTCCTGGCGGACCCGCAGCGTTTCACGTACCAGAGCAAGCTGAAGATGTTCTCGGTCGATGGAAAGTCCTTTGCCTTTGACCACCGCGCCAACGGCTACGGTCGAGGTGAGGGTTGCGGCGGTCTCGTGCTGAAGCCACTGTCCAAGGCGTTGCGAGATGGCGACAATGTGCGCGCCATCATCCGCAACACCGTCCTCAACCAGGACGGTCGAACCCCTGGCATCAGTGTGCCCAGCGGCGAGGCCCAGGAAAAGGCCATCCGAAAGGCCTACAAGGACGCAGGACTGGATCTCAGTGTCGACTACGTTGAGGCTCACGGTACCGGTACTGCCGTTGGTGATCCCATCGAGGTAGAGGCCATCGCCTCGGCTCTGTCCAAGGACCGCAACCCCAACAATAAACTCCCAATCGGTTCGATTAAGGGTAATATTGGCCACACCGAGAGTGCTGCCGGTGTTGCGGGCCTCATCAAGGCCGTTCTCATGCTTGAAAAGGGCTCTATCCCGCCTCAAGTCAACTTTGAGAAGCCCAACGAAAAGATTCTGGTTGATGATTGGAACTTAAAGGCAAGCCATCCATTTTCCCTCAATTCATGACTACGTTTTATAGGGCTAACCTGTCTTCAGATTAACTCCGAATTAGAGTCTCGCGCGCTTAATCGAATTTCCGTCAACAGGTATGTTCTCATTAGTCGCTTGCCCATTCCCATATCTGACTTGTGCACCTAAAGCTTCGGTTATGGCGGTACCAATGCTCACGTCATTGTCGAAAATGCGAAGCATCTTCAGCCCGCTGTGGAAACTCAGCCTGCAACCACCGTGGATGTCCAGCCCCGCGTCTTCATCATCAGCGGTGCGAGCGAGAACAGCTGCCAAAGCTTTGCGACCACCCTCGCAGAGTTCGTGTCACTGACCTCCACCTCCATCACTGACAAGCGCTGGATGGACCGGCTCGCCTACACTCTGAACAGGCGAACAAAGCACAGGCATCGCGCGATTGTTGTGGCTGAGACTCCCGAGATTCTGGTTTCAAGCCTTCAGGCCATCGCCGAGCAGCCCGTGGCTGCCAACACGGGCGACTTGAAGACCAGAATTGGCTTCGTCTTCAGCGGCCAAGGTGCTCAGTACTTTAACATGGGACGCGAGCTCATTAATGTCTGGCCTGATTTCACCTCATCCCTGAAGCGAGCTAACCGTCAGCTCGCCAAGATGGGCTGCACTTGGGATGTTCTTACTGAACTCGAGCGAGACGCCAAGGAGACCCGCCTTGACGAGCCGCGATTCGGACAGCCGCTCTCCACGGCCATCCAGCTGGCTCTGATCGATACTCTCTCTGCCCTTGGAATTGAGCCCACGGCGGTCGCTGGCCACTCCAGTGGTGAAATTGCTGCTTCGTACGCCGCTGGGTACCTCTCCTTTGAGAACGCCATGAAGGTGTCGTATCACAGAGGCCGGCTTACCAGCCAGCTTCTCGACCGCGAGACGGATTTACAGGGCGGCATGATCGCCGTTGGAGCCTCCTCCAGGGTCGTCGATGGCTACATTGCGAGCCTTCCAGACTCTGAGCGACTCACCATCGCCTGTTACAATAGTCCCTCAAGTGTGACAGTCTCTGGAGACATGCCCGCCATCCAGGAGCTGAGCAAGCTGCTAGAGGAGGAGGCTGTCTTTAACCGTGTTCTTCGTACACGGGGAGCAGCCTACCATTCTGACCAGATGCGTCGAATCGAGGATGAATACCGCGAGGCACTGGAAGGACTGGAGGTGGAGACGTCCGAGACTGGCGTCACCATGGTCTCATCCTTGACCGGATCTCCCATCGAGGATGCCCACGAGCTCAACGAGGAGTACTGGTGCAGCAACCTCGTTTCTCCCGTATACTTTGAGGACGCCCTGTGGGGTCTGTGCCAAGCCGATGATGGGTCTGCCAACGTCGACATGGTTCTGGAGATTGGCCCTCACTCGACACTCGAGGGCCCCGTGAAGCAGACCATCCAGACGTTCGAGGGAGACGCCAGCGGCGTCAAGTACGTCAACACGCTGAAGAGAAAGGTCTCGGCCTCCAAGGCCCTTCTCGGCTGCTTGGGCCATTTGTTCAGCGACGGCGTCGACTTCGACTTCCACTACGCCAACGGCGGATTCGAGGACGAGATGTTGACGCTGATGGCCGAGGCGCCGCCTTACGCTTTCGACCACGAGCAGACGTACTGGCACGAGAGCAGAGTGTCCAAGGAGTACACTCAGCGTCAGTTTCTCCCCCACGAGCTGATCGGCAACCTCTCCGCCGATGTCAACCGCCTCGAGCCTCGCTGGCGACGCATCTTGACGCTCAAGGAGCTCCCCTGGTTGCAGAACCACGTCATCCAAGGCCAATGCGTCTTCCCTGCCGCTGGCTACCTTGCCATGGCGCTCGAGGGAATGCGACGCTTCAAGAAGATGAGCGAGCCTGCCATCGAGATTGAGGGCTACACCTTCCGCAGCATCAACATCGGCAAGGCCTTGGTCATCAGCCAAGATTCAGCTGACGAGGTTTGCCTTTCTATCCGACCTGAGCCTCGGTCGGCTCGCGGCTCGTCGAGCTCTTGGATGGAGTTCCGGATCTTCACCGTTGCGTCGGGTGACAGCTGGAACGAACACTGTCGTGGTCTCATCAATGTGACGACCATTGACGGCAACGAAGCTCACAATGCCAAGGCCTCCGACCTAGCCAGCTTCCAGAGGGATGTCCAGGGGGCGATTGAGAACAGCCAGCAGAGCGTCAGCCCTCAAAAGTTTTACTACCTCAGCCGAGATATCGGCCTCGACTGGAAGTCACCTTTCGACAACGTCGTCGAACTCAAGCTCGGTGACAGTACTTCAGTCGGCAAGGTTCAGTGTCCTGATGTGGGCTCGGAAACTACCAGCCTCGGCGAGCCTAAATACGTCGTCCATCCTGGTACCCTTGATTCGGCCCTGTTCCACGGCTTGTGCTCCATCCTGCTCTTGAAGAACGGCCTCAAGTCTCCTGCTGTGCCTACCTTTATTCAGGATCTCTACATCTCGGCCAAGTATTCTGAGGTGCAGGGTTCTCAGCTCACCTGCTATTCCACAAGAAAGGAAGGCCATTTCACCTTTGACGTGGGTGTGAGCGAAGGCTCCGGAGCCAATGAACGAGTCGTGGTGCGGGCTGAGGGTGTCACTGCTACTCAGCTCCCGGGAGATGTCATCCTGTCCAGCTCTCGCGAGCTTGTCCACCAGATCCAATGGGTCACTTACACAGAGAACATGACACCAAAGCACGTCGGAGAGTTGTGCAGTTCGGTCGTCACTCGAGACTCCGTTGCGGGGCACAACAAGCATCTTGATGCACGGGTGTTGTCGCACATTCAGCGCGCAATCAAGGCCCTCCCACTAAGCCAGGTGTCCGAGGAGCACCACCGTCATTGGTACGACTGGATGCAGTCCCATGCCACTGACAAAATCGACGTCTCGAAGATGGGAACTCATGGCTTGAACCGGGATCTAGAGGGCGAAGCAGAGGCCATCAGCAGAATCGGCGACAACCTCGTTGATATCCTCAGCGGCAAGACCGAGCCTTTGGCCCTCCTACAAGATGGCGGGCTGCTCTCTTCGCTGTACTCCAACGAGCGCTGCCAGCGCTGCTACAGCCAGATGTCCGCCTACGTCAGCGAACTTGTCAAGCAGAAGCCTGGCATGAAGGTGATTGAGATTGGTGCCGGAACAGGTTCTGCTTCCGAGCCCATGCTGAAGGCCATGTGCCCTGATGGCAGGAGGCTCATCTCTCGATATGACTTTACCGATATTTCTCCCAGCTTCTTCGAGACTGTCAAGGGACGTCTCGCTGACTTTTCCGATGTTGTCAACTATCGCGTGCTGGATGTTGAGCAGGATCCCACGACTCAGGGTCTAGAGGAAGGGTCTTATGACCTTGCTATCGCTTGCAACGTCATTCATGCCACCAGTTCGATCGGCGAGTCTCTGGATCGTGTGAGAGCTCTTCTCCGCCCCGGGGGTGTCCTGCTCCTTATGGAGATCACCAAGGATGCGCTGTACTACAACTTGGTGTTCGGGTCTCTCCCAGGCTGGTGGGCCGGCGACAAGGAAGGCAGACGCATGTCGCCGCTCATTCCTGACTCGGAGTGGAACACTACGCTCACTTCGCACGGCTTCAACAAGCCCATGGCTACCTTTAAGGATTATGAAGAATCCAGCGGAGGCACGCTCAGCGTCTTCCTCGCCACCACGGCGCCAGCCTATCCCAAGTCGCTGGTTCACCAGGTGCAGGTCATTACCGACAAATCGAAGACCAGCGAGATCTCAGGCCTTGTGGACACCTTGAGCGTCTCTCTGGGTGCCCAAAACGTCTCCTCGTCGGATCTCATGGCTCCGACTACTTCTGAAGGCATCACCGTCTTCCCCCCGGAGGTTTGCGAAGCCTTCATCGAAGACGTGGATCCAAAGTCATGGGACAGCTTCAAGAACCGCCTGCTGACTTCCAAGGCCGTCCTTTTCATCACCAGGGGCGCAACTCGAGACTGCAAGCGACCGCGAGGCGCCATGCTCACCGGCTTTGCGCGCAGTTTCAGGATTGAGCACCAGGACATCCGAATGGTCAACGTTGACTTTGACCTGGATACAGATGTGGCCACTTGCCGAGAATTGGTGGCCAAGGTCCTGAAGAGCCCTTCGTTTGATCTGGAGCAGAATGACGCAGACGTGGAACACGAGTTCTCTGAGCACCAGGGTCAACTTTACGTTCCCCGCGCATTCCAAGAGAAGACGATTGGAAACCATGTCCGTGACTCCAACGGCCAGTCCAAGCCCGAGATGGCTTCGTTCGTGGACAACGATCGCACTTTGGTCGCACAGACAGAGGTCGCCGGCCTCCTCGACACTCTGCGATGGAAGGACGATGAGAATTCCGGGCCTCCTGGTCCTGATGAGATCCAGATTGAGCTTCGGGCCGCCAGTATCAACTTCAAAGACGTCCTCATCGCCGCCGGCCAGCTCGAGGGCGTCACTGAGATGCGAAACGACTGCGCCGGTATCGTGACGCACGTCGGCATCAACATGATGGACCGCTTCAGGAAGGGCGACCGCGTGTGCTGCTATTACTCCCGGTCATACACCAACCGGCCCCGCGTCCACGGTGACTGCTGTGCCGTGATCCCCGAGCGTCTCAGCTTCGAGGAGGCCGCTTCGTTGCCCATTGTGTGGGCTACAGTGTACTACTCGCTCATCCACAAGGGCCGCTTGGCCAAGGGCGAGAGCGTCCTCATCCACTCGGCCGCCGGTGCAGTCGGCCAGGCGGCGATTATCTTGGCCCAGCACATCGGCGCCGAGGTCTTCGTCACGTGCGGCAGCGCGGACAAGAGGAAGTTCCTCACAGAGACGTATGGCATCTCCGATGACCACATCTTCTCCAGCAGGACGACGGCGTTCGGCAAGGCCATCCGCGACATGACTGGCAAGGGAGGCGTCGATGTAGTCCTCAACTCCCTGGGTGGCGACGTGTTCCGCGAGTCGTGTAACACGGTTGCGCCCTACGGTCGCTTCGTCGAGATTGGCCGAAAGGAGTTCCTCGATGACATGCTGATGCCGGCCAAGTTCTTGCTCAAGAACATCACCTTCGCCTACGTGGATCTGGCGCTCCTCATTGACGACAACAAGCCTCTTGTTGGCCAATTGCTGCAAAATGTCATGGATCTCATGTCGTACGGCGCTATCCGTCCAACTTCCATCACCACCATGCCCATCTCAGAGATTGAAGCAGCGTTCCGCCACATCCAGGCAGGAAAGCACATTGGTAAGGTGATTTTGAAGGTTGAAGACGACCAGCAGGTCAAGGTACGTTCATCGTTTTTCTGTTCAGGGCAGCGCTGATATTAAGCAGATTGTACCTCCCGCGCCCGCACCCGCGCAACTCAAGCACGATGGTGCCTATCTTGTAATTGGTGGCCTGGGTGGCCTTGGAAAGGGCATTGTGCGATGGATGGGAGCTCACGGAGCCCGACGCATCATCGCAGTGTCCCGATCCGGCACCTGTGACGATGAAGCCGTGGCGGTTATCCAGGATATGCGCGGCCAAGGCATCTCTGTCGAGATCGAGCGATGCGACATTACCTCGCTTCCGGCCGTCGAGGCCCTGATCAAGAAGATCGAGCGTGGCCAGAATGCCTCGCCTATTCGCGGAGTCATTCAATCAGCCATGGTGGTCAAGGTACGTTGCGGTTATGCGGCACACCGTCGCCGTCACAATTGATCGTATTGCTAACATTACCGATCGTGCAGGATACGAGATTTGACAACATGGAGTATGATCAATGGTACGCCACCCATCGCCCCAAGACCAAGGGAACGTGGAACTTGTACACGGCACTGCCCAAGACGATTGACTTCCTCGTCATGATGTCCTCGGCCGTCGCCATCAGCGGTAACGCAGGCCAAACCAACTATGCCGGAGCCTGTACTTACCAGGACGCCCTGGCGCACTTCCTTCGCACCCAAGGGCTTCCAGCCTACTCTATCAATGTCGGTGCTGTTGCCGATAGTGGCTTTGTGGCCGAGAACCCTGAAGTTGCTGCCGCATTGCGCCGAAAGGGCTTCGGTACTATTGCCACTAAGGAAATGCTGGCTACTCTCAACTATGTGCTGGCAAACACCGCGGCCTTCCAGGTCGACGACTGTCAATGTGTCATTGGCCTCGTTCCCAAGGGTAACGAGCCTGGCCTGCGGCCGGGCGTATGGGTCAATGACAGCAAGTTTAGACACCTGTCACACCGCAACAGCGGGTCACAGGAGTCATCTGATTCCGGCGAGGTTGGCGAGACCATCAGTTCCGCGCAGACGGCAGAGGAAGCCGTCAACCTCATTTGCGAGGCCATCATCCAACAGCTTAGCAAGTTGCTTGCTACGCCTGTCAAGTACCTGTCCGAGGATCGCAGCCTGGATGACTATGGCGTTGACTCTCTTGTTGCGGTGGAGCTCAGGAACTGGATCGGCGCCTTCTTGCAGGCGAATATTCCGCTCTTGGTTCTTCGCAAGACAACCAGTGTCAGGGAATTGGGAGGTCTTGTTGCCAAGGAATCTAGATTAGTTTCTGTGAAGCCCGAGTAAGTAGAGCGGGACTTGTTGAGGGGCTACGAGACACAGAATGTATAAACGTGTGATCTATGGCGAAAGGGTTCATATGGTTTTAGTTTGATTTGATTTGAGTTAATTTAGTTTTGACATGTTTTTCGTTTGCTTTTTTCATTTCGACATAACCGCATTCTTCTCAGGAGACACACAGGTCTCACAGTCACCATTGATGTTTTTGGCTTGTTTGTATCTACAATGCTACATTACCTCCTCATGCAGTTTCGTATAAAATAGCTTCAACACCACAATTTGCCACCCACGACCATGGCGACGGTAATAATTTTGATCCGCTATATGCCTCCTTTACAGATCTAGTCTAGCTACTATGAAAAATGTGACAATAATCTCTTGGGTGGATCGTCAGAATCAAACTGGTGCCACCGCCTCGCAGCGGGCACTTCTCCTCCAATCGATCTATTCGCAGAAAAGGGGCATCTGGCGTCTCGTCCTCGCAGCGGGGTTCCTTCTCCGCTGAAGATTCGTTCGCGTAAAAGGGGCGAGGATCTGTGAAAATACCTCACCGTCGACGTGGGATGACTCCGCGGACGGCCGTCGTCACATCTTGGGTTTCCAAGGAGGCCACCGAGGTGGTGTCAACGGCTGCAACGGGGAAGTCAAGATCCCGGCCTGTCACCGAGATGGCCAAAAAGAGCAAGTGAGTAACTTGTTCAACACAAGCCGGGCGTTTAGCGGCATCTGAATAGACTGACAGATCATGATTTGCGTGGTGAGATCAACAAGACCTGGTCTCCTCCTCTCATCTTTCCGGCTTTCCTACGGAGTTAACATGGCGGGAGGATCGGCACGGCTTGGGATCAGGATGTACCACCCCAGTCACACATCGATACGTACCGACGCTCTATGCATCTTGGGGGCTTCCATTTGTCTCGTCGAACACCCTCCTGCATATTCGAACACCCTCCTGCAGCTGCTGGTCCCCGCCGTGCATCACATTCCAGGACTTCCCTGCATGTCATTCCAGGCAGGCGGAAATGTACCCTGTTCATCATGTTGAGGAGGTGCAACTGAGGGGGGGGGAGATCTTGATTCCGAGTTAGTGGAAGGATTCATCTTTATTCCTCACGCCAAGGGACGTGGATGCTTCGGTCAAAGCCGAAGTCGTCAACATTGCAGTTTCATTGAGTTTGCGGATCTGTAGCCATTGCATTTCTCGTACGAAATCGATTGGCTTTGCTAAGCACTCTAAATCTTGCTGACCGTCAGATCGTCTCCATATAGGTCCTCTCCAGTGGCTCAGGTGCCTTCATTATATCAGCTCAGCTCAGCTCAGCTCCGGATCGCGGAACGATCTGCGTTGGTGATCTAAACCTGTCAGTTACTCATTGGGCCGATTCACAACACCTCCAGCCTGTGACCTCTCGACGAGTGTCCCGCTGCCGAACCGCTTAACCATGTGCATCCCGCCCTCACCAAAGTACCGGCGGCCGCTCCTCTCCAGATTCTCTTTACTCCTCGGGCTTCTTACATAAGCGTCAGACGCTCTCGTGCCCAGATACTTGGTCTGACCTCGCTAGATGCAAGTGTCGGGCGGAACTCCCATCTCGGCCTAAGCCTATTCTCCGTGACTCTTCGGGTGTTCTGCCGGCGGCTTCGAATGCATGCTCCCGGATTCTAGAACATTTCCTCTCTACACTGCGGGCGCTTGCGTTTGGAGCTCATGCAGGCGGTGTGTGGTGGACTTCAGGAGGCAGGAACCTGACTTATCCCCTGCATTACGGCTCCCGTCATGCTTCCCGTCATGGTTGCATTGTCTTGCCGGTATTCGATGGGCCAATCGGCTAGGCTGGAGACGTTCGTTCTAGAGTTTTCCATTCATGCTCCGAAGATTCCAAAACATCGGTACGAACCAACTCGTGATGGGGTTACGGATGGCATCAGTTCTAAGCACAACCACGTGCAGTTTCGAAGACACATGCATTACAGACCTACAGTAGTGGAGACTATACTTTCTGCAGAGCACTCGGTTGCATTAAGCTTTGTGCAACATCGTAATCGTGATAAGAAGGGTCTTATTCGGACATTTGCACAGCGGCCAAAAACATCAGTGCGAACAAGACCAAACAGGCAATTAGCTCGTGGCAAAGGGCCCTAACAATTTACCTTTGCGCCTTTGAAATCACAGTGGGTCAGGAGACTGTGACGCCAAGCCGCCCCGCACGGAGGCCTACAACCGTCCGCCATTGAACTCCACACGCAACACACGCAGCAGTGAGCACACGCAAGACTCCTACTGTACGTAGTACTGCTGCTGTGCAGGGGGAGGTCAGACCCTTGAGATCGCTTCGCCTCATTTCCCCTGCTGGTTCGATGCGAGGCGTAGTACGTAGTAGAGCGCTGGGTCGGGTTTAGCTGCATGTGAGCGTTACATTCTGGCCTAAGAGACTTTTGCTACCAACAAGGGTTAGGCCCATGGCTTGAACAAGGAACTCGTATGATACGCTATGACCCTTAGCGGCACCGAGCAAGACAGATAACACAAGCCCTATGAGGTCTATGAGACGAGGCTGGTGCCATCCCACAACATCCCGGGACCGGGGTTGCACCCGCGGATAGGATTGTGGGATCTACTAGCGGACCCATCGCCTGGCGGATTCGTCCCAGCTACTACGTGCATAGTATGACCGCGTCGCGGCCAATCACAATGCCCCGGCGGCGCCAATGTCGTTGCTAACATAAGCCCGCAGACGGGCCAGCTTATGGGTTTGAATCCATCCGGAAGTAGTACGGCGAACGCCACGGCACTCGGAACTTATGATCGAGGATCGAGGATTTATCCTGCAGCGCCTCCTTCCTGCTAAGGCCAAGTGCTTAGGAGTGTTGCAGCAGCGAGGACGGTACGCTTAGTAGAACCTTACTCCGGGAGCTAGGCAACGAATAAGGAGACCCAGCAGCGACGAGGGGGGGGGCCCAGCACTAGCATCGAGGTCCCGATCCTTCTGCCTGCTACGCCTCCCTCCCTCCGTGGGGATATGAATCGCTTAGTGGACTGCAGAATACACGTGCCAGAAGCCGTGGAGCGTGCGAGTATAGTCGAGCAAGTTTGCTGGGTACCGTAGTAGGTACGGAGTCGCAGTACCGCAGTACATATCCAGGTGGTCGAGACTAGCGAGGCATACCCCTGACGACCTCCCATCAGGGTTTACCTGCCGAACCTACAGTACCACAGCACCACGCAATCCAGCAGACATATATCAAGAGTAACACGGGAGCATGCATAAGTGCGTTACCGTGTAATACCTCTTGGCCAACGATACCCGTTCGATTTACGATACCCGCCTGCATTTACGATAGCATTCTGCGAGACAATAGTTCCTGGGGTGCACACTTTCTAATACTCCCTTCCCTTGCTTTTTCCTTGAACCTCCGGGACGATGGATGCGGTGCTACGGTACTCGATATCCAACGGCAGCGACGCCGGTGCCGACCCCAGCTGGGCCGACATAAACGATCCTAAAGAAAAGAAAAAGGTCCAGAACAGGATCGCACAAAGAAGCTATCGTGCGTCGCGTTTTCCGTCTGCAATTGGCTCGGGCAGCTGCATCTAACCACCGTGACTAGGCCAGCGCATGAAGGCACGGCTGGAGAAGCTCCAAGCCAAAGTCAACTACCACGAGCAGATGAATCTCGACAATACCCCCCGAGACGACGACGTGCAAAATAGACAAGCGCAACAGCAAGAACAACAACAGCAACAACAACAACAACAACCACACCAGCTCCAGGGCAACCCAGAACCATACCACCCCGTCACATTAGAGTCGTTGACGCCAGAGTCACCGGGCAAGCACTCGATGCAACCGCAGGTGCTGCAATCCACATTTTACGACCACGCAACAGAAAAGGGCAACAAACCCATATACATGCAGCCCCAGCTCATGGACGACACACAGCAATTACCGCCGAACCGCGCCATGAGCGACCCCAACAAGGCGTGCGACAAGCTCCCCATAGACTACATGCGGCTCCCGAAGCAGCAGATGGCGGACAAGCTCCCGGCGACAACGCTCGCCGACCACAGTCCGCAGGACGACGGCGCGCGAATGAGTACGTAACTGCAGATGACCTCACATTCTCACATTCAACATTTCGAGAACCACAGACTGATGGGGGGCGCAGACGGAGCAGTTGACCGCCACCAGCTCTACACGCCAGAGCCGAATGACGTCATGGCCTTCAACCACCCGTTCGACATGTGGTCGTTTGAGATGCTCCCACAGACGCGGCGGCAGCCCCAACAGCCGGCGCTAGGAGGCGAACTACCACCGCACGTCGGCGGCGGCGGCAGCAGCAACGGCCTGGCGATGGATTCGTCCCTGACGGACCTGTCGTCGGTGTCGCCCGCGCCGTCGGCCAAGCAGGGCCTGGACGAGCGGCTGGAGTACGTGCTGAGCTGCACGCGGGCGGCGGGCTTCGAGAGCTTCGACGCGCTGGTGACGGCCTACTACAACGGCAACTTCGAGGACTCGTCGCCGCTGGCCATCGAGCAGCGGTTGAGCCGCAACCGGGGGCTGCCTAGCGTCGTCGCCGACGTGTTTCGCGACGCGCGCCGCTGGAGCGACTGGGAGCGCCGCGGCTTCGACGAGGAGCTGCTCAAGACGACCGAGAGCATGCTCGTGTCCGAGGGCGAGGACAGCCGGAGTTCCCTGGAGAGCGTCCTGAGCATGCTGTCGGCACCGCAGAACGGAAGCGGCGGCGGGGACGGCTCCGGCACCTCGGCGAGCCAGGCGCAGGCCACCCTGGCGATGAAGAAGGTGATGCAGAACGAGGTAAGGCCGATTCCCGAATTCCCCATTGCCCAGTCCCCAGTTCGCAATGCCCAGTCCCCAGTTCCCAGTCCCCTTCCCCACCAGCACTGCGCGCGCAACCGCCAGAATCCAGGGCGGTGAATGGGCGGGCCGTAAAAAGAGCCAAGACGAGACGACCAGAACGCTGACCAGGGGCTCCCCTTTTTTTCCCAAACAGTTACCAAACCTCTGGGCGCTGATGATGGCCTTCTCGGCCGAGCACAGGGATGTGTGGCAGCGCAACCGATCCAACACGGTGCTCGCCGCGATCCTGCTGCTGCGATACCCGGGCCGCATCCCCAACGACCAGCTGCTCAAGCTAGTGAGCGGGTGCCTTTGAAGTGGGGGAGAGGGATGGATGGAGATGGAGGGGTTCGTTGTACAATACGGGGAGGGGCTTTGAACCAGGGGTCTTTGGAACCTGGGACCCTTTGATCGGGTCACGACTCCATTTGGTCAGTGACAGTTCAGTTAGTCTGTCTGTCTGTCACTGACAAGTTTGCCGTGAAGCGGCGTGGGCAGTTTGCCAGCGTGCCAGCGTGCCAGCGTGTGCCAGCGGGCAACTGCCGCGGCATCTCTGCTAGCCTCAACTTCGCAACTCGCTAGTGGCAGTTGTGCAGTCTGAAACAATCTACTTGCCGGGGGATTTGGGTTTGGAGATGGGCTTCGTTATCGCACTCTCATTGGCCTCATTTCGGCTTCCCCACTGCCGCTCTACATGGGGAGGGGGGGGGGGATCCGTCGTTCCCAGGCAGGCACCGAAATACATACATACATACATACCAATATACCATTTAACGTATCAGCCCTATCCACTTTTGGGTTCGTTCGTCCCCCCCTTGCGAGGTCCAGTGCCGGTACGAATATTCATGCAGGGCTTCTGTGTGGACGAAAACGCCATGCACGTGTCGGTACCTCGGGCGGATGACATCCATGTCCTACCCTGCTTGCGTCGTACTGGCACGGCCGACGACTCCGTGGTCTCACCCGGCGATTAGATAGGACGACGCACGTAGACTGACAGCCTATTTCGGTGGACTGAGCTGAGAATGGGGCAACTCCGTCTCTCTGGATTGGGCCAAACACCACGTCTCACGTCTCACATCCACCAAACTAAGCCGTCCTAACAAGTATCAAAGTTCACTCTAGCCTATATCCGCCGTCCAGAAGGATCAAGGAACAACAACGTAATACCGCCGTGCACCGAAAGCAGCGCTTCGTATACCTTGAATGCGGTAAGCCCCCAGCGATGCTGCATCTGGGCCCCACCATCCCGGCCGGCAGCCATTGACGGCCGAGGAACCTGTGACAGGAGCCCTCACCTTGCGGTTCATGTAGATCTTGGTAGCATTAGGAATGGAGGGAACTTCTCCCAGCTCTCCCACCACCTGACTTGGCTGGCGGGCGCCCTCGTCATTCACTGGCGGCGTGTATCCCCTGCAGCCATCATCCCAGAGGCTTACCGACCCAGAGGCATCCTACAGGTGCTACTACTGCACTGAGACTTTGGAGATGTTGCTCCCAAGGGAACCTTCCTAAAACAGGGGTGCCGACGACGATCTTGCTCCCTTGCGTGGCTTATCCCATGTTTGTGGATTGATCTCGTTCCTTTTTCCCCACTGCCCTATCCGTGAGCCGAGAGAATGGGCTATATCCGGACAACGGGGACGTCGCAGGGCCCGCCGCCACACCGGCCGTGAGCGAAGCACGCGCCGCCTCGTAATATCACGAACGGCAGGGATTCGCCTACGGGCCTAGGACTAAGCATCGAGGAGAAACGATCTTGTCGGGGATTCTTAACCCCCCGAACCCGGCTAGCTCTCCCTCCTGGCGCTGGTGCCAGCTATATTTCCTGGCGTAATTTTTGCGACTGCCTAGGAGGAATATCCTAGCGATCGTAGGGATTCCAAGCCCCCCTCCACCCAAGCCTGTCCTCGGGAATGACCAGCCGGGCCCGTCATCACTCAACTTCTTTCAAGGGCTGGCAGAACGATGACAACCGACAACTGAACACCGCAGCCATGACGAACCACGACGCCCACGATCTCGATGCTGCCGCCAGCGAGGCCGCCCCCTTCCTGGAGCTGGAGGACCAAGAACCGCCCTCGGACGCGGGCCTCGAGGACGCCTCCCCGAACCCCCCGGAGCCGAAGCCCCGCGCGCGGGTCCTCGTCCTGCTGGGCTTCACCATGTTCTGCATGGCGCTGTGCGGGACGCTGGTCCTCGTGCCGCTGAGCCGCCTTGCCGAGAACCTGTTGTGTCACCAGCACTATGGCACCACCGAGCCCATCGACGAGAAGCGCTGCAAGGTCGACGACGTTCAGACCAAGCTGGCGTGGCTGGGTGCTTGCGCTGCCATGATCGACAGCACTGTCTGTGAGTAAAAGCTTCTATCCCAGCTCCCTGTCGTCATTCTGCTTGCGATGCCTTTCAATTCCGCACGCCAAGTGATAAGACGCACGCATTATGCTTACAACGCCCCCTCAGCGCTACTCGTCTCCCTGCCCTGGGGGATCCTTTCGGACAGGCAAGTTGTTCCTTTTGGAGGAGCTGTGGCTTGGCAGTTCGCTAACATTCCTGCGTCTTAGCATTGGACGGAAACCTATTCTCCAGCTCGCCTTTACGAGCATGGTCCTTGCGGTGGGCTGGAACATTACCGTCCTGGCCACCAATGGGGCGCTGCCCATCTGGCTGATCGTGCTATCTCCGGCCTTTTACATCTTCGGCGGGGGTATGTCCGTCATTTCTTCCGTGCTATACTCCATTATTTCCGACGTGACGACAGAAAGGTAAGCACGATTTATCATCGTCGAGCCGACACCCGTGGATGCGTCGTCGGCGTCGCATTTCTCACTGCATGCTGAAGGGCCGCCGTTGATCTGACCGCTGTTTAGGACGAATGGCTTCGTCTGGATCTCCATTGGAGCCATGACCGGCGGCGTCAGCGGGCCTGCCATCGCCGGCCGGCTGATGGAGACGTCGTCGCCCTGGACGCCGCTCAAGCTCGCCGCGGCGCTGGTCCCCGTCGTCTACCTGTGCACCGCCCTGATGCCCGAGACGGGCACGCGGAAGGCCGCCGTGGCCATCTCCCTCCAGTCGCCCGACAATCCCGCCGGCGCGAGGCGCTTCGTCATTGCTCTCCGGACGCACTTGGTCGGCTTGCGGGCCAACCTCGTCGAGTCGCTGGCCTTCTTGCGCAGCCGGTCCGTGGCGCTGCTGCTGGTGACGGTGTTTGTGCACTCGTCCATCGCCGCGGCGCAGGGCCAGCCGCTCGTCCAGACCATCTCGCGCCGCTTTGGCTGGTCGCTCGCCCAGACGGCGTACCTTTTCTCGGTGCGAGGCGTGCTGCTCATCGTGGTGCTCGCCTTGCTGTCTGCCGTCTCCTCGGCGCTGCTCATTCCCGTGCGGTGGTGGAAGCCTCCGTCGACCTTCATGCGCGACCTGCTCCTGCTCCGAGCAGCCTACGTAGCCCTCCTCGTCGGCGGCGTGCTGCTCGGCGGCGGCACCATCGCCATTGTTCTCTCCGGCCTCGGTGCGGCGACGCTGGCTGCCGGCACGCAGGCGCTGTCGAGGGCGTTGTTGGCGGCGTACGTCGAGGCCGATCACACGTCGAGCCTGTACGTGCTGACTGGCATGGTCGAGACGGCCGGCTCGTTTATTGCGAGCCCGTCGCTGGCATGGGCCTTTGCTGTTGGCGCGAGGCTCGGTGGCACTTGGCAAGGTCTGCCGTTCTGGTATGCTGCCGGCCTGTCGGGCTTGACGCTTGCAATACTGGGTTTTGTCAGAGAGCCTGTCAAGCGTGACGAGGAAGAGTGAGGGTCACCGAAATACTAAAGAATTTCATGTAGATTTACTGGTCCACTGGAAAAGTCGTCTGTATTTCTATCCTCCCGATTTCGCTCCACCTCAACAACTCTCCAAGAGTCCGCCTGATTTCACCGCTTCCAAGTCCCTCACTTTTTTACTAAACCTTTCTTTCTCTAGTCATTTGTTGCTCTCGCTCTAGAACAGGTACCACGCTACTGTACGGGGGTGCATGGAAATCAGATAAGATAGTGTTAGTGACATTCGCATACAATAGACCATGGGTAATCTAGATGCCTTTCGTTTTCGTATCGCTTATGCGAAAACCCGGTTCAACTACCTCTGTCATTATTTTCACAAGTCAAGGACCGTCAGGAAAACCTACGCTCTCAGAAATTTTGCTAATAGGGACGCACATAGACAGCTGATGGGGAGAACAGTCATACAAAACCGTGGCACCAGAATTACCATTGAATTTTTCAAACAAGCCAGAAATGCCAAACTAAACTCTTCCTCTCCTACCTGGGAGTATTCCGACTGTGGGATTGGGAAATGAATAAGTGAGCATAGTGGTCCCATTATGAGAGTGTGTCAGGGTAGTTGAGTCAAGCAAGCATGATGTTGATAGCTCCGTGACATAATATCGAGTTGAGAGAGTTGTTTCGCTTGGACTCCACGATGCCAAGGTCCGCAACTCGAATTCTAGATCTGTGATTGGTCTGACTGCTTAATCAGCATCCACAATCGCTAGCTCGCTTAAAATTGCAGCTGATTATGCGACCATATTTTGAACATGATGATATGAATAAAGAGCACCTAACATTCTCGCCAATTTATAAAACGAAGATAAATATCGATCTATTCATGACCAGTTCTTCTTGATGTTTTCGAATATCAATTGAATTATTACGACGTGACCATCGGACGGCCAGACACCCATTCCCTAATGCCCAATGACGACATCTCAAGTCAGGTGGCTACCCTAGACAATGCGGCCAGACAAGGCACGCGGAATAGTCGCCTATGACCACGCTCGTATTGCTGACCAAACACGTTTGAAGACCACTTCATAAGTCCCCATGGTCAGACGCAATAATAGACCAATAAAGCGTAGGTACCTACTATGTTTGCGGATGAGATGGGATGATTATAAATTAGCTCTTTGTGTCATAAAGGCTTGGCTTCCACTAGCGGCTCGAGATAGATAGCATTCAACCCGGCAGTGTCCCATGGACGAAGCGGTGCATGGGAACAAACTTGGCGGTTCCGGGGTATGGGTGAGTGGATTGGGATCCTGCAGCCGGCTTATTCGCCTGTTGAACTTGCAGGGTACAGGGGTCCATGTCCATCTCATCTCACCCGCCCGCGGCGCCACGGAGTACAACAGGGCTGGCAAATTGCCGCTATATTATGCCGGCGGGTTTGAGGGTGAGACCCTGCACCTTACGTCACCTTGAGGGCGTGGGGATAGAGGGCGATGTGGGATTGACGATGGCTTACGTTGGTCGAGAATCAGCGGCTTGTCGTTGGCTGCTGCAATGCAGTGGCAGTCGGAATGTGGTCTCCATACTGTCAGCGAGTTTGCGGTTATGCCGTAGCAGGAATGAACCCCTCAGCGGCCTGGAAGAGCCAGTTGACGGCTGTTTGGAATCACTAGGCTGAGCAGACTATTCCCCGTCTCTTGTGTAGAAGCGCAATCCAGGCCTCCCGGGCTGTCCGACAGCGAAGACTGAACACGACGCACTATACTCCCGTCTCTGCCTCTCCCGCGTCGACAGAGTCAACCCGTACTCTTCAACGCCCACTTGATGGCCGATTGAGTTGAGCTGATAAGCCGCCCTTGTCTAATCTGCCGTCATGTCTCAGCACCAACCCCGGCTCCTCGCCGACTGTCGCGACGACAAGTTTGGTCCCTGGGCCGGAATCCTCTGTCGCGGCGGCTTCGACTTTACGCTGTTTTTCGAGGAGTCCATCCTCTCCATTTCCGTCCAGGCCATCTTCCTGCTTTTGCTCCCGATTTGGGCCTGGCAGGTAGCTCGCACTGACGCCAAAGTCGCTGGAGGCATCGTCCGCCCAATCAAAACTGTGGGTGATCTCCAACCCCCTGAAGCATCTAGACTGCAACACCACGCCCACTATCATGTCCCTATCTTCATATCCGCGTCTTGTATCGTGTGCATGTTCACGTGCTTCATCTTGCCATCGCTCACATTATCGTCTTCATAGATAGGGTTGTTGTGTCTGGTCGGTCTCAATGCCGCTCTTCTCGCCCTCTGGGTCAAGACCGATGACGGCCAAATCACCCACACCAGGGCGACCCTCGCCAATGCAGTACTCACTCTCATCGCCTCTCTCGGCGCCTGTGTTCTCTCCTGGCTAGAGCATGAGCGTAACCCCAAGCCTTCATTCCTTGTAACTAGCTGGCTATTTTTCTCTGGCTTTCTCGACCTTGCGCGCAGCCGTACCTTGTGGATGATTGGCGATGGCTACCAACCCATCCCCATACTCCTTACCTGCTCTTTGGTTTTGCGCTTGGTTTTGTTGGTACTTGAGTCTTTGGGGAAGCGCCACCTGCTCGTCCCACAGTACAAAGACAGCGAAAGAGACATTACCAGGACCCTCTTCGAGACAGTCCTCTTCTGGTGGCTGAATCCGCTGTTGGCTGTGGGTTACAAACGGAACATCGCCCTGAGTGATTTGTATCCTCTTGAAAAAGACATGCACTCCGATGACTGGCACAAAAATATTGCCGAGGCATGGGAAAAGGGTAATTCATCAGACTGTCGAGCCCGACAGAGTGTACTTTTGCGTGCAATGCTGACTCGAATCTCCAGTGCCTGACAAGACCGTCCCAGGCGTGTTGTTTAACGTATCGATTCGTGCTCTCGCGTGGCCTCTAATGACCTGTGTTCCTCCAAGACTGTTGCAGATCGGATTTACTTATGTGCAACCCATCATGATCAAGCAGGCTGTCACATTCGCTGCTACACCGCAAGGCAAACCCTATGACAACTATGGCTACGGCCTAGTTGGAGCCTTTGCCATCGTCTACACTTGCTTGGCTGTACGTTTTGCAGCATTCTGAATCCCTCGCTATTTGATCTTAGCTTACACCTTCAAACTTAGATTTGCTTGAGTCAGTACCAATGGCGTGTGAGCCGTGTTTCTGCGAAGCTCAGGGGCGGCATCATGGCACTCATCTTCCAAGAATCTCTGCAACTGGACGTGACATCACCGGATATTAGCAGCACAGGTGCAATTACCTTGTTAAACACTGACGCCAACAACATGATCGAAGCCGTTCATATGATACACGAAATCTGGGCCAACTGCGCAGAGATTGGAATTGCCATTTACCTGGTACAGCGAGAAATGGGCGCCGCGTGTGCCATGCCGATTGCCCTAGCAGCTTGTAAGTTTCATCGTACATGAAAGGGAAAGCTCGCTGACTGAATTTTCTATTAGCTTTGATGTTTATTGCGGTCTTCATCGCAGTTCCATCCGGAACAGCCCAGGCGGCTTGGATCCAGGCTTCTCAGGAGCGCGTGACGGCAACTTCCAAGACCTTGAGCAGCGTCAAGTGGCTCAAGATTTCGGGCCTGAGCGATGTGACCTTTGGCGTCATTCGACGTTTGAGGGTCAGGGAACTCAAAATCTCAATCACTTATCGAATCTTGCTCGGAGTGACCCTGGTCCTGCGTATGTGGTCCCTAGTCTACCCATGATAACCTGGCAAGCTAATCCGAAGACAGTGACTTTCTCATCGGTATGGAGTCCGATCCTTACGTTCTGTCTATATGCAGGCCTGGCAAAGAGGAATGGAACCTCGATTGATGTCCCTACCGTCTTTGCAGCGTACTCGGCTCTGTCCCTGTTGAATGGCCCTATCACCTGGGTTATGCTCGCATTTCCCACCATGGCCGGTAGCTTGCAATCTTTCCAGCGTGTACAAAACCACCTCAACGGAAAGAAACGGGTTGATAACCGGGAGGCGCTAATGAATCGCCCCCAATCTATCAACCAGGCAGAGAAGAGTGACACTCATCTTATGTTAAACTTTGAGCAAATCAAGGTGCCAGAAGGGCACTTTGAGCTGTCGGATATGGATCAGAGCAGCGCCCCATCCTCCATCATAATGGAAAAAGGCTTCATTGCATCTGTCCATGGCAAGTTTTCGTGGGCAGAGGACGAAGAACCAGTCCTCGACATTGAAGAGTGGAACATTCAACGGCGCACGTTAACCATGGTCCTTGGCCCCGTCGGCTGTGGCAAATCGACTCTGTTGAAAGGCTTACTGGGCGAACTGGGCGGCTTTAAGGGAACTATCCGTGCTAACTTCTCGGGAGCGGCCTATTGCGACCAGAGCCCTTGGATTCCGAATGACACCGTCCGCAATATCATCATTGGTGGCTCGGACTGGGACGAGGCCTGGTATCAAAGGGTTCTTCACGCTTGTGCCCTGGAGCATGACTTGCTCACTTGGCCAAAGGGACACGACACAGTAGCTGGATCTCAAGGAATATCCATGAGTGGTGGCCAAAAGCAACGTCTGGTATGTCGCCGTTACCCACTCTACATTTGCATCATGCTGATAAAAACAGTCAATCGCTCGAGCCGTATACTCGAGGAGGGAATTTTTGATCATGGACGATGTTCTAAGCTCTCTGGATTCCTCCACCGAAGAGTTTATCTTTCAAAGTCTCTGGGGCGAAAAGGGACTGCTTTGGGAGGCAGATATCACCACGGTCCTCACCTCCTCTGACGGTAGGTTTTTGTCTCTTGACTCACTATGACATGTTTCTTTATGATCTCGATCTAACTTTCTTGCAGAACGCCGAGTCCATTCTGCCGGCCAGCTTGTCATCCTGAATGAAAGGGGCCAGATCAGCGGAAGGGGCACGCCTGATGAGCTCCAAGATGTTCTCAGCCATGTTGAGATCAAGTCCAACGGCAACAAAACAGGAAAAAAACACGGCGCAGTGGCACCCGATAACAACGGTGCAATCGGTGTTTTAGCAGAGCTTCCCACAGCCGACGTGGATGATCCTACCCGCCGGCTGGGCAATTGGGAGATGTATTCGCTCTACACGCAGGCCGCCGGAAAGCTTACCTTGGGCCTTTTCATCCTGGCCATGGCTGTATATGCTTTCTGCGCCTCTTTCCCCTGTAGGATTCCCGCATGGCCTATCATTGTAACGTGCGCTAATATGCTTTATAGCTGTCTGGCTTGGATGGTGGGCAAAGAAGGCCGCTGAAGAGGGGACCAAGAATCTGGGCAAATGGCTCGGCGTTTACGTCGTCCTGGGAGTTGGCTCACTGGTTGGATCTACGTGCGGAATCTGGTAAGACACGATAACTAACTACCGTATGGAGAAATATGCCTAACTTTTGATGCTTTTAGGCAACTTATCGTGGTTATCATTAACAAATGTGGACTACACTTCCACGAAGCGTTATTGGAAACAGTATCACGGTGAGCGAGACACGCAGAATACAGTTGACCTATTAACTAACCCTGCTTAGAGCCCCTATGGCCTTCCATTCTGCCGTGGACAGTGGTATCACGGTGAACAGATTTAGCGAGGACCTGCGACTGATTGATATGGAACTGCCAACCGCTGCCTTCGGCGTGTCTTCAAGTATGTATCTCTCGAAATTGCAGGATGCATGGATCGGCGCTAATCAAATAATCCTGCACAGCCATGGCGTTTCTTTTCGCTCAAGTCATCATTGTCGCTGTCACGTCGCGTTACTTGGCCGTTGCGTTCCCGGTTCTGCTCTTCATGCTTTATGTCATCCAGCATTTCTACCTCCGCACCTCGCGCCAGCTGCGTCTCCTTGATATTGAATGCATGGCCCCGGTCAACTCCCAGCTGATTGAGACTCTGGACGGCCTGGTGTCGATCCGGGCTTTCCAGTGGGACCAAAACTTCCTGCAGAAAAGCCTGGTCGTCATTGACAACTCGCAGAGACCTCGGTACCTGCTGGCCTCTATTCAGGGCTGGCTGTCGTATCACATCGACATGGTAATCACACTGCTAGCCATTATCTTTGTCATTCTGACTACCACTCTCCGAGAGGAGATCGGTGCCAACTACATGGGTATTGGTCTCAACAGTGTTTTGGGATTGGGTAGTGCCACAAAGACTGTGCTGAGCTTCTGGGTCATGTTGGAAGTGTCGCTTGGTGCTGTCATGCGTGTGCATCAGTTCACGAAGGAAACGGAAAAAGAGGGCGCACACGATGAGCCTTTCCATGACGAGGAGCACGCGGCTTGGCCCACGCAAGGCGCCGTTGAACTGAACGGCGTCACCGCATCTTATGAGTAAGAATTCCCGAATCAAGATACATTCCCTTTCGGATGGGGGGACTTTGAATTAAAAATGACTAACAAAACACAGGTCTTCCGGAGTATGTCTAGACAATATCTCATTCTCGATCCAGCCTGGGCAGAAAGTTGCCATCTGTGGGCGAACTGGAAGGTATGGCAATGAAAATGTCTTGACTCTCGCAATACCCTGCTGACATTTGACTTTAGCGGTAAGAGTTCACTGACGCTCTGTCTGCTTCGGCTGATGGACCTCGACTCTGGCTCCATCGCGATCGACGGCGTGAACCTTACCAGGCTTTCTCATGAGTACGTGCGAAATAAACTTGTCGCCCTGCCACAACAGGTCTTCATCATGGACGCTTCAGTCCGACTCAATGCCGACCCCTCTGAGACAGTTGGCGATGAGGAGATTATTAGTGCTCTTAAAAGAGTGCAGCTATGGCCCAAGATCGAGAAGAGAGGTGGTCTCGATACTGTGGTTGACGACAATTTCTTTTCCCAAGGCGAAGGACAACTTCTTGTCTTTGCTCGAGCCATGTTACGCAAGAGCAAAGTACTTATTCTGGATGAGTTCACCAGCAGGTAAGGCTGCCCAAGCAAAGGTGCATTGCACACATTGAACAGGATGCTGACCTGTCGTCTCATAATAGTTTGGACCAGACAACGAGCCAGATTGTCGAGGAGCTTCTCGTTTCATTCTTCAATGACTGGACAATTCTCGCCGTCACACACAAACTGGACTCTGTCTTGACCTTTGACAGAGTTGCTGTCCTGGAACGTGGAAGGTTTCTTGAGTTTGACGAGCCCCGGAAGCTTCTGGAACAACAGGACTCGGCGTTCAAAACATTGTACGAGACCCATCAGCAGAGCGAATATACCGACAGTTCGGGCGGGGGGAAGTTATAGGACATTTAATCTTATAGATTTCCTGCTCTCGATACCTTCCACCATCGCGTTGTCACCTTTCCTATGTGTACCGAAAATCATTTCTTTCTGGGTGCTCTAAAGCAGCAACCATTTCCATCATAAGCCAAGATAAAAGTGCTTAATGGGAGCAAGTCTCTCAGGATAAGGCCAACTCTACTCTAAAATAGACCTCATCACTCAATGCGCCGGCAACAGCTATACGCGTTTATTCCCAACGACGCCATCGTTTTCAGTTCTTGGTTAGGTCTAAACTTTTTCTGTCTTTACTTCATATAATCAGATAGATCAAACTCATACAGTATTTATAAACAATAGAGACTATTACTAGAAGAGACGGTAGCTTCACAAGCTTCACAATCAAGTTGTTGCACGCTGATCTTTGCTGTACGCTTCAATTCAACCCTTCTGTCTTCAACCCTGTTGGCTGCAGTCAACAAATTTGCTGTCCGCGGGTAGCAAGCTTGAGACAACAACCTTCTCCTGAGCAATGTGATATAAGGGATTGGTTAAGTCTATAGGTAGAAAAACGCGTCAAGTAACCTTGCTGAACTGCGCAGTTATTGAGGCTAGTAGAAGTCTGGAGCCTCCGCGCTGAGATAGCTATCTTAGTATTACAGTGGTAATGGATCAAAATGGAATTCCTATGAGGGAATTAGTATTGCTTGAATATGCTTTATTGCGGCCAATGTTCGGCCAGGCGGTCACAACCAGCAGTAGTACATCCCCCACTTTTTTTTCATCAATCACCAGCATAATCAATCTGCACATCGAATAGTCTCCGCCCGACATAGTTCAATACCACTCAATATAGTTCAATACCGCTCGATATAGTTCTGCACCACTCGATACAGTTCTGCGCCATTCGATAGAGTTCCACACCACTCGATAAAGTTCAATACCACTTGAAAATATATTACTTGATGGATCCGATACGGTCAATTCAATCGTTGTAATATTGTTCAAAATTGATGATGATTATCCTCATCGATCCGGGTCATCCGGATCAGCCGGATGAGGGGCCTTTTGGTCTCGTCATCATGACTAAAGACCAGATATCAATCTACTGAAGGTTTCCTTGTACAGGGTCTCCCTCCAACATTACTTTATAAGTCGAACGCTAGTTACTCAACTTTATTCGGCCATCGGATATTGTTACTATATAGGCAAATTATCCCTGTTATATTCTACTCTGTTTGATAAGTTAAATGCGACCTACATTGGTCACCTCCATGTCCTGATCTACCTGCCCATGCCTTACATTGTTGAGCCCACCTTAGGGCTATGAAGTGACCCATCAGGGCACCCAGCCCTGTTGCGGACTGAGAAGTGGCGGAAACGAGCGGAGCCGGGAACTCGGCCACTGTACTTAATAGGGACCGTACTGCTGGCTACTGCTAAATGCCACTTATGCATCTTACTGTGCGTGACTGGGACGCCTTTGTTAGCGACATCTCAAGTACAGTTCAGCCTACCCTGTATCGGAGGTACAGGATAAGATGGATCGTCATAAAGTTCCAGTAGGGATGAGGGCTTCAGGTACAACGGTGGGTATGTACGGTCTGTAACGGCAAGCAGTATGGGGGTCGTTGTAGAGGCCACGTCCAGTAATGGTTCGCAGGTACAATGAGCTGGGTAGGTGGTACATGCAGCTAGCTGTGTCCTGTGATGCTTGGCAGCCCAGGCCTCTTCCGAGCAGCATGCTGGCCTTTAAGACAATCTTCTCAGCTTACTGACAGACAAGACATATTTGATTCTATACATGACCAGTCGCCCATCGTCGCATCAGTATATAGGCCTCAGTTGCACTACGTATTAGCGGAGTGTTCATTCCACTTTTGGCGTAGCAGTCAATGCGACACCCATGGTCTTGATGATATTCGCATCAATATACAACCAAGTTATACCTCTTAAATATAAGCTACGTAAGAATTTTATGCTATAGAGCTAATGCTGAGTAAAAACGAAGATGCCCGTACACCTAAAACCCGAATTCCATGCAATCAAAAATGAACAAATTCGAACAGCTCTTATCAATGACCGCCTCCAAATATGCATAAAAACTATCAATGCTAATCAAACAGTCACCGCACGACACAAATAGGAACACGCGTTGCCGAGTCTCGCAGTAACCTGTCCAACCTGTTTTTGAAGGTTAGCACATGGAGAAATAGATGTTTGACTCTGGATTCACGTACGTTGGGAGCACCGAAAATGCTGTGGTGGTTGCCGGGGATGTCCCAGACAACCTGAATGAAAGCGGTTTCGTACTCATTCCAGCCGAGCTTCGGGTCATGGCGGAAAACGTCGACCACAGCGACAGGCTCATTCTTTCGACTAGTCAGGGCGCTGGAAGCGCGCAGAAGGATTGTGGGAGGAGGGTTTTTCATGCCCAAATCACCACACTCGCTCGCGGGATCCCATTTGGGAGGCTGCCAGGCGGCGAGCATGCTGCGGGCATTCTTGATAGATGAATGGATCTTGCGGCGAAGCTGCGGCTTAACACCAACAAGGTCAGGGAGATGGCTATTGATGGCCAAGCGAACGTTTGTGTTTTCCATAACTTTGGGATAAGGAGTGTCGATGAAGATGAGACCAGCAATGTGAAGGGAGTCATCGTTGGATTGAGCCACGAGATGGGCGATTTCAAGGGCGAGGAAGCCTCCGAAGGACCAGCCTAAACTTTTGTTAGCATTGTTGAATCATTTTCCATTCGTCGCTATGAACATTGCGTACCTCCAATTAGAATACTTTTATGCGGGATCCTCGTCTTGATCATCTCGGCATAGACTCGTGCCATTTCCGGAATGCCTCCATCCCAAGGTCGACCAATGTCGAACCTTGGGTCCGAGATGCCGTAGACATCTCGATCCAGAGGGCCCAGCGCCTGGTAACTCAACACTGTTCCACCGCCATCGTGGAGAAGGACCAGCGGCGTCGATGACGCATTGCCATGCGCAAGCTGTACGAGGTTGACGTTCTTTGCAGCCATTGCCGAGGTGGACGATCAGTGGAGAGGAGGCAGTGCTGTGAAGTCTGAAAAGATCATCGCCAAGTATGTCAACGCGGAGAAGGAAGGCAGGGTGAAACCTGGTAGATGAGGTTGACAGAAGGCTCCGAGGTGCTTAATCCTCCAGGCAACCCAACTCAAATTGAATGCGGAGATGGGCCTGCATACATGCAGGACACCACACCTAACATCTGACATAACGTCAGCAGTAGGCCCAGGGCACGGTGGTGAGATCCGTTCCTGGGGGTAGGATGATGATCTCGGTGAGAATATTCCGCCATAGTGGCGAAAACACCGGACGATGACACATTGAGTGCTGGATGCGGAAGGCGGATGAAGGCACTAGCTGCCGGGGTCGCCGGCATCTGATATATCGGGAGGGACGGGCAATAACAAGTCCCGAGGCCCTGGTAGTGCGGCTTACGCTGTATTATGGCACATCGACTGGGGGTTGAGGGGAGTGCGATGGGGCCGCATCACGTAATGCGGCATGGAAGCCGTGGTGGAACTTCTAGACGCGAGCTAGACTCGTAGGATTTGATCCTTTACCAGGGTCGGCCGCTATCCAACTCGCGGGTTTCTACCCTGTACCAACTATCATTTTGAAGATTCACGGAATACTGGTAGAGTGCACAAGTAGTCTATGTTATCTATCCATGTTATCTAGGTTTGTGCGTATCGTTGCTGCTTAATCTGTGGATCATGACATGGAGTATTTGGAGATGATTAGAGTGGTGCGGGTGAGTTGTGGGAGAGTTGAGGTGGGGGTTCTGCCATGTGTCACTTCGCCGTCTTGATGATACATGGGACTTTCCCGAGGGGAGTTTTCCGCGGCAAATGACTGTATCTGACTCTTTGCATTTTGCCGGATGCTCCAGGATGCACCGGAATCACTCTCGTGACTGTATATCGCACGTTGCAGAACAGCTAACTCCCACCGACGCACCTATGCAGACGCCCCTCGGCGGACCGGCAGGATGATTCAGCACTGTTTCAAATGACTATCCCTCTGGCCTACAACGACCCCTGCCATCGTGTTAAAGATAGATCAGAATCATCTTTTAGAACGGAAGCCGCTCAGCCCTGCCTGGCCGAGGCTGTAAGACAACGTGCCACCTGCGACGCATGGGCACCTGATTCGCAGCAGTTACTCCAACAGGCTCCCCGGATCCCTCGAAATACCGGCGCCAGTATTGGGGGGCTTACAGTTTCAAGGATGTGCCGGCGTGTTTTGGGGGCGTGGTTCCTTTGGCTCCCGACGGGTGTATTGGGGGCCATGTGCGGCACGCTAACCTGAGCGGCCACGTCAGATCCTCGACGGTTCAGATCGATCCCACGTTGTTCGGCACGGGTACGGAGGTGCATCTAATGGTACCTGCGTGAGGGTGTTGCCCAATCCGGGAACGATGATCCTGGCAGTGTGAGCCAGGGCCAATGCCATTCCCCCGCAGGCCTCACCCTGGCTCACTATGGGCCGTTCCTCAGCCTGATTTAGTCTGCTGGGTCTCGGCATCCCTCCATTACGGGATGCTCACCACTGTTGAATCAAAAACGTGGCTGCTCATTGGCAGATACTGGCCACACTGACAAGAAACTCTGTGCTTTGGCCCAGCCACATGCAACCTCACGCACTATCAGGCCCCTTGGCGTTAGCATGTGGTTGAGATAGTAGCAGAAGCACCAAGTAGCCGTACCAGTACCTCTACCAGTACCTGTCCTAGTAGCAGCAGGGTGGCGCTGAGGAGGATGAGCAGTGCTGCGAGTTGTCAGCGCATCCCATGGCAGCACATGCTGAATACACTGGGTCCCTCTGGTCCCAAAAAGAGGGTGGTGGGAGGCGTCTCTTTGTAGACTGATGCCGTGACCTTGCCTGCCTGAGCCACGTAAAGCAGCAGGGCACTTACACGGCGAGCTCGTTACAGTCTAGGCGGCCACATAGAGTTGCAGCTCACGCAGAGGAGTGGATACTGCTATCATAGCTGCTATCAGTGATTGCCAATCCAAATTGACGTTTACCAAGACGCGGTGGCCAGCTACGTGCACGTCACTTTTGTCTCCCGCAGCGATATCGCAACCGCAACCCGCGCCTGTGAAGCTGCTTCTACAATCGCAACCAGCACCAGTTTGAAGCTGCTTCTACAATCGCATCGAAACTTGCTGCGACGCAGATTCTACCACCGCAGTCTTTACAGCTTCGAGACTGAGTCTCATCGACAGACTGTATTCGAGCTGAATTTCTTCACTCCTGTAACTTTTTCCATTTTAATCACACCTTTCAACACAACCAACACAACACAAACACAACCACAATGAGCTCTACAACGGCCGATTTCGTCCCCGACATTGTCGAGCAGCTCCTGCTCGTGGACGCGAATGTCAGCCAAGCCAGAGTGTTCAACCTCGCTAGAAACGACGACGAAGCGCTGTGGGCCGTGGCCATCGCTCTCGAGAAGGATGACGAGACGGAGCAGCCCGTGGCCGGCGCCGTGGTCAAGCAGATCCGGAAGAAGCTGGTGGCGGCCATGAAGGTCGGCGACAAGAAGATGCGCGTCCCGAAGAAGTGGTTCGTCCTCGATGAGCTCCCCGTCGACGAGGTCGGGATCATCGACGACGAGCAGCTCCGGCTGGCCTTGAACCCGGACGATTACTCGGGCATTTCGACAGAGGAGACGCTGAGGAGCATCGTCGCAAAGGTCCTGCGCTTGTCTCTGGCGGATGTACCGGCCTCGGCGTCCTTTGTCCGACTAGGAGGCGATTCGATTACCGCCATTGAGATCATGGCGCGCTGCCAGACGGCGAACATTACCCTGCGCGTCCGTGATATCATGCGGAGCGAGAGCTTGACCGAGCTCGCCAGCTTGGCGCAAAACCCGACCGATCAACTCGCTGCGACCGGCGCCACCACCGACGCCGCGCGCGAAGCTCTCACGACCGAAACACTGCAATACTGGGAAGCCCCCGAGGAATGGTTCACGCCTGACCACCGGAGCCAGTCCCAGGCGATCCTCTCCACCATGACCGCCGAGCGCCTGCGCGAAAGCTGCCACAGTGCCTCGCGGGTGTCGCCCGCCGAGGTGTGTCTGGCGGCCGTGCAGCAGTCGTTCCAGGCGACCTTTAGCGACCGCCAGAACCTGGCCGCCCTATTTTCGTCCCCTGAGCTTGCTGATTTGGGGCCTGTGGCCACTGAACAGTCGCTGTCTGCGACGGCTGACTTTGCGACGGCGATCCGTCGCGCCAAGGACTCAGTTGCGCGCGCTCAACCTCTGGGCGCCAGCGTTCCTTCCGTGGAGCTGTCTGTTTCGTATGTGGACGAGAGCAGCTCTGCTGTGTTTTTGAGCAACACTGTACATGATGATGTCCATGCGAATGGTAATGGACACGCGAACGGGAATGGCCGTACCAACGGAAACGGTCATGGGAATGGCAACACCAACACCAAAACTCAGCCCAATGGACATGCAAACGATACCAACACCCAACCAAACGAGCCAAAGTCGCTGTTCCGCCTCAAATTCACCGTCCGGACCTGGGGCGACCTCTTGATCGAGCTCGACTACCCCAAGAACTTGGCGCGCCAGAGCGACATTCTGAAGTGGCTTGAGCAGTGTCGAGGAATCCTGGAAGCCGGAATCCCGCTGCTCGCGCAGGCGTTTCCCATCTACTCGCTTTCGGACTTCCCTCACCTGCCGCTCTCCTACTCGGAACTGGACAGATTCGTGAGCGCTACTAAGAAGTTCGGCTTCGACGCGATCGACAAGGTCTACCCAACTTCGTCTGTCCAGGACGGCATTTTGCTTGCCCAGGTCCGGTTCCCCGATCTATACCGAATCGACTGTATCTTCGAAGTCACCCACTCGAAATCGGCTGCGCGCGTCGATCTGGATATTTTGGAACATGCTTGGAGCGATGTGGTGGCTTACCACGCCACGCTCCGCACCGTCTTTACCTCGAGCGCGCGCGACGGCGCCATGTTCGACCAAATCGTCCTCAAGAACGTTGACCCCGAAGTCAAGAGGCTAGACACCGCTGGAGACTCCTCAACGGCCATCGAAGCCCTCCGCGCGCGCAAGGAGGCTTCCTTTGTGGATGATCGCCCGGCGCATCTGCTCACCATCTGCGCTACGACCGACGGCCGCGTCCACTGCAGGCTCGAGATCAGCCACGCCATCATGGACGGAATGTCTGGAGCTGTCGTGTTCGAGGATGTTTGCCGTGCGTACTCGGGCCGTCTGTCGGATGCGCCCGCGTCCGACTTTGGCGACTACATCGCCTATCTGCAGAGCCAACCGAAGGGGCCTTCTCTGGAATACTGGGTCAACTTCCTCGACGGCGTCCAGCCCTGCCATTTCCCCGCCTTGATCGACCAGGTTGCCGGCCCTTCGAAGATGAAGAGCGTGCCCGTGGATATCAGCTCCAAGGCGCTCAAGAGCTTCTGCATGGCCCACGGCATCACCGGCGCCATGCTCCTGCAAGCTGTGTGGGGTCTCGTCTTGCGCGGCTACACCATGGCCGACGATGTCAGCTTTGGCTTCCTCGCTTCCGGCCGTGATGTGCCCGTCGCTGGCGCTGACTTCATGGTTGGCCCTCTGATCAACCTCTTGATCTGCCGCATCACCTTTGACAAGATGAAGACGTTTGAGGAGCTCTTCGCCAACCTCAAGACCCAGCTGAATGCTGCCATGGACAACCAAAACGCCTCGCTCGCCGAGATCCAGCACGTGGTGGCCCCCGGCAAGCGCCAGATCTTCAACACTCTGCTGTCTATCATGTACTCGATGCCTGAAGAGTCTACCAGCGAGACTGAGGTCAACGTCGAGGGAATTGTCAACTACGCCCCAACCGAGTACGACATCACCCTCAACATTGACTTTAGCTCGGACAAGATGACAATGTCCTTGGACTACTTCACTTCCATCATGTTGGATTCTCACGCACGCAGCTTGGCTGCCTCATTCACAAAGGTCATGGACATGATTCTGAACAGCCGTTCGAAGACGTTGGCCGACGTCAGCGCCATCAGCCATCTCGACATGGCTGAAATCGTCACTGATAATGAGCTGTTCCCTACTGCTGAATCTTGCTCGCACTGGCAGATCCAAGAGCAGATCAAAACCAGCCCCGATGCCCCCGCCGTAAACTCCTGGGACCGCGACTTGACGTACGCCGAAGTTGGCTTCTTCGCTTCCCGCCTCGCGTGGAAGTTGAAGCAGCTCGGCGCCGGTCCTGGCACGGTGATCCCGACCTGCTTCCCCAAGTCGGCGTGGGCCATCGTTTCCATGGTGGCGGTGAACATGGCCGGCGCGGCCTTTGTCCCTCTTGATCCTGGCGCGCCGGAGCTGCGTCTGCAGGGCATCGTGCAAGACACCGGCGCAACCATTGCCCTCGCCGCGCCTGCTTGTGCGGAGAAGCTGGCTAATGTGGCAGTTGAGGTCTTCGTCGTCGACGAAGCGAAGCTATCTCAATTGCCGCCTGCGCCCGCGGCCGGAGTTGTCTCTGCGGTTCGACCCCAGGACCCAGCTTTCGTCATCTTCACCTCTGGTAGCACAGGACGGCCCAAGGGTATGGTCCACCAGCACAGCAGTATCTCCTCTACGGCTGCGGCATACGGCGGATCACTTCAGGTCGGACCGGGCACACGAGTGTTCCAGTTCTCGGCCTACACTTTCGATATTGGTATTCTGGACACGCTGGTCACACTGATGCGTGGTGCTTGCGTCTGCGTTCCCTCAGACCACGCCCGTGTCAACGACCTGGCGGGTGCCATCAACGCCACCAAGGCCAACTGGGTGTTCCTGACGCCCACTGTGGCGGATCTCCTGCATCCGTCTGACGTACCAACGTTTAAGACGGTCATTCTCGGAGGTGAAGCCGTGCCGAAGAAGCTGGTCGAGCGTTGGAAGGATCATGTCCATGTCCACGCCATCTACGGACCGGCTGAGGCATCGTGCTGCGCCTGGAACCCAACTGTAAGTACAGCCCCCAAATCTACTAACCTCGGAAGACCTTTGTGTAGTGCCTTTTGGGTTGTCAACCCTACGAACCACCGGGAACTGTTGCCCATTGGCTGCATTGGTGAACTCCTGATTCAAGGACCTATGCTCTCGACTGGGTACCTGAATGTCGACGCCAAGGCAGCCGCCAACTTCCTCGAGGAAGTTGACTGGGTTCCCAATAATGGTTACGGATTTACCAGAGCCTACCGCACCGGCGACTTGGTGCGCCGAAACCCTGACGGCACGTTCGACTACATGGGCCGCAAGGACACCCAGATCAAGCTGCACGGCCAGCGAATCGAATTGGGAGAAATCGAGACTCGCCTGAACGAGTTCATCCCTCAGGACATGGGTGCGGTGGTCGACGTGCTCTCCCTCCAGCCCAGCAACCGGAAAGTACTGAGTGCTTTCCTCTGGTTCACCGAGGGCCCCAATTTCGAGAACACGAGCGTGCATCTCGCCGACACTCTCACCGACGAGATGCGACAGACCATTACGCATCTGAACACCTCCATCACCACTACCCTGCCCGCCTACATGATTCCGTCCGTATGGCTCGTTTTCCGCGGCAGGCCCCACCAGAACGCCTCGGGAAAAGTCAGCCGCCGGCATCTTGTCGAGTTCGGCCAGAGCATTCCCGCAGACGAGGTTCTGAAGTTCTCCCTCGGCGCAGTAAAGACTGAGCCGCCTACAACGGAGATGGAGCTTCGGCTGCGAGATATGTGGGCTGAGGTTCTTCACTTGCCGCATGAGGAGATTGGCAAGAACGATAGCTTCCTCCAGATCGGCGGTGACTCCATCGCGGCCATCCAGCTGGTCTCGTTGGCGATGCAGCAGGGCATTACTCTGACAATCGCAGAGATCTTTGAGGATTCTCGCCTCTGCCATATGGCCGCCACCGCTGTTTTGGAGGAGGAGGGTGAGACCTATGAGGCGATTCCTTTCAGCCTTCTCAAGAGTGGCGAGATCAACTCGGTCAAGGCAGCCGTTCAGGCTCAGTGTGGCCTATCGACCCAGCAGGACATCGAGGATATATATCCCTGCACAAGTTTCCAGGAAGGTCTTATGGCCCTGGCTGTTAAGCAGCCTGGATCCTACATCGCCAAGTACTTCTACCGCATCCCCGAGCACATCGACACCGCTCGCTTCAAGACTGCGTGGGAGCGGACTGTTGACCTTTGCGACAACCTGCGCACGAGGATCATTGCTTCAAACGGCACCTCTTACCAGGCCATTGTCAAGGACGAGCCTGCCTGGGTCTCCACAGACGGCCTTGAGCTGCAGGCTGTCTTGGACTCTGCAAGGACCAACTCCGAGATGCGATATGGCTCGCGTCTGTGCCACTACGCCCTCGTTACGGAAAAGACCGGAGAGCGCTATTTCGTACTCATTATCCACCACTCTGTCTTTGACGGCTGGAGTCTGAACGTCATACTTGAAACCCTCTACAGTGTGTACCACAGAGAGGCTACTCAAGAGCTGAAGCCGTATTCCAGCTTTATCAACTACATTGCGCAACTTGACCAGACTGAAGCGGGCGCATACTGGAAGAGTCAGCTCGAGGGTGCTCAGCCGTCTACATTCCCCCGCGTCGACACCAAGGCCACCTCCAAGGCAGCCAGTTGCGTGTCCAGGACGAACATCCCCTTCAAGCAGTTGGGCAACGGCGCTATTACCAAGGCCACTGTTCTTCGAGCCGCTTGGGCTATCGTCCTGGCCAGGTACTGTGATGCCGAAGACGTCTGTTTCGGCACCACTGTCTCTGGTCGTCAGGCCTCAGTCACCGGCATCGAAAAGATGGCCGGCCCGGCTGTCGCGACTGTTCCTATCCGAATTCGCCTAGACAAGGAACAGAAGGTGTCGAGCTTCCTTCAAGATGTGCAGCGCCAAGCCACAAAGATGTCCGAGTACGAGCAGTTTGGTCTGCGCAACATCTCAAAGCTCGGTGAGGACGCCAAGGAGGCTTGTGACTTTTCCAGCTTGCTGGTTATCCAGCCAGTGTCGAGGCTGGCCAACACCAATGGCTCTTCCAAAGCCGTCTTGGTCTCCCATGGGTCTGAGCAATACGAAGAGGAGGGAGCGCTGGAGGGTTACTTCACGTACCCATTGGTCCTCCAGGGTTTGACATACGACGACCACGTCGAACTTCTGCTCATTTACGACCCGGCTATTGTGCCTGAAGCCCAGATCCAAGCCCTGTCGCACCACTTTGACCGCACCGTGCAGCAGCTCATTGCGCACGAGGATTCCATTCTTGGTGCGATGTCTATCACCAGTGACTTTGACCTGGTCAAGGCATTCGACTACAACCGCGAAGAAACCGAGATCCTGCGCACCACTGTGCACAGTCTTGTTGAGAGGCAGTCGCAGATCCGACCTGACGCATCCGCTATTAATGCCTGGGACAGCCAGCTGACTTACTCTCAACTCAATGCTTCCGCAAATCGGTTGGCCCACCATTTGATCAAAACCGCCCAGGTTCTTCCCGGCGATCTTGTTCACGTTTGCTTCGAGAAATCAGTCTGGTTCTTTGTTTCTATTCTGGCTATCAATAAAGCCGGCGGCGCTTGGGTTCCCCTAGATCCCTCGCATCCTGCCCAGCGCCAACGCCAGATTGTGGACCAGACCCGCGCAAAGCTGGCTTTGGCGTCCCCTACTACAGCTGCTAAGTGTATCGACTTGGTCGCTGAAGTAGTTGAGGTCTCGGCTTCGTTGGATAACCAGCTAATTGCCGACGTCGGTCGCGATCCTCCGGCTCCTGTGTGCGAGGTCACCCCAGACCACGCTGCCTACATCCTATTTACGTCTGGTAGCACAGGTACCCCGAAGGGTCTGGTAATGCAGCATGGTGCTGTATGTACCAGTCAGACTGCCATTAGCAGACAGCTGGGTCTGACTTCTCGAGTCCGAATCTTGCAATTTGCCTCCTTCGTCTTCGACCTATGTATCGGCGAAATTATTGCCCCGCTGATTTCTGGAGCCACCCTCTGTATCCCTTCAGAGGAAACCCGGATGAATGGTCTGAAGGACTTTATCAATGATATGGCAATTAACTGGGCCTTCCTGACCCCGGCCTTTGTCCGTACCCTTCAGCCTGACGATGTTCCTGACCTTGAGCTTCTCCTCCTTACAGGTGAAGCCGTCGGCAGGGACGTTTTCGAGACCTGGGTTGGCAAGCTACGCCTCGCCACGGGCTGGGGCCCAGCTGAGACCTGCGTTTTCAGTACCCTCCACGAATGGAAAACTGCAGAGGAGTCGCCGCAGACTGTAGGACGCCCTGTTGGTGGTTACTGCTGGATCGTTGATCCCCAAGATCCCCAGAAGCTGGCCCCAATAGGTTGCGTCGGCGAAGTCGTTATCCAAGGTCCTACCATCCTGCGTGAGTACCTGGCCGACCCAGCCAGAACTGCCATGTCAACTGTCAATTCCCTGCCTGACTGGGCACCTCGCCGGACCTCGCCGTCTTACGGCCGCTTTTTCAAGTCTGGTGACCTTTGCTATTACAACCCAGACGGCACGATTGAGTTCGTAAGCCGAAAGGATACGCAGGTCAAGATTCGTGGTTTACGTGTGGAATTGGGCGAAGTCGAGCATCACTTACGAGCTGCCCTTGGCGGCGTCCGGCAAATCGTCGTCAACGTCCTTAAGGGCGATGCCGGAAGCAGCCTTGCGGCATACTTTTGCTTCAACGATGAGACGCGCATTCTGACTGGAAGCGTTGAGTCTAATGTCGACAACGTCTTGCTTCCACTTACAGCCGACCTTAAGAGTCAGATTGCTGCCGCAGTCGGACAATTGAGCATCACGTTGCCCAACTACATGATCCCGACAGTCTTTATTCCCTGCCGCTTCATGCCCTCTATCACTTCAACCAAGTTGGATCGGGGTGGTCTTAACCGTTTAACTTCCACCCTCAGCTGGGACGCCCTAGCCCGGTACTCGCTTGTGGATAGTGAAAAGCGAGCTCCTGCCACCCCCATCGAATTCCAATTGCAAGGCATCTGGGCCGAGATCCTGAAGATTCCTAGGGAATCTATTGGCCGCGATGATAGCTTCTTGAGAATTGGCGGCGACTCCATCACAGCTATCCAACTCGTCACTATGGCGAGGGACGCTGGCCTGATGATTAGCGTCAAGGAAGTCTTCGATGACCCTAGGCTGTCAGCTGTCGCTGCCTGTGTTGTCGAAGGCGAGGAAGATTTCTCACAGTCAGAACCTTTCAGTCTGCTGCCCAGCGGCGAGGTTGATATCATCAAGCGCGCCGTTAGAGACCAGTGTGGCCTTTCTGGCGACTCGGAAATCGAGGATGCCTACCCCTGCACTAGCCTCCAGGAAGGTCTCATGGCTCTGGCCGTCAAACAGCCTGGCTCTTATATCGCCAAGAACATTTATCGCTTGCCCGATGGTGTCGATATTGGTCGCTTCAAGTCCGCCTGGGAGCGCACTATCGAGATCTGTACCAATCTGCGCACGAGGATCGTGATCCAGGACGGCGTCACTATCCAGGCTGTCATTCCCGAAGTGGTTGACTGGGAGTCTACGAACGGTCTTGAGCTCAGCGATTTCCTCGAGTCTGCCAAATCGATTCACATGCAATACGGGTCACGCCTCTCCCGTTATGCCCTGATTTCGGAGCCTAATGGCGACAAATACTTTGTGTTCATGGCACATCACGCTGTATTTGACGGCTGGAGTCTGAACGTGGCCCTCAGCACGCTATACAGCGTGTATCGAGATGGGTCTGTTCCGGAACTCCGTCCTTATGCCGATTTCATCAGCTATGTCACCCAGATTGACCAGCCCGCCGCTGGTGCATACTGGAAGGATCAGCTCGAAGGTGCGCAGCGCGCTACATTCCCTCGAGCTGATGCTGCGGCTGATGTCAAGCCGGCCAGCCGTGTGATGAAGACCAAGATTTCGTTCCCTGAGTCAACGGATAATTCCATTACCAAAGCTACGATCCTCCGTAGTGCTTGGGCTATGGTTCTCGCTAAATATTGTGACTCTGACGATGTCTGCTTTGGAACAACGGTCTCTGGTCGCCACGCAGCTGTTTCCGGCATCGATAAGATGGCTGGACCGGCTGTAGCTACAGTCCCAGTCCGAGTTCGTCTTGGTGCAGATCAATCTGTGACCAACTTCCTCCAGGGTGTGCAGCAGCAGGCTGTAGAGATGGTCACATACGAACAATTTGGCCTTCGCACTATTGCCAAGGTCAGCTCCGAGGCTCACGAAGCCTGCGAGTTCTCGAGCTTGTTGGTCGTCCAGCCAGTGCAGCACGAGTTCACTGCGAGCGATGAAACGGACATGATGCTGCTTTCCTCCGTGTCGGAGATGTACGAGGAGGAGGCATTGGAGGGCTATTTCAGCTATCCCTTGGTCATCCAAGGACTCACACATGACAATCACGTTGAGCTCCTGCTTATCTACAATCCCAATGCCATTCCCGAGCAACAGATCCAGGCGCTATCCCACCACTTCAACCGCGCCGTCCAGCAACTTCTCACAGAGCAAGACGCACAGCTCAGCGCGCTTTCAATAGCCAGTGAGTGGGATCTCACCAAGGCTCTCGAATACAACACAGAGGACCCTGAGATCCTCCGCACTTGTGTTCATCAACTGTTCGAGGCACAGGCCCGCCGCCGACCACACGCAATTGCTATCCAGGCTTGGGACGGCCGTTTGACCTATTCACAGCTGGATAGTGCGGCCAATCGACTCGCTACCTATCTTGTGGATGAGATTGATGTCAAGGTCGGCGATTTCGTTCCTCTTTGCTTTGAGAAGTCAGTCTGGTTTTACGTTGCAATGTTAGCTATCAACAAGGCTGGCGGCGCGTGGGTGCCCTTAGATCCTGCTCATCCACTCTCGCGTCAGAAGCAAATCGTTGAGCAAACGGGAGCCAGCGTCATGCTTGCATCGCCGCAGAACTTTGCCAAGAGCGCCGCCTTGGTTCCCAGCGTTATCGAGGTCGCGTCTGAACTTGACGAGGAATTGATCGAAAATTACGGCCGCGATCCCAAACCGCCTGCTCGGGATGTGTCGCCTGACCACGCTGTGTACGTGCTGTTCACCTCCGGCAGTACAGGCACTCCTAAGGGTCTAGTTATGCAGCATGGTGCTGTATCCACGAGTCAAACGGCTATTGGCAAGCGTCTTGGATTGACGTCGGCCGTCAGGATTCTTCAGTTTGCTTCCTACGTCTTCGACTTGTGCATTGGTGAGATCATCGCTCCGTTGATCTCGGGAGCTACCCTCTGTGTCCCTTCGGAGGAAACCCGTATGAACGGCCTTCGGGACTTTATCAACACCCAACAGATCAATTGGGCCTTCCTTACCCCAGCCTTTGTGCGCACCTTGAGACCCGAGGATATGCCCGGCCTAGACCTGTTGTTGTTGACTGGCGAAGCTGTCGGTCGGGACGTCTTTGAAACCTGGGTTGGCAAGCTACGCCTTGTGACCGGTTGGGGCCCTGCCGAGACCTGTGTGTTTAGCACCTTACACGAATGGTACTCGACCGACGAGTCACCCCAGACTGTTGGAACCCCTGTTGGCGGTCGCTGCTGGATCGTTGACCCGAATGACCCCAGTCGTCTCGCTCCTACCGGCTGTATCGGTGAAGTTGTTATTCAGGGCCCGACTATCCTGCGGGAATACCTCGCAAACCCGGCTATTACGAAGCAGTCGACCGTCACGTTGCTTCCTGAGTGGGTGCCTCGCCATAATGCAGCTCACTGGTCTCGATTCTTTAAATCTGGGGATCTCTGTTATTACAACACGGACGGTACGATTGAGTTTGTGAGCCGTAAGGACACTCAGGTCAAGATCCGAGGCCTCCGTGTGGAGCTTGGAGAGGTTGAACACCATCTCCGCGCCGCCTTGGCTGGCGTGCGCCAGGTTGTTGTCGATGTTCTCAAAGGAGAAGCCGGACCTAGTCTCGTGGCTTATTTCTGCTTTTCCGATGAGACCCGGAACAGCTCTGGAATCGACAAGAGCATTTTCCTTCCGCTCACTGCTGATCTCAAGAGCCAAGTCACGGCTGCCATCGGTCAGCTCAGCGTGGAACTCCCTAGCTATATGGTTCCGTCTATGTTCTTTCCCTGCAAGTTCCTCCCCTCTATCAGCTCAACTAAGCTAGATAGAGGTGGCCTTAAGCGATTGACAATGTCGCTTGACAGAACATCACTGGCGCCGTATTCTCTTACGGATAGCGAGAAGCGTGCTCCAAGTACCGCTATGGAGGTCCGGCTTCAAAAGATGTGGGCAGACATCCTGAAGATCCCCACCGAGACAATTGGCCGCGATGATAGTTTCCTCCGCATTGGTGGTGACTCGATTACTGCTATCCAGTTTGTCACCTCTGCCAGCGAGGACGGCTTGGCAATCACTGTCAAGGACGTCTTTGCCGACCCTAGGCTTTCAGCTGTTGCCGCCAAGGTGGTTGAAGGCCAAGAGGAAGAGACCTACGAAGCGCAACCCTTTGACCTGTTGTCGGACAACGAGGTTGCTATTGTGAAGCGCGCCATTCGAGACCAGTGCCGTGTTTTGAACGAGGACAGTATTGAAGATGCTTATCCTTGCACAAGTCTACAGGAAGGTCTCATGGCCCTTGCTGTCAAGCAACCCGGTTCATACATTGCCAAATACGTCTACTCAATTCCCGACCATATCGATACCACGCGATTCAAGGCCGCCTGGAACCAGACCGTGCAGCTCTGCGGTAACTTGCGAACCCGAGTCGTCGGCTACAATGGTGTCTCATACCAGACCGTTCTACGGGAGCAGCCGGTTTGGGAATCCACTGCTGGCTATACCACCGCCTCCTTTATGGAGTCTGCCAAATCCCTAGAGATGCAATACGGTTCCAGGCTATGCCGCTACGCCCTTGTCGCAGACAAGGATGGAAAGCGCTCCTTCGTTCTTATTATGCATCACGCAGTCTTCGATGGATGGAGCTTGAACGTTGTCCTCAACACCCTCTATAGCCTCTATCGGGACGAGCCCACCCCAGCACTGCAGCCATACTCCAAGTTTATCAACTTTGTCGCGAACCTCGATACGGATGAGGCGGCTGCCTATTGGGAGTCCCAACTTGAGGGTGCCCAGCGTGCTACCTTCCCGCCCATGCATGTCGCATCGGATTCCAAGCCTATCAGCCGAACGATGACGACTAAAATCCAGTTCCCTAAGGGTAGCGATAACTCAATCACAAAGGCAACCGTCCTTCGCGCGGCTTGGGCTATAGTCCTCGCACGATACTGTGATAGTAACGACGTCTGCTTCGGCACTTCAGTCTCCAGTCGCCAGTCTGCTGTTACGGGTATTGACAAGATGGCCGGACCTACGGTTGCAACCGTGCCGATCAGAATTCGTCTCGATACTGACCGGGCCGTATCAAGTTTCCTGGAGGATATCCAGCAACAGGCCACAGATATGGTTGCGCATGAACAGTTTGGCCTGCGTAATATTTCTAAGCTTGGAGCCAACGCCAAGGAGGCTTGCGATTTCTCTAGCTTGCTGGTTATCCAGCCAGTCCAGCATGTGCCCACTTCAGCTGAGTCCCCGGACACTGTTCTCGTTGCCGACGGCTCAGAACAGTCTGACGACGGAGCTCTGGAGGGTTACTTTACCTACCCGTTGGTGATTCAGGGACTCACGTACCACGACCACGTCGAGTTGCTTCTTATTTACAACCCTGACGTCGTCGCCGAAGCCCAACTGCGGGCTCTGTCCAATCACTTCGATCATGCTGTTCAGCAGCTTCTTACCAAGGGTGACGCCGCCTTGAGCACAGTTTCCATCGCCAATAACTGGGACATAGTCAAGGCTGTGGAGTACAATGCGGAGGATCCCGAAATTATTCGTGCTTGCGTCCATCAGCTCGTTGAAGTACAGGCACACCGCCAGCCCGATGCCATTGCTATCCAGGCTTGGGATGGCGTCCTGTCATACTCTCAACTTAATGATGCTGCCAACAGACTGGCCCATCATCTAGTGGAAGTTGCCAAGGTCAGGGTGGGAGATCTAGTACACGTCTTCTTCGAGAAGTCAGTCTGGTTCTTCGTCTCTATTTTGGCAATTAACAAATCTGGTGCAGCTTGGGTCCCATTAGACCCGTCGCACCCGATCCAGCGGCAGAAGACAATCATCCAACAGACTCGGGCCCGCCTGGCTCTATGCTCAACAGCATATGCCGAGAAATGTGCCACTCTTGTACCGAGCATCGTCGAAGTCACAGCTACACTCGACCAGAGGCTCACTGCCTCAATGGGCTGCCCTGCCGCACCCATCTGCCGTGTTACTCCAGACCACGCTGCGTACGTTCTATTCACGTCTGGAAGCACCGGCACACCTAAGGGCTTTGTCATGATCCACAGCGGTGTGTGCACTAGCCAAACTGCTATTTGCAAGAGACTAGGTATGACGCCGGAAGTCAGAATGCTGCAATTCGCTTCCTATGTCTTCGACCTGTGCATCAGCGAAATCGTGGCCCCTTTGATCACCGGAGCTACCCTCTGCGTTCCGTCCGAAGATATCCGTATGAGCGGTCTTAAGGATTTCATCAATGACTTCCAGGTTAACTGGGCCTTCCTAACCCCCTCTTTTGCACGCACCTTGAAGCCAGAAGAGATGCCTGGCCTCAAGCTGTTGCTTCTGACTGGAGAGGCTGTTGGGCGCGATGTGTTTGAGAACTGGGTTGGAAAGCTGCGCCTAACTACAGGCTGGGGTCCTGCCGAGACGTGCGTTTTCAGCACTCTGTATGAGTGGACGTCAGTAGAGGAATCATCCCAGACTGTTGGTCGACCGGTTGGCGGCTTCTGTTGGATCGTCGATCCCCAAGATCCTCAGAAATTAGCCCCAATAGGCTGCGTTGGCGAAGTTGTGATCCAGGGTCCAACTCTTCTCCGGGAATACCTCGATGATCCTATCAAGACGCAAGCATCGATGGTTACATCTCTTCCCGAATGGGCACCCCGTCGAGACTCGTCACCTTACTGGAACAGATTTTTCAAGTCTGGCGATCTTTGCTACTACAATCCTGACGGGACTATCGAATTTGTCAGCCGCAAGGACACGCAGGTGAAGATCCGTGGCCTTCGTGTTGAATTGGGAGAAGTTGAGCACCATTTGCGCGAATCCCTTGAAGGTGTGCACCAAGTCGTGGTAGATGTCTTCAAGGGAGATGCTGGCACGAACCTCATTGCCTATTACAGCTACAGCGATGAGACTCGTACTTCTGGCCGTGCGGATGTCAACGCTGATACCATCTTTATTCCCCTCGCTGGCGAGCTCAAGACTCAAATCACTGCTGCCGTTGGCAATTTGACTGTTGCCCTACCCAGCTACATGGTCCCAACTATGTTTTTCCCTTGCCACTTTATGCCCTCGATTACGTCGACCAAATTGGACCGAGGCGAACTCAAGCGGATGACATCTTCCCTGTCACAAGAGGTGCTAGCCAAACACTCACTTGTGGATAGCGAGAAGCGTGCACCCGAAACGCTTATGGAGAAGAAGGTGCAAGAAATGTGGTCGAGCATCTTGAAGATGCCAGCGGAATCAATTGGCCGCGACGACAACTTCATGCGTATTGGAGGTGACTCTATCATCGCGATCCAATTCGTTACTGCTGCTCGAGATGCTGGCTTGTCTATTACGGTTAGGGATATTTTCGCCGATCCTCGACTTTCTGCTGTGGCCGACAAGATGCTCGAAGGAGAAACCATTGACGCCCGCGAGGTCAAGCCATTCGAAATGATTCCCAGTGGCGAAGTTGAGGACGTTATGTCGACCATCCACGCCGAGTGCGAACTCCGCGACCAGGTCATCGAGGATGCCTACCCTTGCACCAGTCTCCAGGAAGGCCTTATGGCGTTGGCTGTCAAGCAGCCGGGTTCTTATATCGCTAAGAATATTTACACCCTGCCAAAGGACGTTGACGTGGCTCTCTTTAAAGCTGCCTGGGAGCGCACAATGCAGCTTTGTGGCAACCTACGCACCAGGATCGTTCTGCATAAGGGCGTCTCGACGCAGGCCGTTATTCGAGAGGAGCCCTCGTGGGAACCTACGGATGGTATGGACCTCGAGTCTCTCATGCACACCACCAAGGGCATGACAATGCAGTACGGTTCCCGACTCTGCACTTATGGTCTCTTGATCGAAGGCAGCGGAAAGGTATCCTTCATGCTCAATATCCACCACGCCATCTTCGACGGCTGGAGCTTGAACGTGGCACTGAGCACCCTATACTCTGTCTACCGCGGCGAGTCTGTCCAGACACTCCAACCGTATTCTGGCTTCATTAAGTATGTCACGGAGATTGACCAAGAAGCTGCCACTGGCTATTGGAAGGACCAGCTTGACGGCGCCCAGCGTGCTACATTCCCCCGCGCCGACGCCAGCGAGTCCCAGCAGAAGGCACACATTATGAAGACCAAGATTTCGTACGCGGATTCGGCAGACAACTCCATCACCAAGGCTACAATTCTGCGGGCCGCGTGGGCTATTGTCCTTGCTAGATACTGCGATACTGATGATGTCTGCTTTGGCACAACGGTTTCCGGGCGTCACGCCCCTGTGGCGGGCATCGATAAGATGGCCGGACCTGCTGTTGCTACTGTGCCTGTCAGAGTACATCTTGACAAGCAACAGCCAGTCTCAAGCCTCCTACGAGATATTCAGCAGCAAGCTTCAGAGATGGTGGCATATGAGCAATTTGGCCTCCGCAATATCACCAAGCTTAGCCCCGAGGTTCATGAAGCATGTGACTTTTCTAGCTTGCTCGTCGTTCAGCCAGTCCAGCACGCGATCAAATCAGGCAGTAACACCGAATCAGCTCTTCTTTCTGTTCAGTCGGATGAACACGAGGAAGAGCTCTTGGAAGGATACTTCAGCTACCCGCTGGTTCTGCAGGGATTGACACACGATGACCACATCGAACTTATGGTCATCTATAACCCGGCCGTCGTATCCAAGTCTCAGGTCGAAGCCCTGTCTTATCATTTCGACCATACCGTGCAGCAACTCTCGGCTCAATCCAACAAGCCCCTAGAGACTGTGTCAGTTGCTGGCGAATGGGATCTCCAGAAGGCTGTTGGCTTCAACGATGATCACCCTGAGATTATTCGGGCCTGCGTTCACCAGATCATTGAGGCCAAGGCACAGAGCCACCCCAATTTCCCTGCTATCCTGGCTTGGGATGGAGAACTGACATATTCTCAACTTAACCGAACGGCTAACAGGCTGGCTCACTACCTGATCGATACAGTCCAAGTCAAAGCAGGCGACTTCGTCCATGTCTGCTTTGAAAAGTCGCTGTGGTTCTTTGTGGCCATTTTGGCTATCAATAAAGCTGGTGCCGCTTGGGTTCCTTTGGATCCATCACACCCGGTTCAGCGTCAGCAACAGATTGTGAAGCAAACCCGAGCCCGTGTCGCACTTACGTCCCCTACTACTGCTGAGAAATGTGCCAGTCTCGTGGCATATGTAGTAGAGGTGTCTGCTACACTAGACCGGGAGCTTATGGCGGATATGGACTGCCCATCGGCCCCGGTCACAAGCGTCACTCCAGACGACGCTGCATATGTGCTTTTTACGTCCGGAAGCACAGGTACACCCAAGGGTTTGGTCATGCAACATGGAGCTCTCTGCACTAGCCAGACGGCTATCGCTAAGAGACTTGGCCTAACCCAGGATGTTAGGATCTTGCAATTCGCCTCTTTTGTTTTCGATCTTTGTATCGGTGAGATCATCGCCCCATTGATCTCTGGGGCTGCTCTTTGCATCCCGTCTGAAGACACCCGCACTGGTAGTCTCAAACACTTCATCAATGACATGAGGGTCAATTGGGCCTTCCTGACCCCGGCTTTCGCTCGAACCCTGCAGCCAGAGGAAGTCCCAGGTCTCGACCTTCTACTTCTGACGGGTGAGGCTGTCGGCCGTGATGTGTTTGAGAATTGGGTGGGTAAGTTACGTCTTGTTACGGGTTGGGGCCCTGCCGAGACTTGTGTCTTTAGTACGCTTCATGAGTGGTATTCAGCCGACGAGTCCCCTCAGACTGTTGGCCGCCAGGTCGGTGGCTATTGCTGGATTGTCGATCCCGAAGACAATCAGAAGCTAGCTCCCACAGGGTGTATCGGCGAGGTGGTGATCCAGGGTCCAACAATACTTCGAGAGTATCTCGATGACCCAATTAGGACCGCTGCGGCAACTGTTACTCAGCTTCCCTCGTGGGCACCCCAGCAAACGTCACCCTACTGGAACCGGTTCTTCAAGTCCGGCGATCTGTGTTACTATAATGCAGACGGAACTATTGAGTTCGTTAGTCGCAAGGACACACAGGTCAAGATCCGCGGCCTGCGTGTCGAACTTGGTGAAGTTGAACACCACTTGCGCGCCGCTCTCAAAGACGTCAAGCAGGTTGTCGTGGACGTGCATCGCTCAGACACCGGCACCAATCTCGCGGCATACTACTGCTTCAGCGATGAGACCCGAACGACCAGCAGTGCCGGATCTACTGTCGATTCTGAAAGCATGTTCCTTCCTCTCACTGGCCACCAGAAGAGTTTGGTCACTGCCGCTGTCGGCCAGCTAAATATGGCGCTCCCCAGCTATATGGTCCCCACAATCTTCTTCCCATGTCGGTTCATGCCGTCTATCACCTCTACGAAGCTTGATAGAAATGGTCTAAAGAGGCTGACTGCTGCCCTTGATCGCGAGGCCTTGAGCAAATATTCTCTCGCTGATAGTGAGAAACGCCCGCCTGTAACGCGAATGGAAGTCACATTGCAGAAGATGTGGGCGGAGATCTTGAAGATCCCTAGAGAATCGATCGGCCGAGATGACAGTTTCCTCCGCATTGGTGGCGATTCCATTACTGCTATTCAATTCGTGTCCAACGCAAGAGATGACGGCTTGATGGTTACTGTCAAGGATATCTTTGCCGATCCTCGCCTCTCTGCTGTGGCTGAGAAGGTCGCCGAGGGTGAGGAAGAGATCTATGAGTCGGAGCCGTTTGGTCTACTCCCAACCGACCAGGTGGAAGACATTGTTCAGTCTGTGCGTGAGCAATGCGATCTCTCCCGTGGTCAAGTTGTTGAGGATGCCTACCCCTGCACAAGTCTTCAAGAAGGTCTCATGGCATTGGCAGTGAAGCAGCCTGGCTCGTACATTGCCAAGTATGTTTATCGCCTTCCAGAATCCATCGACTTGGCCGCCTTCAAAGATTCCTGGGCTCGTGTCGTTGGCCTCTATGCCAACTTGCGCACTAGGATCTTAGTCCACAACGGACTCTCAATCCAGGCTACCGTCCAGGAGGAGCTTGCCTGGGAGCCTACGGAAAATGTTGATCTTCGAACTATGTTGGACTCCATCAAGGATATCGAGATGCAGTACGGCTCCCGCCTGTGCCGTTATGCTCTCGTCACAGAGCAGACTGGACAATATTTTGTCCTGGTCATCCATCACGCTGTCTTTGACGGTTGGAGTTTGGGCATGGTCCTTGGTACGCTTGAGAATCTATACCGAGGCCAGTCACCACCCGACCTACAGTCATACTCGGGCTTTATCAATTACATTGAGCAGATTGATGAGAATGATGCCTCCCAATACTGGAAGGATCAACTTGATGGCGCCCAGCGAGCTACCTTTCCAAGGATGGATCCTGCTGCCGAATCCCAACCGGCAAGCAAGATCTTGAAGACAAGCATCGGATTTCCCGACATGACACACACGACAATTACAAAAGCTACGATCCTTCGGGCAGCTTGGGCTATGGTCCTTGCAAGATACAGCGATACCAATGATATCTGCTTTGGCACTACTGTATCCGGCCGTCATGCCTCTGTCCCCGGGATTGAAAGAATGGCCGGTCCAGCTGTTGCCACTGTCCCAGTCCGGGTTCAAATTGACAGCAGCAACGGAGTATTGAGCTTCCTGCAAGCCGTTCAACAGCAGGCCTCTGAGATGGTCCCATATGAGCAATATGGTCTGCGTAAGATTTCGAAGCTCAGTGCGAGCGCCGAGGACGCTTGCCACCTGTCCAGCTTGCTAGTCATCCAACCGATGATCACCTTGACCGACGACTCCGACGAGGCTATCCTCGTTTCAGCGGCTGGCTCCAAAGCATTTGACGAGCAGGAGGCCTTAGACGGTTACTTTACTTACCCTCTGGTTCTTCAATGCATGACGCTTGCCGATTCTATTGAGCTGTCATTCATGTATAACCCCGACATCATCGCTGAAGATCAGCTCGTTGCGCTGTCTCAACATTTCGACCACGTCGTCCAGCAGTTGCTCGTCCAGGATGAGACCCCATTGGCTACGGTGTCCTTGTCTGGCGATTGGGATCTTGGACAAGCAATGGAGTGGAACACAGCTGATAGCATTCCCGTCAATGCTTGCGTCCACGACTTGATTTCCATGCGTGCGATTCTGTCTCCGGACAATGAAGCCCTTGTGACTTCCGAAGGCACACTTACTTATGTCCAACTGGACCGCCTTTCAAATGCCCTAGCCGCGCACCTCTCACAACTCGGCGTGACACTGGAGACGACTGTCCCATTCTGCTTCGAAAAGTCCATGTGGGCAGTTGTCGCGATGATCGGAATTCTTAAGGCTGGCGGTGTCTTTATTCCCATCGATCCGTCGCACCCAGCCCAACGTCGCCAGGCGATAATTGATGAAGCCAAGGCTCGCTTTATGGTCGTCTCTCCATCGACCAAAGCCTCTTGTGAGGGTATGGTTGAGCATTTGATTGAGTTGTCGCCTACCTCAATCGCTGATTTCTCAATCCCGACACGAACCCGCGACGCCCTAGCCGTCAAGCCAACGCCTTCAAATGCAGCCTACATTCTATTTACCTCTGGGTCCACCGGAAAGCCCAAGGCATTCATTGTGGATCATTCCGCTCTTACTACTACAAGTGTTGGTCATGGTAGGGCATACAGTCTCAATGAGAAGTCTCGAGTGCTGCAATTCTCTAGCTACGTCTTTGATGTCAGCTTGAGCGAGATTATTGAGACCCTCATATACGGAGGTACAGTATGCATTCCGACCGACGAGGAGAGGCTGCAGGCCATCACAAGCTTTATCAACCAGGCACAGGTCAATACCGCACTGCTAACCTCAACCTTCCTGAGGACGCTATCGCCAGCCGACGTCCCTTCGCTGAAGCTCCTGATCCTTGTTGGCGAGGCACCTGCTAAGGATGTCTTGGATACTTGGTTTGGGCACACCACCGTGGCGAATGCTTATGGTCCTTCTGAGATCTCTGTATTCTGTACCTCGCACGTTTATCAGTCCGTGGACGAGCCGCCCTCAACTATTGGCCGCGGGTTTGGCTGTGACTGCTGGATTGTTGAGCCAGATAATCATCAACGACTTACTCCTGTTGGATGCACCGGCGAGCTCCTCGTCCAGAGGCAAATGGCCCGAGGGTACCTCAACGACGAAGAGAGGACCAAGGCATCCTTCGTCCAGAGTGTCGAGTGGCTTCCGGAATCTTCAGGTGACGATACTCGCCAATTCTTCAAAACCGGCGATTTGGTTCGGTATCGACTTGATGGTACGATGGAGTATCTAGGAAGACAAGATATGCAGGTCAAGGTCCGAGGCTATCGTGTGGAGCTTGGTGAGATCGAGTATCACATCAAGCAGACATTGCCAGAGGCCGCTTTTACTGCAGTCGATGTTGTTCGCCAGGATGCTCGCGAGGCACTTGTTGCCTTTGTCACGTTCAGTGACGGCCAGTCCAACAAGAGCAGTGCTATCGCCAGCGAGGATCTTTCGGATTGGCTTCTGCCGATTGACGACACTCTGCGACAATCCTTCAGTCACGTCACCGATGAGCTCAAGCGTATTCTTCCAGCCTACATGGTCCCCAGTATCTTCTTACCTCTTCGCACTATGCCGCTTGGAGGTACTCTCAAGCTCGATCGCAAGAAGCTGCGTACTCTTGCGAGCACTATCACGCAGGAGCATCTTAGCAACTATGCCCTAGCTAGTGAGGAGAGAGTTGAGCCGACGACTGTCATCGAATTCAAGCTTCGGGATATCTGGGCCCAAGTCCTCAAGATCACACCGGAGCAGATTGGCAAGAACGATAGCTTCCTACAAATTGGCGGCGACTCGATCACGGCTATTCAGCTGGTATCTCTTGCGCAGCAGCATGGCCTCAGCCTGACCATTTCGAAGATCTTCGAAAATTCTCAGCTGAGCCATATGGCCAATACCGCTATTGTTTCCGAGAAGGGCATCACATACGCCGTCGCACCTTTCGCCATGCTGCCAAGTCATGAAGTGGACTCTCTCAAGTCGCACATTGCCAACGTTTGCCATTTGTCAGACGAACAGGAGATTGAAGACGCATATCCTTGTACCAGTCTGCAAGAGGGTCTCATGGCCCTAACAGTCAAACAACCCGGCTCGTACATTGGAAAGTACGTATATCGCCTCTCTCGCCACATTGACATTGCCCGCTTTACAGCTGCGTGGGAGCGAACCTTTGAGCTTTGCGCTAGTTTGCGCACACGCATTGTAGCGCGTGATGGTTCGTCAATTCAGGCTGTTATTCGAGAACGTCCTGTTTGGCAGATTACAACGGGCCACACCATGAGCTCGTTTATGATGTCCACTGCGGGTATGGACATGACCTACGACTCAAGTCTTTGTCGGTTTGCCATTATTACCGAGGATTCAGGCGAAAGGTACTTCGCCCTCTTTATGCATCATACTATCTTTGACGGGTGGACGATGAACATCATCATGGCGACGCTGTACAGCACTTACAGAGGGGAGGCCGTTGCTACCCTACAGCCTTATTCCAGCTTCATTAACTACACCACCCAACTCGACCAGGCTGCAGCGGAGCAATACTGGAAGACGCAACTAGACGGGGCCCAACGTGCTACTTTCCCCCGAATGGACCAAGTTGCGGAGCAGAGAACTGTCACCCGTGTGATGAAGAATAACATCCAGTTGCCGAAGATGGCAAACTCTTCAATCACAAAGGCTACTATTCTGCGCGCCGCTTGGGCGATTGTCCTTGCCACGTATTCGGATACAAAAGATATCTGCTTTGGAGCAACAGTTTCTGGTCGTCATGCCCAGGTCATTGGCGTGGATAACATGGCTGGTCCTGTGGTGGCCACTATTCCTGTTCGCGCACGCCTAGACAAGGGCCAGACCGTTTCCGAATTCCTTCACGACGTCCAGCATCAAGCTTCTGAGATGGTGGCATATGAGCAGTTTGGTCTTCGCAATATTGCGAAAATTAGCCCAGAGATGCATGAAGCCTGTGACTTCTCCAGCTTGTTTGTGGTGCAGCCGATGCAGCATGCCACCAGCACAGCAGACGACGAATCCGATGCAATCCTCCTGGAAGCTGACCCAACAACATATGGCGAAGAGGAAGCCATCGGTGGCTACTATACCTATCCATTGGTCTTGCAGGCTTTCACTCACCATGATTTCACAGAAGTGAGACTCATCTTCAATCCTGCTGTTGTCACCGAGACCCGACTCACTGGCATGACCCAACACTTTGCCCATGTTGTCCGACAGCTCGTCTCACAGCAAGACGCAGCTTTGGAGACTATCCAAGTCGCGAGTGACTGGGATCTGAACAGGGCTATCGAGTACAACGGCGATGCTCCCGATGTCGTGCGCGACACCCTCCACGGCATGGTTGAAGCGCGCACACGGCTCCAACCGGATGCGCCTGCTATCCAGGCGTGGGATGGCGAGATGACATACTCCCAGCTCAATGACGCTTCAAATCGCTTGGCGTCTCATCTCATCGATGAATTTGATGTGATGGTAGGAGACCTCGTGCATATCTGCTTCGACAAGTCGATCTGGGCTTATGTCTCAATGCTGGCCATTCTCAAAGCCGGTGCTGCATGGGTGCCCTTAGATCCCGCACACCCGGTCCAACGCTACAAGCAAATCATAGAGCAGACTGGCGCTCGTCTTGCTATCGCGTCGCCGTCCAACTCTAAGAAGCTCGATGGTTTGGTCGCGGACGTTATCGAGATGACACCCGCCCTAAATCAGCAACTTGCTATTAACATTGGCTCCCCGGTATCACCAAACCGTGATGTTACACCGGACCATGCCGCATACGTCCTTTTCACCTCTGGAAGTACCGGCACACCAAAGGGTCTGGTTATCCAGCATGGTGCCGTTTGCACTAGTCAAGTTGCCATTAGCAAACGGCTGGGTATGACGGCCCAGGTCAGGATCTTGCAATTTGCGTCCTTCATGTTCGATGTCTGCGTTGGCGAAATATTCGCTCCGTTAATGTCTGGAGCAACCGTCTGCGTTCCTTCCGACGAGACGCGTATGGGTAACTTGACGCAGTTCATCAACGACATGAAGGTCAACTGGGCTTTCCTGACCCCCGCTTTCGCGCGTACTATCAAACCTATCGATGTCCCTGGTCTGGAGCTTTTGCTGCTTGCCGGCGAGGCTGTTAGTCGGGACGTCTTTGAGACCTGGTTTGGACAGGTTCCCCGCTTACTCAATGGATGGGGACCAGCTGAGACCTGTGTCTTGAGCGCCATACATGAGTGGAAGAGTGCAGAAGAGTCCCCGCAGACTATCGGTATCCCTGTTGGCGGTCACGGCTGGATCGTTGACCCCCAAGATCCTCAAAAGCTGGCGCCCATTGGATGTGTTGGCGAGATTGTCATCCAGGGTCCAACTGTCCTAAAGGAATACCTTGCAGATCCTATCCGGACACATGCAGCAGTTGTGTCTTCACTTCCTATGTGGATGCCGCACCGCGAGACCCCACAGTGGTCACGATTCTTCAAGTCTGGGGATCTCTGCTGTTATAATGCAGATGGAACCATTGAGTTCCTTACCCGCAAGGATACCCAAGTCAAGATTCGCGGTCTACGCGTGGAGACAGGCGAGGTTGAACATAACGTTTACCAAGCCCTTGATGGGGCCCGACAAGTCGTGGTCGACGTCTTCAACGGCGTCGCTGGAACTACACTGGCTGCCTATTTCTGTTTCAATGAAGATACCCGCAAGACAGTGACCGATCCTTCAGCTGAGGAATTGTTTATTCCCCTCACAGACGACTTGCGAGGTCTGATTACGGGCACACTGGGCAAGCTCAGTGTGGTGTTGCCGAGCTATATGGTTCCGACTCTATTCTTCCCCTGCCGATTCATGCCAGCTGTTACCTCTATGAAGCTGGATCGAGGAGGTCTCAAGCGCGCAGCAGCTACCCTATCGCACGAGGAGTTGAGCGAATATTCACTTGCCAATACTGAAAAGCGTGCACCTAATACCCCTATGGAAGTCCGTCTCCAAGAGATGTGGGCATCCATCCTCAACATATCAGTCGACTCTATCGGCCGAGATGACAGCTTCTTGCGCATTGGTGGTGATTCAATTGCCGCAATCCAATTCGTCACCTCTGCTCGTGAGGCCGGCCTGATGATTACGGTCAAGGATGTTTTTGATGATCCTCGATTGCTCGCCATTGCCGCCAAGGTTGTGGAGGAGGAGGAAGACGTTGGTTCCTACAACACCGAACCTTTCGCCTTGCTACCAAGCAATAGCGTCGACGACATCAAGCTCACCATCCAAGATCAATGCCAGCTGTCAGCTGATCAAGGCATCGACGACGCTTATCCATGCACGGCTCTGCAGGAAGGTCTTATGGCACTCGCTGTTAAGCAACCGGGTTCATACATCGCAAAATATGTCTACAGCCTTCCCGAAAATGTCGACACATCTCTCTTCAAGCAGGCATGGGGTCAGACTGTGCAGATCTGCCAGAACCTTCGAACCAAGATTGTGGTCCACGAAGGGGCTTCTGTTCAGGCCGTGATCCGCGAGGAGGCTGCCTGGGAGCATACAGACGGTCTTACTTTCCACACCTTTATGGACAAGGCCCAGTCGATTGAGATGCATTATGGCTCCAGACTATGTCACTACGCCCTCATCACTGAGCCCACAGGAGCGCGGTACTTTGTGCTACTCATCCACCACTCCGTCTTTGATGGATGGAGTATGAATGCAATCCTCATCACCCTCAACACCGTGTATCGGGGTGAATCCATTCCGGTCCTTGAGCCGTACTCCAACTTTATCAACTACACTATGCAGATTGATAATGCCGCTGCCTCCAACTTCTGGAACGATCAGCTTGAAGGTGCTCAACGGGCTACCTTCCCGAAGATGGATTCTGCCGCCGATTCCGAGTCGACTAGTCAAATCGCAAAGACAACGATCAGGCTTCCGGATTTGGGGGATACCTCAATTACTACAGGCACGATTCTCCGGGCAGCCTGGGCTATGGTGCTGGCTCAATATAGCGACACAGACGATGTTTGCTTTGGAACTACTGTGTCCGGCCGTTATGCACCGGTGGCTGGCGTGGACAGAATGGCTGGTCTTGTTATCTCCACTCTCCCAGTTCGTGTGCGTCTCGACAAACAGCAAGCAGTATCAGCTTTCCTAGACCATATTCAGCAACAAGCCTCTGATACAGTGCCTTTCGAACAATTCGGCCTGCGAAACATCTCGAAGTTGAGCCCGGAAACCCAGGAGGCTTGCGACTTTTCTAGTCTGCTGGTTGTTCAGCCTGCTCAGCATGCCACCAGCCACGACCAAACGGACCCCGTCCTGCTCCCAGCCGACCCAAAGCTGTTCAAGGAGGAGGAAGCAGCCAAGGGTTACTTCACGTACCCGTTGGTCCTCCAAGCCTTCATTCACAGTGATCGCATCGAACTGGTTGTCACCTTCAATCCTTCCTCAGTTTCCGAGGCTCAAGTCACGGCTCTGTCCAACCATTATGACTGCGCTGTGCAGCAGCTTGCTGTCCAAAAGGAACTTCCACTGGGATCCATTTCTCTCGCAAACAACTGGGATCTCCAGAAAGCTGTCAAGTACAACTCTGATGATCCTCGCATTGTCCGATCATGCGTCCACGAGCTCATTGACCTTCAGGCGCAGCTCCGTCCTGACGCCCCTGCTATTCACGCGTGGGACGGTCAATTGACATACTCTCAGCTTAATACCGCTGCCAATAGATTAGCCTGTCACCTGATGGGCCCTGTTGGTGTGCGACTCGGAGACCTTGTTCACGTATGCTTCGAGAAGTCAGTCTGGTTCTTTGTGTCGATTCTGGCAATCAACAAGGCTGGAGCAGCCTGGGTTCCTTTAGACCCCTCGCACCCCATACAGCGGCAGCAGCAAATCGTCAAGCAAACCAGATCCCGTCTAGCTTTGGTGTCTCCCTCAAATTCCGACAACTGTTCGACCCTTGTCGGGGAGGTGATAGAAGTAACCGCAGCCCTGGACAAGAAGCTTACTGCCTATATGGGGTCTCCTCCACCACCAATCTGCAACATTACACCGGATCATGCTGCATATGTGCTCTTTACCTCTGGAAGTACAGGAACTCCAAAGGGCTTTGTCATGGAACACGGAGGCGTCTGTACGAGTCAGACTGCCATCAGCAAGAGGTTGCGCCTCACCCCTCAAGTCAGGATATTGCAATTTGCATCCTACGTGTTTGATCTCTGTATCGGTGAGATTGTAGCGCCCCTTATTACGGGAGCTACCCTCTGCATTCCGTCAGAGGATACCCGTATGTCAGGCCTCAAGGAGTTCATCAACGAGAACAAGGTCAACTGGGCGTTCCTGACCCCATCCTTTGTCCGCACTCTACAGCCCGAGGACGTACCGGGACTCGAGCTGTTATTACTTACAGGTGAAGCTGTCGGCCGTGACGTCTTCGAAACCTGGGTTGGCAAGCTGCGTCTTACTACAGGCTGGGGCCCTGCAGAGACCTGTGTGTTTAGCACACTTCACGAGTGGCATTCCTCCGATGAATCTCCACAGACTGTTGGCCGGTCCGTGGGAGGAAATTGCTGGATCGTGGACCCCTCCAACCCTCACAAGCTTACTCCCACAGGGTGTATCGGAGAGGTTGTTATTCAAGGCCCAACGCTTCTGCGTGAATATCTTGATGATCCTGCCAAAACTCAAGCTTCGATGGTGACCAGTCTGCCTGACTGGGCCCCTCGCCGCAACCACCCGCAATGGAAGAGGTTCTTCAAGTCCGGGGATCTGTGCTATTACAATGCGGATGGCACGATTGAGTTTGTCAGCCGTAAGGATACCCAAGTCAAGATTCGAGGCCTCCGTGTGGAGCTGGGTGAGGTCGAACACCACCTCCACAAGGCCCTTCAGAACGTCAAGCAGGTTGTGGTTGACGTGTACAGAGGCGATGCTGGTACTAACCTCGTCGCGTACTTTTGTACTACCGATGAGACTCGCACCAGTACCAGTGGCGGCCACAACGCCAGTGACATCTTCATCCCTCTTAATTCTGATTTGAAGAGTCAGATCACGGCCGCCATCGGTCAACTTGGGGTGACGCTGCCGAACTACATGATCCCAACAATCTTCTTCCCCTGCCGGTTTATGCCTTCTATTACGTCTACCAAGCTGGACCGAGGTGGTCTCAAGCGTCTAACAGCTGCCCTCGGCCAGGACGTATTGGCCAAATATGCCCTTGCTGACGATGAGAAGCGCGCACCTGCAACACCGATGGAACTTCGTCTGCAGAAGCTTTGGTCAACAATCCTGAAGATCCCTATCGAGTCCATCGGCCGCGACGATAGCTTCTTGCGCATTGGCGGTGACTCTATCTCCGCTATCCAGTTTGTGACAACAGCGCGAGAAGCGGGTTTAACAATCTCAATCAAGGACATATTTGCCGATCCACGACTATCCGCTGTGGCGGCGACGGTTATGGAGGGCGAAGTGATATCGTATGAGACTGAGCCATTCGGCTTATTATCAACAAGCGAGCTCAACGACATCAAGTCTGATATTCACGACCAATGCCAACTGACCAACGATCAATTCATCGAAGATGCCTATCCCTGCACAGGGCTTCAAGAAGGCCTAATGGCCTTAGCCGTCAAGCAACCCGGATCTTACATCGCCAAGTATGTTTACCGCCTGCCTGATAACATCAATGCCACCCGATTCAAGGCGGCCTGGGACAAGACTGTCGAGCTTTGCCCCAACTTGCGTACAAGAATCGCTGCCCACGACGGGGCCTCTTTCCAGGCCATTATTCGAGGAGACGCGACATGGGAGCATGCAGATGGCCTTTCCCTCCGCGCCTTTATCGATGGTGCCAAGAGTGTCCAGATGCAGCATGGCTCGCGACTTTGCCGCTATGCCTTTGTTGCGCAACCCACAGGGGAGAAGCATTTCGTGCTTATGATTCACCATGCCGTCTTTGACGGCTGGAGTCTGAACATGTCACTTGCAACCCTATACAGTCTGTATCGCGAGGAGCCTGTCCAAGCGATGCAGCCTTATTCTGGATTCATCAACTACATCACCCAACTGGATGAGACCGCCGCCAGGGCATACTGGAAGAAGCAGCTTGATGGTGCCCAGCGCGCTGCCTTCCCCCGCGCAACTATCACCAAATCGAAGCCAGTCAGTCACGTCAACAAGACCACGATTCCACTGCCTAAGATGGTGGACACTTCAATCACAAAGGCCACTGTCATCCGTGCGGCGTGGGCGATTGTCCTCGCTCGATACTCAGAGACTGACGATATCTGCTTTGGTCTTACGGTTTCCGGTCGCCAGGCTGATCTTCCTGGTCTGGAGGCAATGGTTGGACCCGCCGTGGCCACTGTGCCTGTGCGTGTTCAATTGGATCAACAGCAATCTATTTCCAGCTTCCTTCAAGATATCCAAGCCCAGGCATCAGAAATGGTCCCCTACGAGCAATTCGGCCTGCGTAACATCTCTAGGCTCGGCCCCGACGCCAAGGAAGCCAGCGATATCTCTAGCTTGCTCGTCATCCAGCCGGTTCAGCACATCGCGGAGAGCAATGAGGCTGAGGCTATCCTTTCCTCGGAGTCGGACTTGTTCGATGAGCAGGAGGCCCTTGAAGGTTACTTCACCTACCCATTGGTCCTTGAATGTTCAACCTACGCCGAACATGCTATGTTGTCTTTCATCTCTAACCCGGAGTCTGTCCCTGATGCCCAAATCACTGCGCTGTCACACCAATTCAACAGCGTTGTCCAACAACTCCTGTCTGGTGCCGATGAGTCTCTCGCTACAGTCTCTCTCGCCAGCGACTGGGATCTGAAGCAGGCTATGGAGTGGAATACGGCTGATGCTACACCGGTGAACGCATGTGTGCATGACCTTATTTCTGAAATGGCTCGACAGGACCCTACTCACGAAGCCATTGTCTCTACTCAAGGTAATATCACCTATGCAGAGCTTGATCGCTGGTCCAGTATTCTGGCAATCCATCTTTCTCAGCTGGGTGTCAGACAGGAGACGATGGTTCCTCTTTGCATCGAGAAATCGACGTGGACTATCACTGCTATGCTCGCCATTATGAAGGCTGGTGGTGTGTTCATTCCGATCGACCCCTCGCATCCCGAAAGCCGTCGTCAAGCCATTATTAACGAACTTGATGCTCGCTTCATGGTTGTGTCACCAAAGACCAAGGATTCATGCAATGGCATGGTTGAGAACATGATTGTCCTCTCTCAATCGCTCATCACCGAGATCTCCAGCAGCATCAAGAGTGGTAGCGTGATACAAGTCAAGCCCAAGCCTTCTGATGCTGCTTACATCATCTTCACGTCCGGTTCAACAGGCAAACCAAAGGCATTCCTTGTCGACCACTCTGCCCTTAGTACTAGTACCGTCGGTCACGGCCGGGCCTATACTTTGGACAAGTCCTCGCGCGTTCTGCAGTTCTCCAGCAATGTCTTTGATGTTAGCTTGAGCGAAATCTTTGAGACGCTGGTATTTGGTGGCGCTATTTGCATGCCCTCAGAAACCGAACGTCTCCAGGATATTCCGGGTTTCATCAGGGCAACCAACGTCAATACGGCCTTGTTGACGTCGACCTTCCTCAGGACTTTGACACCGGCTGATGTGCCATCTCTTACGCTACTTATTCTTGTTGGCGAGGCGCCGGCTAAAGATATCTTGGATACCTGGCATGGATCAGTCACTCTAGCCAACGCATACGGACCTTCCGAAATCTGTATCTTTTGCTCGTCTCATGTATATCAATCAGTTGATGAGTCTCCATCCACGATCGGACGTGGATTCGGTAGTGCTTGCTGGATCGTCGAGCCTGACAACCACCAGCGCCTCACGCCTATTGGCTGCACTGGAGAGCTTCTGGTGCAAAGGCAGATGGCGCGGGGCTATCTCAACGACAAAGAGAGGACCGAGGCATCCTTCATCAAGAACGTCGACTGGTTGCAGTCGTCCCCCGACGATAGTCGTCAATTCTTCAAGACTGGAGATTTGGTGCGCTACCAAAGCGATGGTACCATGGAGTATCTGGGTCGACGGGATACTCAGGTCAAAATCCGCGGCTTCCGCGTGGAGCTTGGGGAGATCGAGTACAACATCAAGCGTGCTCTGCCCCAGGTTTCATATGCGGCTGTTGACGTCGTCCGCCGCGATTCCCGCGAAACTCTCCTCGCTTTCGTCAGCTTTGATGGAGAGACAACACCGACGACTGACAGCAAGGATCTCTCAGAGTGGCTTCTACCTATGGATGACACTTTGAGGAAGTCTCTGAGTACTCTCACAGACGATCTGAAGCGAGTCCTCCCGGGATACATGGTACCCAGTCTATTCCTGCCTCTCCAAGCCCTGCCATTTGGCAACACCCTCAAGCTCGACCGGAAGCGGCTGCGCAACCTTGCCAATACACTGCCACAAGATCGCCTCGCCGCCTTTATGCTAAGCAGCGAGGAGAAGGTCGAGCCTACAACTGAGATGGAGTTCAAGCTCCGGGAGATCTGGGCCCAGATCCTTCACATCGACGCCGGCCAAATTGGCAAGAATGATAGCTTCTTGCAGATCGGCGGTGACTCCATCACGGCTATCCAGCTGGTTTCGCTCGCGCAGAAACAGGACATTAGTCTCACTATCGCTAAGATCTTCGAAGACTCTCGTCTTAGCGTCATGGCTGCTACAGCTGGCGATTCCAGCGAACAGGCATATGAAGTGACACCATTCAGTTTGCTTCCAAGCGAGGACGTTGATATCACCATGTCAGACATCCAACAGCAGTGTGGACTCGTCGTCGAGCAACAGATTGAAGATGCATATCCCACTACAACTCTTCAAGAAGGTCTTATTGCTCTGGCCGTCAAGCAGCCAGGATCATACATTGCCAAATACGCATATGCCCTTCCTGAAAGCATTGATATCACTCGATTCAAGGCTGCATGGGAGCGAACCCTGGATCTCTGCGACAATCTGCGCACTCGAATTGTCCTTCGAAACGGTGCTTCTATTCAGGCTGTCATCCGCGAACCGGCGATCTGGGAGTCTACTGACGGCCTGAACCTACGCTCCGTCATGGATGGCCTCAAGAATATCGAAATGCAGTACGGCTCACGACTTTGCCGTTATGCTCTTGTCACCGAGCCGAGCGGGCAATGCCACTTCGTCTTGACGGTTCACCATGCTGTTTTTGACGGTTGGAGCTTGAACATCGTCTTGGACACACTTGTCAAGGCGTACCGAGGCGATTCCATACTCGCTATGCAGCCTTACTCAACCTTCATTAATTACACAATGAAGCTTGACGAGGCCAAGGCAGCGGAATATTGGACGGCTCAGCTCAACGGCGCCCAACCCCCATCGTTCCCAAGGACCGATATGTCGAGCAACCATGCCAGTGTCACTCGGGTCATGCGATCGGCAATTCCATTCCCCAAGATAGCCGACACGTCTATTACAAAGGCTAGCATCCTTCGAGCTGCTTGGGCTCTGGTTATGGCCCGCTATGGAGACAGCGAGGACGTTTGTTTCGGTACAACTGTATCTGGTCGCCACGCGCCTGTGGCCGGTATTGACAGAACTGCGGGACCGGCTGTGGCAACCGTTCCCATCCGTGTGCGCGTCGATAAGGACAAGACTGTGTCCAGTCTCTTCAAGGAGATCCAGCAACAGGCGACTGAGATGATCCAGTATGAGCAGTTTGGTCTACGCAACATCTCCAAGCTTGGCCCCGATGCCAAGGCCGCTTGCGAGTTCTCCAGCCTGATGGTCGTCCAGCCTGTTCTGCATGGCCAGGCTGACAGCAACGCCGGAACCGAAGAAGTGGTTCTTCTCCCGGCTGACTCTGATGCCTACGGGCAGCAAGACGCCCTGGCTGGATACTTCACGTACCCGTTGATTGTGGAGGCTTTGACCCATGAGGACCGAGTGGAGCTCGTCTTCACCTACGACTCTGTCCTTCTTCCCGAGATTCAGCTCGAGGCTCTGTCACATCACTTGGCTCACGTCGTCTCACAACTCCTGACATCAAACGCCTCTTTGGGCCAAATCTCACTCACCAGCGATTGGGATGTCCAGCAAGTCGCAAGGTGGAGTGCGGCCAAGGCTACCAAGACACTCTCTGATTGCGCCCACGAGATGATCTCGCGCCAGGCCCTCCAAAACCCCTCTCGCGAGGCCATTTACTCTTCCGAGGGCAGCTTGACCTACGCGGAGCTGGAAATGGTGTCCACACAACTTGCTATGTACCTTGTTCAGCTCGGACTCACGCCGGAAATGGTTGTTCCCATCTGCTTCGAAAAGTCCATGTGGGCGATGGTTGCACAGCTCGCAATTATGAAGGCTGGCGGCGCGTTCCTGCCTCTCGACCCGTCGCACCCCATTACTCGACGCGAGTCTCTTAGCAAAGAGGTGGGAGCCAAGTTCGTTCTTGTCTCACCTCAAACCGCCGAGCCGTTCTCGGGACTAGCGGAAAACATCGTCTCTGTTTCAGCATCGTTCATCTCCGGACTGCCCAAGTCGCCCTATCGCATCAAGCAATTCAAGTCCAGAGCTACTCCCGAGAACGCCGCCTACGTGTTCTTCACTTCTGGATCTACCGGCAAGCCCAAGGGTGTGGTTATCGAGCATGCCGCTCTTTGTTCTAGCATCATTGGGCACGGTAGAGCATATGGCTTTGGTCCCGAGTCTCGAGTACTGCAGTTCTCCAACTACGTGTTCGATGGAAGCATTTGCGAAATTTTTACACCGCTAGCCTTCGGAGGCACCGTGTGTATTCCTTCCGAGACCGAGCGATTGGAGAATGTTTCCCAGTTCATCAACAATGGCAATGTTACTGTTGCTATGCTCACTCCCTCGTTCGCCAGAACCCTCAACCCGCAGGATGTGCCTACCCTAGACACTATGGTTCTTGGCGGAGAGGCCCTGGCAAGGGATAACCTCGACGCCTGGTTTGGACGTGTCAAACTCATCAACGCTTATGGTCCTACTGAGATTTGTGTTGTTTGCTGTTCGCACATCTTCAAATCCAGCAAAGAGTCACCTACAACAATTGGTCGTAGCCAGAACGCTCTGTGCTGGATCGTCGATGCAAATGATCATCGCCAGCTGGCTCCAATTGGCTGCGCGGGTGAGCTTGTTGTCCAAGGTCCAACTCTGGCTCGCGGTTACTTCAATGATCCGACAAGGACCGAGGCCTCGTTCATCGAAGGTGTCAATCTGATGCCGGCAGTTTCGGCTACCGAGAAGCCCAGGTTTTACAAGACCGGGGATCTCGTCAAGTACAACTTCGATGGTACCATCGAGTACATCGGCAGAAAGGACACCCAGGTTAAAATCCGCGGCCTGCGTATTGAATTGGGAGAGGTCGAGTACCAAGTGGGCGTTTCTCTCAAGGGTATCAAGCAGGTTGTCGTCGACGTCTTCAAGTCCGATGGCGGCTCCAACCTCATTGCCTATTTCAGCTTCAACGAGAACGAACCGACCGCCAATGCGGCAGCCGTTACTGACGACGTCTTCCTGAAAATGACGACGGCACTAGAAAGACAGATCACCGTCATGGCCAGCTTCCTGAGCTCAGTGCTGCCGCGGTACATGGTTCCGACCCTGTTCATCCCCTGCAGTTTTATCCCATCATCTTCTTCAGCCAAGTTGGACAGGAAAGCACTTCGCACCATGACAACTGCACTTGATCGGGAGTCGCTATCACGCTACGCACTCGTTCGCGCCAAGAAAGAGGCCGTCGAGACGCCAATGGAAGCCCGCCTGCAAAAGATGTGGGCCGAGGTCCTCTACATCGCCGTGGATTCTATTGGCAGGCATGATAGCTTCATGGGACTCGGTGGTGATTCCATCACGGCCATCCAATTGGTTACCATCGCCCGTGATCTGGGCTTGGTAGTCACAGTGAGTGATATCTTCGCCGATCCCCGTCTCTCAGCCATTGCCGCCAAAATGGGCCAGGGTGAGGGTGAGGAGGAACTGTCGTACGAGACCAAGCCCTTCAGCATGGTGATGCGCGACGAGGTCGACGCTGTGAAGTCTACAATCCGGGAAGAATGCAGCTTGTCGAGCGAGATTCTCATTGAGGATGCTTATCCTTGCTCGGGCTTCCAAGAAGGTCTGATGGCCCTAGCCGTTAAGCAGCCTGGCTCCTACATCGCCAAGAATGTCTATCGCCTCCCTGATGACATCGATCTGCCTCGATTCAAGGCTGCGTGGGAGAAGACCGTCGAGCTATGCGACAACCTACGAACCAGAATTGTGGTTCACAATGGAAAGTCATTCCAGGCCATCATCAAGGAAAGGGCTTCATGGGAGCCTACCAATGGCTTAAGCCTGCGCGCTTTTATGACTACTATGAAAGCTATGGATATGCAATACGGCTTGCCGCTCTGCCGTTCTGCTATCGTCACAGAAGCCAACGGCCAAAATCACTTTGCTTTGATCATCCACCACGCTGTCTTTGATGGCTGGAGCTTGAATGTCGCGTTTGGCATTCTCTATAGCATCTATCGAAAAGAGCCGGTCTCAGCCCTACCGACCTATTCCAGCTTCATCAACTACACAATGCAGCTAGACCAGACCGCGGCAAACACTTACTGGAAGTCCCAGCTGGACGGCGCGCAACGAGCTACATTCCCACGGACCGACCTGAACTCCAGGTCGCAGATTGAGACGCGTATCATGAAAACGAAGATCAACTTTTCCAAGATCCCAGATACTTCAGTCACAAAGGCCACTATCTTGCGGGCGGCATGGGCTATCGTTCTCGCTCAATACTGCGACACTGATGACATCTGCTTCGGCACGACTGTGTCTGGCCGTCAAGCGTCCGTACCCGGTATCGAGAAGATGGCCGGACCGGCTGTAGCTACAGTTCCGATCCGGGTTCGCATTGACCGTCAACACGGCATTTCGACCTTCCTGCAGGCTGTACAGCAGCAAGCCTCAGACATGGTTGCATATGAACAGTATGGTCTTCGCAACATCTCCAAGCTAAGCCCCGAAGCTAGGGAAGCTTGTGAGTTCTCAACTCTTCTCGTCATCCAACCTGTCCAACATGTTGCGGACGAGGGCAGCGACGCACTCTTGTTGTCCACTGAGCAAGCGATGTACACGGACGAGGAGGCAGCGGAAGGCTACTTCACGTATCCGTTGGTCATGCAGGGCTTCACCTACGACGACCAAGTTGAGCTGGTACTTACTTACAACCCCGCTGTTGTATCTGAGGATCAGCTCGTCAGCCTGACTCACCACTACGACAATGTTGTTCAACAGTTGCTTGAGGAGACCGACGCACCGTTGAACACTGTGCAGATGGCTAGTGACTGGGACTTGGCTAAGGCGATCGACTATAACGACGACGAGCCCGAGATCATCCGCTCATGCGTTCATACGCTGGTCGAAGCACACGCCCGAAGCCGACCTGATGCGCTTGCTATCGCTGCTTGGGATGGCGAGTTGACATACTCGGAACTAAACAGCTCTGCTAACAGGCTGGCTACCTACCTGATCAGGACTGCCGGCGTTCAAGTCGGTGATCTTATTCACGTCTGTTTCGAAAAGTCCGTATGGTTTTTTGTTTCCATCTTGGCTATCAACAAGGCCGGAGCAGCTTGGGTGCCCCTAGATCCCTCGCATCCAGAAGAACGCCAGAAACAGATTGTGCGACAGACCGGCTCCCGCCTATTGCTAGCATCCTCCACTACCTCTACGCAGTGTGCTAGCCTTCTCCTAAACACGGTGGAGGTTACACCAGCTCTCGATGCATACCTGGTCGGCGCCATGGGGCCTAATGCACCAATGATCAATCGCAATGTATCCCCCAGTGAGGCTGCCTACGTCTTATTCACCTCCGGCAGTACGGGTACGCCTAAGGGACTCGTGATGCAACATGGAGCTGTATGCACAAGCCAGACCGCGATTGGCAGGCGCCTCGGATTGACCGCATCCGTTAGGATACTGCAATTCGCATCCTTCGTCTTTGATCTCTGTATCGGTGAGATCATAGCGCCGCTGATCTGCGGAGCTACCATCTGCGTTCCATCTGAAGAGGTTCGTATGAATGGTATCAAGGAGTTCATCAATTCCATGAAGGTTACCTGGGCCTTCCTTACCCCGTCTTTTGCTCGGACTTTGACGCCATCAGACGTCCCAGGACTGGACCTTCTGCTGCTTACTGGCGAGGCTGTTGGTCGAGATGTCTTTGAGACTTGGGTCACGCACTTACGACTAGTGACCGGATGGGGACCGGCTGAGACGTGTGTGTTCAGCACCCTTCATGAATGGACTTCACCAGAGGAATCGCCGCAAACCGTGGGACGATCTGTGGGCGGTTTCTGCTGGATCGTGCATCCAGATGATCCGCAAAAGCTGGCCCCGATCGGCTGCGTTGGTGAAGTTGTCATTCAAGGCCCAACGATCCTTCGCGAGTATCTAGCAGACCCTGCAAGGACCGCCATGTCAACTGTTACCTCGCTCCCCAGCTGGGCGCCAAATCGGTCCTCGCCTTACTATGGACGCTTCTTCAAGTCCGGCGATCTCTGCTACTACAACCCTGACGGCACCATCGAATTCATCAGTCGCAAAGATACACAGGTCAAGATTCGCGGCCTTCGGGTTGAACTCAGTGGCGTTGAGCACCATTTGCGGGCAGTCCTACATGGCGTGCGGCAAGTTGTTGTCGAGCTCTTCAAGGGAGATGCCGGCACACACCTCGTCGCATACTATTGCTTCAACGACACCACACGCAGTAGTAGCGGCATCGATGACAGCATATTCATCCCTCTCACTGCCGACCTCAAGAGCCAGATTAATGCTGCTATCACTCAATTGGGCATCACATTACCAGGCTACATGGTGCCAACAATGTTCTTCCCCTGCCACTACATGCCCTCTATTACCTCTACCAAGCTGGATCGTGGCGGCCTAAAGCGCCTCACAGCTGGCCTTAGTCGGGAGGTTTTGGCTAAATACGCCCTTACTGACGACGAGAAGCGAGCGCCCGAGACACCTATGGAGCTTCGCCTTCAACAGCTGTGGTCGACTGTTCTAAATATCCCTACCGAGTCTATCGGTCGCGATGACAGTTTCTTGCGCATCGGCGGTGACTCTATTTCTGCTATTCAATTGGTTACAGTTGCACGAGAAGCCGGCCTAATGCTGACAGTCAATGACATTTTCCACGATCCTCGACTCTTGGCTATCGCTACCAAGATTGTTGAGACAGATGATGCCCCGTCGTACAACACAGAGCCATTCGGCCTGTTGCCAAATGGAGAACTCGATGCTATCAAGTCAGACATTCTTGTCCAGTGTGAGGATCTGTCGGATGACTATGGCATTGAAGACGCTTACCCCTGCACTGGTCTCCAGGAAGGACTTATGGCTCTGGCCGTCAAGCAACCTGGATCCTACATCGCCAAATACGTCTACTGTCTACCTGATGGCGTGGACACATCTCTGTTCCAACAAGCTTGGGCCCAAACGATTGAGCTGTGTACCAACCTTCGCACCCGGATTGTGACCCGCAATGGTATGTCATTGCAGGCTGTTCTCCACGAGAAGACCACCTGGGAAGACACCGATCACCTCGACTTGCACGCCATGATGAATTCAACAAAGACCATCAAGATGCAGTATGGTTCTCGACTGTGCCGGTACGCGCTTGTTACAGAAAACTCTGGACAACGCTACTTTGTACTCATTGTCCATCATGCTGTGTTTGACGGTTGGAGTATGAATGTGGCTCTTAGCATATTCTACAGTCTCTACCGAGGTCAATCGGTGCCTAAGCTGCAGCCCTACTCAGACTTCATCAACTACACTTCGCAGCTTGACAATACAGCTGCCGCCGACTATTGGAAGGATCAGCTTGAAGGCGCTCAACGCGCTACCTTCCCGAAGATGGACGTCATGGACACTAAGCCGGCCAGCGAGATCCTCAAGACAACAGTCCAGTTTCCCAACACGACAAACACATCCATCACCAAGGCCACCATCATCCGCGCCGCTTGGGCTATGGTCCTCGCTCGATACAGTGAGACCGATGATATTTGCTTTGCAACAACTGTCTCTGGTCGCCACGCGCCAGTGGCTGGTGTTGAGAGAATGGTTGGACCGGCTGTCGCGACTGTTCCGGTCAGAGTGCGCCTCGATCAGCAGCAGGGAGTCTTGGGATTCCTGGAAGATGTGCAGCAGCAAGCTTCGGCTATGGTTGCATATGAACAATTCGGCCTGCGCAACATCTCGAAATTGAGTCCAAGTGCCAAGGAGGCTTGTGAGCTCTCTAGCTTGCTAGTCATCCAGCCAACTCTTGCCACCACGGACGACTCCAACGACGCCATCCTCGTTTCGGCAGGACCGGAAGACTTCGAGGAAGAAGAGGCTCTGGAAGGTTACTTTACCTATCCTCTTGTTCTTCAGTGCATGACGCATGATGATCACATTACGATGTCGTTCATCTACAACTCTGCAGTGATTCCGGAATCCCAGCTTCACGCACTTTCCCAGCATTTGGACAGTGCTATTCAACAGCTGCTAGCGCAGAACGATACTCTTCTGTCTGCGGTATCATTGGCAGGCAAGTGGGATCTTGAGCAAGCAGTGCAATGGAACACAGCAGATGCCACACCGGTAAATGCTTGCGTCCACAACCTCATCTCAGACCGCGCCAGACGGACCCCAGAGCATGAGGCTATCATTTCCTCTGAAGGCAGCCTCACATATGCTCAGCTAGACCATGTGTCTACCATATTCGCCAACTACCTGTTGCAGCTCGGTGTGACAGTAGGCACGATGGTGCCATTCTGCTTTGAGAAGTCCCACTGGACTATTATCGCAATGATCGCTATTATGAAGTCTGGTGGCGTTTTCATTCCTATCGACCCATCACACCCAGCAGACCGACGCCAGGCAATTGTCGATGAGGCTGGGGCCCGTTTTATGGTTGTTTCGCCATCAACAAAGGACGCTTGCGAGGGCATGGTTGAACACGTCATCGAACTACGTGGTTCCCTTCTTGTTCGTCTTGCCAAGGCAACTCCCCGCCCCGAATCAGTCGTCAAGCCGACTCCATCCGACGCTGCCTACATCATCTTCACCTCAGGATCTACTGGCAAGCCTAAGTCATTCCTTGTGGACCACGCTGCCCTAAGCACCACCACTGTGGGCCATGGAAGGGCCTATAACCTCAACAAGACCTCTCGGGTATTGCAATTCTCTAGCTACGTCTTTGACGTCAGCTTGAGTGAGATTCTTGAAACCCTCACCTTTGGCGGTACGGTCTGTATCCCATCAGATGCCGAGCGATTGGAGAGCATAACCAGCTTTATTAAGCAAACGGGCGTCAACACAGCACTTTTGACATCAACGTTCTTACGAACCTTGACCCCCGCGGACGTTCCGTCACTCGAGCTTCTAATCCTCGTGGGTGAAGCTCCAGCTAAGGATATCCTTGATACCTGGCACAAACATGTGACGGTCGCCAACGCATACGGCCCGTCCGAGATTTCTGTCTTCTGCACTTCGCATGTTTACAAGTCGGCCGATGAGCCTCCCATGACAATCGGTCGCGGCTTTGGCTGCGCCTGTTGGGTCGTGGAGCCTGACAACCACCAACGCCTCGCCCCCATCGGATGTATCGGAGAGCTTCTGGTGCAGCGACAGATGGCCCAGGGATATCTTAATGATCGAGATCTAACTGAAGCATCCTTCATCAAGAGCGTCGAATGGCTCCCCACACCGTCGGCTACAGATACCCGACAATTCTTCAAGACCGGTGACCTGGTCCGATACCGATTCGATGGTACGATGGAATACCTAGGCCGACGAGACACCCAAGTCAAGGTCCGCGGTTACCGTATCGAACTTGGCGAAATCGAGTACAACATCAAGCACGCTCTGCCTGAAGTCGAGTACGCTGCGGTTGATGTCATCCGCCGCGACTCTCGCGAGATGTTGATTGCATTTTTCAGCTTCGGCGACGAGACCATTAGCCCGAAGACAGACATATCGGAGTGGCTCCTGACGATGGACGACACGTTGAAGGAGTCTGTCAGCACCCTCGCAGACGAGTTGAAGCGAGTCTTGCCAAGCTACATGGTGCCTAATCTCTTCATCCCAATGAAGGCTATGCCGTTCGGAACATCGTTCAAGCTTGATCGAAGACGACTACGCAACTTCGCCAACCAACTCCCTCAAGAAACCCTGAACACTTACGTGATGGGCAGCGAAGAGAAGGTGGAGCCAACCACCGAAATGGAGTTCAAGCTCCGCGAATTGTGGGCACAGGTGCTCAAGATGTCGCCGGACCAGATTGGCAAGAATGACAGCTTCCTCCAGATCGGTGGTGATTCCATCACAGCCATCCAGCTAGTATCTCTCGCACAACAACATGATATTAGCTTGACGATCGCCAAGATTTTCGAGAATTCGCGACTCAGTCACATGGCCACTATCGCAGTCATCGCAGATCCAGGCATGTCTGACGAGACGAAGCCCTTCAGCCTCCTTCCCAGCAACGACGTTGACTCGATCAAGGAGAATATTCGAGACACCTGTCTTCTTTCCAGTGGACAGGAAATTCAAGATATCTACCCTACCACGAGCATTCAGGAAGGCCTCATGGCTCTAACAGTCAAGCAACCGGGCTCATACATTGCTAAGAATGTGTACCGTTTACCCAGCAATATCGACATCGCCCGCTTCAAGGCAGCATGGGAGCATACTGTTGAAGTCTGTGACAGCCTTCGTACCAGAATCACGATTCGCGATGGAGTCTCTCTCCAGAGCATCGTCCGGGAGGCCCCAGATTGGGAGCCTACCAATGGCCTTACTCTTGATACTGTCCTGAGCAATCTGAGCAAGATCAACATGCAGCATGGATCGCGACTATGCCGTTATGCCATTGTCAACGAAGATGGCAAGCAGTACTTCATTATGATGATCCACCACTCCATCTTTGATGGCTGGAGTTTGAACGTCATTCTCAGTGCGCTGTACCAATTCTACGAGGGTCAGCCCGTTCAGGCATTGCAGCCATACTCTGGCTTCATCAAGTACACCACGCAGCTCGACAAGGTAGCAGCGACTGCTTATTGGAAGGATCAGCTAGAGGGTGCCCAGCGCGCCATGTTCCCGCACACTGAGCTGACAACTAGCTCCAAGCCCATCAGTCGCATCGCGAAGATGACTATTCCATTCCCCAAGACCAAGGAGAATGCAATTACGCAGGCAACTATTCTTCGCGCCGCGTGGGCGACGGTGCTTGCGCGATACTCGAGTACTGATGATATCTGCTTCGGTACTACAGTATCTGGCCGACAGGCATCAGTGATGGGTCTCGGAATGATGGCCGGACCCGCAGTGGCGACTGTCCCAGTCAGAGTCCGTCTTGATCACCAGAAGGGTGTTTCCAGCTTCTTGCAGGACATCCAACGACAAGCTTCTGAGATGATTGCATACGAGCAATTCGGTCTGAGGAACATCTCCGCCGTTAGCAAGGAAGCCAAGGAAGCGTGTGACTTTTCGAGCCTTCTCGTCATCCAGCCTGTCCAGAAGGTCATCTCCATCGGCGAGGGCAACGAACCTATCCTCACTCCTGCAAATGTCGGAGACCAAGGCGCAGACGCCTACTTCAGCTACCCTCTTGTTCTCATGTGTCTCACATATGACGACCACATCGAGCTTGAGTTTACCTATCACAGCAATGTTGTGAGCGAGGCACGACTTCAAGCAATGTCGCACCATTTCGACAATGCTGTGCATCAGCTTTGCCGAGGAGGCAAGACCCCGATGGATACAGTTTCCATCGCTGGATCCTGGGATGTGCAAACTGCACTGGAGTGGAACAACAGTGATCTGAAAGTTGTCGACTCCTGTATCCACCAGCTCATTGAGAAGCAAGCGCACCTTCAGCCTGATAACCTCTCCGTCGACGCGTGGGACGGACAGCTTACGTATAAGGAGCTGGACCAGGCAGCAAACAGATTTGCTCACCTGTTGGTCGTCGACTATGGGGTCCAGCCTGGTGACCTTATTCCAGTCTGCTTCGAGAAGTCTGTCTGGTTTACTGTTGCCATTCTGGGCATCAACAAGGCTGGCGCTGCTTGGGTGCCCATTGACCCCTCGCACCCACAGCTTCGCCATCAGCAAGTTGTCCAGCAAACAGGTGCGAATATCGCGGTGGCATCCGTCACCAGTGCTGACATTTGTCATGACTTGGTGCCACATGTGATCGCCTTGTGTGAAGCATTGGATACCAGGCTTACAAGGCGATCCAAGGAATGGAGCATGCGTCCCCCGACAGTCAACATCACACCTTCAAGCGCGGCTTACGTCCTCTTCACTTCCGGTACAACCGGTATCCCGAAGGGTGTTGTGATGCAGCACCGATCTGTCTGCACCAGTCAGATTGCTATTGCCAGAAGACTGAACATTACACCCGATGTAAGGCTCCTACAATTCTCCGCCTACGTCTTCGATGTTTCAGTCGGTGAGATCATCGGCGCCTTGGTCTCTGGAGCTTGTGTTTGTGTTCCTTCAGAGCATGACCGCATGAACGGCCTGAGACAGTTCATCAACAACATGGACGTCACCTGGGCTTATCTGACTCCCACTTTCGCTCGCACACTCAAGCCTGCGGATTTGCCTAGTCTGAAGCTCTTGCTTCTGGCCGGCGAGGCTGTTAGCAAAGACGTATTCGAGATGTGGTTTGGCAAGGTACGCCTCGTCAACGGATGGGGCCCTGCAGAGACCTGTGTCTTCAGCGCCATGCACGAGTGGAAATCAATTCGCCAATCTCCTCTTACAATCGGACAACCCGTCGGTGGCCTCTGCTGGATAGTTGATCCACAAGACCCTCAGAAGCTGGCGCCTCTTGGATGCATCGGCGAAGTTGTCGTCCAAGGCCCGACCCTACTCCGCGAATACCTGTCAGATCCAGCTCAAACTGAAGGCGCTACAGTCACTACCCTGCCCGACTGGGCACCAAATCGCACTTCTGCCAACTGGAGTCGATTCTACAAGACGGGTGACCTCGGCTTCTACAACATGGACGGCACAGTCGAATATGTTGGCCGCAAGGACACCCAGATCAAGATCCGCGGTCTACGCGTTGAGCTAGGAGCTGTCGAGCAACAGATTCGCGACACTCTGACGGGTGTCAGGGACGTAGCCGTGGACGTGCTCAAGACCAACACTGGCTCTAATCTCATTGCCTACCTGTCGTTCAGTCAGTCCAAGGGAGCCGGCCAGAGCTTCACCGAAGACACACTCCTACCGCTGACGTCCGACTTGGAAAGCCAGATCACCAGCATGCTCGGGAAGCTCCGGGTATCTTTGCCTCGATACATGATCCCGGCGCTCTTCATCCCTTGCAGCTATCTACCGGTTATTACATCCGGTAAGCTGGATCGAAAGGGGCTTCGCAACTTGACGGCATCGCTCGGTGCAGATAAGTTGGCCAAATACGCCCTTGTCGGCGGCAAGAAACGAGCCCCGAAGACCACCATGGAAATCCATCTGCGGGCGATTTGGTCCCAGGTCCTGAACATTCCTCTTGAATCCATCGGACGGGATGACAGCTTTATGGTGCTTGGCGGCGACTCGATTACTGCCATTCAATTCGTCACCACCCTGCGTGACCAGGGCATGGTGATCACCGTCAACGACATCTTCACCGATCCTCGACTCTCGGCTGTCGCTACCAAGATCATCGACGCCGAGAATGAACTGGATTACACGGCTGCGCCGTTCAGTATCCTGCCGAGCAACGAGGTTGACATGGTTAAGGCTGCTATCCGGGATCAGTGCGACCTTTCGAGCGAGCAAGAAATTGAGGATGCCTATCCCTGCACAGGACTTCAAGAAGGTCTCATGGCCTTGGCTGTCAAGCAACCGGGCTCGTACGTCGCCAAATACGTGTACCGCCTGCCTCGACACATTAACCCATCTCGCTTCAAGAGTGCATGGGATAGAACAGTCCAACTATGTCCCATCCTACGTACGAGGATCGTGACTGTGGATGGTGCCTCGATCCAAGCCGTCATCCCCGAAAACGCCAAGTGGGAGGATACTGACGGCATGGATCTTCGCTCTGTCATGAACTTGGCAAAGACCATGGAGATGGATTACGGCTCCCGACTCAGCCGCTACGCATTCGTAACCGACGATAAGACCAACGAGCAGTACTTTGCGCTCATCATTCATCATACAGTCTTCGACGGCTGGAGCTTAAACGTCCTGCTCGGTACGCTCATTAGCTTCTATCGCGGCGAGGCTCCTCCGTCCCTGCAACCGTACTCGAGCTTCGTCAACTATACCGCCCAGCTCGACCCGGCCATCGCAGCCGCTTACTGGACGCAACAGCTGGAAGGGGCTCAGCGAGCCACATTCCCCCGAGCCATCACTTCGCCCGGCTACAAGCCAGTCAGCCGAATCATGAAGACGTCTATGCCTTTCCCTATGCTGATGGACAACTCGATCACAAAGGCAACTATCCTCCGTGCGGCATGGGCTGTGGTCCTCGCACGATACTGTGACACTAAGGACGTGTGTTTCGGCACATCAGTATCTGGCCGCCAAGCTCCCATTGCTGGAATCAACTTGATGGCTGGTCCTGCTGTGGCCACTGTTCCTGTGCGTGTCCGTCTCGATAGCCAGAAGGGCGTTTCCAGCTTCCTCAGAGACATACAACAGCAAGCTGTGGAAATGGTCCCTCACGAACAGTTCGGTCTTCGCAACATCTCAAAGCTCAGCATAAATGCCAAGGAGGCATGCGATTTCTCCAGCTTAATGGTCATCCAGCCCATGCAACAACTGGCTGCATCAGCGGAAGACCCAGACGCCGTCCTGCTCGCTACTGACCCTGAGGCATACGGCGTAGAAGAGGCCACGGAGGGCTATTTCAGCTACCCCCTCGTCCTCCAGTGCCTCGTCTATGACGAAAAGGTCGACCTCGTCATGTCTTATGACTCTGGCGTTCTCAACGAAACCCAGCTTCGTGGTGTCGCTCAACATCTCACCCAAGCGATCCAACAGCTGCTGAAGAGGCGGGTCAAGTCTGCCAAGTCTTTGAGCCACAAGTCATCCTCGAGATCTCTGAGCCACAAGTCATCTTCAAAGTCGTTGAAGCACAAGTCATCCTCTAAATCACTGGCTCGCAAGGCGTCCTCTCAAGCTTTGCCTCCCCTTCCCGGTGGTGCGTAAACGCGAAACATTGGGAGGCGCCGCAGCAAATGTCAACTTTTCCTTTCTAATTTCGCATTTTCTTTCTTAAGTCAATCGTGTCATCAAAAGCGACACACGAGCGATTTTCTTGTATTCTTTTTTATATTTTGCATTCTCACATCCTTCATTCCTTGGATCTCAAGTTGCGCTTCATAGCACGGAGCCATTTTGTTTCATTTCCTCTACTCTTACATGGAGGCTATCCTTCCATCTAGTCTGATACATAGCTTAGCCGCACATTCGTGTTCAATGCAATATTAGTCCCTATTTATAACATGTTCATGGATTCATTATGGTCAAATTGATCAAATGTATATATTGATGATTGTCTTGAGCACCATTGCCCTGATCAAATCGACCCTAACGGATCAATCAACACTCCTCCATTAACTCCAACTATCTAATCATAGCCTTCCCTCGTAAAATCATTCAGCTGTCCCAGATAGCACCGTAAGCCGGAACTCCTCTCGTTTCAAGGCCGTAAACAACCTTCTTCGTAATCTTTTCGTTTGCAATAATAATCACCGCCTCAGCTTTGAAGCTCTTAGCCAAATTGAAACCCATCTTGACGAGATCTGGGCGGCCGAGCTTTTTGGTATCATGGATAACAGCATCTGGGATCTGTCTTATAATCGAATTGCACAATTCGTCCCCGAATGTTTGCTCCGGGCGAGATGTTGACCATATCAATTGTGTATCGTACGGTAGGTTGTTAATGTGGCCCAGGACCGGCCCAATGCCAGAGCCAGTTGCGATAAGGACCACGCGGTTGAATAATGTTGCAATGCGCATGACTCCGCAGGTGGGGACGCCTCGGGTCCAGATATGCGTGGGTGGCTGGCGAATAGTTGACTTAGTCCAGTCGCCTGCATTCGACACGACAAGGGAATAACCCTTCGGTCGATTATTGTTCGCTTCCGGAGCGGGGATTGTAGCAAAGGAATGCCATTCAATCAGTGGGCGGCGCGACAAACGGGCGAATGAACCATTGACCGGGACCGTATAGTCAAAGTGCAGCCTCACAGCGTGGTCTGATAGAACCTCAGCTTCCACAGGCACCTTACGAAGGAAGAGCCATGAAGAAGCCACGCTCGCAGTTGACACCGCAAGAAGCCAGAAAGACGGAGATCTCAAACAGGCGCTTCCAAGAGATACGCCTTCTGGGGCACTGTCTTTGTTTGTAAGGACGACTTGAACCCAGAAAAGGGCCAGCATTGTCCAGCCGACGAAACGGTGCGTCATCTCGAATAAATCGTGGTGCTTCTTGCGCATTGTCGGCCATGCAAGGGTAATCATAACAACAAAGAGCATGGCCAGCATCCAGGAGACGACCTTTGCCTCAACAGACTGGTGACCCCAATTCGAGCAGCTTGAGCCTGAGCTCATGCAGACGATATCTGCAATGTTTGTTGCCAGCAGCCATCCGCCGGCGCTTATGGCCGCCCCGGAGTGAACACCACCGAGATGATAGATCTTACCACATCGGGCTCTGACGAAGAGGGGCCACGACTTGGGCACACTGCAGGCGATGGTGTAGAGAGTGTTGATGACGAAATCTTGGCGGATAAGGACGGCTGTGGCCAGGTTTATGGCAGTGATATTGCCTAGCCACTGCCTGGTAATACCCGTAAGCACCAAGGCAATGGCTGCCGTAATATTGAATAAGCCAACCAAAGACAGGAGGCGTCGGTAAACAATCAGGCCGCGGTAGCGGAGGCCCCGTGCATACTTCCGGTGTTTCTTCTCAGGCAATACGGCCTCCAGGTCAAAGTCGCTGTCCTTTTCAATCACGGTACTATCCAGCTTCTCGGAATATGTGGAGACTTGCGTCACGCTTGAGGACGAGGAGTCCGACTGCGTTTGTTCGAGATCAGCGGGTTGAGGAGAGTTGATGAGATGGCTCGGCAGATTTTCGCACTCTGTGCTATCTTGCCCAGCCAATGCGAGAGTTCGCAGTGCTCTCTTGTCGACTTTACCATTCTCGGTCATGGGCAACGACTCCAATAGGTGATAGTGACTTGGCATAGCATAGTAAGGCTGGCAGTCCTTCATGTGATCCTTCACTACTGAGAGGCGACAGTGAGAAGGCGTGAGAAAGCCGTGGATTTCACCCTCGATGAGCAATGCCGCTGCCCTCTGAACAAGGTGACAAGAAGTAAGGGATGCCGCAATTCCATCAAGCTCAACCCGAAAGCCCTACAAAAGTCAGTTTCTTGAGATATAGTGCAGTAGCTGAGGGTTTCAAACCTTCACTTTGACCTGGTCGTCAACGCGACCCAAAATATGTACCGAGCCATCGGGGTTCCACTGACAGACATCCCCAGTGTTATACATCTTGGACCTGTGGAATTTGAGTTAGATTTTATCACAATCGGTGAGCTTGGAGATATCAACCCTACCCTTTTTGAGCAAATGGGTCAAGGACATATCGCTCGGCAGTTATCTCTGGGATTCCCACGTATCCAGAAGAGACACCCAAGCCACCAGCCCACATCACCCCACTCTGCCCTACTTCGACGGGCACAAGGTCCTGGTCGAGTATGTAAACATTGTTGTTTGGCGTCGGCCTTCCAATTGTCAACGGAAGGCCAGGTTGATGTTGGTGCATTGTGTTGACAATGGTCGTTTCAGTAGGACCACAACAATTGTAATATGTTGTCTGAGCGGCCCAAGTATCGGCAAGCCTGAAACTGATTAGAAGATTCCCCATGACGCTAGCGTTAAGACCCAATTACCTCTGTGAAGATGGCTCGCCGGCAGTAGCTACCGTCTTGAGCCGTGGGTAATCCTGAGGATTGTACAAAGATAGGATTGTCGGGGTGCAGATTAAAATGTCGATCTAGGAGATAAGATTAGTTAGAACGGATGATCTCCCTGCAGTGCACTCTCCCTGCAGTGCACTCTCCCTGCAGCGCACTCTCCCTGAAGCGCACTCTCCCTGCAGTTCACTCTCCCTGCAGTTCATACTCCCTGCAGTGCACTAAAACTTACCTCTTTCAAGGTGCATGTCCAATCTGAGCCGCGGATGATCAAAGTTCCACCGTTTGACAGACACCCCAGAGTCTCCCAGGCCGCTTCAAGGTGAAATCAGTCAGTACAGCTCCTTGTCTCAAAGGATTGCTTTTTGGAAGACCTACCCATATCAAAGCTGATATTCAGCACTTGGCCCACGCGTTTGCCTGGTGAGATACCCAAGTTGCCAGGGGCATGACAGATCAGATTTGTCACATTTCGATGAGTGACATTGACACCTTTAGGCTTTCCCGTAGTGCCTAGGTTGTAGTGTCTCAGCTCGTAAATTCCATACTAATTTAAGACTCGCGTAACTTACCTGAAGTATAAATCACGTAGCACCCGCTTTCAGGACTAGCCAAGTCCACGAACCCTTCTTCTTCATCAATCTCGTCCTCATCTGCATTGTCCAAGTCATCAACAACGACAACATTGGCGACACCTGCATTCGCTAGACGATGACGGGTAGATTTGAGGGCTAAGGCGGTACATCCGCCAGTCTGTTCTAAGACGAATTGTAGAGTCTCGTCAGGAACAACAGAGCCGTCAAGAGGGACATACTGGGCCCCACAAGCCAATATTGAAAAGATTCCCACGAGCATATCAATCCCCCTCTTGACAACGAGGGGAATCCGACTACCGGGGGTAACTCCCAAGGTTTGCAGCTTGCGTGCCAACTTAGCGCTGCGTCGTGCGAGTTCACCATATGTAATCTGCACAGCCGGCTCAACGGAGAGGTCGCGAGCCGCCAGAGCCTGCGGCTGAGTTGAAGCATAATGGAAGAAGGCTTTGGTAACGGTTGAGAACTGAGGAGTGCTCACGAGGCCATAGCTGAAGGAGAGGGGGGACGGTCTCTTAGACGGAGAGACCGGGGGCAGGGATTCCTCCATGGTAAGACGTGAGATTTCAAACGAGACCAATGCAAGATAAAATGAAGATTTTCGTTGCACAGGAATGATATAAGGCTTAGCTGGTAACTTAATATTGCCTCTAGGATAGAACCTCTGTGCTAGAAAGCATACTCCCTTGATCGGGCCGGTAACGCCGACTTAAATACTGGTCTCCTTCGTCGAACCCGCTGTTTTCTCCCTCGGCTGGAGAGAGTCTTGTCGCCGTCTCTCATCGATGCCGCGAAGCTGAGAACCCGCGTCCGATTTCGTAACTTCCCTTTAGGATTGCATCCGAGCCGCCGCGGGATGCAACGTACTACCATATGAAGATGTGACACCCTCCTGCGCGGAATTTTTTACTCGCTTAGAGCAGGACACGATGCTAGGTTCTTTCGTATTAATGGCAATGCTCATCGACATGTGCGTTGAACTAAAATACGGAATGGCACTCGAGGCTGCTGAAGATGACATACTAGGCAGGTAGCGCCGAACAACCTGGCTGATATATGCCACATGCCTATTGAGAAAGCTGGAAAGCCCTCCTTATCGGGAGCCTTGGCCCTAGCCTTGTCGCATGTGCTTAAGGTGCGGCCGGCCTGGGTGGGCCGTCGGAACTTCTGAGAACGGATCACCGGGCCACGAGCGCGGATCCAAGCGTGCCAAGAATCTTGAGCGTGACCAGGAGGTGCAGCATCGTACTTCGGCACTTGCAGAAGCGGATGATGAATGCGTGCTTGACAGGGATCTCGCGAAGCCGATATCGGGTTGGCAGCTTTCACTAGGGGATTTGCTAAGTGCAACGAACAATGATGCACTGTACAAAGTACTCTAGACCATTTTCAGGACCGTAGAAATTGTCTGCGGTGCTTGTTGCCACTGTTGTCAATTATTCCTTTGCGAGGTTGATGGGATATCTTCGTGTTCAGCAAACCAACCAACCTTCCTATTCAGGTGGCCTATTAAGCCGACAGGATAATTTAGACTTTGCAAGATAACATCTGAGCCGCGATCCCGTATCTGAACCGGAACCGGAAGGACACATTGGGACTGAATAGGAAGGACACTGTGCAATTGATTGGTTGGTGTGCGCTTCAACACAAACTCGGGATCGATGGAACCTTGATCGATGGCGCGAAGAAGTCGTGATTTATGTGGAGCGATCCGCTCGAGGAATTACCAAAACAAGTCGTTGAATCCCCAGGACCAACCATTCCGAAAAGAAAAATACCGCAATAAGACAAACTCACTGATGTCTCAGAAAACCGGTGGCCTTGTGCCCCGGTTAGCTGGAAAAGCAAATCTTGTTTCAGTTGGGTAATTGATTGCAATATCCAGACACTCCAACTGAGACAGCCACGTATTCATTTTTGTCGCTGTCTAGCTAATAGTACATATGTTAGCCAACAACGCAGTACCAATGCCAGCCCAATACATCGCCAATTCAGCAGATAGCGACGCGGCACAGCTCCAAGCGCTGTCACTCATCATGGCCGACGAATTGGTTCTAGCTACCACGCCAGCTGAGGGTGTTCGCGTTCTCGCCTTCAACAGACCCGCCAAGCGCAACGCTCTCTCCCAGGAACTCATCAACGTCTTCTTGCACCACTTGTCGGAGGCCTCGCGGAATAATGCTGTGCGTGCCATTGTTCTCACGGGCAGCGGCGCCTTCTTTTCCGGTAAGAACACAAACGTCCTTCCCCCCAGGTCAAGACCCTGGTCGTTGGCTGACTCGACGTGATTCGTCCAGCCGGAGCCGATATCAAAGAGATCTCGGCGCTCGACGGGGAAGCTGCGCGGGGTTGCCGCTATCTCGCAGACCTCTGCGCGGGGATGCGAACTGTGCGCAAGCCCCTGATAGCTGCTGTGGAGGGCATGGCGGTGAGTAGTATTCCGTTCCCACGGCCAACATAGCTCCGTTGATCCACATGTGGGACTGACACTATATTCTTGACAGCTCGGTGGGGGCTTCGAGGTCGCTCTGATGGTCAGTTGACAAAGAATCCCAAGTTGGCGTTGCGGCGCAGTAGCCCCGGTGGGCGGAGGGCCTTCTTCACTGACACCCATGATATTAGTGTGATTTGATCTTTGCATCCACAACCTCTCAATTCGGACTTCCAGAGGTCACCATCGGCCTTATTCCCGGCGCTGGAGGGACACAACGATTGACAAACGCTGTGGGAAAGTTCAAGGTAGGGATTTGAGTACCCCTCTGGTTGATGCCACGTGCGAGACTGCATCTGGCTCGGCTAAACACACAATATAGGCTATGCAAATGATCCTTCTAGGGTCCCCCATCTCAGCAGCAGAGGCCAACTCGACCGGCCTTGTCGCTCAACTCTTCGAGCCTGGCCAAGTGCTGGAGAACGTCGTACAGACAGCATCCAGGCTGGCCGGACTGAGCCCAGCGGCACTGTCGCTGGCGAAGGAGGCTGTTTGTCGATGTAAGTGTTCTACATATCTTATTCCCCATCAGCAGCTATTTCTCACAATGCCTCTTAGCCGATGACCTTGGCTGTGATCACGAGTTTGAGCGGAGTTTGTATTATTTCGCATTCGGGACACGGGATAAAGATGAAGGAGTGAAAGCCTTCCTAGAGAAGCGAGCACCATCTTGGGGTTCTTAGTGCGCGCTGATTACGGCATCCGTCAATATCTTGGATAACTATATCCTACAACGGCATTTGCCAATAGACGAATGTCTCATACGGCCTTAGAAGATGGTGGAAGGATGGAAACTAGCTAGCCAAGATACCTTTCATTATACCTACTGCTGGCGTTATGCAGTCGACGTTGATAGCGGGATCATCAATTGCAAACACGTGTCTCTATATGTCCCGCATCCAACTCGGAATGTTCAGAAATTTCTCCGATATGGTAAGGCTTTTTATATTGCACGACACAATGAACGGTCCTTACATGTAGTTGATGTCTAGGGTGAGAGCGAGAGTTATGCGAAGCCCTTTATGGACCTAGGGACATTAATTTGGGCTCATATGATCTCGGCTGATAACTGGCCAACGGTTGTTGTACTTGAGACATATCAATTCATGATGAATGGATAAGAATGAAGGGCTTGTGTGCCAGAAGCCTAAGTTCTGAACAACTTCAGAGCAAATTAGACTGTCCACTCAGTAAATTGGCCCTGAACCCTTCCCCCAAGTATGACCTACGGGCTTTCTTATCCCCAATGGTTCAGGAAATATAAGCCTTATATATCTTAGCTTTTAGTCTGTATTGTGTATTGTTGATACTCTTGTTGGTGTTTTCCTTTTACTGTTGAGCTTCTAGTCCCCCCTCTGGGTATGTGTGTACTAGGGCACCCTAACCTCTTGATATATCTTAGCTTTAGTTCATAACCACAGGCCAATTTATCGAGTCGATACGGTCAAGTTGCAGGGCGTCGGTCAACTGACGGCATAAAACTGTGGTCCTTACACATAGCTTTCATTGTGACCCGACCTCTGAGATTCATCACACGCCGAACTCCCCCTACTACCGAGGTATAGCGCAGCCAATCATGTCTAATAAGGAGGGCAAAGGTCAAAGCGGCGGCAACTTGTCCGCCAAAGATAAGCTCACACGGGAAATCGCGCCTGGATAAAACCAAACAGTTGCAGGAGAAGTCAATAGAGCTTCACAAACAGACAGATGAAGCAGGTGATCCGAAAGTCGCCGAAGAGCTGCACTCCGAAGCCCGTGACGTCGACAAAAAAGCGGCCAATCTGATGGAACCTGCTGAACGCTTGGAGGCAGGTTGGCTTCAAGGAGGTGCTGTTGGGACTGGAATAGGTGCTGGAATCGCAAGTGGCATCGACATCACCGTCGGCTCGTTGTCACAGTAGTGGCAATTCCAACTTCAGGCTTGGGAATGTTGATAGGGGCTGGAACGGGTCTACTACATGGCCACTGGGTCGAATACACCGACTCGTTTCGCAAGCAGGAAGAGGACAGGATTAAAAACTAAGCTCAGCAAGAAGCTAACGAGATCGCCAACGAGATTAGTCAAACTCACTCGTGATACATCGCGGATATCCAGATGGCCAGTTGGATTTTAAGATTCGATCAGGTGCCTTTCTAGGTCACTTAGAATCAAGCCTTCAGTGAGAAACTGTGTCTTGGTTGATAACCGGCGGCCGCGAAATTGAGTGAATGCAGTATCAGGAGAAATTTGACAACAGCTGGCCGTCTGCAGCCCTAGCCGCCATCTCACTAATGCACGTTCCTGCCCATCAACCTCCTTTCTCATGGCCCGGTTGAAGCCATGCGCCCATGACGTTCCCTGCTAGCGATTGACAGGTCCCCTTGACCATGATCTCTTTCGGGCCATCGGACTGGCCCTGAAAGGTATTCTCCAGCAACTTAAATAGCGCAGGAGATAGGCATTCTATCAATCATCGACAGCATCGCAGCTGATTGCACGTATGACAATGACGGAGCTCGAGATAAAGTCACCTTCTCTTTCTGTCGGTTTGTCAATATCTTGCAAAGCTGGCGGGTGATGTACCCAACTTCATAGAATCTATCTAAGATTTCCGTCTATCTCAAGACAGCTTTTGTAATGACGGGGCGACCATATGTGCAGATTCTGCAAAAGTTAGAGTCTTCAAGCTACAAGGCCGCAGCTTGAACTTTTGGTTTCTCATTCCAAAATACACCTGCATTAAAGTCTTGCACTAGAACTCTTTTTTCTTCTTCCTGTAGCACTGATGAGATCCCTGTCGCCGCTTCAGGCGTCTCGGAGAAGAGCTGAGCTGGTCCTCTTTTCGCTCAGTTCATTAAAACCCTTATCTTCTAGTCAATTGAAGGCAACTGCTCGACCTTTTTGAGGCAAACGCGACATTGTTGATGATTCTGCCAAGTCCTTTCAAACATGCCAAATGTAATGAACTTTTGCTCGGGGCCTTTTGATCAATGCATGTTGCTTCCTCGGCATATCGCACACCTACCTGCCTATTTAGGCAGGTCGAGTAGACGTTAAGACTTGGCATTGCGGCAAAACGGAGTAGTATTTTTCCTATATTTGCTTCATGTCCTTCTCCTTCAAGTCTCCTACGTAATCTTGCGTTATGTATCACCCTCTTTGGATCCAATGCATCTCCATCACCATACAAAACACAATCGGCAAGACTTACCAACGTGAGACCCCCCACGTTTGTTGCTGCGCTTGACGTTACATCTTCTGTTAATACCTGTCTTCTTCCTGAATAACGCGAGGCGGACTGCCAATTCGCCCTTACTGGTAGCCGTCCCGACCGACTTTCAACTATTCCCTGCCGTCAAGCTTCTGCAACATTTCCCATCGATACTGGCGATCGTGGAACCGTTCTTCATGCTTTCAATCATTCTTAAGTGTCCTGGTACAGTCTGGAATGCAACTTCCCTGACCATGACTTCACCGGCACCGTTGCTGCGAGACCAAAATCAGGGGTGGTGATGCTCTTCCTTCCTCGTCAAATATAGAGGTAAGTATGGCTCAACCGGGGTCGGCAGGACTCTTTGCCCGGTCGATCGGCAAGATTGACTACTAGAGCCAGCCCACCATCCGCCACACTTGGCTTATTACCCCCAGCGAGGAACTTGATCTCAAACCTTACATCTACGCGTCACAATGCGCCCTTCTAGCTAGGCAATTGGGTTCGCCTAGTCGGAGCAAAAGTCTACATTCTATTCCCTTCGGAACTCCGATATGCCAAACTTTGAGACCAAACTTTACCCAATTCCAAGAGTTCCTTTAGCAGCAGGAAGAGACGGAAACAACACCCAACTCATTAACTTGCCCTAGGGGAAATGCACAGAGAGTCGTCGCACAGGCGTCTTAGCCGGTCAGCCCGAAGCTGCACCAGATTACGCGTATGGGGTCGGATCAATCTGAGGCTTATGTCTCCTGATAGGGGAGCATCTCATGAGATAGAATATCGGGTCGGTCGCAGGAAAGTTCGCTGGCAAGGCATCAATGGGGCCTGCGGCAGCCCGATATCTGAGGGAGGTTAAAGACAGAGGTTGGACAGGGAACGTAGTAACGGCAAGAAGGTTCAAATAACTCTCTCAAAAATGAAGGCAATTGATTAATAGACTCCCTAGCAGCCTCAAGCTCTTCCAGCCTCTCTGACTTCTAGGAAGAATCTCTGATAAAAGAAAAGATGATGATTTTTCCCAGTGACGGCACTGACCTCCCCTTTTAACCCCATCCGGGTCACCCTAGAGACATCCCCGCTAGCGACCAGCTAGCCCAAGCGTCCCTAACCGCCTGTCACATTCCCAAGTGGCGGTCGACAGCCTCCTATAGCTAGGCTCTGCAGAATCAATTCAAATTTACACATCAGATATTCTCTTATGCTGAATTCCATAACAGTTAGAAAGAATTGCCTGATTCTGTCGGCCTCGATCTCTGAGGCTGAACAGTAAATGGTAGCACGGAAACGCCGGATCCATCAAACACCTCACGTAACTTGGAAAAGGCAACGCAAGAAAAGTGTCAAGTAATTAGGTACGCATAGGAAACATCGAAAGGATTTTAGCCAAATGGAAGTTATCACGAGGACCATCATCACTTAATCAAACAGCCCCTCAAAAAGGCGGGTTCAAAGGAGCTTCCTGAAACAAAGAAATTTGCATCCTGACTGCCTTTGCCGGCTATTTCCCTTCCATATACCACCTTGAATTCAGATGTTGAATCCAACTCTGGTTTAATATTTGGTTACATAGGCTAAGCTGTTGAAGCTAGCCCAATCAATCCTCATCCTCTTCCCTCTGAAAGGCTCAGCCCCCAGATCAACAGTTTGTCTGATAAACCGAGTTGATAGCGGAATGCGCGGCACGCAATTAGAGCCGGCTTTATGATGTGGGGTCTCTAGAACGGCCTAATGCACCATCGGCCTCGTCTTGCAGCTGCTGAAGAAGCGCTCCATTAGGGTAATCATCGACATCCAGGTCCGCATATCCTCGAGGGGCTTTACTTCGAGGAAGAATTGCGAATGCGCGACCTAGCAATTACATTAGAACGAACCATTATTTTCAACGAAATTAGGATTCAGGTCCAAATATACCATGAACTGTTGGGTCTGATGCAATCCTCAACACCAGACTCCCAGCATCTTCGAAAGATGCAAATTCCACGTCATGTTTTTGCAATTCCTCGTATGCCGCATCGCTCAAAATCTTGGTTTTGAGGAACCTTGGATTGATAAGCTCGCCTGCCGTCAATGATCTTGGGCTTAGTAACTCACCATGGAGCAAGGTAATTGACTCTTATGTTATGCTTCCATTCCGAAGCTCTGAGGCTTCTCAGAATACCGCGCAAACCAGCCTTTGATGCGGTATATTGAATAGATCCCTCTAATTCCAGGTACGCGGTCATGCTGCCTACTAGAATGAGCAATTGGTCTAGCGGTGAACCCCTATGCAGCGCGTTCTGTCGGCGAAAATAGTGGAGCGTGATTTTGATCGTGTAAAACGCGCCACGCATGTTAACATCCAAAATCTTGAACTCAGGCTTTTCTGGCTCCTCCAATTCAACTGTATAATAGATTAGTATTCAGATATTTGTCAAATCATATGAGCAAAATCTTACCATTGTTGACATACATCGGGTCTACCATGTCGATTCCAGCGTTCGGAATAACAATGTCGACCCTCCCGCTGGGGGAAAATGATACGGCTTCTTTAAAGGCTGCAAGTTGATCCTCCCATGATGTAACATCGCATCGCACAAATTTAGTAAGCCTATTAGTATTAAGGAGGAGGCTCGAATACTGTTCATCAAGAATAGTAACTTACCCTAGAAGTTCAGAAGACAATATCGATCCTTGCTGTGCATCAATATCCGCAATAAGGACATAGCACCTGGCCATCGTTCAATTGCCGAACTCTTAAGGGTATCTGATGACTGACCCTGCTTTAACCAACGCACGGGTATAAGATTCTCCTATGCCACTTGCACCTGGTAGACGTCAATACAAGCTTCTCTACGAATTAGACATTGCAGCATACCTCCAGTAACAATAGCAGTCTTCCCTTCAAGGGAACTCGTCTCAAAGTCGACATCACAATCGACAGGACCGCAGTTCGTGTATTTAAGCATATTGGGTAAAGGTTGAAGTAGTCTTGGTGTCTGAAAGAGAAAATTAAATAAAAAATACAGAAATTTGATTCTTCTGATTAACCTCCTTCTTATATAACTAAGATCCCCTCACAACCTCGGCTATACTATGCGCTCATATGACCAAGACCGGAACTTCAGCAATAAACACTTAAGCATACCCCCGCAATAGATCAACCTTGAAACTCCGCGCTTTAGGAAGCCGACCTTACGCTTTCCAGGCTTGACGCCTACCTCGGCACCACGAGTGAAGTCATTTGCTGATATTATAATCATCCCGAAGCTAGACCAAACGAGCCTAGATAGTGTATATCAGATGTAGCGCTTGCCTCGGCACTATAGGTGAAGTCATTTTTTATCCAGCCTTGTGGACGTGGCCGAGATCAAATGTGCTCTTTATCTTCACGGTGAGGGACTGCTCTGGGATCAGCGCGATCTTTACTGCATGGGATACGATGAGCTAGCCGTTCCCATGGTCAATGCTTGACAGTGCCCTTTCGAGGTATTTGCTAAGATTTGTGCCGTGCTCTCGATAGTTAGTAGGCAAGACTCCTTCCTAGGACCACGGGGTCGCCATGGTGCCTTAGAGTGCGTTAGGCAATGCTACAGACACGGGGCTATCCAATTGACCCGTTGGACGGTATTATACCGCTGTAAATAGCTGTTGTTTTAAAAACATTCGTTCTCGCTTGTGATAATGTTTCTGTTGGATGATGACCCTGTATGACGAAACCTCGGATAGATTGATATCCTGACCTTAGTCAGAAGGGGGGTATAATAACCCCTCTTCCGACCGATCCGGATGACCGGCACAAGCAATCATCAACATCATCATCACTGTATTGATCCCTATCTATCAGATTGAATTGACCGTAACGAATCCATCAGTTTCCATACCCCTCATCTCAGCATGCAAATTGGTCAGTAGAACCCGCTTGATATTACATAACTCTCCGCTATCTGAGCCAATAATTATGCAAGGTGGTATTTTAGTGAAGATGGCCTCGTGATGACCAATTTGATCCTTGCCCGAATTCATTGCCGAGGGCTAGCGTTGCCGGAGCCAGACAGGTCGGCCAAATTTGTCATACATCCGGTTTCCCAATCACATTGTATTACTACTGAGACACGGTCAAGTCGATCGTTACAATAGTGTTCAAATTGATTATGATCGCGATGATCTTCCGGTCATCCGGACCGGCCGGAAGAGGGGTTATCTGACCCCATTTATGACTAAGGTCCGGATATCAATCTACTGAAGGCCTCCTAGTACAGGGTCTCTATCCAACAACTACAACATTGCCTCGGGCCCTTTTGCAACGAGTCACAGGATTGGGTCGCAGAAATGTGAATGACATGTAAAGGGTCCTCGATTGGCTTCACATCTTTATCCGGTTCGAAGCCGCGGCTGGCCTCGGTAGCTTATAGCCTAGGTCAGTCAACAGAAATTGGTCAGCATAACTCTCATCTCAATTGTCCGAATCAGTTAATATGGCCGGTATCATTGCCCAATCCTTCCACACGTGTTGACACCATCTCCGTGTACGTGGCTGTTCCAGGATATCTCCAGACTTAAAGGAAGCTTTAAGGCCAGACCAAGCCCGAGATATCGAAAGGATGCACCAACAACTCAATGGGATGGCGACGGTGGGGACGGGAGTGATCAAGACAACAGTGGCGCACCACGAGATGGATCACCGCCGCCTCCTCACGAGTAACTTGAATCACATACGGAGGCCAATTCGTTAGGAGGAGTATCCGACGCAGTCTGAGCAGTGTAAGCTCGATGATTCAACCCGGGCTTCCTCCAGATGGTAGTCTCCAAGCATGGCTGCAAGGTAATTAAAAATCCGGCCGTTCTTTTCACTGCCAGTAAACTATTGATCCCTCTGGCAAATTGATTCAACAGTCTTCAGTTGTCATCTGGTCGTCATGAATACCTGAGGCTTTGCCAACTTATTTGGTGTCTTCCGGGCCTACGATCCCACAGCGCTTAACTGCCCTCTGATATCTTATAGACTGGATCCATGTAAATATACTTTCCCTTCTTTATTAGAATATTGGCTGGACATGCTACTGATGTTGGTCAATTTGGACTTGTTTTTCTTGGCTGCGCATTCCAGCTTGTCTGTATCTGCACTGTCTCAGTCACCACGGGAGAATGCTAAGAGATTCAACGCCTCGCAGTGTGCTACGCGCAATCACGATTATGAATGGCTGAGTTCCGATGGGCCTTTGTCAGGGCCGACCAGAGCGGCGGGAGGAGCTTCTCCCCTAAGGCCGTGCGTGGCCATCTATGAGGCGCATGGGTAGGTCTTGAGGTTGTGAAGTTGATGGAGACAATGTTGCATATTGCACTTCTGCTCTCCCATGTATACATTCCGGTCGTCATTGGGCATGTTTATACGGAGAATCTGGTTTTGGCATACGTGCGGCATCAAAGAACCTCAACAGCCTAGCTCTGAGGAGAGCAACATTCGCTTCTTACCCCGGCAAATCAAGGATCCGATCTTGGCGAAACTGACTCTGATGCCGCTGCTACGTTAGGTGTGCCTTCGTCACAGCAACCCCCACGCCTGATTTTTGCCACATCTGTGATTGGATCTGAAACAGTAAGGCGTTGATGAACACCTGGGTTTAACCTTAGTTCTACATGCGCGGGCATGCATCGACGTGCTATAGTTCTACGTGGCGTGGTGCTGACACCAGGCTGCTGCTTCCGTCACAAAGGAGACGTTCAGCACTCCCGAACTAGCTCAATTTGACGTAGAGGAGATGGCAATGGTTGGTAAGATCAATAATGCCAAGTATCAAAATTAGGAATGGGGCAGGGGATCAATTTAGTCCACGTATATCTCCCTTCTTAAGCCCGAGAACTCAAGGTTATTTTAGGTGTGAAAACACTTTATTTCTTTCTGCCGATCGGCGGGGGCTTACCTTGCTACGTGGTAGCACGTGGTAGGTCTGTAATAATCCGAAGTCAGTAGAGAAACCCCGTACATCAGATGTGATTGACTGGTAAACGAGATCTTGGCAAGCAAAGCGGGTCCATCACGAGAAGTCCGGCTCAATAAATCTGCCGACATGAAGATCGCGTCAACAAGGCGTGCAGGTTGTTACGGGCCGCTTCCGTAGCTCCAGTCTAGGCCGAAGCTGGCCTGCACTGCAAGCTTACAGGCATAGTAGAATGAATACGACGGCGTCATCACGCAGGTAAATAAGCATGTAAATAGGGGTTGGAGTAGGGGTTGCTCCGGTATCATTTGTCGCTTGACAAACCGCGATAGTGTGAATAAGCATGACCGCATGCCGTGAAACATGGTGGAAATTGTCGATTTTGCCGATCCAGCCCGAGTGGGCACGTTGCCCATGTTTTGCTTATTATAGAGCCCCTAATTAACCATGTACAGGCCAAATTTTGGTATTAGAAAGGTCCCCATCTTCCGGCAAATACATGAAATAATGCCATGGATCAATGCCGGATCGGCATTCTTCATTTCATACCCTGCCACGTCACTATCATACGGTACGCGTTGGGGGCAAGACATCCTCACCCGACCTGTGTCCCTCACTTCTCGTGGTGGAGCCTGCCTGCAAGTCAAGGATCATCCTGGGGAAGGTGTAGCATTCATGCCAGCGATGCACTGTTTATCAAAAACAGAGGACTTTAACTCTCGCTCGGTATGTTATAGGACACCGAGGTAGCCTGGCAACCCGGATGTCCGAGAAACGCGACGATGATTGAAAACTCGATTGAGAAGGGTGGGAACAAGGTAGCTCAGCATCTACCATAACTATTGTCTATATGAATCGAGATACCAATTTTAGATTTACTGCACATCATTTCTTTTAATTTCTCATCTTCAATGAGAAACATGGACGAAACTCAGTTGACAGTCGTCATTGTGGGCGGTAGTGTATCCGGTCTTTCTCTGGCTAACATGCTGGAGAAGGCTGGAATACGCTTCGTCTTACTGGAAGCGAACGATGACATCGCACCACAAGTTGGCGCCAGTATTGGCCTTCAGCCAAATGGGCTCAGAATTCTTGACCAGCTCGGATGTGCCGACGAAGTTTTGTCGTTGGTCGACACGCCATTGCAAGACGTATTCGTCCGGGTCTCGGACGGATCTGCAATCGCCCATCATAAGAAATTCCATGATAACTTTATGGCGAGGTAAAACTCCGTTGACTGCACTAGCTGCCTTTGATTAGCTGACAGCAATGTTTACCAGGCACGGGTATCCCACCATCTTCATCGATCGACAGATGCTTTTGGAGACTCTTTACAACAATTTGGAATCTAAAGCTTCGGTTTTAACCGGTCAGCGGGTCGAATCCATCACCAGACTTGATGATTTCGTTCAAGTAGTCACCAGTAAGGGTGACACCTTCCGAGGCGATATCCTAGTGGGCGCGGATGGAATCTACAGCACCGTACGAAGGGAGATGTGGCGCCTCGGCAATGAGATGTCGCCTGGGTATTTCCCCTTGGATGAGTGGTCAAGTAAATTCTTTCCTATCTTTGGCCCGACACCTCGATGACGACACTCGTCCACTAACCAATCGTCCAGAGGTTCCGTGCTACTACAAATGCATTTTCGGGATATCTCGGCCCATAGCGGCACTAACACAAGGAGTGCATTATGTGATGAACCATTACTACTCTTATTTGATCATCACCGGCCCTGGTGAGAGGGTGTACTGGTTTCTTCTGGTCAAATTGGATGTCCCGCTGTTTGGAAATGACATTCCACGATACAGTAAGAGCGATGAAGAAGCACTCGCTCGGCAACACGCGTCAGACCCAATCACATCGTCTATCACATTCGGTCAGCTTTACGAGGCTAGGACAAGCTCCGTTCTGACTCCGCTGCACGAGTATGTTTTCGAAAAATGGCATTTTGAGCGTGTCATCACGATCGGCGACGCGGCTCACAAGGTACGACACACGAGTCCATGGTCCAGCCTGCGTATTTCCCTGGGACTGACTGCGGATTAGTTTGAACCCTTGACTGGACACGGGGGTAACAGTGCCATCGAAACTGCGGCAACATTGACAAATCACTTGTTCCCAAAGAAGGATTCTGACTTGACTCGCTCGGACATTCAGGCTATCTTCAGCAATACGCAAAACGATCGGTTCAAACGTGTGTCATTTCTTGTGGCGGATGCTCATGCCCAGCAGCAGAATGATGCACTCGAAACACCACTCCTGGCATTGATGGCGCGGGTTCTCCCACGTATAATGAGCCAGGAATATACTCTTCAGCTTGGGTCTAACAAACTTGTCGGTGCTACCCGTCTTGACATGGTTGCCGTCCCCAAACGTGGGCATTTGATTCCTTTCGATGACGAGCTCCCAGCCACGCCACTGGGCTCGACCTGGCTTCCTACTAGCCTCGCTGCGATATGCCAGTGCGCATTATACTGTCTTTCTAACAAAATTATGTTGCCATTGGAAGTACCTCAATCATTCGCCGGTGCTCCACTGAGGCAACAGTATCTAGGGATCCGGGTCCTAGATAAACTCTTATCAACGCTGGTATCCATCTTTGGAGTGCCGCTTGCAGGACCAAACCGTGCACAGAACCTGCAACTGATATACTTCACGCCGGTTATCTTCTCTTCCATTGTTGACTGGACCATCGAGAGCTGTAGAGCAGGAGCTCATGGTCTACTCATCTCCTAGTACGTCTCAACTCCATGTCGCCGTTACACCATGTCAACCCAGCATGAGCCTCTGCAATCAGTCGATTCCAAATGGCTAATTGAATCACTACTAGTCCGTCTCTATTTGGGATCGCATACCAAGTCCTGGGGATTGGCCGAATTGCCCCACTCTACAATTTGGCAACCATTCTCACATATGTCACACATCACTCGTTCGGTACTGTTATCGGTCAGCCTGTGGCCGAAGAAGCTGCCGATGCTTTGATTCCTAGCTTCACCCTAGGTTACATACTACCTACCGTATTTATGTTTAGGCCTCTTCAGAACAAGGATACTTGGCAGGCATTTGTCGCTTTATGGCAGCCTTTCCCGGCCCTTGTCGGTCTCCTCACTAGCGGATTATCAAGTTTGTCTCGTCGTCGCAAAATTGCAGGCAAGGATGATATGTCTACAAATCAAATGAAGAAAAGGGAGCAGCCCCGGGGGAACATCACCCCGACAAGTTTGAGACTAGTCTACACGGTTGGTACCTCAGCAACGGCCCTGGTTCACTTTTGGTCCATTTACCGCATTTGGAAAAGCCCCGGGATGTCGTTTTCTCAAGTTTTCGGGGGACTTGGCGGGCTAATCTCTACGGCCCACGCTTCCGGCCCTCAAGACGACATTCTTCTGTTTTTTCAACGAGACTTGTTCTTGAATGTCACTTCTGTTCTTGTTCAAAGTATTTACCGCATTTTCCATCTGCGGTCTTTGGGATATATCACAACCAGAGAGACAGGGATTGCTTCTGCAACCACGGTCTTGGCTCAAGTAATCATCGGCCCAGCTGCTGCTCACATTGGTCTTTGCGGATGGAGGGAAGAAGTCTTTTCACGGGTGAACCGACGGATTCGTGACTAGACTTTCATGGGAGGAGATCCGGCATTACGTGAAAGATGAAGAGTTAAAAGTCATCAAAAGAGAACCAACGAGAGTTCAAGTACAGGTGCATATCACTTTCGGGGCTAGTGATTGTCCGTAATAAAACATGGCATCTCAACACAAATTCTGACTTGTTCCAAGTTCCACCCATCAACGCCAACCTCCCCCCTTCCATAAAGCAGCCAGGAATTCACAACATAAAGAGGTCAATGATATAGCCATACCACTTCTTTCAGTTGTAGTTGGTGTTGTCGTTGCCTCCATTGGACTTTTTTGGTTTCGGTGATTGGGAAATATCATGGCCTTGTGTTTACAAACCGTCATAGCAGCGGTGGTGATTTGAAGGGATATCTAAGGAAATCTCTTCAGGACCTGCAAAAACTTTCATAACAAGGCTTACTAGAAGTTTCGGGAGAATTTTTTTTTAGCTCAGTCTCTCCATCCTTCATCCAAAAGAGCCTAAGCACATCGCACTGCCATCATATCTGACCAGAAACATGAGAACGGAGGCTGATCAGCAAACTCCCCACCACTTGGTCGCCCCAACCTCCGTTGACATAACTAGATAGACACAACTCTTAATCAAGCGGGTTTAGGGAACTAACAAGGTAACCCGGGTGCGATTTGAGACTGGAGAGAACTCGATCTCCGAAATATCCATTGATTTTAGACCCATTTCTTAGCTCAACCCACCATAGATCACCTTAACTTAACTCCGACAGATTTCCATAATTGGCCCTAGGAATAGTATAGGTCCCACTGAAGACTTCCCAATTGCGAAAAGCCGAGGAACGAAAGGTATCTGATGAGGATATAGGTTGCTGCGCGAAGGTAGGCTGTGAGATGAACTCCCTCCAACGAATGCCTTGCTGCGAGAAGGGCGTCGGTGGGAGTGGCTGCGGAGTGGAACTCACTCTTAATGGAGGGTGTAAGTTCGAGTCTTGGACCGTCGTAGGAGTGTCAAGAAAACCGGACGATGGTGGTCCGTCTTGATTCTCCATCTGAACCCTGGGCTCTGTTCCTTGCTCCGATGTAGTAGACGAGGTAGACAGGAACGTTCTGGTGCTCTTTTTGCGAGCTTTGCTGGCTCCGAAGTCCATCTCATGTTTCCTCTCGCTGGAATATTGTAGTTCCTGCAACCACTGCGTCCATAAACCCTGGAGGTACTTGAAGACCACCTCGATGCCTTTATACACTTCTACGGAGTCTGGCATTAATGACGACATTTCCATAATGGCATCTTCAAGTCGATATTCGTCGTTCGGTAGAACTGACTCAAAGCTATGAAATCATCGTCAGAAATGGTAAGGATAAGTGTGTGACAACTAACTCATATATATATGATTCGACCTCAAGAAACAGTAAAGCCGGCGCCTGGTCATACAATCGGCAAAGGTGACGTCCCTTGGTCAAATAATTGCCGTGCGGTCTCTGCTTGTAGCGGGTGAAATATTTTGCAAGCGCATCACAGTGACCCCCGGCGTGAAACGTCTCGTTGAAATCAGTCCGCAATTTGTAGAAAAAGACCATAAATAGTCGTTTTAATACCTGGTCCTCGCTCTTGTCGCCACCTTTGTACAGTCGATAAGCCAGGTCATCGCCAAGCTCGTCGCCACGGGGTATGACATCTAAGAATGAAGCTGGCGACTTCACCCACTGATCGACAAGCACGTTATGTGTTGTCTTGAAGGACAGACAGGGCTTGAAGGTTATATAGTTGTTGACGACAGATGACAGACCTTCGGGAAACGGCTGTGTTCTCACATCACGTAATAGGTCTCGGAGGTGGCTAAGGAACTGCGGGGTTGAGTTGACGCACGACACATAATAAGAGAGAAGGCGTACCTCTGGTGTGTCCAGGTTGCTCAGTGATAGGTACTCCGGGCGTGCACTGCCTGCGCTCTCGGGGCTTGCATAGTCGGAGCTTGCACTGTCGCATGCGTCAAGTATCAGGTTAGCCACGGCTCGGCTGGAGTTGATGCCCATGTTGACGACAATGGTGCATGAATGACGATCCCAAGGCAAGTGTGAAAGAGGAGAGGTTCCTCAAAATAATGATAAGCAGCGAGGTCGGCGGCGCGTGCAGGTTTTGATTGTCCGCCCAAAGAATCAAGTCACGCTAGTCCACCATCTGGCTCCCAGACTCAGCAGCCAAGTCAAGCTAATGCAGTATATCATCCTCAAAACAAGGAACAATGTCACGCCACAATCCTCTGAGGTGTACGTGGCATGCGACCATTAGCTTGGGGGGGAAAGAATTGTACGCCACAGCACACACAATCGGCTTGCTGCATGATCAGCCAGCCTCGCGACGCAAATGCCATTTCTCAGAGCCCATAAATGCGCCCGTCGTCGTGATAAGGAAATGTCCCACCCAGTATTTCTATTCTGAATCCATCAACCTCAAAGACGCGCTCGGTGTAATCACATCCAATGAACGAGGTCGCCGTTGTCGAAGCAGACGTGCGCATTCGCGAGGCAGCTGCTCAAGCATGTAGCGAGCACGATGAGGCAACGTATCTCATGACACATCGCACAGAGATTAGCGCCATCCATGAGTACAATCGAACTTCTCTTCACAGTACTATCTTTCAAATTTTCAGGGAAAATCATGTATGTTGCTGTGGCGTGTCTGCTGAGCATTTTATTGACATATACTCTTCTAGGGAAGCGACCTTGTCACGGAGCTCCAGCAGTCTTACCAGTGCGTGGCTACAGTTACGCATAAAAGCCCACTTTTTCTCTTAGAGGGAGGAACGATCGAATCTGAGGCGAACGAGACGCTCATAATTATTCCCCTTGGTTACATATCAACCTATCCATCAACACCAAAACCAGCTACCGGATGTATCGTAGCGGACCGTGATGGATATTACGAGCCTGTCATTCTCGCTTTGTCTACTCTGAGCAGCAAGTGGTCAATTCTGAAGTGGGAGACTGGGACATTCATACGGGTTCCACCAGGTAGTCAGTTGAAGGTGGAATCTGGAATCGTTTTCTTCTTGCTTCTGAGCATAAATCTCCAGCCGTTTCATCCAGGGGAATTACCGCTCACTGCCCCGCAATAAAATCCAGTGAAGTATCCAGGGACGACGAGCAAGGGCGAGGATACGGTATTACTATCACTTTCATCCAAGAAATCCCAGCAAACCCTCAAGTTTGGATCGATGGTGAGCTTCTTTATTGTTTTTTGCCAGTATTCATACCCTCTCATAATATCGGCATACCACAGCGGTTCTTTCCCTTCTCAAGGAGACAAGTCTGCTAAGGTTGTGAAATGCATCACACCATCGGCTATGGGCAATTCTTTGACTGTGCGGATGGTCATCGCAGCCAGCTCCCACCTCTTAAACGTTTCCACGTCCAATCATCCGGTTGATTCCAGGGTGCGGGAGGACCCATGGACCCCAAAGAGGTCCCAGCGGATCCCATAGCCATTGGGCGTACGCTCGTGGTCAGCGAAACGCTTAAGCAATGCCAGCTTTCCTTGGGCCTCGCCCAGATAGGCCATCGGTTGTCGTCGTACCACATCACAGTAACGAGTATGTTCTAATTATTGGCAGAGGAAACTCGGCCGTCCAGGGTTAGATCCCGATTCAATCTCATTCACCTACCTTGCTGCTCGCTGCAGAAGCCTTAGGCCCCGGTCGGAAAGCCCGCCTCATCATACCGAATCGGTATCACAGGCTCACTACTGTCTGCTCGCAACTGCACTTGACATCATTCGCTAGCGAGTCGGGTCAGTCAGTAGCAGGTGATGGGCTCAACAAGCCAATGGTCACTTTAATTTAGTCAGTTCATTTATTGCTTCTATGGCATATCTATGGATATATAGCAAACACTGACACGCTGAAAACATACAAATACACAACCGGATTACCTCCTCCACAAGTCACTTGATTTTCTCAATGTGACTAATAAACTCAGTCCTCGCATATGGGAGAATTCTGAGGTGCTGGAGAGGCTATCCCATGACTCCGGGTCAGGAAATGGCAAGCTGTCCTTTTCGGTGCTGAGCCTAAGACCCGAAGCATGTCTAAGCTATTTGCTCAAACGCATCGGCAAACGCGCCCATGTTCTTGTACCGCCACGACAACTTCACCTTGTCTCCCAGCGCTTCCAAGTTTCCGCCCATGACGGACTCGACGTCCTCTCCCCGCTCAATCCATGCGCAGGTAAGACCAATCGTAGTGGCGGGGACCTGATCATGGAACAAGCTCTGAGCGGTGTGAATGATATCCTCCTTCTTCACGCCGAGGTCCTTCTCGCAGTGGGCGATGAGGTACTCGAAATTTCGCAGGTCAGGCTTGTAGGAGCCAATCTCTTCGGCCACGTAAATGGCGTCAAACTCAATGCCGACGAACTGCTTGGCGAGTGTTCGCGAGAACGAGTCCTTGTCCACGTTGGACAGGATGACGAGCTTGAAATGCTTCTTCAGCCGCTGCAGTGCGTGAATGGTATCGGGAAACACCGGCCAGTCTCCGACACCGCCGCCGAATCTTGCGGCATCCTGCTCGTTGGTGGAGACGCCCAGCTCAGCGGCAAAATTGGTGTACGCGGCAGCCAGAACCTTGCTGTAGAGCTCGGTGGGGTGCTCGATCTGGACGCTCGTCTCGTGTTTAATAAAAGCCTTTAGAGTAGCAGGGCGATTATTGTAGAGCGAGTGATCCGTAGGAAGCTGCTGCGTCAGAGGGCCGAGGGCAGTGTAAATGCCTCCCTCCCAGTCGACGAGGGTTCCGTAGCAGTCGAAAGTGAGACATTTGAAGGAAGTGAGGGGTCGTTGGCTCGCCATGATTGTGAGTGGCCTAAGGGCCTTGAACACAGAAATAGCGAGATGGCAGCTTGCGCGCCGAGCGAATTTAAGATAGAACGGGTGCGATGGATGAAGGATGGTTGGCGAATGCTCTGCGAGCCTAATAAGGCTGCATTGAGTGCGATGTGTGGTTGAGTCGGCGAGAGGGATGCTAGATATAGACGTCTCCAAGCACATATGACGGAAGAAGCCCAGTGCTCTCCTCTCGTAAAGCGCTCGGAGAGGGGCAAGCTGTCAGCTAAGCAAGTAAGCACAGCCGCACAATCCTTACTAAATTACATATTGTGCATTATTTCGTTATCTACACGTATAATTAATATCGCCACGTGCCCAAAATAATGCAGATTGCAGTGGGCAAGCATTGGCAGGAATACATGATGATGCGTGATTAATTCATTACTGGATGCTGGGCGGCTGTGAACGCGTCAACTGCCACATACAAGTTGTGCATCGTGATGCCAGAATGGATTTTGTCCAATAAAGCTGTGCATATAGCTACACGTGTTATGAAGCATGATCCAACTCTGAAACGAGACGAGATATTACCTTATCGCCGGTGGTGCCATTCGGCATCTTCGTAACCGTGATTGACCGGCCGATGCACCACCCCGCCGGGCCACAGGAGGCCCTTACTAATAATACGGCCCACCCCGAGCAACAATTCATGGCAACGATCTCATGTTTTCGCCTTTACCAGCCAAGAGCCTACCAAGTTGTACAAGGTAGGTCACTTCTTTTTTTTTTTTTTTTTTTTTTTTTTTAAGTCCAGGCCTACTGAAGTGGCAGTAAATAAAATGACACATTTCAGTTCCTGCCCTACAATCAAGATGCATGGCTTGAGTCGCACTGGGGCCTGGAAGATGGAAGAAGGCATACACTATAGGAGCCAAGATAGACCATAGCCGGCTCACTGTTCCCCAAAATCGTATGCTGTTTATTAGGGGGACCTTGGCGTGTTAATTGGCAAACGTCAGGTTGAAGGAAGCATGCCGTAATATCCTCCAGCGCGCACGTCCCTCCAACGTAATAAGGCTGTGAGATGACGGCTGATTGGGTCTCTCTACCAGAGTGGACCAGGCAGTTTCGTAATACTGAGGATAAGAAGGGAGCCTCACTCTATGTACGACGTAGCAGACGTGATGATGAGGACTTCAAGTTACATTTACCGCCCGTGCAGAGGCATTGCGACGTCTTGCACTGCCCATCACCACTGCCAAGCGGGCGGGCATGCGTGGTGTTGACGCCGATCAATTGCTGCTGCGGCTGCGCGGCCGAGCGACGCTCTTCTGCTGCAGCCTTCAAATGATGCAGCCCCCAGCTTCATGAGCTCCCACGTTCCAATCTCTTTCATCACCGCATTGCAAACTCGCAGGCAGCAATTCTCACCTCTTGTTTACACATAAAACAGCTTTGTTTGGATATTTTTTTTTAAATCTGCTTTTTAAGCCACCGTTAACATTGAATTGCAAATATGATGACTGCACTTAACGAAGGAGCCCCCCCGTCTTACGTCGACGGAGAGGCCCCGCCACCGGCTTACACCACTGGCGGGCCCCTTGGTCCTTCGCCCTACAGCCGCTTACCACTGGGATTCAACATCTACCACAAGGGGTGGATGAGCAAAACATATCCTCTGGGCGAGCATGAGGACCAGATCCGTCTCACAGTCACCTTGCACGGCCAATTCGGGCACAAGAAACCCTTTATCGTCCTCCACGACGGAAACGACCCGGAAGGCCCGGTTCTGGGCACCGTCACCAAGGAGAGCATGTTGAACGCCCACACTACCATCACAGTCCCTGGCCGCCCGGGGTCGGCCTTCGACCCGTTGAGCGAGCATCTGAAGTGCAACATGGCTCTGAAGCAGTTCACCTTTACCTTTGCATTCGACGTGGGCATTGGCAAGGACACCCGTCGCGAGCGCTTCGAGTGGCGCCCGTCGCGCGGCGAAGAGGTCAAGGTGCTGGATAAGTGGGCGTGGGGCTGGAAGCTGGTGCGTCTCGGCGCCAGCGAGGGAGGCGGTGGAAGCCGATCCGAACGGGAATCGGGCAAGACCAGCGACGGCAAGGACATTGTAGCCGTCTGGGCCGAGAACTCGACGTGGACAATGTCCAAGTGCGGCAAGTTCCATTTCATCGGCGCGGGCTCTACGGGCGAGCTGGGTGAGGAGTGGGCTTTCATGGCTGTCATGTCGGCGCTGAGGCTGTGGGATTACTTCACCGGAACGCTCACCACTGGCTCTTGAGCCACTTTTGTATAACTTGCTTAGTGTAGGCCGGCTACTTGGAGTGCTTGAGTCTACTACGGAATGTGTCACGATGTTATTTGATGTTACTTCAATCGCCTCTGCTATTTATGTGCCAACTTATAGCCCCAGAAATTACGACATATAATGATGCCGATAGAATGCCGAAAGCGAGTGATTCGATACGAGGCCACCAGATGGGGGAGATACCTGGGTCAAAAGGATGCCGCTGGGCTGTCTCTGCCATGTCGCTCCCGCGGCCAGGCCCGGATCTCACTCTCTTTCTTCCACTCTCTCTGTGGTCTCTGTGTTGCTGTTCTCTTCTTGGTGCGTACGGCTGAGGCATCGCCCCGACCCTCGGCTGGAGATCCCTGCTCTACAACGGCCTTCAAGGGTCTGCCCCCAGCTGCAGTCGCCCCCCGGTTACAGGTGCGGAGGCCAGAATCTCGGCCGCTTGTTCCTCCGGCCATGATTCAATGCCGACCGGTCTGTGTTTGTGCACTGGGTCGATGCCTTTGATTGCCCGGTTTGTCGGCCCCGCTCTCCCGGAATTTCGGCCCCGCTGCGGTGAGCGTAGGGTACCTGACGTCATGGAATTTGTTTGTCAATTTAATACAAGCATCTGGCTAGACACTTCTCGTCCACATACGATACCCGAATTCCGAATGGCAAAATGGTTCCGTTTATTTGCACGAAAGCATCTCGCTTCAAAATTTGCCTGAAGGTACTGGAGCAAATTCTTCACCTGATACACGGGCGAATCTAGAACGCATCTTTTACTCTTGTCAAGTAAAAGGAAGACTGAAAGAAACTGTGTTGAGTAGCCTGATATCGGCGGTGAAGGGTTCCAGTCCAGAGAACAACTGGGAATAGACTATAGTGGCCTTCGAAAATATGTCGTTTGAGTTACAGCAGAAACAGTGGAGGTCATACCAAAAACTAAAGTCGCCGCACTTGTTGTGATACAACGTAATATGAAGACATTTGGAGCGACAAGCTTAACTAATTATCAAATATGCTGTGATTTAATAAAATATTTGGTAGTTTCAAACGCCATAAACACAAATCCTGTGACGATTATGTTTACTCTACGGTGCTAGTATAGGGTAAGTGTGCTGCTTGGGTTCCTGATATCATGACGTCATGCGGAGCATTTATAATTGTTCTCTGTAACGGATTTAGAGAGATTTCGAATACGCGATAGCACGCAACCACGGCCATTATTCCGTCTTTTCATATCTCCGCGCATGAAAATGATGCCATGGTGAATTCCAGGCCCCCACAGCCAGATTCAAAAGATCTTTACTAGTTCCCGACGCCTAATCTCTATTTAGCGTGGCCTGATCGGCAATGCAGGTCTAAAATATCATGGTTACAAATCCAATCAGGTGTCCAAGCCCAAATCTTAGCTATAACGTCATTTTGAAGACCACCGGGTAGGGCAGGGTATAGTTTGGTGAACGACTCTCGAGTGTTTTATTTATCCTGCTCTGTCTTCTATAGAGTCTATCTATATGCCCTACAGGAACTTGGAGGCTGTGCGTTCCCGTATGCTCTTGATGATAACTGGCCTACTAATAGCAGGGGTCGCTTTCGGTATCAGTTCCCCTTCTTCCCTAGCGCGACAGCCAAAAGAGCGTCACGCACTATCGCGAGAAGCTAGCTAACCGAGGTACTATCTGACGAGAGACTCATACAATGAAGGCTAACAAGAGGAAGAACTATAACGAGGGGAGGAATGAGCTGATGCTTCAGCTAAAGGGGTATTTTCTGGGGACGGGTCTTAACATGCCACTGGTGGTGAACAACTTCCCGATTTAGTTTGGCCAAAATAATTGCCCTTTTGTATCCAGACGTAAACGTCCAATGTGGTGCCAAACATGAAGATCATAAAGCTTACCTCGTAAAATCTGACCGCATCTCCATTGAATGGGACGAATGTTGATGCCGGCGGCTATCCAGCTCGGCGTATCCTAGGGATGCCTGGCAAGCGAGGTGAGTTTAGGCTAGTCAGGATAAGGGTGCTGAGGGGTCGGATTTGCTGTAGCTAAAAGCTATGGTTATCTGGGAGCATTAAACTGACGAGGACCCGCCAGCATCTCCAAACGTCCGCTTGCGCCATCCATGTTATGCACTTTTGCATGCCGAGTCCCGAGTCCCGAGGCTTGCACTGCAACTGTATCAGGCTGTCTGTATCTGCCGTAACTAAAACCTCAGCTAGCTCTTTAGAATTAGCGCCTTGGCAAAGGCCCTGAGCGTCCAGTTATCTTCACGTATTGCAGGGCTGAAGCTGTTCCTCTAGCTTCTACAGGGAATATGTGGGACAAATCACACAGGCTAAGCATACGAGCTGCCATGCGATTGTCTTCATTCGCACTTGCACCGTTACAGCTGCGCGCCGATAGATTTCCCATCTCGGAAGGTCCCCCGTGTGCCTTTCTACCCGGATCCTTATCCACCTACTCTATTTCGCAAGCCACTACCGAACTTCCCAAATCAGGCGAAGCCGACACGGCAAAAGAACCATCGCGGGATGCGTAGCACCGGATCGCGGCCCCACCCCCGGGATCTGCTAGCCAAGCAAATGCCAAGTCCCGATGGCAGCATGCCAGATCGGTCCAGGCTTGGTTTCTTAGAGTTCGGGAACTTGTGAGCCAGTGCCTTGAGGGGACCTCGTTTAGGGAGGTGATACGGATGTTCAGTGCCGAACTACAGTTTCAACTTCGCGATGGCATCAACTCGCACGATTCTGAGGACTGGAGTTGGCTGCTTTGGATGACACGAAACAAGAAACGAGTATATAAGCAGCCACGAGCTCTCGACTTTAGATTCGAACCAGACACATCTCGTCCACCATCTCTTCGCCTCCGCACACCTCACAGCTTCCCGAGTATACACTTTACTTGACTATCCTATCATGGCTCCCTCTTTGTCTGAGCTTTTCGTTGCCGGCCTGGCATTCGCTGTCACGGTCACTGGTGTTCCCACCAACTTGAAGAAGAACCACTTCTCCGTCACGCAGGTCAAGAACAACAAGTTTACTACAAAGAACGGCCCTCTGGCTCTCGCCAAGGTCTACAAGAAGTATGGCGTTGCTCTTCCCGCCGAGCTTGCCGCTACCGTAGACAAGATCAAGGAGACCAACGTCCGTCGCGCTGAGGGCGATGCGACGACGACGCCTACCGATGGTGACAGCGAGTGGTTGACTCCCGTCAGCATTGGAACTCCCCCCCAGACTCTGAACCTGGACTTTGATACCGGTTCTTCGGATCTTTGGGTTTTCAGCAGCTTGACTGCTGCGAGCGAGGTCAACGGTCAGACCAAGTACGACCCAACCAAGAGCACTACTTCCAAGAAATTGACTGGAGCCACTTGGTCTATCTCATACGGTGACGGAAGCTCATCCTCTGGCACCGTCTACACCGACAAGGTCAACGTCGGCGGCCTCGTCGTCAGCGCTCAAGCCGTCGAGGCTGCCAAGACCGTGTCTGATAGCTTCACCTCCGAGTCGGACCTCGACGGTCTCCTGGGACTGGCTTTCAGCTCCATCAACACCGTCAAGCCCACGAAGCAGAAGACCTTTTTCGACAGCTCCTTGCCTCAGCTCGATTCGCCTGTTTTCACTGCCGACCTCAAGCAGGACGCTCCCGGATCCTACAACTTCGGATATATTGACAGCTCCGCCTATACTGGATCTATCACTTACACCAGCGTCGATTCCTCGCAGGGCTTCTGGGAGTTTATTTCTACTGGATATGCTGTTGGCAGCGCTACTTTCACCAAGACCTCCATTGACGGCATTGCTGATACCGGCACCACCCTCCTTCTGCTCCCCAGCTCCATCAACAAGGCCTACTATGCTAAGATTTCCGGTGCCAAGCTCGATAACAATGTCGGCGGCTACGTCTTCCCCTGCTCGGCCACTATTCCCAGCTTCACCTTCGGCGTTGGCAGTGCCAGGTTCACCATCCCTGCTGCGTACATGAACTACTCTCCTATCTCGGAAGGCTCTTCGACCTGCTTCGGTGGACTTCAGCCCAGCGAGGACATTGGCATCAACATCTTCGGTGATATTGCTCTCAAGGCCGGATTTGTGGTTTTCGATGGTGGCAACACCCGTTTGGGCTGGGCTACCAAGGCGCTGTAAGCAGCTTCTTCTGGAAACTCTGGACGCGTCAAAGTATATACTGTATGAATCATTATCCCATGTATTTACGCAACATTGGTGGGGGTCGCTATCCATATTATAGTAATGTCTGCTTGCCAGGCATTTCTGAGCAGTTATCCGTCATGTAAGGCAAGCTGGTCAGAAGATAGCAATGAAGAGACATTTTATTTTTTACATCCCATTGACTCCCTGAATGAACTTGAATAGTGCATGACGAATCTTTGAGACACATTGAGAAGTAACCTCATTGGTCTCGTTTCACTGACCCTCATTGTGTTTATCATGTATCAGAACCGAAGTTGTTGGACTCGCTACCAGCATCATCTCAGCCATCGACCTGTCCACAGCGATGAACAAGGCTTCCATATGCAAAGTGCGACGAAGGGCTCGGAACTGTATTATTGTTGCACAACTCAGCCACGACACAGCCTAGAGCTAAAAGCGACATGTAAGTCTACCTTGACTCTGCCTCATCCCTTCCGTGTACTTGATTGGCTATGATTATATGGCTGCATGTAGTGCGCAGCAGTGCCCCCGCCATGACTGCATGCACCTCGCCATACTCAGCCCAGTCAGGCCGCGGAGGCTCTGCCCAACGAAGTTCTGCTTATTTTCCTGTCAATCCTTCCCCTCCTCTCTTCATCTCCATGCTTGGCTGCCCCATTTCATCAACACATCATCGCTCTTCATTTTCCTGTTACTGCAAATCAACTCTCGCCATTTCATACGTCTCTTTCGTGTCGCATGCGTCACAGACTTTGTTGATCATGGAAGCTGTCGGCCTTGGTGTTGGAGTCGCTGGGCTCGCGGGCCTGGCGGCTTCTGTCCAAGACGCCAAGGGGAATTTTGACTCATACAAGAACGCCAAATTCGAATCACAGCCTCTACTCGCTCAACGATACGCGGATCGGATCTTGTTGCAGCAGTGGAGTGAGAGTGTGGGCTACAGCAACAATGAATTACAGGATGGACACCACTCAGCGCTTGATGATCCAAAAGTGCGCGAAGCAGTTGACAAAATCGTCCAGTGCATCCAGAATATCGATCTCAGCACAGGCGATGCTCCGTTGGATGGAGAGTCTTCGTCTGCCGGGATAACGTCTCGACAGCAAGGACCGCGTGGCTATACAAGAGGACCAGTGCGATTGGACAAGTATCACGGGTCGATGGCCCGGAAAGCAAAGTGGAGTTGGGCGTTTCAGGATAAAAGGAAGATGTCTGAACAAAGCCAGAACGTTGCAGCACTCCTTCAGCGTCTCCACGATTTGGTGCCGCCACCTCAAACACACACTGCAGAGACCACGCAAGCAGGTTCAGGTACAGTCGACCTCCCGATGGCGCATGTTATCGTGTCAACGATAGCATCTCTAACAAAATCATAGGAGTGCCGGGAGTGGAAATGCTACCTAATCTCATACAACAATTTTCCATGGCAATAGAGAAGGCCATTGCTCAGGACATGGAGCGTACAACTGGTGTGTATTTTTGTTCTTAAACCTGGAGCGATTCTAACCACCTATCAGGCGAGTTCAAGCGGGACCTTCTTCGGTGGCTAGGGACCACATCGACCACGGCGATGTTCGACAATTTCGTCCAGAGACGATTGGAGAACACATGCGACTGGATTATCCAACGACCCGAATTCAAGGAATGGGAGAACCCGGGATCGGACTGTACTAAAGTCTTGTGGGTTCATGGCCCTGCTGGGTACGGCAAGACAATCCTCTGCGCCAAGATCATCGAATACCTTCAATCCGCTCACTCCCCCGTTGCATACTACTTTTTTTCTTCCGATTCAGACACCCGTGCAGATCCTTTTGCCATCATACGAGCCTGGGCTTACCAGATGATATCCGAGAACGATCACGCATTCGAACTCGCGTTGGAACGATGGGAGGCAAACGATAGACGCCCCATCTCTTTTGCAGATATGAAGGAGCTCTTTCAAGCTTTGGTTCAAAGCTTGCCAGCTTACGTCTTCGTTGTTGATGGCCTTGATGAATGCGCGGGAATGGGACACGATTGGAAGAACAGCTATCGACAGTCGTTGCTTGATTTCCTTGATTTCCTACACCAATCCGTCTCCAAGTCATCGCGGGTTGCCATTTTCAGCCGTGGTGAGCCGGAGATACGCGAGGGCCTTCGAATGCGCGAATCCGGAACGCGTTGGGCCCTCTTGGAATGCCTCATCCAATCCGACGATGTCAAGAATGACGCTACGCGATTTGCGCAGAGTATTGTGGACCGGAAATTACGGAACAAAAGTGAAACGCAGCGACACGAGCTGTCGTCGCGCATAGTCGACCGATTCGAGAGCATGTTTCTTGGCATCCGGGTTCTCGAAGGGCAACTCCGCGGCACCAAGAGTGTAGGGTCGCTCCACCAAACAATCGACCAAGCACCTACCAGGCTGACTGATCTGTACGACCGCAATTGGAAAAGGATCGCTACCCTTCAAGAACCGGACAGAAGCCGGACTCTGGCCATCCTGCGATGGACCACGTTCGCTTTGCGTCCATTGACGATTCTGGAGCTTACTGAAGCGCTTCTTCTAGTAGACGAAGAATGTGATACATTTTCCGAAGAAGAACTACCAGACACTATCGATGAAGAGTACATTCGATTGGAGATACTCGAGCTGTGTGGGCCATTGGTCGAAACACGAGGACAAGACTCAGAGCCGGGGTCCTTAACTGTCCACCTGACGCATTTTTCAGTGAAGCAATACATCCTCTGTCATGAACTCATTCCGATGGGGCAGTTCATTTCCAGTGGGAATTTGCGGACTAGGCAGGACGCAGCTCAAAGCAACATCCTTGGTATCACGTGCCTTCGCTATTTGAACTTCGACCAAGTTTGGGAAGACAAGCCAGCCGAAGGGAAGAGCCCAGCCCTTCAAGCGTTCCGAGATTATGCGGTGGCATTATGGCATAAGCATATCAAAAAAGATGCAAGCAACGCAGAGCAAGCGACAGACCATGTGAACGCGTTCTTCCACCCTGAAAACAAAAGCTGGGAACAGTGGAGAGAGCAAGCTGAGAGCTGTTTTCGACACCAAATGCTGGAGTATGAAGGCGATATCCAAAGTGGTAACCCCTTGTTCTACGCAGCCGCCCTTGGCGTCATGAGGACAATCCTGCATCTGGTTGACGAAGTGGGGCTGAGCGTAAACCATGTCGACATCTCGGGGAGAACGGCGCTTCTGGCAGCTTCGTCAACAGGGTGGTTGCGTGGAGTATCTTGTTTGCTCGAAAGAGGGGCCGATCTCAACGTAACGAGCAACGAAGGGAGAAGTCCAGTGTATGTTGCTTCCGGAAATGGGCATACTGAAATCGTCAAACTGCTGCTGGGGGAGGGGTCAGACTTGACGATGATGACCAAGTATGGACGGACCCCGCTGGACTGTGCTGCGAATAGCGGCTATCTCGATGTTGTAAGGCTACTGCTGGAGAAAGGGGCAGATTTAGCAGTTGCTGATAATGAGGGATGGACCCCGCTGAACTCTGCTGCAGTTAGCGGCCATCTCGAGGTTATTAAGCTACTGCTAGAGAAAGGGGCAGATCTAGCAGTTGCTAATAATATAGGATGGACCCCGCTGACCTCTGCTGCAGCCGGCGGCCATCTCGAGATTGTAAGGCTACTGCTAGAGAAAGGGGCGGATCCAGCAGTTGCTGGCAACACAGGATGGACCCCGCTTAACTCTGCTGCAATTGGCGGCCATCTCGAGGTTGTTAAGCTACTGCTTAAGAGAGGGGCGGATCTAGCAGTTGCTAGTAACGAGGGATGGACTCCATTGAAATCTGCTGCAGCCGGCGGCCATCTCGAGATTGTAAGGCTACTGCTAGAGAAAGGGGCGGATCCAGCAGTTGCTGGCAACACAGGATGGACCCCGCTTAACTCTGCTGCAATTGGCGGCCATCTCGAGGTTGTTAAGCTACTGCTTAAGAGAGGGGCGGATCTAGCAGTTGCTAGTAACGAGGGATGGACTCCGTTAAAATCTGCTGCAGATGGCGGCCATCTCAAGGTTGTTAAGCTACTGCTAGAGAGAGGGGCAGATCTAGCAGTTGCTAGTAACGAGGGATGGACTCCGTTGAAATCTGCTGCAGATGGCGGCCATCTCGAGGTTATTAAGCTACTGCTAGAGAGAGGGGCAGATCTAGCAGTTACTAGTAATAAGGGATGGACCCCGCTTAACTCTGCTGCAGATAGCGGCCATCTTGAGGTTGTTAAGCTACTGCTAGAGAGAGGGGCGGATCCAGCAGTTGCTGGCAACGAGGGATGGACCCCGCTTAACTCTGCTGCAAATAGCGGCCATCTAGAGGTTGTAAGGCTACTGCTAGAGAGAGGGGCGGATCTAGTAGTTGCTAGCAACGAGGGATGGACCCCGCTCAACTCTGCTGCGAATAGCGGCCATCTAGAGGTTGCAAGGCTACTGCTAGAAAAAGGGGCGGATCTAGCAGTTGCTGGCAATATAGGATGGACCCCGCTGACCTCTGCTGCAGCCGGCGGCCATCTCGAGATTGTAAGGCTACTGCTAGAGAAAGGGGCGGATCCAGCAGTTGCTAGCAACAAGGGATGGACCCCGTTGAAATCTGCTGCAAATGGCGGCCATCTCGAGGTTGTTAAGCTACTGCTGGAGAGAGGAGCAGATCTAGCAGAAGCATCTAATACCGGGGTCACGCCACTTCACTCAGCATGCAAGAACGGACACATTGGCTTAGTAAACTTCCTCTTGAAGTTGCCTGAAACCATTTCAACTACCCAGGACGGATTGAAACGCAGCCCCTTGTTCTCAGCCTCTCGGCGCGGCCATGCTCAAGTTGTGCAAGCTTTGGTCTCTGTTGCCATGGGCTCGACCGATATTTTGGACTGGTATGGATCAACACCTCTCTTCGCTGCGGTCAGGAATGGGCATAGCGAGGTCGTGGGCATCCTACTCGCTGCATCTAAAGACTGGGTGGACTCGAAAGATGGGTTTGGACGAAGTCTGATGTGGTGGGCAAAACGTCAGAGTCACGTACAGATTGTACAGATTCTGACGGATTGCGCTGCTCAAGCAGGACTGCAAATCGCGGCTGAAGACGTGCCCATGGCAAATCAACCCTCGCTCTTTTCTGCCCAGCTGCCTTGGTGTGATGCCTGTACCCTTTCTATTTGTGAAGGCGACGAATACCAGGCTTGCGAAACTTGCGTGGGAGGATCACTTGCCATTTGCTTGGAATGCTTTCAGATGGGCGTCAGGTGCTTGGATGATTCTCATGTATTGTTATCACGTGTGGCTCGTAGTTGGACCGAATAAAATGGACTCGTATCAGGGGGGAGCATGATGTCGCACCCTCGGCAATGTAAAAGGGACTGCGAATACGTTGTGGTCGTTATTTGTGAATATGTCACCTGAAGCGACGAATGAAGACCTGAGAAAGAATTAAACTACATACTTTTGATGCGATAGTAAGAGGCACTCTTTCTCATAAGGACCGAGGGCATACGTGGACGCCAGCGGCTCGCCAATCCTGTCAAGAGGCTGTCACTTGAACCTTCGTTACTCAGCACGGCCACTTCCTACTTCACGAAGACTAGTCGGGTTTGGGGGGTACACTATCGGATTTGCATTGTAGAACGCGCAATTATGGTGGCTGGCTTGACAATTGATGATGAGAACGTCACCTGTGGCCCTGAACTTTGCATTGGTGTAGTTCGGCCTGTTGATACGAGACTGATACCAAAAACCACAACTGGTTTAGCAAAAAGCTACATATTTCTGATAAGCTTACAAAGACAGTCAGCAGCCCAGCCTTTCAAAGATTAGCCCCATAGCGAGGTCTGGTCGATATATTAGACTGGCTAGAGTAAAGGAAGCGAAAGGAACCGATGGAAGAATAACTGGAGATACAACGACAGCAACTTCACCCGACCCGACTTCAACTGGGACTCTGGAAGTGTATGTTAGAAGATAAGACTCTTTTGGAAGGTTACCCTATATTACGAAGCCTCTGACAAATTGATGTCCTTACCTTAGTGAGACGCGGTGCCAGAAAAACCCTCTTCGGCAGGCCCTGCTGATCCGGGCTAAGATAATTATCAACATCATTATTATTGTCTCGAACGCACTACCTGGCAGAATATTAAGGTCTAAGCCAGCTTCGTAAATCTTGTACACAGTTGATAGTATAATAAATACTACGTTCAACTACGCGTGCCTCCCAGTGTTGGTAGTTTATTATCATACTTGTGGTCGAAGCATTCCCCCATCATACCTTACCCACTTGCCATGAATATACTGCCGTATGTCCTTCCCCCAAAACACCAAAGGCACTGCAGCGCCTCCAACCCCAGCTATGAGACATCCGATCTGGAGATTTGCGCCAAGATAGCCTTGGGCTTGCACCCAGGGGTTGATGGCATAGCTCACCCCGAAACTCAGAAGATAGCCAAACCCTCCCACAACGATCAACGCAGAGGCAGCCCAACCAGGGAACGCCTCAGTAACCCAGATCGTTGCCGCGGCGCCAAGACCTATCGAAGAAAACGCGTTGAGCACATACGAGAAGAATATCCAGCCGAAATTCCATCCGCAATGCACCGTAGCGCCATAGAGGATGACACTGGCACTTCCAGATACAGTCGGCAGCAGGAAAGCCACGAGATAGTGTTCGGCGTCTCGGACTCCTCCATTCTTGCGTGTTAAGCGACATGCTACGCGAGAGACTGTCAGACAAGTTGCTGGGATGGCCAAGATGGCCCCAATGGCGGCAACTGGATCCACGAGCGCAATGGTGCTATGGGGCAGATTGTAAGGTGGAGATGCCATAACGATAGGATATGTCATGCCGATGGAGAGCATCCCGCCAAAGTTGATTGCATTGAGGATCGCGACCCAGAACGCCAAGGGGTTGCAAAGCCAGAGCAGAACCTGCATGTAGGACGAGCCCATTTGCTTCCAACCTCCGCCTGCTTTGCGGATTGTGAGTTTCTGGGCTAAGAGTTGCCAGGTCGATGGCTCGCTCTCTGGTATGCTGGGGAGAGGCTTTCCACCCGGAACCTCGTCCCAGTCTTCGTAAATTTTGACCTTTTCCGAGCCATCTTGTACCAAAATGCGACCGTCAAAGGCGATGGCAGGTCGGACAAAATATGTCTCGGGGACAAGAAACAGTGCAAGGATGGTGCAAGCCAGGGACATGATGAATGAGAACCAGTAGTAGTTCCGCCAGTGAGTCCCTCCCAGGACTGGGACGAGTCGTAATGCCACAAGTGTAATTGCAGCCCCCACACCCCAGTAATTGACGATGGCCATCACTCGTTCATGGATAAAGGTCAAGTCAATAACCATAAGAAGTCCCTTGAAGAGTTAGATAGCACTGTCTTGCGGCCACCAATGAGGGCAACTTACAGTACTGAAGGCAAATCCAGCCGCAAAACCCTGGATGCAGGTGGCAACCAGAAGCAGGTAGAACTTGGTTGCAAGAGCCGCGACCAAGCTTCCGAGCATCAAGAACAAACAGGCCAACAGTAAGACTGGCCGTCGCCCCAGTGCCAAGGAGAGTGGGACCCAGAAGAGTGCTCCGAGGCCCAGGAACAGGGTGCTTGGCGCCGACACGAGAAGATTTAGAGGAACGCCTTTACTGATCTTGGGAGCTTGATTAGCATTAGATCTATATCAATGAACTGTAGCTCTTGCGTAATACCTCATCATCGAATTCCTTGGACAGCGGCCCGTAAATCAGGCTAGCTGCCTGCACATTTAACAGGGCCACAGTGGAGAAAAACACCAGGACACCGATGGTTGTGAACCGCTTTGCAGGGCTCCAGCTCAAGGGGTCCCTGGGCGATTTGCTCGGCATTGGCAGCTGGAGAATCCGTCCATCTCCAGCGATAAGGAAGACACTCCCAGGCAGATTCGAGGAGTCTCTTCGAGAAGAAGCAGAGTGTTGTTGCATGGCTGAACAGGTTGGCCTGGGGACAAATTAATTAATTAACACGCCATTGGGGGAATAATGTGGGCAAGTTCGCCATTTGGGCGAGAGTCTGTATTATAGAATAATCTTGTCATTATTTACTTTGTAGGCCGCTATGACGGTGATTCAGCCACAGAATTAACTTTTCTCGTCTGTTCCAGAATGTCTGTGGCCGTCCTAATGCTGGGGGATCGAATCCTTGTTTGGCGCTAAGTTCTCCAATCCCAAGCACGAGCACCTCAGGAACCTTTGTCTAGATCTAATCTGCTACCAACACTACGTAGAGGCGGATGTTTCACTACTTATCCGGTTATCTACTCTAGTAGCAGGTGTCTCTGGGATTTGAATCCCACCTGACAAGCCACGCCGCGAGGCCCGGCAACAATTTTCCTTTTTAGCATTTGGCTGGAGAGCGTACGGCACAATTCCAGTTTCACTCCAGTAACTCATGGTTACATTCAGCAAAGTAAAAGATGAGGGAATTAATGCGCGGGACGACTGAGAATCAGTTCTCTTAATTCACCGCGCTGAAAACACACCTCCCCGGAAGCGACGGATCTCAGACCCGACGTCGCAGAGGTGAATGGACGCATTCAACAATAGGCACCAAATCCTAAAGCTGCCATGATCTTGGGAAGCTAGGTGGCCAAGTGCACCATCTTTCCATACGCCCGCCTGGGTAGCCGAGGCTCTTAGCCGCGAGTCAGTCTGTAAACATCCTGGAGCTATTTGTCGCCGGTTGATTCCGTGTAGGGAACCCACCCCTGCCATTGATCAACATGCGAAACATCTTCAGTCTAATCGCTGTGCACGAGGTGTCCCTGGCGTATTTTAACACTTGGAACGCCGTCGGCCGAACTTCAAGTCATTGATCATTGGTCACCACCATTTAGAATGTGAGAGGGGAGGAGAGGCTCTCCTTGGCATTTCCAGAAGCCGTTTAACGATCTCGTTGAACACACGATGGGGGACAATTTAGCCTCTTGGACAACATGAACGTCACCCATCTCATGTGTCCGTTAGTCTACCACTTTGCGAGAGGCAATAGCTTCGAATATTTCGCTTTGAAAATGGCTATGATTACGTATTGGTTATTGACGGATGCTCACGAAGATGCCTCCCTATGCTCCCCTCTGGCGACCTTTTATCTTCTCGGCTCCCATCCGCACTTTCCTATCCCCCATAGCCAAGCACGACTTGAACTCCTAGAATGCACGCAGGTGCAAGAAGAATGTATAGATATGTAATAGAAGAAGATAAGGAGTGAATTTAATCAATGCAATGTGTTGTATTTGTTCATATAGTATAAATATATGTGTGAGTGCTGGGAAACGTTCCATCCGTTATGCATGTGCACACGAAAGAGCATTGCACGCGAAGTTCAACAATTTCTACGTAGAGAGTGGCCCACTCACTATACACGTTATAGACTAGGTTTACCACTTGGGAACCCAACCGCTACATAGGTTATTGAGAATGTCTTTAGATTTTAATCTTTGTTCTTAAAATCTGCCTCCCGGCCTTCTTCTCCTCACTTATCCCAGCCAGTGGTTGCTCACGAGGCCTCGTATGGTCCAGGACCTCGGTATCCTAGCAGCTGTATTATGGCATTTTAAATGCTTACTAGAAATATAACCAGTGAAGTCGTGCCAGCTGTGTTCGGTCTCTGAGCATTTGTACCATTTTGAATGGAATCAAACGTCTCAAAATTGGCAACCTTTGTACCACTTTCAGAGTACCTTCTTCCGCAAACCCGCTGTTGCTGCGGCAGTCTTTTTCCCAGTAGGATCACCTTCCCTCATCTCCTTAACTGCGTTGATCAAAGCCTTTCGCCTCATCCAGTCTGGTAGAGCTTCCATCAATGCAAGCTGTACGGCATGTGGCCAGTATGGGAGAACTGTCGGCCGCCCACAACCCACTCTCGCGAATGCTGCCCGGACCCAAGTTGCAGCATCAGGCACGAAGAAACTGGGCGGCAGCAACATTGTCCCAGTTCCCGTAACCTGTATAATTCGCAGTCCTAAGACATCCACATCTCGTCCTTCCAGCGCTGATTCTAGCCCCAACTCGATGGTGCTGTTCATAAGGAAAGCCTTGGAGGGTCCATACGACGGGAAGAGTGGCATGCCAACATCGGCCAAGGAGCCAACGTTCAGGACCAAGCTTGGTTGATTCGCTACTAGAAGAGGCATAAGCACTCCAGTGAGGAGCAACGGGAATGTTGCATTGATGGAAATGTTGGCGGATAGCTCCTCCGTAGTGAATGAATCCACTGGCCCAAATTGATGTCGCGGCATCATCGCACCAGCGTTGTTAATCAGAATTTTGAGTGGAATGTCGGATAGAGTTGCCGCAATATCTGGAAAGGACAGAGTAGACAGATTCGAAGCGTCCGCGATGATGATGCGGAATTGGCGCGCTGGGTACTGTGACGCCAGTTCCGACTTCACTACGGCGAGCTTTTCCGCGTTTCGCCCGTGCAACACGACGTTGAAGCCCCGGCGGGCCAGCTCCGAGCCGAAGGCCTTCCCGATGCCATCGCTAGATCCTGTAACCAAGGCCCAAGCAGTCACGCCCGAGGCGGTGCGCTCGTATCGCGAGAGACCCAGTCTGGGCGAAATGTAGAGCGCCAAAAACGAAACGAACTTATAGGCAATCCTCAGCAGCGTTATGACGCCCAAGATTGCGACGCAACGATGCGCTAGCGATTCCATCAGAGCGAAGAAATGCCTCAAATTGGAAAGTGGAAGCAAGAGGTGAGTTGAAATTGCAGAGGGTTGATGGAGGGGTGCAGAGAGATGAGGATATGAGACAATCATGACGTTGCTCTTCGGTAAAGTCCCGGCGGTATCTAGGGTTAGGATCTGGTTCGGGTTATGTTTGTATCTTGAACTGTTTTTCTGAGAAGCTTTACTTGAAATCCATCTGGTATTTAATTGTATTTCTGAACAACAAGGTATTTAAAGTACAGGACGCTGATACCTCAAGACGGGAATCAACATCGCGACATTCGTACAGGTGTGATCATTTTCGCTTCGACTCTTCCTGAACGAATGTTAACTCATTAGTTAGATGCCTTAGTTCAACAACGAGCTAGGGAGTCAGGGTATGCCTCTCAGATATAAATCCATGTCATCGATTTCAGATGATAGTGAGAGTAAAATGGGCTAAAGGAGGAATTGGTGAGGAGCTTTTGCGGGCAGCCTGAGGCTCCGTGGATGTGGTATAATTCGGCAAGGGCGGCAGGCGTGGCAATCGTCCTGGGTAAGGGAGCGTTTCTGGTTGCCGCCTGCCAGCGTGGTCTGTCAGTCTCAGATCTGATCCATCACTGGACCACATACTCGCCAGGTCGTAAGATGAGAGAACCCAGATGATGATCGATTCCCAAGTATCCAATTGTGCCTTTGTTAGATTTTTACAGGCTTCATTTTGATAATCCTACACCCCATTCCCATCCCACCGAAAAGACTCCCCAAACCCCTATACATCAATTATATAAAATGGCCAACCCTCACTTCCGTGCTTGGGCACCTATTTCCCATCGACGGTCAGCATGCCAGACGATATCTTGGCCTCAATCACCTCGACAATCTTCTCCCAGCCGACCATGGCTCCCTCCGCGATGTCTCCGCTGCCCAGTTCCTTCTCGATCGGCTGAAGCACCTCGATCCAGCCATTCTCGCCCCCCCACTCCTCGAGCATCTTGATCTGCTTGTCCGTGACGGGGTGTCGCCACATGGCCGTGTCCATGCTGGGCGCTACGACGATCTTCTTCTTGACACCGTCGATAGTGCCCATCGCGTCCCACGCGCGGACGACCGACGTGACCAGGTTGTCGCTTATACCGTTGACCATCTTGGCCATGGTGTTGGCGCTAAGCGGCGCAATCACAAGCACGTCGGCCCATTTGCGCAGCGAAATGTGCAAGATGGGCACGCCGCGCTTCCACGGTTTAACCCATTCGGAGGAGTCGGTGTAGACGGCGTCCACGTTGGGGAGGTAGGAGATGGCCGAGAGGGTCGGCTGCTCGCGTGACTGGCCAGCGAGGAAGTGAACGGCGCAACCCGTCAAGATCAGGCGGATTGAGAGGTTCTTGTGTGCTGAGAGGCCCTCGATGATCTGGACCAGCTTTGTGGTGCCGACTGCGCCCGAGGCGGCGAGCAGGACGTGCCGCTTGCCGTCGTTGGAGGCAAGCTCAAGCGTCTTGGTGGAGGTGCGGACGGAATGCTCGTGGTGGACATCGTGCCCGCGGGTGATCCTGTGAAGCATTGCCCTGAACCTGGATGAATAGAAGTAGGTGGGATATTTAGTTATATCTGTATCTCTGTATATCTGATCTGGGTAGATCTTGGAGTTCTTGCTCGGCTGATGCACAGCAGAATGCAAGCTGCATTTTAACCCCGCCGTCGTTCGCCGCGTCACCCGATGAATCCTGACTGAGCATGACGAGCATTGACGAACGTGGCTGATTGTCGCAGTCCTCCGCATCCGTCGTTGCAATGGCCTGACTGGTCGAAATATCTCCGTCCCGGTGGTTGTACAGGATCATGGCCATCGACCGGCTAAGTTCCCGGGACCATTACCGGTGCCGATTGTTACCGGTCTTCAGCCATAATGTCAACACCAACGGCCACTCTCACTCTACCGAGTCGTCTGGATATTGATGTATTAGAGGATTATGCAGACCGCGCTGATAACGCCGCCACACGAGGTCTCTATCCAACACAACACACAACGAACACAAAAGGAACATGAGAAGAGATATACAGTCACCAACCTCAACATCACTGCATTGACTCTGGATGGTGAACTCGAACGACCTCGTAGCTGGTTCATAAAAGAGAGGTCGCGTATCTTACATCCTCCGCACTATGGGGGTTGTACCCTTGGGCGAAATAAATTCCATTCTATTCCATTGGCACTCACTTATGGCACATAAGGGTTCGATTCGTGGTGCACGAATTCAAGTCCTCAGCGGTGCGCAAAGACAAACAGCCACCTGGGCGAGAATGAAATTACATGGCATGTGATGCAATACGTAGTAGGACACACTCTTTATCTCAAGGGCGCAAGGTAAACGGAGTTCCACTTCCGCGTCTCACCAATCCCCTGCCACGAGGCTGTCACTTGAACCTTAAGCACGACTACTTGCTTCAGAACGACTAGTGGGATTTGAGGGGTTGATGATGAACAGGCCATCTGTTATTCTGCATCGACCTTGCATTGGCTTAGTTCGGGCTACTGATACGAGTCCCACTGATGTCAAAAGCCACAACTGGTCCAGCTAAAAGGCCCGAGGCAGGATTCTGTATGAACAGGCTGTCCCTTTCCAAGGATGGCAGATCGACAGGGGATTCCCTTGTAGTTGGGTCCGGGGTAGCGGGGTCACTCCGATCATCACACGCGACATCACGAAACGAGAACTGCCGCTTCAGCTGAAAACAAGGTTCTCCGCTTCGTCCAGCCTAACGCACTATGACAGCAGCCACGTGCATCGGGTACAACACTGGATCGTATCTCTTGGCTGGAGCTGACATGTTAATGATGTCTCAAGAGGAGAAGAATGAGATTGCCTTCCTTATTAGATATAGGTTGGAGATAGCAAGCGAAATAGCATGAAGAAGGCTGGGCGCTTCGGAGAGACCGGTGGAAATACGATCAAGCTGCGGGCGCGGGGGCTCAACGAAGGAGTTTGATAGATATGACGTCGCGATTTGAATCTCATCAGATTGTCAACCCCAGGCTAATTCAGGTGAAAGAGGAATCGCTGTTGGGCTGCTGCATTTTAATTCGGCACCTGGTAGATTAAGTGCTGGGCTTCCTCTCGTTTTCCCCTAATAATCTGCCTAGCTGACGCAGTGCGGCAGAGGAAGTCCGTCGATGGGGGGGTCTCGAACGTGAGTAAAATCGTGGGGTGATCAAGCTAAGCAGGGGTCGGTGTTCAGGTCCGATCAAGCTTTTCCATGGGCACCAATCGATTTTTAAGCGAGTTCTAGGGGCTCCATTTGCACGAAGATAGGGATTTGACTCCAGATGACCTCAAGCGCAGTGCTGGCCGAGTTCAGGGGTTTGACGAGGAGACCAACACCAAAAGTGGTAAAGCCGTTTGATCCTTCAACAAATCATCATCGATGAGCTGGCACATAAGTGCCTTGCGGCCTTGCCCCAACTTTTCAGCCTGGATTTGGGAGCCGGAGAGCTACGCTTCGCCACAGGCTATTGAACCAGGGTGCTGAGCTGAGCGCTCTCCAGCGTCGAGGTTGAGCGCAAGAGGTGCGAAGCTGAGGATGGGATGGATGGTGGCGTTTGCTCTTCAACTGAGTCGAACCGATGGCTGTTGGCTCATTCACCCAACCAATAAACCAAGAACGGTTGCCACCTATACCGTCTCTGTGCCTTGCTGCACGCGATAGCAAGGATACGGATGCAGGCACCGAAATCCATCATATAGATGGCGGAGCCCTTCTTCTACTTTCGTCCCAAAGATTAAGTTTATTCAAAAACTTGCTCCCCTTTCGTGTTTCGCACCATACCTCCCCGATTGGCGAGCCCGACTACCTGCCCCATTACACTGTAGCGGACATAGAGGAGCGCATCGCGTGTTTCCCTCCCCGCATTGTTTGATCCCTTGTCTACGTCTGGGATGCCTGGCACCTGATCCCTGCCGGAGCTGAGCCTACGTCACCATGGCAATGGAACAGACCCAAACGCTGGCACTTCTGGAGCGGCTTGGAGGTTGCATCAGCCTCGTGTCCGTCCTGCTGATCTTCATTGCATACGGGCTCGTGCCGCGCGTTCGCAATCCCCGAAACACTTTTATTGTCTTTGCAAGCATTGCCAATCTCGGTGCAAGCATCGCTTGTATCATCGCTAGGGATGGCTTGGAACGCGGCGAAGACTCTGCCCTTTGCAGGACGCAGAGCTTCATGCTTCATATGTTAGTCATGCCTCCTCCTAGCATGACCCCGAATTGAATACACATGCCTTGATGCCACCAGCAAAAATGCTGACTTATTAACACAGGTTTATGCAGTCTGATGCTTGGTGGTCACTTGGAATGTCGTTCAATACGTTCCTCGTTATCGTATTCCGTACGAACCCAAACTCCTTCCATATGTGGCCGTATTGCTTGGTCTGCTTTGGAGGGCCATTTTCCATCGCCCTGACCTTGCTATTTATCTCTGATCCAACCCGTGGACCAGTTTATGGCAAAACATACGTGAGTTGCTCGCTCCCCACTCTGAGAGCTCACACTGATCATTTGACCCAGGTCTGGTGCTGGATTCGTGACGACTGGGCAAATATTCGCATTTTTACGTCTTATATCTTTGTATCCGTTTGTATTCTTGGATCAGCGGCCCTAAACATCATCGTTGGGTACCGAATCTTCCACTCCAGGAACCAAATACGCCACTTTCCGCATTCACAGATCCAAGACACAAGCAGCAATGGGCAGGTAGGATATTATTCTTCATTCCTCATTTCGAGTTCCTTTCTATGGACGCAGCTAAGCAGGCACATAAGGCAAAGCCACCATCAAGTCGCGAGGACTCCGCACATCCGATAATTGTCACCGAAGTCTTCGTCACTCATGCGCCAGCCTCCCCTATCGTGAAGCCGAATATGACACCAACGCATTCAACATTTCGAATTTCAGGATCCCCGCCGCAGGAGGTGCCCAATATATATTCTTCGACCCAGGTGTTTGCCAAGGCAGGCAATCCTGCCGAAAAAATGTCCCAAATACGACGAATTATGCGAGCAGCCAAGAAGTTTGTATTTAAGTTCCATATCCAAGACCCTGTGAAACGGGCATATCTACGCACCACATTTCTATTTACTCTAAGCGTCCTCGTTTCGTGGACTCCAGCAACCATTAACCGCATCCGCAGCTCACAAGGTCCCGACCCTCCATCCTCCTACCAGGTTGCAATGGTGGCCGTCATGCCACTCCAGGGGCTTTGGAATGCCGTCATCTTCTTCATGACGAGTCATAGGGTTTTGCGGGACTGGATGCGTGATAAATGTGACGTCCGTGCCTCCGGATCTACGAAGATAAATGAACTCGTGATGGAGCGGACTGTTGAAGAGACGAATGTGGACGAGGATGATGACCATACTGATTCGGGAAGTGACATCGAGCTACGTCAGCGAGAAAGCGTACCAGCGAAGTGATCGTGATTGGAGATGATATTTCAAGATTGGAGAAGATCGACTTAATGTAGTGCTCCTGAGTAGTTGTCTTATGACGGCTGACTGCTCAGTTTTTATCCAAATGGCAATACTTTATTGTTGCAAAGGGGGGACTCATCTTCTGGACTGAACGATGATGATAATGATGCTGATTTCATTAAAGCCGTGAAGGCACAAAGTCCTCGCCAATCTCTCGATGGGACAAGACGGAGTGCTACCGCCTTCTGGATCAAAACAACCCCAACCCAGTTATCTAGGGTAGCTGAGATACCGTGTAAACTGCAAAAGTGGAACGCTCCTCTAGAGAGCTCACGTATTCCGGTTTTTCCTAGTTCAACATACCGTTTGAGTGTCGCTCGGCCGAGGGTTGTTGTCAAAGATGGTGGGGATGTTCAAAGAAGGTTATAATTTATCCGCATGTTACAGTGCTGTAATATCTACTCTTAAAATGGACATACAAGGCAAGGGAAAGGGGTATTTAAATAGTTTTCCTTCTAAAACGTGACGCTGAGTACCTGTTCATGACTACCGCTGATACAAGGATCAAAGCCAGGCCTCAAAGACCAACCCATGGCTCAGGCACCGCTGTTAGCATCGATCTTGGCCATAATACTATTATTCTCTACCTAGCTACCCTGCTTGTTCGCTTTGGCGGAGCAGTCGCAGCTGTCGATGGGTACGCGCATATAGCGGATGCACTCGTCGTAGTTGGCAGTCCAGACGCAATCCTTGTAGACAGAGAAGGTGAGCTTGAAGTGGTAGCCCTTCGAAGGCTGCTTCTTTCCGTTGAGCTCGTAGTCGGACCAGACGGGCCCCTGGACATCATCGTCGCGCACGTCGCGGCAGAAGGACTCGGCGGCCGCCACAATGGCCCCGTAGCCGGTCTTCTGACCCGATCCATAGCAGTGCTTCACGTTCTGGGACGGATCCGGCTTGGCGAGGTGACCAGGCGCACCTGAGCACTCGTCGTCCTTGACAACTTCGTACGAAGCAATACCTTGTCCGCCCCCCCAGCGAGACGCACTTGGAGTCGTCCTTGAGACGATCCCCTCCGCTCATCGAGGCAAAGTCCTTATCACTCTTCGCGGTGCAGTCGTTGCTGGAATAGAAGCAGGCCTTGTAACCCGGCTTTGTGAATCCTTGGGCGCTGGTGACTTGGAAGTTGGGCGATGACACGTCGACGCGAGAGCATTTGGACGCTTGGTTGGCTGTGACTGACGTGTCCTTCTGCTTGCATTCCTATGAAAGAAGAAAAGAAAAGAGTCAGTATCAGAGATAGTATTGAGATAGGGGGAAGAGGGTTACTTACATTCGCCGACCATCTAATTCCCCAATCGAAGCCGGACGGTTGACCGTCGTCGTCGCCACCATCATCACCGCCGCCATTACCGCCGTTACCACCAGGGACATCAGGCCCCCAACTGCCATCATCGCCCACGCCGCCATCATTAAGCGTGTCGATATAGCAATTGTCGTTATCAGCGCAGGGGTCGATGTCTTCAGACTGTCCGCACCCTAGGTAGAGGAAGGCGCTTGGATCCAGGAAACTGCCGCCGCGGCCAGCTCGAGGCATGAGGGCGCGGCTGTATCTTGGTCGAGGAAAAGCGAGGGTAGGCACCTCAAAGTCTTTCACCGTCTCCTCCGACATGATGTTCAAGGTGTCGTTGTATTGATCGATGTCGATATCAACATCAACATCCCTCGTCATCATCGTGTCGTCCTCCAGTGGCCCCCGCTTCGTCTTTTTTGCAATCGGCGGCAATCCATCTGGCCCCTTATATCCTGAATAGTTGTCACAGGCGTAGTATCTGTTGCCCATCTTCCTGTCCTGTTTCGGGAGCGGGCTGATCTCGTTGACCCATTTCTTTTGGTCCTCATCCCACTCCAGGTTTCCGGGGGACGGGTAGTGACAGTAAATGCTAGGAATATGTGCAACATCGCTGCTGGTGGCAGTTTTCTTAGAGTTAGTGTAGTAGCGCACCGTCTTCTTGATGAGCTTGTCGTCCCACCAGGGGTCCCAAGCTCGCTCGCCAGGAGCGACATCGGCTTTGTTGACGAGGATGTAGGCATTGCCGTAGGGCTGAGCGCAGTAGTTCTTGGATGTGTCGGAGCCGAGGTAGAAGTCGTCGTCAGTCATGCCCGTGGGGTGGTTCACAAACTTCATCGAGTATATCAGGCCGTCGGCGTTGTGACCGTTGCCGTTGCCAGCCTCCTGGAAGAATTTCTTTATTTCCAGTCCGTGATCAGAGTTCTCCTCACCGGGGATCAGACGAAGCACGCGTTGCTGGTCCCACTGCCTGATGTTGGGATTGCGGATCGGGTCGCCGTTGGCAAAGGGGTACTCCTCGACCTGGCAGCCCCTGAGCGCCCAGCCGTGGCCGATGTCTTTCTTGCCCCCGCTCTTGGGCGTCTTACCCCGAAACTTGTTATCGTACCACGGCTTGTTAACATGATTATGCCCTCCAGCTACTGTCGAGTAAGTCAGGAGCGATGGCTTGCCGCGCTTCAAAATAGCCGATCGCGCGTTGGCACAGAGATTGGGCCATAGGTTGTAGTCACAGGTGAAGACATTGTGGTAGTCTTGCCCCTGTGGCGGCGGGTTGTTGCGGAAGTCGGGGTTGATAGGACACGACTTGGCCTTGGCCTTTGCCGCGGCAGCGATCTGAAGGTTGCCTGTGTCCAACACATTCGATTTGGCGACGGCACAGCATGTGTCGGATTGCCCAGCGTCGGCTTTGGATTCCTCCAAGTTCTCGTCTATCTCCCTTTGACACTCCGTTATGACATCGTCAATCTCGTCGGCGGGGACGTCGCACCTTACGGCCGAGTTGACGGGATCAAAGATGGGATAGTTGCCGTTGGAGCATAGACCTGTGTCCATCTTCACATCGGGCTGGCAAGCGTCTCCACTTCCGCCGGCCGGAGGTGGGGCCCCGGGAGGTCCGGGGGGCGGGCCCGGCGGATGGTTGGGGTCCGAGGGGTCCCAGAAGTCACTATCGCCGCCCCCGAGACTGCCCGGGGGACAGAAGCCAGGGACGCAGGGAGTGTGGCAGAAGGTGATGCACTTGTGTCCGCAGTTGGACGTGCACTTGGGCCCCGGCTTGCCTGTCTGTGTCGCCACGTGAACTGATGAGTGTAGCGTCGATGTGCCGTGTGTGACCGTCGAGATGGGCGTTGTCGTCGGCGTCTTGAAAGAATACGGCCACGGCGGCGGGTAAATGGTCCTCGTCACGGCTGAGTGGGTGACGCCCGTCTTATTCTCTGGGTTGGGATCGTTGTTAATGGTAAAGGGTGGCGGTATGATGCTCCATGTTAGCCAGAGAAGCGTCTCTTTGCTCCCCTCGGGTATGTTGTGGTTCCATAGATCAATGGCTGTTGTCGTCACTGGGGGAATCTTCAGCGTCGTCGTCTGTACCACGGGGGAGATGAACGATGACGTCGACACCTTGCCGTCGGCGCCTGTCGTCTTCTTCGTCTCTGTCCACGCCACCTCGAGCGAAGTGGTCATGTCGGGGAATTTGATGGTTGTCGGTGAAGCTAGGGTGAACGGTGGCAGGATGAGCTGGCACGGCGGATTGCACTCTATGGTGGGCTTCTTGTCGGTATATATGTCGGGTCCCACATACAGCAACCCCCGTTGCCGTCGTCACCGTCGTCACATCTTCCACCCGCGCAGCCGTCGTCCTCGGAGAACTCCTGTAGATCTACCGCCCAGTCGACTGTACCTGCAAAGTTGAGGTTCTGCCACCTACTGGCGCGTGATAGCTTGGTCCCTTCCTTCATGTACGAGACCCACTCTGTTGCTGGTCGTGCTTAGCATCGTCAGTTGCTCCCGAGATGGGGGAGGGGCTTCTTACAGTCATATACTAGAAAGTCAGCATCCACGGTTGCATCGTACCAGCTCTTGGCTACCGAGACCGTCTTTATGATGCTATCAATCTCGGCATTGGATATATAGCCTCCGGTCTTGGTGCACTTGCCGGGCTTAGCCGTCGAGGCGCCATCGTACGTGCACATGGATCCCCTACAGCCTGCGTTGGACATCTTGAAAGACCGGCCATAGCTGCTAACTCCCACGACTATCTTGTTACTGGGGACACCCGCTTTTGTGACTGCGAGTTTCTCGTCGTTAGGTCGAGGTTGGGAAGAGGAAGGTTGCATCAAGGCCCGGAATACTTACTCATAGACAACGCGTCGTACGTCTCCGTGAGGTTGACTGATTGCTCTTGTGTTAGCTGTCCAACGATCTGGAGTTGCACTCTTGGGTACCAAGGCTGGCTTACCATGGCTTCTCAAACAGTTGCCTTTCTCACACCCGGGTTGGGCCCACTTGTTTCCATAGTCCGTGTAGGTCATATGTCATGTAGACGATGTAGTCGAGGTATTCAGCCATTTCGTCGATGGGAAAGGGTTTCAGATACCAGTAAGAGGCGGGAGCCGCAATGGAGAGCGTCTTGCTCTTGTCCAATTTCCCTCTCAGCAGCTTCAACATGGCCAGATAGTTCTTACCGTCGTCCTTCTGGCCCGCTGGGATACCTGGAATGTCGGGTGCCTTTGTTGGAAGCTTGCAGTAAGCAATGAGTCGACTTGAAAAGTGAGAGTGTCGTATTTACTTACACCTGGATATTCCCAGTCAATATCGACACCAGAAAGCCCGTGATCGTTGGCAAACTTGGCCAGACTTTCCGTGAAATGCTCTCTGCCACTCGGGCTCACAATATTGCGCAAAATGTCGTATGTCTCAGGGCTCGTTGAGTCACCCCAACCGCCCAAGGACAGGATCGTCTTGATACCTGAAGACTTCAAGCGCTTGAAGTCACCCCACTGCCCGTACGTGTCGTTGACGCCCACATCCAGCTTCTCGGAGACGGTGCCAAAGCCCCAGTGCATGTGTGTATACGACGAGCCCATATTTGCGATGGACCTGGCCTTCATGTTCAAGCATGGGCGGTCCATGTTCCACGACTCATAATAACCGATTGAGAGAATCTGGGACGGCCCTTCTTCGTTGTTGACAATGTCCTGGCCGCAGTTGGTGGCACATCCGTTTGAGCCCGGCGGACCTGTTCCGGGGTTGCCAAACGTGCCCTTGGTCTCGACGCAAAAGTCGCCATTGATGCCACACTGACCCCAGACATTGCAGCAGGCGTTGAGGGGGCAGGGGCTGAGATCGGCGAGGGTTTCATTCTTGGATTTGTCCGGAGGCTTTGTCCCCGGCTTGGTAGGACCGCAGAGGGCATTTGAGTCCGGAGCCGGCATCGGCGGGTCGCCCTTCCTCAGGCATATGTTGATGGGGTAACCAAGGTTCGCGCAGTTGTCGAAGCCCCAAGTCTTGATCTTGTTGAACTCTTCAATGTCGGTTTGTTTGAGGCCATGCTTGGCCGCAATTTCGGCGCAGTTGTCGCCTTCTTTCACTGTGTATGAGGCGCAAGTTCCATCGGGCTTGGGCTTGGGCCGGATGTCAGGAAGTTCACCTTTGCTGCAGCAGGCCCTGGCGCCAGGGGTCAGGGCTGAACAGAAGCCTTTGGTTGGGTTGAACTTGGTGAAGTCGGCTGGAGAAATGCCGCATCTCGTGGCAAGAGCACTGCAGCTGTCGCCTGACTTGATCTCGACCGTCTTGCACTCCTCAGCTGCAAGTAGTCGAAGTGGCCTTGAGGTTTCGGTGCTACCGACGTTGCTGTGAGAGGTTTCGGTGCCATGGAACTTGTTGTGAGAGACTTCGGTGCTACTAGACTTGCTCTGAGAGATTCTAGTGCTATTGGTCTTGTTGTAGGGCGTTCGAGTACCATTGGCACCAGGATTGGTGTCGTTACTCCAGGGCCGAGCAAGACTCGGGGCACAAAGCCAGGAGGCAGCAAGCAGCAGGGACGAAAGGCGCACCATCGTCACTTCTGATCCTTTGCCTTTCTGCTGTGGATTTATTTCCCAGGCCAGATGAACCTTTATATATCATAACTACATCTGTCGCATACTCGTGATTTTGCTTCTCAAGTCCTTTGCACATTTTTTTTGTCCATCTTGTCTCTTATCATTCCACACTTGGCCAACATGTATTATGACTTAAACGAGCATCCGCACGGCGAAGCAAAATCCCATCGCAACCAACACACTGTCACATCCGCAATTTGAACCTGCATCCGCCCGGCCCAACCACGGCTGGCTCAACCTCTCGGCCTCTGGCAGTGACATCGGATGATAGCCATTCGGTTAGCCCCCGACCGCCAAGAAGAATGTACCTGCGTGTGGGTGGGGGGTGAGCTTTGATAGTGGGGGAATACGACGACATGGAGACAGGGGGCAACCAGCATCAACAACTCGGCTGTCCCGGCCACAAAGGATCACCGCTCAACGGCTTAAATTGAATTAGTCGACAGAGTGGTTATCTGGATCAAGAAATCACCGCGGTGAATGGATCTTACCTAATCGGACCTTTTGCCCTGTTGGGGTCTGCTGATTCTCCAGTGTATGCGGGTACAAGTCTTATAGTAAGTACTCGTGAGTTGAAGTCACAACGACTGGAACATCATCAAACCATCCTAACTCAACCAGACCTCGGCAGTCCAACTCCAACTCTAACTCGAACATGCTGAAGCATAACCTTGCTCTTCGGCTAGCTCGCTGCCGCCGTTGCATTGAAGACGACAGGTCTACCCGCTTCGCCATTACCTTAATCACCATCTCCATCATTTTCCTCGGGCTTGGTCTTGCGAGAGGTAAAACAAACTCTGAGGCTGATAGCCGACACCGAGTGCTCGCCAAGTTCCTCGGCAGAGGCCAGCTGACGGTGGATTTATTCCCGCCCCTGTCTTATTTCCTGAGGACCGTTTCTCCCGCCTGGGCCCTATTGTTGGTCGACCATGCGTGCCGGCAAATCATGGTGCATATGATCACTTGGAACTCAGGCATGGATTCCTCATGTGGCCCCAAACGTCCTGGGTCATTGCAACGTGGGGGCTGGGACGTGTCGATTATGGTCTGGCTCGGCATCCTCCTGTCTCGGAATGGGAATCCAACGTTACAAAGCGGGTCTCCTCTAGAGGTCTCATCATCGCTAGCCGCATGTCTTGTCCTCCTCGCCCTGATGCCAAGACTAACGCCAGGTTGGGCGGGCCAAATTCTTGTCATTGTCGCCGGAGCACTGGGCTGCAACACCATTGACTGGTTATTGTGCTATGCTGTGATTACAGCCCGCACTTTGACCAGGACTGCCTTGGATGCCCCGCTCATCTGCTCTTTGAGTTCCTCTTCTCGGCCTTTCTCTGCGGCTCGACTGGCGTGCCACTTGGCTTTTGCTCTAATCCGGGCTGTGTGCCTGCCCTTACTAGTCTTGTTATCCGTGTATGCTTTGTTCCCATACTCGGAGACATCCGCCGGAGGCAATTACAACCTCCATTTTCTGGACTCTACCTCACGTCGAGTCCTGTACCAATCGGAGCCTATTACGTTGAGTTCACTGGACCTCTCCAAGCACGGAAAACACATACCCAAACATGCCTTAATTCCATATCTTCCGCTCTCTCTCTACGTTCCCAATGCTGGTTTCCTCTGGGCGGACCCGGACGAGCCTGAAGCTGAGGATCCGGCCGAGACTCAGAACGGCGTTTTCTTTTCAGACCCGTTCGGCACGCGGTATCCGTGGGCGCTCGAGGAACCAACTACGCCAGGGGACCAGCTTGACAAAGACGAGCTCGAATTTGTACAAAGTCATGTTTGGCCCGGTGCGCTGGTCTACCTCCGGAGTCGGATAGATGGTCGATACTTGGGCACAGTCGAAGATCAAAACTCGACTTCGATTAACGAAATGTTGGACAGGGACGGGAATGATGAGCAGGATGGTTTATTCAAGAGACTTTGGGTTGGAATGCACGCCAAAAAAATCCGCAGCATCTGTTTGGATTCTCGAACACGATCCCGAAAGGGACACAGGCTTCCGTCTGTATAACCCCCACAAGGAATGCTATCTAGCCACGACATTCCGTACAAACGGGCTCACTACAAACAACGGTATAATTGAGGAAGATACCCACAGGACGTATGAAGCCAGTTGCACACGAGTTGTCAGCAAATGTACCTCGACTATTTGGGCCATTGAAGGTGCGTCATCGTCGTAGGAACGCGTCGGTATCCTCATATTTGCTATACTGACAAAAGGCAAACAGGTAACTTGGTCCACGATAGTAGCCAGACCCCAGGTTCAGCAGCAAGGGTTCTCGCGGCTTGGAAAAGCTTATCTGGGCGATTCCAGCGCGCTATTAGCATCAGCAATGCCCACGCCTCCTTATTTGAATGGCAAAGGCTCTACGGGCAAAAGCTGGACATGCCACCGTCCCCGCTGTCCTTCTCACGGCTGCGAAACGCCTGGGGACTCTGGTTTGAACGCCTGACTTTTGGCGGCTTCTTGGCGATGCATGCCCTTTGCATTTTAGCTAGACGGAGGACTGGTCATAAATCGGGAATCGACTGGCATGTGGTATCACCGGCGGCTTTGCTGTGCTGGGGTCATGTCTTGTTCCACAATGCCTTCATGTATGCGAGGCCATATGGAACTGAAGTTGTATTGGTTATTTCCCTACGTGGGTTATGGCAATTGCTATCGGAAAGTCTCGAGTAGAAAAAACCACAGTTGCAGCGCGTCAATCGTCTCATCAGTCAAGGTGCAAAAATCTCCGCGGCAGTGACCTCGAGCTCAGACTCATGAAGCTCAGAGTGGTGCTTGTACCAATCCAGGACACCCACAATATCGTCAAAGCATTCATCGCCAAACTGACCCATCGTAACCAGATATCGCCAAGACCAACCTTGGCTCTCGTTCCCCTTCGGCCGGGTGTAAGCCACGTAGACGGCAGACTCGCCTCCCACGCCGGAGAGCCATCCTCCTGCTACATCGTAATTGTAGAATGCAGTCGCATCGACGATGGTCTGCCCCGCCAGAACCCTCTTTTGAATTTTTTCGTGGGTCTCTGTGCCACTTCCTGGTCCCCCCCAGCCTACCCAGAAAATCAGGCGCTCCGTTTCGTCTCGGAGCTTGGCCCAACCATGCCCTTCGAGACTGTCGACGTGCCGCATCAGGATCTCAAAATCAAGAGGCAAGTTCCACTGTCCAGTGGGACACTCGAGGCGCCCAAGGCCGTCGAGGATGGCTGAGCGATACATGTCGCGCTTGGTAGCCCGCCATTCTGGGTCGGCATTCACCGAGGTGCCGTCGAGGGAGAGTTGCGACACAACCAAGTCCCAATGCGTAAGGATGTCGGACGGACGCTCGATGGGCGGCTGCGTGTTGTCAGGCGGGTTGATGAGACGGTCAAAAAAGTCGAGGCGTGCTTCCTCCTCCTCTTCAGGCGACTCAAAAAGGTCGGGATCGTCTATATGGGCTGTCTCAATCGCTGGAAGAATAGCTGACATGGCGCGATGGTTGGCCTCGGCAATGTATGCACGGTACCTGCCAAGGGCGGCCAGGATGTCCGCCTCAGTTGGTTGAGCCCTGGTGTATGTGCGTGGGCGTGATAAAGTCATGGTGGTGTATGAGGGAGGTGTATGAGAAGGTAAAGATGAAGATGGAGGAGGAAGTGAAGGAGGTCGCTCCGTTTGGAAGAGTAATTTAAGGGCAGCATAACCGTGTGATTAATCTATTTTGCCACCCCTAGAGTTCCTCGTTTACGAGCTGCTAATGAGCTTGATCGACCACCCATGTATGCATTAGGGCCCTTGGCCTTGCATGCCGAAATGTCCGCTGCGGGCTGTATCCCTGCGCCCTGATTTGCCAAGGCGTGAACAACCAACAGGTAAATAAAGGTTGGTATCACAATTGGCGATCCATAAATCCCGTTCTTCAGTGCGGCCCAATATGTAAAAACCTGTGGGCAGAATACAATGTCTGTGTGGGTGGTTAGACTTCTTCATACCTCATAGCTATTTATAATTCCTTGGTACTTAGAGTAATACTACTATCGTGCAAGAAGCGGGTTAGCCGTCTCACCATCCATAAACATCATCCCTGACGTAATTAATCATTCCTTAACCAGTACCAATGATAAGTCTCACCGACGAGAGTCGGGTGGTTTCAACAGTCGCGCGGCCGTTCAAAAACATCATGAAATAAACATCTGACAAGTCGCTCGACCTACTCAATCAAATGATCTACCCTTAGCACATGTCTTAAGGGGACAACCTCACGGCGCGATAGTTTTCCCAAGAGGCGTAAATTCACAAGGAAAGAAGAAAACACAATTGTACAGATACTCTTGACCGAATTCTATTTTTTCCCCGGCTTTGCGATGCGAAAGATATGCCAATCGACTGATCGCCAGCCACGGCGTTAATACAGCATAGTACAGAAAAGAAAGGCTCTTCAGTGATCTGTCAGGAGACCCAGGATGGTCTCGTTTCTCTACAGACATAATTTCAACATTGATGCTCGATCGATGGTTGATGTCTGAAGTTATCAAGCTCCCCTACGGTCCCTATTTGAACCATTGGCCGGCACCTCCGCAGAAGAAGATTAGGGACTGTCAACTAAACTGTATTTCACAAGATATTGCATCTCGGATTCACCGCTTCCTTTCTTCAAGAGGGCCGAAACATTTTATGAAGTGATATGACCTAAGATCCACAGGCCTACAACAAGATAGACGCTGAGACATCGACTCTCAGACAAATCACTGTTGCCCAGGATCCGGGTTGATACGTAGGTATGGCTTCAAAATTACACTTGGACGCTCGTATAACTCTGAAACTCCTCTGACCCCTCTTTAGTGGCGTTAACAGTGTCTCCAAGGAGGAAGATGGCGGATTTTCTGATGCTCTTCCGTCCAGAGGCATATTTCTGTATCAGCCCGAGAAGATCAGGCTCTCGCAACTCAGCCTCAGCCACAGCACAGCCTTGTTGGGCACTCACCTGGGCACTATTGCCAGAGCCCCTCCTCCATCACCTTGGGAAGTTAAGGCGCGACCAAGACTCTCTTGAAACCGCTCCCCGACCAGTGCGTTATCGCGTACCATGGCCGAAGCTGTGGGCCTCGCTGCAAGCGTCATCGCAATCGTCGAACTGTCCGCCAAAGTCGCCGTCCTCTGCCTCCAGTACTCCACCGCTGTCGGAAACGCCAGGGCCGACATCACACGCCTCCGAAGCCGTTTGGACGACCTCGGCACAACCCTCCAGGGTGTCCAGTATCTGCTTGATACCCAGAATCATTAAACGCTCGCGACTTTAAGAAAACTGGTCGACTCTCTTGATGGCTGTACATCTGAGCTGGTCTAGCTGCAGAGCAGGCTAGACCCGGGGAAGGCTCGCAAGGCGATGTGCCGTTTCGGACTTCGTGCCCTTAAGTGGCCGTTAGATAGCAAGGAGGTTAGCAATATCATCTCTAATCTAGAATGCTATAAATAGACTATTACTCTAGGTTTGCAAATTGACTAAATGTAAGTGAGTAATTATCCGGATATATAGAGTATGATAGAGTAGGCTAATAAGATTGTTTTTATAGTATAATTCTACTTAATATATAGTAGAGGATTAAAGATATCTTGCTCTAACTTAAAAGAGATATATTAATAGCTTATAAGCCGTACTTTAGCTTCCTATTTAAATATAATTCTAATTTTATTGACTAACCTGATATTATAATATAAATAAAGAAACAATATATAAGCCCCGTCAGTTATATGGCTCTTGTAGGTATAGGCAGATTTGGATATGAGCTAGAGTAATTAATAAATTTATGCAGGATATTCAAGCTAACTAGCCGTAGTAAATCGCAGCTTGCTATTCAATTTATATATTATATCTGAGATATATTACTGCAAACTAGTATCTTCTAGGTTTACGCAAGTTCGAAGCTAAAGTTTAAAGAGGCGTACCGTTCTATCGCAGACAATCTACAACTACCGAGGCGAAATGATCCCGGCGTTGATATAGTCGGGCTAGTTTGGGACTGGCTATAAAGAGAGGAAGCTGGCCTGTGGTTGATGGTCTTGGATAATGCTGACGACGTCAACCTTTTCTACCCTAATTCAAGCGTGTCAGACAGCCTGATAGGGACTGTTGGAGTCTGACCTGTTATGAAACTGACGATCCTACGATCTCTGGAACGGCTTCCAAGCCGGCTGCTAGGAATCCGGTCTGGACTAGGTCTCAAGGCCCGGCAGGTAGGTCTTCCAGTCTCAGACCTCCGGACCTCGGGCCCGGAGGCCCCCGGAGGCCCCCGGAGGCCGACCTCATCCTCATCTATAAAGACCAATCCCTAGCCCTTCAATAGATAGAAAAATCAAGCAATTCCATCGTCACTAAAGCTGTCTTATCCAATCCATTTGATAAAGCGCGGGTAGAGATGGGGCAGCATGCCATCCAGCAGACGAGAACCCTGCTGCACTCAGCATATAACAGCCACTTACAGTCTTTCTACCGAAACGCCGCAATGGAATCATCCTCATCACTTCGCGCAGCATAGACGTCGCTAAGAAGCTAATAGGTATCCATAAGGCTATCTACAGGATCGCAGCCATAGATCACACCCAGGCCTTCAGCTTTTCCGGAATAAACTAGTAGGAGATATAGATACGAATGCCACTATCTCCAACTCTGTGGTTATGATGTAGCAAGTAACCCTTAATTAGATATACTATAAGAGACTATTTATAGCTAACTTACTTTCTTTTATAAGCTTCTTCAATTTATAAAATATCCCCGAGTTTATCCTCCGTTACTATAAGAACAATCTAGCAGAAAATCTAAATATAGTTAAGAATAATAAGAATAACGATAAATTCAAGGATAATCTAAACATCCTCCATAACTACTTACTCACATCCATAACAGCAAAGAGGGATATATATAAAATATATCTCTTAGTGTAGTTTTATATTTATATCTAGCTATCTATAGTTAATAATATAAATTAATAGAAATAATTGCTTCTATAAACTATATTAAGACACTTTCTAAATAGTAAATTCAAGACCTAGCCTACCTATTAGATACTACTGCCACATATTAATTCAATACTAGTAGAGGTGCTATAAGAGAAGGATATAGAATCGTAGGCGGCTTTATTGACGAATTGTGCTCGGTATATAGTCTTTATAGGAAGCTATAAAGCGGCGGAGATTTTGAGCAAAAAAGCAGTCAAAACAAGAATGAAGGTACTGGGGGAGGAGCATCCCGATATACTAATCAGCATAACCGGCCTGGCGTCGACATTTTATCAGCAAGACCGATGGAAGGAAGCAGAAGAGCTACAAGCAAAAGCACTAGGAATTCACTTAAGAGTGCTAGGAGATGAGCATCCTGATATACTGAGCAGCATGGCTCAACTGGCGTCGATATTTTGGAGCCAAGGCCGATGGAAGGAGGCAGAAGAGCTACAAGCGAAGGAACTAGGAATTTGCTCAAGGGTGCTAGGAGATGAGCATCCTGATACATGGAACAGCATGTACAACCTGGCTTTTACCTGGAAACACCAAGGTCGCTCTAGAGATGCTCTAGCCCTCCTGCGAAAGTGTGTTATTCTGCAAGAGCGGGTCCTTGGTGCAAATCATCCACAGGCAGTAATACAGGCGGAAGCTCTAGCTGAGTGGGAGGAAGTGAATAATTTATCATAAGAAAGGAAACAATTTGGAATGATGAGCATAAAGGGGCACTAGATGAACGCTGTGTGCCGGACTTTTTATAAGAGAAGGAGAGTAAGGGTTCAAGAGCTAGAATAATGATATGTTAGGTTTTAGGTGCGAGAGAGATAGATCAGATTATGTCTCAAGTAGATCCTATTTAAGACTCATTATCAAGAAAACTCGTCGTCCAGGAAACTCAACTATACTCTGGGAATATGGTTTTCAGGAACTCCAATCGTGTATGAGCATGAGTGTGCCACCGCAAATCGGCCCCTACAGCCACTGCTATTTATTCAAGACCAGTCCACTTTCTCCGTGTAAGACATGTCGATAACAACATCGGGAAAGACAGATAGATTTCAGATATAACTTGTATTTTCATTTTGCACGCTATAGTTGCTGAGGCCAATATGTGGGTTTCATGCTCATTTATTTGCAGCTGCAGGAATTTTGTCTACCCTTGGTCATGGTAGGGACGAGCACCACAGCCAACTAAGGACCTCGTGCCCAGGTCACTTACTCGACACGAGGCCCTTACTTGGCTGTGGTGCCCATCCCCTCCGTGACCAACGGATAACTTTTTCGACCCATTCTAACCTTGATGAATGCACCGAAAATTCCCACGACCCAACCTTCAGAACGCCCTTGGATCCAAGTCATTCGATTCCGCCCTCCTGCCTAGCCGGCTCATCCGTACCAGCCCTACGCAACTCAACAGCTCCTGGAACCAGGGGTCGTATACATCACGGCCAATTTCTTCTAGGAACATTTGGCCCCTTGCATCGTTGCTGTTTTCGACGTCTTCGAGTCCGGACTCCTGAGCTGCAACTTGTAGCTTTGTAATAAGGGCTGGGTTAATTCGATAGGTCGAAATGGAAGCTGTGAAGATACCGATAATTCGGATACAGCTCTTCGGTCTGTATTGTTCGGCGGAAAGCAGACATCTTATTCAGTTGGAAGTTGGTGTGATAGCTCTAGCAGCCACGCTCTGTTCCGGCCTAGCTTTTCAAGCTCTTTCTCATCTGTTTCTGTAGTCGCATTGCCTGCGACTGCATCCCGGACGGCATTCAGCCTGCCCTGTTGATGTCTGCAGAAAATCTTCAGACCTTTCTTGTCGGCCGTAATGGAGACGGCCCGGCAACCTAGCCGCGCTATGTTGATCCGATCGATGTTGCTGAGCAAGGCCAGTCGGGCCTCAGCTTCAGCCGGGTCTTTGAAGCACTGGACTCGCTCCAGCGCTGATAACAGGTTTGTTTCTCGACTCAGCATAATCGTATTGGTAGTCGTTCCATCGGTAGTATACTGCAATGCAGCGGGACTCGTAGGGTCGGCCGGGCCGACCACAGTTCTTGTTGATGGCATGATTTCGATTGTGAGATTGGTGTACTGCACTGCAGCGGGACTTGAAGTGTAGACCGGGCTGACTAGAGTTCCGATTGCTAGCAGCGTGGTCACATTGCTTGCGACTGCGTCTCGAAGGGCTTCGAGCCTGCCCTGTTGTTTGCGGCAAAATCTCTTGAGATCTGGGTCTGCCGCTGGGATGGAGACTGTATGGCAACCTAGCAGCACCGGTCTGTATCGTGAGGCGGAATGGGAACATCTCATCAGTTGGAAGTGGGTGTGAGAGTTGGTTGTGATGTGTGTAAGCCCGGCTGGAATGCCATGTCGCCAAGCGCTTTTGTGTTTGCGGTAAGTGGGGCTTCTGTTGGTGTCCTTCTCGAAGGCTCTGTGGATGATTGGAGTCGTCATTGTGGACGTTTGATGGATTTGATAATTGTTGGAAGATGTTTTGCAGGTTTGAAAGTTGATGTGTAGACCACGGGGGATGTCAGTCTTCTTATACTATATTGCTCAGATTAAAGTTTCCTTTCTCCGATAGCGAGGTCATTATGTGCGGGCAGCAAGTTCGTTAACTTCAGGCAGTAAGGTTGGAGACACTACGGTTGGAGACGGAAGGGTTGAATCGAAGGCTTAAGGCAAACGTCGGCTTGGTGGTAAAGTTCTTGCACACCGAGTTTTGCCATAAATTTTAATTCAACCCTTCTGTCTTCAGCCCTGCCGTCTGCGGCAAACGACCTTCTGGGGCGCTCTGGAGGTTGGGTCGTCGGATCTATGACTCTTACTTCATCAAGGTTACAAATGGGGCGGAAAAGTTAGATAGGAATCCGGAGATTGAACTAGTCTAACTTCTGTCTGCTCCCTCAAGGTAAGCAAGTTGCCGGCACAATCCGGAGATGGACAAAGATGAGCTCGAGACCCTGACTTGGGTCTTGGTAACTGTACAGTGTACAGTAAAAATGCAGCAACTTTAAATATTGGGCTCCCTGATCTAGAGAGTACTGAATGCATGGTCATCCTGACCGTCACCACTAATGGAGATTAGTTTTGCAAAACCGAGTACATTCATTTCGATCAGAACCTTGTGCGTCGCACCGTCTGCATCATTGGTACCGGGGGAACCCTGAGAGGCGGATTCGGATCCCTGCTGATCCACGGGGGATGACTCCGGCTCGGATACGGAGCCACAGGACTAACGCTCAAGGAATCTGTCACGGATGTCACGTTTCTCTACAGAAATATCATCATCCCTTGATGTCACGATTTAAGGCCATGAGCTGGCACCCTCAGAGGGGAAGCTTGAGGACAGTCAACGTAACCAAATTATCGCACCTGAGGTTTACTGCTTCAACTGTTTAAGTTCCGTGAGGAGTTCTATGAAGTTCCATGAATTAACCTTGCACCGGAAACCTGCTCACCTCGAGAGACCAGGCAAAAGTTCGATTAGTCACATGAACTAAGATTCTCAAGTCCATGACCCGGATAGGCACTGAGATATTGACTCTCGGACAATCAACTATTGCCAAGTAATCCACTACTCATATAATTCTTCCCAAAACTAAAGAAGTATCGAAATCCTCTCTTAATCAAGCGGGCCATGCTTCTGTCTCATCGAAGCACCGTAAATATGCGCCAGAACCACCGGAATAGCGGCAAAGGCCACAATCCCAGCCTGTGTACCGAAGCTCGCATCGGCACCTACACGTTCCAGCCACGGTTGCTGAAAGTAGCCTACAGCAAATCCACCCGCGGTACGGGCGAAATTGAGCCAACAACTCAGCTCTGCCGGTGCATTGGGATACGAGTCAAGGGCATAAGCCGTGACCGATACAGACATGGTCATGACCCCGAAAGCAAATATCCCCAAGCCAAAAATCACTGCTACTACGGACAGCGCATTCTCAAAGGACTGGCCGATCAGTATGAGAGCAGCCACCATAAAAACGATGGAGATGTAGATGGTCCAAAGGCGCACTTCCGGCTTGAAGACTCCCTTGTGTTGTTTGATGTAGCGGTGCGCCATGTAGTCGTTGAAGTAATGTCCAAAGATTTCGCCCAAGAACACGCCGACAATGTTGGCGAAATACAAGTAGCCAATTGTTTTCGTAGTGTATCCATAGGCGCCGCCGGCTTCCTTGGGTTGGAAGAAGAGCAAGTTCGTCGAGATATTAACCCCGATGGCCCAAGCAAAGGTGAGAAAACTAGATTTTGGTCAGCTTTTCTAGACCGGCGGGGCTGGCAGAAGCAGTGCACTGACTAGGAGAGGCAAATCAGAGCAAACGAAGGTTTGGTGATGGTGGCGAAGAATCTTTTGCAGACTGGGATAGTGTCGTGAAAGTAGTTGGAATGTTGAATCTGCCAAATCCCCGTGAGCCTCATCAGCCGGCCAACAATGCCGCTCTGTCGAGGAGGCTGTTCCGAATCTGGCAAGTCGCGATTGTACCACGTCTCATCCACGAATGCTAGGACCAGGATAAGTTGCAAGCCGACCACACCAGAGCACATCCAGAAAATATCGGGCCAATGGTGCGTCGCGGAAATGACGAAGTTGGCGAGACATGGTCCGAGATACGGCGAGGCGACGTAGAGCACTGCCCAGAGGCCAATCTTTCGGGCGCGTTCGTGGAAGAAGAAAAGGTCCTTTAGGAAGGCAATGGTCATGGTTTGGCCACTGGTCAGGAACAAACCCGAAAGAACCCGTAAGGCGAAGTAGACCGAGTATCTGTCTGCAACAGCAGCGCCGAGATTGACGGCTAACCCTGCGATAGTAGTCCAGAAGAGCACTGGAGCTCGGCCCCAGATGGAGCTCAGGGGCACCCAGACGAGGCCTCCGAGTCCGCTTTCGGCTTGTTAGTCTCGCAACCAGGCAATTGTCTAGCCAGGGAATGATCTTACTTGAACAAGACCAATATGGCGTTCGGGTCATTGGCTCGATTCGGCGATATGTGCCATTGACCTGCTTGGTTAAAGATTATGGCTGTTCCGGCGGCGGCAGTGAAATCGGTACAAAGAGCGGCCCAGGCAACACTGAGGAGCAGAAGATGTTTCCGCTTCCAGGACCAGTTGAGAGGATCACGGGGATCATCGGTCGGCTGGGGAAGAAGGACCGTCTGACCCATCGCACATTAGCATCGGGATTAATTGGGAACGAGTCGGTCATACATGTCCATCAGCGGCAACTTTAAGCGACAGTTGGCCATCCAGGCCCTCAGTGTCCAGAACCAAGCCCGCGTCTCTGCGAATGCCATCTGGAAGGGCCTTCACCATCTCAGGTGTCCCACTTTCCAAGTGACTGGAGCCTGATTTCTCATCCATTGTTCAGCGAGGAAAGAAGCAAAGACGAATATCTTTCAAAATCCTACAATACTGCAGGGTTTATCTCAAATTCTCTCTAATGGATCGTAGCAGCCTTTATAAGCATTGTAGGCGATGATGCCCCGGATCCTGCGGGGATGACAGCTTGGATGCCGTTAGCCCAAGCCCTGTGCCGCATGGAGTCATCGGCGCTACATGGAAAACCCGGGGGATGCTCCGCAACAATCCGGGGAAATGAGCAAGGTTGGCGGTGCCTCGCGTTTTCCAAGTGCGACATGCTCGTAGTAACGGAATCCCCGAGGGGGTGGCCACGGGGTCATACTGTAAGTGCAACGGTGGCGCATTTCATCGGAAAAATCTTTGAATCGACCGGAATCCCCGACATGAACAGCAATCGCAATAAAAACCGTCCATGCGAAAGCGCGGCCCTTGTTTCTTGGCTTTCCGTCAGCCGTTGTTCTCGACAACCAGGATGGAAAACTGCATCATCAGGTCATGGACGCTCGCCCTGCGATGGATATCATTTGCATTTGATTTGCTGCACAACACATCAAGGTTCATATCCATGATTCAACTAGGTACATTGAGAATGCTCATTTTATTCAAGATCAAGCCCTGCTACTAGTTGCGTTTGAGGCAGCTACGGGCAGAGATGAGGAATGTTTCCATATCCTTCCGGTCCCATCCCACAGTCAGACGAATAATGGATCCTTCGTATTTCCAATATTCTTGTCCTGCTTACTCCCTCATGCTGTGCTATCTCGCCGTTGCTCGATCTGCTTGAGAAGTTCCTTGCCATAGTCGTTGCCATTCGGCGTCCTTACCAGAGTGTGGATGTGGAAGGGCAAGGGCACTTTGTTATTCAAAAACACCCCACTGTGATGGTCAAATTCGGCCATGACAACAGGAGAGTGCACCTTGTAGTAGAAGGCATCTCCCACCTGGCACCCGCCGATCCAGCAAAAATACGTGTCCTCCCAGTGGTGCGAGATTTCCTTCATCTTGACAGCCAGCGCTTTCTCTGGAAGGTAGCTCAGACTCAAGACAAGAAGTCTGCGGACCAAGTCTTGCTGAGATGTGGAAAACCCCGTCACCTTGACGCCTTCGTACGGAATCACTCTGTTGTCCTGGAAGGCTCCTCCCAAATGTCGCTGATCAGCGCGATGAAAGCGCGACTCGGGATACTCTGGACCACTTAATTCGTTGAAAATCCTGACTCGGCTTTGTTCAGCCTTATCCATTGATTGCATCAACTTCAAGCCCACCAGCTCTTGATCAGTAAAGAGCTCAGTGCCTTTATATGGTCCGGCATCAATGACGTTGGGTTCTGCTCCCAAAAACACGGGGGAAACAACCATCTGTTTCCCAACAACAAACACGTTCAAGTCGAGGTGATGGCCGTAAAGCTGCCAGCCCCATGGCTCCTTTTCAGAAGGCGTGCCGAAAATGACAAAGTTGTAAGAGTCCCTGTTTAGAACTCGTTTGCCATTGACGACCTCGCCAAGGAACTGGTTTGTGTTCATACACCCGACCGCCTTTTCGTACCCAGCCTGGGACAGGCTTGCCCGCATGAGTGCGTGCAGCGCGTCGACCAATTCCTTTGAAACCTCCTCGAGGCGAACGCCGTTCCTGAATATGTATATCTCAGGATTGATCCAGCACCGCCATTCCGGTGCGTCGATAGGTTTACACAGGGCTTCTCTTTGCTCCGGCGTCGCAATATCGAGCACACTCTGTGCTGCCTCCACCATCTCGGACGTAGGAGCCCCGAGGTCCTCGGACTCCTCACCTAGGCGGTAAAGATTGGAGATGACAGAACCGTCAACAGATATCCCCTTGTAGGGCTCATTGAGTAGTTTGTCCCATTTTTGCATCCACCCAACCATGAAGGGCTCGTTACAGCGCAGCTTGGCCCACTCATAAGTGTCGGATTTTGCAAGCTCGATGCTTCTCTGGGAATCCTGGGGGGGAATGTACTCCCGAAATGCCGAGACTTTTTGGGTTTTTTCCATGATGTGCACTGCGGCTTGGCACTGATTGGGAGTCGACTAGAGTGGCGTGTTGCAGAACAGCAGAATAGATGGCGACTTTGAACTGACGCCGAAAAGTTGTGTTTGGTATGAGCCTGGTGATGAATGTTGACAGAGTTTAAAGCCAGGCGGCAAGAACGTTTATTGCAACGATATTAAGAAAGCATACTCCGAGTAACGGTTTGGTTTCAATGTAATAGTCAATCCAGAATCAGGTATGAATGAGGATTCATGGTGGGGCAATAGGCCGACGATGCCAGCTACACCAGGCCACTTTTCGCCACAAGGATTAGAAACCGTCCGTGGGGCATTACTAGAACCCAAGAATGCGCTATATTCTTTTTAGCTAGAATCCAATTGTCATGTTGATGTGGCATGGGGCCTTAGATACCAGTTGTCATATTATTCCCCAGCAGCCAAAGAGACAGCGTCCCCACACAACCGCCATTCCCCCACCGTTCGATCGAGTGTGGGGAGCCCACCTTGTTTCGGATGGCTCGCTTGAAGCACACGGCCCTCTCCCCATCTCCTACCCTACACACTAAATTCTCGCCATCCGGCCAGCTCACTCGCCTTCTTCATACCCGTAATCCAGCTCAATAATCGAAGATAGACAGCATGTTTGACTGGGACACCGACTCGGTCATGTCCGAATGGGACAAAAAGTATGTCTCTACGAATGTCAAGGCTGGATCACGAAAATACGACAGAGACTTTCTGCTGGGTCTCAACTCCAAGCTAGCTACTTTGCATCCTGAGTTGCAAAGCTACGGCCACGCAATCATCGTGCGTTGAACTTCTCGATCACGGGTTATTACTAACGACCCCTTTCGCTAGGCAACCGCATGCTGCGCCGTCGGCCGTGCAGATATTGTCGGAAGGTTTTTTGACGATGTCACGTTCGAAGCCACCCCAGAAGACTCGGAAAAGGCCTTTCTGTGTCTGAGAGAAGCCATCACTATCGTCTTCCCATATTTGGGAATGCCAACTTGCATTCCTGCATGCTATGGAATGATTGGCGTCGTACAGCGAAAAGGCCCAGCGTATGCCTCGACCAGAGTATTGCGGAAGACGACGATTGATGATGACGACGTCCAGAAAGGCCGGGACCTACGTTCTCGGATTTACAGTGGAGTCGGAAATTCCGACATTTTCAACTTGATGGATAAATATTTTACGGATTTGTGTAAGTTGGCTGGGCTTCGTTCTTGGGCTGTCGCCTTGTCTGACCGTGTATCACCCAGTTACATGCTCAACTGTTGTCACATGGGGCTATCTGATCTCGAAAGCGAACGAGGAAGTCTTCCAGCCGCAGGAATCCCATCTCATTATTGCCGCCTCGATAGCAGCATTAGGCGCGACAAGGCAGACAAAGAGCCATATCAAAGCTACACTGGGCATCGGGAACTCAGTTGCGTCCGTGAAAACCGTGCTGGAAGTTGTCACGAGGATCGCTGAGTGGGCGGACCGCCCGATTGCAGCTTTCGATGTTGATGGTCTTTCTCGGGAGATCCAGGATGCTTTGAAGAAATAATTTCTTTGTGGTTATATCTGTGACATGCAATTCTGGGATCTCGCAGTAGCTAGATTTTACAACCATTTTAGGCAGTTAAATATTCATTGTTGTATCATATGTTTCGTAACAATTCTCCCTCTCTGTAGTAGCGACAAAGGGCCCAGTGATGCGACACTCAAGTGTACCATTGGGGTCGGGTAGGATGTAGAAGATAGATGTCTCTTCACTATGAATGCGACAGAATCTGGCAACAATACTTGGTCAGGCCCTGGAATGGAATAGTCTGAAGCATGCCGAGGCCCCACATGCAATGCGCAGGGACGATTAAGACCATTTAAAGGCGATTGACTCTCGCCACCTTTTGCAACTTAGTTCCAACTAGTTTTTATTACTTCAAATTATGGCTATGGCTTGGAATCGATTTATAAAATTTCTCGACGAAGATGACCACCTTCGGCTTGGTGATGCGCTGGTGGACTCTGCTGAAGACTTTGCAAACCTGCTACAAGCAGAGAAGCTCACGGCCCGTGAGCTGATCGGCCAAGACCTATTCAGTGCAAGACCAACAGACAGGGTCTTTCGAGTCCGGAAGCTTCTTGGGCCTCTGGGTCCGGAAAACGTCCCAGTTATTCGTTGCGTCGGGTTAAACTACACCAAACACAGTATGTTCCGTCTCACGTCGTCCTATGTGCTCTGCTTCTCCAAGCTAAGCGGTCGTGTCATTCTTTTCACTAACAATACCAGTCAAAGAGACAGGGAGAGCCCCGCCGCCATATCCCTCCATCTTCATTAAGCCGTCTCAGTCAGTTACGGGATGGGATAACGGTATCCCCATACCGAAGATAGCGCAGCATGACCAACTCGATTATGAGGGAGAGCTGGTAGGTGTCACAAGTTGGGTTATCCATAAACTTCACAATGCTAACCCATTCCAAGGCCATTGTGATCGGGAAGGAGGGCAAAGATATACCCATTGCGAATGCACTGGAACACGTCGCAGGATATACCACTGCAAACGACGTATCCGCGCGGACCTGGCAAAGAGACCCCAGATTCGCGGGCGAGGTCCCTCAGTGGTGTTTCTCAAAAGGATTTGATTGCTTTGCGCCGATGGGTCCAATGATTGTTTCTCCAAGGGTAAGTGAGCTGCAACGTGATGAATAACGGGACAAAGTTAACCATAAAACAGATACTTGGAGGAGCTGATAATCTCCTGCTTCAAACGAGAGTAAACGGAGATTTGCGCCAGGAAGCAAGCACGAGCGACTTGGTATTCGGAGTTAAAGAGATCGTTGCATTTGCCAGTCAGGGAACAACCCTCGAGAAAGGCTCAATTATCCTGACCGGGACCCCTGGTGGTGTGGCTATGGGAATGAAGCCGCCCAAGTGGTTGACTGATGGCGATGTTGTGGAGGTCTCTGTCAGCGGAATTGGCACTATACGCAACAAGATGGTCTTTTTGTGACCGCTTAGGTAGAGAGGCCAAGAGACGTATTGCGCACATGTATCGAGGTCAGATATTTCCATATGCTAAGTGACAAAGACACCATGGTCGCCAAAATATGTAAGACTTCTGAAAAGGTTCTGCTTGAATAATTGTACGCGGATGCTCTATTTTTGAGTGTCGGGAGGTTGTCATTAGATACAAGGCAATATTTAAATGGTATTTTACGAGTCTTGAGACATGGACTTAGAGGAAGAACTCCCTTCTCATTGACAAAATGCTGATCTGATATCCTGACTCTGGCATTATCAGCGGCTATACTAGAAGACAACACCCTATTTCCTTGGGACTAGGCTCCCTTCCAACGATAAGCAAGTGCCGTCGCCCCGTTGAACGGTTACTTGGAGCCAATTTCGAGAATCTGCCGTAAGGCTGATAGCAAAGCTGCACCCGGGTTCGGAGGACGGTCCGCGGACCGCCAGGCAATGTGACGGTCAGGCCGAACGAGGATGGCACCGCGATCACCAATCTCACGTCGGCTGCTCCATTCTCCCAGCACGTCGTCGTAAGTGCAGCGGTAGCCGACAAAGTGGACGTCCAATTCAATGCCCAGCTCCTGTCTGATCGTGGCAGCGGCTTCTTCCCACGGTTTGCCGCCGATGCCGACGACGAGACCGAAGCGCCCATGCTTGAATATATCCAGTGTCGATATGCGAGCTCGTTTATACTCCACCCATGCATGCGGCATATAGGCACCCGGATGCGTCGTCGCCTCGTAGTAGAGAACGGGATCGCGCTGACGAGTTGGAAATGGGCTCCCGTCGTCAATAACTGCAGACGAGTTTGTGTAGCGATGGCCTAACTGCACACCAAGTGCATTCGAGCGTCGGTTCCCCAGCTTGACTTGCTCCTCCAGAAATTCACGGCGCTCAGCTGCGCCATCTGCATCGGAAAAGAGGTCCTCCAGCGAGGCAAAGCCGGCTTCCCGCGACTGTCCTCGCTGGAATCCCAGGGCCTTGGGGAGCGCCGCCATGTCGTGGAGAGTCTGGATGGCGTGGTCCACCACCTGCTTGCCAACGGGCTGTCTCTCCTGATTGTAACTGTCAAGAAGACTCTCGCCAGCTTGGCCCTTCACAACCATAGCCAGCTTCCAGGCCAGGTTGTACGCATCCTGCACACAAGTATTGCTTCCTAGTCCGCTAGCGGGTGGGTGGCGATGGGCTGCATCACCTGCGAGAAAGATGCGCCCCCTTCGGTACTCGGTTGCTATAACGTGGTTGACTTGCCACTTGGCTTTGTGTTTCACACGAACGGGCAGCGAGTCAGGTAAACCGAGTGCGTTGCGAGCATGCGCAATGACGGCTTCATCGGTATTCTCAGGCTCCCCATCCGCCGCGTTGTACTGTCGATTCACCACCCACTCATTCCACGGCTTCATAACCACACACGTTCCTGAACCAACCCAGTACTCGTCTCCTGGCTGTAGCATCCAGTAGATGCAGGCCGGGCGGTGGGCGACGTAGTGGCTAAGATCCATCTCTAGCCAGGAACTCATCATCGACATAAGCCCAGGCTCGCCCTGGAACCCAAAGCCAACTTTCTCGGCCACAGTCGAGCGGGCCCCGTCAGCGCCAACAGCGTACTGAGCGCGGACTGTATACTCGGCCTGGCTTGTCCGCTCGCGCACTCGAGCTACAACGCCCTCGCTTGTCTGCTCAATGCCTACCAGCTCGTGGTAGAAGCGCACATCGGCACCCTTCTCTCGCGCTTGAATCAAGAGAACTGGCTCGAGGAGGTGCTGCGAGACGTTCAACATCTGGGATGGACTAGCCTTGGCAAAGTCGGTGAGTTGCTCATCGCCGCCGCCATAGCAGCTGTAGCGCATAATCTCCTTTCCAGTCAGGCTGGTGGCCATGACCAGGCTGCCCGTGTCCACCATTGCGGTTCCCACAGCCTTCACACGATGCTCGATGCCCATGTCTCGAAAGACCTCCATGGTCCTCTGGTTCGTGACATGGGCCCGAGGGGCTGGGGCTGTGCCATTGTGCTTTGCAATCGCGAAGACGCGTACACCCTGTGCAGCCAGCAGCGCCGTCAACGAGAGGCCAGCTACACCGGCGCCGATGACAAGCACATCAGTGTCAATTTCTTGCATTGTTGATACGTGTGAGTTTAATATTGGTGGATGCAAGGGTGAGCGGTAAGCCGGGTGTAAATGGAGGATAGCTGTCGGATGTGATGGACCTAACTATGTCGAAACGGTAATGTTCTGAAGTTTACCACTAATAGAACGACTGGTTATTCCCGTGCTATGCAGGAAGTTTATAGATATGAACTGAACTCAGGTTCGCACCGTGACTTACACGATACTCTTGCCCCATGTTATCGAGCCAGCCAATGAGGATGTGACCCCACCATCCGCACTCATGGGATGACTTCATCAGCTATTGAATGGGACTTCGGCACCAAATTCATGTCCCCCACATGTTATCACTGCTTCTTTTGGTCCTCTGGGTGCTGTTTCCCCAGATAGACCCATGTCCATTGATGGGAAATCTGCCGGAGGTCGAGGTACAAAGCCGAGGCTTGCACCACCATCCCCTTGGCATGAAGCAACATTCCCATCCCACTGGCACTCAACGCAGGCCAGCGCAGGCCTCGGTATTCTCAGAAGCTTCTCCAGGTTGACTGAACATTCATTGGACATGATACTTCTACCGGGTAGTACAACGGAATCCCCGACGGGAATTCCGGCCATAACTCCCGAATTGCGGGGTGGACTTTAGCTCGTTTAGCGCTTTGCGTAAATCTCCGAGTGGGATGGCCTCTGGAGGCACTTGGAAAGCCACTCTGTAGAAACCCTCAACATTGCCAATAATAATTATCCAAACCCACTAGAATTGGCTTCATTATGCCAAGTCACCGTATTCGCCCAAGGGGCAGACAGAGGCAGTGTGCGTACTGTCATCGCGTCTTCACCAAAGAGGAGCATTTGAGGCGCCACCAGAGATCCCGTATGTTGCCGTGGTATCCCCGGCCAATACCAGCTATTCTAATCCCACAATGATGGCTAACGGATGCCGCAGACACGGGTGAAAGGCCCTTCAAATGTGAAAAATGCGGAAGAAGCTACGCTAGGAGGTTTGTTTACTTAGTTCAACCTTCAACCCGGCTGCTTTCAGACACATCTAATCGGTGGCGTGTGAGAATAGTGACGTCCTTTTCCGACATCTTCAAGCCCACTCCTCGGAGAAAGTCGACGGCACTCGATCATCGACGACATGTGAAGAGGCTGTCATCGCTAGACAATATACCTCTCCGCCGGGTGAACAAGTCATCGCTGCGCCCGACCCAGAGCAACAATCGGCCACGTCTCCTACCGACGGTGTTCCTCCCAGTCATCAACAGTCGCTACTCCCTCAACCTTTGCTACTGGACGATCCCTCTCCGATGTTGGACAGTCTCCCTCGGACATTGATTTACCAGGACCCGACCGCCCCAGACACCAGTACGGAAATGCACCTGGCCACAGCTCAGACTCTGGACGTTACTCAGCAAGACAATCCGATCGAACATATACACGGAGATATGGACTGCATGCATGAGTTGGCTGATTTCCTTCTCCAAGATATCCCACAATCACCGCCTCGGCAGATGATGCACAATCAAGCAGCAGGGGAAACACAGCATATTGAAATCTATCAGCAGGAGATTTCAGCGGGCCAGCTGCCATTCGACATCTTGGAGACCCTTGAACCACAGCTCAACGTTGATCTGCTGTCGGTAACTCAGCTCGGGGAGAATGGTCAGCAAGGTCAGCTTCCAGATGAAGGATTCGAGCTCTTTGGCCGCACTTACCAACAAATGTCACCTCCCGACGACTTTGGGGTGAGCCCCAACATGATGGACTATTTGGATTGCCTTGACTCTGGCACGTCTACCCTACCGTTGCCAATGCCCGTCGCGAGCATCGAGTCGACCAGCAGCGCTCCAATGGCGCCCTCTGAATCACAGGCGCAACTAATGGGACGGTTGTGGTCAAGGCAAAAGCCAAAGCTTGCATCGCGACTCATCAGACGATTGTGGAAGCAGGTCATACACCACAACGCGGACAATATCTTCACGGCTCCAAAATCCTCCGACTGCAATGATAATCATGCCGCGCCCAGCAGCCGCCAAACTTCGCGCTATAGGGTCAATGAAGCATGTAGGAGCCGTCTAGTGCGGTACTGCAAAGAACTCGATTGGTCTTTTCGTCAAAACGAGTCTGTCCATGATGGAACACGAGCGGCGCTTCGTGAGAAGTCGCCTGACGATCATGACGGCGGCTTTCCTGCTATGGAAATTCTCGATTCCAGTTTGGACTTTTTCTTCCACTTCTTCCATCCAATCCTGCCTTTCATGCACAGGAGTACATTCGATGCAAGAAACACGCCGAGCTCGCTACTCCTTGCGATGTGCTTAGTTGGCTTATCTTATCTGGATCGGGCGGGAACCAGGACCTTTGTCGTCCGGTACCTCAAAGTACTGTATTCCTATGGGAAGTGGCTGCTTTGAAGACTTGGGTGCTGATTCTGTTCAGAAATTAATGCAGTCTTGTCTTAACGATATGACGTCCCAGACACTTCGCCAGTGTGCGCTGCACGAGTTGCTCGCAACCCTTGCCTCCACGCTTATCGTGGTGTATCTTGCTCTTGGTTTTCGGGTACGGACTTTCCAAATAATCGCCCGAGATTCCGATTGACCAAGAGCTTACTAACGCTTTGTAGGATGAGGTTGATGAGCATCAGGCATACACGCTCTGTGCGCAGATGCTGAGTGTGAGTCTCGTGACAGCGAAATTTCTATCTGCCAGCTAATTCGGGTCTCTCAATCAGATCACGGAAAAGCAGGGTCTCTTTGCTGCTAGTGAAGGCGACGATCCTGTTCTGCAACTTCGCGAAGGGCCTTCGGATCCTGAGGGCTTCTGGAATGCCTGGGCTCGCGTCGAGTCCATCAAACGGCATGTCCTCTTTACTCTTGTGACATTATCGGAACTAATGAGATGCAGTCTGATCTTTTGTTTCGTGTGGCTGGACATGGCTTATGCCCGCCTGATGAATACTGCAGGAGTCATCGAGATCGACAAGGTCGAACTCCATTTGCCGTGTGAAGATGCTCTATTTGATGGCTCGACTTCTGCAAGTTTTCTCCATGCGCTTCAACTAGGAGCACGAGTGTCAATGCCGCGAATGAATATTCGGAACTTCCACACAACTTCTGCACCCTCACTCAATGACACTTCGGCCCAGCTCTTACTCCGCGCCCTCTACCTCAAGCTGATAGCTGCACGTACAAGGCTCTCGGATGAGGACAGCCGTTATTTTGAAGGCCATTGTGCCAGTCCTGTTGAAGCACTTTCCATAGATACCAGCATCAAGGATGTCATCGCTCATGTCCTACTGCTACCGAGTACACATGCAATTGTCCTCGAGAGCAAAAACAGAAACAACGCACTGGGCTGGAATTACTTGTGCATGACCCTAACGGCAGATGTCGATCTCTTGGAGGTTGCTTCGGGGCGTGATGGTTTGGAAGCCGCTTCTGCAGCTCTGGTGCATATTGCCAAGTGGTCACGAACAGCTAGCGCTCGAAGGGCAGTACTCCACGCAGCCCAGGTTTTCGATATATTGGACTCATCCCGCATTCGCGAGTCACATCTTACTAGGCCAGATCTGGTGCTGTTCGTCTCGGCTCTTGTGATTAGCCAATACGTTTTGGTGGCCAGCCCCAAAGAGGTTTGCGTTGATGCGTCCCCGTTTGAGCTTCTTCAGAACATCGACTGGACGGTTGTGAGGAATGAGGGTCTTGCAGTTGCCTCGGAAACTAGTTTCTCTAGGACGACTATAAATGGCGAACAGCCCGTTGCATCTAGCACAGCACGATACTTTATCCAATACGGGGGTCCAATATCCTTCGCTGGAGAGGCACTAACCCATGGAGATGTTACCGCGAGGAAGATAGTCAGGAAATTTGCGCATTTAATGGGTGGTCTTGGCATAAGGAGCGGATCTAGCTATTCCCAACTCTTGAAGATAATGTGCGACTCCATGATTCAGGATAGCCTAAAGGACTAGCTACTCATTCCATGTATGAAAAGGCGGTCTTCCGTTGGTGCGAATGACTTTTCGGAGGCGGGTGCACCAGTCGGGGTTCCGAATACCAATTGTGCCTTCAACGACCACTGTGGTGAGATGTTCCACTGCCCAACAATTCTTTGGTCGACAACCGGGTTTACGTGTTGTAAATTGCATCCAAATCCTTCCAAGGCCAATGCTGTCCACAAGTTGAAGGCTTGCATCGCATTGTTGTGTTCCGAGAATTGCGGAAGATGCCACATAAATCGTGGGAACTGAGCTTGATAGCGACGGATTACATCCAGGTCCTCAAACAGAAGGATCTAGCAGAACGATAGTCAGGATATTTGAATGGATGCGATTTGACAGTGCAGCCTGGTAGAAATACTCACAGTCCCATATCCTCCCTGGCGCTGACACAGCTTCTTCTCGTAATCAAGGTAAGTCTCCTTGGGCAACGTAGCCTTGAAGCACTGCTTTGCTATTTCCCAGAACTTGACATGCTCATCTTGTAAAAGAACGACCAGTCGAGTTGATTGGCAGTTGAACGAGCTTGGCGTGTGCTTTATCACCTCCCGAGCTATCTCGACAATTCGAGCGTCGCTAACTGGCGACTTGGCCTCGAGTGAGTAACAAGTGCGACGGCTCTGGATATCGGCTAGATACTTGTCGGCCATGGTGTGTAGTAGATGTTGATGATGGCTTGAAAGTAGGAACTTTGGTAAATGATGATCAATGGAAAAAAGCCAAGTGCTCATTAGCTGGACCGCCTCGAAATGAGACTTGTACTAGAGTTTGTTGAACCTGATGCTCCGCTATCTGGAGCCCCACGATTGCTACAGCCCCCATCTCGAGGTCCCCCACATTGCTCCTTAGTCTCCCCACGCTCCACAGAGCCCTGGCATGTCTGATGTGGGCCAAGGATACGTATGATGCATCATGGTGGGGAGCCACATAAGCTAAAAGGCTGCGCGGTGTTAGCCATGGATCATGCATAGTCGCACATTCTGGGTTAATCGTCACGTCCTTGTGAAAGAAGCAGTCAGTTCATTACACGCACACGAGCATTGAGAGGTTACTCGTTCACGCTTTTCAAGATGAGAAAAACGGTCTTGGTTCTTGGCGCGACTGGCACTCAGGGTAAGTGCACCTCATGCGTTTTGACCCTACCCTTGTTAATGTCCTTAGGCGGATCCGTTGCCAACCTGCTCATTAAGTATCCTGAACAATACCTTGTTAGGTGCCTCACTCGGAATCCGGATTCGGACAAGGCCAAGAAGTTGGCGGCACTAGGGGCAGAGCTGGTCAAAGCCGACCTGACTGTGCCTTCAACCTTGCCACCGGCCTTCAAGGGAATCTGGGGCATATTTGCTGTCACTGACTTTTATGATACGGTATGTCACTTCCGTCTTGCTGGCCAAATGCCACTGACTCACCTGTGCCCTCTCAGGCCGTCCTCGAGGACCCCATGAGCGAGGAGAAGCAAGGCGAGCATATTGTTGAAGCAGCAGTTGAAGCCGGAGTTGAGTGTTTCCTGTGGAGCACATTGCCGAGTTCTCGAGAGATCTCCGGTGGCAAATTTGTCACTCGGTTGTATGAAGGTGAGTCATTCTTGACTTGTGAAGCGGCCAAGCACAACTGACTGGTTACAGGAAAACAATCCGTCGACGCAGTGATTCGTAACGCCGGCCTCAAGGGGTGTTTCATTCGGACTGGTAACTTTTACGAGAATATGATTCTGCGAAAATACGCCGCTTATGACAAAGAGGCCGACGTGATCACAATGACGCGTCCCATCATTGGTCCGGATGCCGAACGTTAGTTATATTTCTACCTTCGAATGAGTCTAGGTGCTGAAATCATCTTAGTCACTTCGCTCTATGTCGAAAAGGACCTCGCAGCCATCTGCAAGGCGCTCTTTGATCAGTGGGACACGAAGACGGCCAGTCTTGACGGGAAATACTTCCTAGCCAGTGGGGCGCGTGAAACAATGGGAGATATCAATGCCGTCGTCGAGAAGGGTATGTGTATTCTTCCATCAGCTGAAGTTCCCGTGTGCTGATTTTGCAATACCAGTCTCCGGAAAGAAGGTTGTGTACAAGGTGAAGCCTACATGCGGTATTCCAGATCGAGATATTATGCTGCAGCTGTACAACAACGTCGGAATGTACCCTGGTGTCGCAGTTCCCACTCCAGAAGTGCTGGAACTGGACTTGAAGCTTCATACCGCCGAAGATTTTATCAGGGAGAGGTTGCTTCCACATCTTGGCCTTGAGCCAAAGAATTAGGCGTATTGTGGAGATGCTGGGGGGAGGCTCGAAGCTTGTAGGCAATGATAAGCAGTTTACTGTTCAAGTTTTAGGCTATTCTAGTCTGCTAATCAAAACAACTTTGTTGACTGAGATTCAATGTTAAACAGTCAGATTCGGGTCATGGAGCCGTCCACTGACATTCAAGGTTGACTACCCTAGACTCCACATGTAGGCACGAAAATTGAAGAGGTATTTCGCAACTTCGTAAACAAGGGTCCATAGAAGAAATAAGTGCCGGCAGTCGTGAAGTGGAAGTGCATGCGTCAGTCTGCCATGATCCTCATGCGTAAATAGCACTATCCGCATCTTTATAACGCCTGTTCAAAGCACTGGAAGGATTTAGACCAGACCGCTGACTGGCTCGCTACGTAGGTGCTCCGGGGCAACCATGATACCGGCTTCTCTCCACCTGCTCACATATTGAGCCAGTGGTATTACGAACCCTGCACTTTTAAAGTTTGACTCGTGCATGTGATGCGCCATTCATCGGAAATTCCGTCTTGGCCCGAAGCTATACCCAATCTAATCGCAGTCAACCCCTGAGAGCGGTTCACTAGCCCGATAACAGCCAAACCTCAAATCGCGGGGAAGCGGAGAAGGTTTCATTAAACGCGGGGTTGGGATCAAGCTAGACAGATGAGACTCACTGGGGCGATAGGACTGCCTAACTAGTTTTGTGTTCCCTGTTCGCAAGCTGATGCGGAGGAGCTGCGGAGGGGAGGCGGAGTGGTGAGTCGTGGCAGGTGAATCGGTACGTCGGCAGATGTCCCAGTCCTGACGGGCTACTCGCTTTCGTCAACATCGGCCAGCCTTTTTCCAGACCTCTGACCCTTTTGATTTCCACTGCTTCCCGCGATCAGAGCTGACTGTAATGTCATCACACGCTCGTGCTCCGGATAGCGGTGACAAGGGCGGCGGCGACGAGAACGATGGCGACAAGCGAGGGCAAGAAATCACGGTTGCTGGTACTGATGTTTCGGAGCGACCAGCCAAGAAGCCGAGAAGGGGGAATTACATCTCTAGAGCATGGTACGTCAAACCCTCACATCATCTCGCTGTTCGTGGAGCATCGCCATTGATGGATTTGGATCCTACAGTATCTCTTGCCAGCAGAGGAAGATAAAGGTCGGTTAACCCGATGTTCCGCATTCAATCCGTCGTTCATGGATGCTAAACTACCAAACCATTGAAAGTGCGATGCCGGAGATCCTTGCGCACAATGTGTAACGAAGAAGCGGACTTGCGTGTCAAGCCGGAGACCACCCGCGCAGCATGCCCAACACGGCTCAGAAACGGAGACAACCAACTCTATAATGGGCTCTACTGATAGGTGAGAACTCCACGTCCTGGCGCATTCAACACGCCTGAGCAGACCGGCTAATGTTGTTATTCACCTAGTCCCATGAGCCATGAGGTTCTGGGTCGCCTCGCTGAAGTCGAACGTCACCTACAGCTGATTCGAGCATCGGTTCCTTACTCGGTCTTGCAAAGAAGCCAGAGAGGGCCATCAACGCGGATATCTGTCGATGATCAGCCAAAACTGGCCTCGGTTGAACTTTTGAGCGCCCTGGAGACAGATGGTCAAACATTTGCGGGAGAACTATCGATGACCCCTGCCATGGGCGAGGAGGATGAGACATCGGACTATACGAACAATGCATCTTCCGGAATGCTTCCAGAGTATCCCTCTCCGGGATCCTCACTCCACCATCCGACAACCCGACGAGTGAGTGGTTGGCTGGAGAGTATCCTCACACAGCACGGCGTCGTCGCCGACGAGCAGCAATGGCGATACGACCTACAGTACTTCATGGACGAGGTTCATCCCTTCTACGCGTGTCTCCATTCGCCCAAAGTATGGGAAACCTTCAACGACATGTGGGAGTACTCTACTCCTTGGTCCTTGACCGACGCTGCAGGGCGTGAGCGCAAGCGCCTTTCTCTGGCACTGGTCTTCTTTTGCCTAGCTCTCGGACGATGCAGTGTCTCCTTGACCACGACTGATGCCAGTGCCGTCTACTCGTCCGGTTGGAGCTTATACAGTGTTGGCATGACCCTGCTTCAGGGAGGAATGGAGACGAGTAGTGCGGCTACGAAGTCCTTGCCCATGTTGCAAGCATTGGTCATCAGGGTAAGTCGCGTGGGAGTTGCCACTTGGCACGAAGCATTGATACAAGAAGATATGCTTACCCTGTCTAGGCCGTGTACCTGTTCCGTCTGGATGCGAATCAACAAGCTGCACGAGTCCTGGCGCTTATTGTATCCATGGCGCATGCTATTGGGATACACCGTCAGAGCACCATGGACGGCATGCCGGCCTTCCACAACCAGTTGTTCTGTCGCACGTGGTGGGCTATCTACATGCTGGATCGTCGGGTAGCGATTGAGTCTGGGAAGCCATACCTTATCCAGGATTGCAACGTGGACACTGCACTGCCGATCGACCTCGGTGACGAATGGATGACTAGATTTTCCACGAAGAGTGAAACAATCGCCGACTTGCAGCACGATATCGCGCGCGAGCTTGCTAGAGACCGGCCGCCCTCTCCTATACCTTACACCGTCACTATGGTCCGGTACTCCCGTCTGGCAGGCAAGGCATGGGATGTACTATATGGCGTCAGGTCTCCGAATACATCCATGTCTGCCATAGTTGAACACTTGGATGCAGCGCTCTCTAAGCTGTTGGATACCGCTCCCAGAGACCTGAGGTACCCCCCAGAAGCACCAAGCGAAGGCCACTTGCGGATGAGCCTGCGATGGCAGGTTAAACAAAGCTTGATTCTGTTCACTGTGAGTGCCATCCAGGTGTTCCGAGGTCAACATATTGGTATGCTAAGAGTGATTGCAGTGCTGCACATATCTCCGGCTTCTGATTAGGAGGCCCTTTTTAGGCAGCTCCAGAGCGACAAACCTCACCGGGGATGATGAGTTCGAGCCTGCAACAGCGTCCGCTAGCTTGGCCGCAAGTATCCTCAAAACCCATCAAAATATTAAAGACGATGGTCTGAAGTATAGCTTCGCCTTGAGTCACTACGTTACTAGCTGCACCATGGTTATGCTTGGCCAGGTTTCAAGAGAGCCGCGCTTCAAGCGGAGATATGGCGACCTTGTTCAAGCAGCTACGCGATCTCTGAGATTATACTGCCACAGGAATTGGGTCTCTGTGAAAATGACGCGTTTAGTCACGAGGCTCAGCCAGCTCGTCCAAAGAACTCTCGCAAACGACGTTTGCGACAACCGCAGTCGACACAGCCCGGTGGGTTTGCGACAAGACTCGGGCTTGGAGAACCAACTCACCCCCCAAGGAGAAGACCGGGACCCTCGTAAAATTCAACATAACACAAAACCTCCGATCCTTGAAGCCAGTGAAGTCATTGACCCATCTCTTGGTGTTAGCAGCGGGGCACGAGGGGATCAATGGTCGGATGGCTTCTCATATGGCAATGCTATAGCCACAGCGAACGAGCCACTGTCCTCAAATTCACAGAGGAACGAGCTTCTGTGCAATTCTTGGATGACTGGACCAAGTACCGTTCTTCAAAATGACTGGGGCATGTCAGACCTCGACTTTGAAGCCATTCTTGGCGGTGGCGATGAGCGTCTGGAGTCTAATAATTCCGGGCTGTCGATGATATCGGACAATGAGAGGTCAGGTACTGCTGAAGCTGGTAATTTGATTTCCAGTCGTAATTTCGGCGAATCAAAGCTGAGCGCGTTGGGACTGAACGGTGTTGTTGACGTCGACATGGACGTCGACCTGTCCATCATGAATCTCTGGGATACCTCGCCGATGCTGGATCTTGACATACTGTGATGAGAGATGTCATCGATATTGACAGTGTTTTGATACTCTGCATGTAATTCATATATCCCCTTTATAATCATTGCTCATTTCTCGTCTGGATGCTCATCATGCCACCTGCGTTTGATCCAAGTCTTACCCCATCGTCAACAAGGACGATGAATCCCTATTAAATTGAAGGATAGAAGTCTTATGTTGTATTCTCTCACTGTGGAATAACGAAATAGGCTCCTTGGAGGAAGGTGATATGTAGAGTTCAATTATGTCCTTCCAGTAGAAGGTATCTTATCAATGCATACTAAAACTCGATCTTCAGAGTGGGCCATCGGCTCAAGGGCATGCTGAAATGACTAATAGCCCGTCGGAAATACAGTTTCCATCCCATACCCTGTGTGTTTCCAATCAGCCTCTGATGTTCGAGTTACGGAAGTTCACGGGGTTTCCGTGTCTTTGCTCCGTATCGGGCTGTCGGACCTCGGAGGCTGTCAAGGGGTCCGACAAAGAGCTGACAAATCTTTGCTTCCACCGGAGGATTTCCCGTTACCCCCGAGAAGGATATGCCAGGGTTCTAATTACTGAAGCATAAATGAAGTTTCTTTTGGGCTCGAGAAACAGTATTTTCGTACTCAACAAACGAAGATATCTGGTGCAATCACGTTTCAATCGCCATCATGTCGCCACCACGTGGAAAAGTCGCTTTCGTCACAGGCGTCAATGGAATCACTGGCAATGCTCTCGTTGAGCATCTGATCCGACAACCCAAATCTGAATGGTCCTCATTTCCGCCTTAAATTCTTGGCCCCCCATTACTAACCAAACGGAACAAAATAGGTCCAAGATAATCGTTACATCGAGACGACGCATGTCACAGATCTTTTGGCAGGACGCTCGAGTCAAATTTATTCCCCTCGACTTTTTGAAGCCGGTCGACGAGCTGATTGAGGCCATGAAGCCTTTGTGCTACGACGTAACTCACGCATTCTTTGCCTCATACGTTCATGAGTCGGACTTTTCCAAGTTGATCAACTGCAATGTCCCATTATTTACCAACTTCCTCACGGCAGTTGATATAGTGGCGGCAGGGAAACTACAACGCGTATGCCTCCATACCGGTGGAAAGGTATGCGAAACTCCTTCTAGTGCCAATAGGATTATCGACATCTGACCGACTACCACAGCACTACGGCGCCCATCTTGGGCCGACGGAGGTCCCACTTCATGAAGAGATGCCGCGATACGAAGATTATGGAGAGAACTTTTACTACCAGCAAGAGGATTTTATGTTTGATCTCGCGAGTAAACGTTCTTGGACTTGGAATGTTATCAGGCCTGATGCGATCATTGGCTTTACGCCGGCAGGTCCGTTCCTCGCTCCTCATTCCGACCCAAATCCGAATATTCCGAGTCCTAGCTGACATAAATGATAGGAAACGGCATGTCGATGGCATTGACATTGGCCATATATATGCTCTGTTGTCGAGAGATGGGCCAAGTCCCAGTCTTTCCTGGGAACAAGCTGTTCTACTCTACTGCCGACGACAGCTCTTATGCACCCAGCATAGCGGATATGGGCGTATGGGCTGCGACAAGCGAACATACAGAGAACGAGGCTTTCAACCATACAAATGGCGATAGTATTGTCTGGAAGTACTTCTGGCCTAGACTTGGGAGCTACTTTGGCATCAATGTGAGCCGCTATTTCCAAATTTACCCAATTTAAGATGTTTCCTTTGTTAACAATCACGTTTCAAGATCCCGGAGCAACTTGAGTGGAATGCACTCGGAGAAGACGAGCAAATGGCCAATAATTTCCGAATGGAGGACTGGGCCAAGGATAAGAAGCATATTTGGGAGAGAGTAGTAGCCAGGTATGGTGGCAGTGCTGAGGCGTTTGACTGGGGAACATGGCAATTCGTTGACTGGGCGCTAGGAAAGGCCTGGTCTACATTGTCATCTGTATCCAAGGCCCGCAAGTTTGGGTGGATGAGGTCTGATGACACTTACGACACCTACGTCGAGACTTTCAACGCCTTCGAAAATGCGGGCATTCTGCCACTCTGCGGCGTCGGGAATGGGACCAAGGCGCACGAGAAGCCAGCCAACCTTGCCTCAAACCCGGCAGACGCAGTGTTGATCAGGCGGAGCAAGATCAAAGCGCTCCAAATTGCCAAATTGGATGACAGACCCCAGCAGAACGGCACCATTCGGAACGGAACTGCCCATAACGGCATTGCGCAGAATGAGCCAGAGGTTCTGGCTTAGGATACTTTACACTGGCTAGTGACAACTGGTGGTGAAGGACAGATGTGATTGGACTGGATCTCTTATTTATTATTTCTTTCATTTTATTACACGTGTCTTCGAAGGTTTCGACTGTGCGTTGCAAGTCATTTATACGTGTGAATTTCTTTTATACGAGGACAATCTGATTTTGTATCGTGGTATTAATGGGACATCCTCTGCCAAAGACTAATGTCTGTTGTCTACAATAGTACTTTTCTCTAATCTCAGCACCTAGGGAATCTTTGCCGTTGAAGAGCATCTTAAGCTGCATCTAATCTTGGTGACGGGACGGGCACACAAGAACCGTCATCAACAAGTCGCTACTCAATTCACATAGCGTAATCGCATTAAAGACTACAACTTGAAGGTTCCCGATTTAACATCGGCTATAAATGCAAGATCGGGTTTGGATCTCGATAGCCATTTTTTCCTCCTTCGGCGATCCCCTTGCTATATTAGTAGTGGTGCATCACTGTCTTAGATTTGCCCCCCTAATGGAGTAGTCTCGTAGTCGAAACAGCAGATCGATAAAAGGCAGTAAAATGAAACCAGGCAAGTGATAACCTAGCACTTCGCACGATACGTAAAACTAGAGAGACCCCGGCTCAAACAAAATTCGGCGCATCTTTGCTTAATGAATTTGCTACAAAGACGACGGAAATTCCGCTCTGGCTCGGGAGGATCAAATGTCTCATCAGTGGCCACTCATTTTCCCAAGAAATACCGAGGCCCGCAAACTTTTGAAAATGTGGTAGAAGTCATGGTGTCCGCGGGAAAAACTTGGAGCGTCCGAACGGGGTTTCGGAGCTTCCGGGCGTCCTCCGGTACCACCGACACACTGCATGGTGATGTGGTATGGAGCACCGGGCAACAAGCTCATACAAATGACACTGGCGCATTGCTTCTTTTGGGTAAGAACGACCGACATCTAATTTCTCCGATTCTCAATCATCAATTGGCAAGCATTTTTCTTCTCTAGCCATGATTCTTGAGCACATTGTCCCCCACTCTTTCCGCAACGCAGCACTGCTGTTTCTCTCCGGGATTCTGCTTCATCTCGTGTTAAATAAATACGGCCGAAGATTGAATCGAGTGCCGGGGCCATGGCTTGCAGGTTTCACAGACATATGGAGACTGTTCATAGCCCGAGGGCGCCGAGCCCAAGAGGTACACCTTGATTTGCATGAAAGATACGGCCCCGTTGTTAGGCTAGGCCCTCGAGCCGTGTCTGTGGCAGATCCCGAGGCTATAAAAATTATTTACAGCGCAGGCTCAGGATTTCTTAAAGTATACCACAAGGCCGTACCACTTAATTTGTAGTACAACTGATTGCTAACAATTCACGTCTAGACAAGCTTCTATCCAGTGCAACAGGCCCTCGCCAAGGGCAGGAGATTGGAAACCATGTTTAATACAGCCAACGAGGAATACCATGCAAGGCTTCGTAGGTCAGTATCGAATGCATATGCGATGAGCACGCTGGTGAACTTTGAACCATTTGTCGATTCAACCACGACCGAGTTCCTGAAGCAACTAAAGCTTCGATATGCAAACCAATCGGGGAACGAGGGTGTTTGTGACTTCGGGGCTTGGCTGCAGTATTATGCGTTCGATGTGATTGGGGAGTTGACCTACTCAAAGAGATTGGGGTTCGTGGAACAGGGCGTTGATATTGGAAATATAATCCGAGATCTGGAAGCTTTCTTGGACTACGTGGCGTGGGTAAGTGAGCCTACTTTTTGGCTGTACTCCGATTTTCAGTCGACAACCAGCTGACTTCATGTCACTACAAGGTTGGCCAAATTCCTTTCCTTGACCGTTTACTCAAGAAGAATCCGGTTACGATTTGGATGGCACAACACGGGTTGCTCAACGCAAGTAATCCAGTAGCAGAATTTGCCAAAAAGCACATTGCAGAACGTCAACGTGAGGAGGAGTCTGGTGACGCGAAAGCAGCGGGGCAGGCTCCAAGGAGAGACTTTTTGAACCGATTCAAGGAAGCCCGAGCCAAGAACCCTGACTTTATAACTGAACAGCTTGTCTTAGCCCTTACCGTTGCGAACATGTTTGCAGGCTCTGATACAACTGGGATAACAATGCGAGCTGTTTTCTACTTCCTGTTGAAGAACCCCTCAACAATGGAAAGGTTGCTTGCGGAGCTTTCTGAGGAAAGCAGGAATGGAAGATTCGCGAGACATGACGGCCTTGTTCAGTGGGATGAAGTCAGAACACTCCCGTACCTTGGCGCCGTTATTAACGAAGCACTGCGCTGCCATCCTGCTGTCGGACTGACGCTTGAAAGGCTTGTTCCACCAGAGGGGGTTACTATATCAGGCCATTTCTTGCCCGGTGGCACGATTGTTGGTTGCTCAGCATGGGTTCTTCATCGAGATGAAGGAACATTTGGCTCTGACGCATCAAAATTCCGCCCTGAAAGATGGATTGAAGCCAGTTCAGAACAACGTCAGAAGATGAACAACGCACTGTTCTCATTTGGTGCAGGAGCTAGAACCTGCATTGGCAAGAACATTTCCTTGCTCGAGCTTTACAAGCTTGTGCCAGCTGTACTGCGGACATTCGAGGTCAGTATACGGAACCTTCAAAGCGCCCGTCCGGTTTAGACTGATACTTTCCGGATTTTAGATTGAGCTCGTGGATCCAGAGGCTACCTGGAACCTTCACAATGCGTGGTTTGTTAGGCAAAAGGGCTTTAATGTCCGGCTCAAAGAGAGAGAGACAATTATCTGAAATGACAAAAGCACGAGGGTGTAACGTAAGCGTTTAGTAGACAACTCAGGATAGGTGCGCCCCTTGAGTGATCCAAGACCATCAATACATATTGTGGTAGTAAAATTGAACTCTAAGGCTCACAGCGATGACCTCATTATTATTCTTCCTGCTGAGGTCTCGACTGGGTTCATTTTACATTTGTGCTGTCTGGCCGCTAGTTTCAACTAAAGAAGTCGCAAAAGTACACATACTTGAGCACAAGTGATTCGAATGTCATGAGGACGGGGTTCAGTTTATGTGTAGAGAGTAAGATGTCCATTGCAGCTATGCTATATGACTTTAGCAGATGCCTGGCAAGCCAAACATCCCTAGGATACGGTTAGCTGCACGCACCATTCTTTTTATTAGTAAGAGGTGTCGATCCAACTGTATCCATTGGGCCATAGCTGAGACTTTGTCACAATTGCTGTTGCTGCAGTTAGATATTGGCGAGATGTTGTTGAAGATCCCGCCCCAGTATTGCCAAACTCCTCAAATATTCTATGACGCCACATTAGCTGAGAATTCAGAATTTGATCAGCTACGTACGGGGTAGCATCGGTGGCCAGCGTGGTCCAGCCGTTAGCATTCACCACATCCGTGAGGGTGGATCGCTGAAATATGACTCGCGCCAAGACACGCCAGGGACGACCGAGATAGACAGCGCCAGTAAGACTTTTCCCCGACGCGGCAGTTATCTTGAACGAATAGCATTAGATTATGTCTGAACGGGAAGAGGATCTCCTTAGTAACGTACCGTTGAGCTGTCAATGACATACCAAGTTAGATCGGAGCTCGTCTCTCGGGAATTGGCGGTTATAGCCCCGCCACCATTTGAGGCAAGAGTGCATTCCCCAAACCATGCAGCTGCTTTCCCAAAAATATAGTCCACAGCGCCTTATGCTGTGTCAGTTGCTTTACGGAACATAGATGCTACCGTCGGACTCACCTTCCACATAGCAATTTGAATAGTACTGGTACCCAGACTTTGCGTATAACCTAGCATATGTTAGTCGTCAAGCTTACGAGGTTGTGCTGGGGAGATAAACTTACGTATCTTGATAACCGTAGAAGCCGCACCCATAGTAGCCTTGCTTGTCACCATTTGCTGTCAACGCGACTGCCTGTAAACTGTTAGCTTGGCTATGATGATCAGTTCCGCATTATTTTTACCTGCGCTCCTGCCCCATAGGTATTTTTCACGTTGATGTTGTACATGTTGAAGTTGGAACTTCTGACATTCACGGTGCTGCTTGCGTCTAGGTTTCCGGCAGCAGGAGAAGAGTAGGAGTGAGTGATAGTTACGGCGTTGTTGCGATAATCGCCGACACTGTTCGTTGCAATGAGCTACCGGTCACATAATGCATTCGGATGACGAGACTTACTTAGTGGTGTAGCCATACAACGTCAAAGGGCCTTCATAGCTGATAGTGAAGTTCTCAGAGTAGCTTCCACTGTATATGAAGATACATGCGGCAGAAGTACCCGAGAGCGAAGCAACAGCAGCCGAAATGGTGGAATAGTATCCGCTGGTGGTTGTATCTGTAGAATAGTAAGCATCCACTTTCAATAAGACAATTAAAAGACCACGCACCCTGTTGCACGACTTTACAGCCACTTGGCGGGCTTGTTCGTGCCGTAGCCCTCTTTGGGTGCGGGACCGCAGCAGAACCGACAGAAACAGTGGCTGCCAAAAGAAGATGGGAAAGCAGACGCATTGTAACTATAGTGATTAATGCAAACTATGGTATGGTCGATGTAGGTTCCCTAGCTGCGTGGGATGTAGCTCAGGTCTTCGATGTTTCTTGTATTAACACAATAATGGGACCGCAAGGGTCGAGCTGATAATTGCCCTGCCGCTTGATCTTTACCTTGTCCTAAGCTTGTCCCCGTTGAGCGGCGGATGCACGAGCTAGTACAATTTAGCCGACCCTCTGTGCGGAGACCATGAGGCATGCGTCGGAAAGAGAAGATGTTCCATCCAGACAAAGCCTTGCAATCGCTAACAGCCGCTCATTACTATGTAACAGTATACCTAAGTTCAAGAAATCCCACACCAGTTAGATCATGCCTCCCCTGTTATGCTAATGCGGGGCCGTCAGTCTGGCAGTTGTATTTTGCCTAAATAGCCAGCTTTGTCAAGGATCTCATTTCCACGAATCCCGCCGGGTGTATCAACGACGCTATGAAGGCACGGAACTCTCTCCCCCGCATCATAGCCCATTCTGTCGCAGACCCCTGAGCCTGTCAAATCCCTGGATAGCACTGTATCTCGTGCGATATGGTGTTAGTATACGCCTTCGGCGGTCCTTGATTTCCCTACTCAGGTATAAATGGCGCGAGAAGCATTCTTGGCGGATACTCGAGTTCGCCACCAATCCTTGGCTTACATTGGATCAAGCTCAACATGTTCCTCTTTTACGTTGTGTCGGTGTGCCTCGGGCTGGCCCACGCAGCGACAACCACCCAACCTGATCATCAATTTTCAAGACTTCAGCAGAGGGCATCAACTTGCACTCCTTTAGCGGGAGGGAGCAGCTCCATTGACGACGTTCCAGCTATACAATCTGCTATTGCCAGCTGCGCATCAGGAACAATCGTCATCCCGACTGGTACAACCTACTATATCAATTCGGCCTTCAGCTTTGCTGGGTGCTCAGGATGCACCTTTCAGATCGAAGGGACGCTGAAAGTCGCCAGCAACACTGACTACTGGGGCGGACGGCAAGCCATCTTCCTCATGAGCGGTATTAACGGAGCCAAGGTCTTCTCTTCAACAGGATCTGGGGTCATAGACGGCAACGGCCAAAACGCATATGACTTATTCGCAACGGATTCAACGTACAAGAGACCAACTCTATTCTACATCACCAACTCAAAAAACGTGGTGGTCCAGAACCTTCGCTTCAAAAACGCGCCGAATGTCTTTCATTCCGTGACAGGCGGGTCCACGAATATCAAGTACATTGACGTCAACCTGTCTGCGGTGAGCAAGAGCTCTAATGCTCCCAAGAACACCGATGGGTGGGACATTGGCGCCTCGACCTATGTCACCGTGACCGGGGCTACAGTCACCAATGACGACGACTGTATAGCCTTTAAGCCTGGCTGCAATTACACGACAGTCACGGACATCACCTGCGTGGGCAGTCACGGCTTATCCGTCGGCAGTCTAGGAAAGACCAACACGGATACCGTCCAGAACGTCTGGGTCAGCGGTGCAACCATGATCAACTCGACGAAGGCAGTGGGTATCAAGCTGTACCCAGATGGGCCTGACCACGGCACAGCGGTCGTGTCGAATGTGACGTTCCAGAACGTGGTTGTGCAAAATTGCGACTACGCCTTCCAAGTGCAGAGTTGCTACGGTGAAACGACATCTTACTGCGCATCGTACCCGAGCACCGCGCAGTTGTCTGGAATAGTTGTGAAGGGCTTCTCCGGCACAACAAGCTCCAAATATGCGCCCTCCGTTGCCAACATCAACTGTCCAGCAGCGGGGTCGTGTGACTTGGCCATGTCCTCCATGACAGTGAAGCCGCCCAGCGGATCGGCTAGCTATTTGTGCGCGAACACGCCAAGCACACTCGGGGTCACCTGCAAGAGCGGTGCCAGTGGCCGGTGATGGGATTAGTCTTGGCAGGCGGGGCTTTGTATACGAAGATAGCAGCCACGGTGTGGTTATGAGCTATTCAAGGGAGATCTTGTCACGCAAAAGTGAAGAAATATCCTCTCCCACATAATTTGGGTGGGTGTCGATGTGCCTCTCAGTCCTCCTTTAAGTTTTAAGTGGTTGGACAACTCGAGGGTAACCGCACTGGAGGCTTACGATAGTCAACATGGTACAGATACGTAAGATAACGCAGAGACACCATCAATATCAAGTGCATCAACAAAAGCACTCATCTTTGTCACTGAGCTTAGAATTCAAGTACATGAAGTGACCAGTGTGCCCCTACGCCCCGGTTTGCGCTGAACTTTTGTTTTGCGACGGGTGTGTCCACTGTCCGCAAGGTCTAGGGTTCCTAGATTCGTGGTAACATATAATCTAAGGCCGTGAAGATTAAGTCTTCTGCGATTGTTCGATCACACGATCCTCAAAAAAATGGAACTGTAAAGATAGGCCAATAACGGGGTCAATTATTCATCATCTCTGATGATTAGTTTTCTAGTATAGACACCTGCGTCTTCCTACATAACTCAGACTCTTTACTGCCAGCAATAGTGACAGCTTTTATTGTTGAATTAATGATCTCTTTATGCTACCTTGTTGAAGGCAGCTCGCCAGGTATCCTTCCAAAAGCAAGAGACATACGCCGTCAGTTCCCAAGGGCTTCCTGTCCCTGACACACCAGTCTCATCAAATTTTAAGTGGGCCACGTCAAAACAGCTATTTCCTCGGCATGGATGGAGGCCACCGTATTTGCATGAGGACGCGGCACAGGTACGCGTGTCTAGGATGAAGTGTAGGAGATTAGTCGCATGAGCCGGACATAGACATAATATCGTAATCTAGCCTGTATTCAACCCTGTGGGATCCTTTAACAGGTTTACCCATGGCGGGTATTTGCCAGATTATTGTGTTAGAAGCTTATCTACTTTGCGCAGAAGTAGTTGTCCATCTCATCTCAGCAGAATGGTATTTCGCAAACATAAAGACCAATCAATCCTCTCAGTTGTCGAGAACAATTCATCACCGGCAATATCTCATCTTTCATTTACACATTAATCCTATTTCTTGTCACTATGCAGAGATATCACCATTGTGACTTCAGCCGAAAACGGGCCCCTGTAACAACTAAGCTTACATTGCCACAGCACCATTCGAATTGTCTACTCAACATATTGGTGGAATTTCTTAGTGCCGGCTACAGCACGCCTTGTTAATTCTATCCAGCCGTTCCTTGATGCTTTAGTAAACGCCTTCGGAACTCGGCACCGCTATATTCGCGCTAGACAGCGGGCTTTTGTTCCGGATATATTCGGAACGCTGCTAATAGCCCGGCCCTTCATACGCAATTGGTGGAATTCATTTGTGCCGGACCACAGGTGACATAGCCAACGTCGGAACCTGTCATCGGCCAACTCTAGCACGTCCGCAGCTCATTCCCCCCTTTACATTCAGTTTCCAAGCGAAGCATTCATTACATAAATGTAGCTTGTTTTATCCGGGATACTGGTAGACCAAATTCACCAAGAAATATTGCATCCACTAAGTGTAGGAGGCTAGAAGCGGATGGAGTTGCTCGATTTAGCCTGTGTGCGTACAGGTTTAATCTCCGAGTTTCCACTTAGAGGGCAGACCAGTTGTCGATGCTATCGTGGAGGTCGCGGATGTGGATGTAGTCAAAGTGTTTGGGCTGCCAGATCCATTTGAGTTGAGGGTTACCTGTATAGAATTCGCAGTTGCGTAGCACCCACACCGGCTGGATGGTGGAATGTGGGTACCAGTGACTTGAACGGAGGGAACTAGCCGGCGAAGTCTCTGATGTACAGAGTCAGTACTATCGAGGTACGTGTTATTCTAATGCGCGAGGACCAGCGAGCCAAATTTGACCTCAACAGTGCTGTTTTCCAAGCCTTGATAAATCTGCCCACATTCCCCGACTAGTAAAATTCATAGCGATTCCGCACATGGCTTGGGATCAAACATGGAACACCAACTTGTTGGTTGAGATGGGGATTCACATGGTACTGCTGCACGGAGACCATCCCGAGAACAGAATGACTCGATGCGACTCCGAGCCACTATGAACTTGAATTAAATTCCGGCGTAAGTTCCAGGGTCGAAACGTGATTGTCTGACTAGCTGCGCCCCAGGTCGGGGTGGACACGAAAATGTCCGGAAAGACCGGGATGGAGGAGAAATGTCCGTAGATGCTTCGAAGCGGAGACGTTAATGTCCGGGCAAGATTACAACAGTGAACGGGTACCCATGTCACGTAACGCATGAAATCTGTTCACCGAAGGTACATGGACTCACTCAGGAGTGTTTAAGAAACTGCCTTCGGTCTCTTTGTCCAGAGTACCAATGTTAATGGCGCTGGAAGTCGGTGCTACTAACAACCATTCAACTTCTACCTTCTTGGGAGTTTTCAGCGGACCCCAGTACGGGAAAATAAGAAAAGATCTATTCTCACGACCACCAAACCGCAAAGCTCTAGGCCCATCGGAGCCTACCTTGTACTCCCAGAGGCCGAAATAAAGGCGCTACACCGCCTATTCTAATCCAATAAGTACATCATGCACCCCAAATCGTATCCTCGCTCCCCTACACGAATTACTTCAATCAACCGGCAACCTCACTTTTCCACAAAGTATCCCACTTGGCTATTACGTACCTCGGATGATACCGCATTTAATTTTTTTAAAACAAACTAAAGAGTTGTGAATACATTTTAGACGAGTTCGATTAAATGTACCGCACCCGTTTTCCAATATCGAAACCGCGCGCTCTGAAAGTTGACATAGGATGACGTCATTTATCAATTATTTTAGGCCATTGTATGAATTTTATCGCCAACCTCATATCAGGGTGCTACCTATACGTAAGAAGAAGCTCGAGACTCGCATGATATTTCACCTCTTCTAGGTGGAAGTCTATTCTAAAATATTCTAACTGTGTTCTTTAGACAAACCCCAGACGAAGCAGCCGAGTACCAAATTCGATGAAGAAATAGTCCGCATAAACTAAGCCGTGGTCTCGAATTTTTACAAAGTTATTGTCATTATTAGACACTGTTGCATTCTTGAGAATTGCTTCAAATACCCTCTCCCCTGGGGAGGCATTTACTCCGATGAGCTTTCCATTTAATCCATCACTCAGTGTGGCCTTTTCTGTCGATAATGAATAGGCAATGATGTCTCTCATAATACAAGTAGCAGCATCCAGAAACCTCGCACTGGTCACATGTTTTCCTTGACCAGATAGAGCCTGTGCAAGAATGAGCATCCCATTTGCGGCGGCGGTTCCAGCTGATGTGTCTCGGAGTGGTGATACTTCATTCTCAATAGGGGCGTCGAAGTCCCAAACTGGCACATAACGACCTACTTTGCCACTGGTTCCATCCCCGACTTCGACTTCGACACAAGATGGAGCCTCTTCAAGTCGCAACAAGAAGTATTCTGCCAAACCGCAAGCAATGTCGAGAAATTGAGTGTCACCTGTCCATGTGTAGGCCTGTGAATATCCAATTATGGCCCATGCTTGGCCACGGGACCAAGTCGACGCAGTGTTATGGCCCTGGACAGTTCGTCGCTCCTTAATTTCTCCTGTAATAGGCGAAAAGTTAACAACATGGCTGGAGCTATAGAGCATGCCGTTGAACCCCTTTCGGTGTCTTGATGGTTCCGGTCTCAGGTGCGTCGTTGCCAGTGTCTTTGCATGAATAATAGCAGCGTTCGCTAGATAACTCAAACCACTATGGGCAGCAGCGTAAAAGAGTAGCTCAAGATTGCACAATGAGTCGATTATGACGATGAAGTTGTCCTCTTTTCCCTTTATGTGATATGCGTCTCTTTGCCATACAATCTCGTCCCAAGACCGGATGGCTCCAACTTTTGCATTGAATCGAGTGTAAAGACTCTGAGCTGCAGTGATTATGGTGTTCAGAGCCGCTTGATCGTGGAAGAGCTCCCACCGTGGTCGCATATGGGGGAGAATGATGAAGCCCAGATCGTGGGTATTGGTTAAATGGGCTTGGGTATGGATCGGATCTGACCATATTCGGCCAAGAATGGCGAGTTGTTCTCTCACATTTGCAAGATTTTTGCCGCCATCTGTGCTTGTCCAGAGACTGTTGGGAAATTTGATGGCCCTTTCAAGAAGGGAGTAAATACTACCCGGAAAGAATCCACAAGTCCAGAAATCAATGCTCGTTAATTCATACCGCCCGAAATCACCCTCCTGAGGCACCACGTGCGGGTATTTGACCGGGGGACACTGGATACGAATTAGCGATTGATATGTTAAAACTCATAGTGAAGGCTCACATTATTTATGAGGCTGTCAGTTGCCGTTCGTATGATTTTCGCAATTACATTTTCCGAATACAGTTCTGGCGAGACATTGACTGGTATCCTCTGCCAGGGGCGCTCTGGCGTATTATGAGAATCGTCGTTGAGCGATGGACAAATGTCAATACTGCCCATTCTGACTGAATGGCGCCGCTTGCGACTTTGGAAGGCAAGCTGTTGAATCTTCAGCAGAAACCATTAATTCCAAATGCTCAGTTGACATAGCCACGGCCTTATGTAGATCTAGTAGCGAGCATCCCGCTTTCAACTCTCCGGGTTGTTGGCTCAAACGTACACGCCTATCACGATGACCAGGGACCCCACATCTGTTCGGGCCCTCGGGATTAATGCCGGTGTAATCTTCGGCCGCTCGATCGCCCGACTCCAGCATGCGAGGTGTCAAAAATTGTTGCGACAGTGACGCGAATTCGTCTGGACATACGGTCAGTGAATTGAGCTTCTTAACGTTTTGCACGATCCCGCATACTCAATTGATAATGCCGTCGCTTGGTGGCTTCTCAGATAATCCTCTTCAGACGCGTGCAGACGTTATGCAGGCCGTTGTGGCCTTGCTCAAACCCCTCACACAATACTTCTCCCCAGCCCATGCCCGCATCCGCATTCCTCGCGCGGTCGGCACAAAGTTCGATGAGACAGCAGCCCAGCTGGAAGGGTTTGCCCGTCCTCTTTGGGCTATTGGCGCCCTCTTGATGGGTGGCGAGCCTGCCTGGGACCTCATCGATCAGTGGGTTGAGGGGTTCGAGGCTGGCGTCGACCCAGAGCATCCTGAGTATTGGGGCGCCATCAAGGACATGGATCAACGCATGGTTGAGACAGAGATGATTTCCTTTGCCCTCCTGGCTACCCCAAAACACCTGCTCTGGGACCGTTTCAGCCCTAAAACGCAAAGTAATATGATCCACTGGCTCCTTGGGCTCCACGGGAAGGCGATGCCGCCGGCCAACTGGCTGTGGTTCCGCGTCTTTGCAAACCTTGCCCTTCGCCGAGTCTGCGGCGTTGATACCCCCGAGGTTAGAGAATCCATGCGAGTTGATCTGGAGGTCCTAGACTCCATGTACATCTGCGACGGATGGTCCGGGGATGGTGTGTGGAGAAGCTCTGAGATCGACGAGGAAGAATATCGCGTCCATCTCGAAACAGGGCGTGCTAATACAATCCAAGCGTCCAGAAGCGTGGATTACTACTCTGGGAGCTTTGCTATCCAGTTCAGCCAGCTTTTATACGTTCGGTTTGCCTATGATTTGGATTTAAAAAGAACGGAAAAATATCGTCAGCAAGCTAGGGATTTCGGACAAGGATTTTCGAGGTTCTTTGACACGGATGGTCAGTCATGTCTTCCTACACACTAATATCCCGAACCCTAACATAATATCCTGAACCCTAACACATCCCGTTTATCAGGAGCTGCCATCCCATTTGGACGGTCCCTCACGTATCGGTTTGCATGTGGAGGTTTCTTCGCCGCCCTAGCCCTGGCAAATGTGTCGGACATGCTAAACTAGCTGGAAACTCCTGGTGCTATCAAAGGTTATTTGTTACGCCATCTCAGATGGTGGGCCAGACATTCGGAAGACATCTTTGATCCGGATGGCACTCTCAACCTGGGCTGGATTTATCCGTAAGCCGCCATTCATTTTGCGGTGAGCCTCACTGACACATTGATGACCAGAAACATGTACTTGACTGAGGACTACAACTCTCCTCAGTCTGTATATTGGGCTATGAAATCACTAATTGTCGTTGCTCTTGGTGAAAACGACGCCTTTTGGACCGAGCCTGAGCGGCCTGGTTCTAGAGGCGGAGTTGCGATCATACAAGCTCCTCGTCAAATTCTGTGCAATCATCCTGACGGCAACCACCACTTCCTCCTCTCTACCTCACAATTTGTCGCGGTTCCATTCAAAGGGGTCACCTCAAAATATTCCAAATTTGCCTACTCATCTTCATTCGCATTTTCCGTTCCAACAGGCCATGTGACGCTCGGACAACTTGCTCCCGATTCCACATTGGCACTAAGCAGAGACGGAACCGACACTTGGGCTGTCAAGTATAGAAGTGGAGAGGCCAAGTTCTCTCAATCGCTCATTCGCGGTAGTGTGAGCGAGCAGGTCATAACTGCGAGCGTTTCGTGGTATCCGTGGCCAGATCGCAGCGTCATTGTCAATACAACACTTGTTCCACCCACTAACAGATGGCCAGATTGGCATGTCAGAATCCACCGCCTTCGAGCGTTGAGAAAGATAGGAAGAGTTTTTACTGCGGAGGGGGGATTTGCTGTTAATGGCCGTCGTCGCTCTGATGCCCTCTCTCTTCCAGTTCTTAGAATGACAGTTCCGGAAAAGGACGTCGAAGTTGGCTTGACCGAGGGAGTAATCTTAAATCCTTCATCAGTGCTCATAATGAGCAGTTCAGGGATGTCAGGTGTCAGCACAGAGTTGTTGCTTCCAAGCATAGGCACGACCTCGGTTACCAGTTTCAAACCTGAGCCAAATACCAACCTAATGGCCTGCCGCACCCTTATACCACTCATCGAGCAAAATATACTTGGTTTGGAGGAAGGCGAAGAGGTTATTCTGGTTACAAAGGTATTCGCCGTATCCAAGGAAGCGAACGGTGGTTGGAAAAAAGCAGGTAAATCTGTTCAAGAGCGATGGCTGGATCAGCCACAGCTTTACGGCCTGACAAGTTTAAGCCACGGTGATTTTATACATTTAATCTTCTAAATTATATAGGGATATAGAACAATATTCCGACATTATGTTGAATACTTTGATAATCCACAAGACAATAAGAAAGAGGCAAATTTAAAGCCCATCGAAAATTCCTTGAAGAATATAGGCTTTTCAGCCACTCGCCACATCATACAGCACGACTGGATACGCGATCTGTTGCCGCTTCAAGGAATTTCCGATGGGCTTTAAATTTACCTCTTTCTCTATTTTCTTGTGGATCACAAAGATATTCAACATCATATTGGAATATTATTCTATATTCCTGATATACAGGGTTATTCCTGGAAAGAGCTGAACGGATGATGGTCGCCATGATGAAAGTTAATGAAATTGGATGAATATTAGAAGGGAAGTTGGTTCTTTGACGACGGGAGATATCAGTCTCTCTTATATCTTATGGCTCGGAATAAAGTGACTGTCTCAAGGTTGTTACCTACAGATAGAAAGATCGTTCGTTGACTGCAGAGAGACAGCAGGGTTGAATAACGTTATTGTTCATCTACTGTTTCTTCTGCTACTGGGTGTAGTACGTACTGTTTATCTCTGCTGTTTGAGAATACTGCACGGCCTTGATCTGTCTGATGATCTTAAGTAAACGTAAAAAAAAAGGATCTTCTAAATCAATACTCTAAATTGAATCCCAATATATAGGAGGGCAGCCGTCGCCCGTCAAACCACTTGAAGCTTGCCCCTCTGTCGGAATACTCCAGCCGTGACCTTGATCCAGAGAGGCCGATGCCGTCTCACTAGGACGGGAAGTAAACATCATATCGTCAAAGCTGATAACACGATCCATCTCCATAAATCTTTGGTCCATCAGTATCTGAGATATCGTCGCTAGTTCGTCCCCCCCTGTGCTAGTCAAAGGCTGAATCCATTCTCTAGCGTCGCTCGCTCCATCCATGGTAGGCTGGTGTCTGTTGGGAAGTTGCGAGGCCGGAGACTTTCCTGCACCAGTTTCCATATTTGGATCATTCTGGCCATTAACCCGGGGGACTCTATCGGAAAATTCGGGACTATGTTGTTGAAGATCCTGGCGTGACGGGATGCAATCTGGGTCCAAATATGTCTCCTCAGTGCATCCAGATATGTCGATTTGGAAATTGGGATTACGTTGGCAATGTTCGTGAAGCTTTTGAAGTCGGACGGCAAAATGGCCAAAAAGCGATTCTCGTTGTGTGCTGGAATCGTTGGTCCACCGTCTCGACATTTCTTTCAGATTCTCCACCAGCACCCAAAATTCGGTGGCCAGAAGTGTACCATAGAAGCGCGAGTGAACTATGATAAGCTTTGTCAATATCATCTCTAAGAACGCACCTGAATTTGGGGCTCACTTAAAAGCACCCTGGCGCTGACAAATGCCGCAAGAGCTAGTTGAGGAGATACAAGACTGTCCTTTGGGGAATGGTCGAGATATTTTTGGGTGATATTCGCTGTCTCAACCGCCGCACCCCGGCATGTCTCGGCACTGCACAATGTTGGGAGTTTCAAAGCCACCAACTCTGGACCGGGGTAGGCTATTCTTTGATGAAGGAGGATCATGGAGGTGTTATGTGTTGCATGGGCCGCAGTCATGTTAGGGTCCATTACGCCAGGCATCGTCTCACGAGATATTCCAGAGTCTTGCCATTGCTGTGGAAGGAACATTTTCCAGCTTTGAAGAGTGAGCGGGGATTCAGAATGGGGGTGACGGGCGTATGTGTCTTACTGCACTAATCGTAAATCGAGTTCCTTGAACCGTGTGAGCCAACTTGAGACCTCTTTTCGATTACTAAAGTCAACGCGCTGTTGCAAGAAGTAGCTGTTGATGCGACTCAATGACTCAAGGGACTCAATGTTGTATGCCAGGGCCCCAACGTTTGTCATGTCTGGAGACTGGGGTTGTGCTTGTGGCGCGCAGCTCCCCGCAGCTGGTGTTACGGTATCATTGATTTCAGTATTGGTCGAATGGGTCGGACTAGGGTAATGGGCAGGGATGAAAGTGATGGAGTTTCCCATTTTGGCTGCAGATTGATCCCATATGCCGAAATACGGAGTTGGTGCTGGCGTACATTTGTACCAAAGACCACCACATACCGGAAGCCTTCGACAGACATCTGCAGCTGTGAGACTAGTATTCCAACTGCAAGTGATTAGTATTCCAAATGATACTAGACCAATTGGCATTGACGTGACATACCCAGTGGTAATTGAACAAAACCTATAAGACATTAATACAATTATAAAACACTATGGAAGGTGAGACATACCTATCCAGCATAAACACATTCCAAAACACCCGTCTTCTTTCTTCTTCCTCGACCCAGCTCTTGGGGGTAGGAAGGAGTGGAAGGGGTTGCAAAAGAGCACCCACCTTTTGACGACCCTCTGACTCAACGCTTAGTTGAAGGTATTCAACCGACCTGGAGAGAGATGCAATGATGGGCCATGCGTTGCGGGAGTTTCCATTGCTTATCTTGAGGGAGGTCAGATTACCCTCGTTTACTAAGCATTGAAGAGGTGGTGGCGATCATACTTACATCCATGAACGCCAAAATGATGAGAGATTGCAGATTCTCGACCGAAAGCTCATCCATCGCGGTTAAGATAACGAGTTTCCTTGACTTCTTCTGCTGTGAAGCTACTTCTGCCGCAGACAGCAGGTGTCCATGCCATGGTGTGAAATGCAAAGCGGCAACCGTCATAGCATGAATGATGACAGAAAGATGCTTTAGCCCCCCAGGCTTCTGAAGCTTTACCCTGAAATCAGCCTCGTGTACAATCGCAATCCATGGCTGGATGCGATGGAAGTAGGAGCCTAGCAATGCTGGCAACAGACTCTGGGGAGGTAAATGCCTGAGAGAATCTTGAATGTCGTCCAGGGCAACATTAGAATCCTGAGGGTAATTTGAAATCGTTTCAGGACTTGTGCCATTGGATCTCCTTCGTTTGCTTGGCCGTGAATGACCAGGACCACCCCCTTCCGGATCTTCCTGGGGATGGCATACCGACGGAGGTGGCCTAGGTTGATGTGAGAATACCGAACTAAGCTTGCGTATCTCTTGGGCTAGAGTAGATAGAGCTTCCACTACCGGCGCGGATCCGAGGCTGTCTTCCTTTGGAGGAGAGATGCGCAGCACAGCACCGCACTGGACGTAACCACGCCCCCGCAGACTTGGTGGGCTGATCGACCCCACAAGTCACAATGTGAACTAAGCTGGTCCAAACCAAACTCAGTCAATAAGTTAATTCTCGTATTAGAGCCAGGCTTCTTAGAGACAAGCGAGTTCCCCAGTTAGCTCCGAAGTGGGTTCATGGCCCGTGTTTTCGCATGCCACCTTGCAGGGATAAGATCCTTCATGACTCGTGCGCCGTTGCGTCGGAGTTCGCAACATTTGCCGCACGAGCAATCCTCCGGCCAGCCGAGCAATGACTGACTGTGCCTCCAGTTGACGAAATTCCTGTTTAGGTGACTACCTATTCTATCCTGACATACATTGAAACCGGTTCGACAGCCGTGCTCCCTGTGCGTTTAGAGGGCCATCGCACCATTGGTAATCTTCGTAGCCCCTACGGACTCCGCATCCCTTCTATCAGTCCAACGCCTTTTCAAAACATGGGCGGCGCTTTTCGGCTTTCGGTCCCTTGTAAATACGCCTTTTTTGTTTCCATCGACGCGGAAAATAAAGGTACTGGGGCAATGGAAGTCGGCAAAATTCCACACGTGCTCTCCAACAAGGCTCTCTACCCGGTCAAACACCCGGTGAGACATGTCCAAAAGATCCCTTTGGTATTCCTCGCTCCATGGGACATCGTAAACAGAGTGCAAGCCCACCTGGGTATCAGCGCCATACTCGGACATGATGATCGGTTTCTCGTACTTGGCTTCCCAACTGCGCAGATCTGCCTCCAAACCCCGCTCCGCAGATTTGAGGTCGCCGGTATTTAGATACCATCCATAATATCGGTTCAGGCAAAGGACATCAAAAAGATCAGATATCCTATCTTTCTCCGGCGGTGCTTGTGCCTCGTTGGCAAAACACACTGGACGTGTCGGGTCAAGCTCACGAGTTAGAGCCACCAAAGGCTCCATGTACTCTCGAACTCCAGCTTCAGCTGACGACGGTTCATTCGCGATGGCCCACATCACGACTGACGGATGATTTTTGTCTCGCGCTATGAGCTCACGGATCGCTTGCGCATGTGCTTCTCGAGTGTTGTCATTTATTGTCTCGGGGGAAAACGTCGGCGTATGTTTCCAACCCAAGAGCCCAGCAACTATGGCCAGATTGAGACCGACAGCTGCTGTCTCGTCGATAACCACGATACCATGACGGTCCGCGTAGTCAAGAACCTCTTCAGCGTAGGGGTAGTGGGAGGTCCTGAAGGAGTTGGCTCCCATCCAATCCATCAATTGGAAGTCATGAATCATAAAGGCAGGGTCGTGTCCTTTGCCTCGGATTGGACTGTCTTCGTGCTTCCCAAATCCCGTAAAGTAAAAAGGTTTGTGGTTTATCAAGAATTGGTTCTTGTGTACTCTGACAGACCGAAAGCCAACAGCAACCTGGTAGGTGTCGAGTGTCGTACTTTGGTCTTCTTCTCCGACGATGTTTATGCGAAGTTGGTAAAGATATGAAGCGCCTGGCTGCCAAAGATGAACCGAATCGATGGATATCTGGTTCTTTTTGCCCTGTACTTGGGTAACAGTGTTCCCATCCTCATCTTCAAGAAACACCTTGCATCGGTGTGAGTCGATTCGCCGGTTTGTGGTGATTTCAAAAGATATGACACCCGTGTGACAATCGTTGGTAACATCTGTGGTTACGGTGACGCCATCGATAAAAGTCTGCGGCACGCTATATAGCCACACCGAGCGAGCTAAGCCGGCATAATTGAAAAAGTCGTGTTGGTAATGTTGCTTCCGTTGGCCATTGTCGAGAGTTTCGACCCTTCCCGGTGGGATGGTTTCCCAAGTGAGCACGTTCTCAACTGCTACGGTCAAGCGGAAGCTTTGTCCAGCGGCGACGAGGTCAGTGATGTCGGCCTCGAAGGGTGTGTATCCACCGATGTGTTCGGTAACAAAATCATCATCAAGGTAGACCCGACCCCGGTGGGTAACGGCATCAAAGCGAAGGAAGTATCGCTCCTTAGACCATCCTCTAGGCACAGTCACAAGCCTTTGATAGTACACCCACCCGACGTGGTCTCTAATGGCCTGATCAACGAAGATATCGTTATAGCTGGCGGGAACCGGTACTTGCCGAGTTGGTGGGATGGTGCGCTTCCATGCTTGTTCAGACTCGATGTCAGCCGAGGCAGTTAATTCAAAGTTCCACACTCCGTCTAGCGAGAAGACATCGCGAGTGGAATTTGCTTGGGGCTTCAGCATATTTGGTGAATGCGTGCAGATGATCCAAACAAGACAAAATGAAAGAGTAGGATGGGTTAAAAACAAACTACCATTCGATACATTGAAAAGAATTAAACCAAAGGACCAGGAAGATGTATCGTCAGTGTGTCACCACTTTAGATATACCCATTATCTGATAGTCCTGAGGTTTCTGCATTAAACCCTCTACTTGCCAATTCGGCGTAAACCTCGGCCGGGCATAGGTGTAAGCTGCAGTCGGTAACGGGCACCCGGATCCGAGTGACAACTTGGCAAGTCCATTCTCTCTGTTTTAGCGCCTCTTGGTGAGGAAGAGAAAGGTGAGTGTCCGTAATACTTCGGGGCATGTCCCGCCCGACACTTTCTCCAGCGAGACCCTGGCTGTGTGGGCCTCGACTTGACTCGTACGGGCCAAATCTCGTACGGGCTTTTCCCCGAAACCCGTTGTCAGTTGTCACCGGGGATTCGATGTCAGGTTTCCCCGCTCCTGTAACATGCAACTTCTCCACATACTCCCCGCTGGATCCCACAGTTTGGGTCAAGATACATGGGGTATGGGGTCAACTGACTCGTCATCCTTGGAGAGGGCCGTAGTGGCGCTATTTTGCGGAGAAGCGACTGTCGGTTTGGACAACATCTAACTACCTTTGTGGGTATTTTTCGGTAAAAAGTACTTGCTCGTTTTCCTGGGCTGTCGTGTTTCCATCATGAAAATCCATGTGTGGCCAGGCATCTCCAAGTATAAAGATTTCGCCATCTCTGGAAACCTGGAGCCTGGTATAGCCCATCTGCAACTCAATCGTCTACCAAAACAAAGTGCACAACGCAGAGACAATTCAGTTTCCTGTTCCATTTAAGGCATGGAGAAATCACTGCCCCAAGCGGATGGCCAGGGTGTCGGCATGTCGAAAGAGACCGACCAACCCAATATCGTTGAGTTCGAAAACACTGGCACAAAAGGCGACAATGAAACGAGCGCCGTCACCTCGGCATACGCCACCTGGACACGAGCCGAATGCGTCCGGAAGTTCTGGAGGTTGTACGTCACCGGTCTAGGTGTGTCAATGGCGGGCATGTAAGTACAATCAAGGACCGCGAGCACCCGACGATAGGACTAATGGTGATTTCAGGTATGCCGGCTACGCGAACTCTGTAATTGGGAGCATCATTGCCAATGAAGGCTTCATCCGATACTTTGCTACAGTGACAGACCCCGACACCGGTAAACCAGCGCTCGACTCTCAGCACATTTCACTCTGGGCAGCTTGCTATTTTGTGTCCGCTATTCTCATCCAGACCATTGCTCCGGTTACGGCCGATAGGTTTGGTCGAAAATTCAACATGTGGGGTATCACCTTTTTTCTTACTCTGGTAAGTGATGATTTATTCATAAATACGTTGGGCAAATGTTTATTAATTCTTACAAATCCAGTCCATTATTCTCCAAGTCATCGCCCCGAACTGGTGGGTTCTGTTGATCGCCAGGTTGGTCGCAGGCTGTGCGGGAGGTATGATGGGAACGTCTTGCATGGTTTACATGTCTGAGATTGCAATGCCCCAGTTTCGTGGAGCCTTACTGGGCAGTTTCTCTCTCGCCTTCGCACTCGGCCAGGTGTTCTTGGCCATCGGTCTCAAGGTTCTCGAAGTGACGAAACCTCTGGCTTTCCGTCACGTATTCTACTCCGAATTCGTCTTTACCGCGCTATGGATGTTCCCAATGCTCTACCTTCCCGAGTCTCCAGGTAATTATCCTCATTCCGGGGTGAGGGGTCTAATAAACTAACCATCAAATAGCCTGGTATGCGGCAAAAGGCAGGGATGACGATGGGAAGAAAGCCCTCCGAAAACTAGTCGGAAATGTTAATGGTTACGATGTCGACCACGAATATGCCGTCATCAAGTACGAAATGATGGAATCAATCGCTCTATCGAAGAAGGCATCTTCCGGCACCTGGAAGGCCATTTTCACAAACAAGATCAACTTGAAGCGTGCAGTCATCTCCACGCTTCCATTCACCTTCCAAAACATTGTTGGAGTGCCTCTGATGTTCGGATACACCACCTATTTCTTTCAGCTCGCCGGTGTTGATGACCCTTTCCTGGGAAACATTATCAAGCAAATGGTCCTCGTTGTTGGTATCTTAATTTCGTTCTACATGGTTGACAAAGTCGGACGAAGGACTCTTGTCATCTACGGAGGCGCGATAATGGGAGTTATTACCTTACTCGTTGGAGGACTCGGCTTTATGACGCAGACCTCCTCCTCGGGAATGGCTTTGGTAGCTCTCTGCTCTATCTGGGCTTTTGTGTATGCTAACTCACTAGCACCTATCGGTAAGTTGGCCCCAAAACAGGCATCTAGAATCATTTCAGCTAACGTCATCTCTCATTAAAGGCTGGATCAGTCTTGTTGAAATATCTAGTTCCAACCTTCGTGCCAAGACTACTTCGATTGCTGTTACGATTCAGTATCTCACTGGAATCCTTTTTGTAGGCAACAAGTTACTCAACGAACTAAAATTGTTGTAGCTAACATGAAACACAGAATTACTGCGTCCCATTAATGCTGTCAAATCAATATGCTGGTTGGGGTCAGAAGATCGGCTTGTTCTTTGCTGGCATTACGTTTTTGTACCTCATCCCATGCATTTTGCTTTTCCCTGAAACTAAGGGACGCACATATCATGAGCTAGATGAACTTTTTGAACGTCGCATTCCTGCATGGAGATTTGCTACAACGAGAACTGCCCACCAGGAAAATATTGAGACAGTGGCAAATGAAAAGTAACAGCCAGTATGGTGTTACTATTAAGCATCTAGGGGTTTTTGGTACATATGGGGTCTTGGCTAGTTAGATTGCTACTCGGAGTACTAGTTCTGTACTATAGCTCTCAATATACTTATATAGGGCTGTGGTAGTCTTTACATTCGATTCTATTACCAGAATGTTCATCCATCTCGTCGTAGCCTGATCCTTTTGTCTCATGGCAGCCCGTCCTCAACCCAACCGTCGTACCGCATCACTGGTCTAGTACATCAATGCTTCGTACTCTAAGCCTGCTTCTTCCGTGTAACGTTCTTGATTCCGAGCTACACGATAATAAGACAGCTGAAAGGGGCAAGGCGCAGCTGAGCACTGCCACCGACAAAGGGTCCCCATTCGACAACTCGCAGTGCGTCAGACTGATGGACGTACCAATTGGATCAGTGATCAACAGAATTGCCTTGCAGTTCAGCCATCTTCGGGGCTGAATGCCTGACCAACTCCTGCGCATCGATGCATTTACTCCCGGCGCATGGATTCACCAGCGTCATCGCCTTCAACTATCACAGTCGGTTGCTTAGAACTGATCGCTGTCAAGTAGCTTGATAAACACGTCCTGATATCCTTGGTCAGATGCTAAAAAGGACATAAATGATGAAATATTGGACGTGGGCTCACTATTTAGAGTACCTTGACCTGGCACGGGTAAATTCCTAGATGTCGGAAATATCTCACTTGACACCCTAGCTCTTGGTATTGCCGATGCACTCCGCATCACCCTTGGCTCCAATCGTGCCGCTCCCGCCAAACTCGTCCCAACTCAATTTACTGGGCCTCTAAATTAGCTGGTTCTCAAGCTTGAGAGCAAAATCTCATTCAGTTAGGCCTAAAGTTGGAGAATCTAACAGCTCTGACAATTGGAATTTGGAAATAGTTGATTGACTACGCACTCTGACAAGATCGAGTACAGCTCAGGCCAAATGACGTTCATAAGGAGAAAAGGAGATTCATAACTAAAGCTCCAAAGTAAAACTATTTACACAATATTTTCAAATGAGACTATTCATAAAGTACATTATCGTTCTCTCACAGTTTTTCCATTCCAGCTCAAAAACGCAGAAGGTTTGCACTTCTAGAATTCTCAGTGTAAATGAAACACTCCACCAACTCCCTTCACTGGTCTTCTCCCTTCAATAGCATCTGAGTACCAACTCTTGTCCTCCTTCCCCGTCCTCTCCAACGTCTCCTTCGCCTTTTTCTCACTGATGATTCTCGCTTCACCAGCCTGTCCCAAATAGGTGCCCAGCGGTTCCTTCATCGCATTCAAAAGCTCCCCGTACTGACCTCTGGAATGAACGAAACTGATTCTCATGCCACCGACAAGAGTGAATGCTGCTGACTTTGGGAGTGAACATTGTTTCGTGGAGAGAGGTGAGCGATCCGGACGAAGGATGAATGGAGCGGCTGCACCATCTAAGATGCAGAGCCAATCGCCGTCTGTGCAGAGTTTGTGGTGCTCCCAAACGCCAACAGAGTATATGGAATTCAAGGGATTTTGCCGAATCTCTTCGGTGCAATCACACTTGCCGACATCGTGCTGATGAACAGCATGGGAAAATGGGGAAAGGTTGGAAAGTGCATGGTCGCCCTCATCCCTGATTTTAGCTGTACATGGCGGAAATTCGACAAATGCACCGGCAAATGAACGCCACCCGTACGTTGACACGCTGCCATCCGCTCTAATGATTGGATATCTTTTGAAGGACTTGTGTGTACTGAACCGACCGAGAGTAATGCCTGTAAGAAGGAGACATCCACTTGAGTCATCAACTTGCTGAAGCGCGATGGCCCTGCCGATGTGCTCTGTATCGATATTTGCGACAGTCATGTACCAATCTGTCTGGTTTATGGCTTGCTTGCATCCTTCTGCCCGCCAATCAGTAACCCATGAAGGAAACTCTCGTTGGATGGAAGAAATCTGCGAGCCACCAGGCTGACAGTGGCCATTGCTATGGGAGCAATTCCCAAACCATTTGCATTGCTCAGGCTGAGCTGCATCAGAACTCTCATCACACTCCCCCATCTCTCCGCCGGCATTTCCACTCAGTCCCGCGGCACTAAGGACACGTAGATTCTTTTCGGTGGCAATGCAAGCTCTTGTAGCAGCAATATACACGTCCCTCAAAGACCTCGAATAGTCAACTTTGAACGGCATCTCTGGGAGGAGTCCGAACAACGAGAAAACCTTATCCTTGGGATCAAAGCACTCTCTTGGCCACCCCAGGACTAGGAATTGAGACATTGAGTACACTCTCTTCTCAATGGCGCCTTGGGCAGCGAATACTTCTCGTACGAGATAGTTTCTGATTTGCAAGCCACTGCCATCAGTCTTTGAGCAACGAATTCTGAAATCATCCCACTGCATGGAGTGGGAGCCAAAATGCATGATAGCTTTCCGTGCTAGAATCGCTTCTTGCATTGTCCATGCTCTAGCAAACCATTGCCGACTGAGGAGATCATTCAGTCCGTAAAGGACAGCCGCCCACATGTCGAGCGCCGGGTCGCCAGGTTTCAAGCAATTTGGGCGTCGATGGAGACAGACTTCTTTCGGGCGAGAGGTTGGCCCTGTGTGGCCTAGGCAGCTGCATGACCAATCTCCGTAGCCACTGTTGTCTGTGTAAGATGTGTCTCCCAACCTGTCGTATTCTGGGAGATATGGTAGCATTGCTTCGACTGGCGGAGTCATTTCGCCCAGCCAGACTCGGACGCATGATGCCATGGAATAGATGTGGTGCATTCTAGTAACTTGGACGTTCTTCTCGTCGTTGTCGTATTGATTGATACAAAGTGCGTCTGCCCAGATGTGAGGACGGGGTGCCGAGGACCATATCGCACAGAGCGCTGCATGGAGATTTTGCGTGATGAGAATGTGCTGGTCATTGAGAACCATCCGTTGCAAATCAGACTCCCGATTTCCCCAAACGTAAGAAAGCGCATGGTACGGTATTGGCGAGGTATCGTCTGTTGTGGCAGCCAGCGGTCGTAGCTTGCAATGCAGCACAGAATCTTGGAGAGATACGAATGAGAGTAATCGTGTCTCCCCTAATCGAAGAGGGCGCGGATACAGAGCTTTTTGGAGCTCTGACGAGTACGCGCCCAATTTAGGTAAATGATCCATTGCCGATTCTGGGTGGTGCAGGACTTGGGAACAGAGATGGGAGGGATGTGTAGAGACAAACAAGTGGAACCCGTGAAGTTATAAGGAACGAAATATGCCTCGAGAAACGAAAATGCCTTGAGAACTGGAATGCGCCTTGAGTAGGCTTCCCTCAAATTCCCCGCTTCCCGTTGGCTATAAATAATTTCATCGGCTGACGCTTTGAACAGCCACTGTGATTGGCTGCTGTCCTTCGCCCCCACGACGATTTTGCTCGTATAGTAAGCTGACGCTTTTGGGTATCAACAGGATTGTACATGGTGGCATTTTGATGAACTGGAAATTCTTTGTGTCTCTAAATTCAATGCTATCCCTGCTTGCAGTCTGAAGTATATTTCTACCAGTACATACCGCTTTATCTGGTTTAAAAAAGTACTATGAACCTCTCCTACAAAATATACCTTACTGTATTGATGATATTGCTCAGCCTTAAATCAGTTACGTTCAACCTAAGAGACAGCCACGGTATTTTAATACCGTTCACCATAACTGATGTTGAGAACATAACTTAGTTGTCTTTTCTAACAGGAGCCAATCTTGGGCGCACGTTGTTATCCGTATTGGAATAGCTGCAACCAAGATAATGAAAGCAAGAGATGCTTGTTTCTTGGAAGAATTGAAAATGCCGAGACGGTGGCGTCTTGACTTCCGTATTTGCTCCATCACCCTGAGGTTGAGCGACAAGCTACATGGGAACACCGTCTAGATGCACTTGCAGAAGCATCGAATCTTGAATCTCCCGAGCCCGCGAAATCAACTCCTCCGCGTCCCAGTTTGCCCAGACAAACTTCCCCTTCAAAAATTTCGCTTCCGGCGACGCAAGCCACACAAGAAAGGAACCAGGGAGTTCAGCTGGAGGAGAGTTAGCAGGGTTGATCAGAATAGAACATGGAATTGAAATTCGGATGCAAGGGAGCAAATAATTAGCAAGAGATAAACTTACGTTCGTCCTGACCCTTGACGGGTGAATCAACGTTCATCTCCGTATCGACTAGTCCCGGCTGCACATGGACAACATGCAGGCCAGGGTTCTCAGCTGCAACGTAGTCAAACATCTTGATGATGGCCGCCTTGGTAGCCGCGTACGCAAACATGCCGGGAATCGGTGCGATGTGGGCGACTGATGACGAGACATTGAAGAGCATAGAACCAGGGGCCGCGTGCGGTACAAAAGCCTGCACGGCGTTGAAAGGCCCGATGACGTTGAGCTCAAAGCCTCGGGTCAACTCGCGCACATCATACCCCACCACTGATGACGAGTCCTGCAGTATGCCAGCGTTGGAGATGAATATGTCGATTTTACCCACCTGATCCGTGATTCTCTTCATGGCGCCATCAACGGCTGCCCTGTCGGTGAGGTCGGCAGATTCGTAGACAACGCGAGTAGCGGGCCCGGCGGCCATGATCTCAGCCGCCGCAGCTTCTAGGCGGTTAAGGCGACGCGAGATTATGGCGACCGACTTGGCACCGGCTTGGCTGAAACCTATAGCGATAGCCTTGCCGATCCCAATGGCTCCGCCCGTCACAACAACATTCTTTCCAGCTGCTGTGAGCTCCGGTCGGGTGGGTGAGATGAAGGGGTACGGCTTGTTGTGGTTCACTTTGGTGAAACGGAAAAGCTCGGGAATGTCTACATCGTGTTTGCTCGCCATCGTATCAGTTGTTTGTGGTTGTGTGGTTTGGAGGTGGGTGTTGCTGAGGCTACTTGTGAGAGGAGAAGTCAGGCAATCGTAGATGTCTGTCTATGAGGGGGCAGAACCATTCATCTTTCAGGCCAAATACTTCGCTTCATGTACTTGCTAATTCAATGGGACGCTGCTTAAGATCAACAATACCCGCTCTTTTGCATATGAAGTTGGTAAGCTGCTTCGAAATCGGCGTCTTCCCCGAAGGTCCCGCGCAAACTCTAAATTTTATAATCTGTTGATGGATCAATTACGGTCTACTCGATCAATGCGATAGTGTTCAAATTGATGATGGTGATGGTGTTGATCCTTGTCCCTCCCAGTCTCCCGGCGGGGCGGGGATAACCATGACAAGCCATCATAAATATTATCATCACTGCTTTAAACACTATCCATTTGATCAATTTGACCGTAAGGGATTCAACATAATCAATAATTTAATATGGAACCCAACTACTTCGAAACAAATGCCGTTTGATTGGTAATCGTATATTGTTTTGACGGACTCCAGATTTATCACCGGGATCTGGCATCATGTTTCTATCGCGCCGCACTTCCAGTCCTGCCGACCCGCAACGCCTCGCTTCACCGCTCGTATCGCATTTTGGGATCACCAAAAACGGTATTTCGGATGCTTCCAGCATCCCTATCCTTGCTTAAGCTTCTAGGAAGCTTTGGGACCTCCGGACTTTTCGGACATTCCGGAAATTCTAGAGTCTCCGAAGTCCGACTTATTCATCTATCAAGAAGTCAGGGGACTAGAAGCCCAGCAGTAAAAAAGAATACTAACAATACGATCAACAATACTGACTACATACCTGGTCTACTCAAAAGTCAACAGTTCACTCAGACAGACTAAAGTTTCTAACTTAACTGGTTATCTCCGCACTTATTCATCTATAAAAGACAGACCTATGACCACCAATTAGCTGGAAATCAAGAGCTTTTATCCTCATCATCCGATGCAATAGCTACACTTGTCAGTTCCAGGAAGAACGGCACACAGCCTGTCTTTGAAAGTGGCGGTAGCGAAGAAACTGTCCAATTGGGACCCTAATGCTGCCGAGGCCTGCGTTATCCCGACCCAAGAGGTGATTAACATCTATCGTCGGTAAGTCTGGTTCTAGCGTCACAGCATTCTGTCAGCCGATTCCAACATATTTCTGAATAGATTTCATAGCAGCTAAAGCAAGATCGAGCAACCTCCTGTCTCGGCACCGGACGTACAATTGAAAGACAAGAAGGCGCCGCCGTCTCCCGCTCGTTGACTTTCGGTAAGAGATATGAGTCGAGTGCTAACGCAAGCTAAATGGCACAAAAGTCCTCCAGATCTCACTTTTGCTGAACCCGGGCCGCTATTGAAGTAGACATTCTTACCAGCCGCGCCTTACATTAGACTGATGGACGCAAGGCCAGACTCAGTGGATAAATTATAATCTAATCCTGAAGCCCAGAAAATGGTTCCCAGGGTACCTTCATCCTCATTTCCACCCCGGATTGATAATAGAGCATCTGTGTTCGCAAGGTGATCAGATGCCACCATCTCACGATGTCTTTCCTTCTAAACAATGACGAGGACGTGCCGGGTGAGCTTTCTGGAAGCATCTCGAACCCTTCGCAAAAGGTTGGTGTCGCTCATTACCATCTGCGTCAGCACTGACTGTGCGTTGTTGAAGCATTCCCCGATGCTTTTGTTCTGAAGCGATTCGCTCTGACGATGTGCAAGCGCGAGAGTTGTATTGATCACCGCCCAGGTGGCCTCTTCTCTCCCGCGTTGGCGGCGGTACCGCTGTCTCACAGTATGCAATAGTGTGTTGGGGTGGAAGAGTGGGAGGATAGAATTGAAGGGTGTAAGATATTTCTCAATTATCGGTAGGGCCTCTTCAAGCAGTAGCAAGTCCATGGATATGTTGTGCGGGGAGTTCTCGGGCCGTCCAAAATCTTCATGCATACTAACTAACGGCAGATGGACAGTTGGATCATGCAGTGCAAGGCTCTCAAGCTTGTCAACTTTCTCAGAAACTGACCTGAGCTGGGCTTTGAGGCGTTCGAGGCGAGACTGCAGGGCTTCTCTTTTGCGAGAACCCTGGTTGTTGGGCACAGTCTTCCGGCTGGGAGCTGAGTAGGTGCACTCTACGTCGTACACTGCGTAGTGATAGCAGCGAGGCTTTTTTCATTCTCATTTTATCCTCTCATTGTAGCAGAGATCACATGCCTTCATGCGAGGAGTTAGCATAAGAGACAGAGCGATAAAACAGGTTGCTTCAAGTGACATCGGGCCATTACATACCTGCCTTGTTCCCTTACTTCAGGACATTCTAGTTCTCGGCAGGGAAAGGATATTAGTACTTCTGTCAGAGCAGCGAAAGCAGGTGCTGGGAATCCGCCACGGGATACAAATGCAATAGATTTCACAACCAGTAATTCCGTCTCAAAAAGACGGATTTGGTGCGGTTCCGCGGAACTACTGCGACAAATGTTGCAAAGCGGGTTGACTCAACCTGCGGCCAAGGCCCACACCTCGTCTGGCGGAGAGAGAGAATGCCTAGGTACTTACTTGCCCAACGACTTTGGGTACTTAAACCATATGGACTCGCTTCAGTATTTGGTGCTATCTGGCAAGAACTAGAGTCGTTATGGAAAAGCCGCATATCAAGGTGGTGAGAGGGAAAAGTATAGGACCCAGGCTTTCAGACTACCTTGATAAGTTGTCCCTTACATTCGAGACACCAGCCTTTCCTTCTTTTTTCCTATAACCAAGGCCCCTCGGCTCCAACGCCAAGTCAAAATGAAAAGATGCAGTTCGCATACTCTCCTGCCGCTAGGTTCCTTCTACAACTGCTGTCCGCAAAGTAGGTCCATTCACGCCGCGCCGTGAACTGTAGTTTCTCCACGTCTCCGGATAGCGGCGCTACGTGCTCGATTTTTGCGAGCATCCGGGGGATATTTGTGGCCATGCTCCAGTCTTTGAATCCCATTATCGACTGTCCCGGTATCCATATGAGCTAGTCGTAGTGGGTGATTGGTCCTGTCACGGCTGACCCGACTTCAATTATGAAATCTACCACCACGACATCTCATAGCACTATGCTGAAGATATCGACCACAAAAATGTCGACCACCACGCTATCAACGGGTTCAGCCTCGGGCTACTTTCCTATCATGCCCAGTATTGCAGACGATTGTGACGGGTACTACAAGGTCGCCTCTGGCGCCTCCCACCTCCGTGATCTGACTGATGCGGGCATTAAGTTTCTGTCAGCTATGGTCATGAAGCTTGCAGAATCTTTGCATCAGGTGATTAACTAGCTCCCTATTATTAACGATAGTACTCAGTTTTCCGTTGTTTGAACAATCGACTTCTTGACCGTAATGTTCCATGCTCCTTGCCCAGCTTTTCGTATGCCTTCGGGCCTTTCCGAAAGGTTTGCCTGGCTGCCATTCCACTCGCTGGCGCCTTCAATAGAATCCGAGCCCACCGACCTACTATCTGGCTTGTATTTCTGCCCCTCGATGTCAGACTCCTCACCCTTGCCGTAATTGATAACGGTGGTGACCCCAATTTTCTTTCCGCCATTCTCCTGCAGTTCAAATGCCGTCCCAGTCTCCCCACGACTGCGGATGTAGCCTGATTTCGGATGATCGCTGCCCGTTCTATGCCATGGTCCAGCGGATGTGCTGTTCCCTCGTGCCGAGGAGCCGCCAAAGAAGGTTCTGAGAAGAGGTCGCAGTGTTGCCAGTCCAGAAGCAGTAATACCGAGTCCGGTCTCAACAGTTGACCATATCGCAACGTCCGAGGTGGAATAGAGAAAGTCGTCGATATCGGTTAAAGAATGGATGTATGGGAAGCGGACGATCGTTGCACTCGAAGCACTTTTATGATTGTGTTAGCTCTTGTATTAAAAACAGGGGAAAGCGTCAATAAGAAAAGGGGAAGAGTATACATTATACCAGCCGCCAAGATTAATGATACAGAGATCTTCACTCTGCGGTTCATCTGCAGCTTCCAGACAATAAAGATCGGAAGGATACTGAGTGTCCAGTCGGTCCAGCAGCTAATAGCCGAGTAGCCGTAGAAAGTATTCGAAACGATTTTTGCATCCAAGCAGCTTCCGGAAGGAGGATTCGAAGAAAACCGAAGCCAGAATAGGGATGTAGGTCGGCATTGCAGAATAAAGAGTATAAAGAAGAACAAGCTGTATACTTCAGTGACAATAGTAACTACCCAAATAGTGATCTTGTGGGTTCTGTGGACGCAGAGTCGTAGTAAGAAAATTGCAATGCTGCCCTTAATGGCCATATTGGTTAAGACGTAAAGGGGTTCGCAAGTCCACCACATCTATGAGAGGATTAGAATACAGACACTGGTTAGGGAGAGAATTAATATTATGGCTTACCTGCATCGCCCTTGGGATGTCCTCTTGGGGAATATTGGCGATATGCTGACCAGTGCCATAACGGACGCCTGTGATTTCGTAGGCACAGAAGAAAATAAAGAGTATCTACTACGGATCAATAGATCGCAGGTGAATTTTGGGACATTGCACATACCTGAGCAGCAACAGCTAGCCAGTCATCGGCTGCAAACGCCTTGATGACCCATCCGCGGCAGTAAATTCGAAGAATAGTTGCAACCGAGGATATTGTGACGAATGCCCACCCGACAGCAGCAATTTGCGGGCCTCGACTCTCGGCCGCCATGCTGTGGAAGACAAACGAGCAAAAGTGACCAACGGAGGAGAGTAGGATGCAGTTTACTGCTTTGGCGGTTCCGAGGCAAAAAGGCGAAACCAGGGCCAAGGTGGGCAGACACATGAGGGGCCAGTCGGATTATTAAAGAAACTCAAGGGGCGACTACCAACCGCCACCACCTGCCAGGACCGGTAGCGATCAGATCATTCCCTGTCTAGTTGAAAGAGTGATGAAATCGTTGCTACCTTGTCCGGCGGGCCTCTCCACAACCGTTCGTGGCTGGTTGTCGGGTATTCTAGCGTACAAGCCGAGGCATGGGTCTTTTCCCATTGGCCTTACACAAGAATGGCAGGCGGCGAACGATCCCAACTAGCTTAGCGTTGCGCTATGATTACAATTCAGATTCAGCACTAAGATGGGCCATTATTAAGGCTCACCGTTGTTCCTCCGCATCTAACCCATCGGGCTATGATGACGGACGGACTAAGGCGTTCCAATGTTCGACCATTGCGTGACTTCGATAGACTTAAACGCACTTTAATTGACTTTGATTGACCGCAAGGTAAGTCTTCTAGCCCATGCTTAATCAAACCTCCCGTCACGATGGGCTCATAATAGGCTGAATTGGGTGGCGTTTCCACATCTCAAAGGGGGCATTACCGAGGCGCAACCTGCAATATCTCAACGCAGGCCCGCCTTTTCTCCGATCTGCAGCGCCAAGTCAGGTGTCGACCCACACGTGGATGTGGGGATTTACCGGAACTGCAGATTCATGACAGGTGTAGCGCCGGAGTGTTGACCAGGTCGGATATAGCTCAGGGGAATGCCCAGAAGTCGGCGTTACAGAATCCGCAATATCCGGCCTTGGGTAGCATGTTGCCTCACTGTGCGCCGTGCGTGCCAATGGCAGACTGTCCCAGAGTCCAGGAAAAGTGGCCGAGAGGAACCATGCTCATCGGGGTTGCACACTTCCACACGCACAACATTGTTTGTTTCAACCCAACCCTGGCTCTCGCCGCAGGCTTCAGTCCCAGGCTCGCCCTTGTTCACTGCTGAGGTTCGTCCCTCCAGAATGCCGAGTAGGCGGAGCAAAAACACCGGAAAGCTCGGAAAGGCGAGATGCCGGAGGTTAGCGCCCCATGACCTTGGGTTGCTCCCTTCCACAGGCGTCGAAGCAGCGCGTTTACGACGGCAGATGCCCTATGTCGGTAGACTAGTATTCGGGTCAACGGTGGCTACAAAAGGTCTCTCATTGTCCGTCAGTCGCGACTATCTTGTTGAGGTTCACGTCGTACGAAGCGCCACGGCGGCTCAGTTACGTAAATGTCTCCATGGCAGGGGAACGAAATTGATTGAGGTAAACCCGGGTCAGATGACTGGATAATACGCATAAATATGACACGTGATGGGATTAAAACGGCAGTAGATATCGAGCATGTCTGCCTCGCTTATTTTAGTCCACAGTTTGGGTGTCGAGCTGTATCTGCAGTTCCGGTGAAGCATTTCTGCAGTGCAGATCTTGCTAATCTGTCCGGGGTCTGCAGCCTAAGCGACTGCTGATCTTGAAGATCCCCGGGGAGCCAGTCCCTATCTCAACTGGCGCCTGTCGGCATTTATGTGCGGATCTAAAATAGTAGTAAATGCCGGTGCTAATACAAGGCCCTATCAGTTGCATTGCGAATCCTAGATTGCGCAATCCCATGCTGTAATACTAGTTATGCAGCCCTGTTCGACCGGAGGAAATGTATGCAGCAGGCGGCTTATCTACAAGTAGAGCCGATTGATGTTAGAGCGAAAGTTGTATGAAGAATGGAAATTAGGATGCGCAAGAGAATGACTCTCTCATTAGCTATCGCGGCCACGGGTGAGAATGATCAATGGTGTTGTAATTACACCTGCAGTAGGTTCAAAGTCTGCGTCTACTGTTGTGCGATCGGTGTGGTGCCGCGTTCTGTGGTGCGGAAGGTGAGCAGAACTTGTTATCTGCATGCATCAGTACTTTGGTCCTAGGTATAATCATCATGAAGACACCTCCCACGGCAGTTTAGGAACTGACATTCTTAAGCCTTTATTTTATTAGTTATAATATAATAATTAATTTTTTAACAACTAGGCTTGAAATTCGAGAACATGCCATTTTACTGCGCACAAGACGTGTATATCCGAAGAATACTACGTACGTACTCAAAGAAAGGTAATCGGTCCTTCTAGATCCGCCCCATCCGTTGCGCGGATGTTGCGCAACCCTTGCTACATCCGACCGGCGTCCAGGGTACCTAGTCCATACAGAGTGAGTATCAAATTTTCGCGACATCTTGAGACGTCTATGGCCGTCGATGGAGCCTAGAAGACGGCATTTCCGTAATGGGACCTCGGCCCCGTCAAGTCTTAACAATCAGTGTGTTCCAGATGCGTATTTGTCTGACCTGATGCATTCTGTTGTCAAGAACGAGTGGAGTAATAGCGGTGATGTTATAAAGAACACTTGCATGTCATAGGACGAGCTTCGATGGAGCTTTGAGTCCCTCTAAATCGTTCCCCGACGCAACCGCCGACCCGTGACATGGTGCACTACCCATACAAGCAGCTCACGCATTCAACCTTCCCGTCACCGCTTATCGGGGACCTGTTACCCAAATAATAAGAGCCGCAAAACGCAACCTGTTTCAAAATTTAAACCCTTCAGTCTCGTTTATGTCACAGCGCTGTAAGCCGACACGTAGTGTTCAAACCTGTTGAAATGACTGTTTGTATTACGTCCCAAAAATGCTTGCCTATAGGAGCACAATGTGACTATTTTCTTTCCAGTTCCTCCGCTCGAATTTGCCCTTTTCGTGTATTAATTTGTAGTAATCTTTCTCTCACAGCTGACTATTCTTTATAGCCATGTCAATATAATTCTTTCAGCATCACTACGATCCCAACCCAGATCCCTAGCATTGCAAATGGTCGGTACGTTAGCTCCCAGTTTGAATTTTTCCTGTTTACCATCCAACCGACAGTTCCCCCGATATAGTCTTCCCTCCGAATGGCACTCATCCGCACTGGATGAATAGGGTGTTCTATAGCGTCAAATTTGACGCATTCACCCTCACCTCATCGCCTAGGGACAGGGTTAAATCTGATGGGGTTGATCTTACGATTATCGTCATCAGCACTCCACTGAACATCTGCAAGTGGATACACGAAGAACCAACCACGGCAGTCAATGTCGTACCAGTCGTTGTCATATTTCGGCCAGACTAAGCCGGGAAGTTGTTCCCCTGCGGTGCCATCTTGGGCCTCACCACCAAGAGAAATTCCTTATAAATCACCGTCTCCCTCTTCACCTTCGACCTGCTACTTCTTTGCCAGGCCATTTTCACCTTAAGTATCTGGCGCCAGATAATACCTCGAGCATCTAGCTTTGCGCGATATTGCGTGACACATTCTTCAGCTGTAGCGTCAGATCAGAAGTAGAATTCGTACCTAAACTGGTCATACGTACAAATAACCGGTCATTCTCAAAACTACACCGGAAGGCAAAACCATCGAAGTCCTGTTAGACATCTGGGTTCACCATACAGAAGACCCAAGGGTGTAGGGTAGGCAGCCTAGGCCGATTATCCCACCTGGACTACGATATCATGGCCGACTTGCTGTGTGGCCTTTGAAGGGAAGATTATAGATGTATTTGACCCCCATATGTTGGGGTTTATAGCCCTGGGGCGGAAATTCTCTTGCGGACCGGACCAGACTGGCCAGGGATCAGTCTTCTAGATTGATGACGATTTTGAGAACCTGCTAGTGGGCGTGAATGCTGCGCAAGTGGTATGCGAGGAGCAAAATAGAGAATGACGGTTGGAGGATGAATGGTGGTGCATGATCGTGTTATTAGATAGTTTAGAGAAGAGTATGACGGACTGTGCGAGATGGCCTCATAAACGCAAACAATAGAGAGACTGATGAAGGATCCTTACTTTTCGACTCGGAGCGTGCCGGTCAGCCGTTTCGTACATTCGAGCGGAGCCCCTATTCCGGGCCCGCCACAACCAATCATATCTCAGCTCCTTGCGACGCCAAGTCATACAGGAAGGGCGCCGTGCCTTGTGTTTGGACTTCACTGGGATCAAGGGAGGCCAGCACCTCTGAGAAGACCGCAGAAAAATAGTAGACCTTGGGGTAACTGGTTGAGAGAAATGGAATTATGTTACTGATTTACACCGATCTGATAGAGTCGAAAGAAAGGTAACATAATAGACCTGCCATTCTCACTTAAGTAAACCTAGTAAATGAAAGAAGTAATTATTATTATTGGGGATAAAATACTACCAATTAATATTATGAAAAATTTATTTCCTAAAATACAGCACGTAAGATGGTGAATGCTGTATCGCTAACAACTTCGCTATCCGGATCTACATTTCGGAGGACTTGACGTATAATGGAAACGGGAGCCATAATCAGGTAGGCAGGGTGCGGATTTTCATTCTTTAATGAATATACAATCTTTTTGTGGCCTTTTCCACACCGAAGTTGGCGCACGCTGTAGCTCGTATTACCCTTCCTTGCTGTTTCCTTGGGTCAAGAAGCACAATATGAAGTATCGCAAGGAAGTAAATGCGCCATCCCATGCTTTAGTCCAGCCCAATTTGGTTTCTTTGCACCCCCATTGCGATTAGCTTCAACCTTACTTGTCTCTTGGATGTGGGCGGCAATGAGCACATCTCCCGGTAGTAAAGTCCGAATGTAACTTGCAGATAAATCGAGTGAGCAACCAATTCATAAATGAAAATTGTTCAAAGCATCGTAGTCACTCATTGACAAAATAATTTGACGATGGACGCCAAGTAGGTCTCTTTGCTTTGCATATCGGAGACACGATGGCTACGATGGTAGATATGCTCCCTGGACGTCTAAACCGCCACTCGTCGCGATTCCACATCAACGCTGCAGGCAACGCATTAATTAAAATGCCGCGGTGGATAATGTTTGCTTCAGCACAGCGTGTGGAATGGTGAAGCGCTCTGAACGACGCAGCCATCTAAACAGGTACTGTACACCAATGCCTCTGAAATGGTCTGCTGACCGGATGTGGTTCTGGGCGACATCAAGATACGTCTTGATGACTTGGGTCATGGCCTCCATCTTCTTTCGGACTTGGTCCGTTACGAAGGAGTCGAGAGCGGAGGGGTCGGGGAACCGTTTCGAGGATCGGGCCTCTCTGATGGCATCGTCGCTGTCCTTAGAGACCTGCGAGAAGGTTCCCTTCGCCATGACCGTTCCTCATCGAGGCACTAGGCTTTCCGAACAGATATTCGGCGTTGACTTCGCCGACATTATATGGGACGATGTGGGCGGCAACTACTAAGGGGTGAGGTTCTCCAGATATACAGCACCAGTTGTACCTATTGTCGTCTGCTGTGCATACTGAGATGAATTTCTTTCAGAATATTTCTTGAGCTGCTGTATTACAGGCCTTAAAGATAGTTAATTTCGCATTATCGGATATTCAATAGTAGCTGATTAGTAGGTCGATATAAGCAGTATCGTCGACCTTATAAGCGTTAAATTGCATCTTTATATCGTCGATATATTCTCTAATAAACTGATTCTTCTGATCTTGAAGAACAGCTAGGTTGGCTTAATAGAGCACAACCTCAGTCTCTATATAACCTCAAGGTTCTTGTTGAACTTATTGTTCGTAATATCATGGCTCCTATTGTGGTAGAGCTTCTTGAGGACGTGGGGACTTATTCGTTCAACGTTTATTGCTGAACCTACCAAAGAATTGTAAGACCCAGAAATTACGGTACTCTGAAGAAATAGGTATCATTTCTTGGTACTCATACCTTGACGGCCCAGGGTGATAAACCCAATTTGTGCTTGATGGGGCATAAAAAGCCTGCCCGTCTACCTTCTTCATTTTTTGTTAGGCAGCCGTCAGAGAGAAAGCCACATTGCAACAAAGGACTGAACACGAACTACAGCTCTCTGAGTCACCTAGTCACATCCGGTCCACAGATTGGAAATACTTTCTACCATGGACGTCTTACGCAACTTACATGATGTACCACTTTGGGTTTTGGACTTGATCATTCGTCGGATACGGGGACTGTTCAACTATGGACCATCGACATCTACACCAAAAGCTCTTGTTGACGAAATGTCCGTCCAAGAGTGGAAGCAGCAAATGCGTGACCGGCTCTCAATCCTCGAGGAGACTATGGATCCTCTCATCGCTGCATCTATCTACAACACCGATTACAGCCCGATATATCGCCTGCCGCCTGAAATTTTGCTCGTCATAATTCGCCAGCTCTTCAACGACGCACCGACATTTTTCTGCCTCCGACAGGTCTCCCGACTATTCCGAGAACTCATCAACAACAAAGAGTTCCAGGGTCATATATTCCCAACGTATTACGAATGGGACGATGGTCTCAACACCCCAGGTGTTCGGTATTGGATGAATGCAGCCATCAAATTTAACGTTGCTGTAACCTACCAACGAGCAGCACATCGTCCTCTAATCAAGGAGATTGGCACTCGACTTCGCAGGGATAGGTTGTGTCTTGCATGCCAAGAAAGTTACAACTCGAAACCAAAGGAAAATCTACCCGGTAGATGTAAGCTGTTTCCGTTGAAGGGCAGTTTTATCCATTGCTCTGGGTGCGGGCATGATCATGCGCAGCCGATGTTCTCGGTGGCTCAGCAAAGGGCGCGTTGGGACCAGCGTATCTGTCTTGGCAGAGAAGGATACGTTCGCCTATGTGAGCATACAGTAATCACTTGGGCAGACATCGAACCTCATTTGATCGAATGGAATGCGAAACCTCACATGACTCTGGAAGACTGTGATGTTACCATCAAGTGTTGCACTGAGGAGACACACAATTTCGGCTGCGGACATAAGACTTCAGCACCGTTTGCCAGACTCTGGTGTGAGGAACCTGGTACAGTTATGCTGCAGCTCACATGGCATCCGCACACCGGACCCTCCAATTTTATGAGGTCCGCGGGAGGAGAGATCCTTGCGTCAGAGATACGGACATTGGCCCGAAAATACCGCCAAAATGCTGCCCGGTTTATCGTTCCCGAGGAAGCTGCTGGGCACCTCCCGGAGATGGAATGTTTTCCCTTCGGATATTGCGATTGCCTTCATTACGTCGGACCGGACGACTGTTATGGTATTGATTACTTCGGTTTAGACCAAGGTTCTTCATCGTCCTCAACAACGTCTTCGACGACATCCTCGACGACATCCTCAACGACTGGCCGACAACATGGGAGACTCGGCATGACCAAGAGATTTTGCGGTCACATTCGGTCTACACTCTGGAACTACTCCCTGCGTTCACTAATTGCCATGAGACAATGTCGCTCTTCATTCCATGACCCACGGTCGGTTTGCATCGAGACACAATATACGAAAACCATCTTCGTTGGGCACCGAAGCCACAAAAACAATTCTCCTGGAGATAGCTGGTTCCATGCGTTGGACCCAGATTCTTTTGTCGGCGACGAAAGTTGTACTCGTCTTGAGAGATGCAAAGATGCATCCTGCACCAATCACTATGCGGCGGATATGGGGGTTCATGAGTCACGCCCGGCTGCACACAAGGCGTGTGGTGATAATTGCATGGTTAGTAGAGGGTCATCTTCAACTGCAAGTAGCATCATGTCAGAGACTTAATGAATATATTGTTTATTCAAGGGGCAGCTATGGATAATTTTTTGAGTCAATGTTGAGAAGGCAAAATCGAACATAGTCCACACCCCATCCCAGTTTCTTTCAACATTCTATACCACTGAAAAGTATGCAACTTTCCAAGCCTTCCAGATCCCCCATGTTAATCACTGGTCACTCGTTAGTGATGGCGTGATCAGGCAGAGTGCGGATTTGTTTCACAGCTGTATTTACGATGAGGTTCTTTTGAGCTTGGAGGCGATGCTGCCACGGCTAAAGGAACCCGCCGCCGTCCGGAGCACGGCTATGCCATACCCGCGCCTCCACATAGGGCAGATGCGCTGTATTTATAGTGGACGCTCGCTATAGTTCGACGCTTCGGAGCCCTGTGGAGTGCCAGTGAGCCCTGAATCACGTCCAAGATTAGCGCCATGTCTCCCCTGTTCTAACCCACATTGTGATTTCTGGAATGGCCTGTGGCATTCCGCATTCTGGGGTATTCACTCTTCATCGCCAAACTCCATTGCACTCACTCACTAGAACACGCACCGGAACACTGCAGCGAAGCGAGCCACGGCAAAGAAGAGCTCAACGAATCTCTCATCATTTCCAAACAAGATGGCGACCTGATCACCTTGCCGAACACCCATGGCCAGTAAACCCTTTGCGAGGACTTTGCTGCGGTGGCATAGTTCTTCAAAGCTTAGGCGAGCATTAGTCAAGCCAACCAAAAGAGCATTTTTGTAGCCGTATTGTGCAGCCTGTTGATCAAGCAGCTGGCCAAGGGTGATCCGGAAAAGATCCAGCTTGTCGGAGCCGGTTACTATCGACAAGGCTGGCCGCGATGCCGTGCTGCTCGAGGATCGCATCGTGGCGTAACTTCTTTGCTTTGTGTCTTCGGAATTTAAAGAATTTTGAGGAAGGGTAGTACTAGGTGCTTACTCAAGATTTGTTTGGGAATTAAAGCAACCACATTGGGAAATAAAACTACCGTGTCGACTCAGTAAATTGGCCCTGAATCCTTCCCCTACTTATTGCCTTCGGGCTCTTTTCTACCTAATGATTTAGGATATCTAAGACTTGTATAGTTTAGCTCTAGTCCATAAAATAGAGCCAATTGATCGAGTCGATACAGTAGTGTCTTCGCATTGATTAGGGAAGTCGGCTATCAACACGGCGATATCTCCGGCCCCGTTTTCCGGACTCAGGTCGCCCGCTACATTTCCCCGGTACCTCGGCCCGTCTCTGTGTCAAAAACATTGAATTGCCTCTTCAAATTAAGCCGTTTCTTCTCGGAGGGCAGTATTACTGCCCATGATCATTTTAGAACCTCTAAATTATTTCATCATGGCGCCGTCCGAGCCCGTTTTTGCCAAACCTCCACCGGACATGAAGCATTGCCTTGTCTCATTTCCGAGCCTGGGCATTCTCCTGGTGCTTATCAACAGACCGCTGGCTTTAAACTGCCTGTCCAATGAAGCGAGCAATGAACTTGACTCCGTCTTCAGATGGTTTGACCGGGAGCAAAGCCTTCGCGTAGCTGTGATAAGCGGAGTGGGAAAGGCGTTCTGCGTTGGTGCTGATCTCAAGGGTTAGTAAACGTCCACACTACGTTGTGTTCATTTCGCGAATCTAGACAACGATGTCTAATAGAATTATAGAATGGATGGCAAACCATAAAAAGGGAATCTCAATGAAGCTTCCCGAGAACGGATTCGGCGGCCTGTCACTCAGAGGTGGCAAGAAACCCGTGATTGCAGCAGTGAATGGCCCCGCGTATGGAGGCGGGTGCGAAATGGCCGTCAACTGCGACATGGTCGTGGCGTCGTCAACAGCAACCTTCGGCTTGCCTGAGGTTAAACGAGGCGTGACTCCTTTCGCGGGAGCGCTACCTCGGATCATGAGGACCGCCGGGAAGCAGCGCGCAACTGAGTTGGCGTTGACGGGTAGGCCAGTGAGTGCACAAGAATTCAAGGATTGGGGTCTCTGTAATCACGTCGTTGAAGAAGGAAAGTGTGTCGTGGAGAAGGCAATTGAGTATGCTAAAATGATTGCCAACAACAGCCCCGATGCGTCAATCGTGACACGCCAGGGGCTTAAGCTTGGATGGGAGGCCTTGGGCGTTGTAGATGCTAGTCGAGTCTTCTTGGAAGGTTGGAGCAACCGGATTTACGATGGTCCTAATATGCAGGAGGGCTTAGATGCATTTACGGAGAAGCGAGAGCCGCGTTGGAAGGACAGCAAACTATAGTGCAGTTCATACTGGAGACCACCTATTCAGATACCATTTGCAACAAAAATCATTTCACGAAACATGATGGTATTGGGTCTGTTGTGATGGATGTCTAACAGGATCCGTATTATGTCCGCAGTCGCTCGATCCACTACCCACGTATTAAGGGCAGATTACAATTCAAATAATGCCTCATTCCCCGATCCTTCACAATTCCTACTCTCATCTCAAAATGCGCTAAGTTTGTCTTGGTGTGGTGATAAAGCTCTAGCGGCCGTGGAATGCGCGGGCCCGGCTTCTTCAACCGTCTTGCCCTGGAGCTGAACAAAAATTGTAACACGGGTATCTTTCCGTCCCCACATAGAGGCTGACGAAGTCATTGCCGCGGACGGTTAGTCTCCTACCTCCCAATGATGCCTATGAGCTCTTATTTTATGGTAATTCGGACTTTGTTCTGCTTTTCCTCCCTTCCCAAGTTATTCTGGTTTAAATGCTCACTGCACCCTTTTAAATTCGTTTCCGAGTGCTACTCGTGTTATGAACCTTCTACTGAGTTTATCAATAGCTATTATTGAGCCAAATCACTGGGATCTGTTTGAAAGGTGCTGCGTGTAACTTTAATCTGTCCGGCTACATATGCATTGAGGCTCCCTTGGCCACCTACATATCTATTATAGTCGCCCAAAGTTCGTACGTCATTCCTTTACCACATCTACCAGGGCCGTCATTCCCGCTGTGCCCTCCAGGGTCTTAGTAGGTGCGGGGCTGGAAGTACGATTTCCACTCATTGCAACATTCGCTTTCCAGCTCGCCTCCACAGCGGCCTGCACAATCTTGCCCGCGTCGTGACGATCCAAGGTCCGAATCGCCTTTTCCGTGCTTCCGCCTGGGACACATACGTCATTGACCAACTGCTGCAACGGGATATCGGGGGATCTCTGGGCCAAGAGGGCCGCCCCCATGCAGGACTGGACCACGAGCTGATGGGCGATGTCGGCAGGGAGACCATGAGCCGTTCCTGCTGCGACCAATGACTGTAGAAGGTGATAGACGTAGGCCGGAGCGGATCTGAGACTGTGTTAGTCATGCGTGGGTTCCAGGATTTCTGAATTTCTACATACCCAGACACGGATGCGGCTATGTCCATGAGTTCCTCCCGAGGGAGCGTCGCAACGACCGGCGAAATACACTCAAAGATCAATTGCACCTCGGCCGCGAGGTGAGGAGTCATGTGCTGGTTAGAGAAGATTGCCGTGGCACCTTTCTTGACCGCAACGGGGGTATTGGGCATGGTACGCATGATGGGCGTTTCTCGAGGGAGCCATTTCTCAAGCTGCGAAACAGTGATACCCGGGCAAACAGTAACCACAACCAACTGCTGCGTGGCACCGGCTGCCTTGAAAGCTTGAGTTATCTCGTCGCAAACCTCCGCTGTGCAGTGAGGTTTTGTCGCAATCACCACGATGTGGGTGCTTCTCATGTAATCGTTGAGCGACCAGATGAGGGGATCCTTGTTGTCTCCAGTCACGAGGGCCGAGGGATAATCCTTTCGCAGGCCGTCAAGAGCTTCGGGGCGACGACCAGTCAAGGCCAGTCTGTAGGATCGTGAAGGCGTAGATTCGGACAATAAACCCTCTACAATACCTCGGCCAAGCACGCCGCAACCGATGACGGTCAACTGAATGGGAGAGTTCATGATGAGCAAAGAGTGAGAGGAGTTGGAATGTCGCTCATGTCCCAGCGTTCATCCTAAAGGACCATAATATATACATATCATCCACCATTACCAGTTGGCTACTATGTCTTGTGCTGGCAATTGTGATTCGGGAGGTACGAGATCGTTTCAAGATAACGCCTCAATATTCCAGTTGACATAGCAATATTACCGTGACCAGGCAGCTGAAAGACATGTAAGTCGTATTACAGTCATCTGGCACTGCATGCCGAGAGAAACACAGAGATGAGATGGCGAATCAGATTGGTTAAAATTGACGCGGTCGGGGATTCAGGGGGACGCGCCCCCACCCGAGAGATGGTCGACGACGGGACCTACGAGAATCAGACGTCAAGTGGTGCTACGTGAGTACTGTATTCCAGAACGCAGCTTTTGTAATACAGACCACAGATACACTGAATCCAGTAAAGATCACCGCCTTTCGCCCACTTCTGTCACAATCCACCAGTTACAATCCACTTGATCTGCATTCAAAACTCAATATCAATACTCACTCAATGACAGCAGCTCGCTCCGCTTGGTTCCGAATTTTAGGTCTTCCTTCCGAGGGTACACTGCAGTTTGTCAATCCGCCAACGCATGCGTTATTTTGGCGGAAAGTCCTTTATAATTTGGTGGCCAGGGATTTGGTAGACTCTCTGCGGGCTGGCTGAGGTCGGTTTTTTCCGGATGCTGACAATCTGCGGTCTGTATTACGGCACTTGTGCTGCCAAGCACAAGAATCCTCTCGCTTCCTCGTTCCCCAATTGTCTTGGAAATTGGCATCCGTAGCGATTATTCTGCATGTGGTACACGAGCTTTTTTGTAGAGTCTCTTAAATCCCCCTTGTCATTATCCCATTGCGTTCAAAAGCCCCTCGCATACGAGTTGAATCAAATACTTTGGGGGGGAAGGGTCGCAGGGTGGCACTGACAACGCCGTAGGAATACCATGTCTTGTCTTAACTGAGGTAGGATAAATCTAGGAAATGATACCTATTGGACATCTCCATGAAGATATGACCGAGTAACTTCTACGGAGCAGGAGCGGCAGGAATACGGAGGCCATCCCTTATCAAGAAACAATGTAAATCGACACGCCACAAGGTGGTACACTCCACTAAAATCGGTCGTACTCAGTGACGCAGCATCCATCTCGGGCCGTGCCAAATATTGGCTCGTATTAGTCTCGAGGAGGGATCCTAGCTGCCGTGTCTCAGACCCTTGGGTTCAAAATTCCCTGTCGCACAAAAAGGGGTATCAGTATGCTGTGTCTCAAGACGACGTGTCTAGGCAGACGATTCTATGAGAGAGGATTTCACAACAGCTTGGCTAATGCCCGTTAGCCTCGGGCCGAAGAGTTAGCGGCTGTACGTCGCATTGTCAAGCCCAACTGACAAGTGATGGACTACTCCGCATGTTGCCCTGCAACCAAAATACAGCCAAACTCTTTATCCCAGACATTGGTGCCACACTCCAACATCACAAACATAGAGGACTAGTCTAAGATGCTGTTGGATTGTGACCCTGTATTACGAAACCTCTGATAGATGGATATCCTGACCTTAGTCAGAAGGGGGGTCTGATAACCCCTCTTCCGGGCCGATCCGGATGACCGGAACAAGCAATCATCAACATCATCATCACTGCATTGATCCTTATCCATTTGATCGAATAGTCCGTAACGGATCCAACAGATGCTTTTAAATTATAGGGAGTCACACTAGCCGTTGCTAATCGATATATCCTCGAGTGAGACAAATTCCCATTCCGTGTGCCCATAGAACCAGTCCTCTCCAAGCCATGCTAGCCTAGATAGGAAAGCCGATCAGAGAAGGATACCCTTGCTACCAACGACAGCGTTAAAACCATTTGGCAAAGAAGTGGAACCGTAAATATTGGCCTCATGGATGGCGCGTTCTATTTCATCATTAGAAATACTCTCATCTAAAGTTCCTAACAGAATATCCTCCTTTAATCGTTCCTGGATGAAATGTAGGCTCCCGGCTGACAAGAGCAAATGAAGAACCACAGTGGTTGACGTTGCCATCATCGCCCTGCCCAATATGGCGGCCAATATGGCCGCCAATGAGAACGGCAAGGTCACATGTTTGCTTGTCTCTCGCTGACCTTGCGCTCGCTAACCGTTTGTAGCCAACTCCTCCAAGTGCTCCCGTTGCGTGAAGGGCCACAAGACCTGTGAAGTGGTAAGTCTCCAGATTATTCGTTCGTCGATCCACCAATGAGTAACTCCGAAACAGCTTGCGCGCGAGGATCGACCAATTTTGGTCAATCTATTTGCATTTCTAGCTGCCGGGCAGTTCCCCAAGACCAAGGCGGAGTACCTTGAATCCCCAGTAAGGATTGATACATCCCACTAGCTTTCTCGCCGCTAACACGCTGCCATCAGTCCGTCCAGGCAGTTCGAACTCCCGCCCGCCGTCTCCTTCATCGCCTCAAACTTGAGAACAAGATCGCCCGCGCTCAATCCTCAGCCGCCGACGCCGCTGCTGTCGCCGTCCAAGAAGCCAGTGAGGCAGCCGCACGCGCGCAATTTATGGAGCTCACGGCACTTCAGGTGCAAATCGACATTGCCAACCATCTCCGCTGCCTCACGCAGTACATGTTATCGGGTGTTCGAGGCAGCGACGTCGCTCCATGCTACACGATGCCCGAGCGTGTTGGGCCTGAGACGGTCCCCGCGGGCCTGAACTTTACCGCTTCCGACGACGACGATGAGGAAGAAGAGGAATAGTGTGGTCCCTGCCTGGTAGCCAGCTTTGGGTTCGTTGACATTGTACCAATAGTGTGGTCAATCCACAACCTTACGACCTCTGTGTCAAGCCTCTCCGTGATGTACATCGGATGGACTTGATGGTCGATAACTTTGAATTTCGAGCCTTTATCGTCACTGTGTCAAAAACAATCCTTCCATAAGAAACTCTCAAAGGCGGATTAGTCAGGGTCAACAATAATAGGAAATGTCACATGAAATGTCGGGACGCATAACGACCGACTAAATATTGCCGGTTCACTATTGTAACTAGCATTAATAGTTTCAAATCGCTCAATACGATAGCCTCCAGCTACAGCCGGATACTTCCAGTGGACTACGTCTTCTTCATACTCTAAATATCTAACTTTTCTAGCTTTTGGAATCGGACGTGCCAGCATTAGGGATTTCCGGGATGCCTCTGAAGCTTGTGAGCTCAATTGACATTGCGATCAACCAGACCAACGGGGTCATCGGGGTCATCTCATGATCCACCCTTCACATACGAGACCGAAGAGAGGCCAGTGACCTGTTGTTAAGCCGCATCCTAGACTTCTTACTCGGAGACAATATATGATGCCGTGACATGCTCACAGCAACTGCATTCTTTTCGATGAATTAGGTCAATGCAACGAGGCGGAAAGTTTCGGGGCCAAAAATCACATCTCATTAGAAACCATATGGTGGAATTAATGGCAATGCGCGTGTTTCCTGAGGGCTTGCCTGAACCAAGCCATGAGATTAAATGGCCCAGGGCAAGGCCTTGCTTATACATGCAAACTACCTGCCTGGGGTGTCCAGTTGAGTGAGTCCTAACAGAATCAACTTTCCTGTCTAAGCTCCGTCTTTCTTTGATCAAATTCAGATCGGCCCTAACGAAGCTTTGACAAAGATTTAAATTCAGTCGAGGGGGGCCTTTCTTTGAACGTAATCATATTCATTTGGCCGCTACAGGCACTTGGAAGGCTGAGGTAGATTAATTAAAATATTCTAGTCTTGTCGCTTGCCATCATACAAGATTTTCCACAATTCTACCGACATATCGTTCTTCCTAATAAACGATACTCAACAGAGAAAGCGATAGAGCTTTTTCCAGCGTGGCCAAGCAAGCTGCTCACTCCGTTCTTGCTCAGTAAGGATGTGAACTCGGGAATACCGCCGACCTGTGGTAATGTCCATCTTGGCAATCCGGACGACCTGCGTCCGAAACCATAGTTTATGGGCGCCGTAGGATGCTAGGATAACAGGAAACGCCATGGCGCGGAGGAAGAAAGCCTGAGCTCTAACGCCAGGCGAGTCTGATACGTCGAGAGGCCAGATGCCGATCCAAACCTGCCCAACAAGGATAATGGAAAATCCAGTAAGTGCGAACCAGGACCCGGCCACCCCGACTGATGACCGAAATGGGAGCTGGTCTAAGGGGCGAGACGCATATGCCCAAGCTTTTCGAAATCGGATGTGGCAGAGACAGATGCTGCCCCAGGTAAAGAGCATGCATAGACTGCTAATTGAGAGGAGCCAGTTGAAGATGATACCTGTTTCTGCCAGGTCCACCAGAAAAGCTAGGAGACCAATCATACATGCAAGTACAATAGCCAGTAAAGGCCGGCCTTGTCGATCGACGTAGGAGAATATTCGAGGGGCATGGGACTGTTCGGCGAGGGCGAGGAGGGTTCGAGAGGACCCATACACAGCAGAATTGCCAACTGGATTATGTTAGAATTTGCATGGGCTGGAAGAGAGATGCTTACCACTAATAACAGCGATTAAAATGACGACATTCATAATGCTGGGCAGGACCTTAGTCCCTGCGCTTTCGATGGCAATAACGAAGGGGCTTGCAAGCGCGGCTGAGGTACTCTTCGCGCCCAAAAGACGAGGGTCGGTATAAGGGACTAATAGTCCGATGAGTAACAACGAAACGCAGTAAAAGATCGAGATTCGCCAGAAGACCTGTTTGATAGCTGACGGTAGGGACTTTCTGGGATTGGCAGCTTCGGCCGCAGCCAGGCCGATAAGTTCAGTTCCGGCAAAGGCAGCAGACGAGTTGACTATAACAGTACAGAAACCCTTAAAGCCGTTATTAAAGGCACCAGGGTCGCGCCAGTACTGCCATCCCATGTAGCCGCTGTCTGGGTGGCCACCGATGTTGATGACTGTGCCCAGTAAGCTGGGTTGATTTAGCAAACAGAACAAATATCAATAGACAATGAGGCTTACATAAAACCAATCACACCAGTGATTTTAATAATTGAGAAAATAAATTCAGCCTCGCCATAGGCCTTGACGCCGAAGAGGTTGATAATTGTGATTAAAGAAAGAAAGATCGCGATTACGATGGCCTTGCTCAAATTTTCGTTCCAGTAGTTGATAGTATATGCTCCTGCAAGGATCTCCATCGGCAGGACGAAGAGCCATTGCAGACAGTAGCTAATTGGATATCTTGTCAGTTATTTTTCAACGCATCGGAATGACCCATAACTCGATGATTGATCGGCAGATAAGAGAATGGACTTACTTCCATCCCATTGCGAAGCCCCAAGAGGGATCAAGAAATCTGGTAGAAAAGGCGGAGAAGGAACCAGCAATTGGAAATAAGACGCAGAGTTCTCCTAGTGACTGCATTGTACTGTATTGCAAGACGCCATGGATAAAGAAGGACAGAAAAAGGCTGGCTGGCCCACCGGTGGAGAGGGAGTTGCCAGAGGCTACGAAGAGGCCGGTTCCTACGGGGGCAATTAGCATCAGAGAGCATATGCTACCTTCCATCTGACGCTTACCAATAGCGCCTCCAAATGCTATCATCTGCAAGTGTCGTCCCTTCAGCTCCCTCGCAAGAAGCGTGTTGGCCGTTTTGATGTTGGCGGCGCCCAAGTCGTAGTCACGGCTCCCGGCGACGGCGGCTATGACTGGGGGAAGAGTTTGCTTGTACGGAGAATGCTGAAACCTCCTGGGCGGTTTCTCGGCGCGTCGGAACCCGTCCACCCAGCCCTCCGGCTCAGACCGGGAGGATTGCTTGGTCATGATATCCCAGTTGTCGCCATGGTCCCGTGCAACCGCGCTGCCTCGCCTCATGTCGCTCATCCGACTGGTCTTGACATCAACGGTGAGGAGGTTACTACCCTTTGCAATGGGCAGTGGCGACTGGTATCACGTTCGGAGATGATGAAGAACGAAGAGAACCTGTCAAGTTCAGGGATGGACGGTTCTTGAATCACATTTAAGACAGCCCATAGGCGTGGCGCAAGGCTACGCTTTTTCAGGCATGGTCTGGCAAGGGAAAGCTTTTACCGAACTCTAATAGCGTGACACGAGTCATGGAGAGTTTGAGGCGTTTTCGTCGATGGCCTGACAGCAAAAGCGAGGGCGCAAACGTGATATTGGCGGAGCGACTTAGTCCATCGAACGCAGAGGCGGCCACAGAAGCGATGACACTCTGATGACAGCAGCGGCCCGCAGCCAAATCTCTGCGTACGACCCTGCACGAGCAGTCAGATCTCACGATTCAGGTCCCTTCGGACGGGATGGACGGCTCCTTTTAGCGTCGATCCAGCTCTAACTCCCAAGAAGCTAGATTGAATCGTCTTATCAGGTCAGTGCGCAAGCTCACCCCCATGCCACGCGGAATTCTTTCCCCTGTGCAAAGTGAATGTGGCCTAGCCCGCGATAGCTTTGCAACAGAGTCAGGCTCAGGGGTTTCGGAAGAGAACGATAAACGAAATCACCACACCACTTAGTTGAAGATAGGGGACCCAGTCCAGTGGTCCTGTTTCTTTATCGTCGTCGTCACACGGACGGCATCTCTCAGCGCCCGCTCTGCCACTGGTCGTTGTTGCTTGTGGTCGGTGTTGGCGTCGCATACTTCGCGAACAGGCGTTCCACTATCTTGTAGCCTCGTTGATCCCCTGGCCCACTGATCTATCTGTGAACTAACGTCACCAAGCCCGCCAGCTGACATACGCCGATCGCATAATCACTCTCATTGCAGAAGCTGTCAACGCCGATCTGACCGGTCCCTGGGTTGACAGGCACGCTAGGAACGGCGCGTGTTTGCGGGGTTCGTTCCATGAGGGCCAATACCGTCAGCGTGTCATCTTCAAAGTACCGGTAGGCCGCTCTAGGAAGGATCCTCGTTGCTCGTTCTGCCGGGTCCGGCAAAGCGGAATACCTTGCAGCCCGGCAGGCTCGCTTGGACCGCTTGCTTGCCTCGGCATTGATCCGCTGGAGCCGGGGCCATCGGTTGACAGAGCCCATGCAGCATTGGCAGCTGGGCGACACCAAACGGAAGCCTTGCGCATCCCGAGATACCGGGCGCGGCGACTAGCACAGTCCGTGTTGGGGTGGATTCAAGGACTGGGGAGCCGCGCCGTCGACTATTAGATGATTGCCATGAACGATGAACTGTACGACGACATGACCCTGTCGAGCGCATTTTTTCGGGAAAATTCATTGTGATGCCTGGCAGCATGGAGCTCGTTGTGGTAAACACGACCAACAAGAGGCCCCTCAAGTAAAAGCTCACCCATCACCCGAGTGAGAGTAGACGGTTATGGTCTTCAGGGTCCACCGCCCACGTAACTACTCTGGCTCCTCTTCCAATTTTAATCGCATCTTCTGGAGTGGACGGATTGTCATTGATAAGACTCACCGGGGTGCACTCACTTGGTCCATAGATGGTAAATGCCTGTGGTGTGGCGCCCCACTACTGTTCAAAGTCTTTCACGCGGATCGCCTCTCCACCCAACTTCCAAGACCATGGGCTTCAAAGTACGCACCTGGTTTGGTGATAGTGGCTGATAAACAGAAGGCTTTAGGAATACCGCATTGGCCGTCAAATCGGTTATGCTTCTAGCTACCTAGGTTATTCTTGAGGTCATCTTCTATCGGGACGCAAAGGCATCCATCCACTGCGCTGGTAGGGCTGTGAATGCCCATGGGTACCCACGGGCTGGGTACAGTACGAAAAAGAATTAGCGCTTATAGGTGCCCACAGGTACCCGTGGGCGCCCATGGGTAGGTACCCAATTTTACACCTTAAGTCCCACAGCAGCAAACACCGTCAAGACATTCAAGATAGATCTATTGAAGCTGTATATGGAAAAGCCATAGAGTTTTGAGTTATTTGTTGTAACTGGCGGTCAGGGGCTTTTAGGCTAGCTGATGCGATAGTAGGGACGTCTTGAGGGTTAAAAAAAAAGATAAGCTGACAGAGGGGAGGCAGTATTATCTTTTGGAGACTTTTTCTAGAAGTAGGAGAGACTCAGAGAGCTCAAGACTAATTTAGAAAGCTATAAGTTTATTGTTTTCATTTTTAAGAGATTTATTTGAGTCTATTTTAACCGACGTTATGATCTCTATCCGACCTACGTCTTCCACCCCAATAGATATCGGGCAGCCGCGGACCGTATTGAGACCTGGCCAGCGGAATTTCCCCTTATCAACCTGATATTTCATCTCATAAGATACTTCCCTACTTGGAGATATAAGCCTCAGATATATCCGACCTTATACGTATAGTTTAGTGCAGCTTCGGGCTAACTGTACAAGACGCCTGTGTGATAATTTTCTGTGTCTCTCCCTTAGGACAAGTTAATGAGTTGGGTGTTGGATTCTGTTACTTTCTCCTGCTAAAATAAAGCCAAAGCCCTTGGCTTGTTGGTGTATAGCCGAAGCGGAACTTCTCTGGTCGATGCTGACCCCCTTCCACATTCTAATACTACTAGACGTGAGAACGATGTTCATGGTGGAGTCCATGAGGCCAGTTCAGCGTTACTGAGCTCCATCATCAGATAGTTTCGAGGAGGATCCGGGCTTACTGTCTGAACATTATTGCCCAATCTTGAGCTGATTTGTTGGTTGACAGGTGAAGACAGAATGAAACTGGTGCTGACTTGTTGAATGATAGCCTAGAGTCACTATTCTGGAAGAGACAAGCCAAGAAACATGAAGGTTCCGCCGACTTTCATTACAGCTAGCATCACGACAGTAGCCCACATCGGCTTCTCAAAGCAAAGATGCACCAGTTTGTCTTTTGCCACGCCCAAGTCAACAAGCTAATAAGCTCACCTCGTGGTAAGCCGATCCAACTGGTTATAGGTGAGCTCCCCTCCTCAGGCGCAAATTGCTGGAGCGTCGGGATGCGATTTTGCCTTGTCCTCGATCATCTGATGAACATATCGCCCTGCCAGCTCGGGTAGGTTACCATTCCATTCGCATAGCTGCTCCAGGTCATGTGTCGTAAGCATTTCGATATCCGCCAAAGACTTCTCAGGACCTGCACGGTCCAACTGGTGAGTAACAGTCTCTAGTCTATTCAATAGTGTCTGGACCGCCCATGACTACATCTCTCGAGTCGAAGCTGGCGGCAGTCTTGATTTCGTTGGCGCCAACCTACACCACGAGGACGAGACCATACGTGTTGAATTATTGCTGTTGGTCGCTGTCCTGCCACTTTCCAATCACATCCAGACCGGAAGCCTCTTCGTACGGTTGTATGACAAGCAGTCTCTGAAACATACATGCTTTCTGACTGCCCGGAGATACCTTGGCAGTTCGATGCAATCTCATATTCTCAAATGCTATTATTTCTGTCGCCTGTTGCTGCACCGCCTTCAAGTAGTCTAAAACTCTGTGCTCGCTGGCCAACTTGACCCTCAATGGGGCTGTTGCAAATAGTCAGCCTAGCTATTTTGTCAATGCCAACAACGAGTGCGGCCCTCCTGGACACCGTGATGACAAATACAATGTCTTCGGAATTGGCCATCCATCGAGCAATCAAAGCCCATGCAGCGCGGATTACTGTTGGCGCCGCGATATCCGTCGATCTCTGTCGGGGCTACGGGAATTGATGCTCCATGATTCTGTCTGCCACTAGCTGCTGCACAGACAGCGGGAGGGCTGGGAATGATGGACGCCAGCAGTCTGCTGGACTTTATCGCCAGTAATTTTTCATCTTGTCGTCATCTTTTTGCTTGATGTAAGCAACAAAGGGTTGGAATTGAGATGTTCGCTCAATCAGCTTTCGGTGGTATGCCCGATCCAACATGTCGACCATCATTGGCATTGACCAGCCGTCATAGAGGGCATGGTGAATCGTCCATATGAACCACATTGATGTCCCCGTGTTATTATTAACAAGTATGTCACATATATTGGGATATCGGGCTCTTGCGGTTATCAAAGCAGTGAAGCATTTCTTCCTTGATCATAGGCAGGCGTCCATGGCCACCTTCCACGTCGCCACCCTAGTACCTAGGCCTAGCTTTTTATTTAATCAGGTCAGTGACTAGCTGAAGCTAAGATCTCGAAGTATCCGGAGCGTGTCGGCTGTCCGAGGTCATCCAAGGTCAGTCATCATCTATAGGAGTAACCCAAAGGCCCTCTATCAGATAGGTAGAATCACAGGAGCTACTTCCGCATTATTGCTGTCCGTTATCGTTTTCCATCATGGTGAACTTCGCTCGCCGGCAAGTCCTGTAACGGCCAAGCTGTGCGACAAGCTAGAAGCGACCCGTATCACGACAACAACTGGTATAGCAAACAAAACAGGCAGGGAACGGCGGTCAACGAAGGAAATGGCTGTATATTTAGGACCCAGGCTAGACAGATTTTGAGCCAGACCCTTATCCTATTCTTGCATCGATGAGTGAGACCCTGCCTGTGTCAGCGACCCTCTCGCGCTTTCAACTGCCCGGCCGCAAAGGTTTCCGACTTACCCTACAGTACGACTCTCTCACGTGATCATCTGCAAACTTCTTTTCTTCCCCGCTCACCCAAGAACTCACCCTGTAACGCTGAACGTCAACAGCCGAACGAGCTCACTCACCGGAATCATGTCTGCTGACCAACCTGTGGCCATTGCGGAAGGCCGGCGTATTTATCTTGGAAATCTTCTCTATAATGTGAGGCCAGCCGAGATTGAGGAAATGCTGATAGCCAACGGTTTTGGATCATTCGAGCATATTCACATCTCTGTTGATCCAGTCAGTGCGAGGAACCCTGGTTACTGTTTTGTTGATTTTCTGCAACGAGAGGACGCCGAACGAGCTATCCAGTCTCTCGCTGCTAGCATTGGCAACCGAGCAGTAAAAGTCGGACCATGCAACCCCAAGCAGAGCTCTCGCTCCCGATACGGACAAGAGGCTCAGACTTTCCAGCGATGGGGTGACTGGGAAGGCTCAGGTGCGAAAGAAACGCGCAATACACGCTCCAGCAACTATTCAGAAAGCCGCCAGCAAGGTCCCCGTGCGGCATTGAATCACTTTCGAGAGTTTGTTAACGCCCCGGCTGAGCGGCGGATATATATTGGGGGTTTGCCCAAGATGATCAGCCAGTCACAGCACCAGCTGGAAATGGAAAAGTTACTAGATGGTTTCAACCCGTGAGTGTAGCATTGGCTGTCATCGTAAGCTTGTTCTCGGGGCTGGTGTGACTGACACACGTGGTTATCCAGGGTTGCCGTTGGAAAACGGATTACACCGCATGAAAGTACAAGAGAGAGGGCCGGAAATCATCACTACTGTTTTGTAGACTTTGGGACTGCGGAAGAAGCAAGTGCTGCCATTGAGGCATTGCATGGGAGTCCCTGGGAATCAGGAGACCAGCTTCGTGTGACACGTGCAGGCCGTATCCCGCAAAGTCTCAAGAGTCGTGGAGAGCACGGGGGCAATCCGCAGCCGTCGAACGATTCGGGATCCGGAGAGAGGTTCTCGGGAGGACGAAGCTCTCAGCCAGCTCCGGCTCCGAGAGCTATGGCATCAAGCAATTGGCGGAGGGCAGAGTAGGACAACTCGGGATGTTATTAGGCGCTTGGGGATATGTTTACTTCGAGTCTAGTTGGCAGGATCAAAAGGGAATAAGAGACGGGTCTGGGTCTCAGTTGTTACGGAATTACGGTCTCGGACCCGGTTGTCACGGAGTTTTTCTTTCAACAAAGTGAAGCTTGTCATAAACCAGAGCCAAGAGAAACTGAACACGAGTTTTGAAAATCTAGTCAAGTTCGGGATTCCTACTCATTTCTCTATGCTTGAAGTTACATTGCTAGCACTATACTGGATACTACAACATTCTGAACAAAGTTAACATGAAGCTATATAGAGTTCTTATCTCGACTCTTCTTCTCTTGATGTGGATAATTCCCTGTTGTTCCGCCCTCCCGTCTGCGTCTGCGACCTGCTGACAGCCGAACTCGAGCTATTGCCTCGACTACCTCGTAGTCAATTAGCCCGAAAGTTTTCCCATCCAAACAATTGTCCTGACCACTATCAGACGACAAATCCTCCCATCGGGGAAATGACGTTTTCCTGCTCTACCCCGGCGTTCGGCCGCTAGCGCCAGTTCGCAGCGCAGGTCAGATGCACTTCCCCAACCTCGTTTCCGGCAGCGTGGCTGACACGATGCTACGTGACTTGGCCGCTTCAAAGGGAAATATTGGCCACGCCGTCCCCACGGCCTCACGACGAATCAGCGCCTCGTAAAGCCGCACCTGAGGCATGATTTGGTACCTAGCGGTGTCGGGGATGCGGGGTTGGGATGGGGACCCCAGGTTGCCCACGGAGCCTCGGCCGTGTGTGAGTCGTGTGATGGGCCTCGCTCTGGCTTCTTATTTGAGCGGCTCCAAGGTGAAGAAAAGGCGGAAAGCCTAATCCCGGCGGCCTGGAATTCTTCGGACTTCGCTTGGCAGGGGCGGCTAGCTTGTTAGGACTAGCGTTACTGCCGCTCTTACTTCGTATTAAGGCGACTCTCAGTTTGGGCTAAACCCCAAAGGCAACTTCAGGCCGACCAGGCCACTCAGTCTCGGTTTGCGATAAAAGCAGCGCGCCTCCGGAACGCATCGACCGATGCCATACCCGAATTGGCTTAGATAATCATTAGCGTAACGACTCGAAGCGCTGCAATCACATCACTTCGTCCGCTCCAAATGTGGATAGTGCAGATATCCCCGGCTTCGTGGTTTTAACTTGCACGCACGTGCTTGGCTATATATATTCCATCAAAGTCCCCATGTTGTTGATCGTCACTCTGGTCTCTGCATCTCAGAAGCTTATCAACCATCGATCACACGCAACTCGTGTGTCGAAGCGAAGATGATTGCTCCCAAGACCTACCAGGTACGGCGAGAAATCTACACCTCAGGGCGGAGCTGTTGCTAATAGTTCCCAGTTCCTCGTCGGCGTCTTCGCCTCTCTTGGATCATTCAACTACGGTTATGATCTTGGTGTCATTGGCGGCAGCGTTGCCGCGTCTTCCTTCGTAGAAGAATTTCATCCCAATGCAGATGAAGTGTACGTGCCCTGATGGAACCAGCTTCACCTACTTCCCTGCTAACATGCTCGTAGCGGTGCTGTCGTGTCCCTCTTCACTGGAGGTGGATTCTTCGGAGCTGCGGCAGCTGGTCCCCTGGGTGACATACTGGGTCGACGATACGCCATCATGATTGGCGCCATCATTTTCTGCCTCGGCGGTGCCTTGCAAGCAGCAGGCCAGAGCCTGTCTTTCTTCTACGCCGGTCGAGCTGTAGCTGGACTCGGTGTTGGTATCCTCGTCATGATCGTGCCCATGTACCAGGCCGAAATCGCCCATCCTTCTATTCGAGGCCGAGTCACTGGCCTGCAGCAACTGATGCTTGGTATTGGAGCCACTTTTGCCAGTAAGTTGTGACGAGTGCGCCATCTAGACCAAACGACTAACCCTTTACCCAGCATGGACTGTTTACGGCACCAACAAGAACTACACCACGAGTGAGCAGTGGCGCATCCCTCTTGGTCTCCAGATCATCCCCGCCGGCATTCTTGCGCTCATGATCCTCCTCTTCCCGGAATCTCCTCGATGGTTGATCGACCACGGCAAGGAAGAGGAGGGACTCACCACTTTGGCCAAGCTTCACGCCAACGGAAATGAGAGCGACCCCTGGGTTCAGGCCGAGTATTTCCAAATTCAATCCGCCATTGCTCACGAGCACGAGCATGCGGCAAAGGGCTACAAGGATCTCTTCACCGATCGTTCCAGCTTCCGACGACTTTTTCTGGTCACCGCCCTCCAGGCTTCAGTTCAGATGACCGGTGTGTCTGCCATCCAATACTTTTCTCCAGCTATCTATAAGACGATAGGCATCGGAACTACCGAGGCATTGAAGTACCAGGCTATTAGCAACGTCCTCTCTGTCCTTGCTCAGCTCTGCACGGTCCTGTTCATCGACAAGCTGGGTCGCCGCTGGCCTCTCATTATGGGCAACGCAATCAACTGTCTTTGCTTCGTCATTGTCACTGCAGCCATCGCCAGTTTCCCCAAAGTCTCCTCGTCGGTTCAGAACCAACTCGGCTGGCTCTTCATCGTTACCAACTGGTTCTACCAAGTCAGTTTCTCATTCACCTGCGGTTCTCTGTCATGGATCATTCCCGCCGAGGTGTTTGACACCAAGACTCGCTCCAAGGGTATTTCCATCGGTGTCATGGTCTCCTTCGCTTTCAACACCATGATTGGACAGATTACCGCACCCGCCATCAAAAACATTGGCTGGAGGTACTTCCTGCTGTTCGTGGTGTGCAATGCCACAAACGCCATCTTCTTCTGGGCGTTCATGCCGGAGACGAAGTTGCTGCCGCTTGAGGAGATGAACGAGTTGTTCTCGAGCACGTCTTGGTTTGTGCCAGGTACGAAGCGAAAGCAAGTCAGCGATTTGGACGCTAGGGTTGAGGAAGCCAAGTCTCAGAAGGAGGATGTGGCGGGAGTTGAGACTATTAACTAGTCTGACACAGCTCGCATTATCCTTTTATAATCTGAAGACCTCAAGAACTCAGGCTTAGTGAGCTGTTGCAATAGTCACATTATATAGCAATAATTAATACATCATTGTATTGAGCCTGGTCACCGTACACGGGGACAGGCAGTGCATAATGATCTTATCAAACCTCTCTCGCCTCTTCGAGTTCAAGTTAGACCTCGTGTTCCTCAACGTCTCCATCGGTGCCTCCTTGCTAATCCTATTCTGAAAAACGCATCCAGTCGCCTGGAGTAGGTTCATAATGTGGTGTCTTTGGGGACATTGTTGCTGAACGACCGAGTTCCCACTTGTACGGCCGGCCTTCAGCGTCCCACTCATGTGTGCTAAATCACACCGCTGTTCAGTGGCCTTGCACGGTGTCAAGGTCGCTCAGAGAATAACCAGAACATTCGCAAGAGCGATAGCTAACATTCCCGGACGCCACTTGGGTACTAATTATGCTCCATCATTTGTTACAAAGCGTAATACATTGTGAGATGTCCGAGTTATGAAATTAGAAAATGTTACAAAAAAAGAGAGATCATGTTGCGAGATTGCTCATGCTATGAAAAAGGAAACCATTGCAAAAAGAAAGGTCTCGGAGGGAGTCGAACCCTCGCTGGCGGAATCAGAATCCGCAGTCATAACCGTTAGACCACGAAACCATGGGATTGTTGATCCGGGCCACGAATTTCGGGTTCTGTAGTTTCACCCGCCCCACACTCGCCATTCCGAAACATGGATGCAAGAAGCCGAACGAAGTTGTGGAAAAAAAGGAACTGTCCCAAGTACACAAGACCATCATCACTTCATCACCATGGAACTGAAATGGAAGGAACAGAAGACAGCTATGCATCCAGTGTGTCGTGTTAGATGACCACTGACGGCTTGATCCAGTCCGTCTCATTCTATCATACCGTGTCGGCGGAAGATCCATTCAGTACAGACTGAGCGCAGGAATATCACAATAACCCCCGACAGCGCCAACTGTTGAGGCGTGACGACTGAAACGCCGTGGAGGACAGAATCCGGAGAAATGGGAAGAGACGCGTTTGGATGGTAGTGATGCTGGCGTAGCTAACGGTCTCGTTAGGTACAATACCCGGCAAAGAGTTGGCGTGTTCAACGCGTGCAGAACATGCGATAGACTGTATTCTGTCGGATGCATTGGAGAGAGGGTCAAGACCGAGGACCATAGCTGTCATTGGACTAGATGGGCTCGGTGATGGAGGTACTTATTGTGGAGCCGAAGGCGAGGGGCGACGGAGAGCAGCGGTGATGAACTCAAGAGGAGTGCGGGAGATGGGCCGGACAGATCAATTATTTAAAGCGCACACTTTGACGTTGCTTCGATTATAATAGCTAGTCTTGAGTGGATATTGTACCTAAGCTGTTGTCTTCTAATACATTTCTAACAAGGACAATCTGTCTTCTTTACAAAGAACCCCATACGCCAAAACGCCAAAAGCAAGTCATAAAGTCGTTCAGGGGGTATTCGCCCATCATCCTTACATTTGGAGCTTCTTGTCCTTGTTCTCCGCATCCTTCATGGCTACCGCCACCGCATCGACTAAATCCATGTGGAAAAAGGGCCGGTCAACGCCATAAATGGCGGCCATTGGCTGATGATTGCTCGATGAAGACGAGGATGACACTTCTTTGGCCTTAGTGTTGCGTCCACTCGGCGTGTTAACCGTCTTCTCCTCCTCTTCCTCGGAGGATTGTCCCGGGACGGAATCCTCGACGCATGCAGTGCCCGACTCAATGTCTGACTCATGACAATGGTCTGGGTTGATGTTCGTGTTCCACTCCGTCAATGTGGTGGCTATTGAGTACGCTGGGATCCAGCTAGCAAGGGCCTCGGTGTTCTGAGAAGTGGGAAACCCGAAGCCGGCGCTGGCAAGGGAACGGCGAGCCCAACGATTGTTGATACTGGCGAAATGCCACTCCACAGCGTCCGGAGCGGAGTACCGGTCGAGAGAGTTTCGCAAGTCAACGAGGCCCTGGATGCAGGTGATGTCAAGGTTGTTCACAGCAGAACAGTCGAGTACGACCGCTCGAAGATAGGGAAGGTTGGCGGAATGACAATCGTGCTTCCGAGGGCCGGCATCATTCCAGGGTCGATCAGACTCCTTCTCATAATGCTCCTCCGACATGCGACGAGTCTTGTCCATGAGGTATTGAACCAACGTGTCGATATGGTACGCTTGGTTCGTGTAGTTATATCCCTCACTGAAGCGGTAAATAAAGATGCCGGGATATGGTGACTCGACATCAATGCCAGGGTTTGAGGCATCTTTGCGATCCAGAGGCAAGAAAACTTCACGGGATTCCGTCTCGCCATGTAGAGTGTTGTCGCTGGAGCTCCGACGTGACTCATTCACCTCGTCCTCTTCGTTCACAATTCGATGCGCTCTAACCCGCCCGAGGAAGTTACCCTTTGTGCGAGCGAGGCGGAAAAGAAGCAGCGCAATGGAGAGAGCAGTGCCAACATAGATGGACGTCTCGAGCGTGTCAAAGATGGCCACGACAACGCCAATTACCCAAATGCACATCTCCAGAGGCGACAGTTGCCAGTAGGTGTACAACTTCTTTGGTGGGGCGATGAGATTGCAGACGGCATGGATGATCAGACCGGCAAGTGCAGCCTTGGGAATGTAGTAGAAGACAGCGGTCAACACGTACAATGCAAGGACGAGAACCAGTGCACTGAAGACACCTGCCATGGGAGTCTTGACGCCAGCCTTTGAAAGGACGGCGGAAGCTCCAAAAGAGCCGGTGCAGACATAGCCGCCCATGAAGGGACTGAAGATATTGGCGGCGCCCAATGCGACAATCTCCTGCGAGGGGTTGATGGTGTAATTATATTGCCTTCCCATTGCCTTGGCAATAGCGATGTGTTCAATAACCAAAATGATTGCCACGGCTGGCAACTGGGGCATGACGGCACCGAGCAAGCCAGTGCTCGGCGTCGGAATGCTGGCGCGTTGGAAACCTTTGACAATTAGCGATGGCGCATGGCATCAAGTAATGGATGGAGAGCATACCGGACTCAATCTTCCCGACGATCCTAAACTTGGACTCTTCGAAAGGAAGACCCCTGTTGACAAGGAAGCTGATGAGGGTGAAGAGCACCATGACAAATGTCAATCTCAAGGAGGAGACATAGGACCAAGTGCGCTTCATGCGTGGGTGTCGCTTTTCCATGTAGGCACAGAGGTCCCTAATCGCGAACAGCGAGACGATAGATGTGATACCAATCGCAGCATCAAGCTTGATGTCGGACAACGACTTGAGTGTGTTGATCATGACTTTGTAAGGGGAGTCTCGCGTGTCAATGCCCGTAATACCGAGCGCACTAGGGACTTGAGTCGACATGATGGTGATACTTGCGGCAGTAACGAAGGCTGAGATAGGGATGTATGGGATGAATTCAATGATCCACCCCAGTCGGAAGAGTCCAAAGAAGAGTAGAACAGCCCCCGACATCAAGCTAAGGGCATGGGCAATCTCTTCGTTGGTGTATTCTCCCGGCGATTTGTCGTTGACGTGACCGATAACTTGTCCAACAAGGAGGGATCCGACGGCGGTTGTCTGTATTTAGTTGTCAGCGGGGGCGACTAGGTCAAGGCAGTGTGGATTCGTACGCCAATAACAATGTCTTTCGACGTGCCGAAGACCCAGTACAACACGGCACCAGTGAAGGATGTATAGAGACCGTGGGCTGGTGTAAGTTGGGCGAGGAGAGCGTAAGCCATGGCCTGAGGGACGACGACCAAACCAATAGTGATGCCTGCAGCACGACGGTATCAGTAAAAGTGTGTGTTATTTGGCGGTCAGGGGAATATTTACCGGCAATCACATCACCCAACAGCCAGTTGAGGCCATATCTGCTGATCCATGTTGCAAAGGGGAACAATTCTTGCACATATTGGATGGCACCGGCTTTGCTAGGGGCCAGCTCCTTGAACCACTCAGCGACGGACGGCTCATCCTCGAGATAGATGTCGGCGGGGGCGAGAGCCTTCTTGGCTCGTTCGTCGAGATCCTGGGGAAGTCTGGAATAGCGTTCATTGACGTCTATCCCGAGGACAGAGCTGGTTATGAAGTGGGAGACCTTCTGAGACGCCATGATGGAGGGCGGTAGAGGGTGGAAGGCCAGAACCAAGTGTCTCTGAAGGGCGGAGAATGTTGAGAGGGAGAAGAAAGACGGCGTTTCAGCAGCATGATATACTAGGCCTCGGGCGGCGGGCGGGCGGCTCGTTGTGTCGGGGATCTAGAAGCGACCAGGCGGATGAGAAGGGCAGAGGAGAGTCGATCCAGGTCGGCGACCACAATTGCAACGACTCATCGGCCATCGCAGGCCGTTGTGGGCCGTTGGACGGCCGAGGAAAAGTCTAAAGTGTGGTGTCGCAGCGCGGGAGTCGGCCGAGAGACGGGGAGCAGGAGGCAGCTATCGCGGGAAGGAGCTCGTGTGGGCAATCGCCTTCCGCGACTGGCTGGCGCCGTGCAACTGGGCCCACGACTTATCTGGGGCAGGTTCCATGGGGAATTAAGCATCCCGGCCAGTTCCTGCTTTGTTCCCGCTTTGTTCCTGCTGGATGACTGTAGGTGCCCGATCGCCGATAAGGAACCTGCGCGAACTTGCGCCGGCGTAGGGCAGGTCCCCGGCGAGACCCGCGGGAGTCGGCCGGGGAAGGTGCGGCCTGGCGGTCTTGGCAGGAGCCGCGGCGCCACGCACGAGCCACTCGCCGCCGCTCGGTCGGCTCCACCGCCTGGAATCGAAGCCGCGCGCCGGACCGAAAGCCTTGAAATCCCCAAAATCCTCCCAAGCCGGCCGGCCGGTGGGAGTCGGGGAATCGGCATCAGCCCACCGCTTGTTGACGCCCGACCTGAAAATCTCTTCCAATATCCGACTCCCTGAGCTCGGGCATCATGGCCCCACGTTTTCCGATATCTGCAGGTTTCTGCACCACTTTTTAAGCAGCTTAATTACAGGGCCATCTTCCCAGACCACCTCAAGCGATCCGAGGCAGAGGGGGCGGTATGGCTTCTCGACATTCCAGTGACATCAACATGTCTGCCTCACTCACAAACTCGCCCATCACTTTATTCAGCGACACCGAGAGATCCGTGGACTTGGGCACGCAGACAGCCTCGACTAGGTCATAGTTTGTGTGATCCTATCTGGAACGGCTACGCAGCCGTGTAGATAAGCCGACGGGATGAATGGGCAACAATCACACGCCTGGCGCAGCGCATGTGATTCGGCTCGATTCAATCCCTTGCAGGGATACCGCATACACCAACGCGAGATCCGGGCGGCTTCCAGTCCTGCAAATGCCGCCGAGTCTTGTTCCTCCCGACCTGGCTGATGCGTCTGGCCCCAGCTGCCCCCTTCGCCTCTTTCGGCAAAATATCCATCTGTAGACCAAATTTCGTTCATGACTGACAATCTAGCTTCAAATCATCAGTATCTTCTCGACACGCTGCTACGATTCTTTGAACAACGGTTGTGTCTTGTTGGGCGGCCCGATGGTGGCATCCCGAAGACCTACACACTTCTCTTGCAAGGTCAAACCTCCTTGTGGCGACCTTGCTTCAGCAGGCGAAACTAAGTTTGCGCATTTGGTGCGTCTCGTAATGTTGTCTTCCGTGGATTGTCGCTGTCCCATATCCACCAACGCCAGTAACAGTTCTTTCCCATCTTTTAGACGGTGCTATTCCCACGGGCCCAGCGCAAGGCTGCCCATAATCGCTATCGTATCGATATGCTTGCCAAGTCTCCTTCCTTTCTTCGCAATCTCGAATCCTACATCAATCTCTTCTTCCAGACGGCCTAGGTCTAAAATGACAGATGGCGGGTTGTGTTGTGCATTACGTTGAGTCTACTTCTGTAGCACTTCCGCATTTTCGTAGAATAGTTCTGTGCGAGGTCACCCATCGCTTCTAATATAGCGGCATCTTCTCTGTATAATTTATTTATCTTTATGCAAGCTGAAGTCTCCAGGCAGTCCCCCAAGACAGGATCAAGCTCGCCTACGGCTGGCATGTCGAGGAATGTAAGTGTCAACTAACACTAACGGCACAGGTCTACAAAAAGTGCGAGTGGTCCGAATGAAGGGTAGCCAGTAAGATGATTAAAAGATATAACTAACCCTATTGATATGAACCGAAAGCTATCTCTATACTTTTTACAGCAGACTCAATACACTGAGCGAAGTGCTGGCACGCTGCCCTTCCTTGATGGATTAGAAGTTTAGGGTAAGTGCACTGAAGATGAAGATCACAGGCCCTAGAAATTAACCCAGGCGCTGCATGCACCCGACCCGAAAATTAGAGGTCGCATACGCTACAAAACAGGCTGGGGTGTTGTAAATCAGGGGCTAACTGAACTTGGTGTGATTAGCGATTTTTGAAAGTTGGACCTCGTACTCTTTGCCCGACATACTTACGCGACCGCCGTCTTACACGAACCCTGCTCCAACCCCACTTCTTCAAGATGCGTCAAGCCGACAAGACATTCACGGTTGAGTTTACGGTTACTTCGTAAGGTTATTCAGCGATTTGCAATCTTAAATAAATATGAAATATGGGGCAACCTGTGGATATTTCTCCCGTCGCGGGTTTCCACCAAATGAGTACAAGGAATGAAGTCCAGCATCTATCAGCTCAGAGAAGGAATGACAACAACCCACCACATCGTACAACCAACCCTCTTGTCAAATGCGGCCGTGAACAATCTTATGTGACCGAATGAGTACAAATCAAACTAGGAAATTTCTCATATGTGCGCCCATCTTATCCATCTGAGGCCCGGGATCCATCATGCTGAAGTGGTGGACGTCCTCGAGCACCTCAACCGTGAGCCTACTTCTGCCAATGAGCGATGCCCAGCCATCAGCCGAGAAGTCAGTCCGGGTATTGATCAGCCAGATCATTTCGCGGGGGTCATCCGGGCGAATCTCTGGTCTTGGGCCATTTGGATCCTTGCAGACGCCGTCTGTAGCGTAGACAATGAGGGTTTTGGGGGCTTGACCCAGCGCCTTTGGCCATGGGACTGGCTCGTAGGCATCCAACATTCTGATGAATGCATCGAAATGCGGGCGCAGCCAGGGTGGGATGGCTCCACCCGTGCCGAAGATTCCAAGTTGCTGAAAGAAGTCATACATCCGAGCAGGTGGATTTTGGAGGCCGATCGGATTGGGAGAGTCGATTAGGATGAGGGAAGCAACAACCTCTCCAGCTGCGACAAGTTGTCTGGCTGCTTCAAACGCGCATATTCCCCCAGCACTCCATCCGCCCAAGTTGTAAGGGCCTTTTGGCTGTCGCCGCTGAAGCTCGATGACGAACTTCGCCGTGTATTGGATCAGTGTACACTTGGATCGGGCCATGTCTTCGGGGGCGGTGCGCCAAGGACAATTCAGCCCGTACACCATCACGGTTGGATCAATCTTGGACAAGGTAGCATAGGAGGAAGCTGAGCCAGAGCCGTCGGGGAACATGAAGATGGTTGAGGTGGCAGATTTCGGAGAACCTTGTAGCAGAACCGAAGTGGCCTGCGGTGCGTTCTGGACGACCGCATCTTGGGCAAGGACGGGTTGCTGTGTGACGGGTGCCGGATCAGATGCCAAAGTCTTCATCTCTGCACCCAAGATTGCAGCAATTCCCTTCTCAACCTCAAGGAGGGTCTCATTTTCAGAAAAGAGAGAAGACGGAAGTTCTATCTCAAAGATCTCGATCAATCTCCCGATGGTTGTGAGGGAAAGGAGGGAATCCACGCCTATCTCATCGAGGCGGGTCGATGGAGAAAGATCTTCGACCTTGATGCCTGTCTCTTCCGAAATGATCGAATGGAGAATGTGGACGTAGTCTAGGCTTTGCCTCTCAAATGCCAGCGATGTGTCTGGTGTTGAAATGCCCGACTCTCTCCCCGTGCTGGAGCTACTGGTATTGGCGGTGGACGAGTCGCCACCATCGCTCCCGTGAAGTTGCTGAAGCTCCTTTACTGTTGCACAGTCGACGAAAATTGATGAGGGAAGGTCCATGTTCAACTCCTCACGCATGCGCCCGGTGATTGTCAACGAAAGAAGTGAGTCAAGACCTAGCTCAGCGAACTCGGTGTCGGGGTTGAGGTCCTTAAGATCAACGCCAACCTCTTCGGAGATGATGGCCAAAATCCCAAGCCAGATACTTCCGGAGACTACCGGGGTTGGGTTTGGAACCTTGCTAACTGGATCGGTCGTCCCTTTCAGAACTGGCGGTGCCGAAATGCGGGATTCCGTCGCTCTAGTGGTGGGAAGGGGTTGGACTCCTTTGAGGACCGGCCGCAAGCCATCTAGAGCTTGACGCGGAACTCCTAGGAACTAGAATGGTCAATATAAGACTTCCAAATTTTGGAAACAGTGACGTACCTTGATCTGTTCGATGATGCCAATGATCTCAGCGCCGTCAAAAATGTAGGTGTCGCCGGTATACAGAGCACCTTCCAGGAGCTGCATACGGTTGTAGCAATGGTAACTCTTGCCCTTTTCCAATTTGGTGGTGCATTTCATGTTGCTCCATCCGTGGTTGATGAATACTTCAGCCTTGGGGTGCGGGCTATCATTTCCGTTCATGATGAAGCCGGCAACTCCACCGACGCTGTCCATCCATTGTGGATTGAAGTAAAAGCCTTGCTCATCAACCTGGAACTTCACAGTCGACACCGCCTCGAGCTCCTGGCTGTCCATGATCACTTCGCGCATACCCTGGTACTCGGGGCTGTACTCCACAATGTTGGCGAAGAGGCGATAGACAATATCTTGCTTCATGTGGTGTGAATCGCCATCCTTGACCGCACGGCGGAGAGCCTTGATCCTGCTCCGAACAAGGTATGCGGTTCGACTCCACTCCTTCGTCCAAGTCTGTGCAGGCACCAATTCGACGGCACACGTTGCGTGATCAATGATCTTTGAGCCCTTAGCGTTGACACTGAAGATTGCGACCTTGACCAAATTTTCTGTCCAATTTGCGACCGCGGATACCCTGAAGAGTTGTGAAGTGAGATTGGGGTTGAGTACTAGCGGCTTCTGTATTTGCATGCGGCAAACGTCCAGTCCCATGTCCTCAGACGACATCGATCGCTGGTCCATGAAGTAGTTCCCGAGGTTTAGGGCAATGTCTCCCCACAAAGACTAGTTGCTTGTTAGCATATAACTTAAATACATCGATGGAAGTAAATACGAACAGATGGACATAGTTCGGCCCCATTGACTCTGTGACCAGTGAATACTGGCGACAGTCTGGAATCATGGGCATCCGACTCGACCAGGATTGTCGATTGAAACTCTCCATCAGACTCTTCCATAACCCGCTGAAGAGATGGAGATATGTACTTGAAAGCCTTCGGAGGTTCTGGAAGCATCTCTTGAATGGGCTGTGTCCCCTCGCCCTTGGTTAAGCAGAAGTCGTTCCGATACATGATCCAGTAGTTCCTGAGGTCCCAACTGTATCGTGGCAGATCCACGACGTTGTTGAATTGTTCAAAACCTCGGTGATACTCATTCCAATCGATGCCAATACCTCCGAGATAGAGCATCTCGAGGGTGGTGGTCAGAATCTTCCAGGTGTCGGTGTCTTTGCGCAAAGTGGCAGCTGTGTTGGACTTTCTGCCCAATGTTCCCTTCACCATCCCGGAACAAGCTGGGTGGGAACCAATCTCGAGCCATATGGTCTTCTCATTGACAAGATCGGTGGCGGACGCCTCTTTCAGGGCACCTTCAAAGTTGACGGCTTGCCGACATGCCTTGACGAGATACGAATGATCCAGAGTGCCACCTTCTCCGAGGACCTCCGACAGCAAAGGCGAAACGTAGGGGACCGATAGAGGTTGAAAGTTTACCTGTCGCGTTGCTGCTTCGAATTCTCCCAAAATCGCATCCACTTGCGACGAATGGAATGCGAATGGTACGTTCAGGCGCGTGGTCTCGTGTCCTGCTGCCTTGAATTCTTCTTCGAGACGGTTAATCTCCTCAATTCGTCCGCTGATGACGGTTGCAGTGGGTTGGTTCAGACACGCAATCTCGGCTGTAGAACGTTCAATCAAAGGGGTCACCTTTTCCACTGGGGCTTTGACAGCCAGCATTGAGTGTGTCCCAGGTGTGCAGTGCTTGTTCAGCAACTTGGCTCGAGTACCGACCAAAAATATGGTGTCGCTGGCAGACAAACCATCGGCAGCAAACAGCGCAGCATATTCTCCGAGACTGTGTCCGATTGTAAGGCCTGGCTTGACTCCCCATGACATCCAAAGTCGGCACAATGCCATCTGAGTGCATGTCATGGCAAGTTGTGTGACAACCGGGTCGTTTACCTCCTCCATGTCACTATTCTGAATCACATTCAGAAAGCTCGGAAAACCATGCTGCAGCGCAATCTTCTCGAATCGATCCATGTCTTCCCTGAAGGAGGACACAAGCGAAAACAATATCCTGCCAAGTCCGCAGTAGAACGAGCCTTGACCAGTGAACATGAATGCGACCTTCGGGACCCTCGCAGCCGGCGGGATGGTTTTCGGTTCAATGGTCGCCAGCTTGGACTTCAACACTTGGGCAATGGAGATCGCGTCGTTGCCGACTGCAACAACACGATATGGGTGTTGCATCCGCCTGGCAGTCGTTGTGTAGGACAGATCAGACACTGGCATCTCTGTATTGGATTCGAGATGATTGACAAGTGCCTCCATGTTGCCTTTGAGAGATTTTGCAGTCTTGGAGGAAAGGGTCACAATGTGAAAGGTCCGCGGGTCGCTGCTCTTTTGCGCGGCTGGAGGAGGAGCATCCTCCAGAAGAACCGCCGTATTTCCTCCTGCGGCACTGAAGTTGTTCAAAAATGCGAATCGCTTGCCGCAAGGTGTTTCTTCTCGAAGCCAGGGCGTTGGTTTGAAGGCAATGTTGACATTTCTCTCCTTCAGGTCAAGAGGGTAGTTGTGATTGATCTTCGTCTTGATCCCGCAGTGCGGTGGAATCTCGCTGTGTTTCATCATCATCAACACCTTGATGAGTGACGATACCCCAGAAGCAGATTCAGCGTGGCCGATGTTTGCCTTTGCTGAACCGATGTAGAGGGGGTGTCGCGGCATCCTCTCGCGCTCTGGTACGAATACAGACAGCACGGAGTTCATTTCTGTTGCGTCGCCCGCCTGTGTTCCGGTGCCGTGCATCTCAACGTAGCTGACGTCGAGGGGATTTACACCGGCATGTCGGATGATCCGCTTGAAGACTGATGTCTGATCGCCTTCATGGGGCCGAGTGATGCTGTCTGTTTGTCCACAGTGGTTTGTAGTTGCCCCAGAAATGATGCCGAAGATGGGGTCGTTGTCCATTTCGGCGTCCTCAAGTCTCTTGAGGATGACAGATCCTACAGCGTCCGCTCTGCAGTACCCACTAGCGCCATCGTCAAATGCGTTACAGTTGCCTGTGTCATGTCTATTAGCGTTGCATTTAATTGAGAGTCATTTTAAATTACCTGTAGTTGACAGAAAATGCCCCCTGTCCAGTCCAACGAAGTTGTCTGGGTTGGTGAGGACATTTGTCCCCCCAGCCACGGCAGTGTCGCACTCTCCCCTCCAAAGGTAAGCGCAGGCAGTCTGGATGGCAGCGAAGCTAGAAGAACAAGCGGTGTCCATACTGAGACTTGGTCCGGAGAATCGGAAAAAGTAGCTGGGTGGGAATGTTAGCTATGCATTCGAGTGTAAAGGCCATTGCACGCACCTGATTCTCCCTGGAACAAAGGCTCGGTTTCCGCCAGGGATGAAATACGTGTCCACGTCTTGGCCACTATTCACCTCTCTCCAGTCGTCACTGGTGGTGCCAAAAAAGACACCAATGCGGTCCTGTTGTGTTGATGGTGTCCGATTAGGGACCATCCCAGCCATTTCCATGGCTTCATAGACCGTTGTGATAGCAAGTCTTTGAGCAGGGTCTGTATTTTCAGCCTCGCGAGGGGAAATGTTGAAGAAGCGGGCATCGAAGACACCCGGTTCTTTAATCCAGCACCCATACTTGACGCGACTGGTGTTTTTTGTCTTTCCGGTTGGGTCGTAATGGGTCTTCCAATTGAAGCGGTCCTCTGGAACCTCGCGATGCACATCCTTCCCCGCCTTCAACAATTCCCAGAACTCTTCATTGGAGGCAGAGTCTGGAAATCGGCCAGAGTAGCCAATAATGGCAATCTTGGAGTCTGCAAAGTGCCCATGTTGGGTCGGCGAAATTTTGGGAGGTGAGAATACTTTCTCAACTTGCGCCTCAATGTTTGCTCGATTCAAGGCGCCAGACAGAAGCTGCGACGCATTGCTGCAAATCGGAACAACGGTGCAGCGCTGGATGTTCTGTGAGAGAAAGCTTTCGACGATGGTGTGAAGAATGCGGTCCCATCGGACTTGGCCACGCAGACTGTCTTCGACGGCGGCTTTCAACAGTGTCTCGAAATCTTTTGCGGTCTCGAGCCGACCAGTTGAGGGAGACAACTGCGTCAGGGATGGAACCTTGTCGCCGAGGGCTTCCCAGGCTTGTGTGTCCACAATCTTTTGGATTAAAGATTCATCAAAAATGTGTGGAGCATGATATGGTGAGTTGATGCAAAGCGAATGGGCTTTTTGTTGTGTCGAAGTGATAAAACGTGCGAGTGTGCCTGGCGGACCACTAAGAGTGACGTGGCTAGGCGTGACAGCACTGATGTATGGCCTCCATGTTTGGCGGAGTTGCTGAAGGAATTAGTAGTTGAAGACTGTAGATGATTGTCGAGAGACTCACCTCGGAATCTGCGAAGTCCTGAATGTTTTGCTCGAAGTCTGACTCCTCCCCAGCCACGACTACGGACCAACTTCGCGATGTTTGTTCCTCATTGCCAACAATGTCATTCTTGAGGATGAGAGAAAAGAGGGATGTTCGGAATGCAACAATCACCGCCTCTATTGCCACGGAGATGAGCTCGGTAAGCGATCGAGAGCAGTTGATGGCCGCGGCTGCGAATGATCCGGTGCAGATGCCAAGGCAGTAGGTGTCTTGCGGTGTCGGATATTGTCGACCTTCTCGACCGAAGTATCTGACTAATTGTTAGAAACAAGAAAAAATATACTGAAACGGGTCAACGTACTCCAGAAACTGCCCAATCTGACAAATCGATAGAAGACAAAACTTGAGGACCGGCGTGCCCTCTGTTTCGCCTAGCTTTGAGACCAGATCAATGAGTGTTGTGAACCGAGGAAACAAGCCTTGTTGCTGGGCACCGAGACAGCCTATCTCAGCCCTAATTCTAGCGCCGACTTGTTCAAGAAAGGAAGATAGCAGAGGGTTGTCGCGGATGTGGAGCAGTGCCCGGAGATCGTCTTCGAACGCGGCAGACAGATCCCCGAACAAGAGAACTCTACAAGACCTCATCTTGTTGTCTTCTGAAGAATGCATATTAGGTATCGAAACAAGCAGTGACTGCGTGCTGAACCAGAGAACTATATGGTTCCGCAGACCGTGGTCCGTTCTGACTCTCCCTTCTCAACTCCACTCTTGGCACACCGCAGCTTCTCACCGTCAACCACAGCGGAGAGGTTAGCATGCTTACCCGCGCTTACTGTCAGCTTCGATGAGGCTATGTGATAATCCCTCGCGAAGCTTTCCTAGCCGCCAGGCGCACCAGGTTGAAACTACGGTCGTGTATTGGTACTTTCGGAAGCGGCGAGAGGCGGTGTTCGGCGCCCGACTCGCCCCCCGGATATCATGGTCCGAGGCCATCGATGCCGAGAAAATTCCCAGACAACTTCTGAACCGCTAATGGACCGCCTGGGGCGATGGTCCCGAGCATGATAAGGATAAAGGCGTGATGTGCTGTCTCTAGACGTCATGGTCCCTTCATCATTCAAGATCTAAGAAGCAATAACCAGTTCCTGCTATCTTCTCAGTGTATCCACCATTGCAACCATGTCTATCAGATCTGAAAAGTTGTTTTCTGTCACCATCTTTGGGTATCGGAAGCCCGGGATGGATGAGGACTTCTACCACAGCTACGTCAGCCAGACACATGCCAACCACCTGAAGGAACTTCTTATCAAGAACAGAATTGTTTCTTACCACATGGTAGGTTTATTCACACAATTCATCTCCCATTGCTCCCTCATCTAGGTTGTTAGCTGATGCCTCGAAGCAACACAACTCCACTCAGGGGAGGTCCCTGCTGAACCAAATTTTCCCCGGCATCCCGCCCGAGAAGGTTGATGACTGTGACTGCCTCGTCCAGATTGTTTTCAGGGACATTGATGATTATATCAAAGTCAAGAATGAGGAGAAGTACAAGGTGGTGGTGAACCCAGATCACGATGTTTTCGCGGACCCAACGAAGACCAAGTTTGTGACTGGTTGGTTCGAGTTCCATGTGGCTGACGGACAGGCCGTTTAGTCAGGGGTGGCTTACCTTCCTAAATTGTAAGGTCGATGTTCAGATACTTCAGTGTTAGTGCTTTCGTAGGAATGCTACTTCGTTTTTAAAAAGAAACACAGACATCGCCGCGTAGCCAACGCATGCGCTGACGTCTTGCAGTGCCGATGCGTGTATCAGTAGCTGTGTATATCTAAGCCCCATATCATATCCAGGGTCCAACTGGAACATTCAAGTCATTGTGGAAAATTAATCACGGACCACTTGTAGACGATACGATCAGTAGTAGCCCCGAATAAGCAATAGATATCTCCGGGTCAGCCCCCACAGATCGCCTTCTAGACGTCAGCAAGAGTGCTGACTCTAGTGTAGGTTTAGTAGCGGATCGACCTGGTGTAAGGGACAGTCAGACAGTTGCAACGGAAATTCGCTTGATATTGTCAAATTTGTCCAAAGATACGAGGGGCTAAACTTGGTTTGATCATGGTCGTAAGGGAGTCTGTCACAGAGTCCCTCCAACAACGCCACCGTAATTAGAGTTATGTGCCATGTCGTCATTATGCAGGCCCTTTCTTATTTCTGATGGTTGAGCGACAAAATAAATACTTCCTGGAGAGCTAAGTGGGAGTATCTACGGGTGGGCAGAAGCCGCCACTGGGAGCTCACAGCTGAGCAGCTTCTGTCAAGAACAGGGCTTCAATGGCGCCATAGGATCGCCGCTCTGTTGTACTCTTAAGGATTAGGTATTAGCTCGATATCTATCGTATATGCAACTCAATGCATGATCGATGTTAATCTTTCCTGGCAAGGCTCGGAGACTCCGGTTTTCATTCGACCCTGAGCTGACCTATGAGCCAGCGAATACATAGCCGGATGCCTCTCATCTTTCCGATAATGACGCAGTTGGCGCAGTTTGGGTCAAGTGAGGTGCTCATGCTATCTCCCATAGGCCCCAGACCACCCACGTGTTAACCACTCAGAAGCAGATAATTTTCAGAGGCGCAATGTAACAAGGCTATGAAAGCCCAAAGTTCACGGCCCCTGTCCAAGCCGGTATTCTAGCCGAGATAGGACATTCTTCATGCATGGCCTCAGCCTGTTGATTCGTACAAAAGTTCGTATACATCCACATACGCCATGCATCTAGTTTAAGTTCTGACTTCGGCCGAGGGCGTTGGCCTCCCCATGCCGCCATGTTCGGCTCCCGACTCCTAGAATAGCCCTTCAACCAATCCAAGAATCAAGTCCTTTGCCTCTTCTCCAGGAATCTCTGCTGCGATAACGCGAGCCTGCTCTCGATCGACCCCGCGGGCGGACAAGGTTGGCTGTGCGAGCCCGAGGTCTACCACCAAATCCTCCACACGCTGTGCGACTTCGAGGGCGTCAGACAAGTCGCTACCGCATCGCCGCTGACCGCCCATGGCTGGCAGAAGGCGGGCGAGCTGCGTAGCGGCCATTGTGTCATTCTCTGCTTTGTGGCGGATGACAGGGGCCAGAGTGAGACAGCTTGTTTCACCATCTACAGTCCTCTGTCAGCAAATGTCGGTGTTTTGTGTCTATCATCGGCATCTAGGAGCACAGTGTCGCATAGTTCCTAGTGCAGATCCATACGCCTCCTCGTGCTGATGTTCTCAGAGAGCTGAGTGGACTTCCACCGCCATGTCTCTGCGTTACGGGTACAGCTCAGCCCTGTTTGTGGAATCAAGTCCGATATAGGTCACCATAGCGGCGACTAGCCAAATATCGACCATGTTGATTGGAGTGGGACACGACGCACAAGGAAATCTGACTCACGAGGTATGCCATACGGGCTTCCGAGGGCATGGCCCAGGGAATGCGAAAGACCCATGCCGCCTCTAAAATTGGAACCGCGTAGTCCCGAGCTGGCAAAGGCAGCGAGCTGCAGCTTTGTTGTCACGTCGTTGCCGTCGTCGGATCCATGGACGAGCTTCGACTGCGGTAGCCCTTCGGCCAAGCCCGCCGCGGACCACAACGCGAGGGCCTTCCAAGGCATTTCCGAGGCGTTCGGATGGTACATGGTCTCGACTGCGTGATCGACCGCCCGCATGCCTGTCGATAGCCAGAGAGACTGGGGGGTGAATCGAGCAAAGGAGGCGTCGTAGAGGATGGTAGCGACACCCATGGATGGATGCATAAACCCAACCTTGGTGCCATCAGAACGCGTGAAACCACCGCCGGCGGTGCATTCGGCCGCGCTGAGAGTCGTGGGAATCGTGATATGGGTAAGTAACTTTCCGGTTCTTTCGTGTATGCGGAAGCAGACCGTCTTGGCTGAGTCGATAGGAGACCCGCCTCCCACAGACAAGATCGTGTCCACCGCCTCCGTCTGGGCCACAAGCTCTGTGGCTTCATCGACGCCTTCTGCTTGGCCGTGCTGCTTGATACCGGTGTACGTTCCAGCGTGAAACTTGCCCAAAAGTCCCTCAAGTCGTTGGATCAATGGGGTTTTGGCAGATATCGACGCTCCAGTAAGGATGAAGACTTTCGACGATGAGGAGGGCAAGGTGCTCAGTAGATGCTTTTCAACACATCCCGCTCCATAGTATAGGTGGTTGAGATGTTTCTGAGGTGTCCAGACTCCGAAAAGAGGAGAATCGGTGCATTGCATGGCCATCTTGGTACTGTTTCTGCTTTGGTGTTGGATAGGCTGTCGAGTTTGACTGGCCCTCAATCCAGGGAAGACCGTCCGTTGCGCAGTATTTCTAGCTTTCTGATGGTCAGACACACCGCATAGGTCACATTCTTACAACATCGTCGCCCTATCGCGGACGGAGGAGAAGATGCTAGCTCGCCCGGTCGGGGGGTTGATTCGGCCGGATTGTCTGCTGCTGCACCCGGGCGCGTTTCAAGTGTACAAGTCGGGATAGCAAGACGGTGGCAGCCATGAGGAGCTGTGCAACACTGGAGGAATGCACCAAAGTCACATAATCGGTGCTCTGGTCCGCACCCCGTTAACGCAGCTTACGGCGACTTGCGCTGCTCGTTCTGCAGATGAGCCGGAGGCCAAGCCACCCGCCAGGCAGGCTGAGAATGCGAGGGAGAAAAGCACTGGGTTTCCTCTATGTGGATGGAATATACTCGAGAATCGCCCTAGTTACCACATATCAACAATAGAGTCTTACGCGATGGCCCGCGCTACGCCGCTGCCGTGTATCTGACGGATTATTCCAGCCATCGCCCCGGATCGGACGGGCTCGCTGCTTACGTTTGGTCTCAACTATATACATACAGCCTTGCTTAGCATTGGTCATCATCGTAGGCTCCGTCAAATTTTACGTGAACTCAGGATGTGGAGCACTCAGGGCAAAGAGGTTTGTTCCTGTTTCCATCGAGGATATCCTTTGATGCTGACCTGGACAATGTAGCAGTCGCAAATGTGGTCTACCCACGACCTGGCATGTGCACATTGCCGTGCCCGGAAGATACGCTGTGGTAGAGAACGGCCGCAATGCGAGAGTTGCAAGCGAGACGGCGTGGACTGTCGATACTCGTCTCCTGGGAAGCGCATCAACCATGTCAAACTCTTGTAAGTCCCGCTTGCATCTGAACCCCAGTCGCCCCGAAGGCTGCACGGAAGGCTGATGAAACATCGTCTGTTTCAGATGTCAAAACTTCGAGGCGCTCGAAGACCAGTTGAACAGCATCCAAGGAGACCTTTCGGCCTTGACGTCACTCGTAAAGAGCGGAGGCGCAGGACGGTCACTCCCCACCCAAGGGGACGAGTGTGTTCTAGAAGACTTCGCAGATGGGGATGTATCAACGGGTACCCGCAAGGATCGACACATTGTACGAAATGAAGCCTACGCGATCGACCGGTACTATGGGCCGTGTTCCCTCTACGCGCTCTGCAAGGAGTTCCATGACGATGCAGTCTTCCAGACGTCGGGCGCGGGCACGCCTACCAACAACGACTTTGCGATTAGAATCCTCCTCGAGCAGATGTGCGTTGATGCTAGCAAAGAAGAGCACATGGATATTCCCTCGGAACATTCGGGGATATGCCTCCCGCCTCGACAGTTCCTGAACATCGTCATCGGCCAGTTCTTCAAGAACACCAACTATGCGACCGACCTCTTCGTGCGGTCGAACTTCCAGGCGCAGCTCGACCGGGTATACGGACATCCACTCAGCCCAGTGGATGAGGCGTGGGCTGTTTGTTTCAATGTCATTGTTCTACTCGCCATAGGAAAGGATCAGACAACCCAGAACAACAGCCCATTTATCCAACCGTTCCTCCAGACACTGAAGATGACGGTGAACAACCCTCGGGTATTCCTTGCCCCAAGACTAGTCAATGTTCAGGCTTTGGCTTTGCTGGTAAGACGCCTGGAATCCCCCTTGCCGTCGAAATTAGTCCTAACTTGCTGTGATAGAGCCACATCGCCGAACAATATAGTCCTCCAGGGTTCGCCGAGGTCGTCTTCGCACAGGCATGCCTGTTGGCTCGGACAATGGGACTCCACCAGCCTCGCGCATCTGCCATCGGACTCTTGCCCGAAGAGATTATCGAGAAGCAGAAGGTGTTCCGTTCGCTATACATCAGAGACAAGAACTTTGCAATATGCAGAGGTTCGTCATCCTGGCTACCGACTTTTGACTCGAGCATTTCTCCACCCTCCGATCTAGCAGACCGGGACGAGACCAAGTACACTCCCAGAATCGAGTTGGCCCGTATTCAAGATGAGGTCTATCGCCATTTCCACTCGGCCGAGGCGCCATCGTTAGCACCATCAAACCATTCCCAACTGCTCTTGAAGCTGGAGCAGAAACTAGATCGTTGGGCTGCGACACATCAGGTCATCAAGAAGTCAACATCATCCGTCGAGTGGGCCAATTTGACACTATCCTTTTTTGCCACCCGACTCTGTATTTGCAAAAACAGCGATGATCCAAGATTATCCCTTCTAGCATTCAAGGATGCCAAAGCAAGCTGCATCCTCTTTTTGTTAGCTACGACATCTCGCCCAGAGCCACGATTCGTTGACGCCTTTGACCACCTTCTCGGACGGAAACGATCAACCAGCCCATTGATGATTGACAATTTCGAGGAAAATGGCGAAACATTGTTCGACTTTCAGCCCTTCGATCAGGACGACAACAACGACGCCGCAGCATCCGGATTACCAGGGCTAACGGCGAGCTTCCCTCTAGCAGCTGTCTTTCTGGTTGCCAAGAACATCGCGCTGCAGCCAGTCGCAACGCCAGAAGGCATTGTCAGCCGGCCCGAAGAGGAACTGCTGGTCCTCGAGACGCTCCGTGATCGATTCGCGTCTGCCACGGACCAGGACCATATCGAGAACTTGACGCAGAAGCTCAGCCGTACTCTTGACACGATTGTGCGCGTCGTTCGGCAGAAATGCTTCCCGGAAGCGGCTAACACGCCCTCTATGATCTTCAACGACCTCTCGAGCCTGCACTCCAGTGCGTCCTCCGGCTCCCAGCGAGGCGGCTCCCGCGGCTCCCGCAAGGACACACCTCCGGAGCCCGATGCACTACCAACAGTGACGTCGACCAACGAGGCAATGACTACATCGTCGATGCTACTACCCTTTATGCAGCCATTCGACTCCCCTCGGAGCTGCTCACCATGGCACACTACCGGAAACAACAGTGCCGGCGGAGCCGGGGTTGGCGTCGTCGTTTCGCCATGGCCTGGGTCATACAAGCAGCAGTCGGATTCTGCAGGCCGCGTAGGCAAACGCCCAAGACTGCCCAGTCAGACGGAGCTATTTGACATGACGGCCGCCTTTGCGGAACACATGCAAGGGCATAGTCAGCGGCCTGAGGAGGACCCGCTGGCCATGTTTGACTTTCTCGCGGGGAGCAACGATATCCCAGTTGATATCCCAGTCTTCGAAGGCGATGATTAGCGCGAGAAAGAGGGGTTTTGGTTAATTTTGCATCACTTCACTATCAAGCAACATGGATGGGGAACGGCGACGATTTACTAAACCCATTGTTGGGTACTTCTTTCTTCTCGTACATGCTACACTGCAACCAAGCCTGGCCTGGGTGAGGCCAAAGAGTCACCACGACGGTATCATATGAACACAAGCAACAAAGAGGAAAATGTTCAGGCCCTCATCATCTCCACTCGATTGCTGCAATTCTGGCGTAAGGAGTAGATACATCGATGAAACAAAATATTTTACTAGATCTGGTTTAGCAGTAATTTCTACATATAAGACCGGATTGCCGACGCACACAAGTTATATAAGTGTCCCTTTGTGCCTCTTTGCGATTTCTCTTCTTCACCGTAAATTAGCCTCTCAGTATCTATCACTCTTTAAGGCCGCAGAATTAGTGCAATAAGAGCAATTTTGGCAAATGGTTGTCTATAGAAAAAGGTCGACTACTGTAACTCAGCCCCGTCTACTGAAGTCCAGGTTCCATAAGGCCTCGCTACCTTAATCTTCAGCGGCCTTGATTCCCTAGCCCTTCTGAAGTTTAGCGCTTGAGCTGCCCCTGAACCCATCGCTCGAACTGCCGCTTCTATAGAGCTGCCCTAATCCTTAGCGCTCTTTGCACTCCAACATCTCTACAATTTAGCGCTTAACCTGCCCTCGAGCCCCAAAGTCAGTGCCTAATTTTCAGCGCTCCAGCTGCCCTGTCCTCTAAAACGGCGGTAAGGCACTGGCACTACTTTCTCACTGTCGCATCTGTTATGAAGAGCAAACAAATAATGCAATTTCCGATGCCACTGCGCTCAATTTTATACAAGTGACTCGGTAAACTCACCATGCGATTCTTATCTAAATTCTAACCCTAGGTGGTCTCCTTCTCCTTGCCCTTTGCCTCCGACGCAGCTTCCATTCGCTTGACGTCTTCGTCGCTGATCGGAATGGTTGCAAAACGCAGCAGACCAGCCCTGTTAGCTTCAGGGGTAAGCTCTGCACCACTCCCAACCAATTGCTCCAGGTACTCAAAATAGCGGATGAAGAATCCGGGAGTCGCCGTGTTGATGAACACGGCTTCTGCGTCGAAAGGGTTGCTGAACTTGTGGGGAAGCCGGATTGGAACGGTCAGCATTTCGCCGGCCTTGCAGTCTATGTCTGGACGTCCTGGAGAGTGGAAGCGAACAGTTCCTTTCTACAATGTGCGACATTGACTGTTAGATCATGGGATTACGAGAAGAGAGGATGAATTTTCAAGACCTACCGTCACGTAGAATCCCTCGTCGTGCATTTCATGGAAGTGGAATACCGGTCCACTAGTGTTAGGCGGCAACAGGCTTTCGATAACAGCCAGCCGGTACTGCGTGTTTGATCCATCCTCGATCGGCCGCCACAAATCTGCAAGGGGGGGTCAGATGAGCAGCCGTGAGACGACCCAGTGATATCAAAGGAACAAGGAATCATGGCTTACACTGGCCAATACGGCGCCATGGCACCTCGCTCGGCTTGAAGTGGTGGATGTTGAGCGTCTGAGCGTATGCCTCAGTAGCAGGATCCATTGTTCTTGGTCTTGGATTCTTTCTTTCTCACGCCGCTGTCTCGCCCGCTGACTCTCACTACTTAATGTCGGTGGGGTTCTACTTGTCGTGTCTTGGCAGCTGAAAAATGAGGGCCAATCGGGTTCCAACTATCACTTGGTGATATCTGTGTCACTGTGGGCGGGTCGCTGGCGTGGAGTTGAGTGGCCGGACTTAGCTGAAGTTAACGATTGCCCGTTCTGGACGAACATCCACATCTCGAACGTAAGTTAGCAGCCTCGACCGGAACTGAGTTGGTATAAGACAACTCTTATCCCCGCTAATTCCGCCCGGCCATGGCTTGAACTAGACGGAAAGCGTGCCGATGACTCGTAGAGACATGTCCGGCCGGCTTCCGGCAATCTATCACATTGGCTCCCGGGAACTATGTATGCAGCAGCCCGCTGGTATGGTCTGGAAACACAAATACGGCAACCCGCTGCGTTGGGTTGCATGGACTAGAGGTCGGGTTCCGTCCATAGAAAGCTCTCGACCAAGTACATGATGCGGTCTAGATCCCCAGGATTCCAATGGCCTGATGAAATGTGCTTTTTCGCGAGTCGCGAGCTGAGCCACGCCGGCCACGGCATGAGGCATGTCTTATCGTTTCAGGGAAAGGCTAAGTCCGCTCGCGAGAGGCGACAGCAACGATTCACTGCCGATGCCGTACGCTCTTTCTTCCTTGCGACCGGTGTAAGGCGGTGTGACTCCTTCCAAGGGAGCTGTTACGCGTCACAGGAAACTAGAGAAATACCAAGGTAGTCCATTCTTGCCGTGAAAGCTCTTCTAGTCCATTTCCTCAACACAGACTTCCGATCTCTCGACGAATTCTCCTCGAACAATCTCCCCTTCGATCGCAATCATCTCAATTGTCATTTCGCCCGTTCTCCTGCTTCTCGACGCAATCCACGATGGCCAATACGATGCTGCAATACCAGGCAACGCAAAAGGGCGGTCCCTTTGCGCTTGCAACGGTGCCCAAGCCCACACCCGAGCCTACCGATGTATGCATTCGTATCAAAGCCGTGGCACTCAACCCCCTGGACTGGAAGATGATGTCCCGCGGGGAGATGGTACAGAACTGGCCTGCAACCTTCGGTCTCGACGCCTCCGGTGTAGTCGAGGAAGTGGGCGATCTCGTCACAGCCTTCCAGCCAGGTGACGAAGTCTTCGCCCTTTGTGGTATTGGTGGCAAGACGGCCGGCTTCCAAGAGGTCGTCACGGTGCCCCAGCACTTTGTTGCCAAGAAACCCCAGGCATGTGCCTTTGAGGATGTTGCAGCACTCCCGTAAGTGATATCTATCTAAGCTTACCCCCTCTGGCATCTACACCCTTGCCTCGAATCCCTTGTCTCGACTGGACTAACACGACATGCGTTATCAGTATCTGCTACCTGACTGCTGCGTCTGCCATTCTCTTTGGCCTCCACGTTCCGATCCCTCACATCTCGCCGACTGCACCGGGTGAGCCCGCACCCACCCCACGCAGCCTGCTTGTTCTCGGCGGGGCCTCTGCCGTCGGAGGCGCAGCCATCCAGATGCTACGATCTGCCCTGCCCGAAGCCACGATCTTGGTAACTGCCTCGCTCAAGCATGAAAAAAGACTCAAGTGGCTTGGTGCCTCGAAAGTTGTTGATCGAAATTCCTCCTCGATCGTATCTGATGTCACTTCAACAGTGCCTGGAGGTGTTGACGCCATTTTGGACTGCGTTACGGCCGCTGCAACACATCCCGAAGTCTTCGGGGCACTTCGTCGCGATGGACCTCGGATGTACTCGCAGGTATTCACGGGTCAGTCAGTCATGGTCCCTGATGGAGTCCAATCAGCTGTCGTCTTTGGGAGACAGGTCTTTGAGGCTCCTGGAGGCCTGAGTGCCATGGCGGCCCTTGGAAAACTTATCGATGAGAAGAAATACAAGTTCCCGGTACCTACCACGATCGTCGGAAAGGGCTGGGATGCGATCGAGACAGGATTGCAGCAGTTTGAGATGGGTGTCAGCGGGCAGAAGCTCATTGTTGTGATCTAGCTCTCCAATCCGGCTGTTTACTCCAGTCCCCAGGGGACTGGGCAGGGCACGACCGGTTACACAGCTTTCGCTGACAGCATTCAGTCGACTCGTCGTATTGCAGTTTTATGCAACTGGTAGCGTGCCTCAATATTCATGGGAGCATTAAACACTGTCCGTGTTCGCTTAGAAGAACTACGCATGGATTATTACAGACATCATGACTCTCGCTGTCAACGATCAAAAGTAACGGGGGGGATGAACTTAAAAGTCTACTTTAGCCATTAGCCATGCCTCAAATCCGTTTTTTTGCTGAAGTTAGTTAGCAAATTAATCGAGGACTTCGCTTTATTTGAACATTGAGCTACACCTCCACTGTACGTCGAACGCATCATGTCAAAATGAGCTAGGGTAAGTCATCGCGGAATGGGCATGTCAATCCCGTCACACTTGTTGATGAAGCATTTGAACAATTGTGATTCAATTCCCCTTGTGACCAAGCCACCTAGTCCATTAATCCCACTGTTGTAGAAAAATGCACTAATGTGCCTATCCGCTGACGGGCAATGTTGCTCGGCGTCCGCCGCCGGACTGTCGACTATATCTGGAAAGGAGATATTTTGCATGCATGGACTCAGCCCCAAATTGTTCAGTCTGTACAATATTACCCTTGGAACTTGATTGCATCTTACTCCGTGACTCGGCCGCTGAGGGCGATGGCATTCGGGTCCCGCCTCCCGGAGCACTGAAGTGTGTCGAGGCCGACAGAGCAAGCAACACTCCTGAACGGGGAATGCGGTACACATTATAATAGCTTCTCAATGAAGATATAGGACTCATGGGGAAACCAAATAAGGACTGTCGATCCGATCCTGATCAGCACTTCTATCTTTGTATCTTGTTAGTCGTGAACCCGAAACACCGTCACCATGCTTGTCGTTCTCCCCCGATTCCACCTCATCGAAATTGAGGATTATCCTTGGTGCCCAGAATGGCTTCGTGAATACGCGCATCGCTCACTTGCCGCGGTCTGGCGCACGGTAGGCCTCAACCGCACCACTTCCACCGCTGCACAGGTTTGCGACGTCATCACGGCCAATCTGCCTGATCACCCGAGTGAGTATCACTTCGTCGACGCCTGCGCTGGAGCTGGGGGGCCTACTCCCATCTTCGAGGAGATTCTCAATGGGCGGATGCTCGACGAGGGCAAGCCGCCCATTGACTTCTTGCTGACGGATCTGTATCCTGATCTTGAAGCGTGGAAGGCCATTGTGGCTAAGAGCGACCACATCTCCTACGTAGAGAAGCCTGTGGATGCGACCAAAGCATCGAGATATGCCGCTAGGGATAAGAAAGAGTTGCGAATCTTCAACATGTGCTTCCATCACTTTGATGACGACGGTGCCCGCAAGGTGATCCGAAGCTGCATTGAAGAATCCGACTCATTCATGTAAGAGGTCCATCCCATCACTAGTTCTCCAACTTACACTCTCAGGATTTTCGAAGTGACCCACCGAACTCCATCATCCTTGATCAACACCACGTTCATCATTCTGTCCCCATTCATCACCACATTGACATGGTGGTGGTGGTCTCCCATGCACCTGATTTTCACCTACATCATCCCTGTGGTTCCTCTCTTCTTCTTCATCAACGGTTATGTGTCGTGCTTGCGTGCACGCACTCCAGGGGAGATGTTCAAGCTCATGGAGAAGGAGGGCATCGACACGACAGGGTGGAAGTTTACCGACGGCGAGACTACAGTCCTGCCTCCATTTGGCAAGATTTACCATTTCATTGGTACCAAGGAGTGAGCCAGGAATGGGAAGGGTAGAGCGTTTTGGGGAGTTGAGGGGCGTAGGCGTATAGTTGCGGCATGTTGACGGGGTTGTCGCGTCAGGTGGTGAGGCATGTTGAAGGTTGGAAGCACAGAGATTTAGAATGAAAATAAAATCAACCGTTGCGCTATTTTTTAGTCCTAACTTGCATCTTGAGAACCATTTTGGAAAGCTCGATCATGAGGCTTTCTGAAAGTAATGAGACCGGAATCATGATGCTATGTTCCGCTACACAATTGGAAGCGCATGGTAATTTCGTCAATCAACAGAAAGCGAGCCATTTCAGAACGAATCAAGTACGAAATTTATTGATAGGAATAAAAATTCTCGTCATCTGCAAGCATGCGCGTCTTTTGGTCAAGTAAGGTCACTCCACCCTCTCATCACACTGATCTGGGTGAGAGCCTGCACATCAGCGACGGCTTCACCCAAAATCCATAGATCCTCTGCCCTTTCATCCAATCCTCAGATTCCCCCTCCAGCTCAAGATCAAAACGCCACAGCAACCTAGCCAGAATAAGTCGCATTTCTGCTTTAGCCAGATTCTTGCCCAGGCAGCTTCTAGGGCCCACCGAGAAAGGCTGGAAGGTGGCTTTGACATCAGATTGCGTCTTGTTGGGGCCTTGTTTATCCTCGAGCCATCGCTCAGGAAGAAAATCTTTAGCACGGCAGAAATTCTTCTCGGAGTGATATGTTGCGAGGTGATTCACTCCCACGGTCGTTCCTCCAGGAACAAACAGCCCATCTATCGTGGCTCCCCAGGGCGGGACAACTCTTGGGAGAGTCACCGCCACGGGTGGATAGAGTCGCATAGCCTCGTTAAGGACCGCATCTAGAAGCGGTATTCTGTCTCCTGCGAGGGCAGTAGATTTTATGTCATCTTCAATGGCGAATTCTGCTCGAATGTTATCGCGCAGCTGCTGGTAAACCTGCGGATGGGTCAAAAGTAGGAATGTTGTCGCTGTCAGGGCTGTCGCTGTGCCATCCGATCCGGCAATTGCAATACTGAAGGCGTTGACAACCATTTCATCCGATGAGAGGCTTTTGTGTTTGTCACTGGTGTCGGTCTCATCGGCCGCAAGGACATAATGCCAAAAGTCTTTGCGATCACTGGTTGGGCCCCGGGCGATTCGCGCGTCAACCATTTCTCGCGCGCGGTGAGCATTTGCGAGACGCGAAGTAGTTGAACCGTTCAAAAACCAATTTCTCAATGCGCTAATACCGTAGTATGTGGCCATTTGACTCATGATCAGTTCTCTTGACACGGCTTTAATGGACGCCACAAAAGGATGGGCCTTCCCGGTGTCGACACAGGAGAAATCCTCTCCGAACGCCAGAGACCCAATAAGGTCAAATGCTGGTCAAAAATTCAGTAGGTAAACAAAATCGCCAAAAGATCTAGAACTTACTCGTTAAATGATACCAGTCCGTCAAGTCCACTGGTCCTTTGGCACACTCCCCATCAAGTTGCGCAAGGAGCTTCGTACAATATTTCACGAGCACGTCTTCCTGTTCTCGAAGAGCTTTCTCGGAGAATGCATGAGAAAGCAGGCGGCGATGTCGTGAATGGGTCATCCGATCTGCCGTCATGATGTCTTCGCAGTCAGCATTAATCGTCGGTCGCAAATCATTAACACTCACTAGGAACGCCGGTCGGTGTCACAAGTGAGAAGATTGGATCTTTCTTCATCTCTATCACCCGGTTTCCATAGATCGTTTTCCATGCTGTCTTAGAATTGTACGAGATCTCGTTGGGAGCAACCCGTAGAGTTGGTCCGTACTGGCGGTGCAGCTCGACCAGCCTGTGGTTGAGTCTGCCCCGATACTGGTTCCAACACCATGGAAGTCTTGTTGCTGCCCATAGCTTCGGGCCTGGATGGTGACGTAAAGGATGCAGAAAGAGGTTGTAGCCAATTTTTGCGAGGATCTTTGAGCTGTGAGTTTCCAGTGTCCGCCCGTAAGGCTGTGCGACTTACAAAAGTGCCACCAAGGAGCCAAAGCGATATCAAGATGACTCTCCACATACTGGCGAACTCGGTCAACTTGGCAGTGTCCATGGTGGAAGATTGGATAATCCTGGGATAAATCCGAGGTTTGTTTGATTACTGCGCATTTGACTCCCAGAAGAGATGATGAATTCTGCTGAGGCCGTGTGACGTTGTTGACGGGGTGCGAAACGGACCTCGGACGTCGGCTCCCGAACGGGCACCCAGCGCTCAGCCCCGTATACTCGGCAGGGATTTGGTCCAGATGTGAACAAAAGGTTCCGATTTTCCCCAAGTCTTCCATACTTGCTCCAATCCAATGGTAAAGCGACCTTCTTCTTATCGTTACTGTCGTACCAGTCAAAATGACAACCAAGGACATGCATGTCATCATCATCGGTGCCGGTATTTGCTTCATCTGAGCCTCATTTGTATTAGTTCTAACCATTCTAGGTATCACCGGCCTGATTGTTGGGCAGGGCCTCAAGAAGGTATTGTACTCTTCCAACAAGAGATTGCAAATGCTAATTCCTGTAGTTGGGAATTCGGTACTCGATCTTTGAGAAGGAAGTCTGTCTCAATTACCGCAGCAATGAGTGGACCATGGCCATTCATTGGTCTCTCGATCATCTGGAGAAAATCCTCCCTCCAGAGGTCTTCGAGAAGATACCCTTGATCTCGTGCAATCCAGCCGTGCCAATTGAGGCTGGCGGGCTATATCCCATCATTCAGGCTGAAACAGGCAATCTATTGACTGGAGTCCCTTACGAGAAAGGTCTGCGTGTGTCTCGTAGTAAGATGCGATCGCTTTGCTCAGAGGGAGTCGAAGTCCAGTATGGAAAGAACCTTGTTGATGTTGCATTCAACGAGAGCGGGCAAGGCGTCATTGCGACCTTCGCCGACGGCACAGCTGTTTCTGGGTCTCTCATCCTTGGCGCAGATGGTCCTCGCTCCAAAGTCCGGGAGTTCGCCATAGGAAGCGCCGACGAGGCGGCCGTTAGCAAGTTTCCCATCTTCCATACCAACATGACGGTGTGCTTCCAGGATGCTGAGAAGGCCAAGTATGTGCGACGGGATTTTCCCACCAGCTACTTGGCTCTAAGCAACCAGTCATTCCATGCATTCCAATCCAGTAAGTTCAATTGGCTACATCTTAAATAAGAGCATACTAACTATCAACAGTCTCCAATATGCCTGATGGCCCAGATCATCCGGAGTCGTGGATCTTCCACATGGCCATGGCATGGCTAGGCGATGCAAACAACGAATTGAGTTATCCCGAGCGCCTCGCATTGATCAAAGAACGCGCAATTGGGATGGGTGAGCCTGCTCGATCAGCGTTCATGTGGCTGCCAGATGATACCGAAGTGCACAAGGCAGACATCAGCTTCTGGATCCCAAAGCCATGGAATAACCATGATGGGAGAATGAGTCTTATCGGTGATGCCGCTCACCCTATGCCACCGTGTAAGTTACCATTTTCTCCAATAACAATGATGAGGTGCTGACACTCCGCAAGACCGTGGTCAGGGACTGAACCACTGCATTTGCGATGCTTCCTATCTCCTCGCTGGAATCTCGGGAGTCCAGGATGGAATGATGGATCTCGCCAAAATGATCAAGGACTATGAAGCAGACATTATTCCAAGGGGTCAGGAAGAGGTCAAATGTTCTGTCGAAAACGGGTACATGCTTCACGATTGGAAAAAGGTTGAAACCAGTCCGGTTTTTACTCGAGGCTTCAAGCCGATGGAGGGCCATGATGCCAAGCCAGAGGATGGGGGAGAAGACATCAGCGAGCATGCGAAGGTTCGTCATGAGGCTGATGCCGGGGAGAACGTGGGATTGGCAGCTGCGTAAGCGGTTTTGTTTTGGACCGAACTACATAACGCGATGTGTTTTTACCTAGAAAATCATTTATTACGTCCAAATATGGGCACTAGATGGCACTCGTCTGGTTTATCGGCTGCATATGCCCTTTTAACAATTGTGATGTAGCCAAAAAATAAAATTGGACGAGTCTTGGGGTTTGAAACACATTGCGCTATGGCTCACACAGCGGCTTCTTTCGTACAGTCGAACCGGGTAGGACCGCAACCTGACTAAAAAGAGACAAAGTGTGCTTCATCATGACCATGATCAACTAGAAGAACAAAATGACTAAACAAGCGAAATACATTTTTTAGGGTTTATTTTTAGGATGAGGTACTCGCTCCACTTAGGGAAGAGTCCTAAGAAAAACAAAACAGAGTAATTGAAACCAGAAAGCCAGAATGAAGACAGGACGAAATACCAACGCGGACACATCTCAAACAAAGAAAACAAAAATACCACACATTCCCGCCTAAAGCAGCGCAAAATCATCGCTTAATCCCTCTCGTACATCCGGTCCACAAGGTTATCGGTGAAATTCCAGAGCGCTCCGGTACCATGAGAAATGAGAGCCGCGCCAGTATACCAAGTGCTTCGGCGGCCTTGCAGGTCATCGAGTTTGTTGTAGAAACCCTTGGAAATTTCGTGGGGCGTGACATGCAAGTTGAACGGATAATGGCTTGAGTAGGCCAAGAGCTCAGCAGGCTGGAATTGTTTGCTCTGTTGTCCGAGCACTGAAGCTCTAACTCGATTGAAGGTCTTGAGTATGTCGCTTTTCACCGTAGCATCTGGCGTCTTTCCTAGAGTGCCATAACGGACCAGATAAATGTCACGGACCACGGTCGGAGACATTTGATAGAGAGACGGGAGCTGAGGAAGATTGTGTAGCGTGTCTGGGCGTGTGTTCTGGTAGGCAAAGCTTTCTGCTAGCCCAGATGCTCGCACAAGTCCAACGTACCATCCTGAGGCCTTGAACTTGCTGAAGATGTCCTTTTCGGCGGTATCCAGGCTGAACGATTCCATGTTCGATGCCATTGGCGGCATCGCAATCAACAATTTCTTGGCAATGATCGTCTTGCTTCCGCTCGGAGTTCGGACATCAATCCTAACTTCAGATTTGCTGCGAGTCGCGGACAGAACCTGAGAGCTGACCAGCGCGTCTTTCCCAAGCAATTCCTGTGCTCTCTCGTAGAGTTCCTGGTTGTACCGACGAGCCGTCACAAGTGCTCCCTTGTAATCAGGATGTAAGGCAGCGAGATACTCCTGATTGAGGTATTTCAGGACGTACAAGGTCGCCTGAGACAGAAGATCGCCGAAGCCTTCGAGGTTGTAGAACACGTTGTAGGTCGTGTTTTGGAGGTTGTATTTTGCGAGAAAGTCCCTGAAGGGTAAAAGAAAGTCCTTTGGGACTGGATTTGGGAGTCGAGTCGAGTAGGAGAGGTAGGGGTACCTCTCGCTCTGCGCTTGAAACCCCGCAAGGCTGGTGGAAAAGTTGAAATCCGGGATGGCCTGGCCATTGCGAAAATCCACATAGTTTGGGATACCAAAGCTGGTTTCAGACAGAGGGATCTGGTCCAGAGAGATGTTGAAGCTTGCGAAGAAGTCACGAATCACATCGACATCTCCATAACCTTGGACGCCGTAGTCGATGGTGATGTCGCTACCAGGTACATGGTAGGTCGACGTGTGCCCTCCGAAAGACGCGAGTCTCTCGACGACAGCGACGCTCTTGCCCATTCTCTTCAGCTTGACCGCCGCGTAGGTCCCCGAAGATCCACCTCCGATGACGACGACATCCCTTCTGATGGTAGGGTAAGAGGCCCTAGCAGCCAAGTTTCTGGGTACGGCATCGACGATGCTCACACCAAGCCCAACAACGAGCGACAATGTAACGAGAGACTTCATTTTGAATGGTCGAAAATGTGCGACTTTCAGAATGCTTTGGATGACAGATTTCGTCCGGAATGGCAGAAATGAAGCGGTGACGAGGCCATTTTGATGGCTTCCCATGCAGTGATACCCCCTTTTCCCGACTTCCCTGACAAGCCACTTGGCGCCCATGCATTAGACTGGCTGCGACATTATCGTGAGGCTTGGCTCTTAGCGAAGAGGCTGAGACAATCGGCACCCGACATTTTGTTGTGGTGTTCTCGGCGGTGGAACTTGTGACCTTCGAGCGCCCCGTTGGTGGTCCCGGGCTTCGGAACCCGGAGGTGGGGCTGACTGAGCTGACACCGGCCCCACCACGCGGCGATGTGCGGGAGCCGTCTCGCGTGCCCAAATAAAGACATAAGAATACTTCTTCCGACGTGCAGGAAGCCAGCTCGGCTCGCGATGTAGGGTAACAGTGTCGTAGTAGCTGCAGATATATTGGTTTTAAATTGTTTTGGTTCGTCCCTGTGTCTTGACTTGGCTAGGGTAGGATGCTGTATACGAACAAGCAGCCAAGATGGATCCCAAAGACATTGCCGCCCTTGCCGAAGAGATTTCCAAGGAATCCGAACTGCTAGTTCAGCTGTTGAGAAACTCCCAAGCCGATGGTTTGTCCCATGATGCCCGCCACCTCGACACACAGCTCTGGAATCATCTCCCACGTGGATCTGACATTGAGCTCAGCCAGTCCAAGCTTCTTGGTCTCACCGAGAGGCTGGATCGAACTCTGAGAGGGCCGCAGGATGTTTTGCACGAGTTTGTCGCGTCCAACTGGGACAGAGGCGCCTTGTACTGCCTCCTTGAGCACAACGTTCTGGAACTGCTGCCACGCGACGGAGCTGTGCCTTTGGCAGAGCTAGCTGAAAGGACTACCATTTCAGCTGGCAAGCTACTACCAATACTGAGACTTGCAACATGCGGAGGGATCATTCAGGAACCTGTAGCGGAGGTCTTTCAACATGGTGCCATCTCCCAAGAGCTGATAACCGATCCCGGGCTGAAGGCATTCATCGGGTTTCAGTAACGTCTCCCGAGATCTCAAACTTCATTGAGCACTAATGAAAAGCAAGGTTGTATGAGACCCGTGTAGCATCCGCTCATCTTGCCGATTCGTTGAAGAAACCGAATCCGTTCTGGACGGGGCAATCTGCCTTCAAATACGCGTGAGTGAGAAAACATTGACCATGTGCAAGGCTAATTGAAGAAGATGGGGCCAATCTATGTATGACTGGCATAAGAGTCACCCTGAAAAGGGGCTTCGGTTCGGAATGGCAATGGATAGCGTCACAAAGTGTCAGTATTGCCTTGATACCCTGAAGATTCGGCCAATAACCCAGATTCCTATAGCATTGGACCCAGGTAATCAGCTCCTCAAGGACTGGTTCTCTCGCAACATCGAGGGCAGTGACAGTTCACAACGCGCCTTTAGTGACATCACTCGGTTTCCAATGCAGACTCCCCATTTCCTGGCTGAAACATATCCCTCAGTTTTGTTCGAGGTTCAAAAGTTTCCAACAGACGTCAGTCTCTTCACAGTCGAGGAAAACAGGAGTACTCGGGGCCACATCTACACTCTCAACTCAATTCTATGGAATCTCCCAGACGAGGATTGCATCGCAGTCGTGCGAGTTTTCCAAGAGCCTTTGGAGAAATCGCCAAAATCTGTCCTCCTGATTAATGAGCTCATGTCCCCTCCTCCGGGCACATTTGCACCGCATGCAGAAAGGGCGTATCGCAGGAGAGATGTGACAGTCATGGCCATGCACAATGCAAAGCTAAGGACTGAAAAGGAATGGCGACACATATTTTATATGGCCAGCCCAAACTTCAAGGTGTGTGAAAGCCCTTAGAGGGAATTAAATCTCTTTGCTGACTGACTTCGATTGTCGCAGATCGAGGGGGCTGTGGACTATACCTCACACAGCTGTCGAGCGTTGTGGGAATTGCGTTGGGCTCCGGCAACGCAGTAATAAAATTGGAACAGGACACTATATTGCAGCTTAGGTATTCTAATCTTAACACATTTCGTCATTTTCTATCAGAGACCGTAAAATACATTGTCCTAATGAAAGGTACCATCTAACGTGCTGTGAATTATTTACTCTTGAGCCGGAATCTCCTGCTTTTTCCGCTGCAGCAGACAATGGCGACCCCATTTTCTTTTATACTGGTCGGGAATGACGCTCAGATCGGGAATCCACAACACTCTTGCCAGAAGGTGGGTGCTGGCAGCGTCGAGGAATGGCTCGCACCGCACGATATCCCAGTTGACATTGTCGGAAATGTAGTCAGGCTCGTTCGGGGGCAGGGGATCAGTTCGCTCAGGATATTGGGTGTCCACTAGGAATGGGCAAAGGCGCAGATCGGTGTACTTGCCCAGGTCCTCCTCGTTGTGGCCATTCATGCCGTTGGTGGGCATCCATGTCCCGCTCCAGAAGCCGAACCCAGTCTCGGCCTCTGAGAACTCGCCAGGCAACAAGCCACGAAACTCGGAGCGAACGAACTTGGCATGCATATCTCTGGGAAGGAAGTAGGATGAGGGAAAGCGATACCACTCTTTCGCAAAGCAGACAGGATCCTCAGGACGGCCAACAACCTCTTGCCCTTCAGCGCTGTTCCAAAGCGGAGAGTAGATCTTCATGGGGGCGGAGTATGCGGAGTAAACCCCGTAGACTCGGGCGACCGCGAGATCCAGGGACAATAACATGACAAGAGTGACCACTCCCAACTTCAGCTTAGCTGGTATTTTTCCAACCAAGGTCTTAGGGTCGGAATTTCCCAATGCAGTCAAGATGATGTGGAGTGAGATGGAGGCGTTCAAGGCGAGGAAGGGATACGCCGGGTACATGAATCTCTCCTCCTTGTGAGGTTGCGCCGTAAAGATGGCGAGCCACATGTAGAATGGAGCGATGAAGATGACCGTCCTCAAGCCAGACTTGGCGCCTTGGGCCGAAGGGGAGACGATCTTTTGGAGAACAAAGAGCGGCAAAGCAAGAAGACCCAGGGCAAACCAGATGTTGAAGTTCAAGGCCAGGTTCTTGAAGTAAAAGGTCCACGGTTCGGTGCCGTACAACTCAGGGCCGCCGGTCGATGAGAAAATGTTGTACTTGACGATGTTCCATGTCACAATCTCAGCTTTCTTGTAGAAGAAAAGGTTGATACTGAAGTCGGCGAACTGGGATTGGTTAGATCAAGACCGAAAGGGAAAGCTACAGGTAACTCACCAACAACACAAGAGCCGACGCAACACCGCGACCGGCCCGAATGAAGGCTGCAAACAAAGCAGCCTTGTCACCAAAGAGGACAAGAATGCCCTCCTCGAAAAGGTACGGTGCGCAAAGCGCAGCAGCAAACGGCCACCCAAAAATGCCCGCCACGGCGAACCAGAACATTCCCATCGAAGTCCTCAGCCCGCCCCGCCAGTTCATAAACGCAGCAGCGCCCAAGGTGACCATGTACATGGCAAAGCTAGACGGGAGGAACGCCGTGCTTGCATGGAAGTTGCCGGGGCTCAAAACGGTGGCGACGAGGAAGAAGATGCCGATGCGACTGTTGAGGGTCGTGCTGGTGACCATGAACAAGATGGTCTGGCACAGAGCGCAGCCGAGGGCCAATCCAAAGCGGATGAAGTAGAATTCGCCAACCTATATTCCGCATGTCAATTGACCAGTATTATACCAGATTCTGCATCGCACAAACCTTTGTCGACTGGGGGAGCAGTCTCCGCACATTCCCAACAATCGCATGCAGCCCGATGTAGAGCCAGCTCCGGATGGCAAAGTCGGGAGAATATTCCCACGTCTGGAGCCCGTAGCCATGGGAGAGGTAGTGCGTCGGCTCCCAGTAGTTGAATGTCTCGTCGCAGTCTTGAATCGGGGCGAACCAGGCAGAAACGAGGCCGGCGGCGAGGAACCAGTAGAAGGCGGAAATGGGCGGGATTCCATAGGCGCTGGGGACTCTGTGTTGGGGCACGATGGTTAGCGACAGATTCTAGGCGTGGGAGAGGAAGCGCATACTTCTTCTTGGCGTGGCTCGCGTCCGGGTGGACGAACTCACGCCGCTCGGGCGCTGTGGTCGGGGCCATTGTGGCCGAGTTATGAGAGTTGCGAGAAGTAAGTTGCAAAATGTGGAATCGTCGTCATGGTGGGCTGCTTTCAACTGTTGGGACACGGCTCCCTGCACTTCCGAGCTCTCGGTAAGCCCTCGGTGAGTGTGGTGGGGTGATAAGGCGTTAGCTCCAACTGGACGCCGAGGATCCACCGCTTATCGCTCACCTTGGTTTTTTTTCTTCCAGAAGCGCAGGGTCCTCTAGCGGCCGCCGCTTTTTACTGCGTCCGCCCAACTTTCTTCTTCAAGAAATCTTTACCAGAGCACTCAAGATCGGACCGACGTATATTGAATCCTGTTCTTACCAGCATTTTTACATTGCATCTTCGCTATAACATCAATCCTACTCAACCGAAACCTCCCAAGTTCCTAACTCTCCCCACCTTGGGGGATAACCCTCGTCGACTCGATCCAACCCGTTTCTCTTACGAACAGAATATCCTGCCGCGACAAACATGTCAGGTTTCCAGATTCCCGGCTTGGGCCAGGCTAAGCCTAACGAGACTCTGCCACCACTCCCGGCCGATCTCCTCATTGCCGCGGCCAGTGCCGAGGGCACCCAAGAGATGGTTGATGCACCTCCGAATGCGACGGTGGGAAGCACAGAGATGACCGACGCCCCTCCGAATGCGACGATCGAACAGACACAGAATGCCGCCGCCCAAGCAGCCAATCCCATCGAGCCTCAACCAGCCCCTTCTGCTGAGCTTGACTCAATGGTCATCGACCAACCCGAAAGCCCACCCTCCCTCACTGGCGCACTCGAAGCCGCCCTCGGAGGACTCGACCCCGTCGCGCCACAGCCCGAGGCCAACCCACCACCCGCCGAGCTCCAGGACGACCAAGGAGAAAACCCACAGTGGGAGATTGACTCCTCGCCGTACGAATCTTCATCAGAATCCAGCAGCTCCGACTCGTCCGACGAGGACTCCGACAACGAGGGCTACGAGCTCCTGGGTGTGGAGGAGACGGCGCGACTTCTAATGCAGGCCGAGGGAGGGTCTGACGACGAGGGCGACAAGGGAGGTAAGGGTTCCAGCTCTGCGCAGCTCCGCACGAAGAACGAAATCGTCGACGAGTTGGTCCCGAAACCCGACGTCACAATTACACCGGAGATGAAGATCGAGGAGCTGGGATTCATTGAGCACATTGTGGAAAGCATCATGCTGGTCAAAGCCAACACTACTGGAGAGTACCAAGTTCTAGACAGTGGCTCCGTGCTCTGCACCGCCGAGCGGGTCGTCATTGGCGCCGTCGCAGAGACGATTGGCAAGGTGCTGCAGCCCATGTACACGGTCCGGTTTTCCTCCGAAGACGAAATCAAGGAGCTCGGCCTGGAGGTGGGAACGAAGGTGTTCTACCCGGCCGAGCACGCCAGCTTCGTCTTCACCGAACCCCTCAAGGCCCTGAAGGGTTCCGACGCCAGCAACCTCCACGACGAGGAAGTGGGCGACGACGAGATGGAGTTCTCCGACGACGAGAAGGAGGCCGAGTACAAGCGCGCGCTCAAGCAGAAGAAGAAGGACAAGTGGAAGAATGGAAAGGGCGCCAAGGAGCCTCACCCCCTGCGGCAAGAGGCCCGACCCGACGGCGGCTTGAACTACGACGACGACGAAGACGGCCCCTACAAGCCGCTCGCGCGCCCGCCGGGCTACGGTACCGGAGCGGCATCGAACGAGACATACGAGCCACCGGCCGGCCGGTCCTTCCAGCGAGGAGGCCGACGCGGAGATGGCAGAGGACGAGGAGGAAGGGGTCGCGGCGGCCGCGGAGGCCGTGGAGGTTTCGGACAATCCCGCGACGGCTACTCCATGCCGCCCCAGAGCGCTCATCAACAACAAGCTCCCGCTCCCCAAGCCCAATGGGGCGGCCCCCAAGCTCCCCCCCAAGGCGTGGCACCCGCGATGCCCAACTTCGGCTTCCAGTTCCCCGGCTGGCCCCAGCAGCCGGCGGCGCCCAACCCACACACGGGCGGCTCTGCCTCCGCTCCTCCGCCGCCGCCTGGCTGGCCGGCTCAGGGCCAGCAGGGAGCTCCCGGCGGCGCCTTTGTCAACCCTGCCTTCTTTGCGGCTCTCATGTCCCAGATGCAGGCCCAGAGCGGCCAGTCGCCGTGGACAACGCCCCAGCCGCCTAACGGTCAGGGCCAGTAACTAGGTTGAAACGAGCGTTTGGGCGAGGGTTAAAAGCACTGTTTTATATCAGGGAATGCATCTAGAGAGGCGCCGGGGATACTGAGTTTCGTAATTATATAGACAAAGGACAGGTTATTCAGAGTCAGACCAGACCTGGCACATAAAATGATACCCATTCATGCACCCACAAACATCACAGGGACATTCAGAGTTGAAGGGATAATGCCCTTTCTACTTAATTCGTAGCAATCTCATGAACCAAAAACAAGAGTCACAGTCTATCCAATCGACCGACCCATTCTATCAAAGTCATTCGCCTTCATCCGACAATCAACCAAATCCAGACGCGCTTTCACTCTTCGATGCCTGCCTACAGGTCGGTCCACTCCTCCTTAGACTCGTCGAACTCGTAGAAGCCGAGCTCGTAAACGAGGCCGAGCGTCATGCGAGCGTGCTCAAGCATATGGTCGAAGGAGAGGTACTTGATGAGGTCATCGCTGGTGTGGATATGGCCGTCGGAGTTCTCAAAGGTAGACTCGATGACAAAGGCAGAGGGGTAGCCAGCCTTGGAAGCAGAGGCGTGGTCGGAGCAGGCATAACCGCACTTGGTCTCTACCCAGGGGATGCCGCAGTACTATGCATCAGGTTAGATATTGTTGAATCAATGAAAGCTGGGGGATGACGAACCTCGTCGATAACGACCTTGATGAACTCAGTCAAGCCTCGGTCGACAAAATCGGTGATAACGCCGACGCTCTCGGGCTGACCAGCGTCCAAAGTCTTCTGGACAAAGCCAGTCATATCCTGCTGAAGCATGGCCTTGACGTCTCGGTCTGCAGCCTCGTAAGACTGGAAGATGGCTTGCGAGCCGAGAAGACCGCCCTCTTCGGCACTATTTGGAGGTTAGACTACGTCCGTCGTTGGGTGGTTTATGGGCATCATTACCTGTACCAGTGGAACTCAATGGTGTTGGGAGCTTTGCCTTCGACAACATCCTTGGAGTTGAGGAGGGCACGGAACACCTCCATGGTGGTGACGGTACCGCTTCCATCATCGTCAGCTCCGGGAGCGGAGAGAATGGAGGGCAGGAAGAGGTTGATGGAGTCCTGGTGAGCGCCAATGACGACGGTCTTGTTGGACTGGCCGGGGATGGTGGCGATAACAGAGTGCTGCTGCCAGGTATGGGGGAAGCTCTCGGCGAAGACGGTGGCGTCGGCCCCAGCCTCCTTGATGATGCTGTTGACCTTCTCGAGGACCCAGTCGGAGGACTGCAGGCCGTAGGAGGACTTGTAGTATCGGGTGTGGAAGCTAGTCAACTTCTCAAGGTTGGCTCTCATGTTCTTCTTGTCGAGGTTCTTGGCGAGAGGAACGACCTCGTCCTGCTTGACGCACTTCTTGGGAAAGGTAACGGCGGCTCGGGCCTTGGCGTTAGCGCCGAGGGTCTGGGTGGCGGTGATGTCCATGAAGTTCTGGCCATTCTGCAGGAAGTGTTAGCAGGCGATTGGGGAGCCGAGCAAAATGCAACAAGACATACACGGCGCATCTCCCACTTCTCGTCCTCGGTGACCCATTGCGTCTTTCCGGGAGCCGTCTCGATCAGGTAGGTCTCCTCGGGGTGGAGGATGACGTTATCGACCTCGGCCGTCTCCAGGAAGCGGGCGGAGATGGCGGGGACGCAGGCGGCGAGGAGCGAAGCTTGGGAGAACTTCATGGTGGATGGGAGTGACGGGCCAGCGGTCTCTAGGGATGTAATTGAGGGTCGGAGTGCAGGCGGAGATGGTGAGAAACAGGCAGACGGAGGTGTTGGGGATGTTGTTGATGGTGTAGGATGCACGGTTGAGCGCTGATCGGAGCGAGCTCGCTCACATGGGCGGCTGGCGCAGGTACCGATTAGCTGATCAGGTAGCTCACCTACCGCTTTGGGCGCAGTGGTCTTGTGACTGTTGACGCACCAAAAAGGTCCTAAACTGCATCGGGAATAGCGCTAAGTTAGGCCCAGGTGCCTGGAGTGTGGGGGTGTTAAGTGGAGGCGATGATGACATGGGCAGGCAGACAGCGTATTGTCATAACCGACAAATAGGTATATCACAGTGGTGGATGAGTCGGTTTATACATTCAATATTCAAGTGTCTACCTTAAAACTCACTGGTTGTGGTTGTTTGCGTGAACCGGTCCTATTTGTGATTTAGACCGCCAACCACGCTGTCCATGGTCAAACACACCCCGTTGGACGGAGAGACCGGGCGGAGACAACCCGTCCACTCTCGGAGATGTCATCCCAGCAGTCAACTCCGAACACAAATCCGTCTATCGAGATTTCTTCTTCCGAAGCGAATTTCAGACCGTAGGAGACACGTCTTCAAAATGCGACAGGGCCCCTACGTTTTCTGTTCCTGAGAACAACACACGTGAATAGCACCCATCAGGAACATGTTTTGGCATCATCAAAGGACGGAAAACAAACTAATGCAAGATCTCTTCATTCGCCTTGTAAGTTTTCAGGGGACTTTATCTGTGTGTAAAACTGGCCATTGTTTAAGTAAATATGCAGGACAAAGCTTCCTGCTTGTTCATGCCCGAGCCTTTGTTAAGCTTTGAGCTTCTCAGAACGGCCATGGCCATTGTTCAGCGGACAGTTCAAGGCTGGCTACAGTATCACCATCAAACGGTGGTGAAGAAAGAAGTATAAATGCTCCATGTATATCGCGTTCCATCGCTGTCTTCTTCTGTAATAAACCAGACTCTACTCAACCGCAGCCACTCGTCTAGTTATCATCTCTTGATCCCCATCAATTCACATCCATCACTTCAACAAAACCTCTTAACATGGCTGGACCAGTCAAGACCAAGCGTGCCCCGGGCCGCAAAAACGCACCCACCCAGTCTATCAGACAAACCCGGGCCCGATCAAGGCTCACCAACGCTCCCCCTCTAATGAACGGCCTCGACGACCGAGGAAAGCCCAAGGACGAGCTAGCCAAAGAACCCGAGAAACTGACTTACAGCGAGGTGCTGGATAATATCAACAAGCAGAAGAAGCAAGTCACCTTCCGGCGCAGTGAGAGCCCCGAGCCGGAAGATCACAATGATCGCAGCGGTCGTCGCCGCCGGTCCGCCCCAGCTCCTCCGTTGAGTGAGAGCTCCAGCAGCGCCTCGGAATATGACGCGCCCGAAGGTGGCAATGGCAAAGACGGATCCGGATCAGGGTCGGGCAAGTCAGCTGCCTCGGAACACAATGCGTCTGAAGACAGTAATGGCGAAGATACCAATGGCGAAGACAAGTCGAACTCAGGCAAGTCAGCTGCCTCTGCACGGGGTACTCCAAGCCGTCATGAGTCCACTGTTCTCCGCTCGTCCAGCTCTTCAGACAGTGACCAAGATGCCGACGACCCAATTTCGCCTACCCTCACTCGGCGTCGTTCCCTGGCATCGGCATCTTCGGTCCCAAACAGCCAAGAAAGAAGTTTCCAAGGTCGGCGTCCCAAGAGCCGCACATTGCCTCCTATCAGAACACTTAACCTCCCCCGTCCTGAGGTCCCAACGAGTAGATTACTCCCCGACGACAGCGCCTGGGATTCCATCGAGAGCAGCTCAGATCAACCCCCATTGGTGGCGAATGGTACCCCAGATGAACCATCAAATTATAGATCCGACCCCCTCAAATTTTCGCCTTTTGTAGATACTTCTCCGACTCGGGCCCCCTACAGCGGCAGTTCTACGGACTCTCGGGGCAGTGTGACAGGCGGTCTCTCTCCAGGAAGAATACCATCTAGGGCTACTCGCCGCAAGAGGAGGCCCACGGCTAACATCGAGCCCCAACTCCCGGAAATCAAGCAGGAGAATTCGGTCTCTCCCCCTCCAGAGTCAGGGGGTGGTGGCACTAGCACTTCCTCTGCCGATTCCTCTGCCCCGGGAAGTTCCGGTGACCAGCAGCGCACGAGGAAGCGGTCTGAAGACGATGAGGGTTCGAGTCCGCAAGCCAAGAAGCGTCGCGCTTCCGAAAATAATTCGAACTCTCCCACTCCGGAATCAGAGAGTAGCAGCTCTAGCAGCTCCCCTGCCCCGGGGTGTTCAGGTGACCAGCAGCGCACGAGGAAGCGGTCTGAGGACGATGATGGTTCTAGTCCGCAAGCCAAGAAGCGTCGCGCTTCCAAGGAGGACGGATTCTTCTATGACGTCGATCCTTCTTCCTCAGCGACGCCGAAGTCTGGGAGCACCAAGAATAACCAGGCGAAGAAGACTCAGTCAACAAAGAGCAACCCCCCCAGTCAGCCAGTTGATGGCCAGAAACCCAAGGCCAAAAGGGTAAGATTTAAGAGCCCTCCAGCGTGAGTCCCGGTACCTCCTCTAAACGCGTGGTGAGCTGAGAAAAGCAGCGAAACCACAGGGCTATACGGATCCGCCCTACGGCCGCGTCTCAACTATGACTGGTACGAGCAGTATCACATCATGGGGGTGGACTGTATCAAGGTCCATCGGTGTCGTAAGGGAGTCTGTCATCAATGTCATGCCAAGTGGCATAGCAGTTGGGCTTGGTACTTCCAAGTGGAAGAAGAGATTGCTCTAACGTTGGAGAACCCCGACCACAGTCTGCATGATACATGCGAAGAAGTGTACGAGGATGGTGACGGGATATTGCCGGATAGGTCAGGCGTGGAGATTGTAAACGGTATGCCTTGTCCACCGAAAGGCGGAAGTGTGCGGGCTCACCCTGTACGCATAGCCAAGAAAAGGCTTCTTCAGATGAAGGCCTTGAAGGAGTAGCTTTGTTTTGAAATCAGTGTTCAACTGCTCGTTTCGAGTTCGCTTTTTTATGTCAGACGTCATGCGTGAAATAGAATAATAGAAAAGTCTTCAACTTACTCCCAGAATTAATTATTAAGACCCTCTCGATTATAAGCGTGAATGTTCGACTTTGGTCAACGGCCAGTGTACTTCGTAGACGCGCCTGTACCGTTCATCAAGCTCCCTCTCACAAGCCCATGTCTTCGTCGCTTCCGTCGTCGTCCTCGCCGCCGGCTCTCTTACTGGCTTCCTCCTCACGTCGGGAGGCTTCAGTACTTGCGCCAACCTTCCTGAGACCCTCAAGAACGCCAATGACGAAGCCTCTGCTCTCGGAGAGCTCCATTGCGCCGACACCCCGCAAGCTCATGACACTGTCCACACCATTCTCCAGCTCGGCCGTACTTGCCCGCATCTTGGCCGCTCTCACCTCCTGCAGATCGCGGAGCAGCGACCTGACCTCGGAAGATGTAGGGATATCGTCTGCGGCATGGGCTAGCAGCATCTCTGCGACCTCGAACCAGTGGAACGGGAGGGCACCCGACGGCGCGTCCGAGGTGCAAGAGGGCAAGAAGGGCGGCGACAGCACAACATCGCCATCCTCTAACGTGTTCAGTCTGCGCGCGTTTCCTAGGCTGTCGGCTCGAACGGGCGGCGGCGGCGGCGGAGCCCAGCGGTTGGGATCGACCTTAGTCTCGTGGAAGATGACGTTGCGGAGGGACTCGGGGTACAGCCACGGCGGCGGCACAATATTCGCCCTGCGCTGTTTCTTCAGGAGCAGCGCCAGCCACAGAGGCAGGTTGGCGCGATGCGGCGGGCGGAGGGTCGGCGTCGAGCCCTGTCCAGCGTGTTAGAAGGCGTGCCATTGCAAGATGGGACGACGCGCTGGGACGCGCTCACCGAGAGGAGATCAATGCCCTCGAGCCGCTGGCGGGGGACGACGGTGACGAGTTCCATTTCGCTCAGGAAGGAGACTTCGGAGGGGACCAGCCCCGTGGGAAGCGGCAATGCCATTGTGGTAGGTTTGGGAGTTGGTGGTTGGTGGTTGGAGTCGACGGCTTGGAGGTTTTTGCAGCATGGGAGCTGTCCATGGTCTGCCCCTCTTCACCACTTCACCATGTGGACCGACCGGACCTCCTCCATTATTCAACCCGACCAACAACAAAGGCTTTTTTTATCCCTAACACTTTAGGAGAGTAAAGAAAATGCGCTAGAATTCCTCGTTACATCCAAGGGAAGGGAGGAGTCGTGTGAGTGTGTAGGTCACCTCATTTAATTCCAGGTTTTCCGAATTAGGACGCGGCGAAGGATGCGTCGCCGGATGAGTCGTGAACGAAGACTCATCGCAACTGCACCATGAGCTAATTTGTCGTCTCACCCCACTCCGTAGCCCTTTACCTCCCCATCGGTCATATTTATCATGATATAGCTCCTGATAAATCGGCCGTATCTAACCTCCTTACTCTACCATCCATTTCCTCCACCTTGTTACGGTGACTCAAATGTGTAGGGTAGCTCGCTCGGGCATGGTGGGGGCGGGGTACTCATCATGGGAAGGGCGGGACAGTGGGTTTTGACATCGGCTTCCATGGACTTCGGAGGGTCTACTACCAGCGAACAGCGTAATTGATATAGATACCTACATATATATAGATACATCTGAAGCTATCGCTCAACCTAAACCTCCAACCTCACCCTTCCAACTTCCAACTGCACACTCTCGTACCTCCCATCATCATGGCCTCCCACGAGAACCTCCCCCCCGTATCCTCCCCCACCATCATCCTCACCGTCCCCACTGAGTATGAGCAGCGTCGCATATGGCGAGCCACCCACTCGCATTGGGGCGCCGCTGTCCCCATCCAAGACTACGTCGATCGCGAGGTGGCCCTTCTCGAGGCTCCCCTCGCTCGTAATGGAGGTTTGACACCCTGGATGCTCACAGACGGGAGTCTAGCCCCCGACAGCCGTCCTATCCTCTCCAGCTTCGAGGCTTATAGGAAGCGGGCCCTTGTAGCCAACAAGGATGGCGCCGTAAGAGAGGTTACTTCTTATGGTGTTGCGAGTGTCTATACCTTTACCGAGTGTCGAAAAAAGGGATACGCGCGCAAGATGATGGAACTCTTCGCTGAACAACTCCGCGCCGTACAGGAGAAGAAAGAGGGGGATGCGGCCCTCTCAGTCCTGTGGTCAGATATTGGCAAGGATTTCTACAGCTCCATTGGATGGAAACCATTTCAGAGCGCGTACCTTGAGTTCCCGATAACTAAGGCCTCAATTGTGCCGGACGGGAACCTGAAGCTCATCAACTTCGAGGATCTCCCCTCCCTCGCCGCCAAGGACGAACAACTACTGCGCAACAAAATCTCCAAACCCTCCTCCAAGGTACGCGCCGTCATCGTCCCCGACTTGGATACCCTGCAATGGCACCTCATCCGCGAGGACTACATGTGCAAGTACATATTCTCTCGCACACCATCCATCCGCGGTGCCATCTACACGCCAGCCAACGCCCCCGACTCTCGAGTCTGGGCCATTTGGTCCCGTGCCTTCTACGGCGGCCTCGCCAAGCCAGAGAAGAACACATTGTATTTCCTGCGCTTCGTGATCGAGAACGAGGATATCTCAGATGAGGAGCTGGCCAAGGGTATCCAGGCAATTGTTAGCGTCGCACAAAAGGAGGCTCCAGAGTGGAAGTGTGCTAAGGCTGAGATTTGGAACCCTGGCGAGCGGGTGAAGAGGGTGGCAGAGGGGATTGAGGAACTTGGAGCCCAGTTCAAGATTAGAGATTACGACAATCTCCCTAGTTTGCAGTGGTTTGGCAATGGCTCTGTTGACGACGTTGAGTGGGTCGCCAGCGAAAAGTATGCGTGGTGTTAGAACGAGAACATAAATCGACATTCAAGTCAACGAAATCAATTAGATATAGAACATGAAGAGTTTTATTTTCGTCTCTTGGATCTAATATCGTTTTTATTTCCTTGCCCAGATACCGCCCACCGCCCCATTTCCTTGTCATAGTCATATCAGGCCGTAATCAATCACACAGGAGTATCGTAAACATGCCTGGCTAACTCCTCTCGCTCCTCGCCGAAAATCACCTTTCACGCCCTCTAGTAGCTTCGTCCAAACATGGTCCACTTGTCCGCGTTACGCTCGCACTCTGGGCTGAGGCACTTGGTCTCGCCAACGACAATGCCCTCGGGCTGCTCGAAGGGAACGCAGAGACTCTTCATGCCCATGGTGGCAGCCTTTTGGTTCTCGGCGACATCGGGCTGATCATCGGTTCGGGTGGTCAACTCCTTGATGCGCTCCTCACACTTGGGCTCTCCGCAGAAGGGGATGAGGACGACGTTCTTGTTGTCAAGGGCAGGGAGAACCTCCTCCCACTTGGTAATCTGAATGCGGTGCTCTCGGAAGGCAATCTCGGCCTTGGTGTACATGTCCTTCTGGATCGTCTCGAGAAGCTCGGGGATCTTGGTCGCGATATCCGCCAGGGGAATGATGCCCTTCTCACCAGTATCACGTCGGGCAAAGCTGACAACCTCCTTGGCAGCATCCTTGGGGCCGAACTCGAGTCGCAGAGGAACACCCCTGAGCTCCCAGTCGTTGAATTTCCAGGCGGGAGTGTAGCCCTCTCGCCAGTCAGACTCGGCACGGACGCCGGCCATCTTAAGGGTGGATCGGATCGCATCGACCTGGTCCTCGTGCTTCTTGCGGTCCTCAGGGGTGGTGTTCTTGTTGATGCCGACAGGGATGATGACGCTCTGGATCTTGGCGACACGGGGAGGGAGCACCAGACCCTTGTCGTCACCGTGGATCATGACCATGACACCGATGACACGGGTAGAAAGACCCCACGAGTTTTGCCAGACGTGGATGTGAGAGCCCTTGTTGGCAGGGTCCTCGACGGTGATGTCGAACATCTTGCTGAAGTTCTGGCCAAGGGCGTGAGAGGTGGCACCCTGAATACCACGGCCGTTGGATGGGATATAGCCTTCGACAGTGGTGGTGTAGTATCCACCAGCGAACTTCTCATTCTCGGTCTTTCGGCCGCGAACAACGGGGACGGCGAGCAGCTGCTCGTAGACGCCAGCATAGAGCTCGAGAATCTCCAACACCTCCTTGCCAGCAAGCTCCTCGGTCAAGTGAGCAGTGTGGCCCTCCTGCCAAAGGAACTCTCGGGTTCGGAGGAAAGGGGTGGTTTGCTTGGCCTCCCAGCGCACGACGGAGTTCCACTGGTTGAGGCGGAAGGGAAGATCTCGGTGGCTGCGGATCCACTTGCTGTAGTAGGGGTACATGACGGCTTCCGAGGTAGGACGAACCGCGACGGGAACCTCGAGGTCCTTGTCACCGCTGCAAGCATGTTAGCGGAAGTGGCTTGTTGGTCAACATGTGTGGTGCTTACGCCTTGGTCACCCAAGCAAGCTCGGGGGCGAAGCCTTCGACGTGGTCCTTCTCCTTCTCGAGAGACTTGGCAGACAGGAACATGGGGAAGTTGGTCTCCTCAACACCCATGGCCTCGATGTTGGCCTGGAACCATTTGCGAATCTCGTTCCAGATGTGCATGGAGATGGGACGAAGAATGAAGAAGCCGGAGATTTCCTGGTAGTACTCGACCATCTCGGCCTTGAGGACGACCTCCTGGTACCATTGTGGGAAGTTTTCGGCCTTGGAAACGGTGATGCCGATGATGTCGTCGGTCTTCTTGCCACCAACGACGGGAAGGCTGGCCTGCTTGGCGGCCTTTGCAGCCTTCTCAGCGGCGAGGCGCGCCTGCTTCTCGGCCTTCTTCAGGGCGCTCTTGGAGGGCTCGGCGGGGGCTGCCTCGGACATTGTGTTGGGATATCGCGTAGTGTTTGGCTAAAAGAGGAAGAGAATCGAAAGAAATCGCAACCGAGGCGGAAGGCGGAAGAAGAGTTCGCGTCACAAAGATCACGAAGAAGGAAGAGGGAGGAGTCAAGTTGTCGTGGAGGGGGAGGGGTGAAAGATATGAGTCGAGGCGGAATCGGGCAGTGACTCTGTGCTCTGCCCCGCAGTGAACTTGGAGGGAGTGTGTATCGGAGGGGCAGCCGCTGAAATTCCAGGCCCAATTCTGACACCAGCCAATGGCGGGGCAATTTTGGGGGCTTTCCTTCCTCCCTGTTCCTGGGGCGTGTTAACAAGGCCCGTGCCCTTCAGCCAGGGACACACATGGAAGGAGAAAGGCCCCGGCGCCGGAACAACGCCCCCCTCCGACAAAAAAGTCGAGGGGCACGCCCACACCTGCACAGGAGCTTCACAGCTTCTAGAGCCAGGCAGAATTTCCTGACGCTTCGCTATCCCGCTCCACCTCTCCAACGTTGACGAAGCCGCCATCCCCCGTCAACGCCCCGAATAGCTGCAGCCATGGCCTCCATGTTCGAGCAGCCCCGAAACGGCACCCTTTTCCTGGGTGGCCAGAAGATCTCTGGCTCAGATATCCGCGACCAAAATGGTACGTCCAAGTGTGTTAGGGGGGGAATGTGGGGGGGTTCATGATGGCGGCGGTGATGAACCAGCTGGAAGTTGACAACATGGAAACATGTGCTGACCGATTCGTGCCACAGTCATGGCTACCCAAGCGATCGCAAACGTCGTCAAGAGTTCCTTTGGTCCCAGCGGCCTCGACAAGATGATGGTGGACGATATTGGTGTAGGCTATCCCCCGACACCGTGCTGTCTCTCCTTCTCACATAGCCAACCTAGGATGTCACCGTCACCAACGATGGTGCTACCATCCTCAGCCTTCTCGATGTCGAGCACCCCGCCGGCAAGATTCTCGTCGACCTGGCCCACCAGCAGGATAAGGAGGTCGGTGACGGTACCACCTCCGTCGTCCTGATCGCCGCTGAGCTGTTGCGACGAGGCAACGAGTTGATGAGGAACCGGATACACCCCACCACCATCATTACTGGCTACCGACTTGCCCTCCGAGAAGCCGTCAAGTACCTCAACGAGAACGTTAGCATCAAGGTGGAAAACCTCGGCCGAGAATCCCTCATCAACATCGCCAAGACCTCCATGTCTAGCAAGATCATTGGCGCTGACTCTGAATTCTTCTCCAACATGGTCGTTGATGCCATGCACGCTGTCAAGTCTACCAACAACCGCAACGAGGTGAAATACCCTGTCAAGGCCGTCAACATCCTCAAGGCCCACGGAAAGAGTGTTCTGGAGTCCGTCCTGGTCAAGGGCTATGCTTTGAATTGCACTGTCGCCTCCCAGGCGATGCCTACTCGGATCCAGGATGCCAAGATCGCTGTTCTGGATATGAACCTGATGAAGGAGCGCATGAAGCTGGGTGTTCAGATCCTCGTCGACGATCCTCAACAGCTCGAGCAGATCCGAGCGCGTGAGTCTGGCATGGTCCAAGACCGGGTGGAGATGATCCTCAAGGCTGGTGCCAACGTTGTCCTTACCACTAAGGGTATCGATGACCTGGTGCTGAAGATGTTTGTCGAGAAGGGTGCTATGGCTGTCAGGAGATGTAAGAAGGAGGATCTACGACGAATTGCCCGGGCGACCGGTGCTACTTTGCTGAGCACCTTGTCCGACCTCAACGGTGACGAGAAGTTCGACCCCTCGTACCTGGGTTATGCCGAGGAGGTTGTCCAGGAGCGTATTTCTGACGATGAGTGCATTCTCGTCAAGGGAACCAAGGCCTTCTCCTCCGCCTCCTGCATCCTCCGTGGCCCCAACGACTACACTCTCGATGAGATGGAGCGTTCGGTGCACGATTCGCTCTGCGCGGTCAAGCGAACCCTGGAGAGTGGCAGCATCGTCCCCGGTGGCGGTGCTGTGGAGACTGCCCTTCACATCTACCTCGAGGAGTTTGCCGGCACTGTCGGATCCCGAGAGCAGCTTGCCATTGGCGAGTTCGCCCAGTCGCTCCTCGTCATTCCCAAGACTCTGGCTGTCAACGCCGCCAAGGACTCCGCAGAGCTTGTTGCCCAGCTGCGATCAAGGCACGCACTGTCGCAACGCATCCAGGAGGGTGACGCAAGTGAAGACGAGAAGACCATTGCCAAGAAGAAGGGCTACAAGAACTACGGTCTGGATCTCACTCGCGGCAGGGTTGTCGACGAGGTGAAGATTGGTGTGCTAGAGCCCAGCATGAGCAAGATCCGACAGCTCAAGAGTGCCGTCGAGGCTTGCATCAGCATCATGCGTATTGATACCCTGATCAAGTTGGATCCCGAGGTGCAGCAGGACGACGGACACGGCCACTGATGAAATATAATGAAATGGGACAGTCAGGTATAGAATTTAAAAAGCTGGCAACCTGTCTGTGCATCTCTGCATTGTCTCTTCTCTCATGTACCCCGGCGTGATGTTCCTAGGCATGACTGCACATATAATGCCACCGCACACAAGCACTCGGCCTTTAGCTGAGATAATGAGAACCAACATTCATTGCAACTAGACTAATTCCTGCGTCCATGATTTTTCCAGTATATCCATCACCTTCATCGATTATTGTGAGAAACGTGTCCGCTGCGAGAAGCATCCCTAGAGATTCGCCCATCTACTATCGGAGAGGTCAGGTGTGTTGTTCATCTCTCAATGCCCGAGAGAAGGTCGTAACCTGCATATCAAGTGAACAGACTCCGATTGGCTTCTCTTCATATATGTTCTTATTGATCCAAAGCCAGGTCACTGCAATGTGCATATCGTCTGAAATAACAGAGAGTAAGTCCTGGTGGACAAGGATCCTAGTGGACAAGGATCTTGATGGAACGACTGCACAGGAACAGCAACGCAGACGTGTTGAACAATATGCATAGCGTGCCAACGCAATAAATATCAATTATTCAACCCCCACACGCAGGATTGGCCTCGAACACTCCATCCCGCTCGCCACCCCTTGAGCCCGTCGACTGAATTTCCCTAGGACGTTTTATTTTTATACAAGGGGACCGAGGCCACGTCTAAGAAACAGTAGGTGCGCGCACCGGGGCATGTTGTAATTCTCCCCGCCAGTCTATGCTCCTCCATCGCAAGAAATCCTCCCCCCCTTATTCTTACACCCCGTTCCATCTTAACCGACGACCAGCTTGCCCTCCTCGGGGAACTCGTACTCGGGGATCTCGAGGTTGAGAGGGGCGGGTCCCTTTCTTATACGGCCGGAGATGTCGTAGTGAGAACCGTGGCAGGGGCAGAACCAGCCACCGAAGTCACCGGCCTCACCAATGGGGACACAACCCAGATGGGTGCAGACACCTGAGGAGCGAATGTTAGCATCAAGTGCCTCGATTCCAAAATCCTACCTCTGCACAGAAACGAGTGCAGCAATCGGCTTAGATGGTTGAGTTACGTACCCAGCATGACAAGCCACTCGGGCTTCTTGACACGGTCGGCATCCTGTTCCTGGTCTCGTAGAGTGCTGATGTTGACCTTGTTCGCGGAGTCGATCTCCTCCTGGGTTCGGTGTCGGATAAAGACGGGCTTTCCTCGCCACTTGATGACGACCTGCGGATATTTAATGATGTTGTCTTGATAGCTTGCCTAGTACACGCCAACTCACGTTCTTGCCCTCGGGAATGGAGGTGAGATCCACCTCAACCTTGGCCATGGCCAGAACATCGGCAGAGGCCGACATGTTGACCAAGAACTCTGTGATTCCGACGTCAGCACCATCAATTGACCAGGCTAGATGCATTGCCAGCTCCTGGAAGGACCAATTGAAGCTCAATGGCAACGTATCCGCAAGAACCGAAGCCACCCACCTTGCACAGTGCTCTTGGCACCAGCGGCACTGACGGCACCGAGGGCTCCAACCATAAAGTACGAGTACAGCTTGTTCTTGTTCTCGCCGTTCTTGGAGACGTAGGCGCCGAAGTTGGGGATCTGGGAGCCCTTGGACTCGCCCTTGAAGGGGCTCGAGTATCCCGAGGCCGTCGCGCTGTCGGGGCGCATGGCGGTGGTGCTGAGGGCGCGCACGGCGGGCACGGCCGGCTTGGCTGCCGAGCGCAGGCACAGGCGAGAAGCGGTCGCGAGAGTCGCCATCGTGAGGGTCGGGGTGGTGGCGTTGGCGGAAGGGGTCGTCGAAGGAGAGGTTGAGGTCTTTTCCTTGGTGGTATCGGCTGATGATGCTTTGCCGAAAGTTTTGGGTGAAAAGTGCGGCCTGAGGCTGCAAATCAGCTTCAAGCTCCGAAATTGATTGCCCGTGATTGGTCCGGTCGATTTCGGGTGGGGCTTCCGAACTCTCCCGGGATCTGGGCCCTTGACGGCATCCGCTGATTCATTCGCTGTTGAGCAACCAAGACGCTGCATCGGTGGATTGGCGAGCAAAAGAACTGTTATTCTACATTGCATCATTGTACTCTATGCATCCTAAACATTTCCGACATCATCATCTCTATAATACGGCTCAATTGGTGTTGCACCTGAGTTCCTGTGTGCGAGCCCATTCTGACCAATAGCCGTCGACCCTTTCGTCCTTTACGTCCAGCCAGGGCGAGTGGATGCTGGGATCAGGGCCAGGGCGCCAGCTCCGTGACAACAAGCCCAAAATAGCCACCATGGCAATCAACGCCTCCAACACTCCGTCTCAATGCATCCTTCGTAACTCCTCAACCACGTTTCGCATGTCTTCGACACTAGGTCCCAGGCCTTCGCATACTAACTCCTGCTTCCCCTCATCCATGTCCAAAAATCTTTCCACCATCTCGCCGTCTATGAAGCGGTACGGGCCATCGCTTTCCCGCGCCTCATTTCGGAACGAACGCCAATCTTTAAAGGCAATGTTTCCGGGTACGTTAATGTACTGCTCCAGCTTCGATTGGAACGTCATCAAAAGATCTTGGTATTGCGGTGAAATGTCCCCGTACAGATAGAGAGAGCCTTCGGCCTGGCATCTGTTAGTGTCATGACCTTCTGTTTTCAACAAGATATGAATTGCTTACCGATCCTAAGAAGGCTCTTGGAGAGACGACCGAGCTTTTGTTGACCGGAACATGCAATTTCCGAATTTGGTTGATTTGTTCGCCAATGTTGATCTCGCTCGTCACCTCCAACCGACTCCGGTCCTGTTCTGTGGGAGCATCCGCGTTCCGGTGAAGAACGATGAGGTTACCCTGCGCATCTGCCTCTAGCCACCTTTCGTCATCCAAATTACAGACAGAAGTTGCCCATCCAAGATCATAATGACGCGCGCGCTCTTCAAGCTTAGCCTTGTTTCCGTCTTGCGGCGGAACAAACTCGACTAATGATAGGGATTGCATCAAGTCAACAACACCAATCATGTTGCCTGAGATGTCCAGATCTATCGGGTACGCCGCGGGACGATAAGCCGCGAGTTTCTGTAGGGACCCAGAACTGCTCGTCTCTTGAACGTATTTGTAAACAATGACCGTCTTCGACAGGCCTGCCACAACATAGTCGTCCATCATCCGCAAGCAGCGACATGAACCCTTCAGGTTGTGGGATACGATCTGGTAGACCTGTCGATTCTCATCAACACCAAGGACTAAAATTCGACCTTGGGACTCTCCCGCCTCTTTAACTTCGCCGTCGTTGATGAAGCTTGTTCCAACGATGAACCTCTCTGCTGGGTTGCCGCTAACGTCAGGCAACTCCGCGCGAATCACGCACTCCACCATCTCAAGGGAACTGGCATTCAGCACAAATGGCTTCCCCAGCTCCTGGAAGATGATTTCGTCAACAAGCTTAAAAGAACTTGTGATATTCTCTTGATTTCCGTCGAGCTCCTTCTTGATGCAGCCCAAACCGAAGGCCTTGAGGCCTGGAGAGTATGCCACCCTTCTCACGGTTTCTTTCATCGGCAACGCTTTCACGTGGGTGAGCCGTTCCTTGTCGACATGACAAATTCTGACATGGTCATCTGTAGATAAGACAATGGAGTCGGGGAAAGCGTGCGAGTCGAAGGGAGCGACGAATGTGGCGTCGTCGGCGGTGGTCGCAGAGTATACTATCCGGCCCTCGGCACTGTAGATGAGACTTGCATGTTCAGTGGTTGCAAACACATTGGAGGTGCCATCTTCTTGTGGTAGAATGTGTAACCGGGCTGGGTTGCTTCCCAACGTGACACTTTTCCGACCAGAGACGGCAAATCCCTTGGTGGAGACGTTAAAAGTGACGACATTGCCGTCCTCCATGGCGATCAGCAGGGTTGGGCCGGCAGTTTCTGGAGGATGGAGCTGAACGAGCGCAATATCTCGTGGCACAGTGGCGCTATCCTCGGTTTGTCTCATAGATTCCCCATGGAGGGGATCCAAGGAAGCCATATCAATCAAGGATATTCGACCTGTCGACCACCAGCCAACCACGCCCAAATCTGGCGGATCGCGAGCCGCATGGATGCAAGATATTTGATCCGGTTGCCCAGAGGTAGAGTAATGCTGGGCCTCCTGGGAACGGGTAGAGAGATTTTGCAGCAGATTCAGGGATACCAACGTGGTGCCATCAACTGATAGCAAGGCCCATTTGCTATTTGCAGATGCTCTGGTGATGGACTTTCCAGGAGGGGTGCTCCATGAGCTAACAGTAACACCACTCTCAGGATCCAGTAAAAGGACGGCCTTTGGGATGATCTGTAGTACCTGCCCATTAGGCAGGTTCATGGCCAATAGAGTCTCAGTATCCTGAACCATGCCCTGGAACGAGTACACCTCTTCAATGCCGCCTTCAGTATCGAAGCTGAAGATTCTAGTCTCGGCAATGGACGCGATGACTAGGGTATCGACCAGGTCAGACCCGTAGGAGTGCAGTGTGAATAAGGCCCTCGTCCCATCCAACTCGTCCAAGATCCCCCTATCTTCCAGACCAACGCCGCTCCGAATACTTCGGAGGGTTCCATCTCGGTATGCACCGCAGCCTGCAACGATCCTGGACTGACCCGAGGAAAAGGCATTCCCGGCCTGGGAATCCCCTTCTCTGTTGCCCATGTCCATGATCGAAAAGTCCATGATCGGAGCGTTGTTGGAGAGTGACTTTATCAACATGATCGTGCTGGATTCAGGGTCGACTTGGAATAACTGCGAGTCGCCATGATGTGAAGCCACAAAGAGGGTATTGTTGCCCATATAAACTAGACTGGATGCTCTTGAAGTGATTGCAATGGAGTCCTGGAACTTTAGAGGTGAAAGTGTCATTCCCGTCACCACAACACCGGTAGCCTCAACTGTTGTTTCGATGGTGAGCATGTCGAGGCGACCGTAATCATCTGCCAGAAAGTAATGGGTGCCGTCGTATTCGGCCCATGCCACAAAGATCTTGGGGTCCTTGAGGCCAGATGACACACTCATGTACGTCAAGCTGTCAAAGTACGTTAAGAGAGTTTCTCCGACAACGAGAAGGCCGCCCAGGTGAGCCTTAGCCCCTTCGTTGTTTCGTACATGGTATCGTTTCTCTTCATCGACCGGGATCGGGATCAACATGGATGCGTAAGGGTCGGGAATGACGATATCGAGTTCTCGATCCCTATACGGATCAAACTTGGAGACTTCTCCGCCCTTGTCATCCTTGGTCAGCCTGTAAATGGCGACTCGAGCCTCCTCCTGATCCAAATTCGCCTTGTATAGGAAGGCAATCTTCGGGTGCCCGGTGCGGCTGTGGATGAACGTGCTAGCCTTCATCCATAGCTCCGTTAACCGGACTTGGTCCAGAGCCTCCAACCTAGTCGTAGAGCCTTTGCGTGTTGGCAGCCGAAACACGTTCAGCACTCCCTCCCAAAGGTGCATGGCCAGGAAACGTCCAGTCGGATCCACCAAACATTTGTTCTGGCTCTGGGAGTGGCGCATGTATGGCTCTGAGTTGTCCTCGACCACGCGATCGATCGTGTCAAGCTGGTTCGTCTCGGGATTCCAAACCAGGTTAAAGTATTGTAATCGATCGGTGCCGACGAAGAGGAGATCGGTCTCGGTGCCTTTCGGCTGCAGACGCTGCAGCATGGATATCGTGCCGTGGATCAGCTTCGTGTGGATGCATGTCATACCATCCTCGGCGAGGCGCCATACTTCGAGACGGTTTGTCTTGCTGTCGGGCTTCATCAGTATCTCTCGGGCATCATTGCGGCGGACGTGGCTTACGCAATGACGAGGTCGTCGATATCGGGCGAGAGAAGCTTGGCCCGCAGCGCATGCCGGATGCTGGTAGCTCTGTGTATGGGCGCGACGTACGCCATGATTCTTTATCCAGCGGCAGTACGCAGGCGGAGAGCGGAAGGTGGAGGATGGAGGTGAGGAGTTGGTGAGGGTTGCTCCTGACGAGAGCAAGTCTAGGAGCTTCACGCCCTAGGCTGCTCGAAAGTTGAGGTGCGTCAATGACGCCGGAGTTAGGACGAAGCAGCGTGCGCAGTGGGGCGTTGGCGCTAAAAATTGCCGACTCCTCCGCTGTTAGCACTGACCCTTAGGCTCTTTAGCGGGGTCGAAGTGCCAGGGTCGATTCCATTATTTGTTCTGTATCATGGAACCTGCATCTTGTGTGTCCAACAGCCTTACGTTTTTTCTAGACTCGGGTAATCGGTTCACAACCCGGCCTGCATGACCTTACGGGATAATTCCATGCGGTCCTGAAATCTGCCTGTGGAGATAACCCGGTCCCTGAGGATGTTACAGCCGGCAATCCAGGCACGTCACGGGACCGAGAATGGGAGTGCTTGATAGGTCGTTGAGAGAGAAACTACGACGCAGTGTACCTGCCTCTGGATACCAACTTATCTGTCTGTCACAAATGACAGGAAGGAGCTGGGGAGACAGTGGATACCAACTTGATGCACCATTTTTGCCTCAGGATTCCGATGGGATTGGGGTGGCCACTGGAGAATGGCCACCTTTGGAGGGCTTCGCTTTCAAGTGTAAGTTCTTCAATCTTCTCGCGCCCTTTCAATGTCGACTTCTGTGATTGCTCCTTATCGCCGACGGTTTCCCTGTTGCCATGGGCAAGGAAAGCGATGCAGAAAGTAGAAGTGCGGCCGAATACGCCCTCGCCCAGCAATGTTTCCGTGACCACCGAGGCGCTCCATATCGATTCCAAGACCAAATCCGTGACATGAGAGAGACGATCCAACAGGTAGAGTCGGATGGATTGATCCACCAGCCTGGCCTCGTCGCTACGCATCTCCCATTTACAGAAATCGACTTGGATCTCATTGATGGCCCAGAACCGATGTTGGCTAGCCCATGTTCACCCCCAGATCCTACCATCTCAGCTTCATTTATTGACCCTGCAGCCTTTCGGACCTTCAGAGAGTTGCGGATTTCTCCAGAGCCATTAGATCTCGGATTTGATATCAAGAAAGATACTCAACAATTCTTGGACGATATTTACTCGAAACGCTTCTGCAATGTGCTGAACGAGTGGCTCCCCCTGAGCCCAGTCAATACCGACAAGGATCAAGGATTGGAGTTCTCCTCCGCCTCTTCGAGGTGGCAGATGTTGGCCCTTCGAGAAATCAATCGTAAGAACATTGAAGTGTCCGATGCGGCGAAACAATTGGTGCGTATCGCAGAGGACACGACTGTAGCTCAGACGACATGGCTGAGCGGGGAGGCTTTGGGACTGAACAGGGCAAGTGGCTATCATTCACGCTCAAGAATTCTCTCGCTGACTTCTGTAGCAACCGAGAGTCTACCTAGAACCTGTGTCACCTCCTCTTTCTCCATCTTCAAGCTTGGATGATCCCTTTGTCCCAAGTCGCTGTGTCACCATTATCGATTTGACATCGGAGCCAAGCAGCCCTCTGAATTCTCCCGTCGCGAAACTGCAGAAGGACCTTCAAAATGGATGTGTGGACTCCGAACCCGTGGCACCATTCTCTTCATCACGCTCGTCCTCCCCACCAAATGAGCTTCAATGCTTTGGGTCGCCGCGTTGCAAGAAGTCAACCCTCAAGCTTGATGTCCCGCTAGTAATCTCCAGTCCATTTCAACTCGAACCCAGCAACTCCTTTACGGATGCTGTAGGAGAGAGCAGCCTCGACACTGAAGAGATAGAGTTACAGCCCACAGGCGCCGCCCACGGATTTTTCGACGAGGCAATGGAAGCTATCATAGACTCCGGCCACGAACGTACAGTACGGAGGCTGGAAGACGAACGGCTTAACCCAACCGACTCATTCCTGAGAGTGCAAGTGCCTACTCTCAGCTTCGATCACCCGGAACCTGAATGGAAGGATCATCTATCAAGTCCCGGGGCTCAATTCAAGTGGATAAAGAGAGCAATGCCAATCGCCTTCCAGCTTCCCCCAGCCAGCTCGCTTGCACAGCTGGGAACTTCGTTGAAGTGGACGCCGATACCACCTGGAACTGGTCGAGTGTCTTCGGTTGAATCCCTGGAACCTCTGAGTTCAGCAAGTCGGCACTACCTTATGATCGAGATCCCCCGTCTTGGCAGTGGGGATTACGTTTCGAAGACCACGAATTTGTCGATCCTTCGTATCTTTGACGACGAAGAGATCGAACCCGACACATCACTTGTTGAAGATACGAGCTGTGCACCAATTTCAGTGGCGTCTTCGGCCAAAACTTCGTCTGCCAACGACCAGCAGGGTTCTCTAGACGCGTGGTGGAAGGCCCATCTTCCGATTGCTCAATCATCGAGAAAGAAGGCGATAATAAGATCCAATAACCTCTTACCACATACAAACGACTCGAGTGCCACAAGCAAGCTTTTGTCAAGCTTCATTCAACTTCGACGTCCTAAAAGATTCAAGCTCTCAGAGGACTTTCCACAACACGCCAGACCCGTCAGCGAAGACGTCTCAAAGCATCTCGCTCCGACTAGTCTGCGACAGAACTTGCAAGATGACACCGACCCCAATATTCCCAAGGCGCCAGTCCCGACGTTTTGCATTCCATTCGAAAAGTGCCGTTTCGTGGTATCCATGAGTCTAAATCGAACCGTCTTGTGCTACATCGAGAAGACATGGCCTCAAGTAGAGCTGATAGACAAGGACTTCTCACAGTACAACGAAACTAAATGGTCCCCTGGCTCAACCCAACGTCAAGAAGTCAAATCTATCCTATCGTCTGAAGCCGATATTGCCCTGTCGCCAAGTGCAGGAATCATACTTACAACGATGCTCAAGGTGAAGCAGAAACCCCTTCCAGGCTCAAACTCACCCACACCACTGCGCAGCCAAGTCCAGCGAGTAAGCGAAAAGTACGAATCTCTTTACATCATCGTCTCAGAGGGGAACCCGCAGGGAGAATACGTCGGCACGCCGAGCGCTTCCGACATGACCGCCTATGCCGACTTTGTACGATTCACAACTTCTCTCCAAGCTGGCGTCACCACAGAGCTCATCCACGGAGCCGAAGAAACCTTAGGCAAATGGACATTGGCCCTGATGTCGAGATTCGCCGCAGAGTCTTTGCAGTTTGCGCACCTCGTCAACGCCGAGGATACGGAATGGGGGCTTTTTCTACGACGTGCTGGGATGAACATTATCGCATCGCAGGTCCTCGAAGGGCTGCTCGTCACTGAATACGGAGACTTGGGAATGGTCCGCTTCTTGGCAGCATCGTGTGAGGAGAGGGTGTTGAAGTATGGTCAGATGATGGGAGGCAACAGGGTTCTGGCGAATGTTAGTCGGCAGCTGGACAAGGGGTGAGGCTGAGAATCCCATCAGTCATATCAAGGCCCGATCCTAGTCAAATGTTGGTAGGAAGGACTTGGTTTGATCAAACATGTAAAATATACCTGAAGATTACAACACGGCTTTGCGGAGACGATCCACAGGTTCGGAGCGGAGTACGCCGGATTCTGTTCGGAACGGAGGCCGGAATAGTGGATCGTCGCTCCGGACACGGAGTGAGGCCCTGCCTTGACACTGGGCTTCTCTTTCCCTGTGCGTTAATTCCGATCCCTGCGACGCGAGCCTGTCTGCCATAGCTACCGTGGTTTATAGCCGACACTTGTCTTGACAGTCATATGTCTACTACCACCGACGAGAATGGTGAGGGCCTGAGCTATCCAGTTTTTTGAAGGCGTCTAGTCCCTACATCTTCTAGAAGACCAGTGGACAATCATGAACGGTTGCCAGTCTGCACTTGTATTTCCAGTCCCATTCCCGCCGTCTATCGTCTATGTATAAAGCTGACGTTTCTGGCAGCCGGGTCTAGAAAACAAGCTTCACCAAACTACAACGCTGTTCAACATAGCTCCCAGAGTGGCCGAGGTAGCGTCCGCCCGGGCGGTGCCGCTTGCGGGTGTACTTGCTTCACTCCCACGTATACCACGCGGCGGGACGGATTGGCAATGGTGACGGAGCGGGACTCGAGGCCGTAGTAGTCGGAGATGGAGTGGGTGAGCCAGCGCCTGTGTCTTGCGTCAGCGAGGGGTTCTAGAACGTCAGTTTTCTGGAGGACGAAGGGGGAAAACTCACTTGTAAGCGGCGCTCTCGTCGGTGCCGAACGAGTCAAACACCATGCCCGAGTCGACCGTCTCCTGGGACACCTCCCTGCGGGCCTTCTTCCACCGCGCGCGCTTCTCCTGCAGCTCCCGCATGGCGCCGTTCCTGCCAACAAAGACAATCTCCTCGTCGTCCGAGTCCATCTCCTCAGCGGCGCTGTCGACATCGGCATCGGGTTCGGCCTCGACCTCGGGCTCCTGACGCGGGGCCTGCTCGCACAGATACTGCCTCACGGGCTCCTCGAGGGCTCGCACCCAGGTGCGCACGACGGGGGTGCGCTTGGCGGCCTCGCGTAGGTCGCGCGGGACCTCGCCGGCGCCGAGACCGGTGGCGCTGCCGCGCTGGAGCTGCTGCTGCTTGCGGGAGGCCTGCAGACGGACCGTCTTGTCCTCGACGTGCTGGCGTACGCCGCGGTCCCAGAACTGGGCCAGCTGGTACGGCACGCGGTGGATGGGGTGCGTGGGGTGGACTTCCCAGTCGACCGGCTGCGGGGGCTGGACGTTGGGGACGTGCATGAGGCGATCTATCGCGGGGTCGACAAGTGATCAGCATAAGAGGAAAAGGAAGGGGATCAGGGATGGAATCGTTCTGTACCATTCTCCCAGCGCCTCCGCTGACGGCTTCCCTCCTTGCCCTTCATCACCATGTCGCGCGTGCGCTGACTATCCCGCCGGGACAACGGCCGCCGCGGGGGAGACGACGAGTCATCCCCGCCGAACCCAACATTGCGGACGACAACAGACGCCGTCTGCTTCACCTTGACGTCCAGGTCAATGGGGATGGCAAGCGGGGAGCCGGTGCCGCGGGCCACGGGCGACACGCGGAGGGATTGCAGGGCGGAGACGGTCCAGGCATCGATGTCGATGGCGCCGTTCGTCACGGGAGTCGACGGAGACTGGACAATCGGCGGCGGCGTCGTGGTGTTCGCCGCTGGGGCGTGGTCCGCGGGCGGCGGGACGGCGCTGTAGATGGCCATGATGGCGATGGCGGTAGGGGATGGAGTGGAGGAGCGGAGGAGTGGATTGCGGGGTGGGCGAGTGGGACGAGCTGGTAACGGATACAGGAGGAATTAGGAGACGAGGCTTCCAGGAAACAGAGCAAGCGATGGTCCTCAGAGAAGCCCGGCAGCCAGTCTACAGTCCAAGTAAAAATGGCGACGCAGGATGCTCAGGGGATTTAGGGGAAGGAGGAATTAAAGTTGGCGGTGGTGATGATCCGAGGGCTCGCAGATAAGTAGGGATAAAGCAGATAACTAAACATGCCCCAAGCCATGACCCGCGATGAATCATCCTCCCCCGTGCCGTCCCCGTACCTCCGTGGAGCGAGCCCACACACGGCCAATCACGACGCGAGCGCATCCCACACGGTGCCCTCCAGCCACGGATCCCGGAGCGTTCGGGGGGGCCCGTGGGCTTTCGGGGGGGCCATGGGAGTCATCAGCTGCGCTGCCACCCACTTCAACAGCCATTGTGCCGCTCACTCACTTTCAATAAGCATTTCGATTTGCTGGCTAACAGGATATGGAGCGGGCTTCTCAAACCCTTTGAGTCCAGATATCTGCGGGGGTCCTGTCATGGAGTGGATCCCTCACGGGCCAGCAGCAGCCATCATGACTCCCCAGACGGGCGTTGTCGATGGTGGTGGGTACTTCGTACATCTCCAGGCAGCCAAGCGAGCCATGGCTCATCGTTCATCAATCTCCGGGCTCGCTAATAAGGAACCTCTGTCGGGTCATCACAAGGCCCCCCAAACTCGATTCCAATGGACTTGGTAATAATGATCTGTGACTTGCCTGAACATAAACGTCGACAGTACGAAGTACACCTTTGAATGCAACCCTACTCTTGTTAAAATAATCAATCACCATCAATGTCCCAGGATATCGGATGCTTCTCGTTCCTCGACCATCGCCCTTTCGGACGAAATCAGTCCCTTGTTGAGTCGTAGTTCCGGTGAGGGTTGCCAATGCCTCCGGGTCTCAACAGTGGCTGGTTCTCCCTCTCAATCGCCCGCTCCTCACGTTCCTGGATGTCATCCAAATCCTCCTCTGTCTCTGCGTACCGCTCCGGGTGACCTGTAAACGGTCCCGGCAGACCACGCTCCCAGCCCTCCGAGTAGGTCCGGCTGGCCGACGGTCTCCGGGGCATGCTCGAGTACTGGACGGGCGACTGTGGGGTGGTGCTTGCGAATCCGTTGCTGTGGGTGTCCTGTCGGCGCGCGGCAAGCTCGTAGTACACGCCCATGCTCAGCACCGTGCCCTGCATCGTTGCCGTGATCAGATAGATGACCCAAGTGCTCCATCCTTCCCATCCCAAGCGAGCAAACAGGCTTGCAGCAAACAGGAAGCCACCGGGGGTTTGGATGCACATCATGGGAATGCTCAAACTTCCCACATGTTTCAAGTGGTACGTCATCCAGATCTGCGGCACGTACTGTACGGCCGCAAGGGCGGTGGCCATGATGCCGAGGAAGTTCGCCCAGAAGAGGAGGTGATCAGGAAGGGCGATGAAAAAGACACCCGTGATAATGATGACAATCAGGCCATGCAGGACGCAGACCAGGCCGACCATGACGGCCGTCTGCCACTTGGGCGCATCACCACGGAGCTCCTCTGGGGGAACATTCGCTTGCCTATAACGGAAGAAGATCAGGAAGAGGACGAGTCTGCGACCGAGTTAGCTAGAGATACAAATGAGCCACGGTGAAGTGGGGGGGGCCGCGTACATCAGACTGAAGCAGACCCATTGGGCGCCGAGCTGGAAAACACCGAGCAATCCAGCAGTGCATTCAAAGGCACCGAGATCCTTGCAACAGCCGATGGCAACACGCGACGGCGGGACGGTTAGGATGTTGGCGAAGCCGGCAGTGGCGGAAGTGGTGCCGAGCAGGACGAAGTAGGGAGAGATGCCCTCTGACGTGCCCCGCGAGATGATGCGGTAGTGCTGGGGGAGGTAAGAGACGAGAATACCGAGCAAGAGGATTCTGCAACATCATCAGCATTCATGTCGAGTTTTCACAGCAGGCCTAGCTGCGGCCAGGGGCCTCATACATGGAAACGATGAGCTCAAGGTACGAAGGCGTCTTGAGCCGCTCGCATTGGTCATCGATGGCGAAGACGTCCATGCTTGCGGATGTCATGGGAATTAGGCAGGGCACAGTTCTGAACCAGGTGGATGTTGCGGCTCTGCCGGTGGTCAAGAGGGATCGTCAAGAATCACGAGATTAGGGACTCGGGGGCCCCAACTCGGGTGCGGGTAAGAAAAGAATAGAGGGCGAGAAGCGGCGCGTGCTGGGACGGAGGTGACGTATGTTGTGTGGGGGGTGGACGGTTGGCGAGGCTGTCGCGAGAGCAGCGACACGGGCACGCGGGCGAGGGAGTGGTGAGTTGGTAAATAGTGAATAGCAGCGGGAGGCTGCGAGTTGCCGCAATGAGCAACAGACGGTGAAGCGAGGCTAAGAGGTAATCATAGTGATGTCGATATGAGCCTGGCTTTAGTGTGGGCGAGCGTGAGCTGTGTTGTTTGGCTGGGGAGAACGGCTTGGGTGGTGAGAGTGATGAATCCAGGTGAGAGTCGAGAGGGAGCTGGGCAGCCAACCCACTGTAGCCCGGGGGGGTCATTAGCACACATTAGCATGAGCCACACTCATTGGCCATGCGACCGGGGAGTCGGCTTTTGTCAGCCTGCCAAGCCACCAGCGCTTGGACGAGCCAGCACAGAAGTTCTAGAGGGAGGTGCAGGTGTCTTTCCACTGGAGCTGGGTATGCTGCCCACTCGTTTTAGCGGGCATGTGGGTGGGCGCTGGGCGCTGCACAGGCACCCGCTCCCCCAACACACGTCTTGGCGTCTCCATCCATGACGTCGCTGGCGGGAATACGAAGTCGCATGGAATACGGTAAACGATTAGCTTGCCCTTCGCAACCTCGCCGCAACACCGTATCCGGGGCTGAATACGCGAACCATCTTTTAGATTGAGAGACATTCGGCTGGTTCGTTTCAGCTGCAATGCTACGCCATCCTTACTCGTATCCAGAATCGGCACTCGTGCAATTTGTGAGAGCCAACCCACGCAAAAAGATGGACCGCCAAGCTAGAGCCACATCTAACCGCCCTCTCGACCCAAAAGTTCTCATCCACTCACGGCGCACATCACCATCTCAACCTCGCATCGCACCATGGATGACCCTGACTGTGACCACAACCGCCCTGCAGGTGCCGACGCCAATGCCATCTCCCAGCATCAAACCGCCCCAGCCGTTCATCTACTAGCCGGAAACGTCATCGCTCGGCCGAGACATGATGCCCAGGACCACGCCAGCTCCAGTCCACGAGAATTCTACACCTCCGCCCAATGGACCGCCGACGGGACCTCGCTCGTAGCCTCGTCCTCGTTCAACTCCATATCTACCTTTGTTCTCCCCAGCGACCTTCTCGACTCATCCTCCAGGCCACGCAGTCTCGCTGCCCAGTCCACCGTCTTCCTCCCCGAACCTACCCAGACCATCGTCCCGGCGCCGTACTTCTCCCTCACTGAGGCCGCCACTCAAACAGCCCTCGTCGGCTGCCGTGACCACCCCCTCCACTTGTATCATCTCTTCCCCCGCGAGGATGGGCCTGCCACGCCGCTGGCATCTTACAAGCTCATCCGCCACGAGACGGAGGAATACATCACGCCGTCGTCGATGCTATGGGAGCATCCCGGAACGCATTTCCTGTGCGGCTCTACGAACCGCCTCGACTACTTTGACATGTCGCGCCACGGCTCAGACGGCCCGTTACTCACCATCCCCACCATCCCCTCTAAGCGACACATCGCCAAGGGCAGCGGCATCGGGATGAAGGGCACCGTGTCGGCCCTTGCTGCATCTCCAACGGAAAGCAGCGGCGGCTCCATTGTCGCTGCAGGCATGTGGACGAGATGGGTCGGGCTATATGACCTTCATCGTACGGACAAGGCCGTCGCTAACTGGTCCGTCTCCAACACAGACGACATGGATGGCGCCGCGGAAATTGGTGGCCAAGGCATAGTCCAAGTACGTTGGAGCCCCTGTGGTCGATATCTAGTTGTCAACGAACGCCAGTCTACGGGCCTTCTTGTCTATGACATTCGCGGCTCGGGCAGACTCCTCAGCGTGCTCAACGGCCGAGACGCGTCAACACAGCAGAAGCTTTCCTGCGACGTCTTCCAGGGCGACCAACATGGCGACTCGTCGTTTTTCGAGGTCTGGGCTGGATCCAAGGATGGCTCCGTCGTAGTATGGGAAGACGTCGGCAGTAGCTTTGGCATCGTAGAGCCGACATGGGACTGGAAGGCTCACGAGTCTCCCGTCGGCAGCACCATTCTTCACTCGAGCGGGTCAGTCGCAGCGACGTGCTCTGGGGGATGGGGAGCACCATCCGTTCAAGAAATTGAAGATGACTTTGGCGAGTCCAAGTCTTTGCCCAATGCCCAAAGGGTCTTTGACGAATCTGGACTCAAGATCTGGTCCATTGGAGGCTGATCCAAGACCAGATGCCTATCCCGTACATGTAGGTTTCCATTATAGATGATACCCCATAAGCCTTCGGGCTTACTTGGATTTTGACAAGGTCATGACCAACAGATATTGAGACTCGGACCATACGTAGATACCTTCTCAGCGGTGATCTGCTTAGATTGTTTGACAGCGCTCGAGTCGAGCAGACCCAAGAGGAGAGGGACCACGATCAAAGATACCCAACTAAATGAAGCACTTGAGTTTCCGAGAGTATCACTGGATGATTTGGCCACTTCACGATAGCAATCGATCAGCCAGACCATTAATAAGCATAAATGGTTTGTATATTAAGTTCTGTCAAACTTGCCACTTTTGGCGCCGCCGCAGCAGCCCGTGTTCCATTGCTTTTGATACCTGGTTGGCTATTAAGCAACCAAGGCAGAAGGTTCCAAATCTAGAAGGAAATTAGCGCGTGAAATACTCCATAATAAATAGTGTTGAAGGTAAAAAAGAGGTCATACACTCCGATGGCTCTAAAGGCACCGATCGCTCGGAGAAGGTCATCGCCAACGCGGCACTGAGCGCTTCCCGAGCCCTTTTGGCAAGGCACCATATTGACTCGTGCCCAGACGACGCCCCCCGTAACCAGGGGATCCATCACCAGAAACAGAATAAGGATCATGGCCGCGACGGGGCTGCCGCAGGCTGGCCGAGATGCGAACGACGGGTCCAACCAGGTCCGCAAGGTTATGGTGATGATGACTATAGCGATGGCGGATACCTCGATGGTGCTGGCAATTATGTTCACCAGGCTAAGACGCTGAGTACTGTGCAACACTGGAGCGGCGACGCTGCGTTGGGCGCACTTACACTTCGCCAGTTGCTTCGCGAAGGCTGATTCTCGTCAGAGGCATCCACGAAACTATCATCCCGCTGATCCACGGCACCGTCATGGCGAAAAGGGTGATTCCTGAGTGGGCGTGCTTTCTCCAGCCGCTAAGGTGTACCTTCGGCAGTGGGCGGTTCTCTATTCGCGGAGCTGGTGTATTGTCCTCGCTCCCAAAAGCAAAGACATACACTCGCGCAGGCTCCATGGCGCTGCCGACGGTGGCATCGCGGACCAGTTCTGCAGCGTCGACGGTAGCATGGCTGGGTTCGCGCGGGTACGGCGCATCGGCGAAGCCAATTACACCGTCCTCTCTCAGTCGCGGCGATTTTGGAGTGTCGGTGCTCATTGTGCAAGGTTCACGAACAGCGATTAATGCAAAGAAATAACATCATGATGGCGGTAGATACTCATGGTTGCGATACATCAAGACAATAGCACCGGCAAAGCGGCAGGGGGGGCTTCCGCTTAGCAGGTCAGCCTCACGAACGAACGTCTTAGTCGGGCGCAGGCAGAATACACTTCCCTAGCATTGCGGCGTCGAAAGACATCCAATATTTTCAGCTGCTCCTATTGAGAGTTCGTTGATTGGGCGCAGGACCAGTCACTTGTCTCAAAACGCCTCGGCTTGATGTGTCGAGGCTCACTACGACGACAATCGAGCCACAACTCGAACAAACACTAGACAGCTTACGGCCGTTTCAGCATAGCCTCGACGTTGAGTGCTGGCGACCTAGTGATACGGTACCTCGAGTTGTTTAGTTCAGCATCAATCCGGACAAAGACGAGCATCTGTCAAGAGTGTCGAATGCTCATATTAAGCCCTCAGGGGAGCCATCGAAGATGCGCCTCCTATTATGCATACGGACCATAGAACCCACGGCTACGGTTTTGGACTGTCTGCCTCCACCCGAAGACTTCCAGCCATCTCATGACAGTTCGAAATGGGTGAAGTTGTGCAAATTCAGTCCACCCATGAACACAATAGGTGACAGAATATATAGCCAAAGCTGTTGCTCTATGTGCGATTAATCTACCTAGGTATCTACTACCATCCTGTAAATGCTGACCGTGTGGCCATGTCTCCTCCACGATTACCAGGCCGATTTCAACCGACTAGTCTATCAACTTTCCATTGATGATCCCAAATTCTGTGCAGGGCCACATGCTCATTACTTCCCTGACGGAGCCTTTCTAAACACGAAACTCCACTTCGGATATCGACCCAACCAGAAAACGCCATTGGAATCCAAATCAATCGTCATCTCACAAGTACATTTCCTCCAACATGTCATTTAAATGATCTTAGTCCCTCCTCGTTCAATCATGATTCTCCTAGACCCAGCCGGGGCCCCGGTTCTGCTGCCACAACGGTCCTCCGCCTCCTCCGCGGGGACCTGGATAAGGGACCGTAGGACTATCGAGGTTGCTGACGGGGGCTGTGGGCGGTCTGGACTGTTCCTCTGGGATTCGTACTAGTCCAGAGTCGTAACCTTGGGGGTAGTCGTCGACTTCCCGACTATACCGAGTCAGGGGCTCTTCGTCTTGATCCATCTGGTGTGAGCCGTTGCCAACAGCCATAATGCCACCTGCGGATGAGCCAGGACCGTATCCGTAGGGGTAATTTGGCTGATACGGTTCCGCTCTATACTCTTCGTCTAACTCGGTCACTGGGGTCATAGTCCCGCGTGCGACGGGTATTGGCGGTGGTGGGCGATTTTCGTAGCCCTCCTGCATAGGTAGTAGTGGCTGGATGTTACCATTGCCTTCAGATCCGGGCCTGTGTTTATCATTAGCATGGTTCTCCTCTCCTGTGCACTTCGCCGGGATGGCGCCGCAATGTTAACATACTGTGCTTTCTGGTTCCCACCATTATTGCCCTTCTTCCGTTTCCACAACCAGACGCCGAGGAAGATCAAAGCCGCTAGTGCGGCAACGCCACTAATTGTACCACCGATGATTGCACCTGTGTTCTTCGAGCCATTGTTGTCGCCATCGGTATCAGGCGCAGAAGCTGCGCTTGTCGACGATGAAGAGGCATCCCCAGAACTGGTAGATGAAGCCCCATCAGTCTCCGTACTCGCACTTGCAGACGAAGTTTCGGAAGCACTCTGAGTAGATGATTCTGTGCTGGATGTCTTGGTGTTTGACTTTGTTTTGGTAGTGGATGTTTCGGTTGTCGATGTTTCCGTGGCTGTTTCCGTGGCTGTTTCTGTGGCTGTTTCTGAGGAGCGTGTTCGCGACGAGGTCGACTTCTTGGTTGACTCGGAGGATTCCGCAGTTTGCGTTGCTGAGGCGGATATGCTAGTAAGGTGGATAGTCGACTTTCCCGAAGCAGTTCCTACGACTGTTGTGGCCATTCCCGACGAGGTGCCGCATCCATACTGAGTGTACCCTCCCTCGAAACTGTTCTTGTAACAGACATCGGATCCCTGGCACGTAAACACATATGGATTGACTTCCGACTGCGCCCCACTATTCAAGTCGACACAGGCTGTGTAGACGCCCTGGGTGCAAGCGCCGCTATCGGGACAACAGCCAACAGCACCATGCTCAACCTCAATAACACAATGCGATCCGGCAGAGCAGGTAGCTGGGAGGGCGGGGTCGCCTCCGATGTAGCCGCAGACAGTGTTCAGGGCTCGGCGGTTCAGCAAGTCGTCGAAGTTACCGGGGGCTGCAGTCGCGGCGAGGGGCCAAGGCAGGACATTGAGTTCGCGGTAGTCGATGGTCTTGGTCGGTTGCGGCAGTGCGTACGGGTGTGCGCTTGTGAGGTGGGCGATGATGGAGAGGACGACGAGCGCTGCAGATGGCAAGCGCACCGTTCGGTTGGCGGGGGACATGGCAAAGAGGATCGTCCTATGTCTCACTCAAACATGATCCGTCGACGGGTCGCGTGTATATGGAATGTTGCGAGGGAGGGGTTTGGTGATGGTTGACACAGGAAAAGCAGTGCCCGCCAGGTACGAAGAATGCGACCTGGTCAATTAGGGATGCTGGAGGACAAAAACCCACGATAGACGGCGAAAAGAAAAAGATGGCCAAGATTTTTCGAGGGAACAAAAGAGAGGGAAGAGAGAGAGGAAGAAGAACAGGGCTGTGACACGGCAACGGCGACGTGGAGAATAGCCCCGATTTACGAGGAACCTGAACCTGGGGCGGCAGGAGCGAGGAGGAGCTGGGCGTCGGATACGCAAGGGTCTGGACAACTTGCAAGGGCCTGTCGGACAGCGAACAGCGCGGGGTTTTGGTTGGCGCAGGCTGGAGGCGTTGCTAGGCAAGAGGAAAAAAGGCTGGCAGCAGATTCAGGCCCCTGTCGGTTTGGTGCTTAGTTGCGTGGGTGCTTAGGCCCGACGGCCCATGACCAGACCAGGGACCAGGGGCGGCAAGAAGATGGGCGATGGGCGGCCGGTCGAGATGCTGAGGATGCTGAGGATGCTGAGGATGCTGAGGATGCGCTGTAAGTGTTGGCAGCCCGATGGCGTAGCGCTACTGCACGCTGTATCTCGTAGCGTCGACCTGGCCGGGGGAGGCTGGGCGGTCTGGCTGGGGTGGTTGGGGCTAGCAGGGCAGGGAAGCGGCCTGGGGGCTGGGGAGGCTTTGCATGGTGCGGTGCAGAGAATCGAAATGCTGGCGATCAGCCGGGATGGAAGGATGAAAAGAAGACGCCAAAGGGGCCAGCATTGATGAAGAGACGGCGCGAGGGAATTGGCCGTGGCCGTTGCGTCAAAACAATCAAGTCAACACGGTGCCGGGGTGACAAGACTCAGACTCAGACACAGCAGCCAGCGGCTCCACGCGGGCGGGTAACAGAGCCCTCGGGCCAGAAATGGAACGTGAAACCACCCAGCTCTGCCCCGATGGCGCTGAAACTTGTCGTGAGGCTTCTGTAGCGCCGGGCCGCCGCGAGTCCCGACTCACTGAGTTTGGTGTTGCCCTCAGATCCGTGTCGGAGAGATGCCGCGGTGCTTCGTCTTCAAGTCGAGGCCGTGTGTTTCGTCCGTTCGTCATTGCTTCGAGGTGAGGGAGGTGTTGATCTGCAATCTGCATCTCATGTACAGTGTGTCTCTGCATGTCTTACCTTGATCTACCTGTGTGCTCGTCATCCGGCCGGGCTGCGGCCACGTCGGCATGCGACTCTGCGACTCTGCGACTCTGCGACTCTACGGCTTCCTCAACCGGTCGCTGGACCGATCTGTGCTGCAGCTCATGCACCGCGCAAACACCCTGCATCATTCCACATCATCCAGACGCACGTTTCGTCGCCACGCATCAAATTCCTCCTCGCACACGAGCCTTGGCACTGCCCACCCCTTGTAACACCGTTGCGCCGGCTGGTGTTGGTGGGCTGCCAGCAAACACTGTGTCTGCGCACCACTTCTTGCTGCGGCGAAACAGTGCGTGTTTACCTGCAGATCCGTCCATCTGCCGTCTTAGCCTGTGGCAGTGTGCTTCTAAATCGGGATCACGACACCGACTTCTGATCTCAGGTCATCCCCACTCATAATATGTCCGCCTTATCACGGAGGCCATGGCACACTTATGAGGAAAGATCCTTTCAAAAGAAAAAATACATTCTTCATCTACCCAACTAATAGTCTCCCCTGACTTAAATCCATTTTCTATCCGTCGCTGTAATCTCCCATCGCTTATCCCGCAAGTCTATATGCAACCGATCCAAATTAACTCTGGATTGGAATTCCTTCATTCCGCCCAGACCAAACATAAAACGCCACGCTGTTGTCTTCAATACACATGGGTCGGTCGCCATGCTCGACTGGAATCCTCTGGCGTACTCGAGTGCCCATGTGATTGATCCTCGAGACCCCACTGTCTCCATCCACCATTAACATTGTCCCATTACTACTGCCCTGCGTCCACACCTGACGTTTCCCCTCTTACACCATCAGCTCGCGGTGGGAGTTGGCGCTGCCCTGGGAGCCGGTCTCGGGGATGGTGTCGTACATCTCGTAAGAGCCACTGTGCTTGCTCGACTTGCCAGACTTGCCAGCCTTCTTGGCAGCCTTGAGATCTCGCTTCTCGTCCTTCTTCTGCTGCTTGAGCGCCTTCTTCTCCTTGCGGCTGAGTCGCGGGAAGTCGCTGTCGGGGCCCCGCAGGACCAGGCCGGGGTGCATGGAGTTGAGGAGAACCAGAGCCAACAGCATGGGGAAGGCGTCCAGGCACAAAGCGTAGTCCTCGTGGGTCAGGATCGGGTTGCTGGTGTTCGCGCCGGGGCTGAACTCGTACAGACGGAACACGATTCGAACCGTGACCAGGACCAAGACGGACAGCATGCACCAGATCAGGTACTTCATCCGGCCGATGCGCGATCCCTCAAGCTTCACCAATTGCCGGTAAAAGGTACCCGTCAGGACAGTGAAGATGAGGATAAATGCCAGCTGAACACCAACACCAGCCATGTAAAGCTTCTTGCCGATGTCTGCAACTTTGTCGTCATCGCCAGATAGTAGGATACCGCCGGCAGCCTGGACGATGAAGCAGACGACATCCAGCCAGATGAACAGCGTTCCCATCTTAATTGCCCGCACGCCCCAGATCTTCTTCTCGGGGATTCGGAAGTAAATCATGCGTGCAACAGTCATGTAGGCAAATGCGTTGATCCCTGTATACAAGTCAGTCGGTTTCTTGGCATGTCAAGAATTGGGTGCTTACATAGAGGGGCAAGCAAGAAGAAGAGCTGTCCCCAGATAGCAAGTGAGAGCTCCTGTTGATTACGACTGCCGACAGTCTTGATGGCAAAACCCGCCAGCTCCCAGAGCGCACCCATGATGACCACCCAACAGTATCGCTGCTCAGTGTCAGCAACCAATTTGGTTGAGGGGATTGGGGACTGCAATATCAATATACCTTTTTGTAGATGATGGCTTGCATAATATGGATCGAACTTGTCAAACCAAACAGTACAGCAAAGGCGAGATTGGCGCCAAAGCTCGGGTTGAAGCCGTAGTTGGCATTACAGGCGTCGATAGGGACATAGCCGTACTTGCCAGGTACGGCGGTGGTGCAGGACGCCGTGGCTGAAGCGGTTGTCCTCGACGCGATATCGGCTATGGTGGTGGTGGCCATTGTATGAGATGTGGGAGAAAGGAGGTGGTGTTCGTTGGTGTTTGTAAGTCAGCCCAGTGGTGCGTGAAAGTGTAAGAGAAGATGAAAGTGTTCAAGAAGAGGAAGCTGTTGCCAGGCTGAAGATGAGATTGCGGTGTGTGATGCGGTGTTTGATGCGGATGATATTCCCTCATTTTGGAAGTCGCGAATGCCTTTAAGTAATTGTCCTTCTCCTTCACTTCACAAGGCTGATTATTGGGACAATCCCAGTTCCGAGGCTTTGGCGGATTGACGATTGGCGATGGCAGTGTTGTCGATGCCCGCGTACGGGGCTCAGACCGTGACGTGGGGCATGAATTACACGCCCGCCAAACTGTGGTTGGTTGAGCCGCAGCTTGGGGCCAGGGGAACCCAACGGTGCTCGCCAATGCTAAGCCGGATAGCGACTAGTCCACCACGCGTCAGCCCTCAGGACCCGCCAGGATCGACATCCCCAGTCGCTAAACAGCGAGTCTCGAATCAGATGTCATTGCTCGTGTAGTTGCGAATAACCAGCCCTACGCAGCACGCAGCGTTGTACGGATATTGAGGCAGTGAGATAATGCCGTCACGCTAAATGTTACACGTTGAGCCCCGCGTCGGCATGATGTTCATCCAGCCCATGCTCATTCCAACCAGTGAGCAGTCCTCCAGTCCAGCATTAGTTCTCTTCCACGCATTCAATCCCCCACCATGAGATTGTTCCTTTTTCCTGTGGCTTGAAAATACGGGACTTGCTTGCGTATCACCAACATGCAGCCATGATCCGGGTTGACGTAGTCATCTCCATGGCCCGTAAGCCGCATGCCAGTTGCCTAGGGTTAGTTTCGGTAGCTCCGCGGATGGGAACAAGCTCAGGCCAAGATTCAAGCTTTTTCTTCTTGCTCGTCGAGGGTGGCTGGGGGCTGCAACTTGTTGAGCGTCGTCTTTCGGAGGTTTCCCAACTCGGTAGCTGTGGTGACGCAGTCCTCCATCGATATTGTGGCACAGTGCAGAGGTTTTCGGATAGCGGCACACTGCAGAGTTGGTGCTTACTCCCAGCGTTGGCTACGCTCCACTGCGGCATGCGATGTGTCGTTGATGGGGGAGACAAACGAATGAAGGTTACAGACGTCGGTATTGTTGGGCAAGTGAGGGATTCCCTTTATTCTAGAGCATTGGATTGTTCTAGGGTAGTGTACTACGAGGGCGGCTTACACCAACCATTTGCATTTCGACAGTAAAGGACATTCAAGAATCGCTCCTATTTATACTTATAGTTCAGTTTTTAAGTATTACCATCTGTGCCCAGGTACAAACCTTTTTACTAAAGCCTGAGTTAAACTAATTTATTTACCAAATGTTAATCGAAAGTTAAATCATTAAGCTAATTGCTTGTATTTCTCAGATGTCCACCCGAACCACAATGATAAAACACAATATTCTTATTATAGACGATAAATACAAATTAGTCTTCCAAAGCATTACTTCTGAAAATTTTGTATTTTACCTGAATTCATAGTAGACGCACTGGATCCCTACAGTGTTTAAAGTGCTAATCTTCATTTACGACTACTATTCTGGGAATACTGCAATCGCCCCAATTGTGGAACTCTCCAACATATGCTGTTGATATTTCTTGTGGACTATTGATTGCATCTCAGTCACACACACATTGTGGCCGGGCAAGACAATCGATTCCATGGATCACCAGGGGCAATGCCAATGGTCCACTACGTGTTGTTTGTAACGTTTACTGGTAGTTTCTTTCCCATTGGCGTCTTCTACGCTATTCGATACCAAGTGTATTCCCACTCACTCGGCTGTTCACTAACAGGCTCAGTATGCCATTCCACACCTAACGCACGTCCACATAGATGGCCAAGAACACCCTAGCACTTTGACATCCGGTGTCCGATACTGAAGAGTAGCAACGCCATACCGCTAGGTAAAATCAACGTCCTCGTAGTTCATCGTCATACAGGAAAGCATATGGCTTAGGTATTTCTGCCGAAAAGTGAACGAACGTTGGTATTTAAGTCATGAGGCCACCTTCATTTGCTTAGGCTCGTGAAAAGTGAATGATCACGATGAACAACGTGCTACCGACGGATTACAATTCCCGCGGGAAATACATCAACCCTAAAATCTCATTGGCTTGGACTCAAATTAACTTAAAAAATGCCTTGACGCCTCAAGAAGCTACTTCGCCCAAACTCTACCACGCCCAAAGATGAACCACCGCAAGGCTTGGATGTTGTATTTGAGGGAGACGATCCTGTTTTCGAGTAGATAGCATCGGCCATAACTGACTTCACTGGCCTTTGATCTTGTTACTTATAGCGTAGTTGCTATCCATGGTCTCAATGGTCACCAAGAGAAGACATGGACTGCAGCTAACGGTGTTGATTGGCTTCGCATTCTTTTCCCGGGCGATCGTTCTTACACTCGAATTATCTCCTGGGGGTACCATGCGAAGGCTCATAGCCCCGGCGTGAGCTCCTAGTATCTAAACGGCCACCTTCGGACCCTGGTGTCCGACCCATATAGTTTACGAGAGCGTCCAGATGTGAGACCTATTTCATTTCTGAGAGGGGAGAGACTGATCTAAGCCAAATGAACCAGATCTTGGAGCAGCCAATCATGTTGATCACAACAGCCTTGGATGATTAGTTCTCAAGAGTGTGCGTGAATAACTTGAATCATCTCTGCAGTTCTTGCTAATATTTTATGGGCACTTATCCATTGAGGTGCAGCTCGCCCAAGAGCTGTACTGGACCAACGCTTAGTAAAGCTTTCAACATATGGAATCCTCTTTATGGGTACGCTCCGTCAAGACGGAAATGGTGTCAAACCTGGAAGTTTCCTGGCGGACATTGCTTCCATCCTCACCACGCGCGATAGAGGCAGATGCAGTAATGCTGAGGGACTATTCAGTCGACTTAGACAAACGTGCACCGGAACAAAACCATTCGATCGATCCTACAGCATCTGTGCTCCATGCTTGTCTTATCTTCATCCTTTCACAACCCCAGTAACGAGGGGTGGTGGCCCCGGGCTCTCAACAGTCAGTGTGATTCGCCACGTCCTTCCAGCGTACGAAACGACAGGATGCCGTCAGCGGCGCCAAGGGAGCTTTTAAGGGACTTTGGGCGGCTGGGTTCCCCCACCACAGCTCGTGACGAACCCCTTGGACCCGCAGAACATGGCTGTTACGGAGTAGACTCTACCGCTCTAGCACTGAAATAGAGTGTCCTCCGCGCTAAAGCTCGTCCTCGCTGGTCTATCGTGAAGCGAGAGTGGGCGATGGATCGACGGACCCTGCAATATCTCTGGAGGAGGTTGGCGTTTGCGGTGCACAGGCCAAGGGTCTTGGTGAGAAAATGTTCACTCAGCACAGCGGCTGTCTCGCCTCCTCCTCTCCTTCCTCCGATCGCTTGCATCGTGAGACGAACGAGCTTCCTCCAACTCTGGCCCCGACCCAGCCTGCGACTCCTGGCTCCCCTTCGCTCTCGCAAGGGACTCTTTTTGGATCCAGGGCGCTCCAATTGCCTCTGTCGGCCCTTCTCCTACAGTCGTTCCCGTGCTGGACCACGGCCATCACCTAATCCATCATGCCTATCCGCGTCAAGTCGAAGCAGCTGCCTGCTGCACGCGAAGGGAGTCCTGTACCCGACCGGTACGACTTCGACCTGCCCGAGATTGCGAGCGACGACCCGTTCCGCCTGGTCGTCAAGAAGCTCTCGCTGTGAGTCGGATCCCTGAATCCTCTGATATCCTCGACTGACCGTGAGGCTACAGGTACTTTGTCGATGTCATCGAGCTGCCCAGCACCTTTGAGCAGCTGAGGACCACTGCTGCGGGGAAGTGTCTGCGGGTGCTGGTGGATCACTTGGCGGAGACGTGCACCAACCCTGGTATTGTCAATGCTTTGCTGTAAGTGTGACGTCCATGTCGATGTTTTGTTGCAATTGTCCGTCTCATGTGTTTCCATTCCCATTGCTGAGCGCGCAATTGGCCTGCTCATGGTACTTGTCTTGTCTCGTGTTTCCCTGTTTTGCATCTCTATTCCGCCATGTGGGGGTGGTGAAGCTTCCCACGTTCCCCACCATGAAACGTCACCCACCCATCACGCACACGAGCCACGAACAACACCTGGTCACCTCTCCCACAACTGCTAATCCAATCGTATCCAGCGCCCTCAAGTGGCATTATGCTGCCGACTCGGAGCACGCCGGCCTCGGTGAGGCTCGCTCCAGCGCCTGCGAAATTGTCGCCTGGCGCTTCTTGACCCGACTCTCCGAGCGCGAGGCAGTCGACTACTGTCTCTACGAAATCCCCGACCCTGATGCCGCTGAGGAAAACGGTCACAATGGCCATGTGGATGAGGAGGCTGGCGAAACATCTCCTCTCCTCGAACACATCCGTTCGAACGGCAACCGGCGTCGTGGGCCTGGTCCCGCTGGCAGCAGCATGAAGCGCACCCAGTTGCTGAGCTCGCTCTCTCGACTCACCATGACTATGGACACTGAGGAAGCCGACGAAACCGACCCCACGGGAGCGTTTAAGAACCTCAATGCCCTTGAGATCGCCGCAATCGCCGACGCCAAGCGCTTCCTCAGCCAGCACATCGTCCAGAAGATCATCACGGCCATCTGGAGTGGCGACATTATCTTCTGGGACAGCCTGTCGGTTCACTCCACCAAGAAGCCCCGATTCTACAACCCGCACACGGCCGATCCCTTTTCTCGCCTGCGCGTTCCCAAGTACCTCAAGAGCTGGGAAGTGCTTTTCTTCTGTGTCTTCCTGTGCTTGTACTATGTCGTTCTCATCGTCCGCGACGAGTCCCGCATCACGGTTCCTGAGATTATCCTGTTCTTCTGGATAGCGGCCTTTTTCTATGATGAACTTAGCGAGTGGCTTGATGCTGGCTCCATCTTTTACGCCACGGATATTTGGAACGTCTTCGACATGGTCATGATTATCATTGGTTTCACCTTTGGTGTCCTGAGTGAGTAGATGAAATCGTTTCGACCTAATCTTGTGCTAATAATTCTACAGGAATCATCGGCATTACCCAGGGCAAGCCAGAGCTGTGCGAACTTGCATTCGACATCCTCGCCCTCGAGGCCCTGTTCATGATCCCCCGTATTTTCTCGATTCTAAGCCTCAGCCCGTACTGGGGAACCCTTATACCCTGTCTTAAAGAAATGGGCAAGGACTTCTTCAAATACATGGTGCTCGTCGTCGTCGTTTATCTCGGCTTCCTGACCACGTTTTCGCTTATCGGCCGCGATGTCTTCTCCTTCAAGAAGATGGCTTGGATCCTGACCAAGATATTCTACGGATCCGCCCCCATCGGATTCGAGGTCATGCACCAAATCGATCCCTTCTTCGGGCCGCCCCTGATGATCGCCTTCATTACGCTGTCCACTTTCCTGCTGATGGGCTCCCTGACCGGTATGCTCTCCAACAGCTTCTCGCGTGTCATCACGCACGCCAAGGAGGAGTACCTGTATGTGTACAGCGTCTACGTTCTGGAGGCGTCGACTAGCAACCGGCTCACCCACTTCTACCCGCCTTTCAACCTCCTCGCCTTTGTCATCTTCCGGCCCTGGCGTCTCATCTTCTCCGCCGATGAGAAGTTCCGGAGGGGTCGCATCATGCTCCTCAAGCTCACCCACTGGCCTCTGGTCGGCATCATCCGTATGTACGAGATGTTCCGCAGCCGGGCTGTTGCGGATGAGTTCGCTGGGTTCAAGGGACCCCAGGCTTCTAGGAGCCGCAACGGCCGCCGAGGCGTTGGCCAGAAACGGTCGGTGTCCAACATGAGCCGGCGGGAGCTGCTATCTCCGATACCGGTTCGTCACCACGAAGCGGACCGTCGTGAGGACGATATGGATGCCCCGACTAATGTGGAGGTGCAACTCGCCGAGCTTAACCGCAAGATTGACCAGTTGGCAACAGCTGTCCTGGCGATGCAGGAGAAGGCTACCAGTGCCACGCCTAGCACAACCGCGTCCGCCTAAGGCCGGGATATGGTGTTCCTGACTGTGCCTTGGTGAGTCGGAGGTGGAGCAGTCCCGCTATCTAATGCAGGGCCGTGGATAACGAGGGTGGAAACAACAGGCGGGTAGTGGTTTCAAGATTGATCCAACAGACGGAGCGGGTCGCTGGGCGGCTAGATTCTCATATCCATCGGTGAGGAGAAGGCGGAGATGGGTGACTCTGCGGGAGGGAGATGTGTTTGCACTTCATACCATGACAATCATGAACCTAATAGTTAGCAAGCATTCGTACTTCAAGACCCTATGTCCCTCTACTTGCGGTTCTTCAGACTAAAATATGTTTCTCAAATCCGTCCTGTCCGACCAATGACAAAAACGAAGACTGTGACTTCGACGGAGAGAACCGTCCAGGGAAGGCCATAAACAAGGAGTCAAGGCCTCTTCCTAGGGCATCACTGATTTTCAATCGGCCATCACCATATACGGGATCCGTTCCTTAAGCCGCCAAGGCCGCAAGTACATGCTCGTCTCCATCAGCTTCTTCGACGCCACCCCTGGCAGCGCAACTAAAGCCGCGGATTCCCGCGCTGAGCACGCGAACCCAGCAACGGAAATCCATGGCTTTGGAACCCCATCGCGTAATGGAATCAGGATTCTGGGTACGGTTTTCAGCTGTGGGATTTGCTAAGTGGCGGTGTACGCCCTTGGTTTGGTCAATTCGGCTCTAAATGCCTGCCTAGAGTTCTTGTGCCGAACGCTTGTGATTGTGACGTGGATACGATGCACTTGGGAATACCTAGTTGGTTCTCGGTTGGAGATGATTAGACGACATGGGAGACCCAAACACCGGGATACAAATATGAAGGTGCTATTGAGACGATCGCACAACTAATAAAACAATGCAAACATTGAACCTAGCCTATCTAATTGAACCTTGATCGATATTCGAGGTATCCCTATCCCTTCTCGCATTCCGTGCTCTGCCAGAAAGGACTACCATCTCCGCCTCTACCTTGGGAACCTCCTTTATAGCCCACTCCACGATTTTGAGATTGCGGGCAGCGAGCACCGTCGCGAAATGGTATGAGTCCGTTTCCCGGAGAAACCTCTCAATCTTGAAGACCAGATCGCGCCTCTCTTCATAATTCCCAAGCGCTGTCAAACTTCTCTCATTATCAGCGGTGGACACCTTGCCTCTGCCCATCTCCCTCCCCACCAATGCCAGGGTTTGCATAGCGTCTATGTATTCAGCCTTGTACTTGGCGAGGGCTCCAGGAAGCCGGAGGGATTCCTTGGTGACGGAATGGTCTACTATATCCGTGCTTCGCAGCTTGTCTTGAAAGTATTGCTCGTAGGCTGCCTCCTCGTCTTTGACTTTCTTCGCATGGTTGTCGGCCGTCCAGCACTCATAGCCGATGTATTCGATCCATGTCGTCAGCCGGTCTTGTTTCCTGGGGTTTCTGCTGAGCTGGAAGGATCGGGTGAAGCCGTGCTCGGCCAGACGATGCTGCATGCTCTTTGCATGTTCCAGGAAGCGGCTGTCGTCGTCCTCGTCCCCCCGTTGATCGCGTTGCCATTTTCGGAAACTGTACCACCTGAACAATTGTTCCTGGAAAAGCCGATAATATCTACCACGTATGGGGCGTCGAGTTGTTTTCCAAATCTCGAGCTCCTCATCCCAGCGCGGAGAAGGACGGGGAACAAGTGAGATGTCCACATAGCCGCGACCGCCGTCGTTGATGAGCTCGTGGTAATCCTCGCGGTAGTCCTCGTGCTCGGAAGTCATGTTCACGGTGAATAGGGTAGTTTGACTGATGCTGGGTGGAGTCTAGAGGGAGGGAGAATTTTGGCTTTTATGCTTGCAATTTCTTTGTTTTACATTTGGGCGGCGATGATTCACTGTACGTAGATTGGGGGGTTCCCTTTGAGGTTGGACAACGAGACTATTCACGGTCACATAACCTACTCGGAACAGTGATGGATGACTTGGGAGCTGGGACTAGAACCATTAGCAGCAAACACCAGCACAGACATACGGTTTGCCAGGGATTAAACGACCGGGAAGCAGACGTGTGTGTCCGTGATAGATGACTAGTGGTTTCCTTTGGCCCTTGACAACAAACGCTACCAAACAGACTGTCCACGACGGTTATGACAAAAGGAAGGACTCAGTCGTTTCGCCCATGTGGTAAAATACAAAGATGGGGGCTGTCGCGGCTAGTGTCGGCGCGGGTTCACTTAGACGTCTCTACCATATTACAGAGGACGCCTGACATACAGCTGGCTAGTTATATGCAACGCATCGACTAGAAACGTAATGGACAAGTACCTCAGTCGACGTAACGAAGCGAGCTACGGAATAGCCGAGACAAGCGGGCGGCGCTGGTCTAAACTTTTGCTTCCGTTCCGTTCGGGACCGACAGCGTATCTCACCGAGTGTTTTCTCGGCGAGAGATGTCCCAGGCCGAAGTTTTGCAGCGCGCGCTACGTCACTTCCCAGCCGGAGTCACGGTGACTGGAATCAAGCTAAATACATCTACTCGCCAACTCCTGCCTCGCCTCTCGCCATGGCCGTAGGCCATTATTCATTCTTCAAGTTCCACAACAACAGCTTCAGTCGGCTGCTTGGCCGGGACAAGCCGCCATCCCCAAGATCCTCCGCTGTGCCCACTTTCCCATCCTCGTTGAAGCCCCCCACGCCCACTGTAAATCGTACCGCAGGCCGCTATCCCGCTACCAGCCGCCTACGGGACTCCCTCCCGAAACCCACCACGGCCGGCGACTCAGGCCTCCCTCGCCCCGATCTCGGCGCGCTCGCCGGTTTTTTTCTTCCCTCTGCAGCGCTATCTCTAGTGCATCCAAAGGCTTCTCCAGGGCATCAAAAGGCTTCCCCAGCGCTTCCCCCGGACATATCGTCAAACTCGCGTGGACCCTCCCTCTCTCGTCTTATCCCCATAATCCTCGCCCCCCGTTAAACCAACCAGCGAGGCTGCATTACTGACTACTGCTCGTTTCCCCATTGCGTGCCCAATCCGTCTTCTGTTTGCCCTTCTTGCCTGTACCTGCCTGTACCTGCCTGTCCAGCCCGCCCCCTGTACCTCGTGCCGGCAGCTGCACCTTCGACTTGTTCAACCAACCTACTTTTTTTAATTTTCGACTCACTCGCGGCTCTTTTCCCCCTGAACGGATACAATCTACAAGCGAACAACAACACGCAACGCAACATTCGATAAACTCGTGCTGAGTGCCCATGCCTCGGTCGTCCGTGTCCATCGCCATCTCCGTGCTCGACCTCAAAGCCCATCCTCCTCCGCCGACCTAAACATCGCCGCCTTCGTTCCCGAATCTTCACCTCTCGCTCTCACCGCGCCCTCACCGACAACCCTTGTTCGCCGCGCCCGCCACCACGATGAAGGACTCGGATGCATCCCCGTCGTCGCCTGCAGACGCCGCGCTCGCCCTGCAGGGTTCAGGCAGCATCGCCAGCACATCCAGCAGCGTCTGGAATACGAAAAACTTGGGCTTCCGTCTCGGCGTCGATGCAGTCAGCGCTGCGTGCGCCGCTTCTATGGTTGCGCCTCTGATTGCCATGATTGACCGGTGAGTGTCTGCCTCTTTTTTTTTCTCCTCTTCTCCGATGCGTCTTGCTCTGGCGATCCCTGAGTCGTGTCTCGGTGTAATTGCCCGAATTGCTGCGAGGCCGACACCGGCGTGGGTGGTCGCTGCTCAATGCTGCCAAAAACACCAAATCCAGCATCGTCAACGCCAAGACCAGGCTTATAAGCAGCTTCAACATGGCAGCTCCGCTAACTCTCCGCGCTTTCCCAGCTCCGTCATGGAAAATGCCTCTGGCCGCAGCTCCCTGGCCTCCTCTATCGCCTCTTCTATCCGAACACTCCTCCGCCGCCCGCACACCTTCCTCTTCTCAAAGCCCACGGCCCTCATCTTCCTCGTCTACGGCTCCACCTACCTGACGGCCAACACTGTCGACACATCCTTCTCCACGCTCCACAACCGCCCGGCGTCGTCCGTCACCGCCGGCGCCACAAAGTTCGCCGCCTCGTCCGCCGCCAACATCGGCATCGGCATCTACAAGGACCAGGTCTTTGTCCGCTTATTCGGGCCTCCCGGTGTCGTGCCCCGCGCCGTGCCCCTCCCGGCCTACACCCTCTTTGCAGCCCGCGACTGCCTTACCATCTTCGCCTCCTTCAACGTCCCGCCCATCCTCGGTCCCTACCTCGACTCGCGCTTTTCCGACCAGGTCAAGGCCCGCATGTCCGGCCTCTCCACAGCCCAGTTCTTGGCCCCGGCTGCCGTGCAGTTCATCTCCACGCCGATGCACCTCCTCGGCCTCGACCTGTACAACAGCCCGTCCACCACCGCCGCCGCCGTCTCAATGCGTGACCGGTGGGATGCCGTTCGCCGCAACTGGACCATCAGCTCCTTTGCCCGTATCGGCCGCATCGTCCCGGCCTTTGGCATTGGCGGCGTTGTCAACACGAAAGTGCGACGCTCCCTGATGCAGAAGCTCGAGTAACCTTGCGCCAAGGAGGAATCGGGAAGGGTGATGTATCAATTCCCTTGAAGAAATTGCTAGTGTGATTCGGATATGACGACTGCATGCCTCCCTGCACTGCATGCTTGCCTAGTGTTGGTGTTGGTTGTTGGTTTTGCTTTTTTCGGCGTTCTTGTTAGACGGCGGCGCTGCCACGCACGATTGTTAATGTGATCTATGGCCTCGGGGTATACCAGGCAATACATGTGATGCCAGATATGGAACGGCAACTAGATGAAGGATGAACTGACTGTAATCGGAACTTAGAAAGATTAGACCGGTAGAGACGGAGATAGAGATGGACATGAATCACCCCAGCGGACCTCAAGGCTCGCCACAGTTTGGGGTTGGGAATCATATCAAAACCATTCAGATACGTTGACATGCACATCCCATTGTGGCCTCAACCGTCATGTGAGAAAGTAGGGGCCATAGAAGGCCATCAAAGGTGAACACAAGGTCGCTCTCATTCATTTATGCATCCTACGCAATAACATGCGCGCTCTCCATCCTCCATATCCATCTCCTACCGACCATTCCCTCCACATTTAAGCCAGATCATGCTCCATCAGCGTCAACGTCAGCATCACCATTCACACGTACTCGTCATCCTCCACTGTCCATCTCTCCTAGTCCCCTTCATCCACGCATTTCCTCCAAACACAAGATCAATCACAGCATGGATATTTAGAACCAATGACACTCCCAAACAGGCGGTAACAAAAACGGGGGAACAACTTAAGACAGCAAGATGAATCCATCAACCCCGTCCAGAACGCCCTGTCCAGCCCCTAGCCACCCTATCTGAAGAAGAAGAATAAGAAGAAAGGGAAGAAGGTACTGAGCTCAGTCATGTTATATCGCAACCAAAAGTCCAAGCCGAAAGCATTGCCACAGGACAATGTTTCAAACAAGAAGAAGTAAAAGAAAGGCGAAAAGGGGGGAAGGTCCGAGGGCTCCCAACGAAAGCGTAACGAACGTCTGATCCACTGGATCATGATTCATGCATCATCCAGCTACTAAAAAAGTACCAAAGAAGCATCAACTTCCTCGTCGACGTGTCGTCATAATCCACCAAAGGGTGGGTACAGGAACAAAGGGCGTGTCGTCCATCGCGGACACGTTAATTTTAGATCGATTGGGGAATAAAGGGAAAAATGCACGGCGTTGTGCGGGGTGGTCCGTCGGGGCGGCGTTTCGAGATCGTAAGAAACAGACATTGGCGGCCAGGGGGTATGTTTTCTGATGCGCAGGCGTGTAGCAACCAAAGAATGCTTTGAGGTAACAGAAACTGAAACGAGATCAGCGCCTAGTTGCGCCATCTCAAACAATCTCGACGTAGAGGAGAAGTTTCTCGTTTCGCTGCAGGGCGAAATCAAGGTCGTTGTCACTCAGCAAGCTGGGCTTGTCTCCTGTCGGCTCATCCTTGTAGAACAGCTGCAGCTGGTCGCCGTCCGGAAGCTTGAGGCGGTCTTGGATCTTATCGTAGAGCTGTTGGAACTGAATGTCGGTTGGCACGCGGATGGCAATCAAATCCCCGTTGTAGTACATCTTGATCTTCATCGCGGATGCGGGTTGCTGGGGTTGCTGTTGCATGCCGGCGGAGAGAGATGTCTGAGAGGGTTGCGAAAGTGACGACGTCTGTCGTGACATGGCAGGGTTTCCGTTCTGGCGCGCGGGCGCCGCTGACAGCCCCGAGTACGAGCCTCCGTTGAGGTTATTTCGAGATGACTGCCTCGATGCGCCGTCGGCGGGAGATTCAGTCGAGGAAGGCTGAGAGCCCTGAGACAGACGGTATTCGTCGCCATTGCTATTGGGGTCGATTTCGTAGTCTCCTTCTCGGGGGGCGAAGAACTGCCTGACCAAGTTGCAGCGCGCGATGTAGTGCGGTTGGTTCAGCAGGTTCTTGACGTAAGCGTCTAGGTTGTGTAGTCTGCCTTCGGTGATTGCGTCCGTCACGTAATTAACGGGTCCGGGCATATACGGTAGTGATCGCTTCTGTGTGCCGGTGTTGCCAGCCTCGGCAGGGAATTCGGTAAGGAGAGCAATCTGGAAGTCGTAAAAGTCTTCGTAGTAACGCGAGAGCTCCCAATGTCGGCCGTCATCTAGGAGAGCCTCAATGACAAACCAGTACTTCTCCTCGGCAAAGCAATATCTGGGTATCCGCGCCTGTAAAGGCGCAAGTAGTTGTGTTGCCGGCTTAGGAGCAAACTGCTGAGCCTGTTGCGAAGTTCGTGCATCGTCGGGGTATCCTCCTTGTTGCTGTGGTCGCGTCAGTATGGTTGAGGGTTAATTATTCCACGGAAACGACTCACAATTCCGGGGCTGCTCTGAGAGCCCTGTCGAGCATGCTGCTGGATACTCAACCGCTCCATGCTTTGTTCCATGCCTTGTCCGGGTTGTCCGGGTTGCCCGGGTGGGCCGCCGTTATCAAACTTGCCCAGCGTAATACTGCTGTTCTTGTACTCGGCGGCCATCTTCTTCCACTCTTCCACCTTAGGAACTCCGGCTCTCTTGATGGCATCGGAGGGGTTCTCGATAGCCTTGTCACTGGCCATATCCCGAATCTCCACGAATGATACGGGGATCAATCCCGGTCCGCCCAACCGTCCGATCGGCTTCGCGACAAACCACTCAGGGTTGGACTGTGCGATGACAATGATGGCCTCGCCAGCCTTTGCCTCCAGCTCGTCCGCCCTTTCCGCAGCGAAGTCGTACATGACAATTCCATAGACCATAGCACCCTTTCCACCAGACTTGGAGACACGATGGCCTAGGGCAGCTTGCACTTGCACAGGCGACTGCACAGGCGCTGGCTGCATGGTCGAGGTCTCGCTGTATCCGGAATCGTGATCGGGGTTCTTTGTCGGGAGTACTGGGTGGTCATCGGACTGGCCGCTGTCTCGCTCGGTTCGGCCAAGGGCTTGGAAGAAGGTGACGGGCACAAGGCCTCGGGCATCAGGCAAGGCGGGGTTGCATGCCTCATACCAGTCGGTGTCGTTTTCGCGGCTGATGACGTGGAAGAAGTCGCCTCTCGAGAAGCTCAGTTCTTGGGCGGATTGCGCCTCATAATCGTAGAGGGCTCGAATCACCTGCAGGGTTGACTCCGCATCAGTGGCTGCACATTATCTGTTTGTGTTTCTGGAACATGGTGGGGAAGTGGCAAAAAAATGGCCAGGGGACGTGGGCAAGACATTCGGGACCGCGGAGTGGAGGCGATCGGGAGTGGGAGGCAACCAACCTTCTTTGGCGGTTGAATAGCGACGGGAGCCTTGACGGGGATGGTGTCGGACTTCCTGGTACTGTTCCTCGTGAGTCCCAAAGCCTGGAAGAAGCGCATGGTGGTTAGCACGGTATGGTCTGACGCAGAACGGGGATGAAGCTGAGCTCGATAGCAAGGACAAGGCAGGGTGATGCGGAAAGCGAGGGCGTGAGGGGAGTCGCAAGAGCCCGAGTCTCTTCCATATCTCAGAGCCTGAGCCGAGTGAAAGGCGTTGTCGAGGCACGACTGGATGAGCGGGAACGAGGGAAAGAGGCAACATGGACCGTCGAGGCTCGGAGGTCGGGGATCAAAGGCAGTGCAGGTTTCGCAGAAGGAGCAAACGGCGGAGGCAATGACGAACCTTCTTCATCTTGTGTAACTGGGTGCCGCCCGGGCAGTCGTGAGTCTCTCGTCGCTCGGATGTTGGAGGTTGGAAAAAAAGAGATCAGGATGGCGAGACCGGTTGGTTTGGTGGTACTACGGCCAGACCCAGAAGTGTACTACTACGGCTGCGGTAGGACTGGGCGCGGACTGGGCGCGGACTGGGCGCACACAGGCACACGCACACGCACACGCAGGGGTGGATGGGAAGAAGGGGGGCGTAGCGCACGCAGGACGTCCGTAGCCCGTAGCGGGTTAAAAGGAATAGGAAGGAGGGGGTGGAGACGGTGCAGCGCTGTGCCTGACGGCGAAAAGTCGTCAAGGAATCGTTGGTCGTCGCCGGCTTTGTGCGGACGCGTATGATTGATGGAGCGACTTGGAGCGACTGCGAGCGAGTCGTGTTGAATGCAATGTCGGGACCGCTTGCTGCACTCTGCGTATTTTGTCCAGGGCCTGCAAAAACCCTCAAGGGAAATGATGAATAAACAGCGATCCCAATCCAACCGTCCGTGCCGGGGTTGTGGTTTTCCCAACGTCTCCTTTGCGTCTTCGTCACTGGTCCCCCTGGTGTTGTTGATGGTGTCGCGCGACTCGACTCGGGCCTATCCTTTCGTGCGCCTTGCTGCGGCCCTCGGTTTTCTGAATCACTGCAACTAGCCCGCCGCTCGAGGTATCCCAGCGCCTACACGGAGTGTAGGGAAGGGGTGGGCAGGGCAGCTAGAGCTGTGTCTCAATTTTGTGGACGGCCGAAAGCGCCAATTTCCGGCCGGGTTTATGTCGGAACCGCCAGCGTGGGCAGCACCCAGCACCCTTATGGTGTTCCAGCGGCGGGGGGATAGAGGGGTCGGGATAGAGGGGTCGTATCGCGTCCGCCAGCGGTCTTGGTGGTGGCGGGTGAAGGAAGGGCGGCAGTCGTTTATCGGCTGGTCGTCGGGAAGGAGGGATGAAACAAACAACGGACGTCGAGAAGAAGAATGAATGAGATCGGGAACAGAAGGGACTGGGAGTTGGAGGGAAGCAAAGGAAGAGGAGGAGGAGGGAGAGGGAATGAAGATGGGGATGGTTGGTGGTAATAGCTGCTGGTTGCAGAGGTACCTACCGACCTATACGGGGCAGCTCTGTACGGCGCTCCGTCCAGTGGTGTTAGTGAGCGCGTTGCCTAAGAGGCTTGCTACCTAGAGCTTAAGCTGGCAGCCGGTAGCTGCGAACAGAGAGGTGGCAAACAGCCCCCTTCTAGGCCTAGGGCGCCCATTCTCGGGGGTGGCGGCATCGAATTGGCCCAGGCTTCTCTCACTAAAAATGCATCGCTCACTCTATCGCGTCCGCTTCCGCTGACAGGGTCCAATCCAGGCCCCGTTACCCCAAGCCACGCTCCAGGCCTTTCCAGGCCCCCCAAGCGCGTTGGTTGTGTGGGTGCCCGGGAAGGGTGGGCGGATGCGCGCTGTCACTGGCATGGGAGCCTGGCGAGGGAAGGGAAGGGAACGGGAAGTTGGGAGCATGGGATGGGATGACATGGGACGGGACCATGGATTTCTCTACGCCATTTCTTCCCCCCTCGCCCAATCGTCGACGCTCGCTCCCTGGCGCCGTTGGGCTGAGAGGCCAGAGAAAGCCCACTACGAGATCGTGTCTTGCGAAAAGTCCTACTACGTAGTATTAGACCCAACGAGCCGGCAGCAAGGGGTGTGCGCTGCCACCACCGTTGTTGACCGGTCGTCCCATCTTATCCCGGGTTATGGGTGTGCGGCCAAATTATCCAGGGCCGCCGGTGGATTGCTTCAAGTGCAAAATCCCACTGAAACTTTGCAGCCCATTGCCCTTTAGCAACTCAACTGTGGCGCCAACTACCACCGCGAGGAATAAATGACTTACAGCGCCAGTCATCCCGGCAGGGAGGGGAGGGGGGAGCGAGGGAGAGAGGGGAGAACAGACGAACGAACGACGCAAGACTCGCCCACGCGTGCAGGGATCAATCTTGCAGTCGCCAGGGCCGCCAGGGGACCATGCATCGCATTGCATGGCTAAGTCGTGCGGCACCGAGGGACAATGGGGGACTCGTTGGACGCCTTCACGCCTATCCGTTATCGCGCTCTATGCCGTCTGCCGCCGCGGACATCAACGACGAAGATGCTCGAAAGCCTAGCCCGTCGCGTTACAACCACGAGCGCTCGCAAAAACACAGCACCTGAGGCGGGACGGGTGGGCGCATCAGTGCCGTCCGTGTCTTGTCCAAAAAAAAAAGAGATACCCCAAGACGACGTAATGAGGCCGCCCGCACGCTCGCAGCCAGCCTAGTCCAGCCCAGTCCAGCCCAAAAAGCAAGGCGCATCTGGAATGGCGTCGTTCCGGTGGGTGGCGCTGGGCTTGAAGATGGTTGCGACGTTTTGGTGAAGATAGTCCTTTATCAGGCAGGTAGGTACACGGCAACCCCGATTAAACATGTGTTTTCTTGGTGGTATCCTTTGCCAGAGTTGTCCATCTCATTATGAATTGGCTCAACGCACCAGTGCGCGATACTTGGGTATTCATACTCCCCTTAACATTGGAAGTATTAGCACCTAATTCCAGGTACATCGGGTCTGATAGCGATGCTACAAATCCACATATCTTGACCCTTGTGAGCTATAGGTCATGAGTTCTGAATGCCTGAGTCGCGGTGGGCTTTCCGGTTTCATCGCCACCAGGCCGGTCTACTCAACTATATGCTTTCTCCGGGATAGACTCAGGCCGTGCCCGGATGCGACGCTACTCTCCCTTTCATGCGCCGCCCAGCCTCAAAGCATAAGCATCCAAAATGCACTGCTGATGGGTGGTGTCCAAATGAGTAAGAACGCTGTGAATGCGATGAGGTTCTGCATCCATCTCGGTGCCGTCCCTCGGATATCCCTTTATTCCGGGATGTCCGTCTTCTCGAAACAACCGAATTCTTTTGTCATCTCAGCTCAGGTCTCCATTCTCTCGATCGCTTTGATCCATCCCCTGTCCCTCGTGTCCATCCGGAAGCGTCTCCCCGCCGCCGCCGGTCACGGACGCAATGTGGAATCAACTTCTTAGTTACGTAGTAGCAGAATTACTATGGCACCCTCGACCACTTGGTAAACCCAGCTGGTGGGTTCTTGTTGTCAGTCACGGCAGGCCGCTCCAGCAGCTAGCTAAGGTAGTAGGCGACCTCGACACCATCTTAGCTAGCCCACCCACACAACCTCGCCCCTACGCGCTCAGAAACTGGACCCTGAACTGTAGGTGCAATTATACCAGCCAACGGCCGTCACTTATTTGCTTCTCCCACAACCGCCTTTGTTCATGCCATGCATGCAAGTCTTGTCCAGCCGCCCACCCCAACGACCCAAACCCTCTCGATTCGACGACCCAGCCGCCGATCGTCAACGCAACACGGTCGCTAGCGGGAGAGTCCCAAACCTGGTGTCCAATGCAGGTGGATGACTGGATGGCCATCCCGTGGGATGTGTGGAGTCCAGCCCGACGTTTTGCGCCTTGACCGGCCACGGTCAAGGCCAAGCATGCAATTGCAAGACAGTTGAACTAACCAAGACTCCATTGCCCTATCGCCCTGCTTTCGCGCCCGCCGCCTTCGTCACGCAGCATCCCATCCAAGACATGCCTCCAACAAATGTCCGCAGTCGACTGCCTCTCCCGACACGCCGGCACACCCTGCCCGACCGCGCCAATACTGGGTCTTGTGCCTCGTGGCCCGAGATGGGCAAGCCCCGGGTCTTTGGGGCGCACCGCAGGGGTCCTCCGTCTCCGGACCCCGTTCCGTCCCCCGGCCGTCGGAGGCGCCCCCAATATGGCAGGCCTTGTCGACATGCCAAATTATCACCACGTTATCATGATTCATTACGTCCATCCTCCGTCTCTGCTACACAAGACGCATTCCGAGCTCGTCTAATTCATGCGTCCTTTCTCGGTGTTCCTTCTAGCCGCCCCCACCCCCTACCTACTTGAAACATCCCCCGCCACTTGGGCCATCCCTAATAACGCCTCTTAACATGCACCGCGATCCATCCCGCTCCCCGCTTCCTTCTATCGCATAAAGACTGTAGAACTAGTCCTTGGGCACACGTCATCTCTCAAACAAAGTTCACCAGCTTGTTCCTACTCCTCACAGAGTTTCAGATGCAGCCCAACATGATAAGTCAGTTCTGTGCCGTGTGAAGTTCGAGCCCTTTGCTTCAAAGCCCTTACTTCAAAGCCCTTGCTTCAAGACCCAAGTCGGTCCCTTGCAGGGAGATAATGTCCGACTCCCCTTGCGTAGGTAACCTCAACCCTTGCTTGTACGTGTCTACCCGTATATCTGCGTAGTTCTCCTTCCAGGCCCAAGACAAGGGAATCACAACGGTTGAATTCCTTCCGACACCATGCTCCCCAGTCACACCATGTGGCGCGAAGTGAGTCTAAAAGTCCAGAATAGAATGTTATTGACATAATGCAGTACCTAGTTATGACTCCTATGAGCTCCCAAGTCCGTCTATCTCTACCTAAATGCGATCAGGGAAGTGAGCAACAGGCTAATACGCATCAAGATCATCGATACGCCTTGCGCCTGTAGCACATAACCCTTAGCCGCGGCTGGGTCATTAGACTGGTGCTGAATCCGTCCCAATAAGCCTCGAGAGTCAAAGCTCTCGTCCAAGCATCCGCCAAGCATCCCAAGCATTTAACTTTTCCGTTCCTCAAATGTCAAAAACAGTATGTGCACATTCCACATGCAAAATGATGCGGAAGGCTGGCGTAGTAGCTATGGTTAATCGGTCGGGTGTCAGGAGCAAGGAGCGACGAGCGCTCCCCCATCGTCTGACTATCGAGAATGTAATCATTTGTAAGCCCGTGAGGCAAGCAATAGGGTATCAGGTGTTGCGAAAGGTCGTGTCTACATGGATGACAGGCTCGTCATCCAGACCGAAGGAATCATGATATAATCGGGCAGAAACCGCCAATACGCCGACCCGCAAGACGCCTGGCGAGGTCGCGTGAAAAGAGAAAAGGGGTAGGACATAATGCAAAGGGAAAGAGAGATCAAATCTGGCCTTTGATGTCCACTTTCCGGAATGCAGCGGACCGAGCGTTCTCGAAGAGTAGACCAGCTTTGCCAGTCAGGAACGTAATGTACTCTGTCCGATCTTCCAGAAGGTGTTGACCCTGATAGTCAATGATGAACTGGGCTGCATCAGCATCAGACTCGAAACCGAGTTCCTCAGTGATGAAGCGAAGTTTAACATCAGGCTTGTATCTGCTTTGAAGTTAGCGATCGATTCATTCATTCAAGGGGAGGGAAAACATACGCTTTGCAAATGTTGCACAACGCAGCAAGCCGCTCTCGGACAACAAACATATCCATCAGATATGCTCCCATATTAGGGGTGTCGAGGTAAAGCTGGAAAAACTTGTGGTAGTTACCCAGCGCCAGTGATGATCGCACCTCCAAAGCATGCTTGATCGCCTTCTCCTCCTTCTCTGCTGTGGTTAGATCTGCCAAAGTGTCGTTCAAGCCGGTTCGGTTGGCAGTGTGAATAAAATAAAGGATACGATACGCCTTGAATTCAATAGGGTTGCCCTTCAGACCCAAGGCATACAACGATCGCAGCTGGGTCTGGCATTGATTATACTCACCGATATCCCCCTTCTCCAAGGCAATGCGGGCATGGATTTCATAGACCGAAACGGTAAAGTCGTCCTTGATGTGTTGTACGGTCAAGTCTTGGCGCATCGACTTGAACTGATCACAGATATACGAGTAGTTGCTCTCCTTCTTCCACTTCTTCTTCAAGAAATCCAGAGTTTGACGCAGGATATGCACGGGCCGGACTTTGGAAGGGACTGGAGGGGCCGTGAGACGCAAGTACTTCTTCTCCAAAATCTCGCATGTGCCCACGATAGGGCCTGACGATGGCGGCGGCGGGCTGGGCGATCTAAGCGACTTGTATTCGCTTTCAAACCGACGTTTCCGTTTGTTGGCTTCCTTTTGGAACTTACTTGACTTCGGCAGGGGTTCGTCCATGGCAGAGCGTTTTTCGGGTGACGGGTAGGTAATGCGGTCCTCCAGAGAAGATCGCGAGTTAGTAGAGAGCCAGGGGGTGTTATCATTGGCAAATTCGGAGGATTTTCGCTTCTTGGGGTTGAGTGAGTCGCGGGCACGCAAAGGGGACGACGCATTCACGGCGTGCTTGAGCTCCGCATCACGTTCGGCCTTGACAATGGCCTGCGGCAGGGGCATGGTATCCCAGTCGATCGTGTAGAGCGATCCGTTCTCCTTGGCGGAACCGATGATGCTCTTAAGCCTATTCTCGATATCCGAACGAGACACAGAGGGCAAATCATTGTCGATAAGGAAGGATCGCTGGACATAATTTCGGACTGATTCGGGCCAGTCAACTTTCCCCTTAGCCTGTTCGGGCGCTGGGGTTGCACCATTCACAGGCGAAGCGGTAGTCATTTGGGGTTGTACAGGTGGTGGTGGAGGGACATATCCGCCGGCGACGGCTGCGTACTGGCCAAACGTTTGGCGAACGGCAACGGGAATGAAGGCAGGGTCTGAGACGGGAGTCAGCATCGGAGCGGTGGACGAAAAGGGTCGAGGAGCAGACTGACTGTGTGGGTAGGCATACGAGGCCGGTGTCGATTGTTGGGCAACGCCTGGCGCCTGCTGCGTCGCTGGCCAACCTGGCATCATCGTGACGGAGTAATGGGGTTGGGGGAGGGGTTTGTTAGTTTACGACGATGGGCGGGAGAAATGACGATATTCAAGACGGGATCGATGGGAAAGGGTAACGTCGATGATGGGGTCTGTGTCAAAGAAGAAAGAGGCGATGAGGCAACCGCTGGAGGTATTTTTGGGCTGAAATGTCGTGGCGGTCAAGTCTCGTGACCCACCGGAGTAATCACGGCTATTTGCATACGCTTAATTCCATCGCTGCGAAAGCTTATCGCATAGTGGGGCTGATACCCTGAGGGCATCGAACCGTACTTCGCAAGGGAGGACACTGACGAGTCACTGTCACAATACCAACCCGAATCTCCGCTGCCGGTGGCAAGAAACTCACCTTAGGACCCTGAAGGCTTTACCCTCCTGTCGTGGCGTTTGCGTGCTCATCGAGAGAGAGAAAGCGGTGTGTTTCTGTCGCATCAATCACCGCCACCAGTTCCCCAGGGCTCCGAGGGGCACCAAACTACAACGTCATAGCAGCTGACACGTGCTTGTCGTTGTACATGACGGATGTTTCTAAAACCCTTCGAACTCACTACGGCATTACGGCCCTCGTATCTCCCCGATGAGGTGCTCCTATTTGTTCGGGACAACGTTGGTTTGTATGAGGGGTAAGTTTGTTGGTTGCGGGGCGAGCCAAGTTGAGCAGCAAGTTGACGCAATCCAGGAAGTCCAAGCTCCGGGATCAACAGAATGGCCAGGTGTACCTAACCTCACATCGCATATGCTATGTGGATCAAAAAGAGCCGCGCAAATGGTCAGTGGCGCTGGACTTGAAGGACGTGGACCGACATGAGTTCTACGCCGGGTTTCTCAAGTCCTCGCCCAAAATCACCCTGGTGCCGAAACCTCTGAAACGGGGATCCTTTCACACTCGTGTCCTCTCGAGTGCGTCAAATGCGTCAAGGAGCGCCCCTGGTTCTCCTGGACATTCTGAAGGAGCATATAGGCCACCAGCCGAGCCTCCAACTGTCACCGCCGCCACCTGGGTCTGCACAATTTGCAGTTTCTCGAACCCCGTCCCCTCGAACTTTGATCCGACGACTGCCAACGCCCACACCCCTCTAGCACCCTGTCTTGCTTGTGGTATCAAGCCGACTTTAAGTCATGTCCTAAAGGCAGCGATATCGAATGCCAACAAACGGCCTTCTCCATCCCCGGCCGTCCCCGTTAGTTCTCCACTGGCACTTCGACCAGGACCCCCCGATCCTCAACTCATGTCCGAGAACCGTAGCGATCTCCTAACACCACAAACGAGTGCGGTTTCCAACGGAGGCTCGAATGGAACAAACGGCAATGAAGCGACATTCGAGTGCCCCCGATGTACGTTTTCGAACCATCCCTCGTTACTCTCCTGCGAGATGTGCGGTGCTCCACTTGTCACACGAGATATTCCGGCTTCTGTCCAACAGGACTCAATAGCAGATACTGCCAGGGCTGAATCTCCTGGCCCAGTAAAGGACCAGAGCAAAGGTGGTCAAAACGACATGCCTGAAAATATCAAGCTCTCATTTCGAGGAGGCGGAGGACCAATCTTTTACGAACGCTTGAAGGGCTCCTTGACCCAGCGCAAATGGCTGCTTCATAACGCACCTCCGGCTCCAAAGAGCAATCGGATAGATGAGAGCAACGGCAATGGCTCTCCCGGCAGCCCTTCAGGAGGCCGTGCCAAGACTGCAGGCATCGCCGGCTTAGAACAACTAGGTCTGAACATGCGCAAGAATAACGAGATACTGATAGGAAGTGCCTTTGAAGATCTCGAGGCTCTAATGGCCTCTGCAAAGGATGTCATTGCGCTCGCGGAGCGGTTTGCAAGACAAACCAACAATGGGCAAGATAGTGCAACAGCCGAAGAGAACGCCATCTTGGCGGAATCGGCAAGCCAGATGGGTCTGATTACAACCAAGGATATTGTTGGTGGAGACAGCTCCGAATCTCTCTACTTGTCCGAGCTGTCTCGTAACCTAGCCGAGTTTCTGACCGATGACTCGAGGGGAGTTCTCAAGAAGGCCGGTGGTATCATCACTCTCGTTGACCTCTGGGCAATGTTCAACAGAGCCCGCGGCGGCGTCGAGCTCGTCAGTCCCATGGACTTCGAAAAGGCCGCCCGGCTATGGAGCAAGCTCAAACTCCCCGTGCGCCTACGCACATTCCGCAGCGGCGTCATGGTCGTCCAGAGCCGCGACCGCACCGACTTAACAACTGTCAAGGCCATACACTCGTGGCTTCAAGACCTGCGCGAGTTCCCGCCCGACCGTGACGTATCCTGGGACTGGGGGGTGTTCGGCCGCGGCGTCACCGCGCAAGACGCTGCCGAGAGGTTTGGCTGGAGCCTGGGTGTTGCGGAGGAGGAGTTGATGATGGCGGAAGAGTGTGGTGCGGTGTGTCGCGAGGAGAGCCTTGAGGGCTTGAAGTTTTGGCTCAACTTCATCGATGATGGGCACCCGAGGAACAGGAGGAAGCCGCGGAAGGATGATCAAATCTTGACTGCGTTGAAGCACAGTGGACTTCTATGAAACACAATACAGGTATGCGAAGCGAGTATATTAGACAATCTTTCAAATCAACGGCGTTAGGGATGAGGTTCATTCCATATAAAATACATGTGCACGAATCATCCAGCAGTCATTGAGGCCTGTGTGTGAACAAAGTACGGTCCCTTGCAGTTTACACACGTGTAAGAACGGGAGCTTATGATATGAGATATTACATTTCATTCACTGATCAGGCGCATCTAATCATAAACCCATATTTCATGCATTCGTTGAATAACCGAAACTCCATCGCCCTTCCCATACGCCATAGCTAAATCGTCTGCTCACTCTAAGGCGGCGAATCCCTGTAATTAGTACAATAATCTACCAGCATGAAAACCCCCGTAACCGCGAAATTAAACGACGACATGAGTGGACAGATGTTCCACTGCCTCCTTGATGGTGCGCAACATCCGCTGGTTGACGCAAAAAGGACATCGTAATGGTCGGTCGTGGTTAGAGACTGGCCCCTCCGAATTGATTGGCGTCAGGGTCAGGTCCGGAGCCATCTCCTGACCGGGAGTCGCAGTGTACCGTGAGACAGACGAAGCACGTCCACCAGGGGTCGACATGAGGCCAGCTCTCTCGACGCGCTCACGCTCTTCGCGCACAGCAGCAGCCTGTTCCTCGGCCGCCTGCTCTTCCTGCTGAAGTTGACGCAGTGCATTTTGTAAAACTACCTCTGGGTCGTCATCCGCATACATGAGCTGATCCTGTTGGGGAGGGGGGATTGTTGGTTCGGCCGTGACCATCGGTGGAGGCGGGGGTTGTGGTTGATGAGGGCTCGTCATCCCCCGAACGATCTCATCTCGCACCAAGGCGCAAGTATGAAGACTGGGTTCGAGACCGACAGCACGAATCACTTCCTCCTTGATGGCAGCCGGGCTGGTATCCGCAGCAATGCCTATGGAACGGGAGATGCAGTCGGCGAGGTAGCCGATGTCTTCGGCGGGGTTGATAGTCCCATCGCCGTGGCGACGTTGTCTTCGAACCAGGAGACCATATCTCTTTTTGAACCGATGTATCCAACCGGGAGAGAACTCAGGCGGGTTCTCTTCCTTGTAGCGCGGCAGCTGGTTGAAGATGGACTTAGCCTTTTCACCAAGCTCCTCGTTGGTGGGCTGGCGGCCCGAGGCCTGGACTTGCTGGTACCAGAGGAGAACGAGCTTCTCTACGTCGGGCCAATTACCGAAGCGCAGGCGAGAGCCAGAGAGCTGGGGATTATCGCCATCGAGGCGCGAGTATTTGGGGGAGAGCGAATGGGAGACGGTGGACTGGCTGATCTGTTGTCCGTACTGGGAGTAGAACCAATCAATGCAGGCCTTGTGAGAAGGCCGGACGGTCTGGGTGTTGGCCCAGCGGCGAAGGGCTCGGCGCTGGTCGAGGGTGAGTGAATGCCGCTCCTTTGGTGTCGTGACGATGACGCCAGTTTGGACGGCTTGGGCGACTTGAGCAACCTGGGCAACCTCAGCAGCTTGGGCGGCGGCGGCGACGGCGACGGGGGAGAGATCCGGAGCGGGAACGGCGACCAGGGCCGGGTCGGTGGTAGCAGCCGACATGCCCAGGACGGCTATCTCCTTAAGAAGGTGTGGGTTCGGGATTTTGGGAGGAGATTGGCGGAATCCCAGAGGCGACTATCGTTGTATCCGAAGGGGCGTGCGTTGGTGGTGGGATGTTTCGATTAAGGGAGATAGATGGTGGTTTTGGCGAAGAAATGTCGATGGCGGGGGAGGATAAAGCGGTTTTCCGGCCCCGCCACGTGACCTCACCCAGGTACCTCTCTGTCGTTGGCTTCGCTCCAACTTGGCAGGAGGCAGCAGGAATTCACTCGGGACTGTGCAGTGCAATTATGTAAGCACCGATAGAATGCATCGCACAAAATACGGAATCTAGCTGCAGCCACGGTGGACAAAGACGTTGTAGGACCACCATTGAACTGCAAGTCGGATATGTGGTGGATGCGGTTGCTGAGTCTAGAGATTCACGACACTTGCATACAAAGCAATGTTGCATCTTACGGGTGCGCGATAAGAGCAGGTCGTCCCTCGATATATAGGTACTACCTTCGGGTAATTGTACTTTGCCCCTTCTAGCACGAGTAGTGGGTTGGCGGAAATGTGACCCTTTGCATGATTGAATAATTGCTTGCAGCGGGGCGGCCGACGCGCGGATATCTTTATGGGCGAATGATCCCCAACGATTGATGATGAATATCCCGCCAACGCAGGAACACGGCAGCCAATTTGGGAATTCTCTGACAGTGCGCTACATAAATTAGTAGTTATACGACATCTCCGTACGGGTAGTCATCGCCGATGATTCCATCCACAGTTCGGGGCGAGATCTCATGTACTACTACGTAGTAGACGCCGTTCCAGACCCCGATTCGAGAACCACCCTGGACGATGGAGTCCTGCCACCCTGTCCGCGGGTCTGACCATCGTAAATGGACTCTACCGCCATTTATCCCCCCCACCGACTTCCGTGTGCAAATCCCATAACGTAGTCGTCATCAGTAGAATGGCTCGCAAAATTCCGGACCAGTCTTGTTCTGCTAGGAGTTGTCGCAAGCTCATTGGGTCCTCACGGTTCACAACATAAGGTTTGAGGCTTGATTGCTACCCCAGTGCCATGGATGCGGTGATTCCCACCCGGACTTACCACTGGATACTTCCACTGCTGATCAGATGTATGTTGCATTTCTGGTCAGGCAGGGATCAGGTTCGTCGTTGCAATCCGGGTTTGGCCCCTGGTCCCCGGTTGCCTTGATGCGGGAAATCACAAGCATGTGGATTTCCATATATACATGGTCCCATCCTCCCGTTGAGCCCACCCGGGGCCAATTTGTATCTGAGCAGCTCAGGCTTTGTACCAATTAATCCACCGTCATAGCAGACACATCTCCCAGCACTCCTCCGCAATGACATCGCAGAAGACGGCATTGGTGACAGGCACCAGCAAGGGTGGTCTAGGCGATCACCTCGCTCAGGAACTACACCGGAGGGGCTTTCGCGTATTTGCAACAGCTCGAACCCCGTCAAAGGTGCAGCATCTTAAGGATATGGGGTTGGATATCGTTCTGGTAGATGTTACGGACCCCAAATCGATCAAGAAAGCCGCCGCTGAAGTCAATGCCCTCGCTGAAGGGAAGCTTGACATTCTTATCAACAACTCAGGCATTGGTATGATTGGTCACCGAAATAATTTAATGCGTTTTCAGACTAATTCCCAGTAGGAGACAAGGCGGCGCTACTTGACGCAGATCTTGCTGCCGCCAGAAGGGTTTTCGACGTCAACATCTGGGACGTCTTGCAGGTCACCCAGGCCTTCAGTCCCATGGTTCTTGCTTCCAAGGGCACCATCATCAATATTGGCTCTGTTGCGGCGAGGGTCCCAATGCCCTTCAATGGCATCTACAACATCAGCAAGGCCGCCCTCGAGCAACTTTCGAGGCAGATGCGTGTTGAAATGGAACCCCTCGGCGTCAAAGTTATCCATGTAGGTGATTCTCGCGGAATGTGCCTCTTCATGTATAACTAATGGGACTTAGGTGGTAACAGGTGGAATCGCCACTAGCTTTTATTCACACGCAGGTGAAGGAGAATTTTCAGAAACTTCCCTCTACTACCCTGCCAGAGAGTCCCTTGGGTCATGGTTGAGCGGACAATCCCAGGAGAGTCTACAACTAAGTGAGTGCCAACCTCAGTGCATCCATGGTCACCCTAACCTGCAACAGCGAAACCAGAGCAGTACGCCAAGGCTGTTATCGACAACGCTTTGAGTAGCTTCCCTAGTTCATTCCACTACACGGGCTATGGGTCATTTGCCACCTGGTTCTTTTCCAAGTGTTTGTGGAACAATGCTATGGTAGGTTACCCGATGATGAGTGAGCCTCTTGACAAGAGCTGACCAAACTAGGATATCTTGCTGTCTCTTATGGGATTGCCCAACATGAAGAAGGCAATATTCGGGAACAAGAAGGAGGCGTGACTGGAACCAGCTTTAAGCACGTCAAGTGCTGTTATCATACTTTCGCTTTTCGTTTCCACTTTCCAGCCGACTTCACTCGTCGCATTTGTTTATATCTTGACGTTAAATGTTCAAACCCACTAGTGCAGCATAGTCGATTCAGAGGGTGTAAACTGGGGTGGAACGAACGCACTAGCACTGGTAGTTTACTTTCGTCGTAACAAATCCACGAACCTGTGTCGCACTCGTCCACAAGAACATGTCCTTAATAAAATTAGAGCACATCAACAACAGGAATATTAACAGAAAATGATATTTATCCCTCTCAAGCCTCGTACCATGCACTAAATAAGGCAATGTTTATGAAATTAATTTGGTTGATACCACGTCGATTGTGCTCCAGGGTAGCCCAAACCGTCCAGCTCACAACCTGCAGGAGAGGTCCCTAGGGGGATCTAGTTACAATAACCGGATTGAGTGACTTACAGGTTTAAATTGACTTGTCATGAAACCTGGAATAGGTTGTCTTGAAACGCAGAGAGGTGTGCTCACAATACCGTGCTAAACTATCGTGCAACTTCCTCAATGATTTGAATTGGAACATCGGCGAAAACTTATTTACCTTTGTCTTGGTAATTGCTATACCGAAAGATTCCCATGCTTGCCCCAAGGTCTGCTAAAATTGCAGGAGACTGGTAGATTAGCCAAGTCCGCAACCCTTCTTGCCTACTAAGATCATGCGCAAGGATTCATTATCCACTACTTCGCCTTTCACAACCCACACGGCATGAAGTACACAGGAACGGGAAACCATGTAGGAAGGTTATGAGAGTAATCGGAATATAGCGTCGTGTAAACACAATGCCCTCGGAGTTCCCCTGGATGCCCTGAAGGCGATGCTCCGAAAGCCGGAGATGCTGTGGGGGACTACAAAGATCTGATGGGAGTAACGTCATGGAATCTCCCCAATTGGGAAGAAAGATACCGCTAGAGGTTCGAGGACGTCACGGGAACGGAGAGACAAGTGTTTGAATGGTTTATGCCGCGAATCGCAAATCCGGTTTCTGATGGTATTTGAATCCGACTATCCGAATTAATGGACAGCTCATGTCTCCATGATTGATAAACGTACACCGCGTCCGCAAGCCCGTACAATCGTTGTTTTCGACACGACCGCTTAGTTCTTCTTATCCTGCTCGTCCAAGAACTTCCTGTATCCCGGTTAGCCGATTGATGTCCGGTAGTAGCCGTTGAATTCGCGCACTTGATGAAGTCGGCCTCGTCGGAGCTGGAAGCATTGATCGGGGGAGTAGCGGCGACGTTGGTCTTGGAAGGGCCGCCGGAGGTAGCGAACTTGACACCGAGGTACAGGGAGGCCAACCAGCCCATGGCGATCTGTTTGGTAGGTCAGTGGGAGCTCCCTTGCCGCGGCGGCTGCAATTGAGAGGGACTCACGTAGTGGCCGCCGACCTGCTTGCCGGCAATGCTGTAGTAGGCGACACCAGCCATTGTGAATGAGTGGGTGAGGGTTGGAGGGGTGGATTGGATTCGTAGACGGGATAATGGGTGGATGTACGAGGCTTCACGGTTGAGATACTTTGCCGAGCTCTGAAATTCAGAGGCGTGCTGCCTGGAATTGCAGGCGCAAACGATGTCGGGTCCGGCGGCTATACTCCGGGCGGCCCTGGTCGGGATCGGCCGGCTTGGGGTCAGCGACGTCACCACCCCGGAATCAGAAGGCATTAATTCGAAGATAGTGGTGGTGGATCCTTCAAAAGGTCGAGGCTTCCGCCGGGCCGCATTGCATGTGGACAAGTCGGAAACCATTACCATCTCTCAAGCATTGCATCGTGTCGCCTTTTTTCTTCAATTGTCGAATCTTTTTCCGATGCCTTGGTGGGGTAACAAATCCAAAGACTCCGCGGAGCAACAGAAGGAGACGCCTAAGAACGAATCCTTCGACGCCAACAAGCTCCCCGCGCCTGAACGGCTTCCCAAGGCACTGCAAAGGATTGTCGACAGCGCAGACGAAGACTCGGGATTCTTTGACGGAATAACCGAGGGATAGTGCGTTGTAGCTCCCGAATATCGCGTGTAACCTGCTCACCAAGTGTCTCAGCGGCCCCAACTCTACCGACTCCAACCTTCGCTATGCTGCCTACGGAGCACGAATACGGACAATTCTCCTCTCCGCCCACCGTTATGTTGCCTATACCTCGGACATTGGCGAGTCGTTCCGACCGGTAGCTCACCCGAACCTTGTCCGCGCAGCCTACGGCGTGTCGTGGCTCTACCTCATCGGCGATGTCTCACACGAAGGATACAAGTCCTACTGGCACAACCAGAGTGTGCTCAACCCGCAGGTGCAGCTCACGCCGCAGCAACAGAAAATTGCTGGAATTTCAAGCCAGGCGCTTGATGCGAAACCCGGCGTAGTCCCTCCATTGGAAGATTATCGCACCGTCATGGTGCAGCGCGCCATCTTCCAGAGCCTAGCTAGCATGGGCCTGCCAGCATTTACCATTCACAGCGTGGTGAGGTACTCGGGCAGAGCAATGAAGAACATGAAGAACAAGACCATTCGGACCTGGGCTCCCATTGGCTTGGGTCTCGCTGTTGTTCCCTTCCTCCCCGCCATGTTTGATGAGCCAGTCGAGAATGCGGTTGAGTGGGCATTCCACAAGGGATTCCAGGCGTTTGGAGGCAAGGAATATGTTGGAAATGCGCCGGTGACTGGGAGAGAGGACTTGTTAACGAAGAAGCCGGTGAAGGAGAAGGAGCTGTAAGACATGTAAATGAACAGGCGTTACGGAATGACAGAAGGCGCTCAACTCTCAAATGTATAACATTCTCAACATAGGCGATGGATTTCCTTTAATGGTATACCAAGTGTTGGCCATACTATCGTGGTAAAACGAATTCATTTCAATTGGTGAATGTGTTGGCGTTTCCCGTTTCGGCCCCTCAGTGGAGTGTGAGGCAACCCCGCGATGTCATGGATGTGGCTGTGTGCCTGCCAACGACCGCGTCTTGTCTAGCGAATTCTTTTCCTTACACAATCGTGTTTGCATTTCCTGTTCGTTTTCGGCCCTTGCGAATTTAGGTGCAACGCAAGCCAGGGCGTTGCATTTTGGTGTTATCCACGTCTCGGTTGTGGCGAGGCACGAGGTTCATCGGCCAGCCCGCCAAGCTTGGTCAGGCGCGGACGTTTCCAGACGGTTCCTTGCCGCCGCGTTGACCATCTGTCATCCTTCGCTATTCACACTTACGACGTCCACGCTGCCTGCGATTGCGCAACCCGTTCACTAGAGATAAATCACGTCGAAATCCTTCGCCATGGCTTCTTCATCGAATAAAGACACTCAGGAGACGAGTTACGTTGAGATGGACAACAAGGACGACGCCACGCTCATTGGCAAGCACTGCGAATACGACTACTGCAACCAGCTCGACTTCCTCCCTTTCTTCTGCCAGTCCTGCCGAAAGACTTTTTGCCTCGACCACCGATCCGAGACATCACATAAATGCACAAACGAGGGTGCTTGGGCAGAGCGGAAACGCCTGGCGCAGCTGGCCCACCCCTCGATCGGCCAGGGCAAGGTGCTGCGCGACAAGGTCTCGCAGAAGCCGTGTGCATCGCCGGTCTGTAAGACAGTCGTCGGGACATCATTAACGCCGGGGGTGCACTGTCAAACGTGCAACCGCGACTATTGTTTGAAGCATCGATTAAAGGAGGATCACGACTGCAGCAACTTGGTTCCCATCGGAGCCCGACCGGCTCAGTTTGATGTTGGCCAAAAGACCAAATCAGCTTTCGACAAGCTGCGCGCATGGGGCACGGCGAAGAAAGAACAAGCTGGTCGAGCACTACCAAAACCGAAGCCCAGCTCCGCCGCCGCTCGACTGGTCGCCGTGAACAAGCTCAAGAAATCAGCCAAGGGGGACGACAAGGTGCCTGTGGAGAAGAGAGTCTACATCTACGTGGAGGCAGAGGCAGAAACTGCAAAGGCAAAGTTTCCCAAGGGGGAGTTCTTCTTTTCCAAGGATTGGGTGATTGGCCGAGTGCTGGATGCAGCGGCCAAGAGTCTCCAGGTACAGAACATCAACAACCAGAGCACTGATGAACGGAATAAGCTACGGGTGTTTCATGTGGAGGGAGGAAGGCTTCTAGAGTTCAATGAGAAGGTCGAAACGGCGTTGCAGAGCGGGAACACGGTGGTATTGCTGAGGGGGGTTGGCCCTCCTCCTGATCTAATTGATGTTTAAGGAGGCGAGCCCATGACGAAGCGACACAGATGCATTGTCTGGCGTTGGGGGATATTGATACCGATGTGATGTCCATTGTCATATATGACTAGGCAAATAGCGAAGCTAGTGATGTTAAATTTTACCACGTTTTTTAGACATCATCTAAGGCCTTGGAGAAGAATCGGAGAGCTGTCATACCGTGTCTGTACCTACTTGGGAGAACCAGGGAGAGCCATGCACATATGCGGATTAACACCAATACACGGATAAATGCATAGACCAGGAACTGTATCACGTGCTTTCGTGTGCGTTCGTGTCAGCTCGCGCTCGATGACGGCACTGCCTGCGCTTCCCGAACCACCAGGCGTGAAAATGCGTCACACCAATATTGGGGGATAGAATGCCTCCTCTTGTACCGCGCAAACGACTGCGTGAGTCGCCGCCTTCAGGAGAGAAAAGGCCGACCAAATCCGCAAGGGGAAAGGCCAGCGGGGAACAGCGCAAGGCGACTCTGTACGACGACCTAGATGCAACTGCGACTCCATTATCCTCGAAGAACTCGAATTCCATTCTTCAAAATTTCGGCGATGATGATGACGACGATGAGAGTTCTTTGACGTCACTTTCCGATGAAGAATTTGAAGATGTTGTACCACCAAAGCAGACCCCCGAGGACGACTCCGGAGATGATGAAGACATCGAGTTTGAAGATGTCGAGGCCCCTGCTGCACCTATCCCGGATGCGCCGGTTGGGACTGGCGACTTGGAGCTGACCCTGATCAAAGATACCAGAATATCTTTGATTAACGCATTTGGCGATAAAAAGGGACGCACCAAGCGAGAGAAACAGGTTCGCAATGCTACTCACTGCGTCCATGTCCTGTTGCTTTTGTGGCACAACGCTCTCCGGAACTCCTGGCTCTGCGATCCAGAAGTACAAGCAACGATGATTTCCCACCTTCCGCCTAAGCTGTGGGACGAGGTTGATCGCTGGAGTAAAAATAGCGGTTTAACACAGCAACCTGTCGCAAAGCCGCCCGCCAAAGGTCAGAGGAAGACAAAAGGCAAAGGAAAAACGCCAGTCGACAGAAAATCTCGGGATTGGGGAGCAGGAGCAGAGAGACTTGAGGAGGGAGCTGTTGATATGAGCCATGGTGACCCCCTGTTTCGCCTGATGACGGCCTTGGCGTCTTGGTGGAAGCAAAGGTTTCGGGTAACTGCCCCCGGTCTCAGGAAATGGGGTTACATGTCTCTCGAGAGGCTCGATCGACTTTGCAAGGCTCAAGAAGCTGAAGAGCATGATCCAGAGAGATTTGGGGAGCGAATAAACAACTTGGAGGACTTTCGCCAGTCTGCTCGGAATTGCGTGGGAAGCCGAGACGTGGGCGCTCAGCTCTTCACGGCATTGCTTCGAGGGCTAGGACTTGAGGCACGGATGGTTGCCAATCTTCAGACCATGGGATTCGGTTGGAACAAACTGGAAGATGCTGAGCTTGAGAAGGAAGACGGCCCGGTCGATGGACATTCGACGCCCGAGAAGGGCAAGAAAAAAGAAACATTGACGAATAAGAGCAAAGGAAAACAGCCACCCAAGAAAGCAGACAAGAAGAATGCTGGAAAGCCGACAAGACCTACCAGAGCGACGAAAGAGAACAAAACCGTGGACTTGAGCGATTCAGACGAGCTGGGTTTGGAATACAAAGACACCGACGACGAGTCTGTCGTGGAACTGAAAGTTACACCCAGGAAGGGGTCAACCCTTGTGAAAAAGTACGACGCCGACTTGGAATTTCCTCACTACTGGACCGAAGTCTTGTCACCAATTACCAAAAAGTATCTGCCCGTTGATGTCTTGACCAAGAATGCGATTGGGACAAATAGAGATATCATCGAGTCTTTCGAACCACGTGGTGCCAAGGCAGACAAGGCACGACAAGTGATGGCATACATCATGGGGTATTCACAAGATGGAACAGCCAAAGATGTTACGATTCGGTATCTGAAGCGAAACATGTTTCCCGGACGGACGAAAGGCGTGAGGATGGTCCCAGAAAAGGTTCCGGTTTATAATCGCCATGGAAAGGTGAAGCGATACGAGCAGTTCGACTGGTTTAAAACTGCGGTTTCTGGATACCGGAGGGGTACCAAGAGACATCCCATTACAGAGCTTGACGAAATTGAAGACGCTACGGATTTGAAGCCTGCAAAGCCAGAGAAGAAAGAAATCAAAGAAGGCCAAGAGACACTGCAATACTACAAGCAGTCCAAGGAATTCGCCCTTGAGCGCCACTTCAAACGAGAAGAGGCTCTGAGGCCGGGTGCAGTGCCCGTCAAAGTGTTCAAAAACAAAGCTAAGGGCGGGATAATGGAGGAAGAAAATGTCTTTCTCCGTAGCGACGTCGTGCAAGTGAAGAGCGCCGAAACATGGCACAAGCAAGGAAGGGCGCCGGTTCAAGGAGAACAGCCCCTGAAGAGGGTCCCTTACCGTGCAGCCACCACCAATCGACGGCGGGAGATTATGGAGGCAGAGGCTGCAACAGGAGCGAAGGTCCTTCAGGGTCTTTTTAGTCTTGAACAAACGGATTGGATCATCCCGCCACCGATCAAGGACGGAGTCATTCCTAAGAATGAATATGGGTACCTGCTGATGTCCCATTTCGCCCGTTTACATGCTAATATCGAATAGGAACATTGACCTATTTGCAAAGCATATGTGTCCGCAGGGCGCTGTCCATGTTCCATATCGTGGGACGACGCGGGTTTGCAAGAAACTCCAGATCGACTATGCCGAAGCAGTCGTGGATTTCGAGTTTGGGCATCGCATGGCCGTTCCGGTTATCCAAGGTGTTGTCATTGCAGAGGAGAATTATGACATTCTCATGGAGGAGCTTGAAAAGGCCGAAGCCGAGCGTATACGAAAGGAAGACGAGAAGCGTCGAAAAGCGGCGCTGGCCCAGTGGAGAAGGTTCCTCATGGGGATGCGGATTGCCGAAAGGATTCGACAGGAGTACGGAGAGATCGACGACCAGGTTTCAGTGTTTGGGCACAGTAAGGGTGCTCTTCACGGTAATCAGCAACCGAAAGTCCACGATGAAGATACGGCAGGCGGATTTCTACCCGAAGGATACGAAGAAGACGAGGAGGTTGAGGGGCCAGCACATCATGCCTCTAGTTTCTTCCCAGCCGTTGACGAGGAAGATGACGGAGATGACGGCCTCGTGATGGAAGAGAACACGGAAGCCCAGGAAAACAAGGAGGCCGAGATTGAGGTTGAGGCGGATGTGGAGGCAGATAATGCAGCTGAAACACGGCAAACGAGCGCGAGACAGGGCAAGGGCTCAGGGAAACAACTGGAACGGGGGCGTTTGGCACTGCGGCGGTCGACGAGGGGCCGAATGACAGTGGCCAAGGAATATGATGAAGGCCAGAATGTTGATAGCGAGGATGACTACGAGGACCATGAGATGCAAGACGCCTCTGTTGACTCCTACGAGGACGAATAGTTCTGGAACCAGGTCCAGCAGGCACTGGGGCTGACAGCTCGACACACTCAATGGCATCTATCTGACTTGTCACAATTGTCTAGACTAGCATTGACTAGGAAGGACCAATGAGTTACAGAAGCTAATGCAAATAATAACGATTGATTCCATAAGCTGCATGGAGTAATTTGCAAAATGTTGTGGCAAGTTGGATTGGATTAGTGAACTCGATGGAGGATGGCCTGATTTCGGTCAAGGTTGTCTCATCCTTGGCCGAATCTTGACTCGTGAAAAATATAGTGCCCTCTATTGAGCCGCCATGTCTATGCGCTGGCCGTCGGTGGCTGGTGGACTAGGCCATGTTTTCTCTGTGAGACATTCTAATGCGGGAAGACAGCCCAGATTGCAACGTCGAGGCCTGAGCGGACATAGGCTGAGGTGAGGAGTAATATCCGCTACAGCATGGCTCTTTACACTTGGGCGACCGGCTTAGGTATTACTTACCGGAGAGCGCGGAAGACTAGAACAGGTGTGGATGGGCGTGGGCCGTGGGCCGTGGGCTTGGAGATCAAACTTCAGAGGGGCCGAACGGATCCGCACAGGAACCGCTTGTCTGATTCCAGTGGCGGCGACGTGTGGCTAATGTCACGAAGCTGCACAAAGGGATTGTTTTGGCGGGTTTAGCGTCACGGGATTGTCATGGTCATCTTTGGATCTATGGATGGCTGCGTTGGGTTGATGGGTGGCATGTGCGACTACCGATGGGAATCAGGTTGAAAGGCATCCGGGCTATCCATGCCGTGGACCAGAATTGGCTTGAGGAACTGGTTGGCGATGATGGTGTTGATGACGATTGGGGGCGGGGATGGACCGATCTGGCGGGTGTGACATGGGCGGAAGACAGTGGGCACGGCTGCTATACTAAGCTCTGCTATTCCCTGCAACGACCAGGTGGTTATCCACTATATTCTAGGCCTGGGCCGGAGCTTGAATGAAAGGCGGCTAGCTGCTATTCATCCGTCTCATCGAGACGGCGTGGCACAGATTCTCCCACCTTGGCCGCATTGGCGTTTGCCACTGTGAGCAAACAAAGGCCTTGAGCAAACCACGAAGGAGGAAACTAGCTGTAAGAAGTGACAGATGGTTGCTGCAGCCGCACCCATGCGGCATCGCATCCACGCCGTGGGCCGTTGGTGGTTGGTCACCCCATCGGTGGGAAGCGCCTCGGGGGCTGGCCCAGCATCTGCCACGGGCCCAAAAGCGGCATCCCGCATGGGCGAACCGTGAGGCTTCCATCCTGGGACGACACGACATGAGATTGACCTTGTGACTTGAGTGTGACGGTGAGTCCATCGAGCCCAATGAGCCGCCCGGCGAAGGAGGGTCGCGCAAACGCATTCCCGCAAAAAACGACCGAACGAACGTGTATCCCTCGCATGCCGCGTCCGTTTGCTCCATCGCCGAGCATTTCGCATGGGGTCCATCGCTTCCAAGGCTATTTGGAACCGCTGGTAGCTCGCAGCTTCACTCGCTATCGGTTCCGCACCCAGCAGCATTCCCGCAGCCGCAACTGCGCAGCCCACCCCCATCATCGCCCGTCATCGCCCATCAGCCGCCGCCGCGGCGCCGCGGCCACGGGTCCAGCGAGGGCGGCCTGACGACATTCTTCATCTGCCTCGTCTCGCCGCTCTTTTGTTTGCTTCGACCTGGCGTGCGCCTCCTGTAAGCCAGATGCCGGCCTGAGTCCTTGCGGCGAAATATACATACGCCGACAGGCCACCCCCATCCGAAGGAGCAGGGACTAAAACGCCATTCCGGCCCGGCCAGCAAACTGAGGGTCTGTTCTCTCGGGATCCAACGTCGGCACCTTCGCACAGAAACGAAGCGTCTCCCTCTCCCCGGGATCTACGCCGGGATCGAGATCATCTGTCACCGGTACCGGTGTGCGGCCGTCCGTGAATAGGAGTGCCGAGAGTTGAGAACAAGCTTGTGTGGGTGGAGTTGTGTGGTGTGCTTGTGTTGTTGCGGTTGCGAGAGGTGCATCTCTGCACATTCAACGCCCAGTGTCTTACCTTGCTTGCTTCGAGGCTACCCGATTGCCCACCCGCGTCTAGGTTGTTTGGGTAAGGAGGTGGCTTTAAACACGGTCAAGGCGTCGATGGCATCTGGCAAGACAAGTTCCCTGGTTTAAAAGACCTCGTCGCTTCCTGTTTCAACAACAAACAGTATCGACACCGGCCCCCGAGGACGCACGCGAGTTACCCGTCCTCCTGAAGCACCACCGAGTCTCGAGTCTCGACCACCGAACACCGAGCATCGAATCCTGGGAACCGAGCCCCTCGTCATCTTCCGTACAGGGCCTTCTTTGATCGTAAGTGAATTTATTCTTTCCAATTCAGTGGAGAGGGAGAGGAAGCGGGAATGGAGGGCAGGGGAGAGGAGGGCGAACGAGGTGAGAGGCCCTCCTCCCAGCCACCCTCAACAATGCTCGGGGCTCGTCAATGTTTGCTCCATCAGCGGGTATTTGCATCCCATCGACCCGACAGCGTTGCCCCTGATCCAGGAGAGCTATCCACGAGAAGCGCTGGCGGCCCGTCCATTTCCAGGAGGGAGGTTGTTGCCAGCTGCAAGTGCCCTGCCAACTGCCAACTGATGACGAGCCAACTGATGACGGGGCGTCAATCACTCGGCCGGGCAGCTGGCCGGCCGAATACGTCCAACATTGACTCCCTACATCTGCCTGCCACCTGACAATAGATTCCTTCCCCCTTCCGCCCTCGCCGGTTCTATTGTTCCTCCGTCTCTGCCTGGCTATTCTTCTACCTATTCACTCGTGCAGTGAAGCAGCTGCCGTCTGCCTGCTGCGTGGTCCTCCTGCACCTCGAGCATGCATGCTAAAAGGGTCCAGAGGATGCCGGCCGCCCTTAACTTTCACATCCATCTCCTCCAAACACACTTTTCTAATTTGTCGCGGCGCAAACACAGCGACGGAATCTATAAAGACATCCGAGATCCCGAACCACGTCGCAGTATTCCCCGGCGCCTTGCTCACGGCCTCAAGAAGGCTATTTGCAGACTAACGAGCCCTCTTCGCCACCGAACCATGGACACTAAGCCCGACTCTAATGCTCAAGATGGCTGCATCCAAGCCGTCACCTCTCTCTTTCCCGACATTTGCTTGGAATACCTCGATACCCTTGCTGTTCCCCTGCTCTACAACTCCGAAGCTGTCATCAACCAGATAATCGATCTTGTCGAGGCCGGTACCTCATACACCAGACGTCCCCAAGTCAAGATTCTCAAGCGAAAACGAGACGACGACGATGACGAAGACGACGACGAAGATGAGGTTTCCGATGCGAAGCGCAAGTACGCCAGCCCATCTCGAGCAGAGACGTCTCTCACCAATCGCCAAATGATGACAGTGTAAGTTCCTCGATTCCCCTCGCTTGTCCTAGGGTTTGAGTCACCACGACGCCATGAATGTACCCCCAAGGTCCTTTACTGTCCCTTGGCCCAACCTCAGGCCCAAACGAACACACTCTACCCTGATGATATATTTGGAGGCTGACTTAAGAGTAGGAGAAAATTAATTACTGGGGACTTTCCCCTTGTCTCCTCCAAGGATGTGCAGAGGCTCTTGACTGAACACGGTATGAACCTCATGCCAGCATATCTCGCCCTGCACGAAATCGTCTCTAGTGGAGATCAAGCCGCCAGAAGTTTGACGCTGAAGAAGCGCCCGAGTATCCAAGAAGCACCATACAGACCAGAGAACATCGACGGAACTATTAATAAGAGCAAGAACGAGGCCGAAAAGGATATGCTCAAGGAACTCCGTGCAGCTCGGTTGATCCGAGCCTCGCTCTTGGACAAGAAGCAAAAAGAGACCAAGGCCAAGGAAGCGGAAAGGAAGGACCACGAGCAGGCCAAGGCGCGTGGCCTCTTGATGGAGTGCGAATGTTGCTTCACGGAGTTTACCATGAGCCGTCTTGTGCATTGCGATGGAGAGATATCACATGTCAGTTGTATACCATGCATGCGTTAGTGGCTATGAGCTGACAATTCTAGTGGTTCTGTAATGACTGCGCACGCCGCAACGCTGAGACACTGATTGGTCTGTCCAAGTACGAAATGTCGTGCATGTCGATGGATGGCTGCGAGGGGGGCTTCTCTCGATCGCAGCGGACTAAGTTTTTAGACAAGAAGCTCATCAAGGCATTGGACCAAATCGAACAGGAGGCCGTCCTGCGCATGGCCGGGATCGAGAACCTGGCGAGCTGCCCCTTTTGCCCATTTGCAGCCGAGTACCCGCCGGTCGAGGACAATCGAGAATTTCGCTGCGAGAACCCTACCTGCCAAATCGTTAGCTGTCGCCTCTGCAATGCCCACACTCACATCCCCAAGACCTGCGCAGAAGCAGCTCTTGAGAATGGGATTCCGGCGAGACGGGGCATCGAGGAGGCTATGACGGCGGCGCTGATCCGAAAGTGTAATAAATGTAAGCTTTCTCTCTGTTGATGGTGAAACCGACAGTGTTAATTGTTATTCCAGGCAGTACTCCGTTCATCAAAGAGTCCGGCTGCAACAAGATGAGGTGCACGCGCAGGGGTTGCAAGAACATCCAATGCTATGTTTGCTCTAAGTCTTGCGACTACTCACACTTCAACGACCCCGGCCGAGGGGGCAAGGCTGGCAACTGTCCTCTGTTTGACGTCACCGAGAACAGACACGAAGAAGAGATCCGGGCTGCACAGGAAGAGGCCAAGAAGCTCGCCGCAGAACAGAACCCAGGAGTCAATCTGGAGCTTTTGGACATCAAGATGTCGGACAGGGTCACCGAGGACGACGAACGCCGACGCAGGAGAGACCCCTACGTCAACCAAAGAGAGCTGTACCTGGACGAAGCCAATAACCTTGGTGCCGAAGTTGACGCTGCCTTTGCTGGCGTCGGAGTCGGAGCTGTCGGAGCTATCGGGGCTGTTGGAGCTGTCGGAGCTATCGGGGCTGTTGGAGCTGTCGGGGTTGGAGCTCGAGCTGTAGCTGGTGCTATTGCTGGAATTGTGCCCGCTTTCAGACCGCAGGTTGAGTTCAGGCAACTACAGTTCAACCTCCAGGAGCAGGGCTTCCAAGACCCGGATGCAGCTGCTCTTCGCGCGGTTGACGAGGAACTTCAGATGGAGGCAGCCCACATTCAAGCAGCTGAAGCACACCGAGCAGCTCTGCTACAAGAGGCTTGGGTCCAAGTAGCTCAGGGAGTTCAAATTCAACAAGCTGAGGCGGCCGAGATTCAGGCAGCGCGGGCCCAGGCAGCGCGGGTCCGGGCAGCGCAGGCCCGAGCCCAAGTTCAAGCGGAACTGGCTCAGCTGCCAGACAACTTCGGACAGATGATGCAAAGGGCTGCGCACCATAGGGAACAGCACATCCGGAGACAACAAGACGTCCGTCAGCCGCAGGACCCTGTTCAGCAACTACATAACGAACTTCAGCAGCTAGAGAACCTAGAACCACATATACCACAGGGATTAGTGATGGAGCGGCCAAAAAAGTACCGGGAACAACGCCATCATCGTCTCCAGCGACAACAGCAGCAACGGCGGCAACAGTTCCCACCAGTGTTACCACAAGTCCTACCGCCGCAACCTGTTCAGCCGGAACTGCCACAACAGAGACAGATGCCAGGCAGACAACCGGCGGCTCCGGCGCAGGAGCCCGTACAAAACCAGCAGGACCAACAACATCAACCGCAAATCTTCAACGTCTACCAACAACCTCAACAAGTTGATGTCGCGAACCCGAATGGGCATAATAAGAATGCTATGCCAGCCGCGGGACAAAACGCTGCTCATGACCTACTGCCACAGGCTAGTAATAGGGTACAAGGCTGGCTCAACCGCCTCCAGGGGTTCGATCTTGGCTTCGGGCCCTTGCAACGCTTGGATTTCGGTCGCGCCTTTCCCAGTCACGGCAGCGCACAGATACAGGGAGTCCAACAGGAGCTGCTGAATCCGTGGATCGATGACCCCAGGGAGCTCCATGTCAGATGGGCGGATCGAGCCGTCCCTTTTGGAGCACGCTACGGAGCATTGGGACAAGCCCCTGGGCAGCAACCCTAAACGGGGAGTAGGGATCCCCATAACTTCAAGCGTTATGCGTCCTTGGGATGGGAAGAGCGTGCGGGATTGGACGTTGGACCAGAGACGAGTTACGACTGATATTAGAGCGTTGGTGTCGAGGTGATGATATGTCTTGTATGAGTTTCTTTCCTTCAGTCGGAGACGGAGTTTCTTTTGCTTAACGATTTCACTTGACAGCTACGTCTAGTCCTTTAATTCATAAGATTTGACCCCAACGCCCTGATATGTGCCCATATCTGTTGAACCGTAAACCCGTAGAACTGTGAACCCACCATCAAAACGCCAACTCTTTCATCTATCGGTTCTTCCCGAAGCGCTCATGCCACTTGCCCTTGCTCCCGGTATTCTTCAATCCTCCACTCGCAGCGCCTGGCGCCTTGTCGGGTACGACCTCGAGCTCGACGGTTTCGCGAATGGTTGAGACGATGGCGATGCCTTGCTCGGGGGAATCGGGAGTGGCGCAGGGAGTGAGAATCATGAGGGCGTTGGAGGTATTCTTCTGGCGGAGGGCGTAGGTCTTGTTGGGGGTTTTGAGGAGCGCAGAGGTGTCGGAGGCCTCGATGGTGAGACTGAGAAGTGTTAGCTTAAAGGGGAACTCTGTGGGTTGTGGAGGAGAGAGAGCAGACTCACACGGGGGCATTATCAGATTCTAGGAGACTCACGAGCTCCGGAGGCAGCTCGATGAGGCGGTAGCCTGCGTCGTCGGGGATGTGGCGGACGGGGATGCCACGAGTTTGACTTGACATGATGAGCAGTCGTGGTGCGATATGATGCGACGCGGGGTGTGAGTCGCCTTTATTTAGGTAAGGGTCTTGATGGAGGCGTGAATGAAGCTGAGCTTGAGTTGGTGTGAGTGAGTGACGTCGTTGGAACCAGGAATGGTTCAATGGTTCAATGCTTGACGTTGGAGGCTTTGCGAGGGTCAGTAGCGCGAGCGTAGTGGGGGTTTATGGGTTTATCTCCACGTGAGAGGGCGGCGCGGACCCCTAAATTTAGCACGCCTCGCAAGGATTTTCAGAGGGAAGCGAGGGGAGGTCCAGAGAGAGTTTCCAGCGATTTGCACTATGATCGGGGAGCAGGGATTGCCCTGGGGGCCCTTGTGTTTACATCAGAGCGGGGGAGGAGGAGGAGGGGTTTGAGGCCCTGTAACGACGGGACGCGTCCACAGGACAGAACGCGTCCCAGGTTTGCTTAGAAATTAATTTAGGTAAATTTAGGTGGCGGGAGGTACCTAGCCCGCCCACTGCCGGTACAGAGACAGCGGGGCCCCCAACTTTCAGCCCGATGCTTCAGTGGACACCTGCAGTGGAGCACTGCAGTCATGGCCTGTGTTGTTCGTCCTGACCGCCGCCCAAATCCAACAAAACAACAGCGAGTGACCTGTAACCTGGGCCAACCGCCCTCGAGCGCCTGAAAGACGGCCCCGACCGACACCTCTTTTTTCCTTGCCACACACCCCGACGAGACGGACGAGTCGACGACCACAGACGAGACGACAATTCCTTTTGCGCCGTCGCTTTTGTATTGTACATAATCTATATTTTTTTCCTTCCTTCCGTCTTTCGTTTCTCTCGCAGGGCTGCAATTGTCCGCCGCTCCGGGTCCGGCCTTTGCTTGCCAACCTAACCTACCCCAAGGGAGGACTAGCCGCCGGATTTGCAAGCAGGCTGGCTCCCGACACGGCCACAACTTTTTCAATTGTTTACTTTGCGACGCCGGCCTGCCCTCGCTCCCACCAGTTCGCTCGCTCTGTCGCCGTCTCGACAGCGTTCGCCTGGCTTGTTGAGTTGCACGCTGCATTGCTTCGTATGTGCGAGTGACGGCGGGGCGCGGCAAACAACAAACCCGCTGCTGTAGCTGCACACCACCCCCGGCGTTCGACCGCTCCGCATCGAATCGAATCGACCCGATCCTCGATCCTCGCGGCCACCGACGACGAGGCCGTCCACCACCACCACTACCAAACCACCAAACACCATCTCGCATTCCCTTGGGCCGCTTGACTGCCGGCCCATTCGCTCGCTCTCACGCCCACGCCGCCATGGTTCGCGTCACCGAAGAGCTGGCGCTGTCGCCCGACCACGTCACGCTCTACCACGCCTCCGATCCGCTGCAGGGCCACCTCCCCGTCCTTATCTTCCACGGGCCCTCGACGACGGCCAACTACACCCTCAACAGCTCCCGCGTCCAGGTCCATGTCCTCTCCCCGGCCGGTTTCCAGTGCTTCCCCCGCATCACCATCTCGCCCAACTCGCCCTTCTACTCCGTCGTCAACTACCTGCCCCGCGAGTTCCAGGGCGACGAGGTCTACCGCGCCCTGGCCTTTGGCCTCTTCAAGTACTTCACCGAGCTGCCTGACGATGTCAAGACGTACCTGCGACGCCAGTACCCGACCCGCAGCCGTCGCCCGGGGAGTGCGCCGGCCTTGTTTGGGGAGCAGCATGCCGCCGACATCGTCAAGTCGATGCTCCCCAGCGACCACACCGCCGAAGTCATTGATGTCCTCCAGGAGGCCCTGCAGACCCAACACATCAGCAATGTGGACCTCGACTTGGTGCTACCACCGGGTAGCATTGTGCCACTCCAGCCCGCCGATCTGGAGGAGGTTCCCGACGACGAGGACGATATCCTGGATCCGACCCTACGGCAATACGGAGGATACACACCCCTCATTAAGCTATTTGGCGACCCGGTCTTTCTACCCACGAGCCGTCTGCGACGAGCGCCCTCGAAGCCGACATCTCTGAACCGCAGCAAGTCCTTTTCCAGGGACCAAAAGGCTGAGCTGCGCATGAAACTGGCGGAGCTTGTACACACCGAAGAGCGGTATGTGGCGAAACTGAGAGAGTTGGTCCACCATGTCGCAGCCGACTTCCGCGACAGCGCTCAGGCGAGACCGCCCGGCAGCCTCAGCCCATCTGAGGAAGAACTCGAGAGACTGTTCCCCAAGTCAGCCGATGGCATTCTCACCATGAACTCGGGTTTTATGGAAGAGCTGCGGAAAATCATGGACGAGACGGAAGAGGATGCCACCAAGGACATGGAGATGCCAACTGTGAGCTTACTGGGCTCGAAGCTGGGACGCGTAAAAGATCCCAGCGGTGCGCTCGCCATGGCAAGGCTGTTTCTGGAGTGGTTTCCCAAGTTTACCGAGTGCTACCAGGATTATATCAAGGCGAGCCAGCATTTCCCAGCTCTCCTCAACTCCTTCCTCGACCAGCAGTCAAGTTTCAAGCAGCGAGTCGCCCAGACCGGCGAACAGACTATCCGCTCCATCCTCATCGAGCCCGTCCAGCGACTTCCCCGGTACAGCCTGCTCATTGACCAGATTGTGGGCTGCATCCCCATCACGCACCCCGCGCTACAACCCATGCTTAAAGCGCGAGATATTATTTCCAACATTTGCTCCATGGATGACCCCTTACCAGACAAGCCGCACGTTGTCAGCCGACTTCGAAATATGGTCGAATCCTGGCCCCAGGATCTGGAACCGCAGGGACGTCTGATAATATCAGCGGATTTCACAGAGGTGGCTCCTCCATTCCAGGCCTCGGTCAACCAGTCAGATAAATCCGGCATTTTTCTGCTCTTCTCCGACTGTGTTATTATTCTGAAGAAGATGGCTGGCAACATGACTGGGCGCGATCTACTACGTGAGATCGAGAAGCCGTCGGCTGCTGGCTTGCTCATTACCATGACCAACGCGGCGGGCGGTCCGGCGTCGTACGAATTTGCCTTTACCGGATGGCACCCGTTGCCCGATGTGCGCTTTACCGAGTCTCTGGATGGCACTCTCTTTTGGATGACGTCGACCCAAGAGATGAGAGGGGCCCATCCCGGCGAGCACCAGATCAGCCAGGCCGTAACATCCCGCTGCTTCCTACTCCAGGAGACGTACGAGGCCCGCGCCGCCAAGTGGGGAGAGGAAATCGTCAAGGCTCGTGTTGAGGCGCGCTTCTCCGAGCCAGAACGTGAAGACCCGACCTGGACGCTCCGATCAGTACGCATGCCCGACAGCAACATCGGAATTCATGCTGCCATCTTCCAGGAGGGTGCCGACCAGCTGATCGCGGGCCGCAAGGAGCCTGCCCCGATCCGCGTGGTGGTTGATCATGATAAGGGTACTAAGGGGGCACCCGTCGGTCATTACGGCGTTGAGATTGTCGTCAATCTGTCGACGAATGACATGAACCGGGTGTCGATGCTCACAGTGGGCTTGAATGGGAAGCAGTACCAGGATGATGTTGCGTTGGAGGACTTGCTACCTACAATGTCGCGACGAGGTAGGTCCTATTTCTTAGACTTGAAGCAAGATATAAGCTAATCATAACAGTCATCCAACTTCTCAGCACACAACACAACGTTTCTAACATGCAGCTGACCGCAGCTCTGGTCTCCTACTACTCAAAGACACTTCACGACCTCTCCTTGTCAGGACGAGCCGAGAAGACTCGCTCTTTCTTGGGCTCATCCCCCGTCAAGATCTTCTCGAGCCTCTGGACTGGAGGTTCGACCCATACCCCTGAAACCCCTCCGGCAGAATCCAAGCACCGTCGACAAGTGCCGTCAATACACCGCAACAACAGCCAGCAGTCTGTTATTGGCTCTATCCGCGGAAGGGACGGCATCTCTCAAGAGGAGATTCGTCCCGAGAACCCGCTGGTGCGGCTGGAGCGCTCATTCACAGGATACGTCGCCGCCTTCCAGTCCCGCAAGGGTCTTATTGTCGGCCGGTCGTTGCTGAATCGCTCGATGGCTGATGAGTTGTCTGTGAACGAGCTGTACAACAAGCTCATTGAGAGCCCCTATGACTTTGAGGCGGCCGCGGAGCTGAGCACCGAGGTCATCTTTGTGGCGTTTGAAAAGTTCCTCCGTATTGCTTGGGCCGAGCAGATGGGACCTGTCATGTCCATGCAGTCCCTCGACACGCTCCAGGACCGCGTCAACAAACGAGTTCCGGGAGACTTTGCGGATTTTGTCAACTTTTTGTTCGGCGATATGGCGCCGCAGAACCGCAGAGCCTTCACGGCGCTCATCAAGCTGTTGTCGGATCTACTCGAAGGTTGTGGGAATGACGGCGACAGAGGCGTTCTCACCCTCGCCTTTGCGGAGCTACTCGTTTACGATGGGACGGCGCCGAATTATATTAACCTGCTGGACCGTCTTGTTCAGGACTGTGATCGGATTTTTGAGGAACCCAGTTTGAACCATAGCTTCAACCTCGACCACGCAACATACGACTCCATCAACTCAGCGATCCGTGGCGGCAAGTCATACACTGGATCCATGACGTCAAATACGTCGTCCCTGCGTCGGAAATTCGGCTTCGACACCCTTCTGCGACAGAACAGCAAGGATGACCGTTCATCGATGTGGCGAACCCTCAGCAAGCATCGAAACCCCGCTACTGGCGATGCATCAAGCACGTTAAAGGGACACCTTGGCCGATCCCATTCCATCGATGATAACACAATACCAAAGAAGCTCCAGCGCCGTCCTGGCTCCCGCGATCGTCCGCCCATAGCAGGGGCGTTTGACGAAGTGAGGCCGGGCAGCTCGCATCGGATGCTCGAGACGATTGGCGAGCCTGACGTGGAGCCGCCACCACGGTCACCGAGAAAGAAGCGGCGCAGCTCCTTGTCGGATCTGCGAAGCCTGATGACTGCGGCGTCACTCGACGACGACGACCTCCCTCTCCAGCCACTGCAGGACACCAAGCAGACCAGCGAGAAGATCAACGCAAGCCCCAAGGCGCTGACGCCGTCTAAGATACCAATCAGTCCCGTTTTGGCGCAGAGCATGCGGATATCACGCCAGAAAGAAAATGTCGCAGAGCCCTTTCCCAATTTCACCGAGCCAACTGAGCAACCCACTAAGCCGGAGTCGTATACCAAGGGTCACAGGCATTCCAGAACGCTCTCCACAACAAACATCCCTAGTCTGCGGCCAACACGACAATTCGCATCTGGTCCAGAATCACCGACACGCCGTCTGACCTCCACCTCAACGAGAACACCAGGCAGCCCGACACGAGTAACGCCAGGCAGCCCGACACGAGCAACAACTCAGAGGCTGCGTCTACAGTCTCCCCAGAAGCTTCGCGAGCGCCTCCAGACGGAGAAGCAGGCAGTTGACGGAGTCGACGCTTCGCTGCGATCGGAACTGTCCAAGATCGGCGAGGAGATGGCTCGCGTTAACAGCACCCGGCCCCCGGGCTCACAATCGGTCGACATGCGACGGCTCGGTGCGGCTGTGCGACAACTCGAGGATCGGATCCCAACAGAGGTGCAGGAGCTGCAGGAGAAGCATGACGCTATCCAGCATGACATGGACACGACGGTCAAGGCGTCCGAAGCCAAAGTGCGGGCCATCGACCAACTATACAAGGAAGCAGTAGCGGAGAACGAGCTGCTGTATGAAAAGTTCAACGGAGAGCTGGGCAAGATTGTCAAGGCGCTGAAGGGCAAGGGTAAAGATGACAAGGAGGAATTGATGACGAAGTTGCGAGATCAGGGTGAGGAGACGGCTCGAATGAAGAAGGAGAATGCGCGACTGAAGAGGGAGATGGTCAGTCTGCGCGCGGCTCTCAAAGGGACGACGGAGTAGGTGAAGTCGTCCCCTGCGAAGCTGCTGAGGCGATAAGAGCTATATAGGCCGAGCGAGGATTTCATTAGTTTTGGCGGCTGGGTTGTTGTATATTACGCGGTGGGCTCTGGGAATTGGGAGTCTGGAGCAAGGCCGCATGTTACGGTTTGGGCCGGGTCTGGCAACTGGGTCCAGGGAGGGCCTCATGTCATGTTATGCGGATGCAAGAGAATATTATAGAACAATACGAAGTGTCATGACGAGCTGAAGGATTGTGTCTATTCGGCAGGGGGGGTATCGCGTGATGGGGTGCAAGTTTTCAGATGGAGATGGCGTCATGACGATGGAGGAGTTGGACCCTGCTCTACCCAACACTCGAAGAAGAGCGGGCCAGCTCGGACGGAGCGGACGGGAGTGGTGGTGGTGCCGCCAAGGGAGGAGCCCTGGTTCCGTGAGGTTTCGGATGGAGGTTGGAGGTTGGGTTGGGAAGGGATCCAATGTTGAGGATGCTGCAGGGACCAGTTAACACGGGACGCAGACTGGGCGAGAGCTGGGATCATACTCCTATGGGCGCGGGGGCTTCATCGCGGAGCTCAACGGCGAGCGTAAATGTACTGCCCTCGGGAAGCGGAGGCATCATCTCCCCCGCGTAGGCAATGCGCCGGAGGGCTCCCCGGAGCGCCTCGTTGACGTCGGTCCAGTTGATGACCTCCTGCTCCTCGGCCTCGAAGTCGACGGCGCCATTGTCCTCGCCCTCAGGATCCTCCTCTTCAGGGACCTCGCCCCATGCGGGGAACGCCTCGACGGCAAACACCCAGCGCTCCCGCACCTCGAACGTCTTGGGCGCATGCATAGCCACGGCGATGCGCCGCACGGTGCCCTTTTGCAGCTGCACCGTGATGGCAGCCACGGCATCGTTGATCCACGCGCAGAGGCCCGGGTGGCGCGACTGGCTCACGGGCAGGTTGAAGGCGCGGGCGGTCAGGAAGGTCGTGCGCGGGTAGAGGCCGCGGTGGAAGAGCAGCGAGTGCAGGGCGAGGGTGAGGAAGGTCGTGAAGGAGGAGAGGAGCGTGGCGGCTTCGGTGGAGGGCAGGGAGGCGCCTTCGGGAGGGTTTGGCGGTTGCGGTGGTGTTGACATGGGAGAGTTGGAGAGGCGACGAGGGTGGTGAGGCTGGAGATGGTGGCCAAGAGGGAGAATCGTGGTGGTTTGGAGGGAGGATGGATTGGACAAGACGTGGCTGGCACGCGTAGAGTGTGACGCGATGTCACGTGCTTGCAATGGCGTCTGAGCGGCTCTCAACTCTAATGGCAGTGACAGTGCCGACCAGAACGTTGATGACGATGACGTATCTTCACTGCAACCAACTTTGATGCATTCCAATGCCGTCACCTTTCATCAGCTTAGAAATTGAATACCCAGATTTGCAGTCTCGATTCTTCAACAAAAACGCATGTTGTCTTGCATCATCACCACCAGGCTCCCATTGACTCCAAGGCAGCTGTGCACTGCCCCGCGAGCTCCCAAACTCCACATATAGGGCTGAGGAGGCACCCAAAGCTCATGACGCAGCCCCTCCACTTCCATTCTTTATCTTCGCTCCAACATCCCACGCCGTGAACCGCCATTCTCCAACAAACTTAGCTTCTCTCGCAACGAAACACACGCAGATACTTCACAGCCGCAGCGCAAAAGCTACACCCATGGCCGCTCCCCTCAGCACCGCCGCCATCCTGGGCGGCATGGCCGACGCCCTCCCTACACATCCCGCCGGCGACGACTCGTCCGACCTAGCTTCGTCGTACGAAGCTATCGCCCTGCTCATCCATGCCTATATGGCAGCACTAGGTTTCAAGCTTCAGGGCTTCGACGAAGACAAGAAACTCGGTGCGTCTCCTTGCGCCTTGCCCTTCATCCCCGCTCTCCCCCGCTCTCGTCTAACTGACCTGCTGCAGCCGAATGCCAGTCCCTCGCTCCGCGCCTCCCGCCCCAATGGAACACGGGCTTTGGGTCCTTGAGCTTCGTATACTCCCACAAGCAATCAGCCATGACCTTTGTCATCCGCGTGGATCGCATGGGCGGCAAGGTCGAAGTCCGCGGTCTCGCCGTCGGCGACGAGAGGATCCACCGCTTCGAGCGGACGGTGCGCGATGTCGTGCAGTCTAGTGGCCTGCCTATTCGCATCACCATGAATGGCGAGCGCGAGGACCGCAGCGATCTAGCTACCAAGCTCCGGGGCGTGTTCGTCTCGGAGGAAGCCATCGCCAGTATGTCATGCTCCTCCTCCCTCTCCCTCCAAGAACTTACAGACTGACCTGTGATTAGATATCCTCCACGACCTCAAGGTCAACATTATCCAGAAGCTCATTCCCAAGCTCCAAAGCGAAGGCTACGTCGAGACCGCCGAAGCCGAAGCCACCGCCCGCTCCGAGCGCCGCGCCCAAGAAGCCCAGGACCCCAACCGGCCCTTCCGCGGACCCGACCCGGACGCCAATATCCCGGCGCCAGCCATAAACCCGCTCCCGGACATGGCGCGCCCCCGGCCCCACCCCGTCGCCGACTTCCCGCCTCCCGGCTTCGAGGACGAGTACGAGATGAACCGCCCGCCACGCGGCATCGTCATGCCCGGCCGCTCGCCCTTCAACATAGGCCACGACGACCTGAACCCGCCAGGCCTGGGCCCCCACGATCCCCTCCGCGGCTCCTTCACTGGCGGCGGCCTTCCGCGTCCCGGTGGCGGATCTGGCATGCATCCGACCTTTGATGATCCCCTGTTTGGTGGCCCCGGTGCTGGTTCCGGTGGCTACGGCTACGACCCCCAAGCGCCTCCTGGTGCACGTTGGGATCCTCTCGGCCCTGGCGGCGGCCCTCGTTTTCCCGGCCCGGGAGGCGGTAGGGGCAATAACCCCTTTGGAGGATTTGGGGGAGGAGACATTATCTAAGTAGACGTTGAGAAGCAAAAAGTTGGGGCTGTACGATTATGATGGAGGCCTTCTTACAAGGTCATGATGACAGAATGATTAATAAATGACATCCAATGCCTTTGGCTCCTTATGCTCCGCCCGTCATGCCCTTACGTTGTAAATTATCAGGTCAAGGATATCCCATATGTGCTGTAGGCCATTCAAAAGGTTCATAACTTCGAAGCTAGGCAGGTAATCTAATTAATTACACGCTCCAACTCATCTACACTCCACATCCATTCATCAAAGCAGACCGAAGAGGCAATCATTATGACTCTTGGGTGGTGCTCGCGTCTATTTACTCTTTTTTTTCACCAGAAAGGAGATAGAAAAAATAACAAAGAGCCAGGTGATCGCGTCCCACAGTCTTAGATTTCTTTCTTCTCCTCCCGGTATCCATTAACCAAGTACGGCACGGCGGCGGTTTCTGCTGCGACGGCAGAAAATCCATCAAGAGTGCAGCTTCCGTAGGTTTCTCATCCGGGAAGATCCCTGCGCATATGCCTGCGTCATCAGGATCCCGGTCCCCGATACCGCAGGCCCTTCCTATTGCCCGGCCGAGTTAGCCACCTCGTTGAGCTTCGTCTTCTCATCCTCGGTGAGCATGTTGTACCACTCCTGGAAGTTGGCCACATTCTCCCGAGCGCAGCGGATGAAGAATTCCGTCAGGTATGCCTGGGTTTCGTCGTCTCGCTGTCGCTGACCACCACCCTCCATGAACGACATGAGATCAGCCTTAGTAGTGCCGAGGCTCAGGTCAAGGGTATCATCATCATCCTCCCAGCCCTCGTCGTCATTCTCATCATCATCGAAGTTGGCAGATGCCACGGCAGCGGCGGCAGCGTTGGCGGCAGCCCGAGCACCAGATGCAGAAAGGAGCTCCTCAATGAGCACCTTGATGATTTTGAGGGATGCAGGAATGATTGTGTATTGGTCGGGGTCTGTGACTCGAGTAGTTCCGTTAGCCTTTTGTTCTCCTCGTCTATATTGTTCGCAGAGTTGATTCAAAACGAAGTCTTGTGTTGGAATGTTGTCTAGTGTTGGGCACATACTCTGCTTCGCACGAGAGCGAGTCTTAATCAGACCATCATCGGCGGTAACGATCAGATCACCCTTGACTGAAGTCTGTGCGAGACGGGGATCGTTGAGGGAGTAGAGCTTGGACAGAGCGATCACGCTACAAATATGTCAGTAAAGTGAGATAGTACAGTGACTCCAACTACTCACTTCAGCCGGATCTCGTCGTAGCCAGCAAAGTTGACCGAGTTCTCAAGCCACTTAGCCAGAACGACCTGGAGACCACTCTCGCCCTGAATCTGGACTTGGCTCAAAAACTCGACGATATCGCTAGCACCGGCCAGAGAAAGACGGGCAAAAACGAGAATGAGGGACTGAATGAATGCTGCGGCTTGTGCAGAAGCCAGCCTGTTGGCAACGGCCTGAAGGAGCTGAGGCAAGAAAGGACCCAAGCGCTCCTGGCCAGCCTTCTCCACCAGCTCGGCGGCGAGTCCTCCAACCTCGGACGCAGAGTTGTCCTCGATAGAAGGGCCAAGAAGTCGGTCGATGATGTGCAGGCAAACCTCCAGTCCAGAGCGGCCGTTGGCGTCTTGCCAGGCGAGGACCTGCTGGTGATCGTGCTGCAGAATCCACTTGACCGTCTCGGAACCTGGTCGCAGGACCTCTCCCTCAGTAGACTCCATGAGAAGGCGGTTCAACTTGGGGAAAGTTGCTGCCACAAATCCAGCAGGCAGAGGCTCCGATCCGTGCTCTGCCAAAACAGCGAGCAGCTCAGTTGCAACCTATGACTGATCAGTTTGGCTCAACAACAATTAAAAATGGGTTCTCACGGTGACAAGTGGGTTGTCCTCTGTAAGGTTAGCAACGTCAAAGGCGCCAGTCAGGGTAGGCAGAATCTTGCTGCACAGAGCAGCGTACGACGCAGGATCGGACAAAGTGCCGACAATTTCCTCAAACGCCTCGGACACCAGCATGGTGACTTGAAAGTTGCTAGCACCCAGCTTTGCCAGCAGGAAGAGCAGATCCACGGACTGCACATCGTTGGAGAGAGCAATTCTTGTCTCCAGGCCGATAGCAGCACGCAGGGCCTCGGCCAGGGTAACGAGAAGCTCGTCGGCATCCTCCATATCGCTGGGGTCCTTTCCATTCATGTAGGTCTGGATAGAGGTGATGATGGGAACCTGTCGGTCAGGGGTGACACGTCCAGAGTTGATGAGTCCCTCGGCAGCCTTGATGCACGCGACCTGGACAACCTCTGACTCTTCGCGGGTGATACAGTCGACAATGCGGTCTAGCAGAGAAGGAGGAGTCTCAAAAGATCGGCAAAGAACACCGGCAACAAGATAACCACGAGCCCGGAGAAGCGGCTCCTCGGGTCGGTTGATGGCGAAGTCAACCAATTCCAAGTATGCGTGGGCGACAGGGTCGGGAATGGGCTTACTCATGTCCTGAAAGTCACTAACCAGCATGACGAACAAGTAAAGGGCAGACTCTTGGCTACGCCAGGACACACCCTCGCCAGTGAAGAGCGTCTTGGTGTAGCCAAACAACCCATCGATCGTCTTCTGGTCGAACCACTCACCCATCTTGATCAACAAGTCTCCAGCAGCAGTTCGAGCAGTGTAGTTGGCAGTGACAGAGGTCTCTTCAGCCAGGTACAAAGAGCAATCGATATCCCACAGATCCTCCTCCTCTCGGGTCACCCGAGAGTAGGCGACGAGCATCTTCATGATCTCGATCATCCACGGAACATCTTGAGCAGAGGCATGAGCGTTCAGCTGGCCGTCAAGCTCGGCCTGGACGGGGGGTGCTCGGAAGCACTGGTTCAAGAAGTCCAGCTCCTCAAGGATAAGGAAATCCAGGGTGTAAGGAATGCTGTCCGAGTCCTCCAATCTTCCTTGGGCGTCGTTCTTAATGTAAAGCTCCTCGTGAGGGCCCTGCATGAGGGTAAGTTCCTCCCACACCGCGCTGAAGAAGGTGGTGCTCTGAGGAAGGAGCAGGTTGGGGAAAACACGACGGATTCTCAACAAAGTCTTGACAACCTGGAGCTTGAGAGCAATGATGCTGTTCCAGCTGTCGGGCTGGGAGCCAGTGGTGAGGTCGGCATCGGGCAGACGGCTCTTTAAGACGGTGATGAAGAAGGGGTTCCACTCCTTGAGGAGTTCGTCCGCAAAAGCGCGAACCTCTTTAGCATGGTCCTCCTTGATCATGTTCATCAGATCGAAGCAGCCACGGAAGATGGAAATGGCCAGGGCTCGCAGCATGGGCTTTCGGTTCTCGTTGAGGGCGACTTCGGTCAGGCCCTTGGAGATATCACGAGCCATGGAGAAGAATTGGTCTTCGCTCAAGCTCTCTTCGATGATATCATTCAGGACCCTCAATGCACCGTGGAGTTGGGCATCGGTGCCGGTAGGGATAACACCGAGGACGGTGGGGAGGAGGTGAGGCCACTGTTCGGGGAAGTCATGGATGGCAATCTTGCCAACGGCGTAACTGTACGTGGCACCCGGTAAGCAATTTGATGTTTTGGGAATACCAGCGCCAAATAGCGTACCTAGCGGATATCTTGACTTTTCGGTCCTCCTCAGGGCTCAGGGCGAGGTCGAGGAGGGTCTGCTTGAGCTGACCGCGACTCTCGTCGGCGATGGGGATCGGAGGCTCGCTGTCATCCTCCTCGGCGCTCCAGTTCTTCTCGATGAATAATCGGAGGTTAGTGAGGGCGGCCTGACGGATGCTGGTATCGATGGAGGTGTGGGCGGCGACGTTGGCGAGAGACAGGGGAAAGGCGGGATTGGAGCGGGCGCGCTTGAGCTCGATCTCGGCCTGCTGGCGGGGCGCCTGGTCGGGGAGCTGGGTGTTGGCCAGGAGCTGCACCAGCTGGTCCTCCATGATTGCAGTAGGTGACGCTCGCTGGGCAAGGGGCAACGGAGGATATTCGGAGTGGGGTGAAGGTGGCGGGGAGAGAGAAACGGGTGACGACAAGGAGGTGGATGAAGTTGAAGTTGAAGCTGGCGTTGGGTTGGCGTTGGCGGGGGCCGGCTCGATGGTGGGGGAGGAAACAGAAAAGCGGGCTTTTGTGAGTGGCTGGACGCGCTCTGCGCCCAGTGCTCAGTGCTCCAGTACGCTGCGTGCTGTAGGCGCCCAAGCGGCCGAGCCACAGGGCACAGGGCACAGGGGCCGTTAATTAGTCGTCGGTCGTTACCAACGATCGCGGGGCAGTTTGTTTCCAAAATTTCACGTGTTTGCTGTTTTGCTCTCCAAAAACTTTTTAGGGTTGCGGTGGACCAATCGCTACGGGACTGCTGGCGTCGGGTCAGAGTACCGACTGAAAGAGACTCCCAAAGACATCTCATCATTTCCCAGCCAAGGCATTCATTCATCCAGGCTCCGGATGTAGACTCGATCCAAGCTGGCATTTTTCAATGTATGTGGATCCAAAAGTGGGAGAAACCTCGCCGGTGCTGAAAATCGGCTTGGCTTGGTACCAACCAGGCGGTGACACAAGACATCCATCCACATGCACCAGCAGCTCATTTAATGCACTTCCCCCTCAACACCAAAGGGACAACGGTTCCCAAGATACATTATACCACGCTAAGGACGTCCCAGGTCCCGACATTCTGGTTGCCCTATATGGGATGGGTAAGGTGAGCCTGTATGCATCCAGGGTCCTCGGCATGGAATCGCGGTCTCGGATGAACGGGAGGGAGTTGGTCGAGGTGACTCTCAAGACTACTCCATCCAAAGGCTCGAATATTCACGGTCTCGCGCAGAGCTCGTCGCAGTCAAGCGCGTGACCGTCATATCGATACCGCTATTACTGGGCTCAAGCCAACCTGCAAAGTGCACATTGTAACCCCACCGTCACGGCATCGGCAAGGGCAGTTCCACGGCTTAATGGCGGCGTATGAAAAGGCGATCGAGGTGGAACACACATCGGCACTTGATGCGGCCTGAGCTCGTGCTTTATCCTTACCGCTGCGCTGCATCTGAGGCCAAATTCCTCGGCAGTAGGTTACCCTGTACGTAATAATGCATTAAAGATGCATCAAATTTGCATGCTGCACTGAATCCTCTTAAATAGGGTATTGTGTTGAGCAGACAATTAGTGATTATCTCCTTGAGAAGTGTGTCAAAAGTGAATGTCTCGAAAACATACAAGTTCCCCTCCTTGAGGTTCTCGCGGGCCAATCAGCGGCGGGGGATGACGGGTTGCGACGGTTTTCCCCCATTGCGTACATCGTCGTCCCGAGGAACTGCGCATCTCTTCATAGCTGCATGCGGAGCTGGCCGCTTCTAAATGGGGCATCAATATTGAGAGCAGGGTATGTCTGCCCAATATCCGTCCACAGCGGCAGCTTACATGAAGCTACCAGGTCGTATGAGGTTGACTGGCCAGGCCCCGGTCACGAGGACCCAGACCCTACGCACGGTACGCACGACTCAGAGAGACTGGTACGATCTTGAGACCACGGCAACGTATTCCGGTCCGTATTCTCTCTCAATCGCAATCACGTCAATCGTAATCACGGCGAATCCATCCCCTCGTAATAGATTTGGTATCAACATCCACAAAGATAGGCTGTGTACTGCAGTCCATCGGTGTTAGAGCGGTCTTATTCGCAAGCCACAGAGGAGGGCATCACACGAAACAGCGCCGAGCTGAACAGAGTTTGCGCGTTCGGGATGCAAGATAAACGCCGCAGCCAATCGCGCGACCTTGATCGGCAACCCAGGGCACCCGCGAAATTCTGGAACGTCTGTGGTGTGGCGGGTTCGCAGCCGGATTGTCGGAGAAGAGGCAGACTACGTACCGTCTTAGCCACCGAGGAGTGGAACGGGTGTATAGATGCAGAGATGCAAAGATGCGGCGGCGTCGACAGAGTACCAGCCTAGTGCAAGAGCCGGAGATACGTGCATTGTATCTGGGGAGGTGGGTTGACTCGATGAGATCGAGTAATACCTTTCTTCTGCCCGCGCGCGATAGAACTAACAGGCTTGATGTGACGCTGCATTATCTTAGTCGCATCGTTGTGTTGATAAGAAGACCGTGGCCAGCCAATGGCAATGCGTCTAGTGGGCCAACACGGGGAAGCCGTCTCTCTTGCAGGGCTCCTGCTCAGATAGCGACCTGGGAGCTGGGGCCTTTCCCCGGGAAGCAACCATCCAAGAGACCATCCAAGAGACCATCAATCCAGCGTAACCTCTCCTGTTGCAGCATAGCAGCATGGAAGCCGCCCGGAACGAGCTCTAACGTCGCCCCAAAGTTGCCACTAACGCTTCGTTCCCCAGGCAAGGCAAAGGGCCCGGAAGCTTACTGCTCCACCACCGCGCGCGCCTCCCACCCTCATTCCTCCACCGACAACACCACCACAGCCATGTCCCAAGACTCTGTTCTCGTCTGGCCTCCGTATGCGGCAACCTGAAGGGCCTATCCGCGACTGTCCAGGCCGATCCAGGACCCATGTGGGGGGTTTCCCTCCCACCTTGGCCACCCCTCGCTCGCTCGCATGGATACTTGCTTCTGCGCCTGTCCCAACCACCGGCCACTTAGTGCCACGGCATGGTACTTCGTACCTGGAGCCGCTTGCTGGACTTCGATTAACATCAGGGCATCGGACGAGGTAGCTGTCAATTAGCAGCCGGCTGCTCGACCGACGACCTCTTTCCCGATACGGATCCGCACCCCCGGCGGCGCCCTCGTCATCCATTCACACTCCGGCGCCCCAGCCCTCCCCATGTCGAGCGCGGCCGGCGGCCAACCGGCCTCTCTCCTCGGGCGGTTATCACCAAAGCCCGGGCCTTGGGATGGGGGATGCGTAGAGTGGGTTGATAGCCAAGATGGACGATAAACAGCTCTGCTTGACACGCCGATGGGGACGCTGCAGAAGGATCCTCCCCATGCAGCAAAGATAAATACCGGCGATCCCCTTCCCCCTCAACCATGTTTTGCGCATTGAAACAGCGGGGAATCACACAACGGTTGCAACGCATTGCTTGACATTAATCTCCCCTCACACTGATTGATCTCGTGTGACCCATCCTGTCTACTTCACGTCATTGACCCGCCCCGAACCTACACTGAACGCCTATATACCCTCAGCTGGCGCCACTCAGCAAGCTTTTGGTTCCTCTACTTGATTAATCCGGCATTTATCTTGCCAATTTCGAGAGAGAGCCCCCTCCCAAACCTCTACCCCATCATCCGCCTCCCGTCTCCCGCCCGTCCACAAAATGGACTCGGGACCGCGACGCAGATGGGTCGACAAGCTCGCCGTCGAGGCGGAGCCTGGCCTGACTCCCGCCCAGCTTATGGTACGAAATGATTACTCCCAGACCAACCGTCCAGGAGAGATCCCCGACTGGAATGTTGAGATTCTTCGAGAGCAGTGCTGACTTCCACCCAGCTTACCAACCATGACTTGAAACCCGTCGAGAAGGAGCGTCGTCAATGGAGCGCCTGGAACTTTGTCGGCTTTTGGATTGCTGACTCTTTCAACATCAACACATGGATGATTTCTTCCTCAATGATTGTGGGTGGCTTGTCGTGGTGGCAAGCGTGGATCTGTGTCTGGATCGGCTACACTATCACCGGTATTTTTGTGGCCATGAACGCTCGTTTCGGTGCCATGTATCACATTGGTTTCCCCGTTGCCAACAGATCATCCTTTGGTATCTGGGGCAGTTTGTGGCCCGTCTTCAACCGTGCTGCCATGGGTAAGTGCCTACTCTCGGTTTCCTGCTGCAACAAGATGCTAATATTTTCTCAGCCTGTGTCTGGTACGGAGTACAGAGTTATATCGGTGGGCATTGTGTCTACCTCATGATCCGCTCCATTTGGAAATCTTGGGACCGTGACACGATCCCCAACAGCTTCTCTGAGAGTTCCGGCACTACGACTGCCGACTTTGTCTCATTCTTCCTTTTCTGGTTCTTGTCTCTCCCGGCCATCTGGTTCCCTGTCCACAAGATCCGCCACCTTTTCACTGTCAAGGCCTACATTGTCCCTTGCGCCGGAATCGCTTTCCTTGCCTGGACTGTTTCTCGCGCTGGTGGCATTGGACCCATTATCAAGCAGAAGAACACGATCCACGGCAGCGACCTTGGGTGGGAGATTGTCAAGGGCATCATGTCCTCGATCGCCAACTTTGCCACTCTAATTGTTAACGGCAGCGATTTTTCCCGTTTTGCTCGCAAGCCCTCGGATGCACTCTGGTCGCAGATGATTACCATCCCGTTCGGCTTCGCCCTCACGTCCTTCATCGGCATCATCGTCTCCTCCTCGTCCACGGTCATCTACAACGAAGCCATCTGGGACCCTCTTGATCTCCTCGAGAACTTTATCAATGACGGAGGCTCCGCTCAACGCTTCGGTGTTTTCGTCATTGCCATGGCATTTGCTCTTGCTCAGCTGGGCACGAACATCGCTGCCAACTCCGTCTCGGCCGGAACCGACATGACTGCCCTGTTCCCTCGATACATCAACATCCGTCGTGGTGGATACATCTGCGCTGCCATCGGTCTTGCCATGTGCCCCTACAATCTTCTCACCGACGCCAACCAGTTTACCACCTACCTATCCGCCTATAGTGTGTTCCTGAGCTCCATCGCTGGTGTCATGGTCGCAGACTACTATCTGGTTCGAAAGGGTTACTTGGAGATCAAGGAGCTGTACGACGGCCGCAAGTCTGGTCCTTACTTCTACACCTGGGGTATCAACTGGCGAGCTTATGCTGCTTACATTTCGGGTATTTTGATCAATGTCGTTGGCTTTGCAGGAGCTATCGGCCGTGACGTGCCCATCGGAGCCCAGTACATCTACAACCTCAACTACTTTTTCGGATTCGGCATCGTTTGCGGCATGTACTGGACTCTTTGCAGGTTCTTCCCCGTCCCGGCGACCAGCGATCGATGGATGGAGGTGGGCGATGAGATTGATGATGTGCGGGTGGCCTACAATGCTGACAGCCCGAGTTATGATGAGGAGCATGTGACCGGAAATTCCAAGGGAGTTGATGGGATGCCAAAGCAGTTTTGAAGCAGACATTATCGCAAGTTTATGACTTATTATGATTAGGGAGTAGATGGTAGAGAATTGATATGACAAAGAGAATAACCACGCGCACAATGCCAACTTGCCATATCCTGAAACAAAAGCTCTCACAAGATCCCGATGTGGCGATTACCCACGTCGGCAATAGGGTAGCTAGATAGTCTATATGAGTGCATTATGAAGTTATTTGTTAATTAGGCAGGTCACTAGTTTGCGTTTTATCATAATACAACGAAATAGAAGGCTACAAAGTCAGTGATATTATTCCTTTTCTTTTACTTTATTAAAAAATTATATTAAACCAGCAATACCAATACAAACTGAGAAAATCGTCGATCAATACGAATTACCAAGGAAAAACTGAGCAAACCACTAATTACCACGAACCAGTCCATTGTTTCCCACTGGCCATAGACACCAACCGACTCATCGTCCTCCTTTGCCTCCCAGAATATAATTCAGCGTCGCTCCAAGCGTTGTAGCAATGACAAGTCAAAGCCAGCTCGTTGGGTCTCAGTACTGCTGAGATCCCTCTAGTGAACCGCCCGGGAAGTTATGCGCGTCCTGGGAGCCATCTTCGAAGTTCCAATTGCTTCCATTTCCCTCTAGCCCGAGTAATTGCGAGCTTCCTTCATCCACCCTTTGGCCAAGTAGGCACGATGCGTCCATGATTCTCCCTGCCTCCGTCATCGAGCTGAAGGCCATAGGCGAGGCATTTGCCACGAAGGCGGCGGGTGAGCTGGGGATTGGCATGTTCCTAGGAATCGTTCTGGCTGGGTCGAGGAGGTAATTTTCCTGAACGGGGAGCGCGACGCTAGGGTTTCCCCAATTGACGAAGGAGTATTGTTGCTGCAGCTGCTGCTGTTGCAATTGCTGTTGTAGCTGATGCTGCGGCTGCAATGGGGAGAGTTGTGGATGAGGTGGGGAGCTGTAGTGCGTCGGTGGTCTCTGTGATATCTGGCTAGGGTAGAAGCTGGAGCCCATTTGGTCGTCCGGGCCAAACTCGACCACGTCGATCGGCGCGCGGAAGTTTTGAGGAAGTATTAGGTCGGAATGAGGGATGATGTTCCGGAGGTCGACGTGCCTGGTCGGCGTAGTCAAGCGCCCAGACATCACATCGTCGACATTATAATAGCTGACTAGGTGGTGTGATACGCCCTGGAAGTTTATGCTGATGGTCTTCTTGACTAGTCCGTCATCTTTGAATGGGTATGAGTCAATTAGAGACCCTAGAAGAGATCGTTTCAGATCTTTGTCGCCAGGATCCGAATCCATCGCGGATGGGAAACCCATCTGAGGCTGGGATGTATTGTTGCTCTTGCTAACCCCGTGTTGGGGCTTCTTGTTCTTCCGCAGGACTCGCTTCTTCTCGCCAGGGGGAAAGTCCTTGAGCTCGCGGTAGATGAGGAAGTTGCCCAGTATGCGGCTGGGGCTCCAGGAGACGCCATCGGTCCAGCGTTTAATGCCTGAGGTGTGCCCCTCGTAGATGAAGACATTCCCGCTCTTGATGAGCTGCTTTCGTTCGCCGTCGTGTGGTCTGCGGGGTACGTGGCTCAGCTGCCCCGAAAGGCAAGCCTGGAAGAGGACGAGGGCATCCATCGTGGAAGCGATGTGGCCCTCGAAGGTGGGATTCAGAGGGGTCATGGCCGAGTGCGTAACTCCAAGGCAACCCAACCTTGGCAAGGAGGAAAGATGAAGCAGGGAGATTTAAGAAGAATGAAGCGTTTCAAGCCCTAAAGTGCGCGGAAATCGGAGCATACGTGGTAAAGTGATAGAGTGACGTTGGCAAGATTGACTCTGGTGCAGAAGTTTAGCCCGCATGACACACATTGCGAGGACGGACAGCAGGGTTGGAGACAAACGGGTGCAAGAACGGCCTCCTGACAAACGTTAAAATGACACGTCCACTCCACTCAGTACGCGAAAGAGATCACATGCAGGTAGTGAGGGTTAAATGGTGCTGTCGACGCGAGGAAGGGGGCGAGGAAGGGGGCGAGGAAGGGGGGAGGAGAGTAAGGGGGAAAGCGAGGCCAGTGCCCGCGTCCAGGATGTACCTATGCCTCAGTCGTTGAAGTTTCTTTTTTATTTCCTTGTTGCTCAGATATCCTATTCCTAGATGAAGAGCAGTCCTCTATGGTGTGTATTTTCTTTTACTCCTATTTCTTCCTTGAGACGCCCAGCCACCCAATGTGACAAAATGCGATAAGTGCCCCGGGAAACTGCGGTCCGATCAGAGACTTCACGATAGTGTAGAAACCCTCATTGTCTCAAAGTCTCACGCGTTTCTCGGGATAAAGATGTGTTGATCCTCCGTGCCTCTACATCCATAAATCAATCCAATGGACCATGTCTAGCGTTCTACGATTCACAAGCAAGCCATCACTTAGAAGTCATGAGCCTCGCCAGCTCCATTCGCCTGGCTTTCCCTCTTCTTGTGCGCTGCCTCGATCATCTTGTCGAGACATCCCACGCTCGCCGCCACGAAGCCCAGGAAGCTTGGTGCCGGGTTGAGAACCTTGCTCTTCAGTTCCGGGTGTGCTTGCGCGCTGGTTGACAAACTTAGTAATCTTCGCCACGGACATCTCAAGTACATCACTTACCCGACAAAGAAGGGGTGATCCTTCAGCTCAATGGTCTCGACTCGAACACCTTGGTCGTCGAGAGAGGTTACGATAAGCCCGGCCTTCTCGAGCTGGTCGATATATTCGGGGTTCACCTCGTAACGGTGTCGGTGACGTTCCTCGATAACCTCGGCGCCTCCGTACATGCCACGGAGCTTACTCCATTCCGTGCCAGGCTTGAAGTGAGATGTGCGCGTGCCGAGTCTCATCGTGCCGCCCATTTGCCTGACATCATATGTCAGTGTTTGCCTTTCAACATGGCGGGTGACTTACTCCTTAGAACCCTCCGGCATGAAGATAATGACCTGGTGCTCTGAATCGGCCAACATCTCCTCAGATGTCGCATCCTTGATACCCATCACGTTGCGTGCGTACTCGATGACAGCCACCTGCAAGCCCAAGCAAATTCCAAGGAAAGGAACCTGTCGCTCTCGAGCCCACTTGGTGACCTCGATCATTCCCTCCACTCCTCTCGATCCGAAACCACCGGGAACAATGATGCCCTGGGCCTCGCAGATGGCCTTCCAGGCGTTGTGGTACTTATTAGGGTCCTTGGCCTGCATGGCGTGTTCGAGATGCTCAGAATCCACCGAGATGAGGTTCAGCTTGCGGTCGCATCGCATCGCCGAGTGTTCAAGCGACTTCCGGACACTGAGGTAGGCGTCGTCAAGGCTGATGTACTTGCCGACCAAGACGATGTTGACTGGCGGGAGGTGCTTCTCTTGGACAACAGTCTGCTTCCACAAGTCCCAGAGTGCCTGTCCCTTCTCAGCCATGCCTGGCGACAGCTTGGGGTTGTCAAGTTTTAGGCCTTGGACTAGAAGCTTGAGCAATCCCTCCTCTTGGAGGAGCAAGGGGACTTGATAGATGGTGTCCATGTTTCGCACACCGATGACTTGCTCGTACTCAACTTGGCAGCTTCGGGCAATCTTCTGGATGGTGGCGTCATCAAGGGAACGCTCACATCGGCAGGCAATCTATGGAGGAATTAGATTGTTCCAAAGGTTTGGTGAGGTTTTGTGCCTACCACATCAGGGATCAAACCGGCACTTCGCATTTGCCTGATGGCGTGTTGGGTTGGCTTGGTCTTCTCCTCTCCGTTGATGATCGGGACGTATGATACGCCGATGCTGAGGAAGTTGTCTTTGCCGAGTCTATGTCTGAGCTGCACGAGTGCCTCGACGAAGGGGCCAGACTCAAGATCACTAGGATATGTCAGTGGCGCACTCTCAGGGGACGATATTCCTAGTTGCAAACAAAGAGTCCAAGGAGATCATAAGAAATCGGTAAAATGGACAAATAAATAAAGACACATACCCGATTGTGCCACCCTAAAAGCGTACAAGTTAGAGTCAAAGATATCCTTAGGCGGCATGTCATGGGAGAACGTACCAACTCAACTAGAGCATAAATTAGTATATTTATATTCGCGTTGTGATTCTTTCAAGAACATACCAATGCAAACATCCGGCTCTTCTCCAGAGTCGTCCACCGGGATCTTGGCGACGGATTCGATCGCCTGCTGGATGGCGTCCGTGATGTGGGGGACAACCTGGACGGTCTTTCCCAGGTAATCTCCTCGTCGCTCCTTCTCCTGCACAGGGGATATGTTAGTCGCCATTAACCTGCGTCAATAACAAGCAATATTGGTGGTTCGTACAATGACCAACTTGTAGATCTTGCCGGTAGTAATGTTGCTCTCACGGCTCAATTGAATGCCGAGATATCTGTCCGCCACATCAGCAATGTCGTCTACAACCTTCGAAGTAATAGACCCTACCGTTCATAGTTTCCGAGATCCAAGTCCGTCTCTGGCTTTTGTTAGTTTTATGTTTTTTAGAAGCCCAGAGTCCTATCTTACCGCCTCCGTCGGCCAGAACGAAGCACTCTCCATGCCTAGGGAATTTAGTTAGCAAGTGTCATACCAGGGATTCAGAAGACGTACTCAAGCGGGTTGAGCGTTCCCGCATCCAGGTTCAAATAAGGATCACACTTTGCGGCCTGTTTGTGGCGTGAGCAAGATGTCATAGTCGCGAACGGCAGCGGTGGTGTTGTGAACATACCGTGACGCGGAAACCCAGGGACTTGAGTAGAAGTCCAGAGCTACTGGCTATTACAGTTGTCAGTGGACGAAAAAAAAAGCAAAGTAAAAAATCATAAAATGTCTTACCAATAATTCCTAACGATTCAAGTCAGTAAGTTGATCCAGAAAGTCGCGAACGTGGGTTAATGGGTTTGGCGGTGGGATTGTCACAAATCGCAGATCACGGCGACAGCGACAACAGGGAATATGTGTAGCAAGGAACTCACCTTTGCCAACGCCACTGATGACTCCGCCGGACACTAATACCACTTTCATCTTGAGATCCTTTGGTATTCGGCTTTGAGGAGTAATCGTTGTAATGGAGGGAACGCTGCTGGTGAGATTTGCTGGAGTTCACGACGACACGACAAAACTGTGCCTGTCACAAGGAAAACTTTGCGACCGGAGCGCATGCTGACTAACAAGGTGGTGGAGACACTAGACTAGGCGGCTCCGGGTGCCTATTATCCACTAAATTACAGCGACCTTTCAAGAACAGCGGCCTGACTCGTAACGTTATACCCGATGCGGTGCAAGCTTTTCTGAGCAAACCTTCTATTGGTGTCACTTCTGAAGTATTGGTTAAACCAACCACAATGTCTAGAACATCAGTGAATCGTGACCACCACTATGTCAAGTCTCGGTCAGGTGCCGCGTCTCCAAAATCACAGTAATGTAAGTCAAAGGATTGTTCGCGCGTCAGTGTGGTTGGTCAGCACCGCCCACGTGATCTGGTATCCGTGCAAGTCTGTAATTGATGACGCCAGGCAAGCTAAGCCTTACAAAGGCTTGGCCAAAGGGGATGAAGTCGAGTAAAAATAGACCTCTCATTAACCTGAATGATAAATGGACTAAAGTTTCTCATAGATACCGTACGAGGGAGCGATTAATGTCACGACACACATATTGTTGCTGGACGGGCACGGGAATGTCCTTCCTGTACACCAATTTGGTGGCCGGCAATCACCGCCCCGTTGGCTAAGTGGTATAGCGTGTCACTAGTAATGACAAGATCACTGGTTCGATTCCAGTACGGGGCAATGCAATGAAGACTATCCTGTCTGATCTCTTTTTGAGGATTGGTTTGTTGAACCTTCATTTTTGCCCATCCATATTACTCTCCTGGTGCGTGTGGCTGACCGAGCCGTGACGTTACGTCCGAAAAATTGTTTTGTTTCGGATGGCTACTATGGCACGAACTTGTAACGCCGCTGTAGGTGTGCTGGAAGACAGGTACATTCAACGCTTACAACACGCGGGAGACTCTCCGTGTTAGCAGTGGCGGCACCTGGAGATATAATACGAGTGCTGACGAGTAGAAAAATGTGTGCATGGTAAGTGTGGCGTGTCCTATCGGCCCAAAAAATAAGCAGACGAAACAGGGAGAAGAAGAATGAATGTACAGCAGCAACATCGTTTTGGATTCAGGCCGGGCCGTGTTATTAGTGAGCATCCCACACCGCCGACCAAACTGCAACTGTTCCCCAGCCACGCACGCAGTCACCACCCTGAGTGGATGGAGGACTTGTTTCAATTGCCAATCTATTCTCCTATCGTGATGCGCTTTTTTATATCTGGGTTCTTTTTATGTGGCACCGCAGTTATGTGGAGCATACAGCCCAGAGAGCCTTGGTCTTGGTCTTAGCTGGGAGCCGCGACAGAGGCTGCCCGATATCAGCATCAATTTGAAGGCGACCAATCACAGCCCCGTTGGCTAAGTGGTATAGCGTGTCACTAGTAATGACAAGATCACTGGTTCGATTCCAGTACGGGGCAGTACAATTGAGGCCATTCGGTTGATTCTCTTTTTGCGGTTTGAGGGGATGGTGGCTGGTGGCGAAATCTTTTTGGAGGTTGTTTGCTGGTGGGGGATCGGCGCCACGCCAGGTACCAGGTGTGGGAGCATGTTCTGGTGCGTAATTGTATCAATTGAGCTTGGCTAGCGAAGCCGCTTGATATGCACTGTGACGTTCAAAAACAAGGGAAGAAACCGTGTGGAGGGGCTGTGGTGGAGAAGAATTGGAGATATATGTCTGTATCTGACAATGGTTACGAGAGGTGATGCAGACTGACGTTTCGATTGCGTATACTTGTGCAGATCGCAATGATAAAAGGAAGGGATGGGCTGACAGCTCACCCAGTTTGTCTACCGCTCGACATGGATCCCGAACACCGGTGAAAGGCATCCATCATTATTGTTCTTCAACAACGACAAAAAGGAAACAAGTCAAGCTTGCCCCGTACTGGAATCGAACCAGTGATCTTGTCATTACTAGTGACACGCTATACCACTTAGCCAACGGGGCTTGTTGCTTGATTTGATGCCGGTTCGAATTGGAAAGGGGGTATATAAATCCCTCAGGGGTTGTGAAGCGAAGTGGCGTGGTGGAGAGACTACAAGTCTAGTACAACGGGTGTGAATAGGATACTACTCTCCGCATGCAACTTCAAAACGCGAACAAGAATGTGATGAATGAACTCCGACAAAAAAACCCAGGTGTGTTTTCAAATTTCACTTATAATTGTAAGAGAAACGATCAGTTTGTGGATGTTCACGTCAAAAGACATAGTGTTGATCAAAGGAAAGTCTATGTTTGCTACCCTAGATGCATGCAATTGATGCACTTTTATGCTAACTATACTCTTTTACCCCCGGCATATCTATTCCATCATGAATTATTCTAATCCCTGCCCATATTCCTCAATGGACAGAACTCGCAAAGCAAAGTCGTAAATAAGGATCGTTGATGCTTTTGGCCCCTCCGCTATTCCATGCTGGACTCCATGCTGGAGCAATTCCCAATTCCCAATGCGCTTTTCCAATGCAATCGTTTTTAGAACCCTGTCCCATTCCGTCCCACCCAAGCTCTTTTTCATTTGTCGTAATTTCCAATATCGTTTCATTTTATTAGTTGATGCTGCGTACCTCCACCACAGCTTCTTTGGTCTCCTTAGCCTCTTTGGCCTCCTCAACATTCTGAGGCATGGGAGAGTCAGTCTCCGAGTCCGAGCTGGACAGGTCAGACTCCGTCTTGTCTTGCACCGTCTCTTGAGAACTGGCCTTGCCCAGGTCCACGAAGAAGCACATGATGAGTGCTACTACTCCAAGGCCAACTCCGATCCAGAACATGCCCTTGTACTGCGACTTGGGGGCCATGCCCATGCCCTTGAATTTTCCCTGCACCACCGAAGTCACAGCCAGGAAGAAAGCGCTGCTGATAAAAATGGTGATGTAAATGAGGGCACCCGCCATGCCCTGGTGGTGGCGTGGCAGGCTGGTGGTAAGGAACACGTTGCCCACGGTCCACAGAACATCGACACAGGCGGCCTCAGCGAGCATGGCTGGGAAGACCCACGCCCAGTAGTTGGGGTGATCGGGCATGAGGGCGAAGAAGAGGACGGCAACGATCTTGCAAGTTCCAGAGACGATGAGAAGCAAGCGGCCCGGTAGAATGTGCAGAAGGAGGCCGCTAGAGACGGCAAGGAACAAGCCACCCACAGCCCAGGGAGCGAACCATACAGCCGCGGTCATGGAGTCCTTCTTGAGGATAGAGATGATGCTGGAGCTTGTTAGCAAAGAGTGAGGAGATAAGTGACTGGAGAAGACACTTACTAAAAGTTAGAGTAGAATAGATAGATCGAATAGACACCCCACGTGAGGAAGAGAGTGACCAGCATTCTCTTCATGGACTTGACCTTGAAGATTGTAGGCGGAATTAGGGGCGCCTCAGCCTTCCAGCCCTCAACATAGACCGCAGCAGCAAGGAAAAGGATACCGGCGACGAGAGAGACAATGATCTGAGGGGCGGCCCAGCCCAACTTTGCCACGCGGCTGTCGGTGATGGCATAGATGATCAAGATGAGGCCAGGGACCATGGTGCATAAGCCCCACCAGTCCATCTTCACGCCACTCTTGCGAGCCTCAGCGTAATCGCGGGGCGCGGTAAGGAGAGATCCCACACAGCACATCATGGTGATGATGCCTCCCAGCCAAAAGTACCACCCCCAGGTGAGAGCCTTTTGGGACACGCCGCCAACGATCATGCCCATGAAGAAACCCAAGGGAGACAAGGCGCCGTAAAGGCTGAACACCAGGTTCTTACGGGGCCCCGGCCTGTAAATCCGGCCAAGCAGCGACATTCCCGCGGGGAGGAACGCCGCAGCTCCAAGGCCTTCCATGGCTCGGCAAAAGACAAGCATAATGAAGGTTTTGCTGAAACCGGTGATGATGGTCCAGGTGACGAACCAGATGATACCGGCATGAAAGACGATATATCCACCATACATGTCCGCCAAGCGACCAAATGGGAACAAGAAGGCGCCAGCCATTAGAGTAATGACACTAGACGGCCACGTGCGAGATGCCTCCGGGATGTCCAAAGGGTCCATTAGCCCTGGCAGGACTACCTGGAACCCACCGATGAAGAAATCCTACGAAACACCATTAGTGACGGGCCTAAAACCAGCCGGGCCGGTTTTGGATAGTTACGTACCGCCATTGACAGGCACATCAACATAGAGCCCACGAATATCGCCTCGGTCAATGTTGACGAGAACACATCGGGACGCTTGCGACCCAAAATTTCGACATCGAGCTCTTCAGGAATCTCGTCCATCATCACGACGATGGTGGACTCGGAGTTGGGCCGGCTGTCATTTATCATCGCTGATGGCAAAGGACTTGGCGGGAAAAAACAAGGGGAAAAATATATGTAAAACTCTAGCAAATCGAAGCCGGCTTGATGGACTATAATGATGGACTGGCGGGGATTTGGAATGGATCGCTTCGAAAATCACTGTTGGCGGCACAAAGACTCGAGTAAATAGATTTCCGAGAATTCGAGAGATGTTGAGCTTCAAGGCTTTAAGGATGCCAGGCTGACTTCGAGTGTCCTTGATTCAAAACCTCATCTTCTACAGCCATCTGGAGCTCTTCTTATAGTTGGTCCCTAGGCCACTTGACCTGGACGGCGGGTGCCGACATCGCGACCCTCTCATGGTGCCCAAAGGTCCGGGCACGATGGTGACAGACTGGCTCGAACAGACGAAAGCTCGCCAAGGTGAAGCCTTGGCGGTGTGGTCAACGCACGAGATGTTCCTTGATTCCCTCTTCGGGCAGTTTCGATGTCTGGTACTCTCCACCTTGTTGCGACGCGTCGCCACCCTGTGTCATAGCTAGCGAGATGGTGGGAGGAGCCAAGGTCAGTCAATGTGTCATAGAACAGTGTCGACAGTGCGACTCCGGTCAGCAAGGACGGGAAGCAACTATCGTGAGATTTGGCTGTGGAGGTTGTGGAGGTTGTGGAGGAGAAGGGTGCAGGAATAGGGTGGAGGAGGAGGGTGGAGGGAGGAAACAAAGCTTCTCTCCCCGTAAAGAAAGTTCTTCGTGCCTCGTGGGCTCGCGAGTCGATGACAAGGGCTCGCTTGGGCAGAAGCGCAATAGACCAGCCCTGACGAGCCCTGACGAGTCCTGATGAACCCTGGCCGGCCGGACCAGCGACGCCGGCGAGAGGCTCTGGAAGCGGCCAAGCTGCGCCCGATGAGAGGTGATTTCCCGATTGGGCGATTGTGTCACCTCTGGCTGGATGACGGATCAATTCGAATGGAGCCATATTGGAGCCCATGTTGGAGCACGGTTGGAACTACCATGGAACGCATGATGGAGCTTGATGGAGCATGCTAGCTAGGTAAGGTATGTATGCTAGAGCAAAGCCCCTTGGGATAAGCTTTCTGCAGACTCTGGGGCCATGGCCGTGCCGGTCGGATGAGGGTCGACGATGAGGGTCGACGATGCAGGTCCCGAAGCACCGGCTGCACGATGTGTCGGATGGTTTCCTATTTCGGCGGCGTCGGAGTCGGCCATAGTCGGATTTCGAAGGTGCGAGGCGGGGCCGAACTGGGTGCGGGAGCTTGCGGAGGGTGCGCGAATGAAGGCAGGTGCGAGGCGAGGCGAGGCGAGACGAGAGCGTCAGAGCGACAACCTGAGGCGATTACATATACCGAAGCACCTAATCTCAGTAAATTATTACCTAGTACTAAGTAGCTAGCACCTTCTCGCCGAGTCATGGGATCCCACTGAGACTGATTCCCCTACTAGCATTCAGGACTCAGCAGTCAGCACACCCAGCCGGCTTCCAGAACAAGAACAAGTCCCAAACCCCTCCCCCGGCCCCGACGCCCAACAACGATTCTCTCCAGGACCATGACCATGACCATGACGGCCCTGTAGCGTCCGCCCTTTTCTGCTTCATTGCTCCATCCTCCATCCCCAGAACGCCTACTGCGCGGGCAGCGTTTGGCGCATGCCGCCAAGCAACAGCAAGCCGTGCCACAACTGCCGTCGTCGACGCCTGCGCTGCGACCGCTCGTGGCCGACATGCCACAAATGTGCGGTCTCGGGGCAGGACTGCCTCGGGTATGGCAAGGTTTTCGTCTGGACACAGGGGATTGATTCCCAGGGCAATGTCAACCCGCCGCCCGGACGGAGGGCGGCCGACGAAGGTGGCCCGGCCGGCCAGCCGCAGCAGCTCAGCCAGATGGGCCAGATGGGTCAGACGAGCCAGATGATGGGTCGTCAGCTAGACCAGCCGCCTTCGGATTCCATCCCGACCTCGACCAGTCCAGGCATGGATGATGAGATGGACATGTCCGGCGAGCACCACTATCACCAACAGACGTACCAACAGACGCACCAACAGACGCACCCGCACCAGCAGCAGCTACCCTGGCAACGTCCTGGAGCTTTGACCGATCCCCTCTTCCAGGACCTCGATCGCAACTCACGATACTACCTGGCGCACTGTTCGTGGCGTCCCCTCCCTCTCCCTGACCGTTGGATCCGGCACTAACGCATGCACCAGTTGCCGACCGCGTGTGCAAAGACCTCGTGGTGCGAGACACGCCTGAGAGCAATCCCTTTCGCGAGCTGCTGCCGTTGACGCGGAATCACCCTCTTCTGCTGCAGATTCTCATCGCGACATCGGCTATCCACTGGTCCAACATCTTCCGCCCTAATTACACCATACCTGCCGGCCTCACCGACCCGGGCGGCCATCTCTCCCTGCTTCGCTCCAAGGACCTTGTGACCTGTCAAGCCCTGATCGATGCATTGACGGCTAAGCAAAAGGCCATGAGCCACCTGCGCGGGGTGCTCGACACGCTCGACCCCGCCGGCAGTGAGGTTGCATTGGCCGCCATGCAGCTTTTCATCAAATTCGACCTAATCGATCTCGACAAGTCCGATGGACAAAGCTGGAAGGCCCATCTGGAAGCTGCCACGAGCATCATGGCGCTACTCAGCCCGGACAGCTCCACCAGTTCCTCCAGTAGGATGCTGCGGGACCGGGTCATTTCCGACTGCTTCATGTAAGTCCTTTTGGTCTCGACCGCGCCGACGAGTCGTCCCGGATCCGGTGTCGCTAACACGCGTGACCCCAATTATAGCTACCACATTTTGGGCTCGACACTGGCATCCGGGGGGCTTGCAGCCCGGATTGCCCGCCACGCCTTCGAGTTCCTGCCAGTCATGCAGCGGGTCGAACTAACCAGTTTCCTGTCATGTCCGACGGAAATTTTGCAAATCATTCTGTCAGCATCCCAGCTGTCACATGAGACCCCGTGGGCAGATTCTTTTCTCCCAGCGGCTGACGAAGCGCTGTCACTTATCGATCAGGCGCTTACGATGGACATCCCGGCGTGGGCCGCTCACCTCCAGAGGCACGGCAATGTGACGGACTTGGAGAGTCGTGTTCATCTAGCTTCGGCGCACCGGTCCGCGGCATGTCTTTACATTCTGCAAGCGCTGCCATTGGTGCGAGCGGTGAGGCCGGTTGACACGGATGTCCTCGTGGGCGACATCTTGACCAACCTTGCCTTCATTGGCGAAGATGACCCGTACTTCAAGGCCACGTCATGGCCAACCTTTATTGCTGGCGCAGAGACGCGTGATCCCGAGAAGCGAACGTGGTCGTTGACTCGGTTGTTTGCCATTTGGGAGATCTGCCCGTGGGGCTACCTCTTCACAGCCATCGAGATGCTCAAGGCAACGTGGGCGCTACAGGACTCTGGCAGAGGGCATCAAGAGGGGGCGGGGGTTAACTGGCTGCGGGACCTGCGAGGGCTTGGGTTTGAGCACTTGATTGTTTGATTTGAGTCTAGACTTGGGTCTTTGGAACTTTGGGATTTCTGAACCCGGCTCGTTGAGACCGGGGGTTGGATTCACTGGAGAAACTGGATGCACACGTGTTGATAGATGGAGAACAAAAAAGTTTGTATGGTCTGCAAGATTGATAGAATGCGGAAAGGAGACTCAGTTACTGCATGCCGTCTCCAAGAGCCATGGGACAGGAAGCTTACAGACCGCCCAATTAGATAGTTGCCCACCTAGACACGTTAGAGGGGGAGCTTGAGCTTACCTTGATACTTCCCAACCCACATAGGCAGGAGAAGACGAAGCGAGGCCTTCCTTTCTTCCATCCAGCAGCTAATGCAACCGGGCTCTAATTATCCACCCTGACCACTCCCCAACTAGCAGAAAAGCCCCCATCCGATTCCCACTCTACGCACCAACATGCGGCGGACCCTGCGCGGACCGAACATGCCAGCCACCGCAACTAACAACTAATTGCAGTGAGTCAGGATGTAGATACAACACTGAGGTAACATACGGTACTGTAGATGTGCGGTGAAGTGGCCTGCTACTGCTGCAGTCTGCAGCTCGAGCCGCGTCGCCCGAAATGCAATGCACCGCCGCCCGTGCTCGGCAGTTTTCCATGGCTTCCCTGCTTGTTGTCCTGGTCGTCGGGTTCGTGCGTGCCGTTGTGAGCGTGAGCGAGCTGCAGCTGTTTTTCTGACCGTGTCTGCATGTCTCCGAAAAAGACCCTGAGACTCCAAAATCTCCATCTTGGGAACTAGTTGCGACTCCACAACTGCCATCTAAAAAAACCGCCCAACTCGGCCGAGACCGTTCTGGTTCGGGAGTCTGCCCACCACGGAGCCCGAAGAAGAGAAGAAAAAGAAAAAAAAAATACATTCCCGCTTTGACGACAGCGGGGGGGGGGCTTGTTCCAACTTCCCCTGCCCCCCTCCTTCTCTTCTCTCCCATGTTTCGCTGTGTCTTGGTCCAGGCTCTGCTCAGCCTCTCTGCCTCTCCCTCTTAGAATAGCCGTCCCATTCGTCGAGATGCTGAGATGCTGAGACCCTGAGACAAGGGATCGCCCTGCCCTGAAGCTGGAGACTCGGAGGTTTCTGCTGCCGCGCCTCCGGACTCCAAACCCCAAACACCGCGATCCCGTTTCAGCACAGCAGCCCCCACCCACCGCAACGCCAAACTTCCGGAGCCAGTCGCATTTTGCGCCTGGAAACGCTGGCCCGCTGCTAGAAGCATTTCACCGGGAAAAGAAACCAAACTGCGTGATCGCGCCCCGCGCCGGCGATCTCACGGACCCGATCTCCAACGCCGTGCGTGTGATGTCCTTTGCCGCCCATTCGCACGAAGTTCTTGGCGTGTTATATGTTTTCCTGCTCCCAAAAAAGAGTATCCAATCGCCTGTGGCAACTTACACGCTCGCAAACCACCACCAACCGTGGCCATCCGACCCATCGTCATGACCCACACAAAACCCCCCCACAATGGATGGAAACGGGCCCAAAAAGAGAGGTCGTAGAGGGAGTCGAACCCTCGCTGGCGGAATCAGAATCCGCAGTCATAGCCGTTAGACCATACAACCGTGGAACGATGATGCCGGACCAATCGCAAGCGGCTCATGAGGCTGGGCGCGAGATGTCCCACACGCTTGGACACCACCTCCTCGGGGGCGTCACCAAACACGCTGTTTCTTGCCCGTCTCAATTGACCTAGAATGGTGTACTTCTGCGAAACAAGGCCGCACCATCATCGCTCCGCCACAGAACGCAGGAGTCGGCCGTGGTTGTGACCAACTCGAGAGCTTCAGGAGGGCTCCTTCAGGAGGCAGGAGGCGGGAGCCTGGATGGAAAACTTGGCAATCGAGGACTACAGGTTCAGGATGGCTTCACGTTGCCTATATAACGTTGAGCCCGTCTTCACCAATTCGTCTTTTTACCATCAGCATCAGCCTCCGACATCTTCAGTCCTCTTTCCTCTATAATTCATTCTATTCTCAAAGCCCCGGTGGCTCTTTAACATTCACTTCACACGCTAGTCGTTCCTATTTCAATCACTTACTTTTCCCATTCCTACTTCAAATCAACCAAGATGCGTTTCCAGATCTTCTCTGCCGCTCTCATCACCGCCGTCTCCGGCCACGGAGTCGTCACCTCAGTTGAGGGCGCCAACGGTGTCTCGATGCCCGGTCTGTCCGGTAAGTTACTCCAGCAACTCACCCCACTTGGAAACTAGAGACTCACACAACTCTCTAGTTGCGGATGGCACTCCCCGTGACTGCTCTAGCAACCGCTGCGGCTCTCAGGCCGACACTTCCATCATCCGGGACCGTGAGATCGCAAGCGGCGAGGTTGGCCCGCTTGGTCGAACCGAGGGCAATGGGCCTGTTGATCCCGCCGTCATGATTGCCGCCTTCATGGGAGGCAACAGCGCGGTGCCGGTCAACAACGGCACTGGCACTGGTGTCGAGGACAATATCCCCAACAACATTGGCGATGCCGCTAAGCACCGTCGCAATGCCGCTCGCACCGCCCGCCGGGCCGCACAGCGCCAGCACTCTACCCCCAAGCGCCAGCTTGGCAAACTCCTTGGCGGGCTCCTCGGCGGCGGCGGTGGCAACGACGCCAAGGGAGAGAAGACAGAGCAACCTGAAGAGACTGCTGTTGCTGCCAGTGCTGGCGAGGGTGCCACTTCTGGTCTGCCCACTGCCTCAGATGATGGTGTCGTCACTGTGATGTACAGACAGGTGTGTAACTCTCACTCGAGAATGACTTTCAGCTACTGACAGACAATCTTCAGATTAACCAAGACGGCGCTGGCCCCCTCACAGCCGACATCGACGGCACCTCTGGCGGCGCAGACGCAGCTGCCTTCAAGACCGCTGAGGTTGCCCAAGATGTCCCCGGAATCGGCTTCGGCGGTCTGTCCCTTGCCACCAACACCGACTTCCCCGTGCAGGTCCAGATGCCCCAGGGAATGACCTGCGACGGTAGTGTCGGCGGCGCCAACAATGTCTGCATCGTCCGCGTCCGCAACAGTGCTGGTGCCGGACCCTTCGGTGGCTCTGGTGCCTTCACCCAGTCCACCGCTGCCCGCAAGCGAGCCATTGCTTACCGCCTGAAGAAGCGCATGGCCGAGAAGCGCATGGCTGCCAACCTTAAGGAATAGACGACTAAGGGCGGGTACCAGAGCGTCGATTCTTGGGAACGGGATAAAGAATGGGAATGGGAATAGATTGGGGTTTGGGGGATCGGTTGGCAATACGGGGACAAAAGTGGTCACTCGGTTGTAACCTAACAGTACTCGAGGAATAAAGGACACTTACGGCGATAAATCAGCTAATGCTGGGAGAACTTTCTTGCGCCTAACAGTGATTTTGTGCACCATTGCATTCGGTGGTGTCTCTCACAGGACATTTTGTGAATGAGACGATGCAACAAGTGATAAACCAACGAGTGGGAATGATTATGATCCAAGAAGCCGGTTGGCCAACAGCACGATTGGAACTATGAAAAGGGCCTGGGGAATGGAACGGATTGGCAGTACGGAGTTCTCCGCGACACGGCCATCAGGGAGCAAGTAGGAAGATATGCCCGAAGCGGGACAAGTGAGAGGCGGATAAGAGTAAGAATCTATTCACGCATACCTCGTGAATGCTATTTGATAAAGGCCAGCCATGCATATTGGTCGTGACGTTCGTTAAGATAGGTAGAGAGTATATAAGACCTGAGCGCCGGTCCCAAGTAAGAAAAGGAGTTGAAGACAAGTCATGACTCTAGAAGGAGAAGAAATGACACAGCAAGTGCATCAACGTTTAGCCCATTTTACAGGGATTAAATGCAGCATGTAGGGACCGCAGGGTGTGCGTGAAGGGATGGAAACAGCAGTGTACATGCTGTGAAGAGAAAAGAAATTCATAACCAGACGCGCCTGCAGCATGTATATCCCGTTGCACAATGGCGAACAGGTTCTTCACCAACGACGGCTGTGACGAATATTAGCTCCTAGTTTCTTGGTAGCGAATTAGCTTGTCTTACCTGTACGCCGAATCGAGCCTGGGCTGACGTTTCTTGGGTTTATTACTATTGCCGCTGGACTGGCGGCGCTTGTTGATATCTTCGGGGGACTTTGCTTTGTCGGGGCGACCAAGGAGTTCAGCCTCTAGGGAATCCAGGCCAGAAGAGGCATTGGAAACGGACGATCTTCTGGACGAGGGAGACCTGCTGCGGCTTGGCTCGCGCTCGTACGACTGCATTCGATCTGGTGTCCGTCGATGCGTCGTGGTAGGTACATCTGTGCTACGCTTGTCGGAGTCATCCGAGCGGTGTACTTTTCGCCTTCGAGGTCTAAAGCTGTCTCGAAGCTTCTCCGGAATATCGTAGTCTCTGGTGCTTCCGGGGCTATGGTTTGCGGGGCTGTTGGATCTTTGTCGCTTAGAAGGTCTGTCCTCAGGAGTATGGTCCCTGGCATGCCCATGTTTCCGACGCTGTTCACTTGCGTCTCCACTCTCAGAGCTGCTCCGGTCAACTTGGGTGCCTCCAATGGGGACCTTTGGTAAAGGATCGCCACCCGATAGCTTGCCATCCTGTGCGATGGGGTCCAATTGGATCGCGGTATGGTAGGGTTTCTCATAGATTGGTTTGGTATATTCCTCAAGATCGCCTGGCTTGACGAATTGTGATTCGGTGCAGTTTGCATCCCGCTTTCTTGGAAGCAACACTTGCGGGGAGTGGTTTGCTGGCAAAGGCCTTGCAGCCTCGTCGGGAATATGGGTGGCTTCGGGCTCTTTGGGAAGCGCTCTCTCCTCCCATTCGCCTTCTTCGGTCTCGGATGGATCTTTGGGAGGTCCGTCTACCTTGGTTGGTGGTTCAGCCTGGGGCTCCGCGGCGTTGTAACTTTTCTGACCCGGTGCTGTTACAGGGATTTCGGGAATTTCAGGGACTTCCAGAATCTCGGGAATTTTGGGGATTTCAGGAATCTCGGGAATCTTGGGAATTTCGGGGATCGTCTTTGGGGGTGTCTTTTGCGGTGGCTGCTCATGAGGTAGGGGAGTAGCGGGGGAGTTTGAGGCATGTGGAGCCTCGTAATCAGTTCGATGGTTGCGCGCCGCCACCTTTTGATCCGGAGGTCGTGGATGAGAAGGGGGTTTCTTTTGTCGATTATCCCGGTTGCGGTTGTGGCGATCATGCTTCTTTTTATTGCGATCTCGTGGGGGCTCGTGAACATTACGATTGCTTTGAGGAGGTCTTGGTGGGAGAGAGGGGTGACTCCTACCGGGGACAGGCAACGTTGATATTGATGGAGGACCATGACGAGAGAGGGGTGGTGATCCCGAAAGTGGACGTGAGGACGGCCCTGGGGGTGGACCAGGTCTCGGAGCAGGGGGTAGCCCATATGCTGGAGGTGCAGGCGGCGGAGTATATGACGGAGGGTATGACGGTTGGGGATGTGATCCATAGGAGTAAGGCTGAGGGTAGGAGGAGCCGTAGGGCGGCTGAGATCCATATTGCTGAGGCGGTTGGGTGGTCGGAGGAGGACCATATGCCGGAGGATATGAGGATGGAGGTCCCGCCGGGTGAGGTGGGTGCGGCTGGTGAGGTGGATGTGGTGGGTGAGGTGGGCGTTGTTGGTGGGATGGATGTGACGGGTGAGGCGGGAGATGTGGATGAGGCGGCAAGCCGTATGGTCCTGGAGGAGGCCCAGGGGGAAGAGCTGAGTGAGGTGGGTTTCCGTATGGAGGTGGAGGATAAGGTTGTGGAGGGTAGCTCTGTGGTGGGTAGCTGGGCGCGTAGTTGGGAATCGGCGCCGAGTGGGGAGGATATTGTGGAGGAAACGGGGGAGCCGATCCGGGGTACGGCCCCGACGGCTGCCCATAGCCCGGCGGAGGCCCGTATCTGTTCACCGTCGGTCCTGGAGGAGGCGGAGGGGCATATTTGGTGATGATGGGGCCCTTGGACTTCTTGGACCCGCCGTGCTGGTCCCTGTTGTTGCTCCCCTTGCCCATGTTATTGGTGCTTCTCCAAGCCGCGAGGCCGCTGTTGGGGGTTAGTGAGTGAGCCGACAGATGCGAGATGAGCGAGATGAGCGTAGCCAGGGACGGCAGGCTCATTGGGCTAGAGGGAAGACTCACGCTGGGGTCTCTCGCGTGGGCTCCGGGCAGGCAATCGCCCAATGCCCCGAGGCGCCGCAGTTGTAGCACTGGGCGTCCTCTGGCCGGGCGGCATGGCCAGGAGCTGAGTCGGGCATTTCTACCAATGGGATGAGTGAGCGGGCCGCTGAGGCGTGATGAAGTGGTTACGGCCAGACGAAGAGGATTCGCCGTCGAGGAATGAATGGCCACAGCCTGGGGGGAGATCCGCGATCAACGCGGTAGGAGATACTGATGGCGAGGGATGGCGGGATGGAGGGCCCGGTGACAGTGGGAGGACGACAGGATGGCCGACGTTGTGAGAACAATTGCAGGCGGGCAGAGTCGATGGCCATGCGCGAAGGATTGGCGCAGGTGTCACCGTAAAAGGTCGGAGCGCGGCCTCAGCAACGTGCCCGTCTCGTCCCACGCGGAGTCGCAAGGAATCGCAGAGAATCGCAGGCGCCGCGGGAGCACGATTCGACGATGCGATGCGGGACTCGGGAGGCTACAGCCCACCAGAACCACGCGCGCGCGACGGCCAAGGCAACGGAGGCAACGGCCCAAAAGCCCTGGAAAGCAACAAAGTCCCCCTCCCCGAACCTGCCTCTGGCTCCGTGGGCGCGGGCCGCATCCAGGATTTCACCGCGGGAAGGGGCCCCGGTGGAGGTGCGAATGTGCGACGGGGCGGGAGCGCTCTTCTCCTTCTTGCTCTCTCGCGTGTTGGTGTCGCATGGAAGATGCGCGCCGATCGCCATCTGCGTTGGCCGTTCGCCTGTCGCCTGCCGCCTGCCGCCTGCGAAACTGGAGTCCGTATCGCGCGTGTGGAGCGCACGGACCACCCGGGTTTCCCAAAGCTACCACAGCAGCCATGGAAGCTTCCAACCAAACCCAACATCAATTAATGCATTTTCCCGAGCCTTAGCCACTGCGAAACACGATGCTCAATTCAATGAGCATAAAGTCCCTGGAATCCGGAATCCTCCGTGATATCGTGACACAGAGCCACCTCAGAGTTTTGAATTGAGCCCGTTGCAATCCCAACATGAAACTCGTGCCCCTCATGTTGCTGACAGTGAGATGCTGCCCAACGCACTGTCTCCTCCCCGTCTCCCCGTCTGATGACGGAATATTCTGATGCTATGGGGAACAAGAATGTCGAATTTATCTGGATTCGAATCTCCGGACAAGAGATATAAAGCATAGCTTCTCAAGTCTTGCAGTCCAGACTCTCGTGGATCAAGATGCCATCCATTTCAACATATACTAATCTCGCCAAAGTTAACTACTGGAAACCACGCCGCCTCGGTTTATTTATCCGTCATAAATGGCCTCAATTCCGCTCCCATGCCCCCAAGTTTCCAAGGCACATGTTGATTAAGCGGAATTGGTGCGTTGAGACGGAACGTCCGCCGTCATGCGGTCCGGGTCGGTGGTTCCGCTTCGCTCAGGCTCCCCATCGAATGCGTTGACGGCGTACGACAACAGCAAACGGCTTTGTCAACCCGTTTTCGGCTCTTCCCTTGACCTCTTAGAATTTTCCATCTACCCCGTACCCTTTTCTCCAATGTCAAGACTGGTGATGTGGTTATTCCTGGCTACCGATCCCGCTCCGCCCATTCCCCCGCAATTTGGTCTTGATCATCTTCCCCGCCAAACCCCAGACGAAGGCTTCTCGAGTTCGGCGGTTCCAGCCATGAAACATGGCACCACGATCCTCTGCCCTCCTCCATCTTTACCCGCCTCCGCATTTCGGTTAAGGATATCGCGCGCTACCCCACACTCGTCACCATGTGGGAGGAGCTGAACGGCTGTGGAGTAGCTAGGATCAGAGATACCCACCTCTCAAGAGCATGGGACCAAAACGCCCAGACGGGGATTATTATTTAAAGAGATGGTGCTTCCGACGGTATGGATACGAATCAACCTTCTCCAGTTTACTCATCTGATCGGTTATCTAGACTTGTTCGACGCCTTAATGTCATCAGTATGAGATCATCATCATCCATTGCTTGCTTGTTGACGGTGTCTGCTGTCCAAGCTACCATCTCCCCCGGCAGCCTCGTTACCATCTCCGGAGCCGTTGATGTCAACAGTCAGTCGGCATGGTGGGATCCCCTCGATGAGTACGGCGGTTACCAGTGGTTGGCCTACCTCCGCAACCCTCTCAGCGGATCTACCGCCAACAACAACGTCATGATTGCCCGTCGCTCCAACTCTGATGGAACAATCTCCCGCGACTGTGTCAAGACTTCGAGTGGAGATTGCGCCGTCTTCGTTGATGACAGCGGTCACAATACCCCGAGCATCGCCGTCGACGGAGATGGCTACGTTCATGTTTTCACGAGCATGCACAATGAGGCGTGGAAGTACTATCGTTCAGATTCACCTTACAGCGCTACCCTTGTGGATCACAGCTCTGAGATGCCCGACCCGACTGTCTTGATCACGTACCCAGTCGTGAAGCGCGATGCTGATGGCAATCTGTGGTTAATTGTCCGTGGAGAGGCGACCACCTCGGGCAGAGGCGGTTACTTCTACAAGTACACGATGTCTTCAAACACGTGGGCCCGAATCAGCATCTGGGCGTATAGGGCGGGCTACTCGGTGTATCCCGATGACATTCAATTCTCTTCTGATGGCGATGTGCACATTCAGTGGGAGTGGAGCAAATACCCGGCCTCTGCAGTGCGCCACCAAGGCAGCTACGTGCGATACACCCCATCGTCCGGCACGTACAGATCTGCTTCAGGCGCCACGGTCCTTCCGCCTCTCACCCAAGACACTGCCGATATTGTGTACCAGCCTCTCACCTCAGGCGAGACTTACAGCGGCGACATCAACGCTTCACCCGTGCCAGCGTTCCAAAGTGCCAAGCTTGCCCTCTATGAAGACTCGGCGGGAGGGGTTCACATCAACAGCGCGTACCGCTTCGCCAACGAGACGGACCAGCTGTGGCAGGTCCGCCGCGCCACGGCAACGTTTGGCACAGCGAGCCCCTGGAAGCGCGAGATCGTTTACTCGGACGAGAATACCAGCGCGGCCATCGGGGTGACGCACGACGGTACGACGGTCCGCATCTACTACTGCCTCGCCAGCGGAAGTGCTTGGGTTCTGGAGAAGAGCGGCACCTCGACGTGGACGAATCAGGAACTCGCGCCTGCGACCGGCAAGAAAGTGAGGCGGCTGCAGGCCAAGATGCGGTCTGACGGAACGGATATCTTGTATCTGGGTGCGCCTAATAACGTTGATGCGAACACGGGCAGCCTGTATTTCTTGACGGTTGGAGGTAGGGCGTGATGGTCCTAGGATGGACATATCAAACCCCATATTTATTGAATGGTATTGAATGGTATTGAAGCCTCTTCTTGCATACTCTAAACAGAAAACATCTCGTTGTTAGGAGCTGAAAATATGCTGGACACTTCAGCCAATACTGTTGCGTCTGATAAAACCGCCCTACTCCGCCAGTAGTTGCCTTGCGACCCATAACCCATGCCAGGATGCCTCTCCAAGCCACCGCCCTACGAAGGCCACTTGACAATACCACCCTACTCTCCCCCCTTTTTTTACGCCCTACACCCTCATGTGCCTTGCGTGTCCGCCTCTGGCATCTGCCACCATCCGGGCAGTCCAACGTTGAATACTTAAAGGAGCCCATGACCTCCCACCACACTGGAGTCACATCACAAGTCTCTTTGCATCATTTTGAACTCTCTTCAACCAAAATTCTTGTCTCAGCCTAAATTTCAAAATGGATGTTTGGGAATCGCTCGAGTGTCCGATGGGGACCCAAATGGGTCGACCCGGCCCCAGCTCCAGCGATTTCGATTTTATTATTCGGACAAAGCTTGAACGCTCAAAAAAAATCGCTAATTTCCTTAGGCGATCATTGAGATATATAACACATAGGACAATCCCCGATCTGCATCGTCTTACCCCGCGGGGTCCCGCACGGTTCAATCGTGTCTTCAGCCATGATTGCAAACCTGGCAACGCTCAGAACAGTATATGGAGAAGGCGAGATGTGACGTGTCGGAGGAAGAAGAATTCAGTTAGGAGTCCGGAACGGCCGGGTCAAGCATGTGCTCTAAAGAGACCAACAGTACCGTTTTTGGATCCTTCATGGCATGATCTCGAAGTACTCAATCGTCTTCTTGTCTTTCTCCAACAGCTGTTGCTCATACTCGCATTGAGCTTTGTGCTTTTCTTCATTCATTCAGAATTTCCCGGTGGCCGGAGATATCTATGTACGACTATGCCTTGGACAATATGGCCGGCGTTAGTGGTGTTATGGGGCGTGTGCTGGATGTTCTACCCGTCCCCTACCGAGGGGGAATTGGCATTGAAGAACGTGGACCGCTTGCTAGACACATTGAATCAAGGTAAATGAGGCCTGCACAATTTTATAAGAAGCGCTGACAAAAAAATAATAGAAGAAACCTCCTCTTTCGCTTGTTGGCTGGCTCAGTGTGACTCCAATATGTTTAGCGACAAGAGCATATTGGAGACTCCAAACCCTGGAGCTCTCGATTCAGCACAGCTACGACACCCTCTTGAAACAGAAAGTTCGGATCAGAGCAAAACTGCATCGACTGTCGAAGTACTTGATAGCCTTGAGTCTCATCCCATCCCACCTGATGCTTCGGTTCCGACGATTGGGAGCGAGTGTGGGACGAATTCGACAGGCGATGGCGTATCTTCGATACAATGCCCAGCATGCGGAGAAAAGTTCTCGAGACGGGATGTTCTTACTCGTCATCAGAAGCAATCGTGCAAGAAAAACCGAGGACGGCAGAGCGATCATCTCATCTATTTCTGCCCTCACCCAACTTGCAAGCGCTCAAAGTCAGGCCATGGATTCAAGCGAGTGGAACACGTTCAGCAGCACCTCAACCATTGTGATTTACAAAGAAAGAAGCTGGCAGAAAGCAACGAGTCTCCTATGCAACACAGAAAGAGCATATCTGGAGCTTCCGGCCTGGGTAGAGAACGGCAGGCCAATCATAATATGTCGTTAGATGAAGTGGACGGACTCAAAGGAGAGAGTGAGGGATCTGATACTGGGAGGGAAAACCCCCAAAAGTCGAAACTTGAAGGGATGCGTCGAGATCTTGCGAGGGAGCTTGAGAAATCAGAGGAGGAGTCCCGGAGGAAGAGGCAGAGGCTTGAAGGACTCGATGCGCGAATCCGGAGTTTGGAAAGGGAAAAATTGGATCTGTCAAACGGAACGGAATGAGAGTATTAGTTGGGGGTTTTATTGAGCATTAATATTCGCTCGGAGGTATAAGTCCCTTCAGCTAAAGCTCAGGGCAAACCCATGTACCCAAGGTAGTATGCACATTGGGATTCTAAGACCTCAGGCTTATGTTTATGAATAAAAAGGACTCAATTAAAATTTGTACAATGCACTTAAAATTCTTTAGTAGAGAAATACTAAAACTAGTCTTCTAAAACGTTCATTATGATAATGGATAATTATTAGTAAGATTTAGAATGTAAGGATGTGTGCAAGTAGCAATGGGTGTATATGCGAATAGCAATCCTCTTTTCATTTGACTCTTTGCTTATCGAATCGAACCGTGCATAATCGACACAATGAAAATGCGAAAGGAACAAGGCCAGGGTGGGGTTACTCCATTCATCCAGAGCAACCAAACATGCCTGTTGAGTTGCGGCTGCAGCCTAAACCAGTTTATTCTCTACACACTAGAATAATGTCATCAGAATCCGAAAAAGACGAAACAATACCTGAGCGACCTCCAGAAGCCATTTGGTGTGAGCGGTATGAGCATATTGTCCAGGTGATGCCACATGAGAGGCTAGAAAGATATGCGCCAGGAGGTTTTCACCCTGTTGCCCTGGGCGATACTTTCTGTAACGGAAGGTATACGGTTCGTCACAAGCTGGGCCACGGTGGGTATTCAACCGTCTGGCTAGCGCGAGATCGCCAAGAGAAGTGCGAAAAGTCCTGTCTGTGCCCTCGACTCAGTACTGACCGTTGGTATTTCTAGTCGATGGGTTTCTATCAAGATCAAGCAGGCTTACGTCTCAACATGTGAACTGGAGCAAGACCCAGAGGTGAAGGCGTTGAAACTCCTGGAAAGGCGGTATCAGAAGAGTATCGCCACAAAATCAAGGTGCTTTTCCGAGTTGCTAGGTTATTTTCGGCATACTGGTCCAAATGGCACGCATACTTGCCTTGTCACAGAGTTGTTAGGGCCTGCAATTTCCACGGTCCAAAGAGTGTTCGAGGAGTCCCACGTTTACCATTCAATGACGTTGACCAATTTCGAATCGGCTAATTACGACATGGACTCGATTCTCGGAGCCGATGATTGGACATTTCAACCGCATGTAGTTCTGAGGACTTCGAAACAGCTCCTCGATGCTCTTGCAGATGCCCACCAGGCTGGGATTGCGCATGGAGGTATCTGAAGCACATAACCTGTTCATTGTTCAATTCACATTGCTAATTTCGACGCTGTAATCCAAGATATAACGCCGAACAATATCGTCTTCACCTGTCGAGAGGTATGTCATAGTGATAGGGACCTCTGGGATGCTTTGTGCAAGCCAAGAATAGCGCCGTATACTGGCGAGGAGCCCCGATCGGCGCATTTCCCTCAGCAGATGGTAGGATCAACGATGTGGCTAGGGTGGTATGGCAACGAATGGGAAGATATCCGATTGATCGATTGGGGTGACTCCTACCCGGCCGACGAAACCCGCTCGGAACTCTCCGAACCTATAACTCTGAGATCCCCAGAAACATTTTTCCTGGACATTTTTGACTATCGACACGACTTGTGGAGAGCGGGCTGCGTGGTAAGTTTTTAAACGTGGCGCGTATGAGTTCACAGGCTGATCAATCAGATTTACGAGTTGTTCTTCCAGAAGCATCCGTTCGGATCTTACATCTGCTCTGATGTAGATTCGATTCAGCACATCATCATGAAAATGGGACCACTACCTTCGGAATGGCACGCCCGGTGGGAAGAGATCAGTAATGGTAACACACAGGTAGACGTTCGCGGAGGTAAGTCTGTCGCGAAGTGCCAGGAAAGAGTTGAGCTCATGTATTACTAGACGAGACCTGGGTGCGGAAACCCCTCGTTGACATATTCGAGCCTCATCGGAATAACATCATCTGTATTTTTGAGAAAAATGTGGCTTACGACGACGGCGAAGACGACGACCGCAAGCGTAGAGAAGACTATGAAGCGTTACGGACCCTCTTACACCCGATGGTGGGTTTGATGCAACATGACCCGGCCAAACGGATTTCAGTCCAACAGGCGGCATCGTATATCCAATGGACCGATCATTGGAGAGAGCCGTCATCTGACAAGGAAGGTTCAGATGGTGATGTGTCGGACGGATATTGTTCCGCGGATAAGGGTTTAGAAGGAGATGGCTTGGAAGAGGAGGGTGAGGGATTGAGTGATGGCGGTTTGGGTGATCTCTTTGAGTTAGTGTTGCAGTTCGGGGAAGTATCATGTCGTGACTAGTCCCAGCTCCGCCTTGGCTATCTTAGCCATTACTAAAAGACTTCTCACAGATCATGCACGAACAAAGACTGTGGGCTCTTCATTAGCACATAGATCAAGGCCACAATCCAATAACGGGCATCCATCGAGTACGGACTCTCAACCCATCGAAAGTTAGCTTCAGTCAACCGATACCTGAATTAACCACTCCGAACCTCATTCATTAACCCAGAATCTGATTTACCCATATTCCCCGGAATACCCCTCGATAAGGGGACGTAATGTTTGCATCTATTGCGTCTTAATTGTGCCTGTCACAGTTGCCAAGGCCCATAAGACAAGGTCAGTCAGTGTATAAAAGCCTTACCGTCAAGCTATTCTATCCTTCTGGTGCTAGGTGTAGTACTAAATGCGGGTCTCTATTGTTTGTAAATGCTGTATAGCTTTGATCTACCTCATGATATTAAGTAAAGCTAAGAGGAAAATACACAACGAAAAGGCTTTTCCCCAGAATACTCTACGCTGTTCACGTCTCTAATATTTTATGCACCCGCTTTTCTACGTAGTGATGCTCGCAACGCTACTTTATCTCATGGGCTAGCTTTTGAGTTGTTGCGCTGGTGTGATTATAGCGGTGCTACCTACGCCTCAGTTGGAGTCGTACCGGCTATTATTATCTACAATGCAGGCCTGCGCGTATTACTGTGATGCCTGGACCAGATGTCAGACGTCTATTGGCAGTTTTTAGGTCAATTAGATGGGTGATAATCCCGTGACATGTAAACTGCATAACTACAATCATTATATGCAGTATCGCAGCCTCGCCGACCCCTCACCTGGTTCTTCTTCCATCATCACACTTATCACAAAGCTTTGAACGCGTCGTCCTAAACCAGCAATCCGTAATCCTACCATTCGACAACGATGGAGGGTCTCGGTGTTGTCGCCAACGTGATCGCAGTCGTTGACTTATCTGTGAAGGTTGCGTCCCTCTGCCTCCAGTACGCCAAAGACGTAAGAAATGCCGCAGCGGATATTGAGCGACTCCACAAAGAAGTCACCAACCTTCGACGAACTTCTCAAGATGTTCAGAGTTTGCTGAAGAGTCCTAATGGGAAAAAGCTCGAGAAATCTCGGAATTTGGACGATGCTCTTGGTCGCAGCCTCTTGCGCCTTGCGGAGCTCAAGGAGAGACTCAAACCCAGCACAACCTACAAGGCAATGAGCAGAATAGGACTTCGTGCTTTGAAGTGGCCGTTCAACCGCAATGAAGTCGAGCAACTTCTCCAGGAATTTCGGAGATGCACTCAGACAATCTCTTTGACTCTCCAAGTGGATCAAACGTAAGCCCCGGCCCTCTTCTATCTTTATTCTGACTCTTTTCTCATGAAATCTGTTCAGTGGAGTTCTTCTCGAAGTTGATCGGAACATCGTACAAATCGACAGAAAACTATTCAGTATCGACCAAAAGACAGTACTACAGCAGCTTCCTGTAGCTGAAGGGGCAAGTTTCGATTCCCGCGCTGAGGAACACAACCCAACCTGTCTGCCCAACACGCGAGTCGACATTCTCCAACAAATTTCGGATTGGTCTAATGACCCTCATGCCAAGCCCGTTTTCTGGCTTAATGGGATGGCTGGTACGGGAAAGTCTACCATATCCCGCACTCTTGCTCGGTCATTTGCCAGCTCAGGCTTTCTTGGCGCAAGCTTTCTGTTCAAGAGAGGGGAAGCCGACCGAGGGAGCCTATCTAAATTCTTCACAACAATTGCAGCCCAGTTGGCCGAAAGAGTCCCCGATCTTGCAGTGCATATTAAAGCTGCAATCGATGCCGAACCTACTATTGCTAGAAAGGCAGCACGGGAACAGTTCGACAGGCTTATTATACAGCCGCTGGGAAAGATCCGTCAAGAGTCTCAGGGACTAACTACTTTGGTAGTTGTTGTTGATGCTCTTGATAAATGTGAGCTTGATAAAGACGTCAAGTTAATCATTAATCTTTTCTCTCACTCCAAGACCTTGCAGTTTCTAAGTCTAAGGTTCTTCGTGACTAGCAGGCTAGAACTTCCTATCCGCCTTGGTTTTAATGCTATTAAGGGCATATACCAGGATGTTGTCCTTTATGGAATTGATCCTCAAATTATTAAGTATAACATCTCGGCGTTTATCGAGCAGGAGCTTATGAGAATTAAGAACGAGTACAACTTGTCTGTATCAGAAGACCGGCAACTATCAACTGAATGGCCAGGGGGAAGAAACATCGACATTCTTGTCGAAATGGCTATCCCGCTGTTTGTCTTTGCTGCTACTGTGTGCCGTTTCCTTGCCGATCGAAAATGCGGCAACCCCAACAAGCAATTGGAACAGGTCCTAGAGTTTCAATCAGAAAGCCAGACATCACAGCTTGACGCGATGTATCTGCCCATCATGCATCGGCTCATTGACGGCTTAACAGAAAAGCAGCAGGATGAGGTTATCAAGCGTTTTAGGTACATCGTTAGTTCCATTGTTACTCTTGCGAACCCTCTGCCTCTGCCTGCTCTTGGCCATATTCTGGATGTTCAGAAAGAGACGATCGATGACCAGTTAGATCTGCTTCACTCGGTCCTAAGCATACCGTCATCTGCCCAATCTCCCGTGAGACTGCTACATCTCTCATTCCGCGACTTCTTAGTAAACCCCGAGAGGCGAGAGAAGAGTCCATTTTGGATAGATGAAAAGCAGACTCACAACCAGCTGGCTACAAACTGTCTGCGTGTGATGGGAATGAACCTGCAATCAGACATATGCAAACTCATACAGCCAGGAGCATACCGTACCTCGCTTCCGTCTGAGACTATTTCTTTGCATATCCCACCAGAGATGCAATATGCTTGCCATTACTGGGCTCAACATGTACAACATGCCGGCGTAGGTACGGGGAATGATGGGCCTATCTACAATTTCTTATTGCAGCATTTTCTTCACTGGCTAGAAGCATTAAGCCTTTTTTGGAGGATATCGGAAAGCCTCAGGATTCTGGAGCAGTTGCAAGTAGCTTGCAAGGTAAGTAAGTGCTATAAAGCAGAAGACTAAGTATGCTAATAAAATTACAGTTATCAGGGGGTGAACTGCTATCGGACTTCATCCAAGATGCACAGCGATTCGTCCTTGCCAACATGTCTGTGATAGACTCCACGCCTCTTCAGATCTACTCCTCAGTCCTTGCCTTTACACCAAAGAACAGTAAGGTGCGGAAAGCGTTCTTCCAGGATTATCAGGTTCCTAGGTGGATTTCTCTTGCGCCGGAGCCAGAGGGTGACTGGGATCAATGCCAACAGATCTTAGAGGGCCATGTGTTTACGTCGTTGGCATTCTCACCCGACTCAAAACTCCTTGCTTCGGCGAATCATGATACCGTCCGGCTCTGGCAAGCCAATGGGGGTTTTACATGCATCCATGAACTCAAGGGTCACACAGGCCCGGTACTATCAGTAGCCTTCTCGCCTGACTCAAAGCTGCTGGGATCTGTATCTGATGACGAGACTGTCCGTCTCTGGGAAGTTGATAGTGGTATATGTACATGCATCCAGGAGCTTCAGTACTACCCCCACGATGTTAGGTCAGTGGCATTCTCGCCTGACTTCAAGCTCCTTGCATCCTCACCACGTTTGGGTGAGATTGTCGGTCTCTGGCAAGTTGGTGGGAGCAGTACACGTACCCAAGAGTTTAAGGGCCACACAGACAGGGTATCATCACTGGCATTCTCGCCTGACTCAAAACTCCTCGCCTCGGGATCTGAGGATGATACTATCCGACTCTGGCAAGTTGACACCAGTACATGTATTCAGGAGTTTAAGGGTCATGGATACATAACATCTGTATCCTTCTCACCTGACTTGAGATTTATCGCTTCAACATCTGCGGACAATAGTGTCCGACTTTGGCAAGTTGGGGGGAGCAATATATGCATTCAAGAGCCCAATGGTCATACCAACAACTGGGGAGGAGCAGTGGTCTTCTCGCCTGACTCGAAGCTCCTCGCCTCGGCATCTTCTAATGGGACTATCCGTCTCTGGCAAGCTGGGGAAAAGCACACATGCATCCAGGAACTTAAGGGCCATAAGGGCGGGATATTGTCATTGGTCTTCTCACCTAACTCGAAACTTCTCGCCTCAGCATCTATGGATGCGACTGCCCGGCTTTGGGATATCGATGACAGCATACATATATACGCCCAGGATACCAGGGGTCATACAGATTGGATACGATTAGTAGTCTTCTCGCCTGACTCAAGGCTTCTTGCCTCAGTATCCAATGATAAGACTGTCCAGCTCTGGCAAGCTGATAGTGGACTAAGGGCCCAAAAGCTTACAGGCCATCAAGATTTCGTTAGATCAATAGCCTTCTCACCCAACTCAAAGCTTCTCGCCTCATCATCTGACGATAAGACAGTCCGGCTCTGGGAAGTTGAAACTGGCATATGCATCCAGAAACTCGAGGGCCACACAGACTATATACAGTCAGTATCCTTCTCATCTGACTCGAAATTTCTCGCCTCAGCATCTGATGATAAGGCTGTCCGGATTTGGGAAGTTGAAACTGGCATATGCATCCAGAAACTCGAGGGCCACACAGACTATATACGGTCAGTATCCTTCTCATCTGACTCGAAATTTCGCGCCTCAGCATCTGATGATAAGGCTGTCCGGATTTGGGATGTTGGTGTTGGCAGTATGGACGCATGCACCCAGGAGCTCAAGGGCCATACAAATTGGGTAAAATCAGTAGCCTTCTCCCCCGACTCGAAACTTCTTGCCTCAGCATCTGCAGATTCAACAGTCCAGCTCCGGGAAGTTGAAACCGGCATATGCGTGCAGAAGCTAGAGGGCCATACCAATGAGATATACTCAGTAGCCTTCTCACCTGACTCAAAGCTTCTCGCCTCAACATCTAAAGATAAGGCAGTCTGGCTCTGGGAAGTTGAAACCGGCATGTGCTTCCAGAAACTCAAGGGCCACACAGACTGGATCACATCAGTGTCCTTCTCACCTGACTCGAAACTTCTCGTCTCAACATCCCATTTTGATGAGACTGTTCGGCTCTGGGAAGTCAATGGCGGCGCATGCATTCAGCAAATAATCGCCATTTCGACTTCTCTCCTTCAGTTTGACACCAAGGAGCCATGCATCCACACTGATGTCGGCACCATTTCTCTTCCGAGGTATACATTATCCAATGAATATTACCCTATAACTCTCCCTCAATGCCTGTCTGGTATTGGTATTAGTGATGATAAGTGCTGGATTATGTGGCAAGAAAACAGACTACTTTGGTTGCCGCCGCCATTTCGCAGAGGCTGTTCAGCTGTCTCAGGATCTACCGTGGTAATAGGCTGTGACTCAGGCAGAGTCATTTTCATGAAATTCAGAGATCCAGGGCTGTAGATTAGGAAACAGGTAGTAGAAATAGCATTTATATTCTTCTATATTTCAATATTTCAGCTCGGTCTTCATACATAGGTGATGGTTCGGTTACTCACTACCCACCCAATTCATGCTCTCGAGGACGTGGGGCGTGAAACCAAGACCTGGATTGGCGACTCTCGGATTCCCCAACCTAAGTTATTCATACTCGGACTTGTCCATACACATCACAATACTGCACGCTATTCATGTCTCTGATTTTATGCCCATTTCGATCCGCAATGTTACTCACAACACTAACGCAGGGGCCGGTTTCTGAGTTGGGTTGCGGTGGTGGGGTCAAGTTACAGCGGCTGCTACACCGTCGCCGTCACCAAAAACGCCCTAACAAAACCCTCCCCTCCATCGGGCAATTTCCACGCCGTGCTGCCGCAGCCGCCTCATCAGTAATCCAGCCGGGCGGCGCTCTGCTGGCGACGCACCATCCTCACGGCCACCGCCAAAACCTACCAACTCTCAACACCAACCGCCCATCGCCACATCGCCATATCGCCCTGGCCGCCGTCGCACCCGCTCTCTCTCCCTGTCGCATCCTCTCTCCTTGTCGCTTCCGCCCGCCGCCGCTACTGTCGCCGCCTCCACCCTCGCCATCCTGGCCCCGCGCCCATGTGAACCGCCTTCTCCCCGATCATGTTGGTACAACCACAGAGCTACGCCCCAGACATCACCCTCGCCAGGAGCCGAATTCGCCGCCGCCAGCCTTAATGACGCTGGCGCATGACCCTGCGGCCCTCCATACCTCGCATCTGTCCATATCCTCCTCCTCCTCGGTGGCCCCTTAGGCGCCGCCACCTGCAACATCGCCCACCATGCCCGGGCTCCCAGGTAAGCCGGCAAAGAAAGCTGAACGCCGGCGTCAAGCTCTGTCCGACTGACACGCCCCCTCTTGTCTCGCAGCGTCCGTCGACTTGGACGAGTGCATCTCGCGCCTCTACAAGAAAGAGCTCCTCGCCGAGTCCGTCATCGAGGCCATCTGCGCCAAGACCAAGGAGCTGCTCATGCGCGAGAGCAACGTCGTCCACGTCCGCGCACCCATCACCGTAGTGGGGGACATCCACGGCCAGTTCTTCGACCTCATTGAGATTTTCCGAATCGGCGGCTACTGCCCAGACACCAACTACCTCTTCCTCGGTAACCCCGCCCACCTGCGTGGCCGTCGTCGATGGCGTGGCTGACAAAACACTACAGGCGACTATGTCGACCGCGGCATGTTCAGCGTTGAGACCATCTCGCTGCTGGTGTGTCTGAAGCTACGATATCCCAACCGCGTGCATTTAATCCGCGGCAACCATGAGTCGCGTGGTGTTACCCAGTCGTATGGCTTCTACACCGAGTGCTCACGCAAATACGGCAACGCCAACGTGTGGCACTACTTTACCGACATGTTCGACTTCCTGACCTTGAGTGTCGTAATTAATGACCAGATATTTTGCGTCCACGGAGGTACGTGCCAGCTGCATCCATGGCGCCCTGGCAGCTGCTAACACAATCACCTCAGGTCTATCCCCCTCGATCCACTCCATCGACCAGATTAAGATCATAGACCGCTTCCGCGAGATTCCCCACGAAGGCCCGATGGCCGACCTAGTCTGGTCCGATCCCGACCCCGACCGTGACGAGTTCTCGCTTTCGCCTCGAGGCGCGGGGTACACCTTTGGCGCCCAGGTGGTTAAGAAGTTCCTCGCCGTCAACAACATGTCACATATCCTCCGCGCCCATCAACTTTGCCAAGAGGGCTTCCAAGTCCTATACGACGACCGGCTCAGCACTGTCTGGAGCGCACCCAACTACTGCTACCGCTGCGGCAACATGGCCAGCGTCCTCGAGGTCAGCGACACCGGCGAGCGCTTCTTTAACGTATTCGCCGCCGCGCCCGAGAACGATATTCATAAAGATTTACAACCTGGGGGTGAGAAGTCTGCGGACGGTAACGCCCTCCCCGACTACTTCCTCTAAACCCTCCTGGGAATACCCACCCGGCAGCTCTCCCCTTCACACCAACCTGGAGCTTGGTTCGGGCTTGATGATATTTTTTCCAAAACTACATGATACCATGTTTTTGAGCAGCCATATGATGGACTGGCAGAATAGATTTTTTATTGTTGTTGCATAACGAGATAGAGCCCGACACAAGCTGTTTTGGTAATTCTTGGGCCATGTGAAACGTGATCTACTCTAAGGTAAGGCAACGTATGGTAAAAGTAAAAGTAAAGGTGAAGTATGCCCCACGTGTTCAGCTCCAACTGACAATTTCTCCTCTTTATGTGATTTTTTTCTTATTTTCAATGTATAATTTTGTTCAAGACCAGGTATCTCGTATCTCATGACATGTAATTTTGTTTGGGTATTCCAGGTTGGCTTGACCAAGATTCGTCGTGGGCTTTCTACCGGTTCTTCTCGTCAACGATGTCGAAAGTCCACTCGAACTTGAGATGTGTTTTCTTGTCGTCGTCAACGAAGGTGGAGGTGACCTTGTAGTGGCCATTAGCGAGGAATCCCTTGGGGGCTTCCTCCTCTTGGACTGTTGTGGTGTCGGTTAGCTTCGTTGGCGATCAGACAGAGAGGATCTTGGCAACTTACACTTCTTCTCATAGGTGGTCTGCTTGTCGGTGTTGGGAGCGTAGCTACCCTATGGAAGAGTCAGAAGCGGTCCAATTGAACATATGGAGGTTTCGCATTTCAAATGAGCGAAGCAGGTCAGAACGTACAATCATCTCCGAGTCCCTGGAGACCGTGGCCTCGAGCCCGACGCGGCTGCGGCGCTTGACGACCTGGACGTAGTGCAGACCGCTGAGGATCTCGTGCTGGACCTTGAACTTGGCGACCATGGTGAACTTGGAACCCCCGACGATGATGAAGGGCTTGTCCTTGAGGGTCTTCTCGCTGCCGGGCAGGGAGAGGTCGATGGTGACGGCTTCGCGGCCGGGGGACTCCATGGTCAGCGACAGGATGATGCAGACGCGGGGGTCGTTGGGGTCGGAAATGTCCTTGCCGCCACCTAGACCAAGGGACTCCTTGTAGCGCTGGAGGGACTCATCGCCGGCGTCTAAGTGGGAGGAGAAGATTTGGTGTTAGTTGTGAGCTTGGTGAGGATGGGTGGTTGGGTAGTTTGTGTGAGGAGGGGGGAGTTCGAGATGGCGGGGTTGTCGAGGTACAATAGCAACGGGATACGCCATAGGCATTCATGACACGGGGATACACTGGAGCTTCAGGGTATTTGGGATGCCATTTGGAGGCCAATTTGCACACCAAGTGGTTCATGTAGGGCAAAACAGCTGGAGGAGCTGTCCCCGGCAATTGCAGCGATCGTCATGACGAGTCGCGACCCGCCACTATTGGGAGGAGAGCTCGAGCATCGGCCCGCTTTGCCGATGGCAGTAGAGCCTCTAAACACGGGAGATGGAATGAATTACCTACCCATCTGCTGGTACTGGGCCATACTCTGCTTGGGCTGGGAGAGCGTGTAGCCCTCGGTCTGGTCGGGCATGGTTTCATCATCGTGGGAAGCCATTGTGGGCGGGGTGGGTGATGGCCGAGGCGGGGATGGAAGTCGACGGTAGTGGGAGAGAGATGGAGATGGGAGAGCAAAAAGAAGGTGAGAGAGATGCGTAAGAGCGTGAGTGGCTCGATTTGGGAGAGGAGGAGTAGGAGGGGGAGTAAGAATAGGATTAGGAATAGGTAGGAGGAGAGGAGGAGAGGGGAGCTTGGAATGGGGAGCTCTGGTGGAGGAGGGGCTGCATAGCACAGTGCTCACACCTACTGTTGCGGTGACGATGGAGGGGCTAGGTACGGCGGTGTTGCTAGTTAGGCGGTAGGCGGTAATAGGCGGTCGGCAGCCAGTGGCAGGCTGTAGCAGGCTGCGGTGGGGTCTCAGACTCATGGATTCATGCCATGATTGGGCTCGGGGACCAATTAGACACGGGCAAGACGCCGCCCACGGCCAAGGCCCAGCCGTAACCAAGTTGCAAATGCCCAGGTTTGTTTATTATGGTGGTGCTATGGGGTAGGCGTAACTACGGTAGCTGAAGGCGGCTTGTGTGGCTGAAGCGGCCAAGACTTGCTGACACTTCTTGTTGGGGAGGGAGCAAACAAGTTTGGCTGCGGTATGGGGTTTGTGGTCTGTTGGTGATGCTTCTCCATCTTGGCATATCTAGCACGCTGCGTCTCGGGTCTGGGAGGGGGATGCTCGGTGAGTGGTGTGGGTTGGGCGACCGAGTTAGGGAGCGAGCTCAATGGGTCTGAATGGATGAGCGAGTTCCGGGCCTCAACAACGTGGGTCGGTTTCAGAGACAGAGGACAGAAGACACACGATGCCTCAGCAAGGAGTCATATACATGGCTGAAACACGCGTCCGGAACAGAACGCGAACGAGGCCCGACAGTCGTTGTGGTGGTTCCTTGCTACCTCAGCGGCCGAAAGTGCACATAATACGGCTGGCGCTGGAAGTTCGGCAACACAGTCAGCACGCACACCGTTCGGGGTTGGATGGATGGGAACGGATGGGAGGACGAATGGATCCTCCTGCATCGGGGCCCAGTCGTGACACTTCTCCCGCATCGAGCTTCAACCACCTGCCCAGGCGGAGCCAACGACGGGAACGAGCCGATAGCAAGCCGCACGTATGGCGAACGGCGCAGGGAAATCCTTGAGTGCCGTCCGCCAAAAGGAAGGAAAAAATTCCGTCCAGGCGCGATCTCGTGGGGGAGAGAGCGGATGGAGGACGAGCCCTCCCGCAGACCCGACTCCGCGACGATCCCTTCACCTCAATGCACTCTCCGGAGCCAGTGCGGCCGGTTGGGGGCGTGCCTGGGCTTGGGCTGGCTGGATTGGACTGGCTGAGGTGACGACCCCCCGAGCAGACCATGTTGGCGCGATAAGTGACTTGTAACATTGCTATTCGCTGGCATCGGAGGTATCGGTGGCATGCCGCAGCAGTCGCAGTAGGGCTGTGAGCGCTGGGCAGCCCCATCCAAGTTGGGCTCAGAAGACACCGCGCCCAGTGGACACTGGACGGCCAAGACGGTGCCCGCTGTTCGTCTCCGTCTTGTCTCGTCTCGCCTCAACTGGCCTGGCGCCATCCCACGGGAGCCAGGCGAGGCGAGCGCGAGCGCGACGGACACCCATGTTTTCTTCCCCGCGTTGGGGGGCAAACCCAGCCAGCGCAGCGCTCTCAGCATCGCCTGTTGGCGCCTCGTGCGTGTGCGTGGGACCTGGGTTTGCGCCGCGAGTGGGTGCGTGGGCGCGGGAGCGGCGGCCAAGGGTCCTGACCACCACAGCGCTGAACAGGACAGGGCCGGTTGGTGACTGGCAGCCGTAGAACGGGGCGTACCACCCCTGGTCGGCGTCTGGCTTGCTGTCAATGTCTGAGGATTTTTCTGGTTCCTCCCAGGAGATAGATCGGGCGATACGAGAGGCCAGTGTGGACAGGGCCCCCAACGTACGCATGTACGCAGCATTGGATACATGTAGGCACCTACCTGGGTACTTTACCTAAAGTACTAAGGACCTTATGTAGGTAGGTACCTACGCACTGGTACCACAATAAAAAAAGGAACCGGACCAGATGGGAAGGACAAAGAGAAGCGGCCGAGCTGGAAAAACTCAAGTGATTGACCAAGTGATGGACCCTGCGGTTGATTCGATGGGATGCGACGCGCCAAACCAATACAATACCGGCACGCAAACTGGCCCTGCACGGGAAAGGAGGTACGTACCGCCCGCTTGGAGTCGTCGCTCCCCGGCGTAATCAAAGTCAGGTGCTCGAAAAGTTGGGACCAGCCTGGAGCGTGGTTCAAAGGGGTAATTCCGCCAAGCCATAGGCGGGTACCTGGGCGCAGCGTAAAATGGCGCGTGCAGCGCAGGTAGCAATATATCTCGCAGAAAGCCTCCCACACACGCTGCTGCGCTGCTGCACGGTGCGCTAGCCAACCTAGACCAGTCTCGTCGCCCGGGGGGCCACCGAACCCGCCCAACAGGGCCGCCCGCTAAAATCCTCGACGCTATCCCAGCACCTAATTTGCGCGACTCGACTTGCCCGTCCCCGTCCCGGTCGCCGTCTCAGCTCTTTCGCCCTCGAGCCCATCGCGATCCTTTTTTTGCCCTCACCTTGCCCGTATTTTCCCTCCCCTTCCCTCCCTTACTCTATTCGCGACCTGGCCTGGAGCACGATCCCCGCCGGCCCTTTTTCTCCTCGCAACGCCCCCTTATAGGCGCCGCCTCCCTCGGACGAATTGAGCCCTGCGTGGACACGGTACGTGATTTGCGAGCCCTTTCGTCGCTGCGTCTCCTCGTGCGCCCGTCCATCTCCGACCGCCGACACGCTCTCCGACGTGCAAACTGCTGACGCGCCGCCTTCGGTCCCTTGCAGATCCGATCTACACATCTCTTTCGTTTGCGCGCCGATACCCATCGCCGCTTTCGCATCGTCAACCGGCTTCCGCGTCGATTTTCCGCTCAGAGATAACGAGACTGGTCGCGCTGCGCCCAGTAATCACAATTGGACACGATGGGCCCCAAGACGGAACGCAGCTTGCCTGCCAAGCACAACCCCCTCATGATCGGGGAAATTCCGGATTGTACGAACCTCCACTTCCTCGATGATGCGGTTTCGAAGGCTCACCATAGTTTTGCAGACAACGATTTGGTTGCGCGCCGGCGCCTAGGACAGACCAAGCTGACGCCTAAGATGGTCGGCGCGGGCGAAGTCGAGCAGACGACTCTCGGCGTCTTCGATTACGCCCACCTCCGCGCGCCTCTGCCCAAGGGCATCGTCTCCGGCATCTTCAAGTCCAGCCCCAACAGCTACTTCCTGATGCGCCGCAGCTTCGACGGTTACGTGTCCGCGACCGGCATGTTCAAGGCCACGTTCCCCTACGCCGAGGCCGCCGACGAGGAGACCGAGCGCAAGTACATCAAGTCCCTTGCGACTACCAGTCCCGAGGAGACGGCCGGAAACATCTGGATTCCCCCGAACCAGGCTCTCGCCCTTGCCGAGGAGTACCAAATCGCGCCCTGGATCCGCGCCCTGCTCGATTCTGCCAAGATTCCCGTAACCAACACTCCTGATTCGCCTCCCAAGAGCATCACCGCGCCTCCCAAGTTTGATGCGACCAAGCCTCAGCCTCAGCTGGCCCCTCCCACGCCTTCAGCTATCCCGAGACGATCTCGCCGATCAGTGAGCCCTACCAAGAGCACCAGCACGAAGCGAGCGGCCGCGTCGCCCCGAAAGCGAAGCACCCGTGCCAAGGTCGAGGCGGTCGAGGTGATTGCTGAGAAGTCGGAGGGTATCAACGGCGAGGCCCAGGAGAACAAGCTCGGAGATATCGTCATGAAGTCAACCGAGTTCGATCCCGCGATTGTCCTGGAGTCCAGAGAGGAGGACCTCCAGCTCAAGGTCCGCATCGAAGAGAAGGTCCACAAGAACTCGGAAGGCGTCGAGACCAAATGCACCGTCACCGAGGTCGAGGTTCCCCTTCCTACCGCTGGCGAGCCCCCGAGCGCCGAGGAGATTGCTCAGATGATTGCCGCAGCCCAGGGAGACGTCCAGAAGCAAAAGGAAGAGGAGAGCAAGAAGGCAGAGGAAGAGGAGAAGGCGGAGGGTGAGGACGATGCGCCCAAGCTTGTGTCAGCTCCCACCTCGGCCAAGAAGAGCAAGCGAAAGGCTGCCGACATTTCTGTTGGCAACAAGAAGGCTAAGGCTGCTGCCGAGAATGCAGGAACTGCAGCGAGCGCCCAGAATGCAGCAGAGGAGGCGCCCAAGGAAGACGAGGAACAGCCTAGAGCCAAGAAGGTCAAGACTGACGCCGAGCTACGGAAAGACAAGGTCAAGAACCGAGCACTATTCGGATTGGGAGCCACTGTTGCAGTTGGGTAAGTCGATCTCATGTCATACTGTCGCGAACGTCTTGGAACTAACACTCATCCACAGCGCCATCGTTCCCTGGCTCATGAACTTCATCTAAGAAAACGACATATCACTGCCGAGGAAGACGGGAATTTTAGGAGACATCAGGGTTCTCCCAAGACAGGCTGAGGCGGGAAGGCGGTTGGATCTGGCGCGGTCTTTGTTTTTTCTTGGTTTTATTTCCCCAGTTATTGTCTTTTACCTGGAACATTCCCCCCCCCCCCCCTCTTTGGCGACGAGGTTGCGGAAGAGCCGCGTCTCGCACAAACAGGAACCCTTACCTCCCCATCATGCCCAGAACATCACTTTTTTTTTACTACTTTATTACCCTTTTGGCCCTTGCACATACCCCTTTTGCCCGAAACCGTAAGCCCAAGACGGCTGGCGAGTTCGGGCTTCTTCTGACTGTTTTGTAAAAGATTGAGAGAGAATATTTGCTTGGGGGGACACACGGCGGTGGTGACGAGCCCAAGGCACGGGGAGGCGGAGAGGCGAACGGAGCATTGTAATGATCACCTACCAGAGCTACAAAGCATTAAAGAAAATCAAGAATAATAAAAAACCAAAACCAAAGAAAGATTTCAACTCAATTGATTGATAGCCGTAGGTTTGGGACTGGGGATATTACATCCGTGGCAGTTGAATGAATAGCCGGACTGCCGAGCCACTGAGACTGTACGTTACCCGAAGGCACGCCCTAGATTCATCCCTAGAACGCGGGATTCTCTAGCGACCCCATGCCCTGAATCTTAGCGCCGTAACCCCTAAAACAGCCGTCCAATACCCGCCTAATTTTCTCCCCCGCCCCCGCGGCCGGAACGAGATCTCCCCCGCACGACGCCAATCTCTCCCAGCGCCGAGCGGGCGTGAGGCGTCATGCTCTCCAACTGCTGCATCCCCCTCGGCAGCTCTGGCTATGAGCGGCAATGGCCGGCTCACCCGGGTAACCATTCCCCCACCTGTCTCAATGTGCAGCTCTCTCCCTTGGGTATTTCTTGCGGTATGATGTTGGGTGATGGTCGTATGGAGGCTGCATATAGTTGACGCTTGAGCGACATTGTACGTCACCAGCTACTGCTCCTGCTCCTGCTACTTGTGCTCTTCCAATTGTAATCATGAGAGCTCCTACGCGACTCAGGAGCTTAGTTCTCCGCCGCGGCTTCGCCAGCACGGCGAGGCGCCTAGACAACTACGCATTTGTCGGTCTGGGACAGATGGTGTGTTTTCTCTTGCCTACGAAGGCATCCTTCTCGCAAGCCATTGTCCGCTGCTAACACGGCTGGTGCCAGGGATACCAAATGGCCAAGAACTTGCAGTCAAAGCTGGGCCCCGAGGACAAGGTCTCCATTTTCGACATCAATGGCGAGGCCGTGAAGGGGCTGGAGACGGAGATGAAGGCGGCCAAGGGTGGTGCGGCGGTTGAGTTGGCTGCGAGTGCTTTTGATGCTTCCAAGGATGCTGTAAGTCGGCCTCTATAACCTTTCGGTCGTTCGAGGCTCTTCGTTGCCCAGACCGAGAGCTGTCTTGATTCCTTCTTGCCATCAGCCGAGCGGCCATCTGTGTGTATAAAACAGTCACTAACACCAGCCAGGACACCGTCATCACCGTCCTCCCAGAACCCCAGCACGTCCAAGGCGTGTACGAATCCATCCTCACCGACGCGCTCCCCAAAAAGGACCGCATCTTCATCGACTGCTCCACCATCGACCCGTCCACCTCCCGCCAGGTCGCCGCCTCCGTGTCCGCCGCTGGCCAGGGCACCTTCGTCGACGCGCCCATGTCCGGCGGCGTCGTGGGCGCCACGGCCGGCACGCTGACCTTTATGCTCGGCGCGGCGCCCTCGCTCGTCGCGCGGCTCGAGCCCGTCCTGCTGCGCATGGGCAAGAAGGTGCTGCACTGCGGCGAGCAGGGCGCCGGGCTGTCGGCCAAGCTGGCCAACAACTACCTGCTGGCGCTCAACAACATCGCCACGGCCGAGGCCATGAACCTGGGCATCCGCTGGGGGCTGGACCCCAAGAAGCTCGCGGGCGTCATCAACGTGAGCACGGGCAAGTGCTGGCCGAGCGAGGTCAACAACCCCGTGGCCGGCGTCGTCGAGACGGCGCCCGCGAACCGCGACTACAGCGGCGGCTTCGGCATCGCCCTGATGAAGAAGGACCTGCGGCTGGCCATCATGGCCGCCGAGGAGGCCGGCGCCCATATGGAGCTGGCCAAGCCGGCCTATGCCGTGTATGAAAAGGCGGAGAAGGAGGAGCAGTGCCAGGGCCGGGACTTTTCGGTCGTGTATCGATATCTTGGCGGAAAGGAATAGTAGCTTTAATCAAGGGATATAGACTTGAGAAATAAAATAAAACCCCTATTGACATATCTTAGGTGGTGTGGAAGTGTTAGTTTTGTTTTCGCTGTTTTCTTCGTCGCTGTTCCAAAAGTTTGTCCTCCACCTAGTAGCCCTTCATTACTACAACAATGTCCCATGAGTTGACAGACAATAAACTCTTCGGTCAGGTTAATTCTCGCTTGGAAAATCATATGTGTAGGTCCGGCCTCAATAGTTGTCTCATTCTCAAAGACGCGTGCGGTAGCCAACACCTCTCAGGTTACATTCTCCTCACTTATCGGTATTCCGACCGGCAATAGTTCTGTAGGGGAACACAACATTTCCCATCGAGCCCACTTACATACATCTCGAGTGTGAACCATTCACGGTACATGCTCTCAATGAACTGCACATTCATTTTACCCACAAGAGACTGTGTTGAATGAGACGCTGCGTTTTGCCCGACTCACGAACAGTTCATCCCCCCAAATAGCTAACGGGACTTTGTACGGATTTCGACAAGATATCCCAGTCCGCTTAAATCTTGCTCTTAACCGATTCGTGACCGCTTTGTGGTGGGACGCTTACTATACACGTTCCCACTACTTCGGCGATCAGAGCTTCGGCCAGCCTCGATCGGTAGCGTCGCCGAGGGAATCTAGAAATGGGATCCTGCACCTACTATCTGCCAGGATTTGGCCTCTAACGTAGATCGCGCACGACTAGATTGTCGAGCAAATTGCGATCTAATTAGATACAGATGGTAGGACGGTCATCGGACAGGATCGAGTGGCCTCGTCCTCGTCTCACAGTTCGTGGTGACCGGATCCTTCCCGATGACACGGTCAACTTCTGGGTTCCCTTCCAAACGACTCTGTGGATCCCAGTTCTAAATACTTGAAGTTTATGCGTGTATTTAGGTTGTCAGTTACCAGCCGTCAACTTAGTGCGAATGCAGTCTTCATTCCTTTCCCATGAGGGGGCATTTGTCATAATCCCTTGCAGCAACGACAGAACGTAGAAGCGTCCACAAGAGATGGCATTAGACCAGCGCAATATGTTCCAGCTTCAAACGAAACCTATGGAAGTGCTGTCTGCTTTGAAGGCTGGCAGAAGACCACCGTATTTTAGCTGAGCCATGGCGGTCAGCGCTGGAGCCTGGAGGAGCATCCAGGCTCCCATGTTGAACGTGCAGATATATACGCATTTACGATCGCACCAGGCCAGTTAAAATCACCAACAAATCCGTCGACATCGCATAAGCCCTCGAATCACCATTCTCTCCTCTGCACCTCTAAAATACATAACACACGCAACTATCTAGTTAATTATCTTGCGAGGCTTATAGCACCGGCTACCCTGTAATATCTTGAGTTGCTCAGTCTATATCCTTGTGTACACCTCTTGCCTGTTTCCTGCTCACTGGGCGCTTTGAATTCCAAGTCGGAGAGATGCTGCGATGGGGAAAAGAGTTCATGCAACGAGTGATGGCAGAGTTGGATTCGAGGTGGAATTTGACTGTAACTACAATATTGAACAAACCAGTCGACAACACCGACTCGTTCACCTCGCTCAGGTTCAAGACACCTTTATCAGTGGGCCGCTCTCATCAGAACGCCAACCCTGTGACAAGATTGAAGAAGTTGCATTAAGCTTCTTGCCCCAGGACCAAGTCTTGTGACCTCATCGAGCGATGAAAGTAGTTGTTTTTGTCATCTGTGGCCAGCGGGTAACTCAAAATAGCTCTAAAAATTAGAACCCTGGGCGTCGAGTCCCGATTAAGAGTTGTCAAACCTGCTTAAAGACTTGGTAGAAAGGTTGGTCGAAGAAGGGGTGATGGAAAACGAGGCTCGTGCAATCATCGAGCAGGCGCCAAAGAATTAAGCATCCAGGCGCTAGTCGAAGTCTCACACTTGTCTCGACCATTTCTTTGGGTAAGCGAATTCTGTGAATGAGGCACACCTTTGGACATACATTAGCTGTTTTAGGCGATATATCCTGATATATATGTCAGCTTACAGGCCGTCTACCCCGCGCCAAGTCCAATGCCGTCTTTTCACCTTGCCCTCATGTCTCAATAACACCAAACACCGCTTGCGCCACGATGTACTCTTCTGATTCTAGTGAAATGACAGTGTTCTACCAATCCAGCTTCTTCAAACAACTCCCAACACAGACATCCTTCAATAGCCGAGATAAACTGAATCGCCCATGAAACGGACCCCGTTCGTGCAGAGAGATCCGACAGCCCGCCGCCCGTGACCATTCCATCTCTCGGCCTGCTAGTCAAGCACGGAGCGAAGATCTCTGTCGCAGAAGCCAAATGTCTCAAAATAGTCCGCGAGCGCTTGTTTCATAAAATACCTGTGCCTGAAGTGTACGGGTGGTGTCGCCACGACGGCCAAGTGTTTATATACATGGAACTTGTTCAGGGCGTTACGCTGGAGCAGAGCTGGGACACATTGGTTGAAGAGGACCGAACCTCGGTGTGGAACTCGGAGGTATGGTTCGGGAATGGTGGGGCCTGACAAGACATGACGCCTCAGACACTGTCATCAGTAAGTTTCTCAGGCTCTGGTCGACTTCTTATTGCCAATGTAGTGATGCAGGCCACGTTAATAACCAACCTCTTTTGGACACCATCTTACCAGCAGCAGCTCCCCAACGGCGGGTCTATTTCAGAGTGTAACAGCATTCCACGATTGGTTCACCTCGACAATCGGTTCCGAGGAGCATTGGGGTAGGAAAACACCCCATCCGTATCGTTCATTTCTGCCGGACCATGTTCCTGTCATGTTCACACATGGGGATCTTCATCCTTCCAATATCATTGTTTCGCATGGGCCGAACCCACGGGTTGTGTCGGTCATCGACTGGCACCAGGCAGGGTGGTATCCGGCATACTGGGAGTACTTCAAGGCGCGGTGGACGTCGCGTATCGGGGCTGAATGGGAGGTCAAATATTTGCCTATGTTTATCGGCCGGTGGGAAGACACGGTGTACGACTACTGGGATTATTTCGTATTGGCGCGCGGAGCATGAAACAGAAACACCAACGGGATTAACACGCCCCTTACGTCCAACGGCTTGACGACGTCCTGCTAACGACGCTGCACTTCGCATCGCGTCGCATCTAAAAGTCCCCGAATCCCTGCTCCCACGCGAGCTACTACGTAGTAGTTCTGTCGGCCGGGGGTGGCGCCGAGACGCCAAAAAGGTCCCTGACCAGGGTTCGGCCGCCTCCCCATCCGCCAAGACGAAGGCGGCTGACGATTGTTCCGGTCAGTCGATCGTGTACGGAGTACGGAGTAGTTAGCGTGTAAACGCGCAGGTGGGAATAAGCGAGGTGGTGTCCGGCCTTGGGATCTTAACATGATGCCCGAACTCCATCCAAGTCGGCGACGTGATGAATAAAACAATATCGAAACATGTTGGGCCCGTAGTGTTGCTGCGTCAGGTCAAGTCTCTCTCATCTTTTGTATCATGTCGCCACGGGATACTTATGGGTTGAGAGCAGAAAGACAGATAATTAGATAGGCCTGCAAACGAAAAACACATCAGATCCACTCCATTTAAACGGCAACCAAGATAGCCGTGAGACAATACCCTTGGCGGCGAGCCGGATCGGCGGGCCCGGGCTTCATTCTATCCGAGATCTTCCAACCCGTGACGAAAAACCCCCGAAGTCCGCTCACCAGGGCGGGCGCCTGTGCTGACGGCGCGGGGGTTTAGGTCTCGCGAGGTAGCATCCGATGCTGTTTCGTTCTTCTCTCGTTGCTTTGTTTCTTTCATCTTGCTATTTCGCCGTGGCATTCGCCGTCATCAGCAGTGCCTTGGAAGTTGGTCTTTGGCCGAAATCAACGCCATCAAAGTTGCGACTCGGCTGTTCAAAAGGACCACCAACTCACCACACAAAAGGGATAAGAGACGACAAACGTATCCCTCTGGTCTTCACCAGCCCCGTGTAAACCTCATCACAATGTCACACTTCTACAGCACCCGCGCGCCGGCGAGTTTCGACGACTGCACCGACGTCTCGCCCGACTGCCCTGTGGGAGCCACCGTCCTCGGATACGTCCCGAACCTGGGCTCCAGCATCTTCTTCGCCATTGCGTTTGGGCTGTGTCTTTTCGGCTGTTTGGGCTTGGGGATCTGGAAACGAACATGGACGTATTGCGCCGCTATCTCGGTGGGTGTGCTGCTTGAGTGTCTCGGTAAGGAGTCCCTGTGTCCCTGTTTCCCCTTGTTTCCATCATCATAGTATTGCCTTTGGTTTCGTTGAGCAATAAGTCCAGTCTGAAACTAACCATTCTCTTCCCCAAGGCTACATCGGCCGTGCCCTAATGCACGACAACGTCTGGAACAAGAACGCCTTCCAGATCCAAATCTGCTGCATCATCATCGCGCCCACCTTCATCTGCGCCGCCATCTACCTGACGCTCAAACACGTCGCCCTCGCCCTCAACCCAGAGCTATCACGCCTCGCGCCGCGCTGGTACCCGCGGCTCTTCCTCCCCGCCGACCTGTCGTGCCTCATCGTCCAGGCCATCGGAGGCGGCGTCGCGGCGGCCGCGAGCAGAGAGGACCAGTCGGCGGCCGCCAACGGGAACCGCACCATCATCGCCGGCGTGGCGCTGCAGGTCGTCGTGTTGCTTCTGTTTGGCGTCATGGGCGCCGACTACTATGTGAGGGTGAGGCAGTACATGCGCGGTTCGGACGTTGACCCTGCGGCGTTGAGTGTCTGGAGGGATAGCAAGTTCCGCCAGTTCGTCTTCGCCGTAAGCGGCGCGTACTTCTGTATCCTCACCCGGTGCATCTACCGGTTAGTCCCCCCTTGCTCTATTTCACCCTGTATCTTTGACTGACTTTTATATCATAGTATCGCCGAGATGGCTGGCGGCTGGGGCAACCACATCATGCAAGACGAGCCCAGCTTCCTCGTCCTTGACGGCAGCCTAGTCCTGGTCACATCTGTGTTGTTGACTGTCTTCCATCCAGGCCTACTATTCCCGCAGATGAGTACGGGACGAGGCAGCGCTGTTGTGGTGGAGACTGAGAAGTCGGGAGAGTCATCTAATGAAGGTGTCAAGGTTGAAAGTGCATGAGACTTAGGAAATGCTATTTGTACAATGCGAGAATTTGGAAATCGGGATAGGGTATAGGAGCATGTACATACGGCCATGCTAGGCCATGGTTGATCATATAAACTCACCTCCGGTAGGACTTATTTGATGAACTTCTATGTCTATATCCCCTATGCATTGTTATGAAGTCCACCCGTGCAATTATACCCCTTCCCGCATCATGACTTGACCAGTCTATCCGCCTCTCCATCGTCATCGCTGTCTGTTTCTTCCTCTTCTTCATCATCATCTTCCTCCTCCTCTTCTTCTTCTGCCTCATCTGTACTTTCTTCCTCTGTTTCTTCCTCCGTCTCTTCGCTCTCTTCCTCCTCCTCAGCTAGCCAGTCGTCCAAGGTCTTGGCCCCAACAGCCTCACCAGTCCCATTCGTCTTAGTCGGGACAATAGACTTTGCCGCCTCGTCCAACCTCTCGCTGGCTGGCAGAGAAGTCTTCTCGACGTCATATCGAGAGGATTGGCCTCCTTCTGGTTCACGGAGTCGAGGGTTCGGTTGTTTACCTTCCTCTACCCAGTCGGGCAGCGGCTCGTATCCCTGCAGGCCATGGATGCCCCCACCGCCCGCGAGCACCAGAGTTGCAGATCCCAGGATAAAACCCTTCCGTGACTCGGATGGACTAGGTGCCTGTGGTGCAGGCTTTTCGGCGAGGAGCATCAACGTTGCTAGCTGAGGCACAGTAAGGAGGGACCGATACATCCTTGCTCGATCGCGCAGGTCAAACGAAGTATCATACCTCACGAGCAGGAGAACATATTCCCATAGTCGTACAATGGGGTGCGTATCTGTCTCGATCGGTGGGTCCTCGTCTGCGTCCCTCTCTTTCTCCGCCTCGCTCTTGCGGTTGAGATGGTGGAGGTAAACTTTGGCAGCAAGGAGCAATATCTGTTGCTTTGCGACTGATGACTCGTTGGGAAAGTCTTTGACGAGGATGCGCAGGACATCCGGTGCGATATTGTCTTCTCCATTGAGACCTGAAAACTCGCCCACAAGCCAGATGATGGTTGCCCGAGCGTGAGGATCTGTTGCTGAGTCGAGGTTCTTCGCTAACCGCACCACCGTCCCAGTGTGTCCTTGCGCATCCTGTTGTATCAAGTGACGAATCACCGTCAGCGACTCTGCAGCAAGATTCCCGTCCAAACTGGTAATCTGGCCCAGCAAGAGCTTCAAGCAGCGAGGAGCTGTCGTAGCGTCGGACTGCGCACAGCGGCCGATAGCACGAACTGCCTCACGCACCAATGCCTTGTTAGTCCCTTGCGAGAAATGTTCCAGCTCCTTCAAGATGAGGCTCTTGATGTGAATAGGGCTGTGCGGGAAGATGATGGTCAAAACCTCCAGCTTGAGTTCCCATACAGGCTCAGGATCGGTGGCTCGGACGAGGAAGTGGCTGGCGTACTTGACAAAGTCGGCCGGTCGAATAAGGCAAACCGACACAATGTTGAACAGAGCAGTCTGCTGAATATCCTGTGCTCCTCGAAGAAGAGCGATCAGTGGGCCGATAGCGAGCTTGACATACTCGCTCGTTCCAATGTCAGCATAGCACCTAGTAACAGCAACAACCACGCCAGCATTTCGGCTCTGGAGGAGAGGTTTGATGCCATTCAGGAGCAGTGCTAGGTCAGGATCCAGCGAGGTCGTTCCAGACCCCCTACCAACATTTCGAGAATCACCGTAAAAATCATCCACACGGGTATCTTGCGGCTTCTCGGCAACCTCCTCGGAGCTCTGAGGTCTTCGGGGGAAGCATTTTCGTGCATAATATGTCATCATCCGCAGCGTGGCCAACTGGCTCCATTCATCCATATCCACAACCTGCTTGACCAAAGTCCGGTAGTGCTTGTGGATAAGATCTATCCTGTCGGGGCAGATTTCCAGCATAGCCGACACTGCTGCGCCAGTCACATAGTACTGCTTATCGCCCAGAAGCGTTGTTAAGTACTCGATCAGCTGCGGCGCCTGAGTCGGGTCCAGTCGGTGGCACTTTGGGATCGCAAGAGCAGCGGCTTTGCGCACGTAGGGACTCATGTCGGCGACGCCTTTCTTGATGGCCAGGGATACGATCTGGCTGATGACGGGCACTCGGATGCCGGACATGGTCTTAAGGGCCAGGGCTCGGACTTGGGGGTTCGTGTCGGACAGGGACTTCTGGATGGTGTTGATGGAGAGAAGGGCGAGGTCGGGCTCCTGCTCGGCGTGGTGGATGAGGTAGATGTAGACGAGCTTCTTGATCTCGAGGTTCGGGGAGGCGACATTCTTGACGACGTTGGAGAAGAGCGGCAGGGTCTTGTGGTTTCGGTACATCATCTGCAGGACTCATCATTAGCAGGGAAGTCCATCTCGAACAGCGACAGCCCACGCACAGCCATGACGCGCCGCAGGCCCTCGAGCACATCGCGCTCGTTCCTGCTATCCAGCAGCTTCCGCATCTGGTTGCGGTCCAGCGGCCGGGAGCTCGTCCGCGCGCCGCGAGTTGCCTGGGCGGCATCGAGGGTGAGCTCTCTGGCTAGCGACATCGGTCAGTGTTTGGCGGGGAGACGGCCACGCGGGCAGCAAAGGCGACGTACCAGTCTCCATGAGACTCGAGATCTTCGCTATCGACTCCATGGCGGCGGTTGGGCGAGCGCAGCTGCAGCTTCAGGGGGCTCGAAGCTGGAGAGAGGCTTGATGCGCGGTGGAACCGTGGAGATGGGAGGGCGTTGGTTTGGCGGGTGGTTGGAATGACGTTGTGCGATGGGGCCAGCGCAGTGGTGATTAGTGGTGGGATGGCAGTGGAGGGGCGTGACAATTGGTGGGGGAGTCTTCATGCTTCCAACGGCGTGGCTTCAAACTACTCCCTTCTATCTCTGAACAACTCGCCGTCAACGGAAATATGGGGGATGGGACGTGGGCGCACTCAGCATAAGTAGCCACAAGACTCGTCGGTACCTTGCAAGAGAAACCTGGGGGTTCAGTGTCTCCCTGTGAGCTCGTGTGCCGACTGCCAAATCCACTGTCATTCATTCACTCGCAACCTACCCTAGACGGGCTCGGATCAGGAGCGATGACATCTCAACCCGTCGTCCTCTCACCAGCAACGCCCTCTGAGCTCCTCTCATACATCATCTCTTACCATCGGTATCCTGCAACCCTTGTTGTCGGTTGTTCTAAGCAGGAATTCCTCGATGCCGTTGTTGAGGATGTTATTCACCACCTCTCCCTAAAGGATCAGGAGCCTCAAGAAAACGTCAAGGAAGACATTCCACCACATCCGTTCTTAAAGGCCCCTCTATACCAAATCGCTGTGTCCCGACACATACGAATCGCCTTCACGCCAACCGTCACGCACCTCCGCTCCTACCTATCCGTCTTCTCCCCAGCGGACTCTCCCATTCCGGCACCCCCAAATCACGTCGCAGACAGGAAACCGCCACTGTTACTGGTCTATGGGCTACTGGCTCTTCATCGCGATGCCAGCGAGTGGTCTGCGCAAGGGATTGGAAACTCAGCCGCGGTTTTAGCCGACTGCGCCGCACGCAACAAGTTCCGGCCGGTTATTGTTGAGCCGAGGAGCGCGGGCGGACATGATGAACTGGATCATCTTGGCAGGGAGGTGATTCCGCTTCTGAACGGCACCGCAAGGAAGGACGATGGATCATGGAGTGGACGGAGTGTTAGCATTCGGCAAGTTTTGAGCCGCTGGTTCGAGTTTGAATCTCGGGAGTGGGAAAGCAGATAACCGGCATGTTCTTTAACTCGTAACAGGAACGATACCGTGCTCCGCCGCAAGGAAGGCATCTAACTACAAACGTTTCAGGGCACTTAGTTACTCGAAACACTTGGAGACTCAAAGTGGAAGATCATAGCATCGTTATTATTATCATTGTATGCAGAAACCCCTCAAAACCAAAAGATTCCACAAGCCTCATGACTGCTACCCTCAACGCCGGACCCATGTGGTATCTCAGTTCCAATTGCTTCCCGCCCCATCCAAAACATCAACAAGCAAAAAGCAGAGGCCATCCTCATAAAAACGGAAAAGACGTCACGTCTAGGCGACGGCCTGCTCCATTTCCTTGATGTACAACTTGATGTGGGCCTCCATCTTCAGGTACTCGTCATGTGCTGTGTGGACCTCGTTCTCAATGTTCTCCTTGAGATCGACCATCTATGACGTGTTAGTATGTCTTTGTAACGTGGTATGTGGCACGTCGGATAGACTAACCTTCTTCTCAGTTTGCTCAATCCTCACTCGGCGGATTTCCATCTCCTTTCCCTTCTCCGTGTGCTCGTCAGTGAGTCCCTTGTGCACTGCTCGGAGCTCGTGCATTTTCTGCTTGGCTTCCTGGGCCTTGAGGTTGCTTTGCTCTCGGAGTTTCTCTGTCCGCTCCGTCCACTTGCTGAGTTGCCGTTTCAGCATTGTCTCGGCTCGTTCCACCTCGCGCGCGTTGTTACCACGCTCTGAGAGGGCGTCACGCTGCTTGGTATTGCGGGCCATCTCCTCCTCCTCTTTGGACAGCTCTGCGGAAATCTCATCGAGGATCTTGATGCAAGAGGCGACATCTGTGGATACGACTGCGAAGGAATCCGTCGACGTCTGGAGGGCTCGTGCCCGGCGGTCCAAAGCATCGATATGTGATTTGTCATTGCTCAGGATCTCGCGCAATTCCGTCAAGTTGTCCTGAAGAGCCGAGGGGCTCTGGATCACATATGGACGCAGCTTGGTGCTCTCCTGCTTCAGAGTAAGCTTCTCTTGCGTCTTCTGCTCGAGAAGCCCAGTGAGTTCGCCCTTCCTTTGCTTTGCCTCCTCGAGACGTGTGGCGACCTTTTCCTGGTTGCGACGCAGCTCCAACAGTCGCCTCTTCAGGTCTTCATTGCGTATCGTTTTCTCGCGGACCTGCGCCTCCATTGTCTTTCGGTTACGGCGCATGTCTTCCAGGCGGCCCTCGTTATCCTGGTTCTCGGTATAAAGCGTCTCAATGCGTGTCTTGGTAGACTCGGACTTGTTGTAGTGCTCGTCGATTACACTAGTCTGCGACTCGCGGAACCGGACGAAGTTAATCAGGTAGCTGAAGATCCGGACAAGTCGCTCGTATGTCGGCTTATACAGGTCGTTGAAGCTGAAGTCGGTAATACCGCATTCAAATAGCAACTTCCGTAGCGATACGTAAAAGCCCATCAAGTTGCGTGTGTCGGCGGGGATGACATCCGAGAATTCGCCACAGATGTCCTCGGCAGCAGCGCACATCGCGGGCTCAACCGAGTCACGCGTCGCATTGAGGAGAAGTTCGGCGAACCACTCGAAAATCTGCTGGACGTAGACGGGGTTGGGTTTTTGGAGGTCCGCGACGGTGAAGTTGATGCCGATGTCTGTAATGCAGCCGACAATCTCGCGGTCAGGGAGGCGCATAAACGCATCCGCCTCCTCCTCTTTCTTGCGCGAGCGAGACTGCTGCGTGGCAGGGATGATGCTCATTCGCGGATTGTACGACATCGTGGCGGTGTTTCTCTTGCTGTGGTTGAAGAAATCGGATTCTTTCGTGGTGCGCGCGTGCTCGTCGGTGCGTCGCGAACTGCTTCGGAATGGTGGGTTGTAAACACCAAAGTGGTGTTGCCGTGGAAACTCGCCCGCGATCGACACATCACGATCACGTGACCGTCCAACCACTTCCTCGACCAGACAAACTCGAGGTTCGCCTTGAGGAGCAAATGTGAGACGAATTGGCTTCCAGTACTCTTTTCAAGTATGCCTACTTCATGCTGAGCATCATGAAGCGTGGTGTTTGGCCAATTGCCATGCGCTGAGAGTGCCGTTCGTTCTAGACCCCTTCTAGCACAACAATTCCACATGTCACGATGCAGAGCCAACACTTCGCTTTCATGTGCCAACACAGCATACCGTACGACTGTTCATTCTGCATAGTGTGTTCGCATCAAAATGAAGTCTATGGGTGTGGAGGATCTGCAACGGGCTGCCGTGGACACCAACACACGTGTACAATACAGCTGTCCAGGGATCAGGACTGTTGTTTGGGACACGGACTTGCAGGCAGCTCTGATGGTCACCAAGTGAACCCCAGGAATACGGGATCTTACTCTCTAACACTGGCACTAAACCTAATATTAGCCGTGTCTGCTAGTATGGCAGATGTTGTACTCCCAGGTCCTATAGTCGCTACTCCAAACTCAGAGACATCATCTGTGCCATCCGTGTGACGACCAGAGACATCGGTGATCGTCCATCAGATAGTCGGATAGTCCGACTGGTCCGCTCACAAGCAGCCGCTCATCCCTCACGCATCCATAATGAAGATATTTGCTCATTTCGTTATAGATGCTGATCCGGGAGATGCTTGATTGGACTTAATCTTGCTGTATCACCACTTGCACCCACTCTGGAGCTCTCGAGTTCTACTGGCCCACACAAATGTTGGTCATCTCGCGTGGGAATCCCTCTCTCGCAGATGCAGGGTCAGGTCTGCCTTCTGCGCAGCGCCCCGGCATGGATTGCGCTTCCTCGTGATTTCTACTTTGGGGCACAGCACAATATGCAGACAAGTGGTGCAACTCATCTCAAGTCCATCTTCAGGCCCACGAATATTACCGCCGAAAGGGCAGCCGTCTTTCTGTCAACAACTCCAATTCGGCCTGTAATACGCTCCCCCGTTAATGAGCGGAGGGAACTTCCATCCACGTGGCGGCCGCCCGATCTAGCCTGGTGGAAATCATTCCTTCGGGGCGGACGACTCCGTCCCCATCGGCAAAGATTCCAGCGGCCTGAACCCTGATTTTGGGGGGTCATGAAATCTGCAACAAAAGCAAAACCATCCCACGTCCCCAGCATTTGCGATACCATAGGTCAGACCCTAATTGCCGTGGGTGATGAAACACTATGATCGATTGGCCCGGTGGAAGCCCTAAAAAACTAGGCCATGATGAAACAAGTAGCCCGGCTTTTGCTTTTGAAACCCCCCGCCAGGAGTCCTGTGGCACGCGTTAGGGGAGGAAACGGGACAAATTGGACGTTGACAGAACCCTGGCCGATTGGCTTAGCAACCTGGGGACGGGCAGATTGAATCGCTCTACGGCAGGATGGTAACAGCCGGTGCAAGCAGGGAAACCGTTGGCGGTCATACCCGGGTTTGACAGAAGAGCCAGGAGTCAGGTCCGACGCAACGCAACTTCGAGTCGCAAGGAAATGCCGGCTTCAGGAGAAATGGACGGATCCACGCGCTACCTCCTGCATGATGTGACATGCATGGACACTGTAGGCGTCCTTGGCTAGGCCGGTCGAAGGATTTTGCCGTAGTTTACTATGTGTGTATGCCCATCGCTAGGACGAAGCCACGGGGCATTGAGTGATATTCTATCAATAGTACCTTACAAACATGCTCGGAACCGATGCATACTCCGCCCCAATCCAAGGCCGCTTCTCGACCGCTGCTCTCTCTGCCAAGGCGGGGGATGAACTGAGCTGGCCATGAAGGATCGGTCGGAAGTTCAAACCTGCTTGGTGCATTTCGAGGCGCGTTTCGAGGCGAGTATCCTCAGCCATCGTCGTCAAGATGTCATTGGCTCGATCGCTGATTGGGAGACCCTGGAGAAATGGCGGTTGGCGTTGGAAGATCTTCCAGAGGAGCATCCCGTGCCGTGACCAAGACACCAGCCGCGATTCAGGGCCCAGTGGCTCGACGCAGAAGCAAACTCACTTTGCCATCCGCCGGTCGAATGAAGTCAACATTCGTCCAATCCCCGATCTGCGCCCACGCTCCATCCCTTCCGCGGCCCGGGTTTGAGGCATTGAGCACGGGAGATTTGAGCGAAACCGCGGCGGTCCGAAGACCGCTGACTGCGACGAGTCGACGTGCCATGTCCGGCCGTGGGCCATGCATGACAGCTCGATTGTGCCACTTGCCCATGGCGCTTCCTGTCCCACTTTTCGACTTGCTCACCACCCATTACAGAGCGTAGAAAGACGCAGGAAAGGTTGCCCCTGCATAGGGAGAGGACTTGCGGGCTTGCTGAGCTTGCCTGCTTGCCTGGACCTGTTGGTGGCAGATCGTCTGGACCAGCCCTTGCCTGTGATGACGTCTGGTTGGGATCGACAGTGAGACAAGACGAATTTGGCACCAGGCTATTGAGGCCCATGCGTATGACGACACGAATCTCCAGGGTTCGTCAGGGCCACTTCGTACAATACCTACTGGAGCAAGAAACAGAGCATGCACTGGAGTCGGGAACGAGCCCTCATCCCGCTTACCCTGGTGTCACGTTAGACCTGGCTTTGCTGGCTTGCTGCTCGCTGGCCTGGTCCCCTCCCACAGAGCCTTACCGCCCTGTGGTGGATGACATACCCCGGCTGGCTTAGTCGCCAGGTGGTCTGCGATGGTACCTGCGGTGTCGTGAATGTCCAACCAGAGATATGGCGAGATTGCAGGCCACGACACCGACTCTTGCTCCCTCGGCGGCACTTGCGGGAAAAAAAGCCATTGCGCCGTCGCCATACGCCATACGGACAAACGAGATACCGGTAGAGCGCCGGGTAGCAGCTTTTTCTGGCGCGCGGGTGGATGAATACGAACAAAGTCGAGAGTTGGTAAAAGAGGCCCAGAAAAAAGAATGCGAGCGGGTCCCGACGTCTACTGGGCTGACCTGGACCGGAGAGAGCGATACGAAGAGACAAGCAGGGGACGGGCGCAAGATGCGATGTGATTTCATGCGAGGTACAAAGTACCAGTACCTGGGATGCAGGACAAATTGACGGCTCACAGGTACGGCTACTCGGCCACTCAGGGGAGCATCGGGTTGTCAACTCCACTGTTCTGCTCGCTGTTCCTTTTGCACTTTGTGATTGCCTTTGCGCAGTCACTGCCGGCAAGGTCTTGGCTAAGATAGCGCGATCACTCTGGTTGCCTGCCTTGAGGCTTACGGGACGGGGAGCCGAGGGGCATTCACTGGGCGATAACCACGGCCAACCAAACGGGATGGCTAGAATTCCAGGTCAGACAAACTGAAGGTCCAATGTGGGGGATGCAGGGCGCGGATTGGCGCACGAGGCTGGTCGGAGGGCTGGATCAAAGAACCGGATCAAAACCACCCTGATTCAGATCATATTTACGAAGCCCCCGCCAAAGCTGGGCGAGCAGTTTGTCCATCATCTTTCGTCAGCGCGGTTTCGAGGGGACCGGGCGAGACAACTAGTGTCAAGACCAAGACGAGCCAAAAAAAGCAAGTGGGCAGACATGTGTCAGATGCGCAATCGTGGGTTTCCGCGCAGAGTACGGCTAGCTCCTCGCGAAGTGGGAGCACGCTGCGATGCCGTGGGGAGACGGAGCGTCGCGTAGTTCGGCGGTTCAGGCCAGGCAAAACCATCGAAGGCATCATCCATCATGCGGGAGACACGATTCAGCGTGTGGCTGAGAAGGTGGCGAGTAATCGGTGAGGCATGCATCATTGATGAGAGGCGGGGGATCGAGAATCCATGACCCCGTGGCCCTCCTGCCGATGGAGATGGTGGGAGATGGTGGCAGTTTCGTGAAAGTTGGTGGCCCGGCACAGCAGACGACTCGTTGTTTCATCGTAGACCGTCATTCATCAGCAGACCGGTGCCGTCCCTACGCTGACCGCTGAGCAACCAGCCAATCTGGCGCGCGCGGAGCTGCAAGTCTGAGCGCTTTTGGAGATCCAAACAGCAGGACGGGATGAACGGTATAGCGGTAATGGGCCTATAGCTGCGGCGATGATCGCCAACGGCAACACCCGGGAGGTGAGATCCGGAGGGGTCAAGGGGTCCAAGTACATACGAACGAAGGCGTACGAAAGTGGCACAGTTCGCCCCGGTACTTGACGACGTCAGCTCTGGTTCACGACTCGAACGACCGAGAACCAGAAGGCTTCGCAAGCTCTCGTCAATACGAGGAGGAGCAAACTCAACGATGCCGCGTTGGGAACGGGTTTATGCTTAATCAGGACAGCTCCCTCGTTCCTGACAGTTGTCCCAGGGCCTTGGCGGTCAGCTGCAGCACGGGGTACGAGTACTTCGTACAATAGCAGTCGCCCGGACAGGACGGAGTGTGGCTGTTCTGGCGTAAGAAGGAAACGGGAGACGAAAGGCCGGGAGGAGGAGGCGCGTGGCCGTGTGGTGGGCTGGTGTGGCCCATGCAAAGTGGTCAAGGGCTGGCATCGAGCCAGTATCGAAAATAGAATGCCAAAAACCTGGTCTCCCGCTTCGGACGCTGGCTCGGGTGATCACTAGTCCGGAGGGAATACTGGCCTACGTAACTTAGCCAGTGGATTACTGCGACGGAATGAGCGAGCTAAAACGAATCATGGGGGAGGCGGGTGCCGATGATGGACGGGGTCTGGGAATCGATAGTCCGAACAACAGACGTCAACATCGAAGCAGCGGCGGGAGATGCGCAGGCAGGGAGTGCAGACTGTTTGCTTCCCCTTGTGACCCTGTCCAACCGGGCCAACCTGTCCCACAGCCGACAGTGCGCAGGACAAGAGAGATGAAAGGAAGAGTGGAATGACTGGAGACAGGGAGATGAGCAGCAGTCCATGGCACTCTCGTGAATAGATGTCGCAGACCAACCAAACCTGCAAACTTCCGATGCTCTAAATTACATGGCCCGTCGTAATTACTCTGTACCACGCAAGCCGGCGGGAACGAACGCTCTCATCCCTGTATGGATCTGGCAGATGAGTGGACTCCAGCTCTGCGCTTGATCGACGATATCTCTGCTCCAGCCATTCGACCCGTAGGTTCCCTTTGGCCCCGTCTATCCGATCAAGCTACCCAGTATTCGTACAGCGCGTGAGCCACCCGGAGTTTGGTGGTTTCTGATGGGCTATCCTTCGTCGTGGCGCGCGCTCTGCTGGGCCAGGGCTGGGTGGCTTTGCCTGGTCCCACCCCGCTAAAAGCTACCAAAAGTTCACAACGCTGGAAGCTGTTGCGCTAGGCACGCGAGGGTGTGAGGCTGGGCGTTACCACAGGGCGCTGGTATGTGGTGCTGTGTAGTGCTGTGCGGAGGTAGCGCTGTGTCTATCAAGTAGTGCTGGCCCAGTCTTGGCTGGTTGTGCTGCTTGCTTACAGCTTCTACAATCGAATGGAATGGATTGCCATCATCTCCAATTGATACCCTCAACTCACATACCCCGGTCTCACCTCTTTATCTCGCACTCCCTCCCTTTGCTCGTTTGGTCATTACGCTTCGGACTGCCGGGATCAGAGACAAGAGGCAACCTAGAACAACTCTGTCCCTTTCGGAGAAGAGCGATGAGAAACAGATGACTCGGTATCTGCACTCCTCCACTGTCCCTGGCACTTTATTGATCGGAATACCCATCCATTGACGAGGCCCACTCGCGCCCGCCCAGCCCGCTCCAGTAACCGATCGCCCAGTTCAATTGTCCACTGTCAGCGCAGCAGCGGCTTCTTCCAGGGACCCGATGTCCAGCGGGCAGCCATTAATGGAGCTCAGCCTGGAAGCCCAATCGCAGCTTGCCGGCCCCCCTGTCCCCGTAACCAACTGGGCTTCAAGAAAAAAAAACCCCTAGTTCAGGGAAGTACCGGTACTAGCACGGCCACAAAGCCCCCCTACCGCCGCCGGGTGGCACCGTACCGCTACTTGCGCCGGTACCTCTGCGCCGGACGTCCCCGCCCCCCAGCAGGCAGGCCACTAAAAGCCCAAGGGACGAGACCCTTGCCACCACCACCATCCACCACGAAAGCCGCCACCAAACGGCGATTCTGGGATTCCGGGAAATTCTGGGGCAAGCTCTTGTTGTCTCCCCCGGCTCCAAAAAACGAGACCCAGGGAAACCCACCCGGCCTGCCAAGTCTCTCGAGCAGCAAGCATCCACTGCACCTGAACCTGACCCGCGCTGGGGTCTGTGCCTGTGCCTGCGCCGAAGCCCTGAAGCCTGACGTTTCCAGCAGCCCACGCTCGCCAGCCAGCACAGCGCAGGCCCCCTAGCGAGCGTCCCACCTGTGTGTCTGCTGGCCGGTCGGTTTTGCTTTGGCCTCTTTGGGGGGGTCTGGCGCATTCCCTTGGTTCCTTCCCTGGGAAAAAATCTGTCTCAACCCACCCCCCTGAGCCCGCCCGCACGCCCGCGCTCCTGCCCTTGTGCATACCGACCTGAGGTGCACTTTCTACATTTACCACACACGTCCCGCCACGCACCACACGCCCACGTCCCACGTCCGCGTACTTACATCTCACGCTTCCCATCCCGCACCTAAACCACTTACATACTTACATCCAACCGCTCCCTCACAACCACTCGCTTTCTCCAGATCCTGGAACCATCGTGCGCCTGCCGACACGGCCCCTCGACTGCTATCCTCGGCTGAGCTGTCTGTCGGAGCGGTTGTGCCCCTCGTCCCGGTCGTCGTCCATGCAGCCTGCCTCCCGCACGTCCCGACAGAGAGTCGTTTGACACGAGCCAACTCTCCCGCCTCCCTACTCCATGACCAGTTTGGTTCGACCGCCTCGACCGCCTCGACGACTCCACGATGCTTTCGCACGCTTTGTGTAAACTCGACGATTCCAAACACACCTCGGCGACCATACCGCCAGCTTACTACTAGTTCCTTCAACTGGTGACGCATCATCCGGAGCCATGGCCCTTTGGCCATTCCGACGACGGAGCGGCCGCAAGCGCCCCCGAAGCGGTGCTACTCACTCCGACGCAGAGGGCGGTCCGCCCACTTCGCCTACCGAGGGAGCCAAGCTCGTTTCCAAGAAGCGACGTATCGAACCCCCTCGACCGCTCCGTCCCTCTCGCACATACAGCTTCGAACCAGGCGAACAAGACTCCCTCCGTATCGAACGAGATCGCGCAGGGCGGAGAGCCCAGACCGATACTTGGGATGAGAGTGCCGCCGGCGCGTGGGATCGGACTCCCACGCTACACCACAACCACAAAAACTTTCACGCTACAAGAAGAAAAGATACCAAGAAGAGAAAGGAGGATCGAAGTAGAGAGGCCGAAATCAAGGCTATGAGCAACTTTAGCCCGGTGCGCCCTGCTGCAGAACCATGGACCTCGGGCCGCCCTATGAAAAAGGATAGCAAGAAAGCCAAGACTACTAGCTTTGGGAGGCACGGAGAGCCTCGCAACTCCGATGTCTCTCTGCCCGCCCCTGGCTCAATCCACTCCAGTCTATCTTCGGATTCCGAATTTGGCTCCTACACCGTGTCAGCGCTGGACGCACTGGCACCCAGACCGACCCTTCGCTATGCTCATGGCCCGTCTCGATCGACTCCCACCCCTCCGCCAGTTTCCGTCCTCCCGCCCACACATAGACGGAAACTTGCGGACAGGGAACCAATCACTGAGGCGACCATGAAAGCCCACAAACGGGTTGACTCTCTCGCTGATGACCTTGACGCCAGCGACCTGAGAGAGCTGATGGAGAGAGACAACCGACGACGAGAAAAGAGGAAACTGAAAGAACGAGCACGAATGGAGCGCCGACTGGCCAAGAAAGCCGAAGAGCAGAAGTCTGAAGAACTGGAATCCAGAAAGACAGGCACACCTCCCCCAGAGAATCTTGAAAGGGGAGTAGTGGGGCGTGAGTTGGCTGGCTTGGGGATTGAGCCTGCTTCGGCAGTGGTCACATCTTCCAAGCAAAGAGATTCGAAGGAGTCCGAGCCTATGCCGGATGCCGACGCCGACATTGTGGAAGATACCCCCAAGAAGCCACTCGATGTGTTTCACCGCACAGATACAATGCCAATTGAGGAGGTTCCTGCTCCAATTGAGGAGGCGCCTGCCCCAATGGAGGTGGACACACCAAAGGAGGGCTCTACGATAACGCGGCCGTCCGAGGACCACCCGTCTTCCCTTTACAGTACCAGATTGGCCGGCATCTTGAGATCCGTCAAGTCGCGTTCAAAGTCAACCTTGCGCTCCGAACGGGATAAGATGGTTTCTCCTCCTCCTGATACTATTGCTGAGGAGCCAACCCGAAGAGGTTCCAATGATTCCAACTCAAGCTCTAAGACAGCCCGATTTTCCATTCGAGCCCTCTTCAGATGGGGAAGTAAGCGCCGTCGCAACTCGGGCCCCTCATCCTTTTCCAACACTTCTCGAGAAGAGATGCAAGCTATTGCTGCCGCTGTGCGGGCTAAAGCACAATCACAGGCAAAGGCCCTTGCTAGACTCGAGCATAACGATAATACCTACACTGGCAATTATCTGGCACGCAAGCCCAGCGCGAGTGTGCCAAAACGAACACGATCCCGCTTCCGAGAAGACCTTCCGGAGCTGCCGATCTCACCACCCGCCTCACCCGAACCTCCCGTGCCTCCGCTCCCAGAGCGGGTTAATGAGGAGGAGTCGCTACAAACCCTTGGTGTGCGCTATGATACATCAGCGACAGGCCCCCGCTCCATTGACGCCCTGGGCCGAACCCCATCGGCCAGGGAGAGAGCATATGCCTCCCCCTCTCCTGAAGCCCAAATGTCGATCTCATTGGCGTCTATCGACTCCGAGGCATCTTGGCTTTCCGGAGCCAAGGATGCTCGACGGGTGGCGATGCGAAATAGCCTTCGTCGCGCGAACCGCATCGAGCCTGGCAACTCAAACTCCGCCACACCCAACAACAGCACCGAAGAGGATCTTGCGATCACCGAAGACGAGTACCTGACAAAGCTCGCTCCCCGCCGAAGCGCTAGCTATAAGGAGATGGGCCACCCAACAGAGGAGCCCCGTCCCAGCAGCGACGAGGAAGACCTTGGTCAGGACTCGGACATGAAGTGGGGTGCCGTTGCTTCTCAAGCTCGTGTCGTTCACAGAGCCACGATGAACAGCCATATCGGCCTGCTTGAAGTCGAGAGTGAGAACGAAGACAGCGAGGCCTCGCCGATATCACCGGTGTCGCCCGCCTCAGAGCTTGCTGATGTTCAGCGTGCGAAGAGCGTGAACTTGGGCAAGGGCCATGTCCGCAACTTCAGCGCCGGAAGTGCGAAGTTGCTCGAGATTAGCCCTCGACACTCTGCGGATCGCAGAGCAAGCTCAGAGAGGAGGGGCAGCAACGCCATGGTACTGTGAAGAGATGTGACTGATATTGTGCCAGACTTGAGATGAAGAGTTTCCCCACCGAACAATCGCCGTCGACCGTACTCGACAACCACATTCATTACAATTTTCTTGATCTCAGCACTGACCGAAGTCGCTCATTAAAAACTTTCCTTGCCACTGAGAAAAGGGATACCCCGACAAAAACACTTGGAAAACTTAGAAAACGGGAAACTCTTCACTCTTGATGGCCAGCATCTTTCCATCTCACCACAGCTACCACGCGCGTTGGTCTCCGACTGACTGAACTCGCGCTCTCTACGCTTGATGTATGAGTATGACAGTGACGACCATAGCGCTTCTCCAGTTTTGCTCGAATTTTCTTTTCTCGACTACATATACCGCATCTGTTGATACCCAGCGTCGAACGCCAGTTATGGAGTACTTTGGGACTCGACCGTCATGATTCAGACATTGACGAGGGACCCCGGTTATTTTTCAGCCAACAACCTCTCCCGTTCTCGTTGAAGAACGATTTCTCTCTTTGAGGGCTTCGTTTGGCATTCTCCCTTGGTTGAACCAGGGGGACTTTTTCTACTTTTTAGGCGACCATGGTGTGCTGGTATCAAAAGGCTTTGATTTTGGAGCTTGGGCCTGATTTGGAGTGTTGCGGAAATACACTTTGGAGTCGACCACCGTGATTTGGAACGGGGCGGCTGATGCGAATCGATTTGAACAATAGAAGACTCATTTTGAAAAGGAGCAGAAAACTTGAAATGGGCTGGAGTGGAATGTGGGACACCTGACATGTAATGTTATTTGTCTCCAGAGAGTGAACTTTGTACTTGTGCAACCGTTGTAAAACTGTTGGTATGTGAGGATCAATTGACTTTGAAATTTGACCAATCTTGAAGCTTGAGGATTCGTAGACTTCATGAAAGAAAGCCTGGAGTTTGTTTAATGATGCTTGTTTGCCCCACGTCGGGAAAGCCGTGCCGTTAGAGTTTAGTACCCAATGTGTGAGTCTCGGGAGCTAAATTAGTTGCCGTGCTCGAGCCCTGGGTGTGTAAATTTAAGATGAGGTGGCTGATGAGTTCAGGATCGCATGAACTGACTTAGAAATGTGGGTGAGCCACATGTTGGTGACGAGGATCCACCACTGTGCCAAGATCTTGAGTGTTCGTGGTGGAGTCATGAAGAAAAACTGAAGTACTAAAGGCCTTGACGCCAATAGTGGAGTCTCCTTTTTTACGATTTCTTCTTCCCATCACTGATGTGCTTTCCGGACCTCAGCTTGTCCTTTCTACTGACCCTGACCTTGTAGCCTGGAAACAACTGTTTTGGGCTTAAGTTTGTGAGATCTTTTGGACTAAGTCACCCAGTTTCTGCGCCTCGTAGGACGGCGCTCAAGTTCGACCTCGTACATGGAACTAAATATACAATCGCATTGATAAATGTGGATGTGGAATGGATTGGCCTCTTGAATTGCAATCCGTGTTTCTCGTCTATTCTCTTCTGTGTGCACTCCGATCAACGCGACTCGATCTAGCCCGGCTGAGAACGCCTGGTAGGTTGGATGAAACTCGGTGCGCAGTGACGAGAGGACTGGATGAAGTTGGTGGTTCCTCCAACAGATTATAGGCATCAGTACGGCTACTGACAGCTTCAGTTTAAAGCGATCTAAACTCAATAGATTCCGAAAAGGCGTTGTACAAATTGTTCATTCTAAGCAGGCTCTTGGTTACACTTACACCCATCTAATTTCAACGTCAGACTTGGGCCTTGAAACTTGCGTAGCCCTTACAAATGTCTCGCTCATCCTAGACAACCCGACATCGGAAGCGCAACAGCCCTTAAAGTGTAGAGACATGCATAGAAATATTGCATTGCAATGTATACCCACCTTTAAGCTATAATCATTTTGTTGTAAGATGTCACCGCCTCAAACTCGCCGCAGGATGTAAACTTGCGCCAATGGTTGAGGCAGTCCAGATTTGCCAGCCGGCAAGGCCTTCGCACAGGGGTTATAGACCCCATCTATAGGTAGCAGTGCCCGGAAGGGGAAAGATCCAATTTCAAGATTTTTTATAATTACATATTTGAAAATTTTCAATTTCATTCCCCTATCAATTTCTTTACATCTCCAATTGCCGGCTGTGCTGGACCGTGGCGAACATTCGGTGCCAAAGTGGCAATGGTAACTCGTCGGCTACTCGTTTACTGGTTGGTTGGTGACAAATCGACCCGATTTGTCATTTTCGCCCCACATCCAGATCTGATCAGCAGCAGAGAACAAATGCAGTTCGACTCAACACCACCACCAACGAGATCTCAGCTGAAGCTCAATCGCAACACAAAACTCAGACCTCACAATTGATCGCATCTTGATCCTTAATACTGCATAATGGCTTCATCATCCCGCTTTCTACGACCCATGTCTTTAGTTGCTCGCTCCGGCGTGGCATCCCGGGCCTTCATCACACGTCCCTTCTCTACGACTACCCCAAACCGCGTCGTCAAGAACATCACATCGTGAGTCTTTGAACCTAAGAGGGGAAGATGCATGATCCAGTATACTAACACACTCGGTGCAGAACCGAAGAGTTCAGGAAGATCGTTGACAACTCTCCCAAGCCTGTCCTGATTGACTGCTTCGCGACCTGGTGTGGACCCTGTAAGGCCATTTCACCCATTCTAAGCAAGTAAGAGCTTCCACTCTGATGTATATTTATTACTGTGCTAACTGACCGCTTTTGTTAGATTGTCCGATCAGCCTGGTCTTAGCGACAAGATTGAATTCGTCAAGATTGATGTCGACGAGTTACCCGAGGTGAGCGCGGAACTCGGCATCCGCGCCATGCCTACATTCATCGTCATGAAGGGCGGCAAGAAGCTCGATGAGCTTGTTGGAGCCAACCCCCAAGCCCTGACTCAGATGGCGCAGAAGGCTGCCGCCTAGACGGGAGGGACTTGAGATTTGCTCATTCCGAAGATGGGTTTTGTGTACTTTTACGTATCCTTACCGCTACCTAGATAGAGGGACATTGATCGCCAATACACTAGTTGAATTGAAGAGGAAAACTTTTCTCAAATCAAAGTCGTGACTATATGCAGTGCCAATTGCTCGCTGAGAAGAGGATGGCCGCTGATGCGCCCCTCCTCTGCCCTCGGACGCCACAGTGATTGTTTCCACATGACATGTTTAAATTCTGGAATCCTACTGTATGCAATCGATTGATCCCCAATTGAGGAAATATACTGAATACTCATTGGATATCGGGATGCAAGTGCAAGAAGTGACAGGACCTGCGAACGGTGTCTCAATTCGATCTATGTACGACCGAAGGATGATGGCTAGGGATGAAGGAATGAACGCACATAGTATTAGCTGTCTGAAAAGCCTCTCAGATGTCAAACAATAAATCGTACTACATGTATTGAATGACCGCGTTCAATGGTTAAAGTCAAGCAGTAGTGCCTGTTTCTGGGATGGTACTTAGAGGGCGCACGTGGATGAAAGCCAAGAGGACAGCGCAACACCATCAAAATCCCGATGCTCGGACTATTGGGTGATATGACGTTTTGTAACGGCAAGTCAATGCCGGCGGAGATGGTGCGAGTGGTTCTCGCGTTGATGTTAGCCAACCTTATCTGGACCGATTCAGGAATCCTTCAGCCCGAGTTGGAAAGTCTTCCCGATGTTGGAAAGAGTCCGCGATTGGTGGATGATAACGAGAGGATTTCATCATCAATGCCCAAGCATAGACTCTGGGCACTTGATACCAAACGAGACAGTATTTTAGATTAATGATCAACGGCCGCAGGTATAGGCGTGGAATTTTGGTGGTTCGACATGGTTCCTGATTCCCAGACTTATGACGGTTGTCCAACGAACCCACCCAGCCAGTTGAGGATTACGCAGCTTGACAAGGCTATCCGGCACCAGCCATTACGATATCAATTGGAGTATTAATTGTTGCAGAGGAGATCACGATGCATATCGTACCACTCGGAAACGAATACTCGGAATCGACAGCCGAATTGTGACTTGTAATGGAGAGTCAGTCAGACCGAAGCCGACTTCGGGCGTCCAACCCCGCGCCAGTTGCGGTCACTATCGGCTCTCACCGCGTGGCGCTAAACTGATGCCGGGCGGGTCCACCTCGAGGACGCGGACGATAAACCCGCCATTTCGGCGTACATGTAGAGCTTGTTTGGCTATTTCATTGCACGGATTCGGGGTTGGTGTGTTCAACTTTCTTTGGGTCTTTTCTGGTCGTCAATATAACTGTGAAAACATCTTGTTAACATCTCAACTCTTGCTACAATGTCCAACACCATCGTTGTCGTCGGGTAAGTCGAGGACTCCGGAAAGCAGCCTTGATCAATCAATTGACCCGACCATGTAAAGCGCGGGCGTCTCTGGCTTGACGTCGGCATTGCTGCTGTCCAGGAACAAGGCCAACACCGTCACCGTCGTGAGCAAGCACATGCCCGGCGACTATGACATCGAATATGCGTCCCCGTTTGCCGGCGCCAACATTGTCCCGTAAGTTTACTTGAAGTAAGAATGAGAGCATTGCTGATGTCCCCGTCCGTAGCATGGCCACAAAGGAGAATAGGAGATGGGAGTCACGAACTTGGGCCGTCTTGAAGAAGCTGACCGAGGAGGTTCCCGAGGCCGGCATCCATTTCCAGAGTGCGTGATCTTGTTACATCTTCAACCCAGGAAAACCTGTTGCTCACATTTCGTTCCAGAGTGTCACATCCAGAGACGGAAGGCGGACATGGACGAGGCTGCGAGCTCGGGCTTCCCAGATGCCGCCTTCGACGAGAACCCTTGGTACAAGGACCTCTTCGACGACTGGCGAGAGCAGAACCCGAGCGAGGTCATGCGCGGCTATGACACGGGGTGCGAGTACACGGGCGTCTGCATCAACACGGCAATCTACCTGCCCTGGCTGGTCGGCCAGTGCCTCAAGAACGGCGTCGTCGTCAAGCGCGCCATCCTGTCCGACATCCGCGAGGCCAAGCAACTCAGCCACTCGGGCAAGCCGGCCAGCATCATCGTCAACGCCACGGGCCTGGGCTCGCTCAAGCTGGGCGGCGTCAAGGACACGACCATGGCGCCGGCGCGCGGGCAGGTGGTGCTGGTGCGCAACGAGAGCACGCCCATGATGATCTGCTCCGGCACGCAGGCGGGCGGCGGCGAGGAGATGTACCTCATGCAGCGGGCGGCGGGCGGCGGCACGATCCTGGGCGGCACGTACGACATCGGCAACTGGGAGTCGCAGCCGGACCCCAACATCGCGAGCCGCATCATGCAGCGCGTCGTCGAGGCGCGGCCCGAGATTGCGGGCGGCAAGGGCGTCTCCGGGCTGAGCGTCATCCGGCACGCCGTCGGACTGCGGCCATGGCGCAAGGACGGACTGCGTCTGGAGGAGGAGCGGCTGGACGACGAGACGTGGATTGTGCACAACTACGGCCACTCGGGCTGGGGATATCAGGGATCGTATGGCTGTGCTGAGGGTGTGGTGGAGTTGGTTGAGAAGGTCACCAATGGCTCCAAGTCAAAGCTGTGATTTCTCGGGGTCCTCAATTAGCAGAACAATAGGAAGGGTGCCGCATAATATACGACATGGCTTTGATTGTTCATCCCATGACAATGTCACTTCCATGCGTATTGTCAGTGCTATTGTCAATCAAATGAATGCCACCACAATAGGTCGGATGGAGGTCAATGATGACGCCGGCCGGGGTTATGCAACTCTGGGGGCGGCAGCCAAGCTCCCCGAGCTCCACTCCAACACATGAACTCGACACGCGAAGCTTCACACCTTCAACCAGCCAGTGGGAGGAAGCTCCCTGGGAAAGCCACCATGTCCCAACCCGCGATGCCAATCCACACCCAAGCCGTCCGCTTCGTGTCGGACGTCGCAAATGGCCGACATGCACTCTCAAAGCTCATACCAATCGCCGTCTGGCTTGTCGACGCTGTCCTCTGCGGCCTGATCATCTGGAAGATCCCCTGTAAGCCCACCCTGTCCACCTGCGGTTGCCCGACACGCCTGAGCTCCGGGTAACTGACACGGGGCGCGTATAGATACCGAGATCGACTGGGTCGCATACATGGAACAAGTCGCGCAGTTTGTGTCTGGCGAGCGAGACTACACCAAGATGGAGGGCGGCACCGGTCCCCTCGTCTACCCAGCCGCCCACCTCTACACTTACACGGGGCTATACTACATCACCGATGAGGGCAAGAACATCTTTCTGGCGCAGCAGATCTTCGCTGTGCTTTACATGGCTACGCTGGCGTTAGTCATGCTCTGCTACTGGCAGGCAAAGGTAGGTTCGCATTGAACGACGGAGGAGTGTTATGCTGATCGTTGTGACAATCCCAGGTCCCGCCCTACATCTTTCCCCTCCTCATCCTTTCGAAGCGACTCCACAGCGTCTTCATATTGCGATGCTTCAACGACTGCGTCGCCGTCTTTTTTCTCTGGCTCACGATATACTTCTTCCAGCGCCGGTACTGGACCTTCGGGAGCTTCGCATACACGTGGGGACTGGGCATCAAGATGTCGCTGCTGCTGGTACTCCCGGCCGTTGGCGTCATTCTCTTCCTGGGCCGGGGTTTCCACGCCAGTCTGCGGCTGGCTTGGCTGATGGCCCAGGTGCAGTTCGCCATTGCCATCCCGTTCTTGGCGAAGAATCCCCGAGGGTACCTCTCGCGCGCTTTCGAGCTCTCTCGCCAGTTCAAGTTCGAGTGGACGGTCAACTGGCGCATGTTGGGAGAGGAATTGTTCCTCAGCAAGCCCTTCTCTCTTTTTCTGCTGGCCGCCCATGCTACAGTACTCCTGATCTTCATCGTCTCTAGATGGCTCCAGCCCGCCGACCGAACCTTGTCCGCCCTGATCCCCTCGTTCCTGCGAGGCAAGTCCCCTTTTACTCAGTCTGAGGAGAGACGCATCTCTCATTATGTCACCCCTCGATATGTCATGACCACGATCCTCTCCGCCAACGTCATCGGCCTGCTGTTTGCGCGGTCGCTTCACTACCAGTTTTATGCGTATCTCGCGTGGGCGACACCGTATCTCCTGTGGAGAGCGACGCGCAGTCCTTTGGTCGTGTTTCCGCTCTGGTTGGCACAGGAGTGGGCCTGGAACGTGTTTCCAAGCACCGACAGCAGCTCGTCAGTTGTCGTCAACGTGCTGCTCATGACCGTCGTACTGGTGTACCTCGGGACGGATGAGCCGGTTGCTCCCCAGCCAAAGGCTAGGGATGCCAAGGCCAAGAACAAATAAAAGGATAGATCCATGATAAATTTACTCGTCATCTTCAGAGTCACTGGGGGGCATCTTGCCAACGTTCGATTCGTCCTCGGAGTCGCTCAGATTATATGCGTTCTTTGAGAATTCCTTGGGCCTAATACAAGCAAGGAACAGTCAGTATTGTCTTGAAGTCCAGCAAAGGCTTCTCACCAGTAGCCCTGTTTGCGCCAGAGCTTCTCGTCGCGCACAACGTTGACAATCTCGCCCATGGCACGACCATCGTGAGTGTTGTCCTCGTATCTCTCAGCCAACACGAAGCCGCCACGCTTAATCCAGATGGTATTACGGAATCGCTGGGCGAGTTCCAGGACGATCGGCTTGGTGTTGGGCAGCTCGCACGTGTAGAGATTGTTGCCCTCGGGCTTGACGACGCGAACGACGGACTGGTTCGGTTCAAGAGCACCTGGAGGGGTCATGGACTCTTCCGCCGCGGCGAGGACATTGCGCTTGGGTCGACCCATTGTGGTTTTATTTTGCTTTTCCGGCGGTCGGTCCACGTTTTTCGATTATCGTCGCGATTGGCAATTTTTTGAGTCGAAACGTGGGGTCGAGAGGGTGGAGGGGTAGCCACCGATAGACGCAACGCCTCGATAAGCTAAACAGTCCAGAAGCGGGTCACGGCGGTTCACTTTGCAACCGCCCTGGCGGAGATGATCGACGCTATTGTGGATTGACGGCGGACTTGCTGCATCTGGGTTCACCGACCCATCCACCTTATTCTTAGCAGAACGAATGAACCGAGAATCCGAGAGCGATAACCTAACCGACAGAGATGGTTGTCATTGACTACTACTGCTCGGCCCCGGATACTCTCCCTTCGCCCTTCGCCCTTCGCCCCAGATCCTGTACCTAGATCAGAAACGAAACGCCATCGCTCTGTCGCCCGTTCTGAACCCCCGAAAAAAACCGCTAAAGCTTCAAAGTTGATTTTCTCAGCCAAGCTCTTGATTTCATGCATCTGAATGTCCCCTTCATCGTCTTCAATCTCCGTCTCCAAAGCGCGGATGCGCCTTCTGATGTCCCACAGCCTACTACCACGTCTCCAGAGGAAGGCTGCTCCGATGGAACTTCCAGTCATTTCGAATACAAACCGTGGCTCGAGGTCCGTGGTGCCGAGTGTTAGGTTGATACCGTAGCAATCGAGCGCAAGAGCGAGAATGAAAAGGAAGATCGCAATCTTTCCGATGTTTTTCCTGGTATCAAACCTCCAGGGCCCGTTGTATCCAAGATGGTGACGGAAATACTCCACTTTGTCGGCTGATTGGGGTTGCCTAGAAGTGTCAATTCCAGACCACAAAGCAAGGCCTTGTGCAAGGACGTACCGAAATTGATGTTTCGTGTCATATCCTGTACCTGGACCCGTGGACTCCATGCTCACTCAGTGCGATAGTAGAAGGATGGGGGAGGTTCTGCCTGATGTGGAAGCTAGAATGTGAAAATGATTTACTCGTCGCGACGGATGACAAGGCTTGGACCTTTATTAATAAATCGAATTTGATATGTACAAATCTTATTTCCTAAACTGCTATACTAGGCACCTTGTTGTCCATAATTCATATTTAGGCTCATAGTATATACTTCTGCGTGCGAATGGCAATGCTGAGACAGAAAGGTGGAGAAGATCCGGTAGGTTGTGGTGAGGAAGCTAACTTCCGTGGAACCGGACCCTCTCATCAGGGGAATACCGTCCCGGCGGCTCAACCCAGTCGAGTTGCGGGCGTCAAGGTTGCCAATTCACCACGGTCAAGCCAGGAGGCCTTTGTCAGCACGTCACGTCACACCGATGAGTTTTCACCCTGCGTCGAGTTCTGTAGCATTGGCCAGATCGAGCTGCAAGATTTGCCCAGCGTTGCTCGCAATGGCACGCCGATAAGGGCCACGCTCCAGTCGCAACATCGTGAAGCGGGCAGATGGGCCATGTGGTGTTTTCGACCCATATTTTTCGGCACATCTCTACGGGTTTACCCAATTTTTTTTGTGACAGGTGGGTTGCTTTCGTTTTGGAGTGGACGGGGAGCTATCGGAGCTATGGCAGGGTTGAGAGATCCAACCGCATGGAGTCATACCGTCGGTGGGGACTGAAGTTCTTATAACCCAGCTGACTCCGCCATGGCACACCTCACGATACTTGAGCGCCACCGCTCGGTGTGTGCCCGAACCTTTTCCTCGACCCCTCAGTGCAGTTTCTTCACTTTACACTTTCACTCTTCGAAGTAACTTTGGTGTTGCTCTATTCTTGCAGATTTTCCTCTCGAACCTGCACCACAATGGACTCGGCAATGCTTCGAGGTCTTGTCGAGGTACTTCCTCACTCCGCGGAGTCTCCCTCCGAGGAACTCTACCGTCCTCTGACAACCCCCGCCCGGGCTGTTCCTAGGACGTATCCGGGAGCTCCCCAGAGGGAGTCGTTTGACCTTCATCGCATCGGGCGCGATCATGGCAGTCCTGCTAGTCCTCAGTCTGGGACTGCGACGCCGGGGGGAGAGGCAGACCTGGAGATGAGCAGGCCAGCCAGTCCGGTATCCTCCATTGAGGGTGTCGAGGTGGTGCCCACCGTTTGGCAGCCCTACATGAACCGCTTCCGGTTCTTTTCTGTGTGTCTTGCGACTTTCGGCTTCGCCCTCAGTGACAGTGCTGCCGGTGCGCTGATCCCCTATATGGAAGAGTAAGCCAGCCCATATCACTATTGTCGGCGACAACTGACCAAGACCTAGATTTTACGACATTGGATATGCTGTTGTGTCCATGATCTTCGTCGGCCAGGCCGTGGGCTTCGCCATCTCCGCCGTCGTCCTCGATCCTCTCCGAGTGAAACTTGGCCGGGCCAAGCTCATGGGATTAGCAGAGGCCATGATGACGCTGGCGTACATCGCCCACGTCTCTGGAGCCCCGTTCGTCGTCGTCACCCTGGCCTTCTTCTTCGTCGGCTTCAGCATCGGCGTCAACGTCGCCATCGCCAACCTCTTCTGCGGCAGCATGCGGAACAGCACCCTGATGCTGGGCATCCTCCACGGCACCTACGGGCTGGGAGGCATCGTCGGTCCGCTCATCGCCACGGGCATCGTGACGGCCGCGGACACGGTCTGGACGCGCTACTACATCCTGACGCTTGGCATCGGCGCCATCACGACGGCCGTTGGGTTGTGGTCCTTCTGGGGCTATGAAGCAGAGCTGTCGCCGGCGGTGCGCGCCAGAGAGAATGCTCCCAGCGGGTCGATGGTGCAGTCCATGCTGTCGGTGGCGAAGCTGCGCGTCGTCCTGCTCGGAGCCATCTTCATCTTCGCCTACCAGGGTGCCGAGGTGTCCATCTCGGGCTGGGTCATCTCCTTCCTCATCAACACCCGCGACGGCGATCCGGCGTCGGTGGGATACGTCTCGTCCGGCTTCTGGGCGGGCATCACGCTGGGCCGCTTCCTGCTATCAGGTCCCGCGCAGCGCATCGGCGAGAAGGTCTTCGTGTACGGCCTGACCGCCGGCGCCTTGGTGTTCCAGATCCTGGTGTGGTGGGTGCCCAACATCGTGGGCAATGCTGTGGCCGTGTCTATCGTCGGGTTGCTGCTTGGGCCTGTCTACCCCTGCGCGACGGCTGTCTTCCTTCGTAGCATGACACGCCGTGAGGCTCTCAGTGGTATCGGCACCATCAGTGCGTTTGGCAGCATGGGCGGTGCCGTCGCACCTTTCATCACTGGTTTGTTGGCGCAGGCCGTCGGAACCTGGGTGCTGCATCCCATTGTGATTTTCCTGTTCGTCGTTATGCTGGTGTGCTGGTATTGCATCCCGACCGTGCCGAAGCGGACGGAGTAAAAGAAGAAAAAAGGTCAGCTCGGCTTGGCGATAGACAACAGTTGAATGGGAAACTGTGCAATAGAAGCACAGGCGTGTTTTGGGAGCTTGGTGAAAGAAAAGGGACAAACAAGAGAATATGGGCCAGGAGCGTGCGGGTATTGGGAATTTGTCTTTTCTTTTCTGGACGGCGTGAGATTTCTCTCTATAATCTATATCGAGTCTATATCCCGTGGGTAGACATCTCTCGTCTACCATCTAATCTAATATGTGTCTATTAGTTTACCATAGACAATATCGTGTTCATCTTTATCCTTTATCATGAGACTCAAATCCTTATACCAACCATTCATGCAAAATCAAGAATTAGATGCGGCCACGAGCAGCATCAGTGACGGACAGAGATCCAGCGTCGATGTCCTTGCAGGTCTGGAGGATGCTGGACCAGTCGCGGAAGGTGACGAAGGGAACCTTCTCGTTCTCACACCAGGTGACGAGGTCTTTGAGTAAATGTTAGTTTTGAAGTTCTGCCCTAGAATTCGCTGGTGGACTTACCCTTATCGGCCTTCGCGAAGAGCAGGTCGGTCTCTTTGGCGGCAGAGAGATCGGAGACACCATCGCCAGCGTAGAACATGGTGGGTCGGTTGGGAAGGGAAGAGTACTTGCGGATCTCAATGGACTTGTCGTGGCCGTGGATGCTGCGCATGGTCAATTCGACGTCCAGGGGTAATATTCCGGAGGAGAAGAGACTCACCTGTCGTCATGGAAGACAATCTTCCAGCCGTTCTGCTCGTTGATGCTCTTGCCCTCGCGCGGGCTCACATTGTTGCTGACAATCTGAATATCCCAACCTTCGGGCAGAAGGGTATCCAGGAGGGCGCGGATAATGGGCTCCATGCCGCCACTCAGGATGACAATAGGCACGTTGTTCACCTGCGCCCAGTCGTAGAACTCCTTGAAGCCCGGGTCGAGCTTGATGTTCTTGCGGAGGATGTCGATGCACTGGTCGAAGGGGGTGCCGACCGAGTCGAGCATCTCGACGAAGGAGTCGCCAAAGTTCATGCGGCCGAAGAGCACGTCCTTGTTGAGCTTGACGCGGCGCTCGGTGCCAAAGCCCAGGTTGTCGATCATGTAGTCATTGGAGTCGGCCGTGGTGACGGTGCCGTCGAAGTCGGTGAAGAAGATGAAGCGCGGGTTTGTCTTGAGCGCAGGGGTGTCGGAGTTGGACGCCATGGTGATGGCTGTGACTGGTGTTTTGCGAACGGGGGTTCTTTGCGTTCCGGGACTATTTCCGTGTCTTCAACGACGTGCGAAATGAGCGAGCGAAAACGGTCGGACTGCGTGAAGCCGGTGGTGGTGACTGTCGTGAAAAGTTGCTAGAGGACGAGGACGAGAAGAAGGCGGGGGAGGGGCAACTCTTCAATGCGACTGAGATGGAGGATGCGCGCGGCGGTGTTACGGACTACCAGAAACAGACACACCGACAACCACTCAACTACAGCTGCGCTAGAGAGGCTCGTAATTGATAGGCCGCGGTGTTCTGGAAGCATGGCATTAGCAAAAAAACAACGCATAATAGTCGTCGGGCCTTGGCTTGGTTCCCCTTGGACCCTTCACTGGTGCCCGTTCTGTCGTCATGGCAGTGAGAGATGGGGATTTGGATTGGACGGCCATGATAGCGCATCGCAGAATAGGAATCCGACCCCTCCACACCTCACTAAACATCCATGGATGATGGATGCCCACTGCCGCCGTACCTGTAACAGGCGCTGGAACCAGTGGATCCGGTCCCCTAATCCCCTACAGCCGGTGCATGCCCCGCTGCAACCCAACCCCCGTTAGGGCAGTCCTTGCTGCGTTCCAGCGCGGCAAAGGCGGTGGCGCACTATTCTTCAGCAGACGCCCACCCGCTGGAAACGGCCAAGTTGCGTGGCAGAAAAGTTACCGACAGCGGCCGCAGCCGGGGCTCGGCCCATCCATTCGTCCCAACATCGTCGGTCCCGTCCGTCAAGATCAACCGCCAACGTCCCGGAGCCCAAACGGCACAACACCACGCCCAGCGCCTGCCCTTCGGTGTCCGCAATGCAGCCGTTTGCTCGCCCTGCGCGCCTCGTCTTGGGCCACGCCAGGCTGGGGCTCGACCGCGCTGCGTGCCATGGCACCGTTGCCTGGGGACGGGGCTCGGCTTCGGCTCAGAGCTCCGCGATATGTGCGCGGTGCAGCATATGGGCCATTGGCTCCCGCGGACGACCCTACTCGACGCGCATCCCACCGAGGGACCCTGGCGCACAGCCTGGCTCGTCGCTAGAGAAGGAGACGGAGCCTGACTTGATCACCCAGCTTCGTGCCGAGCAATCCAGGCGAGATGGCCTCAAGCGAGACGACGCCAAGCGACAAGATACCAAGCGGGAAGAGGCCAGGCTTGAGGATACGAAACTGTACGATGGAAAGAAGGCCACCGTCAAGCCCGAGACCGCCAAGCCCGAGGACAACGTGCCATCATACGAACTCCCTTCGACGACCGACAGCCGCCGTAGCGAAATGACGCAAAAGTTCAGCTCGATCATGGACAACCTACAATCGCGCGCCCTCAACGCCACCCAGACCCTCAACGACATTACGGGATACACCGGAATCGAGATAATCAAGATGCAGAACGCCGAGCTCGAGACGGCCCTAGCAGAAGCTCATGAGCGCGTGCGCCATTGCCGACAGGCATACAAGACATCCAACTCTAAGCGCGCCCAGACGCAGCGCGAAGTGACGACACTTCTCGCCCGTAAAGACACCTGGTCACCTTTCGATCTCGAGCGCTTCACCGAGCTGTACCGGACGGACCATGTGCTGGAGGGTGAGGTGGTGACCTCGCAGGAGACGCTTACCGATGCCGAGGTGGAAGAGCAGAGCCTCAGCCAGCGGTTGAATGCGGGGATCCTCAAGCGGTATCACGAAGAGCAGATTTGGAGTGATCGGATCCGGCGGGCCAGCACGTGGGGTACGTGGGGCTTGATGGGCATGAACTTTTTGTTGTTCGTGGTGCTGCAATTCGTGGCAGAGCCGTGGAAGCGGAGAAGACTGGTTAGGGGTGTTGTTGCAGAGGAGAAGGAGGTGCTGCAAGAGGTCAGGAGCCAGCTTGAGGAAGTCAAGCTCGCCCTGGAGAGGAGAGATTCAACCGCCGCCATTGAGCCCGTGATGTCGGCGGTCAAGGCGGTCGACGAGGCTCAGGCAAAGGCGACCGAAGACGCTGCACTGTCTGAACCAATCCAGCCCGCTGCTGCTGCTGTGGAGCGTGTCGTGGAAACGCCCGTGGGAGCATTTGAGGAAACGTCAGAAACCCCGGTCGAGATGTGGCAACGGAGATGCAAAGAAGCAGCCCTCGAGTGGAGGGTTAGAGCAGAGGATCTATATAGCGAGCGGCGGATAGATCTACGGATGAGGGACGCGTCGCTTCTGGCGCTCCAAGGGGCTCTGGCCGGCGCGGTATTGACTGGAAGCCTTGCGCTGCTTCTGGTGCGGAGGTCATGATATGACGAGAGTCCGGCATGCCATCGATCTGTATAACTGTACTATTTAGCGCCATTGTACACTACCAGCTTACCACTTTCATACAAGACACAACTAGAGCATCTTCCGAGATCATCGGAGGAATTATGACTGGTCGCCAGGCACATGACCGTGTGAGGTTGGCTCGAAGCTTGCGGAGACGAGTGGCAGCATGCTAACCACGACGAACTGCCTCATTGAGAGGCAAAGGGTCGTTTGTATCTGCGCCTTGACCAATCACGCAACCCAGCGGAGCCGGATGAGCCTTGCCGGCGGTATCACCAACTCCTGCACGTTGACTGTGCATGGTGGAGCTACCGGCTCAGCAGCCAATAGGCGTTCCTAACCTCTCAGACTTACATGTTGGTTACGCAAGTATATATACGAAGCGTTGGTGAGACCTGGTCTAGACCCCGTGTGATTTGGGTGGAACGAGATGACAAGCAGTACGTAGACCTGGATGTATGGGAATGATTTTTGATCTCTGACCGCATCTCATGTAACCTTTACTTGCTTTCCATATTCCATTTCGAGATCAAGGAGCCGCAAGTAGGACACCGCAGGCCATGACGCATTGTCGTACGAAGACATCCTTCTCCTTGCTGGCTTACTGCATCATACACACTACAGCTAAGTAGATTGGTACTTCTTACACAAACGTACGCTCTGCACCTGCAGGCAAACAGCGCAGCGGCTCGACCAACCCGTCCTGCTTCTCATCCTGAAGCATCCGACCAAGCATGTTGTTCTCGACCTGCAGCGGCGATAATTCTCTCGGGCCTACGGTTGACAGTTGCCGCGATGGATTCGACTTCACCATCCACTTTGAGACGCTTGTCTTTTCGCTGATACCTTCAGCATTGTTCATCCCCATATCGCTGTGGCGAACGGCCGTGCTCAGCCAGAAACCAGCCATCGTTCACGCACGCAGCCTCCAGCTCGTGAAGCTGGTTTGTAGCTTCTGATCATACCCTATAGCAGTACTGAATGCTGAGTTTAGACAGGTTGCATTTTTGCCATATCTTGGTCTACAGCTGACATTGGTCGTGCTCGTTGGGTTGCGGTCATTTAACGTCACTGATCTCTTCATCTCATCCGCGGTCCTGCAGTTTCTCGCCGGGCTTTGTATGCTCGGGCTGTCCTATTTCGAGCATGGTCGGTCGCCACGATCATCTCTCTTATTGACCGGGTTTCTGCTCCTAACTCTCTTGTTGGACATCGCCGAGACCCGTACGTTCTGGCTAGCTTCCAACCTGAGTTCAGAACTGCGATATGCGGGCATCTTTACGGGAGTGATCGCAACGAAAGCTGTCTTACTAGCTGTGGAGTCCACAAATAAGAGCAAATGGGTGCGGTGGGACACAGATGAACCTCATAGCCCAGAAGAGACCTCGGGAATATTCGGATTAGGAGTTTACTTCTGGTTGAACTCACTCTTTCTGAGCGGATACCGGAAAATTCTACAGCTGGATGATCTTTACCCACTCGATCGCTCTCTAAAGAGTCACTCGCTGCACCAGCGCTTCCAACACCATCTGGACTACGAAAAGCTCAGGCGAGACGACTACGGGCTTTTGAAGGTGCTCATGCGGACACTTACTTTCCCTCTCCTGCTTCCTATTGCCCCACGACTCGTCGAACTGGGCTTCAAGTTCTGTCAGCCATTTTTCATCAACAGTCTTCTCAGTTTTTTGTCGCGAGATGAAGACAGTAATTCGTCTAACTTCGGCTATGGCTTGATTGGCGCAAGCATACTGATTTACGGGGGGATGGCCCTTTCGATGGCTGTTTACCAGTATCTTTCCTACCGGTGTCTTCAGATGGTACGAGGGTGTAAGTGTCTCTCCTTATGGCCTACCATCCGCGTCTTCTTCTGTCCTTGTTTGGAATGAAACCAGGACAAAATTCCCTAATCCAGCATGTCGGTGCATTGGCTCACTTATATATTTCAGGTCTCGCAGCTGCCATCTACAACAAATTGACCGAGGCACAAGCTGTTGCAGGGGACGAATCCGCAGCATTGACACTGATGAGTGCCGATTTGGAGCGGATCAGATTTGGATTCAGACCCATCCATAATTTATGGGCTAGCGTCGTTGAGGTGGGCATTGCGAGCTGGCTGCTCTACAACCAGCTTGGCCTCGTCTTCTTGGCGCCTGTTATTGTTGTGATATGCTGCTCCTTGGCAATATTGGTCATCGTGAGACATATTGGAGATTCTCAGAAAGCCTGGATGAGTTGGGTACAGAAACGAGTGGGCCTGACTGCATCTGTGGTTGCCAAAATGAAGAGCGTCAAGATGTCTGGGCTGACGACCCCGATAACTGATTCTATTCAGCAACTTCGAGTAGACGAACTGGCAGCCAGTGGCCGCTTCCGGGGACTCACTGTGGTTTCGTCGGTTATTGCCTTTACACCCCTGCTTCTGTCACCTGTCTTCACTTTTGCGGTCGCCCAAAGGTCTCTTGATTCGACCAAGATCTTTACATCACTATCATACATTGTTTTGTTAGCAACGCCGCTTTCAACACTGTTTCAGGACATTCCCCTGTTTTTCTCCGCTGTTGCCTGTGTTGGCCGGATCCAAAATTTCCTGGCGAGCGAGTCTCGCGAAGACTTTCGCGCGTCACTCTTGAATGTCACCATTGCGGAAGGGAACGAGAAGATGGCCAACGGTACTAGCCAGCTCCCCGGCTCAGAAAGTCAATCTGATTCGGCCATTCTCATCAGAGATGGCAGATTTGGTTGGGAAGCTGACAACATGGTTCTGAACGATATCAACATTGATATACCGAAGTCTGCTCTCACTATCGTCTGCGGTCCAACTGCGTCGGGAAAATCAACTCTTTGCAGAGCCATATTAGCGGAAATACCATTTCACGACGGGAGCATTGTTTTCACTGACGCTATTTCTCGCGTGGCATACTGCGACCAAGAACCCTTTTTGTCGAACGGGACTATCAAGGACAACATTGTCGGGTCTGCACCTTTCGACCGGGGACGTTATTCCGATGCCATGCATGCGACGATGCTTGACATCGATATTAAATCGGAATCGTTGCCTCAAGCAGACCATAAAAATATTGGCAGCAACGGAATCGTTCTTTCTGGTGGTCAAAAACAACGTGTCGCATTGGCGCGAGCCCTCTATCTCGAGTCTGATCTGCTCATCCTTGACGATGTCTTTAGTGGACTAGACAACGAGACCGAAAAACAAGTTTTCAATCGAATCTTTGGTCCCACGGGCCTCACCAGGCGGCGAAAGTCAACTGCCATTCTCTGCACTCATTCCACTGGCCACCTCTCAGCTGCCAATCACATAATTGCTCTCGGCCCCAACGGCACCGTGATTGAGCAGGGGAACTTCGAAAGTCTCGTTCAAAGCGAGAGCGACTACATTAAGTCTCTCTCCGTTGAGACCCCCACTGAGACTATTTCAACACCAGAAGTACGGACCGAGAGTGGCATGGAGGAAGCAGGCCATTGCCAAGTCAGCCCGGAGCCCACGGCTACTTCAAAACTCAGCATGGAAGAGGCCCAAAAACGACAACTTGGCGACGGAGGCGTGTACAAGCACTACTTCAAGTCGATGGGCTATCCTTTGGCAGCCTCGATATTCACCTGGGGGGCCGTTATCGGGTTCTCATACAATTTCCCGACTATCTGGCTGACTTACTGGAGCGATGACTCGTCTGCAGCGCATCCGTCCCACGCGTTCAGCTACTACATTGGCATATACGCACTACTCAATGTTGGGTGTGTGCTGTGCATGCTTGGCCTTGGAATCACTGTCTTCTACCTAGCTGTTGTGAAAGCCGGCGCCAGCCTACACAGCGACGCGTTAAGAACTATGAGCCGGGCTACTCTGAGCTTCTTCACGAAAACGGACCAAGGACAGATCGTTAATCTTTTCAGTCAGGATATGAACCTCATTGATACGGAATTACCCAATGCCCTTCTTGACTCTGTCTTCTGCGTTTTCGTAGCTATTGGTCAAGCCGCTGTTCTAACGACGACCTCACCGTATATGGCCATCAGCTATCCATTCCTTGTTGCGATTCTATGGTTCATCCAAAAATACTATCTACGGACTTCGAGGCAGTTACGTCTGCTTGACTTGGAGACAAAGACACCTTTATAGTATGTCCTCCTTCAAATCATTGAAACCGGGTTCATGAACTTATCAGCTGCAGCACTCACTTCATAGACACGGCGAAAGGAATTGTTACTCTGCGTGCCTTTGGTTCCGTCGCTGAAGACCTGAAAAAGAACCTTCAACTTCTAGACACATCCCAAAGGCCCGCCTATCTACTTGTCATGATTCAAAACTGGCTGATCCTTGTATTGGGACTTGTAGTCATGGTAATTGCAGCGATTTTGACCTCGCTTGCAGTGAAGCTCCGGGCCAGCTCAGGATTCACCGGCGCCTCCCTCGTCACGTTGATGTCTTTTGGCGACCAGCTTACTCAGATCGTTATTTTCCTGACTCAACTGGAAACCAGTCTCGGTAAGAAAAGGCCCCCAGCGTTTCGATCTGTTGTATGAGACTGACTTCTAGTCTGCAGGCGCTATCGCTAGGCTCCGGAGCTTCAATGCAACAGTCCAGCCTGAGGCACGCGAACGAGAAGACATAATCCCACCTGAGAGGTGGCCACAACAGGGCCAAATTGAGTTGAAGGATGTTTCCGCAACCTATAGGTTTGTTGTTTTTCCTGGAGAGATGCTTCGATGTGTCGCTGATTCACAATTGATGCAGTACCGAATGTAGGCAAGAGGACGCCGACACTGCGCAACCCTCACTAGCTCTTCGCAATATCAACCTCAGTGTGAAAGCGGGGGAAAGAGTCGCCATCTGCGGACGTACTGGAAGTGGGAAATCTAGCCTCGTCGCTCTCCTTCTCAAACTGCTCGACCCTATGCCTGGGGCAGCACAGGGGGGGACGATCTCGATAGACAACACGGCTCTTGATCGAGTTGACCGCACCACTCTCCGCCGGAGGATCATTGCCGTACCACAAGAGTCAGTGTTTCTGCCGGATGGCTCAACATTCAGGGCCAACCTCGACCCGTTCGCCGCCGCAGACATGGCCGATTGCCAAACCGCCCTCGAGGCCGTTGCGCTCTGGGCCATGGTTTCAGACCGTGGGGGGCTCGAGGCAGCCATGAGTCCTGATACTTTGAGCATCGGGCAGAAACAGCTCTTTTCCCTAGCGCGGGCAGTGGTGAGGCACCGTGTCCGTACGAAGCATTCTGTGCTTGGCCCTGTCCCCGCTGTTGAGGACACTGTTGCCGGGGGTATCTTACTTCTGGACGAAGTGAGCTCTAGCGTGGACGGCGAAACCGAAAAGATGATGCAGGATGTCATCAGGCGCGAATTCAGGAATTACACGGTGTTGGCTGTCTCGCATAGGCTAGACATGATTCTCGACTTTGATAGAGTAGTTGTCATGGACCAGGGCGAGATGGTTGAGGTTGGCAACCCAAAGACCTTGTCTGAACAGCGAGGGACAAGATTTGGTGAGTTGTGGAAGGCCGGTGGGAAGTAGAGGATGGTTTACGATCTTGTCAATAGTTAGGAGTATTAGCATAGAGGTAGGAGAATGGTAGGGGGTTGCGAAAGAGGTCATTGATAGTTACGGACATGGTGAGAAGCCTTATAGTTTTCTGAATTAGAATCATTTATTGAAATGGATAAGTAGAATCCATTTTCTCTAGCAAGCAAGGACTGGTTTAGTATGGTCTTCATTCCGACTGCATAGGTATATGAGAAGCCTAGTCTGAGTTTCATCATCTCTCTTGCTTGGCGATTTAGCAAACAAATGATCTTATTACAAATGCCCCCGTTTTACCGTGAAGCCTCAAAGGATCTCAGCTGGGACGGGCGGCATGGTGTCACTCATCGCACCATGTCATGTCATGTCATGTCGGGGATACTCTTCACTGGGGTAACCCACTGTGTTCAATACTGCCGCTCAAACTAACTAGTGCATCATGCGTAGTGGTACTATTCGTTCCACCTGTTTAATGGGAACCGTGAAATCCATTGGTTCCGTTGGCACCGTTGGTTCCATTAGTCCCATTTGTTCCATTAGTCCCGTTTGTTCCATTAGGACCATGGTTCCCGTTCTGTTTCACTGGTACGACCCCATTACCTCCATGGTGTTTCGACAGCACATCACCGTTGCTCCCATTCTCCTTCTCCTGACCAACCGTCTCCAAGAAGCGGAACATCTCACCGTATAGGGAACCATCACGGACGGCCTCGTAGATGGTAGAGACCCACGACCCAATTGTCTTTTTAGGCCGGCCCTCTATCATGTTGCCGCTGGGGTCATTGGCGACCGGGTGCTCAACCAAACCGCGGTGCAAGGGAACACCAAGCCGCTCGCGCACAAACAAGTACGCCACTCTGGTGCCCTGACCCAGGTGATCAGGCGTGGTCGGGTTATGGAAGAAGGCATCGCGGTGAGCCTCGTACGACTCCAATACTAAGGAGCTGAGGGCTTGGCGGGCCTCCTCGAGTTTCGCGACGGCGAGCCCCCCTGTGAGGTGAGCGCAACTGAGCGCGGCCGTAGCCAGACTCTCAGATACCTTATCGCAACGCTCACCGGCATCGAGGTAAGAATAATCATACCAGGCTTCCTCAAAGAGATTCCACTGCGCTTTGAACAGCGACGTGGCCTTCTCCTCGTCGTCGTCGACCAGGGCAGAGACGAGCTTCCTCACAGGCTCTTGCACCTGTGCCAGGAATGTCCTGTGCAGGGTACGCAGATCCACGCCCTGACAGCCCGTGTACAGGCAGTTGGCGACAATAAGCGAAAGAACTTCGACCGCGTTCATGGTTTGGCGGGCGGAAAGCAGGCCGAGGGAGTTGATGGCCTGGTTGTGCATCTCGGCCGACTGGACGTGGTTGCTAACAGGATTCGCCAAGAAACCCAGCTCGGAAGTATAGGCCGCAGTGTTGACGTCGATACCCTTCAGGCAGAATGATAGACTTGGGTCGTCGGCGGCCAGGTTGGGCGGCAGGCCATTGCTCAAGTCATGGTTGATCATCTCAGTCGTCTGGCTGAATAGCATCTTTCCGATACTCTGCAGTGCGAGGCGAATCTTCTCCGTGGCCGAAGTGACGGCAGCAGCTTGAAAGTTTGCACCGCAGTGAATGTCGTTGTCACTGACATTGACGACGGGATTGTCCGTCGTCGAGTTAATCTCGACGGTGAGCTGGCGCTCAGCGCTCATCAGATCTTCCAAGAGAGGAGACAACCACTGGGGAGAACTCCGCAGAGCGTATCTCTCCTGAGCCAAGCCGGATTTGAAACGATCCTTGGTCTGTTCCAGGCCGTAGATCAACTTCGAGCCCCAGAGGAAGTTCCGGATGTTCTGGGCTGCCTCGATCTGGCCGGTGTGCGGCCGGACAGCGGCGATGAAAGGATGTGCCCACTCGTTATTAGCATACAGGGCCTCTGAAGAAAGTGCCGTCAACAGTTGAGAGATAACGGCAAGTTGGTTGGCTTCGTAGAGGCCAAGAGTAGCCACGGCCGCAGCAGCTGCGGTGCCGTTGATCAAAGAGAGACCTTCCTTGGGTCCCAAGACAACGGGCTCAATTGAAGCTCCCCTAAGGGCCTGTTCCGCCGTCATGGTCTTGTGGAATCCCCGGTTTCCACCGACTCGGACGTATACGTCTGGGTTTCCTTGTATAGCCCCTGAGATGTACGATAGCGGCATCAGATCGCCAGAGGCTGAGATCGAACCTCGAAGGGGAACAATGGGCACGATGTCATGTTGCAGTAACCGAATCATGGTGTCGACAACATTTGCTGTCATTGCCGAATGGCCGCGGATGTTCGTATTGCAGCGGAGCAGCATAGTTGCTCTTGTCCACGCACTGGGCATGCTATGGGACTCGAGGTATTCATGACTGCTTTGAGAATCCGATCGGTCTTGGGCCGTGAGAATGGCACTCTGGGTGTGCTGCATCAAAGCTCGCTGGAGGCCAAGGAGGTCCTTGGTTCGTGTATCGGCACTTCCACCGAAGCCCGTGTTCACACCTATCGTGCAATCGTAAGCAATGGACTCATAACAACTCTAAGATTCTGGGACTTTACCATAGAGGAAATATCCATTAGCAAGATATCCCTGCAATGTGTCAACGCTGGCATTGATTCGGTCCTGGATCTCTGCGCTACGTTTGATAGACACTCCGCAACCGTATCTGGTCGAGTTTGGTCAGAATTGGATCAATTAGTGAGATTTAAGCTCCTCTCACCTTGCAAGAGCTACTACCGACGCAATGTCAAGCGACTCGCCATCGATGATTACCGAACCAGTCTTCACCAGCTCGGTAGCTCTGGCCCATGATTCAAGCGCTTTATTCACATGAGGCGTAGGCCATTGCTGGTGCACATCATACTTGAGATGACCCGGAGCCTTGCCCATGATGACGTTGAACAAGTGGAAATGGCGTTTAGTTTGCGCAAGAAGTCGAATACAAAGACTAGGAATCAGGCTGCGATTCCCGTAACCGAAGAGTGATTGGATGATGAATTGGTATATTGGTTTCGAGGCTATGTTCAAGGAGAAGGCTAACCGCCATTATTAATATTCACGGCTTCCATTTCCCTGTATGCCTTGTAAGAGAATTTGCCCCCTTGGTGTTTCTCGATATCTTTCGTTTACACGAAACCCGCCTTTGGTAAGCCTCAACCTTCAACGATCACGTCGTTTGCTGTCTTGTCCCACGAGAATGACCTGGCATGAAGGCTAGGGACCTACAGGGTGTATTAAGTCCCCGACCTGGTAGTAATTGGATCCCGTTCGACAAGGGACCAAGTTACAAGGTGTTTACCTACATGGCACTTATCGGCATGCCCGAATTGAAGCCATTCAGGTACACGAGCCGCGGCACGTTGTGGAACACGGCCGGGACCGCGGCCGAGAAAAGAACCTTCGTACACGGGCTCCATATCACAAGGCGGTCGATTCGCGGGGACCTCGCTGCAGGATCTACGACCAGGATACCAGTGCCAAGCCAACATAGTAGTTTTCGAAGAGACGCCGCGTATGTGCTCTCGTTTGAATGCCGAAAAGCCGAGTGGCGCGTCAAAAGTGCGTGAATGTCCACTCAAATTGCCCCATTTAGTCAATCGCCGGCAGGTCATCCCATGCATGCAGCCATGCAAAATGACTCCGTGTTACGCGCCAGGAACGAATGCAAGGTCACTTGGCAGGTGGGGAAGCCGGGATTGCATGGTTTAATAGTTAGGATTTTTGCTTAAAGAAATATTTCATTCGTTTGTTTCGAAGGGATGGCTACAGACACCTACCCAATTCAAATATACATGCATACGAACGTTGTTCTACAACCCGCCGTATAATAATCCCCAATTGAGAGGCCACCAGGGTATGTATGTACTCCATACGGAGGGCCCTTTCAAAAGTCTTGTCCTAAGAAAAAGCAACGATTCCTAACCAGCCAATCATAATTAGGCTAAGTACACTAAGTACTTCCTACTTCTCATAAGCCCTAAAAGGTAGCAGATTACAGCACACCATCATCCACTAGATCCTGGCTACCAGCCCCTAATACCACTGAAGCTACAGAATGTATAGGGGATAGCTGTCACAACCTCTATGTATCTCAGGTAACTGACAAAGTACAGGGATGTAGTGTTGCTAGCGCTTGGACGAGACTTTTGAAAGGGCCCTCCGTACACTGCACATTATGTGCCACCGATTTAATACCTATCCATGCCTGTTTCCTGCGCTAAACGAAATTTGGAAGGTTGTTGGTTGAGTTCCTTTCCTTGTGCATTCACTCGCAAAAGCATCCCTGCACAACATGTGATCAAAAGGCCGACAACATTTGTTTGAGGTCCATCGTGTAGGCAAAGAAGCCAGTTGCAACTTTTTTGTCCCGGAACCCGAGTTTTGCATCAATTCTAGACCCGGCCTTACTGTCTTCAGATTCACCAACCCATCGCCCAAGTCAGGAGGTGGCACAGGGAACAAACTGCATATTGCGTAACAACCCTAGCCCGCAAACACGAACACGCAGTCACCGGATAATGGCGGCTCCCGAACCCTCGTCCACGTTCCCCACGGAGACGACTTCTCTGCTGGGCGAACAACAGGCCGAACATGAGGGCGAGCAGGAAGCCAGTCACCAGAACACCTCCAAGACTCAGCTGTACTCGCCCAGACACCTGCTGATACTAGTTTGCGCGTCTATTGTTGCGGCCGACTTTGGCAATTCTCTGGGTTATGCTCCTCAGCTTGAGATATTCGAGTCGATTATCTGCAAACAACTCCTTGGTCTTGGACCCACCCCGAATGGAGACGGACGTTGCAAGGCACCGACTGTGCAAGATGAGCTGGCTCTTCTGAACGGCTGGAAGGACACTTTCGACCAAATTCCCGGAATTGTTCTTGCCTTTCCCTATGGCCTGGCTGCCGACCGGGTTGGCCGCAAGCCGGTCCTCCTTTTGAGTCTGTTTGGCCTCCTCTTCCAGGAGGTTGCTACCCGCCTGATATCCTGGTTCAGCATGTTCGACATGGTGCCCCTCAGAGCTATCTGGTTTACACCCGTCTTTCAGATTGTCGGTGGTGGCCCAGAGATTGCAACTTCAATGGCCTATGCTATGATCACTGATCGGTTTCGACCCGACCAACGGTATGTGTATTTGCAGAAAGCAGAACATGTCCCCTTAGTTATTAGTCCCTAACCACTCGAGTAGAGCGTCTACCTTCTTCATCATGGCCGCCGCAATTCTCCTGGGTGAGATCCTGGCAACCCCCTTGAGTGCGCTGCTGATGTCGTGGTCCCCTTGGATCCCTTCATTGGCTGCTCTCGGCTGCCAATTTTTCGGATTGCTCGCCGCTAGTTGGCTGCCCGAGACGCAGCCGCCGTCTACGACAGGTGACATCGTGGATGTGTCGTGCGACGCAAATGGCAACGGGACGTCCACATCAGGCCAAGACCCCGATCACTCTTCCGGAGGGTCTAATTGGACCGACTCCTGGGCCTGGCCATGGGAGAAGCTAGAAGGGCACAAATTGCTGAATCCAAACATGTTGTTTGTCGTTGGTGCCTTTCTGATGGCCAGCATAGGGAGGCAAGCGGTGCAACTCATCGTCCAATATGCCTCCCAGCGATTCGAGTGGAGCATAGCCCGCGCCAGTTTGCTCATCACGATTAAAGGCGTCATCAACCTAGTGTGCCTGCTCGTCGTCTTACCAAAGCTGTCGCTTATGCTGAGCCGGCGAATGTCACCGGCTGTCAAGGATCTCAGGATCGTGCAGGGAAGTGTGCTATGCCTCACACTGGGTGCCACGCTGATGGCGTTCTCGGCTCGAGGCGGCGTATTCATTGCCGGTGTGTCTGTCCTCGCCTTGGGCTGGGGTTTTTATTCTGCGCTCCGCAGTCTAGCAAATGCCCTTGTTGGGCCGTCTCAAGTCGGATTGATCAACACCATGATTGGATTTGCACAAAGTATTGGGTCAATGGTCGCAGGTCCGGCCTTGGCCGCTGCCTTTCAGCGCGGAACCGCATTGAAAGGCATTTGGTCGGGTCTTCCTTACATGGTAGCTGCAACTCTTTTTCTAACTGCAGGTTGCTTGACTTTGGGTATACGTATTCATCGGAAACAGGACGCTATAGAACCTGAGGAGGTGAATGAGGCACCGATTTCAGAGTCGACGCAATCCTGAGAAATGTACATCATGAGAATTACGATATTGTTGACAGCATTGCAATTAATAACTGTCACCTTCATTTATTCGAAGAGCTTGGAGAGTGCCGATATTATGTATTTTATTTATCTCAATGCGCACTCCTCATGCATTCCCCATTGATACATGGAAATTTAGTTTCCCCAACTTGGCCATTCATACATTCGCACCATGGGCGAGAAGGGTTTGTACAATGGTGGCATCACCTGCATCCACTGCCACGTCCAAGGCCATCCGTCCATTATTATCCCGGGCGTCCACACTGGCGCCGAATTGGAGGAGTATTCTGATCAACGGAAGGTTTCTGTGCTCGACTGCAACGTGCAGCGGCGTCATACCAACCTGGTTTCTCACTTCGACGGATGCGTGGTACTGCAACAGCAGCTGCACAATTTCCGTGTTGCCTGCTGCAATGGCTCGATGCAGGGGGTGTTCACGGGCATCATACTGCAGACTTGTCTCCGTTTGCGTAGATGTGCTGGATGGCTTGCCAGTGGTACTCGACCATTGCGAACAAGACATTGATGCACTTTGGCCCGACTCGTTCGGGCTTGGCTCCTTCTTCCACACACCACGTCAAAACCATAGAACTAGGAAACCGTCTACGAAAGGAAGGTTCGGGGTGACCTACAAATGGCTCCCAGTCGAGATTGAAGCCGTAGTTGCAGCTAGCAGACCATGGGTCGAATGCGGCGGCGTGTTCAAGACCCCCCAGAAAGCTGAAGTCGGGACTGGACTCCGCGTTACGCGGGTGGGTCGTATTCCTCGACGAGAGAAGATCTTCGGCCCGAGCCGGGAGAGACCCGGCTTGTCCTGCATATGCCAGGGTAGATGACGACGCAGGACTGCAATATGGCGTCGGGGCTGCCGGCGTCGTCTGGTCAGGCACATGTGAGAGACTGAGAGACTGAGAGCAATGCCCCCGATCTGCAAATGACGGTGCATTCCAATGCCCATGCCCGTGATCTTCTTCATCTGCGATGTCTTCATAAGAAGATGGAACTTCTGAGCATCCTGCCGTTCTCAGCTGCAGTGGTGTGAGTAGGCGCTGCTGTCGCTGCCGTTGTCCTGCATGACGGGTCATCTCAGCAAAGCCGTCCAATAATTAACGGTACCGATGGGGAGAAGAATGCTACGCACGGGATAGACGTTTACTTAGTCGGTTTTTCTTCTTGCGTTCCTCGTCGGCACTTAGCATTGTTTGGTGATGGTGGTAACGACATTAGAGATCCAGAGGTTCGAATAGCGATAAAAAATATGACCGATTTCTTCTCTTGGCCTAAGCATCAAAAGATAAAGCTTTGGTATTAAATTGATTGAGGGGAGAATACAGGAGCCAAGCCCGCGCCTCGGGGTCTATAAAACTGTACAAAGTACAACAAACCAATGTCCTCCTCGCAGGATCCCTGTCACTCAGCAAATGACGGATTCTGCAATCCTGTATCATACGATGCGGCTACGCGACTAGCGTGATGATCACGAGTCTCTGATTGCTCACATATGATGAGATAAATATAAATGTTGGTCCTCGTCTGACTGCCATCTCAGTTTAGAAGGCGCCAAGATACGACGGTTCTTTTGCAGGTTGCTGGGGGCTTCCTCGGGGACCATTTTCGGCTCTGCAGATACCGGCAGGCGATCGAGCTAGGACATGATCCTACCATCTTACTCAAATGGGCCGCTCGCATTAAATTTCGCAACGGTATACGTGCATATTGCCCATATAATTCAACGAGTACGAAGGCTGGCGCAGGAAGTTTGACAACTTTCTCGGGTAAGCCAGCCTTCGTAGTCATTCCCTAAATCCATGTAAATCTTAGCGCATGCCCCCTGTGGAGTAGGCACTGTCATTGTACAACCGCACCGTGCCAAGGGTCTCCCAGCTTGACACTGCAGGAGACGAGATGTTACCATGGAGGCGTTTGCTGAGTATGATGTTTTGTACAGAGCACAGTACACAGAGTTCGTTGGAACGTAGTATCGAGAGTTTTGACAGTCAAGGCTGACAGGGATCATGCGATCCATTGCAGAACATCCAACCATTCGGACACCTCGAATATGAAGAGCTCTGTGGTAGTCTAGCTAATGTTTTCATTTGCGTGGCATATATCATTCGGCCCTGGATCCAGGTAAAACAAGTACAACATTTGAATCATTGCTGCAGAAGGAACAATCCCAATCAGCACTCCTCTCAGCACGTCGACATGGCGGAGGCATATTGGATCAAGACCTTCGAAGGCCTTGAAACTACACATTATCCACCTCTTCCCGTCATTGGCTATCAGCCTACGTTGAATCGCAGTGCCACTCATGAAATCCGGGGGCTGGACTTGCAGGCGCACCCTGATGCGCATCGCACTCTCTCCACGACACTGCGAGCTGCATGGGCCCTGCTTCTAGCACAATACTCCGGCACTAACGATGTTGTGTTTGGAGCCATAGCGACCAGTCACAACAGGGACTTGGTCGCAGAAGATCAGGATGAACCTTCCGTCAGAGAACGTCTTCTTCTCATGCGAGTAAAGATCGACTGGCAGTCGAATGCCAATGAATGGCTACGGGAGATTGCATCGCAAGAAACCGCCATGGAGGCCGTTCAGAGCTGGGGCGGTCTGGATCAGATCCGGCTTTGCAGCCCAAAGGCACAAGAAGCGTGCAACTTCGGTAGTCTTTTGCATATCCAATATTCAGGGACAAGTCATAGCCAGGTGCGAATTCCCCATGCTACCCCTAGCCCCGCAGCCTCTTCTTTCTTGGCCTGTAATTACTTGACTACCCAACATCCGCCACACATTCCGTGGGTAGCTGAAATAGAATGAGTGCTCATGTTTCGTATAAAGCAGGAATCTCGCGGTCTCGAGGCTGAAAAGGAACCTCTCGCTGGACAACTTGCTCTCCTCGTGGAATGCCTTCATGGTGCCGGGACAGAACTGCAGCTACAATTCCATTTCGATAGTAATATCATGGATCAGACTCGTATTCGGCGCATGGCTTTTCAGTACGAACACATCATACGTCAAGTCTTGAGTCTGCACAGCTCAACTTGCGGGGATCTATCGGCAAAGCGGATTGTCGAGCTCGACACATTCTGTGAACAGGACAAAGCGTTAGTCTGGTCTTGGAACGCTTCTGTACCAAGAAAGGTCAGCGCACGAGTTCCGCATCTCTTCTCCCTACAAGTTTCTAGCAAGCCGCAAAGCCTCGCTGTCCACGCCTGGGACGGCAGTCTCACGTATGCCGAACTTGACCGGAAGTCGAACGCCCTTTGTGCATGGCTGTTACGCCAGAACATTGCATCCGCTGGCCGGATCGTCCCGGTGTGCTTTGACAAGACTATATGGACAACTATTACGATTCTAGCCATCGCCAAGTCTGGCTCTGTTTTTATTTTGCTGGACCCCAACCAGCCCCAAGGCAGACTCGCCACTATCTTGAATGGACTTGAGTTCACCGGAGTCTTGGCAAGGCCAGACACGGTCGAATTGGCCCAATCGCTCGCCAATAATGTGCATCTGGTTGGGGAGGAGTTGATCGAAAATGAATTGCTTCAAAGGAAGGAAGCTGAAGACTTCCAGAATGCGGCGCAGTCACCGGATGACCCTCTATACATCGTCTTTACATCTGGCAGCACGGGAACCCCTAAAGGTGTCACGATCTCCCACGCGAATCTCTGCACAGCAGCCGCCCACCAAGCTCGAGCGCTTGGATTCGACGGCTCTCGCACCTTTGACTCTTCCTCCTACAGTTTCGATGCCTACGTCTGCAATACGTTCTACACTTTGTTGACTGGCGGCTGTCTATGCGTGCCCTCAGAAACCGACAGAATCAACAATCTCCAGTCTGTCTTGCAGGAAATGGAAGTCGACTTTGTGCAGCTCACGCCTTCAACCACTCGGGTATTGGACCCCGCCAAGCTTCCGCGCCTCCATACCTTGATTTTGACGGGGGAGAAGATCAGCAGATCCGTGTTGGATCCCTGGTTGGCTACAGGACGAGTCCGTGTCATCAATGCGTACGGACCTTCCGAGTGTACAATCATGTGTTCTGCCAATAGGAACATCACATGCATTGAAGATGCAGAGTGTATTGGGAATGGATTGGGTGCCGTCCTTTGGGTTGCTGACGTCAACGATATTACGAAGCTGGCTCCCGTGGGCGCGGTGGGTGAGTTGCTCATCGAAGGCCATATCATCGGCCAGGGATACCTGGGTGATGAAGCCAAGACCCGGGAATCTTTGGTTCATGTGCCAAATGGCTACCTTCAAGGCGTCGCCGATGCGCCGTCCGGCCACCTCTTTCGAACCAAGGACTTGGCCCGGTATAATTCAGACGGCTCCATTGTGTACCTTGGGCGAGCCGATACACAGATCAAGGTTAACGGACAAAGAGTCGAGATTGGTGAGGTCGAATACAATCTTGGGCAGTGCTTGCCAGAAGGAATAGACCCCATTGTCGAGACGGTTCAGTGGCCATCAGGGAAACGACAGCTTCTTGGCTTCGTCTATCTCGGAGCGGGCCACGCACACCTCAGCCTGCAGCATTTAATTGCTGGTCTCGACGCCGAACTTTCCAAACGTCTACCCAGATATATGATACCATCCGCCTATTTTCCCTTGCGAGAGATACCGATGACAGCGTCGGGAAAGACGGATCGCAAGAAGCTGAGGAGCATAGCCTTAGATGCACCTCATCAACTTCTCGATGGCCAGACTTCTAATCTTGACGTCGAGGACCGTCCGATGACAACCAAAGAACAAGCCCTGAGTGAGCTTTGGGCGAAGACTTTAGCAATAGACCAATCTTCGATCCGGCCAAAGTCCAACTTCTTCTCTCAGGGTGGTGACTCACTCGCAGCCATGCGCCTTGTCGCGACCCTGCAACGTGAGGGATACTATGGGACAACTGTTGCCCATATATTCCAGCACCCGCACCTCTCCGATCTTGCAACTATTCTCACGAAGAAGGACTGCATCGAAGAGATGACATTGCAGTCAGACATCGCTCCGTTTTCCATGCTCGGCGGGTATCAAGACGTGGCCGGCCTTCGGAACCAAGTATCAGAATTGTGTCAGTGCCCACAGTCGCATGTCGTCGACATTTATCCTTGTTCGCCAATACAGGAAGAGATGGTGATACTGGCGTCCCGCAATCCAGAGGGCTTTGTCACACAAAAGGTGGTTGCTCTCCCCCCAAACGCAAACCTCAGCCGCGTAATGAGTGTATTGGGAAAATTGACAGCAACGATACCAATCCTTTGCACTCGCATCGTTGATATTGAAGGTGCCACGTCTGACTCCCCGAACCTTGTCCAAGCTGTCATCAAAGGAGGTTTGCCGGTAACCCCCTATTCACATCTTGAGACATGTCTGCAACACGAAAGGGCGAAAGACATGGGCCTTGGCAAGCCGCTGTTCCGACTCGCCAGCGTGCAAGCAAAAGATTCGGTGTCATCGGGCAATGGGGAAGCCTTCATCGTCCTTACTATGCACCATGCTGTGTATGATGGGTGGTTTCTAGACATCCTCGGAGAAGAGTTGACGCGAGCATACCAAGGAAAGGAAAACACGACCTCCATTATCGAGTACCGGAATTTCATTAGCTACCTCAACTCGTCCGATGACGCGGAAATTGCCAGTTTCTGGCAAAGAACTCTGAAAGATGTTGAGCCGGCAGACTATCCCAGCTTTCCAGCCCCGGACTACAAGCCGAAGGCCACTGCGGTGCTCGAGTGCGAGGCTGTCGGAATAGACTGGACTGCGGCCAACGGTATAACCGCAAACACGCTCGTACAGGCAGCATGGGCCGTCGTCCTGTCTAAATACTCCGGCGCTGAGGATGTCGTCTTTGGGTCGACTCTATTGGGTAGGCAGATCCCCTTGCCGGGTATCGAGCGCATCGGCGGTCCAACCATAGCGACCGTCCCAGTCAGAGTCATTGTGGGTTGGGATTCGCAGACCGTGGCGCAATTTCTGCAAGCCATCCAGACCCAGTCTGTCGAGGTTATCCCATTCATGCACTTTGGTATCAAGAATATCCGGCAACTCAGCTACGATGCCGACAGAGCCTGCCGGTTCCGGACCTTTCTGGTAGTGCAACCGGCATCTGAACCGTCTGGCAACGATATGTTTGACTTGGGCAGTGGCAAGGACGACATCCAGGCATTCAATACGTATGCTGTGATGTTGGAATGTTCCCTTACCAAGTATGGGGTAAAAATGCGCTCCAGCTTCGACAACTCGTTGGTAAATGATGACGTGGTTCGGTCGATGATGGGCCAGATGAGTCGCGTCTTGAAGCTCTTCTGCACTGAAGACCAATCCATTGGCCTTGGGGATTTGGAGATCCTCAACGGCGAAGAGCGGCAACGCATCCTCAACTTCAAGTCGAACGCACAGCACAGCCAGATTCTCGAAATAGCATCTCATTTCAGAAGCTGCCTTCCACAGGAGGTATCTGATTCCACCGTTCATATTCTGGAAATTTGCAATGTGCCGAAGCAACTTGTCGGGGTTCTTTGCTTACCCGATGACTCTCAGAGGAGGTTGCTCGACATCCTCTCCGAGGCTCACAGCCAACTTACCAAGATATTGCCGAAACACATGATCCCCACCAAGTTCATACTCTCTCAATCTATCCCGAGAAAAACAGGTGGGGATGTGGATGGCGATGCCCTCGGGAAGTTGGCAACAGAGACTCCGGCGGAGCGGGTCATTGATGCTTCCTTGTTGCGCAAGCAAATTGATAGTCACCAACAACCACAAACCAGTGCTGAGATTCTCCTTCAGGGTATATGGGCGAAGGTGCTCGGCATCAATGCTTCATCTATCGGCAGGGAGAGCTCTTTCCTATTTCTAGGAGGCGACTCGCTCGCTGCTATGAGACTGGTTTCAATGGCGAGGCATGAAGGCTATTCCCTGACTGTTGCCAAGATATTCCAAGCACCACGGCTCCAAGAGATGGCCGCAAACGCCGTCGAAAGGATAAATGCCATTACAAATTCTCCTTTGATACTTCCATTCTCACTTATGGATGGAAGTTTCGACAAAGAATCCCTGGCCAAGGCTTGCAACATCGAGCCAGAGGAGATTGAGGACGCTTACCCCTGTACTCCGTTGCAAGAGGCCGTGATGGCACGCACCACACGCCGAGCTGGTGATTTTGTTTCGCAGGGCCTTACTCAACTGGCTGGGGACATCGACATCGAGCGCTTGAGATATGCATGGGAGACGGTGGCCGCTGCCACGCCAATTCTTCGAACTCGAATTGTAGAGTGTCCTGGCCATGGTCTTCTACAGGTGGTGGTCAAAGGTGCAATAACTTGGTCTGTTTGGGGGAACCTAGATGACGTGGCTTCCTCGTCCCTCGGTCTTGGTCAACCCCTTCTCCGATTCGATCTCATTGAATCGTCCCAAGAAAACAAAACGAGCCGTGCTCTACTTACGACCATTCACCACGCCATTCATGACCGATGGTCTGCTTCCCTGATCCTCGAACAGGTGGAGGCCGTCTATAAGGGCCAAGAGCGCAATGAGAAGTTAATGCCCTACAATTATTTCATCAACTATCTCAAGCTCAAAGACAAGGAGGAGGAACTGGCCGAAGCCTTCTGGACCAATTACTACAGTGATTTGGACGTGCCCAACTTTCCAAGCCTTCCCACTCCGAAATATCAGCCAAGAGCGGACGGTATTTGCAAGCGGCAGATCCAAATCCAGTGGCCGAGTAACGCCACACCATCGACCACACTGAAGGCCACCTGGTCAATACTTCTCGCGCAATATAGCAACTCTAATGACGTTGTCTTCGGGTTGACTGTTATGGGACGACAGGCTCCCCTTGCCGGGATCGAGCTCGTCGCTGGTCCAACCATCGCGACCCTCCCGTTCCGTGCCAAGATCGAGTGGGCAGGTACACCACGAGCCTTGTTGCAGGCCATCCAGACCCAAGCCACTCAGATGATCCCCTTTGAGCATTACGGTCTCGGCCAGTTATCCAGTCTGAGTCCGGAGGCGAAGCGAGCATGTCAATTCCAGTCAGCATTGGTGATACAGCCGCCCGAACGCTCCACGGAGCATGGCGAGCTCTTCGGGTTGGGGCTCAGTGACTCTGATGCTCAGGGTGCGGATGGAAACGCACTTGTCTTGGAGTGCACGCTAAATGACAGGTTGGGGGAGGTTGAGGTCAACCTCAACTTTGATAGACAGATCCTTGACGGCACTCAGGCGGAACGCATGCTTGCGCAGTTTGAGCACTTGTTGCGGCAATTTAGCATGCATGACTTGGATATCGTGTCTCTTAAGGATTTGGCGACGCTAAACCAACAAGATTGCCACCAGATCTGGGCATGGAATGCCACAGTCCCTGAAAAGATGGACAAGGGTGTGAGCGACATGATCCTCGAGCGTGTCCACGAACAGCCAAATGCCACCGCAGTGTGCTCGTGGGATGGCTCCCTTTCATACAGCGAGTTGCACAAGATGGCTCAGGGACTTGCCTACAGCCTCGTGGTCCAGCACGGCGTCGAACCAGAGACTGTCGTGCCCATTTGTTTCGAGAAGAGCCTTTGGGCACCGGTGGCCATGCTAGCCATTGTCCTAGCTGGAGGCACAGTCGTTGCGATGGACCCGAGCCAGCCCTTTGAGCGGCTACATTCAATTGCAGAACAAGTGCAAGCGCGCCTTATTCTAGCATCAGCAACCACGAAGAACATTGCCCAGAAGCTGGTTACTGCTGCCATTGTCATCAACTCTTCCTCGATTTGCGGTCTTCCAGAGCCTCCCCCCAGTTTCGCGACCCCAGTCATCTCAGGCACAAACGCACTATATATCAACTTCACATCTGGCAGCACTGGCACGCCCAAAGGCGCTATCGTGACACACGAGAACTTTTCTAGTGCCGTCCACCATCAGGCAAATGGTCTAGGTTTCGGAAAGACAACACGGGCGTTGGACTTGGCCTCATACAGTTTCGATGTCGTTTGGGAGTTATTCTTCCAGCTGCTGTGTACTGGAGGTTGTCTCTGCATCCCCTCAGACGATGATCGCCGCAACGATATCGCGGGATCTATACAGAGACTGAATGTCAACTTGCTAGACACGACACCCTCCATAGCCAGGACCTTGGACCCGACAGCGGTCCCCAGCTTGAAGAAGATCGTCCTTGGCGGCGAACCTCTGGCTGTTGACGATGTGATCCGTTGGGAAAACCGCCCAGATGTTGAGGTTTGCAATACCTACGGGCCGACTGAGTGCACCCCAACCAGCACAATCGCCGTTTACGGACAAGACTTTACTTCGGAAGTGAGTCTTGGCCGCTGTTACGGATTGAATAGCTGGATTGTGAGCTGCAATGGGGGCGTGGATGACCTCGTGCCCATTGGGGCCATCGGGGAGCTGGTTCTGGAGGGGCCACTGGTTGGAAGAGGCTACCTGAACGACCCCGACAGGACGGCGGTCTCGTTCATTCAAGACCCCTCATGGCTACTACGAGGTCATCCTGGATCTAACCCCGGAAGACATGGCCGAATGTACAAGACGGGCGACTTGGTGAAATACGATAGTCGAGGAATGTTAACCTTCGTGGGCCGCAAGGACACTCAGGTGAAAATCCGCGGCCAACGGGTCGAACTGGAGGAAATCGAGTTCCACGCCCGCAGTTTCTTAGGGTCTTCATTCTCCGTGGCTGCCGAAGTCATCGAGATGGACAGGGCCGCATACAAGTCACAGGTCTTGGCGCTATTTCTTTCACGCGAGGATTCCCAACAACCAGATGAGCAGCAGGAGCAGCAGCAACATCCAGCCTCCTCAACTCTAACCAGCGACCTTGCAGACCACCTGTCTCAAGTGCTCCCTATTTACATGGTTCCCTCGACCTTCATCTTCGCCAAGATCCAGTTGTCTGCGTCCGGCAAGATCGACCGTCGGCGGCTTCGAGAGATTGGAGCTCAAGCAAAACTCGATCAATTGCATCAGAGGCGACCCGGGACGGGGCCCGAAACGAAGTCCGAGAAGGATCTGTGCCAGCTCTGGTCTGAGACACTAGGCGTGCCTCTCGACAGCCTCGGCCGCAACCATAGCTTTTTCGACATAGGAGGAGACTCGTTGTCTGCGATCCGCTTGGTGGGAACTGCTCGGAAACAAGGCCTGCCTCTTTCTGTGGCGATGATCTTTCAGTACCCGCGACTGGACGAGATGGCCAGAGAGTTAGTGTCCGCTCAGCAAAATGTTTTGGATAAGACTTCTGCGGACGACTCCAAAATACACTCCTTGATTTACGAGACAGACCTCCCAGATCCTGCCGAGGTATCAAAGTTACTCTCAGTCTCCCAGGATGCCATCAGCGACATCCTACCAGTGACTGAGTTCCAAAGCTATGCCTTAAAGTGCGCCTTGGGCAAGCCGCGCACTGAATGGAACTATTTCTTGGCCCGGTTCTCACGACCTGTCGACACGGCCAGGTTGCAGCGTGTCAGCCAGCAACTTACCGACACTGTTGACATTTTCCGAGCTATTTTCTTGGCGCATGGCCGCCAGTACGTGCAGGTATTCCTTAAGTTCCTGGAACCGCAAGTGGATGTTGTCAAGACCTCGGAGCCGCTCGATGCAATCTGCAATGCAGTCTGCCTCCAAGATTTGAATGGGGACCTTCCTCCGATTGGGTCATCATTAGCGAAATTTTACATCTTGCAGACCGAGGTTGGCGAGCTGGCGGAGGAGACAAGTCTCCTCATACGGATCCCCCATGTCCTGTACGATGGAATCGGCTTCCCCCTCTTGGCAGACAGCATTGGTGCACTCTGCGATCAGCGTCCGCTTCCGCCTCTGTCTAATTTCTCGACCTTCATCAAAGACACGGCTAGAAGGCCCACAGAGACGTACGAGTTCTGGGGCTCAGTTTTAAAGGACTCCGCCGTGCCTACCATCATCTCGCCTAAGAGAGCGTGCGAGAGGAGTCCTAGCCAGGGTAAGCGTCTCCATCTACTCAGGGACATATCACTCCCCCAACACCCCCCAGGCGTCACAGCAGCCACGATACTGAGTGCTGCGTGGGGCGTGGCGCTGTCACGAGTCACAGGCGCGACCGACGTTGTGTTTGGCCGTGCCGTGTCCGGAAGAACACTGGCCTCCGCTGCGGCGGAGCATCACCAAGACGTCATCGGGCCATGTTTTAACCTTGTCCCGGTTCGGATGATGGTCAACCCGAGCGACTCAATTCACGACATTCTGTATCGTCTGCAAGATCAAATCGTTGCGTCGATTCCACACGAGCACATGGGACTCAGTGAGATGGTCGACAGGTACACATCGTGGCCAAAAGATACCGTCTTTGGCTCTGTCGTCTACTACCAAAATCTTGGCGATGACCCGACCGTCACCATTGATGGTCACATGGCTCGTTTGACAGCTGTACCACTGGATCGGCCAGACCCCCCTGAGCCTCCTCGGCTTGATATCATTCCCAAGGGGGACAAGCAATACACCTTGGAGTTGATGGTTCATGAGGAAGACGGCAGTGCTGAGACATCGAAAAATCTTTTAGATGAGATGGAGAACTGTTTGGAGTTATTTTTCAAGGTTAATTAGAAGGAAAGTAGGAGGCATGTTAGGATAGTCAGTTAAAGTCAAGCCAGCAAGGTCTTCCGATACGAAAGTTATGTGAAGTAACTATCGCTGGATAAAGTGAGTGTTTGTATGTTCTGCCGTTTTATTCTGCATTACATCGTTGTGAGAAGCTTTATTTGACTCGGTAGTTCGTTCTTTCCGATCTGTCAGAACCCGATATAGCTTTTTTGCCAAGCCCCAGCCATTCTAATCCGGGAGGAACAAACCGCATGTTTTCCTCCTAATACAGTACATGGGCATCCTTAGTGCGACCCCCACCACACTCGCGATGCGTCATGAGCGGCAGCCAATCGGGCTCCCGCTTTATGCATGACCGCCTGGGTTACCGGTCATGGGCTGGTAGGGCTGAAGAGCCAGAAGGGCAGGACTGTCACGACGAGCGCTGCAAGAGCGGAAGGGTGAGAATAGTAGTCTCGTGGCTTCCGAGTCTAGGGTAGGACGATAAGGAACCGGCTATTCAAAGCCGTCAAGGGTGGTAACACGCGGGCGTCAAGGGCGGTTGTTCGTCATTGTCACTCCCAAGCCCCAGTCGGATGTGAGTCCGGGGTCGGCCTGAGACGGATGTGTAGTGTAGTCCTACGGGTCGGCGGAGAGGCTCTAGCCCTTCGTTGGTGGTTGTGTTCGAGTCCTAGAGTGGCTGAGAGGTGTGGCGTAGTCACCGGGTTTAAGGACTCCGGGCAACCACAAGTGCCCGGCGGTGTCTTACCGGGAGTGAACAGGGCAAGCATCACGTGGAGGGCTTCTGGCAGATGATGGGATGCGCAAATGGGATTCTTTACTCAGGCGTCTCAGAGGGTCTTCGGCTTGTGGCGCCGGCTTGGAGATGCATGTTGGTGGAGTCGAGCGAACAAAGAAAGACTTGGGGGAAGTGCGGAGCATGAAGAGAAAAAAAAAATCGTGAACTTGGTGAGCGCGGATTACGGTGACCAAAGGGGAAGGAAGATTTCTTGATTCCATCTGCAGGCGGTGACCAGGCTGTCCTTGCTGTCGAGTCTAAGTGGTACAGTTGGTGGACCTCGTTTTGGCGTGGAAGGAATCGTGCATATCGCGCTCGTTTCATGGAGAGTGACAGGGGAGCAAGAAAAGTCCTAGGGCAAGCTCTAGGACGACCTTAGCTTGCACCCGTCGTCAATGCCTGAATTATAAGAGATCCAGGGTCGGCACGACCAGAGTACAGGTCTAGGGCAGCCTCACTTTGATGTGGAATCAATAAGGCTTAGACATGGCTAGAGCCAAGAAAAGGCTTCGCATTCGCTTTGCGGATGCAGGCTGTGGATGGTTAATTGGCTGTATCATGAGCGTTTGAGGTCGGGTGCGACGTCTGCCGATACATATCAAACAAGTACATTCGCCAATCGCCACCACCTGTGTGCGTATTCGTCACGGTCAAAGCCTCACGCCTCGCCTCATTCTTTGTCCTTTGTCGTCGTCCTATATAGTCTTATTAACCCAAGGAGGCGTTTGCCCGCTTTTGAATTGACAGATATCACTTGACTCGTTGCTCCTACTAAGACGATATTGGGCGTCGTCCACGCCGACTCTGGTGGCATCTGATCCCTCAGCTCCGTTCAGCTCCGCTCAGCTTCAACGGCCCGAGCACCAACGGGAGGTCGCGCTGGTATTACGTTCTGACTGCTCGCGACAACCCTTGCTGGGAGTAGTCCAACCGGGGCACGATCGGCAGAGCAGGCGGCTTCGCAGAGTCGCATTGTGGTGCATGGAGGCAACAGGAGGGAGATAAGTGATTGATTGATTGATCACCATTCGTGTCGACTGATTACCGGCCGTGTTGACCGAGACCGACGACACAAATCGCAAGCCACCGACACAATTGCAGGTGAATGCCCAACAGGGACCAAGCACAGAACCACAGCCAGCGCCTCCGTCAGCGAGGCAAAGTACTGTGCAGTATCCGTACCTGGCCGGCCTGCCTCGGAGCTGTGACCGACCAGCGGTGCCGGATTGCCTGATGTCCGGGATCAGCAACTCTGCCAGACGACAATTCCAACGAAAAGAAGTGGATCCCAGAGTCGAAACGGGCACGAAGCTGCAACATTCACAAACCGTTACTAACTCGCAGCGCCTCTCCCTGGTTGCGGCATCGTATGTCAACACGACCACGGCGCGATAGCAGCTAGGCAACTTGTACCCTAAGCTGGTAGGTACCTGAGGCGACAGACGCTTCCCAGCTGGAGGCCAAGGAGGGGAAGAGGCCCATGCTTTTTCTGCCCTGGGTTTGGCCCTTTGGGCTTTGGGCACTGGCATTGGGCGCCCGGCCCCCTCCTCCCCTCCTCCCCTCCCCCCCGTTTGAGGGCGACAACCGCTAACTCAAGAGCTTAGCTTTTACCGCTACCGCATGCAAAACAGAAAAAACCCCGCCAAAACGCCCAGAGCCTGCCGTCGTATTACCCCCCCTCCAGGCTTCTTCCCTCCCCCTCCAGGCCTCGTCCCCCCCCGCGCCAGGCTTCTCTCGCCCCGAAGACGACCAAAAGAGCCAAAAGAGCGCCCCAACGTCCATTTCATCCACGGCTATCCATCACTGACGACATCTCTCACCACACCACCTCCCACCTCTCACCTCTCCTCTCTCCTCCCGCCCTCCGCCTCTTGCCACCTTCATCCCACCACCCGTCAACCGGCAACCTCTCGCCCTCGCACCTGCAGTGCTTGTGCCCCTCTCCCCTCCCGTTGCGAGACTCAACGGCACCTCACGGCACGGCCCCCCCTCTTCTCGCTCTTGTCGCTCTGCTCGTCCTCGACCGACTCCCGCCCGCCCACAAACAGGGCGCCCGTCGTGTCCCTCCTCGTTGATCTCGGCCTGCCTCGCCGGCCACATCCTCTCCCTCCCATACCACCTCCACCTCCCGTCGTCCTGCGCGAACGCATCGCGCTCCCCCCGCCGCCATGAACGACGAAGAGGCAATCCAGAATATCTACAAGAAGATCGAGCGGGAGAAGGCCCTCATCAACGCCGCAAATGCCATGCGAGCCCAGACCAACAACGAGGCTGTCCGCTCCCGCCTCGACTCGCAGATGCGCGAGGGACGCCGCAACCTCCAGTTCTTCGAGGAGAAGCTACGCGACATCCAGATGCGCCGCGTGAGCCAGGGCGTCGACGGCATGTCGCTGGGTGGCTTCGATGCTGGCGACGACTCGGCCCCCGCCCCGCCGCCCAAGGACGCCTCCGGCAAGTACGTGGCAGATCGAGGCTCCCGAGGATCTGGCTCCGGCCAGATGGGTGACCTGCCGCTCCCGCGTTACCCGAATACAGGCCCGGGTCCCAACTCTGGAGGCTCCAAGCCCCGGCCCAACTTCACCAAGCTAGGTTCGTGACCATGCCATATCAAGCACCTGGTGCTTTGGACTCGCTCCAGACGCCCAGCCCAACCCGATGGATAGAGCTAATTGTACTCGCAGACTTGGTCAAATACGATACACCTCATCTCGGGCCCCGCATTCAGCTCATGCTTTCCCAGCTCAAGTTCAAGCTCGACGTTGAGTCGCAGTATCTCAAGGGAATCGAGAAGATGGTTCAACTCTACGGCATGGAAGGCGACCGGAAGAGCAAGGCCGATGCCGCTGCTCGTAGGGTTGAGAGTAAGCAGAAGATCGTGCTCTTGAAGCAGGCATTGAAGAGATACGAGGAACTGCATATCGACATGGACACGGCCGATGCCCAAGATGGTGAGTTCAATTATAACCCCCCCTCCTCGTTTGCGATAGGACCACGACGCTAACAGATGTTGAAGATGACTCCATCAATACCCCCAGTCTCAGAAAGCCCCTCAGCGGACAGCTGTCTATTCGAGTCATATCTGTCAAGGATGTTGATCACGCTGCGACCGGGAGATTCACTCGAGGCCCAGAGACGTTTGTTGCCGTGAAGGTCGAGGACACCGTCATGGCGCGTACGAAGGCATCTCGAACCGATCGCTGGGAGGCCGAGTACCACAACATCGAAGTCGACAAGGCCAACGAGATCGAGTTGACCGTATATGACAAGCCCGCCGAACACCCCATGCCCATCGGACTGCTCTGGGTGAGAATATCCGACATCGTCGAGGAGATGCGTCGTAAGAGGATCGAGGCCGAGATGAGCAGTTCGGGCTGGGTCTCCGCCGACAGGATGGGTACCTCTAACACTGGAGGACCTTCTCAATTCCCCATGAGCCCCTCTTCTGGATCTTTTGGGCCATCCCCTACGTCGCCTCTACCACAGACCCCAGACCAGGGCGGCGCCTATGGAGCTCCTGGCCCCCAAGCCCCCCAGGTCAACGCGGGCCCCATCGATGGGTGGTTTAACCTCGAGCCTACTGGTCAGATACAGCTTCAGATGAGCTTCGTCAAGACAAACCAGGACCGACGCCAGGTCGATTTGGGTCTCGGACGAAAGGGTGCTGTCCGCCAGCGCAAGGAGGAGGTTCACGAGATGTACGGCCACAAGTTTGTGCAGCATCAGTTCTACAACATCATGCGCTGTGCTCTCTGCGGAGACTTCCTCAAGTACTCGGCCGGAATGCAGTGCGAGGACTGCAAGTACACTTGCCATACCAAGTGCTATTCCAGCGTGGTCACCAAGTGTATCAGTAAGAGTAATGCTGAAACTGATCCGGACGAGGAGAAGATCAACCATCGTATCCCTCACAGGTTCACGCCCTTTTCCAACGTCACGGCCAACTGGTGCTGCCACTGTGGTTACATCCTGCCATTTGGAAAGAAAAATTGCAGAAAGTGCTCAGGTACGTTTTGGTTGCCTCGAATGGTTCCTCAAATGGTTCCTCAAATGCTGACTCTTAATAGAATGTGGTCTTACTGCTCACGCCCAATGTGTGCATCTGGTCCCAGACTTCTGTGGCATGTCCATGGCCGTGGCCAACCAGATTCTGGACGGCATCCGGACACAGAAGCAGAGACAGGCCAAGGTTACGTCCCTTTCCGAGAAGACTCTGCGGCCCGGCAAGACGAGCCCGACCAGCAGCGGCCACTCGCATGCCCCTTCGTACTCGAGCACGAACCCATCTACCTACGGCCAGCCCCCTGTTTCGCCAGAGGCGGCAGAGGCGGCCAAGGTTATGTACAACCAGCCCTCGCAGCAGCAGAGACCGGCACACCCCGATCGGGCATCATCAAGCTCGGCGGCTACAGCAGCAGCGACAGCTGCCATGACCGGAATGCCTCAGCCCCAGCGACAGCAGTCTGATTTTGGACAGTACGGAGGATACGACCATCAGCAAGAAGATCCGTATGCTCAAGGTGGACAGTATGGCTCCCCCCAGCAGCAGCAGCAGCAGCAGCAGCAGCAGCAGCGAAAGTACAACCCTGCGGACTACGCCAACGTCAACCCAAGTTACGGAGGACAACCCCAACCCCAGGCCCGACCTTCCCAACAGCCGGCTCAGTCGCCGCCGCCGCAGCAACAGCTTCCCTCTCTGCCGCCACAACAACCCCAGCAGCCCCAGCAACCCCAGCAGGCCCCGTATCACCAACAGCCAGCGCCTTTGCCTAAGCCTCAAGCTGCTGAGCCTTTGGCCCCTACCTCGCCGGCTACTGGCCCTGGTGGCCGCAAGGCACTGCCCCTGGCTACCGATCCCGGAACTGGTCAGCGCATTGGTCTCGACCACTTCAACTTCCTGGCTGTGCTGGGTAAGGGTAACTTCGGAAAGGTCATGTTGGCAGAGACCAAGCGGTCACGAAAGCTGTATGCAATCAAGGTTCTCAAGAAGGAGTTCATCATTGAGAACGACGAAGTGGAGAGCATACGTTCAGAGAAGCGTGTGTTCTTGGTGGCTAACCGGGAGCGACATCCTTTCTTGACCAATCTCCACGCCTGTTTCCAGACCGAGACCCGAGTCTACTTTGTCATGGAGTACATTAGTGGTGGTGATCTCATGTTGCACATTCAGCGAGGACAGTTCGGAACTAAGCGAGCTCAGTAAGTCATCCTGATGAAGTGAACCCCTGAAACAGATGTTGACAAGATTTAGGTTCTACGCCGCCGAGGTCTGCTTGGCACTTAAGTACTTCCACGAGAACGGTGTTGTGTACCGTGATCTCAAACTTGACAACATCATGTTGACGCTTGATGGCCATCTCAAGGTTGCTGATTACGGTTTGTGCAAGGAGGATATGTGGTATGCCTCGACGACGAGCACCTTCTGCGGTACTCCTGAGTTTATGGCCCCCGAGGTACGATATTTACTGAATTTGGATATGAGCTGTTCACTAACTGGTTCTAGATCTTGCTCGATAAGAAGTATGGACGTGCTGTCGATTGGTGGGCGTTTGGTGTCTTGATTTACCAGATGCTCCTCCAGCAGTCGCCGTTCCGAGGAGAGGATGAGGACGAAATTTACGACGCCATTCTCGCCGATGAGCCTCTGTACCCCATCCACATGCCCCGAGACTCTGTTTCTATCCTCCAGAAGCTCCTCACTCGTGAGCCCGATCAGCGACTGGGAAGTGGACCTACGGATGCCCAGGAAGTGATGAGCCAGCCATTCTTCCGCAACATTGTCTGGGACGACATCTACCACAAGCGTGTGCAGCCTCCGTTCATGCCGACTATTAAGAGCGCGACGGATACTAGCAACTTCGACTCCGAGTTCACTAGCGTGACTCCAGTTCTTACTCCAGTCCAGTCTGGTGAGTCTCCCCAAAGATGATATCTCAGGATTTGCGGCTAACAATAGTACAGTCTTGTCACAGGCCATGCAGGAGGAATTCCGAGGCTTCTCATACACTGCCGACTTTGAATAAACGACTACGTTGCGCATGAGAATGAATACGATTTGCATTTCTACGAGAATACGACGGTGCCGCGGTGAGGGATTGTCTTGCCTATCGGATACCCAGGAGCGATGATGGTTAGACGGCCGGACACCGTGGTTTTTGGTGATGTTGATGAAGCGAACTCTGTTGTAGGCGACTCTACGGAGGCGCAGTTTTTTTCGTTCGCTTTATTTTTGGTTGTAGCAGAGTTTTTGCTATTAAGCAGCGATTGAAGAAAAATGTATGGTGCCGGTCATCTTGGTAGAGTACCGGTTTGGCGGGACAGGGGATGGACTGGAGACGAGCATGCCTGCTTAATAGAAGTCAAGATAATGACGTTGTTGGAAATTAGTCCATTAGAAGTTTTGTCCATAAGTCCGGCGTGAGGTTGTGATGCTACGTGATTATGGGGGTTGTGGTGTCTGTAGAGCTGCCTTTGTCTAGTGTCTGGCAAGAGGGAATATTCTTCACTGAGGAGATGCAATAGAAGATAGGAGTATTTAGTGATCATTCACTTCATCATTTTCCTTCTGTTTTTATCTGGTCCTATTTGAGGAGACTTTCTAATTTGTTGTTTTCCTTCTATTGGGTGTACTCCTTCTGGATTAGCTTGGCAATAGTGTTCAACCTGCGATGTCTATGTTAGCTACTGTGAAGTTGTAATGTAAAAATGAAAAAGACTTACTGGATGTTGCTGGTGCCCTCATAGATGGCGCCGATCTTGCTGTCGCGCCAGTACTTCTCGGCAAGACCCTCGCGGACGAAGCCCATGCCACCCATCCACTCGATGGCGAGGCCACTCACGCGGCCGGCCACCTGGGAGGCGTAGAGCTTGGCCATTGCGGCGTCACGGACAAAGTCCTCGCCGGCCTCCTTCTTGCGGGAGGCGTTGTAGACGAGGGCGCGGGCAGCGGCGATCTCGGTGTAGGACTGGGCGATCTGGTGCTGCATGCCCTGGAACTCGCCGACGAGCTGGCCGAACTGGCGGCGGTCGTTGTACACGTACTTGACGGCATTCTCGAAGGAGCCGAGGGCGAGGCCCGTCATCTGGGCGGCGATGCCGATGCGGCCCTCGTTGAGGAGCGAGATGGCGTACTTGTAGCCATGGCCGCGCTCGCCGAGGAGGTTCTCCTTGGGGACGAAGACGTCATCGAGGTTGATGACGCAGGTGCTGCTGGCGCGGATGCCGAGCTTCTTCTCCTTCTTGGCGATGGAGAAGCCGGGGGTGCCCTTCTCGACGATGAAGGCGGTGATGCCCTTGTAGCCCTTGGAGGGGTCGAGGTTGGCGAAGACGATGAAGAGGTCCGACTCGATCGAGTTGGTGATCCACATCTTGCCGCCGGAGATGGTGAAGCCGTCGGCCGACTCGGTGGCCTTGGTGGCCATGGCGAAGGCGTCGGAGCCGGAGACGGGCTCGGAGAGGCAGAACGAGGCCACGGTGCCGGTGGCGAGCTGCGGCAGCCACTTCTCCTTGAGGGCCTTGGAGCCGTACTTGATAATGGCGGTGTTGCAGAGCGTGTTGTGGACGTCGACGAGCACCGACACGCTGGGGTCGGCGCGAGCGAGCTCCTCGATGCCGATGATGGCCGAGGTGAAGTTCATGCCGGCGCCGCCGTACTCCTCGGGGATCTCGACGCCCATGAGGCCCTGCTCAAAGAGCTGCTCAACGATGGCCGGGTCCATGGCCTCGGCCTCGTCCATGTCGCGGGCGCGGGGGAGGATGACGTCGGCGGCGAACTTGGACACGGACTCGGCCATGGCGGCCTCGATCTCGGAGAGGTGACTGATGGGCGTGGGTGGGATCTCGGAGATGTCGAAGGCCTCGCCGTTGCGGCGCGGGGCGGTCGTGGACAAGGGTCGGACGGCGGTGCTGGAGAAGGGTGCGTGTGAGCGACGGGACGAATTGGTGAATTGGGACCTCAATTACACGCCAATTCCTCGCTGAACAAAGAGCAGAAGCGACGGCAATGGGGGAAGCTTACACAGTTGTTCTTGAGATTGCCCGGGGGACGGTCTGGGTCACGGCAACACGCTGGGTGAGACCCCGTCCTCCCCGCAAGGCAGGTCGCAGGACCCGAGAGAACGACGACGACATGGCTATGCGTGCAGTGTGCGTGAGGGTGTATGTGCGTGGGGGGTATATGCGTGGGCAAGCAAGAGAAGCAATGACCAAGGGGGAGGAGAGAAGAGAAGAGAAGAGAGACACGGGCAACGCTGATCACAAGCAACTGGCGGAGGAGGAGCATGTACCGCGGCCACCACTCTTATAGATAAAGGACCCTACATCCGCGCACAGAAACACGGCAAGAGAACCACCCCCCGGCACAATTACAGCGCAGCCATACAGCGTCTCAGCGCAGCCGCCACACCACTCCCGAGAGCTGATACCCGGAGCCACGGGCGGCCACGGCAAGCGCTGAGGCGCGTGATGTGAAGGTGGGTGAAGCTGCTCGGCCTAAGCGGAGCCAGCCGAGGATAACCTCGACAAAGCCCACTCTGCGGTTCGGTATCCCAGCGGTACGTACCTCGACAAACGCGGGGAGCAGAGTTGGGAGGAGGGACCACTGGCCGGGGATTAGCCGCGTGACGTCAAAACTGCCGTGGGCTAAGGGAGCTGGCATGTGATGTGTTACGCCGGAGGGCCGGAGGATCAGATACGCCGAAAATGTAGCCTCACGTGATCCAATTGACGGCGGCTGAGATTTTGATATCACGCCGTGAGAGCTTCAGAGCTGCGAGAGAGACTCGAGACCAGGCCCGGGAGCACGACCGCCCGCACCGCTCAATTCGACCTGTTGTTCGACCTCGCCCGCCTCCCACCTCGCCCACCATGGTCGGCTCCATCCTCCGCCAATTCTTCGCCCCCGCGACCCGCCGGCCGATCGCCGCCGCCATCGCCGCACCGTCCCGACTCGCCGTGCCCGCCTTCCGCAGCTTCACGACGACGGCGCCCCGCGCGGCAACGCTGAACCAGGTCCTCCGCGGGATCCGCAAGGGCAAGCGCGCGCGCCACGCCGTCTCGCCGGCGCTCGCCAACACGCGCTGCCCGGCGCTCAAGGGCGTGTGCCTGCGCGTGGGCGTGGTCCGCCCCAAGAAGCCCAACTCGGGCGAGCGCAAGACGGCCCGTGTCAAGCTGTCCACGGGCGCCGTCGTCACCGCCTACATCCCCGGCGAGGGGCACAACATCCAGCAGCACAGCGTCGTGCTCGTCCGCGGCGGGCGTGCGCAGGATTGCCCCGGTGTGCGGTACCATTTGGTCCGAGGAGCTCTGGATCTGGTACGTTTTTTGCCTAGTTTATAGGTCGATGTGGCCTTTATGATGGAAGAATTGGGATCTCGCAGTTTGGATGTGCACTAACGGGCTTAATCTAGGGAGGTGTTGCGAGCCGAACAACCAGCCGGAGTAAATACGGCACCAAGAAGCCTAAGAAGGCCACGATTGGTTGAGGTGGAAGACTGAGCATTGCATTCAGAAATACCACGCATCACCAAACCAAATGGAGGGATTCATCATGAGATACATAAAGTAGGCCGTGGGCCATGTACCCCTATTGTACAACATTGGAGCATGTAACGAGAGCAACGTGTCATAGAAACCTTGATTCATATACATCTACATGACCAACAAGCTGTCCAAAGTGTTTCAACCTAGACGCCTTTTCTCTTTGTAACCACTTTAAGCATCCTACCATATCCCCACCAAGATGAGCCCCATCAGAATGCGTTCCAGAATAAGGGAAATCATCTACCATGCATTACAACCGAGCTATGATAAACGTACACGTCGCCTTACCCAAATATGGATTATTTAGGTCTGTTCCTCATAACCCTTGGGCTTCTCGATGCCGTTGAGGTCAAAGTATCGCGAAGTGCCTGTTTCGGGTTAGATGATGATCGATGACGTTGAGAGGGCGTGGGTGCTTACAGGAGTAACCCTTCCAGTCAAAGTTCTCCTTGGGATCACAGTGGCAGCGCAGGTCGAGGCGCTTCTGCTCTCCAGTGGGGCAGTGGGTGAAGGGAACGTGGTAGTAGGCAATGTCGTCGAAGAAGTGGATCTCGTCCTTCTTCAGGAGAAGAGCAGCAGCAATGGAGTGAACAGGCGCATCGCCCCATCGCTCGTAAAAGAAGCCACCATCACGGTCCAAAGCTTCAAAGTAGTCAATGTAGGGCTTGCTTCGGAGCCACTCGAGGCTGCCGACTTCAAAGTTGGACCACTACAGGTCGGTTAGCAAACACGCAAGAAAACGACGGAAGAGGGATAACGCACGAAATGACACTTGTTGTAGGTGTCGCCACCGTCGTCACTGAGGAAAGCCATGGAGTTGTTGTCGGAAATGTGCTCGGGGTGGTTGGCCATGAACTTCTTGGTGCTCTCCCAGAGGGTAGGGATGGTGTCAATGTACTCGTAAAGACTGAGGACGAAGCTGTATTTCTTGCCCTGCTCGGCAATGACACGGAAGGGGTCGTAGTGGATATCGCAGAAGAGCTTGATGGAGGGCTCAACGCGCCAGTAGTACTCGTAGTTCATCATCAGAGGCTGGCGGAAGAAGAATCCAGACTCGAATCGGCACATGTGACGGTAGCTGATGGAGTCTCCGTAGATGATCTTTCGCTCCTTCATGTCCTCACGAACCTTCTTGGCCTTGTCCTGGTCAATCCACTCAGGGAAGGACCAATGCTCCTCGGGGATCAGACCGTAGTGAGTTTTGCCAGAAACCAGCCCTGAGGTGACCTTCTTGAAGGTTTCGTCGAAAGGCTGGTCGTTAAGGAAGACCCAGTCGTATCCATATCGGTTATTGAATCGATCCTCGACCTGGCGAATGGACGCGGCAATCTCCCAGACGTCACTGTTTCGGGCAAGAGTAACAAAGGTGGCGTTCATGCGAGGGCCGGGGGCGATATCCCGCAAGTTGCTCCAGCCCGGGTCGGTGGGCTTAAGGGCCATGGGCATCTCAACAGGAGTGTCAGACTTGGTAGTTTCGTCGCCCTGGGGCTTTTGGGCGGCGACCTCGTCCTTGGCCAGGTCAGTGTCGGGAGCGGGAGGAGGGATGGTGTCTCCATCGGAGTGGGTGGTGTCGCTCTTGGGGATGGTGTTGTCCTTGGGGAGAGTGCCTTCTTTGCCGCTATCGCCAGAAGTGACGGCGTCGGTTTGTGGGAAGGCCGGGGGCTTGCTGCCACCGTTGGAGTCGCCTGGAACCTGGGGGGCACCGGGACCGCCAGGGAACGTGGCTTGCTTTCCATCGGTGCGAATAGGGACGGCGTCATATTTCGAGTGCGAAACGAAGTACCAGAGGGTGAGAGTCTGGAGTGGAAGTGGTTAGTGGAAGAGTTGCCACTGTATCAAGCGTGCTGGAGGCAACTTACGAAGAGCGCGATGATGATGTAGCGCACGTAGCGCACATTGCCGGTAGCCATGATGGATGGAAATCACTCGACGCGCACCGTCGAGAGAGGAGGCGGCTGGTGAGGGACGGAGGCGGTGATGATGTCGCAGACAGCAGGGGGTGGATGTGCTGGCTGTTCAAAAAAGAATTGCGGCGAAGTGGCCCAAAGACACGCAGGGGGCGACCTTTTGCGATGGATTGGTGGAGGGACGCAGGTCTCAAACGACCATGGCGTAAGGGCACTGGAGCTGGCGGGCCGCTGCCAGAGAATCGTCGTCAATGTGAAATCACGCGACGACAAGAGCCCGTGATGGGAGGATAGGAGGAGGAAGGAAAAAGGGAAGAAAGAATGCAGGATGGAAAGGATGGATGGCGGCGAGCCTAGGAGCCTGGGAGCTGGGTGGGAAGTTCAATGGAAGGGCCAATGTGTAGTGGAAGGCCCATGATCTTCGCCAGGTACAAGGCCACAGCGGCCTCGAGGGGTTAGGAGCCCGGTACCTCTGGGTGGGCGATACTTGGGAGCGTGAAACCTTGGCTGCCCGATAGGGCGCGCTAGGTGGAGCTTCGGTGGCGTGTCATCCAATTCCCCAGGTGTCAGCAAGTACTGTCCAACAGCCGGTACTTGCTTCAGGGGGAGGGAACATCCGCCAAGAAAGTGCCGCCACTATTATACGGCACGTTCTCGCACTTCTTGGCCCATCTCCAGGGACACTGGCCGCGGGAATGGGGGGTTCAGGCGCTATCCAGGGGGGGCATAAGCATGGGAACGCCCTGGCAAAAAACTTCAGGCTACCGTATACAGTGCCGCTTCGTATCGCGTTCCCCGTTTCCCCCTTCCACTAAGGGAGTTATCAGACGCCCCGGCCTGGCTGGACCGATCTGGCATCGAGCCTACTGGAATGATTGGTCCACTCGGTACCTCAGCTTCAGCGAGTTTACCTGTCGTGCATCTCGATCAGGCCTAGGCGGCAATTTCAGGGCCACGCAACGCCGGGGGGAGCCTCTTCAGCTGGGGGACCCTCACCACCAGCTCGCGTTGACGGCTGGCCCGGCTTCGCGACCTCGTATTGTGTGCCCCTTTAAAACAAACGGGCCTTGAGAAGGAGGTCTTAGCCCATTCTTTGCTGGGTATCTGTACTCTGTGGCTGCAGTATCGTCAATGTGATAATGTCCGTCTACGAAGTACTTCCACTTCCTCGTTGCTGTGAGTTCCAGGGGAAGGCGAGGGGCTGTTCTTGGCCGCATTTGCCGTCCCGCCATCCTCTATCACAACTGATGCCATGCCAGTCACTCCGTGCTTACGACGCATACCCAACTTGGTGGAGGCAGCCAAATAACAAGGGCAGATAGTGACGCCCACAGTGCTAGTTGTGTATTTTAGCTGATTGCGGTATCCATCCTACGTATCGAAGAGGCTGGTGTACTGCAGGGCAAATTTCAGTGCTGCTGCCATTGACACGTAGTCTGTACGTCACCCCAGCTTACGTCTTGCCAATGCCTCGGATAGACCACCTTGGATTTCTTGGCCGTACTCTACTCCATACTCTTGCAAGGCAGCATGCGTAACGCATATTGTCGTTCTCTCTAAATTGGCGGTGTGCCAATTGATGCGGACAGACATGCGTAGTGTTATTTTGTCCTACAATCGCAATCATAAGAACCAGCACCACGACCTCCATTGGTTTGACAATTGCTATCAACGCAGAAGGGACACAGCAGGTCCACATGCTTTTCTTTTTGAATCAGAACAGCAACCAGCTGAAACTCATTATTCTCGATGCCGCAATCCACTGGTTTGATCAGGTAATGACGCTCGGCGCAATTTCCGTAATTCAGGGCGGGTGAAAACAAGATACTCAAACAGAAGATGAAAGATGCCATTGTACGATGAGCGCGAGTTCAAGTGCCTCAGTTCGTCTCAATCATCCCACGCGCGCGTTCACGTGACCTCCACCCAACTCCGAGGCCCGTGCCACCGGAAGCGGAATTTCCCACATGTGGGGAGGCGACTTTGGAGAACCTCGCTGGCTCCCTCGTCGCATCACCATTGGAACAGAGCTTCCAAGAGCCCCTGTTTCGCAGCGCGTCTCTCTCGATCAGCTATTTTCTGGATCTACCGGCCCCCCGAGCGACACTCCTAAGCGTAGCGACTAGCGATCTGCTCGACCACTCCCTGGTCGGCTCCCCGCGCCTACCGCAAGCGTTAGCTTTGCCCCGACATCTTGAGTCCAATTTGGAAGACATCATGATCGATTTGTGCGCTTTGGTCGACCCTGCAAACATCTCCTTCTCTTAGTGGTGAGTCATATTCCGGCTTACTTTTATGTTTTCTTGCCTCTTCCTCTGGATCCGCCACGCCCTTGCGACTTGAACACGAACTCGAGATGCATACCGACTTGCGACGACGTTGAGCCAAGAGTGACAACGAAACTACGGATACCTACGCTCGACGAATCGAAAGCTACTGGAAGCGACTAGTGAGAGGTGATTTTGCACTGGCTGTGTCGACTGAGCTTGGCTCGAAGGCGGCACAACTCCAGACTGCGCTGAGCATACCTTGAACTTGGGCACGCCCCCAGTACGCGAGAAACCCGTTTTACAATATATTGCCGGCAGTACGACTCGTAATCTCCAAGACGCGGTTCCTCCGGATACACACTTTGAGGAGGTGCTTGGTTGTTGAAGTGTCGCCAACCTCACTCCCTGTAGCAACGACTAGGGCATCGTGGCATGGACCTTCAAGCGGGGTTTCAGAGCCTAACCATTTGCTTGCTTGCTTAGTGCCAATCGCAACGCCAGAAACTAATATTCCTCTCAGTACAACCAACCCCCATTCTTTCTGGATCAAACTCAAACAAAATGTCATTCTTTGGCTTCGATGCAACAGGCCGTCATAACACGACGGCCCCTGGGTTTTCCCAGGCCCACGACCCCTTTGCCGGTCTTTCTGGCAGGGATGGCGATGGCGACGATGCTCTCGATTTCGAAGACACCTACGACGGTCTCGGTGACCAGCTCGACGAAACTGGCGATGCGTTCAACGACGACACTTTCGGAGACAGCGGGCCTACTAACAGGGTCAAGCCTGGCAAGGACTTTGACTTCTTTGGTCAGACAGCCAAGGTAGCCAACGCGATTGAGGAGGAGCACCTTCGATACCATCGCCAGCAGCCTGCTGCGAGGCCTTCTGTCGCTGCCCAGCCTGCTGCCAACATGCAGCAATATTACTCGAGCCAGCCAACTCAACGGCCCGCGCGCACTGGTTATGAGAAATACCAGGACCCCGAGCCGCTCCCCGATCTGCACGTCGACAGAAGTATCTGGGGTATCGGACCTGCCAAGCCAGCTGCCCAAGCCTCGCCCGCTCTCCAAGTCTCGCAGCCCGCTAGCCGCAAGGTCATGAGTCTCGAGGAAGTCGAGGCCGCCATGCGAGCGCAGCCAAAGCAGCCAACTCCTCAGCCCCCTATTGCCGAACTTTCCTACGCCCAGTCTGGCGGATACCCGACTCCCCAGCAACAGCATGCCCAGCCTCATGGACACGGACACCCGGTGACAATCTTGCAACGGCCCCAGAACACGCAGTCTAAGCCCACACCCCCTGCCCAGGCAGGGCAGGCCCCGCCGCCTCGACAACAAGGAGCTTCGCAGCCCACGCAGATCTTGCAGAACCCCAACCGCCTTTCTGGCGACGCTACTCAGATGGGAGCTCCTGGCCACCAGGCTAAGCTCTCTCAGGGTGCCCTCGCTAACCTGGCTCAGCTTCAGCAGCATCCCCAGATGATGCAGATGTCAGAGGAGGAAAAAGCTGCCTTTTTGGACCAGGAGACGAAGAGGGCCAAGCGCAATCACAAGATCTGGCTCCTATCGAAAGACAATGGCTTGATGACTCCCCAGGACAAGAACTTCATTACTCGAATTCAGCTCCAGCAGCTCGTATCCGCTACAGGTAACCCTGTCGAAGGATCTGACGCATCCATTGCCGAAGATTTCTACTATCAGGTGTACAGCCATATCCGAGCCGGTCAGCGTCAGAACCCCAGCCAGCCGCTCAGCAACTTTGCCCAGACTTATCTCTACCAGACTGGTAGCCGCCAGGGTGGAATGCGTCGCCATGGCCGTCCGGCTGAGAACCACTTCCAGCGCATGGAGCAGCAGGTTCAGAGAGCCGTCGAGGCCGCCAAGAACAAGCCCAAGAACCCCCAGCTAGTCATTGCTGGAAGCTTGGGCAAGATTTCTTTCAGCAATGCCAAGACGCCCAAACCCCTGCTCAGCATCAAGCGCACCGAGAATGAAGCCCACCGGCCAACCGTTGGCAAGAAGGGTGGTCTAGACCGGAAGACGATCCTACGTAACGTGGAAAAGGTCTACCAGACACTGATGCAGATTGAGGATCACGTCCGCCTGATTCCACCCCCCATCACCAACCCGGCCGACGAGGAACTTCAGAACAAGCACAAGGAGTGGGCAACTATCCTTGAGTCTTACAACGCCAAGCTCTGGCATGAGCTGAAGGTCCACGAGCCCATCGGTGCCACTGTTCCTCACCCCTTCATCGCGTTCTTGTCTTGTGCAAAGGGCGAAAAGGCTATTCCTCGACTCTTCCCCCACTTGTCATTCGAGCAGCGAACCACGATCCTCACCATGATCATCTATCACCTTGACCAGCTGGATGTTGTGCAGGGAGCGGCCATCATCCCCGGTGAGACTACGACGCTCAACGCGAGGATGCGGGAGAAGATCGAGCTCTTCATCTCTACTGTGATGCCATCCCTGATGCAGTACTTCAACGATACTGGATTGGATATCGTTGACGGTGTCCTCAACCTGATTGCTACTAAGCTTAATGTCGACCTTATTGCTAGATCGAGAATCGGCGTCTCCATGTTGACTCTCATCCTTAGCCGCGCTGTGCTTCTGAAGCAGACTGGTGCGGGTAATGCTGAGCAATGGGAGAAGTGGTATGTAAACATGATACCCGTGAGAGATTGACACACTGACAATGCATAGGGATCGTACTTTTGAAACATTGTTTGCTCGACTTGAGCCATCGCTACCTTACATTTTCCCTGGTAGCGTTAATACCGGAGAGGACGTCTACGTCTGGCAGCTCCTTGCTGCTATGGGTGTCAGTGCAACCCATGACCAGCAAACACGGCTGGTTCTCGCTGTCAAGGATCGCGTCCTAGACACTGTCACTCTCTCCAAGACCCTGCCGCCGGCCATGGCGGCCGACCGTCTCAGCAGCGTGAACCTATTCATGCGCTCCATCGGATTGGACGTGGAGCTGCTGCAGTAGACGGGCTTGTTGTGACACTTTATGCTACCTTTGGGGATTCCTGGGCTATTTGGGCTGGTGTGTTTTTGGAATGGGGTCAACTGGGAAGCGACGGTGCACTGAGGAGAAGGTTGGCTTGCGGGTAGAGGATACCCACGGGCATCGTATTGCGTGCCGGGTGTACAATATTCCAAGGGCGACATTATCGAGTGCTCAAAGCACTCCGTGTACCGGCCTTACAACCTGTCGGTCGATATGGGGGGTGAGGCAGGGGAGTATTCCTGCGTTGAGACATAGGATTATATCACAAATTCAAATTTCATGCGTTTTTTTTTAGGTAAAAATCAGCATTGCTATCGTAATATGTGCGAGATTCGCCTTCACGTAAGGTAGTCTACTTTTCCTGTGCGCCGACCGATGCAAACCCCATCTTTGATATCTCATAAACACATCCTTTCCTCCACGTTTTTAACCTCGGAACGAACCTGGTCAACTGACCGGTATCCATCTCGCCTAAGAGCTTGCACCTCGTGTCCTACCGCCTCTCCGTGACGGGCCGGCTGCGGCTCCACCTCGTGGCCGAAGTTTCGGCTTGCGGGCCTCCTCCGGGGCTGGCTCCGGCTGTACCGGCTGCACCGGCGCGGGCTGGATGGGCTTGGGCTCCTCCTTGACAACGGGCACCGGATCTGGCTTCTCGATACCGCTGACGGCTTCGAGCAGCTGCTTGTCGGTCCACCGAGCGCCAAAGTGCGGCACGGCCTCGTCGAGCGGCCGCTCGTCCTCGCCGGCGGCATCCTCGTTCTCGGCATCGCCCTCCTGCGCGGGCCGCAAGAACAGGCTCTCGTTGTACACCTCCCAAGCGGCCTCCTCGTTCTCGTCGGTGTAGCGCAGGGTGCGCCAGTGCTCCGACTGCACGGCGCGCAGGCGGTCGGCCATGGTCTCGGTGGTGACGCCGTCGCCGTCGCCGGTGGCCTTGACCGTCATGTGGATTGCTCTCGCGGCGCCGGCACCCGTTGTCGGGGCGGCTTCCTTCGAGGCGGAGGCGGCGGCCTGGCGTTCGAGTTGGGCGGCCGCGTCGATGTGGTGGAGCTGGGGACGGAGGTGGACGAGGGAGGAGACGGGGGTGAGATGGAGGTCCTCTAAAGGTGCGTGTTAGCGATCGTCTCCGAGTTTGCTGGTCGTCGAGATGAACGTACTGCCCTGGAAGACGCCGACCATGTGCTGGACTTCCTTATAGTCTGGGTACTGGCCACCGAGCGTCTGGGTGCGGAGGACCTTGTCCTGCCTCACGGCCTCGGTCCAATCCAGCACGTCGTCATCCTCACCCTCAGCCTTCTTCCGGCCGCCGGCGCCGCGCTGGACGGTGCCGAAGCCGAAGCCGCCAGCCAGGCCGTGGCTGCCGCCGTTCTTGGCGGCCATGGAGGTGTGCAGGGTGCGCCCCCACTTGAGGCCCTTCTCGCGGTCGTAGGCGGCGCTGTTGTCGAGCGGCATGTCGACCTCGACCATGCCGGCGTTGGCCTTGACGCGCAGCTCCGTGGGCGGCGGGCGCGGCGCGTCGTCGGTGCGGTTGGGGTGCTGCAGCACGAGCAGCCGGCGGCCGAGCGGCAGCGACGGGTTGATGAAGACCTGGTACGTGGCCGTCACGGGGTCGTCGTCGTCGTCGAGCGTCGCGGTGAGGCTGGGGTCGATGTCGGCGTCGAGGTCCATTGGCGCCGCAGCGGTCATGTCCTCGAAGTCGTCCATGGCGGGTGAGCTTGAATGGGGGTTATGCGGTGGTTTCGGCTGTCCAAGGCCTGCAGCCGGGCCCCTGGCTTATGGCTGTTGGGAGTGGTGTTTGGATTCGCGATGCGCTTGGGCAGGTTGAGGTTGGATGACTCGGCGAGGTGATGAGTCCCGAGTCAGGCAGGCGGGGCGGCAGCTTGTGATAGTTTCGAGAACCCTCAGCCTGCGATTTAGGATGCCTATCCAATGACTCCTCGACTCAACTCGTCTAGTCGGTGTGCAATGCGCAGAGACGCTCAAGACTCGGATAGTCGACCTTCAATCGCCGTTGAGCTTGACTACAGAGGGGTCCTGCTTGGAGAAAATTCCCAAGCCCCACTATGTGATTGGCCCTGAATAGGCTTAGCGCTATTGTTATCTTATCCTCTTATCGGGCTGGCCGTCAAATCCACCTTCATCACAACTCGCGACCAGCCGCATACCTGAGTACTTCGGCTTCGGATGGGCACCGTCGCGTTTTCCTCATTGCGGATTCAACTGTCTCCCGTATCATGGCACTGGAGTCAATGTTTAAACCCCTGTCACCTGCTGCCCCCCATCTTTCAGCTACTACTCCACGCATCCTTCCCGTTGATGATTGAGTTCAAATTTTGAATCAACGGCAATTTCGAAACCGAGGACTAGCACACCCACAGCGCGCTTCCTTCGTACCGGTATTTGAGCTCACGACACAATACCTATTCACGATGCATTCGATCCACATCGAGACCCTGACTGAGCCTGGTCTCGCTGGCAGGTAATTAATACTTTCACTTAAGGCGCGCGGACTGCATTCCACCCACTTGGATCGATCAGCCAGTCAAGGCTGGTCCGGGGCATGCGGTTCCCTCCGGCAGATCGTCAAGGCCACCCCTGCCATGTCCATCATGTCCATCCCTGGACGGGAAACAGGAAACAAGCATTTGGCCTGGCTTCTGAAGTGACGCTCTACTCTACTTACCCAGTGAACAATGGCCAGCTTCGTCTTCGACGTAATTGCTACATAGACTGTATAGGAGCGAAGCTCCCACCAGCTCGCATCAGGACGCCCGAGGCCGCGCACGCTTCAAGGAGTGCTTCGATAGTGTGCCCATCCGCAAACTAGCCACACCCCCATAGGACCACCACGGCGCGCTATTTCCAATAGTTTGGTGCCCACAGCCACGATATGGCTGGCTACTCGGCACAACGCGACGACAGATATTTCACGGCCCGCCCCAAGTGTCTGCCCCTGGACGCCAGCGCGATATTGGGCGTCGTCTCGAACAACACCATACTAACTACTTGCGAGAGACAGACAGATGGGCCGTCTCACGAGCGAGCCTTCGCCAGCAGCAACAGCTCAATATGGCTCAGCAATTATATTAATTTCACACAGCAGCCAGTCGCACACACGACGAACACGGATAGCATTCTTGTCGACAGGTGAACCATCAGCTTGTTTATTGTAGCGAATCCAACCGCTATGAACATCCTCCCATTCGGATATGGCCCTGGCTATTGATTCGCTTCTACCCCCTTTCAGTGGAATGCAAGCCGCATGGCCCCCTGCCCTTGCCCCACCCCCTTGCTTCTACGGAGCACGCCAAGATCAGATCTACTTTACGTAGTGCGTCCCTCTCCGTTTATCTGTTGCGCGTTTCTTCCCTGTTCCACTGTGTCGGCCTCTTCAATGTGTCCTGGTATTCTGGCGTTCTCTGGCCGTTTGGACTCTGACGCATCTTCACTCCTTTCGTGCGTCGAGTGCAATTGTCTTCTCGACTTGCCCGTACTGGCGTTGAAGCCACCTCCAAGATGTTGTGGAAGTTCAGGTGGAGCAGGGTCTCCGTCATTGTTCCCGCTGCCTTCATTTTAACCACCACCTTCTACAGTCTCGTTCTTTCTGTGAGTTCTCTACTCTTTACACCACAGTAGAGTAGTCGTCTAACCAAGGCTCCAGCCCTCTCGAACAACCCAAGACACACCATGGGCCACCGATACCGCAGTGATTGGCCTCGATGCCTCGACCGATCCGCCACCTGCTACTCAGCAAAAGTACCATATCCTCATGGGTGCCACTCAGCCAGCGCTCTTTTTATGCAAGACGCTCCTCACCATGGCCATTCTCGGCTATCCCGCGCCTCAGCTCATCGGATGGGGGGAACCCGAGACGGAGGGCCTCAAAGGTGGCGGCTCACATTTTTTCAAGATTACCAAAATCCTCGAGTACCTCAACGATCCTGAACGACGCAAGAACCCTGCATTTGACAATGAGATCCTGTTCATTCTGGACGGCTACGATATTTGGTTTCAGTTACCATTCAAGACCCTTGTTGAACGCTACCATGCCACTGTCGCCGAAGAGAACAAGCGTGTTGCCCAACGCATGGGTCGAGCCAAGCAGATCGAGAATGTCACGTCGTCCATCATCTTCGGTGGTGGCAAGCTCTGCGGTCCCAGCCAACCGCACACGGTAGCCTGCTATACCATCCCAGAGTCTCCTCTCCCAGAGGACCTATATGGCGGCAACACCAACACGGTGCTCGGAACCAACGCCCTCTCGAGCTTCCGCACACGCTATCTCGTGGCAGGCGCCTGGGCAGGCCCGGTTGGAGAAATACGTACGCTTCTCCAGCGAGCCAGCGACGAATTGGACAAATGTGTCGAAAGCCATGTCGGCTGGTTCAACGTCGACGGTCCGTGGCCGGTAGACCAATGCTACAAGGGTAGTGATCAAAGCATCTTTGTTGAGATATTCGGTAGGCAGGAGTTCCATCGTGAAGTCATGCGCCGTGTACACCGCAGGCGAATTGACAACATCGTTGATGCGATTATTCCTGGCCGTGCCGGCTCTAAGCCCCAGCCTTACAAACTCTTGGGTATTACCATTGATGACCCTCTCAACCCACCCTTTCCCCATCAGGAGGTCGATCCAGGCTATCTCCCCGGGAAGCCATACGAATTTGGCATCGGCATTGATTACTGGTCGCTGCTTGCCCACCAGACCTCTAACGCGAAAAGTGATGCTCGCTATATCCGCCTCGACGAATCTTTTCCGGACCAAGTTGGTACGCGGACCCTGTTCGAGTGCAAGCCCAAGCCGCCACACCTCGACAACCTACCCCGGGGAGGAGTCCTGGACCTGATGCCCGGCCGAGACTGGAGCAACATGCCCATGTACACCGAGATCTGCCTCGGAGTTGTCCCCGTCATGATCCACCACAACAGCGTCGACAAGTATCAGATCGAGTACCAGTGGAACCAGACGTGGTGGTACGGGCATGCGCGGCAGCTCCTGGAGCTGCGTCGACAGGAGAAGCTGCCGATGCTGGTGGAAGGAGTCCCGACTCTCCAGGGCAATTTGATAAAGTGGGATGAGCTGTGCCCGGCGGAGTTCGACGAGGAGCTGTACAGGGGTTATGGGGCAGACGGAAAGCGACCAGAGCCAGAAGCACCGGATTTTCCGCAGGATCCTCTAGACCAGGTTGCTCCCGTCGAAGTCGCTCCCGTGCAAGGTGTTCCCAAGGAGGATGCTCCTGTTCAGGATGCTCTCGGACTGGATGTTCCTAAGGACGACGCCGTCAAGGCAGGTGTTCCTAAGGATCCTCTCGTGCTGGATACTCCCAAGAGTGATGCTCCTAAGGATGATGTTCCTAAGGATACTTCTGTGCTGGGTACCCCTAAGAAGGATGCTGCCAAGGACGATACTGCCAAGGACGATGCTCTCATGGCCGATGCTCTCAAGGCCGATGCTCTCAAGGCCGATGCTCTCAAGGCCGATGCTCCCAAGGCCGATGCTCCCAAAGACGATACTCCTAAGAAGGATACGCCCAAGGACGACGCTTCTAAGGACGATACTCCTAAGGAGGATGCTGCCAAGGAGGATGCTCCCAAGGAGGATGCTTCTAAGGACGATACTCCTAAGGAAGACGTTCCTAAAGACACTCCTAAGAAGGATGTTGCTGAGGAGGATACCCCGAACGACAATACTCCCAAGGAAGATGCTTCTAAGGACGACGTTCCTAAAGACGATTCTAAAGTGGATGGTCGTAAAAGCGAGGCTCCTAAAGAAGATGGTTCTAAGGATGATGATTCTAAGGAAGATACTCCCAAGGACGATACTTCGAAAGAGGATACTCCTAAGGACGATGCTGTCAAGGACGACGCTGCCAAAGACGACGCTGCTAAAGACGACGCTCCCAAGGACGACGCTCCCAAGGACGACGCTGCTAAAGACGACGCTCCCAAGGATGACGCTGCCAAAGACGACGCCCCTGAGGACGATGATACCAAGAAGGACCAGACTCCTCCAGAAGACCCGCCGAACGATGAACCCCTAGTGGACGGACAACAAGAAAAAGACGACATTAAGGAGGAGCTTCTCACAGGGGAGGAGTCTCCAGAGGCTAATTCTCCGGAAGCTGAACCTCCAGTAGATGAGTCTCTAATCAACGAACCCCCAAAGGACGAAGACCCCAACGACACACCTCTCGTTAATTTACCGCCTCCCATGGTTGGGGCTGTGGAAGACGAAGCTCTTCCGGAGGAGCACTCTCCTTTCGGCACGCCTTTTCGACCAACCCGTTACACTAGCTGAGACTGCGAAAGAAACGGTTCATCATGCTGAGGAAGAGAAAAAGTTTTGAGAAGGCAACGCCACACGACGAATCCCATCATGGCGAAGACGCCCCCGCAGAATACTCTACGAACAGGGGGATGTCGAAGAGGACCAGAGGACTCCAGAAGCCGCTGGGCATGAAGAGCTCCTTGGAACTAGAGATGTGATATTATGCGGACATGATGGACAGTAAGGGGTAAAGCGACAGCCTCGTGGGCTGATTTTCTATATGCCAGATCTTATAATATTATCTAGAATAATACATATCAGCGTTTTCCTTTAGAAGCAGACTCTAGAGCTACGCCAAGAGCAGTATATGATCCACAGGGTGATTCTTACAGAGCCGAAAAGGATCACATTCCTATTCTGCTCTGTACCATGTGTATATGTAACAAGAATTTCTTCAAAGGCCAGTTGGCAATGCGTTGGGTCGCCCGTAAAATCCATTCTATTATGCCCGTAGCGTCTACCTGTTCTTGCCCCGGTCTCGTCGTCCGCCTTCCAACATCTTGACCCTCTTCTGAAACCTCTCTCCAATCTCGGCGGCCCGGCCGCTGCCCCGCGGACTGTCCGTCGTGTCGAGGCCGCGCTTCCGGCTCTTGTCCAGCATGGCGCGCACGCCGCCGGCGGCGCCCGCCTTGCGCTTCGTCAGGCGGTCGATGCGGTCGACGCCCTCGCCCAGGTTGTGCCACTCCTCTCCGCCGAACATCATGCGGTTGCTGCGGCCCGTCTGCTTGGCCTTCTGGGCGCGGTCCTTCTTGCTCTCCTTGGGCAGGCGCACAAAGTTCATCTCCTCGTAGTCACGGCGCTCCGCCTCCTCCTTGCGGTCGGCCGTCGTCTTCATCTTGCGGCCGCCCTGCACGATGGTGGTGCCGATGCTGGGCTCGGCCATGGGCGCCACTGCCAGCTCGGACTCGACGAACTCGTCCATGGTGTGCGACTTGTTGGGCCGGCGGTTGGCCTTCTGGCGCTGCGCGGCGTCCATGACCTGGCGGTCTCGCTTCGGGGGGCGGTAGACGCCCGAGGCATCGTCGGTGCCCTTCCAGGGCTTTCCGGCCACATCGTCGACCAGGGTGCCGAAGTTGGGTGCTGCAGAGTGCTTGCCGGGCCTATGCGAAACCTGGCCTGCGTCGCTGTCGACCTCATCGTCGTCCTCGGCATCTGAGCCAGCCTCAGAGTCTGAGCCATTGGCTGCGTTCAGTCCCATCTCCTTTACTTTCCTCTCCCGCTCGGCGTCGTCTGCGGTGCGAAGGAATCGGTCGATGGAGAAGCGCAGCTTCTCCTCCAACGGGCGGGCGCCTCTCTCGAGGTAGAGGCGCATCTCGATGAGTTTTGAGCGGACCGACTCGTCCAGCTCGGTGTTGTCTGAATCCGAGCCGTCGGTATCGGACTTGGAGTTCCTGAGCTTGAGCAGGATCAGGAAGACGAGGTTCTGCAGGTAGGAGAGCAGAAGCTCGTTCTTGACGTCGAGGAGGGAGATGCCATCCTTCTGGTGCTCGATGGAGGCGATCCTCGGGGTGACCTCGAGGGCAGAGGATAGCGACTGCGTCAGCGACGTCAGCAGCGCTGGTAATGTCGTCGGGGCCGCCATTGTGTGTGGTGGTGTTTGGTGGTGATGCAAATATCGTCTCTTCGTCTGCCAAAAAGTTGCAACCAACTTTTTAGCGGGGCCATCTTTTTGTTTAGCCCCACCAGCCCCAAATCTTATCGCATCAGCCACCGTGGCGCTACGTCCAACTTCCTAGGTACCTACCCTGCAGTCTACAGGCTGGCGCAGGAGGTTTGACAACTTCTATGGTATCAAGACAACCCGCAATCAGCACGATCTGCGACAGATCAATTCCCTAAGGTAGAAAATAGTGGCGTTGCAGGGGCTCGAGTAAAAATTTATTAAACCATATACGTTCGAATAAAATTAACAAAAACTCCACTTGTAGAAGAAAAAGAAATAAACCCAATTCCATCTATAGTGTTCATGAGCGTGTGAGTATTGAATCGATTTTATCAAGTTCCGACTTCCTGCCTCTCTCAACCGGCGTAACAGATAAAATAGCAAAAAGAGTCAACTTCTGTTCTGTAAATAAAATCCAGAATTAGTCACTAAGGCAATAAGTTGGCCTAATACCTAAGTATTTACCACAGTAAATAAAACTATTATTTGTATTTATCGCAAACGAACTCAACTGATTGAAAAATCGGTTGCATTGAAAACAGAAATATCAAGCAAATAGCGTACCGCAATGAATTGGAGCACAGGTTTTCATGTTAGCGTTGGCCGTGGGACTCCAGGCAATGAATACTACGATTTACGAGGTCTGTCGCGTTGTCAACTACTGTCCCCAGGATATTGGTTACGACGGATACGGCGATTCTCGTTTCTTCAAGGTGAGATACTAGGTTTTCTCATCAGCTTGGTGCTGTACTGATGTCGTTTCAAGGTAAACTTCACGTCTCTCCAGAATCATGGCACGATCGAGTTGGGACAACATGCGGGAACGACCAATCCTCACGAAATGAGCAAGTGTATCGGATTTTTAGTCAAGTTTGTTTATTTTCGCTATCGACGCGCCGTATGATGTGGTTCTGGCGCCTGGCGAGAGATACTACCATCTCCTTCAGTTGGTTGTCCCTCCAGAACGATGAGCAGAGAAGTCACCAGACTCAATGGGAAGCATGATCATGGCGAAAATCCTCGCCAAGTATGGAATGGCCAGCATGGCCAGAGCAATAAACTGCATTTGGTGTAAAGCTACCAAGCGACGTGGTGCAAGTAACGGCCCCGTGGTCTTGGCGGGGGCAGATGGCGTATCATTCTTCTCCAACAAACTCCATCCCTTCAAAAAGGTCGATCCAGTCCTCCAGCCTCTCCTTAACAAAAGTCTCCAAATCCCATGGTTCACTTGACACGATATCCGGCTCCCCATTCCAGAGGTACATGTCGGCCTCGAGCGTCTCGCATGGTTCGCCTGACGGGCCTAGGATCTCGACGGAGACTTGTGTGGGTTGATATGTTTCGCCCTCGAAATCGTCGAGTTTCCTTCGCTGCGACGTCGTATCCAGCGTGATCAAATAACCGTCAACTGAAGACTGGGGGTCATGTTTGATTGCCGCGGGGTAATCCCGATTGTGGAGTGAGAATCGTTTGTAGCCGTAGACTCTGGCTGGGCGAGCGAGCGAGGAGATGCTTTTGGCGTTGGAGGCGTCGCCGGTCAAGGCCCAGGCCAAGAGTGGCATGGCACACAAGGTGCCGTAAACAAAGAGTGGCCTTGGTTGATCTGCCATCTTTCACAAACCAGAACGTGTTGGACTTTCAGGATTGACTGGTAAATTGTGGTGTTCTCGGAAATCATTCAAGGGCGAAGTTTTCGAGGTGTTGTGAGGTCAACGACGTGATGTGAGGTCACAACCTTGAGGGAAGCCTTCAACAAATGTGACAATAGCACCCTGAGGAACACAAATTTCTGCATCGCCACGCAAACCTTACGTCATCTACTTATTGAGCTCTGTTCAATTTGAACTTCTGCTTCTCAGAAATTTGGCAGTCATAATGTTTATGACTTTGCCCCCCCCTCCTATTTTACCCCTATCAAGCATCTTGGAGCCCCCGAGTGAAGCCAGCCGCATTTCGGACTCTCAATTAATCTGCTTCAATCTTTTCGTAGACTACAGATCTTCTGCAAGCGTGGACTAACGTAGCAAATGGATGGTGCTTGAGAAGCGCGTGCTTCTCATCGCCGTTAAATGCCTTGCGGGTCTCTCCAATTTCTTTCTCGGTAAGTTCAATGTCAGATATGGCGGGTGTGGGCTCCATTGACAAGTTCTTTGAAGTTCTCAGTGCTCAAGTCTAGGCAGGTCTTCCCGCGAAACGAATTGATGACTATGAATGAAACGCGACGGTGTTCGTTAGATGCCTTCTAATCTGGAATTCAGAAATAGCCAGGAGAATATTGCGGCTGAATTTAACCATGACATCAATAGAGAGTTACGTGAAATGTCATAGTTACGTGAATCACACTTTGCATTCGAAGCTTACACCACCATACTGTCTTTATGACAGAAGACAATTATATTCAACTTTTACCTAATCCTGAAGAGATGACTTGACTGGTATCGAAGCCGGGCCGACCTATTCGAACCTACTGGATAACATTCGATCCACGGTCACTCCAAAACGAGCACCTCCGCGCTGCCCTGGAGTCTCCACTATCCTCCACCCGTTGCGGAGAATCTTGTCGCATCTCCAATGTCACGTCGAATCCTTTTTAGGCAGCAAACTGCAACGCTGGGGTTTTGGGCGCGATTAGTCGACATCCCAATACACCCTCGTCTCGAGGGATAGCGCCATTTGCCCCCGGCCTCGCAGTAGATCATCATGGGCTCTCTCACGTGCTGTAAAGGCACACCTCTTGCACCAGGTTGTGGTTATAGAATAAGAGTGACACAATGGCTTCTTTACAACCTATATTGCCTCCATCGAGATCGACCGATCTGATCATATAATCAATCAACCTTACAGCACAATGGCTTCGACACAATTTCGTTTGCTGAGGGGCAAGACCGCTTGTATCACTGGCGGCACGACTGGCATTGGTCGGGCAATCACCCTGGAGTACCTCCGTCAAGGAGCCAATGTGGCAGTCAACCATCTCGGTCTTGCAAAGGACGAGCAACTCAAGAAAAGCTTGATTAAGGAGGCAGAGGACATCAGAAGCCAGGGCACGAAGGACTCCCCAGCCGGCGAGCTAATTGAGATTGCCGGCGATACCACGAACCCAGAAACAGGGCGGCAGCTTGTCGAAAGTGCTGTGAAGAAATGGGGGTCCCTGGACATTTTCGTTGCCAATGCCGGAATATTCAAGGCGGCTGAATTCCTCACGTAAGTGGCCGCTCCCCTGCAATCGCCCCATGAATGGTCGAGATGCTGACATCAAACATCCAGGCTCGACAAGGAGCTCTTTGACCGGACAATGCAAGTCAACGTGAACGGCGCATTCTATTCGTGCCAAGCAGCAGCTCAGCAGATGGTGAAGCAAGGAAACGGCGGCGCCATCATTGGGATTTCTTCCATCAGTGCTCTGGTTGGAGGAGGTCTACAGACGCATTATACACCCACAAAGGCCGCCGTCTCGTCCATGATCCAGTCGATGGCTATTTCGCTGGCAAAGCACAAGATCAGATGCAATGCTTTGTTGCCAGGTACGATCCATACGCAACTCGCGGAGGAGGATATGCAAAACGAGGTGAAGCGCAAGTATCTAGAACACCGCATCCCGATGGGTCGCGTGGGCAAGCCGCAGGACTTGGCAGGCCCCGCGGTGTTTCTCGCCAGCGAGCAGCTGAGCGGATACATGACGGGATCACAGGTGCTGGTAGACGGCGGCATGTTTGTTCATTTGCAGTGAGCACTACTCACAGGGTGCTATTTTATAGAGTAATAAAAACGATCCAGAAGTCGGAATGGAAGCCGATGGTTTTGTGACTTCCGACTCCCCGCAATGTTCTCATTTCCCCGCTACAAGTCGCACCCACACTTTCGGCACCTCCGCCGCCACTCCGGGCACGGAACTCTCGCGCTCCGCAGCGAGTCCTCTGTATTGTGACCTCGAGCCATATCGTCACCGCCCCTAGCTTGATTTACCTCCCAGAGTCACCGTCTCACTCCTGGAATTGACTGATAAGACCCAGTCGATGACGCGGGGCCCATCCCAACCCCGTAATCGGCTATGTCTTCCCCGGAGCCGCCTGGCCGGCAGTACACCCGAGGCCGCTTGTCCCGCGGACGTGGCCTGCGAAACACAACAGGATGGTGAGTCTTGCATGGGACCGCCATGCCCTGCTGTTTTCTTTGGATTAGAGGCTGACTTCTCTAGCCTCAACTGTCGCCGTCGCCATGTGAAATGCGACGAAGGCAAACCTGCATGCCGCGCATGTGTCAAAATCGGCCAGAACTGTGTTTACCCGCGTGTCCCCAGCAATACAGCCCATCGTCGAGGTGCTAGCTCCTCCGGCTCGGGTGAAACAAAGGGAGCCCATGAAGAGTCTGGTTCAACTCCCTGGTCACAATCCCCAATCACAACCCAGGATCACGATCATGTCCAGAACGCGGACGCATCCAATTCACTAACCCACGCCAATGATGACCATCAGTTAATGCATGTCGATATTCCCACAAACCAAAATGGGCAACCCCGAGAAGAGCAAGAGGCAATACATGCTGTTGTAACTTCGCGAGACGGTGCAGCTACATCAACCGCTTCTTCCTCGGCCGCCAACATCGAAAACGCCACAGCAATTTGGGTTGACCTCCTACTAAAAGATGCTGCAGCACAGAATGTTGACATCGGGGACCTAAATTTCGATTCAGAGACTCTCAATATATTTGGGAACTCGGTCATACAATCACCAGCGGAGTCACATTCTGCCAATACACAACTCCAACCACATGATCAAAGCTCCCCTCCAACTAAGAACCCCTACTTGCTCGACCGGATACCCCCTCCCCTGCAAAGCCAGCGCTTCGAAAAGCAAGCCTGGCACTCCGATCTCCCGCTTCAGATATCATCCGAGGAACTATTGGTTTTCCAGAATTTCGTGCGAAACATCAGCCTCTGGGTAAGTGCCGTCAAGGCGCTGATAATTATATATACTGACACCAGCTGTGTAGATGGACCTGTTTGATCCCAAGAGGCCATTCGCTACTCATGTACCACATCTGGCAGTATGTGACCATGCATCCTTCTTTCGTCTAATTCTGGATACTGACACTTCGATTCGCATTATTTAGAGACATAATGTCGGGTTAATGAACGCAGTCTTGGCACTCTCGGTGCGCCATCTATCTTTAACCACCGACGCAACTGGAGTACCTCGGCGCGACCCGAATGATGCCTTACGGTACTATGCCAAGACCCTCCATTACATTCAAGAAGCCATGCATTTCGACACCTATAAGACAAGCCTGGAGCTGCTTTCCACCTCTTCGATCGTGTCGGCGTACGAGATGCTGGACGGCTCAGGACCAGATTGGGGCAGGCACCTCAAAGGAGTCTTCTGGATCCAGCGTTCCCAAGTCATCCACGGGGACTCAAATGGCCTGCAGCAAGCCGTGTGGTGGGCTTGGCTCTGTCAGGACGTCTGGGCAGCATTTCGAGAAAACCGCCGGCCTTACACATTCTGGCGGCCAACAAGGACGCTGGATGAGCTTGACCCCTACGAACTCTCTGCCCGTTCTGCCTACTTCTTTGCCCAAGTAGTAGGCTTCTGTTCTCGAGAGGAGATGGAGTTAGCTAAATCTGATATCCTAGGTAGAAGATCTCGAGCAGAGGTTCTGTGGGAAAATCTGGAGGAGTGGAAAGGATATTTGACCGCAGAATTTGAGCCACTCCCATGGCCGAGCTCCCCCGATGACCCATTCGATCCAATATGGATCAACCCGCCAGCATTTGGTAGGTTTGCAGACCCAACACCCCGAGTTGACATTGTTGACCTGAATAAGCTGTTGCCATCCAACTCTACTATTGTTCACGTATATTACTGCTTTTAAATCGACCGCAGTTCGGAGGGCTTGAACTGTACGCCCAACAACGCACGACGTTGATGGGCTACATCAAGAAGGTCTGTGGGATAGCCATGACGCTCACGGACTACCCGTCGAGTGTGATGTGCTCGCAGTGCCTGTTCATCGGTGAGTTATATTCTCCCCATGCCATCACTACCAAACCTTAATAGAGAATAGCTGGCCTCCCAATCGAAGGTAGACGCCAGCGAAATTGCGTCTTGGATTTGCTCGAAAATTGTAGAAAGCGATCGGGATGGCCAGTCAAGTCGTTGGGCGAAGAACTCAAAGTTCGATGGGATAAGTTTGGGGACGGAGGATAATATACTGGTCTGTTTGGACCAGTATTAGAGCTCGTCAAAATGGCGTGGTAAATGGTCCTTACCGTTATCCTCCCTACTAATCGACAGCAGTCCTACCCCGCACCATGAATCTGCACGTATCTACTAGTCTGGCATGGAATAGAGATGATTTATCCTCGATCGTGATTGTCGTAGCGAAGAGCGAGGCGAATCAGGAACTTCTAGTGGGGACAAGTGTCGTCTCGAGGGTCTAGCGAATGGGAGTCATGACTCCCCCAAGAGGAGCAAGCATTGCATGAAAGGGCGGCACGCGAGAACCAAAGATGAAGTACCTGGAGAAACGGAGTCCTCGTCCCAGGGGATAGCACGACAACCGCCTCCTCGTCACATTTACGGTGGCCCTCAGGAAGCGGAAACCCCCTGTATTTTTGTTAGCTTGGTACCATTTGCAGGGCGATGAACTCAACAGCGAATTCACAATAAACCTGAGTACATGGCTAGATCACGGTGTTATATATTCAGTTGCTGGATCTCTTTTTTAGAGCTTCTGAAGGGTTGATTCAGTGATGAGAGAGATCGAAGGCCATTCACCGAAGAAAGAGCATCGCACCCTCAAGGTGAAACTTCACTGCAATCGTTTTGTTTCAATCTTTATCTTTTTCAGTAAGTTCAATGCTAGATATGGTGTAACAAAGACCTATTGCGAAGCTCAATCGGGGCGGATACCACTGGCCATCATTTCTCATGCAAATATCGACTTCCAGCTCGTTACAAGGCTCATCTTTGCCTTTCTTATCACCAAACCCCCACGAACTTCATGAACGGTCCTAGTCTATCCGCACCGGCCATGTCACTCCATTTCTTTATCAGGCGTTTCAAAGCTGCCTTGAACTAGGATAATTCTAGGCTGGGACGCAATGTGATATTATACGGCAACCATCTTCCATTTGTACACCGCCTCGCCAGCTAATGCCAATCTTGCGATAGCGCCTCGATTTGTTGTCTCTAAAGTGCGGCTAGAGACTGGCCTTGTGCAAGGCGTAGTGGCGGTGATTTTGGATGACGTACCTCGATATGTAAGATAACGCAACATGGCAATGTTTCTTAAGCGTACTTATGCAGACTGGGGAAGCCAGCCCCCGGAAGTTGATTCCCACGTCTGCTGTGTCGATGAGATTTTGATTGGTAATGTCGGCAGTTGGGTTCAATGGGAGATAGTGACGTGCTCAAAGCAAGATGAGCGGGCGTAATGGACTCTAGTGCTGATACAACCGACCTTTTCAGCTTCGAAGATAGGCCAGAGAAGCTGGATGCTGCATGCAAGATGCAGCACAAGCCATGTGTTTGGGAGTCTACACCCTCGCCGTCGTCGAATGCCAAATTAGGCAATTCTCGATCATTCGGTCATACGAATCTTTGGTGTATTCTAGGTTAGATACGCTAGGCCTGATGCGGTAGCTAACGCCGGTAATGCAGACTCGTACTCGGTGAGCCCTTCTCGAGGTCCTTTCCGCGGCAGTGCAGATGCTCCATCAGTTAATTGATTGCAAATCACATGAAACGTGTCTTTTATTCCCAATAATGACAAGCCTCTCATTGTCAAGGGCTTATTGTGTTCTGTCAAATTACAAAGTGCTCTCCCCAGACAGAGTGGAACTTCAAACGGGGAGACTAGCACCAGACAGGAGAAAATAGCCGGAATGGATACAGGCACGATCGATCGTGGAAAGAAAGCTAAACCTTTGCTATGGAACTACTCCAAAGCATATTCAGCCGGTGAAATTTGCTGTTGCAGGTTAGTGTAGCTGCTGTGACGTATGGGTTCTGGTCATCTCTCGTTGATCAGTTCTAACCTTACGTAGTAGAAACTGCCAGACTATCTGGGTATGATTGGATGTGAAGCACTCTGTACTCGCTCTTTCTGAAGGTACTCTACCTCGGTACGTAATGAATGGTTGAATCGCCCACACAGCAAGACTCTTGGCTGCCATACGTGGAATGGTGGAAATGGTCGGCTTGAGTTCCGACATTTGTCAAAATATCATGGCAGAGGCAATGGGGAACCAATCCATCCTTTCCAGAATCACACACGCTGGTCCACACTGTATGAGTCTGTCTTTCTGTGCCCAACATGTATAAAATAAGCTCTCCCGCTCTAGCATCTCGATGATTTAAGCATATCAAACATATTTGCAGTTGACTGCTAAAATATTCACAGGCAGCCTGGCCTGGAGCGAGTTTCACCATGTCCAAATCAATTCAGAGCAATGGCTATCACATCTCTGGACAGTCAAATGTGCCAATCTCCCGCCCAGCTCATGCTTTATCGGCAGAGCAGGTTACGGAGGAACTCCAAACAAACGCGGTGACCGGTCTGAGCCCTGAGGAAGCGATTGGACGCCTGGCCAAGTATGACTCCAACGAGCTCGAAAAGGAAAAGGGCGTCCAGCCACTTCAGATCTTCATCGCCCAGATCGTTAACGCCATGACACTGGTGAGAAAAAAAAACCCAACACTTCCGCCTGTGCCATGCTTATGCCTATAGATTCTCCTTCTTGCCTTTGCCGCCAGTTTCGCCATTCAGGCGTGGATTGAGGGCGGGGTGTTGGCCGCCCTCATCTTGATTAATATCGTCATCGGATTCTTGCAAGACTTGCAAGCTGCGCGGACCATCGCCTCACTGGAATCACTGAACTCACCTACGGCTCGAGTCATCCGGGCGGGCGAAAGTCAAGTCACAAATGTCGCTGACCTAGTCCCCGGTGACATCCTAGACCTCAAAACCGGCGACGTTGTCCCCGCCGACGCCCGGCTCCTGGACTCTGTCAATCTTGAAGTCGACGAAGCGCTTCTCACCGGCGAATCCCTACCTGTTCGCAAGGATCCTGAGCTAGCATACGACGAGGATGACATTGGCCCTGGCGACAGACTCAATGTCGTCTTCAGCTCTACGACTATCACCAAAGGCCGAGGCCGAGCTGTTGTGTTTGCGACCGGGATGTACACAGAAATCGGAGCCATTGCTGCTGCATTGAGGGTAGAGGATGGCAAAAAGAGCGTCCTCAAGCGAGACGAGAATGGAAAGGCCTCGATTGGCGCTTATATTATCTTCTCGTGTCTTCAGGTATGGGAATTTTGGGGAAGATTTCTTGGTCTCACAGTCGGAACACCCCTGCAGCGGAAGCTATCTCGCCTGTTCCTTTACATCTTCGCCTTTGCCATCATCTGCACCCTCATCGTCCTAGGCGCAAACAATTTTCAGGGACGCCGAGACGTTATCATCTACGGTGTCGCAACTGCTCTTGGCACGCTCCCAGTCACGCTCATCCTGGTTCTCACTATCACTATGGCGGCGGGAACTAAGGTGATGGTGCAACGACATGTCCTTGTCAGAAATATGAGGAGCTTGGAGGCCTTGGGAGGTGTAACAAGTATGTATTCTGTCCAGATGTTGATCAAAAACTGCAACTAACCACTCTGCATAGCTATCTGCTCCGACAAAACCGGTACTCTAACTCAAGGAAAGATGGTGATGAGAATGGCATGGCTGCCAGGCCACGGGACCTACCAAATCGATACATCCAACGACCCATACAACCCAGAGGCTGGGTCTGTTAAATTCACCCACGCCGAGCCCAAAGGCATGGAAACAGAGAAGCAGGAGGTGTCATCGGTTGATGCCAGCGAGGAAGCTCAGAAAAGCTCCTCTTTCCAGCGTTATCTTGAAGTCGCCTCTTTTGCCAACTTGGCAACAATACGGAAAGCTGATGGCGAAAAGATGGAAGGCTCAAGCGAATGGATTGCTCATGGCGACCCTACTGAGATTGCCATCCGAGTCTTCGTGGAGCGGTTTGGACAACGTTCACTGTCAAACAGCGATGACTGGAAACAACTTGCCGAATTCCCTTTCGATTCCTCCGTCAAGAAGATGTCCGTTCTCTGCCAAGACAGCGTGTCAAGAACCGTACATGTTTTCACCAAGGGTGCTGTTGAGCGTGTAATTGGTAGCTGCTCAACCATTAGCACCTCCACAGATGCCCTTGCTCCTATCACGGCACAGTCCACTGAACAAATTCTGGAAAATATGGAAGCCCTTGCTCGCCAAGGTCTGCGCGTCCTTGCGTTGGCCAGTCGGTCCGGTGTCCGATCAGTTTCCGAGGCCGAAATAAAGGCTGGAATCATCAAGCGCGACGAATTCGAACACGATCTTGTCTTCCGCGGTCTCGTCGGTATCTATGATCCTCCGCGTCCAGAGTCGAGGCCGAGCGTCTTCAAGTGTCACCAAGCTGGTATCAGCGTGCATATGTTGACTGGCGATCACCCAGAAACGGCGCGCGCTATCGCCAAGGAGGTTGGTATACTGCCATCCCGAATGGACCTTCTTAGACAGGATGTTGCGAAAATCCTCGTCATGACGGCACACGACTTTGACCGATTGACGGATGATGAAGTGGATCAACTTCCGCAACTGCCTCTCGTCGTAGCCCGGTGCGCCCCGAATACAAAGGTCAGGATGATTGATGCTCTGCATCGACGTGGCCAGTATGTTGCTATGACAGGCGATGGAGTTAATGACTCCCCGAGCTTGAAGCGTGCCGATGTAGGTATTGCCATGGGATTGGCTGGATCCGATGTTGCCAAAAGGTGAGAATTAATGCCTGATTTTGTCATTTTATCTAGCTAACCGCGTGGTAGTGCTTCGGATATTGTGCTCACAGACGACAACTTTGCCTCAATCCTCAATGCTGTAGAAGAGGGACGACGCATCTTTGACAACGTACAGAAGTTCATGCTCCATGTTCTCGCCGCCAACACAGGGTTCGTCACGACGCTTCTAGTAGGTCTGGCCTATAAAGACTCTCAAGGAATCTCCATCTTCCAGGTTACGCCTATTGAGATTTTGTTCATGTTATTGGTTGCTGGCGCGTTTACGGAAACCGGTCTGGGCTTTGAGTCTGCAACACCAGACATTTTGAACCGACCGCCTCAGAGTGTGAGTTGTCACCCAGCTGAGCCCCCAGAGATGGGCCTTTAGTGATGCAAAAATTGCTAATATTACCTCGTATAGCTTAAATATGGCGTCTTCACCCCCGAATTCCTGGCTGATCTTTTCGCCTACGGCATTCTCATGGCCGTCTGTCTTCTGAGCAGTTTTGCAATCGTCTTATTCGGTATGAATGATGGCCATCTCGGAAGCGACTGCAACATCAAGTACTCAGAATCTTGCAATGCCGTATTCCGCGCCCGCACTACGTGCTTCTCAAGCATGATGTGGATTTTCCTCCTCTTCGGCTGGGAGCTTGTCGACGCAAGACGCTCCTTCTTGGATGGTGCCTTCACCGACACGAAGGCATGGGCATTCAGGCTTTGGCGCAACAAGTTCTTGTTCTGGTCTGTCGTCATCGGATTCGTCAGCATCATCCCTACGATCTATATCCCAGTTCTGAACCACAGGGTGTTCTTGCACTACAATATCGACCGTGAATGGGGAATCGTCGTTGCCGTGACGATGCTGTTCTTTGCCGGTGCAGAATTGTGGAAATGGGTGAAGCGAGTGTACTTGAGAAGGAAGAACTTGATGAACCACAAAGATGAAGGGTCTGGCGAAGAGGAGTTGGAGGCGAGAGTATTTGAGCAGTTCTACCAGTCCGACTTTGGTAGCGATAGCACATGTTAGAAGGAAGGCCAACGGGAGTAGCGCGAGAAACGCACAGAGTTTGAACGATACAAATTAGCGATAAATAATCCCCCTCCATTTAATATACCATGACTAGAAAACGCCTTAACAGGTATCAGAAAGCAGATGTGATGAGATGAATCTGGATCCGGAGGCAATGCAAAGCTCGGTCTCGGTCGGAACCGAAAACAAACCGGCGCTAGTCCGTAAGAGGCTAAAGCATACCGACTGACCGAGCACCCGGCGGACTCCCCGCATGCGACGGAGAGTAGAAACCGCCGGCCTCTTGTCTCGGCAGCCTTGAAGTGTCAGCACCGGCCGGATCCTTTGCCCGCCGCGTGTCCTCAAAGTCATATAAAGACAGAGAGATGGGACGGAGTCATTACTGGAACATTAGATATATCCCTACTCACAATTTTAAACCTACACACTCACTCAACAAACACACAAAATGCCGTTTCAACCACGGATTGCTATTGTCGGCAGCGGCCCCTCCGGCTTGGCACTCGGCCTGCTGTTGCGGCAACACGGCACCCAAACCACGATTTACGAGCTGCGAACCAAATTGACGACACAAGAGCTCGCTAAACCATCCGGTATGCTGGATCTTCACGAAGAGTCCGGACTAAAGGTGATGCGCGAGTGCGGCCTATGGGACGACTTCCAGGCTTCTATTGGCGACTGCTCTGAGGCTTGCCGTGTTCTTGATCCTCAGGGAAATGTGCTGCACACCGACAACGGCGAGCTTTCGACTCGCCCGGAAATTTCGCGACACGCATTGACTGGTATTCTTTTGAAGAAGGTCCCCTCGGATGGCATCAAGTGGGATCATAAGATCACAGATGTACGAGAGGCCCGCAATGCGACTACTGGAGCGACCGAGATCACGCTCGACCTCGGCGCCAATGGCACCGCAACCTACGACTTTGTCGTCGGCGCCGACGGTGCATGGTCCCGCGTGCGCAAGCTGCTTACGGACGTCAAGCCTTCCTACACCGGCGCACAGTATGTGACGGCGACATTGAGAAACGCATCAACCAATTTCCCACATCTGGCCGAGCTGAGCGGCACGGGCGCGCTCGCAGCACTCGGCGGCGGGAATGGAATCATGACGCACCGCGGCCCGCAGGACTCTATCAGAGTGTACGCAGGTGTGAGCACACCGCACGAGAACTGGGCTGAGGCGGTGGGCGTACAGGGCAAGCCGGCGGCTGAGGTCAAGACGGTGTTGCTGAGCGATGACAAGATCTTTGGCAAGTGGGCGCCTGAACTGAAGGACCTGTTCTCCACAGCCTGCGACGAAGACACCAAGGACAACGGAGGCCCGGCCGACATTCTGCCTCTGTATATGCTCCCCATCGGCCACAGCTGGGAGCACCGAACGGGCGCAACCCTTATCGGCGACGCAGCTCACCTGATGACACCATGGGCAGGCGAAGGCGTCAATCTGGCGCTGTGGGATTCGCTGGACCTGGCGCACGCCCTGGGAGGAGTGTCCGAGGCCGAGGATGCAGCCGCATGGCAGGCAGGGCTCGAGCCGCGCATACGCAAGTTTGAGGAGACGATGCTGGAGCGGGCGAAAGAGAAGGCAGAGGAGACTGCTAAGAACCAGAAGATGTTTCTATCTGAAAATGGCGGACAAGCGATGGCGGACATGTTTAAGATGTACGAGGCCATGGCGGCTGGTGGCGGCCCGCTGCCTTAGGGCCATTCAAGTGGAAGGAAGGGTTCATAACATAGAGACTAGATTAGTAGATAGAAATTGTATGTAATAAATAGCTAAATTTGCCTCCCAAGTACCCGATTGCCAGTCGATGGGCTTTTATTAAGTATGTCTTTGGTGGTTCGTCCAGTTAATTGTCAAATCCCTGGCCCTTGTGTCTACCTAGTAAGTGTTCAATGGATCCAACCCCACTATTGCGACCCATCATCGAACCCCCTTCTCAGCGCCAGCGTAAGTTCTTGAGGCGCGTGAGCTCTGGATGTTCTTGATCGGCATAATAAATTATTCAAATACCAAGCTTGCATACGCTGAGAGACTTCTGTTCTGGACCCCTGGAGTATTTCACATGACGAACCAGCTTCTGGGTTCGCTGTACGAACCTCAGCTACTGGTATTGTATTGAAAATGTTTTACGCCGTGCAATTCCTTTTAAAAGGCGGAAGGGCGTCTAATAACTAGCTGATTACCGCTGTAAAGGCCGGCTAAAGCAAGAACATAGGAAAAGGCTAGCTCTTTAGAAAATAGGGTCGGGTTATTATATCTCGCAGATGGTAAACATGAGTAAGGGGTGTTGACCTCAGCTAAGGCCCTGATCCGCAAAGTCGTTCGTCGTTCGTCGCTCGTCAGTCGCTCGTCAGTCGCTCGTCAGTCGCTCGTCGGTCGCTCGTCGGTCGCTCGTCGATCGCTCGTCGATTGCTCGTCGCTAATTGTGCAGATAAGCCTAGCCCCCTGGAGCCGGCCCCAATAGGCGCTGTAACAGGGCCCCTATAGCTGTAACAGCAAGCTCTATATAAATTAACTCTTTCAAATAATATTTAAAGAAATAAATAATATATATATAAACTACTATCTATTATATATATAATAATAGTATTTTATTTTATATATACTTATTCTATTTTATTATTATATATTTTATAGCTAACAACTAATAACTAATATTTACCAATACCTCCAGACTACTATACTAAAATTGCGATTTCTTTTACCTGAGAGTGGATTTTTTCAAGGGCTTGACGCAGCAGCTAAGCCTAATATAGTTGGATTAGAAACATCAGATTGAGAAACTCTTCATAACTCAGCGTCCGACTGTCGTCACTGCCCAAACTTTTCTCGCATGTGGAGCGCTCGAGGTCGTGAGCACCCGGATAATGCTGGCTGCCAATAAGCATTGGATCCTGCCTCTTGGTTTGCTGGGGCGATACGGGAAACGCAGAGACAAGGGAGTGTACTGTAGAAGATGAGGATTAGGCGAAACTTGGGGGATAATTGCGCGTCAATTTGAATCTTTCAAGTTCCAGGAATGAAAAAAAGAAAAAAGAAAAGAGCAGGAACAAAAAAGCGAAGCGGATAAGCCAGAGTTTGAATTGAGGGGTGGGGGAGAAGAAAGGCCAGCCTTATTAGTCTCCTCTCTGTCGTGGTCCACATTCACTTTTCACCAATTCATACCAAAGCACTTTCGAAGCTTCTGAAAATGATGTAATATATTTAGAGCGCAGCGCGCATAGTGCGCAGGCATTGAGGAAGAAAGCTCGGCCGAAAATTCTTGGAGTTACCCCAACAAATGCAGCGGCTGGGATGGCACAACAGCCGTTGGAGCTACTTTGTTGCTGGTGGGAGATGCATCGGTGCAACCACACCCAAGAGCCAGAAGAGGCTGTCGCCAGCAGCAAAATAGAGAGAAAAAGAAAGCTCCTAAGTGCTTGACAGCCCCATCAGACTATTTAAGTAGATGGAAACTGGTATGGTTTTCTGTCGGCTGTGACGGAGAGTACGGAGAATCCAGTAATGCCAAGCTAGGAAGTGACCAGCGTGTGTGGAACGGGCAACAGGGACCAGAACACCCAACAACCGACCTAAAAGCCAGAGAGCTATTACTCGTAACATAGTTTGAAAAATTTATTCACTAACGGATGCGATTGGCTGAGGCGTCAATACTAACCATTGAACAATAATGATGCTCGCTGATAAACGTGGACCGTCCATCTCGATGTACCCAAAAACCGCATCGCCAGGCTCCAACACTGACTAATTATGCTGAAAGAATAGCTCAAAGGCAAAGCGGAGCTCCCTGCTAAGCTCAGCCCGCCATGCGGGATGACTCGGTCTCGGCAAAAGCAAAGAGTAAGACCAAGCCTGGTATCCCCATTACCCAATAATCCTTGACACACCAGGGAGGGAATCACTTTTGTATCAAGAAATGGAAGTGTTGCTGTTGACGTGTCCTGAAAATATATGTATTATTTTCTTCCCCTTACAGACTTAGGAGAGTCGGAACCTGCTCTCAATGTCCAAGTTTGGACACATAATTAAGATACGGTCCTGGCACACATAACCGAAAGGCCATGAGGAAGTCTCGCCCTCCCTGAGACGCCACCTTAAGTAGCATCAGACAACGGCATATTCTTGTGGAATCAAGTGGCGTCGTCGGTGAGGATGGTATCTATTTGATAGGTGCACATTGCGGTTGTGCCGCGCCAGCCTGCCTTTGCCGACGGCTATGCGGATCTCCTCTGTAATCTCATTGATCTGTCAACGCATCCCTGTTACAGCTGAAGTATGTCAGACGGTCTTGGCGGTCGGCGAGTACTGCCCTCAACCTGATGGTAGGTTGATAGCTTCTCAGGAAGCACCAGATGCCAATAATAGCAGCGGCATGCCCAACAATAGCAACCGGCACAAGACTAATGCGCCAATGGCGGTATCTAGTTAGACTCACTCCTGAGACATGCTTACAGCCCCTTTTTTCATTTCTTTTCCACAGCCTGATTTCTTTTTGCACAAACCCCACCAAGAACCTGAGCTTTCACAATTTGCCAATGAGTACTGTGCGAGACTCGTTCCACTACCCTGCCATCCAAATTCGACAACTATTTGAGCTTATCCAGCGAAAATGCGAGACGTCACTGCTGAACAAGAAGAGACTTCGCATGCTTGCGACTGCGGAGAAGCTCCAGATCTATCTCCAAGCTGCATTCGATCACTTTGCCAAAGACTTGACAACACCATTTGATCTTATCAAGGAAGCGCTGAAACACAGCCCTGTTCCCAGGGGATTTGGCGGAAACATTCTAACGCTGCCTTTGCTCATGCAAGAGAACTCTGCCACCCCGGCTCACTTTGGCACTGCTGGAACTTTCACTGACATGGCACCTATCCTTGCGTCTTGTTTTCATCTAGACTCAGTCCGGCAGAACCTTTTAGGTAACGCCTCATTCGCAACGTCGACCAATGACACTTGCTAACAAGAACAAACCAGGAACAACAGAGCGTCTTTTGAACGATGTATATGCCGAGTTCTGTGAATACGCTGTCAAGCAGTTCTCTGATCTATACTTGCCTTGTAGCTTTGAGAACTCACGTGGCAGATGCTGCAACAAACGGCTCGGCCACAGTCCCAAAGGCCATCAGAACGATCTTGGCAAGCAACTCGCCCCTGGGAGCTACGAGTCGGCTTTTCAGCCCCACGAGTTCCAAGCAGAATGGCTGAACTTGATATGGAAATATCTTCAGCGGATGGAGGCGAAATTTGATGATCAGAGCCACACACACGCACATATATCCAGTGCTGATATTGCCTCTTCTTTGCACCGCGACGAAATCAACGAATTTTATAAGTTTGCTGGAGGGGCCGAAAATTTCCTAAGTCACGAAATCTGCTTCTCATGCCTTAGAGAAATACCTGAGCATGCCCTGATTCATACTATCAATATGATGCTGAATTTGCTTAGATATGCCGTATCGGTTTCATAGAGCACCGGACCCAAGCACGGACATCAAGGCTTGGGAGGCGTTAGGCATCCTCGCTTCAACATGATACCGAAGACTTTACTAACCAGAACTCAGAGCAAGAGCCACCTCTGCAGCACTGCCTTTCTTCAAGCCATACGAGAAGCCCGAGACGAAGGACATATATCTTGACGGCGCCCTATATCACAACTGTCCCGTCTGGGTGGCTCATCACGAGAAAAGGTTGATTTGGCCAGATGAAAGTGGAGACTTGCCTGACTTGCTTCTTTCTGTCGGTACAGGCTGCCACCGTGAGGGCGTGAGAATGGGCGAGACAGTTCCTTCTCCGTCTATTCGCAAAGCTAAAGCAGGAAAATCGCCCCTGCTTTCTCAACTATATCAAACGGGGTCAGACAGGCTCGGCGATATCCTCAACTGCAGCCGTATCTGGGAGAACTTTTTGACAGAGAATGCGCAGCTCAACAGCAGATTGAACCCAAGTGGAACGCAACGCCACGTGAGGATCAATCCCGACCTCGGTGCAAGTGTGCCTAGACTCGACGATGTTTCAGCGATTGAGGATGTCGAGCGCAGTGTGAACAGGTACTTTCATCAACATCAAGATTTGGTAAAGCAAACAGCGCACAGGCTCATTGCCAGTACCTTTTTCTTCCAAACAGAGCCAGATTTGATCAAGGTCATTGGGAGCGAGTTTCATTGCCAAGGTTAGCAATCTTAGGAACTATGGGAAAGTGAGATGCTGACGGAAACATTTAGGACGCATTCTCTGCAGATTTATGAACCGATCAATCGAGCTCAAATCTCTTGGGAGATTTCTCCAAACTTGCGTCAGTGGGGACTTTGAACCTTACTTCATTATCCAGGAAGGTGGTTATTCGTATAATGATGTCAAGTTTCCCTGTCCGAGAGTATCATACACAACATGTGTCTCAAGGGAAGTTTTGAACTGGGTGCCATCGAATTTCGAGCACACAGAGAGCCTTCTCTCATTCGCATCTCACTTTGTCTCCATGATAGCCCATATACTAGCGCTACCGATGCCCTTCTCCCCATTAGCGGCTTTCCACGAGAAGTGGTGAGTGAGAACAGAAATCCAGGTATGTTTGAAGCCTACACTCTCCCAGTCAGTCGCTGCAAAAATGACACCAGGCGGAAAGAAACAACAAACACATTATATTACTTGATTGAGTGGACTATCCAGCAGGAGATCTGAGGCTAACAGTGTGATAAGGGCGTCCAAAGAGCTCGATATCAAGCGGTCTCAACAGAGATTTAAGTGGCAAGCAGAGGTTTCGTCATGTTGGGAAGAACCACTTTACCCACAATGAGGGGTACAGCACAGTCTCTGTGACTTCTAGTATGCGGAACCAAGTAGGTGCTTTCTCTGAGGCCATGCCTGGAGGTATGTCTGCAGACGCCAGTTATTACTCGTCGGCACCTGGAACGGAAGCTATCCATGAGCTAGAGGGTTAGGTAGACCAGAGAAGAGCGGCCTCAACAGTGAGATCACAAATTCAGGTTATTTGACAGCATTCACTCAAAATCAAGCAGACTAGCCAGAATTGCCGACACATCAGAGTCTCGTCCACGATCTAGTGTTGAGTTATCTCACTCGCGCACGGCTACAGGAGGTTAAATGGCCGCACTGCTCCTTAAGAGCCTATTTTGTCTGAGCTTCAAAGTAAGGTATCTTTTATTGTCGAGAATCTCGCCTGGGTACCCAGCTTCCCTTGTCTAGAGTGCATGTATACTCGTATTTCTCAATCCACGTCAACCGCCCGGGTCCTTGGCTGACCTCTTCATCTCTTATCAACTGCAGCTAACCATGCCTAACCTGTGCATCTCTGAGGACCCTTGAGCCTAAATTTTCTCAAACCCACTCCACCCAAGCGTCATATATTCTCGCTTTGAACTGCAATAATGCCTACTGGACCTTTTCACAACGCCCTGAGTAAACATCAAACTTGGAGGGCCGGGAACACAACATCCTCGAATAGAGGAAGTCAGTACCAGTTAAGTTGGATGCTACTATTGATTCGATTTATACACTGGACGTGCCCAAACGCCACGGTGATGGCTTGGCTCCTTTTATGATATTGGACAAGCCTCAGCTTGAGGCCGTCGACTCAGTGACCCTGAACCACTTTAGCTCTTATCTTTAGGGTCACTCTACGCTATAGCAGAGGCAAAACGTCCTCCACCCATTTCGTCCACGGCAATTGAGATGATTATAACAAAGATAGCCCTCGCCGCCATTTCCACGACCGTGGGCACAGCCACTAGCATGTGCTCGAAGTTCAAGTTTTCAGACTGCTTCGCAACAGATCATGCGCCACAACCATCGTGACATCGGATGTATCCCCCGTTGAGAAAAGCTGCTCCGATTAGCCCCAACGTTTCAGCTTAATCCCTACTACAGGGAGCACCACTGAGGCATTTGAGAACATAGGAAACCGTTTAGGTGATCGACTGGTAAAAATGTGGCCGTGTGTCAACCGGAACAAGTTGGCACTTGGCCGAAGCCCGTGGTCCTTGAATTCTGTGCCTCTTTCTCGCCGACCTTTTTCAGTGCTTAACGGCCAAAACAACAAACTGATTCAAATCTTCTTCGAATTTGAAGGAGGCGTGGGACGCAGCATCTTACACCTGTCACCCAGGATATGGAATAACTACGAATTTGAAAGATCAACCGTGGACGCAATACCAGTACCCCACCACCATATGTAGAATTATTGGGTTTAGATGTATCCTTTAAATCACAAAGACTCAGTACGCCAGGGTGATATTAACGTATTCCAACCTAAAATAAGGGCCATTCACCAACGCCGGTATTTTGGTTTCCCCTTTACTGTAAAATCCTTTGCATCATATTTCAAGAGCAGTCTCTCAATAATCCGTACACCCTCGATCCTTGAATGGGACTCTAATGCACTATCCACTTCCATATCCATCAACTTACGTACAATATAGAGAGGGCTGCTTCCACCAAGGAAGGTCAAGTAAGATAAATGACTGTCGTCATCCCATTCATTGTTGTCGGCATCGCCAGCATCGTTTGGATCAGCATGCGATTCTAGCAAGAGTCTGACGGCCACAACATCGACCCTCGCAGCAGCGATTTGCAATGGTGTTACTTGACAGGATCTGGGCCGAGGGCTCGCCCCATTTCGAAGAAGTCTTAGGATAAGACATTCAGAGCCCAAGCCGTATAATCGTTCAATTTTGTGGAGGTGATTGCCGATGTGTAAATGCAAAAGCCGGGTACAATTGACTCCGTCGCCAAATCGGTTATAAAGCAGTTGAAAAGGCTGCCTGTCTCCAGACGGACAGCATGCAAAGAGTTCAACAATTGTACCTTTGAATTTCCAGTCAATGTAAGCGTTCTCCCAATGGGACCATGCAAACATGGAAACTTGCAGCGTGGCTTCTGTTGACGCCTTACTGACAGACGGGAAAAGCTCTTGCGCTAGTTGAATAAGTCCACTGTGAAGCAAATTAATCAACATTGCGATCTGAAAATCTCCATGATAGTTGCTCCAATCAATGTCAGAGAACAACGTCTGCCAGCCGTTAACCCTGTATGCAACAGGGGAACGTGTGCCGGCCAATGTTTTCAGCGTGGCGACCAAGGCTTTGTAATGAGGCTTTGAAAAATCTAAGAACTCAAGTGCCAGCCCATACTGAACACATCTAGACTGGGTATGTAATGCTCTGGTTGCCGAGAGTTGACAATACTCTTCCAGACCAATTCGTGAGCTTCTGGCGTTGCCGATGGCTCTGGTTGATTGTTCTACGCCAAGAGGGTAACGGAAGATGACGTCGTAGATATTCGCATATGATTCATCTCGCCCGATTTTGAAGAACAATGCAAATGGACCTGTGTTTCGGTCTGACTCAAGAAACTCGCGAACAGTGTAGTGTGCAAGAGTAACACCAGTCTCAACTTCGCCATCAAAGTCAATCTCAGTGTATGATAGTAGGCAGCCACATGTTTCTTTTAACGTATTGGCGTCGATGAAGTGTTGTCCCTGATTGGTATTTGACTTATGCTGGTCCGTAGAGGAGTAGATGTAGGAATCTAGAAGTATTGCAATAGTAGGTGATCCGTGGTAATAATCGCTCCATAGAAGGGTGTGGAAACAAAGCCAGTGCAGGGCATGTTTGACTAGATCACGATCTTCCGTATCAATAAGTGAGAATATTCGTTCATAGCTTTCGTCTAATCCCTCTGGAAGATTCTGTAGTGAAGCTTTGATCTTGTCCTCGTGGCGAAGTCGTCTCAAGATGTCGAGCTGGCATACAGCCCAACGAAACATTCCTTTGGCTCCTTTGGAAAGTGAATCTTCGACATCGTCCTGCAGCTGCCGCGGCCAACGTTGGAATCGAGGTTCGGCTCGTATCCGTCTACTTATGTAAACCTTAATGTCTGCTTCCACAAGCGGATTGGACATTGAGATTGGGTCGGATATTTTGGCCATTGTGGTCTCGATATTCGTCTCCTCGCGGCTTGTGACTAGCAGCTGGATCTTTTGAAACCGCTGATCGGTCATCAGATCCTGGATGACTTTGAGCAAGTTTTCTCGAGGGCGACTTTCGTCGACCGCGTCAATGATGGTAAAGATGGTGCCCTGGCCGGACAATACGGCATGGAGGATGTCGAGGAGTTCCGATAGGCTTAACTCTTGGCCGCGTTTAAATGACGCGTATGCTTTCTCGGGGACGCCTTGCGTTTGCCGACATAACTGACTAATGAGCCATCGAAGGAATGGAACGGCCTCATCCTGGTTGCGTCCATGGTGACAATAATAATAGACGCACTCGGATTTTGGACCATCCCCACTTCGGCCCATGAGACGAACTTGCTCAATAAGATAAGAAGCAAGAACCGTCTTACCAGAACCTGGAATTCCATGAATCCAAATACACCTTGTCTTCAAGTTGACCCAGTCAATCCATTTCTGAGAGCGCAGGACCCAGGCGCCCGTTTCATTCTCGTACAGAGACTTCGCAGCATTATGTGCAGGTGATGGGTTAGTATGCTCAAGCCACTGGCAAAATTCTCTACCATTCGATTCAAACAGAGTATTCTTGATAGTCTGGACTTCTTGACTGGTGGTGATATTAGTTGATGACACTCAACAGCGGCGCCGGCAAATTATGCCTCATACTTACAGCAAAGAACCTCCAATAGCCATGCTGATAGTCGATTTGAACCGCATGAGGTCATCCAGTAACCTTTGGACTGCTTTTTCTTTCAATGGCCATGCAAGAGCGTCTAGTGCCGATAGCAGCGCCTTTTTGCTCTTTCCGCTGCTGTTCGAAGGGGGTGTAGTTGGATTGGGGAGCAAGGCGTTCAAAGATTCGATGGCTTTCTTGCAACCTTGGACAGGTCCATCAGCGCCTTCAAGATGCGAAATAATGGAAGCGTCCTGTGCATCATCTCGTCTCAAAAACTGTAGCCCTTGAAGTACGACCTCTAGGGACTTAATTTCGACGAAAATGACGCGGAGTTGTCTGGGATAATCTCCGACGCTATCCATGTATGACTTGCATACTTGAGCGATTCGAGTAGCTAGCTGAATGATGACAGTAACGTCTGTGGATATCGAAAGGGCTTCCATCATGAAAGGCCCCTTTCGACTAGGAACCAGCGTGAGAGTTAGCAACCGTGCAAGGTTTGAAGAGGAAGAGGACGTTTCGCGGCCCAACGTCTGGCTTCTGAGTGCAGCCGTAAGATGGTCCGTGCGCGTCCTGGTAAGTTAGACACCAAGCCTCATGTCTAAATTGGGAGCGCGACAGGTTGGAAGAACTACCGTGATAGAGGTGGTCTTGTACTGGCCAGCGCTGAATATAACCCCGCACCAAATCCCTGTGTACTACAACATACACCACTGAAATGGCCCGGAGAAAAATGGGAGACCACTAGCAGGACGAGGCGAAGCAAAGCCTGATCAGGCAGATTCGAGGGCTGAATCGCAGATAAGCTAATCAGGCAGTAATGTGATCATCGCCACAGCCCCAACACAGCCGGCTCGCCTTGCTCGGATATTTGAGCACGTGTGCATTCACTCGTTAGTAAACTGTGCTATTCCTATGATATCTTGATTCAAGAATAATGATTGTTTCGTTGTGCATCGTTGGGGGTGTTAGGCCCTCGTCTACATCCTCTCGCAATGGGTTTTTGCACAATAACAGGCCGTCTTATTTGGCCGATATGTGAGATCACAATCATCAATTATCACCGAGCCAGGCCAAGGAACCTTCTGGCTCGCATTACAACATCACAACTCTAAGCTTTCGGCTTCTTCAAAGGCCCAAATCACCTCTCTCTAGCCAGCCGCGGTGTTCTCTCTATTAATTGGAACCGCAGCGTTAGTCTGGAGACTACCATTGGATGGTCAATGTGAGAGCTCTTGTCCTAAGATTTATTACTAAACAGGACAGTAGACATGAACCGCCGGAGAGAATGATGGGCTCGGTTTTGTATTCTTTGGACCTCGATGCTTGATAATAGACGACGTGGAATGGGATACAAATCGGTCTCAATGCGAGGGTATTTACATACATATTTGCGGATTCCATGCTACGAACATCTTGTCTATAGTGACTGCCAGTGAAAGCCCTCAGCATTATAGAGGAGCTGGACTGAAAGTGGAGATGAGTGGATTACGCAGTGGATCAACACCGAAGTCCAGGTTATTTGGATGAGAACCTTAACGTGAAAGTGTTGTGCATTGAATGATGCACTGATTCATAGCTTCAATTGAAACGCGCCATGGTGACAGGATGGAGGTCCCGCAGGATCTCCCTCAGCAGGCGGGAAGATAGCCGCGGTCAAGATAGCCAGCGCCGAGGACCGAAAGCGCGGTCTCGAGCTCATGTGGGGCCGCCCAACGAAGCTCGAGCAGATGGTAAAAGTCGAGCCACCCCGACGAGCCGACTGGACTGTTTTCGAAACGGCGAAGTCGGAGCCGATACTCGCAATGCCACTCTAACCACCCCATATCAGAGTCCCATAATCTGCCGATGTGTCATTCAACTGCCAGATTCGGTGGCAATGAGGCGAATCGGCGGCTCCGTTGCCTCGCCGGTTGTGGATCCGCTTACACACGGAGCCCGGGGATCCCAACTCGTACCGCCTCCCACGGGCCAGCCCGGCGGGAATAATTAGGTAAAAAGGACCGATTTTTAGGTCATAGAATCCACCGAATTTCCACTGAACAAAAGTTCAACGTCTCTGCATAAGAGCTGTGAGTGTTGTTTATTACTGCAGAGTCGAAATCGAGCAGAGAAAGCCGTTACCAGTTGTAAGGTGGTGCGGTGTTTGTTCATCTTGAAGTGCTTCTCACCATGTCTTGGCAGAAGTCTCATTGCAAGTGAAGCGCCGAGTGGCAATGCCGGATGCTGCCGGATGCGGCCGGACTGGACCCTCCTAAAATCCCGGACTGAGAAAATTTTCTAGAATGATGATGGAACACGCGAAGATCCACCTGCCCGTGCTAGCTTCAACCCCACTATGAGTTCATGTTCTCTCTGACTCGAATTGCATCTGCTGTGATTGGTCTTTGCCTGCCATCTCTCGCGGTTCCGGCAACTCTAGCCTTTCAGACGAGGCGGCCGTGACATCTGACGCTGCCCAAGGCCTCGCTTCTAGGCCCGACGATCAGCAAGCTCATCTCCTGATATGCACGAAGGATCACCACAAAACATGGGGATCATACCATGGACACTCAGCTGAAAAGGCACCTTCCTCTTTCCCTTTTCTCCCCACCTCGTAGAAGGGATCTTGGGGCATTGTCGATATCTAGCTAGCTCCGGGGCCCCAGAAGACGTTGTGGATATGGCACATGGGACCATGACACGGGTCTGTATAAATACGATGCTAAGCACCTCCGAAACAGGAGAGCTAGATTCTCGCCATCCACCTCAACTTGCCACTCTTTAATGCTATTTACTCTCCCTCTCAGCCGTTAGCCTTTTGACATTGACACATATTCCCCGAGCCCTGAGCCATGGCTACGATTACAGAGAAGACCTCCACGATGCACGACAAAAAGACGGCAGACCCTGGACAGATGTTCACGAGGCCCACCAACGACGACGAGGAAATCGCAGGCGAGATCTCTGAGTGGGAGAAGAAGAAGACTCTCGCTGGCAATGCCAAGTTCCACCGTCTCGGCTGGAAACGCCTCACCATCATCCTCATCGTCGAGGCCGTCGCCCTCGGTGCCCTATCGCTGCCAGCTTGTTTCGCCACCCTGGGCATGGTTCCCGGCACTCTCATCTGTGTCTTTTTCGGACTCATTGCCATCTTCGCCGGTCACAACGTCGGCGCGCTCAAAGTCAAGTACCCCGAGGTGCAGAACTATGCCGACGCAGGACGCTTGATGTTCGGGCGTGTTGGATACGAATTTGTCGGCGGAATTTTCCTCCTGGAACTCATCTTCGTCTCGGGATCCCACTGCTTGACTGGAACTATCGCCTTCCAGGATTTGACCAACAATGGCGCCTGCGGTTTGGTCTTCGGAGTTGTGTCTGCCATCATCCTCTTTGGCGTATCAGTGCCCCCATCATTTACGGAGATGGCTATTCTTGGATACATCGATTTTGCCTCGATTCTCATCGCCATTGGTATCACCATTATCGCCACCGGAATCCAAGCCTCTGACTCTGTCGGTGGCATGAGCTCCGTCGACTGGTCAGCATGGCCCCGAGATGGTGTAACTGTTCACGAGGTCTTCGTCGCGATTGTGAATATCATCCTGGCTTATACTTTTACCCTATGCCAATTCTCCTTCATGGACGAGATGCACACCCCTATGCAGTACCCCAAGGCTGTTTGGGCTACCGGAATCGTTGAAATCTTCATCTACACCTTGACGGGTGCTCTCGTCTATGCTTTCGTTGGCAGCGACGTTCAGTCGCCTGCTCTTCTTTCCGGTGGACCTACGATCAGCAAGATTGCATTCGGTGTTGCTCTTCCGGTTATCTTCATCAGCGGTGCCGTCATCACCCAATGCGCAGCCCGATTAATCCACGGACGAATCTATGCGAACCGCGTTGAGCGTTATGTGAACACCACAAAGGGCTGGGTTACTTGGCTTGCAACATTATTCGCTATTGTGCTTATCGGCTGGATCATCGCCGAAGCTATTCCCTTCTTCGGCAACTTGGTGGCACTAATCTCGAGTCTCTTCAACTCCGGGTTTGCACTTTACCTGCCTGCTTTGATGTGGTTTGTCCTCCTCCGAGAAGGACCTTGGACTACACGAGAGAACCTGGTCAAGGGCGCTATCAACGGATTCATGTTGATTGCTGGCCTGGTCGTGCTTGTTGGTGGAACCTGGGCGTCAGTCAAGAGCATCGTAAGTCGAGCCAATCCTTCACCCAAGAAGAATATTCTGCTAACCTCTACTTTACATAGGTCGACGATTACAAGGCGGGAACCGTTGGGAGTTCTTTCTCTTGCTCTTAATAGCGTAGCCAAAGAAATTTAATTCAACCTTTTATTATTTGTTAAATCTAAGTTATCGGTTGCTGATGATGCACACTCTAACCACCCCGCATCGCTTTTGGATTGTATTACTCTGTGAGCCAAATGTCGAGGACGCAGCTGGCAGTAAAATTTATGAACGAAATTATTCATCAGTTTTCCATCTTGAAGGTCGACCCAAAAGATGCTCTGATCATCGGTAACATTCTGAACATACTTCAGTTTGTCTACGTTATTGTTCACACAACTAGTTCCGGTCAGATCAGGTCATTAAGGATTTAGTTGGTTGTGCTAGTTTCGCCTATCTGACCCACCTCCTCGATAACCATGAGACTGCTCTAGTTTCATGGAGGGAGAGGGTGAAGAAGAATTCCATTTACAACATGATACCTCGTCGGGCCGCCACCGTTGTACACACTCACCACTCGTGTTCAAGTTACCCAACGGAATGTTGGATGAGACTAAAATGTTTAAAATGCCTGCTACTTCTCATAGCCTCTGTCATAAATTCAGTAGTCCATTTCATACCGTCTCCAGTAGCGCTCTTCCTTAATGGAAGTATCAGCTCCGCCACTGGTCACAGCCATGTATCCCGAAGAAGGGACACTTGATGTGACTGCCACCCTCTGCGGCACCATCTCCATAGCACTGACATCGCACTGGGCCTCGTTTGGCAAGGAGTCAGTTCGTTATTAATTGTCGTCGCAATTGCTTCCTTTAGTGCAGGAACCGAGCGGAAATACACAAGAGCTCTGCGATTTCCCATTTTCTGCAAAAAGCACCGGCTCAAAGACTCCGAGGGTACAGTGAGGCATTGTGATCTTCATTATTTGACGTACGATTGGGGACTACTCCGTAGGCGCTGCTCCGCCCCCACATATGTGAATCCATCAGTCTGTTGCTGTTGTATTTCGTAATCTAGATCCGACAAAAAATGAGGTCAAAGGAAAAGGTCTTACTAAATTGACCAGCCCTCGGATCTCCTCCGTCCGTCAAGTCGCAGAAGGAAGAAGTGTAGTTTGAACCATGTCTGCTCAGGCGAACTAATTTGATAAGAGGGATGTGCTATCAGACTAGGCGAGATTGTATCCACATCAATGTGAACCGACAACGGAATTGTTCCTGATAGGCGACTAGTTTACCGGGCACTGTTCGTAAGCCGGATGAGATCCGATCCGAAGCAGTTTGCCCACACCGCACAGGCATTCCCGTCTCTACCTAGTCTTGAGGGTGGTTTAGAATCTACAACACAAGAGACCAAGGATCTCTCAAGTGACATACATGGAGAGAAATATGACTCCTTGTGCCGCCTCAAATGTCCGATCATCACTTCGACCTCAATTGTCTACTCCATCCCAGACCTAGCTAAGAAGTGCCTGAGAGGGACGGAACACTTCGCCAAACCGAGACTCAGAGCAACAACTGTCTCCATCTATTCCAGTCATTGGCCCTCTGTTCCCTCACTCACCATGGCGTCTCCTTCAGACGGTGATATCCGTTCGCAGACGCCAATGGCGCAAGACCTGTCCTCTTCGACCGGTGAGAAACCAGGCGAGAATATCCACCAGTCCCGCAGCATCGAAGAGGGCGAGGTTTACGACTTCAAGCCTCAGGATGTGGTCCTCGATACAGTCAACGCTGCTGAGAGCCAATACACGCCTGCCGACTACAAGCGTGTGCTACGCAAGGTCGATATGATCCTGCTGCCTCTCATGTGGGTATGCTACGGCACCCAGCAGGCCGATAAGACTTCTATTTCGACTCAAGCCACGTTTGGGATGCGCGAAGACACAGGCCTGGTCGGACAGCAGTTCTCCTGGTTGACCACCATATTCTACATCATGTATCTTATCGGCGAAGCCCCCGGTAACTACATCATGCAGCGTACTTCATTGCGCTACACCTTGGCCGCCTGCATGTTCGTCTGGGGAATCATTGTGCTCAGCATTGGCTTCACCCATAATTTCACCCAGCTCATGGTGCTGCGCGCCCTCCAGGGCTTCGCCGAGTGCACCATCTCACCAGCTTTCCTGCTGATCACTGCCACCTTCTACGTCTCGCGCGAGCACACGATGCGCTCCATCGTTTGGGGCACCTCCAACGCTGGCATGGGAATCATCACGCAGCTCATCATGTACGGCATTGGCAAGGGCGCCGCGCACAACCCCAATGGCATGCAGCCGTGGCGGTACATTAGCATCTTCCTTGGCTGTCTGACCATTCTGCTCAGCGTCTTTTCCTACTTCATTCTCGGAACCCCGAACGAAGTCAAGTGGCTCAACGCCGAGGAGAAGCGCATTGTGGCTGCCCGCGTAGTGAGCAATCAGACGGGATCCGAGAGACAGAAGCACAGCGAGTGGAAATGGGACCAGGTCATCTCGGCATTCAAAGACCCACAGACGTACTTCTTTTTCTTCACCGTCATTGTCAACTCGTTGCCGAATGGAGGAACCACATCGTTTGGAAACCTAGTGTACGTGTCGTTCGGCTTCACCCCCTTGGAGACGCTCGTGAAGGGCAGAATCCCCCAGGATGTCGTTTCAATTTGCTGGTTTCTCTTTGTCGGAATCATGACTCTGAAGAAACCCAACCTCCGATGTAAGCTATGCCTTTCCCTTTCCCTTTCTGGCACATGATCGCTGACTTGTTTTGCCAAGTCATCTTTATGGTCATTTCTACAATTCCCGCCTTTATTGGCATGCTCGCCCTCGCCCTCCTCCCCAAGGATGGCATGCTCTGGACTCGCTGGGGTCTCTACCTGATGACTGTCACTGGAAATTTGCCCGGCCTCCTCATTTGGACGTTCCTTCCGTCCAATGTCGCCGGTCGTACTAAGAAGTCCGTCACCGGAACTGTTATCTTTGTCGCATACTGCGTTGGCAACTCCATCGGCGCCCAGACCTTCCGAGCTGAGTGGGCACCTAAGTATATCCCATCCATCATTATCTGCGCGACCATGTACGCGCTAGAGTGCTGTCTCTTCATCTGCTGGAGGTTCTATTGTATGTCTACCTCTTCCTTTCTTCTTGCCGTCTCGTCCACTTGAGAAAGTTATAAAGCTTCGTCTTGGCATATGGAAAAACATTTTCGCTGACTGAACGTGCGAAATAGACATCTGGCAAAACAAAATCCGAGATAAGAAGGTGGCTGAAATGGGCCTGACAGCTGAGGAGTCTGCTCACCAAGGCCAGATCAACGGAGAGTCGGATATGACCGACCGGGAGAACATCCATTTTCGATACAGCATGTAGAGGATGGGCTTCCTACTATCATTAAGTATGGAGGTGTATCATATGGTACCATCGACGGGAAATTAATCCAGTATCCCTTCCTGTCAGTCATCTTGAAATTGAAACTTATAATGTCATATTGAATCTTAATGCCAACGTCCACTCTTCCGGCACGTCTGATGCCTGAATGAACTTGAATCTAAAATGGAGAAAATGGATATTTCAACCAAGGGGTACAGCCCCGTGGCAATGAATAGTGAACTTGGCTATCTAGCAACAGCTCTATTCACATCAGGCATGGCCTCGTTACATCATTATGCCCCAGCTTGTGACATGAATTAAGACTAACCATCGGGTGTGGCCCCGTTGATGTGCCCATTCTCAATCTTGTCCTCCATTCTCCTTCATCTCAGCAGTTCCGTTGTTCACGATCTTCATTCCATTCCCCTGATTTAGATCCCTTGTAATCTTCTTAAACTTCCCCATTTCGCTTCCCATCTACGCTATCACTGCGACGATATCTGCCGCGCAGTTTACAAACTCCCAGCTTTTCTTTCTTCACCAGTTCTGTCGCCTGCTCCGCGCTCAAACAGAAGTATCCCCCGAACTCCCCTACCTCCTTGGCCGCTTTTAGCACCTTGTCTCAGCTTCTTGCACTTCCCTCATGTCCGCATGGTTCCTCCCCAAGAACCCCATACTTGCGCACAAGTCATTTGGCCCAATGAAGAGCGCATCGATCCCCTTTACTGCCGCAATCTCTTCGCAGTTTGCCACCCCCAAGGGCGTCTCGATACGCACGATCACCACCAGCTTCTCATTCACACTCGTGGAGTATTTGTCGCACTCCGTGCCCATGCCCCATGATAGCGACGCAAACAGCCCACCAACCCCGCGCGTCCCACTTGCGAATCCAGACGCCGGGTCCGGGTAGTGTGCCGCGCGGGCTATCAGCTCAGCTTGGGCTTGCGTCTCGACTATGGGGATCATTATCCCATGGGCACCGGCGTCAAGCGCACGTTTGATGAGGTGAGGTTCCGGACCAGCGATGCACACTATAGGAGACGAGTGGGCAGCGGCAGTGGCTTCCAATGTGCATGGAGGAGTCGTCGACAGCGCCATGTTCACAGTCGACCAGAACCCACTGTAGTTGGATCTTCGAGCCTTCAGGCAGGTTCTTCTTCGTCGGAACCAAGTACGATGACGCTCTGTAAATAGCACAAGAAACTTGATAACAAGACAGCCGTCAAGATGCTCGAGTCTGTAAAAACACTGGAATGCCCCGGGTCACAGGATTGGCTGGTAAAAGGCCCATGGGAGCTACCGGAGCTCACTCCCACGGGTTGTCATTGTGGGACAGCGGATGAGCTCCGTGATCCCTGCATGTGGAGTTGTGGAGTAGAACAGCAGCATGTAGAAGTGGGGATGTCACGTCCATGGAGGTAATATCCACATTAGATACTGAAGGTTCACATAAATAGGGATATCAAAATGTAAGCTTGAAACAGTCCGAGACTAGGTACTGTATATTAGGGAAGATGTGAGTGGTATCAATTGGGTTCATCGGTCAAAGCGAAATTCGGGACGGGCAGGTCGTGGAGACAGTCAAGAACGGGGAAGGATCTCACCAAAGTCTTACCAAGGCGGAATACTCACCAATACTGATTACTATTGGTGAAGCAAATTACCCAAAGTACCAAAATACCCTCTGTAGAATTTCCCCTCATGGAAAGTCGCTTATCAGTTGGTGGAGCGCGGATACACTGTCCTGTCGCGGAGTTTATTCCCGAGCAATCCACGCGGATACGGCATCAGCGGCGGGCCGGGATCCGGCCGACACTCAGGTCCAACGACGTCTACGTAGACACATACGAACGTCTCACGAGTCGTCCCACAATGCATCCCTCGTACTTAAACCCGATTTGTTGTATCTAACTAGGATCGTGGAGGTCCGGGGTTGAGTTTATCTCTTGTGAAATTTTCTCGGATTTTTCTCATATGCAACCTGGCGCCATGTCAACCGCCATTCGAGCCGCCCGCGTGCTTCCCTCCAGCCAAGCAGATATTATCCAAGATGGTGTTGTTGTCGTGTGCGCTGACCGCATCGTAAAGGTTGGAACATGGGATTCGTTGAAAGATTCTCACGGAGCCTCGACAGTAGAAGACCTTGGGAATGTGACCCTAATGCCGGGTCTTTTTGACTGCCATGTGAGCCATGCCCTGCAACTCTCAAAATAGGAGTTACAGAGGAAACGAGAAGCCATTTCTAACGCACAGCCCCTCCAGCTTCACCTCCAAATGGACCCAACAAAAATTTCGACCTCTACCAAAAGTAACCTCTCAGACGCCGAGATTCTCTCACTCATGGTCAAGCACTCGGCCCGTCTCCTCGATGCCGGCGTCACGACCGTCCGTGACCTTGGCTCTCGCGGCAACAATGCTATAATTACTCGGGAACGGATCCGTCGTGGCTCCATCCCCGGTCCCCGTCTGCAGTGTGCCAACGCGCCCCTCACCGTGCCCGGCGGTCACTGCGCGGCCATGGGCGGCACCTGCGAGGGCGTTGATGGCGTTGTTGCCGAGGTCCGCAAGCGCGCTGCTGAGGGTGCTGACCTCCTCAAGGTCATGTCTACTGGGGGGTTCATGACGGCGGGCTCGCACCCGAGCAAGGCGCGCTTCACACTTGAAGAGATGCGCGCCATTAAACAGGAGGCTAAGAAGCACGGTATGCCTGTGACGACTCATGCGACCGGCACCGAGGGCATCGACATGGCTGCCGATGCCGACTTTGACTGTATTGAGCACTGCGCCTGGATTCACCCTTCAGGCAAGGCCATCTTCGACCCAGTTGTGGCCCAGAAGCTGGTCGATAAAGATATCGCGGTGTGCCCCACCATGAACACGGCCTGCATCGAGCAGTGCTACTTCTGCCCCTGGGACACGCGAGACGTTATTGTCGACAACCTCATCAAGATGCGTGAGATCGGTGTCCGAATTGTTGTTGGAACTGATGCCGGCATCGGGTTGTGTCTCCACGAGCGTTACGCGGACGGGCTGACCGTCATGGCTGATGCGGGATGGACGCCGCGCGAGATTGCCAAGGCGGCGACCGAAGAAGCAGCCAAGGTGTGCGGGTTAGAGGCCGAGACTGGAATGCTGGAGCCAGGAATGGCCGCTGATCTGGCTGCCTTTCAAGGAAATCCTGTCGAGGATGTGAAGGATTATGCTCGACCGAAGTGGGTGATGGCTTTGGGGAGGGTGCATAAGATGCGACCAATTGAGCCACTAGGCGATATCAAGGCTCAGGCAGATGTAGCAATGAAGCGTTTAAGGGAAGGGGCAGGCTTAATTTCGGCTTAACTTGAAGAGATCTTCAATTCAGTAAGAATACCTAATCCTGGTATGGTAATACTTGTACTGATAGATGTCTGGGACAGCTTGGGAATCTGACCGGGGGTCGGCCATCTACACCACAGACGACCCTTGAAGTGATGTTAATATCCTGTATAAGCTGGAGCTCCTACTTAACTCGACGCATATCACAATAAATCTTCCCTCTCACATTCACTACCCTTATACTTTTCTCCAATGTCTCCAACCCGCGCCGTTTCGACGTCTCGCAATAGTTAGCTCAGTCTACGAGACCGGGTCGTTCACATATTTGGGAAGAAAGGATTTTATTAGACCTGAGACCCCAACTGCTTCCAATCGTTTTGGGAACAGCCATCTTTCTTTCTTCTAGACCCGAGCTGAGTCGAAGTGACAGAGACCAAGCCCATGCCTACACTCACGTTGACGTAGCTAATTCCTCCAACCCTCAACTTCATTCCCACACAACCTAAACAGCCCTTTTCTATATACAGCGGTAATCGCTTCATTTTGGAGACATCGGATCCCTTCTTCATTCATCACACCATCATTGCAGCGCATCCTCGTCCTTGATAACCCCACCAAAGAAGTCTTGGCACTCCGATTCTCGCAAATCGTCCCATTATGCCTCAACCTTCACACATTATCTAATTATTGTTACAACGGCCATCAAACTCAAAACCAGTGTCCATTGCACAACATGGGCTAAGTTGAGTGGTAACCTCTCCACTAATTGAAGGATTGACTCATATGCGTCGTATGCCACACCGGATCATCCTCAATCTGGCGTATGACGAATCCATGCTTCTCCCAAAAGCGGATTGCCCCCGGTAAGAAAGGATGAGTATGTAGGTACAGCCGGTCAATCCCCACCTGTTGCGCTTTTTGTTTTATTGTAGTGAACAACTTTGAAGCCAACCCGGCGCCGCGCCAGGCCGGCTCGACGTACAGCCGGACTACCTCGACTACGCGATCGTGGCCGAAATCGAGCTGGGGGAAGCGCTGGTCGTAGGCGAGAAATCCAATGGTGGCAATGAGACGACCGTCAGCTCGGGCTGTGAAGAATGTCCCATCGGGATGCTCCAAGTAGGTCTGCTTGAAGGTGGCGATTTCGCGTTCGGCCTGTTGGATGTGGGATGCCGGGTCTAGCATTGGGAACATCTCGACGCGGGCCGCCTTGACAAAGTCGACGATTGCGGGAATCTCATCGGGCGTGGCGGGGTGGATGGTTATCGCCATCGCGTCGCTGGTACTGAGTTGATCTATTCACCGGATCGACGGTCGCCGTCACCGTGGGAAGCGGACATTGTTGTTTATGAATTGAGAATGATTTCGCAGGGATCGGAGAGATCAGTTCATAGCGAGATCGGCTTTAAATTTTCCGGTGCCTACGCCCCACCCCTTCCGCTATTCTCTTGGCGGTTCGCTGTGTCTGTCCGTCATTTGAACAAGAATACGACTTCCATTTGCATCCCTATTAATATTATAGACCGACTGGGAACTCGTGCAAGCAATGTGAATTTGATGAGTGTTGTGATCGTGTTAGGTACGCGCTAGCTAATCATGTGCACAAATAGGCAGGATATATGACAGTTGCTCCGCTATACTAATGCAGTCATATACTCGGTTATCATTGAAGCGCGAATAATTTAAGCATGATGAGATTTCTGTAGATCCCCCTCTTAATACGATTACAATCGTGGAGTCCTCACTCCCGCTGCTCGGACCGCGCCGACGTCGCCGAAAACTCTAAGATAAAGTGGAGCTCCGGCGCCGGGAATATCTACCAACGTCTAGTTATCGACGATGATCAATCTAGCCTCGTCGTAGGTAGACACAGCTCGAGCACTTTGCCGTGGCGGAATTAGTATATTGACTACTTAGCACCGTGATCGGTCCCGGTCCCAGACACGAGGGCGTGTACCAGCGATCAAAAGGCTTCCCGGGCTTTAATACATTTACTCCTCAGGTATATGTATAAAGGAGGCAACTCTTTTCAATACGCTCCCTCCCTATTCATTCCCCAAATACTCCATGGTAGCCCCCTTGCATAATGGTACGATCGAATGTGTAGGCAAATACCGAAGGTCTCTGCAAGTCTGACCCATCCTTAGCCAGTCGTTCCAATCGGAACATCCCCAACCAGCTCCTCCGGTACTTGGCGCTGGTGGCAAAAGGAATTACCACCAGCCATTATCCTGCTTATCTGTGTTTTTTCTCGCACATGTGCTTGGTACAATTTCCATGTGAAACAGTGGCGCTGTGCCGGCTGTCAAGCCACTCCATGGCCTTACGGTTCTCGACTTTCCCGCCCCCCACGGCCGGCCCCACGGTTGTGTCTAGCTAGCCATTAATCTTTAGCTCCAGGCTATTCCGCTCGTAAACGGTTTGAAGGTAGTCGATAAAACTGGCGCCGATTCAATTGAGGGGCTACTTACAATTCACGAGTGGGAAGCAATCGACGCTGCCGTGTGTTGGTCTTGGCGTCAGACGACTAATGTCGATTTGGACTTGTGTGCCGTATTGGGTTACGGGCTGGTATTTTCTTTTCTTTTTTTGGTATTGGCTGGCTCAATATGACTGGATGATGAATTAGTGAATAAGATACATTCGTGCTACAGCATCAAATCACGGTCGTTGGTACGAAGTACAGACCCCGCTCGCTTCGTTGGGTGTGCCGCCTCCCCGCTTGCCACCGCTACGGGCATCTGGGAGCTGAAAGCCACCGTCCGATTGTTCACACTGTCCTGTTTCCCAACCAACATGTCCTTCCAGTTCTCGCCCAGGGCCAGCAGCCTTACTCCTACAACGAACCGCCATTCTCGTCCTCATTTCCATCCAAGTCAGCGTCACCGTGCCAGGCGTCTGTTATGAGAGAGGCCTCCGACTGAGTTGCACACGTTAGGCGCTACAGCAGCCTGATCTGCCCACCCTCCCACACCAGCCGCGTCTCTCGGTTCAAAACATCCCACAGCCGCCACAAGCGGGGCGGTATCATTTCCGCCATGACAACCCGGGAGTCTGTACGCAGGTTTGATGGCGTAAAGGATGTTGTCACCCGGTACAGTCTGAAATTTGATGCGATCAAGCCCCCGCGCGATGTGTACAACGAGAAAAGGGAGGCTGTGAAAGCCGGCATTGCTCAGACATGGGCACACATGGCAGCCCACCCTGACCCATCGGACATGTCCAGAGTCCAAAGAATCGTCGAGTTGGGTGGTAATTTGAAGGAACTGGAAATTCGGCACAAAGCGACCATCGATGGTGAAGAAGAAGCCCACGACAAAGTGCTAGACGCGCTTGTGGAGAGCTTCTGTGATGATCTTGTCATCGCAATGGGGTCGGATACGGTGACGAGGTCGTTGCAGAAGCTTTCCAAACGGCAGCCAAAACAAAGCAGCCCCGAACTTCCACTGGGGGACACTAATAAGACATCTTCATTGGTGTCCAAGGAAAATACACGGCCTGCACGTTCATCTACACCAGACATGGATGGACCAGTTCCGACACCCAACGTGAGTACCCCCAACCACATCCGGTGAATCTTATCTTGACACGTGCATAAAAGGGGACACAACAAGACCTAGAAGAGTCTCCCAAGTCAAGGAAACGCCGGCGGATTGATGGAGACCAAGCTACCGAGGTTGAGCGACGTAGCTCACATCCGCGTGCTGCTGCAGTTCGAACCATCCATGCGACCAGAGCCACCAAACGGACAGGGCAGCCAAACGCCCTGAACAAGTTCACCAAAGACCAAGTTCCATCTCCTGCCACCGAAACCATTGGGGTTCAGACACGTCAAAGTCGAGCGCGAACTAATCAGGAAGATTCCGAAGCCGTTGTGAAACCAACCCCGGGCAACATATATTTCGCCTTCCGGAAGAAGTCGAAGGAGTGGTCAGCGGCCCTCCTCCTTCCAAAGAAAGATCTCGATGATGTCGGAGTCCCTGCCACTCTTGATAGTCTGGGCCTGATGGATGACATGCCGGAATGCTACAGTTACGTCAAGGATACCAATACCTTCAGATGGCGGAAAGGATACAGAGACGGGCAGTCTCTCGTCAATCAGCGCCAGTTTCCCGTCATGTTCTTTGACGGGCGACCCTTCCCAGACAAGAGCGAAGTCGGTTGGGTAACTGCCAAAGACATGCGAATCTTGAACGTGAGAGTCACCCACTCCTCCCTTATTCCGCATCACCAGTCTGTGTTCAAATACGTGAGAGAACGCGCAGCCTTAGCCGCAGCGGAAGCGGAAGCGGAAGCGGAAATTGAATCGATGGAGATCGACGACACTGATTCTGAATTATCGGATGGTACGTTGCACCTCTGGAATTGTACTGTTGTCTACCTAGTTTTGGGGATTTTGCTGACATACTCCATTTTGCTTTCAGTACCTCAACAACAGCGAACACCTTCAGTAGCCCCAAGCATGGGCAGTGGCAGTCCGGGCCACTCTCCAACAGATGAACCAGATGCTCCAACAGATGAACCAGATGCTCCAACAGACGAATCAGATGTTCCAACAGATGACCCAGATGTTCCAACAGATGACCCAGATGCTCCAACAGCTGAACCAGGTGAATCAGCAACACATGTGCCTGAAAGCACACTCGTCCCCGATATCCCAGATCACTATCAACCACTGCAGCCCATGGAATCAGCATCGCCGTTAATTGCAAGCACATCTGTCTCAGATATCCCAGATCACTATGCGCCATTCGATCCCATGAAATCAACATCAGAGTTGACTCCAAGTACGCCCGTCCCTGGTACCCTAACTCAATCGTCGGGGACCATTCAAGAAGCACATCACAGCCCTACACCAAATCCAGCACCGTCAATGAAAGAGAAAATTGATACAGGTCCGGAAATTATATCAATTCCGAGTACTCCTACCGAAGGACCTTCTCCTATCAATGACCGCTTTCATGTAGTTGAGCGCATGGAGCAACCCAGGGGTGGAAGTCAACGCCAGGCATCGCCAATCGCGGCCGACTCTGCAGATCGAACACATGGCGAGACAAACTCGCTCGGAAATCAAGGGACATCAAGCGACGCAACTTCCCCGCGAACTGTTCCGTCTGAAATCGGACATGCAGACGTCCTTGGAATCGCACATGACGCCTTACAAGTCATGAACGCCCTTCCGGAGAGACCAGAAGCGGGAGACGCGCAGCAAGTTGGTAACACTTTTCGAGTTCATCCACCGGCGTTCTTTCGTCGTCCTGAGGTGCCAGATCAGTCTCAGGCTACCCCCGAGACAATCTACCAATCTGAAGCAAGACCAAACAAGGACTTGCCTACGGTGGACCAGCAACCAACGGCGCCAGTTCCTGGTGCACTTCTAGCGACCATGTCGGCTTGGTCCAAGCTAGCCGGATCTACACCATGTTCTCACCCTTCGTCGGAATTCTCCCGACCTCAGGACGGACCTTCCAGAATACACAGTACGACGAATGACCAGATATATGGAACTCAATATCCTCCATTCCAAGGACCCCAACGCCCCCTGGAAATCAGCGCATCCTCCAGTTTTAGCTACGGTCTGCCGCCTCCAGTCCCGAGTGCTGGAGCACCTGTTTCATATTCTCCAACGACACCAGGCCCTACACCCCCAAATGCGACCTCGCTCAAGCCCGCCTCGACAAGCATACCCTTCTCCTCGGAGACGCCGGCGGAGATGATTCGTTTACCGCCGATAACTTCCTCTCGAAGAGATGAAAACCCACCACTGTCCATTCCTTCATTTGGGTGGCAGAACTCGGCCACGGGATCTCAGGTGGAGAACCGAGGTGTGGAAAGTAATCCGGCTCGTGATTCCTCGTTTAGCGCAGGGCTCTACACGTACTTGGGCAGCCCTGATCAAAATTCTCATCAATCCGGGGCTCCGGGGTTCTCGAATTCTCTCCAAGAAGGTCAACGGCCCAGCTTAGTTCTTGAGCTTTTAAACTCAACACCCAACCCGGCCCAGTCAACCTCGCAGGAGTCCATGCAGGAATCCGCCGGTGACTACACCCTTTGGCCTTATCGACTCGATAATTCGATTGTTCAGCAGCTGGAGGCCTACCTAACATACAACAACCTTCCTCAAGGGATTAGAGGGCTGCTGAATCCTGAAGGATTTTACCTATGTCCCCTTTGCCACACGGGTAAGAGCAAGCGTTATGTTCGCCTTGGTGCCTTCATGACCCATTTGATAAAAAAGCATTAGGCATATTCTTACGCAGATGTTAAGAGTTTTTATATAGATTATTAATCTCAGTGTTTTACAAAGCGCCCAGTGCCAATGTTGCCCTATACTACGTAGATGAGCGATACCGAGTCGTCGGGGCCCAAAGCATCTTCTGTGTTAGAAACTGACCTTGTCAATGTCGCGCTCATAGCTCGAAATGGATGGTGGTTTTGTGTCGCGAGCGATAGAATTTCGCAAATATTACTACATAAACAAACTGTGATCAGCCTAAGGGCGAGTGATGGGCGGATGGTGCGTCTGGGAAATTGACCTCAACATGCACGAAGGCGGACATGCGGAAAGCCGGGGACCCTACCACTGATGCTCATACCACCAAGCTCTCTGGAAATTCTGGCCTGGTCCCACCGCTAGTTCTGACCCCAAGTTCGGACTCTACGGTAGCAAGAAAAACATCTATGATCGTCATCGGCACCAAACTTTCTGAGATCGCTGATGTTGCTGGTATTGATGCTTAAGATGAATCATCAGGAATTCTGTTAGTTTCTTTGGGTATTGAATACCACTTTAGAATGCATAATTTGTGAAGAGATTATAGACAGACGTGTTATTAGTATCAACAGAAGCTGAACTTTTAGAGATGACTTCAATCAGTCAACCACCAGAACATCGCAACCTTCCCACGTAGATACTCAACTTCTCAATTTCATTGGATATCCTAACTACTAAATGGACCTTGTTTCAATTTCTTTTGTTTCCAAGTAACTCATCCTTTTTTGGTGTATAACGCAGCAGGAAATTACGTCAGCACCAGTGCTAGGCTACAGGCATAGCCTCATGTTCAAGGTGAGTCATCACTTCATAGCGTATTTAAAAGCTCAAGAAGTCGTGACGATAGACGGAATTCTATTCAACTCAGTTGAAGAACGACAACCAAAAACCCAAGTTCAGGCTTGGTCGCTGTCGCAATGTGTGTGCAAGGCCAAGAACACGATGCGGCGCCAGAGCCGGAGCCACCCCGCCATTATGAGGACCCATTTCCCTGGCATCTCGGCGTCTTCGATGCCCACAATCACGTCGCTGAGCGAATGCTCTCCGTTTCTGACTTGCCGAACATGAAAACTCGAGCCATAGCTGTCATGGCAACCCGAACACAAGATCAGTCGTTTGTCGCAGACCTTGCCGCATCCCACGGTGTCAAGGGCCAAGACCGCTTCTCGCAAGATACGACCACCGTGATAGCTGGGTATGGAAGACACCCTTGGTTTTGCCACGAGCTATATGACGATTCTATCGAAAATCCGACATACGTGCCTTCTGAGGATGTTGAGGCTGCAAAAGCAAAACACTACAAGGCCGTTCTTACGCCGAACCCCGAAGAGCCTGCCTTCTGGAAAGACTTGCCAACACCAATCCCACTCTCGACCTTCATTGCCGATACAAGAACACGACTACAGGCTGATCCGCTCGCAATGGTAGGCGAGGTCGGCCTGGATAAACCTTTTCGGTTACCAATGCAATGGCAATCTAAGGCGAAAGCTGTGCGAGATCCAGCTCGCACTCCGGGAGGCCGGGAACGACGACCACTAAGCCCATACAACATCCAGATGTCACACCAAAAGGCAGTTCTATTGGCACACCTAAATCTCGCTGGGGAGTTAGGTAGAGCTGCGAGTGTCCACGGGGTTCAGGTGCACGGAGTGTTGTATGACTTTTTGGCGAGCTGCTGGAAGGGCCATGAAGTCAGGGGCCGGCGCGCGCAGGATAAGAAGCGCAAAGAACAAGCGAAAGAAACCGAAACCGAAGAACATCTCGCCAAGCCATATCCACCACGCATCTGCCTTCACTCATTCAGCGGCAAGTCGGACGCGGTGAAGCAATATCTAAAACCGTCCATCCCCACCAAAATATTCTTCTCTTTTTCCAAGACGAACAATCTCTCCTCGGAGGCTGCCAGGGCAAAGACTGAGGATGCGGTCAAGTTAGTGCCAGACAATCGAGTGCTAGTTGAGAGTGATCTTCACACAGCAGGAGATAGGATGGATAATGAACTAGAAGAGATGTATCGTGCAATTTGTGAGATCAAGGGCTGGGACTTGGACGATGGTGTGAGAAAAATTGCTGCCAACTACCAAGAGTTCATTTTTGGTTGAAGTTATATAGAATTTTGCTTGTTTTGCACATCTGACGGTTTGCTTTAAGTGATCATTTATGCTTATATCTAAGTTATAATCTCGACGGCTCAACAATGGAATGATCGAGCCTTCCAGCCTCCCTGCCAGGATATTTATTAAAGTCGTATCGCCCGGTTCCTGGCGCAGGCCCCGCGCTCTGGTGGGGTACTCCTATGTTCGCCCCCTTCCCCCATAAAATAGAAGGCAATTCTGACATTTTGAGGACGGTGGCAACCGGGTGGTCTCCGTCCGCGAAAACAAAGTAGCAAACGAATACTCTAGAAATAAGGCGGACCTACATACTTTAACCCTTCTGGTGTAGCTTATGTGTATTTGCTCAGTTCCTCAGGTTACGTCATTAGGCTACCCCTCTCCTGCATGCACCTGTTCTGCATTCAATCGGGAAGAGTTCCGGCATTCCACGACGTCAGCTGCTCCAACTCAGCATTTCCTAGGCTCCCAGGCCCTGAAACTAACCGCTTCTGTGATGAAACTAAACGACAAATTTCCGATCGGAGGGGCAATTCCGTGCCATATATATGGCCCACGCATTCAGTTTCCAGGCACGCACTGAGCGGTTATGCCTCTTTATTTACGTACCATTGACCGGAATTTCCATATCATAAACCAAAAGCCTTCGTTTCATAACAATAAGGGAACCAAGATGATTTCTCGGCAGAAAACTCTCAATGTCGGTGTCGTAGGTATCGGCCGCATGGGTCAGCGCCATGCCATGAACATCCAGCGTCTAGTACCCAGGGCCAATCTTCTCTGCGCCTGTTCACCAGCAGAGGTGGACCTTGCATGGGCCAGGGAGCATTTGATACCACATGGAGTCAAGGTATTTTCCAGCTTCGAGGAAATGATTGAGACACCAGGTCTTGAAGCCGTCATCGTTGCTTCATCCACCGAGCTGCACATGCAGCATACGTTGGCAGCGCTTGATCGAGGTATTCACGTGCTTTGCGAGAAGCCTGTTTGCAGGTCCATTTCTGAGGTGCGAATTTCAAACCTATTACTTCTTCTACAAAAGCTGAAATAAACTAAAGTTGAACGCTCTTTGCGAACGCGTCGATGCCAATCCCAAGACGAAAGTAATGGTCGCTTTCTGTCGAAGATTTGATGAAAGTTACCAAGATGCATATGAAAAGGTCCAGGCTGGTGTTATCGGAAAGCCATTCATATTCAGGTCTCACGGGTGTGAGAAGCTTGACGACAGTCCATTCTTTCGACAATACTTAAGGAATTCGGGTGGCATCTATTTCGATTCAGCGATCCATGATATCGATCTCTCGCTAATGTTCCTTGGCGAAAACTCGACTCCCAAGTCAGTATCAGCTACGGGTACGACATCTTTCTTCACCCAGCTTGCCGAAGCTGGCGATGCAGACAATGCTGTTGGTGTGTGCGAATTCTGGGACGGCAAGATCGCGCACTTTTACCACTCCAGGACCTTCGCCCATGGGTACGACAATGCGACTGAGATCATCGGTACATCAGGGAAATTGTCGATCAATATGACCCCAAGGCGCAACCGTGTTGAGATTTGCGACTCGGCTGGGGTTAAAACTGAGCCAACGCCGTCGTGGTATGACCGATATATCTCAGCCTTCGTTATTGAGGCCAACGCGTGGGTGGAGGCTATTCTTGATGAAAAGCCCATGCCCATTCCGTTAAGGTCTGTGGTGACGTCCCTTGTTATTGCAGAAGCACTTCAGGAGAGTTTAAAGACGGGTCAGCGAATTGAGTTTACGAGGGAAGGCCAGCGAAAGGTTTTGATCAGTAATCTCTAAGCTTTGTGCTAAATCAACACGCCTAGTAGGCAGGAATGCCTCATTGATCAAGGATTAAATCTCGAGAATACAATGGGATGCACAAAATTTGGACCCGATTAGAGTCCCTACCTTGCTGCAAAACTGAACATCATCTTCATTCAGAGTCCCACGAAGGTGGTCAAAAAGCCCAAAAAATATGACCATCCTCGAGACGTGTAGTGAATATTATATCGAATATCATTCAAAGCTTAATTGTAATCATCATTAGCTTTAGCCTTGTTTCTAGAGAAAATATGTCCGTCCATCTCTATCTTTAATGGTTACCCCTTGATCAATCCTTCTACCCTATCATCACATGGCACAACTTGTGGTATGAGTGGTGCAATTCGAAACTCATGTCTCACCCGATTCTAGTTCTGCCGTTCCAATCGTCTATCCTCGGTCAAACCAACCCCGTTCATAGATCCACACTGTTGTATGGGGGAGGCTCGTCATGCTCCTGAAAGATATCTTGCTTTGTTTTTGTCTTGCGAAACCTGGGTTAGAACGCGCTCTTCATGATACGATGCTTTAATACGTACATATGCCGGTATAGTATGAGTCAACGATGGATCCTTGACAACAACTTGTAGAGGAATCGATAGTGAAAGAGCTGTGCCGAAAGTCCCCACTGCCAGGGTCAGATTTATACTGTAAGTCCGAGAAATTAAACATGAATGGAATGTGGGAAGGAAAATCTGCTTGTTTGCAGTGGGAAGTGTGAAGGGGATATCCAATGTGGCGACGTGCTTGATGGGACTATTTCCGCCGGTGTCATCGCTCCCTACGCCTGAACAAACTTCAGCAATACTAGACTCCAAAGCACGCTCCTGCTGGTCAAGGTGGGGCTTTCTTGTATATCCCCGTAAGGAAGTCGAGTACTGTCGATCCCAGACAACTCTTGGTGGGTCGGTGTTGATTTTATTCGCCGTGGAGTAAGTTACTACCGGACAGAGTGCATTCTCAGCCGGTTTTCCGACGTTGGGGAGGTAGTTGATGGTGGTAATGGAGAAATGAGTCGTTGAATGAATTTTGGCTGCCACAGCGTGAATATCTGGAGGTGGCACTCCTGCTATCGGGACAAATTCGAGATCGATTCTAATCGAGGACCCTCGCGCACCAAGGGCATCGACGGAAAATTCGATTGGATTAGGTTGAATCGCTGCTGCCCTCAGATAGCCTGTCCTTGGGGAAAACAAATTTTGTCTCATCATTTTCCCCTGGATCAAGCAGTATTTCTTGTCCTCCGGGGTGATATGGAGAGGGGGTTCTTCGGAAGAGATCGGCAATATGCAAAGATGGTGTTCATCTTCGAGCAGTTTGACTTGTCCAGAATTTTCTTTGTCCTTCGAGACAACAGCCTTGATCGAGTATTTGACATGCACCGTCTCTGGGGCCTGATCTCCACCGTCCCAAGATCCCATTGTAGGTGGCAGCCGTAAATGTTGCTTTTGCATCATTGCGCTGCAATCGTGACAACAGGCGCTAGGGGCGAGCTGGGATGGAACAACGAAATTAAACGGGATGGTATAGGTCCGCCCAGCTTCGAATACTTGAGATTCAGGAAGGTCATTGCGGGGAATTGGCATGCTCATTTTTAGAAACGTGCGGGATGCGGATGACTGGCATGGGCGAAGTGTATCAACTCGCGTCGACGCCTTTCCGGTGAAGATGATCTCGAAAACATCGAACGCCACATCTCGTTTTGTTGATATGACCACAAATCCCGAAATGGGTGAGCCGCAAGCATAATAGACCTTGGAATGAAAATGGTCGTTGATCTTGACTTCAATCGGAGAACCCCTATCGCGGCGAGTTCCAAGCCAGTTGTTGCCTGACTTAATTGCCATGATTTCAGAGGAGGGGATTGAAGATGAGAGTGGTGGCAAAGCTTGAAACTCTTCTTCGTGTCTCTAATCGTCTTTTTCTACCAGATTATGTGGATACAATAACACGCCCAATGCTTGTCGATATGGCCTACGAGTACAATCTTACGCCCTACGTCCGTCACTAAGTGGAAGTTCGGGACTCACGCCGAGGTAAAGTGGCCAAACCAATCAAGAGAATATTTGGAGGAGTGTAGAGCAATTTGTTACCTAACATAACGGTGAAAACATAAGACGTGGGCCGCGTTTGTACTCCGTCAACTCCACTTCGCCGCCTCTACAAGATGGAGGTTGATTAAGTGGCACTCTCTCGACCTTGGTCACGGCCCTCTCATAGTTCCATCATGCATAGGCTACGATGAGACTATGTTCGTTCCAATCCGGCATGGTCCCTCTTCCAGCTAAGATTTTCTCCAACTAGTTGGAAATCTCGTGGCGCTTCTCACAAAATTTACGTGATTCAGAAAGCTCAAGTCCATCATTGCTACGTCCGCCCATTCATCCACATGTAATCATGATGTGCCCCGTCAACAGGGCGTGATGACAAGGTGGCCGGCCAATCGGGAGCGATACCGAACCACGGTAGCGTGCCGAAACCGGCTGGAATGCACCGGCCAATTCATCTGGGCCGCGGTTGTGGATAGCTCGCGCTTAAACAAATTCTGAGCATAGCAGCTCCTCTTCAATTTTTGACGGGTGATGCCTGCATTCGCCGGGGTAGACGAGAATGCGCAGTTCGTCAGGCGCACCGATACTCAAGCCTCACTAGCCCGCTTACTTGCCGCTATCGTGACGCGCGCTTAACCCCGCTTCCAACACTTCGATCCACGGTGAGCGTATGGGCGAGGAACGGCGGAGCCTCTTCTCGTTTTACCTGCAAGGTTGTTAAGAGATTCACCATGGCTTCCGGGGACATGTTTTCAGATGGAAACGACCTGGGTTTCAGCTTGGAGAGTTCTATTGGCGAGGACCTCGAGTTTCTCTCCGACGGATACGGCTTCAGCGACACCGTGTTTGACAGTTGCGATCCAAATTCAATCGCCGTCAACAACAGAGATTCCTGGTTCGCGGATGAAATCTCTGCCCTCGCATATGCCAACGAAGCCCAACAGGGCCAGAGCATCGATATATTTCAACAAATTGCCCCCTATGGTGGATCTCACGCCTCGTCCGCACCTGGCTCGCTGACCCACACTCCGTCCCTCTTCGACATCAATACTGAACCTGTTCCCAGTCATGCTCACGCCATGACCACGTTTCCCAGGGAAATGACTGCAAATACACCTTCTTTTTTTATCCATGACACAGACCGGGCTCTACCTCCCTCCAAATCTGGGATCAGGTTCAACAGAGAGGCAGTCCGGGTCTTGAAACATTGGCTCTCGACTCACACTAGTCATCCATACCCCGATGAGGGTGAGAGGAGGAGGCTCCAGGAGCAGACGGGTCTCAACAGAACTCAGATTGCAAACTGGCTTGCCAACGCACGTCGCCGAGGCAAGATTCCTGCTACTCAAACGACTTCACGGCCCCAGAGTAGTTCGGCAAGCCCAATAGACATCCCGCCAAGACCTGCTACACCAGCAGTTCATACTGGCTCATCTCAGAGAAATCCACTAGAGAGATGGGTGGATTCCCCGCCAGAGAATGAACCAGCTAGCGCTATAGCAATTGCTCGTGCGGTTGCCTCCAATTCGAATCGTTCACCGAGTAAGTTGTCCTCGATAAAAACCTCAATGGATGTCTGGAACAATCTTACCAGTACTGACATGTTTCCTAGGGGCTGGAAGTTCACAAAACCCCGATGCAACTCGAGATGGATCGGAGAAGTCTTTTTGCAACACCTCTTCTACAAGGAGTGTAGATGCGTCTTGCTCCAGCGGTGCCTCGCTCGTTTCTGCTACTTCCCATGTCAGCCATGGGTCACATGGGCCTTTTAGAGTCTTTGGGAATCCCCGCTCACGTCGTAGAAAACGAGTCCAAAAGCAAAGCAACGGGAAAACGTCCTTGTCAAATCCATGGAAGACTTTCCAGTGCACTTTCTGCACTGAAACATTCAGTGCGAGGTATGACTGGCAAAGGCACGAGCATACTCTTCATCTGCCCCTCGAGCGATGGGTATGTGCCCCAGATGGGCCTCGTTCTCTTAAACCAGATACTGGCACCGTGTGCTGCGTATTCTGTGGGCAAGAGGATCCAGATGACGCCCACGTTCTGGGTCATAACTACGCTACATGTCAAGACCGATCGGTCCACTGGCGGACATTCAATCGAAAAGACCACCTAAACCAGCACTTACGACTAGTCCATAACGCTAAATTTACAACATGGCCGATGAAAGGATGGAAAGTTGCTATGCCAGAGATTCGATCACGATGTGGCTTTTGCGAACACAGTATGGACACTTGGGATGCTCGAGTTCACCATTTGGCGGCCCACTTCAAAGCTGGGAAGACAATGGCCGACTGGAAGGGTGACTGGGGGTTCACCGCCGATATTCTGGCGCTCGTCGAGAACGCGATTCCGCCATGTATGAATCTCAATCTCCTTTTTCAATACTTGAACACCTTCTAATTTCTGCGTACAGACTTCATCAACACTGAACGCTCGACACCGTTTCCGTTTGAGGGCAGTCGCGCACTCGCAGAAACTCCCCGAAGCGCATACGAGCTTCTCAAGCTAGAATTGGCTTATTTCATGCAAACTCATTTTGACAAGAATGCAAGAATGCCGACCAACGAAGAAATGCAACTCGAGGCTTGTCGAATTGTTCTTGCGTCTGAGGTTGCGAACCAGCAGGATGCACACCGACAGGATGTTCCACACCCTCCCTCATGGCTACAAGACTTGATCATGTCAGAAGAGGGCATCGTCCAGAAAGCCAAATTTAGTCCGATGCGGTCCTCGGCTGAAAGTAGGCTCTTTACCCTGAGGATCAATGGAAAGACTAGCCTCTTCGAAGAATGCCCATTCGAAGCCCAGCTCCGCGATTTTGTCAAACTTCGGCAGCTATCGGGCCTTACTACCAGTCACGGCGAACTCAAAGAGGAGGCGTGTTGCATTATCGGTCGCATAGAGGAGGTCTCGACTACACCATCCGATTTCATTGCGACCTGGCTTGTCAAGCTCATCCACTCTCCCGCAGACTGGCTTTCTGGATTTGTTCTGCGAACGGACATATCCTTCCTCCAAAATTTGGAGAATCCGGAAGAATTTAACATGGATGCTACCATTCAAGATTACACTAAGCTTGAGCGAGAATTAGCCAAGTACATCGAAGTTCGGAGGGCAATTGGCATTGAGCCAATCGACGAGGAGCTCCGACGGCAGGCTCGGATTATCATCTACGAAGCGGATATAGCGTGTAACCAGACGGCAGCTGATGACAACTATTGGCTTTCTGCCTTCAAGGGACGACATCTACCCGACTTAAACCTTGAGGATGCCATCGCCTCAGGATATAACGCCCAGGGGTCCATACCGATAGAGGAAACGATGTCCCTATACCATCTTTCTGTGGCTCCTGAAGCTAGCAACCATAGCAGTCCACAGGGAGCGATAGAGGGAGGCGATCACCATTCCGCTCTAGCAGCCCGGTCATTAGTAATGAAGGCGGGCAGCTTTTTCGTCAGTGATCCCAACTTCTACCGCTGGATCACAGAGGAGCTAGCCCGTTGGGTAACCGCGACCATGTCACCTCATAACCCAGCTTGCCACATCCCATCTGATGAAGAGATCCAGCACTATGCCCGCTGGATCACGTACAACGAGTAAGATACCTGTCTGGTTCACTTTTTGCCATGCTAATTAGCCTAGCGATGACCCCTTGAACCAAACAATTGCAGAGAATCAGGATTGGCTGAAGGACTTCAAGCGTGATATGGGCATTCTGAATGAACCAAAGTTGATGTCTCGAGCAGAGGAATAGTTGTGTGCCAAGACTACCAAAGATAGTCGATTTCAGCATGGTTTTAGCTATGTTCTCCATGATGTACAAGCAGTCATGTATTAATCGAGCCATTAACAAGGCTTGTCTCAATGGTTTTTTGTTTTTAGTTTCTTCTACTTTGCAGGGTGGATAGATCACTTGGAATGGGGAAAATACTTGAAGTAATGAAGGAGATTAGCAAATGACTTAGATGCAGTGCAGCACCGGAAACCCAAGGCCATAACTGTTCTACGGCGATTCGTATCAGCTGTAACATGTTCACCAATTCACAACCGGGGCAAAGGAGCACGGCAATCATTATTCCGGCTCGGGATATGAGCCATTTACCGAAATATGATCCTCAAATCTAGCCGCCCGGGACCGGCTGGTCAGGAAATTCGGCAATCATTAAGCCTTACCTTTGGGGGTTACTGGACAATCCTGTCTCCCTCTAGAGGCTAAGATTCCCCCACCAACAAACATCCCCGGGATACAAACCTATAGCGGTGTGGATGCATGACATTCCTTGCTCCGGCTCAGGATGTGAGTCATTTACCTACAAACAATCCTTTAAAAATAGGCACCGGGCGCCGGCTGGTCAAAAAGTTCTGCAATTATTAAAGCCTTACCTTTGGAGGTTACTGGGCTCCATTGACAGCCCTTCCACCTCCCTCCAAAGGCTAAGGTTCCTCCACGGACAACCATCTCCGTGATAGAAATCTGCAGCGGGGTGAACACGTGGGGGTAGGCATTGTCCCGGACACGGGCCGGTCTGCTTGCTCAACTTCCTCTGTCAGGATTTCATTTCGCAGCTAAACCTTTGGAGGTGAAGTACGCCAAGTCATGAAACTCATGATCCTCTAAAGGTAGTTGTAAGCGCGTACGCCGGACCGAGACTCGCTTAATACCATCAAAATTATTCATGATGCCCGTTCCCCATGACTCAAACATTTATCCTGTGATTTCAGAAATTCGTATTTAAGACAGTCGTTTCGTGTTTTTGAGGCTAGACAATTAAGATCTACTCAGTCGCACGTGATTGCAGCGATTAAATCACGACAACATTCTTCCTCTCTTCACCTTTCTATCTTTCTCCAAAAATTTCTCCACAACCAACCTCGCTCTTGTTCAGTAGTCTACTATTTGTGGGCCTACACATTCCTATCCGAAAACATGACAATGACTATTCACCCTTTCGATCCTCTCCAGCCCGAGGAGATAGCCCGGGTATATTCTCTGAAAAGAGCCCCGAAGACTAATGCTAACAATATCACTAGGCCGCTGGAATTGTGCGCCCGGTGTTCTCTGGAAGTGGCCTTAACTTCCGGGTCATCACCCTCCAAGAGCCACCCAAAAATGTCATGATTACGTTCCTTGAGAATGAACACCGCAAGCAGCCAGAACTTCAAGCACCCACCCGATGTGCGCGCATCGAGGTTATCGCCAAGGCCCAAAACGGCAAGCCGGAGCTGTTCGAGCTTCGTGTCAACCTTGATGACAATGAGATCACCTTCAAACAACGGCTCGAGGGCAAGCACTCTTATATAGACTCGTCCTATATGAAAGAGGTAGAGGCGGCTTGCTTGGCTGATAAGCGAGTGCAAGAGGAGATTCGCAAGTTGAAACTCCCTGAAGGGTCAACCGCCATCGTCGAGCCTTGGGCATATGCCACGGATGGAATGAACGACATGTCCGAGCGTATCACTATGGTAAAAACCCTCCCGATTCCTGTTTTATTATGTATTAACGCACTCGCAGTGCTGGTTTTACTGCCGTCATCTCGAACACCCTGACGCCAACTATTATGCGTACCCACTCGACGTCTGCGCCGAGGTATCGGAGAAACTCCAGGTCATTCGGGTTTACCGCCTCCCCGGGGCACCGGATGAGCGAATTAATAATGACGACCGTCCTTACGATCGCCGTAAGATCCACGCAACTTCAGCCAGCGAGTATCACCCGGATCTCAGGCCAAGCCCACGGACGACGACGAAGCCGTACCAGGTGGTGCAACCGGAGGGTCCATCCTTCAAGATCCAGGGTAACCGGTTAAGCTGGGAGAAGTGGAACTTCCGTGTTGGATTCAACTATCGCGAGGGCATTACACTCCATGATATGTGCTATGATGGGCGGAGCCTCTTCTATCGCCTCTCTCTTGCCGAGATGTTCGTACCATATGGCGACCCTCGCGCCCCATACCCACGCAAGGCTGCCTTTGATCTCGGCAACGATGGTGCTGGACTCAATGCCAATAATCTCAAGCTCGGGTGTGACTGCCTAGGTGAGACTTGCCGATCCTCGGCTGATGACTCTTTATTAACGCATTGGGCTAATAGGAACGATTAAATACTTCGATGCGTGGCACAATACCCAGTCCGGAGAGCCACTAAAACTCCCCAACGTCATCTGCTGCCATGAGCAAGACGACGGTATCCTCTGGAAACATACCAACTTCCGTACCGGGAACGCGGTGGTTACCCGATCCCGTATCCTCGTACTCCAGACCATCATCACGGTTAGCAACTACGAATACATCTTTGCCTTCCACTTTACTCAAGACGCATCAATCTTCTACGAGGTCCGCGCCACAGGCATCTTGTCTACCGTGCCCCACCATCTTGGACAAAAGGACAAGCTCCCTTACGGCACGATCGTTGCACCCGGAGTCATGGCTCCTTACCATCAACATATGTTCAGCCTCCGTATCGATCCCGCCATCGATGGTCATAAAAATACGTTGTCAATTGAGGAGTCAAAGCCGATGCCCCTCGATGATCCAACAGTACACAACCCTTTCGGTGTGGGCTATTATACCGAGAATCGTTACGTCGAGGAGGAAGGCGGCTTTGACCTCGACATCAGCAAGGCCCGTGTGTTCAAGTTCTTGAATGAAAACAAGATCAACCCTATTACCGGAACGCCTGTTGGGTTCAAGTTGATTCCCCAGCCGAGCCAGATGCTACTATCGCATCCAGGTTCATATCACGCAAAGCGGTCCGAATTCGGCCAGCATGCTGTCTGGGTCACCCGGTATGAAGACGATGACCATTTCCCTTCAGGTCGGCATACTATGCAATCCTCGGGTGGCGACGGTATCGCGTCTGCGATACAGAAGAGGAAGCAGAGTGCTACAGGTACTTCTCAATCGGTACGAAACGCAGATATTGTCGTCTGGCATACGTTTGGTTCAACCCACAACCCTCGGATCGAGGACTGGCCGGTCATGCCAATTGAGAAGATGATTGTTGGCCTCAAGCCAATCAACTTCTTTACGGGCAATCCAGCTTTAGATGTGGCTGTGTCCACGCAAGAAAGGAACAAGAGTGTCTTGTATGATGAGAACGCGGAGTCCAACCCAGAGGTATGCTGTGGTTCCCGTCTATAGAAAGATTCTGGTAAATTAGAAATTGGGGTAGATTAAATTCCTGAATTGACTCTCTTTGACCTTTTTACTCTTTCAAAAAAAGTTCCCTCAAGTCCGAGTCATGCGTACGGAGGGCCCTTTCAAAAGTCTTGTCGATAAGAAGTAAGTCCTAATTATTAGGTTAGATAATAAGTACACTAAGTACTTTCTGATTTCTATAGGCCCTAAAGGATAGCAGGCTACAGCACACAGCAACCGCTATATCCTGATCAGCAGCGTATTACTTCTGAAGTTATAGCGGCCGTTTAACGAGACTGTGACAGCTTCATGTATCTCAGGTAACCGACAGGGATAAATAGATATGATGTTACTAGCGCTTAGACAAGACTTTTGAAAGGGCCCTCCGTACCAAGCCTGAAGAAAGAGTATTGGTGGCAGGCACCGCTCATGATAGCTTACGCGTCGCTTCTGTTTCGTCTTATAATACTTCAGTCTGTGTTTAAAAAAAAGCATATTATTTTTACTTTCTCTTCCTTATTCACGCAGTGTTCTAAAAGCATGCGTGATAGTCACTCACTCAAGTCTAATACACCCAATAGGCCTTACCCAAAGCCGTCGATGCCAATTTATGTGTCCCTTTCCTAAGTTTTACTTCATCCTCTACCATTGACGCTAGTTGCCAGACGGACATATATCTCCGTCTGACACAGCTCAGTAGCTTCATCAGCGAACTAGCGACCAGATGTGACATTCCGGTCCTGACCCGGACCTGAGAAGCTCCCTTACCTCGGAGACAGTACAGTACACCAAAATAATCTTCGTCTCGTGAAATGACCTCCGGCAGCGGCGAATGCTTGATAAGTAATCCAATTAGAGGCTTCAATTCTTAGTTTTCAGGAAGTACTAGGTAGGTGATCAATTTCGGGGCAAAATCCAGGGATCGTGCTCACTGATAAGGGGAGTGTTAGGCGCCTATCTTCCTTCCAGCGGGCCAAGTGGGGACTTGGTAATTTACGGAGTTAAATCACCGGGTGATTAATACAATATTACCCGGTACCGGCCTCCCTCGTCTAAGTCTCCAAGATAAGGTCCAATTGCCGGTCGCAACAGATTGTTGGGCGACCTCCTATCATCAAGATATTACATTATTTCATCTATCACATCAAAACGTTCAAAAACCAATCACGCTTGTTCCAATGTGTAACCCTGTAGCATTTTGTAAATGTCAAATAGCTCAAACTGGGCTTGCGGTAGGAACTACATCAGCGGTCACTGCAGTGTGCTTGCTTCCCTGTACCTGTGTATGCGGGACCTCATTCGGCATGGCTCTAGTTAACGAACTCAAAAAGGAAAGCGTAGGAGAGACTATCTTAAAGCTTCGTAGTATCACTTACACTAGCTGGGGCAACGCCGACCGGAAGCCAAGACCGGTAATAACTTGCCGGTTATGACGTCACTGCGTTCATCGGATACATTTCCCCCTCGTTATGAGAGTGTATGCTTCGTACTAGTGCATGGTTCGCAGCAATACCCCAGGCCCAGCTACCAATTTCGTATTCTCCCTTCAAATTTACTTATTACTTTTTGCTTTTGCTAGAGTTGCGCAGAAAGTCGCAGTTTTGATAGGGCCGGTCGACAATAAAGTCTTGGGTGGTAGAAAGCACCATGGCTCCAGCCCACGGTAAAAGAGCAAGTCGAGCGTTAGTGTGTCCTTCCGGTCTTCGGGAGCTTGGCTGATGACCGCAGATGCGACCGGTGTCGACGCCTCAAGGAGCGGTGTAATGGATCCGCACCCTGTGCAAGATGTCAAAAGAGCGGCTGCGAGTGCCTCTTCACCAAAGATGTCAAGCGGCGTGGTCGACCACGTAAGGCAAACAACAGATTCGCCAGTTCAGAATTGCCCGTGGATCCAATATTCTTCTTTGACGTGGAGCGAATCCGTGCTTTAGAGCGGGTTGTGCTTTTCTTCACGGGAGTTGACCATCTCAGCAAAGAGAATCTCCAAGATGTCCTCGATTCCCTTCCAAACGAGACGGATGAGCCATCACCTGAGCGTCCGGTTCATCCACTGGAAAATGAAAACGCACAGGTGGCATCACCAACGATTACTGGTAAGTTATGTGCGGATCGTGGTCTGTTGATACGATGGAAAAATGAGAGTGCACCATGCTAAATGTTCAAGACTCTGAGAATTTCTCTCATTCAGAATTCTCTCAACGGCTTCAGCAGACAGTCGCCGCTAGACTCGAAGAGAGTTCGACTATCATGGTAAGCTATCAAAAAATACCACAATTCTTACGCTGAAAATACTGATATTCGGTTCCCTACAGAGTTCTTCCGTGAGCACAATATCCACCGAAGCTTCTCCTTTGTCGCAGCTACTCTCTCATAATGTCGTTATTGTTGACGTCGTATCTTCATTTCCAACCCTCGATACCGCATTGTCTCTGATCAGCATATTCTTCGAGTTCGGTCAAATGAACTACTTTTATCTTGATGAAGCTTCTCTACGATCACAGCTCATCGACTTCTTTGACTATTCTCTTCCTTTGACCACACAGGAGGCCCCTTGGGTCTGCACTACTTTGATGGCGTTTGCTATTGGGGCCCAGTTTGCACATCTGAAGAACGCAAATCGATCTCCAAACCAGGATTCTCGAGTCGAAGATGTTTTCTTAGATGACGCTCTCGCCTTATCATACTATCGCCAAGCGTCGAGATTAATACCAGATGTTCTTGTGTTAGCAACACCGGAAAGTGTTCAGGCGCTGTTGTTGCTGGGTTTCTACGTTCTCCCGCTCGATGATGCTGGTCTCTCTTCTACCTACTTTTCCATGGCTCTCAAGATCGCGACACAAAACGGCATGCACCTGAATGATCTCACAAAATACACAGCACGAGAAGTTGAGGTTCGAAAGAGGATATGGTGGACTACTTTCATGCTGGACAGGTGAGAGAATTTCACAGCTGCCAACTCGTTGCTAATGGATGTGGTAGGCGCATATCTGTCTTCCATGGAAAACATATAACCATCATGCGATCAAACCTCCCCACCTTAATGCCATTTGCCAGTGTTGAAATGACCAATTGCGGGCGGGTCGATACGCTTCAAAATACAACGGCTATGGTACATTTGACCAACATGCTCGAAGATTCTCGGGATGCAATGTCAGTTATCCTTCTTCTCTAGTGAAGATTTGCCTACTCATTCAACTCTAGATTTGGAATTTGGGATGCAGAAGCATCTCGACGGAGCGAAAAGACTCAGAGGGCCCTCGAGATTCGGGACCAACTTTTCGCATACTGGCAAGACCTACCCAACGAAACAGTTTGCAAGGATCTTACCCCCGATAAACCACTCTTTCGACACAATGTTCACCTCGCCCTCACTTACCACAGCGTCCACATATTTATTGGCCGATCCTTTATTCTACGTCGATTGTATAACAAGCCAAAGGAACCCAATAAGTTGACTAAGTCAGAAGCCGACCTAGTTGAAAGTTGCATCCAGAGCGCCGTGGCTTCGATTGAATTGTGCCAGAAGCTTGAGGATGAGGTTAGGTTGTCAAGGTCCTCTTACATCGAGTTTACTTGTTGCCATGCGGCAGTCTCAGCCCTTGTAGCAGAGTCCATCTCCAGCAAGACATGTCAATGGAAGAGTGTGACCAAACAAGGCCTTGGTTTATTGCGAACCATGCTAGTTGGTATCTTTTCCCGAACAGGTGAAAGGAAGGCTCTGGAGATACTGGAAATGGCAGTCGAACAGCTCGTTGACAACCACGACCGAGAGACCGCGGAAATATCGAGCGGCAACCAGTACGAGGCGTTTCTCAAATGGGTTGAGTTTGAGCACCATGTCCCGAATCGCATGATGTTGAGCACTATGAGGTGTGAAGGAGTGACACCTGTAGCCGGTGTTCCTTCCCCTAGCCGATGGGATGTAGAAGGGCTTCTAAACTCCTCCACAGAAAGCCACAGTTGAGCTAAGGAATTAATATAGAGCAGGGATATTGGGGGTTTAGTAATGGAGTATTACTATTCGCATACAAAACAGACTCTTTCATGGAAGCCCTGTCTAAAGGAATGTGCCTACTGGTGATGAGCCCAACCAAGGGGCTATTCGTAGGCCAGGAGCTTATGTTTGTAAATCTAACTTAATATAGTAAAATTATTCGTAAAAGAGATGGATGCCGAAAAAAAAAAAGAAATAAAGAAACGTATTATTGTCATATCTAAGATCGGGTCATAGAGTTGTCTGTGCGAATAGCCATACGTAGTAAATAGAGCTCGTCATCTTGAAGTCCAGGGTAACTGCATCCAGATGAATCGTAGACAACCCCCGACACGTCAGAACCTCTGCAATTTTGGCAATGCTCCATGAAACCGGGTTTCAAGAACACCACCCTGGTCAGCATGGGTCTGATAATAATTGGTTTTCCCGCTAAAAAAGCATAGACAGTATTGGTGTTAGTGGTTACATGACGCGTTCGTTGAGTCGACTTTCCACTAGGTCTGAGGAGTTGTCAACGAATTGAGCTCCAACAGCATGGTTAGCGAGCTTTCTCCAAGCCATGGCGCGATTATTCGAGTCCGCTCCGTTAGAATACGGGAATTGACGTCACGGGCGGAATACGGCACAGTGGAGGTTGGTTGGCCCCCTCGTAATTCATCTGACGCGCGCAAGGATGCGGTCTGGGCCCATTCTTCTTAGAGGCGCAGATCCCGTATCTCGGAGGGGGGAATGTTCCGTGCGTACCCCTGACTAAGCCACTTTTTGGCTGGAGCTGGCTGGCACTTGGCCAGATATTGCGCCTGTGCCAACTGGCCTCGAAGCTCCTGAGCTGGTGTTTTCCTTTCGCGTCTTACAGCCCTCTCGCCGGCTTCATTCACCCCGAGGCCATTCGCATCTCAACCTCTGGCAGTTCCCACCTCGAGCCAGTCATTCCTCTGCTACATCGCGGTCTGAGTTTTTGTTCCCGCCGATTCGCCATCTTCGGAGCTCGAGACTGCGGCCTCCGCGCATTCGAAACCGCAGCCAGGCAACAGGTTAATTACCCAAGCTGACACCTCGCCTCCTCGACACTCCCTTCTTCCACATCACATCGCCAATCTTCACATGAGATAGCTTCCTCCTCCACCCTCTTCAGGATGCATTTCCGCGACTTCGCGCCCTCGGCGCTCCTCACCACGCTGCTCGCAGCCCCCCAGCTCGCGTCGGCCTTCTACCTCCCTGGCGTCGCGCCAACCTCGTACAAGCCCGGCGACAACGTCCCCCTATACGTCAACAGCATTAAGCCTGTCGCCGCGCCCCAGGACTCTCGATTGCACTCCGTCGTCTCCTACGACTACTACCACCCCGCCTTCCAATTCTGTCAGCCCAAGGATGGTCCCGAGTATGTGTCGGAGAGCCTGGGCAGCATCCTCTTCGGAGACCGCATCATGACCTCCCCCTTCGAGCTCAAGATGGGCCAGAACGAGACCTGCAAGTCCCTCTGCAAGGCCACATACAAGAAGGAGGACGTCAAGTTTGTCAAGAAGCGCATTGAGCAGGGCTACAGCTTGAACTGGCTCGTCGACGGGCTCCCTGCCGGTCAGCAGATCCAGGATCAGCTCACGGGAAGCATTTTCTACAGCTCTGGCTTCTTGCTCGGACAGGACGATGACAACGATAACATCCTTTTCAACAACCACTACGAAATCATTGTCGAGTACCACGAGGTCAACAAGGACCCGAACCAGCTCCGCGTCGTTGGCGTTGTTGTCCAGCCCTACTCCAACCAGTACGGCAGTAAGGTCGACTGCAACGTCGATAGCCAGCCCATTGTCTTTGGCAGCCAGGACGGCAAGTCCCAGGATATCCAGTTCAGCTACAGCGTGTACTGGCGCAAGTCTGACACTGCTTGGGCCACTCGATGGGACAAGTACCTGCACGTCTTTGACCCCAAGATCCACTGGTTCTGGCTCATCGATACCGCCATCATTGTCGTCATCCTCGTGCTCACTGTCATGTCCATCCTGGTCCGCGCCCTGAAGAAGGATATTGCTCGCTACAACCGCCTCGACCAGCTCGATCTCGACGACCTTGGTAGCAACGGCGCGCTCGAGGATGGTGGCGTCCAGGAGGACTCCGGCTGGAAGCTCGTCCACGGCGATGTCTTCCGAAGTCCTTCGCGACCCCTTCTCCTCTCCGTCTTTGCCGGAAACGGCGCGCAACTTTTCGTCATGACTGGCTGCACCATCATCTTCGCTCTTCTTGGTTTCCTCTCTCCTTCCAACCGTGGATCTCTTGGCACCATCATGATTCTCTTGTACACTGTTCTTGGCTTCGTCGGCGGTTACGTCTCTGCTAGAACCTACAAGGCTTGGCAGGGTGAGAAGTGGAAGCTCAACATCATGCTTACCCCCATTCTTGTTCCCGCCATTATCTTCGGAGCCTTCTTCCTCTTGAATCTCTTCCTGTGGGCCAAGGAGTCCTCCGGTGCTGTTCCATTCACCACCATGCTCGTCATTGTCGCTATCTGGTTCATCATTTCCATCCCTCTGTCTTTCGCCGGTTCTTGGCTTGGATTCCGCGCCCCTCAGTTTGAGGCTCCCGTGCGCACCAACCAGATCCCTCGTCAGATCCCCCCTGTCACCACCTACCTCAAGCCCTTCCCCAGCATGCTGATTGTTGGTCTCCTGCCTTTCGGTGCCATCTTCGTTGAGCTCTACTTCATCATGAGCTCCATTTGGTTCAGCAGAATCTATTACATGTTTGGATTCCTCTTCCTCTGCTACGGCCTCATGATTGTGGTTTGTGCCGCTGTCACTATCCTCATGGTATACTTCCTGCTTTGCTCTGAGGAGTACAACTGGCAATGGAGATCCTTCCTCGCTGCTGGTATGAGCGGTGGATACATCTTCCTCAACTGCCTGCTTTACCTCGTCACCAAGGTTCAGCTGGGCGGCCTGGCCGGTACCGTTCTCTACATCGGCTACAGTGCCATCATCTCCTTCCTCTTCTTCATCCTTGCCGGTATGTACTTGAACGCATTAATGGTTACTATTGTATCATTGCTAACCATTCCCAGGCTCCATTGGCTACTTCTCAAGTTGGTGGTTCGTCCGCAAGATCTATGCTTCCATCAAGATCGACTAAGTACTGGGTACTCGGGAGGCCTAAGAAAGGCCACACAGATGAAGAGCTCATGATATCTGGAATCTGGAGAGTATGTAAGAACACATGTACGACCAGCGTCTAGGACTTGAGATTCAAGTCATGGATTTTCTACTCGCGGTATGGGCTCGCTGGAGAAAGGTGACGGACGGCGTCGAGGAATATGTGATGATATTTGGGTTTCGAATCGCTTGGCTGTAGACTTTCATCACTTAGAGGCGACAAAACGACAAAAGTATTTGGACAGCCCTGATTTTAGTTAAACCGTTGATGGGCGGGTATTCTACGTAGATGCTTGGTTGATCTGGGTATGTACCATTTTAGGTCTAGACTAGCTCAATCCTCATCATCATCATCATCCAGATCATCCAAGTTGGTGAACTGGAACTGCTTCGTGGTCGCAGGCCCAGTAGGGGCCCTGTTCGCGCTGGGCTGGGCAGAAGCACCACCAGCGATGCTGGATCGGCGCCACGACTCCTGGTCTTTCTCGCGCTGGCGCTCGCGCTCCTGTCTGATGCGCTCTCTCTCCTCGCGCATCTTTCTTTCGCGCTCCTCCAGCTCGAGCCGCTCCTTCTCTTCCTTCTCCTTGCGATCCTCTTCCTCACGTCGCTTGCGCTCTTCCTCCTCAACGGGATCATAGCCCTTGGGGTCAATGCCTTGCTCGGACAAGACCTGGTTTGAGGCAAGAGACCCGGCACGAATCTTGTCCTCGAGCGGCCAGGGGAAAAAGAGCTGGCCTGACAGGGGGTTGAGGTACTGGCTCATGATCTCAGGCAAAACCGTATTGGCCGACATGGTGGTCTGTTGGGTAGGGGGCTCCGAAGTCATCTGCGGCGTCCCGTTCATTACGGCTGGGCTTTGAACCTGCGACGACGGGGGCGCGGAGGGCGTCATCACCGAGGGAGCCTGCGAGTCGGGCAGGGGCGTCTGGATGTCTGGGGAGGGCGGTAGGCCGTTGATGGTGCCGGCGGGGGGCATGGTGGTCTTGCTGATGCGGCGAGCATAGCTGAGAAGCTCCTCATATCCGATGGCATAGCTGGGCCCGGCGGGGAATGTGGTCGTCTGCGTGGTGACGATGTCCTTGCGCGTGGTAGCGAGGCTTGACAACGTCTCGCGAATCTGGGCGTCCAGAACAGTCGAGGACTCGCGCAGGTTCTGTATTCGGAGGTAGTTGTTCTGGTGGGTTTGGACTTGGGATCTCGTTAGTATCCTGCTGCCAGTCGGCGGGGAGGCGTCACGAGGTACCTTCTTCAAGACCTCTGCACAGCTCGTCGTCTGCAATCTCGAGTTCGCGGCCATAGGCGGTCGAGGGATGGTATTTCGTGACTGAGTCGATCAGACTCGTCAGCGCTTTTTCAAGGCGCTCAAAACGACCGTCGATGTGGGTATCCATCGTGAAGTCGTCGACTTTTCGTCGCTGTTGACGCGAGGAAAAGAGGGCACAATGTAGAATAACCAAGGCGAGTTGAAAGCAGAGGCGAGGCTGCAACAATGGGGAGCTCTCATTTAAGGTGGGTCGTGAATCAGCGTTGTGATTGGTCAGCACTGAGCTCTGTTTTTGCGCCTCAGGCCGAACCCGATCTTTCCCGTTCGGCAAACTCGCGCATCCTAAGGCCATTCCTTTTCGACGACGAATTCGACGAGCAATTGAACGACGAACACGGCTTCTACCGCCCTACAAGTCAAGATGGTTTCCGCTGTATGTCCTCCTTCATCCCGCCGCAGGCCCCACGATCCCGGCTCGGTCCCCGCCAATTGACGTGCCTTCGTCCCCCCCAGAGTGCTAACCTGATTTCTTTGCAGACTCCCTTCCGCGCTGCGGAGTTCAAGAGCAACTTCGGCCCCAAGTACGTCTTCTCCATGCCTTCTTCCGAGCACCGATGCACCGAATCCGAGCCAATTCTACGATCTGCGATGCCGAATGACCTACCCTCGAGCGGGCAGATGGACGAACGGGAACAGTCTGGCTAACGGTATGACTCTAGGTACCAGTACCAGCCCAACTTCCTCGGCTTCACTGGCCAGAGCGCTTTCCGAATGTGAGTTCCAAGTATCCAATTTCTCAGCAACCCAGCGCAGAAAAATCGCAAGCGAGTCGAGTCCCCGAGCCCCTTCCGTTCCACCGAGACCGATGTCAAGTCCACAACACGACCGACGAATGTCTTGAGGAGGCGGACCAGATGCGACTGGGGACTCGGGACTCAAAAACCTGCTATTGGCGCCGGAACGCATCTTCTAAGCGCAGCGCTGACCAAATGGAACAGTGGCTCTCGCCTCGCCATGTACGGCGCCCCCGCCGTCGTTGGTGTCCTCATGTTCGCCTCTGGCATCCCTCGTGTCCAGCGTGACATTCTCCAGGTATGGCAGCCTTGATGCTCAAATAACCGCGCTACAGCGCTAACTCTATTGCAGAAGATCCCCTTCGTGGCCGATTTCTTCAAGAAGGAGACTCACCCCGCCGACAACGTAAGTTTTGCCCACGCCCGGGATGCTCCATTGATACGTGCTAACACATGCCGTAGCCCTTCTAAATCTGCTGGTGGACGACAAATGATAGATGTGCATCAATTCATGTCCTCGCGACGTTGGCGGCACTCCTTGTATAAGATTTCCCAAATAGACTTATTCTGAACTTCGAATTTCGTGACGTGCTGTGAAATGGCTCTGAAATGCTCGGGCCGTGATTGGCTGGACCCGCAGCTGCAATTCCCCTTTCCGCTATACGTCGCTTCGCTCCATGGCTTGAATAAGATTGTTCTGAAAGCAATTGACTCTGACGATGCTCGGCTGATATAATCATTCTTAATACCTGGGTGTCTCACATATCCCCGCATGTAGGTGAAATGCAGCGTCACATTGAATGTTGACTGTGATTGTTAATTGATGAGTGGTACGGGGGAGCCTGAATGGCCGCGGCGTAGCACAGTACATCTCACTACCTTCTAAGCACTGTCCTTTCTATCACAGTTAACAACTAATCCCGGCGTACTAGAAGGAAAATGCGGATGTAGCTCCCCCAGGATGGCCTATTGATGCCTGAGGTGATTTGCCACACCCGTCGCGCGATATGGCAAGCAGCATCACGCGGCAAATAGTGTGCATGTGCTGTAGACAAGTCAATTCGCTTCAATCGCGATTCAACCGCGCACTGTGCTAGGTCTCCAATACCACTTGTTCCAGTTCTGGTGGCCTGTAAGTTAAGCTATGAGAGGCACTGTTATGATCCTGCTGTCAAAATTTCAAGATTTAATAGGCAGACTGTCCTAAAACAGACCGCCCATCGCATTAAGTTCGGTAGGTAATCCATGTGATGGTGTTGACGAGCATGTCCTGTTAACTTCCCGCTCACAAGTGATGCTAAAAAGAAGGAATGACTGTCTGTCAAGTAGCCTCCTAACCGCAGGACTGCCCCAGGTCTTGTTTCCTGGACTAACAGTAGATCTAGAGATGCCACTGCCTAAAGAGCCATGCCTGCGATGCTCCTGCAGTTATTGCAGTTGGTGCATGAGCTGATGAGGACTATGAATTCCCTGCCGATTCGATGCTCGTCTTCTCCCTACATCCTCGCCAAATGTAAGAAAACTTGCCCATTTCTCTCACCCAGTTCTCTTTATGCCTCATATTCACAACTGCTTACATGATTTGATAGGCCAGGACCCTCCCGCCGAGATTGAAGTCGCCCAAGCCCGGCACGCCACCATCACCGCCGCCGCCGCCGTCCGAGCCCGCCGTCTGTTTCCCGCCGACTGGCTTCGTTTTTTGCAGGCCGAGATCGCGGCCAGAGCGGCCCTCTTGGCCCTTCACCGAGGCTTCGGCGAATTCCGGGGTTAGACTGGTATGTGAATATTTTCTCTGTCGATTGTTTTGTTTTGTCTCTTTGCCTTCACAACACTTACACATGCCTTGCCCTGCCTGTGAAGCTCTCTTGAGTAAGTCGAGTGGAGGTGCCGAGTGGTCCAGGACGACGATCGAGCACCTTTCCGTGGTGTCCTGGATAAGTAGGCCGAGACAACTGGACTCGGCTGAAACCAAGACTCGATCATTGCACCAGTTCTTCTGCATGATAATGATAATGGTGGTGATGGTGATGGTTTCATGCCCGAAACCTATGTTCGCCGAGGACTTGCTGCAGCGAGACAGGCCTAGCGACCTCAGTCGAAAGTCCCAGCTGGCTGATCGCATCGCCGTGGCATCGGATCACATCTGGATCGATCGAAGAGGTTTGTACGACGACCTTGCCATGGCAATGCCGGTAAGCGACCGCATCCCAAGCTTGCCTAGCCGCAACCCCTAGAGCAAGCTCCGACGTCCCCCGTACCGTGATGATGGCTGGCTACCCATCTCGAGCCCTCTGGTAGCGAAAGAGCATTGCCACACCCCGTCTGCCGTTCCATAACTCCATCGTGTCAAGTCTCGGCATCTTGAGTGCTGCAGCAGCAGCGTCTCGAAGCATGTTATTGATATCCAAGGTGTCCACATCGTCAGTGAGGACCCTCGAAGTCAGCGCCAGAGAAGTAAGCTTATCCCACGTCCATAAATCTTGACGCGCTGCGAAGAAGTAGCCGGCGTCGGCCATGAAAGAGGCGGATAGCGTCGTGAGGTGCAGGCTGGCGCGGGCCAGTTTCCGGCTCACGGCCCGGTTCGGCACCCTGATAGCGGGACACTCGAAAAATCTTTCCGGGTATGACTCGTTGAAGTTCTCGAATATCGTCAGCTTGCACAATTTCGTCTAGGCAAAAGATTCGATCAGCGTCTGGTTGCCTGTATTCTGGTTGGTCAGCGGTTGCGTCGAGTAAATTGTCAGGGGTCAAGCAAGCACTTGCGTTTATCAGTTTGCGTCTCAATTTCATTCCACTCCCTCCAGGGTTCGTAACAAAGCTCCTCCAAGTTAGGGAACCGTGTGAGCATGTTGGCGAGCGCAACCGGCTTCCATCGTCGGCGGGTCTGCTGGCGAAGGAGAACGACCCCGACGACGGGTACGAAGGGGAGACCCCGCCACCACTCCATCTCGGGTTCCTCGTCGTCAAAAGGCCCCTCGCCCATGATCTCGTCGAATGTCTGTTCGATAGCGAACTCGTCAGGAGCAAGAACCTGCTGCCCGGCAACCCAGCCATGAGCCGGGTCATTTACCAGGGTAGTTCCTTGTTCGTGTCCACGGCGAGACGAACACTCGCCTAGGTTGGTGTCTGAGCAGAAGCTTAGGTACTTGAACCAGTGCTGGTTGTCACTGGGCGAGTAGACACTGATATCGAGGACCAAGTCACCGCGAGGCTCCCATGCGCTGAGTGTCGTGAACAAACTTTCAAACGCATCCACGATGAATTGGTTGTCGATATTGTCCAAGCCCCAACGGTCCCGGTCAGTGTTAGCACATTGTCCGCAATCGTACTGCTCCAGTTCCACGCGAAACCAGATATAGCGAATCTGGCTTCTCTTTCGGAACAGAATGGCTTGAGAGTTGAGGTCGGCGAGGCGCGGTACCGTCAAGCTGATCTCGGCAAAGTTGAGTGGCTCGATAATTGATTGCCAAGCTCGGGAAACAGTCGCGAGCAGGCTGCACCTCCCGCCGAGAACTGGCAGGAGACCCAGGATGTCGTTTCGAATCTCAGGAGGTAAACGATCCCAGGAGGTTCTGTACCTAGACATCTTTGATTAGGCGTGCAGTAGGTTGAGTGTGAAGGATGGGGATTGGTGTGGATTGAGAAGGATGTGATGGGATGAAATAACTTGAAGTTTGAGACCTGTGTTTTGGGGGTAAAGAGATCTTGGCCGAGAGCCGGGCCCTGCCAGCTCCTTTATGTTTAATTTCGAGAAACACCCTGATGGGCAGCATATAGATAACTGCATTTGAACTTTCTTATTCAATGGACGTGGTCGTGAAGCACCGAGATGTGGCACTGCAGGTCACTGACCTATCAGTGCCACAGTGGCTGTGTGGAGCCAGCTCCGGCAGAGCTCACCCGGCTCCGCTATATCGCGCGATTGGCTGTGCGACGGAAGTAGAATGCGCATCTTCACATTAATCCCAACTTCACCTCACTTCTACAGGGCGCGTGTTTCCAAGGCGGCAGCCCTCAATTAATGAGGACGACATCTGTTTGAATCCCTCAAACTCATGGACCGCCGAACATCTTACTACCTGTCCCGTCATTGATACAAGAGTTTGCCGCGCGTCGCTGCGTGACACTTGTCAACATGGACGCCACCACCATCCTCGACGAGACGCCAGCGCAGCGCGCTATGCCGACCTATTCGTTCTGGGCGGCTTCAGCTGGGCTTTTAATTCTGCCGTCTTGGTTTTGGCTCTTCAAAAGACCTGAGAACTCGTTTTCGCGGTGCGCCGGCCTCTTGCCGTTATTCCTCGCCGGCGCGTGTTTCTCGTGGCTGTGCATTGTTTCGGCTGTCGTCCCAGAGCCGTACTTGGTAAGTTGTCAAAGGCGCATCCATGCGCACTCAATGCTAAGTTTATTGTAGGATGAAGTTTTCCATATCCCCCAGGCGCAAAAGTACTGCGAGGGCAGGTTTCTTGAGTGGGATGACAAGATCACCACGCCCCCTGGACTGTACGCTGGAAGCCAGATTTCCCAATAGCAGACACTGACAAGAAGCAGATATCTCCTCTCACTTTTGGTCCCAGGTGTAGTCAAACCCGGCGCCTCTCCATCCTCGTATCTCTGCGACGCTCAGAGCCTGCGAGCCGCCAGCGCCATCGCCCTGATGATCCTGGCTTACTTGGCCCTCCTGTGTCGCCATGAGATCGAGGCTCGCCTTCACGAGGCGCACTCGGCGACGAAGCTCCGGGTATTCTCGCAGTACTCGCTCCACACTGCGGTCAACATCGCCCTGTTCCCGGTGTTGTTCTTCTTCTCGGGTCTCTACTACACCGACGTGGCTTCGACTGCCATGGTTCTGGGTGCGTACCTGCACCATCTGCGCCGGCTTGGCCAGGACCGAAGCTCGTTCCGCTCCGATTTTATCACGATCGTCTTGGGTGTCATGACTCTGTGGTTCCGTCAGACGAATGTGTTTTGGGTCGTCGTTTATATGGGCGGCGTGGAGGCCGTTCACGCCATCAAGACCTTGAGGCCAGAACCGGTTGACCAACCGGTAATGACGACCCTCACGGAGCAGTTGAAGTACTTCGCTTGGAGGTACTCCCTTGGAGATATCCACGATCCGCCTCTGCACATGATTTGGCCGGATGGTGAGTATTTACTCCCAGTTCTTCCCATTCCTAACTGACCGGGTCGATAGACATGGTCTTTTGCGTCCTCAGCCTCGGCATCGCGGCGTTGTGCAACCCCATCCACGTCATCAGGCAAATATGGCCCTACATTGCGGTCATCGCGTCATTTGGATCCTTCGTTGTTTGGAATGGTGGTGTTGTCCTTGGTGAGTTCGACTTGCACACCCAAGAGTCCAAAACATGGGGCTAATTACAGGTCAGGGGACAAATCCAACCACGTTGCCACGATCCATCTTCCACAGATGCTCTACATCTGGCCGTTCTTCGGATTCTTCTCTCTGCCGCTCCTTCTGCCATATGTTCTCCCGCTTCTCAACATCAGCATTCGGGTCTTCAAGATGGTCACCTCGAGCAAGCCGACAGCTCCACGGCCTGGCAGTTTATCGAGAGGCGGTTCATCGAGCAGCATCAGATCAAAAGAAAAAGGCACCGTGAGCAACTCGGACAGGATAGCAACAGCGCCTCCCAGCAACGATCCTCCTCCAGCTCTTTCCAAGCTCTTGGGGATATTGAACCGACTCTTTGACACCAAGATACTTTGGCCGATCTATCTCCTTGCTACCGTCATCCTCTCCGTCCTTATCGTCAAATACAACACAATCATCCACCCATTCACCCTAGCAGACAACCGGCACTACATGTTCTACGTCTTCCGGTACACCATCCGCCGGGCCTCGTGGATCCGGTACTTCCTCATCATCCCCTACACTCTGGCCCGCTGGATGACGTGGGGCACCATGGCCGGCTGCTCGCAGTGGCTCTACTTTTGCACCGACGACGCCTGTTCGGCGTACTACACGTCCCCTCGAAACGCTCCCTTCCTAAGCTATCCATTCTGGATCAATCGCGGGGGACCGTCCCGACAGACGGACGCCGAATTCCCCGTTGCAGTTCCCGAGGTGTCGCAGGAGGTGGGCGCGGCACAGCTGAAGCAGCTGCAGGGAATGCTCGACGAGGACCCCATGCTGGCCTCGGTTGAGCCGGCGTCCACATCCACCGGTCTTATCTTCCTGCTCGCCACGAGCCTCTCGCTCATTACCGCCCCACTGGTGGAGCCGCGGTACTTTATCATTCCGTGGGTGATGTGGCGTCTGCTGGTTCCTGGATGGCGACTGCACGATCACGAGAACCCGAGCGAGGTGCTCGATGGTATCTCTTCATATACGATTCTGGAAAGGATGGTGCGGTTATTTGAGAATTACGACCTTCGTCTCGTCCTTGAGACGGCTTGGTTCATCGCCGTCAATGTAGTGACGGGGTACATCTTCCTCTGCAAGCCATACTTGTGGAGAGCGGAGGACGGGAGTCTACTCGACGAGGGTCGTCTGCAGCGATTCATGTGGTAGTTAGTTGTGCAATAAGAAGTGCAAGGTGCACATAATGTGACAGAGATAATGTGCTTTTCTCATTCAGAATTCCGAGTCCAGGTGCTGCTGGAGCGACTTGTGTGTCCAGGCGAAACCCCAATCTAACGCCATACCGATGAACCCAATCCGATAACCCGTCCCGTCCCATAAACCTTCCTCCCAAAGCCTGGAAATCCTCTGGGGAGCGACCCAAATGCTCTTTATGTACCGTCGAGGGTCTCCCGCCCATCAACCACATAGATCCATTTACCCCCAATCATTGAAAACCTCGGCGTTACGTTATCGTTTCCTTTGCTCAACAGTCACTATAAACTGAGGCGGTCTAGGCTCAGGCCGTCATTACTGCGCACACGACGGATGACGCCGAGCTTGAAGAACTTCTCCTCGCCACCAGGGGTACGGCCACCGATGTACCACTTTTCAGCACCGATGACGTCGCGGAAGCCCTCGCTGCTGGAATCGCTGCCGCGGCGCCGCGAGGACCCGGGGATGGGGATGGCGGTGCCCTGACTGGATCCGGCGGGCGAACTGACCGAGTTGGCGGTGCTGCCACGGGGTGGACGGAGGGCTACACTGGATGCGGTCTGCTGGTGGGTGGAGGAGGAGGCGGCGGCGGAGGGGACTGAGGAGTTGGCGGTGGCGTCGCGGGTGTGCTTGTTTGGTTGTTGGTGATGTTGATGTTGGGTGGTGGGAGTCAAGGTAGGGCCTTGGGGACGGAAGGCGGCCAGGAAGGAGGAGAGGAAGTAGGGGCGTTGCGAAGGCATGGTGAAGGGATTCAGAGTTGGCGGTGGGTGGTATCTGATAGGTGGTGTTGATAGCGGAGGAGAGTCGTGAAATGCTGCGTGACACCAGCACGGCTGGAGGGTCGTGGGATGGTCGTAACCGCAGTCAGACGGAGTAGAAGTCGTAGCAATAGTCGCAGTAATCGTTGCAGGTCGGGATACGATCCCGATGCAAATGTGCAGAGAATCGGGGGTGGCGTCGGAGTCAAACGGAAGAAGCGAGTCACAGGCGACACAGAGGATCCAGCCCCGTGATGACGACGACGGCGCAGAGGATGGCAGAGATGGCAGAGGTGAGTCCGTCGGGGATTGTTTGGGCGGTTTGTTATGGCGGTGATTGATCGATGGCGGGGTTTGGGGTTTGGGGGAGAGAAGAAGCCGAAGGAGAAGGGCGTTTAGTAGCGTAGCGGCGGCAGGGTTTGGTCGCTTTTGGTGGAGTCCCGTCTGGTCGGTCAGAGTCCCACGCCCACGAGTGTGACGTCGCGCCCTTGAAGGTTTCTCGTGCGGAGCGGCGAACCCGCGATCGGTAAAACCCGGAGTCCGGGGCGCAGGGTAATGCTAATGGCGGGGTTGCGATAGGTCGTCTCCGACTCGTCTGGGCTGCCGGCACGCCGCTTTAGCGCGCTTCTTCGAGGGCCTTGCCGCCTCGTTGCACACGACACGCCCGCGCGGGCCTCGTTCAACGCACGATATGGTGCATCGTGCAATCGGGCAATCGGTGTTGCGGGGGATTGCCTTCCAAGAACGCCCCGGGGGGGACGAGTGGCGCCGTGATTGGTGCCTCGGCTGCTGATGCTCGTGGGAATGGCACCATATGCTCGGCGCCATTTGTAACGGCCCAGTCGAAGGGCCTGGGGCACGGACAAAGGGACACTCGGGATTCCAGCACTTTGGCTCAGCCCGGTCACACATGTCGCGTCTTTGGGCCTTCCCGAATCCCGAGAGGCACGACAGGAACGAGTCGTCATCATCAGAGAGGACGAAAGCTCGTGCGGGAAGTTTGACAAGTTGGGACGCAAGATATGCTATGTACCGCCTGTACAGTGTAGCACAGTGTAGCACAGTGTATATATTTCAGTAGAGCCCTGCGGCCATATTGTTTACTACCTGCGGAATGCACCAGAGTTCAGTTCTTATTCTGCAAAACCAAGGTTCTATTTACTATTAATCCAAAGTACACTACATTATATCTTAAAATTTTAATTCCTTTTTACTTTTTACTTTTAAATGGGAATGATCTTTCAAAGGCCCCATTGCTCTGTCGATCGCCTCGAGGCTTAGGGCATGTGAAGCACTAACGTTTGGAGTACATCCCTTATAAGTGGCTGTTTTCTTTTTCAGATCGTACTATACGAGGGCTACCCAGCAACCATTGAAGTTGCCAAACTCCTTCCGCGTAATACCACTCACGCGCCGTCGCACTCTCACCAGGCAGACATCCTTACATCCGTTTCATGCCACCATTTCCCGATCATGCACTCGCTTTCATTCGCTGCCGCCCGCTTGTCAAAATGTACCGCGCCTGTGCCTCGCCGACGCATGCATGTGCTGCAGGACCAACCTTGCGTGCCTATTGCTGACGGTTGCCCTCCCGCACGCTGAAGGAGATGATTCGGGAAGCCTACCGGGACGGGTGGCGGCCACGGATAAGGCTCGGCCACTAACGGCATACACGGGCTGTCTCATGCTTGCGTCTTTGGTTCCTGGATTCTGTCTCGTGTTCCTGTGTGCTCCCGCGTGCTCCCGGTCTTCCGCCTTGCCTCGTTGAAGGATTGTCGTCGGGGATTGAGCATTCCCGGACAAGGCATCAGCTGCCAATTACTGCCGGGGCCGTCTGGCCGTCCGGCTCCATCATCACCGGTCTGTTCCCGGTCCCCTCAACCGCAAAAGCGGCAGCCCATAGCTAACCCCACCAACCATCCGCCTTCAGCCCCGGCTTGGCTCTGGCGACGCGAGGGCGACTCGTGGATAAGATAACCCTGAAGCCGTTGGTCCAAACGGCCACCCATTGCGGGGGGAAGTCAGGCCAAGGCTTGAGGGGCCTTGTGACGGGTGGGGGCTATCCATATCGAGAATGCCGCCGGGCAGCAATGATCTGATAATTCTCATGGCATGCGGGCGCCAATCCCCGCACTCAATGGCGTTTCGCAGCCGACGAGTGTGTGGTGAATGAGTCTTGTTCTCTCATAATTGTGAAGCCGAGATTGGCTGGTCGATCTTCCGCTCGGAGGGACAGCCTTTTGGGTCGGCAATCGATCGGATTGCTATATATGCAGGTATCAATGTCCCCCAACCCTCGTTTGTTGGGCACTCACCATGTTCACTGTGGTTGGCTGCGATGAATCAAGGCAATGCGACGTGTTGATGCACGCGAATTGCCCGACTTGGAAGTGAGCTTACCCTGCACCGCCCTCTGACTACCCAGCGCATGAAATAGACTGAGAGACACAAGAAAATGAAAAATCATTCATGTTACTTGTATCTATCTTGTGAATTGCGATTTTACCCTCTGCGTCAATATCTTTGGGGGTGGCTGGTCGTCACAATGGAGGAATATGGAATAGCTCACCGCAACCGTGTCCACCTGGTGGCCTAGGCTTCCTCGGCAAGCCAAGACCGCTGCAACTCATCTCGCTGGACCCATTTATCATAACGACACATATCCATGAATACGGCCTCACCGACAACCTCGCCTGCTTTAATATCAATCGGCATCGCTACATAGAGCCACCTAGTCTACACAAACCGCCGCAATCTCGTTTGTCCTCGCAGACCGCGTCCTGCCATGCCTAGCCTCAAAAACTACATCGTCTCGTGGGCGGTGTGGTTCAAGTTCAAGGGCACCTGGCAGTCCGCCGAGGGCCTCAACAAGCGCATCGTGGAGAACCGCAAGAATGGCACGCACCAGCCGCCGGACCACCTGCACAAGAAGTTCATCATCGAGGAGATGAAGCGGCCCGAGGGCTACACCGTGTACACCGTCGCGCCCAAGTCGGAGACGCCCACCCAGGCGCGCCTGATGTATCTCCACGGCGGCGCCTTCGTCTTCGAGATCACCGCCCAGCACTGGACCCTCGTGGCCGAGCTGGCCGACCGCCTCCAGGCCGTCGTCACCGTGCCCATCTACCCGCTGGGACCGGAGACGCCCGTGTTGCAGATGTACGACGAGGTCCAGCCACTGTACAACGAGCTCGCGGCCGATCCGGACCCGACGCCGTTCTGGGTCATGGGCGACTCGGCCGGAGCAACCATGACGCTCGTCATGACGCAGCAGGCCCGCCTGGCCGGCGTCCCCACGGCCTCGCGCCTCGTCCCCATCTCGCCGTGCACTGATTGCAGCCTTGCCACCCCGGAGCTGCACGCCATGGCGCTCAAGGACCCCTGGCTCGACGTCCCGGGCATCGCGGAGGTGACCCGCCTCATCTGCCCGGGCGTCGACACCAGGAACCCGCGCGTGAGCCCCATCTACGGCGACCTGGCCTTCCCGCCCATGCTGGTCCTCGCAGGTGGGGTGGACCTCCTGACGCCCGACACCAAGAAGATGGTGGAACAGGCCAAGGAGCAGGGCACCCAGGTCGAGCTGGTCTATGGTGAGGGTATGATGCATGTGTGGCCGCTGCTCCCCATCCCCGAGGCGACGGTGGCTGTGAACAAGATAGTCGAGTGGCTAGAGGAGTCGAAGAAGTGATCTTTTTCGCTGGGATGGCAGGCGTTGGCGTTGGTTCAGGGGCATATGCTTACACAGAGGCATGGAGGCGGATCTCTTAACTGGGCCAGGCGGTCAACAAGACTCTGGTTAGGGTCATAATGTAGTCATGAATATTCCCGTGCGAGGAGAGCGTTGCTCACTCGCCAATCTTAGATGCAAATTCTCGCTTCGGCCGAAGCCTTAAACTGTTGTTGTTTCTTCCTCTTTCAGTTTTGACCCAAAGTCCAGTCTTTCCCGTCTCATCAACAGCCCACTGATCACGCACAGGGAGCCAAACGCTACCACGATATAAAACTCCCTGCCAATGACCTCGGCCACGGCCTCAATGCCACTGCGCAGCACATCAGGACTCTCCGACTGCCATATTTTGGACGACACGCCAGCCAGCGCCTCGCGGATGTCGTTGTCAGTGTAGCGACCAGCATCGTCGCCGAGGGCTTCGACGAGGAGAGTGTGGCCGACGTTGTGGAAGATGCCGCCGGCGACAGCGAGGATCAGAGAGATACCGCCCATCTGAGCCATGTTGCAGATGGTAAGGCTATCAACACGGTCCCGCTGGTCCTTGTTGATGACGTTGGAGATGGCGATGCCATGTTGGAATGTCATGCCGACGCCGATGCCAATAAGGGCCTCGAGAGCCAGAATCTGAGATTGAGGGACGTCGACATCGAGGATGCTGGTCATAGCAGCGCCGGCGGCCAGAGTGATGCCTCCACCAACGAGGTAGATGGAGTTATAATAGCCGATCTTGGGCAACAAGCGACCAGTGAGTGAGACGAAGACGATGAATAGTAGAATGAAGGGCAAGAGGCGGACCGTCTGCTCTATCGCGCCGAGACCGCGAGCGAAGGCGAAGAATAGAGGCGTATAGTAGAGAGTGATGGCGTATGAGGCGGTCGCGCAACACGACGCCACCCACAGAGGAATGAGATCGCGTCGTGACAGCATATGGACAGGAAACGCCCTCTCGTCTGGCGTGGTGAAGATGCAAAAGCGCTGCTGAACACCCCATGAGATGAAGACGACACCGAAGACGACCCACACAGCGATAGCAGATCCGGAGCCCCAGTCCCAGACGGCGCCGGAGAATGTAACGGCGATGGCAAAGAGCACGCCAGACCCCACGTGGAGCAAGATGCCCAGAGGGTCGATCTTCTGGAGGCGTTGCCAGACGGGGATGTCAGGGGCAAGAGAGTGGCTCGGGAGGAAGAAAAACGACATTATTAAGGCAAGGCCCATGAATGGGAGATTGATGTAAAAGGCCCATCTCCATGTCGTGGTTTCGTTCTCTGCAAAGGCACTGCCGATGGGACCTCCGGTGACGAGGCCAATAGCCCAAGCGCCGCCGGTGAGGCCATACAGACCAGTCATCTCGGCCGGTGTTGCTAGGACGGCATAGTAAGAATAAGAGCTAAAACAAGTCAGACTCAGTAGCTTTCAGAAACATGCCCTCTCGATAGGATCTCTCTTACGTCTGTTGGACAATGGAGCCTCCAACGCCCATGATGATGCGGCCAACGATAACCATGGCCATGGACTGAGCAGCACCCGCGATGGCTGAGCCGGCAATGAAGACTACCATGTTCGCGAGAAAGACGGTGCGCATGTCAAAGGCAAACGTCAGCTTGCGAGCAAGCGTCACGACGCAGAAGTTGGCCAGCCCGTACGAGAGGCCGATCCAGGGGAGGAGGTCGATGTCCCCAAAGGCCTCGTACAGCCGCGGTTGGATGTTGGCGACATTGCTGATGTCGTAGCCTGGGAGAAACGGCTGTTAATACAGGAGACGGTAGTTGCAGCAAGGGGTTGAACGTGCCGTTCAAGATGCAGGCGAGGAAGACGAGCACCAGAGTCCCTTTCCACTTCCAGTCTGGGATATGGCTTCGCGGGTGAGGTGGCTCAGGGGCCTGTTGTTGCTCTCGCTGGCTTTCGTCTCCCTTTTCGCTCTGTGAGAGGGAGAGTCTGGTGGTGGACGTTTCAACGTCTAGCTGGTCGGGCATCTTGTCCAAGGCCATTTTCGGTGCTCAGAACTTCTCAAAGCTAGACAATCCATATCAGCGCCTTGGGAAATTGATAAACTACCCAAGAAGGGATATGCCTCTGCCTTGAGCTTATCCATGGTCCTAATCACCCGCCAGATCCGGCAATAGAGGTCAGCGACTATCAAGAGGGTCAGCTCATATCAGCTTACGCCGAGGATCATTACCACAGCGGGTGAGATCTTTCACGTTTGTAGATTGATAAAGGCCCGAGAGGGTTCGCTTTGCGCACTAACGAACGTTGGCGGCTATATAACGTCGATATAGGATTCGGCCGGAAGTGTGTATCGGTGGTTGCAGCTGTCGTGCTCCGCTTGGACTGACACCCTCCGTGGATCGGGTACACAGGCAACGTGGGCATCTCGAGTAATACGGCGCAGCCATGTGCGTTGGGAAGGAAGAAACATTGGCGCGATTGAGGTCGTGTGTGGGAGGGTTGTGATGTGCTGGCTGTCGGATATTTCCCCTTCCGTCAGCAGGGGAGTACCCTGGACGTGAGATGGGTCTTGGGAAAGTCGATGGGGGGTCTATAGAAGGATGATAGGATATGAATGACTGGAAGAGCATGCAGAGAGATGGGGATCAAAGAAGGAAAAAGCCCGGTTGCCTTTGTTGGTGGGACGTTGCTTTGACGACTTTGACGTTCTGCCATTGGCCCCGGACTTCGAAGTCACCAATACCGCGGTGTCCATCCTTCGGGAGGAGCTGATGGTTTCCTTGCGCTGTATATCGGAAATACGGTAGAGGCGAATAGAGGCATAGTTGCGAGAGAAATGCTATGTCGTGTCACTCGGTGTAGGAGAGAAGTTGACTGCTCCCGGGTGGCGTTCGCAATGCCACCAAGAAATGCGACCCCAAGCGGACCACAAGCATTGCACAACGGGAGCTGACCGGGATAAGGGCTTGTGGAATGTTGCATCTGGGTTTGATGGAAGAATTAAACATGTTCTGGAAAGTCAGCCATCGGCGGCGTGGCGTCTCACCTGTTCTTGCAGATCAACCCGTGGTGTTTCCAGCAGAAAGCCGCATCGCTGTGCGCTGAGACCCCAACCGCCTAGCCACGGGGATCTGAACACACTGCAGAACAACCTCTCCTGCAGCCATAGGACTCTCATCGATCCTAGTCTGAGAATACCAGGCCATGTTTCCAATCTAGTTCCATGAAAACGGAACATCCAGTTGCCCTTGTCCTTGGGCCGTGGCTCCTGGTACCTGATCAGCCTGGATGGGGGCGATCCGCCACCGGCAATCTGCAGCGGCATCCCGTTGCATGCCCTCCTGACTCCAAAGGCATCGACATGCGTCGAGAAAGATGATAAAGAAACGCGAGGGTCTCCAGGTTGGCTGTGCGTAAAGTGGTCCTTTACATGAGTTCCAAGCGCGCGTCCAAGCTCCAGTCTTTGACGTGAGGCCTCGACAATTTCCCCCGTAGTGGTTCGAGCGCACAGTCTCACTAATCCAGGGCGAGTGCCCATGAAAGGAACCGCTGTATAGGCTACTGTGGACTTTTGCCGGCCGTGAATCCGCGAGTTTCAGTGGAGTCTGTCCCGTTCTCCTGTGCCGCCAAGACCATGGTCCCCAGCACAGTAACGAGCTATGGAAGCCAGAACGAAGTGACAAAAGCAAACCGCACATGAGTGGAAAGTGAAAAGCGTATAGAAGATGCTATTATCCAATGTATATGAACTGTTCTCCAGCTCCGGGCTTGGGGCACTGTTGCCAGGGCACTGTTCCCAGAACAAGGCAGCTTGACCACTGCAGCTCCACTATGACTCTGCAGCCAGACATCAAGGTGACCTGCTCGAGACGATAAGTGAGTAGCATGTGAAAGCGTGTGTGTTTATTTACTTTGTGGATATGCCCCCTGCGTGCTGAGCCCACAGAACCGGTCCCCGGTTTGATATTTACTGCCTAGCATCCATCCCCTTCAGCCCTTCCTCACAATTTCCACTTCTTCACTTCTCACAAAAAAGCACAAGTTCTTGACCATCTTGACTACTTCGTTCCACAATCTACCGCGTTTTTCACCAAAGACCTGCAATCTGTGGTTCCCTTTGACCCTCTACTTGGACGTTGAATACTTCAACATGACAGTCGCCAACTGGCTAGGCTCGGGCTGGGGCTTGACGACGATGCTCCAATCCGCTCCGACCCACTTCACGATCGAGCCCAATTCGGCATACGCCTTCCTTTTGGGCCTATCCGTCGGCCTCCTGGTTTACAGCATCTTTGTCTCTCCCGTCTATCTCTCCTCCCTGAAGCACCTCCCTGGACCCAAGGTATGTGAGCTAGAACTCCTTTGACGCGCTTTATCTGACTGCAGCAGGACAACGCCTTCTTCTTTGGCCAGACGCTCAAGTTCCTCCACGTCCCCTGGTTCCCTAATCTCTACTTGGAATGGTCTCGCCAGTGGCCGGACGCACCTTTCATCCGCTATCTTGGCATGGCGAACACCGAAACCCTCTTCGTGAACAGCATCGTGGCGTACAAAGAAATCCTGCAGACCAAGGCCGCCTGCTTTGTCAAGCCCAAGTTCGCGCGGACCTTTGCCCACGAGACCATCGGCGATGGCCTTCCCTTCGCGGAAGGGCAACTCCACAAACTACGTCGAGCTGCGATGATGCGTAAGTCTTTCTGACCGTGTTACAAGTACGATGTGACTGACTTGATGTAGGGACCTTTTCTGTTCCCAGCCTCAAGGACTCTTTCCCCATGGTTCAGGAGAAAGCGAGACAGTGGACAGATGTGCTGAGTCAGAAGAAAAATGAAGCTGGCGATGTCGAGAGTAAGTGCCTTTAGCCCCCACTGAATAACCCCATAATAACATCGAGCCATCTAGTTGAAACAACCATCTAGAAGACGGTCCTCGATGTAATCGGAATGGTCACCTTCGGCCAAGACTTCAACCACCTCGAAACCGACGGCTCGCCTCTGTACAACTCCTTCACGAATGCTATGAAGCCATCCACCTTTGGCCACATCGTCAACTACCTCAACTCCAGCTTCCCGATCAGAAAATATCTCCCCATCCATGAACTTCAGGAAGCGGCGTTCCACCGCGAAAAAGCCCGTGACTTCATCCGAGCTCATGTATCGGCAAGACTCGAGGCGCTGTGGAAGGACGAAGCCGCCAACGGCAATGCACCAGACGCTCTCCAGTACCTAGTCGAACACTCGGATTCGGGTTGGGGCAAGAATGAGATTGTTGAATACGTATGTTCATCCCATCTCGAGTATTATCTTTTGGACAGTCATATTAACTTGTTGTCGACAGGTGCTGAATCTGATGGTCCTTGGTACGACACCAACTTAACTCCGAAAACGATGATCTTTGAGTGGTTACTAATTATTTTCTCGATAGGAAACGACACCACGGCCTGCTCTATGATCTAGGCGATCCACGAGCTGTCTCGCCGACCAGAAGTTCAGCAGCGGCTGCGGGACGAGATGAAGAGTTTGGGCCACTCGCTTGAGAATGCCATTCACAACAATATCAACAAGCTCCCGTTCTTGCACAACTTTGTACGCGAGGTTTTGAGACTCTACTGCGCCAGTAAGCACACACGAACCACGGAACGAAATAATACCTAACAGATGGAACAGCGGCCATGGTGCCCCGCGAAGCAACCTGCGACATTGACATCGCCGGCGTGCCTATCCCGAAGGGCACCGTCATCCAGCTCTCGCCGGCCGTGATGAACCTACACCCATCCGTCTGGGGCCCAACGGCAGGCGACTTCGACCCGGACCGCTGGGACACGCTGAGCGGCGCTGCGGCGAGCCCCTACGCATTCGAGACGTTCCACAACGGGCCTCGCATGTGCGTCGGCAAGCAGCTGGCGATAATGGAGATGAAGGTCATGATCGTGGAGCTGGTGGGCCGCTTCCGCATCGAGGCCGACGGCGACGGGCCGCTGGAGATTGCCCAGCCGACGTTTACTCTGCGACCGAAGGAGAAGTTGGTGGTTAGGCTGGTGGAGTTGTAATTTGCGACGATTGTACGAGATGCTGCGGTATGAGGCGCTGAGCTATGGATGCTGGGCTACACACGCTGAGCGAGAGATGCTGAGCCATGAGAAGCTGAGCTAGATGCTGGGCTAGAGATGCTGGGCTATGAGAGACGAGAGATGAGAGGCGGATAATATGCTCGGTTTGTACTAGATGGCCTTCGTCAAGAGACGACGACGGGATTGTTGTCTTCGGCTCTGATATTGGACGAATCACTAGATTACACTAGAACGCGAGGAAAGATAGAAAAACATGTATGAGTCTTGTAACTTTACTTGAACCATATGCAGAGATGAGACATGACTCTTCTTCCAGCGCACGCCTCGTCTCAATCAGGACGGCTTTAGAGTTTCCTTTCCGCCGAGCCTCACGGGATGGCATCATCACGATAAATTCAGCGGGATAAACACATGTACTAGCTGTCCCGCGATGTCTTGAAATCCTCCTCGGTCGACACGAACTCAAGCGCTTGTCAATTAATATGAGACATGAACACCGCTACGAACAAGTCCCCATGTTCACATCAGTCCCCCACAACGACTAGCTATCCACCCGATGTCTTTCAACCTCGCGCCGCCCCGCACCGGCTTCTCGAACGTTCTAATTACAGGCCGGTCGCGCTTAGAAATCCAATCAACCACACTACTGGAGCGCAAGGGTTCGCTGTGGTTGGGCCTAATTCTGGCAGTCCAAAGGCGGACCCTGGCCTATGCCGATCGGCCACTGTACCTAGCGCTGTCCCCCCGCCGGTAGCAGCGGATTGCACCTCGGCGGGCCGTCCAAACGTTATCAGAACACGGCTGCCGCATCGACGGACCGTTGTTTCTTCCTTGTAATTCTTTCGCCGGCACTCCTTTGTTGGATAGTGCGTTTTGTATGCTTCAGCTTCCGGCGTTGGGAATCAATAGCTCCAGCGTCCTTTGTCGCGTGCTGTTCCCCAGCGCTCCGAAACCAGAACCCTTGGCGGATGCAGTAGCTTTGTGCGACGGTCCCCCCTCGTTCTGACGATAAAGACTCCCTCACCTCTCTTCCCCGACTGCAGCTTTGGGATCACGCAACATCGCCGCTGCAGCTCTCACCATGTCGAAATCGTTGCAATTGAAGGAGGAGGGCAACCGGTGCTTCCAGGCCGGCGACTATGTCGGAGCCGATAGCCTCTATTCGAAGGCGTAAGTGCTCCCCCCGCCGTCTGTACCGTCCATGCCAGCTCGCATGATGATAGCTAACATCATCGAACCGTAGCATCATCGCCGACTCCAAGAACCCAGCGCTCTACACCAACCGCGCCATGGCCCGCCTCAAGCTGGGCTACTGGGACTCGGTCATCACCGACTGCGACGCCTGTCTGGCGCTCGCCCCGGACAACATGAAGGCCAACTACTACCTGGCGCAGGCGCAGGCCGCCCTGCGTGACTTCGACGCCGCCCTCGCCAGCGCCCTGCGCGCCCACGCCCTCTGCGCCGCCACCAACGACAAGTCGCTCGCCGCCGTCACCGCCCTGGTGCTCAAGTGCAAGAAGGACCGCTGGGACGAGCGCGAGCGCCACCGCGTGCGCGAGACGCGCCAGCTGGAGACGGAGCTGCTGGGCCTGCTGGAGAGCGACAAGCACGCCGCCATGGCGGATGCCATGGACGAGATGGAGCAGAAGGAGATCGAGGAGGAGTCCGATGCCAAGGCTGCGCGCATGAAGACCATCTTCGAGCGAGCGCGGGAGGACTCCGAGCGGCGGAGGGAAGTGCCCGAGTGGGCCATCGACGACATCAGCTTCGGCATCATGGTCGACCCAGTCATGGCAAGTCCCCGGAAGCCATCTTGCCAACTTGAACCAACTAACAACGCCCAACAGACCAAGACGGGAAAATCCTACGAGCGAGCCTCCATCATGGAGCACCTCCGCCGCCACCCGAGCGACCCCCTCACGCGCGAACCGCTGCTCCCGTCCGAACTGCGGCCGAACCTGGGGCTGAAGCAGGCGTGCGAGGAGTTTCTCGAGGAGAACGGATGGGCCGTGGACTGGTGATACAAGTACACAAGCTGAGAAGAGAGAAAATGTTGGCCGAGCGAGAGCGAGAGAAGTAGTGTTTTTCGAGAAACTTTTCGGGTTTTCGTACTGGGAGTTTTAAAGGCGGTAAATGAATGCATGGCACGGCGGTCGTAACAGGGGCTTGCTTTTGCCTTCCCTGCATGGCGCGGCGTTTGGACTACGGATGCTTTGCTTGATTTTGACCTCGGAGATAGACATCAGATCAAAACATGACTGGTGGTCCCGAAAAGACACGGCCGCTTCAGTACACTGATATCAATATATGTGACGAGGTAAAACTAATCTTGATTCATGTCGCGTTGCTACCCCCATCTTACACGCCAGATTCTCCCGTTCCGCGGCACCTCGTTATACACATACACCACCGCTCAGTCATGGGCGTGTGCTCCTCACCAGAGAGTCTATGTCGTAGGTAGGGCCGTGACAGTATACAATCGTCAAACCCATTGCCGCTTTCCAATGAAGCAAAAAATCCACCAAAACGCCTGCAACGCCATACAGATGCATGTTTTTCCCGTATATACTGCGCTCCAAGTCTCACTTCAGAGAAATGCCGATCCGGGGGGGCCCTCTCTACCGGGGGGATCTCTGCCCGGGGGATGGCTATCTCGACGGGGGCCACGATGGCCGTAGCCGACGATGGGTCCGTCGATTTCGTCCTCTTTGACCAATCCTATTTGCTCCTCCTCGGTTGGCTCTTCAATGCGCGAAGAGGCTGGTCGTCGGAAGACATTGTGGAAAGAGAATTGGCGCCTGGTCCCATGCGGCGGAGGCGTCGGAGCGAGGCTCTGGCCACTGCCGGCAGATACGCCGCGGTACTCGGTGTCTTCGCGGTCAAAGAAATGGGGTCGGGTAGGGCCGTAGTAGGCGTCGGATTCGTCATCGGGCTTTTGTTGAGGGGCCGTAATCTCCGTCAGGGGCACGGGGTGCATGGGGCTATGGCGCGCCTTGTTTTCGGGGATTTCGTCATATGGAAGAAGGGAAGATGTGTTGGTGTGACCTCTAGCCCGACCTCGGATCGTACCCGCGATACTCGAGAAGATGGTGCTTCGGTCGTTGTCTTCGTAGTCGCCTTCGTCGTCTGTTGGGAAGTGCGACATTCCCAGAGGCGGATGAGCCTGCGGAGTGCGTGGTGGAACGTAACGGGGAGATGGAGGCGCCGGAGATCCTGGCATTCCGGAGCGCGTGCTCCCGGTTCTCATTGTCATGGTCCTTCTTCGTCTTAGGCCGTCGAATTCCCACTGGGGTTGCCCATCCTCGCTGATCGGGTCCATGGCTTCCATTGCCATCTTCTCTTCGTGCATCCGCTTCAACTCGTCGGCCTGCATCCTCAATCGCCTCTGGGAGATCTGGCGCATAATAGCAGCGGTTCCGCGGATAGCATCGGCCTTCGGTTCTGACTCTGGCTGCTCTTGTTCGGCAATGGTCTGGATTTGGTCAAGGTCGCCGCTAAAGACAGCGGCATCAGGGACGTCCTTTGCTGATTTTGAGAGCTGTAATAGCACTACCCCTGAACAAATAGTTAAGAAACCCAGGACGACTGTGACAATGGACGAAACCGTTCCCTTGAAGCCCTGGAATAAGATGGCAGATGTGATGATGGTGGTGCTGGTAAAGTAGACATAGTAGGTGGGAGTCACGAGGGCGGCATTGAAGATGTTGAGAGCTTTCTACACCTGGGTTAGCAGTTGCGCCTCACAAGAGCTGTGGGATCGTACATTGAGGAAGATGATCTCGGTCAGCAGTGTTGCAATAACAAACACGAACAGTACCCAGAAGAACCACTCCTTGTACTGGGGCTTCCCGTTAATCCAGGCGATGATGGCAGCACCAATGCCCTGAGTCGAGACGACGCTCAAGCCGCCAACCCAACTGCAGATTGAAATGTAGACGAGCATGTTCTTGTTACCCCATCGAGGGCCGGCGTACCAAGCAGTGGCGGCGGAGCCGACAATAATCACACCGGCATAGGAGAGGAAGCCCGGAGCAATGACGTATTTCTGCATCTCTTGGATATCGGAGACTGACGAGGTATGCGGCGCATTCATGACGATGACGACGGATCCGACAACACATAGGAAGCAGGCGACCTTGCCGACCATGCTCAGACGCTCCTTGAGGAAGATTGCCGACAGGACGGTGGTGATAACAACGGACAGGGCGCCGAGGGGAGTGACGAGGATAGCATCCGTAAAGGCGTAGGCGACAAAGTTGCAGATCTCGCCGATAATCATAAGAGTCATGCCGCCCCACCAGTAGCCATTCTTGAGGTAGCCGTAGCCCTCGCCGGCGATCTCATTGTACTTTTCGTTGGCGCGTAGGAGTCCGAACTTTTTGAGGACGAAGGAGACGCCGATAAACAGACCGGAGCCTACGGCGAGACCAATCCCGACGGCTTTGTACCAGGCGGGCCGGTCGTCTGTGTTGCCCGTCGAGACGCCGTTCCTCTCGAAGAGTTCGAAATCCATGGTGAGGGAGAGGCGGAGGCGGAGGAGAGGAGGGGGAGGGGGATTCGAGTCGGGATCCTGTTTACGACGGCATGTGGGTGGACGACGGATTCGAGGACGGGTGCGGATACGGATTCGGTGACGGCGACAGATTTAGCTAGCGATGTGTAGACTGCAGGGCGATGCAAGACAGAAATGGCAATATGAATAGGTCCAAGAAGCGAGGAGAGGCAGAACCAAGGTGGGACGGGGGAGCAGAAAGGAGGAGACGAGAGATGTTGAGAGTTGAGAAGCGAGGGCCAGCCCGTGTTGGCCAGGCCTGTGATGGTTAGGTAGATGGGCCTTTTCGCTTTCTGCCTTGTTTCCAGGATGGCTGCTCGCTGCGACGAGGTACACCAGCCCGCTAACCCGCTAAACCCACTAAACTGGCCCACCGAGAATAGGCGCCCCCCTCCCCTCCCCTTCGTTCCCCACTAACCCGCCCGCGGTCTGTTCCAGTGAGACACTCTGAGACCAGGGGACGCAGACAAGCTCTGAACCAGCCCGCTGGGGCGGAGACTCTTCCTCGCTGAGAGTTCTTGGACAGCTCCCGGTGTGCGGCTGCGTCCCGACCGCCGAGGCAGAGCAGCGCAGAGCCAATTGCGTGCGCATCTTGCAGTTGAGAGCGGCATTCACGGACTTTGACAAGGGGGGGCCATGGAGTTCCCCGAACCTTACTAAATTTACGTCGCAGATTCGTTCGCCCAGCCCAATGCTTCCCTGTTTTCCCAGGATTTCCGGTTTTTTTTTTCTTGCGTGTTCGGAGCTTCGGTGCTTTGTTTAATCTCCAGCACTGGTGTTTGGCCGGGAAACCAATTCCCAACTCCATCTCAGTCTGACAGAAACCCGCTCGCTTGTCCAGCGTAGAGCGCACCGAGGACATCGGCGGGGACCTGCCAGACTCGGCAAGCCTCCGCTCCGTGCCCCAGGTTCACATTTGCCATGGCGTGCGTGCGTGTTGGGTGGGTTGTCTGTCTGTTGGGTGTGTGCTGCGTGTCGTGTCGTGTCGTGTCCTGTCGTGGTCTCTTTTAGCCGTCGCCCGTAGCCGTACAAAGGTGGTGCGTACGTCTGCCCTGCCACCTCCACCTCCACCTCAACCTCCAAGCCACGGCCCAGTTGCGTACCATCATCGCCTCGAACGGAGTCTGTGTCACTTCACATGGGAATCGTGTCTCTGGGGCATGCGCGATGCTCCCCTACAAAACGCATCAAACTCGACCTCTGGCGACCTCGCCCTCGCCCTCGCCCCATTGCCACGCGCCAGCCCGTCGCCGCCCCCTTTGTCTCAGGGTGGCAGACCCAAACGCCGTCCTGCTGCGGCCCAGCGTCGCCATTATTACGCACGCCCGAGCAGCGCGAGCGAAGCACCTGCATGCCATGGCAGCATGAGCTGAATCCCAGCTCGATGGTGGTGGCTTGATCCGGCCAAGATGGGGCGCAACCGAACGACACCATCGACGTGGGGGCGTTTTTCCCGCTTCTCGATCTGCATTCTGGACCCTGCCCTGCCACCCATCTTTGTCCATGGTTGCAAGTCCCGTCTACCTCCGTACTCGTACTCTTACTCTACGATACCCACTACAGACCTGGGTTGACGTCCTGGGTCGCTACCACTCGCTGGCAAGATGAGGTGAGATAATGACGACTGACCTTCGTAACTGCAGCCCGTAGCCTCGCCAACCTCCTCCCCCCGCTCTGACCTGTTCCATGTCTTCCGTTTCGATCATGATTGAAACCACTCTCCACCCCCGCAACTGTGAATCGACACTCGCGAGCAGACAGACGTGGTCGTGGTGGATGAAACTTCTGCCCCAATTGGCCCAAACTGCTATTCTCGTCACGGAGGCTTGTCTGCATCCGGTTCGCAGGGTCTCGCCACCCACAGCCCACACGCCTGGTGTTTCAAGCCGCCAGTCTCTGCAACCAGTTCTTCATCGTAGCGGCGAGTTGCTGGAGGAGAGCCTGACTGGTGTGGGTGCTTCCCTCCTGGTCTTCGCCCAGGTGTCTTGCATTTGCTCTGACGTTTTGCGTGGTCTGTGGCAACCCTGACACATAACCGATCTCAAGACGTCTCTGGATCCTTGATAGTATCGTCGCATTCCATGTCCAAATTTACATACACAAGAAATATCAATTCGCTAGTTTCTATCCCAACTGAGTCGTTTCGTCCATATCCATATATGCTCCGGGGGGTATCTCAGTCTTCGTGTCATGTGTCGTGCTGTACTGTGATCGTCGCCATCTCTACCGCCTCCCGTCTCTTGCATCCATGCCTGCGTCTCGCCCATGCGGCTAATTCGCAACTACATCGTCCAGCCACCGCCGCACCCTGTCCTCTAGTTTGCCCGGCGGCTTCGCGTCAATCCGCTTGACCAGAGCCGCTTTCAACCTCGTCTCTACCCCGGGCGGTGCGCGCACCGGGGCGCTCCTCTTTTCCTTGCCCATAATGTTGACTTTTTCTTGAAGGGCTCGTAGCGTTTCCTCGCCCTTTTTCGACTCGGCTATCAGCCGCTCTATATTGATCCACCGCCAAAGTAAACTATCCTTCTCTTGGTTGCTCAAGTCGTTATAATGACGGACATCCTGAGGCGAGCTGCGCAGGCGAGCGCAGACAATGCCGAGATGTTGGGCCGTCGCGTTAAGTGTGAATCGCCTCCCGACATCCGCAATGGCCGTCGCAAGGTCCCATGCCCCCGGAGCCTTGTAGTCTATCTGGCGCATGACTTGGTCGGGCGTGAGAGGGAGTTGAGGTTCACGCTTCTCCGTCAACAATCTAGGAGGGACGACGGGTGTGCTGCCGGGACTCGGTCCTGATGGAGAGTCCACACACACGCGTTTCCTGGGCAGGCCTTGGGGCTGAAGTTGAGATTGAAGTTGAGGTTGAATATGTGGTTGAGGTTCGACCCTCGGGACAGGGCGTGGCATCTCATCCCTCAACTGGCTATGGCTCCTCTTCCTTGTGGCCGGATGAAGCGCGACAAGTGGTACTGGGGCAGGCGCGCCATCGGGCTCATCCTCATACTCAGAGCCCTCCTCTAGAGAGTCATATTCTGAATCGTACTGTGACCATATCAGCAACTGCGCACCTCTACGGCCTGCAAAGATAAGGCGGTCGGGCTCATACGTCGTCGGACCCTTCGGTCTCATCTGATTTCTCCTGGCTCTTCACCAAGGCCAGGACCTTCGCAAGGGCGGCGATCTCCATCTTCTCGTCATCCTCGATGATTTCCTGGATGATGATGTTCTGGATGAATTGCTGGCCTAGTTGGTCCATGCTGGCGCCGCGGGTGGTCGTGGGATGTGGTGGTGAGGATTCGCAGGCGGTGGTCGGATTACGATCTCGTTCGGCTGGTGGTCGCATGCTGGCCGCTGGGGCCGCCAGATTTTCCCCCCAACGCCGAGGGCCCAGGCCTCGCAGGACTCGGCGACTCGACTCGCCAAGTGGCAAGTGGGGGCGGCAAATCGCCCACCGCGGAACGCCTTTTCCACCACCCAACTTATTTTCTCTGACGCCGGAACGGAATTAGGAATGTTGGGTCCTTTATCGCTTTGCCCGTATGGTCCTTTCTAATAATTTTCCCGGTGCATCTGACTTTACCCGGAAGTGCTCTTATCGTATCTAGCATGAGTTGACGATAAGTACAAAGTACGGACAAGAATTGCCGTCCGTACAGCCGGAAAAGCGACTTTCACCAAGTCCGTCCTAAGCATAGGGCCTGTGCGTCAAACCCCTACACAGTACTACCATTAATACATACCTATCTTTCAATGAGGGTATGTAGGTATACGTCTTGTGCGGTTAAATGCAGTTTGAATGCCGAATGTTGTCCTGGTGTTAGTCGTAGTCAGGTTGAGTGCGTACGTTAATTGTATGAACAAATAATTTCTGTCCAAAGAGCAACATTCATCAGGCTGATGTTACTTGACCATGACTAGTTATCCGTTGTTTTACATGATGCAGCCGAGTCAAACCGAGCCTTGCGCCCGGAAAATAAGCTAAACGCTCTAACATGGGCAACCCCGGCACAGCTTTAAGCTTGTTGACGACAAAAAGCTCGAAATGGCGCAGAACAACCACAACAAGCGCGCAAGTGAGTCGCTGAAGACCTTGCACAGACATTCTCTCTGATCATCGCGCCTCGGTTAGTCCATAAGACGAAAGCCGGTGGATTTTGCCGCCCATGAAAGGTCCAGTCGCAGGAGCGGCCCCCATGTATTAAGATTAAGGGCAGTCTTGGCGGCCGGGGCCACGATCCTAGATGCCGCACTCTTGTCTGTAATCGGCCCAGTCGGTCGTCTCACCAGCCCTACGATGCCCAATACTCGACGGCTTTGCTGATTCTCAGCTGGAATTCCCACTCACACGTCGATGCGGCCAGGGGCAAGTGTTGCATCGCCGGGTAGCTCTAGTAGCATCCGGCTCTCACCAGTGCGGTCATCTACAATCAAAATGAGGTCCTTCCAGCCATAAACATCGATGCCCCTGCCTCGCGATAATTCCCGGGCTCTTCACTCTGCATTTTGCCATTCCCTTGCTTCTTCTCTTCCTCTTCCTCCATTTATTCAACCATTCATTCATTTTTACTACCAGTTTCTTGTATTAGCGCAGGCGCCTTCTTTCTCTTCCATCCATCCAGTTCCAATGGCGAATGCGAACGCGAAGGAGCTGATCGCCTCGATCCCCGAGTGCGTAAGTGGCTGCTTTCAAAATGGAGTCGCTGCAACGGGTTGCGATACGGATGACTATGACTGCTACTGTTACGCGAACAACCACCAAACTATTGTCGATACCATGTCGGTGTGTTTGGACAACAGGGAGCGAAAGTTGGATGTGAAGTGCACCGACGATGAGATGTTCCGTATGTCCAGTCCCGCTCCCCGATCCAATGACCACAGCTCACAAAAATGTTGTAGAGATGGAAAATAGGTACTGGATGGTCTGCGAGCAGTATTGGGAGCCCACTGGCACTGCTACCGAGCCAGCATCAGCTACAATGACATCAATCACGACCAAGTCCACCACGACCAAGGCCACCTCGACTTCATCACATCTCACTCTCATCACCTCCACTAGTTCCTCCAACCCATCGTCAATCGACCCAGAGTCATCAAGAAGCACCGATACTTCGTCGGATATCAAAACCGAAAACAACGCCGGCGGGCCATCTACTGGAGCTAAGGCCGGAATTTCCATCGGCGTCAGCCTCGCTGGGATCCTGCTCGCCATCTTAATATTTCTATGGATCCGAGAACGAAGGAAGCGCCGTCAATTAGAGGAGAAGTTGGTAGAGGCCAATGAGGCCTCCGTGGTGAGGGGCATGGGCTACATGAATGAGAAGGGGGATATTTATGAGATGGAAGGCGACCGACCCTACATTGAGGAGCTGCGAGGGGATATGAGAACACCCGAACTGAATGGGATGTCAAGCATCAGCCCGATCGAGCAAGCGCCCGGATCACCAAAGAGCGTCTCAGCCACCACGCGCGTGTCATCCGAGTCATCTTCACCACGGTTTTCAAGACCTCCTCCAGCAGTCTTACGACCGGACAGAGTTGCTGGGGTTCTGAGTACAGAGTTGGATTCGACGGGCCGTCCACTTCGAGTTTCAAGTGAGGACGGTGTAGGATCTCCACGAAGGGGGCTTTTATGATTATTACATTTTATTAAGGATGGATATGGGTAACACATGGGAGTTTGGGAACTTGGGAATACCTTGGCTACGGCAAGGCTTCACTTCATTTAGTTGCTCTGCATCAATTGCAGACTCTGCAAACTATATAGCGTGCATACAATCGCAAGCACAAAGACGGGAAGAGTAGTATGACCATATTTAAATGATATATTAAACCCAATGACACCAAATTGAGAAATAACCTTACGTGAGTATCATGTTACTTGGGCTCCAGTCGAACGACAGCGGGATTGAGATGTTTGCAGACTCCGGCACATAGTGCATTGACACTGTGTGGACACTGTCCTCCCGCAGTCCGGCTGGCAGCCAACCATTCACACCCGGGAAATTCCCAAGAATCTCCGAAAGAGCTTCAACCCGAACAACTCTCGCGCGCCGCTGTGATCCATTGGGAGCTGGCCCAGTCCAGCATCGCCTCCCAACCATGTCCGCCGCTCTCCTCCGATCGCGCTCCGCCGTCTCCGGCGCCCGAGCCGCTCCCGCCGTGCGCCCGGCCCTGCCCCGGACCCCCGTCGTCCAGCGCCGTTACAACTCATCCTCGTCATCGACCGGCGACGGAGGCGCCCAGATCAAGTACGCCCTGTATGGCACCGCCGTGGCCGCCGGCCTCTATGCCTCGTTCCTCTATGCGACCGATACCCGCGCCTTCTTCCACCGCTGGGTCGTGCCCCCGGTGCTACGATACGTCTACCCTGATGCCGAGGATGCCCACCACGTTGGCACCTGCGCGCTGAAAGTGCTCCACGACCTCAACCTGCACCCCCGCGAACGCGATACCACCCTCAACTGCCCCGAGTTGTCCGTTTCCGTCTTTGGAACCGATCTTCACAACCCAATTGGCATCTCTGCCGGCCTCGACAAGGATGCCGACATCCCTGATGCGCTGTTTGAATTGGGCGCTGGTGTTGTCGAGGTTGGTGGCTGCACGCCCTTCCCCCAGGCCGGCAACCCGAAGCCTCGCGTGTTCCGAGTGCCCAAGCTCGACGGAATGGTCAACCGATACGGCCTAAACTCCCGTGGCGCTGACGACATGGCCATCCGATTGCGAGACCGGCTCCGAAGATACGCACGATCCCTTGGCCTGACCGAGACCGACGTCCTGAACGGTGAGGCCAACGTGCCGCCAGGCAGTTTGCGGCCCGGCCGCCTACTCGCGGTTCAGATTGCCAAGAACAAAGAGACGGACGAAAAGGACGAGAAGGCTGTGGCTCAGGACTACGTCTACTGCGTCCGACGGCTAGCACGGTATGCCGATGTGCTGGTCGTCAACGTCAGCAGTCCCAACACCCCCGGTCTTCGCGAGCTGCAGGCAACAGAGCCCCTTACCCGATTGTTGAGTGCCGTTGTCGAAGAGGCTGCCAAGACGGACCGAAAGAACCGCCCCAAGGTCATGGTCAAGGTCTCCCCTGACGAGGATGAGGATACCCAGCTGGAGGGTATCGTCCAGGCTGTTCACATGAGCGGTGTTGACGGAGTCATCGTGGGTAACACCACCAAGCGAAGAACCGGCGTGATCCCCGAAGGGATCAAGCTCACTTCCCAAGAGAATGTCAACTTCCAGGAGACTGGTGGATACTCTGGCCCCGCCATGTACAGCAGGACACTCGACCTTGTGGGACGATACCGCAAGATGCTCGACAACTACTCTTTCGAGGCAAACAAAACCGCCGCCCCTGGCGCGCAAAAGGTCATCTTCGCCACGGGAGGCATCACCAATGGCGAGGAGGCGCAGAAGATCCTCAACGCTGGCGCCAGTGTGGCCATGGTGTATACGGGGATGGTGTACGGTGGCGCAGGAACTGTGACGAGGATCAAGCGCGAGTTGAAGGACAAGTCGTAGACACTATTAGACCAGTCATAGCACATTTAACGTTTCTTTGTTGGGATTATTGGCGAGTACATGGGTCGTGTGGTTTTCTTGTGCAATGTGGCCATCACTTTTAAAAGCAAAAGTTCCTTCTAATTGTTAGAGAGCGACACAGCTGAAGGCAGAAAGAAGGGTTTTATAAAATTGATGTTGATTCTATCTAAAATCCAACCAAACTTAAACAACTGAAAGAATCTTCCCCTAAATGACACGGCAAGATGCAGTCCTCCAAAACGGATCGTGAGCTACAACATGACGAAAATCTACTTTTTAACAGGGCCAGCGCCATTGGCATTGTTCGCAACGACCTCATTCATCATGATATAAAGAGCCTCTTTAATCGCAACTCGCGCCTTGGTGTGCTCCGGAGGGGTTCTCTTGACAGGTTCCCGAAGAGAGGAATTCTCGTTGATGAACAGTGCATACGCCGCCAGGTTCTCGCACTCTCTCTTGACGAAGTCGCACATTTCTTGGACGAACTTGAGCTCACTGCGTGCTCTGATGATGTCGGCCTCGCGACCCTTGCGAGCATTAGCGCCGTCAGTTTGTAGTTTTGCAAGTTCTCCTTCCGCTTGAGCCTTTCGCAACTCTAACATATTCGTCTTCGTTGCATGTTCATTCAGTTTCTTCTCATACTCTCCCTTGCGGCATTCATTTTCCATCGTAGATCTCGCCAAGTGCATGTCAAACTGCTCTTTTTGCAACTCCACTCGCCTTTCAAGGTTCATCGCTTTCTCCTTCCAATACGCAGCTTCATTGGCCAATTGCAACTTCTCCAGGCGTTCCTTTTCTACCAAGGCTGCCATTGATGAAGGCGCAAGCAATCCCCGTTTAATATCCATTGCAGGCATTGCACGGCCCTGTGGGGGGCCGGCGAGAGGGCTGGTGGTTCTCGGAGTGAAGGAGGCCATAGGGTGACTGCTTTGACGTTGACGTTGCGTGACACTTTTGTGCGCGCCATCACCTCCTGACATGACAATATCCCCTGCACTATCAACGTAGTTTAGAGTTTGGTTGTTGATGTGGGCTTTCTTTTCAAGATCGGACATCGTGGTTATTGGGGTGATCGATTGGTGTGTGCGAATGGTTGTAGTCGAGGTCGTTGAAGGAGAGCGGATTTGGGGTTGACCTGATTTGAAAGGATTTCGAGCTGTGAGTATGGACAAATCTCGTATTTATATACGAAGCATTGATTTCTGTCCCAAAGGTGCCTTTGTAGTATTGGGGACACTGTCAAGTGTAGTAGTGTTCATCTGTGTCAAAGGTGACATGCATTCACCTCACTCACCTCTTCAAAAGGCTCTTTCCTCAAAAGGCCTTTGTTCCACTTAGCATGGTGCTGAAAGATGCTGATAATTATGCGGACGAGTAATAGGCTTGGAGAACCAATGATCAATTTGCTTGAGCCTTTCAACGCGTAGGGAACACAATGCTTTATTCATTGTTGCAGGTGTCTCGACATAACTTGAGGGTTTACTAACAAAGGAAAATGAGCAATGTCCATATCTTATCGCATAGCGGATTAGTTATAGAGGCATCAAGGTGTTAGGCTAGTGTCGGGTCTCTGAAGTGGAAACAAGACGACATTAGGATCGCAACCTCGACGATATTTTCAGACTAGCAGATGCTAACATTTTCATGATTTGGTTGAAGTTGTTCCATTCATACATATACTAAGATACAATCATTTAATCACGCCAACTTTAATAAGTAACCAACCAACCCTTCAAATTCAAGGCTCCGTGTCGACTCAGATGTTGACAAAGAAGTCCTCAAGAAAGAGGGTATCGTCGTCCACAATCAACTGCTCCAAACCTTCATCCGACATGTCTAAATATGAGATCTTTTCAAGATAATCGTCCCTTATCCGGTTCTTCTGGCATTTCAGTACCTTGTCGCGCGCTTTCAACCAGACGGCTTTGTCCACCCACGCCTCAACGGCCGATATACGGAACACGGACTTTAGCAGGTACCTTGCTGAAAGCCGTATTTTTGATGACACCTGTGGGAATTCTTTCATCCCTTGGCTTGTAATGTGGGTCGCGAGAAATCTGCCTTCAACAAAACAAGGCGAGTATACTTCCTCCAAGCCGGGCCCAAAGGTAAGAAGAACAAACATGCGGATCCAAGTTGCATGTTTCCAATTCAGATCAGGCCGCTCATGACATTCGTTGAAAAGTCGATGTTTATCTCCGGTTTCGAGGTATGATTGGTAGATCTTAACAAAGTCCTGGGCGATCTCCCAGTACGTCGCCAAGTCGACTTTGTCAATATAGGTTGTGCAGTAGCTGAAGGCTTCGTGGTATGCGTCGTTTGTCTTGCATTCAAGGACTGCAACGCAATTCTGCAGGACCACCAGCTCTTGTTGCAGATCTTTCATTTCTTTGCGAATCCGATAGGAATCCTCTTTATAGTCGACATTGGCGAGCCATGTGACAATAAGATCTTCCTCCATCTCTTTATTCGGGTTTGGGTGAATCCGTACTCTGCGGTAATCAAGATTAAGTCCGAACCCAATCCCTACCATATTTTCGTAGCGGCGTTTACCTTGACGCCTAGTAATCAGGACTTTTCAAATCACTTCCATAGTTAGAATTTGTCGTGTTAATCAGAGACTTCGTTGTTAAAGTGGGATGGTATGAATCAGGCAATGTTTCGAGGAAGATCAAGATGAGGCCAGCCTGCCATACAGCGAATCCCAATACCTACTTATATCATTTTCGGATTCTTTATTCTTCGCCTTTTGATCATCATAGTGGAGAAAGGGAGACTGTTATCACCATGTACATGAAAACACTCATTGCACAACAAAGGGCTCGAGAAGGAACAATAGCTAGGTATGTGTTTCTTGCAAGAAATGGTAGATGACACTAAAGGACAGGAATTTTATGCGGTTATGTGTTCATCAAAGAACATATCTACCCCTTGCAGACGAGCCCGCGTTGTTCACTCCCCTCTCGGTTTTCAGTTTGAACAACGTCCTGGCCAACCTGCCCTCTCCAACATTAGCGTGATGGCTAAAATCTGGCCCAATGCAAATCGTTCTCTGGGGAAATTCCTAATCACCGAGCGTCCGTCCTTCCTCGAGGATCTAGAAAAGTGTCGTCACTGCGCAGAAACTATAATATTGGATGCTCAATCCGTGTTTCAAAAATGAGAAGATTCACTACTCGAGCGACGATCATTTTGTACCAAAGGAAAGAGTACCAACCGAATATGAAATGCTTGTCAAGTTCATTTACAGCCAGGGCGGTGATTGGTCATTGATATCAGGGACATGAAACCACGTGAAGCTACCTCTACCAAGCCACTCGGTTACCCTACAAACCCCCACCTCCACCTCCAACTCCAACTCCAACGCAACATCACCTCAACACAACCTTGACTTGGCACAATAACATCCTCATCGCTTTATTCCCGACCATGGCGCGTGACTGCTGTGGTCCGCCAGCGCAGCCGCCTGCATCGACCCTGACGCAGGGCGATAAGGCCTCAAGCCAGTGCAGCGACAATTGCTGTGATGGTACTGAGCAAGTCAGCATCAACGACGAGCACGACCAGAAGCCTGATGATTTCAGCAGTGCTTACAAGACTACTCACGCCGCAGAGAGCGATGACAACGCTGTTCCAGACTGTTGCCGCGGAAAACGGGCTCCCTGCTGCGATGTTTCTTGTCTAGACCGCCTGGCCTTGCGTGAATGTGAGACGGGCGACGCTGCAGCTCAAGGCGAAAATACCCCGTGCAGTAAGTCGCTATCATTCGCGTCATATCTCACTGAAGAGGTGTGCTAACGCATCTTCTAGCTACGGGCTGCTGCTCCCAGGCCAGTTCATCCTGCGCTGGGGTGACAGATGGGAAAGCCTGTGGCCAGCATCGTCGCTCCACGCGCGACCGCTACGGTTCAACCCTCGAAGCCATCGGGTGCATATGCCGCGCTCTCTTGGCCCTTGGACTAGAGTCTTGCTGTGAATCCCGACAGCGATCTTCGCTGGAGAAGAAGCGCTGCTCCAAGAACTCATCTACGCGATCTCTCAAACGCGCTTCGATTGATTCGTGCTGCTCCACTGGCTCCGAAGCCAAGAGTCTTACCGCCAAGAAACGGATGCAGCCACGAAATGACCTCGGGCGAAACTCCACGGATAATCTCCAGGGTGATAGCTGCTCCAAATCTTGCTGTTCCAAAGCGGTAACCGACTCGGCGAAGACGCCACCACGACCCAGCTGTGCAAAGTCTTGCTGTGATGAAAAGGACGGCAATAAAAAAACCCCTTCCCCTACTGCCGTATGCCCCGGGTCGTGCTGCAAACCGGCCAAAAGCGACGCGGGCAAAACAGCACCCCCGCCTATCGATCCGGATCCTTGCGGCGAAGCCAAGAAGTCTAGCGCTCTGAAAGCGCCTCCTAACAAGGAATGTTCTGGACCTTGCTGTGGCACTGTGAAGACCGAAGTCATAGAAGCGGTTCCAAAGCCAACCTGTGCCGGATCTTGCTGTGCGGCAAAGCGAGCTGACACCCCGGATCCCTCCTGCTCCGATGGTTGCTGTCCTTCGGACAATCCAATAGCTGGTCTGGCCGAGAAGAACGGTCTGACTGCTGCCATCCAAGATTTGGAGAATCAGGGCATGGGTAATGAACGAGTTGTTCTTAGCATCTCTGGCATGACCTGCACCGGGTGTGAGACAAAGCTGAACAGAACGCTTGCCACAGTGCCCGCTGTCAAGAGTCTGAAAACAAGCTTGGTTCTCTCGAGAGCCGAGTTTAACATAGACCTTCGCCTCAGCTCCGTTGATGAAGTCATCAAGCACCTAGAACGAACAACCGAATTCAAGTGCCAGAGACTCGCCACCAAAGGAACAACCATTGACATCATTGTCCCGCAAAACCCATCCAACTTTGTCAACCAGGAATGGCCAGTTGGAGTCACTGATATTTCCATCATTGAAGGCAACACAGTTCAAATCTCCTTTGACGCAAAAATTGTCGGTGCTCGAGATCTCCTAGAGAAGAGTTGGGACCATTCCATCGAACTCGCACCTCTGCGTGGTGACCCGTCACTTGAGGCCGGCAGCAAGCATGTCCGTCATGTCGGATACACAACCTTTCTCTCAGCAATCCTGACAATCCCTGTTTTGGTCATGGCATGGGCTCCGATACCAGAAAGAGAGGTTGCATATAGTTCTGCCTCCCTTGCGTTGGCTACCATCGTTCAGACCGTCATCGCAGGCCCGTTCTACCCGAAGGCTTTGAAGGCGCTCGTCTTTTCCAGGGTCATCGAGATGGATCTCTTGATTGTCTTGAGTACCAGCGCAGCGTACATCTTCTCGGTGGTTTCATACGGATATCTGATGGCTAAAAAGCCACTCTCGACCGGGCAATTCTTCGAGACAAGTACCCTCTTGGTTACCCTTATCATGGTCGGTCGCTACGTTGCAGCTCTTGCCCGTCAAAGAGCCGTGGAATCCATTTCGATCCAGTCCCTGCAATCTTCGACTGCTATTCTCGTGGATGAAGGCAACGGCCCCGACCAAGAGATTGATTCCCGACTCCTACAATATGGTGACGTTTTCAAGGTTCTGCCAGACACCAGGATCCCGACTGATGGCACTGTCATCACGGGATCCTCAGACGTCGATGAGTCTATGCTCACTGGTGAATCCAGACCTGTTGAGAAGCATCCCAAGTCAGTTGTGATTGCTGGGTCGATCAATGGGCCAGGCCTGTTGGTGGTTCGTCTCACTCGCCTTCCCAGCGACAACACCATCAATGCCATTGCGGCCATGGTCGACGAAGCCAAGCTATCAAAGCCTAAAATCCAGGACCTGGCAGATCAGGTAGCATCTTACTTTGTTCCAGTTGTGGTTATTTTGACCATCCTCACCTTTTCCGTCTGGATCGCAATCGGCGTGGCTGTTCGGAACCAAAGCGGATCCCAGGCGACGGTTCAGGCCATCACCTACGCGATTACTGTGCTCATTGTTTCTTGCCCTTGCGCGATTGGGCTTGCGGTCCCGATGGTCATTGTAATTGCCAGCGGCGTAGCAGCAGAACGAGGTGTCATCTTCAAGTCTGCAGATGCGATCGAGGTTGCCTACAAGGCCTCGCATGTGGTTTTTGACAAGACGGGGACTTTGACCCGGGGTAAACTCGCCGTGGCTGTGGAGCACCATGTCGCGGATTCCGAATCCTCATTGTCGCTGCTTCTGGGTTTGATTGGAGACAGTCGACACCCAGTGTCTGTCGCTGTTGCAACACACCTGAAGGGCAAGGGAATACTCGCGTCGACTGTGTCTGAGCCCAAGAGCCTGACAGGTCGGGGTATCGAAACTACAGCAGCGGGCCAAAACTTAAGAGCCGGTAACTCTCGTTGGCTAAATCTCTCCTCGCATGCCGTTGTTCAATCGATGCTTGCACAACGTTATACCGTCTTCTGCTTCACGATCAACGATGCTCTAACAGCGGTCTATGGCCTCGAAGATGACCTCCGAGCCGATGCTGCCGAAACAGTCACGGCTCTACAAAATCACGGCATCTCCGTCCATGTGGTGTCTGGTGATGACGATGGTGCTGTTCAAAGCGTGGCTGTGAAGCTTGGAATTCCTGATGAAAACGTCCGAGCCCGGAGCTCCCCTGCAGATAAGAGGGACTACATCCAGACTCTCCTCGGTGATTTGAAAAATAGCAAGAAGCCAGTGGTCATATTCTGTGGTGATGGAACCAACGACGCTGTCGCGCTCGCCCAGGCCACGATCGGCGTCCACATCAACGAAGGCACCGACGTCGCACAGTCAGCTGCAGACGTCGTGCTCATGCGGCCTGCTGTATCGGGGATTCTCACCATGATGAGTGCGAGCAAGGCATCGGTCAACCGCATCAAATTCAACTTCGCATGGAGCTTCGTCTACAACGTTTTCGCTATCCTCTTGGCCGCGGGAGCATTTGTCAATGCGAGAATTCCCCCGGAGTTTGCAGGGCTCGGCGAATTGGTGAGCGTGCTGCCAGTCATCGCAGCCGCGGTGCTTCTGCGTTGGACCAAGTTCTAAAGAAAGCACCATCAGCAAAGAGGGCTATAGGGTGGATTCCTAGAGCTCACTTCCATTTCGGATCAAGCTCATGGTGTCTTGATTTCTGAAACCGTTTCGTTCATCCACTGCACCCTTCCACTTGCTATTTGCACAAGCTGCGTTTCTGTCGTTACCTCAGATCCGTACTCCGGGCTATCTATGGCTTCGTTATAACGCCCCATTTACATTCTCTTGCTCGTCATATATTTTGCATTAGGTCTTTCACATTGTGAAAAATTGAAAAAGCAATGACGTCCCACAAAATTAGATTTTTCTCGCAGTTTGCAAATGTGAAGTAATTCTAGCCTAATGCGACGTTTCAGACTACTCTCATCCTTATGAACCCCAATATACTCCATTGTCCTGGAGAATATGAGGCAGAGGATGACTAGGATCTCAAGTACACGACAGACAGGTTGCGGATGAAAGGATGAAACGTTAGTCATTCGATCCATTAGTTGATGTTGTACAATGATATAGCTCAAGCAAGCTTGTCTACCCTGTATCTCAGTATTATTGCTCCCAACCGCATGTATTAAAGTCCAAACCCTATCGCCCCTAATCCTGACCCAACGCCAAATTATTAGTACAAAAAGTCAATCGAGATGCCGTGTCTTAGCAGTAATGGTTAAGGCGTTATCGAAACAGCTCAGTCAACCATAGCCAGCCGCAAAATACGGGAACCAGCGCAAGCAAGATCCACCAGAGCTCGACAGTCAACTTGACTTGTAGCCATCGAGGTAATCGCCTGCTAATGGCGGAACGGTGAGAGCACAGCCTCGTGCCGTAGACGAGACAACCGAGACCTGGCCGAGATTCACACTCAAAGTGCTCGCGACGTCGTTGCATAAGTAGACTGTCAACCGTAGTTAGCTTGGCTCCTCGGAAGGGAACGGGGTTCGAGCAAATCACTTACGGAACACTGCCTCGACAGAAGCGAAGGTCGCTCCTCAGGTCGCATCGCCGGTCATTGGGGCATTCGAGATGGAGACTCCGGCGCTCCACGAGCCACTCGACTTTGAGGTTGACGCCCGTGTCGACGAGCGAGTAGAGGTGGGCGTTGGTGTGTTTCAGGGACAGAGCGTCAGGGTAGATGAGCATCTTGGAGATGGCGAGATGGATCTCGGTGGGGAGAGACATGAAGGTGAGGCGAGACGGCTCTTCCTCGATTGTACTGAGGGCCGAGATGGCTCCGGGCTTGTCCACGCCGGAGCCGGGGGTGGGGCGGCGCGAGCGGAGAAAGGAAGCCATCGGGGCGCGGGCCGGAGCTTGGAAGAGTGGGAGCTTGGCTGTTGGTTGAGCGGGAGTCTCGGAGGCGCAGGCGGAGGCGGAGGCGGAGGTGGAGGTGGAGGCGAAAGTAACGACTGAGGAGGTATCAGAATTGAACTGGATCATGCATCACGGAGCGGCTCGAGAAAGCTTTGTATTCGGTTGCTGCCTTGGAGACGCCGTGTTTGGCAGGACGCGGCAGACTAGGATACAATCCGGCCAGCGTGGTGGCGGGTCAGGCAGCCAAGCCACATTGCGGTGCAGTCCTAGCGAGTTTCAGGGGAGCTAAGCTACCAGAGCTAGGTACCAGAGCTACAGAGAGGCGGCGCGGCGCTGGCGGCTGGCAAGGCATTTTCTAGGACTCGTTTGCGAGTCATCTGGTCCGCCAAGAGGGCATCTGCAAAAGGCGTCGGTAATCTCAGTGTTGAAACCGACGACGAATCTGACGAGATGTTCGGATTCGTCCATGGTAGGACTGGTCGTCCTGGTTCGGATTGCCCTGCATGCGCCAGTACGCTCAGGGCACTCCGTCCCGCATCCGGAGTCCTCCAGACCAACCATCCACTGAGACATGCCCGGATTTGACACAGCTGCCCTTGTGCTTTGTTTTTCAGGCACAGCTGTTTCTTGCTTATTCGGCTGCACCTGCTGACCACTATTCTGGTTAGTATCTATTTTAGGAGCACGGCGTAGTTCATGTTTTGGTGCCTGTTGGAGTCATCCTTTACCAGGGCAAACCGGGTGCCTAAAATTGGAATTCATAGACCATAGGCTTATACTTATTAACAAGTTCGACTTGATAAAGAAATGAATAAAAGGTATAAGAGAATGAACAATAAGAATTAGTGTTTAAAATAATTTATTAGTAATAGATAATTATTAGCACGATGGAAGCATGTAGTTATGTGTGCGAGTGCCAGATACACCAGTGTGTGAAACGACTGGTGCCTGGAACTTGGAATGCCTGCTACGGCGCTGCCACGTGACTCCGCGACTTGCTCGCGCGTCATTGCCATCCACTCGACACGCCAGACTTCCCCTCCCCCCTCCGTTGTCATGCATCCTGGCCTTGCTCCTCATGGCTGTCACAATGCCAGATAGCGACAGCGATTTTGGATATGACTTCTCCGTTGAAGAGGAAGAGTTGCTCGCCCAGTTAGCTTCCGCTAATCCCACAGCCCCGCGCCAACAATCGCCACCCCAAGATGCGAAGCTGGCCGTGATAGACTCGGTTCCTGGAAGATCAGATAAGTTCGTCACCAGACATGGCACAGCAGAGCCTCAGGATCTTCCAGCATTGGATCGGGAAAGCCCTCAACCGAGATATGAACAGGCACCAGCAACTTTTGCTCCCGCTTCGTCAGAAATCCAGCCCGGCAAGGCTGTTTGGTACCCGGATCGTATGTAGTGACCTTGCGAGAGGACTTCATCAGACTAACTGACCCAAAGCGCTTAGTGAAAGGTGAACTGTCGATACTCGAGACTGATTCGCGGCGTACTGTTCACGAGGAGTCAGGGCGCGACACCTTCGATGAGTCGTTTGACAACTACCGCTCTCCATTGCAACGGTTCCGCTCGTATCCCAGAAAGCCGTTGACAGTTTCCGATCTCAACGCAGGGGCATGGTGCGAGCTCCAGTATTGGTACACGTTAACGAGACTACCTGGTGGTCGGAGGACAAGGACGGTGGCAATGCGACAGGGCACCAAGGTCCATCAAAAGCTCGAAGACGAAGTCCACACTACCGTCAAGATCGATATCACGAGTAAAGAGGATGGGTTTGGTTTGAAGCTCTGGAACTTGGTTCAGGGACTGAGGACCCTGCGGGACACGGGTTTGACAAGAGAGTTAGAGGTCTGGGGGATGGTTGATGGCAACCTGGTGAATGGCATCATCGACGGTGTCAGCTACGAAAACCCGAATCCCGAATTCCAAGAGGAACTTTCTAGTCAGGAGTCCCAAGGAAATTTTCGACAAGCATCACTGACGGATTACTTTCCACCAACGCAATCGGCACAAGCGCAGCACCCAGGGCCAAAGATTTACCTCACCGACGTCAAGACTCGTGGGTCTCTCGCTCCCGTGAGTAACGCCCAGCTTCGACCTGCAAAGATTCAGCTTCTTCTGTATCATCGATTTTTGTCAGGCATGGCTGCGGGGGAATTAGACTTTCTCAAAGTGTTTCGACGTTATGGTTTGGACCCCGACGAACCATTCTCTGATGGATTCATCGCACAAGTGGGCAGTTTACACGATGAAATATTTTTCGACGCCCCTTCAAGCTCAGAAGCAGGCCCTGCAACGCCGGACTCCACTTCAGGGAGTGCAAAACCGACAGAGCCCGACCTTCTCAAGTACCGAACACTGAGAGAACTTCTCCCGCTAGTACAGGAAGAGTTGGCAGCCACGTTTCCCCACGGAGAGAATTCACTGGGGCACATGCTTAGAGTTCAGTACGTCCATCGAAGCGATGGCCGGGAGATCGACCAACACGACTTCCCAGTATCTCGTCAGGCATTGGACGCCTACTTGTCAAAGTATATGTCATGGTGGCGCGGGGAAAGAAAGGCAACAGGCGTCGACATTGAGGAAGCCTTCAAGTGTCGGACATGTGAATTTGTCTCAGACTGCTCGTGGCGTCAGGCCCTGGACGACGAACGGTTGCGGAAAGCCCAGCAAAGGGTGCGGTCAAAGCGGCGCGATTGATTAGTTTTCGCTAAAGGACGAATTAAGATGCACAGTCAAGGCGTCAGAGGGACACATTCCCCAAGGTTTAATGATGGGGTATGACGTGTCTAAGCGACTGGCGACAGGGCCGTATCAGTTCAATCAGATGCATGTCGGCAATAGGTATTACTGCTTCTCGTCCTGGCCAAGTATGCACGTTGGCCCGTCAAGTCAGCGAAGTGCATATGCTGTGTGACGGACGCCGCCATCCAGTGCGGTCGCTTCGCATTTGCAGAAGATGACGATACCTCCTCGTGTTGGTTTGAGCGGCTAGAACCCACGGCTTCATTGTACGCAGCCTATTGGGAGTTCGGAATTCCATCCCGCCCCCATCCCACCCATTCCTTCTGGGACCAGGATGCCTGACCGACAGCTTCCTCAGCGGCCAGATAAGCGATTTGATGTCTCTCCGCTGCTTATACAGGGTCTTCGGCGAACTCTGACAGGGTCTATCGGGACCTGATCTCGTCTTTACGGACCGACTAGCATTTGGACCCTGGGCTAACAGGACACCTAGCGCCTGACTAAACATACTGCTCTGCATGTCGGTAACACCGGCTGCTGACTACGACCCAGCCATCAAGGGAGCTCTCCACTCGGCCTCTTGCACAGGGTTGCGCTTGATCCACGGATCCGAAGCAGCTGCATAGACCCCGCCAAACGTATGGCGTTGCGAGGCGTTGCGCGGCGTTGCGCCAAACCTGTCCGTCTGCATGGACACTTGAGGGGGTGGCGATCGGCACCGCGAGTTGCCCATTGCAAATGTACACCCTTTCCACCAGTAAAACCCCATCCTACCCTTTCAGCCGGCGGCCGCTCCATTATCAAGCCGCTTGTGGCACGCTCCTCCCTATCAGAGTTATCGGAGCAGGCAGGGGGCCGGACCACGACGACGGGCTGCTGGCACGAACAAATCATCGGGATGCCGTCGGTGGTAGTTGTCACTCGTCGTACACCCGAACGCCACTGCGCCCATGGGACGAGCCATGCAGCAGCTGAATGCCACCGGTCAGAGGTCACTGTCGTATCGAGGCCTATGAACGGCCTGGGGCACGGCTGTCAACTCCATGTGAGATATCGTGGCCGTTGTAGGTGGGTGCTCCGCTAGCCTGGAAGCTTGTCTGCATTAGCCTCCCAACGGTTAGGCCAAGCCAGCACCCCGAAGGATTGGTTGTGCAGGGTTCCGTCCAACGGGGTATTTTCAAGCTCCAAGCTCCAAGGTTTCACTCACACAACCCTGGGGCGGAAGAGTGCATGAGCTGGGAGAGGGAGGGAGTGCCGGCCCAAAACCCAAGAGCCCAAGAGTTGACTCCCCCCACAGTCTGACCTAGAAGTGACCTAGGTGGAGGGCGCCGCACGTGCAAGACGGTAGCCCTCTCGCCAGAGGCAGGGATAGCTTATGGCGTAGCCTATGGCTGCTTCGCGTCCATGGCCCAGTCGGCTCTGAACGGCCGAGGCGACGGGCGCCGACTTGCTGACCCAATCGACGCTTGCTGCACGCCAGGCTCTATCTCCGAATGAGAGGGATGCCTCAGTCAAGATCCACCAAACAAGTGTGGTTTCGTGATAATTAAGTAATCCTTGTTGCAGAGACTCTCAGGTACATAAGATGATGACATTCACCAGTTCCGCACCTCAGGTGCCTGGTGGTCACTGATGACAGCGGGATGTTTATCGGCTCGAATTTGTGAACTGGCAAGATGTCGAGCGATGTGATCAACTTCAACAAGCCGTGCAGCGCCTGTCGCCGCCGCAAGGTTCGGTGCGACAAAGCTCAGCCATGCAACAACTGTATCCGCCACCGGGTTTCCTGCGTCTATGAAGCGCCGCGGGAGTCCGTCATGAGCCAGCAGGTGCTCCAAGACCGAGTGGAAAGGCTGGAACGCCTGGTGGAAGACTTGACGGCCTTTTCGCTCTCCAATCATGGATCCCAGCACGTTCGAAGGAATTCGTCGTCTGCGACCAGCCCATTTAGCAGCTTCGACGACTACTCGGATATCCCCGCCGACGCGGGGAACCAAGTTTTCGGCCCCGGAAACTCATATCATATGGGGCCCGATTCTTGGATGAATATGGACCATCTCGGCTACTCACCACATCACCTTCTGAATATGTGTTCTGAAGACGACGCCGAGCAACGATCCACCTGGACAATGTCCCTGTCGCACCCACGGCCCAAGGACATGTCTCATTTCCACCTTCCTGTTTACAAGGAGGATGTCATGATTCACATGTTTTTTGACCACGTCGAACCCTTTATTCGTATCAATCACCAGGGCTATTTTTGGCAGCTGGTCGGCGAGTTCCGCGCTGGAACCTGTGTCTCTGGCCGAGAGGTCGAGTCGCTCATGTTCGCCACGCAATATATCACCGCGTCAGTGCTTCCAGCGGCTCTCATCCAGGAAAAGCTGGGCCTTGTGAAATCGGATTTGATCGACCACCTCCAGAGAGCGACGGAATTTACTTTCGACCAAGCAAATATCATGAGAAGCCGAAGTACAGTGTTGTTCAACGCTCTTCTGTATTACATTGTGAGTTCTATCACCCCCTCTACCGTATTGTCACTAACAAATATCTCAGACTTGCCAGTTTCATACTGGAAACTGCGAAGCAGGTTCCACCCTCCTTGGCCTTGCCAGCAGCATTGCCAGGCGGATCGGTATGCACCGAGACCCAGCTTATTACGGCTACACAGCATGGTGCGTCGAGATGAGACGCCGGATGTGGGGCCACCTCGCCGCCCTCGATGCACAGGCTTGCAACGCAGACGGGTCCGAGTCGGTTTTGATGTCGCTGAGCGATGTCCAGCGTCCTCTCAATGTAAATGACTCCGAGTGGAAAACCTCTGCGCGAGGGGATCCTGGACCAAGGGATCGGGAAGGGTTTAGCGATGCTGCCGCGGCCCTGATTAGGAGAGAGATCTCCCGGGCTGCTCACAACATCTCCGAGGCTCGAAAAACAGCCACAAACTGCTACGATCTGGTGGCTATCATTGAAGAGACGACAAAATACGTCCAGCTCAAGTTTCTGCACCATTTCGACGGTTCGGATCCGGTGCACCATGTTATGACGAAATGGTACAACGCCATGATCAAGTCGTTGACCGTTTCGGTTCTATACCTGCATGCATCGCCGTCACGACCAAAGCTTCATTGTCATTTATTCGAGCAACTGCAGAACCGGTAAGTGAATGCTCGCGAGGACGTCAAATTTGTTTACTAACATCCGCAGGCTTTACGATGACTGCCTTGCCTGTCTGGAGGAATTTTCGCAGGGAGAAAAGGCCGCGACCGAGTATCACTGGCAGTGGGCCTTCCGATGGCCAATGCCACTTCATGTCGTCGCTGGACTTCTCTCTGGTCTGTCCCGCCTGCCTGAGCATCGAGATACCGACCGGGCATGGGAGCAGATCGACGCTGCTTTCCAACGGTATAACAACGATGAGGTATCGATGGCAAAGGTACCCGCGTGGCACTCGATCGAGACGCTGTGCGACCAGGCGATGCTTCAGCACCCTAATCAAAAACACGAGGGTCGTTCATATATTAAGCGCATGCACACGGCGAGGCCGGTTGCAGGCGCAGAAATGCACAAGATGTCAGGGATGCCTTGCGGGGGGGTCTATGGTATCGAGATGTACGACCAGAGCCTTCGGAAGCATGGTTTAGACGAGATGGCTTCAGCCGAAGCGACGATTAGCATGGGATTTTCGGATAGCGATATTGACGCCGTGTTTTTTAATGTGAATGGGGAGGATGAGTATTTGTCTATTGATATCTGATCGGTCTGGGCGGGCGCAAAAGTTTAGGAGGTATACATGCGTCGAATTAGAAGTTAATGTCAAGCTTCCGCCGTCCTTGCAAGTCAAGTTCAGTATTGTTTACGCAATACGCCACCACCATATTATCTGAACAGAGGTATCTGCTGGCACTGTGTGGTACTAAATTCGTGCGCTCATTGTTTACTACTATTATGTTCCTTTGGTGTATTTGATGACATTAAGTTAGGCTAGAAAAAACCAAAATTGTTTTATGTGAAGATGCTTAATGCTTCCTGTGTCGGTGCGTGCGGGTCATGCCGAAGCCCCAACCATCTGCAAAAGTTAGCACGCGCTCGTGTAAGCCATCAGATTCATTGCACTTACATTGTGCCGGAACGTGGATGTCGATCTCAAGCTCGTCGGCCCAGTGCCAAACCAAGTTCGGGTCCCTGAGGAACTCTCGGCCGACCAAGACGGCATCAACGGAGCCGTCGTCTAGATACCCTGACGCTTGCTTCCCTGATGTAATGTTGCCAACAGCGCTGACAAAGGTGGGTGTTCCTGCGACGGCTTTCTTAACGGCAGCGGCATAGGGGACTTGGTATCCGGGACCAGGGGCAATCTGCTGTCTGTGGTCGAGGCCACCGCCAGAGATGTCCAGAAAGTCGACTCCCTTATCAGAGAGGATCTTGGCTAGCTTTCCGGCCTCTTCAATGTGCCACTGAGGCAGCGAGGGGTCGAAGTCGAGATAGTCGGTGCCGGGCATGCGGACCAAGAGGGGGAAGTCGGCCGGGACGATCTGGCGAGTGAGCTCGACGACTTCAACTAGGAGCCGGGTGCGGTTCTCAAACGAGCCGCCGTACTCGTCAGTGCGCTGGTTGGATGCCGGAGAGAGGAACGAGTTCAGGAGGTAGCCGTGGGCGGCATGGACTTCGATGGCCTATGCGGATCAGAACTCGTCGACTTTTCCTTTCTTGGTGTGAGAGCTTACATCGAATCCGACTTGAAGGGCCCTCTTCACGGCCGCAACCCAATCCTGCTTAAACTTGTTGATGTCATCCTTGGTCATCTCCCTAGGGACGAGAGTTTCGGGACCGAAGGGGATGGCGCTCGGTGCAACCACTTTATCAGGCCAACCATCGGCCTACGAGTTATCTTGTTAGCTTTGCTGACTCAACTGTATCCGATCGAAGAGCCTCCTCACCTCCTTGACGGCAACGGCCTTGCGGTCCAGCCAGGGCGCAACAGTGCTCGCCTTGCGTCCGGCGTGGCCCATCTGGATCGCCATGCGGCTGTTCTGGCTGTGGGCAAAGTCGACAATCTCCTTGAGCGGGGCCATCTGGCCGTCCTCCCAGATGCCGGCGTCCTGCGGACTGATGCGGCCCTCGGGCGACACGGCGTGGACCTCGGTGATAACCAGGGCGGGGCCGCGCGCCGTAAAGCTGCCGAGATGCTGTCTGTGCCACGGGGTTACGTAGCCGTTCTTGGCCGAGTACCTGGGGAAGTGTCAGTGGAGACTGGAGTATCGGGGTTGACGTCGACGGGGCACGCACTGGCACATGGGAGAGACGATGATTCGGTTGCGCAGGGTCAAGCCCCTGAGTTTCAGAGGAGAGAAGATGGTGCCCTCCGGCTGGACATCCCACGGCGTCCCGGCGGGGGGATCTTGGACGGGCGTGTAGAAGGGAACCTGTGGAGCAGGAGTGTTAGCTTGCGAGCATGTCACTTGTGGGTTTGGCCGTGACAAACATCTTTGGCGGCGGTGTTGATAATGACTTTGTCATTTTCGTGGTTGGAGGTCTGAGCCATGGTTGGAAGGGTGTAGATTGTCGGTGGGACTGTCGAATTGTGCTTTGGTATTGACGCCAGAAGTGAAGCTAAAGTATTGATGTTCTCTAGGTTTGTCTCCGGGAAGAGCGAAGGGTCGTCTTATATACGACCTCTACTGGATCACGATCATGCGATGCCTCTCTGCACCACCCACCAAAACGTGGTTGAGTTCTACAGCGATGTCTCAAACGCATCTAGCTCGGTGTTACACGGCATTCGGTCTCCCAACATACTACGTCAACAGTGCTGCGCTCGCCGAACCCTCGCCGGCTATCCGCCCGCCTGAACCGGGAATATCTTTGGGATGCGCCCAGCTCACTTGATCGGCGCCGCCATGAGTAGTAAGCCAGATTGGCGCCGCCACACCGGACGACACGGCAGCTGCGCGTGTGGCCTGAGGCGAGGACGCGAGGGCCGAAGACGCGAGCTTTTGCATGTCGACGGGAATAAGCCGCCGTGGGGGAGTAGAAATGTGACGTTGGCGGTGCGGGAGAATCGGCAGGGCTGCGCTACCCTTGGACACTAACTTAACTGGAAGCCACCCGTAAATGGGCATATACCGGCAATTGGGGGCTTCTGGAACGCCCAAATCCCTGGATTCTCGAAGGCGGTCGGCCGAACGTGCATATGGTGTTCTGGCGTGCTTTTTTCTCGCTGTTGAAGAGCGTCTACGTCACGGTGCGTTGGACGACCAAGAAGTGGCGCCAGGACGAGCTGCCGGTTTATCCAGCTTGGCAGAACTCTCCCCTGCGCTTTTTAGGCCGTGGATGCAGTAAATTGCGGTAGATATCGGCCAGATACCTGAGCATATTTTGAGTTTTCCTTGGCTACGAGCTACTGTCGAGAGATTATGCGGCGTGCAGGGTCTGTATGCAGGTTTCGTTTATCTCCGAGATGATCTCATCCAACTATTCTAGGAATCCTTCTGGAATGTGTCAGGCGCTAGCTGGGTAGCCTTCAGGCCTACAATCGCCCTTCAGGCCTGCGTCGGGCTTCGTTGCATGAATCCAACTCGACTGCATGCATCTTTTCTCTTTGCTCTTTGCTCCCAGTTAAGCACCAGAAAGCCACAGGCAAGGATTCTATGCAACCATGACTACAGCATTCACGTTGAGACTTTGGGAAGCACCATAATTGGTCAACATAAGCCCGCATGTGTGAGGTCTATCTCACGGGTTCACTCTGGGCTCACTGCAGGCACTGGTCGAGTTTCAACTCGTATTTCTCAACTACCAAGTATCATCCCCTTCACGCACCATAAACATCAGCCAGAGTGAATCCAAGTGGAATCCTACCAAATTAACTCTTCCCAGCTGTGTCAGCAGCTTTGCCCACTACACTGTGTGCACGAGATTTCCAGCTGTATTGTTGCGGCTGCAAGCAATCTGTGTAGTTCCAACCGTGCGATGAACGGCTGGGGACCGGCATGCGATGTGACCCCTTCCCTTCGGTCCAACTCCCAAACGCCGCTCACATGTGCTTCAACCTCATGGTAACGCCGGAAAAACAGGAGATGCGTCGATAGACCACGGGACGGTGCCACAATGTTCTTTGGCCGCCTTGGAGCGTAGTCGAGTTGTCGGTGCTGCTCAAGGATGCTCTGAGACGCGTTGATGTACTAAGGCCGAGGCAGTAAGGGGTTCCGCCATGGACCTGTGTGAACCCGGTGGCCGTCTTGGATCCTCCGAAACGTCCCAGGCTGTATCACCTGATAGTCTTTCCGTAACGTCTCAGCTGAGTATTGCCTCCAGACTCTGTACCAATTATTTAATCTCAACATAATACCGTACATGCTACATTGGAGCTCGTGAGATGATCTGTCCAGCCATGGGATAGAGACTACCGCCACGTACCGCAGCGGGCTCATATAGGTGCCAGGTTCGTCGGGGCCAAAGAGATCTTCCCGCCAACAATGATATTGTAACATTCCCGCAAGTTTATCTTCGTAGTCCGTACGCCTCTCCTTCTTTCTTGCGAAACGGAGCATTTCTTCCTCTGAACCGTAGAATGCGACGCCGATCTGAAATGCAGACTCCTAGTCAAGCAAAGCTGTTGTGGCGGTGACCTCCTTTGAGTGTTGTGAGTAAATTCCCGGGATGGGGGTCATACGCGGAACGTCCTCGAGCAGGTGTGGATCGAGACCAAACCGTCGAGCAGCATGGCTGGGCTCCAGTGGCAGGAAGATTCTCTTGCTTAACACACAAGCGAAGCAGGCCCTTTTACAGGTGAGAAGAAAGAGATAGCCGGCAAAATTACTGCACGTCTCGCACTTCCAGGTGCATAACTTCTGATAGAGAAGGCGATAGCTCATGTAATGGCCCGTTCCAATGCTCAAAGCACCGCGGACTGCCTGATGTGCATACCGAGTGACCTCCTTGTATACGGTGAGTGATTCCACCACCTCCAATGCTCGTCTGTTGAGGCACCGAAAGTTGTTCAGCTCGTGCAAGTCAAGGTCGGGGAGTATTAGATAGAGAAGGTCAAAAGGCAAAACTTGAAGGGCGCCGAGATGTGCTGTTGGTGGATGGCGAATACGTTCAGCGTTTTCTGGGACAGGCGGCAGTTTCTCATCGAGCATGTGATAGTTGAACTCGTCCCTCGCCGTGAGGCGCGCCCCGAGGGGCGTCGGGACTTTCTCTAAAAAGAGTTCTGTTGCCATGTTGAAGTACGTCGCTGGTTGGGATGAGGATGTAGATTTGTAAAAGGTAAGTAGGCAAGTGTCAGTTTGGATGACTTGGTATAAGTGTGGATGACTTGGTGTAAGTGTAGATAGTTTGGTGTAGGCGTGGATGACTTGGTGTAGTTATAGTTATAGGTTAATTGGTGTAGGCAACTTGACGAAGGTGAATCTGTGAGGCTGATTGAGTGGGTGATTTAGCGAAAGTGATTAGGTGTAGGTCAAATGGTATATGTGAATTGGTGTAGTTGATCTGGTGAGGGCAACTTGATGAAGGTGATTTGGTGGGGGTCAGTTGGTATATGTGAATAGTTGTAGGTGATCTGGTGAGAGTAACTCGGTGACGGTGATTTGGTGTAGGTTACTTGGCATATTTCTCTCGCCCCAGCTTCACTTGATACCATCAAATAGATAAAAGCCGTGCAGTATTTACAAACAATAGGAGCAATCTAGCACTACGGCCAGTAACAGAAGAGACAATAACTTGAGTAAGGTTGTTCCACACTGGCCATTGCCTGAAGTTTTCAACTCAGCCCTTCTGTCTTCAACCTTACTAATTGCAGACAATAATATTGCCACTGTAGAATAAGGACCGTGATGTCTTTAGGCAATAAGTAGGTTACTTGGTATAGGTGATTGGGTGTTGGTGACTTGGTGTACCCTGTTGAGTTTCACTGGGGTGGGTCTGCCGCCTACGGACTGCCTAACGCCGAGAGCAACAGAAACAACCTGAGTGAATCATCTTCCCCCATTCCACCTCCATCTACACCAAACGCGAAACGTGTGCAAAACCGGACATGCAGAGGTTCCGCGGGTTTGCTGCCGATGCCGGCTCCGACGACGGTTTAGACGAGGAAGAAGATGTGCCCCTCCACCACAAACGGGCTTTCGGCGCCGGCCTGAAGCGCAAACGGGTCGAGTTCGTCCCCGCCAAAGATCCCGATGCTGGCATCAAGTCGACGATAGAAGGTCCGAAAACACCGGCAACAGCCATCGGAGACCTCTACGCCAGCGTCGTTATGACGGCTGCTCCCCCGGCCGCACAGCCCACGGATGAAGCAACGCCGCAGGACGCCGTGGAAATCTGCCCGGTCTGCGCACTCCCGGCCACCGCCTCATCACGACCACACGAAGCGTCTCTCGCGCACCAAGTCTGCCTGGCGCATTCTCACCCGCCCTCGGCACTGGACCGCTCACGGATGGGCCTGCGCGCCCTCGAGGCACAGGGCTGGGACCCCGATGCTCGACAGGGCCTGGGCCGCGAGGGCGATGGGATGCGGTACCCCATCAAGGTGACGGCCAAGGAGAACACCCTCGGCGTTGGGGCAGCGGTGCCGGAGAGTGTGCGCAAGAGGGAGAAGGTAGAGAAGCCAAAGAAGCTGAATCGAAAGGAGATGCGGCAGCTGGCAGCGAAGGAGAAGCTACGCAACGAGAGGCTTCAGGGTGAGATCTATGGGAGGGTGGATGTGGAGAGGTATCTGAGGGGGGATGGGTGAGGTCATGAGATGGCATGCATTCACAGCACTAAAGAGCAGCACACTGAAATCCTGAGGTTTTGGCTGCTGCACCAACGACGACCATCGCTTCTTTCACGTTTGGGCCGATGCGGCTACGGAGTTGGATGCTCGGGTTGTCTTTTCTGCCTACCTAGGACTACGGTTTAGGACTTGCCCGTCCTTTGAAGGCGACAGTTCAACTCGAAGGAACGGTGCCTCGAGGACTCTGGGCAAGCGAGCGAGGCAGTACAGAACCACCATCACGATATGTTCTTGGAGGTATTTTCCTTCGCATTCTGCCTTGATGGCGTCTTGCCTTCGCGGGTGGCGTGGGACAAATCCCAAGACAGCCCCCGCATGATTAGTGAGGGCATGCGTAAGACAACTCACAGACGATGTGTTTGAAACGGGGCCTACAAGGGATAAGGGACTGCATAGATCTGGCACCAGATAGACTGTTTCAAAAGAATAAGGCTTTAAAACTACTCGTCCTCTCGCGACTTTTTTCAGAATCGGGATATGTGGCCGTCGAGGGAAGTTCAAATATACATTCCTCCAAGCTTTGGGAATGACCTCATCAGCTGCAGGCTTATGGCGTGGGCATATGCTGCTCACCGCTGTGCGCCTAGAAATGGCGGCCAGGCGGCTACGGTGTAAGTAAGTACCTGGGCGGGTGGCGAGACGGGACAGGCTACAGGGGGGGATTCCATCACAGGGCCGTTTCTACAGCGGTCGTCATCAGCCAACAAGAGGCGGGAAAAGCCCTTGACTTAGAGCTGGGAAAGCCTTAACTTGAGCTGGGAAGGCCTACGGAGTACCTAAGTTGGGCCTTGACCCGGGAGCGGATCCACTACGGATCTGGGCTGCGGCTGCTTTGAGTGAAACCCCGCCAAACTCCTGAAGAGCCCCGAACGTGCAAGGGCAAAGACAAAGAAAGACACGACACCAACCTCCATCTTGAGACTTGACTTGACCTCGCCTCGGCCAGATAAGACCAAACAAGTCCGGCCGCCGCATTCTGATCTCTGTCGCTCGCCGCCGTTCACTGTGATTCCACACGCCAAAACCGACCGTCTCTCCCACCACCTCCTCTCCAGTCGCAACCGCCTCTCGCCATCCCGCAATCAATCCCACCGTCTCTCTCTCTCTCTCCCTCCCTTCGCTCCAAGCATCTTGACGGGGCAGCCCGCGCCGCTCTACGTCCACAATGGGGCTGTCCGTCATCCAAGAACAGCACGATGGTAACTTTCTCCGCCCGCGTCCGCAACGCCTGTGACGCCGCCGCTCATGCGCTCTCGCAGTGATTCTCAACCAGATCAAGAGCATCACCAAAGACGATGTACGCTGGGAGTTCTAGTTCCCACTCCCGCTTTCGCAACGCCAGCAACTGACATGCTTCCAGTGGAAATGCCTGATCGTCGACGCCAACTCCAAGAAGATCATCGACAATGCTGTCAAGGAAGATGACATCCTCAACAACAACATCGCCAGTCAGTCCGCCCACCGCTCCTCCCGCCACCCGCCTCCCGCCACCCGCTTGAACTGACCCCTCCTCTCCCACCGTAGCTATCGAGCGCATCGAAGACCGCCGCGATCCCAACCCTGAGATGGACGCCATCTACATCCTCTCCCCCGAGTCCTTTGCCGTCGACTGCCTCCTCGCCGACTTCGAGATGCGCCGCTATCGCAGCTATTTCCTCGTGTGGACCGGCCTGCTCGACCCCTCGCTTCGCCGCAAGATCGACGACTTCCCCGGTGCCCGCCAGCAGCGCGCCGGCTTCCAGACCCTGTTCGTCGACTTTTTCCCTCGGGAATCCCACCTCGTCACTTTCCACGACCCTTGGAGCTTCCCTATGCTCTACCACCCGTCCTGCAATGCGCTCGTCCCCCAGCACATGAAGGGTCTGGCACAAAAGGTATGTTGGTGCTGCCATCCGAGGCGGAACAGGAGGGTTAACACTCCTCATAGATCGCGGGTCTTTGCATCACCCTTGGCGAGTACCCGAAAGTGAGATACTACCGACCGACCAATCCGATTCATGATGCTAGTGTGTTGTGCTCGCATTTGGCACGTTTCGTCCAAGAAGAATTGGACTCGTACGCACAATGGGACTCGAACTTTCCGCCACCGTCCCAGCGACCGCAAGCAAATTTAATCATCACAGACCGATCCATGGACTTGATGGCTCCTTTAGTCCACGAGTTCACCTACCAGGCCATGGCACACGATCTCCTGCCAATCAAAGATGGCGACAAGGTCACCTACCGCACCACCATCAACGAGGGAACCCCGGAAGCGGAGGAGAAGGACATGGAGCTTGCCGAGAAGGACAAGATCTGGGTCGATAACCGCCATCGACACATGAAAGATACTATCGACAAGCTCATGGGCGACTTCCAAAAGTTCATTGACGAGAACCCCCATTTCACAAACCAAAATGCCGATACTACCAACCTCAACGCCATCCGCGACATGCTGGCAGGCCTGCCCCAGTTCCAGGAAATGAAGGAAGCCTACTCGCTGCACCTCACCATGGCGCAAGAATGCATGAACATTTTCCAGAAACACAAACTGCCCGATGTTGCATCTGTGGAACAGACGCTGGCGTCGGGGCTAGACGAAGACTTCCGGAAGCCCAAAAACGTCCTGGACTCCGTGGTCCGACTATTAGACGACGAATCGGTCACGCCCCCGGACCGACTCAGACTCATCATCATGTTCATCCTCTACCGTGATGGTGTCATCTCAGAGGACATTAAGCGCCTACTCGCCCATTCGTCTCTCCCACAGCAGGACAGCGATGTTATAAAGAACTTGGAGAATCTCGGTGGACGAACGATCCATGCTCTCAAAGATGTGCGGCAGATCCCACCGCCGCTGTTCCCCATCGACCCCAAGACAGCGCAGTTAGATGAGGAGTACGGTCTATCGCGCTTCGAGCCGGTCTTGAAGTCCATGATCGACGCTCTGGCCCGAGGCATCCTCGAGCAAACCAACTTCCCCTACGTGAAGCCACCGCTGGACCCTAATGAGGACATGCTGATAGCGCAGGGAGGATCTCTCCGCACTGGCCGGCCAAACTGGGCCGCTACTGGACGGCGTCCTCCGGAGAACCGACAGCGCATCATCGTCTTTATGGCTGGAGGAGCCACTTATAGTGAGAGCCGAGCGTGCTACGAAGTCGGCGCTGAACGTAGTCGCGATATCATTCTTGCCACATCGCATATGATGAGCCCCCAGCTCTTCATCCGCCAGGTCGGCGACCTCAGCCGCGACAAGCGTCACCTTGACCTTCCCCTCGAGCGCCCCAAGCCTCGTGCTCCAGCCCATCTGTTCGAACGTCCCGCGCCGCCTCGCCCGCCACCAGGACAAGCACCGCCAATGGGTGCGCCTCCAGGTGGTGCAGCACCACCGCGCAGGCCGATTGCTCCAGGTGGTCTACCCGGTCGTCCAGTCCCGAGCGGCTCAGCTCCTCCCACGGCGGCCATGAACAAGGTGTCACTCAACACCCCGCCGAAGCCGCCTGCCGCCAGCAACGGCTCGTCCCACGGCGCCTACCACTACGAAGATCCCAGGGCATACAAGGAGAAGAAGCGGAGGAATTTCCTGGGCATGAAGAAGTAGGGCTCTCGCAGAAGTGGCGGTTCCTCGGCGTCGGACCGAGCCGCGAGGCGAAAGGAAGACAGCAGCCGGTGGATCACAACGACGGAGAGTCACGACACCAGCACCAAGACTGTTCCTGGTGGCAAAGGCTTCCTCTAAATTAAGTCCTCTTCGCGCTACGGGTAGTTGGGTAGACGAGACGGTATGGTGCAGCTTGGTTACGTTTTTCGGAGCGCGGCGTTCTATTCCCGTTTTCTTTTGCGTCCTTTAAAGGTCTCCAAGTCACCGCTCGACGTCCAGCGAATTCTTTTTTGCAAAGATCCAAACCCGAATCTTGGGCGGTTTACTTTACACGCTTTCGCTTCCGTCCCGCGATTGAACTGGGTGGATCGTTGGGAGGAGGGGAGGGGACAGAGTGCCAGGCCAAGACTGGTATATAGAGCTCTCCTGTGACGTAGCATGTACATACATTTGTGGAGGAGGCGATAATAATCTATTTCTTGTGAAGATCCTTTCCTGTTTATCTTACCATGTGCCACGTTTCAGCGACTTCATCAACCACCGGTAATCCATGGGGCACACAATTTTACATAAAAAAAAAAGGTCACATCACGTCGTGGAACTTCACGTTGGAAACCCAAAAATAATAATTCACGCCCGTCAAATCAATCTCATTGAATCCCACTAGCTACGCGGCCGACGTTTGCCCCCTTGCCCATCGCCGTTGCTTCCAAAATAAATAAAAAACGACATCAAAAAGGACTCAAACAAAGGTACCCTGTCCTACAAATATGCAGAGGGTTGGTTGTACTGCTCCCCAGATTTTTGCCCCCCGTGTGTGTTCCCTGGGGAGAGTAGAAAAAAGCAAATCGTGTAGTAGTAGCAGTTTTGTGGGATCATGAGATTTTCTCGACAGGCTGTTGGATTTTCGTACATGCGCTGCACAGACGCAGTTGTTATGTGTCTAGCATTGCGCACCAAGTTCGGTGCTGTGTGAGTAATAAGACGATGCTTATTGTCTGCCATAGGCAGTACCGCGGCCGGGGTTGCCAGTGGGGGGCATACCGCGGCCTTCAAAGGGGGCACCGGCGAATTCAGGCACGGGCGGACCGTTGAAGCCGCCGAGGCCGGGGGGGATGTATCCGTGGGGAGGGCCACCGAAGAAACCCGGGGGAGGAGGAGGCATGTTGCGAGGGGGCATGCCGCCCATGGCCTCGAGGGGAGGCATCGCGCCGGGAGGGAAGTTCGGGAACATGTGAGGAGGCATGGGCATGTTGCGGTTCGGGCCGTTAGGACCGTTGAGGCCACCGGCGAGTCCAGGGGGGGCCATCATAGGGCCGCGGTTGACTGGAGGAGGCATCTGGCCGCCGGGCATCCAGCCGGGAGGCATCTGGTCCAGGCCGGGAGGCGGTGGCGGGCGCTGCAGGATCTGGGTCGGCTGGTTAGGCCGGCCATCGCCGTCATTGCGGAAGGAATCCTCCATGGGGAATCCGGGTGGGGGTTGAGGGCGCATTTGGCGCTGGTCTCTCGCGAAGTCGGGTTCCCTGTCGTTCATTGGGGGCATATGGGGCTGTTTCTGGGGCTGAGCCATGCGCATCAATAAGTCGTTGCGCTGCATATCCTGCGGTGCCCGCATCAGGTTCATCAAGAACTCGGTGTTGCTGTTGTTACGGGCGATCTCGGGGCGGCCAGAGGGTTGGCTCGGGGCACGCTGTCGTTGACCAACGAGGTCCTGGAGGAGCTGCTCGGGGCGGGCCTGGGGCTGAGGTCGAGGGGCGAGAATCTCCTGGACATGCTGTGGCGGTGGCCTACCCATGGGTGGCCCCTCCATTCGGCGGTCACCTCCGTACTGCTGGAACGGTGGCTCTGGAGAAGTCATGGAGGCTTGTGGCTTTCGACCATCCGGGGGAGTACTGTGCGGGGGGGCTGCGAAGGGAGAAGGTCCTGGCGGGGTTGCGCTCATCGACTGCTTCTGGAGCTTCATGAGCAGCTGCTGGAATGCCTGCCTCTCCTCCTCAGGAGCAGGCGGCGCTGCTGGGCCACCGCCCATAGGGAAAGGCAGTCCATTCATGGGTAGTCCAGTCATTGGGGGTCCAGACATCATCGGTCCAGGCATGGGAGGTCCGGCCATAGGAGGCCCAGCCATTGGGTGTCCAGGCATGGGGGGGCCAGGCATGGGAGGTCCAGTCATCTGCGGGGGGGCGTCGTTTCTTCCTCCTCGCACCTCCTCCTGGGCGTGAGAGAAGAAAGAGGTGAATCGCGACGATTTTCCAGTGGCCTTGGGCTTGTTTGTAGCCTCCGTAGGCTCGCCAGGGCTCGAGGTATCGAGACCTGAGTTAGATCCACCAAAGGCCATGAAGAACTTGTCCGGGCCAGCTTCGACAGCAGGAGCCGATTGAACTGGCTTCTCAGCCTCGACAGGAACCTCGACCGAATCGGTGGGACCGGACTTGCCAGGAGCTGAGGGTGCGCGGTTCTTAGCCTTCTTCATTTCCTCCATCCACTTCTGGAAGTCTTGTTGAGTATGCGCTTCGGGGTGCTCCTCGAGAGGTTCGTCAAGCCATTCGGGCTCTCGCTCAACTCGCTGCTCGCGGCCGCCCCATCGTCGATCGTGGTTGCGGCCACTGTTGCGGTCGTCGATGGCTTCGGTATCCTTGTCACGGTCTCTCCAGCTCTTGGCACGATCGATGCGGTCTCGCTTCTCAGGGGCCAGGGTTTCGTTGGTGGTGGGCTCATTCTTGAACCACGGCTCGACCTTGGGCCGGTTTAGCCCGTTGCGGGATCGTCCATCGGCATCCTCCGCTTCCTTGTCTCGAGTGAAGTTGTCAAAGTTGCGCGCAGGGCGATCTCGAAGAGCCTCAGGTTCCCGTTCTCTGGGTTGTCGCCTCTCGTCTCGGAAGTTGCCGCCCATGCGTCCATGGAAGCGCTCAGCGCCTTCGTGGCCGAAGCTCTTGCGCGGCTTGACTGTGCTCCAGCCTTCAGACTCTCCCTCACCATCGCGGCGGCGGAATCCGTTGGCGGTACGTCCTTCGCGGAAGCGATCGGTCTCGGCGTCGCCATTGCGACTTCGGAAGTTGCCAAATCGGCCTGAAGCATCGGGTTCCTTGAGAGTCTTGTCGTCAATCGACTTATTCCCTCGCGCAGAGGCGAAGGCCATTCGAGGGGGGGCAAAGACAATGTCCTCAGGGTCTGGACAGTGTGCACGTGTTAGCACAGCGATTTGATCATGGGTAGATTATTGAGGGCAACGGACTCGCGCTGTTTCTCGATACATGGAGGCCAGGTCGTCGAGCACCCTGATCCAGGATGGAGTTGTCGTTTGACCGAGGTCGCTCACCGGCAGTCTTGCCTGTGGTCCCTTGACCGCGGGCTTGTTCGGCTGGTGGGCTGGAGAAATGTCAGAAGACTAGCGGTGGCAGATGAGGACAGTTGTGGCAACTCACCCCATCCACTCCTCGGCGGGAGGGAGGTTTGTGGGCCTTGTGCATAATGGTGACTCCCGCAGGTGCAGGAGGAAATCGGCTGGATATCGAAGAGCCATTGTTTGCGAGTTTGCGATGCGATGCGATGCGCATCCGACAGGAAGCGATCGTCGCACAGAGAAAGGAGTGCTGAAGAGATTAAGTGGATTCGGGCGCGCAGTCAGGAAAGTGGTGCGGAGATTGGGTCGAGGGAGAATGGGTGCAAGGTCGAAGTGTCGGTGATTGAGGTTGCGAGGTTATTATCGGAGCTCCAGGACAGTTTGCGAGGCGATGTGGGTTCGTGGTTGTGGACGTGGTTTGACTTGTGGTGAGGTGTGGTTGGTGGATTAGGTAGTCGGGCACCTATGTGACGACGAAAGCAGCCAAAAGGCGATGGATCAAGTGATGGCGGATGAGGGCGATAGCAGGTGGTGGCGAGGCGAAGGAGGAAGAGGAATGAGGCAGAGCGGGATTGGGCTGGCACTTCTAGAGTCACCAGCCAAGGCTGCGAGGGAGGGCGGAGGGTGAGAGCGAGTTGAGAGAGAGGGAGGGAGGGCAGTCGGGATGATTCGTTGGCGTTCGTCGCAGGGTCGCAGGCCGCAGGGTCGCTGGCAGGGGGTGGGGGGGTAAGCGGCCAGAAGGCCGGAGAGGACGTCTGGAGGTGCGGCGAGATGCGGTAGCGGTAGCGGTAGTGTGCGGTGCGAGTGTAACGGACGGACGGACGGCGGGAAACGGGCGGCGTGGCGATCGGGGGTCGTGGGAGGTTGGGCTGGCGATGTTTGGCGGAGGTGGAGGTGGAGGAGGAAGTGGAAGTGGAAGTGGGTTGGAGGCGGAACGGGGTTGCTTGTGCGGGTGCTGTGTTTTCCGTCGTGATGGGGTTTTGCGTAGATTGATGACTGGCGCCGTGAGCACGGGGACAGCACGGGACTACCCTACCTAGGTACCTACACGCAGCCCTTTGAGCTGAGCGCCAGCCCCTAGAAGCCCCCAAAAGCCCCGTGCTACCTGGCCATGCGGCTGCCCACGGGTACTGCGCCAGGTACCGCCGCCGCCTACGGGAGTCACGCCCCAGCGGCCTCCTCCACTGCGTTCCAGGCTGCAAGGCACCCGACGCCCCGTGGCCGGCTGGTCCATCAGCGCCCCGACCGTTGTCGGAGGGCCTAAGCTGCGAAGGGTACCGGGCGAGGTACGGACACGTCACTACGGCCAAGGTACCTACCGCGCAAGGTCAGCTGGCCTTGATTTCTGGCACCACCACCCCGTGGCCCGTTGCTTGTCCCTTGAGAGTCCACCACCGAACTGATTCATACCGGACCTTGTTGAACAGCCTGAGTTTCCTCCACCGAGCGGCATGCAACTTCTTCTGCCTCCTCGTCCGCATGCAGCCTGGCCTGGTAGTTAGCTGGAGCCGTTCTTGTTTTTTTTTCTCCCTTGTCGTGGCCCACCGATTCATTCATCTGGCCCCACTGAAGCTACCAGAACTCAAGGCTGTCTCTCAGGCTCCCTCCAGCAATCGATTCGACGGCCCCTCACTCCGAGCTACACGACCGTAGCACAAGCAAGCAAGCAGGCACTGGAAGTCATTGGCCAGCCTCAACAGGTATTGAAATAGAGCTTCAGTTTGCCTAAACTAATGCTCAACTGCATATGCAACGCGTAGGCTGTGTCGGCGGATTCTCTTGACTGAGGCCTCAACCGTCCAAATCCGCTTGATGTCTATGAGTGGAGGCCTGATCGAAAGCATTGTACTGGGCTATGCACTACTAACCTCCACTAAGGTATAATATATATTGCCATCGTAACTTCAAATGTCTGTGTGTTGAAAACTTTTTGAATTATTCATCAATTATCATCATAACTAGTTCATCATTGCATGCCATCAATCCCTCAACCCTTTTCCCGCTCTACACCTCACTTCTTCGCAGCAGTCACCTCCTCGTCCAGCGGCAGGATGTGCGGCAGCGGGCCCACGGGGGTGATGCCCAGCGGGTTGATCTGCGTGTGGCTGCGCGTGTAGTGGTACTTGATATGCTCGAACTGCGTCGTCTCGCCAAACGCCGGCTGCGTCCAGTACAGGTTGCGCATCCACCGGTGCAGCGCCGGGTAGCCGGAGCGGATATCCTTGATGTTGCACTTGAAGTGCTGGACGTAGACGGGGTCGAATCGGACGATGGTCACGTACCTGGAGGGAGCATGTGTTAGGTATTGGCATGTCAATGGAGGTTGGGGATAACTCACAATCGAACATCGGCCTCGGTAATGGTGGCTCCAAAGTAAAACGGCCCACCCTTCTGCTCAGCCAGGTGCTTCTCGGCGCGGTCGAGTGTCTCGAAAAGCGCCACCACGTTGCGCTCATACGCCTCGCCGGTAGTCGCAAAGCCTGCTTTGTAAACGCCGTTGTTGATGCCGTCATAGGTCCAGGCGTGGGTCTCCTCAATCTTCTCCTGGAGCTCCTTGGGGTACAGCTGGATAGTTCGGTACTTTTCCTCGATGAGGTCGTCAAACTGCAAAAATCAAGTCAGCTTTACTTATATAACAACCCAGAGAAAGGAATAGGATTTACCTCTGTGCCAAACATGCGCAGGATCTCACTGCTCTCGTTGCTGACGATGCGGTTGGTCTTCTTGTCGTACAACACGGGCACGGTGTAACGGCCCTGGAAGTCCTTCTCAGACTCAAAGTACAAGTCGCTCAGGTGCGTAAACGCCTCGTGGCCCTCGATGGGGTCAGGCACGACATTGTCGCCGGGCAGCTTCTCGTCAGCCTTGACGAAGCGCCAGCCGCCCTGGGCGAGGTGCCAGTGGACGACGGAGAAGGAGACGATGTCCTCGAGGCCCTTGAGCTTGCGGGCGATGAGGGTGCGGTGCGCCCACGGGCACGCGTAGCTGACATAGAGGTGGTAGCGGCCCTTCTCGGGAGGGTACTGGGCGCCGGCCTCGCGCGAGATCCAGTCGCGGAACGAGCTGACCTGGCGCTTGAACTCGCCCGACTTGTCGCCGGGCGTGACCCAATCGGTGACTTTGGCAGTGGTGCTGGCCTGCGGCAGAACCGTGTCAGCGGAGGGCGGGTCGCACAGGAGGGGAGGCGACGCAGGGGAAGCACAAACTCACCATTCTGAACTGAGATCCGAGCAATTGATTCGTTGGGCGAGGTTGCGGCGAAGGTGTCGTGGGGAACGAAGCGAACGGGCGGAGTTGCTGTTGCAGTTGGAGGTTGCTGTTGAGATTCTTGTTGCAGGCTCGGAATGCTCGAGTGTTGAGTCTCTGCATCGACATTGGAAAAAGGGACGGGTCGACGATAACGAGCGAAGAAGCACGTATATATACAGAATTTAACCTCCCCAACGTAGTGGAGATTGATGCAAGATGGCCATCCCCATCCTATCGTGTCCAGCAGCCCGTCACCCCTCCCGCTGGCCTCCTCGCCCGTCTCGCCGCGTTCGACCAGGTCGCTCACTAAGACTTTCTCAGCAACGTGCCCCTCATGACAAAATGCCCGAGACGCGCGGGGAGCACGTCGCCAAAGCTCGCCCTGGCTTGGGCACTGCTAACCATTACTAGGCCGCCTTGGGCCAGACTCCGGCAACTCCAGGGACAACTACGCCGTCATCTCGTCTCTCACTGGGCGCCCGCTTTGGAGAGCGACAGCGTAATCCAGACAGCCGCCACCCCGCTTTTACTAGCGGATGCCGCTGCATCAGTCATCAGCGCGACCTTCTTGATAATTCGACCTAGCATGACGAACTGCTTGGTAACAAGGCGTCAATGAGATCATAGGGCCACAAGCGTCTCATGCCCACCGTTTGGACTTTGTTTCATCATGACCATTCCAACCAGATTGCCAGACGTCTCGACTTGCAATCAGATGTGTTTGTCAACATGTGAAACTTGTTCACCACCTTGTCGTGAGGTTGCATTGGCCTGATGAATCTGCATTGCGGGGTTTCGCCGCAGGCATGATAATTACCACATAGGCCAATCGAGTGACACCTCGGGCAGGATAGGCAGAATCGCCGTCTTAACCAATCAACCAAACTCAAGAAAGTGTTGCATCAACTCCCAATCTTACATCGTAACAAATAGCCAGAGCGTAATATTCATCTATCTTTATGCATCATCATGCGTTCAGGCCCTGCTCTAGTGCACCTCGGCCGCGATCTTCACTCTGTTACCATCTATTCTTGCTCACTGTACACCTGTCTCGGCTTCACGCAACCTTCACCTTGATGTAAGGGACTTCCACATCCTCCTCATCCAGATCCTCGGCCACAATCTCAAAGATGACCTCCTTCTGATGCGAGGGAATGGGCTTCTTGGAAATCATCTCAACCAGCTCGCTAAGCTTGAGGGCATATCGCTCCTTCAGCTTGGCGGGAGGGAAGAAAGACGCATACAAGAGGCTGACACCTGAGCTCAGCATGCTGATGGTCAAGCCACGCTCCTTGAAGTTGTCCAGGAGCTGCTGGAGCGTCACATCCTCCAACTCGAATCGGTCCCAGATCTTGTCAAGCGTAACCTTGCCGTTGGGTCCCTTGTACTCAACTTTGGGGCTAGCAATGGGCTCACTGAAGCCGAAGAAGGGGAGAGCCAGGTTAATGAACCCGTTCTTGTACTGCTCGACGTCTGTCTTGCCGTCGATGACCTTGTACAGCTCGAGGACCACCAGGCCAGTGACCAGGGCAGTCGTGGTGGCAATGGCGGGGATAATCTTGCCAGCGATGAACTTAGTCTTGTGTCGGTCCGCAGCCTCAATCTTGTAGTTCTCTGCTCTCAAGTTGCTGCAAGCAGTGATGAAGTCGATGTGGTGGTTCGAGTCGTCATCCTTCTCAAAGTCGACAGGCACCAGCTGGAAGCCAGACAGAGTGTTAGGCGAAGGCAGGCTGGCAGTGAGCTTGTCCAATTCGTCGTTGTCATCAAAGGTGCTAGCATTCGGGTCCTTCTCATGGGTCAGTACATGGTCAGACAAATCAAAAGACGAATTACTTACAGGCTCCTTGTCGTCCGCCTGGATCTTGACGCTTGAGTCGGGGGAGAAGTCAGGCACAATAACATTCTCCAGCTCACGCAGGTAGATAGCCCTGTCGGTACCAGGTGACTTGATGTTGTAGTTGAAGGCATGCAGGTTAGCTGCCGCGACGACAAAACCGAAGTGGGTGGCGTTGTTGGGGTCGAACTTGAGAGCGTCGGGGGCACGCTTGGGGCCTGACCAGAATGGGGTGCCGGTCGAGGTCTCAACATCCTTGGGGAAGTTGTAAAGCAGCTGCTGGATCTTGTTGGCGAACTCGGTCTCGAAGAGCATACGAGCCCAAGCGATACAATCCTCAAAGGTTCGGGGTCGCTCAGTGGTCAGGTAGTTTCGGATCGTCTCGAGTGTGTCCTTCTGGTTGCCGCCTTGCTTCAACGTCGTCTCAAGGAAGTTGGGCTGAGTCAGGTACAGGTTGACAGTCTGAGGAGCCTTGACGAAAGACCTCTCAAACATGTACTCCTTCGCCCAAGCAATCGTGTGCTCAATGCGGTTGGGGAAACTTCGGATGGTGCACATAGGGAACTCCTTCTCAGGAGGATCCTGGGAGGAGGAGTACGACTCAGTGAGATGAGGGAGTACAACCTGCGTGTTACCCTTGGTTCCGAGGGTGCCGCTCTCGAGCAGGGGTTTGCGGAAAAAGACGCATCGTCGGTCGACGTATGTTCGTGCCTCGACGTTGTCTAGAGCGTTGGTCACACCATCCAAGTTCTGCCAGAAATCCTCGTTGAAAACGTTCTCAGTTTCAGGACTGACGCGCTCCTTAAAGGTCTCAATGTGGCCAACCAGCTCAGGGTTCATTCGCTGGACAGCCTTGGCAGCGCAGTCACTCTTCATGTGACCAACATCGTCGGCACGGAAAAGGAACTGTCGGTTCAGGTTGCTTCGCTCAATGGAGTCCATATCAGTCACCCAAATCTTGCCCTCAGGACCAGTACCGAGGCCAATCATGGCCCAGTTCTTGAGCATCTCACATCCGATAGCGCCAGCACCGACGAGGAATTGCTTCAGGTTCGCAATCTTGTTCTGATACTCGGTACCGAAAACGGCAATCTGTCCGTCGTAGCGGCTGCCGATAGGCTTGCACAGCTCAACCGATCGCTTCGTAGACGTGGGCAAGGACTCGAGGGAATCGAAGTACATCCACTGGTTAATAGGTTGGAATTTTCCAGAAACCGCCTTGAGAATCTCCTGCGCGGTAGCTCCACCGAAGAAAGCAGCCATCGGGTTGAGATCACCCATGGCTTGGTAGCTCAGCTCCTTGAGCAACTTCTCGTCCAACTCAATTTCCATGCCCTCGTCCTCGGCGAATTTCTTAGCGGCACCGAGAACGATAGTCGCATCCTGTTCATCCATGGGGTAGGGGAGTCGCTTTTTGGAAAGCTGGAAAGCGTGGAGAGCCTGGAAACCAAGGTGTAGCTGCTGAGGTCGGTCGAACTTGGCAAAATCAGACACCAAGAACTCGGGTTCCTTCAAGGCGGTGGTAAAAGTCTTGAAGTTGACAACCTTGGGCATCTTGACCTGCTGGTACATGCCACCACGAGTGTACTGGCCGAGACCGGTGACATCGCCAATCGAGAATGTGTAGGGGCCCTTGACAACAATCTTCCGGGGCTCGGCGCCGTTCAGTGCCTCCATGCCCTCGACTTCGGTGAAAGTCACAAAGTCGCCATCCTCCAGGCCGTGTCGGGTCTCGTCGAGAGCGGATACCAGACCCTCCTCGTCGATTCCTGCAACGATTCCGCTCAGGGGGGTTTCACCGGTGGGGTCCATGATTGTGAACTTCTCGCCAAAATCGCAGAAGATAGAGCCGAAAAGACCAAAGGTATCAGCGATGACAACGTAAATGCCCTTGGTGTGGCAGTAGTCGGCGATTGCCTTCTGCGAGTCGATAGGAACATTGGTCAAGACGACGATCTGGTACTTGTCGAACTGGGAGTAGTTCTCGTCAAGCCTAACTAGGCGTTCAGTATTGTATCACTGGGTGCGCAGTGAGTGCATGAGTGACTTACCCGGGGGACTGGTGGACCTTGACGGGAGTGTACGCGTTGAGCTCAGCCACGCGGGGGGCAGTGACCTCGTCTCTGGGCTTTCCGACATCCTCAGGCTTAAGGAAGAACTGGGACGACAGATCGGCCAGCTGGACGGGGGCGGGGTCGTAGAGGGTCAGGCTCTTGACACCAGCCAAGGCGATGTTCTTGGCGACCTCAACACCGAGGCCCTTGAGACCAACGATGAGGACGTTGGAAGCGCCCATGCGCTTCATGGCCTCGTGGCCCAAGACATAGAGCTGTCGGCTATAGAGGGACTCGTCGATCTCGGTGTGTCCAACGACGGACTCGTCGACCTGCATCCGGGTCGCGAGGTCGACCTCGGGCAGCTTAGATTCCTGGAACATTTGCAGTCAGCATAAAGAAGCGGAGCGCGCGGTGGCAGGAAGCGAGCTGCGTGGTAGGCTGTGTTGTGCTCCGCATGAACGAAGGGCGGTCATGATGAGAAAGTCGTCCTGCACTGCGGGGAGTGACGTGGTAGTGGGAGAAAAACTCACAGCCATAATGCGCTTGTGGGATTTAGGTGACTCCCCTTCAGAGAGCTTTCGCTTCCCCAGCGTGCCTGGCGCAGATAGGGAGGGAATCGTGGAGGTGGTGCGGTGCGAAGTCGTCGAGGCGATCCAGCACCAGGCAGAGCTCAACCCCGCCAAGCAGCTGATTCGAGGACGGTGAGGGAAACAGGAAGGGGCCTGCGAGGTGGAGGGATAGATCGCAGGGTCGTGAGTAGGGGGAGTTGGTTCTCTCTTGCGATGCTTCGAGAGGAGAGAGATGCGTGGGCAGGAGGAGTATTTAGTGAGAAGCAAGAAGATGGAGCAGGTCGGCGGCTGAGGAGGCAGCAGCCGTTGATGAGGTAATGGCCCAAGGCGGTTTGTGACAGGTGGCGGGCGCGGGTGCATCAGCTTCCAGTGGCTTCCTACCTGCCGGGGTCCCTATAACGCCTGCGCAGGGGAATGAGGGGCAGTGAAGCGTGAGGTGGGGAATTTGTCACCCAGGTTGACCCGGTACCTAAGTAAGGTGCCCCGCCACCATAAAGTTTCCTTCCTGGGCAGGGGTTAACTTAGGTGCTATCAGGTGCGCCATTCCACTGCGAAACATCTCCGTAATGGGCAACTGAAAATTTATTCAACAAGGGCGAATCTGATGGTGGAATCCATCTTCTACATCTAGTAAGCTCTTCAAATCCTCGCAATCCCGGTCGCTCTCAGCGTGCCACGGCGCTCTCGCCATCCGACGTCATGCCCCCACTTGCCTTAGCGGTAAGGAATGAGAGGGTTGAGCAGTCCCTCGACTAACACGTCTAAGCATTCAGTTACGTATCATATTATTGTGTTTACAGAATAGGCGTGGATCCGGCCTTCTATAAAGGTAGAGTTGGTGGGTTGCCTACTTCAAAGTGTAGTGATCGTACATGTCTATTCCACAGGAGGCATGAACCTACCCTAGACCTAACATCCTTGAAACGCCGACACCGAGTAACTATGTGCAACTACCCATGCTGAGTCCGTGTTCTCCTTGTTTCTATCACAATCTATTCTTGCTTAGATATGATTCAGGTATCATTTACCGTCACGTGTTTGATCATGTTTGACTGGAGAGTTACACATTACTTGCCTAATCGATCTCGCCGAAGGCAGTTATGCTCACCGGGAACCTCGGAGCAGCTGATCATTCGGGATTATTAACCAACATCTGTCCCGTGTCTTTACCAATTTTCCCCATTAATGTCGCCGTTCGCAAACGCGTCATTACTGGGATCCCTGGTAGGTTTGTAATGTAAATGTACTTGAGCCACCCTCTCATCTGTGGACTTGTTGTCGCGGAGATGGTGAGACGATAAGGCAGAGAGTAAGGACCACGTCATTGTCACTTGGGTTGGAAAATGTAAGCATCGATTATTTCTTCAATTGGCCGTCTGTAAAGTCGCCCTCTTGGATCTGAAACCCTAAGCATGACAAACTCTGCACCATGAGATAACCACAGTTGAGGTAGAGTTTGGTATTCCTGGCAAAATCCCGGAATGAGAAGCTCTGGCAATAGACCCTGCTGAGAAGAATAACGGAACAGCATTGCCATGGATGTATTTATCATCGGACTTTCTTCAGCTCGACATCGCTATATCAAGGGTCAGCATTGCTAACGGTCAAGAACGTAATAGGATCCTTACAAGATGAGGTCGGCGCCGGGAGGGATGTGACCGGGGAAACCTCTGCAAATAATATTGTCAGTTCATCATCACCCATATTGATCTATGGCGGAATGGGGTTGGGAAGAGGTTGGATGGTGAAAGTAGGGAGAGTATCTGCATGACTGAGATCGAAGAAGTGGCCAAGACCACGTTTGGGGAATCGGGCGATACAATTGGCTTGGGACGTGAACAGAGGAAGAGGAGGGCTTACTGCTGGCCGTAGCCGAAGTCGCTAGAAAGCCATTCGTTAGCAAAAGAAGATATGTCTGTGGCTGTTGTCGAGTATAGCGTACCTGGAGATGACTAGAGTGGCCTTCTCGCCGACCTTCATCGTGGTGACACCCTCATCCCAGCCTGGAAGAGGAAGTGTTAGAGTCATGATTCTTGATTGAAAGAGGGAACCCAGCGGAGCTGGGGTATGCTAGGTACCCTTGATGACCTGACCGACACCGATCCTGGTCTCAAAGTCGCCGCGGCCGACGGAGGTGTCGAACCTGAAGGAGATGTGTCAGTCATTGATCCAAGTCCAGGAAAATTGGCGGAGGAAACGAACTGCTGGCCCTTCTCGTTTTCCGCATTGACGTCGCGGAGGTAGCCAGTGTACTCAATGGTGACGGTCTGGCCCTTCCGGGGAATGGCACCAGTGCCCTCCTCGAGGAGAATCTTCTCAACGCCCATGATGGTGGTGTTTTTCTTGGGGGGAGTTGGCGTAGCGGTGGATGAGGGAGAGAGCTTGCTTGTGGAGGTGAGAAAGGTTCGCGAAGCTACGAAGGGCGGAGGAACGTTGGCTTTAATACAGCGACCAAGGGGCCGCAAGGCCAAGGCACGAAAAGGCAGGGACCGAACAGACATGGCTTCGGCAGGTCAAGGAACAGGTACAGAGCCACAGAAAACACGTCTTCCGGTCGAAGTTTGTGCCTCCCAGCTTCTCGCCTTTGGGCTTCGCATGGCGGGGCACTTGGCGATCGACGGCGGGGCAACCCGCAGGGCGGAGGAGTTAGCAGGTGGTGCGATGACGAGGGTGCCAATCAGCGCCGCCATCGGCTCCACTTGGGATGACGAGCCAAAGAAGCATGCAGAAGCGCACGCAGAAGCGCACGCAGAAGCAAGCTCTGGGCGAGCCAGTTGGGCCATGATGGACATGCTGCTTGGCTGCGTGGTTTGAGAGGCACAGCTGTCAATGCGCCATGAGGCCATCGAGCGAGCTACCTGAGACCCTGTTTGAGAGGGTTTATTTATTCCTGGGCCGCTGTACGCGGCGTTGCTCCCAACACCCGACATCAGAAACACCAAGACGAGGCTAGAGACGCATCAGCTACTACTACGTATCTTAGGTCGACCTATAATTAGTCCCATTCAGTACGGTACTTGCATCGCGATTGCGTCCAGAACGAGTAACTCCATCGCGAGTACCGCCGGACTACTGCTTACCAAGGAAGGCACCGGGACATGGGTCTTCCGGAAAGCATGCACTGTACCATGCATTGCAGCACAGTCACTAACTCGCGATCCAAGTCCAACAGGGCCCGGACAAAGCGACACCCCCTATCGTTGTTTGGACGCCTGGTATACGTGCCGCCTCCGTTGAAGCTCCATCTCGTCCCTAAACGAAGAAGCCTCCGCGCATACCCCCGTATCACTCCGCGGCTACCCGAGGCGGAATTTGATGCCACTCGGGACGCCTCAACCATGTGAGGCCACGGAACGGTCTCACTCGACGGCCACCTCCGCAAATCCCAGCTATCGGTTCTGGCCTAAGAACAAAAAAGCAATCACTGCAGATGATGCGTCACATCGCCCGCATCCCCGGCCACACGGGCCCCGCACAGAGGGCGGTTGGGCGGTTGCTTGCCCTGTCGTGGCATTTCGGGCATCGCAATGTGTCCAGCGCGCCGTGGAAAGTTGCCTCCGGTACTTCAAGTCCGAAATTCCATATACCGCAAACGACGTCGTGCAGATCGAATTGCCGGTATCCTGCATCTGTGTAACCTCGATCCCCGTGGGCGGTCGCTTCAGAAGGCCATCTTGCGTAACATGAAGCCCAACGACGGTGCAATGGATCCACGTTTCATGCCACCGCAGTCACTGCATGTGGACAACGATGATAATCTCGAGACTCCAAGATAGCTTATCTCACCATGGGGTGTGTCAAAGATTGGTCTGGAAGGGTCCGGATATGGCAGTAGCATCTGCCAAGCGCATTCAAGACTGCTCTCGATTCAGAAATGTTTTGCCCAGGTCAAAGCAGGGACCCAATCCCAAGAATAAGAAAAAGCAATTGAACTCTGACTGGAGAGCAGTTGGTGGCTTGCTCTTACCGAATCCTCCTAGGTGCACTTGCATATAGCCAAGACCCGAAACATATCGGACGCTGGCGGCTCGATGTGACGATGTGAGATCAGGCTATCCAATAGTTAGCCAACATTTGGTGCCCAACTAAGCGGTCAGCGCATATACCAATGGGATTGTGCGACGTCGGATGAATCGTCGATCGGCACTGCTCCTGGATACCCCACGATAGCGTCTTGGTAACCGATCCCGCGGTCGACCGATAGTTTTCGGACGCAAACCTGACGCCCTGCATGTGTAGAACGCAACCCCGTGGAGGCTTCGCATTCGCTCGCTTCGACATGGAAGTAAACACGTGGAGTTGGAATACTGGGCTACATTTTTGGGTGCCGTGGCTATCGGCAGTGTCGGTACTGAGACGCAGGTCAAGAATGATGAGAGTGGTCTGAGGTTGAGGAGGTCAGTGTAACAACGCGCGATCGACCACTCTTCTTTATTTGGTGTAACGCTGGACTGGCCATGCCGCATGATTGGTGCTTTATGCATGTTCCAAAGGCTAGAGTTCGAATTTCAGCAAGACATTGTACCATACCCTGGAACGGAAGAATGGGTTAGCCACGTATGATTTATTACATGTGATAATAATGTGTGAGCGGCTTTTTCTGCTCATGATAGCAACCTGGAAGGAAACGTGCATCATGGCTGCAATTGCTTTACTTAAGACGCGAATGCGACTCAGCGGTACGCCGTCTTTTGATACTTCCTTATCAGCCTGCTGAACTGAGCATACGAAAATCCTTTGGAACTGTAGCTCCGAATACCCATATGGGGAATATTGGCTGGGGATCTGATTGAGGGATCGAGGCTGAAGGCAGGGTGTAATGGCGTATCTTGAACGTGACCTGACGCTACCACGGACTGAGAAATTACAGCAAGACCACCGTGCCCTGGCACGAAATCACATTGACCAGGCGCTACGTAGTGCATATACGACCTTGCCTGCTCACGGCTTTTATTTCCCGGGGTGTCCTGATGGCCATGACCAAGAGATCTGACCTCGGCAATAATTCACCGCCGTCACCCCGCTCTACCACCACACCGTATTCTCAATGATGTACTCTTTGATCTGCAACAATTACACTCCATTTCATGTCTCAGAACTATTGATTTGATAATGCAGGTCTAGTATATGGCTTTGATTCGTGGTTATGTTTCCCTCATATTTTACATGTTGGCTTTAATGCAAGTAAAGCGGCTGGCGGCAAATTCTCGACCATTCTTGGACGGAAGCGGAATGAATGAATGCATAACTTCAAAATAATTGCCCGGGATTTGCTGTTATTTTGTAACATCTCCCTAGTGCTTGGATTTTCCACAATGGATGCAACCATGCTGAGAAATGTGTCAGTAGGCCTTGGCGTGTGGTTCGTGGGTGACAATGGAGATGGGTAGAGTTATCCGTTGAGAATGTTCGAGACTTTCAAAGGCCGACAAGTATGGACTCGGTAATATATCCCTCCCGAAAGAGCCACTCCTCGTTGCTCGATGGTGGTGGAAATCTCAAAGTCTAGACCTTGCGATGTGTCCCATGATGAGTGCATTGGCGGTCTCAACCCCGGCTCTGGAACAGCCCTATCGGCTTTCTTCCTTTGACACAAGCAAACACATCATTGCGAATGGGCTGGTAAAGGGGGTCGAGATTTTGAAGTGGCCGTGGTTTGCTTGGTTGTAAGCAACTTGAGCATATGAAGCTGACTTATTGCCCGAGAGCAAAATGGCAGTGCCCTGAGTTGAACATGGACGTGAGGAGAGCGCGTGAAGCTTCTGGATCTTTAATTAAAATATACGGCCGCCGCGTTGAAGTACATATTATTACCAGGTTTGATGAATTAATGTCTAGAACAGAATTGGTACTAGATTGTTCAAATCGGCCGAACGCGGGAGCATCAGCAGATTAACGGGACAAACAACCACGCCAACTTTAAATCTCAATTACGATACCGGATAAAAGAGGAGCGAATGCGCACAAGGCTTGCGTGCCACACTGATGACTAGGTAGGCTCGAGCTCCTTGGATCCAGTGCTGAGATCAGATCAGTGGCACCCCCGACGTGAATCATCATCAGGCGAAGTGTAACGACTTAGTGGCCGCGCTGGGAGATCTGCCGCAGGAAAACATGTGCCGCATGAATAGAGTGGGTCCAGTAGCCATCTGTTAGTCGCCGAATAGAGGCTGGACCAGTGGGCTCGAGGTTGAACAGAAATCCTACGGAATGTTTCACTGGAGAACTGATACTCACGTATATTCCATCAATAAATTCTACACTACATTTGGCAGAAAAATTGGTCAAAAATTGTCGGCTCGGGGATACGGGTGCTCCAGGGCCGATATCACACGCTCAGGGCAACTTCACGCAGCTGTCTTTGACAGGTGCAACACCACAGCTACGCGAGGCTGCCAATACAACCTAAGGAAACAATGGCCACACAAAATGCGGAGATGTGATCCGTTACCCCAGATCTCGCCCGACTAGCGGCTCGTTTCCCCGTGGGGTTTCGTCAGGGTATTGTGGTCACGACACCTCCCGGAAAACTTCAACCGCACCATCACGACGCCACCAACGCAGCGCATCAGCAACGGCGACGATTGACAGGTTCGCGCTAACCGGCGCAGCTTGGGTGGGATATCCACGACAGGGAATTGCAGGGAATGCGGATCTACTGGACCGAGCGAGATGTCACATCGATCCAGAAGCTCGGGATGCTTGGGCTTGTTCTGAGGACATAAAGCCCTCGCGGGTGGCTCTCAGAAACAAAAAGATTTTCGGTCAGGATTCCTCATCGAGACTTACACTTAAGACTGGAAGCTCAAAAGTCCAAATCCTAGTTGAATTCGACATCATGGCTTCTCCACGGGATGCTGGGTCCCAGCTCAGTGAGAAGGAGCAGGCAGAGCACACGGAGACGATGCCTCACCACGATCGCCATGCCTCGGACGATGAGAATACCTTCGAAGTCGAGGAGGATGAGCTGCCTCCCGGGTACTTCACCAGCCCGTTCTTCATTGGTTCCATGACTGGAATTGGTTTGGGTCTCATGGCTGGCGTTGCTGGTTTTGGATATGCTGCCCCTATCCTGACGATCATCAACAATGATATCGGTCCTGTAAGTCATCTTGAGTTTACAATGCCAACATGGCTAATACCCTACTTAGGATGCAAACATTATATGGGTCGCACTCACCTACACCCTCACCTCGGCCGTCACCCTCACCATCATCGGCCGCGTTACCGACATCTTCGGCCGCCGCTGGGTCTTCGTTGGTGGTGCATTCCTCGGTATCATCGGCTCCATCGTCTGCGCAACGGCACAGAGCGTTAACTCGCTCATCGGCGGCATGACTATCACCGGAATCGCCGCGGCGACACAGCTCTCATACTACTACGTCATGGGTGAGCTGGTGCCGATGAAGTATCGCCTCATCGGCAACGCGTTCTGCTACTCGCTGACCATCCCCGGCTCGGGTCTTGCGCCGGTCATCTCGCATGCATTCCTCAGGAATCATCCCAATGTCGGCTGGCGAGGAGCCTACTACGTGTTAATCGGTGTGAACACTGTCAGCTTCTTGTGCTGGTTCTTCTTCTACCACCCGCCGACCTTCCGCATGAAGCACGGTGAGCACGCGAGCGTCTTGAAGTATGCCAAGGACTTTGACTACATCGGCACGGCTGTATACACTGGCGGGTTGTTGGTTCTTATGATGGGTCTCAACTGGGGAGGCAGCGTCTACCCATGGAAGTCGGCACATGTTATCGGGGCCATCGTGTCGGGCATCGTTGGCCTGGTGCTTTTTGTCCTTTGGGAGTCATATGCCAAGCTCAAAGAGCCTCTGGTACCGATGCACTTGTTTAAGAATCAAGGATGGAACGCGGCAACTATCTTGTCCGGTCTTGGTGCGAGCGTCTACTACGCCTTCGCTCTGGTGTGGCCATCAATGGTTACGGTTCTGTATGAGGACGGAGACCCAATGACGGCTGCTTGGTACTCCTCATTTGTCGGATTGTTCATCATCATCGGCGAGGTCGTCGGCGGAGTCGTCGCTAAGCCGATTGGAAACCTCAAGTTGCAATGCATCGTCACTGTTGCCCTCAGCGGCATCTTCTTTGGAGCTACCGCGACGTCGACGCCAGACAGCCGGGTCCGAGCTACGACGTTCGTGGCCCTCGGAACCTTCTTCATCGGCTGGGCTGAGTCGCTTGCCATCACGATCGTCACGATCGCGGCGTGGGATCAGTCGAAGCTGGGTTCGGCGTCTGGATTGGCGGGTTCGATCCGTTTCTTCATCTCGTCCATTTCCGCGACAGTGTATACCGTCATTCTCAGCAACCGACTCACTGATGAGATTGCAAGACAAGTACCCAAGGCGGTCACTGCTGCAGGACTACCCTCGTCGAGTGTGGCCGACTTCATTACTGGTCTGTCTACCGGAACGGGCTTTGATGGAATTCCTGGAGTGACGGATTCCATCGCGGCCGTTGGTGTCAGGGCCTACAAGGAGGCCAATGCTTTGGCATATCGCACCGTCTTCCTCGCGAGCATTGCATTCTCAGGCGTGGCTCTGATTGCCTCATTCATGTTGCCCAACGTTGACTCGCTGTTGACGGGCAAGGTTGCGTCGACGTTGCATAAGGGACGCAAGGACGAGAAGATGATTGGGGCTGGAGATGTGTAATAAGGGAGAAAAGGTTTAGCTCACGTCTATGTCGGGATGGCCCTGGTTCACGATGTAGGGGCCCGACTTGTTAATTCAACGTCTTATTATAAACAATCTGGGCTGCTGACATCCTCGCGTTATGATACGGAGACAATGTACCTGCTAGAAACCCTTAATAAAATAATATTGGAGGTTTTCACACTGTTTCTACAGTCGAGAAACTTTGATATTGAGATCTCTGGAATACGTTGGGATCTCAAGACATGTGATCTCGGACATCAAGTGGTCCGTGGACCCGATTGCGAGTCCGGTTGGGAGTCCGATTGCCCGCCAACCTGCATAAATGAAGGTAAATTGGTGTGACTTCAACAGGGAGAATGGCGAAGTCATTGCGAGGCACGTATTGACACGTCCATAATTATTTTCAAAGGCTGCTTAGCCTCACGGCATCCAAAAGCACAGACAGGACTACGTAATGAAAGAAGAATTTTGGTGATTATGGGGGTCATTACGGAGATGGTTGGTCATTCCACTGCCGGGATCCGAGGCCAATTGGGAAAACCTGGATGAGGCGCGGAGTACGGCAACACCAATGAATTGGTGGTGGTTGGGGGGAGGCGGGTCTGCTGGGCTTTCAGGGTCTGGGCGGACCCCTTCTGGCTCCTCTTCAAGGCTGAAATTCACTGAGCTGTACCGGACTTGGCGCATTTTGCTCCGGCATATTGCTCCAGCATGGCACCTGGAGCCGTTCTTGGTATCCCTTGGCACACTAAAGTGCCGCTGGATCCGGCCGCAGGGTCCGTTTGGCAGACGCGGCGAGCGCTGTGACTGGGCTGCGCTAGGGGTGCGCTAGGGGTGACGTCAGAAATGAAGGTCCCAGTGGGATCCTGTCATGATGCTCGCAGCGTAACTTTGGTGTGTGGCCGTGAGGGTCTGCGCCTGGGCGAATGGCGAGATGCGACATGCGACATGAAAAGTGGCTCGGTGTCGTCTCATACGCGGTCGCCGAGGAGACAAAACCTAGATTCTCCATGTGAAAACCATCAAGATATAGCTTCAGTTCCCGCGCTCCAGCTTCCCTTCGTCCCAACTCGGATGGTGTGCTGTGCCTGCCATCCTAACCGCGCTTATCATACCACCGGACCGTCAGCCTCACCAACCACCGGGTTCGTTCTCGGTCATCTCTAGCTTCATCCGTCCGCATCGCGACAACAACCTTTCGCAACCGTGAAAACGCGCCTCCTCCGTTGTCGCGAGCGTTCCAATCGTCCATTGAATTGTCCAATACGCGCCAGGACCCTGTCGCCACCGAACAATCGCTAGACTCGCAAACTCGGCGAGTCGCTGGACCCGATGAGCGACCAAGCCCAGGCGGAGTCGCATCCCAACGGCCAACCATCCAACGGCCAACCGTCCAACGACCACACGTCCAACGGCCAGAAGCAGATCCCTCGCAAACCCGTCGAGACAGATGCCAAAAACAAGCTGGAGAATGGCCACAAGCCCCTCAAGCCATCAGCCAGGATGGCCACTGGCCTCAAAGACCGCCTGAAGATCAAGAAAGGCCCCCCCGGAGGCTTCGATGCCACTCCGCTCCCCGACGCCCCCCAAGGATTCACCGTGCGGTTTATTTTCCACGGCGCGACCAACCTGCCCGCGGCGGACATCGGGACAGCTTCCTCTGATCCGTTCATCCATGCGACGCTCAAGGGCACGCAGCCCAAGAGGCACAAGGAGGACCCGGATCTAACCTACCGCACTAGGACCATCAGGCGAAGCACAGAGCCCGAGTGGGAAGATGAATGGGTCGTCGCCAATGTTCCTCCAACTGGATTCATCCTCAAATGCCGCCTTTACGACGAAGACTTCCCAGACTCCGATGACAGACTCGGAAACGTGACAATAAAGGTTCCTCAGGTCACAGAGACAGCGCCAGACTTTCAGCCGCCAGGAAGGAACTTTGCTGTCAAGAAGCGCATGGGCAGCAAGAGGGCGTATTTTTTCAAGGGCGTCGCAAGCATGGTACACTCTGAGGTTCACATGACACCCATACTTCGCATCAGCATGGTGGTGCTTGGAAAATCAGATCCGCCTTTCGCCCAGATGTACACTGTTGGCCCGACGCGGTTTGTGAAGCACTACAGTCCTCTCATCGGGCGCATCGCTGGCACAAAAGTCAATACCAATGAGGAGGATGATGCTCGAGAGGACCAGGGCGAAGATAAGAAGGGAAAGAAGAAGAGGACGCAAAAATACGAGTACGACACCCCCTGACTGCTGAGAGTTTCGCGCTGACTGTGTTACTAGCTTCCAAGCCAACGAGATGCAACTTGCAGGGCCTGTGCCACCTGTAATCTATCATCGATTTGTCGAGTTCAGGCCCATCATTGCATCCATGTTCTTCTCGACTGGTCTGAGGGGCAAGATTCTCAACACGGCTCTCCACAAGCAGCACAACAGAATATACAATTTCAACCGCTCGACAGAATATGGGGATTTCGAAGCATGCTCTAAGCAAGCGGCGGTGCAATTCCTCAAGCTCGCTCATTTTGACGAAGGCGGCCGAATATTCACCTATGTCTTGACACTGGATGGCATGTTCCGGTTCACGGAGACAGGCAAGGAGTTTGGTGTTGACATGCTGAGCAAGCATTCTATGCATTCTGACGTTGCGACGTACATTGCTTGCTCTGGCGAGTTCTTTATTCGACGCCTGAAGCACCCCGTGTCCTCGGACAACCCACACACGAAGGAGAAGACACACCCGTCCGAAGAGATCAGTGGGGGCCCGCCAAATGATGACCCTCCGCACAATCCTGCATACTACCAGCTCATCATCGACAATGACTCTGGTACATACAGACCAGACAAGTCGATTTTGCCAGACCTCAAGGCTTTCCTCGAGACCAACTTCCCCGAGTTGGGAATAATCACAATGCATTGGGAAGATCAAGAGCTGCAAGATCTCAAAGAGGCCCAGCGGGCGTTCAAGAAGAAGGAGGGCAGGATGGTCAACATGGTGATGAACATGAGCCAGAGCAGCATCAGCTCCGCCGAGAGCGAGCTCAACCACCGCGAGGCTGGTTGGGAGCAGGGACAGAAAAGCAAGCGTGAGACGGCGCTAGAAGCTATAGAGGACCCGTCAAAGATGAAGGAGGCAGTCAAGACTTTGATTCCGGGTGTCAAATGATCGCCTGAATGCGATCCACAACTTACGGCCGAAATTGTTTGGGTTGGATTGAGTGGGGTTGGACTGTCATTTGAATGCGAAAGATACCTTGGGTCATGTCGACCTTGTTCTCCGAGCGCCGCGTTTTCTTTTGTAACATTCAATTCTCTGCCGGAGTGCTTTTTAATGTTTATAGTCTAGTTCTATCCGCGTTGCCTGCTCTTTTTATATATCAAGGATGCTGCGTCCTTACATGTTCCCACTGCTCCTTAGAGACTTGGCTTCACTGTCAACCATGTGCTTGAGCATTTCGCCAGCACTGTGTCTTTCTCATCCTTTATCTCACAGTAGAACTTGGTCTTTCTCCCGTTCATTTCCTCCACCTTGACTGTGATGCGAAACACGCTGTTGGTAGGCGCAGGTCTGTGGTAGGATACGTCCAGTTTGCCCGTGACATTGTTTGCCTTGAACGCGCTCGCGTTCTTGCCCAGGGTGGTATTAAGATCAAATAATGCGCCCATCGACTCATCCAACATAGACGCAACGACGCCCCCGTGCACGACATTCGGAAACCCGCTCACGCCGTCGCCAGCGCAGATAAGGGTCTCGATCTCGGTGATGGTTCGCGTGGGGTCTAGCGCGGCTTCATGGCTCTCGGCACGGAAGATGCAGAGCATGCGCGTTATCGAGCGATCATTGGCGAGCGTGCGCCCGAAGAGTTGGTCGTGAACATCTGTAATGGGGTTGCGACACGGCGGGACGAAGGCGATTGCGCCGGGCGTGGAAAGCCGCGCAGCCGTCCAGGGGATGGAGTTGAAGAAGGCGACTTCTTTCTCGTAGAGGTCCGAGGGCGTTTCTTCCGGAGATAGGTTGAGCCCTGGACAGACGAGGCGATTGTATGTTGGGGGAGACATGGCTTGTGAAGGAGGTTGCGGGGATGAAATTGGTGGTGATGAGTGAAGAGCGCGATCAGATACGTCCTCTCGGCGAAAATGAAGGACGCCGAGAGGGGCTGATGGCCTGGGTCTGGTGGCCACGAGCCTTGAGAGGGTCGCGAGTGGACCTCGGTGCTTTAGTCTCAGCAAGCTTGGGGCAATTGACATGGTTATGTATATCTTTGATTTCCCAAAAAGATAGTCAGATGAGTGAGATAAGTGTTGTTTAGGTTACACCGTAATAATTCAGACAAGGGCCATCTGGGCTTGCAGGCTGGGAACACGTGCCTGTCAAGTCATCAACCAGACAAAGATCCGGTACTAAACAACTATGTACAGAAAGAACCGTCTGCGTATTCTTAATAATCTGCCGTATACCTTAGCTATCATTAGTAGAAACTCCCTTCGATTCGAAAACTTTTGCATACAGTTACATCAAAGCCGAGGTATGGCTGATGCGCTGCCTGCTGCATCGCGGGACTATCTCGGTGTTGATGGGGACTAGTGGGGCCGGCACGCACGGTATTCGGTGCCGGGCTGCTCGTGTCACCTCGGCAATCTCATCGGGAGCTCAGATTCGATCTAGAGTTGTCCGTACTCCATAGTTGGTATTTGGAAGTACGGTTTATTGTTGCCGTCCCTCGGTGCCATCAAGACTACTCGATATCTGACCTGATTCGCCCGAAGTTATCCAAACCATGGGTGGTAGTTGTTTGAATCCCGAACACCAAATGTTTAGTGGGGCTTGGAACAAGAACAATGTGAATAGGTGTTTATGGTAAATTAGACATAAATATCCTGTCAATAATCAACAATAGTTAGGCCATGCATGGACTTGGAAAGGAAAGCCTGCTCACATTATAGGCGGTGGGAAAGATGCATGCAAGTATCATACGGCGTATATCTTTGGTCAGGAAAATACCCTTGCTACTGTTTTGGGCAACTTCAAGACTTGAAGGTCATCTCCAAGGCAAATTAAAAGATCGAATGGAGATGCTGCTATTTACACTTTCCCAAGTTGTGCACTGCAAATCAGGTAGTAGTAAATCAATAGTGAAATCTGAACCTGAACAAGTGGCGAGGCGGCTGACAGCTGGAAGCCTCTGTTCGCAGCTGCCACCGCGTTTGCAGTGCGTCACTCACCGGGCTCCTGCCTTCCCAGTGGAAGCCAACTGTCATGGGTTCAACTTCTCGACTCTAAATTTTCCTCCCACTAATCCTCACCTTTTCACCATCACAAGACACCTTTCGTGGTGCTCGATTCTAACACCCTCCCCCGTTTCAACTTCGCCAATCATCAGGCAACATGAAGGGAAGCGAGGCCCTCTCGACGAGGCAGATCGATATCCTGATCACCATCGAGCGCACGGGAGCTGGTTGCTCCATGGCAGCCATAGTCCTGACGGCGCTGTCGTACTGGCTCGTTAAGAAGCTTCGCACCACCCCGAACCTCTTCATTCTCCTTGCCTCCATCGCCAACGCCGGGGCCAGCACGGCCTCCATGATGGGTTACGATGGCCTGGACAAGGGTGAGGACTCTGCCTTGTGTCAGTCTCAGGCATTTATCTTTGAATGGTGATTAACTTGCTTCTCGACTTGACTCAAGGAACCTTCAGTTGACTTTGGGTGCTACAGGTTCATGCAGTCGGACCCCTGGTGGTCGTTTGCCATGTCTGTCAACGTCTTTCTCGTCTTCTTCTTCAACGCGAGTCCTTGCACGTTTCGAAAGTATGCCTGGGTGTACTGTCTCATCTGTTACGGGGGCCCGATGATACCTGCCATTGTCCTGATTTCGATTCGTGACCCTAACAAAGGACTCATCTTTGGTGATGCCGCAGTAGGTAGAGGACGATCTAGTGGTTTGGAGTTCACCCTAACCTGTTTAGCTTTGGTGCTGGATCGGCGCAGACTGGAGTCTCGTTCGACTGTACTCCTACTACATCCCCATTTGGGTTTGCATTCTCTTGTCAATCGTCATCTACGTCGCCGTTGGATACCACGTCTTTCACCATCGTAACCAGTTGCGCAACCTCGCAGGAGATCATTGGGAGAAAGGAGAAGTGACCAATTCGAGCCCTCTTTCTAGTACAGCGAACAGAGGCTCATCCGAAGAGGTAGGATCGTGGGTTGGAGACACACAACTAAGTACTGACCTCTGGTTGAAGAGCCTTACTCACCGTCCCGAGTTTTATGGAACCGCCGTCACCGAGGTCCAGATCACATCGGACTTTTCTAAACAGAAGAGCCGCCTTGACCCCACGATACCTTCTGCCATCCATGTTGGCGCAAGTCCTAACCGCGGTCGATCATGGGCGGTTCCCTTGGAAAGCGAGGATATTGAAGGACATGGTGGGCAGAAGACGCAGCGCTTTGAGACTGTATGCACATCCGACAGAACACCACATCAGCAACTGACGGTTATTACTCGTCTTCGAGCTGTCAAGTCGAATGCATCTCTGAAACTCAAGCGGCTTGATCCCATCAAGATGGCTTACCTGCGGACCAGCTTCATCTTCGGGTTTGCAGTTCTCATCACCTGGATACCAAGTTCGATCAATCGACTCTACAGTTTGACCCATGGGGACAGGATCAGCTTTGCTCTGAGTGTTGCCAGTGGATGCGTTCTCCCACTTCAGGGAGTCTGGAATGCCATTATCTACGTTACCACAAGTTGGGCCACGGTCCGCGAGGAGTGCAAATCTTTGAAGGCGAAGTGGACTGGACGGCGCGATGCAGGCGCAAGAGCAGTTCGCTTGGAGAGCCGACTGGGAACCCAAAAAAGCGAGCATCGTGACACGTTTGAACGCTCTCGTGATCAACGCTCTAGCCTCAACGTGTGTGATCAGGGGTGTGACACAGGGAATGAGTCCTGGGGGTGTCCCAATTGAGCCGGGTGAGGTTATAATTTTGGGTCCAACATACTTAGCAGGGCAAGGAGGGATATCAGCATTGCCGGCAGGCCGTGGCTGTCTGAGGAGCAGCCATTAATTAGCGAGACAGCGCCTGCTCGAGCGATTTTGGAGCCGCATGTACTCACGCATGCCTCAATGCGTTCAATCTCTACACAAATGAATGATTCTTGGTTCATGAAATCGTAAAATTATATCGGCTTTTGTGTTTTAGTAATATCTGAGATAGACTCCCGTGAATGCTCGCTTATGCTTCATAGATGGCTTCGCCCTCGGCAGTATCAATACCCTCTCGCACAACTCTCTGGACGGCGGTTTCAATGTCCTCATCGCCATCGAGAAGATCCAGCCAGGTATTCTTGACACCCTCGGCTGCAAGAAGAGCAGAAGCGGTCTTCGCAACGGACTCACGGCTGATGCCAGCCTTCATGGCAATGCCGGGAGTCTTGCCCAGAGTCACCGTACCAGCGGGAGCATCAGTCAGAGTGCCTGGGCGTAGATTGATGGCGACGAGGGTGGGGCTCTTCTTAGAGACGTTGTAGAGGACCTCGTCGGCGGCGATCTTGGCCTGGTAGTAGTTGGCGAGAATGCCGTTGTTCACCTTTTCATGGTACGCATCCCACTCGCCGGCAGGCCACCAAGGGGCACCAGCGCGGCGGGAACCTAGGTAGGAGATGAGGAGGAAACGGGTGATGGTGGGGATAGTGGCGGCAGCGTTGACGAAGTGGATGGCAGCATCACGGTCAACCTTGAAGGTCTTCTCTCAGTCAGCAAAGCGGTCGGTCTCATGTACAGTTGATAGGAGCTCAAACCCTGTCAGCGCCACCCTTGCCTCCCGCACCTACACTCACGTCAGCACTTTGAATCTCGGAGATAGAATCGGTTGCATGCACTGACCTGCACTCCAGGCAACGTAGTCGGGCTTGACCTCATTGAGGATCTTCAGAGCGTGGTCCTGGCTGGTGACGTCTTCAACACTGCTGACGAGGACATTGAGCTTGCCTGGGAGGCCGGCACCGAGCTTCTCAATAGTAGGAACCTGCTCCTGCGCGCGAATCACGCTGGTGACAGTCCACGAGCGGTTAAGCAGAAGGGGTGTCATGAGCTGGGCAATCTTGCCGTGGCCGCCGAGGAGGAGAACGTGGTGCGACATGATTGATACCGGGGATATCTCGCGGTTTGAGGGTTGCAATACAGGACGTGTGTGTGGCTCGGTGAGAAATTGGTCTGACGCAAGACTAGGATGCTAATATTGGTTCACTACTTTGGGCTTCTGCAGGTGAGAGGGTGGGTGGTGATGATTTTAATGCTTGGGATACTTCGCTGTACTGCTCGTTGCTCACGTAAGTGGGACATGACGACATCCACAAAGCGGGGTTTGCATGACGTAGCGAGGACGGATCATGCTACGCTGTAGGTTTTTGCATTATGGGGAAGAAAAGCGATGAATGGAGAAGAAAATGGCAAAGCGGATGGGCTTCCAGTTGGGGATGGAAAGTTTAGAGGTGCCACAAGGGAAGTGAGGGCACGAGACTGATAGTAGAGTTGGGCTGAAGCGTAGTCTGGTCTTCTTGAGTCAGTAGTTTGTCTGCGGGGCTCACTAGGTTCATTGTGTTCTACTAGCAAATAAGACTATCGTAACCTGGATGCATTTGATATTGCTGGGAATCTTTGCAGTGGTGGTATAAAAGGAGCTTTAGGATGTCCGCATGAGCCGAGCCGAGCAACTCGGCGTGGGAGGAGGGGTCAAGTTGATGGATGGCAGCTTCTCGGTCATCCATGCGCGGGACCATAAATCTGTTCAATGGGTGACGATTGGTGGAGCTTCAAAGATCAGGAAACCCTCGATGGCGAAAAGACCGATGAGAGCCCAACAAAAAGAGAAATCTTACCATCTTGGTTGATCTGCGTGACTGTGGTAGTACGAACACAAGGGCTTAGGTAATCCGAGTGTCCCGCAGATCTCGGCATTCTCGGAGTCTGTTCGCTAAGCCGCTTTTGGCAACCTTGTTCTCAACTGTACTTCGACTCAACTCGCACCTTGCGATACAAACAAAGCCCAAGGGTTGAAGTCGGGTTGCTGGTTTATGCTCGGTATAATACTAGACGGTGAGCCGAACTCGTAATCGGGCACTCCTTAGGTTGGACCTACAGCATTAGGACCCGGCCAGTGCCCCGCATCACTTCAAATACCCCTCCAAATCGCTCAACCTTTGCTCAGTGCCCGGCGTTTGACTGAGCTTCAGACAGGGATCTTGCCTTAGTGAACGGAGTGTATGAACCTGGGAAGATATTTCCACCGTAGTAGAGCCATGGCAAAAACGGTCTGCATTATCGGTAAGTTGCTCGCTAGAACCCCACTTCAAACCACCCCTCACCTTCGATCCAGGTGCTGGACCGTCCGGACTGGTCGCGGCGAAGACATTGCTTCACAATGCAACACCCGGAGAGTTCAAAGTCAGCGTCTTTGACGCCCAGGAGCGCATCGGCGGTCTATGGCCGACCTCCAAGTCGGACACGCAGCGCCAGGTTCATCCGCTCATGCTGGCCAACCAGAGCCGACACACGGTGCAGTTCAGCGAGTTGGCATGGGACGACGCCGATCCTCAGCTCCCGCCGGCGTGGATGATTGGAAGATATCTTGAACGCTACGTTGAAAAGTTCTTGACTGGGAACGCGGATTTTGAACTCAAGCTCGGAAAACGTGTCACTCGGGCGGAGCGTCCCGGAGACTCACCTGATGGCTGGAGTGTTACTGCTGGATCTCAGCTAGAAGCTGAAACTGGGCACTTCGACTACCTTCTCGTCGCCTCTGGTTTCTTCGGCAAACCCATCATCCCCGACAGCCTTTCGAAAGAATTGTCTATCCCCGTCATTCACAGCAGCCAGTATCGCGACCTGGATGGTCTCCTAGGAAAGGGACGAGCTGGAGGAGGCAAGATTCTGGTTGTTGGTGGCCAGATGTCCGGTGTTGAGATTGCCGGTACTATTGGAGCGCACCTCTCTTCCGCGACGAATTCACCCGATAGATCGCCCATACAGGATGTTGACAAGTACCGAATCCATAATGTTATCCAGCGGCCAACTTGGGTATTCCCACTTTACACAAGCCCGAAGGTGAGTCTACCATGAATCAATACATCAATGAGAGAGCTAATTTGTCATCAGCCAACAAATGTAGCTGCGCCTTTCCTACCCTTGGACTTTGGTTCTTATAACATCAACAACCGCCCAAAGCCTCTCGTCAATACTCAAGGACACATCACTGAGGACACTGCCAAGATGGTACATGGCATTTTCCAGAACGTGGTTGGCAGCAATCAGTCGGAGTTCTCAAGTCTCTTACGGGTGGATGATTCGAACAATGATCAACAACCGTATCTAGCCGTCAGTGACTGGTACAGTGACTTTGTTCGATCCGGCCTCATTGAATTGTCAAAGGGCAAGGTTGAGGCTCTTGACGGATCTACGGCAACCCTCTCAGGTGGTGCGAAGGTTGAAGACGTCGCAGCAGTGGTTGTCGCAACTGGTTTCGACCCATCTCCATGCTTGAACTTCTTCCCCGACGAAATTTTGAAGACTCTCAAACACTCCCCTCAACATGTGGACCAACCTATTGCCCTCGCTTTCCATGGAACTCATCATCCCGAGGTCTCCGGTCTTGGATTCGTGGGCTTCTATCGATCTCCCTATTGGGGAGTGATGCAGATGCAGGCACGATTCATGGCGGCTATGTGGTCTGAAAACGCCGACACTGCCCGCTCTTCTGAGGCATACGAGGCGAAACTTCAGAGCGATGTGTCAATCCAACGAACACTGGACTTGCGCGACGATCCTCGAGTATCGCAGTTCCCTATGGGAGACTACCTTTATTTGATGAACGAATTTGCAGAAGCACTTTCGATGGAGATCCAAGCACCCCTGGACCCCCCAGCTCCGAGCCTGCCGCACAATGACCTGCCGCTCGATATGCTAACCCCAGCACGATATATCTCCGCAAACGACGATGCAGAGTCGAAGGAAGCTGCTATCAAGTCTATGAGGCAAACCCACGAAATCACAACTGCTGGCCTGACGGGTACAAAATTCGTGGCTCGTGGCGTCTTTAGAAGCTTGCTAGGCACTTGGAAACTTGAGCGCGATTTGCGGAGCAAGCTTCCCACCCACCCAAGCGGTCACTTCAGCGGAACAGCGCGGTTTCTGCTCCGAGAGAAAACTAGTGACGGTCTGAGATGTGCAGCCAACCCCACAGACACAGAGCCCTCGTCTGACGATGAGCTGGGCATGGAGTACCTCTACATCGAAGAGGGCGAATTCAAGACGGACCAGGGCTTCGGCTTCAAGGCCACACGTCGCTACGTGTGGAGATACGACGAGCTCAAGGATATCCTTAGCGTCTGGTTTGCGAAGCCCGAGGAACTAGACCGTGCAGACTACCTCTTCCACGAGATCGAGTTCATAGGTCCCGAGGTCGCCACCAACAAGGGCTGGGCTGCGAAGGCGGGGCATCTCTGCATCGACGACTACTACGACGTCAAGTACAACTTTGCGTTCCAGGCGGTGAACCTCAAAGAGTGGGGGATCGAATACACGGTCAAGGGGCCGAAGAAGGACTATACCATTAAAGGGACGTACACGCGTTAGACATGTGATGTCGGAAGAGCTATGGACTAGACGGTCTTTGCGCTTATATGAAGGAGACTAGAATGGCATGAGGTCCGTAAGGTGCAATTGGTCCGCTTAAGTTGAGAAACCCATACTCTGGAGTGCGGGGAATACCGAAAGGGCCGAAAGAGGATGCTTCCATGACATGGGCATGGTTCAAGGGATCCATACTTCATCTTATGCGGGGATTTATTCGCTTATAGCGCAGAATGAAGACCTCTACCCTCCTTGAGGTACTATTCCACGTGGTACCCCCGGCGAACCTGCGGAATGCCACCTTGTTCTGAAACCTTATACTCACGATGAGGATCTAGCTCTTGTGTAAGTGTTTTGCCTAGAGCTTTCAAGAGATAAGTCAAGTGATAATCAAGCAGAAGTGTGCCCGAAAATATAGACGAAGACAATGATAGCTCGCTGGTAATTTAGCGAGATGGGATGTTCTAAACTATCTCATTAGTCCAACTAGTTGTAATCAAGACTCCTCCTAGCTAAGCTTCCGTTGTTTTCTAGATCTCTACCCTATTTCTAATCTCCATCCCTTTTCGGCTTACAGGCCGAAACGAGAACGTATTAAGTGTAGGCGGTACCGAGCTGAGAGACTATTGAAAGACGAAGTGGATGCCATCGCCTGACTCCCTTCAATCATGACGCCACGAAAGGCGGAGATTTGAAGGAGAGCATGACCTAGTGTCTAATATCGAGTTGGGATTCGCGCGGCTCACATAGATCATTTTCACTTCCAATCTACCCCAAACTTTAACGGAGTTGCCATTCCCCATTCGATCCGGTACCTGAATACCGAAGCCATCCGTCACGGCCCCGCTCGTCCCGCCTCCGCCATGGGTTGTTCCACCACTGACATGGCGGCGCATATATCTCCAGCCCGAAACATGCAAGCTTCACAAGCCAAAACATGCAGTCTGTGAGACGGATGAGTCCAGATGAAGCCGTGCAGTAATCCGGGGATGTGGGGGAATACCGAGGGGAAGGCCATGTTGGAGAAATAAAATAAAAGGCTCGCCGGTTCTGAAGTTGCCAATGCCGGACCATCGGCAGCGCACCTCGTAAACTCGTCGTCGCAATGAAGTTCTCCAGTATTGTCAGTGGCCTCGTCGCGGCTTGGAGCCTTGTCGGCTCCTCCGCCGCCGCATTCACCAACCCTGTGCGAAACCCCGGAGGCAGCGATCCCTTCATCGTGCGCTCTGGCGATGGCTACTACTACCTCATGTCAACCTCGTGGACGGATGTAGAAATTGCGCGGTCCACGACAATCGCCGGGCTCAAGACGGCGACGAAGAAGGTCATCTACTCGTCTACCGCGTCCAACCGCTGCTGCAACGTGTGGGCTCCCGAGATTCATTGGATGGGCAGCGCTTGGTACGTGTACTTCACGGCCGGGAATGGCGACAATCTTGACGGCCAGAGATTGCACGTCCTCAAGGGTAAAAATCTCCGTTTGTCTCTTGTTGCCCATGCTAACTCGTCTGTCAGGTGGAGCAAGTGCTTGGGATGATGCCTACACCTACGCCGGCCAGCTCAACGACGTCTGGGCCATTGACGCATCTGTCCTCCGTTTCAACAGCTACGGAAACTACCTCATGTTTTCGTGCATGTACGGCGTTACGTATCAGTCGATTTGCCTGCAGAAGCTAAACGACGACAACATCTCGCTCTCCGGCTCCATCTCCATCATTTCCCAGCCCGACCAAACCTGGGAGAAGTACGCGCACCCGGTCAACGAAGGGCCCGTAGCCCTGTACGCCGGCGGCAAGACCATGATTTCCTACTCGGCCTCGTACTGCTGGAGCCCCAACTACTGCCTCGGACTGTTGACGTGGGACGGCACGACGAACCCGACCAAGGCGAGCGCGTGGACCAAGAGCAACGGGTGTAAGCTGAGCAGCGGGAACGGCCACTACGGCACGGGACACAACTCTTTCTTCCAGAGCCCGAGCGGCGAGACGTGGATTGCGTTCCATGCGACATCCAACTCCGGTGGCGCGTGCGATGATTCCCGGTATACGATGGTTCAGAAGATTACTGTTGGCAGCGATGGGGCTGTGAACTTTGGAACCCCCAGTTTGACTTCGACGAGCATCGCCGAACCCAAGTAGGGGATACTTGCGAGGGTGTCATTGGAGAATATTTGACGTGAGAGAGAGTAGGAGGATATTGAATCATATAAATCATGATTGTGCTCATTTAAACCCAGAGTATTACGTATATGTACTCGAGCAACTATTTACATGCCGTCCGTCCCGCCACAAGCGTCCCGGTCGTCTCTAACTGCAGAAATTCCACATTCATTCAACCAATTCGTGTATATATGGTTATTAGTTGGTCTCAAAGGCTGGGAAATGCTGTTTCACACCAACATCCAAGACTTTGATGCTGACAGGCTTCACAAAGTATTCATCCGCGCCGGCCCCCTCCGCATCCGTTCTATCTTTCGGACTATCTTGGCCAGTCACAATAAATAGAACGCTCTCTCCCCACCCGTTCCGTTTCTCTAGTGAGCGTATTTGCCGGGTGGCTTCGATGCCGTCGCATACTGGCATTTGAAGGTCCATCAGGATCAGCTGGATCGCAGCTCCTTTGCCCTGCGCAGCCAGTGTCTGATGTTGCGAAAACATCTCCACGGCTTGCGCGCCGTCAGCTGCGCAATGGTATGGCACTCCTCGTTTTCTGCAATACATCTGCATGATTCGAAGGTTGACCAAGTTGTCGTCGACAAGCAGCGCTGTGGGTTTGGGTGACCTTGCGAGACTAGGGAAGATTGAATCGACTGCCCCTAGTTCAACCACAGCTGCTGGGTCGGAATGACATGTTGGTGACACAGTAATTTCCAAGCCGGGATCGACGAGGCTGTCTGTCGGGGATTGGACCGGCGACCCCTTCGACTTTAGAGAATCAACCAGTGACTCCACCCTTCCATTTGTACTCGGGCCTTCGTCTATTTTTGGGAGCATAGGTGAGGGTTCTTCAAGGGGAAGCTGCGACACCCGCGAGGCTTTGATCACCGAAAGAAGCCTATCTGCTTCTTCAAGCGCCGAGTTCATCGTTGAGGTCAAAAAGGGCCCGTTGACGTAAACGACGTTATTGGGAGCTTGTTCTATTGACACATCTCTTTCTGAAGCTGGAATCAGACAGATAGCGACTTTTTCTGATGGGATCTGGGATAGATATGTCTGACGCTGTTCCAAGTTGGGGACAAAATCAAGAATGTTGAAGCAGTCTTCTGTGCTGTCCGAAGAAGTAAAACCGTGGCAGGTAAGATATCTGCTAAAATGTTCGCACACCGATACGCGATCCGGGCCAGACGATATGTTGTGAAATTTCGAGGGTAGGTTCTTAAGCCTCCGGACCAGTGGCCGCGGCACAAGTGGCGAGGATTCAAATTCGACTTCTCGGAACGTGGCTCTGAAATGAGAACCGTGGTCAACTTCTGACGATATCAAATCAACTGATCCATGGAGGAGTGTTGCGAATTTGGATGCGATAGCCAGACCCAATCCGGCGCCTGTGGAGTGCGGGCTGACCTTTTCGTATGGCTCAAATATTCGTTCTTGGTGATCCGGATGAATCCCACAGCCGGTGTCCTCGACGTCGACGACAAGCTCCTTGCAGTCTAGACGTATTGATGTAGTTACCATTACGGCGCCTTCCGGAGTGTTTTGGATGGCGTTCATGATAAGCGGCAGTAAGCTATCTCGGAGGAGATTCAGATCGACCCGAAGACTATCACAATCTGTCGGCAGGTCGTGGTTGAAGAAGACGGAGGCTTTGTATCGCGAATCCCCTGAAATTGCCTGGCGTAGCTCGTTGCCCAACTCTGCTTCCAGCTCGTGGATCGTATGTATCGCATAGCACCGATCTGACATGGCAATGTCGGCCCATCTGTTCAACGTAATCATGCTGTTGACAATCGAAATCAAGTCTCGCCCCGATGTCTTGATAGTATTGAGGTATAGCGAGGATTCACCAGCATTGATCGCCGAGGTTGCTTCTATCAATGCCGAAACCGGGTAGGACGTATCGCGCGAGTTGCGCAACTTCAACTCCTCGGCCAGTAGTTCCACGGAACCAAGGATGCCATGGATCGGGGTTCGGAGCTGATGAGAAATTCCCCGGAGAAACTTCTCCTTTGCTTTCATTACTTCGGCGAGAAGGATTTTGTGCCACATCTGCGAAAGCATGTCCGCGCAGGTTTGGACAAACCAGGAATCGATGTCATCAAACACGAGTCGAAAGTCCTTGGATGCTACGACGAGCATGGACTGTCCCGATATGCTGTCGCATTTGGTAGCAATGACGCGTACTACCTTGTTCAAGGGAAGGGAAAGATGGTTCGAATTCGCAATGAAATCGTCCAGGTAGTCGACATCTTCCCACAGGCCGTCTTCAAGGTCAGACAACAGTATCGGACTCCGCCCTTCAATCTCAACGCGGTCAGTTTTGGACGATTGCAGGCTTATTATTGCATCCGGATATATAGTCCTCATTATGTTAAGGACCGAATCCTCGGAGACAGTGTTGTCCAGTTCCCTCTGTGCTGTGGCGATGAGTTCAGCCATTCGACGCCGTTCTCGCTGGCGTCCTGCTCTTGCACATTGGACGATATCAGAGACAACCCAGTCGGCCAGGCGGGCGATGGTCTGTTGCTGAAGTTTATTCAGTGGCTCTTGTTTCGTGCTTGAGGCCACACAAAGCGAGCCGAGGCCAACACAATCACCGGATTCGGTCTGTAAGCGGAGTGGTGCACCAGCGTATGCAAGGAGCCCGCCCATCTCGACGTATGGACAGTTTTCGAATCTCCAGTCCTCCATCATATTCGGTAAATGAAACACACTCTAGTCAAGAAGTCTTAGCACCGTTTACATATTGGGAAAGAGGCCATCAACGTACACCAGGGGGTTGAGTGACGGTGTGTGCGCAGATAACTTCACCACGAGGAATGATGCATAGGGGAAGCCCAACTGTGGCTAGGCGGATATAGAAGTTGACATCAAGAATTCCGATGACGGCAAACTCCCATTCTGTAGCTTCTTTGGCGAGGTGGGCCTTTTCCTGAAGCCCGGAGAGAAACTCGGCCTCCTTGAGGATATCGCGGGTGTAGTACCAGAGCATGGACAGCCGGAGCCGTTCGTCCTTGGCCAAGAAGGAACGGAGATATCGATCGGAGAGACACATTGGCCGGTCCGGGATCGGCTCGAGCCCATAGGCCTCCGTCTTCCGGGGGTAGAAGGCATTTTCGGCGTCGTGGGGCCACGGCCCAATCGGTCGATCAGCATTGTCCGGGTCGAAGATCGGCCCCACGGTCTGCGGCCGGGTCGGCGGAGGTTCGTGCTTCGACGACAGGACGGCAGCATCGGCTTTCGGGAAGAAGGGCATCCGCCGCCGCGTAGTAGACGCCATAGTCATGGGATTTATCGTGGAACTGTCATCTCAAGAAAGGTCGCTTTCTGCTCATGACGACTACATTTCGATAAGCGGGGTGGAATGGGAACCGAGGATGTGCCGAGGCGTCTAAATGGGTTTTACGTCGCATTGACACGATCCGCAGGTTAAATGCCGATGGCCCTAGCGAAGATTGGACCGCGGTCAGTAAGCAGGTGACATGGATGTTTGACTTGAGGTGGTTGTTGAGTGTTATGTGTTATGTTTTAGGAAAATGTTTTAGGAAAAGCAGAACCCGTGACTAGTTTCGCATCTAATGGAATCCTATTCTTGTGCCGTCATATCATATCATTCATTCAACTCGGTGCCCGGCTTGATGTCTCCACACGGCCAGGCTAGGCCGCATGCATGAACCCGCAGCATGTCCAACATGCCGGAAACTTCATTTTATCGTGCAAGAACATCCCTCACTTATGATCCAACTCGGAGAAGCCAACGCACGACTTTTTACGTTATTAACCGCGAGGTTGTAGGTTCGCGGAGATGACCCGCCAATCTGGGCCCTCGCCAACCGGAACTCCCACCCATCTCCCCGCCAGCTCACCAGACGAAGACGCAATGCGCCGCAACGATGGATGCAAGATGGAAAAAAAAACTGCCGATTCTGGAAACTCGGCTCATGCATCACGGGATAGTCCAGGGCGCTGAGGCTCTGCGGCCCATGCACGTCGACCGATGGAACGAACGCATCCCGTCCATGGCGGGAACCCATCAGCCATGGAACCAGGCCCAAGACCAGGACCCCGGTGCAACCGGCCACTTCCACATTCCCATCTCCAGGGAACCGGCGCATCGGAGACAGGAGGGCTCCGTAAACTTGCAGAAAGTGTAGATTCGGATCCATAGCATCTACCCGACCCGAAGATCTCGACGACGGCCAAAAAAGGTGGTCCCGCCACTCTGTGTGCTCGCCACAACCTCACCAACGCGCGCATCCAGCGTAAAAAAGACGCCAAGATGCAAGCGACACGTAGAAATTGACAGCGCCGCCAGCTCCGCCACGGCCGTTGGTTGGGCCGCAATGGCTCGCAAGTCGCCAGCCTCGCCTCCTTTAACGCACGCCCTCGCTTGGCATCAAAGCTTGGATATTGCATGGCCTGATTTCTCGAAGCACATGCTGGCCGCGCCGCTGCGATTGGGGACGGAGACGCATCTCTCAATCGAGTCATCTCTCTCTCGAAGGAGTCATCGCCTCGGTCGCCTTGGCCCTGGCCTCTCCTTTTCCTTTTCCTTCGCCCTCGGCTGTTTGCGTAAATCTGATTTCCCCACGCCTATTTATTTGGGTCGCCTCCGCCTTCTCCGGAAGCGAGTTGTGAGAATATCAGACAGAGTGGAGTAGAGCTGAAGATCTAACCCCGCGCAACACCAAACCTTCGCACAAGCGAGCATCATCATCCTTATATCATCATCTCACCCATCATCACACATCATCAATCATCCCTCACACCCTCATCCCCTCATCTCAATCATCACCGCCATCATGAAGGTCGCCGTATTTAGCACAAAGCCCTACGACAAGAAGTACTTGACTGCCGTGCTCCAGGAAAAGCACGCCTCCTCCGGCATTGAGCTCGTCTTCCACGAATTCGCTCTCAGCGAGGACACCGTCGCCATCGTCGAGGGCGCCGACGCCGTTTGCGTCTTTGTCAACGACACCCTCAACGACAATGTACTATCGGCCCTCTCCGAGTTCGGCGTAAAGGCCATCCTGCTGCGATGCGCCGGCTTCAACAACGTCGACCTGGACGCTGCTCAGCGCATGCGCATCATGGTGGCCAACGTGCCCTCGTACTCGCCCGAAGCTGTGGCCGAGTTCGCCGTCGCTCTCATCCAGACGCTCAATCGCAAGACGCACCGGGCGTACAACCGCGTCCGAGAGGGCAACTTCTCGCTCGACGGTCTGCTGGGCAGAACTCTTTGCGGCAAGACGGTCGGCATCGTCGGCGTCGGCAAGATTGGCCTAGCCACCGCCCGCATCATGAAGGGCTTCGGCTGCCGTCTTCTTGCGTACGACCCCTTCCCGTCGTCTGCATTCGAGGAGTACGGCGAGTACAGGTCTATCGAGGATCTCCTGCCAGAATGCGACATTGTCAGCTTGCACTGCCCGCTGATGTTGAACACTCGCCACATCATCAACACCAAAACCCTGGCCCTGATGAAGCCCGGCGCCATGCTGGTCAACACCTCCCGAGGCGGCCTCATTGACACGGAAGCCGTCATCCACTCGCTCAAGCAAAACCACATCGGCGGGCTTGCGCTGGACGTGTACGAGGCTGAGGGCGAGCTGTTCTACAACGACCACTCGTCGCACATCATCCAGGACGATCTTCTCATGCGTTTGATGACCTTCCCCAACGTCGTCGTCTGTGGTCACCAGGCCTTCTTCACCGAAGAGGCACTCACCGAGATTGCCGAGTGCACTCTCGCCAACCTCGAAGAGTTCATGGAGCACCACACGAGCAAGAACTCGTTGACCAAGGATCTCAAGTTGCGCCGTCGCGATTCGCTCCCCGTACGTGCCATCTAAAGACACACCATCGGTCAATATCCGATGCTTTCGGAGTCTGTTGTCGTATCTGAAAGATAAGAGGAGGGATCCATACTTTTGAGCTTTGTGTTTAAGGCTAGTCCAGTCTCGTGATAATCATCACACCACCGTCTGAACTATAGACACTACCCGGAACTAGGAATGCTATCCCTGCGCACCATGTGTGCCAAGTGGGCCTTGCCACTGGGTGCCGAGAGCCACTTGGACAGGCGGATCTCATTCATTGTTACCGAGCATTGCCGGAGGCGCATGAACGACGCCCATCCCCTGGCAACCACATCGCCGGGTTTGTTCTGCTGGGCTACCACGCCATTTTTTTCTGTACTGTTGTCTTATTGCTTTTTTTTCGTGCTTGTCTCTTTGTTTTTGATGACCAGATACGACGACGAGAACATATAGACGGTTATGGGCCTGCTGCAACAGTCAGCGGTTTTGATGCAGGAAGGATCAGAGCAACAGGGTCATGACGACGAACGCGATTTCCAATCTAGATTATTACTATTTTTTCTTAAAATTGACAAAATGAATTCCGGGTATACCGCCTAGTCTACTGTTCCTTCTATGCCAATATGTTCCTCCGTGACCGTCTATAAACTCTATAGGCCTTGTCCATGCCATTAATCCTTTCTCCATTCTATGTTATCCGTATACCTCTATATGTTTGAGTGGTGGGCAGATATCTGCCTGGTATGATGAGCTCTCGGCCGCCCATTTAGGGGTTGCTCACGTAGCTCCTGGCTCGTCGCAAATCCTCATCATTCTCAGAGTCGTTCCTGACCAAGGCGCCACCGGGAGTGACTCCCCGACCCTTAGCCTTCTCAATATCATCGACGCTGGAGTCTTCCTCATCTCCAGCGTACGCGTACTTGCTGCGCTCACGGATCTTGGCGCCGTACTTCCAGAACAAGAAGGGGATTGCGCAGCACGCGAGACTGATGAAGGCCAAGAGCGTAGATGCCCACTGATCGTTGAGCCGCTCGTACATCTGTTCAGTGAAGAGCACGACGGCGGCACCCCAGAAGCTTCGAATGCAAGTCTTGGCGGCCAAGGCAGAGGCAGCCTGGTGCTGGTACGAGTCGACGAGGTAGTTGTTGGCCGAGTTGTAGAGGAAAATGAAGCCGAAGCCGACAGGAAAGCCGCCCATGGCGGGGCCGGCCCACGAAAGATCTGCGTACGAAGTCCACGCGAAGATGAACAGACCGATGGGGATGCACCAGCAAGAAATCATCATGGGGATCAGACGGACCTCAGCGGGTGGGTGACCGTTGTGCTGGTTGACCATCTTGACGTAGTGCTTGTTGACGAGGGGGGCACAGGCCGCGGAAAGGAGAACGCCCACAGCCACAGGAATAAACATCAGACCAGTCTTGCTGGCAGAGTAGCCCTTGCCCTTCTGGTAGATGATAGGGAAGGCAACGAAGAACATGTACAGGAGACCATACAGGACACTCATGTACACGGAGATGAGAAAGACGATGAGCTCGCCGAAGAGGAGCTGGAACGGGCGGATGAGGAAGATGAGAAGACGCTCCGAGAAGGGCCGCATGTCGAGCTCCTGCTCCGTGACGTGGTCGGCCTCGCCGGTTGTCTTACGGAGCTTGGCGGCGCGGCGGGCGAGGATGGTGGGAGTATAGGTCTCGGGGACGGTGAAGGTGATGAGGATCCAGACGATACCGGCGAAGATGATCTGGATCCAGTATAGCCAGCGCCAGTTGGTGGCGTCGGAGAGGAAACCACCGATAAGAGGGCCAACTGTGGTTGTTTCATTAGCATGCTAGCTAATCATCGAACGCGGCTTTCGGAGGACTTACTGGCAGGGCCGATGAAGGGCGCGGCAGAGAAAGCGGCCATGGGAACACCTCGCTCCTCGTTTCTCCAGAGATCGGCAAGAGTGCCTCCAACGAGAGTCATGGGCGCCGAGAATGCAATTCCGTCAATGGCACGGCAGATGAGCAGCGTCTCGATGTTCTTGGCCACGGCGCAGGGGATGATGAAGATGACGGCGATGAGTAAGGTCGAGCCACTAAAAATAGCAGTTAGTCCCCTGAACAAGATAATATCGAATCGATTTTGCTTACTAGATAACTCGACGGCCGTAAATCTCAGACAGGGGCGCAAAAATCATAGGACCAACACCAAAGCCAACGACGAAGACGGAGATGCTCAGGAGGGCAACCTCCTCGCTGACATGCAAGTCCTCGACAACACCGCCGATATCAGCCGTAATGACGGACGAGGCAAGGGCGACGACGAAGCAGGTCAGCGCCACAACCATGGTGCACCACCACTTGTACGCCTTGGACCAGTTCTTGGGGTTCTCCGGGTCGTTGGGGGTGAAGGTGACGAGCTTGTACCTGCGCTCGCCGGCCAGCTGCCCGGACTTGCGCGCCACGGCCTCGGGTTCGACGGGGCCCGGGATGGAGCCCGCCGGCACCTCGACGCGGTACTCGTCCAGGTTGGCCGTCGCGCTCAGCGTGCGGTACGGCAGCTCGATGTCCAGCTCCGGGTCGCGGGCCTCCTTGTGCGAGACCTCGCGGGACAGCCGCTGCGAGGCGGCGGACATGGAGCGGTGGACTCGCGAGGTGATGGACCTGATGGGGGCGAACTCCCGGGCGACGTCGTCGTCGTCCCGGTTGGCATCGCCGGGCAGCGTGGCTGATGATGAAGTATTTGATGATGAAACCATGATGACTGATTGTGAAGGAGGTATAGAGGATAAGAGAGAAGATGAAGTCACACTGTCTCGCACAACCATTCCAGCTCTTACAACCCAGGGGAGACAGGCCGATATATATACTCTTTCAATACCATTTCAATACCCGAGGTCCATGCCGAAATCTCAACCACCCTCGTCCAACCAGATGCCAGATCCCAGATATGTTACCGCGTTGGGCCATGACGCCCACGCCCACGACGGACTACCCGAAAGCCGGACCAAGGAAATTGAACCGCTGGGATCCACCGTGCCACCGTAGCGGCTGCGAACCATACATCCCATGGCGCACGCGGATGCGGCTCCAACCGATACAAGGGGGTGTGTGTGTGTGTGTGGCACAGGGCCCTCCCGTTTGGATTTTCTGGCCGCCCATTAAAACGTGGTTTTGCCCTTTGGGGATGGGGATAACTCGGTGTTTTTGGCCAGGGAGCCACTTTGGGCCGCGCGCGCCCCGTTTATTTTGGCCGGTTCCAGTCGCCATCTTTGTCACAGGAGATTAACTTGCGCGCAGACGTCTCAGATCCAGACGCGAGATCCCAGGCTCTCGCATGCTCCTTTGCAAGCCCTGGTCAGCTTCGATGCTGGATTTTCTCCAGGTGCGCTGCTCTCCAGCTCGCAACGGCGTGGCGTCGCGGAGAGTGGGCAAGCTGGCCGGGGAGGGTCACGGAGGTGAAAAAAACCAAGGGCCCACAGTCGGCGCCGGAGTGGATCTCCAGAAGTGGGGCCGCGGCGACGGCCGGGCCGGCATCGGCAGCAATCAAGCAATGACTGTGCTGGGGCTGAGACAGAGCGCCACGCTAACACGGTTTCATGAACTTATCGTCACCAACGGTGCAGGGGGAGGGGTCTTCCCAGTACTCGGTAATAAACCCGGTAATTATTAGTCGGGATACTAGGGCTATGGTTGTTATCAAAGCATGCATTCATAATTAATTGTCTATTCCCGTCAACGTCCTCGCCATCGCCCTCCCTCCCCTTTCGCCCTCCCAGCCCTAACGCAACTCCACATCCATCCTCGTAATGCCACTCACTTCCTCCACCAGATCCACGCTTACCGTGCCACTCATTCGATCGCCGTTCCTGCCTGCCATCAGTCGCCGGTATCGTTCCACCGAGGGATTCGTCCATCGTGTCCGACACTCCGCTCCGTCAAGAAGGGGGAGGGCCATCCCGGTGCTTTCTGACGTATCAACCATCTCCACTTCCGCCATGACAATGTTACCGTCAGGATCGACGTGCCTCACACTCCCATCATGTTGGACGGCCGCCCGAGAGAACGCCTCTTCACGCCCAACATGCATGGCCCATGTCCGAGCCCACCCTTCTGCGCTAAAGGCCCAGATAACCATGTTTGGACCCGAGTCGAGGGCCAGCTCCACCAGGTTGCTACAGATAGCGACTGGTTGGCCCTGGATCTCAAGTGGATAGACTGCTGCGTTGTCTTGGAACGGGCTCCCGAATACGTCGATTTCGCGGTAGTTCTCCTCCGGCCTCCAGCTCACCCACTCCGATAGCGTTTCCGCCTCTTCATTCCAGCTTGGCCTTCTGGAAGGGCCGACATTCCCCTGGGAAATGTCGTGGAACATGTCTGGCGGAATCGTGTAAAAGACAACAATCTGTTCGTCAGAGTCGACGCCGCTTTGTGGGGCCGCTCTTCTGGAAGTAACCTCATCTGACTTAACGCGCATAGAACCCCCACTGCTGACTGAGAATGTTGCCGCAACGCGGACCCCATGCCGTGTGTCTGCCCTAGCAGTGTATAACAAGGGTAACGGGGACGACGCGGCCGATGGTGGCCGAAACCACACCTTGCGAATTAACCGATTCAAAGAGCCGAATGGAGCATCCGTCCCCAGACAGAGGTTTCCCGTCTTGGGGTCTGTGAATAGAATATGGTATCCGTCACTAAGAGGGACAGCTCTGTAGTGATCTGCACTACTGGCAGAGACTCTGCGGACGAGCCCATCGCTCGGCAGGCGTTGATCAAGTAGATCGCGTGGTCTTACGCACGGTCTCTGGGATGGCAAATCGTTGACGGAATGAATATCATGGATGACGGTTCCCCCAGTCCCTGCACCCATTACCGAAACAACTCCGTTGCTCCCAGAACGAACGAAACTGGTCTTAAAGCCATGAAAGATATCCCCGACTGGTCCGACATCGTCGCCAAGCGCTGCAGCAGAGCTGATAAGCCGTAATTTTTTGCCGGTATCGACCCCTCTTCGTGCTGGGAGGAAGTATAGGTAGTCGCTCGGAGATGCGAGGGGGAACCATCTGCTCAGGTCCTGGTTTGTGAGAGCATCTACCTAATGAAGCTCAATGCCAGCCGTACATCCAAAGGCCACGCAATTTCGCTGAGGGCAGAGTGCAACGGAGCGAGGGGGATCGTCAGGGTGACAGATTCTCCTGTAAACCGATCGCGGACCCTCCTCGACAGGAGGCGCTCGAGACACAGGGTTGACCTGGCAAACACACGCAGGGGAGGCGAGACTGGTCGAATTGGGCGTATTCAGGCCGGAACCTTCATTGGACGTGTTGGCTGATGTCGATTTCGATTTCCCAACCCTCTCGGCCAAGATGTTGCATACCATCCCCATTCGACCTTCCATTAGAACTGCAACAGCGTGGCGGCCCGCTAACGTATCCATGCTACATGAGATGACTTGTCGTGGACAGATAACCGTAGCCACAGGCCGAGGAAGCCCGAGGGCCTTGCTCTCTCTCGGCCGTAACGGAACCGACCACGTCGACCGTGGGCTGGAACAAACATGGTTCAATTCGTAGACATAGACTGTCCGTCCGTGCGTCGCTAAAAGAAACCGTCCGCAGAGGCTGACCGTGAAGACGAGGGCCCCATGCAAAGCGCCAACCGTTGATCCCGGCACCAACCCATGAAAAGCCGTGTGTCCGACTTCTTTAAATGCGGACTTTTTCAGATTTGCCAGGGCACACTCTCTTGAGATCCATTTGCTCATTATTCTCTCCTGATTGAGGCTGAAGAGTCGTGTTATGTTCAGGGGAGTCATGAGCTGAAGCAGACTGCTCCACCAACCGCCCCTCTTCAACATGCAGACAAGGAGCCTACGATCGAGACTTGCAACGAACCACGACCGACACGTATGTCGAGCGACGTTGTAATCATCTGGTGCGAGGAGGAGGTAGATCTGCTGGATGGTCTCGTTCGGCAGCCGCATCGAGCTGGGGCGGTCTACAGCTGTTAGTTCTGCCAGGGTTCACAATCACAGGACGCAATCACAGGACACCACCTACCATCCACCTGCGGAACTCTGTAGTCGCTGCCCAGAAACTTTTGCACATTGGCAAGATCTCCAGGCCCAGAGTTTACGGGCCGTCCGCAGTCGAGGACCAATGCCACAGCCGCCATACTCCCGCCTGGGGCGTTGCCGACTTTCGACTGTGTCCTTGACCTGGGGGGCGCTGTCCCTGCGACGCCTCTCGAGAGGAGGATTTGGGAGGACGTCTTGGGCTAGCCAGCCTCCCAAATCGGAAGCTGTAGAATACGTTTAGGGGATGTGTGATTGTAGGTAATATTCAGGGACGGTGTAGGTTTTGAGGGGCGATCAGGGAGGCGGTGGTGACGAACCTGAGGCGGTGTCGTAAGACAGGCAACACCAAGTCCATGTGGCTCCTGCTCTGTATGACGAGAAGCACCACACCCATACGCTCCAACGCGCGGTCGAAATCCATAAAAAACAAGCATGCACACGACAGAACAGAAGAAAATGGTATGTGTAATTAAGACATACAGTCTAGCAATGTTCACAATTACTCCATGAGCAAGCTACAACCAAGCGCCGTTACTATGCATTAACACTCAGACCCAAGCCGTTAGACATTATTCCCTTCGATATCCCTCCACACGTTTGAGTCCCCTATGCCAAGACTACTATTAGCTCTGACTAGGGTTGGCGGGACCCGATCTTCGCTTGAATCTGTTTGGTCGTCGGGAAGGACCGGGGGTGGATCATGGTAGATCCATGGTTGTTGTAGTCTAGTTTGTGGTCAGTCTCGTCTTATAACAGCGAGTGTTGAGGAGTACATACGGAGCGGTGAGGCTAGGGTTGACAAAGGTCAGACCCTTTTCCTTGTACTCATCCAGCGTGCTTCCACGGCGTATAAGGCGTCGGGACGGTGGCGTGCCCGAGCCCGAGCCCGAGCCCTCATCAAATGCATCATCCGACACCGCTTCCTCTTCCGAGTCCTCATTTGTCCTGATTGCACGGAGCGCGATGTTCTTGGTTAGAGGCACAAACCGCTCCTTGATATAGAAGCTATACCAGATGGTAAAGGGAACAAGCGGCAGGATGAACAGAGACGCAACGAAAGCGCCGATCGAAGCAATCTGACCAAACATGACAACCTCGAAAACAACCAGTCCAATGATGATTCGGTAGCATATTATGCGCCATGCACCGCCGGTGGCATGCTGAGGTTGGTCCATCGCATACAGCACCATGTACTTGAAAGTGAAGTATCCAAGGGTGAAATACACCGTGCCGGTAATGAGAATCACGAGGCCGAATTTTAAAATACTGTAGATGAGGCATAGGTTGAACACAAGCAACGCTGTTGGCAGGTAGAAGCCGTATTGGAAAGCAGGCGGTTGCTTCAGCTCGAAATAGTCGCGCGGCGTGCTTGACATCATCCGATCGAATGGGTAGAGGAAGACGCTTCCAACCTCCAGAATCCTGAAAGGCATCAAACCGATACCCTGCAGCATGATGAAGCAGATGTAGAAGATGGAGAGTTCTTCCACGGCACTTGCGATGACAGTGGGTATTAGGCTTGTGTTTTTTAGGAGATTCGTCAAGACACCCCAGAAATCCAAACCGGATTTCGAAATGGTGAACACGAAGAAGGTGTTGAAGAAGGTAAAGAAGAAGTTCTTGGAGATGACAGAGAGCTCGACGTCGCCTTGAGAAATCATTCCTTGGCAATTTGAGAGCCAGTCGTAGAGATACGGGACAGCAACGTTAAGAAGGGAGACCACCAGCGTGGGGACACCGTTCCGGACCAATGAAAAAATAATGTCATGGGTCTCTAGCCAGTGAGCGAACTGGGGCAGCGCCTTCCTGATCGCACAGATGCTCAGGAAGGATGCGAGAAAGGCCGTGGGGAAAATCCAGACGAGTGTGAGGACGGTGATGAAGAGGGTGACGGCCCAAGACTTGAGCCGGCGGATGCCCCGAAGAGAATATGTGTTTCTCCAAACCAGGTCAGACGGGGCAGGAGTTGGCTTGGTCAACAATCTGCCGGGTCGAGGATCTATCCTGGCCTGGATAAACATCTGGCATGAGGCGACCGAGTCCATGGTAACAAGAGCCATATCGGTGGGGGTGTACTTCTTCTTGCGAGCCTCGACAATCTTTTCGTCCAACCTTCGAAGTCGCTCCTCGTAAAAGTCGATGGCATCAACTTTGCGGGAGAGGAGTCCAAGGAAACCGTAGCGAATGTTGACATATGGTCGGCCCTGTTCTCCCCAGTCGGCCTCATCCATCTCGGGGTTGAGGAGATGACCGTTCTCGCCAGCTTCCTCGTCGGTATCCTGTCTTGGAGAGCCACTTAAGCTATATTGGTCCGCAGGAAGTGCCCACCGACTACCTCCTGTGCTGTTGTCCCGCTTATATTTCACGTATTTAGCCCACGCAGTCTCGAGTTTTCTCAGCGTGACGTCTCTCACTGCCACCAGGTCGTCCAGCGTCTTCCAGTCCCGGCAGATAGTAACGGCATCGACGGTGCCAATATTCAACTTTTCGATCAGATTTTTTATCTTGGTTTCCGATCTGAGGTCCGAGGGGATGCCGGTCAAGCGGAATGTCCGATCCGTGATTGTAGACTGGGACCCGAGATATTCTTGTCGGAACCGGATGATCCGAAAGGTCTCCCAGTTGACAAAGTAGATTGTCAATGCAACGAAGAAGTAGGTGAAGAAGACGTATGACCACAAGTATGCAATCCCGTGCGACTTGTCAGTGTCGTCTGGTTTCTTGTACCATACGAAATCGTCCGTTGCGAGTGGCAGCTGGCTTGACACATAGGGAGAACTCGGGGGCTTTTTGTCATCGGGGTCTTTTCCCGGAAATTCAAGGTTGAATTGGCGGTAGTGTTTGTTTATTGGCAAGAGAACAACGGTTGCGAAGAATGCCATGATGGAGAAGAGTGCAGCGGCCATTTTGAAGAAGGTCAAGAACTGCGCTGGTCAGTACATCGATTTCCTGCATCACGCAGCGCCAGTATTTAACGTACCACGAACGCATCAAGGCCAGCTGTCGACAAAACCTGCTCCTCGCTGATCCTGTACAATTGTGGCATCCACCCAAAGGCCGAGTTCGAGAGCGTGGGGAGATTGATGGAGGGGTCGAGGCGGCGTTTGCGAGCGGCGTAGAGGGCAGGCCATCGTGGGCGAAGAATCTAAAGGACAGTTAGCTGCGTGCCGGCATTGAGACAGCCGGTATAGAGGCCGTTTCACGTACGCAGAAGGCGAGGAAAGCCGTGACGCCCAGCAGCAGCGAGAGTGCAAGTTGAACCTGGAAGCTCTTGTCGTGCTCGGGCTGGACAAAATCCTTCAGTTCGCACGTCTCATTGCCGTATTTGGGCCGCATGGTGAGCGACAGCGCGACGCGGGCGCGAGCGATGTGGTTTGGAGAGGTTCAGGCGCGATGTTGGTATGGGCGGCTTCGTTGAGGCGTATGCGGGAGGCTGGAGCTGCCGAAGCTGTTGCAGCTGCGGTGTGGTGGCTTGCCGTTTGGAGATTGATTACCTTATCAGGACACGGCAATGCAAGAGTCCGTGACTCGTGATGACGTATTGGCGCACGGACCTGATTTTCGTCCAACCCGCCAAATTGGGCATCATCGATCGTCATGCCATGTCATGAGTTCATGGCATTAAATGCCTTCATTTCCATCTTACTCCGGAATTTCTAGGCTGTTGCCATTTCTCTCTCTCAGCTTCTCATTGTTGTTTATTCGCATTTCATTGCAGAGTACAACATGAGCCGCTTTCAACAAACACCAGCTTGATCCGACAGCCTCGAACACGTCTCGGGAGCAATGGCATTTCGCCGATGCACGCCGGCATCATGGCCAGCGCTTTTTTGAGTCCACGATGCACTGATAGCCTAGGTAGGCATAATACTACTTTATCTCACCAATGTATGTTTCTCATCCGGACAGAGTGACTGACTCATTCACTTCTCGGTCTGCTTCCCACGAGTCACCCTACCCGGCATCCGGTTGTTCGCTCCATGATTCATTTCAGCTGCTTCGTTCACGCCTATGCAACATTCTTGTTTCTTAAATACAGATTCCAGGCAATGATCATTCTGCCAGGGTCGGATTTTCATCCCGGGCTAAGAAAACTCTTCCCCGCAGGTGCGCGCCTAGAGCGCCTTGCCGCAAGGCGTTCTTCCGCCTAAGGCTGCATGTTGTCGGCGACCGGATTCGGTTGTGTCTCGGAAGCGCCTGGACCGGGCGAATTGAATCTGGATAGTCCGCGTCAAGAGAAGCAACCCTTCCGTCTGCGCCCACGAGTACACCCTCGTTGAAGAAATTTCGCAAAGGCTGCTTTCGAATGGCTATGTCCTGGCATCAACCCACGCAGCAATGCAACGTCACAGCTGTGAATACGACAACTCTTGCAGTCATTCCTGCATTTTGCTCCCAGCGGAGCTGAATGTTGCTCCAAGCAGAGCTGAGCCTGAAACCATGAGGATTCTCATCAGGCAGGAAATCTTTCCGAGTACTACTCTATCTCGCCGACACTTACAAACAAACCTAACCGGATGACTTCGTCTGATTCATCCGCCAACGCGCGGCGACTAGGCGTACGTGCCATCTCTTTATCTATGCTTAACCCACCCCTCTTCCCCTCCATATAAGCGCGTGGCCCCCAAATGCGAACCGCCGGCGCACCTATTCGACAAGGCGCTCCGGTGGCAAAAATAATAAGATGAATAATACGTAGGCCATTCCTTTTTCCTGTGACTTAGCGTAGTTATCTGACGTGATCAAAATTAGACACAACTAAAAACGGGCGCCCAGAGACGGCCGCGTGGCCGCGAGTGTGGTCTCACGAGATGAACTTGAATCAGGCCGCGGATATGGACACGAACAGGTCACATTAGCTGGGGTCTTGCATGGCTTACTCGGCGAATTCGACTCCCCGAATAGGTCAGACCTCTCGGCAATCCTTCCGACAGAGGCTGTATCCAATCCAGATCATCGGTGCTCGTTCCCCGGCAAGGCTTCATCAGCTCTCCCCAACTTCGTGCAGCTTTTTCTCAGCTCTGTCAAGCCGCGATTCAGGGACGCGCCATCCTCTATCCCGGTACCTTCGGCTCCTACGTGTCATGTCGGACGCAAGAAACTCGACGCCCGGTCAAACTTGAACACCTTCTCAAATCACTGGCTGATATTCCCCAATCTCAATATTTCGCCACCCGTTGCCATTCCCCGCTCGAGGTCGGCTAGCCTTACATCTGGCGGTGTATCAAGTACCTATTGTCAATATTTATATCACAATTATGTGGAATGGCGGGGTCAATGTCTCCTACGTGAGCCCGACTGTCTTTTGCGTTGGCGTGGTTTTGCCACCTCCCCTCTATTCACATTGCACTTGGATGATCGGGAATTTGCGCAGAGCCCCGGCCCCCCAACAAGAGTTTGATCATTCGGCTTGCAAATCGTGATGGTCAGAATCTATGAAAAGAACATGCAACGATACAAGCTGAAACATGCTTCCAGGCTGCTTCCTATGAGCTTCTTGGCGTATTCGTCACCCAGGAACCGTTGCGTGTCCAGCAGGCGTTCAGGTTATCTGTGCAGCTTTTTCTTTTCAGCTCTAGCCTTCCTTCCTGCCACCCCCATCATGTCGGTGTAGCAGGGGTTGGACCTCAAACCGCCTTGCGTTGTGATGTTCGCCTCCTCTTCTGCGGCAAGCCGAGGACGCCGTGCGCCGTGGCTTCTACAAAAGCCTGGCAAAGAACCTATCAATTTTTGCCAGCCACACCTCGTTACTCATGCTTCCATTCCACTCTTCTTATTATCTTTAGTCCACCATGGCAAACTCGGCAGGTCACTCTCGCGTAGACGACGTGACTCAGCAAAGATTTCCCGTCAACGGGTTGATTATGGTGCAGCGACGTCATCATACCGCTTCACCCGACAGCACCTGGACCGGAGGACCAAGACCTAGCACCCGGTATGCTTCGCTCCCGACCACGAGGCAACAGCCCCTTAATGTCGATGACATCGTGGCAGTGGTACACCAACATGGCCGAGAGGATCCTTGGGATGGGATCGGGATATTCCAGGCACAACCAACCACAGCAGCCAACCGGTACGACCCTCGTCAGAGTCAATATCAATACCAAACATCCGGCAATGACCGCGGAGCCCAATGGGACACAGCCCCGGGGGCCGAATATTTCGGCAGTACGCAGGCTGATCATGGCAGCCAAAGATCCGAGGAGCAGCAGGAGTCCTCTGACCATGTGAAGGACGCTAAGTCTGACCGAAAGCCCAGAAGCCACTCCAGTCGCAAACACATTCCATCACGCCGTTCTTAAGGTATGTAAGTGAGACATGCTGTGTCCCCTTACCACTCAGCTGAACAAGCACTAGAGACACAACCAGCGCGTTATGATTCATCGGCGCTGAGCGCTGAATGGGTGGCCGGCACACCCGATAATAATGCGCCTTTGACCATGGCGTGGAGTGAAACGAAGTGAAGATACCCGAGATTGGTTGGGATGTGGAGGGCATGGCATCGGACCGTGGGACTACTCGTTAACGGGTAGAGGCAGTTGGGGGGAAAGCCAGGCGCACCTCAACGCCGCTGGATCCCGCATGGTCCGCTAATAGACGCGGAAAGGATACACCACATGTAATTATAATCATGTGGGCGCCTCATTCCCGTGCTGAATGCATAGCAATAAACCACAAGTGACCTCTCAAGCGATCCCTATGAGCGCGTCGCGGAACTCGTATCTCTCTCTATCTAGATCAAGTCTCAAGCCTCAGAAAGCTTCCTTCTAGAAAGGTTAGAAATCCCGATGGAAGGGGTTGGAACGACCTTGCCGTGTTACCAACCAGGGGCTGTTGTCGTAAATCAATAGCCTACCTAGCTATCCAAGGGTTCGAGACATCTTCGGACTAACCGTGGCGTCGTAGCTAGCGCCGTTGAAGACGCCCACACCGAGCTTCAATATTGATGTACTTGTAGTGACCGTTGGAGGTTGCACAAATAGTATCGCCGAAACAATAACCACGCGAGAGAGAAAAACAAGACTAACCAAAACCGAAGGTGAGGCGGTAGGTAATTATTGGGGACTTATTTTGTTCGTGGATCATGCACTCAACTATCTATAGGGTAAGTCGTGCAGAGGTGCGGGACCTGCACAGCATCACAAGATCCGCCATTGCTCTGTAATTCGCGACGCGGGGTAACGAGGGGCTTGTAGCTCAGTGATGTAGTTCCATGTGGTTACTCAAACTTTATGCGTTGGCTGATTCTTCTTCGGCGTTGTTCGGGCTAATCGTGCTCCAGAAGTTCCTATGCCGCAGGAAAACAAGTTGATTGAAGCTTTGTGTTCCAGCAATGATGCCACTGTGTTGGTATGACAGCACTAAGAAGAAGAATAGTGGCGTTTCCCCCACGGTAACCTCCGGATGAAGTCATGCCATGTGCAATAGGAGCTCGGCGCATATACACAAGCCGTTTCAATGTTCTAGAGCGATATCGTACCATCTCGGGTTGTAGGCGTTGCCAACGTGTCGGAGTCGTGGCGGAGGCCAATAATTGCAAGACGCTCGCTGCTGTAGTACCCCCGAAAGATAACGGACCGGGGAAGGGACTCCGAGCGTGTTTCTCGTGCGAAGTGGCGTCATACCGAAACTAAAACGAGGTCCAGCTGTCGTACGGCTGGCCTCGAAGAGCGTGCTGATCGAGGCAGTTACCCGAAAGAGATCACAAGATTCAGTCTACCCTAGACCGTGGAGCAACACGGCCCCTTGTCGTGTAAGAGAGGTAGCGCATGGCTGTCTTGAACGGGATTGGCGTTGTAACACTGTCCTACCAGTGGCTTCTAAGTAACCCAATAGAAGACTCTAACCGACGGGTAACTGCACCTCCCATATATGATACTGACAAATGTGGCGAGTCGTTCCACGTTGGTCCGCTGAACGTCTGAGGAATACAGGACTTACGGGATGTTTCTGATGTCTCGCTGTCATTATTCGTGGATAGCTGATGAAAGAATAATCTTTGAGACATGTCCACCGGTAGCCCGACAGGAACAGGAAGTCTTACAAACTGTTAGACCGACACGAGAATAGGCCATACTTTACTTGCAACAAAGTCGGACCTAGGCCGGATAGCTCACAGTATCGCCGAAGCGAGGACGATTTTTGGTTGAGGAGTATAGGATCTAGGATTGGAAACAGAAGCGTTACTACCCTGACAATGCCCCGTAGATTGCCTAGTGAATAGCTCATAAGCCATGGATACACAGTATTTGGGATAAGAGGGACTTGATGGATGGCTTGCGTGGCGACGTTACCCGACAGGGAGCTAACTTGACCGGTCTGCGAGAAGCCACCGGAGGTGAGCGAGAATCTGCTGTCAAATGTCGACAGACAAGAGCTGATACTTGCAGTATTTGGTAACACTTGAACTGGGAATCTGGTTGAATAGAGGAAGCGGACTGAGGCAGGAGTATAAGTAGTTGACGTCTTGGAGTCGAGAATCTTTTGATCGCAGATATTTAGACCCCCATAGGAAGGCAGCAATCTCCCATTCCACCAATTCTTAAACATCGAACATCCTTTGTTATTTTCCCACACTACCAAGAACTTGTTCAGAGCCAAAGAAACCACCCCAAGCGCAACAATGGACAAATACACGTCAAATACCAAGCCGAAGTCAGCTAAGAGTAAGGAGCTGCCAAAGGGTCAACCTAAGACTTCTCCCCTGACTGCCAACTTGACAGAAGACTCAAGCACGTTTCCATCGATGAGAAACGCATCAAACCTTGTCGAGGCAAACCCAGACACCTGGTCCACGGTCCAGTCCCCGATGATGGCCCGGTTCCTATCCGACCGGGAGGCGCCGTTCACCGGCCTCACAAGAACCGCACCTTGGGAGCATCAGTTCGAGCTTCCAGCTGGAAGTAGAACCATGACTGTGCAAGCCACGCAAGGCTCAGCAAGCGAGGCGGATCACGCCAACTATGAAGACTACACGAACAGAGAGACGGACAAGAAGGAGAAGAAAGGGAAACCGAGCAAGGTTGACAAGGTGGACAAGGTGGACAAGAAGCTTAGAAAGATGTACGCGATCAGAGCCTGAGTGGTCGGGGACGTTGAGCAGTGTTACTATGTGTCCATTGCAGTAGAGATTTCTGGTTGAGAGCGAAATGCGAAATAACAGTGCACGATGCGTTGCGAGCGAGTGACTAGGGCAAGTGTGGATATCCGATGGTTGAAAGGCAAAATAAATTAAATCGGTCCATTGCCGACTTGACCCTAGCCTCCCTTACTTCAAAGTGCTCGGTTATTTAAGTTTCTGCTGTTTCGTTAAGGTTAAGGCACTGCGGGTGTTTGATGGTTGAGTTTGGTCATTCACCCAGCATCGTCATCAGTGTCAGCGCCACGTTCTTGAAGTTTACCCTTGATCGTCGCTCTGTTCATTGGTGCGAGAGCGACTTGTGCATGGTTGTGAATTGTGAATGCATTCGAGAGTGGGTTTCCAGGATGCCGCGACCCTCTGGGCCAAGACCGAGAGGTGAGGCATGAGCTAGGCCAAGCCAAGCTAATGATAATTACGGCTTAGCGTCTCTAGGGATGATGACGGAGTCCGAAGTTGACAGAAGGGATGCGGAAAGAGAGTGGGCGGCGTGGTGCTGATGATATGGTCACGCCGGCTTCACAGTTCACGGGGTCGCCCAGGCGCCCGCCCTATCGAAAGGCCCTGGCCCTACCGTCTTAAGGACAAGGGGACCAACGTGGGACAAGGGTTGACGGCTCGCTGTGCCGATGGGTCAGGCACAAGAAGGCCAAGAGCAGGGCTTCAGCGACACCAGCTGGGCCTGTCTTGGTCATTCCATGCCCAATACGCATTATAAGTCGATATTCCCCACCACTTGGCGCGCTCCCTGGTAGCGGCGGGTCTTGGGGCGGTTATGTGACCCTTGTCAAGCACTGATGAGCACTGAGCAGGCATATCGATAGCGTCGTCTAACACAAGTGTCTGTTGATGACGAGTCTGGGCTGGTTGGCTTGCGATTCTAGGGCAACGGTGACGGTGTTGATGCCAGTGGATAGGTTGGGGTTAGCTTGAGCAAAGGTTGCATTTGCTGGATAAAAACAGGGAAAACGGACGACGCCGTGACTGGTCAGATACCGAGACTCTCACCTGCAGTGAGGGGGAGGGGGAGATCGATAAACGCGACAGGGAAGCAAGTTGACAGTAGTTTGGAAGACGCGCGTGCACCTGTTGAACCTCGAACAAGCATAGTGACAAGAACATAATTAGTACGTAGTGACGAGCGTGCTATTTCTGAAATGGAATCCATGTCTAGCCATCTAACTTAACTTACAGGGACCGAACGATTCCTTAGTTTGGCTGAGTTCTTGGCCCAGGATCACACGAGCTCAAGGGCGATGGCAGATGGCCCTAGAGGCAATGCGGAAAGAGCTCTGTGGAGTACGTACCTCACCTGCTGCCATGCCCTGAGGATTCGGAAATTGCGGCCGGAGAAATCGGAGGCCGGGCCAATCACGTGGCCTCGTGTTCGTTTGCGTGGACCTAGATCAGGCATGCAGGGCCTCTCACCTCATTCTTTGGTGGGCGATTTTGCGTGGCCACTGACAGCTCAGAGTTCTGTCTTGTGTGTCTCTTGTGGCTTTTTTTGAGAAGTGCTGAAAGGCGAAAGGGAGCGCTAGAGCTGCACCAGAGCCAGCTCAAGCAGCTACTGTAAGGGACGCTGACCGCAGACAGTGGCTGAGGTGGGCGTCATCTGGTGCCCGGTGGCTGCCGAAAGACACCAAAAGTCCAGCGGGAGGATCAGCGGGCTGGCAACTGGCTGTGGGCACTTGGATCTGGTGTTGCTGGGCATCCCGGCAAGCGTGGCCGCGCATCCAAGCCTCTGGGATGGACGATGGAATTGTCCCAGAGGGGTTCGCAATGGTTACGGCAGTGGTGTGCAGACCATTCCATTCTGAGGCCCATCTTCCGCACAGGAAGAAACAATTACTTCATGCCAATTCCCAGAGCGGATGGAGGGTCAGTACAACATGGCAGGTGGAAGTTGGTGGACTCTCAGGCAAGAAACCCCTTAACCGTGCTTGTGTTGTTCTTAGCCGAGACTCTCTCAAACATGCTCAGACGCGCCGCGACCACTCCTTGACAGACCATAAGCAAACAAAGAAACAAGGCGCAAAACAATAACGCCATAACGCCGGGGAGAACACGAACAGGAGGATCTGCCAAACCTTGGACGGCGGGAAGTGGTGACAGCCTCCAGAATACACACAGGGAGAGAGCGAAAGCGAGAAAGGGTTTATTTCTGCATAACTTCTCAGACATTGCGGCCTCTGAAGCTGGAGTCAGCAGACGCGGCCCTTCGTCAATCTCACGAGGCCAATGCAGGTACTCCGTATTGTGCCAGCCAAGCCCAAGCCAACAGTCTAAGCCCCCCCAAGCCCAGGCCTTGGCTTGAGGTTGGTTCTGAGAATCAGGTCAAAGGCCCTTGGCAGGTACTTTGCCGGAATGTACCCCTACAATGGTGGCCTCCAAGATGCGGGCACCCCGGATGACGCGGGTCCTCGGCCAGTCGCGCCTAGACGGCCAAGATTGCCAAGATCCCGGGACGGTGGCCAGGGCGACGTGCCCTGGCAGGTACTTGGAGGGAGGGTATCTCTTTCGTCCGAAGGTACCTGCCCCGTACTCGCCGAGACCTGCTCGGTGAGTTCTTTTTCCTCGAGGGCTTTCAGCGCCCAGTCCCTCCTGTTGGCTGTTGTCGGGTGGCTATCCAGCCCACAGCGTCACAGTCAATCATTGTACGAAGTAATTGTCGCACACACCCACCGCACCGCACGCCGCACGCACGCAGACAGATTTGGATTCCCATCCCTACCTTCCCGTGCTCCGTATTCTGTCTGATCTGTCGGGCCTGTCAGGGTCCGCCTGAGCGGTGGTACTTACGGATTGTGCTCTAAGCACTCCCCCGAGCGGCAAAAATCCCACCCATCCTGCCATTCTCTCGTACCTTCCTGGAACCCAATTCCTCGCGCCTTCCCCACCCCCTTCATTCTTCCTGCTGACATCCATTCTCCGTCGTCCCTTCCTCCTTCGGACGCATAACAAACCCCGACGTCTTTTCTACTCTCTCCTCCTCTCTCCTCTTCCCCTCTTCTTCCACCCTCTCCTCCTCCTCGCCGTCGTCACTCGCTTCCGTCCCCTGGCTGTTTCTGGTCCTTTGCGCGACGCTCCCGCGTAGCAGTCATCCCTCCCTCGCAAGACCCATATTTTGCCCCAGGCTAAAGTCGCTCGCTCGCTCGCTCCGCACCCGCTTACGCACTCCCGTCCGCTTGTGACGTTCACTGTCTCTCGCCTACGTTTCGCTTGCCGCCAACACACTGTCTGCCAGCATCGGAGCAATTCACCACCAGAGACCCAACAACCCAAACCTTGCATCATCCGAAACCACGGTCCCGACCGAAAACTCCGACGAGACGATCTCGAATTTTCCGCCGATTTCTCGACGACCAACGACGAGACTTGTTTGAGAACAGTCGAAACGCTCCCGACCGTTGAGTGGCTTGGTGACGACACGACGACCCGGCAATAGCGCCTTGGACAGCACACCACTACAACAGCACACCCACCGCCTCCCAGCCATCCCACTGCAGGACCCGAACGACGACGAAACCCTCTCCGCTCCTGTTCTCGTATTCCCCAAAGGGCTTCGCTGCGCCCGCGACTCTCACGAAGTCGCTCTTTTCCACTCAACCCCCTTCGCCAAGCAGCTGATTTACAACCGTCAAGATGGGTACGTCCCCGGCCCATTTCCGCCGACTCCGGGCGTCACCTCGTCGCAGTGAACTCTCAAGCTAACTCTACTAACCAATAGGTGACGCAATTCCTAGCACCACGATTGTGCCCTTCACAAATACAGCTATCTTGCCCTCTTGCGCTGCTGCTTGCGGTCCTCTTTACGATGCCAACGGTGGCTGTGTTCCACCTGCTGTCGACGCAGCGTTAGGTACAACCGCGTTCACGTCCTGTTTCTGTGCCAACACCGCCGTGACTGCATTCTCAAGTGCCGTCACGGGTGTTTGCGATGATGCCTGTTCCGCTGGTGGGCTCTCTTCTATCGCCAGCTGGTTCCGCAGCATTTGCAGTGTCAAAGCCGATGACACCAACAACAATAACAACAACAACGACAACAACGGCAACAACGGCGATGCAGTTTCATCTACAGACAGTACCAGTTCGACCAGCACTGCCAAATCAGCGTCATCAAATGGCGGCGGCGACTGGTAAGCATGGCGCGTTACCCGACCGCCAAGAACCCGATGCTAATATCTCACAGGCTCTCCAACCACTACCAGTGGGTGATTATGCTTGTCATTCTCGTTGTCGGAATCGCCGGTATCTGGATCGGCGCCTGCATCTGGCGTCGCCGGTACCTTCGCAAGCGGGACCGCCAGTTGAATCTCGGCCAGAAGCACTCTGGCTCCGCCTCACACCCCTCTTGGGGACCCGGCGTGGCATCGGACTCAGTCGCTGCCCCCCACGACCCTGGCTACGATTCTCAACGCAACTCCCATGCTGCCATGTTGAATGCCGCGAACAATACCCCTGCCGCTACACCCCCATTAGTTCAGGAAAAGTCAGCTCCTAAGAACAAGAAGCGCTGGATCGTCAACGAGCGAACTTAGCACCCCTAGAGTCTCATCCTCTTGGTCGCCGATGATACGTCTTTGTCTCTATTCTCATCCCTATACTGCAACTCGACATCATCAAACCGACGAGAAACGAATGACTCCACGAAACAAGGATAAGAGAAATCCGTATCTCTGTCCATCGATACGGCCGCTTTGTTTGATTTTGGGGAATATCCATCATATGGCATGACGGAAAAGAGTAACCGTCTGTTTTCACATTTACAATTTTCATCGACCGACGATCCGCGAAATCCTTATCAACGGCCGTTTCATATGAAGGACCTGGCGCTCAACGAGGGCCATCCTGGTAGCTCGTCATTTTTGTGCTTTGCTTCTTGTGTTTTTTTACCCGAAAATTTGCACATTGGGATTTGTGGCTGATGTGCATCATGGTTGTTTTTACCCGTCCTTTGGGGGTGGCGTTTTGTTTGGATCCGGCGTTGTTCAGGACACTAGCACGCTTTGCTGACGCGGCAGTTACAAAGCACTTGGGATAGGAGCAGTGGGAAACCCGGCATTTTTTGTATCCCCTATCGCGAAACTTGGACATTCTGATTCCCCCTAGATAGGGAAACCGGGAGGAGTCTTTACTATTTTTTTACTTTTTTATATAAGACACAAATCCAGTTTTTATGAGTTCAAACTTCACACCGAGTCGTCATACATGTATGACGCATCACCTTGATATTTGAGACTACTCCAGCATGCACCATACTGGCAGCATTTTTATCACCTCAGATAATCATGTCCCACAAAAGATCCATGTAGTTCGTTGGCGGGAGAAACACTTAGTGCAGACCGACCCGGAGACAGACAAAGAGAGTGAAATCATGCAAGGGAAATAAAGATGAGATCAAGCTTTGTACCGGAAGAAGTACAGGCTGATTGAAGACTGGGTTCGCTTAATCAAGTGTTTCTTTGGCAACAGAAGCAAAAGAAGGGGAGAAGAAGCAGCGTGAACTGCTGTAACAGCTTGGCCAAAGTCACAGTAAGACCAAATGTGTGTTCTCAAACTTCAAGAAGGGGAAAAAATTGCCCATTTAATTGCTTGATCACAGCGGCCACTTAAAGAACCAGCTAGCTAAGGTGTTGGCTCTACAGTCATTAAGCTCCAGTGTGCCATCTGTCACCGCAATAAAGATCATTCGAGTCAGTTGGCATTCACAGAGTTAGGTAGGGGTCTAGGGGGTAATGAAAGCCCTCCCCTCAGACTGGTTGCAATTGACAGCTTTTTTGGGTTGCGGTGTGTGTTTTGGTAGTCGATATTTGAGACATGGTCATGGTTAAGGTCAAAGTGGACAAGACATGGCGGCTGGGTCCGTTAATGAACTCAGTCTTCGTTAATTCAATCTAGGAGAGTAGGTGCTTTGGATCCAGGTGCTATTTTTCGTCGTGTACTAATCATGCCAATGGTAACGTGCTATGCAACTCCTATTGCAATTCCATTCATTTGCCCGTCTCTTGCTCCTCCACAGCATCCATGTACAGATCGATGAGACAACCTGCTGACCAAGCCTGAGTGGGACTCTGTAATTGGTGGTGTTAGCGCACATTCCGGAGTGACATTAGACGGTCTGCCCGAATGGAGAGAGGAGGTTAGGGAGGATGATAGGGGTAACTCACCGAGTCGGGACAAAATTCGCCATTCTTCTGTGTCAGCTCCTGGAGACCAGCCCAAGGACTGTCCTCAATCATCTTCTTGCATCCGCTCAGGCGCCGCGTGACCTGCTGGAACGCCTCGGTCCGGCCCTCGGGCGTAGTTCGTCGCTTCAGGTCGAACTTGAGCAGAGCCCGGAGGAAGAAGCCCGTGGGCCACAGCCACTCCGGGCCTTGGTGGTAGTTGCGACCCTTGCTTGTCGCAAAGTCGGTGCTGTCTTCGCTGTTGCGGTAAAATGGGCGGTAGTTGAGATCGGCCGGGTCCAACGTGGCCATGCCTGTGGGACCGCGGAGGGCTACGTCCGCAAGACACAGCGCATGCATGGCATGATCTGGATCAAACAGCGATGGGGCAACCGTCATCGCAATGGTAAAGTTCGGGCGCAGTTGGTAGTCCTCGTACTCCTTGCCTGACTTGTAGAGGTCTTTGTACATGCCTCGGCGATTGACGATGCCTGTGTTGACATCATACTTCGAGTCCTCTTCAGGTGTCAGTGGAATGTAGTAGCATCGCTCAAAGTTGGCCTTGATGAGCTCGGCCCAGTCAGCCAAGGAAATTGGGTTTCCATCCGTCTTCTTCACACTGGAGTGGGGATAATCGCCCTTCTTCTGAAGCCGGGAGAGCCACTCGAGCGTGCTGTACAGAAGTCCAGTGATCTCGACCGCGGCTCCGTCACGGGGGGTGCCAGGGACGCCCTTTGACCCAGCTTTCTCGCTCTCTCCCATCTTGTCCATCCAAGTGCCGCAGTTGAATTGGTTGCCTCCGAAGACAATACCAGTCTCCCAGTCGACCTTAATATCCTGGTTGAAGCCCTCATCCTTCATCTGACCATCGATTTGAGGGCCCGCATTTGCTTCCCGGTACTTCATCCCGGAAGCGTGCCTTTGAAGTGCCTCGTGAATCACATCCTCAATCGTGCTCTCATTCGAATACGCGCGTGGGTCGTTGGTTGGGAACCACGTATCGTCGTATGGCAGGAAGCGACGCTTCACCTTGGCCTTGAAGATAGCCACGCCTTCAGGGGCGTAGCGCGTGTAGTCCTGGATGCATTGCAGGAAGAACCAGATCGAATCTCTGGCGTTGTACCTTGGCGCATCGCCGCTGCTGAGAAGATTGGGAACCATTCCATGCTTCAGCACACTGGCAAATGCAAGAATATGCTCCTTTGCCTCCTCAAATCGACCTGTGCCAAGGAAGAGTCCACGTAGGGAGATGAACACATCTCGACCCCAACATCTCGCCCACTCAACAGCGAAGTGAGGCAAGCCAGCCGCCAGGGACGGTACCAACTTGTTGGGCCACAAGGATGCCGACTTGACGTATCCAGTCTGCTGAACGCTCACCATAGCCAGGCTCTGAAGGAACCATTGTCCCTCTCGGACATTGGTATTCATGAGCTCCAAGGATTTCTCCCGGCTCGCCATGTAAGCGGTTCGCAGAACAAGGCCGAAATAACGAGGAAGCAAGAAATTGGGGATCCCCCTGATGGCATCAAGTCGCTCCTTGAGCCAAGTTGCAGGTCCGGCAAGCGATTCATTGCCCGAAATGGCACTGATGCGCTCGACTCTGCCAACGATGTAGTCCAAGGCCCACTGGCCATCTCGAAGGTTTTGGCAAAGGGGGTGAGCCAGGTTGTTGTCTCGGATAATGTCCTTGAATATACTCCACCAACCCTGAAGGCCAGCATACACGAGCTTGCCATGCGCAGGGATATCGTATACTCCGTCTCGGCCATCACTCGCTGCTAGCTCCTCCGCGTTACATCGGTACAGTAGGTAATTCAGATCAGTTAGGCTGAGGTCCTTCCATGCAGCCTTTGCTCCCGATGTAACATAGTTATCCAAACCAGACGAGTGCTCTGCTGCTGGGATCCATGTTTCAAAGAGGGCGATACTTCCTGGAGGGAATTTGTCGCGCACAGTGATGATGGTGTCGTCGCCCTTGACCTCCATTCGGATTCCGGGCAGATCAATCACACGACTCGGAAGGCCACGCAGATACTTTTTGTCGCCAAGGACCTTCTCCTTCGCCTCTTCGCTAGTATCGACCTCGAGCATCCAACTACCAAGGTGTCGTGCCTTAGTACCGGTGAGATGGACAGCGTTGAAGGCGCCATTCCCATTGCCGTAGCCGGGGAACGCCGTGTGCGCAATGAGAAAGTATCCCTTTCGTGACTCGGGGTGTACTCGGTGAACAGTAATGTACTGGTCCTCGTGATGGATGTGGGTTTCGTCGTAACCGTCCTTGCCCATCAGAGTATGGATCTGGTTCAGCAGCTTTTTGATGCCACCGATACCGTTTTCACCACTTCCTATCTTGATGGGCTTCAACCCGGAGGAAGCAGATGTGTAGAGCCTTGTCTCGTTGACGAGGTCCACCAGCTTAGGGTAGATCTCATCGTATCCCATGACACTTCCAGTCGCACTGGAGCACATGTTGACCAGAGCTGCATTAGGCAGAGTATCCCGAGCGTCGCGCTTCTGTGCTGGCGTTTCATTGTCATGCGTGCAGTCCATGAACAATGCTTGCACAGGGCTCGGCTTGATTCTCCGAATGATCTCCCTCGAGCGGTCTCCACGTCCGTTCACCACACCATTCTTGCTGCTCGTTGGACTTCCAGCGGGTGTGCGGATATCAGATTTGGAGACCTCGTCGACCTCAAAGCTACCGATGGGCCGGCCACCGTGCTTGTGGACAAGTCGGCTGAGCTCGCCCGTGCTCCATGCCTGCATGGCCTCGCGGATGAGAGAACTCAGGCCCAGTCGTTTCACAAAGACATAATCCATATCCTCCGAGCCAGTGAACAGCTCTGCAACGACGTATAGGTCGGGTCGCACCCGGCGCGCCTCGTCCAGAATATGCTCGGCGACATGTATCGGCGTCGAATGGCAGTTGTCGATTCGCAATCCAGCAAAATACTTGGCCAGCATACGGGCATACTTTGTCATGTGCTCCCATAACCAAGGACTATCCTGAGGTCCTGAACCGTACCTCAACTTGACACAGTCACCCCAGACAATGACTTCTCGGCGGAGGTAGACTTTCGACTCAGGTCCTGCATTATCAATGAGGGCATTTCCGCCCCAAACCCAACCGTTGTTGGCCAGGACGGTCTCTCCCGGCTCATGTTGGGATGTAAGCTCGTTTTTAGGGAGTCGCGTAAAGTAGCTCTCAATCAAAGGGTTAGCCTGATCAATGGGGCCAAGCTTTGGGCCATTATCATCAAGGCGCATGTACTTGATCCTGTTGAAGAGCTGCTGGAGGATCTCAGCAATCTCGGAATCGTACTCCTTGTAGAACTCCACGTTCAAGACATCCATCAACTCCACCATTTTGGCGTTTGCTGTTTGTTTGTCGTTGTTCTCAGGTTGTCCCAACCACGAATTCAAAATGCTAGCCGCTACAGCGGGATCGATCTGTCGTCTGAACCGCTCGCCCATACGGTCCGTTCCTTTCAATCCGAACTCTCGGACAAATTCAATACGTTCTTTCAAGGGTGCTGAATTGAGTGACTTCAGTCTTTCGTAGAACGCAGAGTCACCGGTGTCGTGCGTGTTGCCCTTGACCCAGGCCTCGACCGCAGTCTCGGCATCTCGGTCAACATCCAGAGCGTAGTATTCCCACAGTCGGATCTTAGCAACAACCTCTGACTTGATTGCGTCCATGATAAGAATCAGGTCGTCAGCGGACTTCAATTCAGTTGGGAGGCCGAGCTGCTTCAGGTTGGAGCTCAACTCCAGAAGCTTTGTATCGAGCTCGTAGGCGGACTCTAACCACGGGGCAGTAGCCAAGTTGTAGCCGGCGTCAGGATGTTCCTGCAGCCACTTTGTGTTGTTTGCCGTGTGGTTTAGCACAATGTCTGTCAAGCTCAGCAGGGAATGGTTCTGCTCGAGGCTGTCGACCATCTTCTGCACGTCCTCCTCGCCAGCAGGGAAGCAGGCGGGGTCCCAACCGAGCTGGTCGTACAAGCTGTACGGTGAGTTGGACTCGCCGCGGATTTGCAAGGGGGTGAAGTGGATCATGTTGTAGCCGCGATCGCTGATACCACGCAGGTGGCGCTCCCAATCATTCGGGTACTTGCCCATAAACTTGCTGATGACGGAGAAAATCGACAGCGCGGGCAACGGCAATGGCCGGCCTTCGAGCTTGAGCTTGGGGGCGACATCGATGTAGTAGACGGGCGTCTTCTTGAGCACCACCTTTTCGGCAGAGCTGGGTCCCAAGTCCCTCTCCAGGTCAGGAAGCTCGGCGTAGGTGGTGTAGAAGGCGTAGGCACCAGCTTGGTGAATGGGGATGGAGATTTCGAGGGTGCGGTTGAAGTCTGGAGTGAGTCTGTGAGTACGCAGCAGGTGTCAGTGTCACTCGGCCAAAGGTATGCTCGACTCGCAGGTGGCCAATTGAGGGAGAGCAGAGTGCGGGGAGATGGAGAGAGGAAATAATATCCTACTTGTACTCCCGGAATTGGTCACGGTGGAAGTCGTCGCCGTGGTCGGGGATGTTGACCCAGAGGCTGCCATTGCGACAGATGGACGAGGTGCCCTCGATGGCAAATCGCACCGTCACAGGATCGTCCGTCTTGGGGGCCAGGTAGATGTACTCGCCCTGGACCTGGGGCGAGCCATCGTCGTTGAGCGGCAGCAGGTAGACTTCGTTGGAGGTCATTGTGTGCGGAGGGCTCATGATGCGAAAGGGAAGAGCGGGAGCTGCGTGCCCCGCGCAAACGAATGCGGTAGTGGTAGTGGTGGTGGTGGAGAGAGGCGAGGAGCTCCCTGGTCGAGACCTGTAGCTGTGGAGAACAGTGAGGAGCGTGCTAACGGCTTCTGTAGGAGGTGGGGTGGGATTGATTCCCAGAGAGTTGGGATCTACAATCGTCGACTTGCGTGTGTCATTCTGCACCAACACGATCTTGAACAAGAAACAGGGAAAGAAAGAAAGGAAAGGAAAAGGAAGGGGCGGGATCGGGTCAGAGAAGCGGAAGAGTCGGAGAGGGGGTGGAAGATGGACGGATGAGGCTTGCACGCTTGCGAGGAGGGAAATACGAATTAGGAAAAACGACCCAAAGGATGTGTTGAGGTGTCAATGTGGGATGGGTACGGGGAAGACGGCGCTGCCACCAAACATTCAGTAAGCTCAACACGCACTCTCTCTCCTGGGCGCCCAATGTAGAGTAGCAGCGTCACGATCGAGCCATTGTTGAGCCAGGAAGCCCTCTTGGCAGGGCATTCCAGGTTTCCTGCACCTACCTATCTGCCGTCTCGGACTAGCCAAGGCAGGGATAAGGGAGACCAAACAATCAATCATATCATCACGTCACTGCGATAATCACGCAGCCAACAAGCCCGCAAAGCCATTGACTTTCCCCAAGGCGTAATCGAGCGGGAGCCACCCCCGCGAATGCGAATGCACTCGGTCTAGCTCGTTGCCTCGTCTTCGTCCAGAACTCTCACCGACCAGCCTTCGAGGCCGTCGAGGCCGCCGAGTGTGACGCGGTGCTTACTACGTAGTGTAGTAGTCTAGCCCTGACCGGCGGCCACGAGTAGTCGTCCATGAGCGCCAGGGGCAACAAAGTTATCATGGGTCCTTCCGTCGACCTGTTCTGCATCGGCGGGCAAGCCAAAGCAAACATGGAAAGAGAATGAAAAAACTGCGTCAGTCTCGGCCGAGAGATTTACTCTGCTTCTGCTTCTGCCTCTGCCGCGCCGTCTGTCTTGGTCATGCCCGCCTCATCAAGCTCGTAATCTTCTCCACACAAGCTCTGGTGGCTTTCACATGCTTACAGAGTCATTACGTCATTGAGACGCCCTCTGCTACCCCAAAAATCCCAAAAATCTCCAACTGCGGTCACCGCTACAGTGCCGCTATGAACCGCCCGTGCATCGCTACGAGCCTTGACGCCGCTGTGGTGGGGTTCTGTGGACCCCCTGCAGCCGCCAATGCAGCAGCTTTAGGGCACTGTGGCGCTGAAAATAGCGCTGGAGCCGCTGGAACGACAGGGGGATGGTCGTCGGCGATGGCGATGCGACGGACGAGAAAGTATTTGGAGTGATAGCTCGCTCAACCGATGCACTAGGGAACAAGCGTCGTCTAATAAATAATTCAAGGAGGGGTTTCCAGGTAGGGGGTTTATCGAAGACTACTACGTATTTGGTATTCCCCAATGATATGCCAACCACCCTGCGTCGAGAAACAATATGTCTGGTCGACGCTGAGGTTACCCTATATCTTCCCTTTTGCAACCTGTCCACGGCAACTATGCGGCTTTGACCATACTGCCCTTTACTTCAAACAAATTCTAAGTGGAAAGGATATTTTAATTAGTTCTCCTTGAGGAAAGATGCAGTTCGGGCTCATCTTGAATACGTCAGATCTTGAAATGACTTCGGGGTATGTTATACGCCCTTCTGATCCTCTCGCGTGTGCCTAAGTTTAATCAATACTTGGCATAGACAAGATCATCATGGCCACAATCATAAGGTATATTATTATTAGACTAAGGGCCTACCCTATGATGAAATCAAATTGAATGAAGGAACGGAAATCACTATTACGAGGGATATACGCCAATAATTAATCTTATAAAATGCATTTTCACGAACTGCTGTGTTAGGTACATCATTGATAGTTATCTTTAGGATCGGGGCATATATGTGTGCATGCGAAATCATATGTAAATGCGCACAACTTATTTTTTTTTTAAGTCTAGGTATAATAGTCCAACATGAGAAATGAAATGATGTGTTTAGTCCAGTTGTTTGAAGATTCGCCTTCGCTTGATAGCCTTCGTTATCACCTACACCACAATTTATCCTTGCAACCGTCCTCTTCCACCTTAAAATCGCTTTCGGGACATGAAACAAGCGCAAATGGTTAACAGTGCTCCAGCCACAATCACCATGATCCAGATATCCGCAATGGTCTCCACCAAGACATTGAGACATCGCTCCCTCAGCTCTGGGCTAATACTCTGGAGGACCTTGCTTTGAGACCCAGCAATGGCTGCTCGAATCTCCTCCGTAGTGAAGCCTTGACCGTCAAGAACTACCGACATTCCTTCAAAGGCCTTGCTCTGGAAGATGGCGCTTGCAATTGCGAGTCCAAGCATCTGGCTCTGGCCTTGAGAGATGTTCAAGAATTGGATCACGTCGGCCATGCGCTCGGGCTTGACAATCCCTCCAGCTACTGCATACCCGGCTTGGCTGATTGTGAGACCGAATCCAACCAGCGCAGAGAAGCCGTAAGTATGGCTGGCGGGACTGTCGGCCTTGATGGTGTACATGGCTGCGCCGCCGGCTGTCAACAGCACACCCGAAAGCAAGTAATAGATCATGGGATAACCGGTACGAGGCATCGCATAACCACAGCCCATGATTGCAGTAATATAGAAGCAGATGAACGGCAGCAGGCGAATCGCTGCCTCGGTGCCTGTGTCGCCGTGGACGAAGAGGAAGTAGAGAGGGATGTAGTACACAGCGACGAAGAGCCCGGCACCACCACATGCCATTCCGATGTAGATGAGAACAAGTTGCAAGTTGCCCAGGAACTCGCACGGGAAGAGCCGATCTTCTTTGGTTGTGAAGACCGCATAGTGCTGAGTGACAGCGAAGGTGGCTAGGAAGACGACGAAGAGGACAACCAGAACGATAAATCGGGCGTCATTCCAAGCCCACTCCGGCCCGCCAAAAGTAAAAGCGCACACGAAGCACGAATACAGCGCCGCTGTCAGGACGATGCCCAACCAGTCGAGCTTCTTGATCTTGTCCATGAACGATGTGTCGGGCTGTCGAGGGAGGGAAGGAAGGGCGAAGATATAGATGGGGCTCGTCACCGCAAAGAGAACGAGATTGAGGTAGAATGCCTGATCGATATTAGTTGCATGCTTTTCGTTGGGTGGCAAAGAACTATACCCATCGCCAGGTGGCAGCGCTGTCTGATAGCAGACCTCCGACAACTGGGCCGAGGATGCATCCGCCGCCATAAACGAATCCTTCAAAAGCAACGTAGAAGGCTGCCTCGCGAGGGCTACTCGTCATCGTTACAAGATTGATCGTTCTATCGCCACGTAAATCAGCAAGTTGATTCCCGCGGAGGGTATTGAGGGGAACCTTACCCAAGATACATTCCGGCACCGCCAGCACCAGCCCAGACTCGACCAACAATTATGGCATTCATGGACGGCGCAGCTCCACAGAGCGCACTCGCGGCCGAGAACATGATTAGGGATGCAATGTAAAGCCACTTGGTGTCGAAGATGCCGTACGCCTTGCCCAGTGGTAAGATGGCGACCGTTGAACCAAGGCCAAAGCCAACTCCTAGCCACCCTAGTTGAGAGACGTTGTCGAAGCTCTCGGATACCGCAGCTTGAATGTCCGCGGCGATGGTGGTGTCGAGGCCATAGAGAAAGTTTGCTGAAAAAATGGCGAGGCAAACAAGAAACCAGCGGAAGCCCCTGATGGTTCGCTGTGGTTGAGCATTTTTGTCAGAATTGGGTGTCGCAATAGCACTTTCGTCGGGAGATTGCTCTCGACGCGTGTTGATACCTGAGGGCTTGTCATTTTGCTTCTCGACATCACCCTGGCTCTTGCCAGTGTCTTGAAAAAGGGTCACAGAACTCATGCTGTGAGACTTTGCAACAATTGATTTTACAAAATGAGCTGTGTATTGATTGTGGGGAAGCTTGTCGCAATCGAAAACATCAAATTGAGAGTCATGGTGCTATTTATTCAGCTAGACTCTTCGTCACGCACTTTTCTGTTGTTACTACTTACATGCCAAAAGGAGCCCAACTCCAGAACTCCAGAACTCCAGCCCATTGGAAATCCGGAATGACGGAGTACTGTGAGCTTCAGCCTATCAGAGCAGCCGGAATAGCGCTGTTTGGGGTCACGGACTCGGAGCGGGTCATATTTCCGTAATCTCCACCGCGGCATCCAATAAGTCGAACATATAAGCGATCGCGAACTCTCTCAAACGTTAGCGAAGACTCCTAAATCCGTCAACTCCACTTGGAATTTGTAATGCCCCCTCGATTCCGTGATGCTTCCTCTCCTGGCTCGAGGAACACCGGAAGAGCGTCGCAGCTTTCACGTTGAGACCGTGACCCCGCCCCAGACCGTCCGGAAGCCGCCCCGGAAGCAAGTCTCTAGAGCGTGCGAGCATTGCCGTGTTCGTCGCGTGAAATGCGATCAGGGGCGGCCTTGTAGGCCTTGCAGACAAAAGGGATTGGAGTGCAATAGCAGGGGCAAGCATAATGACGAAGCTCGTACCTTGCCTCAAGCTTTGAGGTGAGATTGACCAATTCCTGGAATGAGTTGTTATGGACTGACTCTTTGGCTTAGAGAAATTGAGAGACTCAGGATTCGAGTAGAAGAACTTGAGGCTGAGCTCAAGGAAGCACGTCACCAACAGAGCTCTGTGTCGGTCGTTGCAGGCACATCTCTTCCGACCCCTTCGCAATTAACCCCGTCAACCAAAGGCGACCAACCCACCAATCCACATAGCTCCAGTCGTGATCTTGTCCCTCCAACACCGAAAGTCGAATGGGAAGGCATCTACACTGCAACGGCACGTTCAGAGCAGACATCCTACTATGGACCCTCCTCGGCCTTCTACTTTGTCGGGAGAATCGGGTCCTTTTTGAGCCAGACTCTCCAGCAGTCCTTCCACCTTCGATCCATGCAGCCAAGGGGCGTGAATAAGACACTGGACCATCCTAATAGCCCTGGAGATGTGGAGCCAGATACGGCCCATCGGACTGAAGCTCCCAGGCCGTCCATGTCGCGCACGCAGGAGGAATATTTTCTCAACCTGTTCTGGGAGTCGCACCACACCAACACTCCGGTTATAGATGAGGGCGCGTTTAGGAAGCACTACAACGAGTTATGGCAGAACTCAAGGCCGTACAGGAAGCCATCTGCCCTCGTTGATATTGTCCTAGCCGTCTCCATGCAATATGGATGGGCGTTCCTCCTCCAAGACACTGCTCACAACGCGACAAGAAATGGCCGGTACGACGACGCAAGCATCGCTGGGAGATGGTATTATCGGCGGTGTCAGAGTCTCATCGCCGCCGAGTTGGAGAGCCCCTCAGTCACGACCTTGCAATGCCACCTACTCTCGGTTGTCTACCTCTGCTGCGCATCCTTTCAGAACATGGCACACACGGCCTTGGCGGTAGCAGTTCGCACGGCACAGATACTTGGACTCCATCTCGAACCTCTGGAATCCATGCCGCATGGAGAAAGGGAGCTGCGCAAGCGAATCTGGTGGGTTGTATACACTATCGAAGTCAAGACTTGCATGAAGCTGGGCCGGCCATTCTCGGTGCAGAAATCGCAGACGACCGTCTCAATGCCGTCTGACAGTGTCGAAGCGGCTTCACTATGCGACTCCACTTTGGAGTCCTATGATAATGAAGTGACATGGCTCACCTATTCGTGCCAAACGCAAACGTTTGTTGCTACCACTGTTGACGTGTATAACGACTTGTACGACAAATGCTCCGAGATCCTCGGACAACGAGGACAGGGATCATTCTATAAAGATGCTGGAGGCCTCGAAGCCTGCGCCAAGTTCCTGGCTACCCTGACACCCTCACTTGAAGCCTGGGTTCATCAGGTTCCCGGCGGGCTGAAGCTGAAGCGACGAGGCGACGGCGAAGCCTTTTCCACTGACCGCTCCGCCATCGCATTCGAAGCATCTGCACCGCTCTGGTTGCAACGCAACCGCATATGCCTCGAGCTCATCTACCACACAATGTACACCAACCTGTACCGGCCGTTCATCAACTTCACGCCGTCCTCGAGCACTTACGCGCCAACAGCCGAGCGCCACGCCGCAGCGTGTGTGAACCACGCCATAGCGCACACGCACATCATGCACCAGGTGCTCAAGGAGACGGATCTTATGAACGGCTGGCAAGAATTCTTCCAGTGGCAGTGGAACGCGACGGTCAACATGGTGGGCTTCGTGCTGGCGTACCCGATCAACCCCGTGACGGCGAGGGCGCGCGAGACGATTGAGAAGGCGATTGAAGTGTTTGAGGTCTACGGGAGCAACTTTGCGGTGGCGGCGAGCGCAGCCAGTGTGACGAGGGACCTGGCAGAAAAGGCAAACCTGTTGGTCAGTCGTTTGAGAAGTGGCATCACGGCAGAGGCCGGAATTGGAGCTGATTCTCGACAAGACGCATCGGACGCCGGAGATGTAGAGAACTCCGACGGGCTGGCACTGGAAGGAGACGGACTTGCGGAGTTTATGGATTGGGCGTTGACTGTGGATTCTTTCAATAGTTTCGAGGACTTGTTTGCAAATGCAAACGACTCGATGGAGTGGTGGGGAGTTGGGCCCTTGTGAAGGTCGGCCCTTTCGTGTGGTCTTGCACCGCTTGTTGGCCAATGAAGCGACTTGAGCCCCTCATCGATGTGAGAATACGACCAATTGATTCGAAATGACACTGATTATGGTCCTGGTTGATGATCCGGTCAAGTCCTTGTCCTAGAGCAAGCAAATGGATATCACATAAACGTGATTCAGGCAGACAAATCAATTTACTCCAATCGCTATTTATACCGATTTCGCGTGTCTTGAGCCATCCACAACGCCGCTCTGATATAGTCGATACAATTCCAGTCCTCGCTTCCTCAGTGGTAGTCCCCATCTATCCCCTTCTATTCCATTGCGACCAATGCCGCCTAAGAGTCCTGCATGAGGTTGGGGATATCATCCACCTGCCTCTTGCCAAGCAGAATGTCGTTGACGGCAGTGAAGAGGGGGTATTCTGACTCAAGACCTCTCGCCTTCAAGAAACTGTTGACCTCCTCCGCAGTGGTTGTTCCTTGGATCTTCTGGCCGTTGAGCTCTTGCTTCTCCACCTCCTGTACGCTGATGCCCTTCTCCACGGATATTTTGGCACATCGGAAGTTACGACCTCCGGAGCATGAGGTGATCAGATCGGCGACACCAGCAGACGACTCGGTGAAGGTCGCAGTCTGAACAGTCTCTCCAAAGAACTCCTTGCCGAATTTGACCATCTCCATGAGACCAATGCGCATGATGGCTGCCTTGGCATTGTCACCCCAGCCACGGCCGTCGACGAAACCAGCAGCCAGGGCAACCACGTTCTTGAGGGCACCACTCAGAGACACACCAGCAACATCAGAGACCAACTGGACGTGGAAATAGGGGCGGTGGAAGAGAGTGCGGAAGCAGTCCTGGTCCAACGGAGGGTAGTCGCTAGGCACTGCGGTGAGCTTGGTCGTAGAGGCACGGCCACGGGCGTCCTTGTGCTGGATCTCAGGAATTTCGCCGGTGGTTGGGTTCGGACTGCCTGTACGCGGCGTCGGGGCTCTGCTATGGTCCATCGTCGGCGGGTCGTAGGCAATGGTCGTCTCAGACCACTTCTCGGCGGCAATCTCACGGGCGAGGTTGGCACCACTGAGGGCGCCGCAGTAGATGCCCAGGCCGTCGCCAATCCACTCGCTGAACAGGCTCACGCCGTCATCGGTGACATTGACACCCTTGATGCAGCTGATGCCGCGAGCATAGGGCAGAATATGGCCATTGATCTGCTTGCAGACATTTCCGATAAACTGGTGGGGCAGGTTGAAGATGAGGATGGTCGAGTCTTTGACGGCGTCGCGGATGTCGGGGTTGGCGACGATGTTGGAGGGCAGGGCGATGCCCGGAAGGTACTTGATGTTCTCGTGATGTTTGTTGATGACCTCAGTGAGCTTTTGAGGCGCATCCCCGACGGCGGCGTCGTAGAACTTGGAGTCTTTGGGAATCGTGACCTGCTCCTCGTAGACCCACATCTGGACCTCTTCCTCGAACATGTCTGCATTTGCGCGGGTGTTCTCGGCAAGGATCTTGGCAATGGTCGAACCCCTAGAGCGGTAAAGGTCAGCAGCTGCGCGCACAACGCGAGCGGAAAGTGGTGGCGCACCAATTACCGGATCCCACGATGGTCACCTTGTGCTTCTTCTGAGGCCCGCCGCCCAGGGTTGGTGCGCTCGCCATGCTGCCGGTGGTCGTGGAGTAACGCGCACGGAGGATTCGTGTGGGGATGCTGAGAACGGTAGAGGATCGTGTGACGAGGGACCGGAACATGCGAGGACTGGGAGGAGCAGCAGCAGAAGAAGTGGTGACTCTGTGAGGCCAGAGACTGAAGCTTGAAGCTGGACTGAGGGGTACTTTTCACAGATATACGCTTCCCCTCGGCCTGAGCTCCAGTTGTTGAACCCACGAGCAGCCACAATGACGCACGGCAAAAAGCGGCGGCCTTCACCGCTTGCCGCAAGTGGCCAAGCGCCCCATCAAATCCCGGGGCGGGGAGTAGGCCTGCCGTGCTCTGTCCCAGTCGAGAACAATCACATGCAACGGGCAGGGCCATTGCGTCGCCTTCGATGTTTCTCGCGCAGACGCATCCTGGCAATTCACACGTGAAGCAGCGCGGCCCAAGGATCGAGGCACGGCGAATATGATGATCAGAGCCAGGGTCAGGAACGGGAACCAGCTCCGTGGCTAAGAATACCGTCACAGCCTCCCGATCCGATCCCTGGATCTGCAGCGCCAAGGGTCGCGTGATGTCGGAAACGTAAGGGACATGCCGTACTAGGACAGTTGCATTGCAAGGGATTTACTGTTACATTTGCTCCAAAAGCAATCAACGCGCGCTAAAACTCAACAAGATGCTTCGCCGTCTGCGCACCTCGCCCCAACACCTGGCGGCTCACGATAATCATTCCTTTCGCCCGTCTTATTCAAATTCTTCCAGTAACGCCACCTTTTCCTCATCCACGGGCTGACTTTGATGTCTGAACATTTTTGCCCACCGTTCGCAATTTCGCTTCTTCTTGTCCTCGTCATCCTGGGTCCTCTCGCCGTCTCCAAATATAGGCTTGAATATAGCATCATATTCCATCCATGTCAAGTTGATCATGACCGTCATGGCAATTACCATCCAATGAGGCAACTTGCCATCTTTATCCGCAACAAGCTTTGAGATGCCGACCATGAGCAGAAACATGAGCCCGCTGGTGAGAGTAAAGAGCAGCGCCCCCAATTGTTGCTTCCATGTCGTGGTGGTGTACGGCTGCAGCGACTTCAGCCAACGCTGATAGCCATCGGGAAGCTCGTGCTCCTCCGCTCCATCGGTGATCAGCTTCAGATATCGAGCACTCGCCTGGGCGTAGTTGGGTTCACGATGTGGTCCGACAAGGAATCGATACCACCACTTCTTCTTGCGTGGGTCTTCGGGTTGGTTTGGCTCGGGGATCTGCGGCGCAAAAAGTGTCCGGGCAAGGAACGGCTTCGGGAGTTCCGGAATAGGGGGCTTCTCCGGCACCGAGATCTTGGGCGGGATGGGGATGCACGGCACGACGATCTCTTTGTAGCCAGCCCCGCCGCCCTCGGTGCGGATGATGGTTCCATAGTCCTCCGCGGTCACCTCATACACGACGCCGATGAGGCCCTCGTTCCACGAAGTCAGCGTGTGCGGCGGCGGCTGAATCGCCGGTGGGTCAATCGGCGGGATCCTGGGCGGGTTGGAAGGGTCGGGCAGCTTGGGGTGGTCGGGGATCTTTCTGAAATCGACATTGGCAAAGCAAGGCTCCCGATAAGGGATCCCGGGCAGGTTGAACTTGAGTTCCAGCGTGGGGACAGAGACATTCGTCTGAGAGAGGGGACGAATACCACGCATGCCGAGGAACGTCTCGGCTGCGAGGTTGGAGCCATAGGCGAGATAAAGGTAGGTGTCAGGTGTCGGATGGTCGCGATCATGCGCCGGATCCTCGGCGGCTTGTGCTAGTCGCGCAGTGGATGTTTGAGGGATAGATGCGATGGAAGGATACGAATTCGGCGAGGGCCGCGGCCTGAGGGCGCTGAGTTTGCGCAAGATGGCAAGCGAGCAATTCTCGTCGCCCGTGCCACTGTCGTAGGATGGACGAGACATTGTGTCCGGAAGTCGGGTCCTCAGCGATAAGGCTGCTGTCCTCGGTCTCAAAGGCTCTGTGTGACTCTGATTATCCTCCGCAAGCGCAGACTTTGATGCGACAGAGTTGCAACGCTGATACTAGATGGCGCAGTGGATGAAATGATCAAGCCTGGACGTTGTCGTGGTATTAAGTGCGTGCAGAAGGAGAGTATTGACACCAGCGGGCCGACCCTGCGGAGGTTGCGGAGACCCCACTATATCTATCGCGCTCAGACGCTGTAAAGTCCGCCCGAAGTGTGCCAGACATGCTGAATAATGGCACCTAGAAGGAAGTTCCATGCCGCGCGGGTAACAAGGACAGATCCCGAGGACCCGCACCGGCGCTCTCTCATGACCGAAATCCGAGATGGAATTCGGGACCAAAGTTTACGGATGCCAGATGATGACCTGTTGTCGCGCTGAACATAGATCTGGATTGTAAGAACTATAGATCCATGTTCACTACCCGTCTTGGCACGCGGATTATATGTAGTAAACCGGTGCATTCACACTGCCCGATGTTCCGTAGATCAGTCTGGCAGTGAGTCTGGCAGTGATCCTGGCAGGGACATCTCGGCTTACAATTTGTCACAACTACCTTAAATCTCGAGTACCTAGCTACCTCTACTACAACACATCAGGCTCGCGTTTCAAGTCGGGCGGAGTGCAGCGACCGGCATTGGATATTGCTAGGTCCGACCCGACTATTTTTATGTCTATGCAATGCTACGTGCTTTGCTCGTCGGCTCTGTTTCCAAATAGGCCATCATGGCTTCAGACGTGAAGGAATGACTGGAGTTGAGAAAATCCCCGAGGAAATTCTGTTCGATGAGCCGTCCACGTAAGTGCCGCGTGTTTATTTACGTTCGGCAGTCTGGGGATGGGATTGGTCATGTGCCGGGTGAGGAGGCATCTTGCAGCTGTCGACATGATTGACTGCCAGCTGGCGGACAGGTCGGGCTGTTGGCCACTCAGGGTGCGCCTTCCGCGTCAACATGCGACTGCTCCCACCGCACTTGCCAAATTCTCATGACTTGGACCTGGGCAGATGCCGCACAAAATCCATCACCTTCGCACATCTGCGAAATCAAATTCCATCTCTTGATTCTCTCGGTCTCGTTCACTGTGGCGCATTCCGAGGATCCGTCCACTTGATCTGTTCAACACCACCGCTGAAACGGCTGTTCGATTCGCCGACTCCAGTCCCATCTCCAAACACACCTTCTAGACGCCCATCCCGTCTCTGTAGGTAGAAACGATCGCTTGCGACAACGACTTGCACTAACCCGCCACCTCAAGGAGGCAGGTGAAATCTCGAGATGCCCCCAAAAGGCCGTGGCAAGTCTGTCAAAGGACAAAAGCCGAAAAGACAGCCCACGCAGTTTGGAGAACTCGACACTACGCCAACCAGCCGCCACCTTCGTTCTTCTAAAGCAAAGGAGCTGGCCATTGATGAACCTGCTAGGGAGAGCGCCAATCCAAGGCCTTCATCTGGTACAGATGCCAACGCGAGTCCAGTCCAGCCCAATTTGTCCCCGGAGGAATTCGAGGATGGAGTTGATGATATCGACTTGATTCAGTTGGACTACTCCAGAAATGTAAAGATGGAGTCTCAGGTTCCAGATTTCACATGGTCTGAGGCAGGGTCCACCCGAAAACGCAGCTCACCTCTCCGTACGGGAGATGCCTCGCAATCCCTTTGGGAATTTGATGAAAAGGACTCCATGAACCCATTTTCCAGTCCCAGATCTGGGCTCGAAAGGCTTCCCGATACCATGCCGCTACCTCGTGATCCAACACTCGACGCCCAGTCTCAGTCACAAAGGGAGCCAGGAAGCCGCATTGACTTTTCGGAGACTGCCTCAACCATGCGCCGCAGTTCACCTCTTCTTCCACCAGGCAGAATGACAGAAAACTGGGAGTTCAATGACTCCTCTCCCCAGGTTGGTTCGTTGGGACCTCACCCTGGGACTCAAAAACCGAAAACGGCACACCCGGATCCCCCAACAAGTCCCCCTACACACCTCCCAATGGATGAGATGTACGACGCTACTCCTCCTGGATCACGGTCCCAGATACTAAACGCGTCCTCGATTCGTCCTGAAGAGACTCTCAGACACTCCCAACATCGCTTCCGCGATCCGACGCCCCCACACACACTTCAGACGGACGAGCGATCGGGAAAAAATCGATTGAAAAGAAAGCAGAAGTCGATGAAGGAATTGCTTATTGATGATCTTGTTTCGGATGATGAAGAACCAACCCCGTGTCCTGGCAAGACCAAGCCGCTCCAAGACCACTTTGATCTGCCACAGACAACGGACCGAGCTGGAGGCGATTTGCCCGAGATGCATCAAGCCTCTCCGACAGCTGCCCAGGAAAGCAACCGAGGAAAGAAACGCAAGCAACGCGCAAAAACTCCGATCCAGTTCGACGAAACCACGAAAGAGATCAAAGAGGTCCCCCGCAAGAAGAAGACCACTGCACCCAAGCCGGCTGTTGTGAGTGCGCTGAAGAATCCAACACAAACATCGATTTCCCCTGCTACCAACACAAAGAAACGACCAGCACCAAAGGCTGCGCCGAAGCCAGAACCTACGAAAAAGAAACGCAAGGCACCCCCTCGAAAAGAAAAACAGGAGGAGCCAGCTACGATCAGTTCGAGCGCTATCGCCACTATCACCCGTGCCCGTGCCGCAAAGTTGAAGGAGACAACAAAACGCGAGATGGAAGAAAATTACGAAAGCCAGGAGGTCATGCATGTGACCCAAGGCACTCTGGAGACGGATATCATTTACGCTGCTCCTGATCACATTGTGATATCCAGTGACGACGATAGTTCTGACTTCTCAGAGGCGGATGTTGCACCATCATGGCGACCAGTGCCACCACAAAAGACAAGGACAGAGAAATCAAAACCGACAGCTAAAGAAAATTCTGGTTCTGCATCCACGAAGCCGAAAATCCCCCACACGCTACCACCGGATCCCAAGAAGAGCCGACTAGCCCAAATCAGTGCTGCCGTGTCAACCCCTAACACTGGCATTCCAGATACCCGAGATCAAGACAAAGGACCCGCAGAGCCTGTGAGGTCAAACCAGGCACTCAAAATGAACAAGCGAACAACGCGAAGCATGCAGAAGGGCGGGGGCGACACGAAAGAGACTGGAAAGGCAACCGTTCTGGCATCTCGAGACCCCAACAGAGTAACGAAACGGGTTCTTCGATCTCCGCAGCTACAACATAAGGCCTTGGAAAAGACTAGAGCCGTGGAACGGTCCGAGGTTGGTCCATCCCGGCCTCTCCGGAAGACAGGGACTTCCCGAAGTTTCAGCGTCAGTGAAGTGGGAAGCCCGGTCCCTCTTGCGTCTGATCCAGCCCCATTTACTGTCGACTCAACCCCCCTAGATCGAGGCAGACAAGAACATCCAAGTGACTAGAAGTCTCGCGATGGTCATGACGGAGACGTTGAGCTTTGCAAGGCCAAGCGTCTCGTTGCCTCGCCATCACCCGTTCATGATGCGAGCAAGTTGGAAAGTGACAAGCCATCGAGATTTGTCCCAAGAGAAACCAGCAATGGGAGAATTTCTGCTGTGCTGCCAACCAAACCGAGGAATAAGGATGAGCGAATCACCCTACCTGTGGCGTTTCCGTCAAAGTTTGCGAGGACAACCCTGGATGTGCATGACCAAATCCTAGCCACGCTTCAGCAGCCAGAGGATGCATCGAGTGCAACACAAGGTCGGTCTAGGGGCCTAAGAGAAGAATACGAAGGCAAAGAAAAAGGTTTGCAGGACCCGTTTAAGGGTCACTCTGGGGAGGTTGCGAAAGAGTTACATGGGATTGTGGATGTAAGTGCGCATGGGCCTGCCTCTGTAACAACCCACTGACAGTGAAACGCCAGACAATGTTGAACCATCTCAAGACAAAAGAAGAAACGATCTACCGCGGGACTAAGACATATCATAAAAGTGGCCTTGAATGCGTGGAAAAAATCGAGCGCAAATACAATCAAGAGAAGCGTGTGCTGACAGATACGTGGAAGAAGGACGGCCTCTCTTTCCTTGAAAAGCTACATCAGGCCAGGCATGGGGTTGAAACAAATGGGAAGAAGCGAGAGGACTTGATGGGTCGACTGGAGGAAAACACAGCATCTCGGCAACTGCTGTACAGACGAGCGACCACGAGTCTCCGCGCGCTGCACAGCCGATTACTGGATGGGAAGTTGGCGGAGGGCGATAGTCAGTGAGCGACCTCCACTGTAGCCCGCGACGGAAGGCGGAATAATATCATTATGTGAGCGGATACGAGCGCTGGGAAGATGTGATGGGGTGATTTGCTAGGGCGTTCAGGGAAACGTTTCAACTAAAATGTAGTTCCTGGGAACAGCCGTACTGGAGTTGAGTACATTGCTGCAGGGATTCGGAGTTTGCCTGTTTCCGGATTCGGTAGTGAGCTTGTGGGCCTACTTAACTTAGAGTATGCGAACCAGGCAGATCTTGGCAGAAGAAGTAGTGGATCTGACGAGAGGTCGTTGCGAAGTGATGGTCTGGTGATGTTGATCTATGGGCGGATGCGGGCCGCGGTTTGGCAAAGTTTGAGAAGGCTGATGACGATCCTGTACCGAAGGGTCTGTGAGGGGCGAGAAAAGCACCGTCCGGCTGCGGGCAGCACAAGGATTCACTGTTTGGGACAGGGCTGGACTAGGGCGCGGGGAGATGGATGGATGGATGGGGCACAAGCCGAGAGGGAGGGAGAAGCCGGGATTCTGATAGGGAATGTTTGAGGTGTGGACTCATTGGAGTGGCGGGCGCTGAATCGGCGAGTGACTGAAAGCTGATGCTAGCTGGTAGGCGATGACGATGCTACCTGGTGACGTATTCATTCCTGTGGCGCTGGGAAGCTACTTGGGTCGTCATCGCCATGTCCAAACAAGTACCGTCGAGAAAAGCCCAGCTAGCTACCTAGGCATATCATTGCCGAGCGGATGGAGGACGGAAGAATGGAAAATAAGTTAAAGGTAGAAAATGAAAGACGTGATGATCAAGGACTTGTTCTGCTCAATCTTTGTTTCCCCCTCTCATCCTCTCATCCATCTGCACTTTGTTCATTCCCCAATCTCTCATGCATGATCGATGCATGACAACACAGCAACCATCGGCAAACAGAGGGTCTAATTGATCATCTCGAGAGCCAGAACTTCCAGGTGTGTATTCTCTCTTGATGCCCGGACCCTGAACCCGGACCCTGACCCTTTAGAAAAGTGCACTGGAAAGCTCGTTGGAATTGGGAAAGCATCTTGACGCCTTGACATATCCGTGGTACGATGATGCACGACCAGGCGGGGCGTTTTCCGTCGCCGAGGTGAGCGCTGAGCCCCCCTCTCTTGGGGAATTCTCTTTGTTGGTTGGCGGCGGTACTCTACGCGTATGCGTGTCTGTTCGCATCTTCCCCTTCACTATCGCTTTCTTCCCTCTGCTGTTCCCTGCTTTCCCCCGGAACCCACTGCCCCCCAGCCTCAGCGGACGTACGTACCCTCTCTTACCTCTTCGGTTCCCATGGCGGCCTTGGATTCGCCGCGAGCCCCCGCGGATTTCGCATGGCCGTGGCGAGGACAAAACACTGGAGCACTGGCGGTCCACTATCGCAGCGCCGAAAGTGGGTGCATCAGTGCATCGGCCCCGCGGACCCAGCGTCACGATCCGAGGCACAGCGCAGCAGCGCCCGGAACCTTCGTCTGGGGGGGAGGTGGAGAGGGCACGCGCCGTGCGTGCCGTTACAGGGCTTGCAGGGGGTGGGGGGGCGGCTTACACTGAGGCCTCTGCCCTGGGGACCATGACTGCAGGCAACTTGTCTGCCGCTGCGACGTTCACAGCCCCCTTCTATGGCGAGCTGAGCCTCAGCGGACGCATCTGCATACGCGGGCGGGGGACGTATTACTGGAGTAGGGGAGGGCGAGAGATTCGGGCTGGGGCGTTGAGGGTTGCGGCGTGACCTTTTGAGTCAGGTCAGAACTCAAGTCAGAAGCCAAGTCGGCTGCCGCCAGTCTCCGTCCCTGGCCCTTGACTCCCTGGCCCTAGACTCCCGTTTCCTGTTGTGTTGTTTCGGTTTCGGAGGGGTCCATTCGTCCCTTTTTGGCTCGCTCGGACGCTGTTTTCCCTTACGTACCTACCACCTAGCAGGCCCCCCGTCAGCCCTCTGCAGGCACTCGCCAGCGCTTGCCAGCACCTGGCGCCGGGAAAAACACCATCATCCCCCAGCATTGTTGCCTGCAACCATCTCCAGTCATCTTCACCTCTGCATCTGACTCTCTGACTCTCTGACCATCCTACCAACTCCTTCTCCTTCTCTGCCCGGGCCGCCCCCGTCTCTTCCCGCGCCGGCCTCACCGTTCTTTCTCCCTCTTCTTCCTTCGCTCCTCCTCTTTGTGCCTTTGATCCCGTCCCACGCTCTCCTCGTTGTGGTTTCGCGCTTAGAAGTCCCATCCACTCCAAATAGCATCGACCCGCTTTTTCCGTTGCTGAGATCTGATTTTTTTTTTGTTCTGTTCGGTAGTCGCCTGCACGGCCTGCTCACCTTTCGACGACGATCAAGAACCCGCCATTACAGCGCCAGCTCCGCCGACTCGAGCTCGACCTCGTCAACCTCGACCAGCCTGACCGCGAACTCGGATTCCTCGGACTTGATTGCTGGCCGAGAGAGCAGCGACTTCAAAATGTCATTTCGACAGAGGATGGCCCGTAAATTTGGCAATTCGGTACGTGCAACCCAGCGTCTAGGGATCGTCCAAACCCTCTGAAAGCGACTCCCTCACCATCGCCACGACTGACCTACTAACACCTCCTCTGTCCAGCTCGCCGCCCCCGAGAAGCCGTACCTCAGCTATTACGATGTTCTCCTCACAATCGAGGATATCAAGGCCCTCGACAACGACTGGCTCACCGACAACAACATTGCCTTCTGGGAAGAATACCTAGAGCGCGAGACCCTCCCCAAGTACCCCCAGGCCCGCATCGTCCTCCTCCGACCGAGCATGACATTCCTCCTCATGAAGGAGCCCGACATGACCCAAGTCCGCTCCGCTCTGCCCGACTTCGCCAAGGTCACTCACATTTTCCTCCCCATCAACGACAATCGTAACGTGAGCGTCGCCGAGGGTGGCAGCCATTGGTCCCTCCTCCTCGTGTCCGTTCTCGACGGTGTCGCTTTCCACTACGACTCCCTAGGCGGTTCCAACTACTCCGAGGCCAACCACGCCACTAGGAAATTGGCCACAGTGCTACGTCGGCCTTTGCGATTTATCAACCTCGAGGATAGCCCTCAGCAACACAACGGCAGTGACTGCGGCGTCTTCGTCTGCCTGCTAATGCGACACCTGCTCGTGAAACGCCTGCTCTGCGCTAATGCCCGGGAAAAGGTCTCCATGAGTATGGGAGGCAAGATAGTCGATAGCACCGGTGGCCGTGATGAAATGATGCGCATCATCGAGAACCTCCGCAAGGAGGGTGAGCGTCGGCGATCGTGAGTGATTCCCTTCCCAGTCCATGCCCGCAGTGTCTAATGGTGAAGATAGGAGGAGCGCCAGCCCATTTACCCACAACAAGACGCCCCCGCGAATCGAGTAGAGATCGTACTGCTACGGCTCTTACAAAAATTTCGAGGCTCTCTTAGAAAAGGAGATGCAGAAACTTGAGAGGGGAGAGCTCAGCCAACGAGACGCTAGGGCCAGGAAGCGCTCGATCAAGACCAATGTGAATGTACTTGGGAATCACAGCCCTAGCGGTTCTGCCGGCGAGGGTTCAACAAGTCCGACCAACTCGGATTCGTTGACTTATCCTTGGAGTAGATGGCCCGACAGCCAGTATCGACTCCGTCCTCGCCCCAGGCCCAACACATACACTGTAATGAAGATTCGGAGCAAACGGCAGCCGAGGTCCAACCTGGCGATAGCCGCAAATGTTCCGTCGGCTCTTGGCACGAGCTGAGGCGGGTTTGAGATGTAACGATGATTATGAGGGATGCGCAACGATCAACTTGAGGTTTTGTTTTTGGGTTTCTTTGCGTTTTGGTTTTTTGATAGCGGATGTTCCCGCTTGGGCGTTCGATGGAAATCACGTCAGGGATAAGAGCGTGCTTTGTACACTGGAATCCAACCGCCAAGGCACCAGCGGCAACGTGGTTGTGTAAATACCCGTCTGTTTCCTGAGACTCGGAAACGGATGATGCGACAATGGGAAGCAAAGACTAGGGTGGAGATGCTACTACTCGGCGTTGAGAGAACGAGGGAAAAGGCTAGTCGGAAGGGATGGAATGATTCAAAAGACAGGCGGATGAGACAGAAGATATGCATTCATGATTTTATTCAGCCATTGCTCTTCAGTTTCCGGGGCTGCTCAACTCTCATGTTCAGTCTATGTGCGAAAAGAGCGTCGTTCGCCTAAGCGTACGTCTCCTCTGATCGAATCATGTCGACCATTAATGACATTCCCGACTATCTATGGATGTTTTCTTTACTCCCTCGTCGCCGCCATTGGACTCGTCATCCCAGAGCTTGTTGAATGTGTGAAGAGAATCTGCGAAAACCGCATCCTTGAGCAGAGGTAAAAAACAGTTTCTTGGCTGTTGTTCTCCAAAGGAAATCAGGCAGAGTCTTGTTGAATGTGTGAAAAGTATCTGGGAAAACTACTTCCTTGAGCAGAGGCACAAGGGAAATCAGGCGGAGTGGTGCATGGCGACAGGGTGGTCGCGCCAAGGCTGATCTGAGCGGAGCTGCAATTGGATTAATGTCCAGGGTATGAGACGCATAGAACTGATGGGGTTGGTTGAATTATGTCTCGGCTGTTGCATGGTCACCTGCAGCTGTTCAACTCAGCCGCACGAAGCTGACGGCAAAGAAGATCAGGCATCTTGCTCTCTCTAAAATCCTTACCATACAACTGTATTTACCTTGTTAGCCTGGCAATCCCGTTGGTGACGGATTGTCTGCTCTCTACGGCTCCGACTCTTTGGTGATGTCGAACCCCAAAGACTATACCGTTGGATGGATCTGTGCCATCAGCACCGAGCGCGTTGCCGCAGAGGCATTTCTCGACGAAAAGCACGACGGACCTGAGTATGTGTCCCCGAATGACAACAACGACTACACGCTGGGCCGAGTTGGGAGGCATAAGGTCGTCATCGCCGTCTTACCAGATGGAGAGTATGGCCTATCATCGGCTGCTGGGGTTGCCAGAGACATGTTGCATAGCTTTCCCAATGTGAGGATTGGATTGATGGTCGGTATTGGCGGCGGCGCACCGAGTCGAAAACACGATATTCGTTTGGGCGATGTCGTGGTCAGCGCCTCCCATGCCGGAAATCCCAGTGTGTTTCAATACGACTTCGGCAAATCGATACAGGACCAAGCTTTCCAGACAACTGGCTTCTTGAACCAGCCACCGACCATACTTCGAACGGCAGTAAGTGGGCTCAAGGCCCAGTATGAGGCTGAAGGTCATGAGTTTGAAGAGGCCATAAACAACATTCTCGATAAAAAGAAACGGCTGCGGAAGAAATACATGCGACCAGATCAGAGCAGCGACAAGCTTTACCAGAGCAACGTTGTTCACCCTCCCCACGAGGACGCAAGCTGTGCGTCTGACTGTCCCACTGATGCGTCGAGTTTGGTATCACGACCAGATCGGACCGACGAAGATGACAATCCTGCCATTCACTACGGCACAATCGCTTCGGCCAACCAACTGATGAAGGATGCTGTGATTCGGGACAAGCTTGCTGAAGCAAAGAACGTACTGTGTTTCGAGATGGAAGCCGCTGGATTGATGAATCATTTCCCCTGTTTGGTGATTCGAGGCATTTGCGACTATTCCGACTCGCATAAGAACAAGGAGTGGCAAGGATACGCGGCAATGACAGGGGCTGCATATGCCAAAGACCTTCTTACTCGAATTACTCCGAATAAGATCGAGAACGAGAAGACAGTCAGCGAGCTGCTTTTGAGTGGTCAGTCAGCTTAAGCAAATGAATACGATAGTGTCTAATCAAGTATCAGTCCATGAAACAATCACAAGTACCAGCGCCAAGGTGGAAGTATTGAAATCCCACTTGAACAAGAAAGAGGACCTGAAGATTTTGAATTGGCTCACCATTGTTGACTATGGATCCAATCAAAGTGACATCCTTGGCAGGCGAGAACCAGGAACTGGCCAATGGCTGTTGGACTCTGCCGAATACCAGTCCTGGCTCAGCAGAGAAGAGACAGTTCTGTTCTGCCCGGGTATTCCTGGAGCAGGAAAGACAATCCTTACATCTGTCGTGATTGACGACCTGATTGAACGATTTCACAATGACTCGGAGACCGGGATTGCATACATATACTTCAATGCCCAACGACAAGTCGAGCAGACATTAACCAACTTGGTTGAGAGCCTATTGAAGCAACTTGCAGAGGGCCAAACGTCAATGCCGGTGGTGGTGAAAGACCTCTTTGAACGACACCAAAAGCAGCGGACAAAACCACAGTTGAATGAATACCTGCGGGCAATTAATTCGGTAGTGGCAATGTTTTCGAAGGTCTTCATTATTCTCGATGCTTTGGATGAATGCCAGGAAGCTGATGGCTGCCGGGAGAGTTTTATTTCAGAAATCTTCAAACTCCAGCAGAACTCTGGAGCAAGCATCTTTGCAACTTCTAGATTTGTCCCGGCCATTACCAATAGGTTTGGGAGGGCTACAAGCGTACAGATACGTGCAAAGAAAGAGGACTTGCATGTATACATCAATCGCTTTCTTGAACGACGACCTCGCCTCTCTAGAAAGGGTTCTACTCTTTGCAAGGAGGTTAAGGAAGGAATTCTCAACACAGTTGACGGAATGTATGTGAGCATATTCATACTGATGGACCATTACTAACTACAATAGGTTCCTACTTGCCCAACTTCTTCTCAATTCGTTAGAAGGAAAGATGTCTACGAAAGAAATCCGGGATTTCTTGCGCGATATCTCTAGCACCTCCAGTTCGTATGAGAGTGCGTACGAGGATACTATGCGGCGCATAGAGAGTCAGAATGTAGGCTATAAGAATTTAGCCCGGAGGGTTTTACTATGGATTACACACGCACAAAGACAGCTGACGGTGGCTGAGCTCCGCGAGGCCTTGGCGATAGAAGTGGGAACCCCGAATCTCGATCCTGAGAATCAGCCTGAAGTCGGGGATATGGTGTCTGCATGTGCCGGGCTGGTCACCATCGAAAACGAAAGCAATATTATCCGACTAGTCCACTATACCACGCAAGAGTACTTTAGGCAAACGCGAGCGAAATGGTTCCCGGAGGCAGAGTCAGATATCACCACTGCTTGCCTCACATATGTCTCATTTGATGCGTTTGGAAGCGGACCGTCCGTCACAGATGAAGAGTTCCAACAACGCCTTGACACCAATCGACTTTACGATTATGCAGCAAAATTTTGGGGCGACCATGCTCGACTCTGCGGGCGGCTATTAGACCTAATGCCAGAATTTCTCAAAAAAGAGCGACATGTACTGGCAGCAAGCCAATGGCTCACGATCGAACAAGAATGGGTGTCATGGGGAAGCGGTTACAGCGGAAATTTCCCAGGAATGTGGACAGGATTACACATGTCCGCATATTTTGGCATTCAGAAAGCAGTGGAAACACTTCTCCATCAGATTGAAGGGCCGGACATGGAAGATGACTACATGAGAACACCGCTTTTCTATGCTGCTATAAAAGGCCATGAGGCTGTGGTGAAGATGCTGTTGGACACCCAAAAGGTTTTCATTGACCGAAGAGACAGAAGTGGCGGAACCTCATTACTCAATGCTGCCATGAATGGCCATGAAGCTGTGGTAGCGATGCTCCTTGCTACAGGAAAGGTTGATGTTGACTCCAGGGATACTATCAATGGCCGAACACCGCTCTCATGGGCTGCTGAAAATGGTCATGAAGCTGTTGTAGCGATGCTACTTGACACAGGACGGGTCGATGTTGACTCCAGGGATACTCAGAATGGCCGAACACCGCTATGGCGGGCTGCTGGCAATGGCCACGCAGCTGTGGTAGCGATGCTCCTCAAGACAGGAAGAGTTGACGTCAACTCCAAGGACCACAAATACGGACAAACACCACTATCGTGGGCTGTTGAAAGTGGCCATGAAGCTGTGGTCAAGCTGCTGCTGCATGCAGAAGAGATTGACGTTGAATCTCGGTGCTCAGTGGGCCTCACGCCGTTGTTTTATGCAGCATGGAATCGCCATGAGTCTGTGATAGCGGCATTACTGAACTCAGGAAAAGTTGATCTGGAGTCAAAAGCTTCTCGGCTTGGTCAGACACCATTGTCATCAGTTGCTGCGAATGGCTATAAAGCCGCGGTCAAGATGCTTGTCGAGCGTGGAGCCGATATCACAGCGGTTGATGTCCACGGGCGGACACCCCTTGCCTCAGCTTCAAACGCTGGTCACCTGGATGTCGTTACATTCCTTCTTGACCATGGAGCTGATATTAAAGCTGTTGATATTGACGGATTGACGTCACTTCACATAGCTTCAGAGAGTGGCCACTTGGATGTCGTCAAGCTACTACTTAACAAAGGAGCAGATATTACGGCTACTGCTCTAGATGGTGATACTGCACTGCATGTGGCATCTACGAATGGACATCTGGAAGTCGTCAGACTACTACTTGACAAGGGAGCAGACATCGCGGCCATTGATCTAAGTGGCAATACTCCACTACATGCGGCATCCCTACTGGGGCATTCCGATATAGTTAGGCTACATTTGGATCATCAGCCTGACACCACACCCATCTCAACCAACGCAAACGGATGCACGCCATTGATCTTTGCCTCAATGAAGGGACATGTGCGAGTTCTCCAAATACTAATTGATAGAGATGTGTCTCCGGTAAACCATGCCAACTGGCATGGCTCAACTGCTCTATTTGCTGCAGTACGAAACGGCCACTCGGACGCGGTGGAACTTTTGCTTAGTGTTGATCATATCGACTCCAATTTGCAGGATGGATTTGGCCGGACTCTTTTCTGGTGGGCTAAGCGCTGTGGAAACCCCCGAGTATCAGAACTACTGCTTCTTCATGCGGAGGCTTTAGCAGTCCAAATTGAAGACGACGACCAACCGCCGGCCGATAGCTTGGAACCCTTGGCACCATTCATCCGGAACTCGAATTGGTGCGAGGCATGTTTGCTCAGCATAGCTTATAACGCGACTTGCTTCACTTGCGATGTTTGCAATGGTGGTGGTTTCTGCCTCTGCGTTGTCTGTTATGAAATGGGGGTCAAATGCCAGTACAACTCTCACTCATTGACACGAAAACATGGTTCTGAGGCTGCGGATGAGGAAGATAGTTCCGAGACTTCGAGCTCGGAAGACGACTCCTATGGTTCTGACGAGACAGACGAATGAGATAGGCGATGCTGTAAAGACTAGAATTTTATCATTCCACCCAGAGTTGGGTTTTTCGGTTCCTGAACTCCCTAAACTCCCAATCGTAATCAGTCTATGGTAGGATATGCTCATGACAGCGCAGACGCAGCAAGTACTCGAAGGACTATTTTTGTTCGCAGTGGTATCGACGGCCAGTTTCCCTTCCTTTGCTGTTCGCACGCTTTAGTTCTGGCCCACAAACGCCGGGTTCTGCTCCATGGTGGCAGATATGTATCCCCTCAGCGCCGCCCACCGATTCGCAGTGGCCGCTGGTGCTGGGGCAGGTGCAGTATCAACCGCCTTATTCTGCCCATCATCCATATCGTCTTCATCGTCGTCCTCACCCCGCTGCAGTCCGGCAGGTGGCTGTGTCTGCTGAGCCCCAGGCGCGGCCGCAAGTTTGGCCATGCTCACGCCGAAACGGTCCATCTCGCCCCGGACGACCTTCTCCTTCCGCTTCAGCGCACCCTTGCGACTCCGCAAACTCTTGTGCTTGATCTTTCCCGCTAGTTCGGCCTGGCCCTCGCCCTCAGCGAGCTCCGGTAGGGCGTCGGCGAGGCCATCGAGGGTGGTCGCGAGCTTCTTGCTAGGACGGCGGCGCTTCGTCTTTGTGATGCCCGACGAGGAAATCTTGGATACGAACGACGAGTGCTTGATCAGGCGCTTGTCGCGCTTGGTCGACAGGAAGTCATCGGAGACGGCGGCGCCCGGGCGGAATGTCTTGGCTGGGAGGAGCGGGTGGATTTGGCCCGTGATGCGCTGGTGGCGGAGGGTACGGGCGGAGGGCTTCTTGAAGGCGGGAGGGAGAGGAGCCTGGGAGAGGGCGGTTAGTGGGTGGGAATCTGAGAAGAATTGGGCAGTTGGTTACCATTGTGTCTGTTAGTCAAGGCCAGAGGTAGAGTCTTTGGCTTTGTGTGGACAAAGCGGAATTGCTCTCGGAATGTCGGCGGTGTTGGCTGCGGGCCAGAAATATTTTCGGTCAAGCCCCGCTCACCGAGGAGGGGGCGGCGGGTTTGGCGGGGCACACCGAGGAATATGGAGGGGCACACCGAAGCTCAACCTTGTGCGCAACTTGTGACCATCCATCTTGTATCACAAGACCCCTCTCTCGCTGCCCCTTTTCATCCAGACTTCTCAATAAAAGGCTGGATCATGGCAGAGGTACCACAGGTTGAGGCTCTGCGTAGGAAGATCGCAGAGCACAAGGCTAGCCTGGAAGCACTGTACTCGCAGCTTGCTGTCGCAGAGGCGCAGGAAGATGCGACAGTGTTGAAGTCGCGGGATGGCGTTGCAGAGTCACAGCAGCTAGATCAGCTCGCCATCGCAGAGTCACGGAAAGTAGGACAAGACAATGCAGCTTGGAAATGGCCGCTTGAAGCACATGAATATGAGCGGTATAGTCGGCAGATGATTGTTCCCAACTTTGGCCTTCAAGGTCAGGTTCCCCAATCCCGGTGTGTACAATATACAAAGACGTTATTAACACTTTGCTTTAGGTCAGTTACGATTGAAAAAGGCCAGAGTTCTTCTCGTCGGCGCTGGAGGCTTGGGATCTCCGGCTGCAGCATATCTCGCGGGCGCTGGCGTCGGGACGGTTGGGCTGGTGGATGGCGATGAGGTTGAAGTGTCGAACCTTCATCGCCAGATTGCACATTCGACATCGCGTGTTGGGAAAAGCAAGGTCGAAAGCGCCATCACATACTTGAAGGAGTAAGTTTCCCTCAATCTACATGCCCGCTTCAGTCGCTCACACTCACCAGACTTAACCCAACAATCACTTACAACGCTCATACTACACACCTCACCCCGCAAAACGCCGAGGACATCGTCTCCGGCTACGACATGGTGCTCGATTGTACCGACCATCCCACCTCGCGCTACCTGATCAGCGACATCTGCGTGCTCCTAGCTAAGCCACTCGTCTCTGCCTCGGCCTTCCAGACCTCGGGCCAGCTCATCGTGCTCAACAACCCACCGCGCCAGGGCCCCTGCTATCGCTGCGTGTTCCCCAAGCCCCCGCCGCCCGAGAGCGTCGTGGGGTGCGGCGAGGGCGGTATCGTAGGACCCGTGGTCGGCGCCATGGGCATCATGCAGGCGCTTGAAGCCATAAAACTGATTGCGCGTGGCGACTTGGAAGGCGGCGAGCTTAGGCCGACAACGATGCTGCTGTTTAGTGGCATGGCGGATACGCCGTTCCGGACCGTGAGGATGAGGGGCAAGCGCAAGAGCTGCTTTGCTTGTGATGAGCAGGCCACGTTCACGCTGGAGCAGCTAAGGACGTCGATGGACTATGTCCAGTTCTGCGGCGTGAATGCACCCGTTCAACTACTTCAACCAGATGATCGAATAACAGCAGAGGAGTATGGTCAGTTGAAGCTGAACAATGATGAACATCTACTATTGGACGTCCGAGAAAAAGAACACTTTGATCTCTGCAACATCGCGGGCTCTATCAACGTCCCCATCAGCCGGTTCATGAGCACTCGAGGCGATGCCATTCCCGACGGTCTCCCAAAGGACCTCCCATCATCCACTCCTATCTACGTCGTCTGCCGCGTTGGCAACGACTCGCAGATCGCCACCCAGAAGCTCAAGGGCCTGGGATTCGGAAACAACGAGCGGTTCATCAAGGACATCAAAGGGGGCATGAAGGCATGGAAAGACACCGTCGATCCAAGTGTGCCTTTCATATGAACACCGGGACGAAAAAAGGCCGGAGAGGAATAAGACATAGCCATTTCTGTCGGATGAGAGAGTTTTTGAGGTGATATACATACATGCCGCGGGAACCCGGGGCCGCAACAAGGGCCGCCCGTCCCTTCCCAGCAGCTGCGCCATTACACATGAAGTTGTTGCCAAGGAAATTTTGCTACCGACATGGAGATGTGGGTGTAGGGTGAGGGGAAGGTAATTTACACAAAGTCGGCAGACTTCTTTTTGTTGAAGGCCTTCTGATCTTTTAGCCAACGGCGGTATCCCGTCACACTCTGGATCTTTTCGCCGTAGTAATCGGGGACTGGAAAACGTTAGCAATTGTGCGACTTTGGCGCCGAGAAGACTCCAATATCACTTACCAGGGTTGCTGGCACTGGAGTTAGTGGGGTTGACACGGTGCTTCTTGATGCGCGTAAAGAACTCGACCTCCTTCTGGGTCATTTGCTTCTTCCACTTGCGGTGGGTGAGGTAGAAGGCCTGGTTTCCAATGCTAGGTCCAATCAACCATCCGAGGCCCGAGCATGCGAATGTCATGAGACCGAGGGTGACAATTGGGTCGAGGGGAATCTGAGTGACGATTGGCTCGGCGAGGCCAGCGGACAAGGCAACGGCACCAAAACCACCACCAAGCATGCCGCTGGTGAAGGAGAAGAGAAGCTGGACACGGCGGCGCTTAACACGGAGCTTAAAGAAGCTGTTCCAATCGAGGGGAGCGTCGTTGTGTGCGCTGCTATTCTGCGCAGCGAAGGCCGAGTTGGCGCGGGCAAAGGTCCGAGGAACTGCAGGGGCGAAGCATTGCTGGCGCAGGGGCACTCGGGCGAGGCACGTCACGGAGCGGGCGGCGGTCGAGAACGAAGCTTTTGGGACGTTGACGCCGGGGAAGCTGGCGGTGCGGCCCGTGGCGACGGCGGCGGCCGGGCACGGGTAGCGCAAGACGAGGGTCTTGAGCGACGAAGCCATCGTGGGGCGAGAGCGAGTTCGGTAGTCCGGGTGTTCGGGGCGCGGCGGCGAGGCTACGTGCGCATTGAGCGGGTGGAGTGGAGATGGGTCGGTGGTGTCGTGAACTGTCGCAGCTTTCGGGTCGCTGGGAATGGAGTTCGTGATCTCATGGAGGGCAGAGCAGAGGGCGGGAGAAAAGTTGGCGGGTGTTAGCCGCGGGTAAGCGCGCCCGCGCGTGAGCAGCTGGTGCATCGGATGAGCTGAAGACCCGGCTCCGCCCGCTAAGTCCCTATAGCTATAAAGGCTGAATTTATAAAAGAAATCTAAATTTAAATATAAAGAATACAAAGGTATTAACTTTTCTTGTTCTATTGTTCTATTGTTCTTAAATACGAAGTTCTTGTGTTTTCTCTTTATTTTATAGTCTTTCTTTGTCTTTTCATATCAATGGAATGTTACCCTTATAGGTACTTTGGCTATAAAGTACGGGCCCTAAAATAGGTACCCCGAGTTTTAGAAGGTTTAGCACACGCTGAGTCATCCAGGAACGTGTTTTGTGCTTTACAGACGAGAGCAACTTTCCTGAATTCCACACTCCCTACGAATACGACTGACGACCCAACCACGACCACTGCGGTCACAAGCGCTCTTCCGTAGAGTTTCGAGCTTGGAATTAATGCGAGGCCCACGAGCCGTTGCGCCGGCGCTTGGTCACCGCAGCGCCTCAACCGGACGCTCCAGCGCGGATCGTGGAGGTCGCCAACCCACCACACGATGGCTACGCGCCCCGGTGCCACGACGGCGTTCAATCCCCTGAAGCGCAAACGAACACCACCCGGCCAGACGCGAATCGAAGTTCGTCTCCCGTCAAAACCTCGAGATTATGTTCCTGGGACCGGGCCCCCGCTGCAGCGCATCGACCTGCTCCCGGCGCGAGACTCGACCGCGTACATTGTCGAACGCATCATGCTTCCCTCGCCTGGACTCGCTGCCGATGGACTGCCGCTGCCGAAGCGCATGACCTACGTAGTGGGCTGGTCTGACCTCCGCGCAGCATGCTTGCTGGTTCCGGCCATGCAGGTGCTCGACTATGTGTCTCCGATGGCCCTCGAGGAGTGGGAATATCAGATGGAGCTGGAGCTGGACGAGGAGCGCGCGAGGATGGAAAAGGAGAGGAAGGAAAGGACGGAAAAGAATGCGAAGCCAAAGAGACGCGGGAGGCCACCTGCCCACACCCAGATCGAAGCTTCGGCTGTTGCGGCGCCGCAAAACCACGCGATGAAGACTGGACGGCCGAAGAAGGGTGCTATGAGCATAACGACACCGACCAAGACGAGGCTAAAGGAGTTCGAGGGGCTGTCGGACGAGGAGGCAAGTCCATCTAGGCAACTGGAACGGGAACATCTGGGGTCGTTGCAGGTTACTGCCGAAAGCGATCTGGATGAAGTGGACATGGTCATTTACAAACGCGACTTTGAGGATTTGCGGGACAAACCCCAACTAAAGGCAATCAGCAAGAAACCTCCCGATTCTCGTTCCTTTAGTGGTTTTGGTGTTCAAAGCAACCGAAACTTGCCGCCAAATCAGCCATTTAGACCGTTTACCTCGACTGGGATTGCAGCTCAGCAATCCACGCCCAAAACCGCGCCAGTCGCTCCAGGCTCAACTGCCAAGAAGAAGGAAACTCCAGTTCCCCTTCCTTGGATCCCCGCAATCCGCCCGTCACAAAATGGGTCTTCTCCAGCGATCGAGCGAATGCCATCATTCACCCCCCTTGGCGGCGTAGCAACCTTCGCATCTTTAGAATCTCGGTCACCTAATCCAGTAACACCCTCTGCGGCACCTACCACCAAACTTAAACTTAAATCGAAACCACCGGACTCGGCAAAGAAGCCGAAAAGGGAGACGAAAAAGACCTCCAAAACAGCTCTTTCGTCAGAAGAAAATTCAGCAGCAGCGCCGCAACCTACCGCCGAACCAGTCTGGGAAGTCAAGCGCGTCGAAGCCACCGAGCTCTTCGAGGTCGAGAATGTCGGTCTGGTACGATACTTCCAGGTCCTGTGGGAGGGCGACTGGCCGCCTGAGCAGAATCCCTCGTGGGAACCCGAAGCCAACTTGCCCCCAGCGCTGGTCCGCAACTTTATGAACAAGGTGAAGAAAAAACCCGCCCCGCAGAAGAAGAAGCCCCTGAAGCAGAGCACGCTCCCTTGGGCCCCAGAGAAGCTGTACAAGAGCGTCAGCGAGGCGTTTGAGGGCGGCGAAGACAACCCGGATCTGCTGGGCCTCACGATAGAAGATGCGCACGTGGCCACTGATGGTGACGGTGACGGCTCGGAGGAGTTGTTCGTGGTGGAGGAACCGCCGGCCAAGAAGGCCCGCAAACAAGGAGCACTGGGATGGAACGGGAACAGGAACGAAGCCGCCATAGAGTCTGGGATTCTTCCGGCCTACCACTGAGCGTAGGATAGATGACTTCTTTTTGGCCCAGGACGCATCAGAAGGATACGAAGGGGGTGTTGCGGGCATCAGCTTAGAGATATTTGGTCATAGATTCTTCATCTTTGTCTACGGTCGCGCTTCAGAGATTTCATCGGGTGTCGGTGTGGGAAGGCATTCATAAAGGGAGAGCAGTCAAGATACCCAATTCATTACAAGTTAAAGTGCAAAGTGACTTCATTGATGTGTCTATCTCTCCGTGTCTGTGTCTCCGTGTGTCTATGCCTCTCTGCGTTGCCATTCCTGCCTCCATGGCTGTCTCTGACACTCAACCTCCATGCAATTATCTAGACCACATCTTCATTAATCTCTGCACTTTGCTCCCAAACCAAACCGGCTACTTTAGCCACATGATCCATCTGTCTGGTCGCATCCATCTATCCATGCCTTCTAGTCTAGAAGCTCCAAGTCTCCCAAGGCCAGACCATCTCTGAGATCCAAACCGCCGAAAGCAAAAGAGGATGGTCGTAGAAGATCCAACGGATTCAGAGTCCACGATGGCGGATGGTGAGAACCTCGCGGTTGTTGTACGAGAGGTACTCCTGCACCGGGGTAGCTACGGGCGACTTCTTGATGTCGCAGCTGCCGCATCCGCAGCTCGGGGTCTCCTAGCCCTGAAGCCCTTGATCCGCAGACTGCTGACGGCGGTGTTTGGCAATGGCCGCATATGCGTCCCACCGGCGGTAGTTGATCGCCTGGTTGTTGGCGAAGTACGCATCCCAAAACTGGGCCCAGGCAGGATCCTGGAGGGTGATGGCCATCAAGGGCTTGATCTCTTCCTGGGTAGCGATGATCCAGGTGCCGTTGCGTAGAAGGATTCGGATTGTGCTACCAACAACAACATAGCGGTAACCATTATGCCAACGGACCTTGGCACCGTCATCTTCCTCGAAAGCAGTGCCCATCTTCAGTGACAGAGAGAGGGGAGTCTCCGGTTCGGAGGTGCTCGGAACTGGCTTCCGTGTAATTTTGTATTGGTCATTAGGGAGAGTGGCCATGGGCCAAATCATGTTGTAGGGGCGCACATCCCACTTCAAAGCAAGATGATCGACCTCCATGTGGGCAATAACATGTCTGGGGTTCTCATACCAAAGCCCATCCGTCTTGTACTCCGAATCGCCGAAGGACGGGACAATCTCGGATCGATCAGGCGTGTAATACTCGATCTTCCGCATGCTGACAAGATCTCGAGCCTTGTTGGCGTGGAAGACCGACGCGAACTCGACTGTAAGGACACCGTCCTCGTTGGGATCGGTAGTTCCCAAGTAGGAAGCCTCGAGCACATTCATGGTGCCAATTCGGTCGAAGAAGTACCAAACGCCACCCTTGGGGAAGTGCTTGAACTCGAGACATCGACCGTTGGGTAGCTCGCCCGATGTCGAGTAGCCAATAGGCTTCTGGCTTGCGGAAACAGGGTAAGATCTTGTAGGAACAAGTTCCACCTCTGCACCGTGCTTGACTCCCTCGGCATCAACGTAGTGCATTGGGTACTTCCTGATGTAATCCACGTAGTGGGCGGCAGACGAAGCCCATTTGAACTCCAAAAGAGCTCCATCCTTACCATCTCCGGTCATCTTTGGTGTGGTGATCATCGTGATTCCGAGCAAGCCACCGAGAGCGCGAACACCCTTGGCGACCTGGGCAGCTGAGATGCCCTTGGGGAGGTTGTTCATGGTCACGCGGCGAGTGTGGACGGTGCCGGGTTCCATGCGACCATCAGCTTCGTCAAACGGGGGAGCGTCAGCGGGCCAGTGGATGTGTTCTGCGTCATCCTCGAAGATCGACTCATGGTATTCGGGTAAGGCAAATCGAACGTGCTTCTTGCGCTCCTAGTCGCAAGTTGCGCTTTCAGACGACTCGGAGTTTGAGGGCATGTCTGTTTCATCCCACGGAACAAACTGGAGAGAAGTTAGCTAAGGGTCTGTAAAGATAAACAGGTGAAAAGTGCTTACCTCCATGTCGTCAAGCAATTCGTATTCAGATATAGCATCGACCAACTTAGTATCTGTGGTTTCTGCCTCCTTCACAAGACGAAGAAGATAATTCTTCAGAGTCTTGACGACAGGCTCTTCCCCGTCGTATTTCTTATTGGCAAAGATGCGTAGATGCTCCTGCATAAAACGTTAGTGTCACTGTTGCTAGGTTGGAAGGGCAGTGGGTCATTCTTACCTTTGAAAGACGGATGTCCTGCACGTGGGTATGCAGTTTGTTGAAGGAGTCCTTCATAATCTCACGAAGCTGCATAGCAACTAGGTCAGATGAGGCGCTGTAGGGGTCCGTAACCTTAGTCGCGGCATCCTTGAAAAGCCATTCGAGGTTTGCTTGGCGCCGGCCAAGCGTGTCCTGGAGCTTATCCAAGCGCAGAGACGCAAGAAACTCATCTAGAGACATGCCCGAGTAGGCACCGCTAGTGTTGTCAGAGACATGGTTAGGGAAAGTGGGAGTGGCAGCGTACTCAGCAGCTGACGGTCCCTTGTAAGGGTTGAACATCGACTCCATGTCGGAGTGGCTTGATCTTAAGGAAGTGGTGTCTAAGAACCAGAGGCAAGAGCAAAGATGCAACTAGCCAAGAAGGAACAGTGGAGAAGGTAAGGTGGGTGTGTGTGTGCGTGTTGACGAAGAAGAAGAAAGCGAGGTGGAGGTGTAGGAAAGAGAGAAGAAGGAAGTGAGGAGGAGGTGTGGGAAGGAGGAAGGGAGAAGGAAGAGGTTGAGAGGCGGGAGGAAAGAGGGGGATTTATACACCGAAGGCTAAGAGCAAACACAGAGAGTGATCTCTGAGTGAATTCACGGAGAGGGCAGCTCCGAGAACGCGTAGCAGGGTGCAGGAAAACAATAGGAAAATAGAAACACGTGGATGGGGGCTGGCAGCTGGCAAGGCTACGGACGGAACTAGGGCTAAGGCACAAACACCGAAGTTTTTAGCAGGTAATCAATGAGAGACATGGGCATTGTCTACATTGGCTCTGTCTTCAATATCACATTAAATTGATATGTCTCTGGCAGGATTCCTGACTTCCGAGGGCCAGAGAGACAATTCTAAAGACAGAGAAGCAGACATCTTCTTCCAACTTAATTGTATTGTAAAGATCATAGCATCGAGGCTCGTAGCTGCTTTGCATTCTCCCTTGGTAAAGGAGATCCCATGCGGCTCGTACCGACCCATTTAATGTCCCCTCCTTCGGTGGCCCTCCATGCAGCTACGGCTACCACCCGGCCCACTGTGCCTCCTAAGGCAAAATCACACTCTGCCAGCTGGCAAGTCGTTCACCGGACCAAGAGAACACCACTTAGATACCTCAGGTTACTAGCAAATATGAATTCAAAGTGGGGAAGAAACGGGACGAGGGCAACGAGCGTGAAGGCAGCCTGAGGAATGATTGCTCCGGATGAGGCATCTCTTTTCCGGTGAGCAGAACCTTCTAGGGCCACAGATGCCGATGATGATTGAATCATGGTTGCCGAGCTGAATTTGAAAGCGTGCTTGGAAGTGCCAGATCCTCGTGGCGTAAGGTGGGATGCGGCGAGGGGGGCAGCGGGTGTTCAGTGCAGACACTAAGCTGAATTCGAGAAGAACACAAAGAATCAGGGGCTATTATTGTACATGAACAGTAGAGGCATGAACAGCATGATATTTAACAGCACATGCCCTTTGTGTGACCATTTCTTGGGCATTTCTGGGTATTTCTACGAGTGATGGTGTTGAATGCTGAAAGGGGGGGGGGGGGAGGGGTGCAGCACAGGGGGTCACCCTTTTTCGCCACATTTTAGAAAGCTCACCAGTTTCCACACCAACAACCATCATCAAGGATGCAAAATCATGGTATGGCTTGGCCTATGACATCCCATCTCGTTGTGGCATACAGTCGTGACCAAGGTTCTCTCTGAATAACCCCCCTTCCATCGGTCAGTTCCCCCTCGTCGGCACTCTGAAGTTTTCCCTCGGCGAACGCGGATCTGGACTCACTAATCCAAGCTTCAAGGAGCAGGAGAAAGTAGAAGTGCCCACGATGGCCGTTACGAGCTGACATAACGAGTGTCACGAATATCACGAGTATCACGAACCCGACCACCTCTCTCCGACTCTCACTCCCCGATTTTCCCTCCCCTGCGCCGAGCTATCCTCGACGAACCGACCGACCTGACGAACGACCAACGAGCGAGAATAACACGGACGATCCTGGGCCAAGAGTGGAAGAAGAAGACAAGGGCGCGGATGGATCAAGAGGGGGGTATACAAGAATGGCGTTCTCGAAGTATTCCTTATTCGTCGGCCGGGAGAGACGGAAAGCAGGGATAATTTCGCCGGCGAACGAAGCTCGAATCGCCCGAGTCACTGGCATCCAATGTAGTGTCATAGAAACGGCGAGGGATTCTTTAGAGATCGTTTGGCGTTGGCCGAATTACACGGCTTTGGGGGCGATTGATTCGGTGGAATAAAGCTTCGGACAGCTTCTGTGCGACTGGATGAATGGGATTCAACCGTATATCCAATCTGCCAGTCATCGTGATGTCTACGGTTAGGAGGCGACACGCCGCTACGCCCGTATCCTCAGAGGATCTGCTTTGAAACAGGATGAATCTGCTACAGGCACTTGCTTTACATCATGATCATGATCACGGGCCGACCTCTGCTGTAGGGCAACAACTCTGCAGGGTCTCGGCAAGCAACAAAACAAGCTCCATCCCCACTGCGGCCAGGATGTGGATGTGCGGATCTGCACTATTCCCCGGTGAGTCAGGCGGCAGGACCATACCCCGCCACAATGCCTCCCCATGGTACCTGGACGAAGATCTAAGAATCCCTGGAACGCCCTGAAGAATCCCTGTAACCTACTGCCAATGCCCTTGTACATGTATCTAATGTTGTAGAGGGGTCGTGGAGAAGGCGCGTTTAGGCAATTATGGCGTGGCTTTGGTTGGGATAGCTTCCAGGCAGACTCGCTCCGTTGCAGGCAGCCTCAGCCGCACTACGACAGTCCACTAACTTAGATGAGCTACCCAACGACGCCGAAGTTCATCTCCACCAGTTAGAGCTATTGGACGACCCCCTCACCTTCAGCAGGGTTGAAGGTGTGTAGCCACGAACAGCCTTTTTCTCTCCCTCTTACCATTGACTCACCGGCGACAACCTTCGCTGTGCATCAGAGCATCAGAGTAGGTCCATCGCTACCTTTGCGATCCTTGCTACCTTGCTGACTTGGCTGGGAGTCATTCCCACCGCTACATCGAACAGGGTCGATAGGCACAGCCTATAAAACCCCCGTCCTTCCCCCCTCCAACTCTCCCATCCTCTCTCGGTATCCATCATCATCCCTCGGCTTGAACCAGCATCGCCGACATGGACTCAACAACAGGCCCCCAGCAACCCTGGTTCCTCCAGTCGTCCTACCCGGTCCTCTTCCCGGCTCACGATGCCCTGAGACAGTCGCAGGCAGACTTCGAGACCTTCATCCGCCAGGATCTCAGCCGTCGCCATGACCAGACCGCCGCTGACGCTCCCGCGGTCGGAGAGGACAAGGATATGACCGAGGTTGACGAGTCGGAGACTTTCACTCTTGTCACCGACTCCACGTCAGCCGAGATCCGGAGGGGACTCGACCACATGCAGGTTGACGAGAAGCAGCAGGAGGTACCTGTTGAGGAAGTCGCCAAGGCGTCCCAACCATCCCACCCCTTCATGGATGCCCTGTTGAATGCCGACAAGAAGCAGGAGGAGCCTGCTCGGAACCTCGAGGGGATGATGAGCACCGAGAATGGGGACTTGGCTTTCCGATCCACGAATGACGCCCTCGTCGATCTCTTCACTGAGCTCGAGGAGGTTGTTTCGGGGCCTCGCCTCATGGAACTGCTCAATGCCGCCTGGGGAGCTGACCCGCTCGCTACCCTCAAGATCATCTTCAACGCCCGATCCATCCATCTTGGCAAGAGCTCCAAGCGAACCTTCTACCGCTGCGCCGGCTGGCTGGCTCAGAACCACCCATTGACCCTTGTGGCCAATTTGCGATGGCTGAGCCGCCCCGTCATTGAGAAGAAGACGGCCAAGAAGGAGGGCGAGGACGACATCGTCATCGTGGATGAAAAGGACGACAGTGACCCCACCAAGTTCGACGTTCAGTACGGCGTCGCTCACGGATATTGGAAGGATCTCCTCAACATCCTTGCCCTGGCAGCCAACAACAAGCTCGACGTGCTATCGAACCCTCGAGATGTCCTGAACACCGAGAACCCTGGCATTAGTCAGGGCAAGAGCGCTCGCCGAGCCTCCTCTCGCGCACGAGGTCGAGGCGGAAGGGGACGAGGCGGATCTCGAGGGAGAATGGTGCGAGGTAGAGGCGGAATGCGGGGACGAGGCGGAGGGCGTGGAGGAGCCGCATATTGGTCTTCCGACAGATCAGAAGACGAGGAACCTCCCAAGAAGGAGAAGGTTGACCCCAAGGAGAGCAGGCATCAGACTCGAGACCAGCGCCATGAGGCGGCAGTCAACGCCTTCAACACGAACCCGGTGTATCGTGCCCTGCACTTGACCATCGCTCGTCTGTTTTCAGAACAGCTCGAAGTCGACTTGCGTGCCCTTCGCGGAGACGACGCCAAGGCGAAGCGAAACATCTCGCTCTGCGGCAAGTGGGCTCCCTCGCACGACCGCTTCCACGACAAGCACACCTTCATCGTCAGCTCGATTGCCGAGATCTTGTATCCCCGCGATTCACTGGATGAAGCTCTCTCGCCTACCGATGATCGTGAGACGTATCTCCGCCACGCCCGCGAGCAGTACCGAAAGGATACCTCTGCTCTTCGCAAGCAGCTGGATATTGTCGAGCGGAACCTCTCCGCCAACACGATCAAGAACATCAAGTACGACCGTGTCCCGTCCATCGCAATGAGCAACTACTCGAAGCTCTTCATCCAGAAGGATCTTGATGGCTTTGAAAAGTACATCGATCGTGTTGCCGAGGGCAAGGCAAATATCTCTGGCGCCACGCTGCTGCCCTCGACGCTCTTGTACAAGGCAAAGACTCAGGCCATGACAATCGAACTGACGGAAGAGAGGAAGGCGACCATGTCGCCAGAAAAACTCGTTCAGGCCAAGATCAACGCGATTGAGGCCAAGGTAGTCGACGGCCAGTGGAACGCCTTGGTGCAGCGCATCAAGGATTCCGGCAACCTTGAGAACAGTCTCGCCGTGTGTGACGTCTCTGGCAGCATGGGCCACCCCATCTTTCCTGACAAGACGTGCCCGATGGACTCTGCCATTGGATTGTCCCTTCTGATTGCCGAGGTCACCAAGCCTCCATTCGGAGGGTCGTTCATTACCTTCAGCAGCGACCCTGAAGTGGTGAAGCTGGATCTCAGCAAGCCTTTGGTCGACAAGTATTTGTCAATGTCGCAGGCGGAATGGGGCATGAGCACAGACTTTGTTGCCGTGTTTGAGAGGCTCATCCTCCCTATTGCCATCTCAAACAGTCTCAAGCAGGAGGACATGGTGAAGAGGGTCTTCGTCTTCAGCGACATGCAGTTCAACGATGCTGGAGAAGACACGTACAACAGAAGGTCAGACAAGACGCCTTGGGCCACCTCCTTCGAGCGGATCAAGAAGAAGTTCGAGGATGCCGGATATGAGTTGCCAGAGCTGGTGTTTTGGAACCTGGCTGGTGGCCGGTCGGGCTATGGCGGGCAATGGGGAGACCCAGTTGCCCCGAAGCCTGTCACTTCGACCGAGGATGGAACATGCCTCGTCAGTGGCTACTCGCAGGGCATGCTGAAGGTCTTCCTGGATAACGGCGCGTTCGAGGATCCCGAAGAGGAAGAGGACAGCGAGGACGAAATTGTGATCTCGAAGGATGGGGACGAAGTCACGCAGGAGAAGCCCAAGAAGAAGGCCAAGATGGATCCAATGGCGATTGTCAAGAAGGCCATCGGTCACAAGGCGTACGACATGTTGCAGGTTGTCGACTGAAAGAGAGGAAGTTGATCGCAACAGAGTAACGAATAATGATACCCAAAAAATTCTTTAGTAGAAAAGTTAAAGTCTTGAATCAAGCTGTCTGTCTTTACTTCGATTGCACCACTTCGTGAGGTTTCTGGCTACTTCCAACTTTCTCATACTTGGCGATGAGTCACAAGACGAAGGAAAATGACTACCCTGTACCTCAACGTTCCCGAGACTACTCGGGAGTCAACCTTGAAAGCCGATGCAGCGTCTCACACCGCGAGGATCATGTCTCCCTTTAGCAACACACCTGTTTCTCATTAACCTTCCCCTGTCTGAGACCATCCCCTACCACGTGGAAGCAACGGTATGTGTGTTGAGGCCGTATCTCGGGGAATCCACCAGCGCCGGGAATGTGGAAGGGGAGTGTATGCACGACCCCTCTGAGACCTGTCGAGGATCAGACAGAGCTGCAGGTGTCAGCCACCGTAGGTGGGCTTGGTGTTTCGAGTGTTGGAGTGGCGGGTAGCTGTTGTAACGGTTCATTTCAGTATGGGGGTTTGGTGCCGGAGGAGATACGACGGATGGTTTTCGGAGTGGGAGGTTGATAATGGTCATGATCGTCCTGGTTCCACGATGCTGGGTTAGATACCAGTTAGAGTGCCTTGCCGCTTGTTTCATCGATTATCCTGTGAATGACATACACTCAAGGAAGATCTATGTCCTTGTTAGCCTCATTGGAATATCCATCAACATCTTCGAATTAACCAGCGTGAAATGATACTCTTCACAGTCTAGAATGCCTATTCTTTCAGTGGCGTTTCGGTTTTCCTGGCGAGAAAGACACTTGGCCTCAAGGGGACACCCTCATCCACGGATCAAAGTGATAGAACTCACTTACACGCCATAATAGCCAGCCTCCGGCAGTATTCACTGAATAACACCGAGACCTTGTCTGTATCCGCTCTCATGAATCAGACCGGAGGTCACCTCATTCCAGCTGTCGTTGGGAGGCGTCGTATTACCCTACAGAAGTACCGACCGATCAGTTGGATCTCTCCAGCCTCCTGAGTACGAATGGATTTCCTTGCGTACCAAACTTGGTCCAGGGATCGACGTGTAGGCGTCATGAGCATTGCTGGGATCACTTGTCAGATCGATACGACAGGTCGTGAGCTGCTGGAAGCCCAGCCTTTTCCAAGGCCAAACCCCAACAAGCTGCAGAAGAATACCGAATAGCCAGAGATAGCAGCATATCGTCTTTTAGACGGAAGCACTAGAACACTGAATAAAACAAAATACGCCAGCCACGAGAGCCAAACTTGTGCTCAGAACACGGGCTCACGCCACAACAACCATCTCATCAACCATTTCTAAAAACCGCTCCCGGTACTCGCCCGGATCCGCGGTAATGGTCATGGGCCCCTTATGAGCCACTTTGTTAAACGTCTTAACAAGCCTAGTCAAGGACCGCGCACGCAGTGTGTGCTTGGCCCAGAAGAAATCCAGCACTACTACGCGGTACGTCCACCGACCTTGGGCGTCGTCCACGCCGCTGCGCCAGATGCCAGCGTTGGACTTGACGACGGGGGCGGGCGAGGATCGTTCGGGGATGGAGTTCGGACCGGGGTAGCGGACGAGGAAGAGGGAATAGTCGACGGCGTTGGCGTCGGCTAGGAGTTGCGAGTCTGATGCGATGAGGGACAGGAGTTGTTTCTTGTGTTCTCGTGATACGGATACCTTGTCCGGGAACTCGTCAATGAGGCGGTCTTTGACACTCTCCGGCGCCAGCCTGCCATCAGCGATATCCATCTCGGGAACGAAGTAATCCTTGGGCTTCAGATCATACGTCTCCCACCGCTCCTTCTCCTCCTCCGTCTCCTCCAAGTCCTTGCCGTAGAGCAGGTTCTCCATGACGATGTGGTGTGTCGGCGCCGTGCCCAGCATGCCGCCCAGCGACGCGTACGGTGCGTGTACCAAGTCTGTGACCCTTACAAGCAGACTTTGCGGGTGGGCTCGCATATGAGCAATGTACGGATCCAGGAGCTCCCGCGTGAAAAACCGATACTCGAAGCGCCGCGGTAGCGACTTGACCATGTACTTGTCATTTGGCGTGGTGAAAAAGGTCGACCCGCTGTATCCAAGGTCTCCGGCGGGGACAAGCATTGCCACGGTTTCCTTCCCTTCCCCATTCCTCCTTGATGATGGCATCAACGGCGTGGTTTCGTCGGAAGCTGCCGAAGGTGCTCGGAAGGAGTCTATGTACTCATCCTCGTCTAGCTCCCAGGCGTCATGGCGGAGGGTAAAGAAGTCGCCAAGGCGATAGCGCGCGAGCAGTAGTTTGAAGAAGGCGAAAAAGGAGATTATTATTTGGACCAGGCTCTGTTCACTCCATCGTCGTAGTATTGCTCTGACGATGGAGGCGGAGATCCGAGAGGAACGGATCTTCATTGTTGACCAAAAGATGTAACGGCTAGAGTGGACTGGATATCTGGAAAGTGCCGTAAACGAGTTTCTGATTCAAGAGCGCCCTACGTGCTGGTACGAAATGTTATGTTTCGTGAATAGAGAGAAGCATTGAACATGTTCATCTGGGTAGGGCAGCATCATCAAGGTTGGTTTGTGACGTCACAGATCGCCTCCTCCAATGAACATGTGATTACACCAAAAACGTCACAGAACAGGGAGCATCTCAGTACAACAGAACAAATTCTTCGAGTTATGTATTACCAGTGCTGAATCCAATAGGCTTGCTGTAAAATTCTCGATATCGTCCGTCTTGTGAATGTACGAGAAACCATGGAAATTCCACCAAATACAACAATTCCAGACAAATTCCTTCGCTGCTCATCTCAACACACGCTGCGCCAGTCGCTCCCAATCCGCTGTAAATCCATAAAAATATAAATAAATAAAACGCTCTTCTCTGACAAAACTCCGTTTTTTTGATTATGTGTTGGCCCTATATGGGCAATCGTTGGTGACGCATGTCTCATCAGTGTCTAGGTTCCCCCTCGCTGACGGAATGCATCAGTGTTGTATGGTGCACTTTCTTGCTCAAGTCATCGGGCTTGTGCTCAATCTCCGCAATTTCGGCCGATGCGGCTGTTTTTGTGACGGCAGCTTTAGAAGCTGAATAGACCACTCCTCCTCTTTCCAAGTGGATAAACGACCAAGGCGCTCATGAACAGGCCCACACTGATTCCGATGGCAACCTGGATGACCTTGAACAGAACATTGAAGGCAGTTCCATCAAGGCTTGCCAAGGTGTTGGTTCCAGTTGCGACTGTAGTCGAGTTTCCGGTGATTTCGTTTGCCGTTGTGATTCCAGCCAGCAGAGACCCACCAGCAGCAAGACCCGAAGGCACTTGAACAAAGATGGCGGGAAGCATCGCAGCGGCGGCAAGACTGTATCCCACCTTTCGAGGTTGTTTTAAAGGCGGTTCGGGAGTGCCAGGGCGAGATTCCGGGTCACTGAGCGAAGGGAGCGACCACCCGTCACAAGGCTTCCGTTTCTTTCTGAAGAGCCTTGGCCGAACGGTCATCCGCCACCAGTCAACCGCGTCTAACCACGCATTCTCCACGTGTCGCCCCAATCGCGAGTACAGGTTCGCCAAAATTCCGACGGTTAGAGCTCCCAACATGTTCGATATTTGGCCGTTTTCTTGAAAGTATGAGCTGCAGTAGCTGTTGACACAAAAGCCAGCCAGTGCGATGACGAGCATGACGGGTGTCTGTTTCCATTTGGCTTGGTTGATGAGGCACAAACAAAGGGTGAATCCGGGAACAAAGAAAAAGTACCAGGCCCGGCCTAGGGGCTCAGAACAAGTCGTACTGCTAGTAGCGTTCTGGTCCATCATGCCGTAAAGGGAGGCGCCGATGGTGATTCCATATCCAAGAAAGAGGGTATAAATCATCGCGTGGACCATACGCACGCTGCCAGCAACGATGTTGTAGCTTTGCAGTTCGAGAGAACTACAAAGGACCATGTATCCAGGGAGAATAAGGGCGATACTGCTCTGGGCGAGGGCACTAAAGCAGAAGAGCTCGCCGCCGTGGATGGACCCAAAGCCTCGTGCAATGAAGGATGTGATGACGGCCGCAGAAACTTCGAAGACGTGGGCGTAAAGCTCGTTACTAGGAGCAAACACCAGCTGAAGGATTCCCACTATGCACCCAAGCAAGAAGGCGATGGGTAAGTCGATGAAGCGCCCCTGAAAGGCGAAAGGGGCAACACAGGCTGATGCAACACCGTACAAGAACACCCGAAACCATGTGCTGAACTTGTCTTTCGAGGCCATGACCTCATCCAGACGCTTTGTCGCCTCATCCACGCCCAGTTTGTCGTGTACAACATCCTTGTAGATGTCGTGAACGTCTCGGAGGCGACCCAAGTCAATACCTTGGATCACGCGAACGAGCTTCACCTCGGTAGTGTGGGTCGTGCTGTCGTCGAAGCTGATGATCATGCAACCAGGGATGTACAGAAACTGACTTTCGATCTCGAGGACCCGAGAGGACATGGTCATGTACTCCTCAAGGCGGTGCGTCGGGGCACCATACAGCATGAGTGCCCGGCATAGCTTGAGAAGGTACTTGTGGCGCGAAATGATGCCGGCGATGTGGACAGTGATTCGAATCTGGTCACGCTTCTTCGGGGGAGGCGCCTGCTCACGTTTGAGCTTCTCAGCCCAGTGGTCGGATATTTCGGTAGAACCTGGAACTGCAAACATGGAGGATGACTTGATGAGCTCAGTTAGAGCCAAGGACGAGGTCGAGTTGCGAGAGCGGTGATGGTGAAACAAACCACTGCTAGGCCGTGATCGTGATCGAGGAGTTCCGGCCGATGAAGGTGGTCGAGAGGATGGTGGAGAGGGGCGGGGTGAGAGGTGAGGAGTTCCTGGTGTAATAGGCGTGTTATTCCCACTGCTAGAGACTCCCGATCGCTCGTCATTATAGAGCTTCAGGAGCGAGGAGAGGACACCGCCACGGTACTTTTCGGGTCTTGGAACGTAGTCGTGGGCGTAAGCCTGTTGGAGCACTGGGGTCGCTGTTCCAGAGGAGCTGCCATGGGCCTTTTGGGTGAATAAGTCCTTCCTTCCCTTCTTCAAGTGAGACTTGACCAGGTTCTCCGCGACGGTGTGGTCCCCCCAAGTATCGGAGTTGACCCTGGGCACTCGCTGCCGCAGCTTGGGGTTGGGTCCGTCATCGATGGCCGTGCTCTTGGGAGGCGTCGTTGTCTCATCATCATCTGAGTCGTCGATCAAAGGTTGGAATGGCGGCGCTTGGAGTTCCTGTGAGTTTCGCCTGGAGCCTGGCGCCGAGTAGATGCCCACGGACACTGCCAACCGGTTCGCCCTTTGCCGCGCAACCGACATGGACATGAGCTGTCGCACGGAGGCTCGCGAATCCGCGAGGTCGGCCTTCTGTCGCTCCTCAGGGGCGTCATAACTGGTATTCCGCCGCAGCGCTGGTCTCGGACGTTTTGGCCCCGCGAGGTCTGGTGTGGCAGGTGATGGTTTATCCTGGGCTTTTAGCTGGTTCCCGATCGCCTCTTGCTCTGCGGTGAGGATCTTGGTCAGAGCGATGCTCAGTTCGACAGCATCCGGCGCGCCAGGGGGGGTTTGTCCGAATACCGGCTTTGGAGAAGCGCTGGGTGATAAAACGACTTCATCGGGGCCAAAGTAAGCCTTGGATCCTGAACTCTCTCTCTCTCCTGCCGGACTGCTGCTGGGGTGGAAGCCAACGCGCTTCTTCTCCTTGCGGATGGGCGTGGGGACCTCGCTAGGCCGGCCGCTGTCGTTTTGCTCGGCCGACATGTCTTCACGGCCGATGGCTGCCGGAGGGTGTGCCGGAAACCGTCCAGGGGCTGATGTTTCGGAAAGGTCGATGTGTTGAAGGAGGTTGAAGAGAGAACGCCCCGAGACGATGTCTCTCAGGGCCGCTCGGCGGGAGCTCAAGGGGGAAAAGGAAGAGTCCTCATTGACGTGACTGATCGGGAGGGTCCAGTAGAGATTGACATTTCGCCTTGGCTTTGGGGCGAGAACAAAACTGGGCCTCGCGCAGAGATGTGGTCCTTGGGCTAAGAGGCGATAAGGGCCGGTGGGTCGCCGAGTGAGGCCCGAAACCGCATGCCGGCGAGAGAACGGGACCTAGTGACGGGGAGATAGGTTCCTAGCTCATGGAGGGGAGCATGATGGAAGGTTGTTGGTCTGTTGGGCATCGTGAGCTCCATTGTGGTGCTATCCCCACCGATATCACCAATATCGCTAACGGAGTTGCGCCCGCGAACTATCGCGAGACGCCATGCGGCAGGCGGTATGAAGATTGCTTTTGCCGGTGAATTTTTTCCCCTTGGGCGTGTCTCTAAACCAGGGTTGGCTCGGGTATGGCTTGACGGTTCGATGACTCGGATGTCTGTCTGGTGTGGGTGGGTGCGGGTGTGTCTCTTGGAGGTTTAGGTGTGGACAGAAAGAATGGAAGAATGACAGATTGAAATTCATACTCGACAAGGTGTAGTTGGAGCGTTGGCGATCCCGCTAAGATGGATGGGATATTTTAAGTGGCCTCCAGTGGAGAATTCTCTGCCAGGGGCGTTGTCGCCACCCATCATCAACTGCTGAAGCACCACGTGCGTATCATTGCCCTGAGTTTAGGGGAGTTCCTGGCCCTATAGCGGACTGTCCAAGCCCTACGGAGACGCCCACCGCGGTGAGCTCGCGGACCTAACTTGTCAGTCCTTGGCTCTTCGAGTTTCGTTCCTGGGCGTTCCATCGTATCGCGAGCATATGACTGGATCTGCGCTTCCCGCTGCCCCTTTTGGCATGTGACGGGACGCGGAGCTTGCTTGCTTGCTGCACCGCTGCGGAAGCGGCTTCGAACCCTGATTGTGATGACTCGAATTTCACATTGACTTCCGTGGTGCCCAACGAGACTTTCCCCTGCCATCCGGCCGCGTAATTAGGAGCCGAGATACGTAGACTGATTGTGCCATGGCCCATGGTTAAAATTTTCTTCGCCCTCGCGTCTCATAGCCTTGCGTGCTTCTATACATAGTTCATCCAATCCGGTGAGATGGTTCGCTGGCAGGGACCAGCCTGGATAGCCAGCTTGAGGCTCTACCTATCCACACGGCCCGGCATCGCCGATTGCTCACTAAAGCCTTCTAGGGGCCGCTAAATCGCGGCTGCGCTCTACTGAGGAAGCCGAGCTTTAGTGGTTGCGCGCGCCGCGCTCCACTGAAGGACGCCCAAGCTCCCCACTCACAAGGCTCCCGTCGTATCCTCAGTTCGTTCCATCTCGACGCGCTCATGCACTATTGAGAGAAGAGCCCCAGCAGTGGTGGATAAGGCTAGATCCACGGCAGGTATCTGAGCGCTTCGGATCCTCGGCGCTCTCGGATTCCCTCTTCAACTCCAACCAGAACACGACCTTGCCTAGGATCACACCACGTTTCGATACGCAAATACGCACACCACATCACAACCCAAAATCCACAGCTCGCGTCCACAGTATCAACGGCATCCACTCCAGAGCAACGATAGACTTGCCCCTACTCAGGTTTAGCGCCTAACAGATAGCTGCCTCAACATTATCACGTCGCGTTATCGCATTCGTATCCAAACATCTCACCATCCCATCAAGTTGTCATCAGCCGCCTTCCATCCATCACAATGGCTTCCCAATCCGCGTCGCATGGCGTCGTGCTCCCCGACCGAATCGTGCCCATGCGCGTCATCGTCTGTGGCGTCCATCGTACAGGGACTCTGAGTAGGTTGCCAAGTCGCTTTCCCCAATGCCCACCACGCCCGTGTCTCTACTGTACCTGATGCCAGGATGCCTGCATCACGCCATCGATCAGATGAATGAGGACCATCACTCCCCCTTCCCGAGTCGCTCACAGCACCATTTCCTGCACTGCATCGTCCCAAGACTGACGCCTCACCCGTCGCGGCTCCTCAGGCATACGTAGTGCCCTCCGGGAACTGGGTTTCCATGACTGCTACCACATGCACTCGATGATCGATAACCTGTCGGACGCCCCGGAATGGGTCCGCGCCTTCGAGGCCAAGTACGCCGGGAAAGGGACCTTTACCCGCGCGGACTGGGACCGTCTTCTCGGCGACTGCCAGGCCGTGTGCGACGCCCCTGCCGCGTTTTTCGGCGCGGAGCTCGCCGTGGCCTATCCGGAGGCCAAGGTGGTCATTCTCAACCGCGACCCGGAGCAGTGGTATGATAGCGTCCTGAACAGCATCTACACCATGACCAAGCCCAAATCGCTGGCGCGCAAGCTCAAGATGATGTACTGCTTGATCTTTGATAAGAATGTCGGTTACATGTTTGCCTACAGCAAGTCGGTACGGGCCAATGTGCTACAGTACGATCACGGCTTGGAGAAGGAGAAGGCATTGGCCTGGTACAACGCGCAGTACGCGGAGTTCCGTGAGCGGATCCCCGCAGACCGGTGTCTGGAGTACACCATCCAGGAAGGGTGGGAGCCGCTGTGCGACTTCCTGGACGTGCCCGTGCCGACGGTGAAGAACGAGGCGACGGGGGAGGCGGTCGAGTCCCCGTTCCCCCGCCTCAATGACCGGGCGGCGTTCCAGGGCCAGTCGGCCAAGATACTCGCCAGGAGCACGGCGAGGGCCAACAGCAACCTGATGAGCGCCTTGGGGAGGCTGGCGCTGACGGGAGTCGTGGGGTATGCCGGGTATCTGGCCTGGAGAACCCGGCTCGGTGGACGACCCTAGGCCCTGGTCGGTGAAGAGAACCGTGCGCGACGATGGGCAATCAAGATACCGTCATCTCAGATAACATTTCCAGTACAAGTGCGGAGTACCAAGTACTGCATATGTTGATAAGGAGTCCTGGGGAATAGGGGCTGTGTAGTATTAGTGTAGAAAGTAAGCTTCGCAGATTTCGATCTCCGAACATCTCCATTCCAGCAGATTGAGCCTTGGACACATTGACACTGAGGGCATCGTGAACACAACACACCACCACGACGGCTCCACAACAGACGCACTCAGCTTACCACGTTGATTCTACGACATGGGCTGTTTCAAGGGCAACTTGACTGACCGCCGGAGGCCGACGGTCGGTCATGCAAGGCATGCATTGGATGTTTTAAACCCAAGCATCACAGGACAGCAAGCCCCAGAGGCCAACCCCCACGCGGCGGTGGCACGTGAGGGCGACGGACTGCACTATCCGCGACAACTCCCCACGGCGCCGGTTCTTTTGAAGGCGTCAAGCTGACAGGGAGACGAGCCATCGGCGCAGGGAGACACGCATGGGCCGGTTAGCGGAAAGTCAGTTTCGGAGGCTGCCATCAATCCGTGACGGATCAGGTCGATCCATCATTGTTGCCAATGGCTTCTCCTGGAGATGCTGGGAATAGGCACGGCGATGCTGTTCCCTCTGTCCCCTCTCCCCTCTGCCCCTCTCCCCCCCCTCCGCACTTCACGCCAAAGTGGCGAAGCGTCATATCATCGTCATCATCATGCTTCATACCAGGGAACTCCAGCACAGCCGCCCTACACAAGTGCTGTCAGGTTTTCCACTCTGGGCTCTCTCCTCTCTCTCTTCCCCCCCACGCCGCGCACAAGTTCCACGGCGTTCCCTGCTCCGCATCGCCAGCCAACCGCAAACGCCGAAAAGGGACTGGCTGACCCAAATGTCTGGGGCGCTAAAAACAGACGAGAGCTGCGGTACAGTGACATGGACGGCGAGCCAGCCGGAGGGGAAGCTCAGGTTACACAGCTCGCCAAGGCAGCCAAAGAGCAGGCGACCTGTCAATTCGCCGCTGCTATTGGACGGCGCCGCGCAATCCTGACATCGCCCGAGTGCGCCTTCAGGAGGCAGGAGGTGAAGGCGGCGTGGGGGTTTGCGTTGCGCATTGCCTCTCGGTGCGTCTCCATTGCCTCTCGGTGCGTCTCCTTTGCCTCTTCGAGCGTCGAGCCTCGCCATGCTTGCTAGCGATGCGAGCGATGTAGCCCTCTCGTTGCGTGCGGCGCAGGCACAGAGGCACCGAGGCGGCGCCCCGACCATGGCGGTGGTTCTGGCCCAAGACGTCGATAGTCTAGTCTGGAGGCGAGCGTGATGGCTGCCCCGGGGGCGCTGGCCAATGTCAGCTCGCGGCGAGCCATCCAGTCCGTCCATGGCGTAGATCAGAAGACCAAGATCGCTGATGGTACCTGCTTCCAGCTGGTTGCTTCCAGCTGGTGGGAGTACGACTTTACTCTCTGTGCGGAGAATGTACAGTGTTGGACGGCCTCCGGGGGTGGGCTCCTCCTGTACTCTCCGGCTTGGTATTGCACCTTTGCCCCGAAGCTGCAGCATCCCGGCGTCGAGCTTCTGACTCGGCCTGCGCTGCACACGCAAACAGGCCATGTTTTCAACCATGCCGCCCCCACCGCTTCCTCATGACGTCCGTTGCGGAGCTTGGCTCTTGTCTCTTTGCGCCCAGCCTGACCTTCTGGCCTCGTTTGCGAGAGCCGCCTCTCGCAGCCGCTCCCGGGCCGGGCTCTCTCGGCCGGAGGACCCGCTGGGAACCATGAATTCAAGACTCCTGACCCCAGCCAACCCCAGCTAACCCCCACGTCCTCTCGTGTGAGAGTTCCATCTGCCGATGGGGACACCGCTGGAGCCTTGTACGGAGTAGGAGAGGCTTGTCCGCCCAAGCCTCATGACAGCCCTCCCCCCTTGGTCGCGGATGTCTTTGGTTGGGCCATAAAAGGCAGCTGATGCCAGCCACTGGACGAGGCTTTCATCTTACTATTTACCTATCGAGTTTGCCTTTCATCTATTGCGCTTGGGATCTCCACATCTTGTCATTAGAAGACATATAAGACCGGCCTCCTCCCTGACTTACACCATCACCAAATATCCCATCCTACTACACACATCTACTACACACATCCATCACAATGCCAGCTACACTCCTCACTTCACCCATGATGGGTGCTCCCAAGGCGGAGCAATTGCGACTCGGCGACGGCGTCTACGTCCCTACTCTGGCATTCTTCAACGCCGATGACGAGGTTGACTCGGCGGCTCTCGAGCAGCACATCATCAAGCTCCTCAACTCCTCAGTCGCAGGCATCGTCGTCCACGGCTCCAACGGCGAGTGTGCCCACCTCTCCCGCGACGAGCGCACCGCCATCATCCGAGTCGCACGGGACACCATCCTCCACGAGGCCAGCGGCCAGAGGGTCCCGCTGATCGCGGGCTGTGGCGCCCAGAGCACCAGGGAGACGACGCAGCTGTGTGAGGATGCCGGCAGGGCCGGTGCCACTCACGCTCTGGTGTTGCCCCCGAGCTATTACGGAGGTCTCCTCCCCGATGCGCTGGTGGTGCAGCACTTCTACGACGTGGCGGACAAGAGTCCTATCCCGTTGCTTGTCTACAACTTCCCCGGCGCCGCGGCCGGCCGCGACCTCAGCTCCGACACGGTCCTCGAGATCGCCCAGCACCCCAACGTGGTGGGCGTCAAGCTCACGTGCGGCAACACGGGAAAGCTGGCACGCGTCGTGGCCGACTGCCCAGACGGCTTCTTCGTGGGCGGCGGTAGCGCCGACTTCATCCTGCAGGGCCATGCCGTGGGCGCCAATGGAACCATCTCGGGCTTGGCCAACCTGTGCCCCAAGGCATGCGTGCGCATCACGGAGCTGGCTGACGAGGGGCGGTGGCGCGAGGCCCGACAGTTGCAGGCGCTCGTGGCCAAGGCCGACTGGACCGCCATCAAGACCGGCTTCGTCGGCGTCAAGGCGGCGCTGGGCCACTTTGCTGGCTACGGTGGCGAACCCCGGAGGCCTTGTGTTGGACCGGCGCAGAAGGAGCTGGACGTCATCGTGCGCGGGTTCCAAGAGGCCATGGATCTCGAGAAGACGCTGTAATGGAGTGGACGGCTGGGCCGAAGACCAAAACGGAGCAGCGGATGAGAGCGAGTGGGACCGGAAAAGCAGACACGCATCCAAGCATCCAGTCAGTGGTGTCGTAATGATGATTTGATACCTAGAACAAGAACAAGAGCAAGACGGAGAAGCAGACGAAGTCGGAAGATGGTGTTGTGGAGTCACGGCGCATGGAGTTGGGACATGGGACATGGACAGGGCATTGCACGAGTACATTTGCACAGCAATGGGTCATATTCCATGCTGTTGTACAGTAGTAGTCCAGTCGGAGTCGACTTTCCTTGTCAAAAATAGGCAGATTTGTCAATGATATTCGGGTCATGGGAATTATTTTACCCCATCGAAACTGGCGTTCCCCGCAGAAAAGATGCAAGCCATTTTCCCGCTTGCATCCATCGTGGAAAAATATCCGGTCGCCCATTTATTACAAACGAACAACCACCCAGCTGGGCCTCGGTGCGACTGCGACTGCGACGCTGCGAGGCCCCTGTATTTCGCTGGATTGGCACGTTTGCGATTTCCTGTTCTGGCGGACAACATGCGGCGTAGCTGACGCTCGGCATGGGCCGTGTGGTAGAGGTTGATAACAGGCCTGTTGGACTTGGCAGGACAGTACAGGTGTTGTTGTGAGTGAGGGTGTATACCTGAGTGACACTACATCTGAGTGACACTACCCTCTGAGTGACCGCTGTGTACGAGCCCCATCGTGTCTCAGTCTGACTGGGAAGGTGTCCGCGAGCGCATCGCGGAGACCCCGCATCGAAACGATCACAAGGATCGCTCACATTGGGATGTGGGCTGGATGGGTCGACCAGGGCGGGTCAGTTTTGCCCGTGTTAGCAAGTCGGACGCGAGCAATTCGTAATTCTGGAAAAGGCCACGCTGGAAGAAAAGATGGGGAGAGCAGGAACTAGTTGCCTTAGCACCGCAACGCAACATGTCATGTTGTGGACACTTTTTGGCTTGACTACGGCGGGTGTTCCGAATACACAGGTTTTGTCTTCAGCAACCTTCAACCCCCCACGCGACAAGGGGCGGCGAACAGGCCAGGGCGGGATCGGATCCACGCCAGAGTTTGCTCGGGCATATGGGATCGGGGCATTGAGATCAGGAGATCAGGAGATGGCGGCAGAACCGGTACGGCAGTGAGTTTTCTCAATCGTGGAGCCTCACCGATGCCGCCGTGGGACCATGTACGTGTGGAAGCGACCAGCTCAAGTATATGTACAGTACATATATACATACAGACAACAGGGGGCTACATCCAGTTCCGGGATCCAGCCCCTGTGACCCAGGTTCTGGGAGTTGGGGGAGGGGCAGCGATGGGGGCAGAGACCCCGGCGAGGCTGAAGAGCTGATTCGCACAACCAGCACAAGTCAACGGCATTGGGGGAGAGAAGAGGAGAGAAGAGGAGAAATGTGTGGAGACGAGCCCAGGGTTCACGACGCCCTGCTCTTCAGTGGAGAGCCATGGTGGAGAAGAAGAGCGGAGAGACAGAGAGCGTGGGGGTTTTCCTGGCATCCCAGGCGAGCTCCATCCGATGCGGAGGTCTCCATTGAAAAAGTTGGACACGAGACGGCATGTATTTTTTTTTCCCTAGGCAAGGGCATTAAGTCGGTTAGTTACGGACCTAGATGGAGATGATGTTTACTTTTTGATCAGAACACATGGCGTTGATGGATCGTGGCATGAGCCATCAGTCGAGCGAGGCGGCGACAACTGCTGATCGAAACAAAACATTGACCTCCAACTGTGATATATCATATTCGCCTGCCGAGATCTACCTCACCGCCCACCGCTCGTAAGATGAACTGATCTCACCAGCGCCGCTTCATCTGCCGGCGCCTTTCATGGTCGCGGGAGCCAACGCCTCCTCATTTCTCCCCCTCTACGCCTCGGCGGCGTCGAAATTGCGCACCAGGTCGTAGTAGAAGCTGACCATTTCCATGTGCGAGTCCATGCTCACGCGCTCGTCGATGGTGTGGATGTTCTCCGACCCGCGCTCGCGCGACGGCGTCCAGCGGTAGACGTGAGGGGAGAGGTCTGCGAGTGAGAGTCAGCAGCGCATCAGACGAGGGCGTTGGGGGGTTTGGACTTACTCAAATAGTGGCGGGTGTCTGTGTTGCCGTTCATGATTTCTCCAACTGGCACCACCTTTCCTCCGTCAAAGGCGAACGCGTGCTGGATGGTTCCCGAGAAGACGTCCCAGACCGGTCCGCTGGTCGGCGATACCGGTGTGCTCGCAGACTTTTCATCGGCGCGGAGCACCAGAGTGCCGTGGTAGTTGACGTCGGCCGCTGCTGCGTCGCGATTCTCGAGAGCAAGGCCCGAGACGTATTTCTCATAGTCTTCGTCACCCTCGTACGCCTTTACGCTGAGATTGTACTTTTGCACCACGGAGTCGATGTACTTGACGATGTTGTGCTGTACCTTCGGGATGCTATCCTGGGGAGCGACACGGTAGTTGACGCCGAGGGTCACAACCTCCGGCATAGCATTAATCTTCTGCCCGCCCTGAATCATATCAATTGCTTGCGACGTCTGGACCATGTATCGCGCTCCATCGCCTCCCGCCTCGACAAACGCAGAGGTGAGCTTCTCCATGTCGTCCTTGCGCAGGAGATCGGTGATGACGGGGGCGTCCTTGGACGAGTAGCGCGCAACACAAACGAGGTGGTTGTACACGGGACTTCCCTTCAACACCTCGGGTTCGTAGGGGTGGGCTTCGAGAGCGGTGACGATCTCCGCCATGATACCAATGCCCGTGTGCGGGAATGGGATGGAGCTGTGTCCGCCTACGACGTGGAGCTCGGCCCAGATGTCGACATGGCCCTTCTCCATGACCGACGGGAACACGTACAGCGTGTCGTCGCCGAGCACCTGCATCGGCAGGCCGCCCTCGTCGAGGATCAGCGCGATTCCGTCGTCGCCGTATTTGTCAGTCAGGAAGTCGCCAATCTGGCCGGCGCCCCTGTAGCCCGAACACTCCTCGTCGAAGCCAAAGGCCATGATGAGGGTCCGGCTGGGCGACCAGTCGGGGTTGGAGAGGAGCGTCTCGACGGCCGACATGAGAGCAGTCAGGCTGTTCTTGTCGTCGGAGGCTCCCCGGCCCCAGAGCCATTCGCCATCAAAGTAGGCGTCAAACGGCGGATGAGTCCACGTTGACTCGTCGGCGACGGGGACCACATCTTGGTGCGCTGCGAGGAAGATGGGCTTGAGAGATGGGTCTGAGCCATTGATGGTGTAGACGAGGCCAAAAGTGTTGACCTTGTTGAGCGTCATGCGCTTATGGCTGATTTCAATTAGTCACGGCATGTCTCCTCAAGCCGTTCAACTTACATGGCAGGATACGTCTTGGCCAATGTAGCGTGAAGGTCGTAGAACGGCGCCCAGCGCTTATCCTCGTCAAACTCGCCCAGGTCGTCGTAGCAAATTGTCGGGACGTGCACGATAGCCTGGTGTCGCTTCACCTGCCGGAGCAGCGCCTCGTCCGAGGAGAACAAGCTATCGCCCGAAGGCAGCCCATCGCCGGCCGGAGTCAGCACCGGCGGCAGGTCGCAGTTGAAGCTGGTCGCGGCCGGATCAAGTCCGAGCGGCTTCTGGAAAGTGGCTCCGACCGGCGCCGACACAAGGGCGGAGACGCCCGCGACGCCCGCAAGGAGGGAGAGCTTGGTTAGCGCCATGATGGTTACAGAACGCTTGGAAAACGCAGCCAAGAGTCTTGTTTTCAAGAGAGAGAGAGACCGAGGGATAAATGATTTGTAACGAGGGGGGTATCACGATAAGCACGCCTTTGATCGACCCGAGACATTCGTCTGCCGAAGCACCGGGCCCGCTTCTTGGCCCGAAACAGGCAGGCGACTGATGCGCCGTGGATCGGACTCTAGATATGGGTCCGGGAATTATCGATAATGCGAGGATATCTACGGCCTTTACGATTGTGACCCTAGAACACGGTGAACTTGATTAACGGGCATTCTTTATCATAGATTGCTACTCTGCTGCATTTTTAGACTCAAGGTTAGGACATTTGGTGGTTTGTCACACAAGGTCACGGGTGTCAATTGTTGGGCCTCTTAAAATGACGAAAATGTTGTTTGGTTCCCTATTGTTCAATTACAGCGCTCTCCTATGCCGTATGTCCGTTCGTCTCCTCGGTTTGCCTTATTCCCTTTTGTCTAAACCTCCCCATAATAAGGAAACATAAACCGGTTCGCAACGCTCTCCGAATATGCCATCTCTCTGAGCACCACGTCCCCCGGAAGCCCCTTCAAGTATGAGCCGTAGACGCTCGCTCCAAAAATGCGCAGCTGAGTTGCAAAAGTCGGGTCGCCATATCGTCCAGCGACGACCTTTTCGCTGATTTTTGCCGAAAGTAGGTAGTGCGGCAGCCCAACCGCTGGCAGGCCGATTCTGCCGCACTCTCTAGCAGCATCTTCGTTCCACCACGGCGGCAGAAGACCCTCCTTTGCGGCTGCGATGCCCATGAAGCGATGGAAACCAGAAAGGCCAGTTACTCTACCACTGTAAATGCTGTCTTCTTCGGCTTTTTGGGTCGTGACGAAAACATCGTCCATTCGCAGTCGGTATGTGTCGACGAGGATGCGGTAGACGTCCTGCTCTGGGCGTCCGTGGAGCCAAGTTCCCAGCCACAGCCGCGTAAATGGAATAGATATCGGGGCTTCAAGACCCTTCGGCGGGCTCCACTTGCTCAGTCTTGGCTCGTTACACGGCATGGACGGCTCCCAGGCATCGGGACGTTCTACCCCTTCAGCAAGCTGCTTGCAGATCTTGCCATGGCGGCGTGAGTCGGACCGTCGACAGCCATGGGAGCAATACGAGACGTGGCAGGTCAGGCATCGGTGCTCCTTGTTCTCAACTGCCGGGACTCTGCCACAGCTGCGGTGTGAGCATGGGGGTACTTTCGAAGGGGTTGTCGAGTTGAAGAGTTTGGGGGTGGGCGTCATGATGCTGCTTGTCAAGCATGTCTGGTGTTGCACACGAGGAAGGAATTCGCAAGCTTCCACTCTGGACACTGGGGATTTTATAATTGATGGATCGACTTGAATCAGTTTCAAACAACTATTGTTCCTCTCATCACAATCCGTCAAATGTGACTGTTCATGTGCGTTTATGACCAAACACCCATAGGCTAACGGCCTGTGAAGAACAGTAAAAGGGGCAAACATGGCTGGCTAGCTTGTTCGTTAAGTCTCACCATTTTCTTTGTTCTCCTTCAGCCTCCCGTCAATCCACGCCTGATACCCTGCAAACATGGCCACATGCTTCCAATCATCGCAAAAGTCCCGTAGCACGCTGTACCGCTGGTCGATGAATTCCCGCTGCAGGTCGACAACCGCGCCCGTCCCGACGGGGGGGCACAGCCCTCGGGAGAGTTTGCTCAAGCAAACGGGACAGAGGTAGGGCGGCTGTCGCACGTCTTCCACCATCCCCGCGGTTCCTTGCATGGTGCATGCGTAGTAGACGCAGTGGTCCATGCCAAGGCAGTGGCCCAGCTCGTGGGCCGTGGTGCGGGCGACGCGGGAGAACCAGATCCCGGCAAACTCGTCTCTGGTCTTTGGTTTGGGCACGGCGTTGCACGCATTTATCGCGGCTGCGATTGGCGAGTCCGGAGACGATGTCGAGGTGTTTGGGGCTTTGGCTCGTTTGGGCTGTTGTTTGCTTGTTCCGCACAGCGCATCAACGTAGCTCTTACAGTGGGAGGCTGGCCACATGTGCTCGAGCTGGATGTCGGAGTAGCCATCCAACGCGGGATTGTATCGAAACGACGAGACAACAGCGATCCGGCTTTCACCGTACGCTCTGCCGCAGCAAAAGTCATCGTCATCGTCCTCGTACAAGTCTTGGTTTGTGAGCATGACGATGGCATAAGCATCAGGCGGCACGCGGTCAATCAGAGCGTCCAGCACGTCGTTGAGATTGACCTGCATTCTCGCGATGCCGTCTGGCGACGGTCGATACCTGATGCCAATGACCTCCTCTGCGGGCTTCGGGGTCGCAAGCCCGATGTACTTCTGGTCCTTTGAGGATCCCGATTCCCACGCCTGCCAGCGAAACTTACCATGGTGCTTTTTTATGACCATTTTGTGATAAAATGCACCCAAGTAGCCGCACACATCGTTTGTCGTAGGCACGGGGATTCCCTCCGGAAGGCCAGACGTGCCGAATTCCCCAGGCACGTGTGGCTTCTCCCAGCCCTTCATCATTGCCTTGACGCCGTTTGTGATTTCCGGAGGCGGCACGACGTAAATTGCGTTCCTCTCCGCTGAAATGGGCATCTTTTTGTTGTATGAGAGCCATGATTTCAGGCTCTGCGGGGGATAGTCAGGGTCCAGCGCCAAATCATCGTCAGGTAGAACCAAAGGGCCCGGGAAGCTCCCGCCATTGTTCATTGCATCCTGATGCGTTGCGAGTTTCTCAGCTGTTCGTCGCCCAGAAGCCGTCGTTGCTGCCAGGCGCTTGTTGACGGGGGGTCGAGTGAAGCCGGCTTCTTCAGCCGCTGGGCTACACTCGGTGTAGATATTTTTGTGAGTGCACGGCTTCATTACAGGCGTCTGAATCGGATAGAATTTTCAATTAATCATGTGGGAAATGAAAGATGCGAAATTGCTGTGAGACATGGCGGCCATCATAGCAACACGCGATGCACTGTTGGTTGTTGGTTCCGTGTCTGGCTCTAGGCAGCAGTGGCCTAGCGCCAGGTCCAAGTACGTTACCCTGGACTCCAACCGCCTCCGCGACAGCCCGATAACGGGGAAATGAATGTTGACTTGAGAAATGATAAAGCTGTCCAAGATATAGCGGTTTTTATAGTTCTCCATTAGGTTCATTATTGGAAGAATCTTAGGGTTGGGGTTTATGCTTACGTGAAACCATCAATATTCATTGAAAGATTATAATCGATGAGGGAGGAAGCCTGGGTGGCGGCGATCATTCAGAGTCTTCTGAGGTCAAATTTCAGGCATTGGTGAAAGTATTTATTGGTATCAGTTACAATAAGGATACTGGAATGGTCATAATCTATGCACATGTACACGTTTTCGTGCCTCTAGGATCCTCCCTTACACAGACTCGTACTCAGTAGCTGAGGCATTGCTGTTCCTTGGCTTCTTGGTGCCGTGCTTGGCGCTTGCGGCACTCAATCGTCTGAAGTGTGATTCGTCTCTCTCCTTTCGCGTAATATATCCTGGAGGAGTCCACTCTGAGCTGGTCCAAGGCTTGAGGTGGTCTTGGCCGTACATCATGTCGACATGCTCCAGACTGAGTGTGCGTGACTCGTAAAGGAAGAACCAGACCAGGAGGGCTGCTGCTAGGTTGGTGCCGAAGAAGACGAAGCCGTATCCATACGAGATTCCTTCGTCGGCAAGTGGAGTGAGGAAACCAATCATGACTGGGATGGGTCAGTATTGAACTCTTGCGCAGAGAAATGTGACTTACAGTTTCCAAGCCAGTTGCTGGCAGTGGCAAGAGATGCTTGCTTGGCACGAGTCCGAAGAGGGAAAGTCTCGCCAATGACAACCCAGCAGATGGGTCCCCAAGTACCGGCAAAGGAGGCGATGAACATGCAAGCCGACACAATCATGACGATACCGACGGCGCGATTGCCTTCAGGGTTCATGGCGGTACCAACCGAGGCAAATACCAGCAGCCAAGCAGCCTGCCAGAGTGCACCGAGGAAGAGTGGCCATCTGCGACCGTACTTCTCGACCACGTACAGACCGTAAAAGGTCATGAGGACGTTGACAGCGCCAAGGATCAGCTGCGTCAAGATGGGGTCATCGATGCCCGCCGACTCAAAGATGGTAGCGCCATAGTACTAGAAAAATGTTAGTGATGCTACCAATAGATAGGACGCATTGGGAACCGACGAAGAAATAATTCACACCCGTCCACTGTTGCAGGAAATGGATACCGATTCCTAGGAGTGTGCGGTAAACCAGCTTGGGGATGTTTGTGTTGGGATTGAAGCACTCCGCCCAGCTGCCTTGGCCGACCTGCATTTCCTTCTGTAGCACCTCTCTCATCTCGTTCAGATCATCCTCGACGAGAGGATTGCTGGGGTCGTCCTTTAGTCCACGGAGTCGAGCCAGGGAAAGCCTGGCCTCGTCCCACTCTTCCCTCCCAGCAAGCCATCGAGGGGACTCGGGGACGCAGAGAATGCCAATGCCGAGGGGGAGTGAAAACCCGATGCCCAAACCGATGACGATGCGCCACGACGCATCAGAGTCTTCAATGTTTCGCACGCCATAGTTGACGATGTTGGATACGAGAATGCCAAAAGTAATCATGAGTTGGTAGGATGCCACGACGGCTCCTCGAATCTCTTTCGGCGAGCACTCGGACTGAAACATGGGAACACCGACCGAGAGGTTACCGATACCGAGACCAGCGACGAAGCGACCCATCATCATATGAACCCAGGAGTTCATCGCTGTAATCTGAATGATGTTACCAATGATGAAGATGATGACTCCGAAAGTCAAGCTCTTGCGTCGACCCCACCAGTCGGCCGTGCTGGAAACCGTCAGTGATTTGTCGAAAGACTTGGTACTCGGGAAACCTACTAAGCACCGGACAAGGAACCAATCAGACAACCGATGCTGATGAGAGAGACGACCAGAGACTGGATAATTGGCTCCCATTTCTTGGTGCCATCAGGTTGTGTCTGCGCGAATCGGTCGATGAAGTCTTTAAAGAGCAGCATGCCAGAAATCTGGCCCGTATCGTAACCGAAGAGGAAGCCTCCGATGGACGTCGTGATGCCCAAGAGGAGCGCCTCGACGCCACAGTCGGCGCCATTGACTTTGATAGATCTGAGGAAGATGGTGTTAGCTTTCACGATATTCGCCATGACCAACATGACGGAAAGAACCGTACCGTTTTCCCAGCATTGTTGCTAAACCTGTCTCGGGCTGTGGGAAGGGTAAGATGGCTGATCGGTTCCAGGCGGGAGGGAGGGCGGGTCTTTATTCCAAGACTTGAACGGGTGAGAAGACGAAACCCAGACTTGACAGCTGGCAGCCATCGGCCACACGACCACGAGTCTATCATGGCGGGCGCGACGGGGCGGCCACGCTCCACTTGGCAGTCGTCATGAAGCCCCATCTCGTGGGCACGACTGCCATGCTTGGCGCAGATCTCCAGAATCTGGTAGGCGACAGAACCCGGACTCCCTGCAATCCTAGTTCGGCGGAGACTGGCACTGGGAAAGGGCCGATGTCAGTGACGCCGGTGGAGGAGGGAGGAGCCCGGCCAGTCTCCAGTGCGTCCGGCACCATTGGACCGAGCACCACGCGACGGGGAACACGGTGGGCTGGAGCGCCGGGGAAGACGTCTCACAGTCGCTGGGGACCACTGTAAATCGTCTTGGCCTGGTGGAGCGATAAATTTTGGCTATCGAAACGGGCCTTGGCTGGTGGTGGAGAAGGCTTGGAAGCCGGGCTTTGCGCCTCGCGGTGATGTCATGGGTTAAGCTTAAAAGAAGCCGCTCGGCGTCATTTGAAGTGCGGACTTTGGGAGTGTGACGGCATAGCACCCGCGGCTCGGTGCTATCCTGCATAATTGCGTAGATCGAATAAATCGAATTGCCGCCCGGGTCGAAATGGGATTCCGTGACGGTGGGACAATGCGATTCAGGTGAATCAAGTTCTTGAATTTTCTGGCTTTGTGGAGATTGGGGATTGGCTGTTCAAGCTTGGCTCTTCATCGTTCAGCTGGAATGCAAAACCGCTCATCGGTCTGTCTCTGCCCTAGCGGGGGCCGTTTGATCTTTCTATTAACTTCTGGGTCATGGTCTCGGAATGAATGTGGTCCGCGGGGTTACTGGTCCTTGGCCTGGGGAAGTTGACGGGGAATATTCTGAGGCAGCTGGATGCGACAGGTTGTTGATAGCTCACAATTATCCGTGCGTGATGCATCGGCGTAACCTTCACAGCCTCATGTATGCTCTGTATGCTTTGCAAAAATCTAAAAGTGAAGCCCGAACCTACTTCGATTCTATTAAGAGAAACATCGACTTGCAGTGTTTGAGACACGACAATCGAGGTTGCTCAGATCTGGGCCAATTTTGGGACTCTTGCCGATGAGCCCTGAGGAGGTGCCGGATACGGCCCATACTCGGGGATTCACGTCTGTCTGGGAATTATTGATCTTATGCAGTGCATGGAAAACACAGGAACCGGCCCTTTTGAAATTAATTATCGCATGGCCTTTAATCCAGGGGATCTCAGGAGTGAGGGTGGATCGCGAGGCCGTTCAATTGAATCGAGAGGACGCGCACTCGGAGGTTTGGTGGCGTGCCGATCGCGTCTGAACAACCACTGCGGATCAACATCGTAGAAGTAAAGAAGAAGTGTCCGAACAAATTCAGAGTAAACGAAGCTTCGCAGTTGGCGTGACGTTTCTCTAGTAATACCCCGTGACTTGCGCCTAGCAATTGTTTGCTTTTAGCCTCAATCGAGAGAACAACAACCGTCTTCATTCTGTTTGCTCTCCAACATGCCCCCACGCGACGGAGCTCCGCGCCCCTGAGATGCAGCAACAGGTACCGAGTACCCACAAGTGGGCAGCTCTAGCATGCAGAGTGTGGAGCATTGGCGAATCGCTGGAACAAGCTGTCCTCGCACCAAACCAACCACACCAATTCCCGTCTTGCAACGCCTGATTGTGCTTCACGGGCATTGTGAGACAGTGGCTTCGGCCAAGGAAAATCGATTAATCCTAGATAACGTGCTGGCAAGAGGGTATCGAGTCTCAGAGTCGTTATTTGCTTTTTTCGTATTAACTCAGCATCCCTTGGGAGATGAGATAAGAGTGCGGGGAAGAAAGGAGGTGGACTGCAGGTGAACGTCGTTGCATCACATCTCGTTCAGTGCCAGTGTTTACCGTGCGTGATCTTCAAGTTCGCCTCTTGGGGTGCACCAGTAACGTCCTTCTGCCCGACGCATCTTTGCCAGCTCTTTCTCCCAACGACCCAGCGGAGCCGGCCTTCCCGTCGTCTCGACCAATTCCGAGCCCTGTCCCAAAGATCGCGATCGAGTCGTACAGCTCGCCCATTCGTTGCAACCATGTTCACCTGTGGAACATGCTGGCGCGTGTTTCACGCTGGGTGGCAGGCTAGGGACCAGCATTGCGATGCCACGGGCCATCGTCGGCCGAAGTTCGAGTGCGATACCTGTGACAATTACTTTGACGACGAGGAAGACCGCCGTAATCATATGGATTACAGGAACCATTGGTTCGACGATGCTCCTGAATGCCGCCTTTGCAATTCCCGCTTCCCAACGGCAGGAGAGCGGAATTCGCATGAAGTTGCTGACCACCATTACTGTGCCGAGTGCCAGCGCGAATTCCAGTCCAGGAACAACCTACAGCAGGTTTGGCTCACCGTGAAGAGTCCCATCGCCGTATGCTGACCTAGATGCTCGCAGCACATGAATTCGGCGCGACACCGTTCCACAAACATTAAATGCCCCTTCTGCTCGAGGGAATGTGGGACTGCCACAGGCCTCACGCATCATCTCGAGCGAGGAGCTTGCCCCAACGCGCCGCTTGACCGGGACAAGCTCTACCGCGTGATTCGAGAACGCGACCCCTCCGGCGTCATCTCCAACCGGGCTCTTGAGTGGCACGGCGTCAAGACGTTTGAGGCCAGTGAGAAGGCGTGGAATCGAGGCTGCCAAGCCTACGAGTGCTACCTTTGCCATCGACTCTTCGACGCCCTCCCGTCGTTGAACGCCCATCTCTCATCGCCGAGGCATCAGCAGAACTTGTATCATTGCCCAGGCCGGTCCTGTAGCAAAGAGTTCACGACGTTAGCGGCACTTGTAAACCACCTGGAGAGTGAGAGTTGCGGATTCATGCGCTTTCAGGCAGTCCAGACTGGGATCAACAACCTCGTGTCCTCGAATCGGTTGATCGGGTTTTGAGTGAGATGTGATACGGAACGTGTGGGTGACATGGGCGGAGTGTGAATGCCACGATCCTGTACTCATGAATTGACTGAGGAATAACCCTAGAGAGGAAGGGAGATAGTGGGAATAAGTATTAATATGCGGATAGAGTACGTAAATGGGACTGTTTCTTTTGCCTCGGATGTTCTGACTGTAGTCATTAGGTTTCATCCGCGCAGGCCCACATTCGGTAAGGATGGAACGACGTCCATTCGATGAATCTTCGATCGAACCAATGCGCAAGAAATGACATGATACATGTCAGGAGACTTTCTGGAGTTCTCCGCATAGGGTTGCGGCTAAAGGACACGAGCGACCTGTCAATGCATTTGCCGTACACCATCGTGGCCTGTGGCGAACCAGAGTTTATATCATAGCGACATACATACGCATCCATGACGCCATAGAGAGAACCCCTCGAATCGACGAGCATGTCATACCACTTGGAGGATGCATTGATTTAAGGACGTCCGAGCCATTTGGAACTCCAAGAGCTTTTTTCTCAGCCGGATGCTTCATCGTACCCTCGGTCTACGTCTACGTTTGCATCAAAAACAGTCTCCAACCTCTCTCTATCATCAAATCAAGATGTCAGTCGTCTGGCCCAAAGTTATCCGATCCCAGAGCGCCATTCAGCTGGCGATCCGGGGAGCCGTGCCAGCGGCTCAACGTGGATTCCACGTTTCTCGTTCGGTCCGGGTGTCCGCTACCGGCCCCACCCCGGATCCCCTGGATACACAGCGGTAAGAACCACGGCCAAGACTGATTGCCATGAAGCGATGGGGTCCTAATGAGTGAATCGGTGCTAGAAACAATCGAAACTTGGCGATCGGTGCTGGCGTCGTGGGACTCGGCGTCGTGTGGTTCTACATGTCGGGAAAGCCCAAGGCCAAGGATGTGCCGCCAGTCGCGTAAAGGCAGCCGCCTCCGACGGCTTTGGAAATAATATCAAGCATCGGGTTTCATGGGTTGGTTTTGAAGTTGGGCGAACTAGTTGCAGGAAAAGCTCTCGTTCGACGGCCGACCCTAGTTTTGGTTCAATAGGGCACATATCACGAGTTTAGTCTGTATCAAGAAGGTGGAATTGAGAGTCTTTGGCTGATTAGTCTATACGGCCACAGTTGCGTGGCTTTGCTCGGCGATCCCGACATGATCACTTTATTGGCCAACAAAAGTTCGTTCTTTTTGAGGAGTTCATGTCTGGCGGCCTCTTCGTCGGTTGAGTGATCACCAACAGCATGTATATCGCAGTCTAAATCGTCGACCCATCAATTACCCCAATAGAATGAACTAAGCCTTCATTGCAATTTCGTTGCTTATTTCTCGACCCATCGTAAATCCATGATCGACCTGCGGCGCGTGTAAGCGAGGAGCGAGATCCATTGTGGGCCCGGAACAGATCCGACGATTTGATCCCACTGGAAGGGTTAACTCGCCGGGCTCCGTTTGACGATGGCTAATCTGGGCGGCCTCAATGGTGGTGCATCGGTGCAAGCGATCTTACCAAGGCTCGAAAGGGAATGGCTGAAGGAATAACATCGTCGCATCAGAGACACGCCGTCTTACTGCGCGAGGGCGGTGATGACGAGTCTCCTACTGAAGGCAAGGCCTAGTTAGAGGCCGCCCAGCTTGGGTCGCATCTGCATCTCCAAGCGCGGCCGTTTGCTTTGCGGGGATCCAGACGACGGAGCGGAGGCAGCCCATTCCCATCCCATCGAAAGACCCTTGTCAGAGGTTGGCGATCCACACGTGCAGCCGCTGAAGCCTGGGAATCAGCTGGGATGCGACCGCGTCATCGTCCACGACGCTCGCCAGTCAGCCTTTCCATCTCGGATTCAGCCCTACGAGGAGAGACGACAGGCCGTGTCGGCAGCCGGATATAACATCTACAGTACTTAGGCCTTGGTGTGTGCTTCCACTCTCCAGAAACGCCCCGGCCTGTTTGACGCTGGATATCGCCCCCAATCACAACCCCTCTTCTCTCTTCGAAGCTCACCAAACAATGGACGGCTTCTCAGTAGTTTCGTTGACATCTTCCGCCGCAACCATCTCCAACCGTGCGCTTTCGAGCGCCGAGGAGCTGAAGGAGCTCATCCAGAACTTGGACTCGCAGCACTTCACCATCCCGCACCTCTCCCCCTTGGGCGACGCGCTCCACCAGCTCCACCAACAAGTCGCTCAATTACAAACGGCCCTAAATGGGGCGTCAGCCATCTCGGTGAGGCTCCAGACTCACCTGAGCCAGTCGCTCGAGGCGTGCGATGGAATCGCCGCCGTGCTGAACAAGCAGGTCATGCGCCTGCAGGCTGATAACTTGCTCCTGTTTGATGAGACATTCTGTGCGGTGCACAGCCATACGCTTGTCTCGTACTGTCAATTGTTCGACGTATTCGTGAAGCTGCTGTCTTTGTACGTGCAATATTTCGTGACTGTGAGCGCGTGGCTAACATTGTCGCGATAGGCCAGACAAGGAACACCAGGATGCTGCTCTTGACTCCACTGAGAGCATGGCTTGTCTCGAGCAAGTTAGTATTGCCTCCCAGAGAGCATCAGAAACACGAGATATCTTGCTCCCTGAGGGCGCGCCTCCTACTGTATCGAGTAGCAAGGGACCTCTTCCAGGCGACAGCAACGAACCCCCGCCGTATGAGCCTGCAGTTCCTGGACCCTCGTCGTCAGCGGCGGCTGGACCATCGAGTCCGGCTTTGGGCTTTTCCATGTCGTCGCTCACGAATTCCTTTAAAGCTATGACGTCCAACCTTTGGCCGAAGCCGGATCCTCTTGCAACCGCCTTCTGTCAAGCCGCTCTAAGAGGCGATGTCAAACAAATGAGCGGGTTTCTCGCCCAAGGAGGAAACATGAATGGTCGAGATGGCGATGGTAACACGCCCTTGACCTGCGCAATTTTGGCCGATAAGGAGGAGGCTGTCATGTTTCTACTCACGTCTGGTGCCAACGTATCTTCGCGGGACGGGTCCAAGTTGCCGCCCGTGTTCTTGGCCGCCTCAGCTGGTAGCGTCGATGCGGTCAGGCTCCTCATCAGCAAGGGGGCAGACATCAACCAGAAGAGTTGGTCCGGGCAGTCTTTCTTCGTCGATGTCGTTGCGAGCGAAAACGTGAAGGGGATCCAGGCGCTTTTGGAGAACGGCGCAAATGCAAACACCACGAGTATATCGGGACGATCTGTCATTGCCCAAGTCGTCAAGAAAGGCAACATAGAGCTTGCTACTCTGCTTATACGACATGGAGCAGACGTCAACTCATACGACATCACCGGGAACTCTTTGATAGCCTTGGCTGTTGGCCAGCCGAACGTGGAAATGGTCCGCTTGCTTCTGAGACACGGTGCAAGCGCAACTGGACGGGGCCTCAATGGAAACACAATGCTGGTGGACGCAATTAGCAAGCGACGGATGGAGATTGCCACTCTGCTCCTCGGGCGTGGAGCGGACGCAAGTGCTCGAGATCTCCAGGGCAACCCGATTCTTGTCGCGGTCATCCGAGACACCAAGCTGACCGAGCAGGAGCGGTTGGACACGGCGAACCTGCTCCTCAGGCATGGTGCTTCTCCCAACGTCAATGATAGCACCTGGAGCATGCCTGCAATGTGCTACGCAATGGAGAACGGGTCTTCGGAGCTGGTCAAGCTGATGCTGCGGTATGGCGCGTCGACGGATAAGAAGATGAAGGGCGGAGAGACGCTGCTCCTGTATGCCATGGACAACGGGAGAAGCGATCAAGCGACGAAGCTGGTTCAGCACGGCGCCGATGTGAACGCAACGGATAAGAAGGGGCGGACGCCTTTGATGCAGGCGATCATCAAGGGCGACTTGGAGTTGATTAAGCTGCTTCGGCGCTACGGTGCCGATGTCAATGCAGGAGGCGTCGTGTCTCCGGCAGAGCTCGCTCCCGCCATGAACAATTTTGAGATATTGAGGCTTCTAGGCCTGGAGATTCCGACGATGCCTCCACCTCCGCCAGCACAGGCATCGGGAAGCGCAGTGACTGATGAGGCCGGTCCTCCTCGGCCGCAGTCACCTCCGCCGGGGTATGACAAGGCAGTTGGGCACTAAGGGGGACGGGGAACGGGGTGGAGTATATTATGAAGGAACAAACTACCTGTAAATGCGTTAATGTCTCTATCTATATCTTTCATCTCTATCTTGTCTATTGGCCGAGAATCTGCTTCAACCACCACACGTGTATCCGCGCGTCCTTTGTTAGTTCCGGGTGGAAGCTTGTACCCAGAACATTGCCCTGTCTAACTGCAATAATATCTCCTGAATCATCCTTTGTGATTGCTTGCGACACGCCGGGCTTCATCTTATGTAGTCTGCCAGGCAACTTAGCCAAGACCTCGACGGGCGGCCGAGAATCGCTCGTCGCCAAAATCTCCTCCACCACGGGCGCGCGGATGAAGACACCAGGGAACCCTGACTGGGGGCCCTCGCCGTCCAGGAATGGCAGGTCCATGTTGGACTCGAAGCTCTCGATCTGGCGGCCGAAGTGGTTGCGGTGCACGCGGACGCCGAGGCCGCCGATGAGCTCCTGGCCGCCCTTCTTGGTGGCGTTTGCTTCGTCCGAGAGCAGGATGAGGCCGGCGCATGTGCCCCACGTCGGCCGTTTGTGGATTCTAGATATCGGGTCAGCGCACGGTTTGCGACGAGGGAAATGGAGAGGGAAGAGGTAGTTACTTGACAAACTCTCGGAGCGGCTCGAGGAGTCCAGATTGCGCGGCGACGAAAGAAATGGTGGTGCTCTCGCCACCGGGTATGATGAGCGCATCACATTGCGCCAGCTGCTCCTGGGTGCGGACTTCAAGGAGGGTGAATGCGGTTTTGGAAGCCTCAGCCGAGGAAAGCTGGTCGACGGCGGTTCGCAAAAGATCCAAGTGCTCAGAGAAGCCGCCCTGGAGCGCGAGCACTCCGACCGTGAGGCTCATCATGATGGCGGGGTTGAAGGTGGGCGGCGGGGGGAACAGTGGTTTGGTGGGAGCGCAGAGAAATGACGGACCGCGCACGAGTAAGTACCGTGAAGAAGGCCAGAGATGATGCGACCGGGTCAAAAGAAGGGCGCGCGCGTACCCGGGCAATAATACCGAAGTTGCGATGAGTCGAAGAGTCGCAGAGTCGAAGACCGGCGTGGACACCCGGGCGGGCGGCGGGTGACGAAAGTTGGAACCGGGACGCCGCCGAGTCAGGGCGCAGGCGGGCGTTGTGCACTGGGGGAAAACTGGAGCCCCCTCCCCTGGAAGGAGTGGAGAGAGGCCTGGATGGAGGGGGATGGAGGGGATGGAGGTCCCTGGAAGCAGTGGAAGAAGTGGATAGAAGCCACTGAATTCACATGATTCCCCACGAAAAAGGGCGGGAGCCGGGAACGATGGGCCTGCAGGTCAGCGCGCTAATGCTAGCCCTGCAGCGGAACTGCTCAGTTCGGGGTGGACATGCTGCATGAATGATGCTGCATCCAATGCATCCAGCCTGGATTTGGCCGCGGAGTTGGACGTCCACCGCGTCGACGGCTTCGTCTTGTTGCATGGCGACTCATGCACGTGGCGGGTGCTAGCATGATACCTAGGCTCCGTCCATGACTCCGTACTCCGGTCTCCGCCCCCCGAAGCACCTCGCCGCCGCACCGCCGCAGCACCGTCACATCGTTAGATTATCGCGGCTACTGTACTGCGGTGCCCCCCGGTTGCCATCCTGCACCCATCGCCAACGACTCTTATCCCTTCCCTTCCCGACGCTTTCCGCGGTTCCCGCCATGTGTGTCACTCGCGCGGGCGCCGCACCAATCGCGCATGTCGACGGCGCCCTACATTGGCCGAGGGAGCGCTCATTAAGGTTCCCAAGTCTTGGAGACGAGCAGAAAAAAGTCTCATAGAATACGTAATCTCCGCTTGACTGTGCTGCTAGCTGCTACTTGGATGGGCTTGTGCATCTTCTGTTGCATCTCTGTGCATCACGGGTTGCAGGTTCAGTCTAGTCAAAAGGGAAAGTCCGGTTTCATCTTTCATCTCTCCAGCTTCTTAAACGGCTGCTTGTGATATCATTCCTCATACTTTTCCATCTACAGGTCCCAAACAGCACACAGATCAGATACCCATCTTCTCTCTTCTCTCTCTTCTCTCTCTACTCTCTCTCTCTCCTCCCTCTCTCTCATCTCCCCAAAACCTCCCACTCTTCACACTCTTCACCATGACCAACGAAGCCGTCGTCGGTTCTGTCCCCGCCTCCAATGGCGAGGCCCCCAAGGCCTCCTTCACCGTCAAGGCCGGCCTCGCCCAGATGCTCAAGGGCGGTGTCATCATGGACGTCACCAACGCCGAGCAGGCTCGCATTGCTGAGGAGGCCGGTGCCTGCGCCGTCATGGCCCTCGAGCGTGTCCCCGCCGACATCCGCAAGGACGGCGGCGTTGCTCGCATGTCTGACCCGGCCGTCATCAAGGAGATCCAGGAGGCCGTCACCATCCCCGTCATGGCCAAGGCTCGCATTGGCCACTTTGTCGAGTGCCAGATCCTCGAGGCCCTCGGCGTCGACTACATCGACGAGAGCGAGGTCTTGACCCCCGCCGACCCTGATAGCCACGTCGAGAAGAGCCCCTTTGGCGTCCCCTTTGTCTGCGGCTGCCGCAACCTGGGCGAAGCCCTCAGGAGAATCGCCGAGGGCGCCGCCATGATCCGGACCAAGGGCGAGGCCGGCACCGGCGACGTTGTCGAGGCCGTCCGCCACATGAAGCAGGTCAATGCCGAGATTGCCCAGGCCAAGGCCGCGCTGGCCGAAGGCGGCATCGTGCGCATCCGAGAGCTCGCTCGCCAGCTCGAGGTCGATGCTGAGCTCCTCCGCCAAACCGCCGAGCTCGGCCGCCTCCCCGTCGTCAACTTCGCCGCCGGCGGCGTGGCCACCCCTGCCGACGCCGCCCTGATGATGCAGCTGGGCTGCGACGGCGTCTTCGTCGGCAGCGGAATCTTCAAGTCTGGCGATCCCGCCAAGCGCGCCAAGGCCATCGTGCGGGCGACCACTCACTTCAAGGACCCCAAGGTGCTGGCCGAGTGCAGCACGGGGCTTGGCGAGGCCATGGTCGGCATCAACTGCGACACCATGAAGCCTGAGGAGAAGCTCGCTGTCCGGGGCTGGTAGAAAAGCATCATGACTTGCACCGCGGGCGTTTGGGGTCGTTCGACATGTGGGAGGCAGATAAAAAGATTATGCTGGATTGCGACAAAAAGTTGTCATCGGCCGTGCAAGTCAACATTGCATCTTGTCTTACATAGTAACGGGAATTGCTTGAGTATTCTTGAGCCTTGATGATCAATTAATGACAAAACCTGAATTACACATTACCATCCTCTTGTTCCCCAGACCGTAACATGTCATTCCCTCCTACTCTTGTTCTGTGTCTTTCTCTGGAAAATGGCCGCCTGGTAGCGCAAAGTTTCTCAAGGACATGGCGCTCGTTCCTATTTCTCGGCGCCGGCACCCGATACGGGATGCCAAGAGAGTTTTCACGACAGAACGGGTCAACACCTTGGTACTCTGACCTTCCAGTTAACAAAGTTGATAAAGCATGGAGGGCGAATTACTTACTCAAAATGAGTTTAAAATGATGGTTCGTCGTTCTTGAAACGTCGCGCGTTCTTCAAACGCAGCATCGTAGTAATTCTGGAAAGGGCGTGCCTCAGTCCTTGCTACTCAAGAACGGCTTCATCCCAAACCATGAGTCAGTCACATCAGACCGGTGTGGAGATTTTAGAGGATGGTTTAAAAGAATTTAGAGCTGAGAGACCCATGATGGGTGACATTCAGGAGGAGTTGAGACTGCCATCCTTCAAGTCAGGGATGTCCCGGTGTTACTCAGCATATTTCGAGAGCCAAGTCTAAACCTTTGCTCGCCTCATTATAGTTCTACATTCACCGAGGTCAGATGAGTCGCATGTGGAGCTGGAAATCCCCCGAACGGGACTACGATCCTCATAATTGTTCTAGAAATGGCGACATCGTTATTAGTATTAGTTCTGGTTCTGCCAATGAGATCTAAGAGGCCGTTTGTGCTGAGCCCGTCTAAACAATGCAGCGTGGTATGGGTGTTAAATTGCCCTCGACAGCCCAATATTCCTGGTTCTTTCGCATTCTTGACTGTGTTGACATCTAAATCCGTACAATCAACCTGAGTTGCAATTAGGGCTCTGTGTGTGATTGGCAGTTTTTAGTCATGCATTTTGTTTAGTTAGTAGTTTCGGTTTAACAAGGGGTGCGTGGCCCAGGAGGTGTTGTCGTGAGTGCCGGCCTTTATCATACTTTAGCACGGAAGCTGGGATGGTGAAAGGTACTGAACGCTGAGGAATCTGCGACTGGCTCGAGAATTCAGGCTCCGCCTAGATCTACAACTATACATGCAGCCTCCGCAAAGAACGGCAAAATATGTGCTACAGTTTGGGGAATGTGGAGATCCGCTGTATTTGCTTCTTTTGGATTCGCAGAAAGCGGGACTGTCTTTAATTATCGTTGTCCTTAATATCTGTAGTTGAAATGTTGAAACTCGATGGGCCGTGTAATTAAGGCTGAGCATGCAGGAGTTGTCTGTGATACACAATGAAACTGGCATAAACGGCCTCGTGGAGGGGGACGGGTACCCTTTCACTTGGGCTATTGCGTTGCGGATTTACGGTAACGACTGCTTGGTCGTGATTAGATATGATGTCCTCTCCCCTTTATTGAATTGTCGAACAGCTTTGGGCCAGTAGAAATCGTTGAAAAGCACGCAATAGTACCTCTATCGTCAATGAACCGTTGATCACCTTGACGAAATACAGGATTGCAGAGACAATGATGGGTTGGTATTCAGCTCACCCAAGATCATGACAACCCGATCGCTTACCCTGTAGCAAGTAGCAAGATAATGATAAATGAATTCCTCAGTGGATGCAGGAGGATGTTGAAGCAAGCAAGCTACAACACAGTTCAGAACTCTCTAATATTTTCTGTTTACAGTAGAGGTCTAGGCATAATCATCGTCACACGTTCTTGTGGGGGAACATTTTTGCAAACTTTATCCAGTACATAGCTTCTTCTTTCTTTCATAGATATTTTCGTCTTACTTCCTATTGTCAAATGTTTCTTTTACTTTTGACTAGGATTTCGTTTAGTATGGGGCTTCATTATCTCCTATTTGGGCATGGGAAAGACTTCAAGTATTTTGAGTTGAATAAGCGATTTGATTGAGCTGCCGCCATGTATAGCTGAAGTCACTATACTTACATTAAATCTAAGCTGAGCTGATTGGCCTCACCTCAGTGGATTATCTTATAGTTGGTTCCTCTCGTAGCTGAGTGCGACTATTATGAACTCAGATGTCAAAATACGTCTCACAAATCGCGAACGATAACCTTGGTTGTTGTCTCATAAGCAGTGGTGACATGGAGCCAAATTATGTAAGTTGCCTCATCGGCTACACCCCCGCTAACGGACAGGCCATACTTAAGTGGCTGCCTAATTTAAATTTGATCATCTTTGTGAATAAACAAAACGCGCTCAACGTTCTTAGAACATCGGCAGCCCGTCCTCATCGCAACTAAAACTGGCACGCCTTCTACCCGAAAATAACACCAGCAGGATTCTGTTGTGCCCGGCTACTAATATGACCGTCATTGAAATTGATGTCATCTCTGACTTCGTTTGTGCGGTAGGACTTTAGTCTTGGTTGACTTGTTTGAAACGAGGAACTGACGACGCCCAGTGGTGCTACATCGGCAAGCGGAAGCTAGACATGGCGATATCCTTGTACCAAAAAACGTACCCAGGCGGGAAATCCGACGTATTTTCCATCAACTATCGCCCATATTATTTGAATTACGGCCCATCGACCCACAGCGTCGACAAGCGCGAGATCGCAGACGCCAGACTGGGCAGCATGACACCAGAACAGCGGACAAAGCTGTTTCAGCGAATGAATCAAATCGGGCGTGCCGTCGGAATCAACTTTCAAGGCGGTGGCAAGATTGGAGATACGCGACACGCCCATCGTTTGGTTCATCTCAGCCGTACGAAGAGCCCAGAAATTCAGAATGCTCTCGTCGACGGCATCTTCGCAGCGTACCACGAGCTCGAGAAGGACATTTCGTCCAAGGATGTTCTCAGGGAGATTGCTGTCGGCTCCGGCCTGGAAGGCGCAGCGGTTGATGAATGGTTTCACTCGGATTTGGAAGCGGCCAATGTCGACGAAGAAGCCCAGAGAAACCGAGACTCTTTGGCTGGTTCGGGTGTCCCAGCCTATATCATTCAAGGGTCGCACCACATCAATGGTGCCGAAGATGCCCACGATTTCATGGAGATTTTTATCAAAGTGAAAGAAGGCGATTCGTAGAAATAACGTGTCTTTAACTGCTTTTACTAGATGCTTGCTTCTTGGATATCATAAAATACACTTCTTACAGCGAAGAATAGGCGTTGAGAGCCAGCTGTCCTCCCAAGTGGGCATACAGAACGTTGCCGCTCGCAATCTCGCCCTTCTTAATCATGCCCATCATACCAGCCAGAGACTTGCCCTCGTACACGGGGTCGGTGATGAAGGCCTCAGTGGCGGCACCGAACTTCATGGCGGCGATGGTCTCCTCATCGGGGATGCCGTAGATCTTGGCATTGTACTCGGCGTTGAGGATGACGTCGGCCTCGGTGATGTCGCCCTCCTTCAGGCCAATCTTCTCGCCGGTGAACTTGGCGATGCGCAGGACCTGGTCGAAGGTCTGCTGGACCTTGCCAGAGGCGTCGATGCCGACGACCTTGCGCTTGGGGGAACCGAGCTTCTCGGCGAGCTTGAAGCCAGCAATCATGCCGGCCAGGGTCGAGCCGGTGACGGCGCACACGAGAACGGTGTCGAAGAAGACGCCGAGCTCCTTCTCCTGAGCCTCAACCTCAAAGGCCCAGCGGGCGAAGCCGAGACCGCCCAGAGGGTGGTCGGAGGCTCCGGCGGGGATGTAGTAGGGCTTGCCACCCTTCGCGATGATCTCAGCCTTGAGGTCGGCCAGAGTGGTCTTGTGCTCGATGCCGAAGGTGGAGGGGTCGAGTCTGACGTCGCCGCCCATCAGGCGCGAGAGCTGGATGTTTCCGACCTTCTCGTAGCCGGGGTCCTCCCACTCAACCCAGTGCTCCTGGACGGTGGCAGCCTTGAGACCGAGCTTGGTGGCCACGGCAGTGACAGCACGGGTGTGGTTGGACTGGACACCACCGATGGAAACGAGGGTATCGCAGCCCTCAGCGAGAGCCTCGGATGCGAGGTACCTGGTGGGGAAATGTTAGCATAATGGTCTGATCGGGTTGAGGATGTCCAATTCAACGTACTCAAGCTTTCGGACCTTGTTTCCACCGTAGGCAAGACCGGAGTTGCAGTCCTCGCGCTTGGCGTAGACCCCGACCTTTCCACCCAGGGCCGCGGCCATCCGGGGGAGCTCCTGGATGGGAGAGGGGCCGAAGAGGAAGGACTCTCGGGGGATGCTGGCGAAGGGCTCGGGAAGCGTGAGGCTGGCCATTGTGTCGGTTGAGGTGTAGATTGGACTGTGTGTATCAAATCCACGCGAATGGGCCAAAAATATATGATGATCCGAGGTCTGAAACTGTAGATTGAAGAGGGGATGGAGGGGCTTTAAAGAGCTCCGTTGTCGGGGCCTGCATGAGGTTATCATCGGGCGCATCGGCCATCTTGCCGGCAACTGCCCCGCGATGACGCTCCACTTCGAGAGGCACGCTTGAATCCGCAGCTGCTTGATTGGACAGCGGCTTGAGCGCAAGGGGCGTGGTGAAGAGATCCAGCAGTGCAGGGGCGAGTCAGAACATCGTTCTCACGTCAGTCGGGCGCAGATGTAGCTCCGAAAATCGTAAGCCAGATACCCGCGGTTGGCGTATTCCATGCGTGCTTCTAGCCTAGTGACCACGCCTTTTTGAGCGACACTAATTGAGATAGGGATCCGAGTCGGCCTCAGGGCCTCGCTTTCAATCGCTTGCACCCGGCTCATTTCTTATCTTCGCGTCTTGGCATAGTAGTCATGGATTGGTTTACGTTGAAAGAAACACAGCCGTTATCGCACGAGGACCGTGCTATTGCGGAGCGCATCACCTCCAAAGGTGGATTATTGCGGCAATTTGCAGGAATTGACCAACTAGCACAGAGAGGTTAGCAACTACGATAGATAACAAGCCTAGGGCAGAACTTCCAACACCGCGATAAAGAGGGCGCAGGGCGTACAGGGCGCGGAAGTTGTGGACGTGATGTGATTGCGGCACACCTAAGAGTCAATCAACGACGGACACTAATCAATGTCCGACACAGAGGCGACGGGGGAGACGGTGATCAATTGTTACCCCGATGACTCAGTAGATACCTTATGCCTCATGGAGGCAAAACAATGCTTCTGCAACCCTTTCCACTTCACAGTCATTTCCTTGCATTGGCAACGATTTCGGTCAAACCGCCATCCTATTTGCACATACCGCTTAGTGGCGGTTGCCGACCTAGGCCATCAAAGCCGTGGATGGTGGCAGTAGCCATAGGAGGTACACACAATCCAATGGATGTTGATTTCTGTCTGCGGCTTGAAATTTGGCTTCGAGGTGATAGCGATCATCCACCAAATGTCACTTTCACTCGAATTCACTTCAAAGCGAGGTGCTCCAGGATGGAGTTATAAAACTTACCCAAAGTGATCATCTACTGATAAGAGGCTACTGGCTGAGAAACGTTTAAATTATGAATTCTGCTATGGTCTCGAAAGCCTAAGAAACTCCATCCAATAGGGCGACATTTCATCAGCCAAAAATAAAGTTAAGATCCCCTCTTCGAAATGGAAGAGTAGCCCTTTCTGCTCTTTTAAGAAGGCAGTGGGATTCCCAATGGTTGAGCTAAGAGATATGGCTAGTAAGACCCTTACTCTCTACTACAAGGTGTGAGGTTAAAACTCTGTCCAGGCCAGGAAGAGGCAATCAGTTTTGCAGTCTTGGAACCTTTTTCTTGTTTGGATATTTGAGACCTCGGTCCCGTTGCTGCTGAAGCAACCGACTTACTCTTTTCGCCCAACTCTGTGACGATCTATGTCTGCAACATAAGGGCAGGCAGAGATTGAAGATAATAGAAATGAACCAAGTAGAGAGAATATCACAGCCACTGCTGTCAGTATTGTCTGACCAAATGATTTGCGGATGGATGCCGCAAAAAGGAGCTAAAATACTATAAAATGAGCAGGCTGACAAAATATGTCCCCTGATAAACGTGGATGGCCTATTACTCTATCCCAACATACTCCACTACGAACCCCTCACACTGACTAATGAGGCTGAACTCATTGTCCCAAGGTGAGAAAGAACTTCATCTTGAAGGTATCACGCTGTGGACTTTTTCCTGGCAAAGCAAACAGTCCAATATCCTTTGCACCCCCAAAATCAATGATCCCAACAGTAGTATACACCCGCCTTCTGCAGCATTGATTGAGACTGTGGTTGTGTTTGTGATTGTGTCGAGTTGAAATGCACGCTTTGCTAAGACACAAAGGGCAGCGTTAAGGCGGCTATTATAAGCCTTTCTTGTTGTAAGAAGATCATCTGCGTGGCTTCGGATCGTCCGTGTTATATTGGAGTAGGCCTGGAAACCCCCAAATGATAAGGAATTAGACCCGTCATCCTAAAAGCCCACCTCATCTCCCATAACTGGGAAGGGATTTCTTAAGAACATTAGTAGCTGAGGTTTTACTTCTCAAGTTCGGAGCGAAGATGTTCGAGCTCATCGTCATATAATGCTCGCTGAATATCTCCCTGTTTGGCTACCTCGGCTGCTTCATCATTGGTTGAGCTGAATCTGCCCTCCCTGTCCACGGCGCTGTTGTCAGGCCAGGGTAGGGGCAGGTGGTGAGCGTCAGATCGAAACCATCCCTCTGCGTGGAGAGTGTGAACGACTGAACAGTTTCGTATGTACAGAAATGGCTGCCTTGCCACTGCGCCCCTTAACACGCGTAGACCATCCATTGTGATGATATTGTGATTTGAGTGTTAATCTGTATTTATTACTGAGAGTGTCAGACCCAGCTAGCTTCAAGTAGCTCCCCTTGTGGACCCACATCAGAGAGCGCTTTTTTCCCGCTCTTGCTCCCTCAAGTACGCGGAAATACGGCTTTTGTAATACTCAAATATTGATGTCTCCTCTGGCCACTATACCTAGAATACCCGGGTTGGCGTCTCTCATTTCCCCATTTTTATTTCTCTGGGATGGGAATACTTCGCTTTCCGGTTCGAGGACAATACAGACACCAGGACCGAAGAACGAGAACGCCAAATGACGTCACACCCAAGGTGGCTCATCGACACAGCCTCTGTCACACCGCATGCTGCTACGCCACGATTTGTCTGGACTGACTGATATGATTACACATGCAATTTGGGCCTTGACCGTATTTCAGCCCTTCATACATTAAATTAACGCAAAGCCGCGCATTAAATACAACAGCCCGCTCCGTTTACGCCTTTGACTCTACCAGGCATCTAATTTAATACTCTTTCTCCTGTGACTCTTCGAAGATGGAGACCAACGACGCTACCTGTGCGGACATCGATGCCCAATCACCACCACCACCACCACCACCATACGAAGCTGCTGCCACCCATGCTCAAAGTCAACGACTTCAACCCGAAGAACTACCTACCTTGGTTCTTGATGGAGTCTTGATATATTCTCGGTTACATCAAGACCGCCCGCTTTACGAACTCAACAGCCCACCGTGCGAAGCGCTATGGCCCAAGTACACCCTTCACAAGATTCGGCACAAAGTCTCGCAGGCAAACGGTTCGGTCAAAATGAGGTCGCGCAAGGATCACATCTACACCATCAATTCCAACTACGTGAGCTTTGGGATGCGAAGTGTTCAAATTTTTGGAAATGCAGGCCTAAAAGATGTTTTCAAAGAGGTGTCCATGTCTCAAGGTATCGGGCCTTCTTCATTCAAGGTCGCGGGGCATTTTCAAATAAGTCGATCGGCCAAAAATCGATTGCAGCATGGCAGCGAAATTTGTTGGATGGATACCGACGGCCAACTGATTGCAGTTGAAACCAAGGTGGAGCGTGATGAGGAAGACAATATCCAAGAACCACCTCGCCTCGAGATCAAAGCGAAGCGGGATGAGAAAGTCCTCGATCTCTTAGTGGCATGTTGGTGTGCGCGGTTATGGAAACAGGCTGAAAAAGAATTGACTGAACCAATCACATGGGACTCAAGTAAGTTTGCAATTGTTGCCAATACCACTTGCACCCATCTAACATATGATGGTAGTTAAAAAGACTGTTGGGAGATACTCTAGAAGCGGGACCATTTGGGGTAATTATCGGTAGTTGCAGCTTGGCAGTCATGACTACCACTCTTCGAATACGGCTTGGAATGCAGTCTCATCGCAGACAAATAGTCTAGCTATTAGGGCCGGAGTCCCAAGCAGCGGTCTGATGCAAATCCGATGGGGAGTGCAAAGTCTCTGCATCAGAATTGACGTAAGCCGGAAGGAGTCGAAGGAGTTATAGGGAGGGGGACAATGTTGGGAATTACTACCCAGTCTTACAAGTCTAAAAGACTTGGGCACGCGCAATTGCAGGAACTCACAGCGAGCGCTTATGTACATAGCAGCAACGGGGACTCGTAATCAATTCTAATAGAAAGCCGACAACTAGGTCTAAGCATACTGGTACAAAAATTGATGACAGATCTCAGCCGCGGTGGGCGATGTTCCTATCGCTAGACGTTCAATGGATTCAATGTATCTTTTTCACGATCTTCCTGTCGTTCGTCATTCTTCTTTGCTGGCACCAAGGCAAGATCATGATCCGTGCTCATGGGAACTGTGATAACTATGAACGCTTTTATCGTCTTGGTATCGCGGTGGCCCACGTCTTTCTCTTTCATATCGAGCGTACTAATCTATGTGGTAATTGTCATGCTAATGGAAGGCTCCTTTCATCAACATGATTCATGTTCTGTCATTCCGTCATCCGAAAGATCGCATTTAGAGGCACCGTCATGACCAACGTCATGGCTCCGAATGCGGCGAAAGCGACCTGGATATTCCGCATCTTCAGCCCGAGGGCCAAGCTAACGAGTACCGACACGATGAGACCGGAGATGACGAGCCAGATCATGATGCCTTGCTTGAGCTTGTGGCTCACGGCGATGACTTTGTTGACGTTGCCGTTGTTTGCCGTCATCGACTCGGTGATCATGTCCGGGTACTTCGCCGCGAAGGGGGCCGTGGTCCCGAAGGCGACGGTGTAGCCGTTGAAGAGGGCCGTCAGCTCAATGGAGACCTCTCGGCCAGAGAGGAAGACTTCGCGGGGGAAGCGACCAGCCTCCATCTCGTTGAGGCATACCTGTATGGTGCTATCGTTAGTGGATTGGTCTACCAACAGTGAATCTACCCCGGACGAAAGAAAGGGCAGACTCACAGCAGAGATGGTGGCGGTCTCGACGACGGGCACGCAAAACGCCCAGAAAAAAAGAGGAAACCCGAATATCATCTTGGTCAAGTTAGTCCCCGTCGCGGCACGGACTTGATCCATGGCGACACTCATCGTCTGGCTCGCATCAATTTCCGGCTGCAGGAAGTAGAACCGTCCGCGAAAGTCCTGGCAGGCGAGCATGATCTTGGCATCACGGAGCGGGCTGGCGAGGGCGAGGCCACTGAGAGGAGTGCTGCTGGAACTCCGTGGTTCGTGTGACGGCATTTTATGAGTGTCTGCTGCTTGTCGGTGAGTGGGTAACTATGTTTAATAGCTTGAAGAGGGTATTGCTCGTGTGGAATTGGGTTCTGATGGGGTGTGCTGCCGAACGTGACGGTTTTTGGTCGCCGGGCATGGCGACCGTCTCATGATATTTATCAAAGTTTGGTTTGGTACCTGCGATGATCCGAGCTATTAATCATTATGCCAATTGTCCAAAAACATGGCTACGATGTTTTCAGGAACATTGCAAAGATCAAAAACATCGCAGCTACTGGGAAACATGCGGTCAGCAAGGGGTGGAAGAAGGGCGCCCCACACCAAAACCCTCTCTCTGTAACAGTGATTTTAAGGAGTGATCTTTAGCAATGAAATAATATTCGTATTATTTCAAAAAGAAGAATGTACAGATTAAAATTAAATTATCAAATCGTCTGCTTTCTTTATGATTTTATATGACAATTCAGCACTGCAAGATTCTTATACTCAAGTTATTATGTATTGCTTCAGCGGAAGGAAGCGATTGTGTTGGATTTGATGCACAGGTGTGTGGTGTTTTTTCTTACCCCGGAGACTTAGATCTCGTATGACGAAGCTAACCATATCAAAGCTAGGTGGTCGGGTGGTGTAGAAGACAGAGGTTACATTTCCATTGCTATGGGGGGGGAGCTTGCTGACCCCGAAAATCCGGCCGCCTTATACACCCGGGGGGTGTCAATCCTTCTCCCGCCTCCATAGCCGTAGCTCATAAACGTCCCTGCGATGTTTTTTTTTCGGGCCAATCACTGCGTCAAGGTCATCTAGCTAGCGTTGCACTGCGCTCGGCTGACGGCCCTAGAACAAGGCGCAGCCGCGTATGCCAGGTGATCGCTGCGATGTTTTCCCCTTTCACTTAATGTGTTACAGATCTCTCGTCCCTCAGGAATCTAGGATGTAAGACCCTAAGCACCTCGCTGCGATGTTTCCGAAAATGACCTATGTCGCAGCTCGCATACACTCTCCTTGAAAAACTCCATCCTTCAGCTCCAGGCTGATGCCACTCCCCCGACTGGACATTGAGGTAAGACGCAAGCATACTTAAGCTATCCAATCGACCACCAACCCAACGCTAGCTATCGCAACGGATTCTGTCACACACAGCCATCTCTCTAATATATACGCCGCCAAATTATCCCAACAACAGCCACTCCACCAATGCCTAAGAGGCCGAGACAATCAGACAACAGGGCCGAGTCTGGGAAACGGCGAAAAGTGGATCGAGTTCAATGCCCATTCCGGGTGTACGCCCGCGAGCATGGCCTCGACCATCCCGAAGATCATTGCAAGGATGGTCAGACCTTCAAAGGCAATGAAAAGCTCAAGTTTGTTACCCGCTGTGCCCACCGCCCCCGTCTCTTATGGCCGGCCTACGACTAACCTGTTCATAACCACAAAGCGAGCACCTTGACAGATATCACTCACTGCGATACTGGTGTCTCGGTTGTAAGAATAGGTTCCGCTTCAACTCCCGCAATGATTTGGCCGTTCTCAAATCGGAACACGTGAAGCGGTGCACCAAACAACCCCAGCGTGAACACGAGGAGGAGTGGGCGCGATACGTCGTCATGAGTAGTGAGCAATACTCTCGATGGAGCAACAAGCAGTGGAAGTGGAACATGGTAGAAGTTACCCGACTGGAAGGAGAGACGATGCCGAGGTTCAGCTGGAGGCGGATCTACAAGTGTCTCTTCCCGGAGACGACCGAGTTTCCTAACCCATGTGAGTGCGGTACTTGAATATATCCCACAGGGCATCGACGCCAACTTGGTTTATCCCACATTCTAACGTTGGCTCTTGCTTAGGTTGTCCCACTGATGTTGAGCCCATGCCGACGCAGCCACTATCTTTACTGCCGGGCCCGCGTGACAACTCCGACTTGGAGACCAACCACACGGATTGGTTCCAACAACAAGCCAATTGTCTCGATCCATTCGGCCCCACTTTCAGCTCTGATGGTACAGGGCCCCTTCAGCCTTCTGTGCAAGATCCTAGGCGCCGTGTGTGGCTAGTTTAAGGAGTTAAGAGTATATATTAGTAACACAGCTAGAATAAATGCATAAGATTTTAGTATTAATGATACTAACAAATTTTATATTGTAGCAGGCGGATAGAAATACTCAAGCTAGCTAGTTGCTAGCAGGGATATCTGTAGAGTAATTCAGATGAAGTTAAAAAGAAAGATTAATCGCCGGCTTAAGAGATCGAACTGAAGCGGTTCTCCAGTTCCAAGGGTGCCGGCGAACGCTCTCAGAATGTTTAGTTGCGTTACCAATGCCCAAGGAACCATCTGACACTATAGCGACTCGGCGATCAGGCAACGCGAACCACGTGAACCACCGCGATTCTCCCCTCCAACAGCCGAGAGCCCTGTCCGTAGGCCTTGGAAGCTTCAGCATAATCAGCCCCACGCACAGTCCCGCCATCTCACCACGCATTGTACCAGAACCACTTCTTCCCCCAATGGTTAAGAATAGGCCAGAGATGAAATATGTATTCGAGGTCGATGCTCATAACCAAAGAAACCATCTGGATGTGATCAGTGGCGTTCAAGGCCTTGGGTCGAACTCCTGTCCTGCCACATCCACTGAGGAGCGGTTCCCCCGTTATCCACAGACCATCGGGCCGAGGGAACTGCTATCGGATCCCGGGTCTGCCCAAAGCCACTGTTGGGATATCTTCCCTCCTCGGTGGCGATATTGACCGCAGCGGTGAGACACGGAGTATAAATGGCCACGTATGCTATATTCACCTCCAGCAGGGTAGATCAAGGACCATGGAGCCAGTATGCTGCCACTCATTCCCAGATAGGGACCGAACTTATCATGTGCCGAGTTGCCATATGATGTTGAAGAATAAATCGGGGTTGAAGTATGTCTTCCACTTTTAGTATGATACCAACATGCTAACACGGATTTTCCCAGGCAACACCACCTCCGACATTCAAAGCCGTTTGTATGCGACTTATTAGGTTGCACCCGCGAAGTAGGGTTCAGCACTAAAAGTGATCTCGTGCGGCATAAAAAGACAGTGCATGAGATCCATGTGACTGGCTATGGCTATTCCTGCAACATTGGCATTTGCGAGAACAAGGACAAAATTCGGCCGACGGAGGACAACCTCAGGTCGCATCTGAAGAGAGTTCACAATCGCACCGCCAATCCGTGTGACGAATTTCGGTCTTCTTAGAACTTCTTTTCTAGCCCTCTCCAGCTGCATGCAGGTCCTGAATTAAAACTCATATCTTGACTTATAGGAATATTTATATGGCCCACCAATGACTGCCCATAATGGGAAAAGCCCGGCACCGCCATCAAACTGGGCCCGATTGGTCCAAGGAAGAGGATGCCGTTGGCCTAATAGATGGTCCCCCCTAGGTCAATTCGGTCAAGGTGCATCAGGGTGAGAGTCTAGTTGTTTTCGTGGCTTCTGGGCGTTTCCCGAATCGACCTCTGGCATGTCTGTCATAGGACATTCCTACTTTGAGAAAGCCGTGTGCGGCAGTTGGCCACGAGCGGCTCTGCCGGCCTCGGGGTGGGATACGGGGGCTGTTAGTATAGGGGCGAATCGTAGTCAAGGTGCCAGCGATTTTTCTCTAAGGATCGGTCTCCGTTTTGAAGTTATACGTACCAATCGGCCCCGATTTTGAGCTATCTCTGCCCTGCCCAGCTGCTGCAACAATTGTTGCGTCCGTGTTGGCTAGTGCCTGGGGAATGTGACATTGCGGACAGTTCAGAGTCCAAATCAGTTAAAGCATAGGTAGACAACGTTACAATCTACGCAATCGAATTTGCTGTCACTCAGAAACTGACAGGTTTCCTATCACCATCATAGCTTATCAACATGAGCGCTAGGTTGATAGAGACGACCCGTGATTTTGGGAGCTGTGGTTGAGTTATTTTAATAAATATTGACAGAGGATTCGTTGAGAATGGAACTAGCCGAAGACAAGTCGCGGAACGATTTCTTGAGCGGTAGAAGAAAGAAAAGAATATAATATAGCTTTCCTTATTCTAAACACATTAAACACATTATTGTAGCAATCATAAAGGTAATCAAGAAGCTAGTGAAAGTCTGCGATCGACTCGTCGTCGTCTGGTATGGGCGTCTTGAATTGCGTTCATTCAGAAGTAGCTTGCCTCCTGCAAGACCACATTATTGAGGAGAATGATCTACAATATTTAGATTTCGGCTGATATTGCGGAATGCTAAGCAAACCTAAAGCGTTAGTATTATCGGCTTGCCGACTGTCCTGGCGCGGCGGTGTAGAGACTTCAACCAGTGTGAGAAGCTGCAAAACAAGAGAGAGCATACCAGCATGTAAACCCTTGCGGTACTCCCAGCTGAAATGGGCATCGCCCGATCTCTCCCGCCCACGAGGTTCGGGATCCCGCGGGGCCTTGCGTCTTGCATCTCGGTATTGCGGTATCTCGGATAGATCCGGGGTTGTTCAAGCTTCGAAAGGTACGTGGGCGGAGATCTCTTGGGTCGGCAGGCTGATGAAACATTGTGCCGGAAGACTGCTAGGAGCTGAGTGTACCTGTCTGATTACGGACCAGAGATGATGGGTCGGGAGGTTAAGCGCCGTGCTCCTACCAAGGAGTGCTAGCCAACCTTGGTAAATGCGGCGAAGCGCCCATCCATGGTCATGCCAATATCCCCGCCCGGCTTTGGCACATGACCTTCGCCAGGAAAGCCTTGGAACACTCTCGGAGGATGTTTGGTTCCGTTCACTTGTTTGTGCTACTCCTGAGCCTCCTTGATGGACTATACACTGTAGTAAGCCTCTACCTAGGAGTTGGGGGTGGACCTTCGGCATGCCGATGCATCTTGTCGCGGAATCCCGTGCGCCGGGATCGCGCTTCAATTAGAGCTCAGGTAATGACGAAGTGCGGAGACATCCTGTGCCTATGCTTGGTCATGAACCTTGCTTACCTTACCTAGACAAAAGGTGGTCGTTCAGCTGACGTGTTTAGGACTCCTCCGGACCGCCTTTCCTCACGCCCGCCCACTCTTCCGGCGCCCACCCGCCTTCCGAAGATGCAGTGGACTGGGAGATGCAGCAGCTAACGGAGTCATGATGTAATTCTCTCGGCGTTGACTTCTTATTAGCCGCTGGATTTCACGGGTCAAGCAGTGCCAGAATTCAACCAATGGATGTGCTACGGTTATGAGAGTGCGATACGATCTTGCAAGTCCCGCACTTCCTTAGTTCGGTTCCAACATGTAGTGTGCAGTAGGGTAACAATGACCGTCGGGGTTGTGGGGTAGATTGTGAACAAAAAGTCGGGGAACCTGGGGAAGCCTCGGGATTGTGGGGTATGTGGGATCGGAATGGGCCATTGTATTTGCTTAATCTGACTCTGTATTTAATGAACCTTGGATGTTAGTCTATCTGTGGGATGACCAGATCAGTCAACACAGTTTGGACCATCTGGAGATCGATATGCTCAACACAATGAAGCTCGAAATACTACAGGCCAACAACCTACTCATCGCCGTCTGCATCATCTCCGCGATATGGCTGATCAAGGTACCGATTCTGAGTCTTCTGCACTATAAGTGCCTTAAACTACATCACTGACACTCAGTCACAAGATATTTCGGCGGGCATATAGCATGCCACTTCGCGCTATTCCGGGGCCATGGTATGGCAGATTTACGCACCTATGGCTGAAGAAGCACATTCTAGCCGGCCATAGGATGCATTACATTCACGATCTGCATGTAAGGTATGGACCCGTGGTACGGGTAGCTCCTGAAGAAATCGATATCGCCGACCCAGCCGCTTTCAAGGAAATTCATCGAATCGGCGGCGGATTCCTGAAAAGCCCGTGGTACCAGAGCTTCCGTAAGGGAGATACTGCCGACGTTTTTTCTATGATCAACCCGAAAGACCATGCCCAGAGACGAAGGCTACTTGCGCCGCTTTTCAGCAATTCTGCGCTGATGAATAATTGGTACCCTGTTATCATATACAATGTTACAATGGCAGTCGACAAGATCAAGCGAGAGGCATCCCAGACTGGCCAGGCAGATGTTTTTAAGTGGTGGACTTTTATGACAGCAGACGTCATCTCGCATCTTGCATTTGGAAAACCGCTCGATATGCTTAATCTGGAGAAGGTAAGGAAAGAGGTTCAGCCCAATGCTCACTGCAGAACTCTGACGAGATGCTACAGAAAACCGAGCATATGCAGAAGATCGAAGATGCCTCGAAGTTTGGACTCATCTCATCCGAGCTACCACTACTATGCTCCCTCCTGCAATGGGTACCAATCAAGGCCGTGCAAGACCTCGTCAACTCCGATGACAAGGTGCAAAAACTCGCAGAAGAGACGATGCGACAGGCGCAGCGCGGTGGTATCGGTATGACAAACATGTTTTCCAAGCTCGTTGCCGAGAATGAGAAGGACAGCCAGTCACTTACCGACTACCAACTGGCGTTTGAGGCAGGCGGCTTTATAGTTGCGGGCTCAGGAACTACTGCTGTGTCTTTAACCTATCTCGTCTGGGCGGTTTTGTCGAACCCGGACGTCCAGGCCAAGCTTGAGGCGGAGGTTTGCGCGTTGCAGCCATCTCATACTGACACTGACCTCGAAAACCTACCGTATCTATCTGCTGTGATTGAAGAGACCCTTCGGGTGTATTCTGCTGCCCCTGGAGCACTTCCCCGAATGGTGCCGAATGGAGGTGCAACACTGGCAGGCTATTTCATCCCGGAAGGCATTACTGTCAGCACCCAGGCATACACGTTTCATAGAGACAGTACTGCATACCCTGAGCCAGATAAGTAAGAGTTCCTGACCTACAACCTCTTATTTAGATGCAGCATTGACACAAACAGGTTCATGCCTGAGAGATTCATCTCACCATCAGGGGAGTTCCAGCCATCCCGAGGCGTGTTCGCGCCGTTTGGAGCAGGTTCTCGCACCTGCCTCGGACTCCATCTGGCACGCATAGAACTCCGACATGGGGCTGCTCTATTCTTCAGGGAGTGTAAGGGTGCTCGATTATCTCCCCGGACTACACCGAAGTCTATGGAGATGATGAATTACTTCCTGGTCAGCCCAGCATCGGAGCAGTGTTGGATAACGCTTGGTACTGGATCTGGCGAAGTCAACGTCGCTTGACCCGATACACGAAGAACCGTTGTTAGTATGCAGCATTGAGTCAGACCCAAGGTCAAACTGGATGAGACGAGAGAAATATGTGCCAAAGAGAGGGAATTGACTTGATCCTACATGTATCGAATAATAAGCCGAGACTTATGAATGAGGCACTGCCTAGGGCAGCACGACTTAGGAATCACATGCCTTTTTCTCCGTAATCCCTCGTCCTTATTGACTGAATTTTCAGTGACGAACTAGGCTAGGAGACGGTCGCATCTTAGAGCCCTGACCAGAGCAGGTTTATACATTCACTAGCAATATTCTCAACTGCAATGGCTTCTTCGTCGTATTGTTGGCCATACTGCTCTGCCACGCCTTGCCGATTCTATCAGAGTACAGTCAATTTATTGCGTTTTGATGGCGCAGCTGTCAGGATAGTAATCCAGCACTTCCTCCCGGGACTGGTAATGGCGAGACCTTTGGCCTTGCAAAATAATATACTCACTCAGTCTCCTGGTAGCTATATTCTACTTACGCATTCTGCCTTCGAACTGTAGTGATCCTGGAGCAGAAAGCGCACAGTATAGCTAAGGGGCCAAGACTCGTCACTGGTAAGCAGCCGAACGGTCTCCTTAATTAGTCGCGTTGTTGCGCCGCGCTCCTCCAAGCTCCCAACTCCAGCAAGATACGGCCGGACCCTTTCTCCGTTCCGCAGCCACTCCTCTACCATTGGATCTTCTAATGAGCACTTATCAAACCGTAGCGTGTTGGCTCTCGCCTCGTTGGCCCCGTAGTCTACCGTTGGCTCGACGTCGCTAGGCGCGCAACAATCCACGTATGCCCAGATCATGAGAGTTGATAGGAGAATACACTGAGTCTTATGGTAACCCTGCGTCGGATACGTACGGAGGCAACTAAAGGCCTTGGCAGCATGGAGGACTGCGCAACGCGCTTCGGAGCCCCTTTCTTTTCCCCACCGATGGAGCCGAAAGCAGCTCTTTGCTCTCTCTGCATCATCGATGCGCCATCCTGAGAAGGCAAAAAGTTCGCGGGCTCTTATTTTCAGAAGGAGAGCCATGAGATGGTTGTGTTGGATGGCTAGCCGCCCCATTTGGGATTGTTGTGAGGCGGGTGAGTCCGATTGCCGAAGAATATCTAGATAGGCGCTTGGGTTTTCTAAACGATTAGCATCTCTGAAAACACCCATTGACAAAATCAGAGTATGAAAATCGCTGAGCCCCTCGGGCCGTCTTTTCGTGCGGTAGATATAGGACAACTCCTGTCCCAGTCGTCTGAGACGGCGTGGTACTGTCGAATTTCCTGCAAGGTGTCTCTATATAAGCATGGGAAAGCTGATCTAAAGAGTCACGAAGGAAGCTATACTTGTTTCATCGAGGAGTTCCAAAAATCGGCACTGACTTGGCACTTCCCACAATTGCTCATCACAAGGCATTTGTACCTGGAGCAACTCGCTCGGGATCACAGGGGGCAGCTCCCAAAACATGATGTGCTGAGTATCCAGGACCTACACTCAGACGGCGTTAGCCAAACCTCGCACTCAGCAGACTGAGCTGTCGATCCAAGGGAGGCCTTCATACCCAGGCACAATAGGCGAGCCGTCTTTTACTCTCGGCCTGCACCCAACAATCCCAACTCCCCTCGAATAGCGACAGGTTGCCGTTCTCGGTTTCAACGAAGGAATTGGCTCTTCTACATAACGTTGCAACCATCGCCGTATTGGCGTGTGCCATGTCCGTGAGCATTGAGTCACCAGAGAACATCATGCAAATTTGGCTCAGTAAGGCAGACTGGGCTAGCCACAGTGAGGATAACGTGGTAGGGTTTTGCTCGATCTATTCCAGTCAGAACGATATTTTTCATCGACATCAGACTCATTATCGCAAAGCTAACAAGTGTTCAAGACGCAAGAGCACCTCATGCGGGTAGGAAAGGGGATTTAGAAAGATAGCATGGGCAGCCTACATTGAGTTGCACGGCCCGTCGTAGTAAGTTATCCATCAATCTCGTCGCACCCCTTGACTGCTGCGAGAAGCGACAGCCCGTCGCAGCAACGGCAAGCACCAAGAGCCAGTGGCACTGGCTGGGATCAAAGGTCGGTTGATGAAGCAGCGGAAAGATAGGCTGAAATACTTCGAAATAAACTTGTATAAACGAGTTCATCGAATCCTGGGACGGCAGTGGCTTTGTTGTGAAAGATCGATAGAACCCATTGTCTTGATTGACCGAGGCAAAGCAGGCGGCAATGGCATTGTAAGGGTCGTGCGATAAGCGGGGAACATTGTCGTAGTCGTCTATTCTCCAGTCTTCGTTGCCTGTATCTAGTGGTTCGGGCGTGTTAGGTCTATAAGTGTTGGTTCGAGAACTGGGATGGCGGCCAATGCCCACAAAGCTGGGTACGGGTGCGTCAGGCAAAGGCGATCCCGGCGGACTTTCGTCGCAAGGGAGTGATGCTACCCAGGTCTGTTGGCCTCCTGACGTGGAGGAGAGTGGCGTGGGTGCTATGCTAGGTATAATTAGAGCCGGTGCGCTCGATAGGCCGCCTTCAAGGTAATATTCACGTCCAACTATTGGGGTTTTTGCTAATAGCCTCGACTCAGGGGAGCCAAGATCCCACCCTCCGGTACAGAGCCAGTCAGTATTGACGTCCAAAACCGGAAGGGACTCGATAAGTTCCAGATAATCCACGGGAGCCATGCAGGGGCCGGATGACTTGCGAGGGTCCACAGAAGATGCCACACAGGAGCCATATGAATGTTTCGTAGATGGCAGAGGGATCATGGGATAAAAATCGGCAAGAGTGAGCTCCGAGTGAAGGGGTAAAAGTCCAGACTCAACGGCATGTGGAGGGGCAGCGGGATCGGGATGGTGGGCGTCCGGGAGAGGGGCCGCCGGTGCGGTTGGTGGCGGAGCATTTTCGGTGGCATCAGGAATTAGTGACGGCAACGTTGAGTTTCGCGTGATAAATTCCGGGAGGCCCAGATGGGAAACGAGAGAGTTTTGATCCGTCAATGGACTCAACGGACTCAATGGAGGGGCCATTTTTGGTGGTGGATAGACGCATCGTATGCCCTTACCAACGCAACGACCACATCGAGTGTCCCCATCGCATCGCTGCTTCGCCTTGGCACAGCTCTCGCAGGCTTTACCGGCCTTTGAACGGCTGGAATGAGCTCGAAGGGGAATTTCCTTGCCGTGACCGAGAATATGGCGCCGGAGAGTATCCCTGCGACAATTAACTCTGGTCAGAGAGGCAGGAAGGCGAGGTGTGGCCTGGACAGACCAAGGGTACGTCTAGGGGCGGACGTGGACAAGAGTCCGGGGGAATCGGGCTTCGGGAATACGGTGCTATCCGGAGAAAGGGCAGGAAACTGTCTGTTGCCGACGCTCCAATTACTTGTGATGATGATTGCTGTCTTACCTTCTCGAAAAGCGCGATCCGCATCGGTCGCAAGAGAATGGCCGGGCGCCTGCGTGGCGTAGCAGATGTCGGGTGAGGTGTTCAGTCCGCCGGAACTCGGCACTGCAGATTTCGCAGGTCGCCTTCATAGTGACGAGCGACAGCAAGAAATAGTCAACACCGGGAAAATAACATGACGCGACAAATGGATTGCTGTGGAAGATGATGATCGGGGCTTGGATCTTGGGTTACTGGTCAATAACGAGGAGGGTTTTATAGAAGGGGCGGTACCTAGAAATGGCAAAAGTTGGTCCCCTCACCGCTTAGGCTTTCCGGGCCATGACGCCCCCGCGTTTCCCCCGCATTTTCTCCCTGTCCTTTGGCCTCTATAAACCCGGGGCATGGACTCCATCCTGGCGGTGCAACAGGAGAGTACTCTTTACTCACACACTCGTAGAAACCCGCTACTCATTGAATGACGCAAGATCATGAAACGAATATTTGGGGGAAGTTGTTCAGCTGCAGATTACTAGAGAGGTATGGGAAAGCCTTGACATAGCGCTGTGTCTTACTTGTTCTTTGCTGAGAGTCACATGGTTACATAGTGTAATCAGACTCAGATCCAGATCAGAGTGCGTAATTCCCCGATATCTCGGGCACTAGGAGCTTGCGCTTTTGTTCTCAACCAAACTTTTGCTCTTGCACTTTCCTCCTGAGCAGTTAGGTGCTCTTGGAACTCTGGGCCAAATGAACAACTTGACTCTAGCTTCCTGGGCTACATCAGCCAGCGCGGCCCTGCCCCGCCGAATTCGCGAAACGAATTGTCCTGCACTTTGGAATCGTGGAAGGTGGTGATGGTGAAGACAACTTATCTTCAGTGTCTTGCAGAGGTTATAACTGTTTCTAAATTCTCCTTTTGTCAACTTGATAGCCTTAGACTCAAGTAGCGACGCTGGACTCCTTCTTAGCAATTTCGGCATCGGCCGACTTCTCGGCGTTGTGAACATGATCGTGACCCTCCGCGTATATCTTCTCAAAGTCATACTCAGCCCAACGGAGCTCAGGGGCGAGGCCAGCGAACTTCCAAACGCCACCGACCTTCCTATACCAGTGCTTGTTGTAGCTGTGGGCGTGGCCCTTGGCTAACACCTCGGACAGGGAGGCGTCCTTGTACTTCTGGTGAGGCACACGCAGCTGGTGGTGACCAATGATTTCAGTGTCAGAAACGCGCTCATAGCGTGTGGCGCCGATAAAATGCTGCGTCTTGATGGTCGGATTGCCCAGCATGGCGGGATTGGACATCATACTGATGTAGTCGTCGGCCGGCATGGCTTCCCAAATCTTGTTTAGGAAGGAGCGGTAATCAATCTGCGGGTGGCCGCCATATCAGGGCTTGTATAGTAGAATCAGACAAAGGGTGGAGTGCCTACTCGCAGCTCCGGAGCGACAATCTTGCGTAGTCTTTCCCAATCCTTGGTGTCATAGCTGTCAGCCCACTCGTAGACAGCAGTCTGAACACCTTGGAACTCTGCGCGAAATCGACTGTCAGCGAGTAGATCCTATCGCAATTGCCGATCTAGCTGCGTGCCTTCAAAGGTGATCTGTCCCGCCATCATATATATCAGGGATCGAGTTTCAACTTGTAGTGATAATGGATGCTGTTGACTGATATTCGAGAAATGGAGAAGTCTCTAGCCCCTGGGGTTGTTCGTAGCTTATTCAATAAAAATATCTGTCTTGGGCGTGCTAACGGAACTAAAGGGCGAGTTATATAACGACCGAAGGCCAGTGGACTTCCAGCGCCTCTCACTGCTAGGCGTGTATGTGATCCTCCACATTCCTCACTTCATGTCCGGCCCCTTGAAAGCAGCAGCCCATGCCGTCCTACCATCACACCCTCAGTCCGCAAGGAGGACGAGCTGCTATCCCTCTCGGAACCCCACCCACAGGCGGGGTCATTGGAGCCGAGGCTAAGGATCTTATTGCTCAACCGCTGTCATACTAGTTTATAAGTAACCGTAGAACTCTTCCATCAGAAGAGCTCTGTAGTCCGGAAGGAGCGGAGGAGCTGTTGCTCCTCGGAACCCCACCGCCGGGCGGGGGAGTGGAGCCGAAGCCAAAAGCAAAATCTTGGTGTATTAAGCCTTTGTCTTTCCCATAAGTAACTCTTGCTACATCGGGTTGTAGTACTGCTGGCAGTACGTTATAGTACGGATGGGATATGATGGAGTCCTGCAGAACAAGGCCGGTACCAAGACTGATAACGGCCCACCCTAGATACAAGGCTCTGCTCTCCGCGATCTAGGGCCTTGCAATAAGGACAGAACACCATGTAGATAATAAATTTGCAGCTTCTGGATCGATTATATTATATGCAATGACGTTTAAAGATAGATAAGTCTTGTTCAAGCGAAGTTGTGTGACAGATATAGCCAGCAGTCCGGAAGTCTGTCTGGCACGCAACTTACCCAGCAATCCCAACCTATTGCACTAGTCAGACGGATGGCCTGTGTCCAACGCGCCCCTAAATTGTAACTCGTTCTGGCAATGACCGCGACAGATTATTGTTGCATCAATAGCTTGCAAGATAAGCAAGCGCTGGCAAGACCAAATATTGTGCAATTGCACTATCCAGATAAGCCTATTATTAGCTTCGGGTTCGTCGGAACTGCGGAACATGGGAGCTCACACGAAGCACACAGTTATTCGTGTATCGTACCGTTGTCTAGGTAGATCTCGATGAGTGTGGCAAGAAGGTCGTCCTGTCGGCAAACTTGACGAACAAGATTTGAGTCCAGCAAGGGGACCCTGGTCTGCGAGATATATTGTGCCACCACTTCAGATTATGGCACCAGCAAATGAGTACCAGATCCGGCCTCACAGCCTTGAAAATCCGGCCGGAAGAAATGATCACCCAGGCCTTTTGTAGCACATCCCTTCAGTTTCTAGCAAGATGAGGCCGCATACAGATCCGCGTATCCGGATATGTATCGTATTGGGGTGATGTCACACATTTAGTGGGTGGATTCAGATTCTGGCTGCAGCCACTAGCAGTTAGACGCGCAATGCAGGTTGGTTCAGATTCTGGCAATAGCCAATCACCGGTCTAGCGATGCAGCCTTTGCGGTTTTGGGTAGGTGAAAGTCGGGACATCTTGGGCATCTGGGAGCGACATTGGCGAGGCTACGAAACCCAAAAGTACCCACCGCCAATTCAGATTCTGGCCATGACCAGTCACAGCGCGTAAAGAATCGATGCTTGTAGGTACGGGGCGATCAAGCTGGTTCGATGCGGATTCAGGGTGCCGCCAATCAGCTATTTACGAGCAGCTGTGGCACCGCCTCCATCTCGTGCCAACTCCATCCGTCTTGCATCTCCATCCATCTCACATCATCTTCGTCCCCTCGCATCTCCATCCCACCTCATCTCTGTTTTAATTCGAAGAGACTGCGCCCTGGCGTCTGGCACTCAGTATCCTTGCCCCAGTCCTTCAGCGCGCAATGGGGCCCGCCCGATCCCAGCCCACCGAAGCGGAATGGCTTGAGCACAAGGCCATTATCCGGCGCCTCTACCTAATCGAGGAGATGCCGCTGAAGAAGTTAGTCGCTGAGCTTGGAGGGCTTGGGCTTGTTGTCTCGTCTGTATTGACTTATTTCATGGATGGCAATCAAACTGACCGATTTCTTTAGTGATGCACAGGTGGAATATAAACTGAAGCAGTGGGAGTTTCGCAGGAACATCGACAAGGCGACTTGGATCATCATAGATCGCAAGATCGCCAAGCGCAAACAAGAGGGCAAGGAAAGCCAAGTCATCCACTGTGGTAAGCGCCTGAAGCAATCGACAATCGACAAGGAAACAAATCGTCATCGTGACATTGCTACTGGAAACCAGCGTAAGCTATTCCCCCGTCTCCATGTCTGCTGATCTTTAATAACGGGGATAATATGTAGCACTGAGTCCTCTACCGACAACCCCAGCCGAAACGCATCTTGTCGTCTGCACCCCACCACCACTTGCAATGGAATTTACCTGGCCAAGCACATTACCATGGTTCAAATTCCAAAGGACGCAATTCTCTCCGTGTTAGTCTCTAGACTCGTCAATGACGGTTGGATTCGTTGAATCGCTAATTATCCGTGGCCACAGTGTTGTCCAATGCCCCCGAGATGCGAAGCTCAGAAGAAGACAGCAGCCAGTTGCTTGAGGCAGCTGATTCCAGGTCCCTTCTCTCAAGTATACTTGCGTCGGACTCGCAGCTGGAGTGGACGCATCCGCGGCCTGAAATCTCCCGGCTAGCTGCCCTCATCGGGAAATCGATGCCGGAATCCTACCCGGAAGAACATTTGCAGCGTGCCCAAGCTCTCCTCGACGGATCGAGCTACGAAGTCATCGACGAATGCCTGGCCATTGTCATCTACAACCTCTCCAACAACCTTTCCAGCTTATTCGACAACGAAAAGTGGAACGCGACTACAAACGTACTCCGGGAGTGCGGCATTCTAAATCTCCAAGCCAATCTCCGGGAAGTTCCGGATATTACCATCCATGGCTTCATGGATAACCTTTTCTGTGCGACAGTCTATCGGCTAACAAATCCTCGATGCGACAATGCAAACAACGGAGAAGCTTTGGACATACTCAAGTGGCTTCTTGCATCAGGACAGAGCCCGGACGCCAGCATAGTGACTCCTCGACAACTTGGCTCCACGGTAACACCTCTCCAGGCTGCCATACTCTGTGGCAACGTGGATCTGGTGGAACAACTATTAAATGCGGGCGCCAATCCCAATCTCACGCCATCCTATGGCAACACAGACTCACCACTTGAGCTCGCACTAAAGATGCATGGTTGCGGCGCTGCCGTTGTGTCACGCATGGCAATGCTCCTGTTGAAGCATGGCACTTCGGTGAACTTGGATCAAGCTCTTCACCTAGCCATCCTCAGACAGGACATGGACTTGGCGGGAGCCATTACGCTGCAAGGAGCCAATTTACGTGGCGCGTTGAAACAGGACAACGGCTTCGTTTACGAGCAAACTGCGTTGAGCGCGGCTGCCGCCGTCGGTAAACAGGAAACACAAGTCATTCTGGATTTTCTCGCTTCGGAATCTCCATCGACGCCAATGTCCAGTTTCATTACCCCAGATGTGATGGTATCAGCAGCTGTCGAAGCGAACAACGATGTCATTCAATTTCTCTACGATATTTCTCCTGCTAGTGTTTCTGCCAACCACTACGGCATCACGCCGTTGCATGTAGCTGCGAGGAAGGGGCATTTAGCAACCTGCCAGCTACTCCTTCAGCTCCATGGACCGCTCATTTCAACTACGGGATACCTCTCCCCCATTCATCTGGCAAGCTGCGGTGGGCACACAGACATTGTGCGATTGCTAGTTGACAGCAAGGCCGATGTGAATGCTCTCGCGACCATTGGCGATACCCCAGAACACAAAATTGCCGTCGAGCGATCCCGCCTCAACATCAATACGGATCGCGAGCCATGTGACCTCACCGCTCTCGAAGCACTTCTAGAGCATGCTTCTACTCCCGACCGTCGTTGGAACGTTGGTCACTTAGCATGCGCTACCATATTGATCCAAGCTGGAGCCCAATTAACGGGGTACGAAGTCATTATCGGCGCTCGAAATCGGCACCCCGAACTCCTCTCGGCCGCTCTGTCCGCCGGTGGCAGCCCGAATGAGCAGGACCCCAACGGAAATACTGCGCTGCAACTCGCATTGGACCTGCTACACAAGCAGCCTGAGAAGACACGCAGGCGTGGTGCGGTTGCAGCGGCGTTGCTCATTGAAAAGGGGGCGACTCTTTTCGGAGGAGAAGTGACCTCGGCGATCTATCTCGGCGATTGGGACCTGGTGAAGCTCCTATTGAGTCACGGGGGAAGTCTTTCGGATTGTGACAAGACTGGAACGACAGCTCTCGAAGCAGGAATTCTATCGCGAAACGCCGACAGCCTCTACAGCATACTAGAAGCACACACGGATGTTTACGATGCCGGAGCCCTGTGCGCTGCAATCACAGCCGGGATGCGCTCGACCATCATGCACTCAGTCATTGATCAGCTTCTGTCCAACAGACCTTCTCATGCGAGTCCGGATATTCTCGAGGCAACAGCGATAGGTCTTGCTGCGAGATTGGGAGATTTGAGTCTCTTGCGCAAGCTTCTTCAGTCCCTACCGCGCTCAGATGTCGCCCTGTTGCCAATCAAAATGTCGAGGAAGGGAATCTTGGCTGTTTCTCCCAACAAAGGCTATTGGCGTACCAAGCACTGCGTCAAAGGAAGCCCACTTGCTCTAGCTGTTATGGGCAGCGTTCCTGAAGCGTATCTGGAGCTTCTCAGCAGCGGTTACCAAGCTGATAAATTCACCTGGACAATCGTCAGTGATAGAAACGACATCCGAACAGCGCAAACCTTGGTCGACAACAACCAAAGACTGGACAATATTTCCTCACATCCAGTTCCTCCGATTCACAACCCACTAACGGGTCCTATTAAGTTCTGTCATAAAGAGCTACTACAGTTGCTTTTGGGCGCTGGTGCTGATGTCAACGAACACAATCGGACATTGGTGAACGGTAGGTCACCTCTGCAATTGGCCGTCGAGCTGGGCGACTTGACCATCGTGGATTGTCTCCTGGAAGCTCGAGCCGATGTCAACATCCCGCCTGCTTTCGAGGGTGGCGGAACCGCGCTGCAGTTAGCTGCTATCAAAGGCCATCTGGGGCTGGCGAATCATTTGCTTGATCTGGGTGCTCAAGTCGCGGCTCCGCCAGCACAGAAGTTCGGTAGGACCGCGATAGAAGGAGCGTCGGAGCACGGAAGACTTGATATGATGGAACTTCTATTATCTCACGGGGCTCTGAATACAGAAGTAGGGCACCGTCAGTACCTCAGGTCAGTCCAGCTAGCTACTAGTGAGGGACATTATGCTGCGGTAGAGCTTCTACGGGGCTACTGGGAGCGGTCCGAGAAGGACGAAAGATCTTCCAGTGAAGGCGACCCTATGGAAGGGTCATCCCCTAAAGAAGATGAACCCATGCTTTCTGCAGGGGAGGGAAGCCACGATGAGGTGGAAGGTAACGGAGGTGTGGCGCACACAGTTGGAGGAGATAGCCAAACGAACGAACCGGCTATCGATTGGGATCGCGCCATGGCACACCTACCGCACTGTTTTCCCGATCAAGAGGAAGAAGGCCGAAACACGACCGAGGAAGGAAATGCGGTAGATGAGATGGACTTTGGGTGGAACGACTTGCTTGGTCCCAGGCGGAGACGAGGCCCTCAATGAAACGAGCGATGCCGAGATGTGAGAGAAGCTGGCATAGTAAGCAGGGCAGACGTGGAAAATACACCGAATGCAACAGTCTTTGATTTAACGCCTGTGCAAAGTTTTGTGGGAGGTTCCAGGTCATTGCTTTCGTAGTTGCCCAGGTATTCATTGACGCTTGACGCTTACCTTGCCGAGACCAAAGAAATACGGTTCCCCGTGGGCTGCGACAGCAGCCGCTTAGATGCCGAGTTTTTACAAAATTCAAGTTCCACCAAACTGCTTAATTGCCTCGTCTCTTGGTCATAGTATGGTCACGCGTGCTACCACAAGGGGTTCGCTTTCGCTTAAAGATGCCGACTCTTGCCGCATGCCTCTTACCCAAGCATTCGTGAGAATAGACAATCTCAAAGTATACCCTGAAAAGATCCAATAAGATAAACACCCACCCACCTAAGAGAATTAGATCTTCCAAAGCAGTCCCGGTTCCCACTCCCATGGAATATACATTCGACCTTCACCAGAATTGCCGGTTATACAAGTGGGAGCTCTTCGGGATTTTCCCACAACCATGCATCCATCCATGCCATGTCAGAATCTGTGGCCCCTTCTTGAACATCTACCATCTCTACTAGCGAGAGTAGATGGCCCGGTGACATCCTATTTGGGTCCACGAAGTTCGCTTCGAATTCTCCAAGGCCAGTTTCAACCCCTTCGAGTTGTGGTAGCTCTGAGTGCAGAACAGTATCCTGCGGCCTTTCACTTTCTTGGGAGGGTCCGTCATCGACGATTTCTGGTCCCTCGTCCGTCCAAGTTTGCATCATTACTTCCAGTGACACTAATTCGGACTTGCGAAATCGGGCTGGGATGCTCCCCCTGTCAATTAGGTCATCGAGAAGGAGATTCGATTCGCTGCGTAGTGGCCGGTATGATTTGAGCCGTGGTGTAAGGAAGTGGAGCATCTTCAACACAAAAGCTGCCGAAAATATCCGTTCTAGATCAAACGGAAGAGAGCATTCTAGAAAGTGGTTAGTTTGTATCACAAGTAGACTACACTTGATACGTACCCAAAAGCCCTTCCTGTCGTAGAGCGCTGAGAATGTGAATCATGGTATTGCATGATTCTGCACAAGTTTTCAACAGAGCTTGTGTAGTTTCCGAAAATGTTCGTGAGGCCTTGGGTTCCCGGGACTCCTCCCTTAAACGGGCCTGGACCAGATACAAGAGTAAGGGATACATAGTGAGCAGGACGGCCTAATAAGGTCAGCAAATACTTTATTAAATCGAATTAAAGCATACCTGATGATAGACAAGATGCAAATGTGCTGCAGCACGGGATATCCCTGCTCCAGAGCCGTCGGAGGGAAGGGGAAAGCACCCATTCAGGTCACCAGCAATGGATGCGATCTTGGTGAGAACCTCCCGCACGCTAGGCAGGAAGCTCGCTTGTAGGCGTCCTTCGGCTCCATATACCTCTAAACACTTTGTTAAAAACGCCATTTCAGGAACTGATAGTACTTACTTCTAATAACTTGGAAGATAAGGCCCGATATTCTAACATGGATGTACAAGGAGATGTCGTGTTGGGTACCGTCCCGTTTAGGCATGGGTGTAGTGATGTCTTCCTCATGAACAGACATTGGAACACCTATAGTCGACGTAAAGGTCCGCTCGAGGATGTAGACTGTCCACCAGACCTTGTGGCAACGGTCTGCTGTTTCGGGACTCCAGATGCCATCTGTCGGGCGCTCCCTGTGTAGGCCAAAGACTAATGACATACGTGTAGCCTGTCCAGTCTAGACAAATTTGCGATTTTAGCCAAGTGTAATTTCTAACACAGTGTTTAAATGAGATTTCGGGTTCAAACTGAGACTTACGTATATGTATGCGGAATTTCTCATGTCGGCACTCTGCAAGTACAAGGCAATGATGCACAAGGCCTCAATTGCGGTCAAGGCGTCATTAAAGAGGTAAGACGAATCAGGCATGAGCGACATAGCTCGAGTAAAGAATTCGGATCGTGGGAGCGTCCTTGATCCCTTGGCTGGATTTGTTCCGACCGCCTTTGCCAGTGCCAGGACGGCTAGAAACTGAACATACCAAATCCTATTTTCTCCGGCATACTTGGCGGGATTCACATAGAATTCGCGGACTTGGTGGATGAAATTTGCTTCGTCGAAAAGATGAAATATTTGACCGACATGGAACTTGAGACTTTCTATCAAGTAGGTGGCATGGTCAATCGACGGTAGATTGTGAAACTTCGCAGCACTATCGAATGGTTGGTTACCCCAATCCAAGTCGTAGGCTCTGCTCTCTTCGTTTATGCAAACATCAGGCAGGTCTGATGCTTTGAGGTGGTCTCGGATTACCATCAATGTCTTGCGGCTGAAGGACCAGGTTGAGGATTCCCCGAGCCATCCTTCAAGGTCGCGTTAGTCATGGCGTCTATGTTCAAAACTGGCAAGTTCACTTACTCAATCGGCCTTTGTCATCCGATACGTAGGATAACTTTGCCGAAGCTAGGGGGTTTGATGGTTCAGTGGCAGACTCTGGTGTTGGTTGTGAGACTGGGGTGAATCCAGGTAGCTGGTTTAGTGCGGCGTCATCATCATGGCCGGAGGTGAATGATATCGCCGCTGCAGGAGCTTTGGATGTGACTCTAGCACGATCATCCGAGTGACTTGAGCGAGCCGCTGCTCTCTGGAGCTCCTGGAGATACCTATAGTTGAGTCAACTCTATCCCTGTACCACGGCACCCCATGAGTGATTGGATGAGGGGGTCTACTTCTGTGAGACGACAACCTTCCTCCCCTGGCCGTCAAAGTGGCAACTTAGGTTCTTGCGAGAGCAGTTGGTGCATGGATGCGACCCCGTACACCGAATCTTGCGCCGACGACACCGTTCGCATCTAGAGGGTGCACATCAGAGACAAGGCTTGGGACAGAAAGGTGGCATGGCTGGCGCCAAGGTGATGGCTCAACTTACGCGTTACTGGCCCGTCTACCACGGCCAGAAGCAGGAGGAGACTCCATATTTCATACTCGCAGTGACGGAGGCTCCCTATGCAGATGTCTGGCCAAGCGCAGGTCCGCTATGTCGACGAGAAGAGGAGTTCTAGAGAGCGCGGGACGTCCCAACCCTGAGCCAATAGCGACAGTTACGATGCACCTTACGACCAGTAGAGATTGGCCAATCAAGAGACAGACCTCCTCAAAGATAAGGTCTGGGTTGGAGAACAAGGCAAGTGAGCAAGTGAGCAACTGATCATTACCCGGATACTTGCGCTTTGTTGGTTTAATTGCTCGTCTTCCCCGCTTATCATGCTCATGCGTCATACGGTATTGATTAGTTCCACAACGGTCCCGAAACCGGTCCCCACCCTTCCAAAACGTCCGAGTCTACTCTTCAGTCATCCTGTCTCAAGCGTTCGAAGTATCGATAAATCTTTTATTACAGAATATACGAGAAAAGTCCCCCATTATTGGAGAAAGAGAGCGCTAGTATTTCAAGTGGCTAGATACAAGTAATCAACCTCTCACAGCTCGGAGATCCCACGCTTTGAACTAAAGGGATGCCAGTCTCTATGAAACTATAATTTCCCAGACGGTCACGGTTTCGGCTTATCTCTGGACTCGTTGACAGGCTCCCTGGGTTGAGCATCAAGCATGAAGCCGAGTCGCTTAAGTTTAGCACCCTTCTTACTCTCCCGCGACCATTTATCCTCGAGAAGTTGAGGAAGAGTGCCGTTAATAGAGTCCACAGCGAACTCACCAATGAGAGGCAGGAACTTCCATCGTTCAGAGAGCCACCTATAGCCATGTGCAAGTTGGAAAATCGAGGATGCGGGCATTTGAGGAATTCGCCGTTGGTGGTCTGCTCCAACCAGCAAATTCGCGTCTTGTAAAAAGGTCGATCAGCAACATCGGGGAAGATCTCTCGTAGGGCTTCCCGAATGTCACGCTCTGTGGAGAGAGGAAGCCCCAAATCTTGTTTCACGATAGCAGTGAGAGTTTAGGATGGCTTGTAGGCCCAAGATGAATCCTCAAGATGAGGAAGGCCCACGATGTTTAAAAAGAGAAACAAGTAGCCTGATTGATGCGGCTCTTTGACACCGAGTACCAAATAAATATGCCAGCATTGTTGAAGTACTATATTGCGGTGCAGGCGAGTTACAGGGTCTAGAGTGATTTCAAAGCAGCACGGGCGTCCTTACGAAAAAGTCCGTCGCGCCAGGAGATCATCAAACTGGCATGTTTCCACATTAGCTTTGCACAAACGTAATGCTTCCGATGGCCCCATCTTAGGTGCCTTAAGGCTGGACTAACTCAAGCGCGGCCACGGTCGGTTCACAATGTAGTCATCGTGCTTACTGGACTAATAATAACCATTGCCCTTGGAACTATCTAGATGCTGACATTTTGCATTCTCGAGAGCGCAGGAATTTGGACCTTGTGTTTTTCAATCGGTATAATACGATTTTCAACTCCGGGGATTCAAACAACAAACTCGGGAATTCTATGAAATCGTGGGACCTTGTTGCGACTCTGCAGTGCAAACAGACTGCGGACAGGTTACGTAATTATAACCGACACCGTTCTCTCGCGATTCGTCAAACCCAACATCGTCGCTTGGTAAGAAATGCTCTATAAGCATGTATACTAATTTGAAAATCCTAATGAGCCTTTGCTGGCCTCACCTTATGGAGATGAGGAGATTATATAGTGCAGAGTATCGCGCCATACTTTTCAATTTTGTGTCATCGAAACGCTGTCTACGCTTCACTTCCCCGTCGACTACCAATAACTCAAGCACTTGATCTTTTTCAAAATGGGCTCCTCTTTTAAGAATGTTCTTCTAATTGGCGTATGTCTCCCTCGTTGTGATTCTCCAATCGGTTTACTGACCAATGTTTGCTCATAGGCGAGCGGAAACCTGGGTGTCCATGTTTTGAAATTGTTCTTGGATTCTCCGTACAATGTCACTATCCTGACCCGCAAGGAATCGACCTCAACCTTCCCCGAAGGTGTGCCTGTCCTCAGGGCGGATTATTCCGACGTGAACGAACTCAAGTCCGCAATGGAAGGCCAGGACGTGGTAATTAGTATGGTTGCCGTCTTCGCAACAGGTGGTCAACAGAATCTGGTCGATGCGGCCATAGCCGCTGGCGTAAAGAGATTCTTGCCTAGCGAATTCGGGCCCCCCTCGCGAGATGAAAAGTTCGCCACCCTGCATCCTGCCTTGCCACCCAAGGTGGCCATGGTTGACTATCTGCGATCGAAAGAGTCTCAGATATCTTGGTCTGCGCTTATTCCAGGCGCTTTCTTTGACTGGGCTATGAGCATTGGACTATTCGGCTTCGACATCAATTCCAAAACGGTAACGCTGATCGACGGCGGGACTGCCGTATTCACAGCTACGACCCTACCGACAATCGCAAAAGCAACCCTTGCTATGCTAGAACACGCTGATGAGACGAAGAACCAATACGTCTTTATATCTTCCTTCCATATAAGTCAGAACGATATTCTCGATGTGGTAAACAAGCTTGACGGCCAGAAATGGACAGTGAAGCATACTACATCTGAAGAACTAATCGCCCAAGGCAACAAGAGGATAGCCGAAGGAGACATGTGGGGTGCCACGGATCTCGTTGGAGGTGGCGCGCTTGGCAAACAAGCTCTGGGGGACTCGAGGCCCTGGGGACTGTGGGACGAGAAGTTGGGACTTCAGAAGGATGACTTGGAGAAAGCTGTTAGAGAGGTTCTTTCCTAGAGCACAAGGTGGGACGTTCCGTGTCTATCCTAGGTGTCTGGGGTAGGCAAGGGGGCGTTAGGTCCTTGATTGGAGTGTGATCAGGACGTTGGCTGTGAGCAATTTAGGTCACAGTCTGGAAATGTGGCAAAGGTAGTTTGATGTAACTAAGTGTGTTGATAGCTGAAGGGCTGGTGTTCTAACGACAGCTAGTTCCTCGAATTAACATACGAGTAGTTTCATCGTGATGACGGTGTTGGTGTCTGTGATCATAGAGTGATTACGTATGGGTTCACTAATTTGCGTGCTCTGGGGACTAAGAACGGAAGGGCTCCTCCTGAGTTTTAATATAAATTATAGCCAGGCCGTAATACAGTAGATTAATCATTTAAAAATCTTTTAATTTTATTGCAGATATTGTGATTTTAGAACCTATAATAGCTGATATCTATAAAAGATATTGTAATACTCAAAAGTAATTTTAATAAAAACTATTTAATTACTATAGTAGCTATTCTTTTTATTTAATTAATTTAATTCAATAAACTTAATCTTATAGTGAAATGATGATACCCCCTAATATACAGTAAGGCTTATGACAAGCCTCTGTGCTTGTTCTGTGTAATACCTCAATCCTTTATAGGAGGAATGATGATAACTTGGTCCTCCATGACGACACAGTCGACATAATTTAGTCCAGCTCTATCCACCTTCCTCTTCAGTATCACCCTGCTCCTTGAGCTCTTCACTTAGTCTTCCGAGCCCCACCTTTCTCGGGCACATTAACTAAGTCACCATTATAGTGACTTATTATCATATCCAGAAAGGTCTGGACGAGCCGTGGAATCGGTTCAGTTTGCGAGGACTTCTAAATCTATCGCGCTCGATTACATCATTCCCGAGATTTCTAGATTCCTTCTTGAAAAACTTGTGAGAAAGATGGATGCTTGGGCGTTTTGGACGTATTTCCACGCTTTCCTTGTTTGGGCAGGCGTTGCTTCATAAGCTCGTCCAACGAGCTGTTGGTTGAGAAACTCGAAAGTCATAGTCCTGTATGTTGGTTCTGCCTCCGACAAACCTGAAACCCTTGCCCCTGCATATTTTAAATCACCCGTCGCATGATCCATGATGGCGCTTCGAAAGCGAATAGAATCTCGGAGTAACAAAGGGGGCTGAGGCGCAGTGAACTATAAACTTTCCCATATCTCAACATGGCCTCGGTAAACTATGACCTCTGGCATTAAATACCTCTGGTAGATCCATGGATTAGGGATACTCACACACTTTTTTTGATCCAACTTTGTTCCATATTTGTTTCCTATCGCCAACATGGATGTGTCGCTTTCTCCCGATGTTCTCAATCAACTCAACACTCCAGAGGCCCGGGCCTTGCACGATATCAGCGATGATCTAAGTGCCTGCGGCGTTGGCAGAATTGTCAATCTTCCTCAGATTATCGTCGTTGGCGAGCAGTCTTCCGGAAAATCTTCAGTTCTCGAAGCCATTTCTCATGTCCGCTTTCCGGTTGAGGGAGGCGTTTGCACTCGGTTTGCGACGGAGCTGGTCCTTCGCCAGGCAGATGAGACTCGCGTTGACGTTAGCGTCAAGTTCTCGGATCAGTCCAAGGCACCGAAAGCTTTCCAGAGAACTGGTTTCCGCGAACATGATCTGCCAGACATAATAAAAGAAGCGAAAGAATGCATGGGGTTCGCTCGGGCCGGGCAGGCATTTTCCAAGGACATCTTGCGACTTGAAATCCAAGGGCCCAGAATGTACCCGCTGAGTCTGGTTGACCTTCCTGGTCTCTTCCACACTCGCACCGAAACACAATCTCTCGAGGACAAGAAGATTGTCGATGAGTTGGTGAACAGCTATATGCGACAAAAGAACAGCATTATTTTGGTTGTTATTTCTGCAAACAACCAACTAGCGAATCATATAGCGTTGACGACAGTTCAAGACATCGACCCTCTCGGACAACGGACAATTGGAGTCATTACCAAACCTGATCTCACACGCACTGGGAGCAATGACGAGCGAACATACATCCGCGTTGCCAAGAATCAAGAGGGGGCAAACAAGTTGCAACTCGGATGGCACGTTCTACGAAACAGGGCTGAGGACGAGACAATAAGTCTCGAGGATCGGGATGAGAATGAAGTCAAATTCTTCAATACTGGAGCCTGGACATCAATTCCCAGCAACGATCGCGGGATCCAAAGCCTCCGGCAGAAGCTCAGTCTGATTTTGTATAATCATGTTCGCAACAGCTTGCCAGGTGTCATTGAGGATATCGAGGGAAAGCTTCGGGAGCGACAAGAGCAGTTTGACCAACTCGGGGTACCTCGGTCGACCCCGGCAGAGAGGCGATCTTTCCTGCTCACGATTGCTGATAAATTTCAGCGGCTTGCGCGAGACGGAATTGATGGCCGCTACAAAGATCCTTTCTTTGGTGATATAGAGGATGGAGCCTACAAAATTCGTGCCCAACTTCGGAATTTCACCCGTGCTTTTGATCACATTCTTAAGACCAAGGGATCAATGCAAGAGATATACTCGGCTGACGAAGATGAAGAGGAAGAGGAAGACATCCCTGAGTATCTTCAGAACCTCCTTCAACAGTATCATTATGACTTTCCGGATCCCGAGTTCGTCACGAGAAAGGAGCTTAATGCGCAGCTCCAAAAGCAAGCCGCGGCAAACCAAGGCCGCGAATTTCCAGGGTCACCAAACCAAGATCTCGCCATTCAGATCTTCAAAGAGCAGGCTGCCCCGTGGAAGAACATTGCCGAGTTTCACATTGGTTGCGTCACCCTTGCTACCAAAGCCTTTGTGGATGAACTATTTAAGCACATCGTCGGGCCACCAGAGACCAACAGTACTACAGATGCCATTCTATCCACATGTGTGGACCCTTTCTTTGAGGAAAAAGAGAACTTGCTCCGAGAAAAGCTTGAAGAATTGCTGAGGCCGTATCTCGAGGGGTACGCCGCTCCCTTGGACAACGACTTCTATCACACCTTGTCCCGAAGGTCGATGGACAGATTTACAACCCGGTTTTGTAACATTATGAAGGATGAGTACCCAGAGATGTTTGATAAGGACTCCAAGAAGAAGCTTAGCCCTGAGATGATCAATCGGGCGCTTTCTGTTCATAGAGAACTGGAAGCCGGGGAATTTGGCACGGACAAGGTCATTGACATGATGATGGTATACTACGATGTGAGTTATCGGAATAATATATTAAGCCACATGCTAACACCCCCAGATGTCACGACGTACGTTTACCGACAACGTAGTCAATCTGGCCATTGAAAGTTGCCTCGTCTGTCACATCCCCGATATCCTGACGCCGACAACGGTGGACCGTATGAGCGATGCAAGGCTCCACGACTTGGCAGCAGAGTCGCCTGACACGATCTCTCGACGACAAACCCTGAAAGAGGAGATTGATATCCTGCGCGATGGCCTCGCGCGATGTCAGTCTCGCAAACCGAGAGCCATCACAGGCAAGTAACACACTCAGAGGCTCGTATCAAGCTAACAATATGAAACAGTTTTGCCTTCGCCAGTCGTCAAAGCTGGTAAACCAGACCCGAGTAAGTATTTTTTGTTAAATGTGCGGAGAATTCAACCTGACAAGCCACAGAGCCATCCATGACAACCAACGTGCCGACCGTACCTGCGGCCAGGTCGCCTGAGCAATCGATTCCAAAGCCTGATAATACCAGCGTTCACACCCCGAGCTCAAACCCGGTAATTGCTGGAAATCCTACTCCAGGGCAAGCCAGTATCCCAAACCCCAATAATGGAACACCTTCTGTGTTTGATGAGGTACCGAGATCCAAGCCTGCAACTTTCTCGCTCGATCTATTCCCCCCAAGTGCTCCGGCAACTACTCCGCAAACCAAGTCTGGCATGTTCTTTGGACCAAGCAACACTACTGCCCCTCAGACCAAACCTGTCCAGGTAGCCGGTGGGCTTTTTGGGAGCAAGGCGCAAACGACTGATCCGCAAACCAAGTCTGAGTTTAGGTTCGGTAGGTTCAGTAAGTCCTTTACACTGACTGACACTGCTGCCCCTCAGACCAATCCTGCCGAGGCGTCCGTTGGTCTGTTCGGGAAACCACAAACGACTGGTACGCAGACTAAATCTTCGTTTGGGCCGAGTACAGGAGGCTCTGTGTTTGGCCTTGAGTATTGATGAGGTCCGCCGCCTTGCGACAATTCGACCGTATTTAGATAAGTCTGTCGCGGATGGAGCCGTTGACCGCTTCCAACACATCTGTACGCAGCCATGGTACTCGAGCAGGTCTCCCGAAGAAGTTAGAAAAGAGACGATGAAATTTCTCAATAATGAGTTCGCTTCATCCAACTAGAAACGACTGTCATTTATGTATCTAATTTTCGGTTGCAATTCAGTTCGTTATTTGCTCTTCTAGAAGTGTAAATGTGTTGTAATCCCCTTCTTCGGGCTAGCTTGGAGGACGGTCGATCTGATAATGTGGGCGATTCAATCACTCCAACAATTGCGTTGCCAATTCCATGCTGACCACCATTGAGCCTATAGCTCTTTACCCGGCGGTGTACCAGTCCATCTTTTTTTGGCTTCTGGTTCACCAGGTCTCACGCTCATGATGACACTCAATCTCACATCTTAACCCTACAGCAAGCCAGCTAGGCCAGCTTTTTCTTGCAGGTTCACGCTCCGCGAAGGTTTGTCGGGATACTATGAACTCATGCGACCAAAAGAAGATATACCGAGAATTCCCTGTGAATGGCGATTTAGACTGGGTTATTCTGGATCTTTTGCCTCTTACTCCTCGATAACAATCTCATCCTTCAACATGTTCGCAGTGACATGTGTATTCCTCCCTGCTAGATGATGGATCAAGTCTTTGACGAGATATGCAGAGGGAATACGGGATGCATATATCTGGATTACCACTTCTGCATCTAGTGATTTTTTATTTTTATGTCAATATGCAGAATGAAGAGATCGTTGAAAATGCTTCGCGCTGGTGGTTTGGGCAGCTCCAAATAGGAGCACTGCTATTCGCACACACAAGTACAAGCCTTTACACCTAAGTTTAGTGCGAGGTAATGTACCTTGCCTGTACGCCCACTGTAGGTATCTTAATTTGAGAAAGTTACCAGTTCCTAGCCTAAACTAAATTAAAAGATAGAATTTAAATAGTAGAATTTAGAGAGTATATACTTAGAATTAAGTTTATTTAATTTCTTAGATCTAATTAGTTATAGATATATTATTGAGACTTCTTGGCGAAATTTGGCGATATACTTAAGCGTGCAAGTAGCATTTTGAGTGTGTGGGAATAGCAGTACTCCCAACTAAACCCACCCGGATTAATCCATGCCGAGCATCGCATCTGCAGGCATGGTGTTCAATTGCGACAGGGCGGCCGACGTAAACCACCACCTGTCCACATGCTGGCCTTCTGGGCGAGGCATGAAAGCCACCTAGCACCTCGCCGGAAGGGTCGGACTGTTCCTCATCAGCTTCACGCGCCCGTCGGGCGCCATTGAGACACGATGCTCGCGCTATCATCGCACACCAACCTGTTCGGCCTCTCGCTGCCGCTCGTCCACGCGCAGAACATGAAGAAGGACGACTGGGAAGCAGGACACACTCACGCCGCAGACCAACGGCTCAGGTCGGCCGACGCTCTATCCAGTGTGCTCTTCTACGAGCGCATCAGACACTTCACATGGGCCTGGTTCACCCTTATCATGAGCACCGGCGGCATCGCGCTGTTGCTGCACGGCACGCCTCATCGGTTCCGCGGCCTCGATGTCATCGGCAAGATCTTCTTTCTGCTCACCGTTTTGCTCTTCGTCGGCCTCATGGCCGGTATCACGTACCGCTTCGTATCGACTCCTCCGGCGCTGAAGGCTAGTTTAATGCACCCGACGGAGAGCCTCTTCTTCCCGTGCTTTCTGCTGAGCATCGCTACCATTCTCGCCAACACCGCCGCGTACGGTGTCCCGTCCACTGGTCCCTGGCTGGCCGTTACCCTGCGGGTGTGCTTCTGGTTATACGCAGCGATCTCGGTCATATCGGCAATTGTACAGTTCTTTGCCCTCTTCAATGGCGCCCGACTACCTATTCACTCCATGACCCCGGCATGGATCCTGCCCATCTTCCCCGCCATGCTGACGGGGACGCTCGCGGCCGCCATTATGCCTTCGCAGCCGCCCGATCAACAACTACCAATGCTTGTCGCGGGCGTCACGTATCAGGGCCTTGGATGGATCGTTGCGTCGCTCATCTATCCATTATATCTCGGTCGCCTAATGCAAGACGGATTGCCCGCTCCAGCCATGCGACCGGGTATGTTCATTGCCGTCGGTCCAGCCGGCTACACCGCTGTGGCCCTCATCGGCATGGCTCGTGCCATTCCGTCCGACTACGGCTATTTCGCGACGTATCCTGCCGCGGAGCAAATGTTGCGTATCCTGGCACTCTGGGTAAGCCTTTGGATATGGTGCGTGGCGTTTTGGTTCTTCGGATTCAGCCTCATGGCCGTGTTGGCCGCGGCAACGAAATGGAAGCTTCGCTTCTCAATGGCGTGGTGGGCTTTCGTGTTTCCCAACGTCGGGTTTACTCTTGCAACGGGGTCCATCGGTCAGGAGTTTGACAGTGAGGGGGTCAAGTGGGTGGCTAGTATCATGTCGATTTGCATCGTCATTCTCTGGTTTGTGGTACTTTGTGCACAGATTGTTGCCGTACGGCACAAGAAGATTCTTTGGCCTGGACGAGACGAGGATAGACGATAGCTCGGCCCTTCCTATAGAGGTTGTGTACCTCGAATTTGTTACTTGCGGAGCACTTCAATACCCAGGCATTATTAGCGAGCATGTTCGGTACGAGTTGATGTATGTTAGAGAGGGCAGCGGTGCTCAACCCTTACAGTTCAGTTCCAGGTTGCATGTTCAGAGGCAGTGGGAAAATTAGGAGATGAATAGTTGAAAGGTTACATTTGTATGCACCAACTGGAATAAGGTGATGAACTCTCACTCCGTGTTGGTCGCTCAAGCAGTTGCAAGCAGAATCCTCTGATCTGCATACGTCTGCACTCCTTCTGTAGCCAGATCATCGTCGTCAACTGCCGCAGACACCCAGCGCGTCGGCAGTATCTGTGTTATCCAACGAAGGCCCCGATAAACCCAAGCCTCAGCCTTGTCATTTATATCCTCAGCCCAGTACCATGTCAACGCCATGCCACCTGCTGCTAATAGAATGGAGATAATGCAGGGTGCGAGCACGCCCGGCTCGGGCCATCGCATGATGATGAAGTAAAGGGCTGTGCCCCATACGCCCAGCCAGATTCCCAGGTATACCATAAACGAAGCGATATAGAACAGTAGAATAAGAGAAAGGGAGGAGCTGATGAGCAAGGTGAAGAACCAGATAAACTGTATAATAGCGCGGTTGCCAACGGAATTGAGCCGCCGTGATGGTGAGCGGGCTTGAGACGTTGTGAACCGATTCAGCATGAGCACGCGGCAGTGCATGGCGAAAATCCGGACCGAGGGAGATCTCAAAATAGAGCGTATGATGTAGGTCGCCAAGAAAGCCACAGCCAATGCCACTCCCCAGGTCCACATATGAGGTGGCGCGTCAGTCAGTTCGAGCACTTGCATTGAGAAGACAGATGTGATGAAGGAAAGCGGGACAAAAAAGAACGCAAGTTCCGTGATTTTGTTGATGCCAGAGGTTTGATCGATGACCAGGGACGATTGCGAGATGCCGGTGGACGCAACGAGGAAGTTGAGGGTCTGATCCGCACGGGCTTGGAGCGAGCGCAAGTCTTCTGCGAGCGCCTCTAGCTCTTCATCCACTTCTTCTGGCCGAGAAAGCCGCTTCGAGTGAGTTTGGCTATGGCCAACCCACTCCAGAAGCTCCTGGAGCGTAGATCTGATCCAGGCGACATTCTGCCGGGTCATGACTCCATACGACTCGACGAGGTGGACGTGAAGGTCAGCACCCAAGTCGGCATCGACCTGATCGATGACTTGCCGCAGCTCAGTGAGGAGCTGCCAATGGTCGTCGAGGGAAACGCGGGTGAGGATCGAAGGGATGGCCGAATCATCCTCGCACAATTGACTGGTCGGAATCCTGCTGATGTAGCGGTAGACGAGGTCGAAGGTAGAAAGGGAGTATTTCCGAGCAAAGTCGCGATGTCGAACATACGGCAGAGGGGAGTTGTAGTTTAAGCGCAGCTTCTTCTGATACTCCTCGTCGTATTCGGAGTCGCTGGTGTAGGAAGACTCGGACTCGTAGCCATTCGACGCCTCCTCTGACTCTCCTTCATTAGGGTCGTCACTGTCGCGGCGCGCCAACCTTCTCCTCAACTTCGCCTTCTTTTCCTTGAGGCGCTCCCTTCTGGCTTCCTTCTTCTTCTGCCGCAGCTCGTCCTTGGAGAGAGGGGGTGGCGGTGGGTCGAGGTAAGTCTCGTCGAAATCCGGGGTACGCCAGAGCTCTTCGTCGGTGTACGACTCAAATTCCATGGCGCGGGGCATGAATGTGAGCGATGGCGTCTCTTCTTTCGTAGTTCCGTTTCTCATCCGCCGTGTCGGGTCGAACAATAGAATGACTGCGATAGAGTCAGCCCCATGTTGTGTCACTTGCTAGTGTCAACACATACTTGTCTTTTTGCCCTCTTCGTTAATACTCGACCAATAACTCATTCCTTCGGGAGCCATGACTCTCAAATCGCGATTGGTCCACCAGGAGGGATTTCGAGGCAAACTCTGGAAAGTGCTGTAGGCTCGGTAAATATTGGACGTCTTGGACCTCGTCGACGTGCCATCGGCATTAGCCTCTTCAGTCGCGCGACTGTTCTTCTTCCTTTTCTCCTTCTTATCCTTTTTCCTTGCCTTCTTATCCGTAGCCGCTTGTCTCTTTTGCGTCATCAAAAGACCACGCTTGTCCAGGACAACGTCTCGTTCCATGGTCCACCGCCCGTCAGCAATCCGCTTCTCAATCTCATCCTCGTAGAAGCCCTTCCGGCCCAAGTAGTGGAGGAGGCCAAGTCGGCCCCAGCGCATATGCGCCCAATTGCGAGACTGAGTCCGCCGGGGTAGGTTCCACTCAGTGCGCTGGCCGACACCTGGTAGGGCGCGATGGCGGAACCGAGTCTCTCGCTCAACCCAGTTCAGCCAGACGGCATTTTTGAGCTTCAGGCCGCTGTCGCTGGCGCCGTAACTCGAATTGATCAGATGCTCAAACCAGAACTCTGGGTCAATAGAGTACATCTGGCCCAGAGCGCCCATGACGAAGCGGCTCAGGTCGCTGACCATGACCACCCGCACTACTGAGTTCGCTGGGCGGCCCTCAAGCGTCATGGCAAAGTCATTTTTGTTCGTGATGGGCTCGCTCCGTTGGACAGTGTCGTCGGCGAGGTAGTCGACGACAGAAATAGAAGCAGACTCGAGGCCTTCAAAACGTTCGCGGCGTGTGACGTTGAGCCAGCGCGGATCCCATCGCGCGCGATTGTCGAGTTCGTTCATGTAGAGTTCTGACAGCGTCTCAAGCCAGTGGCGCATATTGGAGAACTCCTCCTCCTCCTCACCATCCAGCCCGCCTTTCCCAACTCCAGTTCCACTGGTGTCCATGTCGCGCCTATTTCGGCCATACGACATGGACCGCGCCTCCTCGCGGAGCTTAAAAGCTGCCCGTGGCGCGGTATCATTCTCGAGTTTGGAGTCATGCGAGGTCGATTCAGAACCGCCCTCGACCGAGTTGCGGGGGACATCGTAGCGTGGGTTCCAGCGCGCTGAGGTAGGCCATGGAAGCTCGTAGCCGCGTAGGCGCTCCTCATCCCTAGCTCCGGCGTTGCGGCGGTTCTTCTTTGGCATGCTGACACGCTGACACGCTGACGGACCCGTCCTCGTTGCTAGGTATTTAGCAGAGAACCTTGGCAAAAAACGCGAAGCGAAAATGTCGCGCTTGATCATTTACCGCCTCGCAGGGCTGAGCTGCAGCGTCCTATTCCAGGTATCAGGCGTCGCGCCCTTACCCGTTCTGGCGACAACCCCTGTCAGTCGCAACAAACAGCTGCATATCACCTCGCCTCATAGGCACTGTTGCAATAAGTGAAAGTCTGTAGGATGGCTCATGTTTGTCAATTCAAGCGTTTCTAGAATGGTGTAGAGTAGTGGCTAAAGCCGGAGCTGAGCACTGTTCCGACGGGTCAGCGGGTATGCGTCATCCGGCATTAGCAGAACCCGTACATGTAAGACCATGTTCTCGTACCAACATCGAGGTGAACTTCTTGATCTCCAAGTTGATGGAAAAGAGAACTTCGTGGATAGGGGAAAGAAAATTATTTGGTTTGTCCCGAGAGCCCGGAAGGCACGGAAGGCGCGGCCTCCGCCTCAACGCTAAATCATCCGGTCTTTGTCGTTTGGTGGGCCAAATACGGCAAACACAAACGACAGCTTCCAGGAACATCTCTCATTAGCTCTAACTTCGGACGTCCCTAGGGACTTAGTTGGCATGTCTTATAGATTGAAGAGAAAATCGCTTGGCTTATTGGTGGAACAGACCAAACCCGGGTACGAGTTCCACGTCGTAGAGTCCGTTAGCTAGGCCGTTCGGGAAACATGCGAAACAGGAGAGCCCCTTAACTGGCCATGGACAAAGCTTCATGTTTATTGAACAACGGTCGGCAGTCGAAATGCGGCCATCGGGTGGGCCTGATGCTACCTTGTTTAGACCAGTCCGGAGCACGGTCTTCTTTGTCCCTAGGAGGGTCGGCAAAAACGGCAATGATTCCCCAGGCAAATCCGCCCATGATGGCCCAAATAGGCCCAAATCATCCGGCTGCCGAACAGTCCCATTACGGAGCCGGGAGGCTACTCCTGAAACCCAAACTAGGAAGTCCATGTTTCGAAGACAAATATTCCGTAGACCAAATCATCGGACGAATATTTTCCAACGACTCGGGACTCGAGAATTCTTGAGATGGGCGAATACAAAGAGGATGGAAGCCGCCGTGGAAGTTCGATTGTTCTCTACACACATCATTCGGCAACTTGCATCTAATCAACACTTGTTTCCATCGCCGGCCGATAATCACTTTCCAACCTCACATCGTCAACATGTTCTCTCTTCGAGCTCTCGTCACCGTCGCCGCTGCCCTGGTTGGCAGCACTGAGGCCCTTCCCAGCCTTATGGCCCGTGATTCTTGGGGCGGCGCTGTCTCTCTGGGCCCGACCACGTCCACCATCGTCAAGGCCGTCACCACCATCATCCCCGGCAAGGCCCCTACTACCCAGAATGGCATGCTCTTCCTGTGGCCCGGCATGTCCAACGGCACTGGCGATCTTGTCCAGACCACTCTTGAGTCTTGGCCCGACAACTCTTGGTGCGGTGCCAAGTCTGGCCAGTGGTGCGTCCGCGCCTCCCTCTTTGGCTCTTTCGGCCAGCTCGACGGCACCGCCTCCGCTGTGAGCGGCGACCAAAAGATCAAGATTGACTACACCCTCCAATCGGACAAGGATACCTGGAAGCAGACCGTCACCGACGCCGACACCGGCGCCGCGCTGTCCTCGTTCTCGTACAAGTCCGGCCCTTACATGCGGGGATACGGCACCGGCACCGAGTGCAACGGCGGCTGCTCCCCCACCGTTTCTGCGCAGCGATACATCAACACTGTCATCACCCTCGCTGGTGCCGACCCCAACTTCGGAAAGACCATCTCTACCTCTCAGGGCGCCACCTACACCGGATTGACTAGCAGCCAGGGCGGCAAGGTTTGGACCATCACCGAGATTAATGTCCCGGCCATGGTCTAGAAGATGGATGTGTAATCGTCGTGTACACGCAACGAGTTCGTTGAACATTGTTTTTGTAAATATTTTACTGTCCGACCCTTCAATGGGCGGTACATACCAAAAAATGTAGATTAGCTTGCCAATATATGCAATTGCCCATATGAGATTTGTCCTACTTGCCGACAGCGATATAATTCACTATTTGACTAAGGCTTCAAAGGCCACCAGTTACAACCGAGAATCACTGTTTTAGGAAATATGACGAAACAATATCACAGACATATGCCTATCAGAGCGACATGATCCCCGCATGTGGCCGCATGTGGAGGGGTTCCTCTGTGGAAACTTTCTCACGGCCGTGGCGGTAAAGATGCGGCCCAGCACCGGGCGCTAACAGATCGCATGTCACTTTTGATGAGCTTAGCTCACAGTGTAGACAGTGATGTACGTACTCTGAGTTTTGAGTTCCATGGAGACTCTCCACGCCACACCTAAAATATGAGACTACTTGATTCGGATCGTCTTTTCTACAAATCTCTCATCACATCACCCCTATTACCAAAATTATGCTCACCATTATTTCAAGTCATACCACCATAAGTTGAATGGTTGACATGAAGCTGCCGACTCCGCGGCGTGTATTGACTTTGCGCGCAAGTGAAGTGGTGTAGGGTAGCTAGTGACTCTCCGCTCCGCACGGAGTATACGGAAGACGGATCAGCTCCTCTATTGAGTTTTCTAATCTGGAAGTAGCATGTCCGCATCACAATCCATCCCCGGTTGTCATGCCAGGGCATGTAGGTTAATTGTTGTGGTGCAATATCTCTTTGACTGCTGAAATGCTGGTGGGGCCGCGTAGGACTTCCCCAGGTTTGACAGATACCAGACTTTCTGTGGTCACTTCAGCAGCAGACAAGGTATCTGCTAACAGAAATGTGTACCGGCTTGATTCCGATTGGTCCCAGGCCGCCCCACCAGCATTTCAGCAGTCAAAGAGATAAGGACGTGTCACGGTATTGCGTTGATGAGCAGTTCTGAGGGAGGGCTGCAGAGGGTTTCGATCACCGTTGGAAGCGGTCGAGAAAAGTGGCAAAGTGGAGCTACGCCCTGCATCCATGCTGAAATCTTCTCCTGGTCAGGCCTCGTTTGTTTGAATCCTGTCTCCTCGATAAAGCTGAATGTTTCACCAGGTTCATCAATCTTCCCCTGAGCCTGGGCCATCTGAATTCAGTGGCCAGGCCATGTGACAAGCAGGGAACGTGTCAGGGGCTGCGTTGCTCCGTTGATGTGCTTCTGCAGTGACGACAAAGATCATTTACGCGCGGCTGTGACAGGACCGGCGCCAGCTCCAGGTCGCAGACAGGCGCGTGATCCAGGTAATGGAAGATCTAAATGGGAATGGTCGTCATGTCGGACTCTGTCGCTATTGGGTCTAACCGGGGTCGTCCACTGCTGCCCTTGAGGGGGCGAATGGTACCGAAGCGTTTCTCGCCAGATCCAGGCTACCGGGCACCAATGGACAGCGCGAGCGGGAGGTCTTCCAGTGACGGTGTCCAGTGGGGAATGCGGTGCGATCCGGCAGAACACCTTATCACTTAACTACTGGTGCGGCGGATGCGACGTTAGCCGGCGTCATGGTTGGGGGACGTCAGCTTGATGACGCCAGGCCATACCGCCGTCGTATGATCGGAATGCTCACCCCGGCTTTGTTGCGAGAAGCACACAGGATGGCACACCTGGGAAATGTCTCCGGACCAGAGTACGGAGAAGAAAAGGTGACGAACATGGCCTCTCTCTGATCGAGGGACGAGATAGCCACGACAGTGCAGAGTGTTTTCTACCAAGAGCTGCAAGTCCCTGGGATCGCCTGCTGCTCGCGCTTCTGCACCATTAATTAGCGACCACGCGAGCGTGTCCCAAAGCGGCGGGGGAATGGAGGCCCGCCCAGAGTGATGCAGATCACAGGGGAAGCCGGGACGAAACGCCCTCCCACCATTCGCTTCCACACCATCTCGCGAGTTGCGGTGTGGAGTTGGCAGGTGGGAACGGGAATACCAACGTCTGTGCTTCTATAACGTCTGCCGGGATCTAGATGAGAAAACCGAGCTAATGGCATTGGGACGATCAGTCGTTTCCTGCTCTGTTCGTCATTTGGCGGTGGTTCATTCACACACCGAGGCCTCAGGTAGTAGCAGGATGGGCGCATGGTTGCGGCTTGAGCGCTGCATGCGGGCGCAAAAAAGGATGCCACCACCAACACAGGCTGAGCCTTTTCGTTGGCCCTTAGCCCATGGGCTATCACGTACGTGCGCTAAGGCGGCTTCGTCACCATTCAAGTGGAAACCGCCCCGAAAGCCTGGGGCACGCATAGGAATGGCGGCGGGGGTGCTGGACCCCTGGTCGGCGCCTTCCCCTCCTGGCGCGTAACGCTGCCCCGCGGTTGGCCCGTTGCAAACCTGCTAGCCTGCAGCTTGCTCCCAACTCACCCACCAACTCGGCTGGCGCAACCATCAACCAACTTGCATATTCTGGCCGCAAATGGACTTTGATGAATCTGTGCTAACGCACCATCAGCGCACATGTCCGATCCCCCTGCCCCGATCCCCCAGCCCCGTGCCCTCCGCCTCTTGCCCAGGTACTGGGCCGGCCCCCATAGCCTGCGCTAAAATTGGGCTCCTCCGCCGTTCTCCGCTGTTGGTACCATCCGGGCTGACTTTCTCCATTTTTCTCCTCCTCGTTAATCAATTTGATGTACGCGTCTGAATATTCGTTTCGTTTCTGCTTGTCACTTTTGTTGTTTTCGGGCACAGAGTTTGCCACGGTCGCCGAGGGCCCGGGTCGGAGTCGCACTCGCTGTTGTGCACGAGGGACGAGTTGCTGTTGCGGGGTTTGATCGAGTCGCCGCCCACCATGAAGATCGCTTGTTTGCAGTTCGCTCCCCAGGTGGGAGATGTCGACAACAACCTGAACCGCGCAGATTCTGTCTTGTCGAAAGCGAACCCGGACGAAATCGATCTTCTTGTTCTGCCCGAGCTGGCTTTCTCTGGTAGGAATCTTCCCCATGGAGGGATATGGATTCGGGAGAACGGTGGCCGTTACCAGTCGCCAGTTTCTTCGCGAGATGGACGACGACGCTGCGTCGCGGGCTTCGATGTGTCTTATGCTTTGGCGCTGACATTGACAAGGGTACAACTTTAAATCTCTGCAGGACATTGCTCCGTTTCTAGAGCATTCCGGCTCCGGCATCACGTCTCTTTGGGCTAGGACTATCGCGCTCAAGTACAACTGTACCGTCACTGTTGGCTATCCCGAGAAGGTCGACGTTTCCCCGAAATGGCCCACCGGCCCCGAATACTACAATTCTGCCATAGTGGTCAACGGGGACGGCGAGACGATTGCGAACTACCGAAAGAATTTCCTGTACTACACCGATGAGACATGGGCACTGGAAGGAGGTCGCGGTTTCTATGAAGGATTCATCCCCGGACTCGGAAACACCTCGATCGGAATTTGTAAGACACCGCCCCATCTGCTGCACATTCATCACATTACTGACCATTTATCTTAGGCATGGACATCAAGTATGCCATCCCCAAAAAATACCCCTAAGTCCGGCTCCCTTGCTAACCTGAAAATAGTCCGTACAGATTTGAAGCCCCGTGGAATGCTTTCGAGTTTGCCTGCCATATTCTAGAGATGGAATCCAATCTAGTTATTGTATCCATGGCTTGGATGACCAGAGAGGAACCCCGAAACTTCACTCGCATGCCCAACGAACCCGACATGGAAACCTTGACCTATTGGGTGACTCGCTTAGAGCCTCTCATTCGCTCCGACAACCAAGATGAGATTATTGTAGTTTTCTGCAATCGCTCGGGAAACGAAGACGACGCCTTGTACGCCGGTACAAGTGCTGTTGTTGGTATTCATGATGGCGAAGTCAAGGTCTACGGCCTCCTGGGGCGTGGGGAGAAGGATCTGTTGGTAGTAGATACCAACAACCCTCCATATGCGAAACTGGTATACCGCCCAGATGCAGATGGACCCGGCATGGAAGCTCCTGGGATACTTCAGAAGGAAGGCGACCCAGACAACTCCGAAAGTAAGAACCAGAGTCCCAAAACACACGAAGGTGGCAGCAAACCCAATGGACCCAAACTGACGATCTCTGGCCGCGAAGACAAGCAACACTCAAGCAATGTCAGCTCGAAACAGAATTTCCTTCCTCCATCTCCCCCACTGCCGGTACCATCGCTCTCGAAACAACCGGCAGGTGATTCACTTAGGCGACACCATCCACCCGATATCACTATTCCTCGGGAGCCAGACCTGGTGACAAGCAACTCAGCCCGAACCCCCGGAACTGATAGTCTCAACATTCCCACGCCATCAGCTCCTAGCCCGACCCCCATGGCTGTCCGCCCTCGACTGTTTATTCCGGAATCACCGCCGATTCTTCCCCACCAGTATCCCCCAGACCACCCTATCAGTGCTGCGTCGTTGAGATCTGAGAGATCCATCCAATCTGTCAAATCCTACACATCCATAGGGTCCACTCAGACAATTCGCTCAAACCCAAGGCCACCTGAGGAGAGCACGCCCTATCCAAGCACCGCCACACCCCTCAGTGGGTATCCGTCAAACTTTTTCACAGAAGACAAAACGATTTACGGTGGGGATGTCACCTTCGAAGCTGGGCAAGGTGCATTCGACCCGGACACTCCCTTTGATGACATGTCCCCGGTGTCCCCTCCCTGGTTTTGGCGGCCAAGTGATAGTCGCACACAGACTCCACATTCTGCTGAAACATGGACTCCTGGGGCATCCATGTGGAGGAGACCTGAGCCGTTCCCGTGGCCAGCCATTACATCAAATTCACGACCTCACAGTCGGAGCAGTTTCAAAAACCGCACAAATGACAGCCTCACCCAGGACCTACAAAACCTCAACTCCAAATCCCCGCAACCCAATGATTTATCAAACCGGACAAACACCAACAAAACGACACAGTCGGAATCATCTGTAACTTCAAAGCGGACTGTGGAAGCAGATGTGAATGAGAGGTCATTTGCGAGGCCTCCGTCTACAAAATCACGAAATGCTAGTCGCTCAGGGATGGATGAGAGATCAAATTCAGCCCTTGGCGACCGCGATTCCAGCACGGCAATTTCACAACATCTTGAAGACATTTCACGACGAGCGGAGTCGGTGAACAAGTTGCGTGACGAAGCCATCAATGGATCCCCATGTCCAGACCGGCCGCCGTCTCCAAAGTCAAGAAATTGCAGTCGAGGCCGCCCCGATGAGGACGCAGAGTCCCAGCAAGACCATCATTTAATTCACATTGCGGCAAGTCCTAGCCTTCTTAAGAGTGAGGGACGAAATCCTTACCGACAAATGCCACGAGCGAACCATCACCAGCGTAGCAATTCTTCAACAAATGGAACTCGAGCCCCCAATTTTGGCAACAATGAGCGATCTGGCACGCCAAATTCCGTCAGCAACATGGCTCGACCAGCTTCGCGTGCCGCTAGCCGTGGTCGAACGCCTGGACCCAAGGTGTCCTCTATTAATGGGATATCCGATTCAGTTCTTTCGACTATCGAGCGAGCCTCATCTGTGGATTCGACGCGAAACGATCTACTGCACAGCCGAATTCAGGGACAGCAGTCACAAAGTAGGCAGTTTCAATCCCGGATGACTTCATCGACACGCAATCCACGTCGACCATCACAGGGAGGAGATCCAGTCGAATTCGAGAGAGTCGAGGCCATCCTTTGTCCAAGTTGCCCTGTGCACGGCCGGCATTCCTCCTCAGACCATACTCGACCAAGTGAGGGACATCTGACTCAGTCCCAGTCATCTCCAAGGGCTGCTAGCACAAACAACGCGGTGACTGACACCGACCGCTTCCAAGATGACGATGCTCCAAGGCATACGCAACAAGGCCAACCGGGAAGGGGCAACAGTCACGCCGAAAAACACACGGACAGTCACGCTAGTCTCCAGCCCGACCTCTTATTGTCAAATGAAGGAGCGGAGACGAGTGGCTACAGCTCCTCCGGGACTCTTCAAACGATCTCATCACCGGGTCGCTCACCCGCCACGCCGTTTTGCTTTGAACCTGCGACACCGAAGGCAATGGTTCTCGAGACTGACGACACAGATATAGAGCCACTGCCTAACGGCCAGCTTGACAGCTACGAGAAGACACCTGTAACTCGGTGTGCCGAGTCGGAGCCTCTTTACACATTTGACTTACCCGTTGGGTCTGTGATGTCCTGACGGCGTAAATCTGCATTGTAGCGTTTGTGCTAACTGTTTCTCACTTCCAATTTTTCTTTTTTATAACAAGGTGTCCAATGATGAACAGGATGTTTGATATGACCCTGCGGACAAGAAAATGGGCATTTTCATGACGATGGGCGTTCTTTTACTGCTTTCAAGAGTAGATGGAATTTACGATACCAATATCGCTTGGTTTTTATTTGGCGACTTCAGGCGAGGTGGATGGATGATTTTGGTTTATGTTAGGTTCTTGACTCGTTATTTCCTGTTTCTTGAAGCACCTGCCTCCCTTTCGGGTTTCCATTTGTTATGGTAGTAATGTGGTAGTTAGCTAGAGAGTTAGGTAGACAGTGAACATGTCTTTAAATAGAATAAATATGTTTGCCAGAGGTTGATGAACGACCGGCTTGTCTAATTAACTCATGGAACAGTTCACCGAATCTGCGGGGAGGTGTTTGACACTTCACATCTCCCAAACCGAATCACCTCAACGAGTTAAGTTTGCAGCCCAACCCAATATGCAACATTTATTCGCGATTGAACCTCTGTTGGCTCACTACTGGTTCCTTTGCCTCCCAAGTGCTTGGAGTGTGGCCATACGAACTCAGGGTATTTCGTCTCACTCGCTGGTCTGACTGTTAAGCGATTGCTCTTCGAACTTGGCCGTAAATCAATCTGTCAGGCATCGCGACCTTCACAGCCCAGATAAAGATTGTGTGAGTGGGTGTAATATTTTGGAGCCAAATGGTAGGTTACTTGTTTCAATGTATGTAAAGTTAGGTACTAGGTGCGATGCAACTGAACCCCCTTCCAGTTTGAATGCATTCGGAATCTGGCCTCGTTCTAAGCCCCGTAACTGTCTCGTAGAAGGGCTGTGATCGACACCTGCTTGTAAGAAGTGATTGGATATTTAGGTAGTTGAGTGATATAGGATAAGAAACGCGGGGCAATCGATAGAATCGAGCCATCTCACAGTACATGGACCTCAGACCTCAATCAAACTCATGCTTCAACGTGATTCTCTACCTCGCCCCAGACTCTACATGGAATCAATCGCCGACCATACAATAGAGTTAAGTCTCTCATCCACTTTAGAGGAACATACTCGAGGACTGGGAAGGCCGCGGTTTGTTCTCATGAGGTCCGTGGTGGTTGTGGCTTAACTCGCGTCCTTGACTAGCTGCTCGTGTGCTTCATCGTCTTATCTCTACTCCACGATATACCGAGGCACTATGTAGAGGATATGTGGTAATCTCATCAACCACCTATGTATGAGTGTATTGATCGTTATCCTTGCGAAGTTAGATCCAATGACAGTCTAACAAAACCTAAGCTCGGCCCTTCTGGTACCACCTGGCCCCATATTGTGTGGGTTTTCGCAACCAACAACATTGCAACATCAGTTGGGATTACGCAACACGGCAAATATTTGCCGGAGTGGAGCTTCATAACCAACCCCAACTTCCAGCTACAGCTTAGCTTCGACAGGGAACATAAGCAGATGTTCATGTTAGAAGGCAACATAGCAGTACATTATCGCAGCGAACCTGGTTATGTCGCAATCTTGCGTGGATCTATCGCAAAGACGCCCTCTATCGCACGTCATTACCAGAAAGTAGTAGATAGGGACGCGAAAACGCCTCGGTACGTTTCGTGCGTGGTATTTTATATCCCCCCTCCGGCCATTTTCAATTTCTTGATATCTTGCGTATCAACGGCAACTATGGCGTCCGAGATTCATTCGATAAACGAGATTAACCAATCATCACAGGGCAATGGGAGCTCCAAGGAGAAGAATGACATTTCTACCACGACGAGAATTGACGACATCGAAGCTGATGCATCCTGTGAGGGAGATGCCGACATAAACGAGCGAGAGAAACTCGTCCAACTGGTTGAAAAAAAGGAGTTGACGCCTGTCGAAGCCTTTAAATGGAATGTGGAGGGAGATCAGTCGCCATGTAAGCATTATGATCTTCAGATATGGCCGTGAGACAAGCTGACACCCAATTTCCTAGTTCCCGAAGTGGCCGCTTGTGTGCCGAACACAGATGACCCAACCATTATATGCAATAGTAGGCATGTGTCAACTGTGAACTGGGGCTCTTCATTAATTGGTCTGCAGCTTTGCGAGCCTGGATACTCACCACAGTCTTTGTGATTGTCTTTGCTGGCGCCAACGAATTTTTCAGTCTACGATATGTAAGTCCTCCTCTGATCGCTTATGTCATCAAAATTTCCTACACCTCAATGGCGAGATCTGACTCTTTGATTATATAGCCTAGTCTGAGTATTGGGTATGTTGTGGCCCAGCTGCTCGTATTCCCTATTGGTCGAGCCTGGGAAAAACTCCCTCGGTGGAGAGTCCCTCTTGGACGCTTCACGTTCGATGTGAACCCGGGCAAGTTTACCATCAAGGAGCATGCTTTCATTGTCATTGTAAGTTTTGTTGCTTCTCTCTATCTCTTAAAAATTTACTGACATCGATTCAGTGTGTGAATCTTAGCACTACAGCTGCTTATGCTACGGGATCCTTGATGGCAATTATCAGCCCTGTCTACTGGAATAGAGACTACGGTGCAGGATTCTGTTTTCTTTATCTGCTAACGACTCAAATGCTTGGGAAAGTTCAACTTTATTCTAGTTAATTGAGAAAATACTAACATGACCTGCAGCTTTGGCCTCGCCGGGCTTGCGCGAAGGTGGCTAGTTTATCCAGCCGCTCTGATCTGGCCCTCAACCCTCGCTTCGACAGTCCTCTTCCGCGCTTTGCACGAGCCACAGGAACGCACTCTTGCAAACGGCTGGACCATGACTCGATATACATTCTTCATTTACTTCACGGTCATCGCTTTTGTCATTTTCTGGTTCCCGGACTACCTTTGGACAAGCTTGGGCACTTTTGCATTTATCACTTGGATTGTGCCTCATAACCAAAAGGTCAACACTATATTTGGGGTAAGAAATCATGAGAACGAGCTTTCCAATTAAAGCACTACTGACGGTTAATCCTAGATGAACTCTGGCCTTGGTCTTCTTCCTCTCAGCATCGATTGGACGCAAATCAACTACGCCGGCACTCCACTTACAACGCCCTTCTACATCACTTGCAATGCTTTTGCTGTAGTTGTGTTCTTTTATCTCTTTCTCTCGCCAATCTTATATTACTCGAACGTGTGGTTCAGTGCCTAGTAAGTTTCACATCGCCAGGTCGAATTATAAGGTCGTTTCTCATCGGTTGCGTATCTGACATTCTTGACAGCCTCCCTCTACTCTCATCAAGCACATTTGACAACACAGGTTCGCACTACAACATCTCAAAAGTAATTGACGAGAACCTGGATTTCGATTTGAGCAAATATCAGGAGTATTCACCTATGTACATCTCGATGTCATACTCGCTCACCTATGGCCTTTCATTTGCAGCCGTAACGGCCATTATAGTCCACACCTATCTTTACAACGGAAAAGAGATTTGGGCCAAATTCAAGAACTCTCGACATGGAGGAGAAGACATTCATAAGCGCCTAATGAACGTCTATCCTGAAGTCCCTGATTGGTGGTACTTGGGCTTCACTGTCGTGGTTCTTGGATTAGGCATGTTCACAGTGGGATATTGGGACTCAGGCCTTCCTATTTGGGCATTCCTAGTCGTCTGTTTTGGTTTCGGGGTACTTCTCATTGTCCCAGAGGGAATTTTGGAGGGAACTACCAACCAGCGGATTTTCCTCAACATCATTACTGAGCTCGTCGCAGGCTATGCTTGGCCAGGAAAGCCCATTGCCAACATGTATGTCAAGTTCTATGGCTACAACTCTGTTAAGCACGGGATGGACTTTGCGCAAGATTTGAAGCTTGGCCAATACATGGTAAGCCTGCTCCAAAACTCATTTCTTAGTCTACTTTCTAAATTTGGTTGCACAGAAAATTCCGCCTCGTATTCTATTTTTTGGTCAGATTTACTCGACTATTCTGGCTACTGCGGTGCAGACCGGAGGTATGTGGGCCTGTATCTGGTGGGCACTGGTTATGAATGCTAAATTTTCAAGTCCTTCGATGGATGATCGGCAATATCGAGAATCTTTGTGATCCCGATAACACCCAGCGCTTTACGTGTGCCGGGTCAAAGGTGGTATACAACGCCTCTGTTATTTGGGGAACTATCGGGCCTCAACGAATGTTCCAGTCGGGCCAAGTTTACAACGGTCTCATGTACTTTTTCCTGATTGGGGTGCGTGTTTTACCTTGCCATATCTGTGTATCGTTGAGATTTAACCAACTAACATGTGATACAGCCTGTAACGACTGTACTAGTGTATCTAGTTTACCGGCGATTCCCCAACAGCTGGGTGCGATATGTCAATGTGCCCATCTTCTTCAATGCTGCCGGGAACATCCCCCCGGCTAACACTAGTACGTACACCAACCAAGTCGTTAAGACTCCAAGATCGACTAACAATTCCTAGCTCAATATTCGCTGTGGTTTATAGTTGGATTTATCTTCAACTTCCTGATCCGAAAGAAGGCCTTCGACTGGTGGAAACGCTACAATTGTATGCTCTTCCGATCTGCGTTGAAAAGGTATATTGCTAATGATAAACCTAGATCTCCTACAGGCAGCGATGGACACTGGCACGGCCATTGCTACTGTCATCATTTTCTTCGCGCTTACCTATAATGGCTACACGTTGAGTTGGTGGGGAAATAACGTTGGTTCAGATACCGACGACAGCAATTCCGTGCCGTGGCTTACAGTTCCGGAAGGGGGTCATTTCGGCAAAGGACCTGGAGAGTTTTAAAGTTGATAGGTTGGCCTACCCCATCTCAATGATAGCATTGTGAAGGTCTCTCGGAGCGTGTCAAGATATTGGACAAATCGAAGGGCGCTCATATCGCATAGTCAATCAAGAAACGGTGACTGTATGACCCAACATTGGCTTTCAAATTGTATAGGCTTTGTGAGAAAGCGGGCGCAAAAGAGGCGACGATGATGAATGCAGTTGCATTGGCATACTATGAGAGAAATTTGCTGCGATCTTCTTCCTAATAATCCCTTCTGCCATGAAATTCGCCATCACACCACCGTGAGGAACCACGCCGACCGTTACATGATACTTAAGAGTCTCAGAGAGGCGGAAAATCTAAACTTGTAATTATCTGACAGCCGGGCGGTGGCCCTCACGGCCGTGACACGTTCATTATAGCATGCGGCCAGACGACTAATTTAGCTAAACACTTCTACCCTGTGACAGAATCTCTCATGACTCGAACGTTGTTCCATCGGCCGGAGTCTTTCCCTTAAGAAGAAAAGCATTCATTGCCTTGGAGGTATCTCCATTTAGGCCGTAGCTCGTATGTCCACTTCCATGGCGAAAAATGAGGCTGGAGTTGGGAATCTGCTCTCGGATTGAGACTGCCCATTGGACACTTGCGGCAGGATCCCAGAATGAGTTCACGAGTAGAATCTCCGGTGTGTCGGCGATACTTTGTCTAATTGGCTGCTGTGGGTTCTTCAACGGAGTGGACCAGGCAACGCATCTTGTCACGTAGCTCAAGCTTTGCGTGATGCCAAGGGTCAGAGGTGCGAAAACTATGGTCATGTCTTCAATGGCGTGTAGATCGGCAAAGCCCTTGGCATGCTCCCAGTCTTGGCATCCGACTGCAAGTGATGCGAAATCGCCTGTCGTGTCAGTCTCCCCTACATAGTAGTGAGCTGACAAGCCAGATGCATCGCCTTTGCCAGCTGCAAGCAGATATTCTGCGAGTTCGCTCCAACCAGGTTGATATGGAGGCATCCCTGTCTTTAGGATGAGGCCTCCTTGGATGCCGGCGAGGAAATCTTCGCGGTTAACATTGGACTGACACGGGAGATCGCCACTTTGTTCGCACTTCGGTGCCGGGATAGGGCTGACTTCGGCTTCGGCAGCCAGTCGTTTAATCAAGCCTGCGATATCTGTGTTGTTGTGAAGTGCGCAAGTCTTGTTGTTCCCGCACCAGTCAATGAACCTATGCAGCGTGGTTTCCAGCGTGTTGGCTTCAGCTTCCACGGCATAGACTCGTGGCTTCGTGTGATCGACTATGCCATCGAGAGCCATGCGGCCAACATTGCTCGGAAACATTTCTGCATATGTATACCCAATCTGTGAGCCATACGACAACCCAATAAAGTTGAACTTGCTCTCCCCAACTGCTTGGCGAAGTTGTTCAAAGTCGCGTGCTACGTTCTTCGTGTCCATAAAATCCAGCAGTGGGCCCGTCAACCGCCTGCAGCTCTCACCAGCCTCCTTCCAGTGCTGAACCATAGCATCAAACTGAGCCTCGTTATAAACCAAGGTTGGCACACGCTTGTTCCAGATTGCTGGATCGCACTTGATGGGAGTGCTCTGTCCCACGCCTCGCGGATCGACGCCCAGGAGATCATACTCTGCGAGAATTTTCGAAGGCTGAGAGCCGGGCAGGATCGAGAGGACAGCTTGTATACCGGAAGTCCCAGGACCGCCCGGGTTCAGAAAGACGCTTCCTTTGGGCTTTGGGCTTTCTGACTTCTTGCGTATAGCGGCGAGTGTTGTCATTTCACCATTCGGCTTGCTGTAGTCGATTGGAACTTTATATTGGGCGCACTGCACGTCTTTGGGAAGATCGCTTGGACAAGGACCCCATTGGATTGGGGTTGCTGGAGAGCATTGCGGGAGCACAGCGCCCCCACTCGCGAGCGAGGCAGAGCCCACGAGGGCCGCGAAGAGAAGTTCAAGATGCATAATGTTGACACGAAGATGGGAAGAAGTAAGAAGAAGTATCGGAAACTAGTGGCAGCCGAAGGAGGTAGACTGGTTGACCGATAGGAAAAGAGGTGGCCATACTGCCGCTATCGTCGAGCGATATTTAGGCCGTTTTGTGAGATATCTGCTTTCCATGTAACAATTCAACCAAGTAACAATGACCTGACCATTTCGACACGAACAGACAGATCTTTTCAGCCGTACGGGACTTCAGAAGGAAATTATCCCAGAGGTATCATCAATACCACCTCGTGCTTATAAACTATTTTTACTACCTCGTACTCCGTAGTGCTTACTGGAAACCCGAGGTGAATCCTACGCTAGGCCATCAATGAATTGGTTGGTCGTTAACCACTATACGCATCTACGCTTGACAGTGCTCTACTACTATACTCTAGTTTGTGCTCATAGTTATCGTAGTTGAGCTTGCGTGGCGACGCGTCACGAAGTGACAAACTTATAAGGAGTGTATTGACATATATGATGTTTATCATATCAAGTATTGACAATGAAATAAACAACCATGAAAAAGATGTGAAATGAGCTACTTTATCTATTTCAAGCAAAACCTCAGACGAAACTCGATCAAGATGATCCCCAGCTAACGCCTGCTTGAATTGCCAACACACGTTACAGAAGCTCAACTGTGTCTTCGACCTTTCATTGGCCAGTGTGCTCCTGTAAGGATGCCGAAATGGACATATTTTGCAAAGAGTTGATCAAGCTGAAACTTACGTGAGATCCGATCGGGGACCTCAAGCCAATGGTCGGGGACCTCAAACCAATAGCAGTAGCCCAGCTGTCTGCAACATACGATCAGGAAAGTTCCGACCGGGGATTGTTCAGAATCCTGCTATTCACCCCAGTCGAGCTACTCTAGAGTTAGCACCCCTCCTTGGTCCCTTGGCTCGCGGTATATAGACGAAGCCTAAATCTAGAAATTTGTGGCCGACGATAGTTGCTTGTTCCAGAAAACTCTAGGCATCTCCGCATGATCGCTGAACTACCCAACTTCATCAACGACTCAAGACGCAACTCCATCAGCTACCACTGCTTGTAGCGTCGCTCTGGGCCTGCATCCACCATGGCCTCTCACATCCCACCAGCTGGGTTTCCCCCATATAACCCACAATACGGACAAGAACATTTTCAACGTCCCGTGGGCCCGACGTCGAGTTATCAGGCACCGCAGACGACAGGTAGCCTTGATCAGAGCGGCATTTGGAGAGCGGATCAGGCATCAGGCGTCACTTACAGTAGTGAGCCATCGCCGCTTCTGCCTCCCCGACCCGACCACTCAGCTGGCTACGGAGCGTATACACATTCTGGATCTTATCCCGACAACTATAACCAGCATGTGAGCAACGCCCACCTCGCTTCACGTGCGCCGCCGGCCAGCGACGTGATACAAGGAGTGTCTGTCCAGGCCAGCACCAGCTCGGTCAGTACATCAACCCAAGGCTGGGACACCTCGACTCCTCAAGCTCCAGCCGGAGCGTCATACCCACAGAACGCGGAGGATGAGGAGATCTTGTCCCAGGCTATGCTCTTTGCGCAGACAGCAGCATCTTCGCCTTACGCAGCCGGCCCACCGCTCTCAAAACCCGTGGCAGTCCCGCACCTGACACAAAGCAACTCGATGACTTATACGCAGCCGCCTGGGTCCAGCGTCAACAAGTACGCACGGATGTACTCCCCGGTACTCGCACCGCATGGTGTATCGGAGGTCGATTTCATGGCCTTCCTCGACGGATTAAATCTCGTGTCCACCGCCTCGCAAGCCATACAGGCAGCAAACATTACGAACGTGCTACTTGCTTTTGACCCCACGGGTATTTCGCAGACGGTCAGCCTTGCGGCCACAGTAGGGCTCCAGGCAGGCCAGCAAAAGGTATTCAACCGTCGTGCTGCTGCCTTTCTGCGCAGGGCCAATGCCGAGTTCTTTCATCCCCGAGGGCTTCACGCAGCACAGCGCAGTCTCGACGAGCTACGAGAAATCGCACACATCCTAAGCGACGCACCGCTCACCACGCCCATCAACAGCGGGTGTATCCTGGATGGTGTTGCTGAAAATCGAGTGCGTGCGATGCAGCCCTGGCTGGCGCCCATGAAGTTCGATGTCCCGCCGGAACCTGCGCCGCCTGCCAATAACGGCCTCCAGAAGATCAACAACTTACAGAAAAGGCATCTGCACAAATTCATGGATCGAAAAACCATCTCCGTCCGCCTTCAGGAGCTCTCGGATAACCCACAGGTCCTCAGCATCGATGACATCATCCGGATCGCTGCTGATGTCCGCGCCACTGAGGATAAAGACCTCACGTCGAAGGTAGATAAATGGGAGAAAAAGATGCTCAAAGTAGCCGGCAGCGGGAAAGGTAGACCTGTGAAGGATAAAGGCAAGGAAAGAAGGGAGGAGAAAGCTACGCTTCGCTCGCACTGGTTGGTCGTCACAACCTGGGACGGTCTCGAAGAATCTTCCTAAGGTCAGACGAGCGATCTGGGCCATATTGGGTAGATTAAGCGCCCGCTATCGGAGCACACACTGTGATGTTGCTGACCGGCGCACTGGGGTTTAATAACAGTAGGTCTAGCCTGACCAGACTAGAGTCTACTTGATGGAACGGCTCTTTCAGATTTCTACAGTAGGAGGAGCTCGCTTTTCCTCTTCTTCAATTTGAACTTTTCCAGACGCTGATTATTATCCCTTTGCCCTTATACTAGCTGTCGGAGCAGCCCTTATCCCTTCTTTGTCGTTCTTTTCTATTTTATTGTATGCAGAGGTATTTGCTTAAGTGCTTGTCATTTCTGGCCAAATCCCTCAGCCTGTCTTAGCTGTGAGACCTCATTCCCGCCCAAACCACACGGTATTTCAGAAGCTTGCTGCCACATGCCTGGCATTCATATCTATAACCATGCTCTGATGGAGTTGGGCCTATATACTATTGTGGCCTGCGGATAGGTGTCGCAACTATCTCGTCTATAACGCCTTGACAAATCTGCTCCAAGAAGTTTTTGGCATTATTAGAAATAAAGGGCATCAGAAGGCTGTTTGCTTCCACAGTTACCTCTCCCCATAGTTCCCACTCATCCCCCGTCTTGAGTGTTCTGCTCCCAGAGCCGATAGGGGGCGTATTTCCCTGGCGTGGGCGAACGGCCCATTGGGTCCAGCCGATAATGCCTGCTAATGCGTTGCCACGATTCCGGATACCATCAGGCGTGCACTGGTAGATCATAGGCCAATTCATGTCCTTTGTTAAACCTGGTGCGAGCCAGATAACTTCTCGAACCTGGAAGTTGCGGACAGTGTCGTCCATAGGCCCAAAGAAGGGGTCATTGGATATATCGTCGATGTCAAAAGGGATTTCCTCGAAGCTGACTATTCCGGGATTATGACGTAATAATGGGTCGTAGGTCTGGATAAAGGCAAGCACGACCTTAGACGGTATGTGGTTGGGAATAGCAATCGCGACGGCTGTGCGGTACTGTGACCGCATTTCTCTCTCAATATATCTATCACAGTTAGTTGAGATTTATACCGGTTTGTCAGCCGGCTATTGAAAGTAAGTTGGGCGGTACCTGTCGTTGGGTGGGCATTAATACCGTGTGATTTTATGCGCGTTTTTCGGCGGCAGCGTGTGTTGGTTCTGGCCAAAGTCCAGAACGCTCTTAGGGTTGAGATGGGGAATTTTTTCACAAAAGGAGCACTGTAGACTATGAGACTACTGGCTTGACGTAATGCGACTCAACTGACATGGCTTGCGCCTAACAGGTACTACACGAGGGATGCAGCCATGGCTACGAGTAGGAACATGCCAGGGACCACGGTGCGGGTCCGGGAGACTAATTATGGTAAAAACGATGCATTATGTGTCACGTGAGCTCGTACTCTTCGAGGAACAAGGTATGAAGCCAGGGATTAAGGAGCATGGTAGAGCGGGCACGATTGATGAGGATTCGAAGCGAAACACGCCGTGGGGGAATAGGACGGATCGGCACATTTTATTCTGTTTATGACTAGACCTTACGGGTCTCGCCTTACCGGGGGATGTATTTAGGTCAGCCGAGATCACCCCATGACAGCTAGCTATCCCTTTAACTGTCGTAAGCCTCCACTTTTGTACCTTGTAGGGATCTCAGCCAACCAGAGAGCATCAAATAAAAGATACATTGGTCCCTACCTAATTTTCGTGGTGCCAAAAGTCCTGGCAATTCCTAGATGTACATAGAGCTACATTACACTCTTCGCATCGGCGGGGTTGATTCCTACCATATGAGGTCACTCCGGGTACCTTAGCTGTAGCAGGAGTTCCGTGGGTCCCGTGACCTAGGTGGAGGCTTACGACAGTCAAAGGGATACGTGGCGGATCACCTCACTGGGAGGGGATGCCCCTGGACGCAAGTTGCTGCTCACATTCAGTGTCAATGTCCATAAACCGTTTTTAAGACGCTATGTGGGATAAGCCACAACTTAAGCTTTTCCTCCTTCCCGTCAAGGCAATCTCCTCCTGCGTCGTAAAATTTGTCAGCATTACTCAGATGAATTCGGTCCTGAACAGGGAACTGGGCCAGCCGGATGCTAACACCTTCTCCATTTCCAGGTTTCCAGCGTCGATGACGTAGAAGGAAGGGATGGGCTGTAAGCGAATCCCCCTATCAATGTCCAAATCGTGTTCACAATCAACGGTGTTAGTAGTTGAAATGAATTAGCGTGAAGTATTAAGCTACACCGTACATGCGTATCGTATTGGAAACCGACAGGGAGTTGTGGGTGGGGCGGGCTAGATGAGGTGATCTTTTGCTTGTCCTCGGTTTCTCTATCCCGGGTGATCTACCCCGACAACAAGGCCGGTAACATGTGATTAACACGATAGTAAGCAACTCTGTAGATTGATCTCGAGAGTACGTTGTTTGGCACAAAGACCGCGAGGACGAAACTAAATCGCATTTTTGTCGCTGGACGTGCACTTCTGAGTACCATGTCGAAAATGATTTATAGTTGGAGCTTGAGGCGCTCCGGCCCAAGCGAAATACTCATCTATCCGAGCTGATACGCGACGAAATTATGCCTTTCGCCTCCTATCGCCCTACGTAGCTTGATCACTGGACATATGGCGAGCAGGATGAGGCGATATACGGCGAAGACGGAATCAGGGGAGTTCGATATGGGGTGATGCTGCTGGGAGAAAAACGCGCCTCATGGTTCCTCGCACTTCACGCCGAGCCCGTATCTCCCTATGCTACCTACTATCGTGCAAGGCAATGTGAGTCTGATATAAAACCCTTCTGGGTCACTAACAGCCGGTCTGAGATCATTAGAATGCCTCGAGTCCATGTATTCGTATGTAGCTTTTGTTTTCACCGATCCCATATCTTTTCAGGTCTTTGTTGGCTGCTGCTCATGGCGGCCAATGGCAAGGACTGGCTTAAGATGCCTGTTCAACCACCAGCGTTCTCCAAGCACGTTAGGCGTTAGGGGTTATTAACAAACCCCCTGTTCCCGCTACAAATCACCTGTTCTAATCCGTATTTGACCACCCATCCCAACAATCTCCACGACACGTGTGCTTTCTATTGATTGAAGCTGTAGCTATTTGAGAAGCTCCAAAGCATCAAGATATGGGTAGCGGCTCGCTCGACCATGTGGTTTCCTAAACCTGATGGCTGCGACGTCACAGGTGTCATGGTTACCGATCTCGACTTTGATACGTTGAAAAGGGTGTTGACGGTATTTTATCAACTGCATGAGTTTATCTTCAGCACGCCCATGTGGGGGGACGTAGTACCCGAAGAGACGTTTTTCAAGGATACCAGCCAGAACCCCAGGTGTCGGGTCTAGAGCAGCGGCACTGACGATGCATTCCGATTGTCGTCTGCTCCGGCTCCTCTCTTCTCTCTAGAACACGTCTACGGGTCTATTGTTCACGGAGGCACAAGGTGAAGTGCATGCCATTGAAGTTACTGCGTCTTTGGCTAATGGAACCGCAGAGATATTCAGCCGCCAATCAGTCCTACAATGCCTGCCCTCAAGTCTGAGCCACCTCCACAGCCGTACGTCGGTCAGTCAGTCTTAAATGAGCACGTAAAGCAGAAAAGTTGTTGTACTGTCTTATAAGGCGTATACAGGAACCCACTACGGAGTTCTTGGTACATCTTCCCCCCTGCTCCTAGTCTAGACCTTCGATATATACCCTTCGGAATTGATTTGGTACCCTGCTTCGAACATGTCTATGATGAATGCCAGATGTGCAAGAAGGTCGGAGTTCTCAGCGTGTTTATTTTCCACGCGACTACCACAGCGTTAAAGACATCGGAGTTCACGAGGCTGGTCACATGAGGCCGGTCGATAATTTCCAGCAATTTCATGGCAACGCAAATATGGGGCTACTTGACAGATCTATGCTGAGTAAAATAAGGTAGGATCTTGAAATTTAGGTAAATATTCGAATTAATTATGAGAAAAGAAACATGCCGGGCGTCGTCCCTTGAAGTCTAAACAGGAAAGAAAGGTTTCTGTGTAAGCAACGCCAACGGCCTTGAAGAAAAGTGTGCCCAATGACTACTAGTCTATCACATTAGAAACTAGTGGTTCCTCCATTCTAGTCTAAATCCTGGACTTAAAACCGGGTTAAGAATACGGCGCTAAATTTTTCCATGCTTAGTGAAACTTTCAAATAAGAGTCGTCCATCGACAACCACAGGGAGGAATCCGTTTAGCCATCAGTATTTCCGCAACAGAAGAATTTAGGTACTCGCAGACCTCTTGAACTTCCAGTAAACGGAGAGCTGGGCTATCTTCTTGGTTGTTTTCGGTTCTAAATTGACGCAGGATCCGTGGCAAACTTGTCTTCAGCTCCTCCAAGAGGATTGGTAATTGGCTGGAGTCGATATCCGGCGCCATGAGCTTTAAAAAGCCCTCGATATCGACAACTTCAATTTCCGAAGGTTCGATACCAAAACCTCGCCAGTTCTCAGGATGAGTACTGATGGTTATCTTTGAACGAAAAAAGGCATACTCGAAGCATTTGAGTCTATTGCCTCGACCCTTCCTTTTTAAGACGACCGTCCAAGTACCAGGAGTCAGGTCACTCATAGTAAGAAGTTTCATGCTTTTGTGCCAATGGTAGGATGTGGAGCAGTGAGGGACTGCACAAAGTTCGGCTGGAACAGGCCCAATCTTGCGGGAACGGGAATGGCTTCCGTCAAGAGAAGAAGATCTATAAGCAAAGCAATGAAATGCATCTATGCTGGCTAAGTCCTCGGGTGCTCCGCTCAAGAACGACTTGAGAAACTGGAGCAGCCCGGCGACAAATTCCACCGGCGTTAGGAATGCGTCGCCAAGATTAAGGCATCTCGAATTTTGCACGTTGGGGGACCGGTCCGCATAAGAGAGCAAGATTTGGAATACCGGGAACGCGGCCAAAGCCTTAGGAGCCCCCATTGGTAGAGTACTAAGAGGCTCCCACGAATAGAGGTGTGAGAGAACCAGGCTCTTTTTTACAAGACCAGGTGCCAACTTGGTGAGACTCTCATGCATCTCAATGCTCATGGACTCGTCCCTTCTGTTGGGGTAGTCTAAGACCTGTAGAGTATCAAGCGTCTTGAGGATTGAAAGTGCCTCCACGACGTCCTTCGGTGTGTCTGGGGCTGATGGTGGCGAGAGGCTGATTCCAGTGACCTTGCTCAGTATACCGCCATTGAAGACAGCCTTAAGAGCTTGCGACGAGAGATTCTTGAAATGATGCCATTCAAGGAATGCTTCACCTGCGTACGCTACCTCGAGAATCGGTGCCCAGGACTGGCTGACACCAACTCGGTCTTTGTTACGAAGAAGATATTCCTTCACGGTCAACCCGAACCCGGGCATCCAATCCATATCGTGTAGGTAAGAAGGGCTAATCTCAGCCGATGAAACAGAATCACAGAGCTTTGCGACAGCCTGGCATCGAAGAGATAGTTTTGGCCCACGTTTTGGAGATTGATCATCTGGTTGCAGGGGAAAGTGACCTTCGTAGCCGTTGTTAAACATCCAAACATCTACCAACAAATTAGTATTGAATTATCAGGAAAGTTTCATCTATCTCGAGTAACCCTGAAATAGATATTTAAATTGATGGGGTTAAAGTACCTTGAAGTGCTCTGACTGTGACGACAGGGATGTTTCCAAAAGTATTGATCATGTCACCCTCGCCCTTATCATCGTTGTCGTGGTAACTTGTGGTGATACCGCGTTCTATATGCCTCGATATATACTGCGAACATGTTTGAGGTTTGGTATAGGGTTCAGGGTCGCGTAAAGATGGGTGTCCCCAAGGTGAGTCCATCTCGAAATCTTCACGATCCTGGAGTTTATCCGATGTTAAAAAACAATAAGAAACATTTTCCAGGTCAGTGATGTCCAGAACGGTGATCTCGTTGTTATTGAGTGGCGCGGTTTGTGGTGCATTGTAACACTGCTGCTTAACCTCGTACCAACTGTCACGAACGGGCCAACTTTTAGGGCTGTAGCCGACACCGATCAAAAGACATGCCCTGATAAAGGAGAGCCATAGAGGCATCCTCTGCCTGTCAAAGTGATTCTCTTCCGTGAAATCATTAAAGAACTCGGCGGCCATAGTAAGCTCCTGCTTGAGTGCGATTCGGTTGGCAGGATCTGAGAAGATCTCGATCAGCCGAAGACAAACACGGGCTAAGCCATAGCCACGAGGGCTATCCAAACTAATAGCCGCGAGAGAATGGTGTGTTTTGCCCATGCGGGCGATGACGAAAAATTGGTCCATATTTTCGGTGACAGGCCGACTGATTTGGGCAAGATGCGTTGGGAGTCAGTGGGACTTCAGAGAGGTGTTGCTTTCTTAAAGGAAATGAAACCGGCCATGCCGGTCTTTCTTTTTTGTGTTCCGATGTTCATATTTCTTTGTTGGGTTCTTTTGTTGTTGTGTTCCTTTGTCATCTCGACGATGCCGCAACTTCGGCACCAATCAAAGCGGAAAAGAAGCGCTAACACAAAGCGCCAACAAATGCGAGGATCTTCTGAAAGTTGACTCGATTTCGCTGCAAGGCACTATGAGATGATCCACCGACCGGTTGAGCGAGTTTGTACTACAGCCTGCGGAACAAAGGCTACTTAAGTGTCGCTTGCTACTACAGTTTCAGACTGCCAGACGATCAAGGTCATTCACGCATCATTCATGGCCTCACGATACAGGGTTAATCTTGTAAAACTAAACATTTACCCAACTACCCTTTCCATCTCTAACAAGGCTTGAGAATACATTCATTTCTTCTCCCAAAACTTCCTGCATATGTCTTGTGGTAGCGATGTCTTTCTGTGCGTCGCAGCAAAAACCTGCAGCACCGGGTTCTGGGACTTTTCGTAAACCGCCACGCATGCTCCCTGTTTCGACTTCTTGACGATATCTCGCAACTGAGATAAGAGTGCCGCTACTTTGCGGAGGGGGATTTGGTTCTGATCCTCGGCCTCCCAGCGCCGAAGATCCTCCTCCACGCTGCTGATTTGGATGTTGTGGAAGACACCTTTCGAGTGGACGCCCCGGATCAGATTCTGGGTTCGGCCGAACCAAAGTTGAGGCATCATCTGCGCGGGTGATTTCAAGGTTGTCATGGATTTGATCTCAGCTGCAGCAATGTGCGGGATACCAGAACCGCGAGAGATGACTCGGATTTGGCTGGGACCTTTGACTTTGGGATCGGTCGGAGGTTCTTGGATTTTGAGTGTGCCGAGTGCCTCAGAAAGGTCATTCGCCTCCATTGTCGTATTTCCCGGGCTACTCTGTCCTTCTCCAGGAGCTTCAGCGCCGGAGTCTCCGTAAGAAGCATCAACTTCGAATCGAACAGCGCACCTCAACCCTCCAAAGTCGTATCGAAGGACGCGACCGTGCTGAGATTGATCTTCCATGCCCGGCCCTGGCCGAGTAATAGCCTTCTCGAAGTTATGACCCCATCCTGTATTTTGTGACCCCTGAGAAATCATCTTCGTCATCGCTTCCCACATTTCAACAACCAATGTGTTGTGGACAATGAATATGTTGAGTCTGAACATGTCAGAGACATTCCCGCGGACGAAGTCGAGTAGCTTTCGTAGCGAGTTGCGGTCAATCAGAACATCGACATTGTCGAATCTGTAGTCTGGGTTCATGACCTCCATTGCTCGAAATACGACCTCGAATGGGTATTTTGGAAGTTGAAAAGTGCCCCGATCGGTAAAGTGCTCTTTGGAATCTCTTGGGATGCTGAAAGGAACTTGAGTCGAGATGAACCGTGGGGGGTCACCTGTGACAGTTAGGATCGATACCGAGTATCTACACAAGGACAACAGTTACCTGGAACATAGACGGCGGGGCTGCTTTCTTTGACCCAGCTGTAGGCACATACGAGATCGTATCCGCCGCTGCTGGTAACGGCCACATCTGATGGCGTGACCTTCGAGCTTGGTATGTTGGCCAATACTTTCCCGGTACCGCTGACTAGCCAGCGGGATAGCCTTTTTTGGCGGGCAGTAGGCTTCTTCTTGGGGGTGACATTCAGCTTCTTCTCCAAGACTTTGGCGTGGGCAAGTCGAACTCAACCCACCTTTGAAGTGCTCTCGCCATGAGGTTGAGCAGAGCCTGAGGGCGCGGCAGATTCCGTCGGGTGATCCATGAATCTTGATTCTCTTCCTCAACTGTCGTGGGTATTTTGAAGGACTGGTTAGTGAGCAGTGACCATTTCGGATGGTGCTAAAGCGTGGTTTCCAGATGGAGGAGGGGAGAGTGAGGGGTCAAAATACGCGGCTGGCTGTTGAGAGTCAGCCAACCAGCGAAGTGGTGGGCCTCCCTAGGTATCCAGCAAACAAGAAAGACTCATCTTCAGTTTGCTTGTGACGTGGTAAATTTCGCCAGTATGACAAACATACGTGTGCCTCATAGCGGGGTACTTTTTGTTTCCTTGTTATTTGCCTGAGTCGATTGCGACAATCATCAACGCTTGTGTGATGGATACATGAGGTTGAGTTGAGAGACTGGAAAACGACGCATAAATTCAATCGGCTTTTTCAGGGGCCTAAGTAATTCCAAAATTAACATTTTCCAGAGTACCTTGATAGGGGTTAGAAGCGGCACCTGTGAGTCGATCCCCGGCAAATGCAGAGTAATGTCCTATAGGCTACAAACGCACTTTGCACCGAAAGAGCCGATCGAAGATGGGTGCCGTGGCAGGGAAAAGACGCCACAGGGATGGAGCGGTGTTTGAGAGCCCATGTACAGGCTTTGCGGCTGTCTGTTAGCGCCGCAGAGGAGCTGTTTCGCAAGGATTGCATGGAGGCGGGGAGAGTATGCCGAGAACGCCAGGGTCGTGCTGACGCTGGCGCTCCAGATCCTTGAGGGTGTACCGGCAAGGGACTTTCGGCTCCCGGCTCATTTGAGAGAGTTTGGGAATTGCCATCAGGTGTCGTACGTGTCAGCGCCAAAGCGGGCGCTTGATAGTAAGCTGACGAAGCCCAGCCAATATCTGGATGAATTTACGATGCAGTTTCAGTCAAGGCGGCCGTGGGAGGTCGATTTTCTACTTGTTGTTGGTAGTTAATGGGGTGAGCAGTGCAGTATACTGACGGCATGCCCTGTTAAATCTCTCGATTCCTTAAACGGCATGGAGAGCGAATGAAGAGACATGCCTATCTCGTCTACCGCAACAATACCTATGCTACACAATAGGTACAATAGACGAAAGCTAAGATGTTGGTGGACAATGGTGTGAAACGACCGGTCAAGCCTGGCGCCCACCGTTGACCCCATTATTCCGAATAAGGAATCGCGCCACATATCGTACGGCGTAGATGCTTGATCAACTTGCGGTATAAAACCGTCAGCTCCCGGCTGCCTGATGCTTGTAAGAAATGTTTTTCTTGCACGATCCCATTGCATGATCCAAACCGCAAATCAATTTTACCACCATGACAGCAACTCCTCGATTGACACTGTCTGAAGTGACCTTGTCCCCTGTCCAAGATGATGACTTGGTCGCAATTGTAAGCCTTGACGCTATATTCGTAAATGCTCATTAATTCTGACTTTCTATTCAACAGGCTAAAGGCTACTACGAGTGTTTCGGACCATCATGGCATGATTCTGTTGAACCTCTGTCGGGGCGTCCCTCACTGGATATCCGTGTCGCTCGATTCGCCAAGCGAATGAAACCTTGGTTAACGGAGCCTGGCACGAACTGGACAAAGGCCACATTAAAAAGCAATGGTGAGATCATCGGGCACGCGGGATGGTCAGAGCCAGGGCGCCAGCCTTTGTGGAATGTCTGGCGGCATGATACGTTCCAGGGATTGGGACATGCCGAACGAGAAGGTTGGACGCCCGAAGATGTTGAAGACATGTGGTCTCACGTCGACACCGAGGCATGGAGCTCTGTCTTCACAATGTGGGACGGTGTCAGGAAGGAATTGATGGCGGCTGAACCACATTGGTGAGTATTCTACTATACCATCTTTATGATTGAGACATCTCATGTGAAAATACCAGGTATCTTGCTCCCCTTTGGGTAATGCCCAAGTACCAAGGGCGTGGAGTGGCCAGTTTGCTCCTACGACAGGTGACGGATGTTGCAGATGCACAAAGTCCACCCACGCCTGTATATTTAGAGGCCATGCCAGACGCCCGCCCCGTCTATGAGCATCATGGGTTCAAGGGCACACATCACGAGAAGACGAATTCTGTGATGATCAGACGAGGACCCAAGACGATAGTAAAGCAGTGAGGCTAACGAATTGAGGGTTCATAACTTTGGATAGGATAACTCAGCACTAAGGACTCAGTGCTTAGTACTAGAGTAGAGAAATAGTTATTTTATACTTTAGGAATTTCTTCAGCCTCAGTGGGGGGGTGGAGACTTGGACACCATTTGCATTTGTACCCTCGCTCAGAAATTCACCAGTGATCTGGGTAGTCGTCGTTGCATAGTACACAATAGCCGCTTTCTCATGCCACTTTCTGTTCTGCTATTTACCATGGGCTTCTCGGGAATACAGAGGATTTTGATGATCTGGACTCAGTTTGCTCTACTTAATAGAACCAGAGTCCCGTATCAAAGCCCTCGTAGTGCTTGATCTGCCAATAAGAGTTCAACGAAGGCCAAGTTGATCACGCCGGCCAGTGAAATGCATTCCATGATCCTAGACTACCATAGGTATCGATCAAGCTACATTACTCATCATATCAACCTCATGAGAAAAGTCGTAGTGACTTAAAGGATAATACGTAACCGAACTCTTAACTGTTTCTCGACTGCATTAATACCTTGCCAAATATCTCGGTCCATTTATTCCGATGAGGTTGGCGTGACCTCGGGCTTCCTACCCCATACAACACGCTGGTGGTAGTAGGCGTGTATGTTCTTGTTCTTCAGCTCGCGCCGCAGCTGGATGCAATACAGTACCACCTGTTCATGGGTCCAGCCGTCGAGGAGATTTGCCATAAAGGATATGTGACCTTCCACATCCGTCTCTATGCTCAGCTGTGTGAATCTCCCTATTTCCTTCAATTTCTCGTCCTTGGGCCAGTCTCCTACCGGCACTTTGGACGTCTTGGACTGGATATCAATAAACCCGGCTTCCTGTAGCCCCTTCTCCTGTAGATTTCCGGGCAATGGCGTGAAGATACGTCCCAGCTTCTTACCGCCCTCGTGGAAGAATTTTCCCCACTCTGCCAGAGCGGTACCGTCCTTGAGAGTGTCGTCGTCGCTATAGCCCATTGGGTCGCCCTCGTGGCTCTCAATCCAACCTCCCGGCTTGCACACCTGATATGCCTTCTTGAATAGGCTGTTCCAATCGGGCACACTCCCGTACAGGAACCGCATATGCACATAGTCGACCGAGTCATCTGCGAATGTCCAGTCCAACGTAAAGTCTTCAATCTCAAACTTGACGTTCGGCGGAACCCAGGATGGCTGGATCGGCGAGACATCGGTGCCCACTACCTCGACCTCGGGGAATTCGTCGCCGAAGTCTATGGCCCAAATTCCGGTGCCAGTTCCAACATCGAGGACTTTAGTGAGCCTCTCCTTGTTCAGCGGTGCAAGATATAATTTGCCGTCGAGGACAAGTGTAGAGGTGTGGTGGATGACGTCGAGCGACTCGTTGGCCTGGGCGTCGTTGGAGGCCCAGTATTGAGCGTCGCCGCGCTCGGCGTGATACGTGCGGCCGTTGATGATTCGATACTCAAGAATGCTGGAGCTTACTGAGGCGGTCGAGCTTGCGGCGCTGTCGCCGAGAGATGAGTCGGTATCGCCGGTGTCTTCGGCACCGTCAGTGTTCTAGATCATTCGTCTTAGTTCTCAATGTAGTCTGACCGCGCGTGGAGGAACGTCCAGTCACCTCCCAATGCGTCGGGGCGAGCATTGCTTGTGGGCTAGTTAGACCCTCATGTTGGTTTTCATTGTTTGCCCTCGCCTGGGCATCGGCGTTGGGAGCACGAGCGCTGTCACCCATGACGAATGCTGCTTCAAGTCTGGTTCGATACGAGGAAGAACCTAGGATTCTGTACAGAGGGAAGCACACAGGATTTTAAAAAAAAAAATGATTTCCTCGGTATTCAAGAGTCACGACCAATGCGTCGTATGATCCTTTGTTAATTTCTTGGCCAAAGGATGAATGAATCAAACCAACAAGCGCCCGGGGAGCGTAGGATCTCGTGCCGTACCATGCAAACAGACCCACCAGCAACGGTTGTTGGTGGATTTATTCCCCAAGCGAGGTCCACATCGATGAACTCCTGGTCGGACATCGATCGATGAAGGGTAAATCCTCCGCTGTTCCAGCGGGGTAGCGAACAAGGAAGAAGGGATATAAGGACAGAAAGTGGAAGGTCGATGCAGGATTGAAACATGCTCAATGCATGATCTCCTGCTCTGGGCAAGGTCCCATCCCGTTTTAGGCCAATGAAAGGCAGAAGCAGCTTGCGTTGCGATGGTTGAATGAATTCTGTGAGTTAGTACAGAACCGACTAGAGTGTGGCCTTGTTTGATTCGGGGTACGCGGAACGACACGTTGAGGCAATCGAGGGACAACCAAGAATTTAGGATACAAGTTGGAAATAACAATCAAGGATACAAGAAGTTGCTCGCACACGCGGCCTTGAAAATATCTCGTGTTTGCACCTCCTCCAAGCAAGACCCGCCGTCCCATAAGGAAGTCCATCCGTGAACAAGATTCCTGTAAGCAATCGTTAGATCACTCTACTCATCCACGAAGGAAGAACCACTAATCCTTCCATCTCGTCGTGAGTCTCATTCCACAGCAACTTCTGGACCCGTTGGCCCTCCTCAGACTTGACAAAATCGCATGGTTCAGCGACCGACATGTCTTCCAAGAACCTCCCGTGTGACTCCGAGCCAACCACTACACCAGCATTCAAGGCTATCCACCCCGCCCTTTCGGGAGACCTGGCCCTGATCGCTTTCACCATGTTCATGGGGATGCGGAGGTAGACTGGCAGCACGTCAGACATGCCTGTATTGACCATGCCAGGACAAAAGTTGTTGATGATGACCTTGTTCGCAGTGTAGTGCTTTGCCAGCTCCATCTGGAAAAGCACGCACAAAAGTTTGCTGTCCCCGTATCTCGCAAACGTGGGGATACCCTCAGCTTCGTCAAAGTGCTTCAGAAGACCTTCATCCTTCGTCAGAGGCAGCTTTGCAATCAGGCTTGTTTGCTTGTGTGCTCGGCTGCCTGTCCAAGTTACTCGAGTAGGACGGCCAGTCCTGCTAGCTGTATCCTCTAGTGTCGGAAGTAGAGCGAGAGTAAGAAGAACGTTGGACAGGTAGTTGACCTGAATGTTCTTCTCGTGGCCGTTGCTGGCGAACTCGCGGCCCAGCGTACCAATTCCAGCATTGAGCATGAGCAAATGAAGATCCGTGAATTGGGCTTTGAAAGAGGACGCAAAGTCTTGCACGCTTGGGTAGTTCTCAGTGTCGAGTTTCATGACCTTGATGGTGGCATTGGGGTTGGTTGAGCCGACGGCTGGGTCAGATATGAGAGATTGTCGAACGGTCTCTCCTTTCGAGACATTCCTCACTGCCAGTATCAGGTTCGATACTCCAAACTTGAGGAGCTGAAGAGATATCTCAAGCCCGATGCCTGCCGTCGCGCCGGTAACAACTGCGGTTTTGCCCGACAGGTCGATGCCGGAGGGCAAAGGAGGGACCGGAGGTTGGATGAAAGGCATTTTTTGGTATAATTAGAGGTGCTTGGCTGTTTCTTACTAGTGCACTTTGGTTGATGAAGTCGCAATCACTTTTGAGCTTCGACTCGGTTGCCTCTAACAAGAGCTGGGAGAAGGCATCAGCTCCAGATTATCCGCCTTCATCGTGGTATTAAATACCTGCTACGCTGTGCATGACACGGAATCAAGATTCCCAATCCCGAGTCAATTAGAAGGCCCAATTTTTCAAGGCGTTTGGACTCTGATAGCGACTACTCTCCACGATCAGGCGACGCGTGAGGCCAAACTCCACTTGCGGACTAACACCAAAACTCCGCAAGGTTTCCGCAATCCCCGCGGCTGGCAAAAGCCATGATGCAACGTGTAGTTAGATAGCGGAGACAAATCCCGGGCCATTACTAAGGATTTCTGCTATGAGAGAGCAGGAAAAGTCCCCGGGGTCACACCGAATGCCGTGTTTGTCGATCGACGCGTTGGAGTGATATGGCGGGATTGGAGCTCACGGCTCAACGTCACTTTTCAGCAGAGAACATAGCACCACAGATTCCATGGATGGCATGTTTCAACAATTTCGTACATAGACCAGTCAATTCCAAGGGTATCTGAACATCTTATCTCGGACTGCATCCTGCGTTGTACTCCTCCTCCATTATCCGTACCACACACATGCATCCTCCAAGCCTTCCAGCAACCCAAGATATCCTTTTACTCAAGCGCATTCCACCAAGCTGTACCGAACGAATCCACGCACACATGTTCATCTCAGCCTTTGAGGCCATCTCAGCGAATGGAAGGCGTTCGTAGCCAGAGTGGATACCTAACAGTCCTGGCACCGTAGTTGACATGTCCTCTTGGTGTTCATCTTGGCTAAATGGCGCTGCCTGGCGGCTGGTTGCTGCCCAGTCCCTGGTTGCCATTCAGCGGCTGGTTGTTGCCCATTCCCTGGTTGCCATTCAGCGGCTGGTTGTTGCCCATTCCCTGGTTGCCATTCAGCGGCTGGTTGCTGCCCATTCCCTGGTTCCCAATCGGCGGCTGGTTGCGGACCTGCCGAGAAGCCGTGACCTTTCTCTTGCGTGAGGTGTCTCGAAAGAAGACAAGCATCATCCCGTAAAGCTCCCACGACAGCCGTTCAATCTCTCGTCCCTGGTGCACCTCGGCGCAGTTGAGTTCGTGGCCAACCGTCCACAGCCGTTCGGCGATGTCACGGAACCTGGCCGGTTGGAAATTGTCGGGCAGCGGAACGTTGCGGCTGACAACGCACTGGTTGATGGCCTCTTGGAGACACCACTCGCTGCGCTCGGTGTCGCCCATCCGGCAGAACATCTCGTACAGCTTGTCGTTGTACTCGGAGGGCAGGACGCGGATCGTCTCGTGCGTGAGGTGCAAGAATATCTTGGGCAACAGTTCGTTCATCGGAGGCGACGGGAGCAGGAGCTTGTCCAGCCATTCTTTGTGCTCGTGGACGAAGGTGGCCGCGTTGATGGTTTCTTCGACGGCGAGAACCGGGTGACGTGTCTGGGGGACTGTCGGGTTGGTGGGCGCGCTGGGGATGGCTGCTTGCACGGCTGGTTGATTCAAGGGTGGTTGATTCATGGATGCTTGGTTCAATGCTTGGTGGAAAGCGGCTTGCTGGAAAGCGGCTTGGTTCATGGTGACCTGGCCCATGGTGACCTGGTTCATGGCGGCCTGGTTCATGGCCACTTGGTCCACGGGCGCTTGGTTAATGGCCGGTTGGTCCATGGCGGGTTGGTCCATGGCGGGTTGGTTCATGACGGCTTGGTCCATGGGCACTTGGTCCATGGGCACTTGGTTGATGGCGGCTTGCTCCATGACGACTTGGTTCATGGCGGGTTGGCTCATGGCCACTTGGCCGATGGTCGCTTGGTCCATGGGCGCTTGGTTCATCGCGGCTTGGTTCATGAGGGCTTGGTTCATGTCCATGATGGTTTGGTCGAAAGCAGCCGGGTCGGCGGGCTGCCATCCAGGGTGGAGGGGTGGTGGTGGTGGTGGTTGATCAGACATGTTGAGTGAGCCCGCGGTCGGGTGTCTCTCGTTGTGATGAGTCTGGAGTTGGTTGTGCGGCGGTGATGCTTCACGAAGGAAGGGCTTCGATGACTTTGGACGCCACCTCAGTGCACGATGTGAAGGGTCAGAAATAGCGAAGAAAAGATGGTGGAAGACGGAGATGGAAGCCGCCTGGACGCGTTGTGGTGAAGCATGGATGCGCAAACAGACAAATGTGGTGCGTTGTGAAGCGCCTCAAACAAACACCACAAGCCTGACTGTGATTCACGGACAACGAGGTCTTTCCTCACAAAATCTTTCTTCAACATAGGGTATAAAGTACCAGAATGTACACTGTCCAAAATTCCTGCAATGCCTACTACTCCATTTTATCATGGCCCATTAAAACCCAGCAAATAAAACACCGGCCCCAGCTTGTGAAAGAGTCGACGCTCTCCCTCCCTCGTCCCAAACATACCGCCGTGTTGCCAAAGAACAATTGCTTCATCCGCAACGCAGCTGCCTTAGTACTTTTGGCCCGCCCGGTACTCCTCGGCCGTCTCGTTGTGGGCGGCTAGTTCCGCCGTAAAAGTCTGTTGGCCGACTCCCGGGTTGGTGTAACCCGGCGGCGGCGGGGTGCTGGCGATGGAGTACATGCTGGCCCTCTGGTTGTCCGACAGCCCAGGGCTGGGTTGAGGGTGTGACCATCGAGGATCCGATCCTTGCGACGTGGACGAGTGGCGATAGATGTTGGGCTGGCCGGGGCTGGGCTGTGCTTGATACAGGCTTGGGGATCGCGACGAGGCCGGGTGGTAGTAGTCGCCCGGGAGCTCCATGGCGAAGGTCTGCGGAGGTCCTGTCTTCGGCGGCACCGGCGGGCCGCCGTACTGGAGCTGGGGAGGCGGCGTCGGCTGCACCTGGTACGCGTTCTGAGGGTTCTGAGGGTATTGAGACGAGCTGCCGGGCCGCGAGTACTGGGGGAACTGTGGCGACTGCTGCGGCTGCTGGTACACCAGGCCGGGGCTTCCCGGAGGAACGCCGCCGGGGGAGAAGGCGTCGGGCTGCATCGTCTGGCGGTGCAGAAGGGTCTGGGTCATGGTGTTCGACCGGTCGGCCGGGTTGAGGGTCTTGAGTCTTCCGTCCTGGAACATGGCCTTGAGGATGCCAGCGTCCAGCAGCTCAGCCTTCTTGATTATGCGCCCAATCATCTCTTTGCTGGCCTTCTTTACCTCGGCCTTGACAAAGCCCATCATGGTGATGTTGCACTTGATCTCAATGTCCTCGCGCAGGTACAGGCCGTCCTTGGGCGCGCCCAGCTCCTCCAGGCCAATCTCCGAGGCCTCGGGGGCTTCGATGCCGGGCTGGTTGCCCTGGACGCGGTAGCGGTTGCGCATGTCGACGCTCATGGGCGCGTAGATGTGCGTCTGCAGGCCCCAGGGCATGTCGTGGAAGCAGCCGTTGAAGGAGATCTTGCCGGAGCCGATCTTGCCCATGCCGGGGACGTACTGGATGCGCTCGGTGATCTCGTACCACGTCGAGTAGTACTCGTCGGCGGCGGCGTTGCGCGGGGCCGAGATGGGCTTGTGGCTGAGGACGAGCGGGTTGACGGTGATGACTTCGCTGTGGGAGTGGAGCATGTCGATGGCCAGCTGGCGCGGGATAAAGCCCGGGATGGGCGTGATGATGGTCATGGTCTCCTTTTTGCGGAGCATTTTGGCGGTTTGGGCTGGTGTTGCTCGGGTTGTGTTTCTCGGTGGGTGATGATGACGCGCTTCTTTGCGACTTGTTCTTCGGTGGCCGTCGGGTCGGGCTCGAGGGTTATATCGCGCTCTCTATCCGTTTGACCCGGGGTCGCAATCCGTAAGCAGGATCGGAGGTGCAGGGTCTGAGGTGTCGCCTCTCTCGTTATCGTCGATGTCGTCGCCGAGCCGTCATGTAGGGGCGTTGAGCAATGCGGGGGAACGGCGTCGAAAACGGAAGACAAGCAGCAAAATGCACAACAAAGCTGGGACAGGAACAAGTTTTAGTCTTAACAGAAGGGGGGGAAAACTCTAAGCCATAAAGCCATCGTCAGCCAAAATATGCGACCAGGATCATGGAATGCCGATGTGCGCTGCTTGGGCTGGTTTGGCTGGCTGGCTGCGTCTTGCTTCGCATCTGGCGCGGGGCTACCAAGCTGCTATCCCATGCTTGGCCCAGCGCCACGGGGGGCACGATGACGTGAGATAATGGGATGGACATGGGATGGGTAGGTACCTCTAGGATGGAGGCACCGGCGCAGCGCCACCTCGGCGCGTACGACTGGCGGCTGAGCCACCCGCAACTCTGGCGGCCGCGAATCAGGCCCCTGACGACCTTTTGTCTTGGCGACTGTATGCATCCTCTGCATCCTGTTCTCTCCTCTTTGGGATTGCCACGAACCTTTCCTGGTCCCGCGGCGCAGAATCGGCGTCGGCAGCGGTGTGAACGACACCGCCGGACCTGCGCTGGCTGCTCGCTGTGCCGCCCGCCGTGCCATTCCCGCCATTTCGCATTGCCGGGCTCCCTATCAACAGGGCCCCAGCGCCAGGGCCCCCCGGCCAGGTCCCCGATGCTAGGGCTGAAGAAACACAAGGGGCTGGCAGAGGATGGAGGATGACCTCGCCGGTTTCCAATCATCGCTGAATCACCTTTGGGCATTCAGGACAACCATATTTTAAGGCCGGATCTCGTAGCTTCCGGCTTCCGGGAGGATGTCGCCCGCCAAACGACTCCGCCTCGCTGTCGCACGCTCTGTCAAACAAACGCGCTGGCCCGTGGAATGGGGAATCCACCCCCCGTGGACGGCTCGCTGGTGTTCCGGTAGGCGCTGCAGTGCGCTACTTAACCCGCTATTTTATACGGGCGTGGCAGTGGCGAGGCCTCCCCGTCGCGCGCGCTCCCTCGCTCGCTCGGCTGGAGCCGATCTTCCCGGCGAAACTTTTGTGCTTGGACGCGTACTTTGCTGATCGCCCATTCCAAACCGGGATCGCCCAGATGCATACGTCAACCTCGACGCTGTGCGGGGGAGCATTGCGTCGTCTATTCCGAGTTGGAGGGTCGTTGCAGTCAATCGCCGCTCCACACGACCTACCCTACACCGAAGCTGCCGTACGCACGAGCTTCCGTCCATCCATCCATCTCTTCTCTCGGGGAGTCGCAGGTGCCTCAGATTCATATGACCGAGGATATCATTCGACTGTTATCTGCATTACCCAGTGTCTATTCCAAATGTCTAGAGCTCCCTAGGCTATGTGCCACGTTACCAATTACTCACCAATACCCCGATCTTTCGCCTCCTCGCCGTCTCTCTATGCTGATAAATCACTCCAATTGTAGGGTGGTATTCTACCTATCGTGCATGCTTAGGCCATATTCGAGACCGAAAACCACAAGGTTCTACCCGTCGGAACTTACTCACACCATCCATCCCCTATGCATCAGATACCTCCGGCTTCTTCCCCACCATCAGGTACATGGGCGTAAACAACTTCTGCTTGCCGCCCTCCACCAGTGCGTCCGCCGCAGTCGACAAGCTCTCGGCCGTCTTCCTCGTTCCCGCTGGTGCGAGTCGAACAGCCTCCATGACACTGAAGATGTTGTGCATCACCAGCCGGCCCCACTTGTTCATCCGCATCACCGTCACCAGGTCGCCCAGCGTCTGCACATATCTCACGTTGCTGTCGAGGGGCCAGTACCACGGAGCCGCGCTGTCCTTGTCGTCCGCCAGGTCCTCGTTAATCTCTAGCTCGAATCCAGCGTCTTTCATGGCGGCGATGCCGTGGGAAATCTTGAACATCTGAGCAATACCGTCGCCCTGCTCAATGTCGAGGCGGATTCGGCGATGGTCAAGTCTGTCGTTGTCGTACGCCTCGGTCATCAACCACTCGTAGACACCAAACTTGCCGCCCGGCTTCAAAACACGGAAAATTTCACTGTAGACATCCTTGAGCGAGGGGGCATGTACAGTCGCTTCGATTGCGTAGACGGCGTCGAACGAGTTATCGGGGAACGGGATTCCCTAAAGCAGAACCTGATTAGATTCTCGCTGCGCTCCACAAAGCTCTTTTCTATGAGAGACGTACCATAAAGTTCCCCTGAACAAACTTGAGCTTGTAGGATAGCCTTTCCTGCTCTGCGTAGATGGTTGCTCGCGAAACTTGGTATTCATTGAGATTCAGCCCGGTGACGTGGGCGCCAGTGAACTTGACAATCTCTCGGGCCGGACCGCCGACACCACAGCCAACATCGAGAACCTTCATGTCTGGCTTGATGTCGATGCTGTGTGCGAGGTAGTGTTCGTGGCGGGCTATGGCGCGGTGGAAGGTCTCGCCGTAGGCAAACCGGCAGAAGTGAAAGCACTGACTCCACCCGTACTCGTAGAAATCCGTGGCGAGGTTGTAGTATCTAGATCGTCAGCACAACCAGTAGAAGGGAATGGAGAGGAACTAAACACACTGTCGGGTAAGGCTTGCGTAGTTGTCCGTTCGTTCTTGTCGGGTGCCTTCGTCCTCGTCCTCGGCCTTCTTGTTGTCCCAATGTTGGAAATACTCGTCCACAGCGGCAACGTGCGCGGCGTTGTCCTTCTTCATCATGGCACTGATTCCGCCCTTGGCATCTTTCGACTGCTTGTGGAGGACCTTGTCGAAGGCTGAGTTCTTGGCCTCATCGTAGGAGATAAGTTGCTTGCTCGACATGTTGAATGGCTTCGCTTGACGCTCTTTGGAAAGACAGAGATGGTTCGAAAAGATGAGGGGATAGAGAAGATGATGGGATAGAGAAGCAATAGAGAATTGATTGAGGTGATGAGGAGAAAACCCTTCAAGGAGGCAACGGCCCTTTAAATACGAGTGTCTTGTTAAAGGGGCTGGACTTGGGAGAGAGTTGCCCCAACTGCATGACGGTCGCTTAGCGAATACCAATTGCTATCTTGCGTACATCATCCCCGAGGTTGCAGACTAGTTCCTTCAACCAAGCCTTCATTATGTGTAAGCTCGCCTCTAAGGACCTGAATGCGAAAACGAACAAGAGCCATGGCTGGCTTTCTTGGTGTTGTTCAAACGTGCTGAGCGACCGGGCTGGTACGAATACGAGACCCACATTCCCCCAACCCGAATGCGAGCCCACATCAACGTCGGGTCTTGGGACGATACAATGCCTGCAATTTCAGCGTTCCACAGATAAAAGAGCGCGGGATAATACCTTCAGGACTAAACGAGGTAGCAATGGATCTGTGAATCTCATGGAGTAGCCATTTACCCGTTAAACCGCCACTGAGATCCTTATGTTGGACAACCCCATCTGCATCTGCCCGCCCCCTAGATTATCGAGATGGTCGAATGAATCTCCCTGTAGCGGCGAGATGAAGTAGGGATTTGGGGCACGGCTTACTCCACGGCCGCAAGGGTCCCTTCAAACGTGGGACTGGATGTCAGTACCCTCTCGGCCTCGTATCGACTCTAGTACTGAACCCGAGACGGCGTCGTGGTGCATTTCACTTGGCTATCCAGCATCATGCATGCTTTATGTTCCTATCTGCATCACTTGCATAGCTGTCCCGGTCCTGGCTGTTGACCGGTGTGAGTTGATCCCACAGTCCATTCCTTGCTCTCCAGCACTTGGACGTCTCGACCAGTTTAAACCACTGTAAGGTGGACAAGGCGCATAATCTATGATTTAACGGCGAGTCAGACGATGACCTCCGTACATTTTCTCCAAAGGGTACCCATTGGATATGGGAACATTCTGCCGTCGTGAGTGGGCTGCATACTCCACTAAACCCACGGCACTCCCCTGAACTTGATCGAAATGTCTCCATTTCTGCAGGGTATTTCCCTTGCGGCGATTCCATACGCATGGTTATTTCAAGAAAATATTCTCCCAGGTAGTGCCAGTGCGTTTCAGCTCTGGGACATGCGCTCAAATCTCTCAATTGGACGGTGGGCCCCTGTTACGCCCCCTTGCGAAGTTGCGATTCGTTTGTACATTAACGAAACACACCCACGTAAAAGCGCAATCCTTTCCTTGAGCCCACCAGACCCATATGAAGACCTTAAAAGCCAGCGGACTCTCCTCATTGGCATTTAAATCGTCCCTGACTCCTGACTCTTCAGCACCGGTTGTGGTTGGACTATCCCGCTCCGCTACAATTTCGAGCCTCGTCAATGGGTATTAGGATTGAGGCAGCCATCCTGGACGGTATCGGATCCGATGGGACTGTTAGCCTTAATTAAAATGAGTATTGCTATTCGCATACGTTCAAAATGCTAATCGCACATACATACAACCTTTTACATCTAAACTTAGATAGTATTAGGTATAGCTGGACTGCACGCTCGTCTTAAGGAATTTTATTCTGAAGAGTCTTTAGTTTTTACTCTAAAATAAGATAAAAAAATGAAAATTAAATAGTAGAACTTAGAGAATAAATACTTAAAATAAAGCTTATTTAATTTTCTTAGGTTTAATATACTAATAGGTATATTATTAAGACTTAAATTAGCCTATATACTGAAGTATGCGAGTAGTGTTTTAAGTGTGTGCAAATAGCAATACTCATTAAAATGAGGCAGGTCTAACACTGGGCGAGGTTCAGGAATTTCCTCTTACGGATGACTTGTCCTCACCCAGGTTGGCATTCGTCTTGATCAGATCACTGTCCAGCGACTCCCAGCTCGTATAACAGCCTTAGAAAATTCCCACAGTTTCAATGGTGATCAGTAACGTCCAATAAATCACCATGTTCGGTAGATTTGCGGTCGTACAACACTCTGAGAAGATCGCTGGCTGCCCCGGTGTTAACTGGACTATCGAATCTGGAAATACAGAAGCCGATTGTGAACTTGTTGGCAAAATATCCAGTACTATCAGGCTCGTGGAATCGGGCTTGCCTCTCCTTCCCAACCAATCTCTAATCCTCGATGACTAGATAATGTGGCGGTCAAGCACTTAGACAAAGAACATACTCACCAAGCAGTAAACAATCTCCTAGCAAATCCCTTGACATACGAGCAGCCTTCATGTCTTCTTTTACGTATGGCTTGTCTCATGGAACAAAGTGATGTGCCTAAGTAGATCGGTAAGGCAAGAGATAAGTGTCGCAAAATCTGGGGGGCTGGACCAGCGGAAAGGGATGAGGGCGTGTCAAAGTGCTGTGCATGGTTACATCGAAAGACCGGCGGGGGATTGCTACACATCTAAACGGACAGGTATCCGAGACCAGGAATGTAGAGTGATTGACCCGTAGTCCGTTGTTGATAGATCCTAGGGTAAGTTGGCGTATTTTATTCCCCGAGCCCCGGTGCTCAATTAAAGATGTCTGTTCAGCCACTCCTACGAGCCGAGCCTTGCTGAACCCATTGTCCGCTTTCCGCGTGTGACCTTGAGGCGGTGGTGGCAGTAGTAATGGCAAGCTGAATGTTCGGCTCCTGTTACCGACCCGGTAGGCATCTGTTGATACGCATCGCCGTCCACGGCGTTGGGAATTCTTCCGCAGTCAGAACAATGGCTACTTACATCTCCACCCCCACCTCCATATCCGCCTCCACCTCCACCTTCAGCCGGAACCCATCTGATCTCCGGGGGACGTCGTTCGCTGCACTCTCCGAGATCCTTTCCGTGGCCTGGCAACAACGCAAACCGAACGCGCCAGTGTCAATTGGGATCCGAGACCTCCCATTGACCAATCAACGGGCCAGAGTCAATCTTGACCAGCCGAACCTCCCCCGCAGTTTTGCTAGGGTGGTGGAGCTGCCGAACCGATCGGACAGGGATGGCTCGGTTGGGGAACCGAGCCACGACGTATAAGAATATGATTTTCTTCAGCAAAAAAGGCCTCCTTCAAGCGCTTACTTGTTCTCGACAGCCTTGCCAAGTCGGACCTTCAGTCTCCCCAGAGGCTCGCTGTCCAACTGTATCATGGCGACCGACTTGGACACGAAGCAGCCCTCGGCTGAGATGCTCGAGGATATCGAGAAGCCCTCGGCTCATCAGGAGGGCTACGTGGAGGGCAACGCGCTGCTCGTCGACAAGCATGGCAACGTCCGAAAAGTCCCAGTGCCTTCCAGCAACCCTAATGACCCTCTCAACTTCAAGACCTGGGAGAAGTGGGCAGTCATCCTCACATGCTGTTGGTTTTGTACGTCACCAGCCACTGCCGCTCGGAAGACGACAACTAACAATTTCGCAGCCGTCATGAGCTTGGCTCTTGCAGGCGGCCTCGGTGCAATCTTGAACGTCTTTTTTGCAATTTACTCTCCCCAGGGCTATAAGCCAGCAGATATTGCTTTCCTCTTGACCCTTCCGTCTCTTTGTATTGGTCTGGGTAAGTTGCGAAGTCAAACGAGATAAAGAAACCTGCTAATCACGGTGGATGCAGGCAATTTCATTATCCTGCCGGTATCTCTCGCATTCGGCCGACGACCTGTCTTCCTGATCTCAACAATCATCCTACTCGCAGCCACGATCGGCTCCGCGGTTCAGAATAGCTACAATGGCCATCTTGCGAGCCGAGTCATCCAAGGACTCGCTACAGGTGCCTCCGAGTCACTACTTCCACTCATGCTCACGGAAGTGACATATCTGCATGAGCGCGGTCGCGTATTTGGTCTGTACTGGACGATCCAGAACATTCTTAGCAGTACTCTGAACCTGGCAAGCAGCTACGAGGCTGCTGCCCTTGGATGGAGATGGTACTACTGGATCTTTGTCATCGCCATCGCTGTTGGATTGGTTCTTGCGGTCCTGTTCGGCTTCGAGACGCGATTCGCCCGACCTGCTGTCAACCTGGACGGCCGCGTTATTATGACTGACGACTTTGGTGTTACTCACATCATTCCCGACAACGAGGCCCAAGAATATCTCGAACAACATGGAATTGAACCCCAGCCCGATGAGGTCGATGTACCCAAGAAATCATACATGCAAATGTTGAAGCCTTGGTCGGAGCCCCACCCAACTCCTGGAAAGATGATTGTCCTCTCATGGCTTCGCATGGCCCAGAGCATGACTTCGCCCGCCATACTCTATGTGGTTCTAGCTAGCTCCATTACCCTTGGATGTGTCGTCGGTATTTCCCTGACATACGATACTGTGCTCCAACAGTACGGGTGGAAACCGCAAGATGTTGGCCTGATCAACCTGGGCGGTGTTGTCGGTGGCCTCCTCGGTGCTGCCTATTGCACTCTGCTTGGAGAGCCATTCGTGCTGTGGATGGCCAAGCGCCACCATGGAATTCACAAACCCGAGCATCGATTAATCGTACTCATCCCTATGGCACTCCTTGGTTTCGCTATGCTGCTCCTGTATGGATTCATGGCAACCGCGGCCTTTGAAGGTGGCGGCTCCTCTTGGGGTGCTGTGATTAGTTGGACACTCTTCCAAATCACCTTCACCAGCGTGTTGATCATCAGCACCACCTTTGCCTCAGAAGCTAGCCCGAAGCACCCCGGTCCAGCCTTGGTCATGGTGGTGGGCACCAAGAATATTGTGTCCTTTGGAGTGGCTTTTGGCATGACGCCTATGGTCGCGCAGGGAGGCTATACCTGGACGTTTGGGGTTTTATCGGGTATTTTTGGGGCTATCTTTATTCTGGGCGTGCCTGTATACATCCTGAACCCCATTTGGCGACGATATGCGACGCGTAGAGAGGAGAGAAGCGGAGTCACCACCACTGATTGAGTTGCAACAGAGTAGCTGTAGCATGAATACACGCTGGATGAACTTGAAATTCTCCCTTGTGACCAAACGTTCGATGTAAATGAATAAATTAGCGAAAAATCGGTTCAAATCATGCCACGATGGTTCATGATACTAAAAAAGGTGTGATAGTGCAACAAGTTCGCTCCCTTGTCATCTGTTTCCTACGATGGATACTTCAGGAAACAAAATTTAAGACATACTGAGTGATATCTAGCTAGTCATCGTGTGAAAGGACCCAGAACAAGAAGTAGGGAATAATTCATGACTGTGATTTCAGACTCCTGAGTGTATGGATGAGCCATCCCCCTCCCCATCGGCGCAGAGGTTCTCCCCCCGGCTCCGGGGCCCCACACTACCTGCTACAACTCTAGCCCCGAACCGAGCTCTCGGAATGATTGTAATGCGTTCAATAGCTAAAAGATGCGGGGTGGAGAGGAGGCATCTCATGATGCCTATAAACAGGAGCAAATCTTGCTCAGAATGCTCTGATGTATCTGGAACTATATCAGAGCCAAACTTGGAAATTTACACATTCTCTCATACTTACCGAAACATCAAACCTGAAATCATGGCCTCGGAAAATTCTATTGCAGCACTCGAGGCCCGAGTCGTGGCTGCCGAACGCCTGGCACAGCGTGTAAGTACTGGGCCTACGGTAAATATTGTAAACAAGGAGTATTCACCTCATAACTAGGCTTACGACCGTGGTGCGGTCGAGAATGTCTTTAGCAAGTACATGCACCTCCACAACGTATTTGAGGATGAACAGATCAAACCGCTCTGGGTCAAGAAGGGCACTGAAGGAATTCATGCTCAGTACACCAATGTGGGTGTATACACGGACTATGATAGCGTCATGGCCTATCATAGTGGACGTCCATCACCGGCAGGCAAGCTGATTCTCCATGAAACCACAACCCCTCTCATCGAGGTTGCAGAGGATGGTGAAACAGCCAAAGGATTCTGGCTCATGGCGGGTGTTGAGAGCGGCTTGTCTGACCCATCCAACGTCGGCGCTATGCCCGAGTTTCTGTATGAGCCCGAGGACAAGAACGTCGACGGAAAACGAGTTTGGACCCATTGGGTGTGGTGCCAGTACGCCCTTGACTTCTTAAAGCAGGATGGCGAGTGGAAGATTTGGCACTTCCGCTGCCTGGAGGTGACTCGCGCTCCGTTCAGCGAGAACTGGATTACGTTCGCCAATAAGAACCAGATCGCATTTGATAAGGTGCCTAGTTGTCTGATTCTTGGAAACAACGGTTGTTAATCAGAAATTAGGACCTGGCCTATTTTGGAAAGAACGGCAAGGCAGTTTTCATGCCTACTCCGGATGAAGCCGCGAAGAAGGTGAGTAAACGGTCCATTTCTCTGGTGTAAATGCAGAACTGACTGACGCCCTTAGATTGCTGATGTCTACGGCCCAAACCGAGCTCGAAAGCTCGATGTACCCCTTCCGTCCCCGTACAAGACGTTTGCGGACGTTGAAGAATATTGAGTCCTGGAAACAGTTAGGAAGGATTATGAGCGTGTCAGCAATTTCATCATTATCATATTAAGTAGCTTTAGTTAACCTGCCGTGGCCCGAATGTGCATGTTCACTGCCTATCTCAGAATGAAGTTAAACCTTAGTCTTGCTAAAGTTGACGATAGGTGTGACATGGGCTGACACTGGGTTTGTCTGAGTAGTCGTGCCTGAATAGTCAATTCTGTAAAAATTACAGCTGAGCACAATACAACCCACTACCCTGAAGCAATAATCACCGAGCGAGGGAGTGCCATGTACCATTGAAAGGAAATCCGAACAAACGTTTACATGATCTCAGTACAGGTCTATCCTATGAACAGCTTACGCTGTAGCGACTTCCTGAATGGTCTTGTAAAACTGCGCCGGGTCATGCGCAAACCTCCCCAAGAACAACCCATCCACACCATCTTTCAACTTCTGGAACAGCCCTGGCCCTGCACTTCCGCCGTAAAGAATCCTGGTTGTGCCACTTCGCTTCTGTATGCACTCGAGTTGTCGGATTGCAGACGTGACTTCGACGACATAGCCAACTTCGGCGGGCTGCGACGCGCCGATGGCCCATACCGGCTCATATGCAAGGATGACCTCAGCATCATCCGGCACTGCCGCCAAAACAGACTCAACCTGGCAACGGCACTCGTCCACGGCTGAGATGGACGTCTCGCCACGCATCTTCTCGCCGATGCACACCAGTGGCATCATCCCGTTTCGCGTAGTAGCCGCGGCCTTCTTCGCGGTGATCTCGTCTGTCTCCCCAAACAAACGCCGCCGTTCAGCGTGTCCCACTTCAACGAGACGGCAGCCAACTTCAGCCAGCACAGCTGGTGACACTTCACCGGTATATGCGCCTGTGTCCTCGTGGAAAGTATCTTGTGCGCCACACCAGATCTTCTTGCCTTGGACCTTGTTGATCACTGAAACAAGGGTGACGTGGTCTGGGACGATGAAGACATCGACATGGTCCAATGGCGTTGCGTCCGAGTCGGAGAGGAGCTGAAGGAGTTGGTCGACGTATTGGCCTGTCCGGGATGCGGAAAAGTACATCTTGGTCGAGACACCGACAATGCGGCGCTGCGACCGACGTGGAGAAGCCATTGGTTCGTGAAATATCCGCAAATCGATGGAATATCCGTAAAGAGACAATCCAGATAAGGCTCCGAGAAGATTGAAGTGCCGGAGGGGTAAGATGCAGTATTCCGGGTCACGAATCGTGAGCCGACACGGAGGAGTGCTTCTGCCACGGACGACCCGAAGTTCCAGCCGAGCACCGGGTTCGGAGCCGAGTAAATTGCAAGGGCTCGGTCTAGATTCTCTAGATTCTCTCTCAGTTATCGATTTTGTGGATTTTATTTGGGACTCTCTTTTCCGTCGAGCGAAACATGCCGTTTCTGGCCTTCCTTGCAGGATAAGTATCCAGCGACTGCCGAGCCGGACTTCCCAAATAGGAAATCCGGCGAGGGGCGCTTAAGTAACTTACACTGCGACCTGCTCAACTCGGTTGTCGTAACCATTGTCCACATGATCAAATATTGGATGCGTGACGTGGAAGAGAAATTGGAGTCTTTTCTATTGAATGACTACGATACGGATATGCCGTTGGTCCATTCCTCCAACCCCGGTTCCGATCCCGGTCCCCAGCAATCCAACGTGTCACTTCACACCTACGCCGCCCAGACCTTGACGGCCAAGGCCATCGGTGCCTCCGGACGATCCTTTGGCTTATGCTGCAGCACTAACCGGAGAATGTTTAGCGCTTGAGAGCCGAGGAAGAGAGGCATCTTCAACCGTTGCGCTTCATTGACCGCCTCGTGAAGCTCTTGGGTGAGGGCCGCCAGCCCGTCTACTACCACCGGTGGCTCACCTCTCAGGATCTTTATCATGTCGCCTCCAAAAGTCTTGAGCATGGTGCTGCCACCTGCAGCGTTGATGCATAGATCGAAAACCTGGTCAAGATCGAGACCGACCTTGTGCGCAAAGGTGAGGGCCTCGGCAGCTGCGCAGAGGTGGATGCCCTTCAACAGACTGATAACCAGCTTCAGTTTCGCATCCTTGGTCTCGGCTTGTCCCTTCACGGGTCCAACCTTGCCCTTTCCTTCGGTATACACTCGAATGAGACTGGCATCATCGTCAGATCCAAAGCCTCTTCCGAGCCCTGTAAAGTATCCCTGCTCGGCAGTGCTGGTCATGGGTGTCGGGAAGCCGTAGCGCCTAGCTTCTGAAGTGATGATGCTAGTGTCCTTCAGGATGATCGTAACTGCACTGGCAACGGGCTGAAACTCGGGATGGAGCATGCGTGGCATGCGATTCTCCAACATCCAGCTCCACCCTTCTGATGCGATCAGCGCCTTGCTAGTCTCCGTCAAGTCCAGGCCCAGGTGGGCTGCGAAACCCATACTCTCGTTCGAGGAAAGGATCTGGTTGGCGGCGAGGACTTGGTGGCACATCTTCATATTGCTGCCGGCGCCGACACCACCATTAACAATGTAGAGCTTTTCCGGATCCGACATGGCTTGGAGGAGGTCACGTCCCTTTGCGATAGCCTCATCTGCTGCTCCGGCCATGATGGAGAGGGTTCCATCGGCGGCTCGGATTGCCCCGCCAGACACGGGGCAATCGACAAGCAGAATATCTGGACGACCGCTGTTCTTAATTTGCTGGGCTAGCTCCTGGACATAGCCGCAAGCTACTGTTGAGCACAGCAGAAGAACAGCATCCTTGGCGAGTGCGGGGACTGCTGGATTGGAGCCTTCGAGGAGCACCTCCTGCGCCTGCTGAGCCGTCGCAACCATGCACACGCAGTATTCCTTGCCCTGAACAGCCTCAGCCGGTGTTGATGAGATGATACCACCGGCTTGCTGGAATCTTTCAAGTGTCGGGGGCCAGACGTCGAAGCCGGTAACTGGGTAGCCTTGCTTGACAAGTTGGGTGGCCATGCCGAAGCCCATGGCTCCCAGGCCGATGAAGGCAACGGGCGCCTTTGCTTCAGCCATTTTTCTTATGATAGCGTATAATTGAGGGTGGATTGTTTGTTCCAAGACGATTTTGAGACAGGAGTGTCAGATTATTCGAGAACTGGAACCATGATGAACCATGTTGCAACTTGGCGGGCGAGTATATATCGCAATAGCGTACGGCCAACTCCGGTATCGCATTATCCGACAGGCTGGTTTCCCTGTAACGGACGCATTTTAAGCCCCCACAAGGAAGGGAAACTACCTAGCGAGGAGCTCAACTCATGGTTAGGACGGCTATTACTGTCATGACAGCACGGGGGTGGAGGCCGAACCGACCCGTTACGCGAAAGCCAGCTGCTCCTCCACCACTAAACTGGATGGCGATGCGGAGCTCCACGGCCCACCCACCCCTCTTCTCCCCCGCGAGCTGCAATGCTCCCCACGGGATCCACATTGAATTGAGCCGACCCGGGATGTTTTCCGAAGCCGTTGCAGGTCTCCGGGAGAATGCTGGCCGAAATGCTGCCCGAGTGTGACGTGGGTGGGCGAGGAAGATGGCGGGGTTGTTGATCATGCTGTCCAGCGAAGAAGAGGCATATGGCTTCGTTGTGTCCTTGATGTGATCTTGATTTTCTAGTTCGGGGCTGTAATTCACAAGTCAAATCAGAGGGAAGTCTCAATCTATCAATTCAAGTTCAAACAGCAACAAACCGACAACATGGCGCGACCCGATTTGTCCAACAACAAGACGATGCAAATCCTCAACGCCGCTCGTGCGGGAGGGTACGCAGTGCCTGGAATGTGCTGCTACAACCTCGAGGCGATCATGGCCACCGTCAGAGCAGCCGAGGCGGCCAATTCTCCCGCCATGGTCCTCCTCTTCCCCTGGGCCATGACATACGCCGGAACGACGCTGGTGCGGGCCGCCGCCGATGCGTGCCGCAACGCAAAGGTGCCCGTGTCGCTACATCTCGATCACTGCCAGACCCCAGAGATGGTGCGAGAGGCGGCGGATATTGAGAACGGCTTCGACAGCATCATGTGTGACATGAGCCACTACGAGCGCGAGGAGAATCTGGCTCTGACGCGTGAGCTGGTGGATTACTGCCACGAGCGGGGGATCGCCACCGAGGCAGAACCTGGCCGCATCGAGGGCGGCGAGGATGGTGTTGCTGAGACGGCGGACCTGGAGGGCGTCCTGACGACTCCAGAGCAAGCCATCGAGTTTGTCGACACAGGAATCGAGCTGCTGGCGCCAGCCTTTGGCAACGTCCACGGCGAGTACGGACCTCGCGGGATCCGGCTCGAGTACGACCGCCTGGAGAAGGTCAACGCGACCGTCGGGGACCGCGTGCACCTGGTCCTCCACGGCGCGGATCCCTTCGACGAGGCCATCTTCCAGCGCTGCATCAGGGCGGGCGTGACCAAGATCAACATCAACAAGGGCATGAACAAGCACTATGCGCGCGTGCAGGAGGAGATGCGGGGGAAGCCGCTGACGAGTGTAATCGAGGCCGGGACAATGGCCATGCAGAAGGCGATTGAGGAGTACATGGTTTGGCTTGGATGTGCTGGCAAGGCTTGAATAGCAGCTTGAATATAGCTTAGATTGATACTTGGATTAGTCGCATTCCGTTCAAATTGAATAGGGTTAGTCCACTTAGACACGAAAGGCAGAGCAGGAATTCAACATGTAGAATAGTGTATCAAATCAAATCGCAGTCTAACAAAGAAATAATTACATGGCCTCCTTCAATCCCGCGACCGCGACCATCGCAGCCCAAGCACCAGGGTCTGGAGGCAACTCCTTGCCAGTGACGAGCCCACCGACATACGTCGCCCGTCCCAACCGCGGCGTCATCGTCTTGGTCGCCTCGGCGCCCTTGATGGCAGCCTCGACCGCATCGTCAAAGCTCCCGCTGCCCATGGCCTCTGCAAACGGGATGAGCGTGTCCATCACCGTCCGGTCTCCCACCTTGGCCGGCGTGTACCGCCTCAAGTTGCCCAGAGCGGACGAGAGCGCAATGGCCCAGAGCATCACTGGGCCTTGGGTTGTGGCCAGCTGGTAGTTGTTCTCGATGGCTGTTCGCAGGGAGACGAATAGGATCCCCAGGATGCCTCCGAGCGTGCCCCCCATCTTGCTCTCGACGATGTCCTCGAGGGTGGTGAGAACCCTGTTGATGGACCCAGACGCGGCGATCTTCTCATCATCCAGCGCAGCGAGCAGCAGGGATGCCCCGGTTTTGACTGTTTCCCCACAGTCGCCGTCGCCCATTTCGGTATCCCACTTCGTTAGCTCCGGCTCCACGGCCACGAGAGCATTGCAGGCAGTGCGGACTACCGCTTCGAGAGTCTTGGGGTCGACGATCAGGTCCTTGGACGACGTGGCCTTCTTCAACTCGACGGGGGCTTGGACGAATTGCTCTCTGCGTGCTCTGCGTTGCGGCTGAGACTGTGCGCCGGCCATCGACTCCCAGCATGTGTCGGTCTTCATGTCCATGAATCCCTTGAGCTGCTCCGCCGAGTAGGAGCAGTTCTTGGCGGCCTGGGTGACGTTGACGACTGAGATCGAGAACGCAGGGGCGTTGAGCGAGGTTTCGATGAAGCCGCTGTACACTCTAGCGGGGGCCATGTTCCATTCGGTGTCGAGTTGTCCAAGGAGCTCATCCACGAGCGCCCCCATTTCGAGGAACGACATGCCGCCAAAGTTGCTGACAAGCAATATCGTTTCATCCCCGGGCTGGAAGTGGACGTATCCGCGGTCGGGATCCTCCTCGTCCAGGCAATACTGGAGGATTTGGCTCACCAGCTCTGGCGGCGAGGGCCGAGGGGAGAGTTTCTTGTAGCCCGGCTCGTTGTGCGGACCGGTCCCGATCTCGACCTCGTCGTCGCCAAGCATGCCATGTTCAGTGCGGCCGGGTACGTGGCAGTGGTCGAGAGTCACCGCGATGGAGACGATTTGGTGCGAAAAGGCCACACCGAGGTCGTACACGTCGTCGAGGGAGCCGCCTTGTGCCGCCGCACCGCCCATGACTTTGAGCACGCCAACCTGGCCTGCCAGACCACGGCGACCGACGAGTCCGCCCTTGTTGCCCACGGAGACATCGTCGCCGCAGATGATCATGCGGCTGTTGTGTCCGTTGGCAATGGCCTTCTCGTTGGCCAGGCCAAAGTGCAGACAGTCGCCGGTGTAGTTGGTGACGACGAGGATGGTGCCCACGTCCGAGGGAACCTCGTCGATGGCCGCGAGGATCTGCCTGGTGCTCGGGCTGGCGAAGATGTCACCCGCAACCGACGCAGCCAGCATGTTGTTTCCAACATAGCCGGCCCAGGCAGGCTCGTGGCCGGAACCGCCGCCGCTGATGATGCTGACTTTGGAGCGGTCGTAGGCTGTGTTGAAGACGACGCGGTTGGTCTCGTCCAGACTCAACGCTGGGTTGTATGCAATCAGGCCCCGAAGAGACTTGACAACAAGTCCTTCCGGGGAGTCAAAAAGATGGCGCTTCGACATGGCTTCTAGTATCAAAAGACTCTGGTATCAAAAGAAAGCGAAAAAATGATCTGTGTCTCTAATTCCTGGTCTCTAACCGCTCTTCTTCACTCAACTGCCGAGCGACCACAGTGCCTTTTAGGGAAAACTGGTCACGCCCACATTCAATTGGTGAGAGACTAATTTATCCATATTACCCAATGCATTCATGTTCGCATCTTGCATCCGATGCCACTTCACGCATGCCGGCTTCCTTGAAGAGGCAGATCCGACCCGGGGGGTGGGTGCCACTAAGACCGGAGTTCCGTATATGGACGTGGGCCGAACCGAGCGCCAGCAATATGACCCCGAGGCCAGCCGCCTGAGTGCGACGCCGCGGAGTCGAGCTCACGATAACTGCATTGAACGGGAATCAGCGACTTTTTGTTGAGATTAGGTTTAAATTTTCTGTTCCAGGATTAGGTCATTTCTTCTTCCTGAGACGCTGTTCGCCTCTTCTTCTCTTTCTTATCTTTACATTAACTAGAGTCAACCATACTCCCTTCTACCATCACATTCACCTCTCCTCCGCATAAACAAAAATGGCCACGCCTAAATGGAAAATCGCAATAGGCTGCGATGTAACCCATTCCCTCCTCCCTCTTGTCCTTAGAGTTGCTAACCCATCCGTCCCTTCTAGGAAGCCGGTGTTGGCTACAAGGACGCCATCAAGGCCGACTTCGAGAAAGACGAGCGTGTCGAACTAGTCGAAGACGTCGGCAGCCACGGCCGCGACGACAAGACAGCATACCCTCTCCGCGCCGCCGCCGCAGCGAAGCTTGTCGCAGACGGGACCGTCGATCGAGCCGTGTTGATATGTGGAACGGGACTGGGCGTCGCCATCGCCGCGAACAAGGTCAAGGGCGTGCGCGCTGTGACGGCCCACGACAGCTTCTCTGTCGAGCGGGCTGTGTTGAGCAACAATGCCCAGGTCTTGTGTCTTGGCGAGCGGGTTGTGGGACTTGAGCTGGCGAGGAGGTTGGCCAAAGAGTGGTTGGGCTATGTCTTTGACCATACGAGTGCGAGTGCAGCAAAGGTCCAGGCCATCACGAATCTAGAGAATGAATAAGGATTGAGAGGCTTCATTATTATCGAATTCCGCGCTACAATTCTGCACACCGACATTGCCGGTCTTTAACAATTGCATTTGTGTGTTATTCCCGATACCGATATTTGTGCAGGTGTAATCCACTCTACAGGGCGGTTTGTGCTAAGCCTCATCTGAGATTGGCGATACCCTCATCCATCTTAGCTCTGCGGGGGAGTCGCCCATTCAAGCCAGGCACGTGGTGGCTGAGCAAACGACTCGTAACATTTTCGCGATATCTCATATATCCCCGGCCGACTTTCAGCTCTTCATGGTTCTTCACACAGCAATCTCGTACCTAGGCTCCAGTGATTCGGAACGTTGCCCAGGACGACAGCTTCACGACTTTTAGGCAACCATTTAGTGCCTGACGATATAAGACTTCCGATATTCTTTCTGTACTGCTAGATTCAACCACTCACAAGATAACCACAAACCCAAACTTGACTCAATTGCATCATTTACAATGACATTCGACATAAACTCTGTGCCCGACTTCGACGCCCTTCCCAAGGTCGAAGGGATGCCACAAGGCTGCGCCTGGGGCATCTTTGACCGCGATGGAAAGAAGGACATGGTCGGAACTCTGAACTTCTTGACCCCGGAGGTTGTGAAAGCCGCGGCTGGCGAAGTGAAAGACGGTGTATCGATCTCACTCAAGTAAGTGTATGCGCAACCTAGGAGGCCAGAGATGCTGACTCCCTTTAGCTGGCCCTTGAATGCCATGAACAAACTGCCCGCCATAGGAAGAAAGCAGTCCCAGCACAAGGTGCTCTATATCCCCGAAGCCATGTCTGCTCTTCCATTCGAGCAAGGCAAATCGTGGGACGACGAGCTGGAGTTCAACACCCAGGGTAGCAGCCAGTGGGACAGTCTCTGCCACTTCCAGCATCAGCCAACCGGCCTCGCTTACAACGGAGCCAACCCAACCGTGGAGGCTCTTTCAGTGGAGTCGACTGATGCAAACACCATGCCCACGCTGGACCACTGGCATGCCCGGGGCTGCATCGCCGGTCGAGGCGTTCTGCTCGACTTCAAGGCGTTTGCCGAGGAGAAGGGAATCCCCTTTCACCCGTTTGACGGCGACCGCATCAAAGCCGACGACTTGGAGGCCTGCGCCGCTCACTTTGGCGTCGAGTTCCGACCCGGCGACATCCTCCTTGTCCGCACGGGCGCCACCGAAGTCGTCGACAAGATGGACCCCGAGGGTTTGGGCAAGATGGCGGCTGTCAAGCTTTCGGGCCTTCACGGGTCTGAAGAGACGGCCAGGTGGCTCTGGAACAAGCGGTTCGCTGCCGCAGCCTCCGACTCGAGCAGCTTTGAAGCGTTCCCGCCGCTGAAGGCGGATAATACGGTTGGCGGCATGAAGGACCTCGGTATGAGAACCCACCCGAACTGCGTTAATTCTGGCTAACTTGGAAAAGTGCTCCACATGTATCTCCTGAACCTCTTCGGCATGTCAATTGGCGAGCTTTGGGATCTCAGCAAGCTGTCGGAATACTGCAAGAAGACGAAGAGGTATTCGTTCATGATTACCTCGTCGCCGCTGAACCAGCCGGGACTGATTGGATCTCCGCCTAATGCCATGGCCATCTTCTAAGCGTGGCGGACAGGACGCTGGGTGGAATGGAATCGCTACACTTTAAGTCGTCATCGCATTTGACCGAGGACGCTACGTTATCAATGAACCTTGAGACGAGGCCCCATTTCAAGAATCATAGAGTTTCTTTCAGATATGCCACCTAAGATTCGGGAGGCATCTAAATATAATAAGATTCCATTCCTGACGTCTAATTCATGCTCGCTACTCCCGAGTGCTGAAAGATCTAGGACTGCTCAACCTTCTCCCCGAGACCAAACATCGATATGCTGTTCTTCCAAGCGGCCTCGGAAACCTCGTGCACACTGATGCCCTTGAGTCCCGCCACAATAAACGCCACCCGCTCGATCGTGCAGCTCTCGTTCCTCTCCTTTATCATGCACTTGGGATCCCACTTGTCCTTCTTCTTGGAAGCCGGCAGGGGCTTCGCATTTGCGCAATACCGCTTGACGAGATCCGAAGTGGCTTTCAGCTCTCCCCAGGGCGCGTCCGTCTCGATCTGTAGCCGTTCCAGGGGTATCTTGGAGACCATTCGCAGGCTCTCCTGGTCCTTGAAGCTGAATCCGTTGACGCTGACGTCGAAGCCGAGTTCGACGAGCTTCTCCATCTGGGCGGTTGAACCCACGAAGCTATGCACTAGGCCGCGGCGTGGCAACTTCTCCAGGTAGGGAGTAACGATGTCCACAAAGTCGTCGCAGGCGGCTCGGCAGTGCAAAAATAGCGGCAAGTCCCATGCGTTGGACACGAAGAGATCCAGCTGTGCCTTGAAAGCCCGAATCTGCACCTCCTTGGAGGCGTGGACCTCTCGTTCGTAATCCAGCCCCAGCTCCCCAAAGGCGCCAATCTGGACCGGATCCTGAGCCAGCGCGTCCTTCACGCTGCGTTCTAGGTTGTCCAGGTAGTCCTCACCGCCCTCGACAAGTTCCGAAGCATGGTACGGATGCACGCCAATTGTCAGGAAGCACTGAGAAGGGCGAGCCTTGACGATGTCTGTGTGGAAAGCGACGTCCGCGAGGGACATGCCGGTCACCATGACCTTGCAGACGCCCGCATCCTGGGCGCGGTCGAGCGTGTGCACAAAGTCAGGCTCATGGCATTGCTTATTGCGATATATGCCCTTGAACTCATTTGCTGTCGCCGTAACTGCCACCTGTCGAAGCGTTAACACCAGGGAATCAAAGACGGCATCCACGTTGGTTCGGTTCATCGAGCTCTTCTTACGTCTGCAAAGCGGAGTTGTTGTGAGGGCCGCGACGGCGCATCTTTCGGGAATTCGCTCAGGTCAATGGTTGTCATGATGATATCCAGTTTGTCCACCGTCTCGGAGTCTCGGTTGAATATGTGATGTGTGAATATCCGCCTTAATATATACTATTGAAGCCAACCCGGGCCGACCTTCATGAGCGTTCTGATAACGAAGCTGGAGCCTCCGATTTAGGCCGAGCCTAGAAACTTCCATTTGGACTCTTTCATTCGCCGCCCGACATCGTCTTGGCGCTGAACACCAGATTACGTCAGCTATTGACAAGCAATGGGCGTATTATACCGTAGCCCTTTGGTGATTCCCCGATTCCCTCAGATGTGCCGGTCGGTGTAGATGACAGCAAGTGCCGGGAGAGATCTGGCTTTAAAACGTAAAAGAATCCTGAATTGATAATTTGTGTACTGATACATGACCCGTTGGCTCCACATCAAACTCCCCATCGCCCCTTCACTCAAATAAATCACCCTTCATCAAAACCTCGCGCCATGACTTTTGATCCTGGAAAAGCCGCCAACTCCCAGCCAGCAGTTGGCATCCACCAGCCCAGAAACTTGAAACCCAGTATGCGCAAATGAATCCTTTGTGCCCTAGAAATCGCCGAAAATAGGTCCTGACTGTATTGTTTCCTGTTAGTCAGTCCGTGGGTGCATTCTGAACCAAACGTAAGGCTGTGTGCAGTAGGAAACCCAAGCCATCGCAAAGTGCTTTCAAGAACAAGCAAGAAATGATTCAAGAACAAACAAGGCTTGGACTACGAACACTCAAAAGGAACAGACGCAATCAAAGAGACATAGGGAATATCACTAGTCGAGGTACAACGTTAAACGTCAACGCAGCAATGAGAAGCAGCAAATGGCGAAAGCAAACAGGTAGAAGCAATAGCTTAAATGAATTTGAACTGATGACAATCCACCGGTGCCGAAGATCTCCAACGCCAATCATGATTCAGACCAAGGAAATGGAGTGTGCGTGGTGCCGTATCGAAATCCAGAGCTGCGTATGAACCGTGATCCCAGCTCGAAGTTAAGGGTGGGTATCATCACGTCAGAAAAAATCATACCAACAGGAAACCCCCGTTGGGCACGACAGCCAATGACGAGGCAAGATGATCGAGTCCAAGGAAAAAGAAGCATTGGGGGAACTGGGTGCATGCGTCCCCCATCGTCAACGAGTCAATGTCGTGGTCAAATTACTAGGAGAACAAGAGATCAGCCATGGTAAACACGTTGGGCCGCAACGGGCTCCAGGGGCAACTGCCATACCTGGGGAGGGCCAGCAGGGCCGGGAGGTCCCGGCGGTCCAGCAGGACCTTGGGGACCAGGAGCAGGTCCGCCAAAGTGCTGAGGACCGTAGTTACCGGGGCCGTGGCTGGGCATGCCCATGTAGTGAGGCGGAGGGGGGGCAGGGCGGTAGGGGGTACCAACACCAGAGTTGTTCTGCGAGCGACCCCAGCTCAGACGGACGCGAGAGTTACCAATCGGGTAACCCTGCATCTGGTTGATGGCCATCTCAGCAGCATGGCGGTGGACGAACTGAACGAAGCCGCAGCCCTTGCCAGGGGGGATCTTGACGTAGGTGATCTCGCCGAATCCCTGGAAGAACGATCGAAGCTCATCCTCGGTAACGTAGCCGGAAAGACCTCCAACGAAGACGGTGGTGTTGTTGGGATCGGTGAACTGGTTCATCTGGGTGGCCGGGTTAAAACCTCCGTAAGGGAAACCCTGCATACCACCCCACATCTGCTGCTGAGGCATACCACCAGCCATCATAGGGCCGTTCTGGTGGCCAGCGTGGCCGCCGAAGCCGTGGTTTCCGCTGAATACCGTTAGCATCCTGCCTGCTCAGTGTCTCCAAATCAAGCGCGAAGACTTACCGGTTCTTGGGGGTGGCAGTGGAGATGCGCATGGGGCGGTTGCCGCAGTAAACGCCCTGCATTTCGACAAGAGCGCGCTGCTGGTCGTTCTCATCGGAAAAACGAACAAACCCATAGCCACGACTCTGGCCGGACATGGCATCGGTCATGATCTTAGCAGACTTGCAGGATGGGAAGCGCGCCTGGAAGAGAGAAACCAAAACGTATTCGTTGACCTCAGGGCCGAGGTCACCAACAAAGATGCTGTACTCGGGGCCGCGGTCATCACTGTTGCAAAGTTAGCAAGCAGCGAGCAGTTCAAGAGGTTAGCAAAACTTACCGTCGGTCAACAAGACCGCCGCCAGATGCCCAGTTAAGCTTGAACTGACGGGAGCTGTTGGGGACGGGAGTGCCGTTGAGGCCCAGGGCCTTTGTGGCCGCATCGGGGGACTGGAATTCGACGAAGCAGTATCCAGCATTGCCCGAGTTCTTGTCGCGGATGACCTTGACGTTGACAGTCTCTCCGGCAGCGGACAAGAACACGCCCTTAATGAAGTTCTCGTCCATCCAGGGTTCAAGTTCTCCCATCCACAGAGTCGTCTTGGCGGCATCACCACCTGCTCCAGGAGGAGGGGCAACCGAGCCCATGTCGGTGGCGGGAGGAGTACCGTTGGAGAAGGCCATTTGGTTGGGGGCAGGACCGCCGTTGGCAGGGACCGAGTTGAAAGGAGCGTTGAGTTCCATACTGGGCTGTATCGGGGGTCAGTCCATGGCCTTTGCGAATGTTGAGGGACAGTGAGCGTTATCAAAACACGGTCTTCGAGGCCAGAGAGCGTCGAAGGCGTCGATCGATAGCGGAGTATCGTGAGACTTACCGACAATCGAAAACTGGCCAGAAATGCTGAAGATCAAAGGTACTCGAGTGAGTAGTGCACAGCTGGAAAGGTTAGCTTGGCTCAAAGCCGAGTGTCGACGAGAGCAGCCACCTACAAGAATGTGTTGCGAGGCTTAATAGAGCGCGGCAACGGGATTTAAGATACTGGGGAGATTGTTAGCAGCTGTCTTGGATCAACCAGACAAGCCGGGCGCAAGCCAGGGAAGAGATGACGTCTCGGCGATTATGGAGAAGGAAATTGGTGCAGAGTGTGATTCAAGGACAAGCGAGATCCATCAGCGCCCCGACAAAGGTAATCAAGTCCAACACAAGTGCCTGATTGAGTGGAAGGAAAAGTTTGATGGCAACGGTGATCTGGTCACTGGAGATGCTCTTGGGAGATTCCGCGATCCAGGAGAAGATCAACAGAAGCCGAGGTGACCCGCAGCTGCCAGCTGCATGCGCGATTTGCAACCAGGTTCCAGTCCAGGCACATGCGAGGTAGAAATCCAGGAACAGCAGTAGGCCAGGCACCAGATGCACATCCAAGGGCTATTCCGCAGCTTCTCCCAAACGTTCTCCGGGCGCTTTTGGTCCCAGCGCGGGGGTTCCAGGAGTGCAGTGATGGAAAGAAGATGCCAAGTGCAAAAACTTACCGAGCGTAAATCTCGTACACGTCGTGAACAAAGTCGTAGAAGAGCTGCAGTCTGGCTGTTAGCATCGCAGCCTTCTGAGACGGTGGTTGGTGTTTGGGGAGGAAGTGTTGTGAGGGTGGGTGACTGGAAAATAAGGTTGGGGCAGATTTTCGGACAGCCAGTTATTCCACCGGCAGTAGTCCCGAGGAACTACCTCCAGGCAGCTTCACCACAACACACGATTGCAGAGAATGCGGCGTGCAGCACACAATACCGCCGTATGCCCTCACACACGTTCGCACAACACGAGGGCTGAAGAAAAAAGGACGCTTACTGCTGAGGGAAACCGAGAATGCGAGTACAACGAAGCAAGTCGTTAGAGTTAGACCTGAACTCGGGGGTTAGCCAGAGTGATTTGGAGAGCACAAGGCACAAAACTAGGCCTCCAGAGAACTGCTACTCAGTCTGCAAGTTTGTGACGCCTGCATCACTCGACGAGTCAAGTCTTTCTCAGAGTTCCTAACCGGATGGTGATTGCGAGCGCACAACACCGACCCCAATAGTCGCGAAATCCAGGCGTCGTCCACTTGCAGCCCTAACAACACGGAATAGAGCAATCCCTTACCTTCACGCCAAGTCTATTCCCCAAAAGATGCGAAGCTGCCGAACCGAACCGGGAATTGGGAACGAATCGAGAAAGACTGGTGTCCAGACCCAACCGAGACTCCGAAAAGCAGTCGTACAGACGAGAATAAGAGTTTCTCAGACGCCGTCACGCCGATACAAGAAGCAATAGAATGCTTGGGGGATGGAGAGGTGCAAAAATGCGAAGTCGAAGTTCTCAACGGTGCCCAGAATAGATCGTGGGATGAACGCGTGCTCTACCAAAAATTCCTAAGGAATGTGGTAAGATAGCTGAAACGTTCCCGAAATGAGCTGAACCTGGCGGTACTGTCAGTAACATTCAAGGCAAGCGTGTCCACACAATATGACCAGGTTTGGTCGTGACAGAGGAGATCCATGGGTCCGAGGTATCCGTCCAGGAACTGACAGGTTCAGGCAAGAGGAGGGTCCATCCCAAAGACGATTCGAGTTGGATGGTCAAACGCGCAAAGCGAGCGGCTGTTGTATCCGGCACGTGTCGTCTTCCAAGGGTCGCATCGAATTCCATATCAGCGCATTTCCAACAGTCTTGGCACCGAGGGAAAGACAACTGCGTCATCATCCACCGCTCGCATCCAGCATGGTCCGTCGCAGTCCAGGTTGGCTACCAGGTCGACAGGATCAAGGATGAAGAGCCAAATAACGAGCGACATGGATCTCAGGTCAATTGGCAGGGAATCCGGCATGTGCGCCTGGGTTGGAGGAGACAACACTCGAATCAGCAGCCAAAGCCTTTCGGCCCTGATTTGCTTCGTTGTCGATACGGCGCTGGAAGGCCAACCACGCCCCGCGTCAAACAGCGACACCATGCCAGTCGGACGCATTCACCTCCATCCTGTCGACAATCCCTCTCGTGCAAGTTGTTACTGATAGGTTGCAACAGACGATGCCGGTCCGATCTTTCCGAGATCATGCGACGTAATATTGAGAACCATGTGCGACGGCCAGAAGAGGGGTAATATCTGCGTCGACATCATCTCCGTCACAGCGAGCAATTTCGAATTGCAGAACAGCGCGGCATTGTCTGAAGGGAGTCGAGTAACATAACGGAAATCGCAGTCGAGAGTCATTGTCGTCTTCGATGGTCGTCCTCGTGCGGCCACGGAGTTTGGTGGTTTCTCCTCGGCAAGTGCTCGTGGCGGGGCGGCGGGGATGTTGTCTCTCCATTCCAAGCATCTCGTCCTTTCCGTTTCACTCCAGACATCTTCCAGGATCATTCAGGCGACTCGGCGGCATGGTTGGCGATCGCGCTCGTCGTCATCGTCATGGCGCGGGGGTTGGCGAGGATTGGCGCTTTACTCGGAATCTCACAGTGGCCTCCCAGCCCACACACCCAATGCCACGACACAAAGGACCAAAAAAAAAAGGAAATGGGAAATGGATATTCAAAACTCACTTTTAGGCGCCAACAAAAACAGCAGTAACTCTCACAGCCAACTTTCCAAAAGACGCGCAAGGGAAGAGCCGTGGGAACCGTGATGGGGATGGGGATGGGGAGGGGATGTTGAAGGAGAGTCGCGGGATGAGTCGTAGTGCGGGAGAGGCAGAGAAAAAAGACAGAGCTTTTTTTTCCAAACCTTGCCTTGTTTGGGCCTTGGCCTTGGGAACAATCGGGGTGCGCGGGGACGAGGGTACGAGGCAGGGGAAAATTATCGACCGGGGGGGGTGCGCTGCCGTATCCGCCGACAAGGGATCTAGGATCTGGCCTGCTAAGGGTGGCACTGAAACACGACGACGGGCGAATGACGCTGGGTGCCACTGGCGGGTGACGGAGCGGCTGCAGGTGTTGAAATCCAGCGATGGATAGGAGGGCGCAGCGGCGGAGTCTTCGGATACAAACGTCGACAATGGAGACAAGAAATCCCAAGGAGAATCAACCGCACAAGGGACGACAGCAGACAACGATAACGGTAGTTTGTTCGCAATCGAGTTCGCAACAGAAGACGAGAGAAATTGTGGGGGAGGGGATGGGAGGCACTTGGAAGAAAAGGGCTTGCAAAACGAAACGAACAGTCAGTGATGACGGGTAGAGCGTGGTAGTGTGTGTGCGTGTGAGTGGGTGTGAGAGTTATTGGGCGTGCGCGAGTGTCCATGTGTGCCATGTGGAGAGAATGGAAGGGAGGAGAAGGACGAGGAGATGACCCTGTGGGCCCGCTTGCTTCTCCAGCACGAAGCTCACCCACACAGTATCGGACTCTTGTGAAGCACCTTAATGGCGATGGGCGACGACAAACAGTGGATATGCGAGCTGGGTGACGGGGGTGTACGGCTATCCTTCAATCCACCATCCGCCATTCTGTGCGCTGCTGGTTTGAGTGGGTGGGCCTGTCTTGCCCTACCTTGTCTGGTTCCGGCAGACGATTTATGCCTGCTGCACAAAACACGAGGCCTGTCGGTGCAGTACGGAGCAAGTACCGTGTACGGAGTGTGCACTCAAGGTTCAGGCAGGCTGAGAACGGGTGGCCTCGAAGAAGCTTCCGTGGGCCAACTGCGCTGAACAGCCCTTGTGGTGTGGCTTCGCCAAGCAGGGCTACCCCTGCCCAGGAGTGCCACTATCATGAGCCCGCGAGGTGGCCTCCAAATGGAGCCCTAACCCGCAGTGGATTGGGACTTGGTGCTGGGCCGACCACGATACAGGCAGCTGAGCGCTGGGCGCTGGATGCCGGACGGCCAGGGCGAGATGAACCAGCTGGACCCCTGCGAGGACAGCCCTGCTCCCGGTGGATCATGAAATCATCGGGCGTCTGGAGGACGATGGGATAGATTGATTGATCGAGCATCCCGATCTAGGTAAAGTACGGCCTGGTGGGAAGATGCGGAGGGGGGAGGGAGGGATCATCACGTCCATGGCCAAGGCCCAAGGCTACGGCTGCGGCACCTGCGAATTATCAAGAACAGGACGGAGCGTCGGGTCGCTGCCGGTTCATCAGCGCCCGCTCCGTATCAGGATGGCGGAGCCGCTTGACTGGTGAGAATGAAGAATCTCACCCGCAGAAGTTGGAATTTCTCGTCTAAATTCACTGTCGGAGAAGTGAAGAGAAAGGACCCGAAGGATGCACGCGTTCTTCTTGGTACGCTAACCGGTTGTTTAGAGTTTGTTCTGATCGGGCTATCGCATGGAATGAAGTGGCAGTGTTACCAGTCACCAAACATGTCCGTCATCCTCAAGCGACAAGCTTGCGTTGTGTGGGAGGAGAATGTGGAGTGCGTGTTGGTTCGGTGCGAGGGAGCTTTGTTGCATACGCGCAACCAGATGGTGGCCTTTGTTGTCTCAACTCGTCATTTGACCTCTTCCCCCCAGCTGTCTTCCCTTCCCTTGCGGGAAGCAATTGCAGGCCCTGCCGAAATTGGTGTCTCAATCCACCAAAACCCCTTGCTTGAGCCCGCGTCACTCGCTCGGGAAACTCTTACGGCCGTTGGACTGTCAAGTGTCCCGCGTATGCTGTCCCAGACTCCTTGTCACAGCAACGTGACACAAACCTGGCGCGCACCAGCAGTGGCTGCGAAGCTACCTGTCCTGGCGTGCCTGGCGAGCAAGGGAGCTTGAACCATGCCGCCGTGATGCGCCTGCTTACGCTCAGTCAGTCCGTCCGTCCGTATTCAAAGCACAGCTCTGCAGCCAAAAGCTCGCACCGACCGACGCCATTGCTTTCTCAGAGCTGTGATGGGTCAAACAATTGATGAACGGATGAATTGGGATCCGTTCAGAAACAGGACACGTTGCGAGTTACGGGCGAGCACCATCCGTGCCTGACTACCAACTGCGCACTTCGTTTGATTGCTACAAACTTGTCTCGTCTCACCCAGTTTTCCGACATCACCCCCTAATTGAATCGTCCCGTTTGCGGTTTCCATCCCCTCCCTTCGCTTGCGTTTACGACGACCAAAGGCCTCCCAGAATGGTACGCGGGCAATGAACTATCGCAAACAGTGTGTTTGACTGGTTCAGCACCAAGCACACGGTGGCGTGGCCGCAAAACTCATACAGGGCAGGGTGGCGCCCACCAGATCTGGTCTGTCCCACCTACGGCTAGAGGCTACAGCCGCGCCAGGGCTTGAACCAACCCTGGCGACGGCTCTCATTTGCTCGCTCCCACGAGAAACCAATTTGTTCCTTGCTTGAGCTGCCCGTCCTCACGCCATTCATGCTGCGCCAACTTTACCGAGGCCACCGCCGCCGAGTTGGCGTTGGGCCTCCGCTGCCCCAGCTGCCCCAGAGGACGCTCGAAGGGTGACGCTGCAGCACGCCGTCGCCAGTGAACTGTCGAATCAGGAGCGAATGGGAGTTTTTCCAGGCATCGGGGCGTTGTATTCGGTGGATCAGCCAGGCGCATGAGAGATTATTTCATACATTGGCCATGCTGCAGCCTCTGCACAACCTAGATTCAAGCACCCGACGTCCTGGCGAGCCTGAAGCGAACACCGTACCAAAGGGCCAATACTCATTCATCCAATCACCCTTGCCACTCTTAGTAGGGCATGCTACGGGATCACCGAGAACAAGTTTGCCCCTCACTTCACAACTGAGCGGGAGAGATGACGCGGATTGGAAGGTTTGGCGCAACTAGGCAGGATTGAGGTTTTCAGGCGAGAGTTCGCACGGCACAGAATCTGGGGCTAAAGCATGTTGCTTTAAATTCGATGTCGAAAATCTTCATGTGAACACCAAGCAACGCTGGGCTTAACGCCATGAACTATGCGCTCATTCGCCCCTGGACATGCCCGCTAGTCCAATGCCCAGGAATTCTGAGCTATCATCAATTCTGTATTTAAAACACCTTGTTCAAATGCCATTCGGTTCCTCATTTCAGCCTGACTTAGGTCCGTGTCGAGTTTCTAGTTTGCCGTTATCCAGTCGCGTCCTTCTCAACCAGGGCCCCGGATAATGCGTGCAGATCGGCCAGCACCCTTGCAACCCTGCCCATTCGTTAAACCCAGGCGTGCACCGATGACGAATGGCCATTTTTAGAAGCCCACGAGTCCTGAGCAGGCAGGCCCAGCTGAAGGACGGGAGCCCGAGCCTCCGAACGTACAATAAAGCCCGGTGTCAAAGCGACAAGCCATGACAGCATCGTCAGTCATGGGACTATTCGGACTTTGCAAGGTAGTGAGAAACCGCTGGGGTTTTTAGCTCGCAATGACACAAGAGTCACATCATTTCTGACAGGCATTCGTTAGCAGCACTGTGGTATCCAGGACTTCGCGGCCTGGTCGCAGGGCGTGCCTGTATCGTGCGGGGCGTCTCTTGGTTTCAGCCCGCCCAGGCGAAAAAGCCCTTCCCTTTCCAAGGCGCTGCCCATGCCCGTGCCCATGTCTGGCTTGCTTGCTTCGTCCAGGGGCGTTGCTCATTGGCTTTTCTCGCGTCGAGCCTGGCTTGACAATGGGATTTCTTGCATCCTCGAGCCGGCGAGGGCTTCGATCCAGGGCCATGTGACATCTGAGCAGCCTTTGTGGTGTGGGGAAGGCCATCGGATCCCATGTCCGAGCCCGAGATCCAGCGTCGCTCTCTGTAAACCCTCCACCGTCGCTGAAATGAGAGAGCACTGCCCCAATCCGATTACGCAGCATTTGCATTCCCAAGGCGCGGCGCACGATTGGACACTCGGCGCGGTGGTAGAGGCGGCGAACTTCTCACCCTCCCTTGCGGACTCTGCCGCGTCGCGATCCTCGGTCCCTCGTTCCTCTCAGCCGGTATCGGACAGGGTTGGCCCAAAAACCTCTCCTGCCGAAGGGATCCGACGGTGGATCTGGGATCCCGACGTTTCCGGCCACTGGCAGTGCCGTCGTGTCGGTGCGAAGCCCGGTCTGGGTTCAATCCTCCGGCGTGAACGCTCGATGCAAATCACTTGATTGAGAAGTGGTGGCGTTGGACAGAAGTCTCTCGCAACTCGTTTGCGATTGTTCGAATTGAATCAGAATGCCACCCTCCGGCAATGCGGACGAATGGCAGGCAAGGGCCAAGGAAGCCATGGAACATTGGGCGCTGGTTGTGCCCTACACCGCAGCGTCAGCTTCGGCAGCGAGATGTTGCAGTAATTCTCTCTGTCTTGTCTTGTCTTCGCTTTGACGCATGTAATCGGACCCTCCTGCAAGACAATTTCCTCGGGACGAATACAGCAACCAATTCGCCGAGGGCCAATGACCACAGGGACCTTTGCTTTGGAATCAGAATTCACCGTCCCCAAGCCTCGTCGGAGCATGCCTAATGGTGGTAAATGTAGCTCGGCAATTGTTCGACAAGCATTCAAATAACCATCCCGACCAGCACTCAGCGTCTGAGGCGGCTCAAGTGGCGAACGTTGGCTGCGCGTAATGCCGACAGGATAAGAAGCCACCCACCGGCTTTGAAGTTCGGGATGGCGAAGGTAAATCTCTCAGAAGTTATACCGTCTTCCAAAAACAGAATCCATTGATTCTTACTGCATATTAACGCAACGTAAACGGCTGCGCGCAGATGTTCTCTCCAAACTGCAACCCAGTTGCTGTGTCACGTGACAATGGCGGTTGACAGCTCTCACCTTCCATGGCGCTTAGTCATGCGCCATTCGTCAACACATCGTTGACTTGAGGCAAAGTGGAAGCTCGAACAACTCGTCATCCAGAGCTGCCTACACCTGATTTGTGATACTACGTCGTAACTCGCCGTCGGAATTCCATCCTTGCGTTGTTTTCGTCCATTCTGCATTTTTCTTGCCTTTGCTTCCGCGCCATCTAGAGATTCCCATCGCATCGCAGTGTCGCTCCCCCACCGCTGGGTCACCTCACGATCTGGCTTCACCCACCCATCATGGCGGCCTCATCGACCAAGGAACGAGAATTGCAGTTGCTGGACAGCGTTGAGTTGAAGATTCTCGGAGTTGCGAACAAGGAGGAGAAGCTCCACCAGCTGCTGCAGCGATACCTTACCCCAGTGCTGCTCAAAGCTTCCAGTGAACATGCCCAAGTGAGAGCTAAAGTGAGTCGCCGATCAGCTTCAGGCAGGGTCATCTGCAGCTGCTAAAGATATCCAGGTGGTTCAAATATTTGCCAGGCTCAAGACCTTTATCCAACCCCCTCAGTATGTGCCATGGCCTAGTCCCGTCCTCACCTCCGGCTAAGGAACAGTTGCTGATAATCCACAGGGTTGTGTTGCCAGTCGGCGCGCTTCTTGATCAATACAAGTCAACCGACTCACCCTTGGTAAAGCAATTAGACCTTTCAGGAATTCAGCATAGTGTGGAGCGCATCGACGATGATGATCGAAGAGACCTCATCCCCAAGGCCTTGAAAGGCTTTGCCAAAGAGGAAGGCCAGTCGAGGGCCGGTGCATTATTCCATGTTATCCTGCGACTTCTCCTTGATGTTCGGATACCTCCTCGGGGTGGTAAAGATGATGAGAACTTTCGCGAGGCGATCGGCCTCTCAGACGAAGCTGATGCAAAGTATCTGGCCAGACTGATCAGCATCTTCCTCCGGTTAAGAACTCCGCTTGGAACCCAAACTTGGGCCCGGGCAAACCCAACACTGTCGCAGGCGGAACTCGACCTTATCTCTGTGGAAAACCCCGAGTCCCAGAAGATCTTCCAGCGCATGTCAGAACTAAAGGTGAAGCTTGTGGTTCTATTCGCAAGTGGAGCGTTCACGGATGAGGAGAAGTTTCTACCCGCAGTGTATGCCGCGTCCAGCTTCGACAACAGGGTCGCATCATCCGCCGAAGAAATTCTCAAAAGAAGCTCCGTCTCAATGGAGGATGAGCCCCTCGTCAGACGCTTGTTCCAGGCACACTCAGTTCTACCCGCTGCATATCGAACTCGTATCCTGGCAATGCTGTCCAAGTCTGCTGTTTCAACCACCATGTCCGAGAACATTATGGCAGTGGTGAGCTTGGACTTTGCACCGCCACAATCCGATGATTCTTCTGGTCAGCCTTTGAGGCCTACGAGTTCTCTTGAGCGTACAAAGCTTCACAAGGCCCTATTCCAGTACATTTCATGGGTAGCCCGCATTGGGCCCTCGAAGGAAGGCTTCACTATTTCTCTTCCACTGATGAAGAACATGAGGGCTTATATTGATGCCCAGGGCTGGCCTGCACCTGAAAACACATCCCACGATGACATTACCCTTCGATCAAAGGCCTATGAAACAATCGGAGTACTTGCTAGAAGTGCAGACATGCCAGTCACTGAGAGGCTTGATCTCGCCAGTTGGCTCTTCCGGTCTCTATCGGAAGATCCAACCAATGACGCGGTTGTCAACATCGACGGGGCGCTATCTAGCTTGACAGCCGGTCTTCCAGCCACAGTGGGCAGCGAGGCCGAGGAACTGAAGACTATGCTACTCACATACATGTACCTACCCGACGAAGCTCCAGCTGTACGCAGCACACGCCACGCTGTCGTCAAGTGGGCAAACCAATGCCTCAACTTCTCCGACATCACCGGACGATGGATTGATATCCTTGCTATCGGTGGAAAGTCAGATGAGCGAAACGACGTGATTGAGCAGGGTCACAAAGGCCTTGACCCTTGGACTTACTTTGCCCATGTTGACACCAGTCCGGCTAAACCAGACTGGACTGACATGGTCATCAAGTTTTTTGGGGCCGTGATCGGTCCAGATACCCACTCAAAACGACCGTCATTGCCAGAATTGAAAGGATTACGCCATTCAGTATTTGAGAACTTTGAGGGATCCCGGCTCCCCGCCTTTCCAGTTGCCCTACGCTACATCAAGCACATCATGTTTCTTACTGCTCTAGAAGACTTTAAAGTCGAACCGGACTGGATGCAAACCCTTGACGCTCGCGTCAAGACCGACATCAAAACTCGGGAAAAGATTGCAGCCTATCTCCACACCATCGATAGCGGATACTTGGTGTTTTACCTCAAAGCCTGCCTTGACGGTGCCTTTGTAGAGGATTCTGCAATCACGGAGGAGTGTATCCGCTGCTTTGTCGACGTCGGATCCCTTAGCCCAGGTGGTACTCTGGGTTTCCTGACCCAGCTCAGTAACAATCTGCTGCCACTGATCAAGTCAAACAACAAAGAGATTCGGTCTCTTGGCTCCCGGGCCTTGGGTATCCTTGCATCACATCCAGCAAACGACGCTGACTCGATTGAGAACTGCTGCAAGACACTCGTTTCTCTATTCGAGAAGGCCGAGACTGCCGTTGGGCCCGACTTAAATGCCGCAGAAGGAGCACTACTAGCGTTTAGCCACGTCTGCTCTCGGTGCGTTTACTATGGCCAACCTTTGCCGGGCGATATCCGGTACCCTTCAGGGCTTCTCACGGGCGAGAACGTTTTGACGTCCCTCTATGACGCTGGTTTGGAGTCGTTTGCCCAGTTGTGGACTGCCGGATTGGCTGTCCCTCCGCATGAAGGCGATCAATCGCTCGAAGTTGTCGTGAAGAAGCTCGCAACACAGGCAAAGAAGAGCAATGAAAAGGCGATCCTTGCTCTTGGAAGACTGGCTGCCGGCCTGGAAGAGACTGAGGAGGATCAAACCGTACCTGAGGATGGCGACGGCTGGTCGCACGGAGTGCTGGGCTCTATCCTCAAGGAGTTATTCAGCCTTCACGAAATCAAGCGTGTCGAGATTCAATTCACCGTCGGCGATGCGATCACGGCAGCGATCGCTCGTTGGGACTCTGACTACGTAAAGCTGACCCTGGACGTGGAATCTCGGGGATGCCAAGAACGCAATGGCACGCGAGAGTCAAGGTTGGTTGCAGTTATGAACAAATTGTTTGCGGATTCAAAAGCCACCAAGCCTTCACTGCTGAAGGCATCCGGCATCTGGCTGTTTTGCATCGTTCAGTACTGCTCTCATCTCACGGAGGTTCAATCGCGACTTCGAGAGGCACAAGCTGCATTCATGCGACTCTTGAGCGCAAGAGATGAGCTTGTGCAAGAGACAGCCTCGCGTGGTCTGTCGTTAGTTTACGAACGTGGTGATGCTGACCTAAAGAGCACTCTAACCAAGGACCTTGTTTCGGCATTCACCGGCTCTGGAACTCAGCTGAAGGTGGACCAGGAAACAGAGCTGTTCGAACCAGGTGCTCTCCCAACTGGCGAAGGCAGCTCTATCACCTCGTACAAGGACATCGTGAGCCTTGCCAACGAAGTCGGCGATCAGCGACTGGTGTACAAGTTCATGTCATTGGCTGCAAATGCCGCAACATGGTCCACTCGATCGGCATTCGGCCGCTTCGGGCTCAGCAACATCTTGTCGGAGTCAGAAATCGACCCCAAGCTATACCCCAAGCTCTACAGATATCGATTCGACCCTAACCAAAACGTCCAACGGTCCATGGACGACATTTGGAAGGCGCTTGTCAAGGATTCTGCAGGCGTCATAGATACCCACTTCGATGCCATCCTTGAAGATCTATTGAAGAGTATCCTGGGACGTGAATGGCGCATGCGAGAGGCTAGTTGCGCCGCCCTTTCAGATCTCATTCATGGACGACCCTTCCCCAAGTATGAGAAATACTATCGAGATGTTTGGACAGCGGCGCTCAAGGTTCTCGATGATGTCAAGGGAACTGTCCGAGAGGCCGCTCTGCGTCTATGCATGACATTGTCCAACGGGCTTGTTAGGCAGCTTGAGGAAGGCACCAATGGATCAGCTGCGCAGGCCATGATGAAGGAAGCTCTCCCGTTCTTATTATCCGACAAGGGTGTCGAGAGTTCAGTGCAGGAAGTCCAGATCTTCGCAACAATTACGGTGATGAAGATTGCGAAGCAAGGAGGCAAATCGCTCCGGCCTTTCATTTCGGACATGGTTTCCCAGCTGCTTGGGTTACTCAGCTCTATCGAGCCGCAGCAAATCAATTATCACTATCAAAGAGCTGGAGAGGACAGCCGAGACGAGATTGACAAGCTGAGGTCTCAAATGGTCAATAGGTCACCCATATCGGAGGCTATTGAGAATGCTCTCCGCTTCATCGACGCGGACGTTATGGCTGAGCTGGCTCCTAAGCTCGAGGCTGTGATCAAGACTGCTATTGGCATGCCCACCAAGATTGGTTGCAGTCGAGTCTTGACTACACTCTTCACTCGCCATACAAACGACATCAAACCGATGGCTGGGCGTTTCCTCCAGCTCATGGAGAAGCAGACAATGGACAAGAACGACGAAGTCAGTCAGGCCTATGCTCGTGCCACCGCGTACATGATGAGAGCTGTGCCAGAAGTTGGTAAGCAACGCTTCTGTGAGCGGTTTGTCAACATGTATTTCGCAGCGGAGGACGAGTCTCGGCGCCAGAAGATTTCGGATGTGATTGTCGCGTTAGCTAAGGTCTCTCCCGATCACTTCTCTTCTCTTGAGAATGACCTGCTGCCATTTTCGTATCTCGGTTCCCATGACACAGACGAGTATACAGGCAAGGTATTCAAGGAGGTGTGGAACCAGCATGCTGGAAGCAGTCGCACAGTCGTCCGTTACGTCTCGGAGATTGTCGCCTTGGTGGAACGGACCCTAAATACACAACAGTGGGCACTTCGACACACCGGAGCTTTTACCGTTGCGGAAATGGTTAAAGACGTGGCCAGTGCGAGTGAAGCAAGTGGTCAGATTAGCGACGCCAATTTGAGCAAGATATGGCCTGTGTTTGACAAGACACTTGCACTGAAAACCTTCCCAGGCAAGGAGAAGCTTCTTGAGGCGTACCCCGAGTTTGTTGAGAAGGGCCGAGCTCTCTGGACAACGGACTCGAAGATTGCGGCGCAAATGAAGAAAGTGGCGCTGCGGGAAGCGAAGCGCAACAATGAGGAGTATCGCGTGCCTGCATTCCGCTGCCTTTGGAAATTTGCCCAGGCTCGAGATGACCTGGACCTCCTAAGCGAGATCTCGGACATTGTGACACCGCATCTAGAGGAGCTGAAGGACGAAGACAAGATGGAGGTCGATTCCAAGGAGGACTTGGTAGAGAAGACTGCCAGGAACGGCTTGGAGGCTATTGCTCGGGGATACAGCCCCTCGAAAATGAAGGAGGACTCCTTGGCGGTCTTGAGCAATGTCCTTCATATCCTCAAGCCCTTCCTCTCCAGCCCCAAGTTCGCCACGATCAAAAGGCAAGTCTGGTACGAGAGCGTGGGCGAGCTGATGGATGCTGCGACCTCTCCTTCGGCGGCCGCAAACGATGACAAGGGCATTGCCGTTACATACCTCCTCAGTCTCGACATGGATATGGTCGACGTCGGCACTGAGCCACAGCGTGTGAAGAGAGCAAAGGCTATTGCGGCTACGCTGAAAGCAAGGGCAAGAGGCGTTTTTGGGCAGGCTGGGCCGGGTATCGAACAATTTAGGGAGATGGTGAACGGAGCGCTGAACGGCGAGCGGTCTTTGGAGGTGCAGAAGGTTTTGAAGGAGATTTTGGCAGAACTGAAGTAGAGATACGCGATGACGTTTTATAGCGGATTGTCGCGATAGAGAATTTATAGTGTTTGTGGAATAAACTGAACTGTTCAAAGTGGTACTGAGCATTTTGCAAGCATATATTGGTCCTGGCGTTGGTCCGAGTTTGTGAAATAGGGAATCTGAGTAAGGCTCCCACTCAACAACAGTGGAAAAGATCAGATTTATTAGTTTGAAGAAAGAAAAAGGCCTTAAATGGTACACACTGGACACAGAGAGCTATAAACCAGCAAAAATCTGATGGCATGCTGAAGATGGTTCATGGTGGCGGTGCAGGGTAGGTTAGATCTCACGGTGCGTCATTGATCAGCATCAGTTAGACCTTCGTATAGTGCTATCCACGTGCATCAAATCCCTCACACGCCCGTTGGCCTGCGCATACTGGAGTAACTTATTCGATGAGTTTTTACTCATTTGATATACTTGTGACGGGCAGCTAAAAGTGTTGGAGCTCCCGGCTTCCCAATGATGGATGACCACGACAGCACGACGGGTCTAGGATCCTCCGGCCATTATGACCCCGATGAGATGCCATTCTTCGAGGCTGATGAAAGTGCGGAGGCGGAGCCCTGTCTTGGTGATGAGCATAGCCAGCGGCCTCCTCCTGTTTTCATCACAATGCATCGGTGAGAGACGAAGACGTCGTGCGGAAATGCAACCTTGCTTGAACTAGGTGCTGATTGATTCCCAGCGTCAGATGCCTCATCATGGCAAGCATTGGTAGCTCACTTCCTTCGAAGGGGTTTTCTTAGAACTGATTCCGATTCCTTGTAGATGATCCCTATACACTGGAGCAGTTGACCAGCCCGAGGGTGAACACGCTTGTCGTCCGGCCTTTGGTGGACCGGCTCTATGATCCCGATGATCTTTTGATAGGTTCGTCTGGCTGTCTCCTCCCACTCCTAGAAGGATATGCACTTGTCTCGCAATGAGGGATTCGAGAAAGACCAAATATTATTTGAGCGTAGCTAACGCACGATCACCAGTGTACTGCCTTCTAGCCAACCGCGTACAATTCCTCCGCGAGCAGTCCACGGCCGCCCATCAAAGCGTCGGTCTCGCCAGGGCGACGCTGTGCGAGCTGGTAGCAACGCGCATCCTGCGCAAGTTTCGCGAGGACAACCCCGGGCCTCCGGGCCTCCTCCTGCTGGCCAAGATCCTCGTCGAAGGCTACGACCCCTTCTCCGGTGCGCCGGAAGATGTCCAGCGCTCTGGGCGCTACCGCCAGTGGCCGGTTCAGGAGCGTGGCGGGAACGAGAGGAAGCTCACTGCCCTCGAGCTGGCGATCCTCTCCGAGAGCAAGAACTTCATCAACTCGAAAGCCTGTCAGATGGTTGTCAATGCGGTGCATCAAGGGCAGGTCGTTTATTCGCCCTTGTCATTCATCGATATTTTGCCCGACCATTACAAGCACCAGCCCGTTTCCTTGTACGACCCCTCCAAGGCGCCTCTCTTCAACCATTATCGCCTCATTGTCCCTCGTTCTCGGAGCATCATCGAGCTGGTCCACTTTATTGTGTTGATCCTGCTGTATATCACGGTCATGGTCCATCGCAACAGCGCTAACCTGGGCCTTTATGAGACTGTATTCATCACCTACACTGCCGGTTGGGTTCTCCACGAACTTGCCTCCATCATCGAGCACGGCTGGGCAGTTCACTCTCAAAGCCTCTGGTCCTTTTTGGACCTAACCTTTATACTCATTTTCGGCTTGTATGTTCTTGCCCGGGTGTATGACGTCTGCGTCGGGCATGTTCACGACGGCATCGCCCTTCACGTGCTGTGCATGGCGGCGCCGGTTTTGCTCACCCGCATCGCGTTCAACCTCATGCCTGATAACATTCTCTTCATCTCGCTCCACGCCATGATGAAGGACTTTCTCGTGCTGACATTCCTCGCCATCTGGTGCTTCACCGGCTTCTTCCTGGCGCTGCAGTGGCTGGTGACGAACGGCGACAGCTCTGCGGGCCCGAAGTGGTACACGGTGATAAAATGGCTTCTTTGGATCTGGTTTGGCCTGGATGGGACGGGGATTGAAGAGTCTTTCCAGTTCCATGCCGTCCTGGGCCCGGCGCTGATGATTGCGTTTGCTTTCCTCGGCAACACCTTGTTTCTCACGATCCTGGTTGCGCTGCTAACCAACACGTTCTCGAGGATCGTCGCGGCAGAAAGGGCGGAAATTCAATTCCGGCGCGCCGTTCTCACATTCGAAGGCGTAAAGAGCGACGCCATTTTCGCGTACCCGCCGCCGTTTAACATTCTCGCCCTCGTCATCCTTCTCCCGCTCAAGTTCCTCATCACGCCGCGAGCGTTTCACAGCACGCACGTGGCTATGGTCCGGGTGGTGAACGCGCCCATTTTACTGCTTATTACCTTCTACGAGCGCCGGATCTGGAGCCAGGCCGCCTTGGGAGGTTCCAGGTCAATGAGGTGGCAGTTCACGGGCTACTCGCCTCACGGGGACATCCAGGCCGTCTTCGAGGCCAAGCAGCCGCCGGGGATTCAAGAAGAAGCGGATGAAATTGACGGGCTGAGTGAGATGGGATTCATGGACCATGATGTACTCTCGAGGTCGTCGAGGGAAATTAAGCGGCCGGCAGTGTTCCAGCTGGGGAATAGCAGACAGCGAGGGATCAGCCCTAGGTCGATTGAGGGATTGCCCTTTAGTCTATAATAATACCAAAACAACGTCTAAATCTTCATGTAACTGCTTCACATTAGACAGTCTCGGGACGATGGACACACACCATCGAACACAGGGAGCACCCGCTCGGTCAAGCTTTTGCCAAGGCCACGAAGCCCGCTCTGAGTCCCAGCTTACATCTGGAACTGGCCATTGATGTGAGTATTCCGGCGGGGAACGTCCAGATAATGGCGCGTCTGGCGGCCTCCTGCGATGAAATCTGCGCGGCCGTGTTATACGGGCCGGGGAATAAGGCCGCATGCGGCAACAGCTTTAACTTTACCCCTTCCGAATTAAGGTGGCGGGATCCATGACCTCATTCCGGCATGGGTGGCTGGTTTCCTGATCGTTCTTCGTTAGCGAGCCCATGACAATGGCATGTCACAAGCCCTTGTCTTGGCTCTAGAAATGTACCAATTCGCTGTTAGAACTCTGGCGTCCGTCTGGTGATGCACCACTTGGCCAAGACTTCCAGGGCTGTGCAAGTCCACCAGCCGCGGTTGAGAGGACAATGGCCGGAAACAATTCCATCATATCATGACCTCGAGATTTAGATGGGGCTCCGGCAATGATTGTATCCGATGCTCCATTTTCTGCTTGCTCTCTACCTACGACCTCAGCCTTGAATATTGACGGCCGATTTGATAGTGTCAATAAACTCAAGACATGCCAGCAGCTCTACATCCACTCCATCCCCTTTTGACTAACCTTGGTCTCATCAACATCGTCGTTGTGGTAGTGCGACTAATATGGTTCCGGAAACACTTCGAGGAGGTTGCTAGTCGACCCCTATTCCGACACCGCCTCCCACAAAACCAATGGTTTCTGCGCCTTTCAAGCCCTCTACATTCTGAGAGGACTGCGTCTTTCAAGCGACTAGATTCGCAAGGACCTAGAATTTTCCACTGGGGACACCCTGATCGATGACCTGACAGGACATTGGCAATTGCCACTGACTATGACTCCTCTTCCCGCCAACATAGCGAGCAAGCCTCGTCGCAAACTACCGCGAGCGGTGTTGATGTTCTCCAGGAGCATGCTCGTGATTCTGGGGCTGATGGCGAGAAGGCAACACGGGTGAGCCCCGGCCGCGTATCACTTTCGATGCCGCGGTTGGTAACTATCCCTGCATGAAATAACGCTCTACATTCCTGGCCCTCGTGATCGTGACTAAGTTTGGAATGGATTCCTCAGATAGTAATGTGCGGTTACTGACCCTCGTTAGGACAACCCATTGTCGGGCTCAACGACCCCCGTCTCAGTCGCGATGGTATGTTCACCCTGGTGATGTTGTACATCTCCGCGTTTCCCATCGCTCTGGCCATCCGCAGCTCAAACACGTATGAGGAGAAGGACCTAGGAATTTATGAGCAAGAAGAGTCGGCGGATGAAGGGGTGGGCAAGGCCTATATGTTGACGCATATTCGGAACTAGCTTAGCCTCGACTTGTGGTATATCTTCCTTGGGATGTCTGCATTTGCATTGCTGAGGCGAATCATATCATGGACGATAATGATTTGGTTTGTACCCTGGGGCCCTCGAAACTTCCAGTGCTAATTACGATTGGTCATTTGCCGTCTTCCCCATCTTCTTTGAAGCAATTTCAGCTTAGTATGTGGCCTCTCCATCATACTTCCCTTCTCTTGTGGATTCAGCTAACGGCGAATGTTTCACAGTGGCAATGTCGGCCTTAGTCTCGGGTACCCCAATGTCGCAGCATCCTTCAGCCGCCAGTTTTCGATATTCGGCAAGCTTGTCATTTGCGCCATGATGATTCGTGGCCGTCATCGCGGTCTTCCCTATGAGCTGGCCCATGCAATCGCGCTACATAGTGAGCATATCGTCGAAAACGACACTGCTAGCAAAAGAAAAGGATAGATTTCTCAGTCGGTTACAGCATCCCACGTGGCCATCAGATCGATCCAGGCGTCGGGCCTGTCTCAAGTAGCTGGCCGAAGACTGATGCCCGCTGTGAGTGGCTAAGTGTGGCGAAGTGTGGCGGGATTGGCGAGCTGTTCGATGGTGGGTTGAGGGAACAAGGGAGACGGTCAATGGATAATGGAGAAAATCAAAGGGAAAAAAATGACAAAAATTTCAAAGATACAATAAAGCTTGAAATAAGTGCATCTTGGCATGCATTGCATTTTGTGACATATCTCCATGCCTCAGGATTCACCAAAAATGAAAATGATGAGGAATGATGGATGAATGAATGCCTAAGGCATCAAGGGGCAGCAGGTAACAGTCTAGCACGTAATTGACGACCAGGGCCTGTCAGTCCACGACTGACCGCTAAGGTGGGTTTGTTAGGTGGGTGGCGGGGCACTTCGGCATCTAATTGCCTACTCTACTCTCTACTTTCATTACTCCGTCCTTCTTTCAAGATGCACAGCGCAAGAGCACGACGAGGCTGCCTATGACTCGAAATCACACTACTGCCTGTTGAAGCCGGAAAAAGAAGACAAAAGAACATCGCCTCCCCAGCAGAAAGTGTCCGTTTCAACCCGCGTTTATGCATTTGCCCCCCCCCGTCGGCATCTCCTGACGTTATCCCCCCGCTACGCTGTGCCGTGCTGTCACTGCTGTGGCAGTTAGGCGGGGCAATATCTTGGGGCAACATCTCGGAGGCGCTTCACCGTTGCCCGCACTAGATACACATCACTCAAGCTCGACCGGTGTCTGCGCTGCGTTTCCTTGAGTTTTACACCTCGATTCTCGCTATTTACGACACTCCAGCATTCTACAGCATTCTCCAGCATTCCCCATCTCCCCCGATAGAGCCCGCAACTTGACCACGCTGGGACCGTCGCCCATCCCGCAACCATGGACGACAACATCGCCACCTTCAACGCCATTACGGGCGCCAGCCCCGACGTCGCTCGCAGCTTCCTCGAGATGACCGCTGGAAACTTTGAACGCGCCATCGAGCTCTTCTACGAGAACCCCGATCTCGCGTCCGGAGTCGGCGCCGGCCTGTCCGCCAACACCGCGCCGTCGACCAACCCTGCGCCCGCCGCCGCCGCAGCCGCGAGGCCCAATATCGGGACCCTGGATTCGGATGGCGTTATCCACATCGATAGCGACGAGGACGAGGATATGCAGTTCGACGATGATTCCGACAACGACATCGACAACGACCGCGCTGTTGCTGCTCAGGCCGCCGCCCTCGCCCAAGAGGAGGAGGACATGGCCATGGCCAAGCGGTTGCAGGAGGAGCTATACCAAGAACCCCACGGCGCCGGCGCAGCTTCGGGCTCGGCCATGGACGACGTGAGGGCGCCCATTGCCCGCACCACCGAGACCCTCATTGCTCCAGGCCCGTCCTGGGGCGACGGGGACGGTGACGTGGATGCGGCCCTCTTGGAACAGCTGCGAAGACGACAGCAGCAACAACGTAAGCCTAAGTAATCCCCCGAACTTGAATGACTCTTCTGACACGATGATTAGCAGCTCGATCTGGCGGTCCCTTTTCACAACAAATATGGGGAGATCCCCAACGCCACCCTACCCAGGCGACCGAGAACGGCGCGGGGGCTCACGCGAGACGGCTTGAGGATTTATTTCGCCCACCTTACGATATCATGGCTCGAATGACCTGGGACGAGGCCCGCACCCTCGGAAAGGAGGACAAGAAGTGGATCATGGTGAACCTCCAGGACATGAACGACTTCAACTGCCAGGCCCTTAACCGCGACATCTGGAAGGACAAGAGTATCCGGGAGCTGGTGTCGGAGAACTTCATTTTCTTGCAGTACGACAAGGATTTCCCCGACGCCCAGGAATACCTCACCTTTTACTTCACTAACGGGTCCCACGAAAACCCTGACAACTACCCTCACGTCTCCATTATTGATCCCCGAACCGGCGAGCAGGTCAAGGTGTGGAGCGGCAGGCCGTTTCCCGGTGCGTCAGAATTCCACGCCGAGCTGGCCGAGTTCCTTGACCGGTACAGTCTCGCTGCCAACAGCAAGAACCCAGTAGCCGCGGCGACGGCACGCAAGCCTCAGGTGGTGGACGTGGAGCGAATGACGGAGGACGAGATGCTGGAGATGGCTCTCAAGAACAGTCTGGAAAGCTCCGCGAACAGGGGATCGTCATCGACGCCGAACGTGCACGACCCCGATGCTTTGACAAAATCCGACGAGTCGACGGACGAAGCCGAAGGAAAGGGCAAGGAGCCAGAGCAAAATCCCTTTGCCTTGATATCCGGTACGAGCCCACACGCCGAGCCTGAGAACAACCCAGCCACAACCACGCGCATCCAGTTCCGACACCCCACCGGACGTGTCATCCGCCGGTTTAATCTTGAGGACCCTGTGCGCAGGATCTACGAGTGGCTCAAGGCTGAGCCACTCGAGGGCAAGGATGGAATTGAATTTGAACTGAAGAAGATGCCTCAAGGCCAGGACCTAATGGAGAGCTTGAATGCGACTATTGCAGATACGGGTTTGAAGCAGGGTACGGTGATGATTGAGTTTATCGAGGACTAAGGGCTGAGACGAAGGTTGAGGACGAATGACGAATTACTAGGGACCAAGGACCAAGGACGAAGGACCGAGGGACTTGGTCAAATGCCGACGGAATGAAAGCAGAGCAATGATTACCAGTATCTAGGTACATACAGGACCATGAGGAATGATTCATATTGCCCATAGATGGAGGAACCGGACTGGACAGGCATGCAGGCAAGCAGGCAGGCAAGGAAGGGATCAGATGCATTTTTTCTGGGGCTTGTGTTTTGCTTTGAGAACAACTGGAGTCTATTAGACGCTTCTGTGCTTGTGGTGGCCAAGACAAGCCAGGGCAGGACAGGGCAGGGCATGATATGACACGGCGGCAGAACAGTGATTCAGTTGCGATATGAGGGATAAGGTAGCAGCAGTGCGATAGTGTGACACGAAGAGACAGAGTGAGAGTGAGAGAGAAAGCCATCGTCACTCAGATGCTTGGTTCATTGAGTTACCCGGTGTCTTTGATGCGTTGTCTTGTGTCTGAGAAGCAATGTCCAACTGATGGGGAGATGGATGACAGTGTGGAATCAATGCTGACGAATGATAACAAACCTCGGCGAACCAATCGACTCAGAAATGAACGACACGAGAAGGGCTTCGTCGAACCCTGTTTCTGGGAGCCAGCTCACATCAGATCATGCCATTTCATTTCAGTTGAGTTGACGTTGGTTGATCCATTAGCTGACAGTTCCTCTGCGGCTGACGGGAAGCCCGACACCCAATCTCAGCGTCTTCCAATCGCGTGGCTCAGGAACGATGCGTTTCACCCGGGCTGAGCTTTTACGTCCGGAGGCGGACAGCCAATGGCGCACCGCAGACGATAGGGCTACGTGCTCCCTGGAAGAGGCCCTGGAAGACGACGAGGGCCATCCCTCTAGCGGTGCCGTTCCCTGAAACTTTGGTGGAGGCGCGCACGGTGAGTGGTGGGCAGGCGCGTGGTCCTGGGCGCCGGAGCGCTGTCGTATTCACGGGCTTTGCGGCTTGGGGGCGGAGCTGGGCTGAAGGTGAGGGGCTCCTTCATCCACCCATCCATCCCGCCATCTCGATCCCTCCTAGCGGCCCTCCTCCGCTGCGACATGCGCTGCGCTGGCCACTGAACAGCCGCTGCGTTGGCCTGCGTCGGCACCTACGTAACCGTCCCTGGAGCCAACGCGACAGGGGCCATCCCCTCATTCCACCTTGCCCACGCGCTGCGACGCTCGCTGGTCGCACCAAGCAAGTCCCCCGGAGAGGGATAGGTCCAGGACTCCAGGTACCTGCACAGGCTTCCAGGCCCGGTAAACAGCGGCCAGCAGCCAAGCAAACAAGCAAGCTGCACCCAACCAACTCCCAGACGTATTTGTTTTGCTGGGATTGGCCGAGTTGGAAGACTTGCACCTTCAGCACGTCGCCCCGTCTCACGCCGCATTCGCTCATCTTCCCTTTTTATCCCAGTATCGGTTCTCGCTGTCTCGTGTTCTCTGCGCCTGACACGAGGTATATCTTTTTCCATTCCATCCCCAAATAGCCCGAGACAGCGACAGACACCTCGCTTTGGTGGGGTGCAACGCAGAACGACACCGCCAAACACAACGCCCAGGTCCCGCTTCGGCCCATATCTGAGGGACTCGACCCGACGTGCCGCTGCCTCGACTTTCCTCCCACGATCGACGACTGCACCGCTTCGTCTCGACCGGCCGATCCTCTACCGAACCCCCGAGTAACAGGCGCCCTTTTTTTGCTTTCTTTTTGCTTCTTCCCCGCCCCGACGAAGCGCATCCCTGCGACGAGCTACAAGCTTCGCAGACCGGTGGGACGCACGCGAGACCAAAGCCTTCTCCGCCCCAAAAGCAACGCCCACGAGGCTGCGACCATGGCGGAACGGGAGCGCGAGGTGGACGAGGGCAACGAGGCGTTGGACCCGGAGCTCCTCTACTCCAAGGAATACTGCATTGGTTAGTGTGGGATGCTTCCCCAGGCCGCCCTTGACTGGTCGATGTAGCATGGAATCGCTAACGAGGGGTCTTCGTTGTCATCAGGCGGTGGTAGCTTTGGCAAGGTCTACAAAGGGTACGTACAGCAACCTCAACTTCTCTCTCCTCTTTTGATCCATCCCCCGCTCACCAGATCCCCCCAAAACAGTGTCGACAAACGTACCGGTCATGCCGTCGCTATCAAAGTTATCGACATCGAGAGCGCCGAAGACGAGGTCGAAGACATCATCCAGGAAATCGCCATCCTGTCCGAGCTGCAGTCCCCGTACGTCACTAAGTACTACGGATCCTATGCCAAGGGCGCCGAGCTATGGATTGTCATGGAGTTCTGCTCCGGCGGGAGCTGTGCCGACCTGATGAAGCCGGGGCTGATTGGTGAGGACTACATTGCCATCATTATGCGGGAGCTCCTCATGGGCATGGACTACCTGCACTCGGACAAGAAACTGCACCGTGATGTCAAGGGTGAGGAACTATGCTGTTCGTCTGTACGCTTCTTGTTGCTGACTATGGACTGTTTCTAGCGGCCAACGTCTTGCTCAGTTCTAACGGCCAGGTCAAGCTCGCCGACTTTGGCGTCTCTGGCCAACTCTCGGCTACCATGACCAAGAAGAACACTTTCGTCGGGACACCCTTCTGGATGGCTCCGGAGGTCATTAAGCAATCCGGATACGACCACAAGGCTGACATCTGGTCCCTCGGCATCACCGCCCTCGAGCTGGCCAACGGCGAGCCCCCCTACGCCGACATCCACCCCATGAAGGTGCTGTTCCTGATCCCCAAGAACCAGCCCCCTCGTCTGGAGGGTAACTTTACCAAGGCGTTCAAGGAGTTCATCGAGCTTTGTCTGCAGCGGGATCCCAAGGAGCGACCTACCGCGAAGGACCTCTTGCGGCACCCGTTTATCAGACGGGCCAAGCGAACGACGTATCTGACGGAACTCATCGAGCGGCATACGCGGTGGGCGGCCACCCATAAGGGGGACGATGAAGAGACGTGGGACACCAACAGCGGCAGAGCCCCGAGGGAACGCGAGAAGGTGGACGAGGACATGTGGGATTTCGGCACTGTCAGACTGGTTGGCGAGCGCGGTAATGCCAGTAGGCCTGGGCTCAACACCATGGACGAGAGCGCGACTAATGCGCGCGCGGCACGGTCCCTGGAGAACACGGACGACTACGGCGAGCGACGGCGCGAAGGAAGCCCGACCAAGGTGCGAGACTTTGCGCCGCCGCAGACGAGCGATACCGTCAAGGCGGCCAACGCTGGGACGGCACGACAGGCAAGCCCACAGCGGAAGCCGGTAGCACACCAGCACCCGCAGCCTCCGCCAGGTTTCGGCTCACCCTCAAAGGTGCCTCTGCCCCTGAGCCCGATGAAGCAGCCGGTCGTGACGAGGGAAATCATCGAGACGCCACGACCGAGGCAAATGGCGCCGTTGATCGGCCAGTCGCCAGACTACGACCGCGAGCTGCAGAGCCAGTTGCAGCGTGACATGGGAATGCTTAACTTGAGTCTCATGGCGTCGCCCGAGGGAAGCGCAGGCTCGCAGTCGCCGGTGAGGGATTGGTCTATACCCCCTGCTCCGCCTGCTCATCAGAGTCAATCGCGGCCGTCGAGCTCGAAACTGGTGCCCATGGCACTGCCCGAGATACCTCCCTACAGAGGGAGCCCGTCCCCCGGCCAGAGAGTCCCATCGGCGCAGCAGATTCCCCCTCAACGAGTCCCCGCGCTGTCGTCTGGACCAACACCGGCACCATTAGCTCCCCGGGCTCTTCCTTCCAAGTCCGATTCACCCATCCCGTCCGAGTATAGCACAGCCCCGTCCGAGTTCCCCTCACCGGCACCGGCCAACCCCAACGGAGATCTGGATGCCCTCAACGACGTCATCTTTCCAGCGCTGGAGGAGGCGCTTAAGCGGCGACAGATCCATCTCCAGCAGACGTTCAAACCTGGGCAAAACCCGGCGGTGGCGTCACCGACACAGCAGCGAGCCGAGGCGGCGCACGAAAAGGTCCGAAAACTCGTGTACAAGTTGGCGCATGTGTGCAAGGAGATTGACCATTACGACAAGGCTGAGCCTGTGGGAATGGGTAGGGAAGTCGGAAGCTTCCTCGAGGGTCTTCTTGAGGAGATACTGGTACGAGTAGAGCCGCTGGACGAGGACGAGGAGGTGTGAGGTTTTGTCTACGAGTCTGGAGCGAGCATGAAGCGATTCAGCGGGTTGTTGGCATTGGCGATGAGGATGTGCTTTGGGAGTTTTGGGTTGGCATGGTTCTGTGTGATATACGATGATTATGAGCGTTGGCCTTGGCCGGTTCATGGACGAACCGGATAGAACAGGACAGGACATGACGGTACAGGACAGGGATGGTCGTACGGATGGACCGGGAACATTGAAAAGAAAAAAAGGCTGGCTGGTTGGCATGAAAGGGTTGTCGTGTCTTGATTTTGTGCGATTGCAGTGGAGGGACATAAAGCAAGCCGGGATGCATGTGTCATACCCGCGTATGAACTGGAATAGACATAGGTTTTATTTCCTATAACGGTGTGAAAGTGAACGTGAGTGTACTACGTAGTAACACTTGTTGATGCTCATGGATCGAAACGTGGTGGAGTGATTTTGCGAAAGGAAGCCGGGATCGTCTTGTTTTGCTGGGGTCGGGTCATGATGGCATTTTTAGCGATTGGATGTTTTTTACCATCTTCTGCGTGCTTCCGGTGGGTGTTTGCGTATGGTTAGCGGTACCTGGTTCCGGGCATAAAGCCTGCGACTCAAAAATGGTCATATTCGAGTCGGTGCATTTCGTTGAAGCCGTTGTTGACATTTGTTGCTGGGTTGACATGACGTCGTAGCGAATCCAGACGCTTGACGCATGCAACACAAACGGTTTTTGATCCCGCTAGCATCAAAATATCCCCAGCGGTCTAAGCCTAAACAGGGCAGCGGTGTCACCGAGACTGCTGCCACGAGGGGCCTAGCGTCCACCTGCGCCGGCCCTCCGAGTGGCTGCTTTCACGCGCTGGGCGGGCAGCTGTTCGCAGGTGGGTGGCACTCCGTAGTGGCGGGGTGGTTTAAAGTGGCGCACCCGCTCGCACCGAAGAAAACTCTCCTCGGATCAAGCGCGGAAAAACGAGCGGCGGCCGAAGCAGGTTCCCAGGTTTTGCAGAGGGTCCGATGGGCCATTGCGCCCGTGGGAACCTTGGGGCAACGGGGGAGACGGGGAACGGGAAGGGTTAAAGCAAATCGCGCACCTGCTTCGTCTCGCTTTGTCCTTCTCTTTCTTTCCGACTGCAATCTTGAATCTCTATTTTCCTTTTTTTTTTCTTCCCGATCTTCGTCTTGTCGGTGCTGCCTCCCTCTACCTCTACCGTATACTACACCACCCATCTCCACTCCTCCTCCTCCCCTCCATTCATCATGTTGTCGCGAGGCTCTGCTCGATCGGCCCAGGTAAGCTAGCTGGAGTGTTTTCTTATTTTTTGCCCTGTCGTCTCTCAGCCTTGCTTGCCCGAGGGGGAAGCCGAGGGAATTGGACGAAGAATTGGCCGGGCAGCGGAGGCGTACGCTGTTTCTGGTGGCACACGATCATGACGACGAATTGACGACGGCTCGCGATCACAACGCCACCCACGACACACGACCACGATAACACGCTCGGATGGAAGCAGGAGGGGCACGCAATGGCATCATGAGACCCCTCACCACGCTTCACACCCTCGCAGCACCAATCCCTTCGATCACTGGCTAACACGTCCTCTCTCTAGCTGCTGCGCGGCGTGGCCCAGCAACAACCCCAGCTCGCCCGATCCTTCGCCACGGTCCAGTCCGACATCTTCAAGCCCTCCAAGTTCGGCGGCAAGTACACCGTCTCCCTCATCCCCGGCGACGGCATCGGTACCGAGGTGGCCGAGTCGGTCAAGACCGTCTTCAAGGCCGACAACGTCCCCGTCGACTGGGAGCAGATTGAGGTTTCCGGCCTTGAGGGCGGCCGCACCGAGGAGGCCTTCCGCCAGTCCGTCTCGTCGCTCAAGCGCAACAAGCTCGGCCTCAAGGGCATCCTGCACACCCCCATCAGCCGCTCCGGCCACCAGAGCTTCAACGTCGCCCTGCGACAGGAGCTCGACATCTACGCCAGCATCTCGCTGATCAAGAACATCCCCGGCTACGAGACCCGCCACAAGGACGTCGACCTGTGCATCATCCGTGAGAACACCGAGGGCGAGTACTCGGGCCTCGAGCACCAGTCCGTCCCCGGCGTCGTCGAGTCGCTCAAGATCATCACCCGCGCCAAGTCGGAGCGCATCGCCAAGTTCGCCTTCTCCTTCGCCCTGGCCAACAACCGCTCCAAGGTCACCTGCATCCACAAGGCCAACATCATGAAGCTGGCCGACGGTCTCTTCCGCAGCACCTTCCACCAGGTCGCCAAGGACTACCCCACCCTCGAGGTCAACGACATGATTGTCGACAACGCCTCCATGCAGGCCGTGTCCCGCCCCCAGCAGTTCGACGTCATGGTCATGCCCAACCTGTACGGTGGCATCCTGTCCAATATTGGTGCCGCCCTCGTCGGTGGCCCCGGTATCGTCCCCGGCTGCAACATGGGCCGTGAGGTCGCTGTCTTCGAGCCCGGCTGCCGTCACGTCGGTCTCGACATCAAGGGCAAGGACCAGGCTAACCCCACTGCTATGCTCCTGTCCGGCAGCATGCTGCTGCGCCACCTCGGCCTCGATGAGCATGCCAACCGCATCTCCAAGGCCACCTACGCCGTCATTGCCGATGGGTAAGTGACACTCGCAGATTCAAATGTCCCAATGCTAACTCTCCTCACAGCAAGGTCCGCACCCCCGACATGGGCGGCTCGTCGACCACCCACGAGTTCACCCGTGCCATCCTCGACAAGATGGAGACGTTGTAAATTTAGCAATTGATATCCACACTACCATGCACATTTCCTTTTGCGCGAGCGCACCTGCAGGACCGAGCAATCACCACCGATCGACATAGACCTAGAATGACCGGGGGGCTTCAGGAGGGGTTCTGGCGGATACGGCGTCACAGAGGGGACCAGGAGGGGGGCGAACCTTGGGAAGGAGAGGGACAAGCAGAGGATGAGTAGACGAAGGAGATTGTACGTGTAACATGACCTTGTTAAGCCGTCTTGAATGCATATATCTGGTACCTACTTGCAGTGTGTCGAGTTGTTTGGGAGTGATGGCGTCCGTTGAGGGGGAAGTCATGAGGCTAGGCATTGTCCAACACACCAGTTCAATCGCCAAGATAAGACTGCTCAAAGTCAAGTCTCTTGACTACAGAACACCTAAAATGCGGCTTTACTTCACATCTCGTCTATTGTGATATTAAACCTCTCATGTCATGGCCGGTCAACATCCTCGGTTGGAGCCGAGCCGAAACCCCCAGCCAGGACCGACGAATGAGCGCTCGCCGCACGAGCGCGGGAATTAATTGGGAGCATTCTGCAGGCGGTTCACGCGCAGCCGCTGTCATGGCTGCAGGGATTTTGTGGTTCCTTGCAGCCTGTATTGTCGCTCCAAGCTGGATTATATAAGTCATGATGGTCGGGCGAGAGAGGCGGAGAGTCGGTCGCCGACGCCGATCCGAGTGGGACGACGGCTCGGGTTAAGTTGTGTTGGAAAACTGGACTATTAAAGTGTGAGTTCCTGGATGAAACTCGGTTCTGAGACTGCTTTTAAGTGCTTCATGGACATTGTAGAATTAGGTCAGTTCTCGTTTTGGGGCACGGACTTCATCATATCCTGACTTGATCAAGACGTTTTCTGACTTTTGTCTGCCTCTATAAACCTACCACTAGTCCTTCTTCATGCCCACCTTGCCAGCCTTGCGCATCCCGACCGCACTAATAGCCACACTAACAACTGCCAATCCAAAGCAGGCCCAGAATGCGCTGCGATAGCCTTCGAGAGTCGCAGATGCCTCGCTCACTCCGTCGTCTTCCATCTTGGAGTGCGTTACGGACGACGCAATCATTGCCGTGATTGCGGGCCCGACGCTGTTCCCCAGCTGCGTGACGGTGTTGAAGATTCCGCCCGCGAGCGCCTGGTCCTTGCTGGGGAAGCTCGACGTGATGACCAGGTTGCTCACGTTGAACAGCAGGTCGATGCTCACCACGCTGAGGCACATGGCCGGGAACCCGGCCGCCCAGTACGTCCACTCCGGGCCCTGGATGGCGAAGAGCAGCGGCGAGAGGGCGCTCAGGAAGCCGCCGGCCAGCACCAGGTTGCCCGCCGAGACCTTGTCCATGACCAGCCCTGCCACCACATTCGTGAGGACGCCGCAGGTGACCATCGGGAGGAAGCGCAGCGCGGCGTCGAGCGCGTTCAGGCCCTGCGTGATTTGGAAGAACAGCGTGCTCCAGTAGCCAAAGGCGTTGAACCACGACCACACGAGGAACACGGTGATGCACACCGTCGTGAACTCGCGCTTCTTCCACACGCTGTTGGAGATGATGGCTGGTCGGCCGAGGCGCTCCTGGCGGCCTACCCAGAAGATGAAGAAGGGGACGAGCAGGACTGCGATTGCCGTCAGGGTTATGTTGTATGGCTTCGACATGGTGCTCCCGCTGTACGTGATTTGCGCAAAGATGTAAGACAAGATGGCGAGGCAGACGTTGGCCGCCACGACGCCGACCCAGTCGAAGCCGTGGATGAAGTGGTGCTTCATATTCTCCACGGGAGTAGTCTTGGGCAGGGTGAACCACGCGAGGACAGTTACGACAGCGTTAACCCCAGCGGCCATGTAATACGCCGTCCGCCATCCAGACAACTGGACAAAGACGCCGCCGAGAACCAGACCTGTCGCAAACCCCAGCGGACTGCCGCCGCCAAACACGGCAAAGGCGACGTTCCGCAGCTTCCCGCTCGGGAACGTCGACGTGATGACGCTCACGGCCGTCGGCATGCAGAACGACATGGCGACGCCCTGCAGCGCGCGGAAGGCGATGAGCTGCGCGCCGGTTTGCGCTACCGACACGGCCAGCGTGCACGCCGTGTACAGGACGGAGCCGAGCAGGAAGACGGGCCGGTTCCCCACGACGTCGGCGATGGCGCCCATCAGCAGAAGCGTGCACGAGAGGCCGAGCGCGTACACGGACGCCGGCCAGAGCAGCAGGTTCTCGGGGAGGTGCAGCTCGTCGGCGATGGATGGGAGTGCGACGGTGAGAGTGCCCGAGTTGAAGGTGTTGAGGAATGACACGCATGCGAGGGTTGCCATCAGCGCAGCGGAGCGTGTCTTGCTGGGTGGGATGGGCTCTGAGTCTGAGGCCATTGCGGCTTGCTGAGTGCTGCTGAGAGCTTCAGCTGGTGCCTCGAATATCCGCTCATGGTGAATGACAACTGGTTCCAGCTCGTATTGCGTCAATGACATGGCTCTTACACTGATGGGTTGGCTCAATTGCAGAATGGCGGGGTATAAGCAACGATAAATAGACGCCAATCCGGCTTAATAATGCCATGAAGCCGTCTCCATGCGCATGTGGATTAATATGTCAACGAAAGGGCGTGTTCACGAAACAGTTACCTAGCCGATGTGCTTTTTTTGACATCAACTACAGGGGGTCATTGACCGATGGGCGTGTCAGCAGCTCGAAGCGGAAGGGATCGCAGTTATGACATGGTGTTCTCTTCGCAGCGCATCAGAGGTGACTTGAATGCTCCCCCTCGAGCCCGACGAACCACTCCTGCGAAAGCTGCGAGATGGCGTCATTGTGAAACTCGTCGAGGCCAAGGTTCTGCAAATCGCCGAAGCAGTCGAGGAACGTGTTGTCGACGCTCATGTTCACCAGCCCAGCGTGCGAGGCGTGGCCGTACAGCTCCTCCGTGTAAGCGACGGGCTGCGGAGTGATGTCCGGAACTGCAGGCGGCGTCGTATGGGCGTCGACAATATCGGCGACGACGGCGTCGCTCAGCCTGTCGAACAGGTCGGAGCAGTTCCGCGCGAGATCCCACCGCTCGGAAACGGCCACGAGAACCTTGGAGCACGCCCGCGTGTCGTTGACGACCTGCGCGATGGAGGGAGTCGTGTGCAGCTTGGCGCCTGGAGCCGAAGACTGGAGAACCTGGAAGTGGTTGCGCAGCGCGTAGATGTACGACAGCCCGGCCATGAAGACGGCCTGCATCGTGATCCACGAGTAGTTCATCTTCCTGGACCGGTGTAGGCTGGCGTACAGGCTGATGGCCTCCCGCGACGAATCGAATATGTGCTGCAGGGCCACGCTGTTCAGCGAGGCATCGCAGAGACACGGCGAAGGCCGGAACAGCATCAACATGCCGTTGTGGTAGAGCAGCCGGTACCACTCCTCGGAGCGAAAACTCGATCCGCTCGCCGGCGATGCGACCTGAGAGGAAGCGTCGGCCCTGACGAGCGACAGCGCCGCCGTCTCGGCGTGCCAGCTCTGCAGCTCCTGGGCCAGCGCGTTGCGTATTTCCTGGTACTTGGCTGCCGCTTCCGGGGTGTGCTTCGCGCTGCGGTAGAGCGCGTTGAGGATTTTGCCGCAGAGGATGCGGTACTTGACGATGTGGACGAATATCGACGTGGCGGCGCGCCATTGAGGTGTTCCGTATGTCGTCGAGGACACGGGGCTGTCTGATGGCAGGGCCTCGGAGGAATTGGTGTAGTTAGGGAAGTCGGCGTCGATGTCCTCGAGTTGGATCCCGAGAGGTCGTCCGAGGGCAAGACTCGCAACACGGTCCAGTGCGACCAAGCTCCAGAAGCATTTCTTCTTGATTTCCATGTCCTCTTCCTTCGACGTATCTCCGGGCTCACGGTTGGAGTCGTTTTCTCCCGTACTCGGTCCACTGTTGCGGGCTCGCGGTATCTCGTACGTGGATGCTCTGTGTAAGCCCATCTCCAAGCACGTCCGGCCCGCCACGCCGATGAGGTGCCAGACGCTTGTCGTGGTGTTGCTCGACGTGGTGCCCATGCGGTATTGGCAGATCAGGAGAAGCGCCTGCAATCTCTCGATGCCGTCGCGCGCGAGGACGTCGGCGAGCTTCGTCATGGCGCGGTTGTAGTGCGTCTCGGCGTCGTAGCCGCCGTTCCAGTTGAACTTGTGTACCTGGGCTGTTGCGATGGCGAGCGTGATGTCGACGAAGAAACTATCCACGGCGTCCACTTTCTCAGGCGTCTCGGCCGCGTACACGGCTTCTAGCGACCGGTGCAGGGCCCTGGTGGATAGGAATGGGTACGCGAGGTGGTCGTGGCTGCAGTAGGCTCGCATGAGTTCTTCGGCGAGGCTTTTCGGCGGGAGTCCTGAGAAGCCATGGGGTGACTGGCGGCCAGGGATTGATTGCGGCTTCCATCCTGCGGCGGAGAGCAGTGATGATGAAGGCTGAAGGCCGGATTGTAGCAGGTTGGCGAGAAAGAGACCGCTGGTTGAACCGACGAAATGATGGCCGCCCCCGGCGATGAGACTCATTTGGATCACCTCCTCGGCGACTTCTACATCTCCACGCTGGCTCGAGGCCTCGGGCTGTGGAGTAGTCGGCGTGCCAAACCCCACAGCCGGACCGTCGGCGTCATCGCCTCTCGTCGATGCTATCTCAGGCCGTCGAAGCTGAGCAGACAAAGCTGCATTATCAGCCTCAAGATCCCGAATCCGCCTCTCGAGTTTCTGCGTGTTCCGCCGACGGAGCTGGTGCTCGCTGACTGCGTATCCGCACTGCGCGTCGGCCCTCTTGCAGGGGGTGCACTGCGGCAGGGCCTTGTCGCATCGGACCTTGCGCCGATGGCATCTGTCGCAGGCGCTCGGGGGCATCTGCGCTGAGAGGAGACGGGGAGATGGCAGTTGGTTTGTTTGAGAGTTGGGAGGAAAAACGGGCGGCGATGCGTCCGCTCCGTCTCGGTGCTCGGTGGATGAGGCCGAGTCTGGGGTATGATCATCTCAACCCCGCTCGACCATCGTCCCATGCCCATGGGGGTGGGCCAGTTCCCAGTTTGCTCGGCAATTCGAGCGGTTATGTTGAGAACGGGTCCAATGGAGGGTGCTATAATTTCTAATCTCTCATCAGGTTGTCAAGGTTAAGAATCCTGGCTCTTCTGGGGTTACGCGGGAAAAGACCGGACTCGGGAATCAATTGTTCTGTACGGAGTACCTAATCTGCTACCTTTTAGGGCTTATGAGAAGTAGGAATTAGTGTGCTTAGCCTAATTGTGATTAGCTGATTAGGAATTGTTGCTTTTTCTTAGGATAAGACTTTTGAAAGGGCCCTCCGTATATACAGCGCTATCCTTGACTTCGTTTATACGTCAAGACAGAGTTCAACCCTTGCGCAGTTGAGACTGCATTAATATGCGTAGAACAGCACGGCCTCGGAATCACTCTGCTTGATCTTCCTGTTCTCCTTGACCAGCATCCATCTCATAACCCAAACACCAATCGCGCAGGCGGCCGCAAAGCCAGCGCTGCTTGCCATGGGGATTTCGTACCGAGGAGCATTCGAGGCTGGCCAAAGATACTGCTTTAGTTAACATCTGGCATTCTTAACAAGGTGTATTCCATAATGACTTACTGGTGTCCAGATAAAGCTGATCGTCGCACTGACGTTGACGACGGCGAGGGCAGACGCCTTCTTCTGCTTGGTTTGGCCACAGGTGTTGCCAACCCAAGCCAGCAAGATGGAGTTGACGGCGTACGTCCCAATGGTAAAGACGCACATGGCAAAATATCTCGCGCCCGTGTTCAGCGTAGCGCAAGCAAGCACAAACCCGAAAATGGCAACTATCTTGGCAACTGTGATGTGCCAAGTGGCCTCGTTGAAGTGCCCAGAGGACCGCGCCCAGAAAATGGAGATGATGCCGGCGATGAGATACGGGGGGCAGGTAAGCACCAGTGTGATGGTGGTGTCGAAGCCCAGAGTTTTGACAATGGTCGGGAAGAAGTTCTTGAAGCCGTTCGTCGCGAGGTGCATGTGCTGGAGGAATACGAACAGCCAGACCTTGGGGTCGACGATGGCCTCCCTGAGGCCGCCCCATGTGCTTCCGTCGAACCTCTGGCCTACAGTATCGCGCGCGACTCTGTCATGGGCCAGCTGACGCTCTTCTGGGGTTAGCCATCTGGTGGTGAGTGGCTCATCGGGTAGGGTGTAACAGGCCACGACGGCAAGGACCAAAGTGACTGCGCCCTGGAGAATAAACAGCCATCTCCAGCCCTTGATGCCCGAGGCACCGTCGAGTCCTTCAAAGACTCCAGCCGCAATCAGCCCGGCGAATGCGGAAGCAAGGATGTTTCCAGAGTAGAGGATGCTGATTCTGGTTGCGAGTTCCTTTCTGGTGTAAAAGGTCGAGAGCATGTAGAGAGCGCCGGGGTAGTACGGAGCCTCGACGATACCGAGGAAGAAGCGAACCAGGACAATCCCAACGTAATTGTTGACCACGGCTGTGAGGCCGCTGACGATTGCCCACGCCATCATAAACCCGCCCATATACCAAGAGGGCCGGACACGAGTGATGATCATGTTGCTGGGGATCTGACCTAGCGTGTATCCCACGAAGAGGATAGACACGGCAGTGTTGTACTGAGACCCTTCAAGACCGAGATCTTCTTCAAGCCCGTTCAATCGGCCTAGAGTAATGGCATTTCTGTCGAGGTAGTTGAGCCAGTACATCAACCACAAGGTAGGCTGCCGTCTGGTTAGCGCTGGGCGACTTATTGAGCGGTGTGCAGAGCACTTACCATGATCCAGAGATCGAGTTTCTTTACCAATTTGATCTCCTCGGGGTCGGTCTTGGCAGTAGCTCCCGAATAGTCGGCGTTGGGTCTCTTCTCGAAGACGTCCGACGAATATTCTTGATGTGTTGAGGCATGCTTCTCAACATCAATAGACATTGGTGCTTGAGCAGCCGACTGAGGCTGTTCATGGTTTCCGTGTGTCTCCATGGCTCAAGTTCAAGGCAGTCACCAGGATTGAGACTGATGGATTGAGAAGAAGTTGCTCAACTCTCTTGGGGGATGGGAGTTGGGCCATATTTGTTTCGAGCTCGAATGTCTTCCCCGCAATATCCTCGATCTTCGTTGCGGGGATCAAAATCCGGGGATGCATCTGAAGCGGGGACCAGGCGAGGGGATCGTCGATAGTATCGTTGCATTTGGCGTAGCATCGGTGCGCGGCGCCGACGGCCGACGAGTTGCCAAGAGCCGATTGACGAGTTCTCGGCGTACGAGCCCGATATTACCAGAGATCGCATACGTAGTGATTGGAAGGGAATTTGTTCAAAACGTGTCCGCTTCTCACTAGCAGTTGGAGTGCGCTGGCACTGACTGTTCTTTGTTAATTATGCACGCCGGAAGTACCTCTAAGGTCTAAGGTCTAAGGTCTAAGGAGACTGCGGATCAGGGCCTAAGTTGGGCGCAACTCCCGATCGGTTGGTAGTTTACAGATGCGAATTACATCTCGAGATGTCCGATAGACTCATAATCATAGGGGTTAGTTATTACGCAGTTTAACCTGGCTACTTGTCCTCCTCGAACTCAACATACTGCGCCTTGATCTCCTCCTTCCACTCCTCGAGGGTGATGACCCTATCCCCAACACGCACGGAACCCATGGGAACCGGCGGTGTCTCGTCGTCGTCTGGCTCGAGGTAGAAGAGCTCGTGGTCCTTGCCGCAAACACGCCGCTCGAACTCGCCGGCCAACAGCTTCTTGTGGCAATCATCACACAAGTGCGTCATGGCGCTCTCGGTCAAGCAGACCCAGAAACCGTGTGGCGATTCGAACAATGTGTCGCAGGGGCCGTCGCAGAATGCGATGGCCATGTTCGGCTTCTCAGGCTCGGACTCGGGCTCAGTCTCAGTCTCATCTTCAGCAACCTCAGCTTCCACATTCTTATTCTCCGCGTTCTCGTCAGCTGCATTCTCGTCTTCCCCCTTCTCGTCTTCCACCTTCTTGTCTTCTCCCTTCTTATCTTCCCCCTTCTCGTCTTCCGCCTTCGTGACGACGTTGTTCTCGTCGCCTGCAAGGTTGGAGGTTTGCTGCCCAGCCTCGCCGTCGTCTGGTGTGCCTTCCGTCGCAACCTTTTGTGATTTATTCCAGACCTCCAGTTTCCGCTCGTACTCAGCATATTGCAACTTTTGCACCTGCCCCACCATGTCAAAGGCGACTTTGATGTTGGCGTGATCGCGCATCGCGGAGAACACGTTGCTAAGGCCGAAGAAGGACCTCATATCGTTCTCGACATCGTCATCATAGAGCATCTCGAGTGACTCTCTAGCACAATTCCTCAGAGCCTTCTTTGCCCGGACCTGGTCACCTCGTAATCGGAGGTATTGAGCAAAGGCGAGAGCATTTTCCGACCAACTGGAGCTTTCCAGTTTTTCAACCATCCCGTACCAGGATTCAATTTTGTTGTAGTATCTCTCGGCCTCGGATGATGTGATCCCTTTCGCGTTGGCCAATTTAGTCCAAGTTGCAAGAAGATATGAAGTTATGTAGCTGGTGGCCCAGTCCTTCTGCTCCTCGTTAATGGCGGCGGGCATCGACTCCCAGACGGCAGTACCGGCATCTTCGTGGCCCTCGAGCCCGACCAAAAGCTTTCCTTGCTGAAACAAGAAGCCAAACTTCTCTTCACGGTCAATTTCCTTCGCCTTCGCCAGGAGTGTTTCGAGAAGGTCCCACCGTTTCGCTGATTTAACGAGACTGCTGAGAAATGGGCAGAATGTCAGGGGTTCGTGCACGATACCTCCACCGACGAATAATCCGGCCATGTTTTTGCCATCCTCTGACTGCTCGAGTAGTCCCTCCAGGAATTCAACGACGGCATCCCACTTCTCCTTCGATGCATATTTGATCAATACTTGAGAGAAGGATTTGATGATGGAGTAAGACTGGTCAATCTCCATAATCTTGGCGTATACATCCATTGCTTTGTCTTGAGTCTCGTCACTTGCCCAGTATCTGTCCCCAAGGTCGAGGATCATTTTTGCCAGAATTCCTTTGTGCTGCTTGTCTTCTAGCCACTCGGAGTCTGCCATGCGCTGGTCAATCACGCCCTCGAGGAGAGTAATTGCTTCTTCTCCGGACTCGACGACTCGGGACAGGGTGTAAGAACCTCTCCAGTTAGTTGGGTCAAGCTCCATGGCCTTTCGGGCTCGACCCTCGGCAAGCGCTGAGGGGATCTTGTCTCTGGGGAGGTAATCGAGCAGGGTGGCAGCCTTGGCTTCCCAGATCGAGTCCTTGTCGGTGACCCCAAGCAGCTCCTGGGACCAATTTTCGACCATCTCAAACATTTCAACCGTTGGCTCGAAAACTTTGTCAACATCGTCAGGGTTCTTTCGGTCGTTCTACAGCGCGACGCCTTATTAGTCTGACCAGCCTCTGAAGCATACCGCGTTTACATACCTTTGTGATGAGTGCATGGAGAAAAACGAAAGCGCGAAAGGTTTCTCGCTTCGTGGTGTCCGTTTGAAACAGATTCTCTGCAACCAGTTTCACGGCTGATTCGTAAAGAACTTTGTGATGATCCGCTCCTGGAGCGTTGAAAGCGGTAACCAGGGGCGAGTCCTTGACCTTTTCAATCACTGCGGAATCCTTGAACCATTTTGCGACGGCCGTTGTGCCCTCGTCGGCAAATACCCAGGAGTTCCATGTAACAGGTATCTCAAACCTTGAGAATTCGACATCCTCTGTTTGCAGGTCGTTTGTGGTGAATGCGAAGAATGAATCCAGGGCAAACTTCTCGGTGAAGAGCCTGACAAGCATAGCACCAGCCTCGGCCTTGAGAGAACGATCGGCCAAGGAGAGGTCAGTCGTGTCCAAGTGGTACAGAAGATGCGTAATTGCATGATCTTTCAACACTTCCGTCTTGTCATTTCGTTCCTCCGCCAGACAGGTCAGGCATCTCAAAACGATGGTAATATGACCGTTGTCGGGATCTCGGTGAATGTAATTGCCCTTGCGCCGCATCTTGAGATCAAAAAACTCCTCAAACCCAAATTTGGCGTAGAGGTCTTCGGGGCACACTGTCCGCAAGTAGTGCTTGATGATGTTGATCTCTGCAGGCTGAATCTCCTTCAACCCACTCGAGCTCGCCTCATCGCCGGTATCTTTCGTCTTGAGGGGAATCTCCTCCAACATTTCGCTGACCCTAAAGTCGACAGCGTTATACTCAGTCATAAAGATCGTGTACTTGGTCTTTATCTTGGACTCCATCGACATGAGGGATGTGCCGCCCCCATTGCCGGCTTTGAGCGCGAGGATCCCTTCCATTTCCAGAGGGGTCATCCACACTGGTGCTGCCCAAATCCAGAGGATTATTTCGTTCATCTCCGAGATCTCTTTTGAAGTACGGGTTTCATTCAGCTTCTGGATATCAGCCTCGATCTGGTCGAGGCGCGCATCGCCTGCGCCTTGGAGATATGTGTTGATCTCCTCCACGTCGTCTGTCTTCGCGATGTTGTCAAGGACTCGGCCGATTTTGTAGTAGTCGCCCCCAGTGGATTCTTGAAGGACGGCCAGGATCTTTTCTCTCATCTCTGACACCCCGGGCCGTGTCGTGTCTTTCAGAATCTCCATCTGTTCCATGCGGCTGTTGATGTACAGTTCGACATCCTGCTTGTTCGGCTCTCCCAGTTCAATCTTCTCTACTTTCAAGCCTCCCGCTCTCTCGATGCTATCGAACATCTCTCGGTTTCCCGTGAGTAGGATACGAGTCCGCTGGATCAGTGCATTGTCTGAGAAGTTCTGCAGGATGTGGGTAAATGCATCGATGTTGCTGCCAAGCCCATCAAGGATGAGGAAGAAGGTGACATCAATGTTGGCGATGTCCTCGTTCTGTAGGAGCAACTGACTCCACATGTCTTGAGGACTATCAAAGTACTGTGACTTTTCGCAGATTGTAGCAACGCTCTTCAAGAAGGGCTCATCGCCAAGAGCAAGCTGGCACATGAGGTTTCTTGAAATAGCCACTGCAGAGTCGGGATTGGCAGATGATTTGGAGTCATTTTCCACGAAATTGTGGGCAACAACCGCTCGGGAACCGGCAGCCCCAATCGTCTTCATCTTGCGTAGATGAAGGACGACATTAGATGCCAGAAGGGTTTTACCCGCCCCATCCTCGCCCTCGAGGCCAAGAATTTGGCTGGAACCGTCGTTTGCGGTAGCCCACGCCTGGAAGCGGGAGTCTTGCACGAGCCATTCACCACTGCCCTCGAGAATCTTTGATCTGTGTCTCTTCCAGGTCTTTTCCCACGGCTCCTGGGTAGGCTCAAGGATTTTCGGTTCGAACTCCATTGCTTTGACAATTGCCAGTTTCCACTTCTGCAGTTCCTTCTCTTGCCTCAATTGGTTCTTCTCCTCCACTATCGTGGTGTGCACCTTGCGCGTCAATGACAGACCGTCTCTCGAGTTCGTGGCAGCCTCATTGCTAGACTTCCAAGTCTGAGCCGATACAAGGCCACGCTCCTTGTCGACCAAGTTCTTCATGGCGCCCAAAAGGTCCTGAACACCGTCGTCATTGAGGAACATTTGCTTCATGAAAGCGGCGAATTTGTTGCGCTTGAGTTTGAGCCTGAGAGACCGGTCGCAAATCTCGACGAAGATGTGGAGGTGCTGGCAGGCGACTTTGGTCAACTTGGCATCCATTCCAGACGCAGAGTAGTAGCTCAAACGGTCAAGGAATTCGGTGCACTTCTCAAGGAGTGATGCCAGACTCTCGAAGATGCCCTCATACCCCTGCCAGGCTTGAATGACGAATGTCAAGGCATTGTAGCAGGTTCCTGCTGGGGCGAAGGCCTACGCTGACAGTCAGTTGCCCGCTCGACTGCTCGGTTCTTAGGTTCATCATCTCACATATGAAGCACCATCCGCGACGATACCGCCAACGGTTTGAATGCACTGAAGGGTCCGATTGAAGATGTTTCTGATGGCACCGTATTTTTCGGCCGCTTTCTTGTCGCTGGATTGAGCCTGGTCCAGATATTGCAGGACGTTGTCGATTCCGAGCTGCTTAATCTTGGATCGATCGCCACCAGCCATTTGGACCACTCGGTCCTCGACTTCTTTCCATGTCCGATTAATCTCGTCGTCGACGTTGGGACCGAAGATGGCTGCGTCTGGTGCCGCCATGGTCTCGCCGTCTGACCGAGCTGAAAATGGGAAAAGGTGAAGAAACAACGATGGTCAGGATATCAACGAGCTGATTCGAGGTCACCCCAGCGAACGATAGAGACCGAGAGATCTAGCCTTGAAGAGCGAGGTGGAATCTGGGCACTAAATAGCGCCTCCACGTTTGACCATGGAGCGGGCCGATGGAGCTTGGCTAAAGATGGAGATGGCAACCCGCCTCGGAGCTGAACTGCAGTCGGGCCAGCTGATAGTCAAATCGAGGATAACTGCAGCTGGAACACGACATTGAAGCCAATCAAAACGCGACTGACGTCTTCCGGAGGAGAAGGATATTCCTGGCCTCACAAAAGGACCACTGTCAGCCTAGACGCCTAACAGGGATAGCCCAATCCAATTCGACACCAACGGCCCCCCACGGCGGAGGACCCCCCAAAACAGAATATTGCTGACGCAGATTCGTCAGCATCATCGCGTGATGTGCATTTGGGAGGGTGTCATGCATTGTCGCCTCACAGGGCTGAAGAAAAGCATCCGTTACGGAGACATTAGATCGGTGGTGTTTCCGGTGAGACATGCATTGGTGGATGCAAACCAGAAAGTCTCCGAGTCAGTGCACCAGCTGCCGGTATCAAAACGATTCATTGGTTCGGGCATTCACACGAAGTAAGCGGATGCAACATGTAATAGTACTCTCCTTCTCATAGCTGATGCTCTTCGCTTTTGAACGTAGCATCATCCGGGGCGGGGACGGGCCGAGCCGCTGTTGGCGAACGCTAGTTGCAACTGAAGTATGCCGAACAAATCTAACGCTCCACCAAGGAAAAAGTAGGGGATTAAGATTAGTAGGAACAAAGTATCATCAAGGACTTGTTAATAAGTATACTGTTATTTTCTATTCTCGTTTATTGTGCAGTGATCTAGGATTCTCATGGCTTCCTAATACTGAATCCAGCACCCAAATTACCCTAGACCAAGGATGTGTCTAGGATGGTGTCTTTTGACTCTTCCTTCGAATCATTGGGCTGGGAGAAGCCCAGTTCTTCAAATATTGCTGCGTTGTGCTGGCCAAGCGCAGGGACAGCATCCATTCTCACAGAGTCTGCATCCTTTGCGCCCGGCGGGAGAAGCGCTGGAACCTTGCCAGCCGGCGTATCAATCTCAGTCCAGCGTCCTCGTGCTCGTAACTGAGGATGGTCCCAGACGCCTTGCATGTCGTTGACTTTTGCATTGGCGATGCCTGCCTTGTCCAACCTTGCGAGAACTTCCTCCGCCTCCAAGGTCGAAAATGCTTCTAGAATTATTGCCTTCAGAGCATCGCGATTCTTTGTCCGTTGCGAGTTGTTGACAAACCGCTCGTCCTTTGCGAGCTCAGCGTTCTCCAACACCTTTGCGCACAGATTTGTCCATTCCCGTTCGTTCTGGATACCCAGCATCACGGATCCACCGCCACTCGTTGCAAACGGCCCATACGGATAGATCGCTGCGTGTGCTGCGCCCGCACGGTCTGGGCCTGGGGCTCCCTCAAAGGCGTAGTACAGCGGGAAGGACATCCATTCTGTCATAGCCTCAAGCATGGAAATGTCGATGTGGGATCCCTTGCCCGTCTTGCCTCTCTTCAGCAGTGCCGCCAAGATGTTTTGACATGCGAAGGTCCCCGCCGAAATGTCGGCGACGGAGATGCCAACCTTTGCAGGTTCGGTCGGTGTCCCTGTCACAGAGAGGAGGCCGGCCTCGCTTTGTACTAGCAAGTCATATGCCTTCTTATCACGGTAAGGGCCATCTGAACCGTAACCGGAGATGTCGCAGACAATGAGGCCTGGGTGTTCATCCTTCAAGTCGTCAAAGGACAGCCCGAGGCGCTGGCTAGCTCCAGGTGCTAGGTTCTGCACCAAGACATCAGCCTTTGCAAGAAGCGCCCTCAGCACCTCAAAGTCCCTGGGGTTCTTGACATCAAGTGCCAGACTCTCTTTTGAGCGGTTGGTCCAGACAAAGTGAGATGCTAGGCCGCGCACGCGAGTATCGTAGCTTCGAGCAAAGTCGCCTACGCCTGGGCGCTCGACTTTGATCACACGTGCACCCAGGTCGGCGAGCTGGCGCGTGCAGAACGGCGCCGCGATGGCATGCTCCAAGCTTACAACTGTTACACCGTCGAGGGGAAGCATCTTTCGGCTTGGCGTCTGGGCGGGGTTGGTGTACCAATTGCGCTGGAACGGAGGTATGGGGCTTCTATTCGCCGCGATGCAACGCCTTCCAGCGACTCTCGGGCGCAGTATCGAATGTGCGGACGTGGTGTATTTGACGGATAGAGCCGATGAAGAGGTCTTAATGGCTCTGATCGGCGTGCGGAGACCAGTGGCCAGCGAGGTTCTGAACGCCATTGATACGAAACACAGCGGATGGAGCAACTGTAAACACCCCCGTAAATGGGAAGCCCTGTCTTGGAATCTGCGGCTTGGAAGTTGATGAAGACGAGGGACGAATGCGATGATGTGTGTGCCCGGTAGGATGTCCAGTAGTGGTTTACTTGCTTGGATCAGTCAGTGTCAACCTTTAGATCGGCTTCTTGCCGCGACCCAAGTCGGCTATATGAATGGGGAGAGTGGGCAAAACCGGGACTGACTCGGCGCCACATCAATCACCATTACAGTCGACAACCACTTAGAATAATGACTTTGAGAACGCTTGTTATACATTAACAAATATTCTGACCCGCCAGGCCCTGTCCCAAACTCCATTGAAACCCAAGATCGCTGATAAATATCACCAGGCCTCTCCAAACGTTGTTCCCGAAATGCCTTTGTCGTTAACCTTCCATCAATCCTTTCGCAGGATTTCTTGGCCCAGCGACACACCCTCTATCATAAAAAAAAAATGCTGCGACCCTGTCGAGCTCTAGAATGTAAGTTGTTTTGCGCCGAACTCCTGATGCTGCGCCTCAGCACACGGTGAGGCTAACCAGTCCCGGAATGGCCACCGACGGCCTGGTAATTCGATCCAGACATTTTGAAAGATCATATTTCAATCCGGCGTGAATACGAAGGTCCAATTTTCCGTGCTTGTGACGCGTCACTCGGTGGATGGCGCGTGCGTGAGTGTTCCGAAAATGCTGATGAGAATCCCTCAGCTAGAATTAGGACTTGTAGCATGTGGATGAGGTGCGCGTGGAATTAATATTCGTTGGAATACCATCCACTAATGACAGATTTCGCGTGCTCATTAGTAGTTCGAAAGGCCATCTCGAGGAACAGTCGCTGTGGCTTGGCGTATTGATGGCGACAACGAATCTGTGGACTCCCTGTAACTTGGCGGCGGAGGGCCTGCTCGGGTATCTGACGCCTGGTGCTTCATTGGCGTTGGAGCATGCGTGGGAGCAGGCGCTTGAGGCATCTGTGAGGGCTTTGTCTTTGATGAAGGTGGCGCCGATGTAATGCCGTAGTCATCTAGCTCCTGGACGTCCTTGAGGTCTTCCAGTTGTTCCATCTTGGTGCGTCTCCGATGCAAGTAGAACAGGAAGCAGAGGAAGCCGATGCCACATATGATGCTGACCCCGAGGTTAGCCACAGGTGTTTTCAACTCCCAACGGGCTGTGAACTTACCTAACTATGATAATCGCAATCATCACTTTCCCTCCAGACAGTTGAGACTTTTCGCACGTGTTTTTGCTTTCGGTATCGACGCACGTCTCCTCCGACTTGCGGGGGAGCAGCCGCGTGAGCAGAAACCCGCCGGCGCTGGAGGGCAGCGCATCGCTGTTCTGGTCCTGGTCGTGATACATGCTGGCGACTTCTGAGCGATATGCACCTATTGCGAGGGATAATTTTCTTGGGGCGAATATCGAATGAAGATGAATTGAAGTTCGCGATCCGAATGCCACGAGGTTGCGACAGCGCAAAGAGGGGAGGGAAATTAGAGAGGATCCTTGGCTGGCCTCCCTGTCCATTCTCGTCATTAGTTCCAGAAACATACCACGCAACCGCTGGGAGTCTTGAACTCAGCCCCCCAAGCCGTGGAAAAGGGGACGGGGACATGCTGGTCAGGGCGAGCCAGTGCACTTCAGAAGCCATCGATCAAAGTGAAACTGCGCATTCCATTTGCGATCCGAGGCGCCGCGATCATTTCCGTATTCCATGCGGAGCACGCACGGGGAGCAGCAGCGTCCCGTTACCCCGGCGCTTGCGCTGGTTGGTGTGACATTCATTAAACCAAGTGGGTTGTGCCCCTGGCCCTTGTTTCAAGGCAGTGCTGAACGTATTTACTTGGGATTTAAATATAGTGAATATGTACGGAGTACAATGTACAAGGTATTCCCCCCCCCCCCTTCTGAAGCCTCTCCGCCTCTCACCTCTTCCTCCAGGCCACGCCGTGTGTCTTCAATCCCCAGATTAAGGGCGTCTGAAACAGCACCAGGATGGCGTAAATCCCAAATGTCCAGCCGGGCCCAATCACGCGCATCAGAGGGTTGAATGACGCCGTTCCCGCCCCCGCGCCCAAGCAGCGCACTAGGTTGGACGCCGCCTGGGCGGTCGCCGATCGATGAGCATTGTAATCCGTGAGGAGCGTCGCCGTGATCTATTGCACAGGGAGGATTAGTGACAGCTGATCGTAAGAGGGCACGGCGTTATTACCGTGAAGAGGGTGGCTCCTGTGGCTCCGGCGAGAACTTGCATTGCCAACATCGATGCGATGTGCTACGGGGTTGTCAGTACCCGAAACAAGGTCATTCTATGTGAGGCAGGGCGCCTACGGTCTTGAATTGGGCGATCAGTCCATAGCCAACTGTTGCAAGGGCGCTTAGAACAGTTGCCACATACGCGCCCTGCAATCGCGTCTCCTCAATTGGGAAGCCCTCGATCTCGTGCAGATGCCGAACACCCACGTCTTCTGCGCCGAACCTGCGATGAGCGCGACGGAAATTCCAATCAAGATACCTCCCTGCTCCAGTCAGCACTTTATCTCAAGCATCCAGGAGGCGCGGTAGTACCAGTGAGCTTGGCAAAGATTGCCGCCGATACTCCGGCCGGCAAGTAAATCAGCCCGGCCTGGAGGTAGTCGAGATCGTAAATTTCGATGGTCAGCGATGCTAGAGAGGTCTGGAGCGTCATGAAATTGACGTATGCTAAGGCTCCGATCATAATAGTGAAGAGAGAGCCTTTGTGTGCAAGCACCGAGAGAGACGTGAGGGGATTGGGAAATCGGCATCTCCTCGTGCCCGGCTCCCGGTGACGCTGGTTTTGTTGCAGGGTCCCCCTCGCATCACCCTTGGGAGACAGTAAACTCCAATATATTCCTTTTGCTGGCCTGCTCCCGTCGCCTACTATTCTTCTCTGCGTTTCGGGGAGAAATAGGACGAGCGTCAGCAGAGTGAAGCCAGTAAGAATCGAGAGGAACCAGAAAATCCAGCGCCACCCAAGTTTGTCTGCCATAATTCCCCCAAGCACTGGTCCTAAGGTTGGCGCCATGGTTGTACTACACCTTAAGTCAGCTGATACATAACCAGTCATATTGTCCACCTTACAAGAGGAAAATGGTCCCAATGAAAGATCCCCTCTCTCCAACAGTGGTAATGTCTGCAATGACACCGTAGGCGGCACCCACTGTGCCCGAGGCCCCGGCACTCAGCAGCATCCTGAGGACAAGCAAGACGCTCCATTTGTTCACACAGGCCATCCCCAAGTTTGCGCCTAGCATAAGGACGAACAGGAGGATGTACACGGGTTTGCGCCCGCTCTTATCAGCGATGTCGCCCATGAACGCGGGAGCAATTCCAGCAACAATCATGTAAGACGTTACAGTCAGATTCATGAGTGTCAGAGATACGTTGAGCGCGTTCGATATCGGCGTAAGTGCCGGAAGGTAGACAAAACTACTTAGGGTCGAGAACATTGACGCGAACGACGCCATCAGCGAGATCCAACGCTTCTGCCATTTCGAGAAGACCGAGGCGGACCCATTTGCCGATCCTGTCCGTTCGAGATCCGTATTTTGTAGTTGAATATCTTCCGGTGATGGTTCGTCGTCTGGTTGCTGGGGAATTCCCGGTTTTTGAGCTCTACGAGCAAGTGGTGGATTGTCTGTCATTTACGTGAGGGGAGATCCGAAGCTTAGAGTGTTGATAATTTATTCTTAGTCTTCTATGTTGTGGGATTGAAGGATATATTTTATCTAGTTTCTTCCGTAGAGTCCTGAATTTGCCGTCGCAATGCCAAGGAAGCATTTCGCCGTGTGACTCATTTTTGCTAATCGGGTACGCCCTTCTGTGATTAGCCGTCCTCTCATCGGGTCTCTTACTGTATTGCGCTGACCGACACCCAGGAGTTTTGACACCGCTAACCTCCAGTCCACGCACTACCTAATGTGGTAGCTCCGCCCAAGACTCAAAGCAGTGCGTCCATTTTCTTCTTTAAGTAATTCAAGGGCGCCGCTTGGAAGTCCCGGTATTTCGGGATTAATGTTAGTAGTGACTTTCGCACATTGGTTGTTTTAATAGTTCAAAATTAAAATTGTTTCATCGCTATTGACTCTATTCTGATGGTTTCTCCCAAGGAGATTGCTACGAAAGTGATTGCAAGGCTGGCTCACGCATGGATTGTGACTCAAGACCACTCAGTGAGACAGGAACCGTTGAGGGCAATCTGCGCGCCAAGTGGTTCGGCCAGGGCTGCTGTTTTCTATGATGGCACTCACTTTCGACCAAAACGAGAAAAGAGGGAGCTACGCTTGCCCCCCTTCTGCTCATTTCGGTCACTGGACTCCTCTAGGTCTTTGGGCTCCTCTGGGTCCTTGTGCTCTTCTCGATCCGTGCGTCTGTCGGGCTCTTCCTGCGTATCCGACTTTGAGTTTTTAAGGCGAGAAAAGATGGTGTTGAGTTTGCTTTCCTTGTGTTCCTTTCGGTCCTTGGGTGCCCCTCGGTCCTTAGGCGCCTCTCGGTCCTTTTGGTCCTCTTGGTCCCTCTGGTCCCTCTGGTCCCTCTGGTCCCTCTGGTCCTCTGAGTCCCCCGGCTCCTTTCGTTCCCCGTCATTGTCCGATTTTTCTGGCGTATCTGACAGCGTGGAATTTGTGAAGCGAGAAAGTAGACTGTTGAGCTTGCTTTCCTTGTGATCCTTTCGGTCCTTATCCTCGTTGTCCTCGCCGTCCTTTTGGTTCTTTCGGCGCTTGTGCTTGTCCAGTTCCTCATGAGGGTCCAACTGCGTTGTGTTTTCGTCCATGACCTGCTGTGCAAGCGAGACTGTGTTTTCTCCGGCCGGTCCCTCTCCTCCTTGATCCACATCCTCTGTCTTAGCGAAGAGGTCGATGACCTTGCCAGAACCGGTAAGTCTCTCGTAGACGGCTAGAGTGGTGCCGAATTCCTTACGCATGCCGACCTTGATAGCGTCAAGCAGCTGTAAGGCGTAGGTTTGACAGTTGTTGGTGATGAGGTTGTATCCGGGTCGCTTGTCTCTAATGGCTTGGATCACAGATTCTCCTGCATGCTGTTTAGTGTTTGATCGTGAAATGCTCATAAAAAGCTTGGAAAGTTGGCAACTCACCAGCCCGCCGAATTGCATCATCATTGAAGCGTGTCTCACCCACTTTAAAAGTTTGCCATTCCTCTCGATTGACCTTCTCGTTGGTATAGATGACATCGAAATTCTCGTCCTAACACCGGGTTTTCTGTCAGCGAGGCAGGGTCGATTCCCTAGCCTTCAAAACGTACCATCCACAGCTGATGGGCATAGTCGCCGACAAGCACCGCCCAGTGCTGCGTGGGATCCGGGTATTTATGAATCTTTTCTGTAATCATCTTACCCAGCCCGGTATCTTCAGCGAACCACTTGCCGGCCAGGCCGCCCACTGGATGCCAGCCGACTTCGACCGGCCGCAGCGGCCCATCGAGCACAGGGTCCGTCACAGGGACTACACTGGGTTGAACTCCCAACCCGGCAGCATGTTTCAGGGCTAGCTCGCCTTTGGTGAGATTTTCAGATCTACATGCAGCGATCAGCAATCGTCCTAGGGAGAAGCAACTCAAGTTAGAGATGCAGGGGCATTTGGTCACTGTCAGGATGGTGGGGCGCGTGTCGGGGAAAAAGGCGCATACATACAGAAACTTGCCAACAAGGTCCCGCTTCCTCTCCTGGCTCTCCGTTCCGTTTTCAGGTTCCGACATGATAACTGATGAGGCGCGAACCGATGAGTCGCAACTGCAAAGCGCAAAGCCTAGGGCGGATGTTCCGGTTGCCCGCTCTCGATAGCAAAGATGGAGGGGTTGGGCTTTGCTCATTTGAGTGCTTATCGCCTGGGCGGATTCACGTGAGTACGTGATCAACTGACCGGCGCCGTTCTTGAGCTGGCCAATTAAACTCAACGCCGATGAGCTTATACAAAAGCCAGCCTAGGCGTTAGTCATGCTCTTGGTTGTCAGATTGTCAGAATGAGAATGTGAGCTAATAATGCGCTGTGCTACGCAGTACCCTATGGGCCCTATTTTTGCTATTTAGTGGAGCGGCAGCATTTTCTGAGATTCGTAGTTCCCCCAATATATTTGGCATGAACTGGGGGAGTCTGAGCTGGCCATGGCGACTCGTCTAATATCATAGGTTAAAACAGCCATATTTGGTATGGCAAATAAAAAGCAGCCGGCATAGCCCATCTCGAGCGATTTAGTTATTTCACCATTGGATTCAAACCCTTCGTAAATTAGTTCCCCAAGATCGATCAGCCAGGACAGCTATATGCTTTAATTAGAGTGTCGCTGAATTCAGTGCGAACAACTTCTTCCGGTATATCCTCAGAATACTCATTATTTTTGTATTCACCGTCGCGTATGAGACGATCTTGTGCACGCCATGACGTGACTCTGCCATGGCTGCTCTCAAGGCTGGACAGCGCCACCTCGACACCGAAGAAATGAACGAGGTTGATGTTTATTACTCCATGTCTAAGTGGCGGCACTTTGGGACCCATGTCCAACTTTGGTGGTGTAGCAATACCAGACACTTATATAGAATTCAAGTTTTGCATAAGAGTGTTCCACTTTTGTTCGTTGGGATTGAGATTACCCGCGAGCTCAATAGTGGTGAGCACTCGGCCACGTTAACCCTAGTGCTTCAAATATTGTTAAGCAGGAAGTGTCACTGCAATTTCGAATGAGCTATCTAGGCCGCAATTTACAATTGTGATTGGAGGTTCAAAGTACCGTAAATACTGTCCTAAACCAGTATCACATCGGCGATCTTACTCAGTCATCAGCCTGGAACAACGTTGTGCCGATGTTAAGTTCATTACTACGTGGCATCGTAGAACCCTAAGATCAACCTCCCTAAACAAAATACCTATTGCCCCTTCTTGCGTATTCCTCCCTCCAATCACTAAAAAGTATCGACATGTCATCTTTTTCCTTGACGGGTGCCCTGCTTGCCTCCGACGATGATGGCTACCGGCGAGCGACCCAGTCCCAGTTCCTCCGACTCGCTGCCAATGGTCAGGCTTCAAAAGAGATATTGGGCAGATGGCTCGCAAATGACCGACTCTACATCCACAGCTATATCCGCGGCATCGGTCGCCTAATAAGCTTCCTTCAATTCCCAGACACGGTGCCTGATTCAGCGGACAATTCAGGCTCCACCACCAAGCTTCTTGACTGGCTCGTCGGCGCCTTGGTCAACATCAGACGCGAGGAGAAGTTCTTCGTTAAGACAGCCGCGCAATACGGCATCGAGATCAATCTGGAGACCGATCATGACGGTCGGGTACCCCAAAATGCTAAACTCGAAGGGCTACAGCGCTGGGAGGCCCTTTTTGACTCGCTCGCCCCTGAAAGCGGCCATGAACTACCGTGGCTAGAAGCTGCCGTGGTATATTGGGGGACGGAAAAGTGTTACCTGGATGCTTGGTCTTGGGCAAAAGCGCAGCTTACCGTGCAGGAAGACGCCAGCAAGGATAAAGATGGAGGCGCACTCAGAAATGAGTTCATCGACAACTGGACTAGCAAGGAGTTTTCCAAGTTCGTGGATGAGTTGGGAACCATTATTAACGAAGTTGTGCAGGAGCAAGTCGAGAAAAGAGGGGAGAGCGCCAAACATGAGTTGTTTAAACGAGCAGAGGCCAAGTGGGTGGAAATTCTCATCGCCGAAACAGCATTCTGGCCAAACTTGTAGTTTTTTTTTATGACAATTGAACCTACCCCATAAGAGTGATTTACTTCTTCACTTCTCAGCTCGGATTTCGCAGCTCATTTAGGGACACGACGCGCAATCTAAACCTCGCGCCTAACTATTACAACGGAACATTAGCCGTTGAGCACCTTTCCGTCGAGGATAATCTGAACGGCTTCAAGATGCTTACTCCTACCAAGAGGTTAGGGTGCCCTAGTACACACATACCCAGAGGGGGGACTAGAAGCTCAACAGTAAAAAACACCAATAATAGTATCAACAATACAGACCATATACCCAGTCCATTTAAAGAATGCTTACTCCTACTACTCGCAAATCTGCCGACTTTTGCTATGTCGATGTCGTCTCGCAGGCAACCAACCAGACTCCGCATCGGCTTCTTCAACTCTGGGGGATTTTCTCAATATCCCCATCCACTGTCAATGCAGCTGCCATGAGCCTATGCAAACGGGACCGACTTTTACAGTGAGGCCATACCTGATGACGGTGTCACGCTGTCTGATAGGCCTGGTGGTGTCGTCGGTAAGTGAGAAAGAATTGGCTCCTTCCAAGGGTCCGCATTGGATAAGGCTGATGTCGAGTACTCATCACTATTAATTCACCAGAGATGGGAATTTATGGAACTGCCGACTTCAAGGCGGTACGTCTTGATAAAAATACATCGTGTCTCCTTGCTAACTTTCAAAAAGATCACCCCCGCCCATTACTCATGCGACCTGAATAACGCCGTGAGCGTGACTCAGAACCTTCTACCAAGCTTGTACTGGGCCAACGTCGTTCCCGACGCAGAGACCGTTGTCAATCTCCGAGTTCAGGACACCACTATCGAGTTTATGGACGGTGTCGGTTAGCACGACAAAAAAATGGGGAATCAGTCTATCATCGAGGGACCTAGGTATTGGGACTGGGGTTATGGCTGATTTGGTTCTTATGCCATGGTTTGGTACAACCTTCTCTACTGCAAAGGCGAGGAGGCTCGAAGATCTTTTGTTGCTAGGGGCGAGAGAGTTCCATTGGTTAGTTGTGAGCTCGGTAGTCTTGAGGTTCGCCAGAAGGGTGGTAAGGCGGCCTGGCCCCCGACGACCGGCCTCTTGAAGACGGAAGGGTTAACCGTGAAACATAGGTTGCCCGATGGAGAGACGCTGGCCCTAGATATTTGGGTTTTTTTAGCTTTACTCAATATCATCAGATAGATCAAACCCATACAGTAATCTCAAACAGTAGGAATAAACAATAAGTGCTACACCCAGCACCAGAAGAAACAGTAGCTGAACAATAAGGTTGTTGCCCACCGGTCTCTAGCCCTAGATATAACAACTGAGTTCATTGTTCGTGATGAACGAGGAGCTTATCAGCACTGCAATGGACCCATCAAGGGCGGCATCGTTGGACATGAAATCTAGGAAGGCAAAGCTCATTGTGAGGGGCTTATCTTTAGCATCGTTAACGACTACAAGCCGTAAGCCCAAGGAGTCGGTTGAGGAAACCTAGTGGTATCGCAGATAGAATAAATACCGGAAGCATTGCTCTGGAAACCTTTCAATTGGATTTTTTATTTCTGACAGCCACTTTTATCTACCTCACAAACTGATCCGCAAAGCTCGCACCAAGTCCGACGGCCTCATAATGCTTCCTTGCCTTATCCAACTTGCTAAACACATCTTCGACACCGACAGGAACGCCATCAGGATCGACGTAAATGTACGCCCCTGTGACATGAAACAGAGTCACCATCTCCTTCACATCCTCAGGAACCTCCAGCGTATGGATATCACCCGGAGGCTCGTAGGCGTAGCCGCCTTCGGTAGCCCACCAAGGGTGTTCGAGATAGTGCCAGCGTCCCTTCAGAACCGTAGCGTGCACGGCTCCTGCATGGCGATGACGGGAGAGAATACCGGAGCGACGGACGCGGAGAATATTGACGAAATAGCCGTTTGAGACGGAGAATAGGAGAGGGCGGAACCAGACGTCTGGGGCCTGGGGTACCCAGAGGCGCTCGTCGCATTCAATGTCGAATATGCCCGGTACGACAAGATCGTCGGGGACGGCCGGCAGGCGCGGCCCTCGATAGGGAATGGCAGCCTGGTCAGCGCGCTCTTCGAGTCCCTCTTGTTTTGGTAGGGGAATAGTTGCGGTCTCAGTTGCAGTGGTTGCGGCCATTGTGATGTCCTAATGGATCAAGATATGGTGGAAAGGCAAGGGACGTCTTGCTGTGGTGTTATAACTGAAGTGTAAGTCCTTTGATAGGAAAGGCGTCAATGCTTTATAGATACATAGAGCTTCAGATAAAATGCCTGAGAAACTGACGTTCATAACCTTCCTTCAAAATCATCAGCTGCGTGGAGCCGAGTCATGTTGAAAGATGGGGAAGTGGGCGCCAACGGCGGCCCGAGGTCGGGAGGCGTGGCGGAGCTTGAGAATAAGGCTACGTCGTAGTGCAGAGGCTCGAGAGGAACATGAATAATTCAGATGGCTTAGCCAATCATCACAGTGTCTTTTGCAATCAATAAAATCTAGGAGAAGTTTCGGCATTCGGGAGAATTACGATATCGAAAGCTGCCAATTTCGGCGCTTCACAATATCCAGCCAGTCAACTCTGTCGCAATTACTACGCCGCGACCCATCGCTTCTCCGTCGCCAAACTTCGTCCAGAACATCCAAACATGCCTCGACGTTGCGGAACTTGCGCGATCTTGCCATAGCGCAGAGCTTCTCGCGGATCGTCTCAATCTGAGACGTCTCCATGGCCTCTCCGCCGGCTATGAAAAGCGGAAACAAAAGTGTACACTCGACCAAACATCCTTCGGGCATATCCAAGCTGAGTTCGCAGATAGTTTCTACGCATGTGGTGATTTTGGATTGTAAAATCGACGTGTGACTGTTGATATGACGTCGAAGGGTACGGTATAAATGAATGAGGGCGGCGTTGCGATAAGATTCTCCTAGCAAGGCCAGTGGCGAACCATCCTGATCTAATGGGCATATCCAATTCTGGAGTTCATCCTCGATCAGTCGAGCGCGCTCGGAAAAGTTCTTCCTTGAACCGCTTCTATTGAAAGGGTCCGCACCAATCTCGGTGAATTCAGATGTGTTCGCTTTTCCTTCGGCAAAGTCGGCATTCAACGTGCTTGTTTCTGATATGAGGAAAAGGATCCGTGACGCGAACCCAAAGTATGGATCTGCCAGAGAGTCATCCTCAGAAGCCCAATAAAAGCCTGTTATCAAAGGGCGGCAATCTAGGGACACGCTCGTCATCACGTCATGGTATGCAAAGTTCCGGAGAAGCCATCTCCCTTCGAAGGTAGATTGAACTGATTGCTTTGGGTCACGCAATGACTCCGGCCCCGAGATCAACGCACCACCAGCTCCAGCCAGATGGGGATACCAGCTGTCTGTTGCCTCGGATATGCACTCCATGGAGCAGAGCACCATGGTTACGGCAAGGCACATCTCGGTAGAGAGCTCATTCTTCTGCATGGACTCTTGAAGACGGGCTAGAGCATATCCGCGGTGGCGCAATGACAAATCTTTGAAGCTATCATCACGCAAGACCAGATGCGATGATGCCCATGCGGAGACAGCGTACATAAGCGTCGGGCATTCAAAGGCCATTGGGAGAATGACTGGAGGCCAGTTAGCGCTGCCACCAAAGCTCCAGAGTGACATACCTGATAAGAAGCAATTATTTTCCAGGTTGGTGGTAAGCAGAAACGCAAGCGTAACTGTGTAATAACGGAGCATGGCCCGCCTGCTCCCAACAAGATCATCCGTATCTGCATGGCTAGGACAAGGTGATGGGATTGGCCCCAGGAACCTCGTCACGCCTTGGGCCCAATCCCCTTCGGCCTTCGGGGCTTGAGGGACTTTTGAGTGGGCGATGCTCGGTTTCTCGGGGGCTACGGGCGATGGCGATCGTATCGCACGAGGGGCTTCTCGCTTGCAGAGCAAGTTGAGACGCGAGCAGTGGCCGCAGACGGGGTAGAGCTGATCACACTTCTTCTTTCTGGAGTGAGTTAGCTCTTTAGTTCTTCATGGTCAAGAAGACAGACAAAAGCCAATAAAACCATCCGTACCTTTGGCGACACGTCACACACCCTCGCCTCTGCCGCGTATAACCTCCCCTTCTCGACCCCGAAGTCGGCTTGGTGAGGGTTCCACTGCATCCGTCCATCATGCTCAACGAATGACTTTCAGTCTCAAGGTCAGCCCTGGCGAAATGATCGAGTTTGCCTGTCCGGGCGCTATGGGCGGTGATGAGAAGAAGAAGTTTAGATTGTCAGGGATGTGATCTTATCCCCCTCAGCATGGTGGCTTTTCATGCACGGCGCTATCGGCGGCGTGGGTCCGTCCGGAGCCGAGATATTGCGGGGTCTAGCTCTCGTGCTATCGTAGTTGGGGCTCTAATGGTCGGAACTTGCTGACTGGATAAAAGATCGAAATGGAGAGAAAGGCGTGTCGTGCTGGCGATAACCAATGTCAATGCCGGCTTGAATTGTTGACACCACCTCCAAGAAACCCTTGCAGGTCATGGACCCTCTCTCCTTGATGATCAAGGGATGGATAACAAACGACGCCCGCAATTCCATTGCGGGCCGAGGCTCGAGAAGGAATAACTGATGATCATGTGTGGCTCATATGTGGGTCAATCACCGACTTTTCATTTTAGTGAACTAGCTATCTACCAAGGAGATACAGGATTCAAAGTTTCGTTTCCTTGGTGCGGGAGACTTGAGCGGTAACTATCGTGATGGCTTCTCGTAGAATCCCCACCATTCGTCTCAACTCCGTCGCAGTCACTACATACGGCGGGGACATGATGACATGATCCACGTGAACTTCCCCGGTTGTTCCCAGATTCCCCAAGATGTTCAGGCCCAGTTCCAGGGCCTGGTTCACGATCCGGCTGCAAAGCTTAAGACTTGGGGGAAACGGTACCTTGTGGACTGGGTCCTGCATGAACTCGACGGCAAAGAAGAGACCGCGACCGCGGATGTCGCCAACAAACTCGAGGGGCCCAATCTGTTCCCTAAGTAGGTTCTCTAGTACCCGACCCATTTTGGTCACGTTGTCCAGAATGCCTTCATCCCGGATGATTCGTTGGACCTCAAGGGCCGCGGCGCAAGCCACTGGGTGTGCCTATTGTGAAGAAACTATTAGCAACACGGATCACCGATTTTGATCATGAAAAGAATGCGCTAGACGAACCTGGAACGTGTGTCCGTGTGCCAAGCCCCCTGAGCCATCAGCCAAGGCGTCGAAGATCTTGCTCCGAAGCAGAACCGCAGAGAGTGGAATGAAACCTCCACCAAGAGCCTTGCCAATGGTTTGAATGTCAGGGCCGGAAATGCCCTCCTGCTCCCACGCATGGGTTGTTCCTGTTTTGCCCATTCCACACATAATCTAGGCGGTCAATTAATCTGCTTCGAAGCGATGCCAGGCTTTTTTATCCAACTTACTTCATCCAAAATGAGGAGGACATCGTATCTGTCACAAATCTCTCTCACAGCCTTGAAGTAACCTGGAACAGCAGGAAGACACCCAAGCGTCGTGCCGCTGACAGTCTCGGCCACAAAAGCCGATACCCGTTCAGCGCCCACTCTTAGAATCTCAGCCTCCAGCTGATCCGCAAGCCGTCTGACGTAGGCCTCGTCGCTCTCGTCCTTCCCCTTGAGCCGATAAGCATAGCAGGGGTCGACGAAGCTGACATTGTCCGAGAGCCAGTGGCGATACAGGGCTCGACGCGAGTCATGCCCAGAGATGCAGAGCGCACCAATCGTGTTGCCATGGTAGCTTTGCTTTCGCGCGATGAAATGCCTCTTTTGGGGCATGCCTCGCTCATGCCAGTACTGGCTTGCAAGCTTGATTGCGGCATCTGTAGCCTCACTGCCTGAATTGACGAAGATTGCCTTGGAGAGACCACCTGGCTGTCCTTCAAGGAGCATCGTGGCAAGTTCTTCAGTGGCATTGCAGGTGAAGCGTGCGCCTGAGTAGAGATACGCTAGTTGTTGGACTTGCTTCGTGACTGCCTCTGTAATCTCCTGTCTGCCGTATCCCAGACAAGAGACAGCTGGGCCAGCGGAAGCATCTAGGACTTCGCGGCCAGAATCGAGGAACAGAGAAACGCCCGTGGCAGAAATGACCCTCTCGGGGCGGTGCGCAAAGGCACGGTGAAGGATGTGGGAATCAGACACGAAAGGATGAGCCATGTTGGTCAAAGTTTGATTGCTCTTGCTGGGGGTATCAGGCCAGGATTGAATGCGTTTGGGCCACAAGATATAGCTGAGATAACTCGGGGTATGTTCTTGGCTCTGACGCCTACAGATACTGTCTATCTCAGCCTCCCCGATCCAACGCCGAGGCCATTCCGGCTAGGAACACAGACGCCGCCGTTGGCGCCGAGGAGGTCTTTAGTGCCATCGAGGCAAATTCAGTAGCAGGTAGTGCATAGTTAGCGTGAGCTTAGTTCCTACAGAACTGGGGGTTCCCCGCAACTACACGCTCTCGGGGATGGTGAGCCACATCAACTCTTATTATCATAGCCATGGGTGGTTGAGCAGCAGCCAGAGTCGGCCAAGAAGCCTTGGTAGCTATTTCTTCCACGGTCTGAACTTAGTAATTCGCCGTGTGAACTGACCTGTACAACTAGGAGAGGTGATGGATAGATAAGAAGTCCTCGCACCCTCACTTTTCAATTGCATTTCAATCAATTCCCAATTCATCACCTTCTTAATAGATTGCTTTGACACATACCTCTTGTTCATCATGGAAGAAAAAGTCCACCAGACTCCAGCTTCCCAACCTTTCAAGGCCGAAGACAACCAGACTTACAAGTTTGGCCTTGATCTCGGCAAAGTCGAAACCCTCCAGAATGGCACCTCGACAGCCGACCCAAACGAAGAAACACACCGAGGCTTCAAACCTCGCCATTCACAAATGATCGCTCTTGGCGGTGCCATTGGAACTTCATTGTTTCTCGGAACCGCCCAGGTTCTACGTGTTGGCGGACCCCTGTTCCTCGTCCTGTCCTACGGGATCTTGTCTATCTTGATCTATTGCATCGTTACCGGCATCGCTGAAGTTGCCACCTATCTACCTGTCCCTGGGGGTACCATGGCTTACTACGGCCATAAGTACGTGTCTCACAGCATGGGCTTCGCCATGGGATATCTGTACTGGTACTCTCTGGGAATTTTGATCCCCTACGAACTTGTGGCCAGTACCCTGCTCATCGACTACTGGAACCCTGCAATCAGCCCTGCAGTCTGGATCAGTGTCATTTACGTTGTCATCGTCTTGCTTAACTTTCTCCCTGTGCGTTACTATGGCGAGGCGGAATTTTGGAGCGCCGGAATGAAGATCATCTTGATCCTCATGCTCATTTTCCTCTCCATCGTGCTGTTTTTTGGCGGAGGTCCAAACAACGATAAATTGTACTTTCGATACTGGAAGAACCCTGGCCCAGCCAACACATACATCAAAGACGGAGATTCCGGGCGCTTAATTGCTCTCCTACAATCTTTTGTCTCGGCCTCTTTTGCTTTCGTGCTCGCACCGGAGCAACTTATCGTTACGGCGGGCGAGATGCAGTCACCACGTTACAATCTTCCACGCGCTGCTCGGCGCTATATCTGGCGCCTTGTCATCCTCTTCATGCCAAGTGTTTTCGGAATCAGCATTGTCTGTGCCTCGAATGATCCTCGTCTTACCGCAGGCGGCACAGCCAGTTCCCCTTTCGTCATCGCCATCAGGAACAGCGGGATTCCCGTACTTGACAGCATTGTAAATGCACTGATATTGCTTTCGGCAATTACTGCAGGAAATGCCTTTCTATATTCTGCATCTCGAAACCTCTATTCGCTCGCAAAAGCCGGGAATGCACCTGCAATTTTCAAGAGGTGTAATCGCTATGGCCTACCATACTTCTCGGTCGCTATCACGTCTTGTCTTGGAGTGCTTGCATATCTCAGCCTATCCAACACGAGCCTTACAGTTTTTAACTGGTTGATCAACATCACCAACACATCCGGGTACATCAGTTGGATTTGTTGCGGCATCATCTACGTCAGATATCGCAAAACCATGGACTACCATCAGCTGGAATCTCCCTACCGATCTCGTGTGCAGCCGTGGGGTATTTACTTTGGAACAATCGGCTCCATGTTTTTGATGTTGATCAATGGATTCACGGTTTTTCTCCCGTCACAGTGGTCTGTTGGCACGTTCCTCACGGCTTATATCGGAATCCCGGCCTTTTTGCTCATATACTTCGGCCATCGAATCTACCACCGGAAGGATGAGTGGTTTAGAAGGCCGAGAGATATTGATATGCTGGAAGGAATGGATGAGGTTCTGGCAGCTGAGAGGCCTCCACCTAACAGAGGTCCGATCGCACGAAAGCTTTGGGCTTTAATTGAGTGAGACCAGGTTGGATCGTTTACGTATGAAACGAGTTTGGGGGAATTGTAATTAGCTGGTTCAGATTTAAGGATGAGTTGATAATTTAGCTCTTTCCCGTGACGATGGAGTTCCTACAGAGACAACCAGCATGTGATTACGTACCTGACGTGATGAGTGGGCAGTGTAGGTCACATCTGGCAATAGTGAAAAACAAACTCAACCAATCAACTTTTATTCGTAGTCGAGGTATCTGAGTGTTCTGTGAAAGTTTTGTATTACTTGAGGTGCTTGAGACTCATTGAAACGACCCGGGTCAGCTGGATCCCGATGGTTGCTTGAAGGAGTCAGTAATTCCGCGTTTTCTACCAATGAGTCCGCTTTTATAACCCACGTTGTGATTTCAAGAGTTCTCTTACCAATCTATTTGTTTTTGAGTCTCATTTAAACTCCACATGTTAACATCACAGGCTGTCATGGACATTGGACGGCTAAATATTGACGAATAAGGCCCGTTTAAGAACAGTTCGAAAAAGCTCCCAAATCGTTCCAAATCTCCGAATCACTCCTCTCTATCTGCTTCCAGTTGCCCTTTAAAATAAGTTTAGTCTTGATGTTGACTATTCCTCCCCGAACTTAAAACCCTTTAAACCAAGCCTCAGGAATAGAAAAGCTAATTTCAGCTTCTAGTCTGAGCTGTCAGTACCCTAGCGGTTATTATTAAGAATAAATATATAGAAATTGTAGTTATAATGCTACTATGTTAATTACTTAAATAGCCTCATACAGAATATAGTTCTGCTATAGCTTGAGTTATTTATTAAGGTAAACATCGCCAATAAGGTTAATAGAATGTTTGACGGTATTATGTTACAACCTGAGGTTTAAATGGATAACTCACTGTTATATGTAAACTTAATAGGCATTTTAATAATTATTGCTACTATATTGAAATATACCAACCTGTAGTTAATTAGCGAATTACTTGAAATTTGAAATTAGGTCAATCTGAGCCGTGCTATTTATCTTCCATATCTAGTTATGTATATGTAGATATAAGTAATCCCGATGGCGAGTGCTTGTGGAAAACTTTCAAGAGATTTTGAGTATAAGGGAAATACATTTCAACATGCATGCGAGGCGCACAGGATTAAGCAGGCCAAAGTGAAGTCGATCCACCTTCAGCCTTGACGCTGTCAGTATTGACACCATCACATCAGAATTACTAGGAACCTTTCTGCCGGCGTTTTATTAGACGGAACATCGGGATTAAACACGAGTGATTGAGCTACCCCCGGATATCCAAGCTCCGTAAATTAACAGGGCCTATTATACTACTAGCAGGTGCATAGGCAAATTATGATACATCTGGTAGTCAAACTCTTGACTCCATTCCAAAACGAAGAATTTGGTCAGCGCAACAATAGCATCCGACCCAAGAGGAGATTGCAGTGCCTGACCATCTTGATGTGTCCCTTTCGTAGGCTTCCTCCAAAAAAAGGTCTCGTCCAGGGCACTTCCCCTCTCAGTAACCAGTAACTTAGCTACTTCAGTTACTACCCGGACGATGTCACCACTATCACCCACGCCAGCCATCACTGAGGAATACACGATGTTAGGCATGTTTCCGCTCACCATATTGGGGGCCCAGTCCTTCAAAATCAACAGTGACTCGTTTTCCAGAACTGCCTGCTTTAGCGACTCTGCCAGTTCGACTCGGTAGCCATCCATTGTGCTTTTGCCGAACGCTAACAGAATATCGCGCATCCCACGATGCATAGACCAAGACAGACTTGTCCACGGCAAAGAATCCAGTACCTGGGCCAGTAAAGGGCATAAATATGAAGGTACTATTAAGGGTACCGTCTGGCCCGGATCAAGACTTGGGACCTGCAGTACCAGGGCCATTGGGTCATCGAGTTCCGCGACTTCATCCTGAGAAATCGGGCGTCGAAACAAAAGGTCGACTTCGTATGCACGACCCCCGGACATATTGTACAAATGACGACTGCCGTGGGATCCAGCAAAGCCCCGGTGCTGTAGTTCGAGACGCCCAGGGACGGCCTTCCTCCCGGGAAAGGCGACACATAGCCCATGCCTGTTGTCAAGGATGCCTGCCAGCATTTCCATACAGCGGTCAACCCGCTGCTCAAATGAGTATGGATAAGGGTCTGAGGCCGGATTGGCGAACATGTCGTGGGCTGATAGGCGCACCAAAGCCTGTTCTCCAATGGGCCACTCGATGGTCCAGAGACCAATGTATGACGGAAACGAAGCTCGATACCCCGAGGCGCTGCAGTGGCTAAAAATTGTCCTTGCATTAGAGATGCAAAGCAATGTGACAAGCGTTGTTCGGGATATAAGAACACCCGCGGTGGATCGGTGTCTGATAAGTGGCTGGAGGTCTAGCCCCGACCAAATCAAGGCTTCAGGGCGAGCCATCTGCGACGGGCTTTTTGCATATGCGTAATCAAGCTGACTTCCAGGTACACATGTCTCGGATGAAGACATGGTGAATGTCGTCAGCTGTGATCCACTCCTTGAAGGATTGCGCCCAGGTGATCTGGGGTGAAAGACGCCCATCACCACAGTCCAAGACGCTCTTCCCGCGAGCATATGCGGTTTTCGTGTCAGCTGGACGGTGTTGTTGCCACACAAGCCCGTGGACATGGAAGCGGTGATGACTGGGCCACGAAGGGAAGGTTTCCAGAATTGGCACCATCCTTGCGCATACTGAACTGTGACCCAAGGCCCAAGGAATTCTTTATCCCGGAGATCATAGTAAGGATCCAATCGCTCCTGGATCAAGGTGCCCTGCGTCACCAGAGATGCAAGGCCAATGGCCGTCGCGCCAACGCCGACCCACGAGGCGACGGTGTTGGAATACTCCATTGGATTCAGTCGGACAGTTAGTTCTGAAGAGGTTGCCCCTCCTGATGTTGGAATTCGTCGGTAATGAAGTGCGAGACTAGAGGGTGTGAAGAGAAGAGAGTGGAATCCACTTCGCTCACGAACATTTATGGTCCCGCCTCATATTTTGAATCAGGCTGGTGAATACTCTAATGGTGATCCCATACCTCCTTTTTTTTAGCCCCCACGCCTTCCAGGATTCTCATCCATCGGGGCCGGTTCTGCAGCCCGACGTGAAGTGTATCACCACAATGAAGCCACAATCTCAGTCCAGCAAATCGTGTCTCTCTGCACTACCATCTCCCCACAGCTGCCGACCGAAGTAGTCACAAGCCGCATGCACTGCCGAATTAATGTCACTCGTTATTTTTGGACGACAAATGAAACCTTTGCGCCGCGTCAGCGCAATCATGTTATCAACTCCTGAACGAGGCATTTGTTGGTCCTTCCAACTCCTTGCATGACAGCGCCGCACGAGCTGCTCCAATAGGCTCAGTCAGCCGCCAGACAGGTGCATATTGTACACGCATACATGCAATCAAACCGCTTATCATCCGCTTTAGTGAGTCAAATGCCGCAGACCCGGTCGCATGATCTGAAAGATGTACCATTCCTCTAATACCACGAGTTTGCCAGTGCTCCAATATTGACACTTATTTCAACAACTAACGTCACATATTGTCATCATTTTTCTCCGAGACTGGTCAACTTATGTCCATGATTCATTTTGACTGTCAAAATTCCATCTGAGCAGGAGATTCCTCGTCAATTCAATTTGTCTGCATTCCCCCACCTTCACTGGTAAAACAGGCTACTGCTTGGAAATTTCCTGAAGCTCCTCCTCTTCATCCTTCCCTAAAACCCCAAGCGCCTCTCGTCGTGTAGGAGCCTTTGGGTCAAAGTATGGCTGCTCAGCCAGTGAGGTCACTCTAGTTCCATGGCGAGGCTGTCTCCCAGCGTAGTCCCAACTAGCGTTATGCATCGTGATTCTAAGACTTGTCAGAACTCGCTATCTTCAGTCATTCCATTGGTGGGTCATCATTGCTTACCGGTTATCCCAGAGTGCCGAGGATCGAGGGGTCCATTTCCAGCGCACCTGGATGTCCACATTCTTCTCATACACATCGAACAAGTAGCCTAGGATTACATCACTCTCTTCCTTGTCAAGTCCAACGATTCGGTCCGTCATAGCGCGGTTGACCCAGAGTGCCTTCCAACCAGTCGCCGGATGAACTCGGACCAGTGGATGTACTCGCTCAATATGCTTGGGGCCATATTCAGGGTGGTCACGATCAAGATACTGATGGGCTGATTGGTAGACAGCGGAGCGGCCATCAATGATCTTCCGGAACTCGGGTGACAGTTTCTCATACGCTGCGTAACCACTGGCCCACAGCGTGTCACCACCCACATCAGGCACCGTGTCATTATGCAGGTGCGTGATACCTGCCGGCTGTCGCTCGTGAACCAAGTCAGTGTGCCACCTTGATGCTCCTCCTGGCTGTCGAAAGTTGGCCGTCCGCTCCGTAGCCATGAGATCTGGCCAGAGGACAGTGACTCCTGGAACTCCGGGAACATGGGGCACTTGGGGCTATAAATTTCGCTATTAGCATTGGTCTGAGAATGCAAATGAAGAAGTCCACGGTTGTATCACTTGGGATGCACGGAGTTTTGCAGCTTACGTGAATCTCAACCTCTCCAAACCATTCTCCCAGTTTCTTTTGATCCTGCGGCGACAAATCCTGATCCCGGAAGAACACTACGCTGCGCTCGGCTATAAGCAAGGCCAGTTCATCTCTCTGAACATCTGTCAAGTCTTTCAGCTGCAAGCCTTCAATCTCGGTACCAATGTAGGACGTGATATCAGTGACCTTCGTCGCCGCTGAGAGGAGATTTTTCTTGGACTTGTCCGCTCGCGCGCCCGCATCAATGTAATCCCTAGGTTGATCTCGAATCTTATAGACGTCCTGGAGATAGAGAGGACGGGAAGGACGGTAAGGGTACGCGCCCGACAAGTCAATTCCGGCCTCTGTTAGTCGTTTCTTGGCGGGCTCTGGAATTGGTAGGTTATCTTTCTTGGGAGGAGCAACATCCTTGATCTCGGGGTCAATTGGTGCTGGCATAATTGCGGCGATGTAAGACAGGCGTGTTTGGGTGGCCGGTCGGTGATTTCTTCTAATACACAAGACCAGGATTTTTCAGGTATAGTGTTGAGTATTTTCAGAGGCGCGAGCGAGAAACACAACCACCCGATTACTTATACGCTTCTCATCAGTAAAGGTAACCAGTAATGTTGATCCAAATGGCACAATACTTCCGCAATAAATCGTGATGGACGACGCTGCTCCCACTCTGGCCCCAAAGGAACACTCTTCATCCCAATTACATCCGATCGCGCGTTCCATTTGTCCATTGCATGTCCTATTGCCGATGCTGGATTACCAATCCACCGGCGACATGTACCGTTTTGTGTTGTAATACTCACAATTACTGGTTGGAAATGAGATGATCCAAGTCATGGATGACGAGCTCCACAACACGTGCAAGTTAAGTCGACTTGTGATTTCGGTGTTACAATGCATAATCTCCAGAGCAGCAAGGCAAATAGCAACCGTTAATATCTGCTGACGCCATTTGAGGGGGGAATTAGGTGCGGTACGGCTTGCTGCTTCAAGCTGATACAGTGCACATGCATTCTTCTCGGGATACCACATGGATGCATATTATCCCACCGGCATCATTGACATCATCACACGAAAGTATTTTGTTTGGGCGAGGTCGTTAGTGCAGACCACACCCGTCTGTAGGGTAGGAACAAGAGGGGTAAGAAGGACAAGAAAAGACAACACCAGACTTACCTCCTGAGAGCTAGAGATAATGAAAGTAACTGATCAATTGCTTTTAAATCCCTAAAAGAAGAAGAAAAGGGAAAATAATATCAAGAGCTGCTGCGACAGCTGCAGTAGAAGGAGCGTACTGAGACTAAAAGTATCTCGTTAATTGAAAGAAGAAAAAAACATACTGTTTTATTTTTCGAGCAGACTGAACGCCTTAAGGGGCTGCCTAAGCTAGCACAGGCCTTCCGTACTGTATTAAACTCCAGGTGGACCGTTGGCTCCATCACAGTATCAAGGTAGCCGACAGGGATTTGCTTCGTCAGCGAGCATAATCGTCAAAAATAATTGCTTTAGATCTGGTGGGGGTGGAATCTCACCTAATAATGTACACAAACCCCGGACAAATTAACCACCCGGAGGTGGATCATCTGGGGAAGCTGGGAAGCGTCTTCCAGGGATAATGCCCCTTGGTTGGCTAATTAAGCGCTCCTGTGCCAGGTTGCGGCTGATAGATTCTCTTTAATCCATCTCGACATTACACATGGCTCCGATTCAGCTGCAAGAAAAGCTTATTTGGATCCTGTGCGTGGCAGTGTAGCTGTCACCTCAAAACGGACCAAATCAGGGCTCTGAATTTCCAAGACACCAGTACCGCTGTAACACTCGCACCAATTCCAACGTGCTGGTAATGGCAGATAAACGAGCGGAGTGACACGAATACGAGATCTAAACCCCAACTATTACTCAAAATGGTTGCATCCGACCGGGTACGAGAAACACAGGGCGTTGGGTCACACAACGCACCAGGAGAAAATCACCGCCCACAGTCCCTGGCTAAAAGTGGTTAGAATACGTAATGTTGACTTGGTAAGATGGCAAGTTATTAGCACAGCAATTTAGAGCCATCTTTCAAAAGAGAAACTAGCAAATGGTCGCTCAGCAGCACACCCGTTCCCCTCGATGCATGAACATGCATGGCCCCCGATCGTGTAAGACCTCAGTTCAATCGATATTTTGTTGGTAGAAGATGCCCTTTGACGCAGACTACTCCCAAAAGACAGAAGAGGGCATCGCTAGCAGGGAAGTTGGACGGAATGGACGGCGTAACCGGACCACAGGTGGGCAGGGGTGGCAAATCTGGCACCTGGTAACACTAAATCTGGCACACTCAACACATCCAGCAATCGAGAAGGCAGTTTTATCGGTTTGAGCTGCTGCGACAGCCTGGATCAAGAAAATAAGACAAGAGAGAATAATGTATTTGTATTCGAAGAAGGGGAAAAGCATGGCCCACCCAAGATTTGGGCGAAGCTACTGCTTTAAGTCGCACCTAGCTACCTGTGTTAGGATCCGACTACTATTAAACTCCAGTGTGCTCGCCGACACCATCGCGATAAATGACAGGATATTGAACACAAGAACGCCAAAGTCATTTTGACCAAGATGGTAAGACAGACTGGTGTGGCTCCGGGTCGAGCTGAACCCAAAAAAAAACAAGTCTCCAAGAGGTCGCCCCCTGCATCCGCGCTCTACTCCGTGCTTGAAAACGTATGCAGAATAAACAAACAAACAAGTTCGGGTTCGAATAAGACCAAGCTCTGATTCATCGTCTCCGAGAGGCACAGGTTGCCTCACTTTCCATGTCCTCCTCTAACAATGTCAAAGCTCATGCCATTAGGACTGAGTGCTGGAATATGCCACTCAAGATTGAAGCGAGCTTCCTGGGGGAGCGTTTGGGGGCGTCCGAAAAACTGTTCGTATGATGCGTTGAGGCAGTCGACCGTGGTCGCGCGATGGCTGGATGCGGCGAACAATCGAGTGAATATGTCGGGGAGTACTCCCCGCTCAACAAGCGAAAACACCCGCGCGTACCACCGCACATAGTCTGGGTCCGAATCAGACTCGTCGTATTGCGTATCGCTTCCAAGAGATTGGAGTTTCGCGTTCCAGTCCAACGCGGTTAGCAACATGTCTTTCCGACACCAATACCCAAGAACGCAGCCAAACGTTATCCCGAAGGACCAAACGTCGGATACATAACTGGCATTTTCTCCACGGGCCACCTCAGGGTCCATGTAGAAACGGGTCCCTCCTCCTCGGCCGCCCTTGAATTCGCTTGATGCCACAGACAGGCCGAAGTCGGTCAACAAGAATGTTGGCTCAGGATTACCGTCTGCGTAATCGAAGAGGATGTTATCCGGCTTAACATCCAAATGGACGACGCCATTCTGATGCAGATAATGCAAAGCCTGGAGAATGTTCTCTCGAAGTCGCGGAGCCCAAGTAGGCACATCAGGCAGCGGGCCAATGCATTCGTGGGCGGGAAGGAGACGTGTCAAATTTCCTTTGTAGAGGGGGAAAAAGAGCTGGCAAGGTTGGCCGAGCTGGAAGTTCTGGAAGTGGACAAGGTTGACGATATTTCCCTAGAAGTGATGTTAGCAAAGTTGGCGCGATCGCAGTCAATTACGGCCCAGGACTCACGTGTTGTAATCTCGCCATAATCTCGACCTCACGTCTGAAGGACGCTGTCCACTGGGCTGTCCGAGCCTTGGGCTTGAACTCTTTGACTGCCCAAATCTCCCCGGAGGACAAGTCAACGGCCTTGTAAACCACACCGTATGTTCCCTGACCAAGTTCGCCATACCTATGGATGGATTTCTGCGTGCCAGATTTGGTCGCAGCTGGAGCCGAGAAAAGGCTTCGCAGTGTATATTGATGTTCAGGTGCCAAGGCTTGGGGCAAGGCACTGGTCAACACCATATCTGGGATAGCCAAGTCGGCGGCGCGTTTGACCAAATCCACGTCCGTTTTATCATCTTGTAGAGGAATCCTCCACCGGAACACGAATTCGGCCCCCGTTTGCAGAAAGAGAATGGTTCGAGCGGTCCTATCCTTCGGAATAACGCGTTGGGGTGGCGTCCCTTGAATCGAGTACTTTTTTTTTTGATCTTCTGTGGCGTCAAAGACGGAAATGCGGATTGACGATGGCGCCAGTTCCCTAAGAATCAGCTCTCCAGATTTGGCTAAAAAGAAGTAGCACTGGCCACTGGAATAATTCCTTTGTCCTGGGGGTTGAGAGGGGAGGCGGACATCATGATTGCTGTTCCGCCCAAAAGAGACGAGCCTGGAGGGGATCTTAGACTTAAACTCGGTGCTGAAGCTGAGACATTTCGTTCCCGAGAAAGTGTCCTGGAAATCCGGGTTTGCTTCCAGAATCTCTTGAGCGTTGTCGTTGTTTGGGAACAGAGAGAACAGCATCTGCGGAGCCATTGCGGAGAGTGATGGCCAGTGGAAAAGAGTCACGGTCAGGCCGCGAGAGAAGTGTGTGAAGAGGGAAGAAAATAGGGGGAAGATTGGTCAAAGAACTCACTCTGCCAACAGTATGATTGCTTTGCTTTTGTGGCTTGTGTAACTCACATGTGCCGTCCTTACAGACTGCAAGCTCAAGCCAGGTCCCGGGTGAATAAAAAGCCGAACTCCGCCAACGAGGCTTTGTTTGCCATCGCACTCGTCGCGATTCTTTGTCAACAGCATCACTCCCCAGCAAGCACGCAAATTTCCTTATTCTTCTGCAAATTCACTCGCATACGATAACCCTCGGCCCCATTTGAACCAGAACTACATCGTCTCCGAGACAACGATGTCGAGCAACGCATCCTCCCCGAAGCAGGACATCGCCGCGGCGGGTTCTCCCCGGACTCCCAACAACCCCCTTTCAAAAGCGAATCTCTACGACCTCAACGCTGTGACCAGACAGGAAGAGGCTCGCCGAAGAGGGTATTCCACACCATCTACAGAGCCCGACTTACACGAATACAATTCGGTTTACTCGGGAGGGGAGAAGTGGCTTCGAGAGCTGAGGCAACGTCACCTCGAGGAAGAGATGGATGTGTCAGGGCGGGAGAGAGCGAGAGCTCTAATAAGACGCTTGAACGCTATATGTGGCGATCCTCCAGAAGTCCCAAACTTAAATGTGCCCCGGCCTCGAGGCCTGGAACGTCTCCCCATGACTGCCACTGACGGAACTATTTATGATCTACCAGACACACCAGAGCCAGAGACACAGCTGATTCTTGGTGGATTTGGCGACGGGGGCGCCAAAACCCCGCGTTTGAACCTTCGACCCATCGAAGATCAACTCGATGCTCACCTTTTCCCCATGGGCGATGATGATCAGATCAAGCCACCATGCCACTTCCCTCCCAGCTTTCAGAGACATCACCCAGTCCAGCACGCCGACGAGATCGAGGCGTACCTTGCCAATGCGAGTTATGTCATTTCGCTCGATGGGCCACCCTCAGCTGATCTCAAATACGGCGTCATCATTGTCAAGACTGGCAACGAGATGATGCACTTTGGGGAGAGGCCTGCGGACGTCTTTACGCAGAGCTTTCTCGATGATGTTGATGACGCAAAACGCGCCCTCCGAAAGCAGCACTTGCACGCCGACGACGGAGAAGGCACCAAAGCCTACTCGCAGTTCCCTCCTAGCGCTTCCCCCAATGCGCTTCAGGATACCGGGGTCGTTGCAGAGGCAGTTCCATGCACCAATTCGCTTGAGGATACCAGAGACGTTCCAGAAACAATTCCGCGCGTCGAGGTCACTGATGCCGGGCATGATACCACGCACCCGCGTCGGAGCAAGAGAAAGCGTGTCGAAAACACGAAATCGGACGATGCTTTGACCGACACACCTGGCGCGATCAACACAAATGGTGTCGATGGTCCTAGCCATGGCCTTCACGCAACTGGGCCGAAGGCGGTTGATGATTCGCCCGCCGATGCTGCGATCGATTCATCGAATGGAGCGATGGCTGCGGGGGCGGAAGAAGAGCTTCCCGAGGGGAAGCGAGTCTTACGGCCACGCGGAATTCCTCGTCGCGGAGATTCTGGCGAGGCGACTGGCAAGACGACTGGCGAGACGACTGGCAAGGCGCGAGCCGACACATCATTCACGGACGAAGGCACGACTAGAAAAGGTGCCTCGGAGCGAGCAACCAAGGCGGGCGCTGAAGGAGCGAGAGGGGCAGCTAAGAAGCCGCCAGTCACCCGATCGAAGAAGAGAAACAACAAGTGACAAGATCAAACGGCAGAGCGAGGATGCGACAGACGCTGTCAAACCGGAGAGACGTCTCACAGCAGAGCTTCGGTTGTGTTTGTGGGGATGCAAGGATTGAAGGATGGGTGTTTTGAACTGTAGTGCAATGTGTTTCTATTCAATCGTGCAAATTTAGTGACATTCAGATATAAAAAAAAAATACGCAACGTGGTTCCAGGATTAAACTCACTGCCGAACAGGTATGATGTCCATCCAGACGCTCTCGATTACTGAGAGAGTGAGTGCGTCGGTACTTTTAGACGTCAGCTAACCTGACGAGCCCTTCTGATGTTCCGAACCCTACCTAAATCACGTAGCGCATGCTCTGTGGAGTAGCGGGACTGCCAGCGGAGCAGAGTGGAGCGACAGGTGGACAACACTGCAGACTCTCGGAGGACGCGACACTCTCGGTGAAAGAGCCACGGTCGCTCATCCAGGACTCTATGGTCAATTTTGTTATGGTAGCCTCTATTGATCCAATGCGTATTTAGCATTGTCCAGGGCAACAACGAAGAAATCAACAGTGGTGACATTCAGGCCAAGTGAGTTCCGTGATGCCAAATCATGGCACACACGGGCCGTCGCTGTGACTGCTACGGGCTGGATCTGTTCAGGCTATTTTGCTTAAAAAAGACACTACCGGTTTCGGAGATTTGTCGACGAATCATGAAGGAGGGAGTCTGGCTTCAAAATCCTTCGTGTTCCCTACCGACAAGGTTCCCTGGTAGGTGCACTGGCAGGGAACAAGGGAGAAGAAATGCCTTGGCTGAAAAACAACAGACGCACACACCAGAGCTGGTCGGCAGAGGGGAGCTCTGGGCTTCCGGACTCCTCGGAGCGGTTGAAGGATTCATGGTTTGCGCCTCTTCAACACCATTGACCCAACTAACATGGTCCGATACGACGCTGATTCGGGATGACGCCCCAGGATGCGGCTCTGCACAGGGAACCTGAGTAATGCTCGTGAGCCCAGAACAGTAGCGGCCCAATAGACCAACGCCAAGCGCAGTGCCAGAAGGCAGACTTTCGCCCCAAAAAGCCAATCTCGCAAGTCTGGCCATCGGCCGATCGCCGATCAATTTCCCCTCTCAGCCTTGCTTGGAGCTTGCCCGCGAGCCTAGGCGGCCTGGGCTTCAGCTCCTGCAAGCCACAGCCAACATCATTCGTCACGCCCGGCCGACTATTGACGATAATGCGATACCCTTGACGCCTTCTCTTTTAGCTTGCAGATGGCTGCTTCAGCTTCTCTCCATCGGGTCAGCTGGGCGACATGCGGCGCCAGCCTCACTGTACGAGTAAAGCGCAGCACCCGCAGGGCCTACTTCATCCCCTGGCGCCCCCTCCGTCGTTCGCGCATCGCCTTTTTAATTCATTTCTATTGTCCTCCGATCATCGTCAAGGCCGTTTCTCAATGTATTGGCCACCACTCTCTGCGGAGGCCGTCCTCCTTGGCGCGCTGCTCCAAAATGTCAACGCAATGGTGCCGAGATACCAGGCAGCCAGGGAGGAGTATGTGCAGGCCATGCCAACAGCCACGGCCGACCTTCTGGGGCTCCAAGCAGAACTGCGAAACATCCAGGACCTCGGGTTGAAACATCGCCAGGCCGAAACAACCAGCAGCGTCACCTACACCATCACCATGTCCCCGGACAAGACCTGTGGATACCTGTCGGGATCCGCCGGTGTGGGGATTACTTGTGAGAACGGCGCGACATGTGCGTGGGAAGTGAAGGAAGTGGACGCGATTCTTTGCGGCACAGCCATTCTCAATCGATGCATCGAGAGTAGCGTGGCCGTTGATCCCGATCAATGTGACGACGTGTGCCAGAGTAATGAGTTCAACCTGCTATGGTGAGATGACCTGTTCACATGTCCCTTTCCAGCGTGCTAATTTGTAATCTAGTACCGGTAGCGATGCGCCATACTGTCGCACGTATGCCTTCCCGAGCGGCGTACGGGATTACAGATGCGCATCCACGCCTGTAACGGCAGTCCAGAGCGCCGACTTCACCTACGACGGCCAAGACGATCCTGGATTCGTCACTTCAGTTCTCGACGACACAGTCACGACCCCGATCAGCTCTGATACCGAAACGTCCACAGAGCCGATTTCTACGACCACTACTACCGACCCCCCTGGCCCTACGACCACCGTTCCCCCTCCCGATCCCCCCAAGAAGAAGACCCCCATTGGTGCGATTGTAGGAGGCGCAGTCGGAGGTGTGGCTGTCATCGCGATCATTGTCATCGCCGCCATCTACTTTCTCCGCAAGAAGAAGAAGCCAACCGAGCCACCGGTCAATCAGGCTCCAGTGGTCCAAGGAAACCCCGGTTACTTCGCCCCTGCCCCTATGGACCAGCAACAACACCAGCAAATGCAGCAAATGCAGCAAATGCAAATGAACAATGCGCCCGACATGAAGAACGCCATGGCGACCTCGCCCGTTCAGTCCGACTGGCGGCAGTCATCAATGAGTGGGCAAAACCCCGCCATCAGCCCAATCTCCCAGGCCGGTTGGGGACATTCGCAGCCATTCCAAACACCTTCTCCTGCCCCTGTTCCTGCTCCTGCTCCGGCATATGAAGCTCCAGGCCATGAGGCTCGCGAACGTGACCCTGTCTACGAAATGGGCGGTGAAGACACCCCGAGAAAATGAAGGGCATCTTGAGAAGCGCCTTGGTGTGTCTAAAGCTTGGGGGAATTGATCATATATTGCAAGATTTTCAGTGAACATAATACTAGATAGATTGCAGGAATCAGGTTTGTATTACTTGGTTGCGAAGGATTGCGCGTGTTTCGTTCTTTCATTTTGCACGCAGCGCGACAACGGTCTTACCAGCCGCGTCGCAGAGGTCGCACAAGACTGCTGGAGAAGGCGCAGGCTTGTTCCGCCCAGATTTGATGGAGCGTAAGCTTGGTGGCGCCCTTACGCAGAATTGACTGGTTTTTGGCTTTACGAAAATTAATGCGTCTATGATTTGGTGCGTTGCATTTGTGAAACCTGGTTCAGCTCGTCGCTGCAGGTTCCAAGCCGCCGACGTCGCATGCATTGCAGATGGCAGCGATTGAATATTCTACAAATCCATCCGTCGCCGCATCGTGCAACATGCTGAATGAAAGTTATACGCAGGGTAGCAGTGTCCCTACCTCTCTAATTCCAGCGACCCGCCAAGACTCTCTACCTCTGGGGGCAACTCAAGTCCCCGTAAGAGTGGGCCGGTTGATGCACATTCAGTCATGTCGACAGTCTAATTAAGCCGCGATACCCGGATTGAACACCTCAATGTGGCCTGTTGAGATGAAATTGTCTGTCAATGAGAGCTGACGACCCTTGCAATTTTTAAGTGTGGCGATTGCCGAGCCTGCCCGCCCCACACCCTTTCCACTGCCCCACTACCTAATTGGGACGTCCGCACTCCATGCCGCATTTAGATTAGAGTGGGTGGATAAGCATAAGTTGACTTGCAGACAAGATCGTGAAATAAGCGAAAGCGAAGAAGTGAAAGTGTCAACGTGCAAGTTTTAGAATAGGCGCCCGAACTAAGTCCAGATATTTAAATACATGAAAGGCCGACGGGTGTCCAGAAGCGAGTCTAGTTCCGAGGTGCAGGACAAGAAGAAACCTCAAGCTGCGTGGTTGTCGAATTGGCAGTCCGTGGTGCTAGAGAAGTAGGGAGGCAGTAGTGGGGGCACATAATAGATGAGGATCTCATGAAATCATGTAGCCAATCAAATCCAGCAGTAGCAAGTACAGGGAACGAAAATTAATTGATCTAAGTCGTTAATGAGGAGAACTTCATCGGAGGTCTTCGTTTGTCTGGTACCCGGGCGCGGGACTTGGCCCTGAGTGAACTATCTCAACCGCTCTCGATTTCGATATCGCACTCACAGTGCGCAAAGCCTAACAGTCCAGATGGAATTCTGCCCAGGGCCCAACGATATTTTGGATCCAACTACGTCTCCCTCACCAGGGTCCAGTGTCGTATTGTTTCTCTGTAGGGGGGCTGACCTGGTCCGGCCCCGGCTGTGCATGCGGTGCCCACTCGACCGCCGCCGGTTTCGCCGGGGCTTGGCACTTCCCTCTTCCGGTCTGTCATGTGACTGTACCACCCGGATGCATGCCGGGCCCGGGCTCAGGAGCCCTCCGGATTCCGGCCCCACACCACCGGGGTTTGGTGGGCTCTGCGGGGCCTATTCGCGAGCACAATTAATTGCAGCTTGAACATTTCCGGATTTAGTGCAAGTTAAAGTCTGACAGATACTAGTTGAGTTGAGTACATGATGGTATTTTTTAATCTGGCGGCAGTTGGCTGGGGCTTGTGATGGCTTGTGATGGCTTCGATACTCGCAACCAGACTTTGATGACCGGATTAGGAAGAGCCACGTTCATTGTCAACTGGGATAGCTTTTACCCACACGTAAAGCCCAATATTTAGTCGGTTCCTTTTGGACGCTGAGTTTCTTTAGTAGAAGTTCACCCCGCTTTCGACTGTGTAGATATGTCTTTGTTGCGTCGTGGTGAAGGGAAAACTCGCTCGCACAACTCGAGGCCCCTGCCCACTGCTGACAATACCGTTCTAGAGTGACTGAGCTTAACTTAGTATGCCCTCTTAAGGCGAAGGATCAGGACTGTAGCCGCGTGAAACCTCAGCGCCAAGGTCCAGCATGTTGCTGGCCCGCTTTATGTCTGCATGTTTTTAAACTGTTTCAGGGGTCGACCATAGCCAACTGCGTTGCCACGCAACACTAACAATTTTCAGGGGCATATCACCTGCCAGCTATAGTTCTTTACGTGGGGCTAGCGTCAATCCTTATCCAGACTTTACTTGCCACTTTACTTACGGATTCTCGAAGAGACTTAAGGCTGCCCAATAACAGTCCGAGCAGTTTTGAGTCTGTGTTAGTTGAGGGTGTTGTATTTCAGTAAAGCTCTTCCCTCGAGTTCAAACTCCTCTTGCCCTAAATAAAAAATCTTCAAAGGCTCGCTGACTCGTCGCGTATGCCATTGCCATGTCGTTTTATCCGAGGGAGAAGTACTGGATCGCCCTCGAGGTGCTCGTCGGCCTCACTCTTTTTGCCTCATTTGCTCCGTTTTGGTCTCCATCTGCCAGACTCGCACCCGGAGAGATCCCGCTCGAACGGCTTCCAACTATTTAAAAGCTGCATTTGCTATTTTCTCGTTGTTAGTTTCACTAATTATGTCCCTTTCCTCTGCTCATTGGTAGCCTCCATTTTATGCACTACCTCAATCATCTTGGCACGTCACTCAGCAACCAATCTGACCACTTTTCGTAAATAGCTTTTGTTGTTTGGATGCCATCCGATTTGCCTTGGTCTTGTTGGACTATGATCCAAGTCTCGGTTTGGGGGGAGCTGACGGTCTTATCATCGCAGCTCTTGCGGGTCTCATGATCAGCATCACGGACATATTAATTCTCATGATACTCCCGCGCGTAACGGCTGGCATCCTTATCGTTCAGTCTGAGGAGCCTATCAAGATGGACAAGGTTGTCAAGATTGTTACCTATGGCGCTGCCATTGTCCTCGTCACTCTCGCTCTCGCATCCACCACGTTGCAGATCAAGTTTTATCATGACAGTTCGTTTGACAACGTGGTCGCTCTAAACAACCTTCCTATAGCCTTCCTGTCACTAGTTTTTGTTGCGTCTGCTCTGGTTGGTGCCCGAGCTGTGATGATGGAATAACAGACACGATCCGAGAAGCGTGTAGCCACGGTAAGTTCCTTTTGCTACCCTCGTCTAGCCATATCATGACTGAATTCCATTAGATCTCAACTTTCTTGGTTGACTAATCAGGTCTTTGGCTCTTGCACACAACGTACGGAGTTGTTACGATTGCCACGATTGAAAGGAATGGCAGTTATCGACCATACCACCACATAACCGCGGTTATCTTTCCGTTTTGGCTTGCTTTTATAGCATTGTGCATCATTATTGCAATCGGTACCAAGAAGTATGATGGTCTCTAGTCCACAGCCGAAACCTCCATGGTCAGCGGCGGCAACCAGCAAATGTCATGGAACTACAACTACAATGCGCCTCAGGTTCTACCCCAGCACATGTCACAACAGTGTTACAACAGTACGCGCAGGCTAAATGATATCCAGCGCAGCAAGTGTATTACCAACCTTTATTACAACATGCCCCTCAACAATATGCCCCGCAACAACAGCCATTGCCTCCCTGAGAGGTACTTGTCCCCCCTTCGGAGCTCTCTTCACGCACTCCAAACCAGCGTTACTCTACGTTTAGTCAAGACGTAGTTTCCAATCCAAATCCAAAAAATCCGGCCCCACCATTCCCAGGGAATTCTTTAGGTTCGGAGCATCGGGCAGAAGAAATCACCACTCAGCATTCTCAACGGGATAATAACTAGGGCCTGTGAATGGGTAGTTCCTACGAAATTAATCAAACACTCCTCAACAGAGCCACCAGACTCATTATGCATGAATTGTAGCAATATAATTTGGTGTGTCCGGCGGCTTGGCCAAGCACACGACGAATGGCTCTATTTGCTAACGGAACCAACAAAACCAACAAACCCATGCATACAAATTGTCGCCGCTTTGGGTTAAATTCAACTAAAGAAAGGGCCTTTTCCTTTTATGTCATCCTTGCTTGAGACACGAGGCTGTTGATCTTCCAAATATACCGACTTTGCAGTCTAGGGTATTTTCTAGCACCACACATCTGTTCTTTCGCATACTCCTCCTTTAAACTAACGGATAAGGTGTTATTAACTAGCATAGAAGAGAATTAGATTTATATAAAGATAGTCTTTCATGAATAACGAAAACAACTGTCTATACTACCAATAGCTTTACAAGACTTCCCCGCAAAATAACCCCACAGAGGTGTATTTAAACCCTTAGCTCTTGTACCAGTCTCAGTTTCGTGTTGTTTAACAGTGTAATTATAAATCGAAGGTAGATGTGTTGCACAATGTGGGCAGTGCGAAAATTCCACTGGACTAGCGAGTGCTAACGTCTAAAAGCCGAGACATCAAGGAGATCAAGTGCAAGAACGACGAGATCCATGCCACTCTCACAGGTACGTATAAGATAAATATGTCGATCTAGAAGGTCTTATCTAACCAATGAATTTCCAACAAGATTTGGGACCACCTCAAGTCTACCAATGGCTTCGTGCAACTGACTCCTCTCCTCTTCATCATTGGGCCGGTAAGCTGGATGCTCCGTTCTGATGAATGTCTTTCTTGGACCGAGGTTAGAATTCGATGTATTTGGATCCATGGAGTGCCTGGGGCCGGCAAGACAATCTTGGCATCCCGTTTAATCGCAGCCGTCAAGGGTCTTTGCGTAAACAAAGCTACAACACAGAAACAGGCCCATGTCTACTACTATTGCTACTTTGGCCACAATCAGAACGAGACAGCACCACTCCTAAAGTAGACATTGTATCAACTCTGCCGTCAGGCGGACACAACGCCACCTCACCTGCACAGGTTGTATGAGTATAGAGGAGAGCCTAGCCTGGTAGATCTCTTACGGTCTCTCGAAGCAATCACCGAGGGCTTTGACAACGTATATCTGGTGATGGATTCCATTGACGAAAGCACAGAGCACGCCGAATTCCTAAAGGTCCACGTTATAGCCACCAGTCGAGAGTATATCGACATTGAGAGCGTACTTGGCAGGTTTTCAGCCCTCGTATCTGTCAGACGGACCGATAGGAAAAGTCAGCTTTGCATAGGACCGGACCTGTACCGTGGTTTTCCTTTGAACCTAGATAGAGACTTTCAACCTAGATGATCCTCAACAACCTAGATCAACGGTTAGGATCGGGATCATCAGATCAGGGATATCTGGCCTCATCAAAGGCATCTGGATCAGTCAGATCCCTAGGCATAAATAGCTAGCTTTCTTCCTTCCTAGACCAAAAGACAAGATCATCCATCGTCCCAAGCTGTCTCAACCAATCCAACTTGTCTCATAGTATCAATGCAGAACCCATTACTCGATGAAAACATAAAACTGTATATCCAGTCAAAGCTGCATACACACCAGAGGCTAAGCCTTTGGCCATCTCACTTGCACGACGAAATTTTGTGCGCGTTATCCAGCAAGGCAAAAGGAATGCAAATTGCTTTTGGCACTAGTCTTCTTGAAGTCATTCGAACAAGTATTTTGAGCACCATTCCGTCTATTTAAGGCTACGTAAGCGACGAAGAATTACTCCGCGAATTTTACGAGTACCTGACAACGATAACCTTGAACGAGACTGATCAAAACCAGGATTATTCACTAGAATCCGAGGTATACTCTACGCATTACACTGTCTTGGAACTCTTACAATCGTCCCGCATCTGGCACGGTCCCGCAGCCTGCTTTGGAATAGAGAAGGAAACGAGCAACTGTAAGTTTACCAAAATGGTGATGCTCGAGGCACTTCACCGGGTTCACCCCCAACACAACGATCTATCAGGTTAGGGAAGCAATAAAAAGTTAGCAGAAAAAGCTCTTGGAGACTATTTCGGTTTGTACTGTACGGTCTCCTCTATTTCTCTCTCGAAAATATGGGACCGTCATAATTGTCGGAAGGGTGATGTGGTGGCTTTGACGTGTATGATCTCTTGGATCCATGAAACCCCCATTTAGAGCTGCTCAAACTCGAAATCCTCCCACTCGATTTGCGGAATGATAATAAATTCCGGACTCTTACCTGGCATGAATTACTTGTAATCAACGACGTCGTCATACTCCTCAACTTACTGTTTACGGATCAGAGTAACGAGCTGGCGAAGGCTTTCCTGAAGAAGGTCAATGCAAAAGTGGCGCCGAGGTCACAATTCGATGCAGAATTATTGTGTCTGCTCCTTTTATGACTATGAGGAATATCACTTCCAAGGATCTATCGTGGAATTCTTGCACTAGTAGGAAGACCAGAAAGGGGGGCATTCAAAGAGCTTCAATCTCCTACTCGATTTCCAGGTGGAAGCCTTTGATCTTTCAAAGATACTGCTACCGTTTACTGGTTGGCATATGCACAAGACCGGTTGCCAGGATAACTGTCTGTTACGATTATTGCAGCTTAGGGCATCCCCAACTATGGCTGGATACAGGATCGCACCTTTGCAGATGGCAGTTGCAGCCTAGGATTTTAAAGAGGTAAAACTACTCTTAGAATCTAGAGCAGATGCAAACGACACCGGGGATGAGGATGGAATTGAATGGGGAGAGGATATCATGCTCGGCATGTTTCACAGAATCCGTGGTGAGAGCCCGCTTTGCATAATACGGAACTTTGACTACGATGGCTTTGTTCAAGGGGAGGTTATAGTCGAAGCGATAAAGGACGCATGCGTGAAGATCGAGGCGCTTCTACTTGAATATGGGGCTCATGAGTCTACCACCAGGGATGAGCTATCTGGGGAGGAGTCAACTGAGGAGTGATTCAAGAGACGAGACTAAAATACAATATGGTGCGTTTTTGACGGCGATTTCTACATTTCCGAGGGGTTGGTAGTTATGTGTGAAATATAAAATACTTGACATGATGCGATATGGTGGACTACAATACATTGGAGGTAACTTAGATGATTCATATGCCCTCGAGTTTACAGAAGCATGAATGCAATCCCATATATGTGGAAATAAAATCCTCGCACGCGTGAAGATCGCGGATGCTGGCGGGTCTTTTGCCGTGACAGGTTAAAGGTCCATTGCTTGGGCTGGCACACCTCCCAGCCCAATGCATTCAGATCAGTGCTTCACGGGTCGTGTCGGGCCAGGTCGCCGAGGGACACAGAGGCCGAGGGTTCGAGACCCCGTCGGCACTCGCAGTGAAGGCACCTGGACGGCGGCGGCTCACAGGGTAGGGCTAGTTCTGCAGGACGACGCCCTGGGCCTTGGGGGTTTGCATCTGGCCGTGTTGTCCCAGGACCTGGCGGCGGGTCCCAGCAAGCGTGGCGGAAGATCCCAGTGCGTCAGGGGCAGTTGTCCCCCCGTTAGCGGTAAGACCTGAGGGCAGTCGAGCCTGTGAGCCGCTGGACCCAAGATGGCAGTGAGTACTCAGTGGTGTATCGTACTGGGTCCGAGCACCATGGCGACTAGAGACGAGCACGCTGTTAGAAGAGGATGAGTGCAAGAAAACTTGTGGCAGATGTGAGGTGCAGTTCCAGGTGGATTCCTGGTTCTGACAAATCTTTTTGATATTTTTAGCATTTAATGATGTACTTTTGTTTTTTACTGTCTTAGTTTGATTGGCTTTGTTTATCCTACTCTTAGGTGGAGGATCTGTGGTGGTTTGGCAGGGCGAACATGGAATACATCTAAGTTAGGTGGATTATGCTCTATTACTATTAAGCACCTGCGCTAATACGCAGTGAGTCCTGGCGCATCAGCTGCGTATTCTATCACGATCTGCTTGCCGTTTGGGGTTTCTTCGTGTATATACATTCAATTGCACTTGTGCCCTTCGCTCGTTAATCATATGTCTACGAGTCGTCGATGCCCGTCTGGTGCCGCACAACTGAAATCGGCGCCACTAAGGAAGCTGGCGCCGTTGCAGAGGGCGAGCCTGCAGAGGCAGTTCAGCTCTCGGGGAAGATGCCGAGAAGCAGGATTATGTACCGGCTACCTTTTCGCAGGCCTTGTTCGCAGGCCTTTTTCGCAGGCCCTTTTCGCAGGGCAGATGTCAATATGATCGAGCCCAGCGCTCAGCTTGTCGTCGCAGGCATAGAAGGATTCTTAGGCGGGTCTCAACCATGGTTGTCTGATACCTGGAGCGACCGAGGCGGCTTGGGTGTCGTGTATGGATGCTAGAAATTATATTTAACTGGACCTCTCTATTGCTTGAGATCTTCTTGTTGTAAGTAAAAAATAAAAAATAAAAATAAAAATAAAAAAAAAGTGTCGTAAACGAAAGCGGAATCAGGAACAAACGCCATGCGATTGTAAAATGGCTCTCAGTTCCTTCAGGTGAACGGGCTTCGTGAGGAACAAGTCCATGCCGCTGCCAAAAGCCTCGCGCTGTGCGTCCGCAGAAGCCAGGCCCGTAAGCGCAACAATGAACGCAGGCTCGAGTCCATTCTCGCGCTCGTGGGCTCTGATTTCTCTGCTGGCGACGAATCCATCCATGACAGGCATCGAGACATCCATAAAGATGAACCGGGAGCCATCAGGATATTCTTTGTACGCTTCGAGGGCCTCCTGGCCGTTTGTTGCTGTCCGGTACTCCTGCCCCAGTTTCTTCAGATACGAGGAGAGGATTTTCAGATTGATGGGATTGTCGTCAACGACAAGGTACTCGGTCTTCGTATCGGCAGAGGAGAGCTTCAGCTTCTTAAACGCGGATTGAGACTCGTGATAAGACTCGGTTGTGTATGGGGGCGCGGGCGGCCAGTGTTCCAGCGGTTTTGAGATCGATGAGGGAACTGTGCTCGGTCCATCCAAACTGGGAGATTCCGAGAGCGGGGGCGAAAGTTCGGGGACGATTGGAAAGACAAACTCTGGTTTTTGATACTCTACGGCAGCCGGGGAGCTAACTGTCTGCATATTCGTCCATCGTCGGAATACCAAGTGCAGGATCTTGGCCAGCTTGTTTGGGCCGATGCTAATCACTCGTGAGCGTGAGGTCATTGCATAGATGGAAGTACTTACGGCTGCGATATAAACTCCACGAAGTCAGATCGATCCAGCTTAGGTGACGTCGAACGTTTGTACGCCACGAGAGCGTTCGCACACACGACAACACACGGCGACCTGGATAATGCCTGGCTGTGATATCGTAGGGGTAATGCACCTTCTGTCAACAGCACAAGGTCGGGGGTGACAGCTTCGCCATCTGGCCCAGAAACGACTTCCATATGGAGCCAGTCCCGACAGATTGCTCGTATCAAGGCATTACCGTCATGGTCTTCACCATTTCCGCCCAGAGCCCCACGATTAGAGTTGTGGTCGTCGAATCCCAATAAGCAGACACGAAGCCCACGGAGCTCATTAACCTTCCGTCCCAGCTCGTCATCCAGTGGTGAAGAATCTCCAGGTGAGAGCAGCGCCTGCACAAGTGGCAGCGTCACGTGGATCGTGGTTCCCACTCCGCTACTGCTGTGGACAGACACATGCCCGCGCAGCTGCGACGTCATTTTCTTGACGAGACTCAATCCAAGACCTGTACCTGGAGCCAGGTGGTTTTCTTGAGTGAATGGCTTGAAAAGGTTATTTTGAAGAAAGTCTTTGCTGATGCCTGCCCCTGTGTCCGCAACCGTAATGGTAACAAGCCTCTCCTCGTCGCGAGCCCTCTTTTGGGGTTGACTTTGACTGAGTACGACCTTGATAATGCCTCTTTCAGTGTATTTCAAGGCGTTGCCGAATAGGTTCATTATGATTCGACGAATGGCTCCAGCTTGAGTGTGAAAGGCCCATTCACAGGATGGGTCAACCAAGAGGAAGATTGATACGTCTCCGAAGGTCATCTGAAGTTTGCCCGACGTCACCTTTGCCGGGCCTAGAACCTCCTCTGCTCGCACCTTGTCCATGCGGTGGTTCGCAGTTACATCGGCGTGAAACTCGCCTCTGTGGCTGCTAAACTGTGAGATGGACAATTGTTGGAAATTGTAGCCTGCGAACACGCTTTCAACAACTTCCTCGGCCAAACGATCAAGCCGAACGACGGAAGTCAGACTCATCATCCCAGCCTCGATTGTTTTGGCTGAGCTCTTCCGAATTCCTCGGCCAGCAGCTGTTTTCTGCTGCTGCTTTGTTGTCTCCATGAAGTTGTTGATCTTGGAGAAGTCGAGGAGGTGATCAAGGGTATCACTGAGAGTGCGACCGCAAGTTTCTAGTGTATGTGCGATATCACCTTGCAAGACGGTCAGTTCCGAGTCGTTTAACAATTCGACACCCAGGATAATTCCGTGTAACGGGGATCGTAACTCGTGAGAAAGTGAACTCAGAGCGTCAGACTTGGCCTTTTCGTCAAGAACGATTTCGTGTTTTGCGGTTTCCGCCATGGCCAGCATTCCAAATGCCCTCAAGTAGCTGAGTTCTGATTCGGTCAAGAAGACGCGAGTCGGTGCGTTGGTGTAGATGAAGCCGCCGGCGAACCATCTGTTTCTCCTTGGGTCCCAAACAGGGACAAAGGCCACGCTACGAGCTCCCGGGAAGATTTTCATAATGATCTGACCCTCCTTTTGTCGCGCCCAGGGATTTCGACGGGACTTCTTTCGCGGCACATTCTGGTCCGTACCAAGCGAAGTTCGTGCGCCCTCACCGGGCGTTGTCACATTTCGATTCGGCGTCCCGGTCTGGTCCTCCTCGGACGAATCGCTGGACTGCAGCTCGCCATTTGCACCAAAAAAGAAAATCTTGCCCCTCGGATATCGTCGTAAGAGAGTTGCAAGGAATTTTTCGGCCACAGTCGCGTGAAGGGTCGAATTCGCCTCCCCATCAATGCTGGACTTTTCGGACGTGGAAAAGGAAAGCACTTGACAGGGCGGCCATACCTGTTGGCCAGACGAGGAGTCCTTGCTCTCGTCACTGCTGCTAGTACCACTGCTGCTTCTGTCCCCGGAGGCGATTGAGTAGGGGCTCGGTTCGTCGTTATCATCTGAAGTCATTGGGCTGCCCAGAGAACCAAATGATCTTATGGATGCGTCGAGAAAGAGACAGCCTTCTACCTCAATAGACTCCCTAATTAGGTTGGCAGCTTTTGAGAAGATGAGGTTGATGGCACTTTGCCGAAGGTTTTCATTGGCTTTTGGTGCTATTGTGGCTGTTTCGGTACAGCATTCAGTTGAAATCGAGGCAGGTACGGGCGCTGGGGATCCTGGGCTTGTTGGGTCTGGTCGCTCGTGTTCTGCCTGGCCAGTCCGTGATACACCTGGGCCGCTGTTGGGTTCAGTTAATCCGGTTTGAGAACCATCTTGATGCGCCAGTAGAATCTGTTGGTCTTGATGTGCCTGTTGTTTCACGTTCAGGGCACCCTCGAGTTTGGCGTTGTCCTCGAAGGCTCCAGCGTGGGGTCCAAGCCTCCACCCCGACATGGTGGATTTCGACTCGATGAAAGATCCAATTCCTCGGTTCATACGCTCGCTGCGCCTGTGGGCAGACCTTGCTTTGTTTCCTTCGAGGTACCGCATGATGGCTTTGGAGATGTTTCGTAGAATTTGGGAGTGTTGGTCGTTCCAGTCGTCATGTGGATCCGTATCCATGACGCAGTACACGCCTATGTTGATTCCCTTACGCGTCCGGATGGGAACAGCAGCGTAAAATCTGGAAGCACCTGGCTGGCCGTAAGCCTTGCTAGAATACTGCGGATCGGCGTTGAGGTCGTGGACCAGGTTGATGGGGAGTTCGGTCGGATCTCGCTTGGCGTCGGATTGGGATGGCTCTATCTCATAGAGGCTGGCTTCGCAAACGCCATGGCCTCGGGGGATGGCTGTGCCACAATGGAACAAGTCCTCATTGCGATCCTCAGATCGGAGATTGGGCACCAGAGGTAGGGTGGGCGTTGCTTCGGCGATGATGTACTGGAAGTTCTCGTCAAACAGCGAGATGAGTGACCGGGTGGTGCTTGTTTGGCAAGCACCGAGCTGGGCAAAGGCCGTGAGGGCGGTATCATCGGCGGCCGTCAGCCTGTCATTGGAAATGACACGGCCGTGCGGGTTCAAAATGGTAGTCGACAAGAGGGACGTAGAGTACCTGCAGTACAGCACAGTTCGCTATTAGCCCTGAGGGCATTGAGAAGGGAGGGGGCGGGTGAAGTGATTGACGTGGAGCAACACAGGACGACCAAGGCCAACAAGACGAACCTGTAAGTCTCGCGCTCACGAGCCGGTTCCGTCACGGCGCGGAAGGGGGCTACCCTGTGAGCCATAGGCACGATGGGGGATGTGAAGGCCGTGATGGAGGCCGAAATAGAGACGTCTGCACAGCGTCAAGGGAGTATTCCGGGGTGCGAGTCTGCAGCGTCGGCGTCTGCGGCCTGGCCCGCGTCCGTGCTGCGCAACGAGGGCTTGTGGAATGCGAGCCTCGGTGGTCGGTGTGAGCCAGTGCAAGGTGAGCAGCCGGCGATTTTTGAGGCTGGAGCGTCAATTTCGTGCGCATCCGGAGGGTTGGAAATGTCGCGACCACAAGGCCCCTGCGGGTTGCGTCTTGAGAGTTCGGGAATCAGTTGCGTAGCGAATTCCTCAGAAGGCCTCGACTAGAGATGGACGAGGGCAACACCCATAGCGGTGATCGGATCACTGGGAGTGGGGCCTTGATTGCTGGAATCTTGCAGGGAGGGGACTGGTCTACTACGTAGTAGTTCCCGGATAGGCGCCTCGCAGCTCCATAGGCACCGAGCTCCCAGCACCGACCGGGGATAGTCCCGCAGGGGGCAAGGACATCTAGTAGGGCCTGGCAGTGGTCCGTCAGCAGTCATGACGTCAGTACGTTGCACTCGCAGAGAAGCATGGAGAACCTCACGAGATGTCAACGTCATGCAAACGTTCTAGAAATCACCCCATCTCTTGACAAGGGCGCCCAACACCGGGCATTTCCATGTGCGACTCAACTCTGGTGATGCCTACGTAGTACGGTGCGAACAGAGTTCCACACCACACTCGCATGTCCGCCAATAACCTTCCGGAAGAGTGTCCCAAACGAATTCACCACGACAAACATTTCAGAAGGATCAGCGCTGATCACGAGGCCGATCCAGGGTCTAGACACGGCCCTGGATTTTGTTCAAATATTTGTTCCACCACCCTGGTTCAGATCGGCACCCTATCGGGTCAATCAGCTCCGACCAAGCGTAGGGTAAGGGTTGGACAAGTTGAGACTCATGCAGCGTGTTTAGTAACCCGACCTGGCTCGCAACCGTGGGACGGGCCGGCTCTGAAACTCTCCTTAAAAGTTACACCTTCCGTCTTTCTGGTCGGACCAAAAGACGCCCTTGGGAGTGAATGCGTCCTCCGTTGTGCTGCCATCATTCGTGGAGCTATTCTTGGCAGACGATGTTTGTAGCTTAGCAGGACGTTGCAGGAAGAGGCTGACCTTGGGCGTATGAGGTTTGGAATCCAGACCAGCGCTGTCTCACACTGATTTTCCCATGGGGCCACTATTAAATCCAATTAAAAACAGCAACAGATAATCGACAAGCCGCTGGTGATCTAGGTGTTGGTTATGGGGGATGCGCCCAAGGCGACCCACGTGGGCACGGTCAAGTGCTTGTTAGTCTAGGTACAAAACTCAGAAATCTGCAAGGGGGCAACATATCTCTGATTGTCACACCTGATGTTAAAAGCACTTGATCTTTTTCTACTTACTTACTGGCGGTCCAATGTCCAGTCTTATAAATACAGAGGTGAGGCCTCCGGAACCACCGGCCGCGGACAGAGCTCTGATGCGGCGGACCTGAGACCGGGTGGCCTAAGTCCGATGTCTGAGGTTATGGCCGGGAAAGCTCAACTTCCGGTCTCTGAACATAGCTACAGATGTCTCAAGATTAAGTGTGATATTCGTATGATGGCCCTAGCAGATGCATGAATGCAAACTGCGAGCGGTACGATGCTCCGGAGACCCCAGTGTAAGGTCAACATCTCTTCTCGGCCGCCACCCTCAATGAGAGCAGCTGCTGGGAAGAATTTACGATTTGCGGGGACGCACCCGCAATTGAGGGTACCTCGGGGAATGTAAGAGATGAACAATGCGAGCGGGTTAGCAAAGGGTATCGGAATTTACGAATTGATCTACTATGAAATTAAAAGAGTCCCACCATCCACCAACGCCGTGCAAATGCAAGCAATCGTCTAGATTGCAGCGATCATGTCGCGTTAAAATGCAATTCGTCGCTTTCGTCCAGTGAACTTGGAGGTCGACTTGACTACCTTGCCCTTCCTCTCCATCTGCTCCTTCTTCTTGATGATCCAGGCGTTGCTGCCCTTTTTCACCTCGGTGTTGTTGTTCTTGATTTGCCTCCTGGCATCCAAGACGTCGACGTCCTCCATGCCCTCGACCACGCCAGTGATGTCGCCACCCTTGTTCTCTATGGAGCCGCCTCCGACAGTCAGGACGAGGTAGAGCTTGACGTTCTTCGTGCCGGGGTCATCCTCCAGGAGACCGGCACCGAACCCTGCCTTGACGGCGGCTTGGGTGATCATGTGTCGTTGCTGGTCGTTCTTCGGGTAGAACTGGCAGACAGCGCGTCCACCTCGCTTCAGGGAGGCGTATAGGCCGTTGAAGAATCGGGTGAGTCGGCCGGCAGGGGAGGTATCGCTCGTCTCGGCACTGCAGAGCCATTGAATGGCAGAGATGCTGATGGCTGCGTCGAAGGAGCCGGCGCGGAAGGGGATGCCCTGTCCAATGTCGGCCAGCATGAGGTCGCCCTCAACATCTCGCTGCAGCGCAACGTCGAGCATTGAAGGCGACACATCCATGCCAATCCAGGTGTGAGGGCCGCCTTCTTCGGGGTCGAGCGAGGACAGGATCTCGCCGGACAGACCGCTTCCGCAGCCGACATCGAGGATCAGGGACGGGGACTTGAGGTCGAGCAGCTCCAGGGCTCGCCGGGTCATTGAGGCTTGAATGTTCTGGATTCGGGAGCTCGTCGTGTACTTTCGGGCTTCGATATCGTCATAGTGGACGTCGGCCGCGCTGCGTGGGTGTGAGCTAGAGGGGCATCATGGTGGGGGCTTGGTCGCATACAGGGTGTCTTCGGGGCGAGACATGGTGATGATTCCTCAGGAGAAAATTCGCGAATAAATTTCCCTCTGCTTTTCTAGTTCGCAATTGCTGCTATCGTCGTAGAACCGTGTTCTGCTCGTTTCCGTCGTCCGTCGTCGTCGATTTTGGTGCCTCCAGCAAGGATTCCGACTTTTTTGTGAAGCGGAGTGGGTTGCCCGCGTTATCGATAAGCATCGGAGCCCGGGTCAGCCAACTGCCGGCGGGGCCTCGGAGCGGAATAAACAAGCTCCATGATGTTTGAAATTGGCCTGCCCGCGATTGGCAAGCGCGTGTCCTCTGTTAGCGGGGCTCCCTGAACGTGTCCTTTGCGCGCTTCAAATATCACACCCTTTTCCCCTTTCCTCCTTGCACCAATTCTCCTTCGCCATGTGAATCTCAACCTCCCCGACGATTGCGATTCTCTGCAACTGCGTCTGCGACCTCTACTACAACCATGTGGATTCTTCCTCTTGTCGGCTATGCCGGCGCCCTTATCGGCTTCTGCTTTCTGACGCTGGCCATTGCCTCCGGGCTCTACTACCTGTCGGAGCTGGTCGAGGAGCACAGCGTCATCGCCAAGCGCTTCCTTACGCGTCTGATCTACACGGTCGTCATCATTCAGTCGGCTCTTTGGATCGTTGATGGGTTCCCCTTCGGGGCTACCATGCTAGGCATCTTCTCCCACGTCATCTACTTGGGCAACATGCGACGCTTCCCGTTCGTGAAGCTGTCGGATCCCTTGTTCATCCTCTCTTGCAGTACGATGCCTTCAATCCATCAACGCGGCATTTGCTAACTCCTATTCCAGTTTTGGTTCTCGTAAACCACTATGTGTGGTTCCGCCACTTCTCCAACACGCAATCACGAGCTTATCAGAGAGCATCCTACTACGATCGCGTTGACGCCCCAAGCTTCACAATGATTGCTTCGTACTTTGGACTCTGCGTATGGCTCGTGCCCTTTGCGTTGTTTGTTAGCCTTTCTGCTGGTGACAATGTTCTTCCGACCATTGGTACTGAGCCATCGCATGGCGGCCTGGATGGCCACACCAAGCCCCAGGGGATGGTCAAGGCAGTCGTGGATCAGATCCGTGGCGCCATCGGTCAAATTGCCGGCACATCCGGGGGCGGCAGACCCTGAGCGTTTTGTTCTATCAGGAATCCTCCTTTCAGCAAACTCGCCAACGCCCCCAATCGTTGGGCCCGTTGGAATCATCACACACATGCACATTCCGAGCATCTGGTACGTGTCATTTTTTTACTTCAACCCTCTCCCTGCACATGATGAACAAACAAAATCACGCTAGATTGTATTTGACAAGGTTTACCTTGCATGATCCCTTTATTTCCTCTGACAGTACCCAACTATCTCTACTCTTGTGTTCTACAACCTGCGCTTCACCTTCAAAAAACTGACCATGGTTATACACAGGTTCCAAACGCCTTGAGTCATTAAACCATCCAGACCAAACCCTTGCGCCGCGTCCCTGATCTCCTATTGAAATCGAACTGCACCCCGTGAAGGGAAAGCATCTATTGCCTATCGTTGGGGTCAGAAATTTCGTCCATAGTCACTGACTTGATGGCTCTGATCTTACTCATTCGTTCCTTTGGCTTGAGTCGGCTCATTGTGCACTTCCGTGCTGTGCGACTGTGCTTGACACAGTGTTTGGCGATCCAAAAGAAGTGCCCTTGGTCGGGGGTATCGAGGCAACCGAGAAGAGTGGATTCCATGGCATCTGACCGTTGGTCTCGCTCAACCAGGCATTGAGTCGATCGGGGTAGGTACCAGATTGGTACGTGAAGCTGCCATCCGAGGGCTTTCGAGAGACTGGAATTTGTCGGTCTGGCATGGTGCAATCTGGATACGAGACGATCTGAGGGAAACTTGTCTTCAATGATTGAGAAAGACAAGAGTTGATGCGATGGGGTCCAAGTCCGTGGGGTTGCAAGACTCTTATACATGCGAGAAAGCGAGTAGCGAGTTGCCCCAGAGGCGCCGAGCTCAAATGATCAAGCTGGTTTTGACCCTAACCATTACCGCCCTACCCACGTTGTTCCTTTAATGATGGCCTTCCGTGTCCTGCGGTTTCGGTGATAAACGTTTTTGGGAGCCTCCGGATGAGGACGTGCTTGAATGTGAGTGGCCAGATTAGGATCTCCAGGCAATTAGCAAAAAGACATCCACAGACAGGACGCTCGCCCTTTTGCTCGAGATGCATGTTGTGCATGTTGCGCTGAGAATGGCCCAATGAGGAGTGTCAGCGCGGACCATTGGTGGTTGCGAAAAAGTCGGAGAGGAGAAAGTACCATGCTTGGCGCAGAAGGGTAAACTACCCTAGGGCGTTAGTATGCGCATTAGTATGCGCAAACCACCCGCCGCGTCATGCCATGGGCAAAACACGTCCTGAGATCAGGGCGTTGATAGTCTAATTAGGGGATCTGCCTGCAGCTCGCGCTAGTATTCATCACCACATGGCATACATGCCGGGGGGTGAGCAGCTGAACTTTTGTCCGCTGCCGTCCGGGGATGATGAAGTGGGGGTACTTTCGAACAAGACAAAAGAACCAGTCGGCCTTGCGACAGATCCAGTGGGGCTTTTTGTCCGCGGAGAGCCTTGTTGGCCGTTCCGGTGCAGTGGTTGGAGCCAAGGCGATGCGTTCCAGGTTGGCATGACCCAAAGTGTCCCTGTCAGTCAAACAATAACCCACACACACGGCCCAAGTGCACTGCATCCAGGGTCGAATGTGTAGATAGCAAGAGGGCGGACCCGAGCTTGGCACCACGACGACTGAGACGTCGGATAGCGGGCTTGGTCACACCCTGGATGTTGACAGGAAGAATCTTGCGGTGGCGGCGCACTGGAGTTACAGGGCGAGATCTAAAGGACAACATGTGAGGTTCGGTAACACAACGCCACCCCCCAGATGGTACAAAAGAGGATTCGGACGTTTATTCGATGCCCCGATCATCCAACAAATTGGTCATTCAACTGAGCCACCAAATCTAGCCACTCTGAAAAAGTACCAAGTGATGCTCTGCAACCCCATTGACTCAGCCAAACGCCGAGGCGATCCAGCCAACTGGCGCAGGAGAGGCACGCAGAGTAGATATGCGCACCAGGCGACCCGCCAAGACGGTTGTTGCAAGGCGATTCTTCCCAACACGGCACACCCGTACGGCAGACACAATGTCAAAAGGGCGGTCCAACAAAAATACCGGTGCCATTTTCCTCGTAGCAAAAGTACAGCCCCGGCTATCATACAAGGGTGGCTTCCGCCCTGCAGTCGCCGTCACACCCGCCCTATTCCACCATTCCCCAATCCATCCATTTGTCTCTTGTCCTGGTCGCCTTGCGGCCTCACCCCGCCCACGATAGTGACCTAGCGATGGTCGCCACCGCTCCAAAACTTCTTGTCAACCCTGTCGTCTGGCGCCTTCTGCCCGCGGTCGTGCTTGGCGTCAAAGTCGCGGTTGTGCTCCTCGACCTCGCGCCGCTGCTCCTCGGTCAGCTGCGCCATCTGCGAGTTGCCCGGCACGCTCTGGTTGGTGATCTTGGGTTGCGGCGGTGCGTTCTTGGACGAGCTGCTGAGCGGCTTGCCCCCGCCCGTGCGGCCCTTTGCGCTGCCCCCGGCGAGCCCGTCGATGACGCTCGCGCCGTTGTCCTTGGGGTCCTGCTCCTGGTGCAGCCGGCGGGTGGCAGCCGCGGCGTACAGGCCAGGGCGCGCGCGGGCGATGCGGGCGGTGGAGCGCGTTGTGGCGATGAGTCTTGCGGCCGACATTTTGATCTGGTGAGATGATTGTGATTTGGGATGATTGAGTTTTCCCTATCCCGCCCTCCTAAGGTAGCCCTCTTAAATGAGCACGACATACTCGATCATATCGGTGGGCATTGTACAGCTGGAGGTTCGGAGCAGGTGACGTCAACGCCACGACATCACCCGGAGCTTGTGAGATGGCGATTTAGCCTACTTGTGAGACAAGTACCGGAACGTGTGGCTACGCAACAGCATAATTATCCTTATCGATGACAAGGTATAAAGGTCATGATTTCTGTGTAGATCCTGTGTGTGGGTTGATAGACAAGATGTCTTTCTCAGGTCCTAAATCCTGATGGTCGGTCCACTAGGGATGTGATCGCCAGAGAGGTACCGGGGCTATGCCTCACTCCGGTGATCATTACAAGGGAGTGCGAGTTTATGTTACGGGACGGTTAATCTAATGCATGTCACCATGCGTCGGGCAATGATCTGTTTCTTTGATCTGAGATCTTGCATCTTAGACACGGTGAAACCATTACTATGGTGCTGACTGTGACGTCAAATGACGGCATCTCAATTGAGACACACGAGACTTGTGAGAGTAACTTGGGTGTACTGTGATACACTCGCCAAGAATTTCATCAAGATGAAGACTAAAGCCACGACAAACTTGAACAGATGTCTCTAATTGACCTAAATGACGAATTTACATTGGTAGAGATTCTTCTCGGCTCGACCTAGTTAGTCCCTTATGACCGATCGCAGTGGACTTGGATGAGATGCAAGCAGTTTGTCGTGTCTCAAAAATGGGACACCTTTTCTAACGACACGAACCACTATATCCAATCATCATGGATATTTAACTCACCAAGGCTAGAGAACGATTTTCTTTTATCAGCAAAACCCAAGAGAAAGCCAGAGAAGGGGCGCTTTCGTGCGAATATTCCCACCAGTCCATCAACAGACATAAAAATCGGCCAAGGCGCACCAAACGGGAGTCAGAAATGAACAAGACGCGGAATTTAGTTTACTGGCCAAATGATAATATCGCAAAAAGACGTCGAAACTCCGACGAGATGCATCGAAAACGCCTATGTAATGCATATTGATACACGCCTGCTCCCGCACATCAATCAGGAAAGGACAGCTACATTATCATCAGGCCACGTCCCAACGCGAAACCCATTCAATGAACTCTAACTTTGAAGCTGTTTACTGTCGGCGAATGTCATGAGCCGCTGGTGGACCCTGTCTTAACACCTTGATGGCCCATGATGACGATGTCCATCAGGGTGTCGTCAACAGAAACCACTACTCAGTGATCAATCATAGCTACGGAACAACCAACCGGGGTAGCCATAGAGGTTCTCATCTCCATATTCGCGATGCACTGTAATCAGCGCCCCAAACAAATTGAGGGGCTGCATCAGAGGCGAGGGGAAAGCCCGAATTACCTATAAGAGGAGTTCGACCTGTGAGTCTGATCATCTTCGCTGCTTGATCTCTCTAGAAGCTGGAGCTTTTTTGTCTCACTCTTTTGTCCATATCGCACACATGGATGCCAAAGAGGTACGTGAAGAAGAGGACATTTACGATGTCCTCATCGTTGGGGCCGGACCTTGTGGCCTCTCCATCGCCGCCCGTCTCCGGGAACACACCCCCGCCGCACTCTTCACGGACGAAGAACACCGCCGCTATCACTGGATCGGCAAGTACGGCAAGAAGGTGACGCTCAAGCACGTCAAGAGCGGCAAGATATCCAACGCACAGACGGCCCGGCCCGAGTACAAGATGCTGGTCCTGGACGCCACCGCCGGGACCTGGATGGGCCGCTGGAACAGGCTGTTCAAAATGTACGACATCTCGCACCTGCGGAGTCCCATGCTGTGGCACGTTGATCCTCAGGACCGCGATGCCCTGCTCTCGCACGCCTATTCGAATGAGCGGGAGAGCGAGTTGGTGGAGATTCGGAACTGTGTGGGCAAGGAAATCAGCAAGCACTCGAAGAAGAAGTCCACAGGGCATCGTGCGTGTGGCGGAAAGTGAGTTACCGTTTATTGTCTAAGTAACCTTGAGCTAATCATCCGGGGTAAAGGCAAGCAGCTCGCATCGCCATCAACTTGAGAGAAAGAAACGACTACTACACGCCCTCGACCTCCCTCTTCTGCGACCACTGCGAAAAGGTTGCTGACCGATACAAACTGGGCCCCGAGCTCATCCGCAAGGAGTCTATGGAGCACATAGACTACGGCGTCGTCAAGGGCATCTCCATCGACGACGAGAAGCTCTTCACGGTCACGTCCAACCAAGTTCGGCGATACGCCCGGGCCGTGGTGCTGGCCGTCGGCCCGGCCAACGTGGCCAAGATCCCCCGGATCCCATCCATGCCTTCTGTCGAGTCGCTGCCCCAGACATGCCACAGCATGCACATTGAGCGGTTCCCAGACCCTATCGTCCAGGAGCGAATAAAGGCTCGCCGCGCAACCAACATCCTCGTGGTTGGAGGCGGTCTCACGTCGGCTCAGCTGACGGACCTGGCGATCCGAAGAGGCGTCACAAAAGTGTGGCACATCATGAGAGGCCCATTGCGCATCAAGCACTTTGACGTTGACCTGGAGTGGATGGGAAAGTACAAGAACGCGGAGCAGGCCCGGTTCTGGACTGCCGATTCAGATGACGAGAGACTCGAGATCATCAAAGAGGCTCGCGGCGGCGGCAGCCTCACGCCCCTCTTCCACAAGCGACTCAAGAAGCACCTTATCAGCAAAAAGCTGGAGCTCCACACAGAAACAAGCCTTGTCGATGCCAAGTTTAACGAAAATGACGGAAACGGCATGTGGACGGTGCAGACCAGTCCACCGATCGAGGGCCTACCGGCCATGGACTACATATACTTCGCCACGGGCATTCAGACAGACTTTTCATCCCTGCCATACCTGAAGACCATGCTCGAGAAATATCCCATCGAGGGACGAGGAGGGTTCCCCTGCGTCAACGAGGACCTGATGTGGAACGACGACGTGCCGCTATTCATGATGGGCAGAATGGCCGCGCTACAACTGGGTCCTGCGGCGCCGAATTTGGGAGGCGCTAAAGTGGGAGCTGAGAGAATTGCATGGGCGATTGAAGACCTGGTGCCTCGGCCGGGATCACAGGGGGATGGCCTTGTTGATGTACGCGCAAGTGGAATGGCAGGATATCTGTCCGGTCATGGGAACATGTACAGCACGTTGGCGGATGAGTAATTGCAGGACACAAGGCAAATTAATGAGAAATGAACTATTATTCTGGCTTACATGAGCCGTCAATGACAAAATAACGAGCACTACTATTCGCATGACCGCAGATACCAATCGCATGGGGACGATATCTTAAAATTGAGTAACAAATGAGGTGGCTAGTAATATGCTGTCATACGTATCTCAAGATAGCATGTGTGGGATTGATGATTTGCTTTTAGGGCAAGTTTAACTACCTATGAAGATGAAGGATACCCGAAAGTACTCCATGTTGCAGCTCGCTGGTAGCACGTTTAAGAGAAGGTGAAAATGAACCATGTACTTGTTCAAAACAGCAAGTTAATGCAACAACAACCATAAGACATGAGAGATTAGCCGCTTCACACATGTCGCAATCCAAGCATCTCACAGCAGTGGCTGTGTGATCCCTGTCGGCTCCTTCAATAAGACCCCCTTCGCGATGCGACGCGCGGAGATTCGCCGGCTCGGATTTGCCCCACAGCCCCACAGCCGCGCTTCGGAGCACGGACACGGAGCGGCACAGCCTCAGCAGCTCAGCCTCCGTCGCATGCTCGACAAACACGGGGGAGCTGTTGATCATTCTCGGCAAGACCTTGAACTTTCCCCTTGATCAAACACGATGAAATAACGGAAGAGATCACCTACAACTTCTCGCCGGATTACAAAACCCTCAACGTGGAAATGGCTCGCAAGGGCACAGCAAAGGTCAAGACCGGTTGCGCGACCTGCAAGTACGTGACGATTCATCAAGCCGCATCGCTCGACCAGCTAACAAACGCCAAGAATCCGAAAGGTCAAATGCGACGAAAATTGGCCACAGTGTCTGAGATGCAAGAAGACAGGTCGGACATGCGACGGCTACCGGGCGCCCCCTGCTGGCTCGCTATCCTGGGACGTCCTGCTGCGGCCCCAGCCATCTGTGACTCCAGCTTGCGATGTCGCTGAGCTTCGGAGTCTTGCATTCTTTCATCAAGTCGTGGCGCCTGTCCTTTCCGGCCCGTTTGACGCATCGTTCTGGACCCATCTCGTCGCCCAAGTGACCCATCATGAGCCGGCAGCCCGACACGCTGTCCTAGCCATCAGCTCTTTTTTCGAAGACTTTTCCGCTTCGACTTGTCAGACCAAGGACAACGCTTTTGCGATTCGCCATTACAATCAAGCTATAAAAAGAGTCGTGACGTCGCAGGCCCCAGACATCGACACCGTTCTGGTCGTTTGCATCCTCTTCATCTGCATCGAATTCCTCCGCGGCGACGACAAGGCCGCCGTCAACCACACGCGACATGGCGTCCGTGTCCTCAGCACCGCTCGAACCAACTCCAAACTTGCCGCTGTGTTTTGCCACATGAGCATCTTCCCTCTCTTCTTTGGCGGCACCATATCCGACTTCCCCTCCCTCACCAACCACGCTCCAAAGGCGAGCGTGGGCTTCCAGAGTATAATCGAAGCACAGCACCATCTGGATGTATTCGCCGCCCGCGCGGTTCGTCTTGTTCGCATGAGCGAAAGGTACCAAATCGGAACTGACCCAGGCGATGTTCCATCGTCGTCCATGGTAGATGAACAGCGCACACTTGCCCTCGCATTTGTAGACTGGGGACAGTCATTTGCCAGATTCCAAGCCACGCGGTCGTTGGAAACAAACAAAGACCCAGCATCCCTCGCACTGAAGATGCGGTGGGTTGTGTCCCAAATTTGGGTGCGCAACTGCCTCACAAAAGGCGAGATGATTTACGACGAGGTGTTGGCGGATTTCAAGAACATCATTGACATGGCCCAGTGTGCCTTGGAGACAAGCACCACAGGTCCCAAAAAGTTTATGTTTGACATGGGATTTAGTCCCCTCTTGCATTTTGTAGTCATTAAATGCCGCTACTTGCGCCTCCGGGTGGCAGCTCTGTCATTGATGAAGTCGCTGTCCTGCTCGCGAGAATCGTTGTGGAACGCGATCACGATGCACGTTGTCGGAACGCGATTGATAGAGGTGGAACATGAGATTAAGCTTACACCCGAAATGCTTGACCTGCCAGGCGGCAGTCCTAGCTTCGAAGATGCAGGATTGCCATCGGATGAGAAACGCATCCGGGGGTATTTCCTAGGGGAACCCGAGGAGTTTCTCGACGAAGACGGTGTGAGAGCGCGACGGAGATGCATGAACCTGCTCAAGTTGGGTTCCGGGGGTGCCATTGAGACGCACCGCGAATGGATCACGGTACAGACATGATGGGCAATTAGCAGCCGCAAATGAACAAGTTAAGAATAGCCAAGCTAAGCACGTACAGCCGCAAAACTGGGGCGTTTCCGATGTTAACATGCCTGTCAAGGGAATAAGCGCGCTGCGATGCGTTGCGTAGGGCTGTGAGGATCGTGCGAGCCCCTGCTTTAATTCCGTGCATCTCACTGGTCGGCTCGGACTCTGAAGTGCTGAGCCTCGCAACAACATCGGACTTGTATGAAGCAGATATGACAAGGCAGATTACGACAATTACATCGGGCGCGATGGAGGATATAAACCGTGGACACAATCACCTTTTTTGCCCAGACTTGACATCCATCTTATTCCATTTTTCGACACATTTCTTCAACATGCATCTCAACCCTACCACGTTGCTAGTCCAGCTCCTCCTAGCCTCCACCAGCTTAGCGCTCGTGATCCCTTCCACGACACACTCATCAACACCAACGTCTTCAGTAGAGCTGTCCGAACGACAACCCACGAAAGTAAAAGCGACCACCACCGCGGCACCAACTGGATATTACACCACCACCCAGACTGTCGTTATTGATGGCGTTACAAACAGCCACGTTACAATCCCCGCCAAGACCATCCTCCTCACCCTCCCGACGTGCCACCAAACCCTCAAGCCGGACAAGAACGGCTATCTGCCACCAGGCACATGCAACGCGATCTGGAACTACTATCCCAGTTTCGCCGCTGCGTTGGTCTTTGCGGGTCTGTTCGCGACCATGACGGCGGTGCACATTTGGCAAGCTGCGCGGTACAAGAAGGTTCGTATGTTGAATGGTTTCAAATTTGAGGGCGCGATCTGACGAGGGTGAATTACAGAAGTGGTGCTGGGTCATTATCATGGCGAGCCTTTGGGAGACCTGCGCCTTCATTTTCCGAGCCGTGAGCACAAAAGCCCCTCAGAGTAGTGGGGTCTATCTCGTCTTCCAGATCTTCATCTTGCTGGCGCCGCTCTGTTAGTCCCCTAGATTGATCCTGTCGGGCTAAGAACTAACAAGACCAGGGGTGAACGCCTTTGCGTACATGACACTGGGACGAATGGTATACTACTTTATCCCGTCCCGGTCGATCTTTCGGATGCCTGCTGTAACACTCGGCGCCGTATTTGTCGGCCTAGACATAATATCCTTCATTATTCAGCTCGTTGGTGGAAGTATGGCGGGTCCAGGATCGCCTCCTGATTTGCAACTCCACGCCGTTCATATCTACATGGGCGGTATCGCCCTGCAAGAATTCTTCATCTTGATTTTCGTGGGTCTGTGTATCGCATTTCAGCGATCCATGTCAAGGGTCGACAGATCAAGCAAGGAATCTGCGAGCATCTTCGGATCGCCTTGGGGGACACTGCTCTGCACTCTCTATTTCTCTTTGGCGATGATAACCATTCGTATTATTTATCGTTTGGTTGAGTTTTCGGGCGGCCTTGGCCAAGACAATGCTCTAACCACCCATGAGGCATACTTTTACGCTTTAGAGGCGGTCCCCATGCTCTTAGCTATCGGAGCCTTCAACATCATGCACCCAGGGAAGTTCATGACAGGCCCGAACTCGGAGATGCCAGGGCTCATCCGGTCTGTAAGGAATTGGATCGCAAAGAAACGCGGCAAGCAGTTGTTGGACAGCGCCAGCGAGGATGGCGTCGAACTTGCGCCTGGTTGGCAGAAGACCCCAACGAACATCCATTAGGAGGCCATTTACTATCTGGCACATTACTATAGGGAGATTGCGGATCTATTGTTTTACTGTTTAGAAAGTTGGAGAGTATGGAGTCCGGTTATTGGGGCGGTTCGGGAAACTAGACAAACAAGGCACCCGTGGCAAATTGATAAACTTTCGCTTTTTATTCTGCAATGGACGACGATCTGCAAAAGTCAGAACCTTACGGACCAAAATCTTCGGTGAGTTAAAGTAAAGGGCCGTTCATTATGCGCGTGGGAGGTGATTTATTTAAAATGTAATTAACCGTTTACATTGTACTCTTGGGTTTATGGACGTTCGACATCTGACATCTTCGCTCGCGAGCCGACACAATTAATAAAGCAGTCTTTACTCTAACATTCCTAAAAATATGTGAGAGTAACTCAACCCACGTAATTTGAGAAATATCTTGGGAATGGAGAGGTGATGCTTTTTGCGAGTGACGCTGTCCCGTCGGATTTCTATCGGTTAACTTGGGGAGATGGAGTAGCTTGATGGCCTCTTCTAAAACCCGGATGGCTGGAATGTGACCCTTTGCTCTTCAATCGGTGTTGACGGATTCACGATCAGGGTCTTGTAAACTTTTTACCAATCACTAAGTCAACAGGGTACCTGCTCATCCCTATAACTAGGAGCTAGAAGGAAATGTTCATCGCTTTCTTTCCATCTTCCATCACTCTCAAAAACTTGTTCATCAATACTTTTTGTATTTCCCACTTTCAATCACAACCCGCTTGAGCATAAAAAGACTTGCAGTCGACAAAAGCTCTTCCATCTTCAAATACAGACGCCTCAAGATATCATCCGCCCACACCATGAACACAAATTCAGAGCGGACTTTCCACCGCTTCTCTCAGCTCCCAAGAGAACTCAGGGATATGATTTGGAATGGCGCAATGCGCCAGATTGAACTCCCAGGCGTGCATTTCTTCTCTCAGACCTTCACAGACGACAACTGCCTGTCACTCCAGCGTCGCCATTATTGTGATGGCTCTAGTGGCGTTGACGTCTTTGCGGCCCCCGAAACCCCCCTCCAATTCTCGAATGGACCAACCTCCTGGACAAACGAAAACCCCTCATCGTACATGATTGATGGTGGTATGTGGACAGCTTGCCGGGAGTCGAGAGCAGCCATGGAGCGTCGTTACAACACCGCTGCTAGGTATACGCTGACTCCCCCTTCTGAAATCAATCCCGACGAGGGCGACGCATACACTGCGACAAACTTTTTCGCTCGTGATGGCGAAACCCAAGCCATCACCATCTTGCCGTACAGGGATCTGGTTTGTTTGACTTCCTTCTCGGAGGTTCTTCGGATCCAAGAACCTTTCCCTGCGTGCCGTGGATTCCAGAATCCTGTCAATTTCGCCATCAAATACAATCCGGCTTGGGACATAATCGGAAACCCTCCAGGCTCAGTCGAGGAATGGCTATCGGTTTTATATTCAACCAATTTTGATAAAGTTGTGGATTATGTTCTTGATCGCAACAGTACGGCTGAAAAATTATGGTTCATCGATTACCGACTGGAAAGGGATGAGTTGGAAAATTGCAACGTGGTGTTCTACGGTGATGGATTTCGACTGGTTGAATGTCCCCACACTTGGGGGTTTATCGAATATTTTGATAACATGGTTGAAGCCTCTGTGTATAGCAGGATAGAGATGGAAACAGGGGGAGAAGGTGATATCAATGATCTCGAAGGAATCGGGCCATACACATTTGGGATGCTCTCTTTTCTTCCTGATGATTAATTTGAGTACACATTAGGGCTTGCTCCTATCTAATAATAGCAACGATTCCACGCGCTGAGATGTGGTATCAACCACTCAGATCTTTCATTGTTGATTTAAATTTTGGACAAATTTCAGTGGTATTTGGTTGTAACAGAAGCATCTCATGTACAGGCAACCGTAACTACAATGTGATCGGTCGATTGCAGTTTGCCAGAGGCGGCAGTTACACTGGAGGTATACTTTCAGGGTTAGGTGAATAAAACCAGTGCGGAGCTGCTTAAAAATTGTTTGAGATTCTGAACAAGAGTTCCCGAACATTATCTCGATGAGGGAGTCAATCCAATAACAACAGCGGCTTCAATATTCATCCCAATGTGTAGCCGATGATCCGCCAATACACGTTAGTTACGTGACTAGTGGCATTCAAACCTGAGGAATAGACAAAATTCTAAGAAGCTACTCAATAGTACTTAAACGCAAGCCATCTATTGGTCGCGATTCACTCAAATAGGTAAAACTTGGCGTTGTCTCGGCCCGTCTTTGTGTGTCCGAGAGCCAATCGACCCTGCAGTAGCACACACTCTGTTGTCTTGTGGCTGGCCTGCTGAATAGCTAAGGCAAGTAGACCACAACTGAAGTTGAGAAACTCCATACAGCGAGTGTCGTATGTGTTCGGTATTCATTCGCACAATACATAGTCCGCACATTTTGCTGTGGAGGGGTAAAGCCGATTTCGTGCCGATAGGTCCGAGTAACGGTAACCGACCGCTACGTCACTCCGCAACTCGGCCCAATCAAGCGACTCCGCATTTTGGATTACGAGTCATCGGGAATAAAAAAGAGAATCCCGTACGTGAACTTTTTCCTGTTCTTCATCTTCTTCACTTGTGGCGATGGCTGGTCAACGGAATCGTTCGCAGTCTCTCAGTAAATCTGTGGCTTGGCTGTATCACGAGTCCGGGATTGCCTCTCTGTATTTCACCGGCCGTGATGCTTGGCTCATCATTCTCTCGCGAACATGCCGCATGTTCTCTTTTGGAGCCGTCTCCCTCACGATAGCGCTATTTTTCTCTGAACTTGGTTTTTCGGATTTCCAGATCGGCCTGTTCATGACCCTGACCCTCCTCGGCGATGTTGTGCTCGGCCTTGTAATCACTCTGATGGCCGATGGGCTTGGCCGTCGTCGCGTTATGTTCGCCGGCGGCCTGCTCATGGCTGTTTCGGGGCTCGCGTTCTCTATCATGGAAAACTTCTGGATACTCCTCTTTGCCGCAGTCGTGGGCGTCGTGAGCGCTAGCGGCGGTGATTTTGGCCCTTTCCGAGCGATCGAAGAGTCGATGCTGTCCCACATTACGACACCCAAAACTCGGGCTGATGTCTTATCCTGGTATGTGACCAGCTCAAGTCTCGGCTCTGCGGTTGGCATGGAGCTGGCGGGAAGATATGTTGAGTCGATGAAAAGTCGTGAGGGCTGGACCATGCTGCGAGCTTATCATGCGACCTTCTGGATTTATATTGCCACGGGTCTCTTCAGCATGGTCCTCGCACTCTGCATGAGCAGCAAATGTGAAGTTGAGAAAACCCCGGAGACCTTGGATGAGTCGACTCAGGGTCTACTCGATGATTCTCAACAAGGGAATGAGGACCTCGATCCGGTCAATTCGCAGCAGCCTTCTGCCGCGCCGACTAAGAGCCGGTTTTCCCAGATCTCTACAAGCACTCGGTCGGTTATGTACAAGTTGTGGTTTCTTCTGGCCGTTGACTCTTTGGCCGATGGCATGGTTTCCTACACCCTCACCACTTACTTCCTCCATCGGAAGTTTCAGTTGTCCAAAACAACTCTCGGCGACATCATGTCAGCAGCCTTTCTCTTGGGAACTATTTCCACAGTCGCTGCTGTGCCCCTCTCCCGGCACCTTGGACTACTCAATACCATGGTTTTCACCCACCTGCCATCCTCCGTGGCCGTCCTATTATTCCCCGCTCCCTCGGGGCTGATTCTCACCGTCATACTTCTATACGTCCGCATGGGTCTGAATACCATGGATCAAGCACCCAGAGCCGCCTTCATCGCAGCTGTTGTAAAGCCCGAGGAGCGCACAGCTGTCATGGGAATTACGAGTACCGTTCGAACGCTGGCTATGGCTATCGGGCCTTCATTGACTGGAGCCCTCGCGGGAAGTGACAGATTCTGGATTGCGTATGTGGTTGGAGGAACACTGCGCATCATGTATGACCTGGGACTCTGGGCCATGTTTGTCAACATGAGACTACACGCCCATGAAACCAACGATCAAAATGTTGGTCCTCAGAGAGAGTCTCTTGATGAAGAAACAGTGGTGATGCAACCACAGCCTAGAGAACGAGAAACATGATTGACGGAAATGCTTATTTTAAGGACGACGAGGGATGCATATTTCTCTAAACCGGCTGAAACTATAATCAGACAAAGAATTTTGGACGCTGCTGGTATATTTGTCCACAGTAACTAGCAGGGAGATTAAATAAGGCACTCATCTGAACATTCAGTTTGGGTTAAATCAGCCATAGTTCACGGACATGTGCTTAACTAGGAATTAATCTGGGCAAGTTTCGAGGCATGAAACAGGCAACTGACCTTTTGGCTTAATGACTAATCTATATCTTGAACCGCTTGGTACTAACTCGTGGTCACTAATTCCTACATGCGTTGTGCCTTGAAATTCCACAGGCCGAGGAAATTACGGTGCTCTTGTATGATGCCCGCATTCCCATGTCGCCTTGCGTTACTACTGACCAGTAGCGCAACCTATGCTGCCCGCGAAGATTCTTTGGTTTTTTCATCTGTCCATAAACACTGCTGCCAACTTGACTTCTTCCAATCCCTTATCGCACAGATATCAGTCGTGTGCTCTTCGAGAATGTGGTGAAACTTTTCCCATCATGATGGAGAATAGATACGTCTGGCTAGCCATGAAGATCCCTTGATTGGTCCAACATTGCATCTACTTCGAAGGCGGTTATAGAACATACCTTTGATGATTTCTGTGAATAACTCCAAAGCGCTGCGTCTAGTTGGTTAAATTGAGTGTTACCCCAAACGTATATCTTTCTCTATTACCTATATCATGAATTCTGCTCTTGGAATCCAGCCTGAGCAAGTCCGCAAGTGATTGCGGTTGGCTTCACCAGTGTTATCCATCAGGGACTGTAAGTTGGGAATGGCCGAGTTGGAGACGAAGAATCTTCAGTTTAGCGGGAGGGTATCGGTTCTTGTAGTCGTCAGGGGGGGCCTACCTGCAACTGCAGCGAATATTTCATATTTGTTTTGTTTTTTAGCTCTACTCAATATCGTCAGATAGATCAAAGCTGTCAGACAGCCTGATAGGGAAAAGTCAGCTTTGCATAGGGCCGGATCCGTAAAGTGGTTTCCTTTGAACCTAGATAGAGACTCTGATCCGTACCGTGGATCCCTTCAACCTAGATGCCCTCAACAACCTAGATCTACGGATATCATCGGCATCATCAGATCAAGGGCATCCGGGTCAGTCAGATCCCTAGGCATAAATAGCTAGCTTTCTTCCCTCCTAGACTAAAAGACAAGATCATCCATCGTCCCTGAAGCTGTCTTAACCAATTCTCTAATTGTCTGATAAAAGCCATACAGTATTCTCAAACAGTAGAGATAAACAATAAGTGCTACACCCAGCACCAGAAGAAATGGTAGCTGAACAATAAGGTTGTTACATACTAGTCTCTACCTGAAGCTTCAATTCAGCCCCTCTAACTTTTCAATTCAGCCCCTCTAACTTTTCAATTCAACCCCTCTGACTTCAACCCTGCTGTCTGTAGACAATAGGGTCAGTCAACAACCCTATTGTCCGCAGTTAACGACCTTGAGATAGGAACCTTATTCGAGCAATGAGATATAAGAGAGACGTCTCCCATCGTCAAGAGACCAACTTCCCTTCTAACAATCATCCCATTACAACAACTTTAATCTAAACAACTTTTTATTATGTCGACCATCATTCGAAAAGCTCTTGTCAGAAATGACCCTGCGTATCAGGGATACGAAATCCGATTCCGATATAATACTGGATTCCTTTGGAATCTAGAAGATGAAATGGAAAGAGGCAAGCTAAATATCTATCTGAATTTACTTGGGGAAAACAACCTACTGAGTCTCTCACCACACCACCCAGAAGGCCTGGATAAAAGCCAAAGGATCGCGTTTATCCAGGCCTTCTGGATGGTGTCGACCCGTTGGCTTTTATTCAGGCCTTCTGGGTGGTGTGGTGAGAGACTCAGTAGGTTGTTTTCCCCAAGGAATTCATATATTTTTGCACAATTACTCGAAAGCCTCTGTGTAGCCATACGTTTCGGGCCTGCTGGGCGTTATTATATGTAGTTGAGACAAAAGAAACCCAAACTCCCAACGAACTACTAAAACGCAGACTGCGGACCGTTTATCGGTGAGGCAATTGCAAATGCAAAATATGTTCATCGAGACTCAGATTAACAAAATAAACTAGGCTGCTGCCGTCTCCGATATTCCATGATCAAATGATTCTTACAAAGATTTTATGCAATTAGGCCTTGAACCGTAAATTCTGCTCTGTGAGGTGTTTAGTCGTTCTGCGTTGTGGATGGCCTCCGATTTAGTGATAATCGATGCAGTCTGACAGACTTCCATTCAGATGAACCAAGTTGTGTTGACATTCAAATAAGGTTGAATTTCCTTTTAAATGTAGTTTCTACTAGTCCCTGAAAAAGCAAGTGCCATGAATACGCTGCATCCCTGAAGTCCAGTAATGCCCGACGCAATTTCAATTGCTAGTCTAGTACTGGTAGAAGGGCAAATTGTATCAAGGCTAGAGCTCGAATGAAGGCGTCTCTATTATTATTGGTGCGGCGAGTCTCAGGCAGGCGGATGTGGCTATTTCAGCTAAAAGGCACAACTCCACGTTATGATATGGTCTTAGTGTTAGTTAGACTGTAAAACAGTGTTGCACTTGTACAAAGGCAAGGACTAATGATATCGAACAAAATAAAAACAACCCCCCCCCCCCCCCCCCCCCAAAAAAAAAAAGAAAATGAACCAAAGAATAAACCCACATAAAGGGAAGTTCGTCTAAGAGCTATAAGAGCGAGGCATCTTCCGCCAACTATGTATCCATGGGTGTTCAGTGTAGCCTTGACGAGTTAGATGATCGACTGCTTCAGCGTGATTTCCAATGACAGTCCCACACCGGAAAGCCTTATCGAGTGCTTCCTTACGACTGGATGGCTTGGGGCCAACATTCCCTCTTTGAAAATTCGGAAACAAGAAAGGAGCTAGTTGTGTTGTATGTAATGTTTGTGGCCTAACAAACGTCGTGGTATGATTCTCTCCGCTCCTGCCAATACAAATTTCTGTGAAGTGGCTTGTTTCTGTCCGGATATTCGGAAATCTTTTCGAAAACTCTTGTAGTTTCTGTTTGGCAGTCGCAAGAAGGTATGTGGTTGAAAGGTCCACGCCAATCAAAATAGAATAGGTGGGATTTCCGTCATAATGCGGCATCCCATACATCCACAAGCCTTCGTCAACGGAAAGCTCCACTATCCAGGATTGCGTTGGAGTATTGAAATACTCTGCAATAGGATATCCAAGTTCAATAAAAGCTTGTGTGACTTCCATGACGCGCTGAAAGTAATGCTCTAGATTTGAGACGAGGCCCGCTAATATGAAGGTGTCGACTGCGAAGAGGCCGTAGGCGAGCCTGATCAGACCTCTGCGGTACGTCACTTCGCAGTGAGGAAAGTTTGATGCATCAGAGTGGGCGAGTTGTTTGAGGATGTGACTTAGGATGTGATGGTCGTCGTTCGGGTAGAGTTCCAGTAACCGATGTGTGTACCCTTCCCGTGTGACAATGGGCAATATATCCAGAATCCAATCGGGTCTAATCTTATCTAGTATTCGCATAAATTCGTCTCCGCCTTTACGCCTCAAAAAAGTTTCTTCTAGGAGTTCAAGAAAACGGCAATGGGTTGGCTCAGTTTGTTGTCGAATTGCAGAAGGATAAATCCAATGGTTATTGTCTAGGAAGCAGCCGCTTAGCTGCCATTCGCAAACAAGATCCAACATCTCGATTACCGTGTTCCTGGGTGCAAACTCGTAGCCGCATTGGATCAAGTAGAGTGTGTCTCCAAGGCAGCTCTTATGCGAGATCATTCCGGGGCCCGGCCTCCGTTCCAGAAAACGCCCCCTAATCATTGAACTGTGAACTGCCCTCTTCCACCTTTCAGCAGGTGTAATATGGGCGGTGCGAAGAATTTTGCGTCCGAAATTTGTGTCTGTCAGAAAGTCATGGGCTGTTCGGTGCACAAATGTAACTTTTGTTTCCGTGAAAGAGTATAGCAAGTCTCGGCCAGGGAGTCTTTTAAATCCGCCCCATCCAAGTGGAACGCATTCGATGAGTCCTGCACATCTTAGGCGGATGTTTCGCATTGTTCTCTCACATCGATCTCTGATATTTTCGGCTGAAATTGTCGCTGCTGTCTCCTCAAATTCATTCAGGATATCGTCACAACTTGCTAATGAAAACTCCAACAAGTCTGGAAAATCTCGGATACTGTAAGCCGGGTCTTCGAGCGCCAGGTTGAAGTACAATGACGCAGTCTTTTGATAGACAATTCTGTCATCACCTAGCCGAGCCCACATGTCCTCGTAAAGTCGATTAAGATCCGAGGGCAGCAAATCAAGGCGTATTTGGAGCTCTTCGGGTGAATCCCCCGTCTTAATTCCTCTCCTCAAACTCTCCACAGCGAGAATGGCCCAGAGGAATACCCCATTCGCTCTCTCAGCAAGACTCCTGATAAATGTATGTCGCGATCTTGAAGATATTGACTGATCGTTTGGGAATCGCTCTTGAAGCAACCGTTTGATGTCCCCTTGAGTGAGTTGATGAATTCTCAAGTGGTCAATTCCCACAAAGTATTCACAAAGCGCAAATTCTTCGCGACTTGAGGCACAAATCTTGACGTTTTCTAGCTCCTTCAGCTGATTTAATATTGCCAACGGGTCGAGGAGCTTGTTGGCTTCCAACACTTCGTCGAGCCCATCCAGGAAGATACAGTAAGACCCTCTAGCTGTATCAAATGAATAAAAAATAGCTTGCATGAGTTCTGTAGTAGACCAGTCAAAATGAGACTCTTTGTTGAGAAGTTTTGGGCTGTTGTTTAAGAGCATAGTCCCTAACGTTTGCTCGTTGTCGAGTATCTGGTAGAGCAAAGAGAAGAGCATTCCCTTGACATCGTGCTGTAAGGTTGTGCCAGGCCTCCAGAAAAAGTGAGACAAGAGTTGAACATCGTGTCGCCAGCTTTGCAGATGTTGAGATGTCTGTGAACTCTCCAAGATAAACTTCATGAGGGTGCTCTTGCCTGAAGCCGGCTTGCCACTTATCCAATAAAGCTTTTCGTCGGACTCAAGCCAATGGATGAAACTAGTGATTTTCGGATCGCTTGTAGTCGATAAAATATCGTGTTCAGAGTCGTCAGGTTCGGAGCTTTCGATAGAGTTGGATGAGGCATCGGAGTCGTATGAAACATCAGAGTCGGAGGTGAATTGAGAGGTGCTTGCAGGATAGTTTCCCTCGCCAAATATCCAAGCAAATGTTTTTGGCCAGTTTCCAGAGATATGATTTCGCCTTTCATTGATCTCTCTGAATTTCAAGCTCCCCAATAGTTGTGAGTATTGGGACATGCCATGGGAGGCATCTATGTTGCTGGCAATGTCATTCCGGATCTGTGCAGCTGAAAGAGCGACGTGAGATTGAATCTCATTCCCAACAGTCGCCAATTCAGTAGTCATGTGTACTTTAAGGACAGACTGAGTGTGGTTGTTCGTCTCAGTGACATGATCTTCAACCTTTTGTGTGGTTTGTGTTATGAGGTCAAAGATTGTAGTATTCCCGGCTGCAGCCTGGACAATAAAATTCTGCAGCCTACCGTTAAGCTGATTGAAAGATTCTGCCGTCTGCATTCGGTTCGCGGTATTCTGGCTGCAAATTCGAGAGAGGAGACGATTCTCAAGAAGCGATTGGTATGCTTGGAGGTTTTTCTCGAGTGATTCGAGTTCTTTCTGGTTCCAAAGTGACTTGATTCCTTTTCCAACAGCAGAAAACTTTGCTCGGAAACCGTGCTTGCCAACGGGTACCGAGGAAGTGGTAACCATCGTTGTCAGCTCGTTGGTTTGTTTCACACAAGCCTCAGCAAGCTTGAGTAATTCTTGTTCATCTGCACTCAGAGTCCAGGGCCCTCCTTTCACCTTCTGAGTCATATCAACGTAACAAGCTCTTGCATCTTCGCAGTATTGGCTGAGTCTAGGATCAGGCGTCCGCTCGTTTTGGATATGCTTATACACCGACAAAGCATCGCGACCGAACGTGACAATCTGCATGGCATTGCATAGGAGCCCAATGCCAAAAAGAACTTCTGCACCGGACATCTTTGATTTCTTTGCGTCAGGCCGAGTGGCTTGATGGAGTATGCGTATTTGGTGGAGCCCGTCGGATGGTTGGAGTCGTTGACTGGTTTTTTTCGTAATTGTATGGGATAACTCTCAGGTTTTGGTTCGATGAGGAACAACGACAGCTGCACCAAACTTCTCTTCCCAAAAAAGAAAGAGAATGAGGTGATTTGGGTTGCGTTGCGTTGCGCGGTATCAGGCACAATCAGGCTGATCGCCGAGCCTTATCCCCGCGTTGGCTGATGTCACATGACTTATGCAATGAGACTAGGCTTTCTCAGAGACGCAGAAGAAGTGCAAAAATGATACGAAATCGGATGTAAGTTTTGAAGAGTTATTGTGTGGTGGCTAGGGCAAAGACAACTGGAAACCCCAACAAACCACCAGGAAACGGCTTGGCAACAGGCGCACGGTGATGCGTCCGCAAAGGAGAAAGCATTGAAAGAGAGCAGAACCAGTTAAATTAAATGGGAAATAAAACATTTGTCTCAACCACCATACTATTTAATCGATTAATTCACATAAAAATACCATACAGCGGCCCTGTGAAAATACCTCCTCCATTTTCTTTGCGTGCCCAAGACCACGGCGATTCCCTCCAAGGCAATGAATCTCCTCTCCGAGGTAAATCCTACGTCCCGCCCACTCCACCATCTTCAAGGGCTTCAGACGTACGACGATAATATCCTCTAGAATGATAAATAAATTACCATCATTGATATATTTTTAATCTAGTGATTGGTGAAGAGTTCACCTGAATTACTGGTTGAATGATCTTTTTTTTGTAGTAGATTCCAATTCTTGCCGAGGTTAATAGAATGAATGGGTGTCTTCGTCGTAAGAGTTTCCGTGTTTGATATTCCATTCCCCCTCCCTTATTTGACATCTAAGAGCCTCATTGTTACTTCGTCGTTTAAGTCAAACATGCCCTTTGGTATGGATAGCTCTACGATTCTAAGACTACTTCTATCTTTAATTCTTTGAAGAATCAACCATAATTTATGTAAAGCAATCTTCTTGAATTTCATTTATCTTCGCTCAGATTTTTAAAATACAGAAACAACCACATGAAAGAAATACAAACTTTAATGTTGAATTCATGTTGAATTCTTCAGGCAGAAGTCAATTTCTCGGCCAGATTGTCATTTGATCATAATGACTGCAAGCTGGTAACACTCGAGCCCGCAAATGTCCCATTCAATGCCGTCGAACGAGTGTGTTCGTGAAATCAAGACCTCAACTCAAAGAAGGCCATTGAAAGGGCTTTCAGCATGTTGAAATACCATCTCAGCCATGTTGCGAGCATTTTGTCTTTTTAGCCGCTCAGTTGAGGTCCCCCTCAATGACCTAGTTTGAGAGAGATATCCTCCCGTAGCAACCAGGCTTAAGTCTTTGATATATGGGACAAACGGCTTGTGGTGTTCGGTGGTGCCTCCGTTGATAGAGAACTCATTACTGGAGCGCCCTTGTCTCGTGGCGGACTAGTTTGTGTGCCGTTGCTGGTGGTCATATTGTTCCCAGCACTCCCGTTGCTTCCTGACTCCCTGTTATCCCCATTCCAGTGGCTTGCATTGCGGTTACATGCCAGTCCATTGCTCTCAGAGTCATTTTGACCGTCCGCATGCTCATGACTCTTCTCCTCCCTATGACTATCAGTCCCATTCTTATTTTGAGACTCTTTACTCTCAGCTTCATTTGCAACCTCGTTGTTGACACGCTCCTGATGATAAATCCCGAGACTCTGGTTCCACCATAGAGGAAAGATGCTTTGAACGGCAGCATACGCGAGTTGCCGCACGGCGCTCTCCTCTAGCACTCCGCTGGGGAGATTGTCGATGAGTCTATCTTGGACAATTCTCCCTCCCTGACTCTCTACAAACTCGCGGAAACTGCTCATATCCTTTGAGAGGGAATTAAGCAGATATGGCGAGCTAGGCCGCTCTGTGTCCGGAAACAGTAATTTGAAGATTTCGTACCACTGTTCCTCTTCTGACTGCTTCTGGTTCGCGCGTTTTGCCCGAAGTTGCTTTTCCTGCTTTGGAGTCATGCCATCCGGTTGTTCTTCTGCAGGGCGTTTCTGGCAGGATTGTGCCCGGATGTGCTCATCCCTACTTTCATCGTCGCCAAACCTAATCATGCAGACTGGACAGTGAAGCGGCTGTACGTGGTGCCTGAACAGATGCTGCTTTACGTAGGCAATTCGCGTGAGGACGTATCCATGACAACGCTTATGTTGGATTGGGTCTTTCTTGTAGAATGGACAGGCAAGAACCTGGTCCGGCCGGTCTTCTGTCTTTTTCCTTTTGGCTTGATTTGTGTCGACTTGGTCCTCGTTGCCGTGGCCGCTCGTAGCCTGATGCAGAGACCGTTTGATCGGACCGCTGTTCGAAGTCTGGCCTCCATCGCCTTCCCTTTGCCTTGAAGCAGAGACGTCCGGTTCAATGCTGGGCCTTCTGCTCGGTGGCGGTGACGCCGTCATGGTTGATATGACTGGACTAGGCATCGAGACAGAGAAATCGTCGTCGTCGTGAATTGGGAGGAGGATATTGTGGTCGTAGCCATCGCCATTCCCATCAAGGAAGTCCTCAGGCGGAGGTGATATTTCGATCGAAGGTATGGACCATAGAGTCGACGGGGAGCTCGCTGCCGATGATCTGGATAGCTCTGTTGAACTTTCAGGGCCTCCTTCAAATAATGATTCGGCACGGAAATCAGGCGAGCTAGTAGACGCCGGACTCGACGCGAAATCCAATGCCAAGTCGGGCGTAGGCCCTGTTTCCACCTCAGATTGAGCAGTTTCTTGACCCAAAACGAGCTCTAAAGCGCCATCGCCGGTGCCATCCTCTTGTCGAATAGGGACCTTGCATCCCACGTTTCCGCTCTGGGTGCTCATTGTGTCCTGCTGGGTTAGAGAGGGAAGCGACGTCGTAGCAGGAACTGGTATTTGTAGCGGGATGTCGTTGTTCGCGTGGCGGTTCGGGTGGTTTTCTGAGTAGCGTGTGACCCACTGAAGAACACTTTCTAGGTTCTCAACCGGACTCTTTGGCTTTGGCTCTGAGTCGCTATGATCCACGTCTGTGTCTGTGGAAGGCGGTCCGGTGATATTGACCCAGCTGCCAACGCCGTGGACACTTGGATCATCATCAACAATTTTGGGTTGAACAGTGCTGCCGCCCATATTGTTCTGACTGGAGAGAACTGTCAACAATACTGAAATCAGGCAGGCACGCCCTAATCAGCTCACTCTACCGAGGCAGTAGTGAGGCGAGTATTTATTTACTGACCGGAGCCGTACGGTGCCTCGGGCTTGAACTTGGTGGCTTCACAGCCTCGTCGGGTCTTTGCCTTCTTTTTGCCTTGTGTGCCCTTTCCTCTCTCGACGCCTTCTGCGGTGGTCAGCACGATGGTTTGCCAGGCAAAATGGAAATCGTCAGGCGTCGACGAGGAGTGTCAAAGTGGAAAAACAGGCAGCGTGGTATCACGTCGGCGCTATTTAGGAGGGGGCTGTGACATCCCAGGCTGCACCTGTGAGTGGCCACACGCCCCGGTCGAAGTCACAAGTGTGATAAGTCGAGTACAGTCAGCGCGTCCGTGGCAAGTTTGTGACCAGTCGCCGCGTAGGGCAGAACAGGGGCCATCCCAGGCGAGGAGGGGATCGGCAGTGGTTTGAGGGCAGTCGGGCGAGAGGTCACGCAGTCCAAGTTGTCACAACTGTGCTCTCGGCATTTGTGTCGGGGCTCAGTATTGTGTCGAGGGCTCTGCATTGTGACAAGCGTGGACTGCTGCAGCTGTGGGCTTGCCGGGGGGGGCTCCCTTCGTAAAGCAGTCCTGCGTCGCCCTGCGTAGTCCGGTTTAAGGGTAGTTGGTCGCTCCCACGTTTTCCGATTCTTTGTCCTTTGTTCTTTTCAACCTTTTGTTACTGCTCCTTTTATACTCCGTACAGTGAAAGACATCGACGAGCGAGACACCGGCCTCCAAGACATCGGCGCGCAAGTCCTGGGACGCACAGCCACGGCTCCAGCGCCCCACCTCCGTCGCCGGCGTGAAAATGGTCTCGGACAGGGTCACACCCCGGCCTCAGCCGCAGCCTCCGGGCCAGCCTCCGGAGCAACCTTCTCAATCTCCACCGCGGTCCCAGCCTCCCCAGCCTCCGATTCCAACCACCGAAAGCGTTCGAGCCGCTGCTGGAAGCTTTCCCACCGATAGTGGCAATGGTAGCTTGTATGATTGCGTTTCTGACCCCTCTTGCGGACGGTACAGGGTCTGAGACTTGGTGAAGGACCGATCCCCCGCGCGCGGAACCTCCGGCCGAAACCTACAGCCTGCAGCTATTTCTGAGGCCCCCCGACCACGGACCGGTAATTGAGAGATTGCTATCTCTCTATGCAATTGGCGATACAACGGACGGACAGGAAAATGCGGATCAGGCGGAAGAGAGAGCAACGGTTGACGCCACGCAGAGGGCTGAGCAGGCGATAAATAATTGTGACAACATATTGAATACCAGGCAAGACACTTCACCATGACACGGATAGAATGCCAGAAAAAAATTGGAAAACGGGAAAAGGTAGAAAAAAACTCGGAAAATTGGAAAATCATTTGCCCTTGTCCCAAGTTCGTTCAATCGCCAGTCGGCATAGAATTGAGGCGACTGTGATTCGTATCCGGGATGGATGCAGTGATATTTACCCCCCTGCGCTAATGGCACCGCTGTACAGTGAGTTTGGTGGGTATCTTCAGTAGCAACCCCCTATAAGACCCTTATTATTCGAGGGGTAGTGTGCTAAAATTTGGTGCTTACTCTCCTTAAAATGTGTTCAGCCATCCGACTATTTACTAACACTGGATAAATTTAGTCCAAGCCACAGCTGTAGAGTGATTGTAAACTTCAAGGGAAATCCCTACAAGGCCCTCAATACACAGTTAAGTATCCTAGGTTCGTTGAAGTACTGAAATTGAACGCTTAGAAGTGTATTTTTGACACTTCCATTGTCATATGGTTATAGATAGATAGTGCTGCATCGGAGCTGTCCAGTGACAATTGAGGTCCCCAAACTTCCTGCGTCAAGTACATTGGGGCCGCTTTCACCGCACATCTTGTCAGGAGAATAGTCTGTTAATCCGTTAGTATAGCTTTTGAGGCCTCGCTAAACCGATCAATGATTCCATTCCGAATCAAGAGCATGGCCAAGTGGTCCCGACACAGCATAATCCGTCGTCACAAACGCCCGATCCACCTCGCCCAACCCTTCCGCGCAATACTGCAGCGTCTCTGCAATGTCATGCGAGCGATTCAGCGGCGTCTTCTCATCCAGCAGCACGTCAAACTCGACCCAGACACCATCGCCCGCATGGTACGCCGTCACGTTCTTGAACCCCGTCACGATTGGCGCGAATCGGTACGCGAGATAGATGAGCTTCTTCAGTGTGTGGTCGTCGGCGGCCTCGCCTGAGAGGCGCACCACATTACTGAAACATGTGTGGCCCCAGTCGAAGATGATGAAGAGCGAGAGGAGCCCGGCGCCGACGGAGTCGAGCCACCAGATGTTCGCCTTGTAGCCGATTAGCGGGAACAGCAGGGAGAGTGTGTTGAAGATGACGTCGGTTTTGCAATCCTGGACCAAGGCTTGGACCTGCGTTGTCTTGATCGGATGGCACCCAAGTCCAATGGTGCCTTTAATCACAACCGTCGCGAGCAGCGAGCCGATGGCCGCCCAACTCAGGATCTCGGCCTTGTGGTGCGGAGGCATGAGCCGCGCCACCGACTCCTGCAGGATCTGCATGAAGGATATGACCATGATGATGGAGAAGACCAAGATCCCCAGCGGCTCCAGCCGCCGCCTGCCAACGGGGAAGCGCTTGCGCAAGGCATTCAGCCGCCACAGGACCAGCCGGTTTGTCGACCACACGATGAGTGTGCACAGAAGGTCAAGTGCCGAGTCTACAACTGACGCGACGAGAGACAACGAACCCGTTGTGAATACGGCAAATGTCTTGCCGACAAGTAGCAGGATATTTGCAACAACATTGACGTTGATTGCCAGCTTGGCTCGCTGACTCGCCTTCCTCCTCTTCAATTTCTCCTCCTCGGGAAGCAGCTCTCCGATATTCCCCTCCACGCGCTGCAGTCCGCCGGTTCGTTCCAGGTCGCCGTCATGATCTGGGTCTGGGTTCATCGACTCGAGGACATCGTCGGCGATGGCCATGACGACCGCATCCACCTCAAGCCAGTCGTTGAGACGCTCATTCTGCGCCTCGTAGAAGCGGCGCACCTTCTTGTTTTTTATGAGCTTGAGGTCGTCATCCGACTTGCGGAACTGTTCGAGGCCGTCTCTGTCAATGCCGTGGAGGAGGGCGTGCTTGAGTTCCGTCCGGCGGGCATCTTCCAGCGCCGTCCGAGCCGCCTGCTGAAACTGGAAGATTCGGGGTGTTCGTCTCCGGGCACTAGGGCCTAGCTCATGGCCGTTGTATGGGAATTTACCAGTCTCCAAATCGCGGGGATGCTCTTCAAATTGATCTTGTTGCGAGCCGCGGCGTTGGGGCTGAGGCGGCTGGCCATTGTCGCCATGTAAGAATCGTTTTCCAACCATTTTGAAGTTTGCTTATTCCCGAGATGTTAAATTTCCGAGGAATTAATATCATGGATAGTTGTTGTTTTATAACGGCGTCGAGGATTATTACTGCGGGCCGTCATGTTGCATATGACGTATGAGTGTCGATCGCGACGCTCAGCTGCCAGGCTTATGCACGATCCGACCAAGCCAGCTACGTCTACGCGGTGACTTGACGGGAATAAACGACATTATTACAGGGCGAGGTGGGTAAAAGAGGGTCCGCTTTCTCATTAATGGCTTTTACCAGGCATTCAGCGGGTTCCTTGTGGCTCACACCTTGTAAGCATCTCGTCGTCATCTGCCAAGCCCTGGGGCTGTCGATACGGCATTACGGCACCTTCACTCCACCGAAGTTGGCAGCAAGTCTGTTTCACGCGGTGGATCTGATCCAATGTCACTATCATCATCCAGAGAACCCAGGATATCGCAATTTGCTTTGTACTACTCGGGCACTGAGCCTATCAGTCCTTTAAATCGGCGACAAAGAACCTGGGTCGCCACACCGACTCATTCGAAGCCTTATAGTTCTGCAGATGCAAAGCCTCAGAAAATGAGATATGTTCCGTCAAAGCGCCCGATCGTCCGCTTGTAGTCCACAAGACTTTAAAATTGCAGTCTCTCAGCACCTGGATCAACTCGGCCAAGCATGGCTCCGTGCTCATGTCATAATACCCGTCAAACCTGTTCAGGCCATCGATAACGCAGAATACCTTCTCCGGCATCAATGTGGCCAGCTCGCGAAACATGGCCATGGCATCATCCCAGGGCTTGGGCTTAGATGTGCCGTCCATTAGTCGAAATCGCGCTTCGGTCAAGTCGATCTCAGTCTCGACCACAGGCGGGAGGTGTTCGACCATCTGGCGCAGCAGCGCTGAAACCAACGCCATGAGTCCTTGCCTCGTCTTCGATTCATCCGAGTCGGGTCGTAGTTGGTGTTGGTCAGGAAGTTCGCAAAAGTACGAGATGACAGGGACGCCTGAGTGTGATGCACAGCTGATAATACTGGCGCTCAAAAGACTCATGGGGTTGTAGACGCGGTCAGCGCCGTTGAATAGGCCCTCGATCCACAGCATGTGTGGTGCCGAGCCGGTGGACCATCTCTCGAGACGCGACAACGTTGGTATGGCGACGCGCGCCGCGTTGAAACGACAGCGTTCCATGCGCACTCGCTCCCTATCAAAAAATGCCTCGAGATGCGCCGAATTCAGGGCAACCTCCTCTGCGGAGTATTTCTTCATCTGGGCCATGATGCTTGGTTGCTGAGTCGTGAAGAGTACCAGGTGCGGAAGTGTTGCGAAGTTTGTCGGTGTTGCCGGGTTTGTCGGTGTCGCCAGGTTTGTCGGTGTCGCCGGTCCTAAATAGTAATTAGGTATTCGGAATCCATGAGTGAATCACAAACTCTCACCAAGTTGTGACCGCCAGTTCTCAATCGACGCCTGTCCCTGACGCTCTAACAGAAAGTTAAGTTGAGCAGTGAGTTCCTTCACATGTCGACCAGCATCTAAAAATTCTTGCCTCTCCTTGAGGAGCTCCCTCCGAATCCACTCAGCGTGATCCCTCATCTCGGCCTGATGTCTCGCGTCTCCTTGTAAACCCACCCGGAAGTCACGATTCAACAGTTCTAATTGCTCTCGAGTAGAACGGACTTCGGCTCGGGAGCTCTGAGCAGCAATATCGCGGACTGCCAAAGCTTTGGCGTTGATCTTTTGGATGTCATCCTCGAACTTCTTGTAGATATTCTCGCTGAAGGAGTCGAGCATCTTGGAGAAACGCTTTCGCATGAGGAAGTCCATGACACTGGAAAGGAAGAGGAACACGTGCGCATACAGATCGGCTACCTTCTCCACCACCCTAGGTGTGTGAAAGATCTCCAGTTCAGCCTTGCATTCAGTGATGTGCTCACTGATGGAGGCCAGTGAATCGGCAAGGCCTTCAGCAAAGCGCTCATGGTTGACGCTAGCCTGTAGTTATTGAGTGAACAAATGCGTCTCTGCAATTAATGCGTGACTCACGTACCTGAATAATTGCATTCAGTGATCCAGTGAAAAGTGAAACGTATTGATTTCCTTCAGGGAGGACTTTCAGAAGCGCGCTGTGAGAGTCCAGGGTGTTACAGAATGAATGGAAAGTTGACATGAACTTGCCTCCTCCACCCTTTCTTCTCTTGGTCTGCCATTTAGTGTTCGATTCGCGCACCAAATCAACAACGCCCTCGATGCTTGGATCAAATTTCTTCAAATCCAGTTTGTCTTCTTTCGAGCAGCTTTCATGGAACGTCACCCATTTTTCTCGAAGCTGGGTTGCCTCGACTGAGATGAGAGCGCTGATGGGGTCGCTGATTGGGGTTATTAAACAGCCAGGTCTCTGGGTTCCTTGCACACTCGCCTCCTGGTAGTGGAATACTCAACTGGCTCAAAGAACTTCCGCCATGGATCTTGTATATCCTCTCTTTCAAGGCCATCCACGTTCTGTCGCAGCAATTCACCCAGAGGGAACGCATCGCTGTCGGGTGACAACCGCTCTGAAACCTCAAGGCTGTAGGTTCGTACAAGTCTCCTCGCTTCTCTGACATCTTCGGCATCCATGGCAATTGTTGTTTCAGAATTTAATATGTTGATCCCTCTCAATTCCACCACGTAATGCAAAAGGTAAGATCGCTAACTTTATCAGAAATCAGAAAGCAGGCTGCAGGCTGCAGAGGAAACAACCCTCGGCTCCCTCCTGCCGTTATGCCCGATCGCGGTGGATGTCTAACGTCACACCGCAGGATATGAAACCATGTGTACAAAGGGTATTACGTATCAATACTTTTTGTATCCCATCGTATTCTCGTTGGTCACAGTTGTGATACCTGCCTGATGTTGCACATTGTGTTAGTTGAGGCCAAATTCGCCTCCAGCCTCAACAGTTGGTAAGCCATTTCAAGGCCCCCCCGTTCCTTCGTTTTCTCCAGAATACCCAAAACTCCGTCCTTGTCCGGCCAAGAGTCCTTTCTTCTTGATCCTCTGTCGCCGTACGGCAAACATAATCACAAAGACACAACCTTGGCGTCTAATTCCACACGCTTCCCAACACTATGACGATAGAGGCTGACACGATGACGGAGATGGCAATGGGAACAGAGACACATGGCCAACATGACCCCGCAGGTCTGCTGACGCCAGCGGATACCAGCAACTCTCAAAAAGCCCAGAAGAAGCCCTGGGTGAGGTATCGGGTGGAATACCGACAGCGCTTAACGAACGAACTCCTCCGCCAAGAAGAATCGGAAAACTTTCACGTCGAACATGAAGCATCCGAAGAAATTCATGAGCCCATCTTTGAGCTCATCACCACTTTCAAGACGCGAGTGGCGGAGACGGCGACGGCAAACAGCGACCAGATCACGGCCCCGGCAATGGCGCCCCCGACACACCACATCAACATTTATTCGCTTGCCTTGATCAATGCGATTCAATCGGTTGTCAAGTACTACCCGTCGCAGGACTTAACGGGCGATGTTCTCACTATCCAGTCGCCGTATGCTGTTCTTGTTCACCACTACGAGGAGCTGGCCAAATTTGGCCAAGAGTGCGCAAGTCAAGAAGCAATTGAACTCTGCGTCAGGGAGCGAGATGCCGAGGAACACATCGGCTTGCTTCTTGGCTTTCTTGACGAGCATATCATGCCTGAAGTCCGCGCTGAGCAAGAACGCAACAGGAATGGGATCACTACTTTTGCGTATCGGTGGGTTACTTACAAGCCTGGCAGCACCATCATGACATCCTTCACAGGAGAGACAGATTGGGCTGCTGAAGTCGTGCATTCCGTGGAAGGCGGCACCTTTGACAATCCGCCTGGGCAGTGGGAGATTCAGCTCTGGAGCCTCGCATGTAATGGCCGGCAGCTCGGCAGAACCAGTCGTACGATCACCTCGGGAAAAACCGAGGGCGAAGTGGCAATGACCAAGCGCTTCTTTATTGTCGTCGGCAATGATCTTTCCAGAACTGAAGATGAAGGACTGGATGAGATCGTCTCGACGCAGTTTGCATACGGAAAGAAATACTGGAGTCTTCTCGGCAAACAGTGTCAGTACTACAAAGGCCAGAGCGGGGAGTTCCCATACAACGAAGTAGGTCCTTCATTCCAGATATCCGCCTCTTCGGCAATCGTTTCTGACAATCTTGAAGGTGGACGGCTTGGTCATGGCCGATTTAAAGAGCTACTTTTCCACATCAAGGAGGGAAAAGCCAACTCTAATGGATGCCTCCGACCTACGGAACTGGATCACCAACTGCTCTTGTTCTGTTTGCACTAAGCGCAAAGACACCAAGAGTACGCAGGTGGTCCCCATGTTTGACAGCTACAACTTCATCCCCATCTCAGTCCCGGGCTCCAGTCTCAGTAGACACCAATATCTGCTTTGCCAGCAACATATCAAGGCTTTCATATTTGGTTCCCGGCGATGGGGTGGGTGAACTCGATCGCAATTTATATCCGCGATTCACTTCAAGCTGATACTTTTACAGAACGGCTTCATGTGCGCAATTTCCAAGAGCCGTCCTTTGATGAAGGCATGATCAACAGCCTAGTCATGCATGAAGGGCGAAAGGATATCCTCAAAGCGCTGTCCAAGAGTTTTGCCCGCCGCAACAAGCACGACAAGGTTGTACCGGGAGATATGTGGTCTGCCGACTTTGTCAAAGGGAAGGGCAGCGGTCTGATATTCCTCCTGCACGGAAAGCCCGGCGTGGGTAAGACGTGCACAGCTGGTAAACCTGCTTGTGCAAATTTTATCTCAAACTATGCTAACAGGATATTTCTCAGAATGTATTGCTGCCTTCACAAAACGCCCGCTAATGATGCTAACTCCAAGCGATATTGGAACGACGGTTGAAGAAGTAGAGGCAAATCTGACGAAGAATTTCAAGACAGCGAGGAGTTGGGGCGCAGTCCTCCTCATCGACGAGGCGGATGTGTTCATGGAACGACGAACGGCATCCGACCTAGTGCGCAATAGTCTCGTTGCAGGTCAGTACAGAGCCCGAAGCATACGAAAGAGGACCTAGCTAACCATGCAGCGTTCCTTCGCGAGCTGGAGAACTACGACGGCATCCTCTTCCTCACCACCAACAGAGTCGGTGCATTCGACGATGCCTTCATTTCTCGTGTACACGTCCAGCTGTACTATCCCGAATTCACAGACGAGCAGAGACAGAAGGTCTGGAAGACTTTTATTGACAAGCTCGCGCGCGAAAAGGGCGAATCGATGCGTCTCAACATTGACGCAAAGGAGTACATCCGTGGCGCAGAGATGCGTGCGATGAAGTGGAACGGCAGAGAGATTAGAAATGGTGAGTTCTTTCATGTCCGACAGATAATCACATCACTGTCAGTATATTTTCTCTGAATTTTCTTGCTGAATTTTCCACACGACAGCTTTCCAGACAGCAGTGGCGCTGGCCGAGTACGAGGCAGAGACGGATGAAGAAGGAAAGACGATTGTAAACGACACGCATTTCCGCTCGGTGGTGGAGCTTTCAAGTGACTTCAAAAGCTATCTCGACAAGTTGCACGGGGCCGATGAGTCTGAGAGAGCGCACGAGAACCATGAAAGACTAGACGCTTTTTTGACCGCCGACAAGGCAAACTGATATGATGGGCCGTAACTTAAAGTACACGATTCGGGAGCAATGAATAATGACAGTCGCTATTTTGATACACCTGCAAGTGAATGCTGCCCGGACAGTGTCCCGGGACCACAATGCATGTCACGATTAAAGAGATGGGTAATCAAGAGGTTAGGGTGCCCTAGTACACACATACCCAGAGGGGGGACTAGAAGCTCAACAGTAAAAAAAACACCAACAATAGTATCAACAATACAGACTATTTACCCAGTCCATTCAAAGATCAACAATACACTCAGACAGACTAAGGTTTCTAGTCCAACTGGTTACCTTTCTCAATACATGACCACAAGAGCCTAAGGGAACCAATGGAGGGATGTTGCGGAGGAGGTTTAGAAGAGGCAAAAGACTGTACTTAGGTTCAAGATCAATAGACCAAATCCCTCGTCAACAATTGTGCAAGCACGTGATACAGAATTTGAAACAGTAGTCAGAACAGTGATTTCAACAATGAGAGATGGGTAATTAGAGCAAAAAGTTGGTGTATCGTATCAATTTCGTGGAATCTTATCTAGATAATACAAGTGTAGAGGACTCCAATTCCCAAGTCCCGATCATAGCATCGCTTGTCAAAAACAAACAAGACCCGTCTCTTTCCCAACGCCAGCCGTCAATTACATCTAGCAAACCCTCATGGCATTCGACTTGGTACACTCAAGTCACGTCCCTACTTCTAGTTCTGCGGGCCCAGTCTCATCGCATTCGCAAGTCTATGTCTCGCGCTCTCTCTTCGTGAATCCCGACCGGGGCTGTTGGAATACTCGGTTCGCCCGGCGTTCTCATAGTACGCCTCGGCGTCGCCCAGGCCTACCTTCTGGGGGCGGGGTGGTGGTGGAGGGGGTTGGTGGGATTGGTCCTGGTGGGGAGTAGGGTAGACGGGTTCCCAGTCCCTGTTGGAGTCTTGACGCTCCTGTCGGTGGTTGGTTTCCTGTCGGCTGCCCGCTTCTGGTCGGCTGGCCTCTTGTCGGTAGGGGTTGTTCTGGTAGGTGTCCTGGGGCGCCGCCGGTGTGCGGCTAGAGCGGTCCTCGCGGGAATCGCGAACAGGCCGTCGGACGGAATCTTGCGAGCGGATGGGCTGCTGGGGTTGCGCTGGAGGGGCAACGGGCCGACGATGATCGATGTTGTTGGCGGGCTCTTCGTCATCCGTAACCGTCTCATCATCCGGCTCGTCATCATAGACTCTCAATTCGCTTCGCATGGCGAGGCTGGCGCAGATGGTTCTAGCCTCCTCGATAGCCTTCTTCTGCGCTTGGAGCGTCCTGCGGCGATCGCGAGTCTCCTTGTTCTCGGCAGCGATGGCCTCGATGGTGGCGTCGCGCATGCGCAGAATCTCAATGGGGTTGAACAAGCGGAGCATTCCCAAAAGCAGGTGACGCTCGACAACCTGGGTGATGACGTTGCGGGTGAAGATGCGGGCCGTAAGGTCGTAGTAAATAAGCATCTTCTCCAGAACCTCCTCGGCCTCGGTGTACGTTCCACCGTTCTCAGTCGCATCGGCGCGCCACTTCCTCAGGCGCTCCTCATACTCGGGGTCAAAGGGTTGGACCTCAAGTTCCATGTCATCGGTCAGGCGGCCAAGCTCCTTGTCGGCACCCTCCATCAACTCATTCATCTGCACCTCAAGGAAGTGCATGCGGAGAGGGTCACGCATGCGCATTGGGAAGACGTGGTCAATGACGTCAGCAAGGAACTCGTGGCAAATGACCCCAAGGTTGTCCTTGTACTCGCGAGCCAGGACTGGCCAGTTTCGGGAGTAGTCCTGGAAGAGAATGTAGGGCGCGCGAGGGTTGGAGTCGAGCGGCAGTTCGTTACCACGGATCTGGCGGAGGAGCGGCTCAACTTCCAGCTCGGCGAAGTCCTTCTTGGAACGATCTCCTACAACGCCTGCAGCAGGAAGATTGGCTGCGGGGGTCGCGGGGGGAAGAGCGTCCTTCTGGAAAGTGACCTTGCGGCCATGTGCACGGAATCTTCGAGCAAACCGCTCGCTCTCCTCGCGGACGCGAGCACGGAGTTTCTGTGAAGGAGTTCCCTTGGGGCTAGACTGCCTGGCAAAGAACTTCTCTCCAAAGGGGTTCTTGTAGTTACCATTGACAGCGGGAACAACGAGGTTGTTGGAAGCAGTGAAGAGCTCGCCCATCTCAAACCTCATCTCCTCGACCGTGTCCTTTCCAGCTCCCATGGCCTTGAGCTGGGCTTCGCAGCCCTCAAGAGCCTCTTGGATCTGGCGGCGCAGAGTCTTGACGTGCTTTCCGATATGTCGCTGGAGCTGAGTGCTGAGCTTCTGGCGGAGAGCAGCGATACCCCACATCTGAGGTGGGAGATGAGCCCACTTGCCTCGTGTGAAGAACTCGGCCTCTCTCTGGGCTCGCTCCTCGGGTGTCTGCCAGCGGTCTTGAGGTCCGGGGTTCAGCAGGACGTACCAGCCGAGCTTGAAGTTGTTCTCCTTGTCTTTGTTGGTGACAAGCTCGATGAACTTTTCCTCGAGGCCGATCCGCTCCGTCATGTCGGGCTTCGTCAGGACACCAATAGTGCGGGATCCGGTAGGGTCGAATTGACGGGCTTTCTTGAGAATAGGGGCCTGAACATAGTCATTGTTGCCGCCGATAACGGCCAGGACGATGGTTCGAGTGCTCTTCATGTATCGTTCGGAGAGGGTTTCAATGGTCTGGATGTCGGCCTCGGACTGGTCGCGGTTGGCAACCCGAACCAGACCGGGAAGATCGACGAGCGTCAGCAGCGGCATATCAGGGCCGGCTTTTTCCACGACGAGGATATCCTTGGCAGCGAAGCGACCGGGAATGCTTCGGGGGGCAATGAGTTCGGTCGCATCCCGCATCATGGTTTCGAACGGGGTATCGCCGGAGACATCGCCGCCATACTGCAGCAGTCGGGCTTGCTCATTGTACGGGCGGGACTTGTCGGGGATGATGGACACCTTCAACTTCGTCTCCTTGGCTCTACGCAGGCGAATCTCGGTCGCAAAACGGGTGCAGGCGCCGGCATCTTGGGGGAACGGGGTACCGGTGAGGGCCTCGAGGACGGAACTCTTGCCGGCGGACTGGTCGCCAACGACGACGATCTGGGGGAGCTTGATGTTATCGAGCTGGGCGAACTGCAGCTTATCGACGAGGTCCAGGAGGCCGCGCTGCTCGTTGGCAAGGCCCTGGGTATCCAGGGACGACTCGATTGAAGGGGGCATTTCGCGCCTGGTCATGGAGTCAGCAGCAGCTCGTGGGGAGTCTTTTGGCGTGGCGGGGTCTGGCGGGACGACGAACAGTGATCCCATGCTATCACAGCAGAGGTGCGGTTTAGATGATGGCGGAAGCAGAAGGGAGACAAGGCTCTCGCTCGTTAGCCGGATTTATACAGAAAAGCTGAATGACGTGTGGGCCATGGATCATGGTTCGCCCGCCAAGCTCCCTGGTTGCCTCCGTCCGTTAGCAGGTTGCGTGGCCGCCCCGGCGCATTGGGCTGCAGGTTCCAGCTTAGCTTCAGCGCAATGGGTGTGACGGAGAGGCGACTGCTTGGCACTTGGCGTCATGGCTTGTGCTGCGCCACAGTCCAAGGGACGCCCACAAGACGCCCACTTGCCTCTCACATGCCTCTGCAAGGCGCTGTGACCTCTAAAGTCCCCGGTACCGCCGCTACACCGCTGTGGCGCACCTCAACTCCCGTGTGGCTGTGCAGGTGGCCTCTGGCTCTTTATCCTCCAGTCCTCTCACCAGACCAGACAAAACCAGGTGGCGATATAGAATCGAAAAGATTTGCAGATCCCATTTCTCTTCCCAACAAAATCCCCAGAACCAGAAATCACAAAGCGAAATCTCAAGCTTGTGCAATCCCACGTTGGGCGTTGGGCCGAGGCCTCGACAGACCTACACAGCCACTGCCAATGCGCTGAGACCTTGTCCGTGGCTTGCGCCCGCGTATTCCGTACAGCCAAGTCCCAAACCACCCGTAATTTGGACACTGCAAGAATCTGGCTGCCTGGAGCAAGACGTCGTTTCTTCAAATACATCACTGGCTTTTGGAAGCAGGCGGATCCAAATCTTCGGGTACGCGTGGACAGTCCTACGTGGCACTCATCAAACGCGTAATTCTTGTTTACTCTGGACGGACGTGCTGGTGCCTGTTTGTGAAGATACGTAGTCGACGTTTCTCCCAGCTTTAGTGGCAAACAGGCGAATTCCCAATGTGCAGTGATGTGCATGAATCAACACACCGAAGTCAGTGATTGGGTGTAGCCATCCTTATCTTCCCCGGAGCCCATCCATTATACTTCCCTAGCTCTCCCCGCGGCTCGCAGTTCATTCCATTATACCATCCTCCAAGTCTAGGGTAGCTGCCTGGACAATGGTGCCCATGCCCACGCTCTCGTCTCTCAGCTAAACCCAAACAACTAACGTACCCAACCTACCTTGCCATTAAATATAACTTGATGAATATACTGATAATGATCATTAAGGAATAAATACTAAGACAAAGGTTTATTAAATGTTGTTTTCTAGACTGCTGTATTAAGTACATTGTTCACACTTTTTTTCGAGATTGGAACATGTTCTTGTTGAGCAAATAGCAATGCTCCGTCTCTCATACAATTTGTCAGGTATTTATTGGTCCTATGGACTGTCCCCTGAGGTACCTAGAAAGTGGCGTCTCTCTGGTTAAATCTGCTGTTAGATGTAGAGTTTAGAAACAGCATTGCGAACCCCAACAAAGGGCAGTATCGTGAGAATCAGTTGGCCTCGGCGGTCGTTAAGGTAGTTAAATCGGGACAAAATTAATTTGGGATTATCTTACTAATAGTATAGGGCTGAAGGCCCTGGTTTTTATGGCCCTTTGTCTGTTTCTCGAATGAAAGATGCGAGTTAGCGTGTGCAATTCGCAACTGCATCGAGCCATGCTACCGGATGAGTAGAGGGGCTAAATGGTAGCGACCTTGATCGAGTTCCGCGCTATTTTTCGGCTGCACGTTGTCCCGTCTTGTTTTTATTTCGTAGCCCGGCCTGAGTCCGTAGAACATTAGTATTCGAATACTAAAGGGGAAGAGAAAGATTACTGGTTTGTGGATTTGCAGGGAAGTCTTAGGTCATCGGGAATTTGGAGGAATTCTTCTGTGTATATATGAATTGGGTCAGTCACTGGAATGACTAAATGATGGGATAAAAAATAATATTGCGATATGGAATATCCGAGGGCACAAAAGACAGGCGTTTGTGGACAGAATGGGTATAATGCGGATAAATTAGGTAGGAGAAATAAGGATGATTTCGATAAAGTGATGCTTGTAGTTTCCTGCTGGTCAAGTTTCAGTACATGAGGATTGCGCGAAATGTGCAAAGGTCTGATTAAATGCCACGAATTGTAGTAAAATAGAAATGAAGTTTCCATAGGCCACCATAAGTTTGGGTGCATGGTGATGTAAATAAAATGTGGTTTTGTCTCAACAGTAGTGGGCCAAGCTATGAGCCTTGAGCCGTGAGGTTTTCGTGGGACGTGTGACTCGAGCGGTGGACGCGAGCTTGTTTCCTTGCGGTGTTTAAGTGATGGGCCGAGGCTAAGTCTTTGGTTTGAGGTTGTTCCTGAGCCCAGTTGAGTGTCAATCTAAGCTCTCGAGACGTACTCATGCTCATTCGACCCCGTCCCCGGCACGATAAGTGTGGCAAGGCTTGCATGCCATGTATCCCGAATCTTTCTTGTGGTCTTTGCGGTATCACCAGCACGTTTTATCTTTCTACTTGTTCTGATCACAATTCGAATTGCAACATCCTTGCGTTGCCAGTGGTGGACATTGTGTGAACATTTCCCATTCACTACGATGTTTGACAAAGGGGGGTGGCATCTCCTGCATCTATAATACGCTGCGTCCCGGGTGGGTTTGCTCGAGGATTATGCACACACTACCTAGTTTACTCTAGTAGTCAGGGGTGAAAACCTGGCAACTTTCAATACCAAGTGGTTTGAGCAAAAGGGGTTTATAGACCCGTGGTCCCTTGCATTGGGAAGTGTCGAAACGGCTGCCTCTGAGTAATGTGCGTCCCAACTGTAGAGTAAAGCAAGATTCTCATCGTAACGTCATGATTATCTCCAGAACCATGATATCCCTTGTGCCAAAAATAAATCCAAATTCGTAAACCCCTAGTTTAGCTAAGCAAACACAGCAATCACCCATAATATCAGTGACTAGACAGTATTTCGGACTTGACTACAATGTAAAGCAACATGAACAATCGAGTTGCCTTTCCAGCTCATAATGGCTTCCCTATAGACGTCAGCTCAGAAAGACACAATCGAGGTCGGCCTGGCCCATTTCAACTCGGACATCGCAGAGCCTCAGATCCACTTCACTGCAGATCTCCCGCTTGCACCGGCGTGGGGAATGTGGGTACGAATGTTAGACAAACGCACCTTCGAATAGCATCACAATTCACCCGTAAAATTCCAAGCTATAGAAGGACATCGATGGTCCCCTCAAGACAGGGCTTTCGCTGCTCTTAGCCAGCCCTAATTCCGCATTCCCAGACCCTCCGCCCAGAACATCTCACATGAGTGTGCGTCCCACACCGACTCATACCTTTTTGGCCATCTCCAGCCATGGCACCCATCTTTGGCATTTCAGGACGTTCGTGTTCTGCCGTGCAAGAGGCCGCACTACGTAATTCTAATAGAGCATCACCATGTGCACACACAAATACACTCCCCGGTCCTGCAGATGATTCTTCAACTAATGCCTGCAGTCTCGACGCTGTTTGTCCTGTTATCCTGCCTCGGTCTATTCTTCACCGTCCCACTCTAACATAACCCCAGTGTTGTACGAGCGTTGATCCGGAATACCTCTTCTCTGGGATGTCACTACGGACCTCCTAGTACGAACTAAAGTCAGCCACGATTTCACATCTCAACCGACGATTTAAGATGCTTCACAAACGAAAGGGCAATGATGCGACCCTCTTCACTGTACCTGATACCTCGACAACTGAAAAGCATCCGCGAGTCCCCCTTGCCTGTGAATCGGACCGCACCGCTAGGGAGAAGTGCGACGGTAAACGTCCTCACTGAGGAACCTGTTCTCGTGTGCAAATAGCAATACTCTTTAACATTGCTGCCACAACCGCCGAAGCTTGTCATCATAGAACTTTTAGCAACCGTTGCGTTAAGTTTGAGGCTATCAAACTGCCTCTTACAAGTAAGGTTGCTCTGGGGTAGAATTTAAAACTGGTTTTACGACAAGTAACCAGGAAGCGGTCAACTGTCACTCAATAATTAGATAAAATAGCCGACTGGCGAGGCGTGGCTGGGCCCTCCAGGAAGTGTGGTCACCGAGTGCACTGCACTATTCGCGCGATCGGATGTATTGAGAATGTGAATATTACACAAAGGTAAGAGACTCATCCAATTCTCCCAAGAACGAATGCGTTGATACGGGGGGTATAGCGGTAAAGTTCGTCTCTGATACGCTAGCGTTGCCAGCATTTTTACACCAAGGGATTTACCAAGAAGGTCTGCGGATCCAATATCTTGCCTCTATCAAGATGGGAATTCGGTGGGCACTGTTGATAGAATGACATATAATATTTGCAGCTTTTATATTAAGAAAGGCGGTTTGGTTTACGAAGAGGCTGATGAAGCGCGGTTGCTTATCATCAGGTAGAGGTTGGACTTGGCGGTCGTCAATCCAACGACCTTCCAGTTCCCAAAGTCAAGAAGATTGCTCGGAAAGGGCGGCGAGAAAGTTTATTCAATTAGTATTGGAACTTTCTCTTCGACTTTTTGACTTTCTTTCCCCCTCTGACTGAGACAGGTTCCGTGGAGTGCTAGAGGTTGGTGAAAGGTGAAAGTATTCCGGGCGATAGGTAGGGGCTAGGGGAATATGATCAATGTTAGTTTCAAAATCTAATATCAAAACAGGCTTCATGGTCTAGTGGTATGATTCGTGCTTTGGGATTCCAGCTCAACTGCACGAGGCCCCGGGTTCGAGCCCCGGTGGAGCCCTTGATTGTTTCTTTTTATATTTTTATCAGATTATTCTAAGTTACCCTCTTTCTTTTTGTTGTTCTGTATGCATCATCCATCTGCTATCGTGTTTGCTTTGGGTACATGATCCACAATCTCTTGCCCTGCGAGAAACTCCGGTTTCTGTTAACCCAGCAATCCCAGGAACCGCTGAGCATGTCTCATCTTCTCCAGCGATGTCAAAAGCCGGACTACGTTCATTTGCATCCGTTCTTGACATTCAGTACATGATCAAGAGAATCTCTTGAGGCACAGCCGTCCCTGTACCCCAGCAAGAGTTTTTGTCGCTGAGTGGCAGTGTATTCAGGAATACCGGGCGTTGCTTACAGAAACAAGCGAAAGGTGCACGAAACAAGATCTACCACACCACTCCTGCCACCAACGAAGATCAAGTAACGGAACAAACAAGAATAAGGAACAATTGTGAGCAAAAGTGATAGCCGCATGGATCCGCATCCTCTCGTACTAGAAACGCTCGCATCCACCGCGGCCCGTTGCCGTTGAAGTCCGCTAAGTTTGGTACGTGCCCCACCTGCGCCAAACCTCCACCACCACCATCACCAGTACCAAAAAAGCACCGCGCACCACCACCACCAACACGCACAGCAAAAAGATTACTTTCTCCGAGAAATAAAAACAAAAAGAAATGCCCCCAGGCGGAATTGAACCGCCGACCTTTGCATGCCTTGCAGGTCATACAAGTGCAACGCTCTACCCCTAAGCTATAAGGGCTTCTGTGCTGATTTGTCATCTAGATTGGCTTTAAGTAGTCAACTGAGCGGGGTGGCCCATTCACTGTGTAGGTGAGGGATCGAATCTGCATTGGGAATATGATTTCTTTTCTTTGGCTTGTCATGATCTTGGGTCTAAGTACTGCGAGTGTCTCTTGTAATCCATGACCTCAACCAGTCTTGTTTTATGGTGATCCGCCTACGGCAAGAAGGTGATCAGACTTATAGGATGTCGCAACAATTGATCTGCGTTGCTCCAGTTCATGACGCACGTTATCCAGACGGTTAGTTCAACCCTCTCAAACTCATAGTAGCCGCAACTGAATCATGGATCACATAGTATCGAAAATACGTAAACGTGTATAGTTCGTTTCATTACAAGTCATAAGCGGAATTATCTTGTCATCTAACGGCTCCGTGTCGTGTCTGGCTACCTCTAACCCATCTCCGGGTCTTTACCCTACACTCCCCGCCCCCACACGGAGCGTCCCCGCGTCATCCTTCCGGACGCGTCTTCGTCTCCGACAACCCAACTCACTCGCCAACAGCAAAGGGAAAAAAATACATCCGTTAACGCCTGCAGTGCTCTATATGCGGAATGTACACCATGTAATGAACGGCCCATGCAAAGTGAGATGCGGTCAGATCCAAGGTCCAGGCAGTGCCGCCGGCTTAGGCTACCGCCATCTCAATGTTCTTCCCCTTGACGCTCTTCCACTCGGTAAAGGCCGCGCCAATAATCGTTGCTGACGCCGTGGCTGCTCCCACCAGGAAGGCCACGTTGAGCGCGTCGTTGTACGCCCGGATGACGTCGGGCAGCCACTCGGCGCGGATGGCATCGCGGATGTTGGTTGCGCCCGCGGCTATCACCACGGCCGGATCCAGGTCCGGGACGTACTCGTGGATCTTCTCAATGAGCGTGTTGGTGAAGATGGTCTGGCCGGCCGTCACACATAGTGCACCGCCCAGTGTCTGCACGAAGATGATCATGGCCGTGCCGGTGGGAACGTCGGCCATGTCGCACACTACCTGCACTGCGACGAGCGGCTGCTGCATGCCAATACCAACGCCGACACCTGCCAGGAGTTGGTAGCCAATCCAGCCAGCGGTGGGAGTGTCCACCTTGAGCGTGCAGATGAGTCCGTAGCCGATGGCCATGAAGATGGAACCGCCAATCATGAAGGGCGTGTAGTATCCCCAGTAGGTGACGATGGCGCCAGCAACCATGGAGAAGATGACTACGCCCAGCAGCATGGGCAGGTTGTTCACTCCAGACTGGATGGCCGAGGAGCCCTTGACAGCTTGGAACCAGATGGGCAAAAAGTACACCGCGGTGAGGAAGCAGGCGCCGGTGTTGAAGGAAAAGAAACACGACGCCCAGACCGAGCGCTTCTTGAAGATGCGTGGGGGCACCGTTGCGTTTTCACCCATGCGGTACTGCACGTAGAGGAACAGGAGTATCAGCACAGCCGCCAGCATGAACAGCGACGTGATCTTCGAGTTGCTCCACGCATAGTCGACACCGCCCCACTGCAGAGCGAGCAGCAGGCAGATGATGGCCGGCATGAAGATGGCAGTGCCGATGGGGTCGAGCTGCCACGCGCGGACGCGCCACGGCGCAGGCTCAATATGTCGCTCCGGATCAGAGAAGTAGACGGCAATCACGACCATGGTGATGACGCCGATGGGCAGGTTGATGTAGAAGCACCAGCGCCACGAGGCCCGGTCCGTGAGGAAACCTCCGAGCAGCGGGCCGGCGACGGACGAGATGCCCCACATGCCACTGACGAGGCCGGTATACACGGGTCTCTTGTGCAGAGGGACCGTGTAGGCGAGGATGGTCAGGGCACCGGCAAAGATGCCCGCGGAACCCACTCCAGCAACGGCTCGGCCGATGATGAGGGTGACGCTGTCTCCTGCAACACCGCAGATGAGACTTCCCACCTCAAAGATGGCAACGGTGGCGAGGAACGTCCACTTGATGGTCCAGAAGGTGTAGATCTTGCCGAACAACAGCTGGAGAGAGGCACCCGTGAGCATGTATGCGGAGCCATACCAACCGACATCGTTGAGGCTGTGGAACTCGTCGGTGATTTTGGGAATTGCCGTGGCAATGATAGAGTTGTCTGTCATTGGTGTTAGTGGTGAGAGTTGATGCGGGCTGGGACTACTAACCAAGAGCCATGACAAACACAGCCAGACAAAGGGCCAATGTGATGAGAGCCAGTTTCATGCCAGTGGGATACACGATATCATCGTCACTGTGTCTTGAACTTGTGGCGGAGTCGTCGTTGATCCCCTGTGTGAGCTTCTCAGTGCTTTCCGTCTTGGTCGCCGTCCTAGGCGCCGTGCGTGGCCGTGCGTCATCATAACGGAGCGAGTAACGGAGTGACCCGAAGACAGGATAGTCTCTGGGGTTCCTGGGTGGCTGGTGGTAGTCCTCATGCTCGATGGACCGAGTAGAGAAGTTACTTTCGGCGATGGATACCGGCCGGGCGAGATCCTCTTCCGACGAGAGCCAGGCGTTGGCATTGCGAGCCAAGGCGGCCGTCTCGCGGTCAAAGTGGAAGTGCTGCGACGACGCCATGAGAGACGAGTGCAGAGTATCTTTTGGGAGGCGGACACTTAGACGAGATCTATCCAGTGCGGCCGTTGAGTAGTCGGGGGGTGACATGATAGCAGCCATCTTGATGATGTCTCAATGGGACTTGACTTGGGAGGCTTGATGAGGGCACGATATCTGGCAGTTGGGACCCGAGATGGGCACTTATAATGTCTGGGACCCGAGACGATCTCGTGTTACAAACTGGCGGACTCATTGGTAAGACTGGTGAGACTGCAGACCTGGGCGACACACAAGGTCAGCCTCCGAGGCCGAAGTCGCGGGTTCCATGGCCTACCGGCCAGCCTCCGCCGGTGGAAGGGTGCGAATGCGAAGGGTCTACGGCCACCCTCCGCACCACGCCTCACTCGAGTAGCCACAGTGGGGATCACGTCTTGCTCGCAGCCCCAGTTTAGAGTGATGACGGCCAGTTCTGCTGCGCGGTGCCAAGCGTGCATGGTGGATCTGCGCTCGCAGGTCGCCATCTGATGGCTAAAACGGGCCATGCTGTAAGCGTGGAGAAGCGGCCTCTTGCGGCTCCCCGACGGACTCTTGGACGAGACCGAGAGTTTCGGCCTGCCAAGTGGAGGAGGATTGCCACTGCTTATCAGTAGGTGCGCGATGGGCTGGTGTATCCCATTGTCCAAGGCCAGGCCATTGTGGTAACAAGAAGCGGGATCCGGAGGCCGGGATGCGGGCAGATGAACCTGATGGCGAGCAAAGCAGAATCTGGTCTAATTGATGCCGTCGTAATTGTGCCGCGGGGGCATCCAATAGTGTAGCAAGCGGTGGGTGCACTCGAGTCTAGCTGTCTGACCGGCGATGGACGGTGAGAGACCGAGAGCCGGAGGTTGAGACTGGGCGTATCCGCGCCTCGCAACTTCGCGCCTCGCGCTTCGGGCACCGAGAGAATATGCAGGTGGACCGATGTGTGTTGTACATTACGCTACACCATTGGATTTCATCCTCATCACATGACTCATTATTGGTGTGTTTCATATTCACAGTCTTGTCTCAGGTCGTCCCAAGTACTCCATACATCCTGCACATCTTAATCTGCGTCTCTCCTCTCCTTCATTCATCCACTTGAAGATCATTTCTTCAGAATTCCCACATCACCCAATATTTCGCCCATGTAAAAGCAATTCGTATTCTTCGTAATTAACGGAGCTATTGATGACATAATTTCTTGGCTCCCCGAGCTCGGAAGTTCGTTGGGGATTTGCGTCCATTTCTACGCGGAGACCTGCCCTGGCGGAGCCGGAGCCGGGCTCGGAGAGTCACTGACTAAGCCGGCTCTCCACCAAACTCCGTCTCACTGTACAGTGTCCTCTATCTATAATCGTGTGGCACGTCATTTTCAATCAATCCACGAATATCTAAGGATGACATTTATTATTGGGTTGACCCATCTTGACTTGAGTCCCTCTCGAGTGGTGGAAGGCCTCATAAAGAGACTAGCTAATGATAAACCTCACGCATGCTGCGCCAACATCTCAATCCCAACATGCTCTGGGGAATTAAAGACCAACCAAATTCTATTTTAATCAAGCGATTTAGTCTTGAGTCGTTTTCTAGCCTTTGCCCCTCCTGCGCCAGGTGTCTAAGGATGGACATGAAATGATGGATAAGACGAGTGAATCGACACCAAAAAATACAGTAGTACACCATCCGACATTATCCACACTCTTCCGCAATTAATACTGATGCTTGAATCCGAAATAACCTCCCCCAAGCTCTTGATTGGCCTTAACGGGCTGTGGGACTGCCCTCCGCAAATGGTGTGAGCCTGATACGAGGGCTGGCGCGCCGGGGTTCATCATCCTCTTCAATAGTCTTTGCAGATCCTGGGGTAAAGTGTCGAACCCGCTTGTTTCCCTTATCAGAAGGGCCGTGTGCAACCTCCATGATATTCTCTTGACCTGACAAATTGGCCAGATTAGCTCCGAACTTGCTCATCGAGGGAGTTCGCTGGTTGACGTCGGAGTAAGTCAGATTTTTGGGACTCTTCGTCTGCGACCCAGCCAGAGAGATCGGGATGATACCACTGGATGGAATATACGACTGTTGAGACCAACGTCGTTCTTGATGGTTCTGCGCAGTAGTCGAGCTCAAAGGAAGCGTCGATGGAGTGAGTCTGCGCGTACGGGTTTCCTTGCGAGATCGGGGCTCAGCAATTGGAGTGTGCATGTTTGGAGTCTGGCGCTGGTAGGGAGTCGTCTGATTAAGCAGTGAGTTTGTCAACGAGTTGGCTAGATCAGTGGGAATACCACCATCGTGTGTGATGATTGGGAAAGGGACCCCTACAATCGTTAGCATGCTGCCATTAATAGATCGGGGTGGCAAACCCTCTGATTCATACACCCCCCTTCCTTCAGTTGGTGTATTAGATGGGACCTTCGGACTAGAGTTAACGTCATCCTCAGGCTGAAAGGATGCCACTGTGAATGGTGCGTCCCCAGAAGTGGATGTTTGGCCCCCGTGGGTGGAGGTGTAATCCGGCATGCTGATGTCGGTGCTGGTCTTTCTGGACCTGCGAGACTTCGAAGTAGTGGGGATGAATGGGGGAGCGATGTCGTTCATGCCCATGTTTGCGCTCGCAAGCCACTCAAAGTAGGCATTGGAGTCTTCGAATAGACTGGGGCCTCCCAAATTGTGAGACTCCTCCAGGGGATAGGCAGGCGGGCCTGGAGTTCTGGACCCACAGTTGGCAGAAATCTCGGACATGATTCCCTGGATCATGGGCATAGCATTCGCTGCTGGGAGTCCTTCTAATCCAGGAGGTCGGCGTCTCGGGGAGTGTGCGTGGGACTTGGCGTCATCTGATGGGTAGGTAGGAACCGTGGAGGCAGTGAATGGAGCTCGACCCCACATGGCGGGATTTGGCCAAGCAATAGATGAGCTCTCAAGAACATCTAAAACGGAAGACATGATGCGTTAGTTGACCGATGCAAATTCTCGGAGAACACACAAGGTGATGCATCTGTACCTAGGGGGGCATGCTGGAAAGAAAAGGCAACGATGTTCTTGACCCGCTCGATGGGCAAGGACAAAGAGTCGCGCGGGAACCCTTCGCTGATGACAAGCTTGATTCTGCCGAGGTCATCGGCAGGACTCCAGTAGTTCTGTTGGAGGAGTTCCTGTTGAAAGACGGGGAATTTAAGAGTCTGCAGTTCGCCGTTCTTGGAAAAATCTATTGCAATGTTAGAACACTCGCCCGTAAAAATGCAGTGATCGTGCCAATCTTACCGAAGCTGTGAGCGATGACATGTGGCCAATCGCTCTTCCGATCGAGGGCCGTGGACCTAGAAGAGTACTGTCAGACTGACTAGGAAACGCGGACAGTTAGAGAGCCAAGGTCGTACGCAACGAGACGGCCGTCGACGAAGAGCCTGGCTTCAAATTTGACACTCTCAGGGTATTCCGAGTACGACTTCGCAAATTGGCTGATTGCTGGGATGGTCCACGAATGAATAGAGATCTGGAATGGTGTGCCAGGTGCCAGACTAGGAACAAAACAGCAGAGCGTCGGGACGCCAAAAGAGCCGTGAGTTTGAGAGAACTCTGTCCAGATCAGTTAGACCTGGTAATACAAGGACTGCCTGCGAGCACAAAGGGATTGAATGTTGGCTCACCGAGATCGTGAACAACGTGGCAGGCCACCTTGAACTCTTTCATGGGGACCGAGCAGCCCCGAGGAAAGAGGAGGATGTCCCAGTCTTCATACCGCATATTGACTGACGCGTGCTGAGATAGTGACCTGGCAAAGAAACAACCGAAGTGATGAGATGGTAGAGAGAGTGGATGCACACTGAAACGACTGGAGAGAGTTGACAGGAGAAATAGAAGAGTGTCACCAGGCTGTCGCTGTTGATGCTGCAGAGAAGTTAACACCTGACATAGCGAGAATAAATGGCATCTGCCATGGTGTCTGAGGCAGCAGCAATGCGCAGGACTCCGCAATCGGACTCGCCTTGTTTCGGTAGGTAGGTATTGGTAGTCCGGGTGACGGTAATAGTGACGATGTAGTGGTTGAAGAAGAGGGAATGAGGCAAGAGGCTGACTTCTCCAGAGCTTCCAGGGCGAGCTGACCCCATCGAGATATAGCCACTCAGAACACAGCTCAACCGAGAATAGTGCTCCTTCCTCCGAACATTCGCCAGGCATAAATGGCCACAGCCAATGGCGACATTTGGAGGGGGTTGTGCGGAAGGAGAAAGAGTCCGTCAAGGTTCATTGGTAGCCACTATTCTGTAGGGGCTTTTAGAAGCCGGGGAACAAGGCTAATTGGGTAGGTACCTTAGGCATGACATTCTGTTTGAACCGCCTTGGGGAGGCAGTTGGATTTGGAAGTAATGGTGGATGGCTGTGCGCTAGACTCACTGGCTGGCGCTCGGCCAATTCACGATGAACAATATAGAATTCACTACAGATGCCTAGAAATGTGAAGCATACCTGTTGGTGGGTGAAAATTGTCACAAGGGTAGGGAAACCATGTACCAGCTGAGAGACAATGCGCACATATGGGTTGCCTTTGCCAGCATCTAACGAGCACATCTCTCGGTCATGTTTATCAGTCCACTCAAAATCCATTGAATCCTTCCATTCTTTAGTTATGTACAAATGAGAATTCCCTGCTCAAGGGTCCTCATCACCCTCCATGCGAGCCTGTACACGATTTTGTTAGCATGTGCTCGACGGCGCGGCCACGAATCACCTACCCTCACAGCTCCAGGGCCACCCAGCTCTCGCTGCAGACCATTCTCAAACTCTCGGGGGTAAGCCACCATATCGGGGTAGTTGAGGTACACGACGCCGGTGACGCTGAGGAAGACAGCAATGAAGGTGCCAACCATGATCAGGCCGGGGCCGGGGGTGGTCCAGGTGTACTCCCAGGGGGAGAAGATGCCCAGCAAATCGTTATCCTCGTGAATGGGCTCGCCAAAGTTTCGTCGCTCTTGGGGATCCCACCAGTTGCCGTGGGGGTCACGGAACTGGCGCTTGATTGCGGGCGGGTTGATGTAGCCACCGTTCTGCGATATTATCCATCAGCACTGCGGCTCTTTCCCTCTACCATCGGATAACTAACCATGCCGGGATCCTCGGCGTCGCTCAGCTGGACAGGCTCGGGGTACTTCTCGTCGATCGTCTTCTTGTCGGTGTACGAGTGAGGGAGGAAACATCGGCGCTGGATTGTCGGCAGTCGTCGAGCAGCCAGCACGCCGTTGCGCAGGGCCGAGGCCCGTACGATTCGTTGAGGGAGCATCTGTGAAGGTAGCGAAAGTCAGTTCCATCAATTGACCATGTCTCAATGAGTCCGAAGCGACGCACCTCGGGCGAGTGGACAGTGGTGCCGACGCCCAATTGCTCTGTGACGTGATGTGATGGCTCTTCGTCGAAGCTTTAGCCAATCGAGGCCGTGATGATTCTCAACCGAAAGTTGGCGCCTCAGGCAGTAACGGTGGCACGCCAGGCGCGTGCGCGCCTCTTTTCGGTTAGTCGAGTCCGGCCGGGCTCAGGGCGTGCATCCCTCGCCTCCCCAGCTCAAAAGTTTTGCTGACGACAAGGAATTTTGCGACGAAATCCGACGCAGCTCGCCCTCCAGGCCTCTGATCATGTGCAGACTTTGTATGAGAATCCGCTGAAGCGCTACGATTCCGTAGACATTAATTTCGCCCCCGCAAATGATAGCTTCGCAGAGACCTCGCCTGCTGCGTCTCCTGGCTCCACGTTGCTACTATGCCTGAGACCGCGTCGCCCGACAACGTGCTGCCTTCCTCGAACTCCGATGCCCCTAAGCTCGAAGATGACGCGCCGCTGCTGCGATCAGACGGCCATGACGCGTTGAATGGGACAACAAATGGCGCTGACGGCGCTGGGGAAGCCGAGCGAGAAACGACGCCCAAGACTAACGGCCACGTCCACGACTCTCCGAATGGCCACACCCCCGACGATGAGCCACCAGCCAAGCGACGCCGCACTCGAGATACGACCCCTCCGGGCTCTGCAAAAAAGATAAAACCCGAGTCACCACCATGGAAAAGGATTGCCGCCGAGGGTCCTACCTCCTTTACGCAGAACGGTCGGCGCAAATCTGGCCGCATCAACACTCTCCCCGTCGAGCTCGCACCTCCAAGCAGAAAGCGGGTGACAAGACGATCTATCAACGGAAACGGCCCCAGTCCGGCGAAGCCTGAAGCTCAGGTGCCTAATGGAAACTCGAAGAAGCTGCCGAATGGCTCGCACAAGTCTACTTCCGCCACCAAAACCACACAAACGAAAACCACCTCCACTCCCACCCCGAAGACCGCATCGAAGAAGCCTGCTCCAGAACCTCGAACTAATTCCCGATCTACCCGCCGAAGAAGCTCACCTCCTCCCCCACCGACCCGACATTCGATCCGGTCCCGACGATCGGCGCGATTCAGCGATGTGGCTGATGCGGAGGACGAGAAACCCAAAGACTCCAAATATGATGCTACGACTCGTTCACCGCGAATAAAACTAAGAGTTGGCCGATCTGGTGATATCCCTCTCGTGCATCCCGACCAGGTTCGCAAAAAGCCAAAGATTGGGACGAGCTTCGAAGATTTCTGGTCTCGCGCAGGCGACATTCCTGTCGAGGATGGAGGGTTACTCGCATCCGAAGATGGCCCCCAATACACCGATGAGATGGCACAGAAAGATGCCAGAATGATACTTCGGATCGAGGATGAGGTGGAAGCTGGAGGCCTTCTCTCCCAAGAGAGATGCTCAGTCTTTTTACCCGAAGCAGAGGAGGAGCCTCCACGGCAGTGGGCTCGCCAGGATCACTTGACCAAGGCTGTGACTAACTTCCGGAAACTCATGGTCGCAGAGCAGCAGCGTCACCGATTGACTGCTAAGAAGGTCGCGGAAGCATGTCGCGACGAATGGATCCGGCGGCAACCAAAGTCGGCCGAACAACTCGAAATCGAAGCAAGAGAAATGTGGTCGATCCGATACCGGACAGTCGTGAAGACCATCTTCGGTACCTGGGAAAACGTGCGATTGGAAGTCAATCGTCGGCGTATGGAAGAGTGGGAGCAGGAGGAGCAAAGAAGAGTCAAGGCAGCCCTTAACGAGGCTGTTCATCTCTCCGAGCAGAAACTTCAGGCTCGACAAGCAGAACTGGGCTCAGAACAGCTGTCTGACGAAGACGATGGCTTTGACGACCTCACCGATGATGCCAGCTTGGCTGACGACGACGACGACGACGGACTGGGACTCGCATCGAACGAGGATGACGGCGACGACGAAGAGGATGAAGACAGCGATGTCATGTCTTTGGACGATGATGATGACGTCGACGAAGATGATGATGAACAAAAAGACTCCGTGGATGAGAATTTGACTCAAGACCAGCTGCGAGCCAAGTATGCCAACATACCGGAGTTGGAAAAAGCACCGGAGGACATCGACACGCCAGCAAACGAGACCGGCCGGGAAGATACAGATGCAGTTGAAGCCACCGAGGATCCAGAGACGAGCGACGAGTCTGTTGACATGGACGACGATATGGAATCCACCGATATGGATAGCGACCACGGTAACGAAGGTTCCGGCGATGATGAGTCTGAAGGAGAATCTGAAGACGGTGCCGGCGGTTTGCTGGGAATGTTCTTCGGAAAATCAGAGCTCAAACAGATGAACGAGGAAGCGGCAGCGGAAACCCCTGGCGCTCTTGGCGAAGACACAGAGATGGCTGATGTTGATCCGGATGTTACTCTCCTCTCCAATGGCGCTGACGACGATGAGGTTTCGCTGGTCCGCCATCCTGACTCGGTGAATGGTGACATGGTACAAAGCGGCCATGGTAGCCCTGAGGAGGTGAAGGACGAAGAGCCTACAGGTACTACAGAATCACCCAACGACGCTCCGGCCCAAGACAATGGAAACGATCAACCACCTTCAGCCGAAGTTGTTGAGGATGCTACCACAACTCCGACACCAGATACCCCCGCGCTAGATACCTCCACGCTAGACGCCTCCGCACCAGACGTCTCCGCAGCAGTTGCTACTGGGCCGGAGACCGCGCCAGAGACCACCGTACCGGATGCTACTGTACCGGATGCTGCCGCGCCAGATGCTACTGCGCCAGATGCTGTGGCGCTAGATACCTCCGTGCTCGATGTTTCCACCACCGATACCAAGGACGAGGATACCTCCATGACCGGAATCGATGACCAACCCAAAGAGGACCGTGCTGCCCAACCCATACCCTTTGCAACATCTGAGAAATTCCAAGCGACGAAGAGTGACCCGGTCACCAACCCACCGAGCTCGGACGATAGCCTGTCGCCGCCTCCCACCGCGGAAACCAAGCTCTCCGACTTTGATACCCCGTCTGATACAGGGATGGCCATTGACAAACCCGAAGCGAGTAGGTCTGCTTCACCACAGTCATCAAGACACAAGACCGAAGTCCCGTTCCTTCTTCGTGGCACTCTGCGAGAATACCAGCGTGACGGGCTGGACTGGTTGGCCGGACTCTACGCAAACAACACCAACGGCATCCTGGCGGACGAGATGGGTCTCGGAAAGACCATCCAAACCATCGCTCTGCTGGCGCACTTGGCTTGCACCCATGAAGTATGGGGACCGCATTTAGTTATCGTCCCTACCAGTGTTATGCTTAACTGGGAAATGGAGTTCAAGAAGTGGTGTCCTGGGTTCAAGATCTTGGCCTACTACGGTTCGCAGGAAGAACGGAAGAGAAAGCGCCAAGGTTGGAACAACGACGATGTTTGGAACGTTTGCATCACATCGTATCAGCTCGTACTGCAGGACCAACAGGTGTTCAAACGACGACGCTGGCATTACATGATTCTCGATGAAGCCCATAACATCAAGAACTTCAAATCTCAGCGGTGGCAAACTCTTCTCGGATTCAACACTCACTCTCGACTGTTACTTACTGGAACTCCTCTTCAAAACAACCTGACAGAACTTTGGTCTCTACTGTTCTTCCTCATGCCGGCCGAGAATGGAGTGGGAGGATTTGCCGACTTGCAAGAGTTCCACGATTGGTTCCACAAACCAGAGTCTCAGATTCTAGAGAGTGGCAGAGAGCAGATGGATGATGAAGCGCGAGCAATCATTTCTAAGCTCCACAAAGTCCTTCGACCATATCTGCTTCGACGACTGAAGGCCGACGTTGAGAAGCAGATGCCTGGCAAGTACGAGCACGTGGAATTTTGCCGACTCTCAAAACGCCAACGTGAGCTCTATGATGGGTTCCTGGGTCGAAATGATACCAAAGCAACTTTGGCGTCTGGAAACTACCTCTCCATCATTAATTGTTTGATGCAACTTCGAAAAGTCTGCAACCACCCCGACCTGTTTGTCGACCGACCGATCATGACCTCCTTCCGGATGCAAAAGTCCGTCGCTTCAGAATATGACGTGATTGACCAGACGGTTCGAAGATCACTGCTTGCGCTGAAGCCCATGAGCACGGTCGACTTGGGATTCCTCAACCTCATTCCAGCAAAGTATGAGCATCTATCTACAGCCAAGACCGACCGTATCGCTCAGTTGAGTTCCCACAGAGCTTTAATGGATCTTCGAGAGACCCAAAAGGTTCGTGCCCAACAGGCATATATGCATCTAGACCCGGCCACGATCGAATCGAATATTGCCTATCTTGAGAGTGCAGCGCGCTGGGGCCGCTTTGAAGAGCTGCAACATTGTGTCTACCTAAACGCTCTTCGCCGACAACAAAAACCTATCTATGGCAAGAACGTGGTGGAGCTTCTCACTCTTGGCACCGACAAGAGACCCTACAAGCCACGGCCAAAGGTACCCCGACAAATCATGGCTTGGTTTGAAGAGGAGTCGCCACTCATCCAGTCTATGATACCCACCATCGACCAACGCGCCGACAGCTACAAGACGCTCATTGAGAAGTTTTCGTGCGTGACTCCAGCTGTTGTGACTCGTGACTTGGAACAATTTGTTCTCGGTCGCCAGGGGGTGGAGGCGTTTACCGATCAAGATCTCAAGTTGTCTGCGCCTGTCCGATGGGCTCCTTTCTTGCCCAAGGCTTCTCCGCCTGACCCTTGGCACGAAGCTCGGATGCGGCTGAGCATCCAGTTCCCCGACAAGCGACTGTTGCAATACGACTGTGGAAAGCTTCAAATTCTCGACAAGCTTCTGCGAAAGCTCCAGACTGGTGGGCATCGTGCCCTCATCTTTACACAGATGACCAAGGTTCTGGACGTTTTGGAACGATTTCTGAATATTCACGGACACAAGTACCTCCGATTGGACGGTGCTACCAAGGTCGAACAACGACAAATCCTGACCGACCGATTCAACCATGACCCGCGAATCCTTTGCTTCATCTTATCGACGCGTTCTGGCGGTCTCGGAATCAACCTTACTGGTGCCGACACGGTCATTTTCTACGACCAGGATTGGAACCCTGCGATGGATAAGCAGTGCCAAGATCGATGCCATCGTATCGGACAGACTCGCGATGTGCACATCTATCGACTCATTAGCGAACACACTATCGAGGCCAATATCCTGCGGAAGGCATCTCAGAAGCAGATGCTGGATGACGTGGTGATCCAGGAGGGTGAATTCACAACCGACCACTTCAATAAGGTTTCTATCAGGGATGTCTTGGGTGACAAGGTTGACTCGACAAGCGAGGGCGTTAACGCCGCAGACGCCGCTTTGGATCGAGTGCTTGGCGGCCCCAGTAGCAATTCTGATCGGACGGTCGGTCGCGTACTTGAGCAGGCTGAAGACCGCGAGGATGTGACGGCTGCGCGCATGGCAGAGAAGGAAATCCAAGCCGATGACGAGGATTTCACAGAGAAGCCCAGCAACAATGCCTCTGGCACCTCGACGGCCCGCCAAGGAACACCAGCCAGCAAGTCTGTCTTGGAAGGAGGCCTGGATGAACCAGATGTCATCCTTGCCGAGGAGCAAGAAATGGAGTACAACGCATGGGGTGATCGGATGCAAAACGTCGACGATTACATGCTCCGTATCATGGCGGAGCAGCTCAAGGGCACCAAGCTGGAACTGCCCAAAGACAAGAAAAAGGGGAAGAAAAAGGGCAAAGACACACGCAAGAGATGATTAACGGCTACCCCAGGGAGCCACTGTATACAAGGTTAATAATGGCGACGGTCGCGTGGCAGCTGTTCGCGACATTTGTACACTAGCACTGGGTATGGGCGAGGCGAAGTCCATGCGAAAAAAAAGGTAAATGATAGAAATGGCGGGTGTAACGGGCATTGGGTTTAGTAGATGCATTGGGGTTACGACGGAAGGCTTTCAAGACAATGCTTGTCAATTCATATACATAAATACTATTGCATACACCGGGCTTCCAGCCACGCTTTTCGCAACTTGACTGACGAGATCAGGCAAGTCGCATGTCCAAAAGGGCGCGGGAATTGTATTCCCTCACCGTTATCCTGAAAGTTGAGCAGATGTTTTCACACTACTGAGAAGTGAAGTAGGCATGTTAGGCCTTGCGTGGGCTGGACGTCCCGGTGTAAGTGAGTTGAAGAAAATGGTGATGAAGAATGATACTCGATAACAATACTGCCACGGAGGTCCTTAGGCAAGCCAAAGAAAGGAATATGAAACGCCTGACAAAGACAAAGGTTAGGATGAGTGGCAGAAGCAGAGAGGGAGTCGGCTTGACGTACTCAGTTGAGCGAATCGACGATACCACGGGCAACGGTGCGCATGGCCGTAACGTCTCGCTTGGCCTTCCAGCAAGACTGTCCAGGGCGCATGCACCAGGGCTCGGGGCCAGCATCGCGCTTCCAGCATGACTGACCGGGTCGCATGCACCAGGGCTGGGCGTCGCGCTTGGAGAAGTAGGCCGGGTCGAAGGGCTTGTTGTCGATGTCCTCGTCGTCATCGCCAACCGCCTCAAGAACGGCTTCGGCAGCACGCTTCGCCTTCCAGCACGACTGGCCGGGCCGCATGCACCATCTCTTGTCTTCGGTGACGGCGTCGGCGTCGGCGCTGGCGTCGCGCTTGGCCTTCCAGCACGACTGGCCGGGGCGCATGCACCACGGCGCCGGGAGGGCCTCGCGCTTCTCCTTGTCGTCGCTGTCGGGGTGGAACTCCTTGTCGAGGCCGAGCCCGAAGTAGTACGCCTCGGGGTCGAAGCCCGAGATGGCCGCGAGGTTGGCCAGCTCGTTGACGGCGCGCTTGGCCGAGAAGGCAGCGCCGCCCGCGAGGTTGCTGAGGTCGGCCGCGGCGTCACGGGCCTGGAGACCGCCGGAGGAGCGGATGGCCTCGCTGAAGGCTTCGGCCGCGCGCTTGGCCTTCCAGCAGGACTGGCCGGGACGCATGCACCATGGCTCAGGGGCGGCCTCGGGGGCGGGGGCAGCGAGGACGCTGGTGGCCATGATGGCGATGGTGGCGAGGGTGAACTTCATCTTGGTGTCTGGGCGGGTTGGTGTAAGTTGAGTCTGGTTGAAGCGGGTATTGGAACGGGAGAGGGCCGCGGTGAGAGTTGGAACGGGATCCTGTCTTGGGATAATGATGGTGATAATGATGTACTTGAAGCTCTTCTTGTGATGTTGGGATGAGACTGGAGAAGAAGATGAAATAGAAGGGGATTCATGGCCGGATTTATAGGAGAAAGCATCAATAGTCATTCAGGCAAGTAGTTGCGTTCAGGGGACTGTTCAGACCCTGCGGCCATCGTCTGTTGAGCAGCCGGCTATTCAGTCTATTGATGCCAGTGGGGTCAATAACGACGCCCACCTGAGAGCTCGGCAAACGCTGCTCAAAGCGACCTGCCTGCACGAGGGCCTCATTTCACACCCATCTCGTGAGATATGATGAAAGGAAATTATGAACATGGTCGAAGTAGTGTGGCATCTCGAACCTTGGCCGGCAAGTGTGGTGGTCCGGCGCGGCTTATTGAATCGGACAAGGCTAAGGGGAGCTAGGACGGGGAGAATACGCCTGAGCAGCGATAGTGTGAAAAACGGAGATGTCGGCATGTGGTGCTTCTCTTCTGGGCGAGTTGCTAGGCCCGGCCAGGCTTGAAGCGCAGACGAGAGCATTCCAGGTGTCGAGCAAACAGGTTGTCTGCGAGCCGGTGTCTCCAAGCCTGCAACCAAGATCAGAGAATAACCTCGCATAGTTTGGTCCATTCCCGTCTGTCAAAGCGAGCGGTGGGCCGTGAGTGGCCGTGGTTGCGTGGTTGGCTATTGAGGCTCTATTGAGGCTCTATTGAACCCCAAAAGGGGAAAGGGATTGGCTCGCAGCCACAACCGTTTGAAAGCAAAACTAGCTGAGGCCAAACTCATGTGACACTGCTCAAAGACTGATCATGTCCAAAGAACCTAACCGCATCTGAAGGCACTGGGCTTGATCTCTGCGATCGAGCAAGCTTTCCCGCTGGCCATCGATGTGCCGGAGCATTTCTCCCCCGCCGGGCCTATCCGGAGCCATGATTGCCAGTTTGGGACTGAGCGTGGCTTTTCGCATGTTTTCTTGGCCGCCGAAACATGCATATGCCAGTTAAACTATGCTCTGAGGTTGGTGATCCAGTGGTGAGCCTCCTCCGAGCGTCACCGGATGTCGTTCCGCTCGCGTCGCTTTGGCCACTTCACGAACTGGGGGCTATACGGACCGGGCCATGTCCATGTCAGCAACTAAAAGACCTGTCATATCGAGGAGAGAGATCAGCGTGTGTTTTCACCGTCGAGAGTCACAAGCCAAGGATGCACCTGAGCTGAACATGGCCCCCACCGTTCGTCGCTTCATCGACGCTACTGCACGAAGCCGCCTCTGCATCAACCGAAGCTGAAACTCAGGAGAGAGTGAGTCTGAATAGACACTAACGCCCCACCATCGCAATTCACATACGGACCAGCACCAATCATGTACACGTTGTCAAGGTGTCGATGTACGGTGCATGGTTGCGATGAAGCTCTGTGCCGTGTTCGGCCTGTCGGATTGGATCCTGGTCGACACCGCCGTCACCGTCTCAATGACCATCCTTGACATGGCTTGAGTCGGTTCAGCCCTTGCGTCGAGAGGCTGGGAATAGGAGACCGGCTCAGGTGACATCCGCAGCCACGACTGGGTGCCGAGAAGAAGTAAGGGGATTGACTGGTCCTGAATGATACCGGGCAATTGTGTATGGTCAGTGTTCAAATGTGCAATTTGAGTCGTGGGCCATGGAGTGTCTGTCAGGTGCGTCCCCCCTTGTGCTTGGGATGGCGGCTGTTGGCTCAACCCTCCCAGCATCACGAAAGACGATTCAATTTGTCATACAGATATCATTTACAATAAAATTGAACGATACTAAGGGGGCATGTGCGTTCCGCGTCCAGCCCTCAGTTACGCTCGGGGATCCCAGTCCGTGTCAATCTCCTCCAGCAGCCCCTTGATGCCCAAGTTCTTGGACCCCAAGATATCCTCGAGGCTAATCAGCTTGAAGCTCGCGGCGTTGCTGGTCGACCCGTTCGGCAGCTGGTTTGCGTCGTCGTGCACAACCACCAGACCGTACGGGAAATCCTCGTTCAGGGCTACGCCGACGGCCGCAAGCCCGTCCGTGTTGCTAACGGCGTCGATTTTGCCGTCCGCCGATTCGGTGACGGTGAAGGTCGTCACGTACGCGTGGGGAGATGCTCGGCGGTAGACGTTGTACGCGCTGACGCCCTGGCAGGACACGAGGATGAATCCTTGGTCGGGCTTGGGTCCGACGACCAAGGTGACGCCCTCGACATCGCCGTAGATCTGGCCATCACCGACCTTGGCGACCAAAACACCCTCGTCTGCGGAATCCGGCTCCGCGCCATATCTCCAGAGCGCAGACGGCTCCTCTCCGATGAAGATCCAGCCGTTCTCCTCGTCCGTGACACACCCCTCGACCTGTCCGCCGCTCCCTCCGGTGAAGTCCCTCAGGAGGGTCGTCTGGAGCTCGCCGTCGGAAGTGGACGTCAACTCATACTGGAGGTACCGGGCGGACTTTTCGTTGACGAAGAGATATTGCTTTCCGGTGCCGGGAGAGCGGTAGGTGCACGAGCCGTAGACGCTGAAGTCGTCCACGACGGGGTGGCTTCCGCCGGCGATGTTGACCAGGGTGCCGTTGGACTGCATTTCAAAGAGGCAGAGCGTGTCGTCCTCTCGGCAGGCGGCAAATGCCAGATCGACGGTGCGGTCGCCGGCTTTGAAGCCGTAGATCATGTCGACGTTGTTGGGCTCGCCGGCAGCGAACGACTGGACGAGGTTCCCGGCCAGGTCAAACACTCCCAGCCCAGCCGCGTCTCCGGACTTCATGGTGGCGACGATGCGGGAATCCTCGCGAGAAACCGGCGAGATCCAAATCGCAGGATCGTCTCCGTCGCCGGGTCTGGCCTCAGTCTCAAAGGTAGGCTCCACGAGGAGGAACGAGCAGTGCAGACCGCCCCATCCCTTCTTGCATTTGCACTCGTTCGGGCCAACACACTTCCCGCGGCCGGAGCAGTCGTCCGTGCAAGTGAACTTGGTGCACTGCTTTCCAGCGAATCCTGAGAAGCAGTCGCACTTCTGCTGCTTGTCCTTGAGGCAGTATCCGCTCGCGGAGCAGGTGTTGCAGATCGGGTCCTTGGAGGTTTCCTTCTCCTTTCGCGGGTTGAACGCCGTGTTCGCCTTGATTCCAACCTCGCTTAGAATATCGGCCAGAGAAGTGACGCCGAAGCCCTTGCCCGCGTCTGTCTCGATCGCATAGGTCAACACGCCCGCGGCGTACTTGGAAGTGGCCGCCTGGTACACGTTGAGGCCTGAAATCTCAATGTCTTCCAGTCCAGTCAGGGTCAGGGTGGCCACGAGTGTGAACTTCTTGTCGTAGATGGCGACCTTGTCCTCCTGGGCCACAAAGAGGTAGTCGGAGTCCTTCTTGCCGGAAACGTAGACGGCCACGCCAGTCACATCGTCGGCGGCCTCGCCGAACTTGGTGATTTCAGGTGACTCGGTGCTCTCCTTTAGCGAGAACACGTAGACATCCTTGTCGTCATCCACTGACATGTACATGCGTGACTGCGACCGTGACACAGCGCATCCAGAAACCTCGAATGACGTGTCAAATGTTTGGATCTGTACGATTAGCAATATTCCCACGTCGAGGGCGACATTCTTACCTCGACGATTTCAACCGACTTCTTGGTCTCGCGCACAAGCAGCTGCACAGCCTGCTTCTTCCCGAAGAGGTAGAGATAGTCGTTGCCGGCCTGGCTCTTCCACGAGCAGAGCGCCGACCAGTCACCGAGCGCCTTGAAGTCGGCATCTTTGATGTGCTTGAGCTTGGGCGCCTCGAAGAGCCGGATGACGGAATCGGGCTGCGCAATTGTCGCGACCAGATCCTTCTCGCCGACGCCATGCACCGTGGTGACGAGCTTGGTTCGTCCAGTCACCTCGGAAGACACCTGCGACAGCGACTCGGAATTGAGGTCGAAGACACGGAAGCCGCCTGTGTCTGGGTCTCCGTCGTTTCCGATCAGGAGGGGCTTCTTGCTGGAGTAGTAGACGGCCGTAAAGTCGGACTCAACCTCGGACGTGATGGCGGTGACGTTGACATCCAGCTCCACGACGGCGCCGACGAACCACGCCTGGAAGGCAATTGCCAGGAGGCTGACCACGCTGGAAGCCACCATGATTGCAATGCAAACACTCCGCGTGTGAAAAGGGGAGTTGGTTGAGGATGCGCGGACACTTGTCCTGGCGGACGGCCCTGAGTTATAGGCCATTCTCGCACCACCGCGTGCAACACTCCCTGTCTCCGCCGCCACTACAACCGCCTGTCCTTGTCGCCGCTCAGCATAAATGTCTCGTGGCGCGCGGACCCTGTTCAATTGGATGTCGAGCAGGAAGGAGCGGAGATATTGCTCAAAGCGGCGGGCGTGGGCGAGGAAATGAGGGTATTGCACCTTTGTTTACGCGGAGAGCCAAGGACGGAGTTCTGTTTCGATTCGAGCCGGCTCGGCCCTCGATCCGGCACGGACTCGTGGGAAAAAAGGACGATTCCATTGGGCCACAGCGACAATCTGCTTGTTTAGCGACCGGCGGCCCTTGTGTTTGTCCGCTAATGCTTGTCGCTTCGGTCATCGCATTGGGGAACTCGTCAGCGATGCCCCGGAGGATTGCGCGTGGCGGCATCCACAATTCAAGTCTAAAAAGAACCTAAAGTGGACTTGTTTCGACCTAGGATGCAGTCGGGTCGAACGTAGAATTGTAGAATTGTCTAGCAACGTCATCTCGGTGTGTTTTTGGACTTAGCACACTGGCTCTTCAGCCTTTGAGATTCACAGTGAGCAACACGTGGACGACTTGCGGATCTCTCTATGTCCCACAGCCCATTCAGACTGTTCCTCTATTCTTAGACACCCAAGTTTCATCCAGTGCCGGAAAGCAAACGGCGATCCACCTTCTTCGGCTGGTACAGGGTAGTCGAGCATTATGCCGTCTCCTCATATTGTTTCGTGAAACCAATCTAGGCTGTGCCCAATCTCCCCAAAGGCTGGTTTCAGACCGTTTTAGTGTGGTTGGCCATATTAGAGCGCATCCACCTCGGCTGATCGTCCCGTTCCGCAGCCCCTGATAGTCTACATGGTAGCCATCAAGCCATCACTAAATGTCAAGCCATTGCCCGAGTGTAAACTTTAAAAAGAGTCTAATATGTGGTCGTCTGACCGTCTCACACCAGAGGCGTTTTTAGTTATCCATCGGCCGAGTCGCTGATGTGCTTCCCGAGTCAGACGTAGCTCACTCCACTAGGCACACAGACACAGCAGAACAACACGGCTTAGATGTGGGTGAAATGTCAAACCCACACAATTCCGATTAAACTCTGTATATAGGAAATGGGTATAGTAGCTGTGCCATGACGGTGTCCATCGAAATATTAAACGCCCCTTGTCCTTTCAGAACCCCCGCGACGCTAGATGGAGCTCCGACGACGACTTTGACAAGTCCCCCCGGTCAAACGGCTTTGCTCGTCCAATCGTCGAGCTGGCTGATGACTTCCTGCCCATGCTTTCTCCTTCATCTGCCTGTCTATCTTCTCGATGAACGACAATTTCCGTCGTCATCATCACCCCGTCGTCCCGAGTCGGCGCCCTGTGTGCTTGGTCCGCCGACGAACCTTCCTCGCCTCCCATGGCATATGCCTGGTACGAGACGTCGCCGACGGGCTTCGCTGCGGCGTCGTTGATGTAGGTATCCAACGCGATTCCGGTCCTGTTGTTCGTATATTGATTTCGGCTTCGTGGACCGGAGCTGTTGTCCTTGTTTCCTGTCGTCATCTCCACTAGGCGGTTTAGGATGGTGAACTCGAGCTTCAACTTGACGCTGTAGACGAGGGCCTTGTATGAGGTCTGGTACTGGTACTGATCGGCGTACTCGAGTCCGAGGATGGTGACGTCGAGGAGAATGATGACGAAGTTGACAAAGATGAGGTGGTTCATCAGGCGACGGCTCGCCTTGCCGTTGCCCATGGTCCGCTCGAGTTTCATTAGTTTAACGGTTTCGATAATGTAAAAGCTCGAAATGATAATCTCCTGAATAAAGAAAATCGTGACCTGGATCTTTTCCATGATGGAGTATGGCTGATACCAGAGGTTGGGGTTGTTGGAAAAGGAGCCATAAATCATAGGGATGATGGCGCCGTGGCACACGAAGCCATCGATGATGATCATCCAGAGAATCATCTTTAGTCGTAGTCGGTTGCGCAGTACCAAATGAAGGCGAGACCACAGCACCAACGACTGGCCCGTAACCATTGCAATCCAGCCGCCCGCAATCAACGTCGCGGCCAAGTAGCCTAGAGACGCCGGGGCAAAGTACTTGATGAGAAAGCCGGCACAATAAAACGGAATCCCCCAGGAGGCACCCAGAAATGACCAAAAGTAGAGACCAGCATGGCGCTTGAAGGTGCCCCAGATGATAAAGGTGAGCTCGATGACATTGTACATGGCGAGCGTCAGAAACACAATGATGATGTAGATGGCGACCTGGGAGTAGCCCTCCGTCCCCGAGCCGAAGTTGCCCGACATGGCGGCGGAGATGGAAGGGACTTGACGGTTTGGTGTTTCAACCGATCGAAGGAGTGGCTGGCCCAAGACGAGGGCCTGCAAGTGACGGCAGATGTCGAAGAACTGGAGAAAAAGCAACGGGCGTATACAACGCAAGAGGGCGTCCGAGGCATATGTACGACCGTTGTGGCCGTCCCGTCATCCTTCTCCTCATTGCACGGTCCCTGAGCGCCACCTACCTTTGCATGGTCCGTATTTACACCGACCGCGTCACCGACGCAAGTCCAGAGTACCATCAAGTTGGTTTCGAGATCGGCCGCCGTTCAAGTAGGCAATACGTGGGGTAGATGCCCTAACACGACGGACTGGTCTGCTGGCCTGCTGGCAAGCCACACTTAGCGGATGCCGAGCACCCGGTTTAGACTGGGCCCGGGGATGTCTCGGTCAGGATGCAGCCCGCTGCTGACTACGTAGTAGATGGCCGTCGGCTTCGGTATGGGGTTTGACATCAAACGGGCGGCTTGGTGTGGCTCACACGCAATGCGTAAAGCCTCCCGCCGGGCACGAGTCAGTCTCCGCCTCGCACCCCGGACTGGAGAATGTAACCAGGGGAAAGGCCTGTGCTGCCAGCCAATGTGAAGAGATTTGCTGCTGTCGATCCCGTCTCGGAGGCGAATGGGAAGATCCATGCAACCCTCCTCTGCGCGTACTTTTGGGAGCATGAAGGCGTGGGCTAGATGCCCGCGACTCAGCGGGGGGCGCGGCCTCTCCATCCGAGACGCTCAGCCAAGACCGCTAGGAAGACTGTGCTCGGGAATAGGGTTTGGCTAGCTTGTGTGTACGCTGGACAATGGGATTGTAAATGGTGACATCAACAATGGCAAAGTGAACATGTGTCTGTGGCGGGCCCGAGTCAAGTCGAGTCCAGCACGAGGTCGCATGCAGGCTTCACCGCGACAAGGTGCTTCTTTTTGCTTCTTTCTGGATCCGGTCCCTGGCGATCGAATTTGACATTTTCCACGCGTTCTAGAAGGTCATTGTTTTTGTCACGCAGGCATCAGCGTGTGTCCCGTGTAAATGACTACAACACCAACACGAGCCTGGCTGTACCAGTAACACCGCGCCAACAGCGTCAATCTCCAGCCCGATCCCACGACGCATCACTACCACCTGACCCAGGCTCTCTCATCATAGCAATGCCTGTTCTCGGTGGACATTCCCATGCTCTTCTCACCCAACGGATCGGCGAGAGCTGGACGCTAGCAGGACTTAGCTGACAGCTATAGACGCCACGCACGACGCCTATTTGCGGGATGCCCTGTTCCATGTCTGCGGCGGAAATCCAGGATCCCCGGCGATCGAAATGCGAGACTGGGGCGATGCCTTCCCCGCAGTTTTAGTGCGTTTTGGTGACAGTCTCTGTCGAAGCGAAACTGGCGTGGCTTGCGAAGGGTTGTCGCATTTGCATCAGATGCTTCCCAAAGTCTGGGGTTGAACCGCAATGCGAACTTGGTGAAAACCGATTCATTAATGCTTGGAGATTTTACTACATTTCGAGGATGTGATATAATAATCACGCATTGTGGAACAGAGCCATCCTCCTAAATCTTGTGTACGATGAGATGCGGAGAGACCATGACCATGCACATCACACATGCAGATCCTTACGGAGGACACCCAGGATAATGACTACGACAAAGACCGTCGGCCGCCACAGTTCTACATCACTATCACAGGGCAGATTGTGCCGGCGTGTTTGACCCTGACCCGGAATCTTACTATACTTGATCCTTACTTATTGATCTTCCAACCCACCGTTGAAAGCTAGGACATCCCAGAACTGGGCCTCGCTCGGGATACGATGGCCTTAAAGGGGAATGTCTGCGGATCTAGCAAGTTGATCTCCCCGTTCCATGCCGGGCCGATCAATGCGCTTGTTCCGGCCGTCAAAGCGCAGGACTCTGGTCGGGATCGACTTGTTCTGGCTTGTTGTTCCGTTGGGAACAAAGATCATCCCTGCAGCTGGATCGTGCGGTCAGTTTGATGATGATATCTTGGAGCGATACATATCTGACAAAAGTTCAAGGCTTGTGCCTGACTTAGCATCGGCTCGTGCGCTGATGCGTGGGCTAACGTGGGCGAGCTGGTTCGGATCCGAAGTCAGATGCATAAGTTAGACCATTGCGAGACAAACTGTTGGACACTTGCACGTTTAGTCTCGCATGCAGGTTTGTCACCAAGTGATTGTATCCATTCTACAAGAGAACAGATCTATTTATTTTCTGACCAGACCGATGGAATGGAAACCTATGTGCTGTTTATTTGTCTGATGACTGATAACTTTCATAAACAGACTAAGTTGTGATTCATCATGCAAGCGAAGGTGATTGCCCCATATTCACAAACGAATACGTGCCTAAATATACAACACTCGCACAAACAGCACTTGGCGGAAAGAGGTTTGCGAATTTGATTTAGCTATTTGTTTCACCGCGTCTTGTTGAAATGTTTGACTCCATGCGGCTGGCAGACGAGCTGGTTTGTTCAACAATATAATATCGGACCATGCGAACATCCGTGGAGCACAACATGGACAGTCCCGGTGATACAAAAACAGTGGATGTAGGGTATTTTGGAAAATGCACATAAAGCAGGAGGTTGAAGCAGGCTGGTTTTGAGACCAACAACAACAACCTCACACCTCTCCTCCCTTGGACCGGACCTCTCGCAACCCACAACAACCACTCTACCACTGTCACCAACCATGGACTTCTCTCAGTTGCCGGACATGACGTTTGGCGTCGAGCTGGAGTTCATGTCCCCATGCCCCCCGACCAGACACCTTTGGGTGCGAAGAGGAGTAACCGCTGCAGCAAGAATGAATGTCGCCCAGCAGATGGTGGAGCTCACTCCGCTCCCTATTGCCTGCGCATGCACCCACGCAGACCACGAGACCTGCGCCATCTGTGATGGGACCGAGGACGAGATGCACGGCCGAATCCGCATTCTCTCTCCTGAATACATCGACCTGAGACCAGGCACGCAGCTGGAGTCAAACTACTTCCTCTTCAAGCACGAATTTCTCGAAGGTCGATCGTTCGTTAACAGTGACAGGAACTGGCCCGGGGTTGAGATCGCCTCACCCATCTTCCAAGTCGGTGAGTTCAGCGCCGGACTGCCCACTCTGAGCACCGCCATCTCGGCGCTTCGCAACATGGAAGCGGAAATCACCGCCGACGAGTCCTGCGGTCTGCACGTCCACGTCGGCCTCGAGAGCGGAATGTCGCTTCTTCTCGCCAAGAAGATCACGACGCTCGTCATGGTTCTCGAGGACACGCTGCTCTTCGACCTTGTCGGCACCTCGCGACTGACCAACGAAAGTACCGATGCCATCCACCTTGAGTCTCTCGTGTCCAAGGAACACATCCCACCTCTTGACTTTGCGGAAGATCCCACCGGAAGTGACAAGCTGATGGGCGCTCACATCCCGCCGCTCGAGGCTATCAAGCCCGAAACGTGGAACGAGGGCGACCCGGAGAAGTTCTATGACATGCTGACCAAGATCTGGTCAAGCAAGTCGCTCCAGCGCGTCTCCATGCTCACCAAGAAGGAGACCAACACCCGGGGAGGCTTTGACATTTCGCTTCGTGACCACACAGGCTTGTCCCGATCTCCTGGCTGCGACGGGACGCTCGAGCTAGGCCCGACGACTGTCGAGTTTCGATACGCGCAGATGAGCTTTGACATTCCCTTCATCCGCAACTGGATTGAGGTCCTCTTCCGGATTATCCAGATTGCGGACCAGAACCCTGATGACTTCAAGCAGTCCCTTGCTACCATCTTCGAGTTGACCGCGAAAGCCACCGAGGAGCAAAAGCCTACATGGGATACCATCATGGAAAGTGTCCTCGGCCTGGGAGACCGCATCCCAGAGTGGAAGGAACAGAGACGCATGTACCACATGTGGAAGGAGATTTCGCATCTTGACGAGAACATGCTCCTGCTGCCCGAGGTGTCCGAGGATGGAGATGTGTTCATGGGGTAATACGTCTGTGAGGGCAATATTTCCGTGACTGACCAAACACCGTCTGCTAGTTGGACTTTGTATAAGCCCGCATAGAATTACTAATGAAGTGACGAGGGGCATGCAGTGTTTAGTATGCGATAGAGATAGACGACCCGTACTGGGAAGATAGACCAAACATGTGTTTTATACCTGAAACGGAACTCTGGGCTTTTATTACACGTGATTTAACCAAAGTGAAAGTGACGCTTGACCTCATTGCTATGAGAGGCTGTATCCAAGAGCAAGCGCAAAACAACGCTATCCCAAGGCCGAATCCCCGAGCCAAGGCCGGACATGGACCCACCCCGGTGCGGAGTGGGGCCGGATGGAGGAGAGCTCGTTGAAGAAGACGGCCAGTTTCGAGAGAGAAGTAAGGGATGGTAGCCAGATGGCTCAAGTTCAATTAAAGACGGCTTCGACAATCTCATACAACAGCAACTTCCAACTCAACCCTCCATTCTTAACCCGACCCCCGTGACACTCCATCCCTCTCCCTGTCTCTATCCTTATCATCCCCCGTCGTCCTCAGCCCCAGCTGCTGCTGCTGCTGCTGCTGCTGCTGTTGTTGATGCTGCGGCCCGGGGGCCTGCCAGCTCGTGCTCGGCGGCGCACACGTCTCGGCGCACTTGACGCAGGCCAGGTCGCTCTTCTTGTAGCTGCCCTTGATGATGCGCTTCTCGTCGAAGGCGTACCGCGGGCAGTGCATGGTCGGCTGGGCGCCGCGCCCGTACAGCCGGCGCTGGTAGTCGCACGCGGCGCCCAGGTCGTCGATGGCGTAGAACATGTCGACGTGGTGGAAGACTTCGCCGCCGACGACGGCCCGCCCCAGCGCCATCTGCGGGCACGCCGCGCCCTTGGCGCACGAGCACACGACCTGCTGGAACGAGTACGTGCACATGGCTTCTTCTTCTTCTTCTTTCGCGGGGGGGGAGTGTTTCGGTCCGGAGGTTGGTGGTGTTGTTCGCGTCGTGCGGCGGGGGAAGTGCGTGTTGGGTCGTTTCGCTCACGTCGGCCGGCCGTATATCTAGGCAAGATATATCTAGGCAAGACTGCCTGGTCACTGACTTGCGCCTGGTCTCTCGTCGTGCGGGCTTCGCTGTGTCGTCTCTCCCGTTGCTGGCGGCGTCGTAACAGAGACCCTCCGCGACACCTCTCTCGCTGGCTCGCACACAAGGTCAGACGCTCGGAAACGCAGCCCAGGCAGTGTATAAGACGCGCCGCGCCTCACCAGAAAAACCAAAGTGCCGGCGTTACACGGGTCGTGCCTCACGGTGCGAGCATCCCGTCCCCCATCTCCGAGGCTGACCCGCAGAGCCTTTCTCCAGGCTTCGAGATGACGGGGGGGCGGGGGGGCGCCGCGGGTTTTGTTTGCGTCGCTTCTGTGGCATCCCGCGCGTTGTCTTCCGCCCGCGCACAATGCGGCCGCCCGCGAGACGGAGCCGGCACTAGAGGTACGAGCGAGGACGGCGACACAGTGGGTTTCGGTCCGAGGCTGCGTGGAGCCGTACGAAATAGATTGAGTGTTGGCGAGGGAGCAAACGTGTACCGTCTTGGCGGGAGGGCGTTGGTCTCATGGCTGGTCTCATGGCGCGCAACACCACGTTCGACCATCGTCAACGTTCCCATCGGCAGACACAACCCGACTTACACGCTCACCTGCTCCTCCCACGACGATGCCACATGCCACACCGAGACCAAGCACGGTCCAAGCCGCGGTCCAGCTTCCCCAGATTTCCTCTCGCACCCCTGTCTTCGCTCCCCCTGTCGACTCTCCAGGTTCCCCTCCCCGGCCCAGCCCTACTGATCGCTCTTGGCTGCGAATGACGCGATGCTGCAAGCGAAAGGGGACTTATGCGAAGGCTTTTATGGAGGGCATGCACTCATCTGGCGCAGTCCATCCCTGGTTGAGCCGGAGCGAGAGCCGGATCTAGAATGGTTGCGGAGGCGATGGCTGTGAGGTTACGGTTGTCGATGTGACTTTGATGCAGTCATCGAACGGAGGGTTCAGTTCCGGAGAGATGAAAGAAATGAGGAAACATGTGCAAATAAACCAACTATTTAAGAGCACGTTTGATCGCAATGTTTCTCGGGGTGCTAGGCTAGAGTCATCAAGTAGAGCAATCGATTGCAACTGGCAACTTACACCAAGTTATACTCAAACCTCAACTACACTTCTGCCACCGTCGCCATGCTCTTCTCCAAGCTCTTCGCCCTCGCCAGCCTAGCCACCACGGCCCTGGCCTCAGGTGCCAGCATCGTCGCCGCCATGGACACCATCTCGGCCACCACGACCGACCTCGACACCACCGTCGCGGGCTGGAACGGCAACATCTTCGGAACGGTTCCGATCGTCATCAAGTCGACGCAGCTGCTCATCGACATCGGCAACGGCACCCACACGGCCAAGGCGTCGGACGTGCTCTCCATCACCGAGGCGATCCAGGTTGCGGTGGCCACAAACGAGCTGGGGGCCGTTGTCGAGGCCGCCCTGGGCACCATCGTCGCGGCCAAGTCCAAGTTTGACAAGCTGCTCCTGAGCCCGGTCATCTTGCTCAACCTCCACCTGCAGAAGAAAGCCACACAGGACTTTTCCTCGGCTGTTATTGACAAGGTGCCTGAATCGTTGCAAGCCTTTGCCGAGACCCTTGTCCAGGGCATCATCGATGCCTTTGATGCGGCGATCGAGAAGTATGATTTGTGATCACAATAGCAAATGATATTCAGTTCACTTGAAGGGATTTGTGGAGGGTATAGATCTAGGCAAAGTAGTAACTATAGTCAAATCTGTCGTCGTGTTAAGACGCAACTGCAATGCAAGTTCACATGACGCGAGTATCTGACTTGGATTTCTTTATCAACTGCGAGCCCAGATGTACATATTTTAAGTGCCATTCCAATCCCATCGTATAAATGGAAGCAATTCGCCTTTTCAATTATTTTTGGGTACTTGGTTTATTTAATCCATCTGGTCCACCGTCTGAGCATCGCCATTTGATCCGCTAGACACACCGGCGACGTTCTTGTCGGCCTCGCTGACGGTGAAGCGCCAGTTGAAGGGGTCGTCGAGCTTGCCCAGCTGGATGCTCTGCAGGGTGGTGAGCAGCTTGGTGCAGATGGGACCGGCCTCCTCCTGGCTCGCGGGAATGTAGTTGACCACATCCTCCACCTCCTCGTGTCGGCGGGTGATGGAGCGGATGGGCACCAGGGCGGCGGCGGTGCCGGCGGCCATGACCTCGTGGAAGTCCTTGAGCTCGCGGTACTTGATGGGGCGCTTCTCGACCTTCCAGCCGAAGCTGCGGGCCAGGTCCTGGATGCTGGAGCTGGTGACGCTGTCGATGACGCACTTGGAGTCGGGCACGACGAGGGTGACGTCGTCGCCGCTCTTGAGGGCGCCGATGAAGCCGCTGGTGCTGAACTCGTCGACCTCCTCGTGGCGCGCGCTGTCCAGGTGCAGGGTGATGCCGAAGCCCTCCTCGCGGGCCTTGTCACTCCAGCGCAACACGGGGGCGTAGTTGCCGCCGACCTTTGCGTTGCCGGTGCCGTTGGGGGCGGCGCGGTCAAACTCCTCGAGGATCAGGGCCTTGACCGGGTGCGAGCCGTGGTAGACGCCCGTGGGGATGACGAAGACGCAGAAGGTGTACTCCTCGGGCGGCGACAGGCCCAGCTGGGCGCTGGAGCCGTAGATCTGCGGGCGGATGTACAGCGCGGCGCCCGTCTCGTGCGGCGGGACGAACTCGGCGTTGAGGGCCACGGCGGCGCGGCAGGCTTCGAGGAACATGTCGACGGGCACATGCGGCATCGACACGACCTCGGCCGAGTGCTGCATGCGCACGGCGTTGCGGTCGGGCCGGAAGATGGTGATGCTCGCGTCGCCAGGCGATCGGAACGCCTTGAGGCCCTCGTACGCCTGCTGGCCGTAGTTGAGCGCCGGCGCCATGCCGTGGATGCGCATGAAGGGGTCGGCGACGAAGCGGAGGGGCGTCCATTTCCCGGTGGACTTGGTGTACGTGGACTCGATATGGCCGTTGACTGCGGGAGAGAGAGATTAAGGGTTAGCGATGCGATGTCTGCGTCTTCGCGGAAAACGACTGCGGCGTCTTACCCTCGCGGATCTTGAAGCCCACGTTGGACCAGTCGATGGTGTTGACGGGGGGAGGAGGGAAAGAAGCCATGGTTGCGGGGGGGTTGCGGGGGGGTTGCGGAGGGGTAAAGGCGCAAGTATGGGACGAAGAACAGGCGGAATAGCAGTCAATTGAATCTCGACAGCGACGGTGAGTCTCAGAAAAGCAAGAGTTAAAGAGGAACAAAGAGACCTGACCGCAATATGAAGCTTTTCACGTTGAGTCAGCCCCAAACCAGATGCTGATGCCGCCGTCCCGCAGCCCCGCCGATGTCGCTCCACGCAGCTGCCGTGGTCCCCGCCGCGGGGTTCGTTCCCGCTTACCTCTGCATTATTCGCATCAAGGGCCCATGTCTTTTTGCTCGTCTAGCCTCGTCTAGCACTGAATGAGTTAAGTTGATTGCTATACGGAATACGGAGCTAAGCTGACGCTCCATATTCCACAGCTTCCCATTGGTTCTCGCGTCACGCCCGGATACGCTGTCGTTGAGGATTGGGTTTGACACTTGACGCGGTGATGTCATCATGGTCTCATCCTCCGTGGGATCTGATGTCTAAGCTATTTGTCTGCAAAATAGTTCCCCTATTTCTAGAAAAAGATGGCCATGCGTCTCTATAATATCCCGGGAATCTGGATATGTACCTGGCGGTACCTGACTTGTGCAGGAACAACACACACATGCACAAAATAAACACGGAAACACGGAACCACGGAAACACTACATCACAGCATCATAAGAAAAATCGGTGGGTTCCCCGAGGATGTTAATTAACCATCTATAAATGTCGACGTCTTGCTTAGCATTGATGCTTCATGCCTCGTCTTGTGTTATATCATTGTCGCTACCATAAAAAAATGCATTGCTAGAACTATGAAATCCCCCTTGTTCGCGTGGGCTTCGCCCTCCATCATGGAAAGCGCTCTTTTGTTTCTTGTCATCCCTTCCCATCTCGTCCGTCAGTCCGTCAGACTCAAATCCTTCATCAATAACACAGAAACGAATGTTAATAAACTCAAGTAAAAGGAAAAGTGGAGTGTCATGAGAGAAGAGGCACTCGTGAGAGTAGCGTACTTAGGAAATCCTTCCCAGTTCTGTTGTAGTCATCTCCCAGAGTATCCCCAGATCATCTGTCTCTCACAGATTCTGGGATAAAGATTGAATGGGACTACATCTTCTGTTGTGTCTTTTGTTTTGTCTTTTGTTGCGGAGTTTTCGCGAGTGATGATGAAACCCTTTTTGATATCCCGAAGCTTGCGCCCGCTGAACCAACGCCGGCGGCATAAAAGCAAGCCATGAGATAGAATGCAAAAAATCCAACATAGGCCTCTTGTCAGGCGATAGCGGCCAGTCGTTGGAGGCAAGTAAGAACTCCTGGAAATCACATGTTAGCTTCCATTATTGATCAGATGAGCACTTCCACTTACCACTAACGCCCTGTGTCAGAGTGGCTGTCGCCTCAGTGTTTCGGCTGCCAAGGCTGACTGTAACCACCTCCTTGACGGTGCCGTCCTCCTTAAGCCTGTTGGCCCACTTAAACACCTTCTCGTCCTCTCGCCCATCACCAACAACCATCATGAAGTCGACGGGTTCCTTGTGAGCGTCGTCGGGACCCAGATGCGATTTCAGGTTCTCAAACACCCTCCTCGCCGCCGTCCTCTTGGTCCAGTCGATAGGCTCGACGGCAATGGAGCCATCAAGCGGGATCGCATGGACGCGCTGCGCCTCGCACGCGTCGTTGACGTGGCTCGAGCAATCAGACGCCTGTCGTGATGCTGACTCGTAGTCTTCTGCGCTCTTATAGTGAAAGATGAGACTGCATCGACGCTCCTCAATCTCGGCTCCAGGAGTTCGCTCCAGGTAGTACGTCATGATGGGCTTCACTGACTCCTTCCAATCCTTGACTTTATTGAGATCCGCCATCTCAGTCCACTTGTCGCTGCCACTATCCTTGAGGAAGCAGCCATTCTCAGCAATGAGACCCAGGTTGGGCACACGCCGGAACACTCGATCGAGCTCTTCAGGACGGCGACCGGACATAACGTAGACGGTGTTGCGATCGTCAAGCAGCAGGTCGTTTAGGACATCCAGGGTCCGCTGAGGGCTGACGGGGATGATCTGGTTGACAGGACCCCAGCTTACAAGCGTTCCCTCGTAGTCGATAATGAAGAGCCGGCGTTGGGCCTGTTTGTAGCTGGCAGACAAGGACGGGATCGAGAGGCGAGGGACGGATGTCTGGTCACGCTTGTGTTGCTCCTCGTAGACGATATCAAGACGGGAAAGGAACTCGGAGACCCAATGGGAGCCGGTATGCTTGACCACACGGTCGTACAGCTTTCCCCATCGCTGCTCCTTCTCCTCTTCGCCCATCTCCAGGGCTTGCTTGATCGCATCGGCGCATTGACGATAATCCCAAGGATTGACCGACAGCTCGTTGCGGTTGAACAGGGACGATGTGCCGGTAAATTCGGACAGGATCAAAGAACCATGCTTCTTCTCAGGGAAAATCTTGCCATCCTGGCAAAAAAGGTACTCGTGGGAAGTCAGATTCATACCCTCGCGTTGGCTGGTGATCATGAGTGCATCGGCAATCGTCAACAGCGCAAGATATTGGGCATAATCGATATCCTGCTTCAGGTACACGACTGGCTGATACGCAAGGTTGGCCCATGATGAGTTGACACGAGTGACAATATCCGAGACGGTCGCCTCGAGGTCACTCTTTTCGCTTGAAGACAGGGCGACCTGGATCAAGACGGTGTTCTCGCGCCACTCGGGGTTCTTGTTGAGGAACAGCTCATATGAGAGCAGTTTCTGTCGCACACCACGAACGTGGTCCAGCTTGTCTCGAGCAACAATGAGCTTCTTGCCCTTGTAGCGGTCTTTCATAATCTGCAGCCACTTGGCCACCTCCTCGTCGGCGAGATGGTTGCGAAGGCTGACGGGATCAATGCCAATGGGCAAGTGGATGACGTCAACAAATCTGTCTTCCATCTGCAGACCATCGGGAGTCGCCTCAGCAGTGAGAAGGCGACTGCACGTCTGCAAGAAGTGGCGGGCATACTCGCGAATCTGGAAGCCAACCAGGTTGGCACCCAGCATACCCTCGAGGAGCTCCGTTCGTACAGCAAGACAGCGGAAGACCTCGGAGGAGGGGAACGCGACGTGAAGGAAGAAGCCAATCTTTGCATCAGGGAGCTTCTTGCGGATCATCCCAGGGACCAGCAGCAGGTGGTAGTCATGGATCCAGATGACGTCGCCACGCTTCCAGTCCTTGACGATGCGGTCGGCAAAGGCCTGGTTGACATTGACGTAGTACTTCCAAGAGTGATCCTCGTATGCCTTGCTCTTGGGGTTGTCGGGAATCTGGTAGTGGAAGACAGGCCACAGGATGTGCTTGCAGAAGTGGGCGTAGTGGCCGTCAAAGTCCTTGTCGGAGCAAAAGACTGTCAACATGTTGTGTTCGTTGGCGAGTGTATCCTCAATGTCTTGCCTCTGCTGTGTGCCATCGAGAGCATCGGTCGGCATGCCCAAAGTGCCCACCCAAGTATAATCACCCAGAGTGCCGTCGCGCGCGGCGGCCTCGGCAGCGTTACGCAGGCCGCCGTTGCCCTGGTCAGCGCTCACGACCCTCCAGTGCGCCGAGGCAAAGACGCGATCGTGACTCTCGCTCCTTACAAGAGACTTGGGCTGGATCACGCCCTGGCGACCCAGCTCGCGGGCCTTTTGCATCGTCCGGCTGTTTTCGGTGATTCCGGCTGGTGGCGGCGAGTTTGCGCGGGACATGGGCTGGTTCAAGCGGCTGCCCCAGGAACGGAGCTCCTCCTCGCCGGCCGAGCTGAAGACGCCCGGGAATTGTATGCGGAAGCCATCTTCGTTGGCGTAGGGGTTCGGCGAATCGGGCTCCTCGTCGGTGGGGGTGTGCGGCGGGGTGAGGTCTTCACGGTTCGCGAAGAGACTGGGCTGGCGGACGGGCGCTGTGGACGCCTTTGCGGGCTTGGAGATGGAGGTGGTGGTCTTGGGGCGGCGTTTTGAGGTGTCGACGCTTCGCGGAGGAGAGCCGGGAAGGGTGAAGTGGATGGTTTTGGGGAGGAAGCTATTGTCGCATTAGCAGCTGCCAAGCGTCGACAGGGCGGGCTTTTTAAGGTGACGCAATCCCAGTTGCAGACCTGGGCCCGAGGGCGCATGCAAGCGAGGCGCCAGAAAACAACGAGAGGAAAAGGCCAACGTACAGGGAACAGACAAAGACAGTCATTTTGACTACGGTGCCGTGGAATAGCTGCGTATAGGGCGTCTAGGGTGTAAGTGATTCCAGGCGCAAGGGATCAGGGGGTGGTCGGGGTGGGAATCGGGATGTTGGTGCAAGCTCTCGTATGGCAAGCTCATGTGTGAGGGAGATGGAATTCGCAGTTGGTATTGACGACTGAGTGTTGGGATTTTTGCCCGGGGGCTGGATGACAGGAGGAGGTTTTGACGGAAGCAATTTTGTTGTCGCAAAAGGAAAGCGCCTCTTTGTCGCAGATGGAATCAGCCGGCAGGGCAGGCTTCTGGTTGGAGCTTTGCTGGCGCAGCCAGATGCAACGTAAGACACACAGCCGAAGCGGCTGACGGGACCGGAAGGGGAATAGAGGGAGAAAGGTGAGGATGAGGATGAGAAGATGAAAAAGGCGAGAGAAGGAGGGAGAAAAAGGTCAACACGAGTGTTTCTGCCCAAATCTCCGAACGTCGCCGGATTGTCTCTGATCCACTGTGTCGTGCCGTGAGATTGATGTCAGGTGGTGCGACAAGCTTGCGCGACAGCTCACCTCAAGCTTGGGCAGCTCTCCGGCCGCAGCTCGACTCTGCTGCTCTGCTGGCGGCTTTTTGCGACGGCGGCGCAGCTGCGAGGCGAAACAGAGAGGCAGGGATAATAGAGAGAGGCAAGGAGTAGGGTTCGGGGGAAGAGACGAATTGCGCCCCGGGAGCACTGACGTAATGTGCCCTGAGTGGTGAGAGGTGGGTGAGGGATGGTTGGGAACGGGTAAAGCGCCGGAGGGCGGAGGGCTTTTAGGACCAGAGCGCGGATATACGCGTGGTATAAGTCAAGGGCATGGGGGGTAGAGGTAGAGGATGATGGTATAGGATAGGATAGGTAGATATAGGAAATAAGAGGGACGGCGAGCAATAACACGCGCAGATAGGAATGGAGGAGGAAAAACAGCCACAGGTCGTTGACGTCAAAGGAGAGAGTTCGGCTGCCAGGAGGAGGCTTTGGTCCGGGGCTGTTGAGCAAGAACAAGAGGAGGGGGAGGGGCAGAGAGAAGCTGGAGGAGGGGAAGCCACCGAGTATTAAACCATGACGAGAGAAAAAAAAAACCTGATGGGACATGGGGACATGGGACACGATGATGAGGTACGGTAGGTGGATTCCCTTTTCACGATGGGGCCAAGCTACGAGCCCACGAGCCCGCGAGCCATGAGCCTATGAGCCTACGATGCGCCGCGCCGCGAGGGAGCCAAGCAGTGCCAGGTCGGAGCCCACGGCCGAATGCGAGAGGAGGAGAAAGAGGAGCCGTGCTCTATTTTTTTTTGGTTCCATTCAGGTTGTTCCCTGCTTGCTTGGCTTGGCTTTGAGCCCTGCCGCGCTGGGTCCCCTCTGGGCTTTCGGGCCTCTTTTGGAGGAGGGGGTGGCCCCGCGACAGCCCTTGGGCGTTGGAAACGCCCTGAGTTGCGTTGGATTTAGCGCTGAGGCTAAAGGCGGGCCAGCCGGGCCTCCTCTGGGGTGGTAGGATGGGGTACCGGACAGCGCCCTGGGACTGGTTCGGCGGCGGCCAATTCATTCGATGCTTTTGCAATCCCTGCTTGCGTGCTGCTGCTCATGATGTGACGGGGGACGGGAGACGGGGGGGCACGAGCAAAGACGCAGCGCAACGGGAGACGCAACCAAACGGGAACCGGGGGCTTGGAGGCGAGGCACTTGACGGGTTACAGAGCGCTGCGGGTGGGTGGTGTGGAGTCGCCATGTACTATGTATGATGCGCTTATAATGTACAGAATACGGATCATGATGAAGATGCTTGATACTCACAGACCGGAACTCGTTGATGCTCCTAGTTCGAAAGAATCATGGAATTCCACCGTCGTGGGAAACAGGTGCCGGAATATTCATACACAGAGTCATGCCAATAATACACTCGAAGCAAACGACTCCAAACACCCCAATTTCCACAACATAGGAAAAAGCACCGGCCGTTAAAAGCTCAAGCCAAAGTTCCTGACTTGGTTGCCTCCCAAATCGACACGCCCGCCCAGCTTCATCCTGGCCTCACTCAACCTCCCATCACGGAACGTGTACGGAGTCCGGAGTACATCCACAGGCATCGTTATCTCTCGCATCCCGGTCCTCTCACTGTACCGTACCGTACCGTACCGTACTGTACGTCTCCTGCAGACGGACACGCCCAGACCCAATCCTGATTCTACCACTGATTCAACGGGGCCGTCAAAAGGACCCCTCCCGTGGAATTGACAAGAACAAACAAATACAAAAAAAAAGCCACCAGCGGACGGGAAACACGCCGAACGAGTCAATCAGCACTCGCCCTGGGCCAAGCTGCCCCGGCCCCGCATAACAATCTTGCATCGCTCCGATTCGGCTCGCCGTCGATCACCCAGGGCGAATCCAAGATGGCGCGCGGGACGGCGGCATGTGGCAGGCTTGGGGATATTGTCTGAGTTGTACAGAGCTTACGAGAACGCCTGCCGTGCCACGACTTTCCTTGCCCCCTGTCACCGCGGCACGGCAAAGGCCCTCGACGCGTTGCCATGACTGCGTGATGACGGGCTGGCAGCATATCCTCAGCATCATCAATGCGCACGCCAATCTCCCCAGGTGCCAGGTGCCATGGGGGAGGGGAGCCGCGGCCCTCGTTCGCGTCCGTCTGGCCGGTGTTATCTTGCCGTCTCGCCTGGCGGCTGGCATCGCTTGCCAGGGATCGAGATGCAGAACCAAGTAAAATAAAAAATTGTCTCCAAATGCAGAACACAGCACAGCTTCGTCTGTTGGCTCCCTGTCTCAAGTCCCTCCAGCCCCCCTGTGCCCTGCTGGGGGATTCGATCCGCATGGACCATGGGATTGACTGTGGAGAGCTGCATGCGTGTTGGCGGGCGTGTCCATGACGGCTAACACCCCGGGAACGCCATGCCACTGCTGCAAGCCGCGCTGACGCAAACGACATATTTCGCGCTCCTATTCTCTTTTTTTCTTTTTTCTCTTCTTACTTGATTGCAACCTGTTCTCTATTTCCAGCCTTGGCCAACTGATTGATCAGGAATTCCCGGCTTCGAGGCCGGTCGGCTAGCCGGTGGCGGGCTGGGCGTTACGAAGAGCTGTAGCATCCGAGACAACATGACAATCAATGGCATCCAACGCGACGACACCCACCAAAGCTCAGCCCCCCGGCTGGACATTCATTCCCGAGGGTTGCCTACGGAGTTACGTGGATTGCACGTACTGGAACGAGAGGATGTTCAGGCCCCCCTCCTCCAACTAACCTCGAGGGAATAGGAGGTTGCTACAGCATAACCGCTGCGGAGGAGGGCTCATGATGAACCGCCACTGCACCCCGCAGCCTTCCCAACCCCTTGGTCACCCGTCCATGGCCCATCCACCCAGTGGGGATTCCCGGCGGCGGCTTCGGGCCTGTCTAGAACAGCGTACGGCACAGCCGTTGCTGCGTGGCGCCTTGGGCTTCCAAACACTTGTCCGTGATGTGTGTGTGATGGGACGGCGGCCGCAAAACGGCGTGGCACCGTGGCATCAATCGGAAGAGGCAAACTAGTGCATCAGCAACAACACACATCAACACACCTCAGCAACTGGTTAGTCTAAGCGGAACCTCAGCATGAGTGACAATCCTTCTCCAACAGACGAGGCAATTCCGTATCTAGGATGTAGAATTCTGGACCCCAAGCACGGCTTGCATCAATCCATCCCCCTTGCTCCTCGCAAGCATAAGCCATGCGTCTCATCTGCAAGCCATCAGTGCCTCGCCCACGGTACATACGCTTCCCCCCCCCCTTCCTCCATCCGCCCGTCTGGACCAGCATCCCAAACGGCAAATCTCCTCGGTTTCTCCAAACGCGAACGCCGCGGATGGTCTGATGCCCTCAAATCGAGATGCGACGCCAGGGCATGTGGGCGCGTCCCCCAATCGCTCCCGGACTCTCTCCGACGGTGCTCCCCCGCAGGCGCCGGGATTGAGGCCTCGTCGACCTGGGCCGAAAGGGGACATTTCCGGCGGCGGCGCTGGTGAGAGCCCAATGCCACCCCCCGAGGGCAGAGTATTCATGACCAACTAAACACCCTCTCTCTCCCTTTGAGGCCAGCTCTGGACCATCAGATGGCCTGCCCGAAGAGTAATGCAGAGCATTAGGTGCTGCGCTTCCCCTCATCCATAAACAACTGCTCCGTCCAGATGACCTCTCGCCCCTCAAGTCCTGCACCCGCCGCCCCCCTCCTCCATGGACCCCGGTCCCCACCCGGCCCCGCGTGCCTCATGCAAACCGGTGGTCTAGGGTAGGTGATTTGCCCCGCGGCTTTCCGTCCGTGATGCCTCCAGCCGTGAGCCATCCACTCACGATCGGTGGAGTCGCCTCGTGGCCCAGAACCGGCTGCGAGAAGTGTGCTGCAACTGCGGCAAGGCGTGCTCCGCCCTGTCCTGCAGAATGCCGATTTCTGTCTTTTCTTGACTTTTTGCTGCCCCTGTCAAACCCCGGCCTTTGCCTCGTGCTGCGTGTGATGGTTCTGAACATGCGCGCTTCCCTTAAGCGACTACCGGCTCCGGTGGGCCAGGCCCGAGAAGACCCGACCGCAGAGCTGCGCAGGGCCATCGAGCCGTCGCAGGGTTGGCCTTGGGTTTGATTCAGGGCGCTCGTGGGCTCAGAGATGCGGTTGCTGGAGTGGGTGTTGCTGCGTACATGGTACCTGTGCATGGGGATGCATGTGCGTGGACAAGCAATAGCATATCTTGATCGCGCTTCTCTCCAGTACCTGCCTACCAACGCCACGGAATCATCCACGACCAAGGAAAACACTACACGAGCGGGATAAACTAGCTTCTCCAACAGTCACCGGGGACAGAAGGGTTCCATCTTGGGTGCTAGAACACGGGCCGAGCCCAGTGGTTCGATGCTCGCTGCAATGCTACCCCACAACACCACCTACTGACTTTGAAGCTATCGTGAGCTTCATCCGCGGTCCAATTCGACAGCCCTCTCCATTCATCCTATCCGCCATCCGGTCAATCCCTCTAAAATATCTCTCGTCTGCAGCCGAGATACCCTCGGAGTGCACCAGTCCGAGGCGCCCGCTGCCCGTCCCATCAATTCCTCGCAAGCGAGCCTATGAGCGTCCGACATGACGATATGGAAACCCTGGCGCCCCCATCCAAGCCCCAAGGACTACCATCTGCACCCCTCCGCTAAACAGATCGGCACTATCGGCGTTCGAGCAAGGCAGTACCCGCATCTAACATGCCCGAGGCCTGGGATGCAACTCCAACAAACCTTGGCTGGCTGACCCTGGCCTATGTCACTGGCCAACTGACCAGTCACCACCGAGTCCTAGAGGTACCTCATCTGTCCCTGGCGCGTACGTGGCTTCCTCGCCTGAGTCCTGTTGCAGCTCTGACGGGTTGCGTGAGATTTGAGAGCAACTATTTTCTGCTCCCGCGTCGACGGCGTGTGTAATTGCAGGCACTCATGTGGTGCCACGCGCGCGACGGACATTGACTGGCGAGTCAAGATGGCAAGCCTTCTTGCCATGCGGATGCAGATGCAAGAATGAAACTGTGGGTGGAACCGCTCCCTAATCATGGCGAAAGAGGCAAATATTCTGCAACAGAGGCCGTGTGAACGGCACTGTCGTCTTTCTCATGGAACTGGTACTTTTCAAGGGGTATCTCATCCATAGGGTCGAGCTCATCCATCCCACACTAATTCCGCCAAAGCCGGACGGCCTTGTCTTTGCCTCCGCTCGCAACTCTTTTTCCGTCGGGGGCCCAGTCTACAGCGTAAACCTCGTCCTGATGGCCAGGCAAGTCCATTGCCAGCTTGTGGGATGCCATCGACCACACCTTCAAAGTCGTATCCTTTGATCCTGTGACTAGTAGTCTCGAATCCGCCGAGAATGAGCACTGGTAAACGGGAGCTACATGTCCACGGAGTGTGTTGATGAACTTGCCGTCCCTAAGTTGGTTGTTAGCTAAACCACGTGTCAAGTGGGATTCGTGACACATACCTTCCGCTCCAAAGCTTGGCGTGGTTGTCCCAGCCCGCACTGGCGATGAGGCTACCATCGGGTGAAAACGAAACATGGTTGATTTGCTTCTGATGACCCAGCATGCGCGCCACCGGCTTCGTTCCTTGGGAGGGATCCCATAGGTACATGGTGAAGTCGTCACTGGCCGAGACCACACGTTCTGCTACCTTGCCTTGGAACTTGGCAGCCTTCTCAAACCGCTCCTTGGCCTTGGCCCGCTTCCCCTCATCAGTGTCTGGGACAGGCGTGTGGTCGTAGAAAGCGGTTCGTAGAGCAAAATCAGTCGAGAGAGCAAGGTGGTTCACCCAGTGAGCATGTGAAGACAGAGTGTGCACCAGAGTTCCCTTCTCAGCATTCCATACTCGGACCGTCTTGTCATGGCTTGCACTGTAAACGAGACCTTCTCCACCCCAGCGAACACAACTGACACTGCTCTTATGACCAGAAAGGACATGTTCTGTCCGGCCCGTGTTAACCACCCAAATTCTCACAGTTGAATCCTTGCTTGCGCTAGCGATTCGAGGTGTTCCATCTCTCCAGAGATGATACGGCTCCCACGCAATATTAGTCACCCACTTTGAATGTCCAGTTAGGGGGCTTCCAACGGCCTTTCCAGTCTCTGGGTCCCAGAGCCGTACTGATTTGTCCATGCTTCCAGTGGCTAATCTCGCTCCATCAGGGGACCAGGCCACACATAGGACCCATCCACCGTGACCACTGAGGGTGTACTTTGGGGTGCCAGTATCAGTATCCCACACGCGCGCAGTCTTGTCGCCAGAGCCAGTCGCGAGAAGGCTGCTGCTTCGGGGACTGAACTGCGCGGCCAGGATGGCCTCGCCATGTCCAGGCATTCTGTGCGACATGCGAGTGACGGCATGGACCTTGAACACGGCCTGGGGCTCGGCGCTGAGGGTGACAGTCGTCTCAAAGGGGTTCTCAATTCCATGGTTGCGAAGGAGTTGGAGTAAATCGGTGGGATATTGATCGACGATAATATCGGAGCCGGGGATGTGGATTCGGAACCGGTATGGTAGGAACTCTTCTCTCTCCTAGAGACAGAATGTCAGTAGGATATCCCGAACACAGATAGAGTGATGACAAACGTACCCTAGCCAAAAGAGTATTCAAAAGAAGCGACAGGTTCTTCTCCGAGGCATCGGCAAGAGGCACTTCAATCACATCGGCCAGCTGCTTGCCATCACTGTCCTGGAAGCGGGCCTTGAAGGAGCCGGCAGGTCCCAGTGCGATGGCTGTGACATCTTGCTGGATGTGGGAGCGCTCAAGCTCTTCGCGCCTTTGCCGCTTAGACGGCGGGGGTACGATTGTCGCCATCGTGAAAGGAGCTGCTGTTGTGCTTGTGAAATATCTGGATGGTTCAAGGCGGCATGGTGGGGCAGTTTGGCAAAATCGGCAAAATCTGAGAAATTTTGGCGGTGAGTACTGCGGCGGCTACGCTAACAGAACCAGTGGAAACCCGCACGTATTCCCGTTAGGGCCACAAATATGCGCTGTTGAACCCTTCTTCCTTTTCCTTCCTTATCCTTATCAAAACGAGCAGCGCCAATTCCGTATAACGCCTGTGGTCCTTTTATCCCGTCTGCTGCCCCCCCTGCGACGGCCGTCCGCGCATGCGCTTTGGAGGACCCGGGTAGTGTTGGAATTGGGGCATGTCTATCCCCGGAACGGGTATCGGGGTTTGCTGCGGATTCTGCGGCAAATACAGTTGCGATTGCATCATAGCCTGAGCCTGGGCCTGAGCTTGGGCCTGTGCCTGTGCTTGGGCTTGAGCTTGTGCTTGCACATCCTGCTGAGGCAGTGGCTGCTGCTGTACATGCTGCTGCTGAGCGTGCATTTGTTGTTGTTGGTTCTGTTCAACTTGTCTTCGTTGACGAGCTCGCTGTTTCTGTGCAGCGGATTGCCGCTTGCCATCCTCGATCTGACGATGTCGCTTATCTTGAGCCTCCTGTCTCTTCTGTCGCTGTACGTCCTCGTTCTGGACGGCGTAAATGGCTGCAACTCTGAGCTGCAACTGCGATAGAATCCCTAGACGTTCTGGCTGCGACATTTTGCGGTACTCGCCCTTGAACTGGTGGAAGGTATCGCCAGTCAAGCGGAGGACGGCGTTTGACACGCCGGCAACCTGGATCGCAGCCGAAGTCTCGGCATCAGGCAAAGGCCCATCATCTGTGGCCGTTAGAAACAGCGAAGTATTTGTATCCCACGCCTCCTCACCTTCTAAATCCTCAACGGTATTGTTCTCGTCTTCGCTGACCGGTTCGGGTGTCGGGGGTTCTGGGGTTCCTGGCTCGTGGTTGTGCTGATCGCAGGTTATCGTCAGTACCCAACCGCCCATCGTCTTGCGATGCACCGCCTTGGCCTTCCACGGGCAATCAGTCTTCTTGGTCGTTGTCTTGTGCTTGGTGGCCATGCAACGGTACGGCCTGCCGCCTCGGTCGCAGACGAGATCGCATCGTACTATCTCGTTCCCTGGGATGTCGGCACCACCCACTTTGCCGCGGTGAGACCTAGCCTTGACGATCTTGTAGCCATCCTTTTCCATGCCATCATTCAACCCCTTGAACAGGTCCTCGTATGTGTTGTAGATGCCCGAATGGGGCACCGAGACGGCCTCGAGGATGCCAAACATGGCGGGCTTGGGACGCGATCAACGCGTTTGGGGCTCAACGATGTGTGGATTTGCCCATCGACCGGTGTGAGGCGTTGGCGGGCGGCGTGTCAAGGCGTCGCGGGGAAATTGGTGAGGAACTTCCGGCCGCCCGGCTAAGCCTCGGTTGCCCGGAGCCTCCTTCCCTCCTCCCTTCCCCGTGTGACACCTGAGGGTGAGGCTTCATGAGAGCCTTGCCTCCCTTGAGAGGATCATCCAGGCAGCACAGAAACCTCGTAGTTGCATTGGTGTCTTTCTCTGTGCACAGTCTGATCCCTAATTCTACCTTCCATTTTTGTCGCCCTGGTCCTCAAAACCCGACTCATTCATTTGCGACTTTCTGCTACCCAGTCACGCCGAATTAACACCCAGCACAACAGCACAGGATCAGAAAAAACATGTCCGATGCTATCTCCCCATTTTCGAGACCCTCACAAACAACCAGTCGGTCTTCGTCTGCGTATTTCCAGAGCAATGTTCGTCGATCTCACCCTGAGAGTTCATCCTTGCCAAGTGGTCATGGAAGCAGCCGACCTCAGAGCAGTCGACCTCACACTAGCCTCAGCCATGGCCTCAGCTACCCTTCTGTGACGAGCACCGGACCCAGCACATCTCGACCCCCGACAGCGCGCCCAGGAACTCGACAGGGCATCCAGTCAGGTCGAAAGTCACGAGCTGCTGCTGCGTCGTCTGTTCTGGGTCTCACCGAGTCTCACAGCATTGTGTGTGCTGTCAGCGAAGCCCGCAGCGTCTCCCCTGCGGTAGGCGTCGCGTTTGTCAACGTTTCAATCGGTGAGGTCGTCCTCAGTCAAATATGTGACAACCAGTCCTATGTCAAGACCATTCACAAGATCCAAATGTCGGCCCCTTCTCGCATTCTCTTCATGGGTACTGCCTGTTCCCGAACTGCCCCAAGCACACTCTTTTCCCTTGTCCAGGAACTTGTACCAGAAGCGCAAGTTGACGCCTTGGATCGCTCGGCATGGTCCGAGAATGATGGCCTAGAGTACATCCAGAACCTGGCATTTAAAGATGATATTGAGCCCCTGAAAGTGGCGGCTCAAGGCAAGTTTTATGCCATCAGTTCTTTTGCTGCTGTAAGTTGGGATTAGAAGGCATGCCAAGTGGCAAGCATTTCTCACCGCGGTACAGGCCATGAAATATATCCAGCAACATTTCGCCATCAATTTCGTCCCACACTCTCTTCGTATCCGATATCGACCCTCCGAGGACACCATGATGATTGACATATCCGCAATTCAGTCTCTTGAAATCATGCAAAATTTGCGCAACGCGAAATCCAAAGAATCTCTATTTGGCTTGTTGAACCACACATCTACTCCTATGGGATCCAGAATGCTTCGAAGTAACATCCTTCAACCGCCGACACGTCCAGAGTCGTTCATCAGCCCTCGCTATGACGCGCTAGAGGAATTGACGACTAACGAGGAGATGTTTCGTGAGATTCGGAAAGGTGAGTTGTGTGCAAAACAATAGCGTCTATCATGGCGCTGACTGAATGAAGCCTTGAAGCTCTTTCATGATGTGGAAAAACTGTTGACCAAGGTATCTCCATAATCCACCTGGTATTGTGTCGTCTAACTGTTCCAGTTGATAATTGTTCCTCCGCCTGGAGATGTTCAGCAAGTTGAAGAACAGATCAACCAGGTCTTGATGGTAAAAAGTTTCCTCGAAGCCATCCCTGAGCTGTACGCCGCCCTACAACCTGCCACGAGTGCCCTACTAGTGAAGATTCGTGACCTCTGTCGTCCGGAAATCAGGCGTCGAACACTCGACAAAATTCGTAACATCATTGAGGCAGATGTCACGTACATGAAGTCTGCCCTCGACTTACGCAACCAGAGAACATTCGCAGTCAAGGCGGGTATTAGTGGAATGTTGGACGTTGCTCGTCAAACATACAAGGAGCTGACGGAAGAAATCCACAAACACGTTGATGAAGTCAATGGTACGAGCTTGGAGGCAAGCAAAGTAAGCTGATAGCTGACATGCAGCAGAGACACATGGGATCGACGCCAGTTTGAGGTACGATAACGGCCGCAAATACTGGCTTCGCCTTAAAGCTGCCGACTTTGATGACCGTCCTCTCCCGGCCGATCTCATCCATGCGATTCGCAAGAAGGACAAAATCGAGTGTCAAACCCTGAGCCTGGTCAAGCTGAATTTGAGACTTTCAGATACGTCCAACGAAATCATCATCCGGAGTGATGCTGTCATCCAGGCTTTGGTGAAGGAGCTTCGGCAGGAGGCACCACATCTTTTCCGGGTTTGTGAATCGGTCGCCCTTGTCGATATGATCTCGTCTTTTGGACAGCTGGCTACAACTCGAGACTACGTGCGACCTGACATTGGTGGTACCTTGGCGTTGAAATCCGCTCGTCACCCAGTCTTGGACAAGGTGTGTTTTTGTTGAATCCGGTTAGACAATTCTAATATGGTAGTCCATGGCTGGCAACTTCGTTCCAAACGACTACTATGCAACTGAACAATATTGCTTCCACATCGTCACCGGGTGCAATATGAGTGGGAAAAGCACATACATTCGAGCTGTTGCCTTGTTGCAGATCATGGCACAGATTGGATCATTTGTCCCTGCCGAGTATGCCGCGTTTCCCATCATACACAACATATTTGCTCGTGTTTCACTTGAAGACAATATCGAGAGTAACCTTTCGACGTTCTCGGTTGAGATGCGGGAAATGGCATTCATTCTCCGAAACATTGACGACAAGAGCCTTGCTGTCATCGATGAGCTGGGCCGGGCAACAAGCACCAGAGACGGTCTAGCCATAGCCATTGCAATGTCTGAAGCTTTGGTTCAGAGCAAGGCTTCAGTCTGGTTTGCAACTCACTTCACTGACTTGACCCGGGTACTTGCAGACCGACCGGGTGTGTTAAATTTGCATCTCGCAGCCGACAGTTCCACCACAGTAGATGGATTGCCTCAGGTCACAATGTTGTACAAGGCGACCGCTGGTGCGATCAACGACGAACAGCATTATGGTATCGACTTGGCACGAGCAATTGGGCTGCCCCAGTCATTCATCGAAAAGGCGGAGGCGGTTGCAAAAGACTTGAGGCAGAAGAGAGAGGCAAGCAAGCGAAGTTCGGAATCAACAAAATTGTCGGCCCGACGCAAGCTCATCCTGAATCTCCACGAGGCACTGAAGCAAGCGAGGGACTCGGGCAGTGAGGAGGCTCTGCCTGGGTACCTGAGCCGACTCCAAGAGGAGTTTATTGTTCGGATGGAGGAGGTCGATACGCTATAGCTGGAGGGTACGGTGGGAAATACCTTGCACTCGCACGGGAGTTGGTGACATTGGTGGCACGAGCATGTTCGATCTTACAACTTGCTAATGTCTGATGGAATCGTTAATGATTTAAATCTTTGGTATCGAGTACTCTTTATGTTTCAGCACCAGGCCGCTTGTAGTCTAGATGTCGAACCCGCTTCCAAACCTCTCTTACAGTTCTCTCCTGTGATTGGCGACCGGTCTCCTTCTCAGAAGGACCTGCTGGGCTATTTGACATCAGTCGATGTATATGAGTGGACTTGGACTGGAAGACTTACCGAATAGCCAAATACAACCTGCCGCCAAGATGTGCTGTGGGGATATCTGCCGTCTCAGGGTCTTCTGGTGGGTTGGCTGTGGTGATCAAACCTCCAGCTTCCTCGAGAATCGCGAAACCAGCAGCGACGTCCCATTCCCAGCAACCACCTTCCCACCAGATATCGAAGGACCCCATAGCTGTGTATGCGAGATCGAGTGTTGCACTGGGTTCACATGTGTTAGCTAGGTGCGGGTGCTTGCGAATACAGGGCATCATACCTCCCCAAGCTGCGCATGCCGTGGACCATCCCGCCCTTTCCGCCTCGTCCACCGCGCTCAGAAGCCATGTTGACAAAGGATTCCACCTTGCGCGTCATGTTGCCATCGGGGATGTCTCGGCGATCCTTCCCCCACTCGCAGGAAAACGTACACCCGCTGGGTGCATTGTGTGGCATTGGAGGCGTTGGGTTGCGGATCAAGGGGAGCCGCTGTGTGCCGTTGAGCCAGGCGCCCTTGCCGACGCATGACGAGAAGGATTGGTGCAGGAAGGGGGCGTTGATGACGCCGATAATGGGCACGCCTTTGACTGCGAAGGCGATGGACACGCAGAACATGGGGAAGAGGTGGGTGAAGTTGACGGTCCCATCCAGAGGGTCGACTATCCAGGTCGGCCGGTCATCGACGAGGTATGTTCGAGATGCCCCGGCGGAGTACGACTCCTCACCGAGGAAGCTACAAGCGCATAGACGTCAGTTTGGACATCAGGCATGACGGATGATATGACGCCTCACCCATGATCAGGATACTTGGCTTCGACCGACGTCCGAATGAAGTGCTCGACATCTGCAAGCATGGACCGTTAGCACAGAGAGCCTACTAGCCGCCGGCAATGGCAGCAATGCCAGAAACGGACCAACGCACCGTTATCGGTCTTGGTCACAATGTCTACCGAGTTCTCCTTCTCGACGTACGATACGGTGGACGAGCTGGACTCGTCCCCGCTGCCGTCCATGCGCCGGCGGGCTGCGGCCATGAGCATGTCGCCGGCATCCTTGCCCAATTGCACGGCGAAGGCGTAAATCTCGGCAAGCTCCTTGTCATCCATCGTAGCGTTCTTCCTGAGTGTGTTTCCAGGAAGAAGGTTGACGGTCTGGCTGTCGGGGGACCCGTTTTGAGGGCGGTCGAATGAATGTCGAGGATAGCCGCCTCAAACCGGGCCCAGCATGTATTCCGCGCGCGCCGGACCAACAGCGCAGTGGGGAATTGGCTTTGGGCTGCCGATCTCAGATCTGTCATGGCTCATGGTAGCTGCATGAGCCTTGCTCTGGGACGCTTCTGGGTGAAGCTTTAACCGGCACGGTGGGGCGAGCGAGCCAAGATCCCGGTGCGACTGAGCTATGCCGAAAGGATGAAGGTTGAGCATAGCGACCGACGGCGTGCGGCAATGACGGGCGACCAGAACAGAAGCAATTCGGCGTCGACAAGTATATCAACAAGGGATTGGAGATTGGAGCTGGAGCTTGGAGCTGGAAATCTTCCTAGTCAGGTACTAATTCACTTCACTAAACCAATCCCAACACAATGCCCGAATTCGACCAGCCCGACATGCCTCGCCATATCCTCCTGATCAACGGGCCCAACCTCAACCTGCTCGGGACCCGCGAGCCGCATATCTACGGCTCTACCACGCTGACCGACGTGGAAGACGCAGCCAAAGCCCAGGCCGAGGGGTTGTCGGCAACCCTGGCCTCCTTCCAGTCCAACTCGGAGGGTGCCATCGTGGACCGCATCCAGGCTGCACGAGGCAACACCGATGCGATTGTCATCAACGCGGGGGCCTACACCCACACCAGCGTCGCCATCAGGGATGCCCTGGCCGGCGTCGACATTCCCTTCGTCGAGATCCACATCTCAAATGTCCATACGCGAGAGGCCTTCAGACACCACAGTTACCTGTGCGACAAGGCCGAGGCCGTCATCTGCGGCTTGGGAGTGTTTGGGTACATAGCTGCGATTGAGTATGCGGCCAAGCACTTGAAGCTGAGGGGGAGAGCGAAATTGTAATTATTAAATTGGAAAGATAAATGGAATAGAAAGGGCTCAAAAGGGATCATTAGAAGGAACTGGTTCTATTGGCATTCTAGTTACGGAGTCGGAGGTATAAATTGTAACTCTTGTTCACCAAAATGATATGGGACGGTCAATTACAGACACTGGATTGAAGTGACACAATAGAAGTATGATACATCATTGGAATAAAAAGGAATCGTTACAATAAATCGTTACAGAGGCTCGCTAAGGCTCATTATCTTATTACAGCATCGCCTGCAGTCTTGGCTGCATGGCGTCTTCAGTCCGCAGGCCCACGTCGGCCGTCATTTTCACCCAGGACTCGGCCGCTCGCCGGGCCATCTCCTCTGGCACTGCCTTATCAGTCTCTGTCAACCTCCTGTTAAACACCTCAAAGCTCAGCCACCCCTCGAAGCCAAGTCCATGGACGATGGCCCGGAGGATCTGCTTTACAGGGAGATAGCCACCGTATTGGGGCTCGCCGTAAAATAGTCTGGCATTGCGAGACCAGCTCATGCGAGATGGTTGCTCTGCGTTGTAGAAGGGGTGGTTCTTGTCCAAGGGCTGGGCGAGTCGTTCGCCGTCTGCCACCTGGATGAGGAAGAGCTTTGTGACGTCGACATCGGACAGGATCCTCTTGATCGACTTCATGGTTGCTTCTTCGTAGTCCGGAGTTCTTCCCGTTGGGGAAGCTGGGTCGGCGTAGATCCGGCCCAGAATGTTGTAGCTGTCGAGGCAGACACCAAAGTTGGGTCGGTCAACTCCTCTCACGATTTCCCAGCTGCCTTCCCAGGTATCGACTCGGGTACCCCAGCAGAGGCCTTCCATGGCAAACCGGATTGGCGGTGACTCCTGGAGACCCATATCGGCCGCTTCGGTAAAGTCGGCAATGGTAAGGTCCATGTCGTCCAGGACTTGGTCTGGGGAGAGGAAGCTGCTGGGGAAGAGGATAAGGTCTGTTCCCAAGATGTGGGCGAGCTCGAACCAAAGCTGCAGCTCTTGCAATCTTCGGCGGTGCTCATCACGATCGGCGATGCCGCCGAAGTGCATGAAGGGTTGGAGGCAGATGATTTCTTGGTTTCGGGCATCGCAGAGTTGACGCATCGTTCGGGCGGCTGAGATTTGGTTCTCAGGTGTGTCTCCGCCAGGGAACGACTTGGCCAGGTCTACGAGATCTTCGTAGAAGACCTCGATACCAGTGAAACCGTACTTCTGGGCCATGTCCAACTTGTGTGTGAGGTCGTGGCCGGCGAAGCACCGTCCCAGGGACATTGTGCATATGCTTGGCTTGTGTGCCATTGTGTATTTGTGATAAGGTGGAGGAGGGATGAGGTAAAGTTTCGAGGATAGAGATGATGGATGTGATGATAGGGAGGATGGATACGATGGAACTTTGGAGATGGATAATAATAAAAGAGTCTCGACTTGACAGGAGTTATCAGGGGGATGAGGGAGTATTGGATGGCTTCTACAGTCAATGGAGTCGATGGGTCCAACAAGCGAGATGATAAGTCATCAAGTCTTGGGGCAATATTTTGTTTATCAGGCTCCAGCAGAGCGGAGATGGTGAAGACGGGCCTCATGACGAATCAAGCCTTTCAAGCCTTCTTCCGATAGTCCATACGAGCCTTGTTTTCGATATGTGACAGGCCGGGCCGGGCTGCTGGGGGGTATCGTCATCATTTGGTCACAAGACGCAAGGAAACGATCTGCCGGATTGGTAACAGTGCGCAAAGCAGATTCCCTGATCCATCGGAATGCGAGTTTATCCCAGAGACCGAGATGCGAGATGGGGATGCATCGTGGCGATGAACGATGGTGGTGTAGGCCGGGGTGGTTGCGGTGGGTAAGTCTTTATCCACGAGGCTTGTGGGGGGCGCTCTCGGGACAAAGCTCGTCGGCAATGCGACGGTGTAGATTCGCGCGATTGGACTGCCCCGGATGAATTGGAGCACGGATTCCAGTGGGTTACTGGATATTCAGTGGAAAAACCCTGTGCAGGCCATTGCTTTGCGGGGGGATCTGATCTCGCATGAACGTTGCTTTGCCGTGATGACCAGAGATTCGCCGAGTCCTGAGTGGACACTACTTAGAGAGACCCGACCCCTAGTAGCGGAGGCCCCGGAAAAGGACACTATAGAGAGAGCCAAGCCGCCTGGAGTCTTTTCTTACAGCACGCAACTCCCCACGCAATTCTCTCCCCAACTCTCTCTCCAACTCTCGGCCCAACTTCCCCAGACTCTCTCAACTCCCCGTACAACACCCACAACCACCCACAACCACACACAATGTCTCTGCAATCATACCCCTCAGGCGACACCCTTGCCTCCAATGAGGTCTCCCAGCTTGACCGCCATGGCTACCTCTTTGGCAAGAAGCTGACACACTCGCTGTCGCCCTTCTTCCACAACATCATCTACCGGGACCTTGGCCTGCGATGGGGCCAGGTCCGTCTGGACTCTGCCGATATCCCCAGCTTTATGGAGCTTGCCCGGCACCGCGACTTTTACGGTAAGAAGCATTCGTTCTGAGATGTTGAATCAAAGCTGACATTACCTCGCTTAGGTGCTTCTGTCACTATGCCCAACAAGGTTGCCATCCTGCCGTATCTCGATGAGTTGACCGAGGAGTGCCGTGATGTCGGTGCCTGCAACACCCTGTTCCTCCGGGAAGAGAACGGCCGCCGCATCTTCTGCGGTGCCAACACCGACACCATTGGCATTCGAGAGTCGTTCTACCAGAACGTCTCGGACCCCGATGCCGTCTTCCACAACCGCCCGGCCCTCGTCGTTGGCGGTGGCGGCGCTGCCCGCAGCGCCATCTACGCGCTGTGGAAGTGGATGAAGCCCACTGCCATTTACCTAGTCAACCGAGATGAGACTGAGGTCGCCGACGTCATCAAGGACTGCCAAGCCCGCGGCTACGGCGACCTGCTCATGCACGTCAAGACCGTCGAGCAGGCCACGGAGCTCGAGGTTCCCGGTGCCATTGTCGCCTGTGTTCCCGACTTTGAGCCCCAGACCCCCGAGGAGGTGCTCGCGCGCCGCGTTACTGAGACCTTCCTCGACAAGGAGACCAAGGGCGCCATCCTGGAGATGTGCTACAACCCCACGCCCTTCACACGGCTGGGCGCCATCTCAGAGGAGAAGGGCTGGCAGGTCATCCTCGGCACCGAGGCTCTCATCTGGCAAGGCCTGGAGCAGGACAAGTACTGGACGGGCCGCTCGATAGACGAGCTGCCCAAGGACAAGGTGCAGCTGGCTATTACCGAGAAGGTTGAGCAGCGCGCCCAGTCGAAGCTGTAAAAAAAGGCTCTTGGGAATGGAATTGCATAGCGTTTTTGGTTATGACCGTGTCGTCTACGATAGATAGATCATGATGTTTTGATAGTGTGAAGCGAGCATTTTATGGCTACATTTATGAAAAATATATTTCATTAAACACCACACAACCATGTAAGACTCAATTAGTGTATCTGAAGTCCTTTAAAATAGCTGTCAGATTATGCTTAATGGGTGCATTTATTAAAACAATGTCTATCCTCCGATTCCGGCGAGTGGTGGCGAGATCTGGGATGCGCATATCTCCACCAACTACTACCGTTGTCCTTGCGCTTCACGCACCCAAGCCCACCCAAACCCTTGCGCGTAACAGGGCTCATTTGGGACGTCAACAAGACGACGCGTAATCAAGCATTCTCATTAGCTAGGCTGAGTTATTTTTTCGTGCATGCACAATTGAATGGGTCGAAGAGTGTGACACTGCAAAGTTTTCTTTTCGGGCCGGCCCCATAGTGGGGCCGCGATGCCGGTGCGGTGTGAAGATGGAACAGGAATTGAAGAATAGGCAATCGAAACGTGCCGTTATTTACAAGATCTTATTTGCTATTGACTCTAATCCAATGGAGATACGAGTTTATCGTACCCAGAAGTGCAGCCCAATCTCCACCATTATGCATCCGGAGACGCTTTAGACATCCTTGGACTCAACCTGCTCGGTGCGGGCCTTCTCGTCCTTCAAGTCCAGACCATCCATGTTCTGGCGGAACTCTTGTTCGTGCAAGCGCAATTCCTCGAGGATAGTGGAGTGCGCCTTCCTGACTGGCTTGATTTCGAAGAGGCGGTCCATGGCCTCCAGAGGCACACCCTTTGTCTCGGGCACACACAAGAAGACGAAGACGATCGACAAGATCATCATAGTAGCGAAGAAGAGGTAAACACCGTAGCCCATCGTGGCAAACATGTTGACAGTGAATCTCGCGATGATGAAGTTCCAGAACCAGTTGTTTGCAGCGGCATTGGCCTGTCCAAGAGATCGTGTGTTTTGGTCGAACATCTCGGAGTTGAGGACCCACGGGGTGCCGTTCCACGACGGGGTGTAGAAGGCGGTCCACAGGTAGAAGAAGAAGATGGCGGCAGTTCCTCCGGGGGTCAGGTGAATTCCCTCAGTGGCTGTGGTGTCGACCTTGGCGGTGCCGGCAATCTTGATGTATGCGCCGATGAAGTACATGCAGAACGCACCACCACCAGCACCGATCATGAGCAGGTTGCGGCGACCCATGTGATCGATCAGAACCATGATCCACACAAAGGTGAGAACGGTCTTGACAACGCCAAAGATTCCAGTGGTAAGGAAACCAGTGTTGGTGCCGGTGATGCCCAGGCTCTTGAAGACGGTGGGGGAGTAGTAGTTGATAGCGTTGATGCCGGATCCTGTATTTCTTGTTAGTTTTCTGTTTTCTTTTAAACTCGACAAGAGCGAGGAATTGCTTACCGTTCTGGAAGACAAAGAGAAGCCCACCGAGGAGGAAGCGCCACTGAATCTTACGGTCCTTGAGGGCCAGGAAGGGCTTCCAGAAACCAGCGCCGACGTCGGTGTTGAAGCGCTCCAGGTCCTCGTCAATGTAGTTCATCTCCTCGACAATATAGATATGGTCCTCAGGAAGGTCTCGCATCCATGTGAGAATTTTTAGACCTTCCTCACGGCGGCCCTTGGAGAACAGCCATCGAGGAGACTCGGGGATGAAGCACGCGCCGATCAACAGGAGGCCGGCCGGGATGAGCTGGACAGCGAAGGGGATGAGCCACTGGCTGTGAGTCGGCGCAAGAGTCTCACTGATGCCATAGTTTATCCAAAACCCTACTAACCCGCCAATCTGCCATCCAAGTTCGTACAATCCGACGAGGCGACCGCGGACAGCAGGGGGGGCGAGTTCGGAGATGTAGATGGGGGTCATGTTGGAGCAGCCACCAACACCAAATCCGGCGAGGACACGACCACCAATAATAAGACCGAGACCACGAGCCTCATTGGCACCCAGCATCATGCCGGCGCCGACCATAAAAATGAGCGAGAAGAAAATGAGAGACTTGCGACGACCGATGAAGTAGCTGGAGAAGTAGGCGGCCAGCGAGCCGAAGAAGGCGCCGGCCTGGTAGACGGAGACAATGTTCTGCTTGAGCAGCGCCAGCTTGCCCGCGTCCATGGTCGCAAAGTTAAACTCCTCGACAAACGACGGCAGAGCCAGCGTGGTGCCGATAAAGGCCGAGTCGTAGCCAATTGTGCATGCAGCCATGGACGCCGTGGCGGCGCACACGTACACGCGCCAATTGTAGACCTCCTTCGGCGTGGGCCGGTCCTCCTTGAGAGCGAAGATACCCATGACCGCGGTGGATTGGTATAGGCTTTCGACGAGGGAGTTGTAAGGGTCTCAACCTGCGAGTTTGAAGGCGGTGGATGGAATGAGAGGAGAAGTTGTATTGCGACAGCGTCTAACTCTAACACCAGAGGGCCATGGGAGGCAAACCTTTATACTAGAGTCGCATCGGGGCTCGACCCATAACTTTCTCCCTAGTCGCCAGTCCCCAACTAGCCCCAGACCACACCAATCCTTCCCCAAACCGGTCTGTGCTCGCCGCCAAGGGTTGGGAAGTGGGAAGTGGGAAAAACGGCCCCCGGCAAAAAGGTGCGTGGGACGGCCCTGGAAGCCAAAGTCGCATCCCCAGGCGACGCCCATCTCTGGAACTGGAGATTAATCCGGGGTTTGCGGGGTGGGTGTGGGGGATGAACTCGTTTCCGTCCAAGGAGATTGATCGATAATTGTCATCAGCTCATTCGTAGGCTGACCCAGAGGACGGCCGGCTCGCGGTGTTGCGTAGTGTTGGAGGCCATCGCGGCATGGGGCCGGGTTAAACGCTTACCCGTCCCGCCACCCCCTTGACTCGCGTACTGGGGAAGTAGTCTGTTTTCTGGAGCCTCCGCATCGCATCTAGACGTGCCCGCGGGACCAACCTTGTCTAAAATTTCAAGTATTAGGCGGGGGATGAAACCTCAGCCCGCGCATTGGAGTTCTCCGCTCGCCTCGGACACATGGCGCGCGGAGATGGTCATGCATGTTTGCCATGTGTGGAGGAGCTGGACCCCATGTTGCCCTTCCCCGATGGACCCCATGGAAACCCCAATATTCCCCAGTTGGGACACGGCCTGTCCGTGTGTCCGTCGGGTTGGGCCTCACCTGTTTGTCCACGTCGTTTGTCACAAGGGGCCCACGTTTATCAGAGTTACTTCTCACGCCCTACGGTAGGGGACGAGCACTTACCCTACATGCCTTGATCATGGAAATACGAATACTCATCAGACAAGAATTTACGAAAAGAGATTCATGGAGACTGCTTTTTAGTGTTTACCCTCTTCATCAAGAGTCTAATATTCTATGGCATTAAACAAAACAGACATTTGACTCCTGTCCCAATATTCGTAGTACTCATCCTTCATACAGACTTGCAATTCATTTATTTTATTAAATAAAACAAGGCTTTACAGCTCATGTACCAAAATCCCCTTGAAACATCTCGCCCAAGTCACAGCCTGGCGCGAACCCCAAGTTGGTCATGAATTGCGGATCCACATCTATGCTGTCCCCGCAGTCGATGGATCCAAGTTCTTCCAGGATTGCGTCGTAATCCACCAGCTGTCCCGGCATGCCTGGGTGGTGAAAAATCGGAATGGTGTGCCCTCCACTTAACGGAGGGGACTGGAACGTCAGAGTTGGCGTCGCCGTGTACAGCGACTGTGACGTTCCGGGACTCGCGTCCGAGTTGGCGGCGGCAGCATACCTATGCCGCTCGTATGATAGTAGAGCCTGCTCCTTGTGTTGTTGCTGTTGTGGCGGCAGCCGGGTAAGGTCTCGTACGTCTGCTTCCCCTGAAATGCTCGCTGGTCTGTGTGCCGCGTGGTAGGTCGCGGTTGATAGCTCTTCCATGAACGGAGGACCGACTATTCGGTGAGCGACTGGTGGCTCCACTATGGCGGCCGTGTTTGGGTGCCTCTCAGTGCCATCTCCCATTGATGTATCGGCTTCCCATACACTCCGGAGGCTTTCCATTGCCGCTTTCCATCTATTCTTGTCGTGCTCATGCATTCGTTCGCTGTGCCCATGCCGTTGCACAATCTCCATGAGCGTAATCATGAGCGGTGGCGTTCCGGAAGACCCAAAGTTTTCTAAACATGACTCGACAACCTCCAACAGATTCGAAAACAGGGATGGCCTGTGTCCCGGCACCAGGTCCAACGTAACCGTCAAGAACATGCCCTGCAGCAGGAAAGCTGAAGGCACCGTTGGAGTCGAGCCCCCGAAGATGAGGGAATTACAAAAGGAAAATCGCGTATCCAAGCTCTTCACCAAGTCCTCTGGTGTGATTCTTCGGTAAGTGGGACTATCATGCAGTCTTGCGTCCATGCTCGCAGCCCAAAGTTTGGAGAAGGCATACAGCTGTCGGAAAGTGGACAAGGGCTGTGCAGGAGTCTGGGACGATGCAGCTCTGTCGTCCGAGGTCGGGCCAAGCCCGGGAATAGGAGCCCATGCTTCATCCGGGTCTACGAGACCAACCAAAGTGTCCGAGGGCAAGCTGGAGCGCATACCTGTGGTCACTTCTGGGTGGCCAAGACAAAGTGATGCCAGCGTATCCAGCATGAATGCGCCAGCTATTACTCGCGTTTCCGAGTCATTGAGGGAAGCTTCGCTGCCTTGTCTGACTGGAAACATGTGTGTATTGGCTGATCGATTGCTCAAAGCCAGGCGCGACGCCTTCCCGATCAACAGCCACGCCGCTTTGCTTTTCGTTTGTCCCAGAAGAACCAGAGATTGGAGAAGGAGAGCACATATATGAGGGGTTTCGAAGTTGCCGTCATCGGGAGGAATGAGACCGCGGGCGATGGAGTAGATTCTGCTCGGGGAAGGGGTTCCATCATGAGATTGCTTGGGAGAAGCTGCGTCCTGGAATGAAGAAACAGCCAACACAGCCCACAACTGGGCGTGGAGAGCGGAGGAGTAGTTTGGGTCAAGTTTAAGACCTTCGGGGGGATATCTCATGGCAGTGCTGATGACGGCATCCCGATCGATAATGGGGAACCAGCAGTGAGTGTAGGTGAAGTAGATGTCGACGAGGCGCTCCCAGTCGGGGGGTAGTATCAACCGGGCAGACTCCGGAGAAGTTGCTGGTCGCATCGCATATGAGCTTGCGGATAGAGTTCCCTGCGATGGACCTACCCCGTGAACAGAGAAGTCGGGAGATGGTTTGGCGTCGAAGAGGAAGGGGTTGGCGGGGCTGATGCCCTCCTCTGTCTCCGAGTCGTCTGCCGAAGTGTCCGTCCGAGGGGTTTTCTCATCAGAGAGAAGTCTCCCAATATCTTTGTGGATCCGGCTCTTGCTCCATCTTCGATAGAGTCGATGGCCGGCCTTGTCTTTGGTAGCCAGAATGCGGGCTCCTTCGGCGCCTTCGTTCTGGGTGAGCAGCTGATGCAGCGCTCCTTCACAGCCGGGAACCTGCTCAAACAGCCAGGCGAGAGAGAGCTCTATGGTACGCAGATATCCCGTCTGCACGCCTCTCTTGCGCGACGCAGGGGTATAGGAACAGGGCCGGTTCTGCGCGGTGCAGGTGCCGCAGTGAGGGCGGTTGCCGTCGCACTTCTCCCGGGCGGTGCGACACGAGTCGCAGGCAAGGGAGACTCTCTGTCGCTTGGCCGGCGTTGAGGCCGCGGGGGCAGTGAAGGAGTCCGCATCGTTGCCCTCGCGTTTCCTGGGCGGCATCCTTTGGGTGTGGCCGACCGTGGAGTCGTCGTCAAGGAGCTACCTACCTGTGCCACAAGGCACGCAGAGGCATTGCGGAGGGGAATGGACCGCGGATCAACGATCGTACGAGGCTGGCGCCATCTCACACTCACAGTGGTATCAGGATGAACAACGGGATGGAAGACCGCGGGCAGCAGCAGCAGCAGCAGCAATGGGAAAAAGTCCTTGCAAGGGCTGTGGCAATGCGGGGGGAATCTGGGGTCCTGGGGAATATCGAAAAGGCAGCCTGGGAGCGCCTGGAGATGGGAAATGGAGGAGTACACCCAGCCTACTGGCCACCGCCATGTGCAGCAGCCAATGGTGGAGTGCTTATTCCCTGCGTGTGGAGCGGATGAACGCTTTTCCGGCCAATCGGCGTCCGGAACACAGGGCGGGGTCCCCGGACTTCTCCACCCGCTCGATTTGTGCGTTTTTAGGGTGGGGAGGAAAGAAGGGAGGGAGGACCACCTCGCAGCCAGACCGCGGCCGTCGAGATGCTTCGCGTTGTCTCTACAACCCTTCCGTTCGCATCCCCCGGCACAGCGCAGCGGCCAGCGCACAACGCGGAATACTCTCTCCCGGACTCCCGCTCTCTCGCCTGATTGCCTCCCTCTCTCCTTCACAGTCACACCACACGAGACCACCCAGACACCCAGAGAGCTACCCTATCTGCACCATCTCGCCATGGCGGATCCGAGTCGCGCCGCTTGATGAAGCACCGCAACCACAGCCCAACCCATGGCAGGCGTCAAGAGATCCCTCGGCGCCATGCTCGGCCACGAGGATATGCTCGCGCGAACTCCTCCGCCGCCGCTCGCCCACTCGCGCTCGCAGTCGCAGTCGCAGTCTCATAGCCAGATGAGCAGCAGGAGCAGCAGCATCAGTAGCAACAGCCAGGCGCAGACCCAACCCCAGATCACTCTGACACCCCCGCGGGGGCCGCTTGGTGCGTCGCGGCCGGAACCCCATGATGCCCTCACCCGCCCGTCCTCTCCAACACTCCCTCCGTTGACGGGGGAGGTCCCCGAGTTCAGCTCGGATGCGTCCATGCTCCTCGCCGGCGTCCGAGGTGCTGGCAAATCCACACTCGCAATCATGGCGTCCCAGGCCATGAACCGAAAAGTCATCGACCTAGAGACCGTCTTCCAACGTGCCACTGGCTTCTCCAGTGCCGGCTACAAGTCCAAGCACGGCTCACCTGAGTGTTACAAGCAGCAGGCCAAGGTTCTCCAGAGCACTCTCGACCGCCACCACACTGGCTGCATCCTCGTTTGTTCTTGGATGGAGAGCCGCGTCCAGAGCCTGCTCCGAGAATTTGCAGCCACCAACCCCGTCATCCACGTCGTGCGTGATGCCGATGCAATCCAGCAGCACCTCAGGATCAACGACGCAGGCAAGATCCGAAACCTGCTCAACGTTAGCAGTGCCATTTTCAGGACTTGCACCAACTTCGAGTTCTTCAATGGCTCAGAGAAGCGTGCCAAGTCTCCAGAAAACTCCACCGCCAGGCTGTCACTCCTACAAAGAACCCCCACTCCATACCTGACATTGAAGTATGTCGAAAGACATTTACTCAAATTCTTGTCATTGATTTATCCGTCGGGCACGATCCCGTTTATCGAATCTGCCTTCCCCCTAGCTCGAATCCCTACCGAGGAGCGCCGCTTCACTTATGCCATGTCAGTCCCGTTATCCGACGTCTTGAACGAAAGCGTCGACATCGAAGAGCATGTGACTGGCGCAGATGTTATCCAAATCGTTGTGCATGATCTTGCCGAGCACCTTGAGGAACATCCCGGCTCGGCTATACCAACAAACGAACTCAGCGCCAAGTTGGCGGGTGATATTACAAGGGGCGTCGGAAGGGTCAGGAGAAGCACGATCCTCCCCATCATCATCCACATATTCCTTCCTCACATGGCTAGCGAAGATGTAGTTCGGGTGTACCTCGACCTCATCCACCACGCTGTTCGACTCGCTCCAGAAATGATGACGGTCGACCTGAGGTTAGACAATCATCACATATCTCAAATATTGGTCGCTCGAAAACGAACCAAGATCATCGGAAACTGTTTCATCGTTACAGATCCCCCACCCTGGGAATCTTCAGTCTGGATATCCTATTACACCAAAGCCAACCGTCTGGGGTGCCACCTTGCTCGGCTGATCCGTCCGGCAACGTGCATCGAGGACAACTTTAGCATTGCACACCTGAGGTGTGCCGTCGCCGCAATGGAAGAGCCCAAGATACCCCTAATAGCGTACAACTCTGGGCCGTTGGGTCGCAATTCGGCTTCCTTCAACAGTATCCTAACTGTTGTCCGGCCAGAATCCCTTGCAAGGGTTAACCCAAAGCCCCCAATCACGCCATGCGTTACGGCCCTCGGAGCAACTGAGGCTTTGTTTTCGTCATTTATCTACGACAAAATGAAGCTCTACGTATTCGGCGCCAACGTGGACTACAGTCTGTCTCCGGCCATGCATACCTCTGCACTGAACGCGTGTGGAATCCCACATCGCTATCAACCCTTCTCCGCATCCACACTTCGTGGCATCAAACACCTCCTCGAAGATCCCAACTTTGGAGGTGCCTCGGTCGGCCTTCCTTTCAAAGTCGAGGTAATAACATTGACACACACCCTAAGCAGTCATGCTCGAGCAATCGGGGCTGTGAATACCCTAATTCCAATTCGTCACCTAAACCCTGACGGCTCAGTTCCGATGGGAGCAGGGTTCTTCTACGGCACCAACAGAGCAGGTCCAATCAAGGCTCTCTACGGAGAAAATACGGACTGGGTCGGCATCAGAGCTTGCATTCGTCGCGGTCTCTCTCCCGCCAACGCTGTTGTGTCAAGCAGCTCTGGGTTGGTCATTGGCGCTGGAGGCATGGCGCGTGCCACAGTGTATGCAATGCTCCAGATTGGCATGAAGAACGTGGTTGTTTACAACCGTACCCTCAAAAATGCGGAGAAAATGGTGTCTCACTTTACCCAGCTTCTTCAGAAGAAAGACTTCAAGTTGTTTAGCGCCGGATCTGAGCCCGCGCGCTTCCACATCGTTGAATCACTGGACGAGCCCTGGCCGGAAGATTTCCGATTACCTACGGTCATTGTTTCGTGTATCCCGACGCACCGGATTGGCGATATGCCCGCTCCTGACTTTACGGTTCCAGAGCCATGGCTCGGCAATCGTACTGGAGGCGTCGTGATCGAACTGGCATACAAGACGCTCAACACACCCCTGCTCGAGCAGATTAGAAACGAGTCGGCAAGAGGCTGGGTGGCAATGGACGGACTAGATCTACTCCCTGAGCAAGGCTTCGCTCAGTTTGAACTGTTCACTGGCAGGCGGGCACCAAGAAGGCTAATGAGAAGGGAGGTCTTTCATGCGTACCCAGATGAGGAGGGCAAGTCCAATCTTGAGGAACTGCAGCCACGCTTGCAGCTCCTCGACGAGCAAGAAGCATAACAAGCGAAAGAATAAAACGAAGGGTTTCGAGACCCAATTCTGGACGAGACACTTGGCGCATGTACTTGGCTTAGCGTAATGAGGCGTTGGTGGATGTTGTTGAACTGCATGTAAATACGGGCAAGTAGAGCCGCACTTAGTGTGCATGATTACTTTTTGAGGCTTCACTATGATCTCCCGTCCATACTTCTCCATGTCTGCGTAGTACTCAACTTAGGGATCAGCATGTACTACACGTCCCACCGCTAGCTTTAACAGGAGAGAGACGAGGGAGAAGGGTGCAGAACATGAACTAAGCAGGAAAGCGACGGCTACTGTCTGAATACACCTTGACTACACAGCATTGTAAAATTTGGCCTCGTTGCGATGTGCTTATTTCTTAAATGCAAGGGGTTGAGGATCGTTATCTGCTTGGACCCGGTCTTACCAGCGAGGACAGCCAGAGCAGTTGTAATCAGCCCAATGAGGCATAATCACAAGAGACTCATGCATCTTGGCACACTGTGGAAATGGAACAATCCCTGGTCTGCTGTGGCTGAGCAGATATGATAAAAGTCGCCAAGAGCCACGACGTAGACCGGAATAAGAGTACATATTAGAGTCCTATAAGAAGTTGTAATGGCTTTAAGGCGAAGACAAATCAAGAAACTCGGTGCTTTAATTGAAATGCTATGAATTGCCGTTCAATCCGCACTAGCTAGCATATCCAGACACATGCACGCCTAGCTCAAGAAAGCTTATACGCATATGCCGTAGAATTTGTGAGAGGGTCCATGTACATAGTGAGCTAAGGTTCGATGAGTTAGACTTTGGCCACTGCGTTGGAAAGACATGAAGGAAGTAATCACTCACTGTGTCTTCCGAATAGGTATGCTCGCTAAACCCAAGATCGACTGTACCATTGACTTGGCCTGGAGAACCGTCCCAGTCAAAACGATAAGTCCGGACATTGACCGTCCCAGAAGTAGGTAGTCCCAAGGTACTCAAACCAGAAATATTGATGTCGTAAGGCTCCTAGACCGTCCTAGTTCCCGCAATGATCTTGACGGTATTCTCCGATGTGTTGGCGAAAACGTCAAATATGAGATCACCGGAAGCGGAGGTCTCAACTCTGTTGCCGGTCATCCCTGTATAATACTTGTACAGCTGCCATTCGCCGTTGGGGTAGTATGTCCCGTTGGTCTTGTAAATCATGTAGTTGTGCAAGTCCGAGCCACCACCCCAGTTAGCACGGAGACAACGGAGGTTGTGTCGCTCGCACTGGGCTAGGTAGTAAACCGAGTTGGCAGGGCTCTGTTCAGATGTCCAAGCATACTCGTTAATGTCAAATGGTCGGACTGGCAGATTGTACTGTTCCCGCAGTGTCTCGAAGTCGAGGATCGTTGTGTCAGGTTGACGCTCCCACAATCCATAGATCTATGGAAAAGATTTAGAAAATTGTCAATCACATTCCAATTGGAGGAAAATTCTTGTCCATACTAAATACTACCTTTCAAAAACACTGTGTAGTCGCGAAAATGACACCCATTACCCTTTATTAAACTACTTACACAAGAGCAACTTTTTAAAGGAAAGCTAGAGTTGATTGATGTTTCGAATACGATATGATCAAGGGATTCATGAAATCTCTGTGAATACCTTTAGGCGAGTAAGTCGCTTGAAGGGCGTTTGTAGATGAGAGCAGAATGCCACAGAATAAATCTGCAAATATCAAACCTGCGTTTAACAGAAATCCCACTCAATATAATATCTACGCATGAATTGTAGCACCAACAATGTGAAATAAACGAATAGACTATAAATTTTGACTGGCTATCTGTTCTGTGGTATTAGTCGACGGACAGTATGGAGGTTCTAGGTATCTTATATTCACTACAACCCGAGTTCGATATCACCAATTTGTTAAATGGCAATACACAAATTACTTAACTGCTAGTTGTTTCCTCCAACTGGCGGTGACTCAGCGCTAATCAAATTGGATGGGGTGACTTCTACACCCAGCATGTCAATCAATGGAAGGGCGCGAAATATGGGCCTACCTAGCGTGTTAGTAATTTTCGGCTTACTATCTCCTCATCCTGTTCGCCATCATCTACCTTAAAACCTCCTCTAATTTCCGTTCAATTTCAGCCTCTCAGAATAGTTCTTCATCTTCTGCTTGTACAGAAAACACAATACATTGAGATTAGTAGCAAATCAAGCCAAAGCTTGACACCAACATTGCCATGGCTCAGTCAGCATGCTACGGTACGTGATATTCCCCTCACTGACAAATATGAGTGGTACTGACTCATCATTCCGATATCAGTGACCCTGGATGTCTTCACGGCCAAAAGGTAATAGTTAATAGTCAAAGAGAGAATAATCGTCATGATTTAGCTAATACTGAGTTTTTTAGATTCAAGGGCAACCAAGTCGCTGTCGTGGAGGTTCCCAACGAACCGTTGTCGACCAAGCACATGCAGATGATTGCTCGAGAATTCAACTTCTCCGAAACGGTTTTTCTGCATCGCCCAGACCCAGCTCAAAGACCTAAGATCAACATCTTCACCCCTGTGAATGAAATGGACTTTGCTGGGCATCCAGTCATCGGCACCGGTCATGTCTTATTTCGCCAGCTTCTATCCAACCCTAAGTACGCTACAAAGTCGACACCAAAGTCTCTCGAAATCCAAATCAATGCCGGAATTGTCTCCGTCCAATATGACTCGGAGAAGCAAACTGTGTCCGCCCAGGTGCCACACAATGTCCACATCCACAGAGTGGGTGCGCCATTGAAGAGCATCGTGGATACCCAGCCAGGACTTGCAATCAGCGACGAAGTCAAGGATTCATTCCCGTTAGTCTCCATCGTGAAGGGAGTTACCTACGCCCTGGTGGATTTTACGAAGCAGCCTGACTTGTTCGCTTCCGTGATGCCTGGCCCGTGTCCTGTTACTCCGCTCGACGCTGAATGGGCACCGTCATTCACGGGTGTGATGTATTACAGAGTTTTGGGTACTCGAATCGAGCAAGACAAGAAAGTTTGGGATCTTCGAGTGCGCATGATTGCCATCAATCTGGAGGATCCGGCTTGTGGCAGCGGCTCATGCTCGTTGGGGGTATACCTTGCTCTAGAAGACGGTAAAGCAAACGGCTCTTACAGATTCTACCTAGACCAGGGGTCGGAGATTGGGAGAGACAGCAGTATAATTGTGGACATTGTGCTTAATGAACGTGGAGATGGGGTGGCTTCGGTGTTGCTTTCTGGTCAGGCAGCGCCTGTAACGGAGGGAAAGATCATGTTGCCTGAATGATGGGATCCTGGCTAGTAGTCACATCAGCTAACATATTGTCAATCCTTAATCATCGTTTATTCACATTGCTCATCATCTTCATCTTCCTTTTCCCCCCACGGAAGACTTTCCCTTTCAATTCTCTGTTGTTATTTTCTCGGCTGGACATGCAGTGCTCTGCTTCGGTTTGCGTTTGATCTATCCGCCAGATTTAACTTCACGGTCTTCGTATCCTTCGCCCATTTTGCATACAATCCTTCAACCTTCGCTTCTTCAACTCGTACAACACCAGCACATCTCCATCTCGCGCACGATCACTGAGTGTCTCCCACTCTCAAAACACCAACGCATCTCTACTCATAATCATCAGACTATCAACCAACACTGTGCTAAAGAAGGTATAAGCTAGAACAACATACCACCACTAAGAGTTGAGCAGGTCCTCAAACAGGTGCCATCCAGGGCGAAAGATGCATGACACGCTAACCGGTGCACCCATGGGTACGCTTGTCTATTAAAGATCATTGAAGAATAAAAATACATAAAATTAAGGAGCATATATTGAAGAACAGATATTAGAGCACGTAATAAATAAAAAAACTCGTCTTCGTTGTGTACATAATTATTTTTATCAAATATCCTTTTATTATTTTTGCTGCAGAGAATACACGGGCGTTGACGGGTACCTATCGATTCTTGACTTATTCTTTCTTGGCTACCTATATTGCCCCCAAAGTCCGGAGAGGTAGTACTGGGTACTAATTTTTGTACTCCAGTGCTATCCTGATTCCCAACTAAGTGGCAGGACTAGCACATCCTCGGTATCTGATCTCCCCTTCCCTCTCACATTCCATACCGCTCAATATCTTCATCTACGTCATGCCGAGATCGGAAAACACGTATTGGTATCAGACTCTGGGACTGCCCCACATACTCCGGAGCCCTGGCTTCAAATCCCCAGACTTAGGTGGATCTCCCCATTGGTTTTATGGTCCATAAGGTAAACCCCGTAAGGCGGATCCCGCTCAAGAGCCTCTCTCACCCTATCTAGCTGATTCGTTCCCAAATGTAAGAGACTTGCGTATTGAATGAGCTCGAAAGTTGTGGTGCATCGGCGATCGTCGCACCAGGTGATGTGTTTAGTATCTTGGTCGACGAAATGCCCATAGCTGTCTGGGTTGAGCTTGCTAGTCCATGCCTGCTGTATGGCACCGCCTTTTTCGAGACTCCACCAGCAAGTTCTTTCGATCGAGCAATGTTTGCTGGAGAACGGATTGGTGGGTGGTGGATCGGAGTCCTTAGCCAGCGGGTCGCAGAGGATATCGGTATAGCAAATGCGGCACGTCATTTTCTGTTGCGCGGGCCGATGGCAAGGGTCGCCTAATGTAAATGACTTTAAGCGGGTGAGTCGATCGGGAGTGGTCTGTAGATGAGGGCAGAATGCTCCAGGGAAAAAGGTGTGCAAGTCCTTAAGCTTGGCTAAGCAGCCATCCCGACGGGTGCGAATGTCAGTACTGTCTATGTCTAGAGGTGAAGACCATTGAATAGAATAACCGCCGCCCTTCATTATACGATCGTGTTTAATCGCCACCTGATCAAATTTGCATGACGTCTCCCGGCATGTCATAGTAAGGCATCCATTCTGCTTGATCCGAGGGTCTTCAACCCAGTTTCGCGAATCTTGAAGAGAGAACTTCAGATGGGGGCAAACAGTGCAGTAGCCTTCAAAGCCGATACAAATACGAACAGAGTCGGATGCCTTGCGTTGAGACTCGGAGAAAAAGATGGCGGGGTGGTCGGCATAGCACTCTGTGCAGTACAGAGGCTCGAAAAGGGCAGCAACTCGGTGGCCATAATTCGGTTTCCTCCTAGCCTCTTGGCAAGGTTGGCAACGAGTGGGTGCCGCGTTCGCAGTGCTGGTGCCCTGAGTCTGGTGAGAAGGCTGCTCAGCGTGCTGCTCCTGCAGGGACATGTTGCTCATGCGTGGGGCGAGGTGCTCGGATAGGGGTGTTGGTGTTGTTGGTGTTGAGGCGCTTGCAGTTTCGTTGAGGGCACTTGTGGATGGTTGGTCTCGATATAACATCTTGCTGTATTGGCTTGTCGGTAGTTGGTAGAGCTTGCCTGGCGTTGTAGAAAACGCACGAGATGAAGGTGAAACGGCTGAATCCTAAGACGTGATGGTTTACGAAGAGGTGGTGGTCGAAAAGGAGCAGACAAAGAAGTGATAGAAAAATGGGATTCATGCACATCCCAGTATATAACCTAATCCTAAAAATAAGTTGCAGTCCAGAGAGGTTTACCATTAGGTAAGAAATGCTTGAATTGTGGATAAAACTGTGTTTTTTTACCTTGTGCTGGCAACTTGCTCACTTTGAGGGAGCAGACAGAAGTTAGATTAGTCCAGAGAGGCTGTGTAGTAATACTAATTCTTAGCATCCATCCCTCAGACGAAGCGAATTTTTATTTATTAGGTTAGATTTAATATGATAACTTTTTGGCCTAAGAGGTGCTTGGAAGCTTGCTAGCTGTGTCAAATGACGACAAGGGTATTGGATAAGGTCACTGGATGTGCTGAAGATTAACGGCTGGATGAGCTTTAGAGGTAATGCATCGTATGCCCTGAAAATTGAAGGCTCAACAGGCTGAGTTGGGGTCTAGGTGATTTACGGATCTCGGTGGGTTCGCTTCTACGCATGTTGCCTAAGGTGTAAATGATCACATACCCTATGGGTTAAGTGGTTTTTGGTGCATTTCTAACCATTCTTAATAATAGTAAGCTGCTACAAACCACTGATATGCTTTGATGTATGGCCACCGAGAACTTGGCCTCAGAAGCCGCACCCTTCCCAGCTATCCATATATTTAGTTGTTTGGAACGAAATTCTACCAATTAATAGACTGTGATCGGTCATACATAATATGACCCACTGCCAAGAAGTTAATCCAGTTCATACTTATCTAGCAAGCTAAATACAACCATCACACCATCCATCAGTGGACTTCCCTTCCATCCATTAGATCGAAATGGACTCGTCCAACTCCGACAAGGTCTTCTAGCTGTTTAGCACGATTTTAGAGAAGGAGTCCACCGGCCTAGTTAAGAAGAGGGGCTTGACATACAGGCTGCAGCAGGCGTTGGCCGGAGCCATTGTCGCTCTCTTTTTCCGCATCAGGCGCGCTCTAACATTTAAGTTACCGTACATAAGGGTGGGAGGCAACTTAGTAAGGCGGGACATCAGGAAACTGATGAATGGGGTCACGTCCGCGTCCACCGCCGCGGTCAAAGTCCGTCCGGTTGATGCACTTTGGCCTCCAGAACTCCATCATTTCATTCTCGACGAGCCTGGGATTGCTGCCGGCGTAGATACCGCCCTGCGGTAACCCAGGTGCATACACTACAGGCCATGTCGGTATCGTGCAAAGTTCCTGCGGTTGTTTGTTAGCATCAAATGGTTCTGGCATGGAATAGCAACAGGATCGGGGCTGGACTAACGTTCGACGCGCATTGGCGGTCACACTGAGACCACGTGTCCCACCCAATCCATTCCAAAACGTCAGCTGCGAGCTTACTCTTCTCTTTGATCTCTTTAGAGATGGAAGGTAAGTCTGAAGGTTCCCCTTGGTGTCCAAAATAGTTGGTTGTATGTTTCTCACTCCACTCAAACATATCCCATTCCCAAGTGCAGAGCTTCTCCATGACAAAGTTTGTCGAGTGGTAGAATAGGACCTCGGCACGCGCAAGCTTTGCTGGATTGAGTAGAGTCGTGTAAACGGACGCGCACCGAGAAATGGTTTGCTCCTTTGATGTGACCGAGCTATCGGGGTTGGAAACTTGGTACTCCAGGTAAGGGGCAAGGATTGCATGCGACAGTTCATGGACCTTTGTTATAATGGCCTCGGCCTCATTCTTGGTGTTATGCTTCCATTCTAAGGCTGACTTCATCTCCTTGGCCCGTGTACCATGCTGGGCCTGGATAACCGTAAACAGGGCCTGCCAGTTGAATCCAGAGCAACCAACATCTTCCGAGGTCGACGATGTAATTTCTCGCAGCCATGTCCGAACCGTTTCGACGTCGGTCTTGTTGATGTCATGTAGTCGATGTCCTCGTCGGAGGCCCCACCCGTTCTGGAACGATTGATTTCCGACGATGCCGCCATGGTGGGAGCTAGCGAGGCTAGTCAACGCCGGGTCGTAGAACGACACCATCCGGCAGACGTCTAGCTTGACTCTCGATTCCGGCGGGCCGCCCTGACCGTGTTGGCCGTAGTGCCATGTGGCGCTCCGAAGCCACTCATACGAGCCTTGCTCGGAGAAGACATTTCCAAACCCAAGAGGGGGCTGTCGGTTGGGATCCTGCGGAAGCAAGGGGGGGTTTTCTTCCCGGTTGCCGGGCACGGTGATGTTGGTGACGAAGAGCTCCTTAACTTGAGCAGCGGAGTAGTCACAGATTAGGACCTCGAAGCCCGCGTTCATCCTCACAACGCCATCGATGCCGAGGTCAGCGACCAAGTCGCACAGGTCCAGAGCCCTCTGGTCGTCATCATACACGAGGTCATATGACGGGTACAGCGGGACTTCGCCTTGAAGAACGGCCATTTGTGAATCAAGCGTGCCGCCTGGGGTCAGGGTCGCCGACTGGCCGTCCAAGTAGATGATGTTGAGAATACGCGTCGTGCCGTATACGTGCAGCTTAGACTCGCCGAACCCTCCGTAAATGCCCACTGACATCTCTCTGCCCATACCAGGTAATTAGAATACAAAAATGGGCAGTGGGGGATTTTGAGACTCTTACACGTCAAAAGCAAAGAATGTAGGCTTGTCTGGAGGGCCAGCAGCGTGCTTGGCATGATACAGAGTGGTGCCCAGGGACAATGTACCCGCCACGATAGAATGGCCAGCAGCGTGCTTGGCATGATACAGAGTGGTGCCCAGGGACAATGTACCCGCCACGATAGAATGGCCGTTGGGCGCATATGAATTGGGCCACTGCTTCAGGAGCCCCTGGACCGAATCAAGCACAAAGAGCGCGGCCACACGGTAGTCTTCGTCGGAAATCTGCGGTGGCGGGATAGGCGGGGCGAAGGGGGATGAGGGAAAGCTTCCGGCCCAGAAGTACGGGATTGCGAGGACCGAGGCCATACCGATGACCGTCATCACCAGGAGCACGGAGTTGGACGGGCGGCTTTTCCAGTTGTTGCTCGACGGGGACGGAGGCATTGTCGCGGAGAGAATACTCCGATGCAACGGCTTTGGGGAGGGCATTCGCAGAGCTCGCCGGATGGGGGTACCTCGCGGGAACTCTCGCTCGCAGTCGGCTAGGCTTCAAAATCACAGCGCTCGCTCTCTCGGCGTGTGGCAAGACCGGCCGCGTCGTGAATGGAGAATCTGCCTCGAGCGGGAAAGAAAATAGAGGATTAAGTACATCAGGCTGGCTCTGCGACAAACGAGCGAGGCGCGCACAGCTTAGGTGTCAGGCCGGTCAGGTGACTCGCTGCACACACCCACCGGACCTCATCAGGACCGGCCACTCGCCCTTCTCGACAATCGCAGTCTCTCTCAGGATGACCTCGTCGGGGCGGACGTTGTGTTTCCACATTACTGTGACGAGGGCTATGAAGTTCGACACAGTCCTCACCATCGCTGGTTCTACAAGCAGTGCCTGGAGGCTGATGAAGCCCTCATGTTCAAGCTATATGACAGCGCAAAAGACGAAGTTCAATGTAAGTCAATTTGGCCTTGATAGGGATAAGGAGCATACTGCTAAAACATTAACAGTTTGTCCCCACGCCGCATTTATCGATCCATCGGTCCCAGAAAACACACCACGACGTGCTAGTATTGAGCTTCGAGCTATTATCATAGGTTAACGGAGAGTTCTTGTACTATAGGCCTCTATCGAAGTCTATTATGAAAGCAGAACATTGGTTAAAGAGTTCAAGGATGCAAGAACTGGATCACCTTCATTGTTTTGCCAGGAGACCTCTATAACGTATTGTGGACGGTGCCAGATAAGTTGGACAAAGTAAGAGATGTATTAATAGTCCTCCCTTATAGTCAGATGTATGTACTATATTGGCCTCATCGGTGCTTTATATAATCTCATGCAGCTGAGCAAAGGATGGTGTGGCATTTCCATTAGACATCTCTAGTCCCAGGTATATTTTAGGCTAGGTGTAACAAACGAGTTCTTGAAACTTCTGTGAAAATCATAAATATAACGCGTAGACTGAATATATTATTACGGCAATAGAACGAGCTATTGGAAAAAATAACAGACAATGCATAGTCTGGCTTATTCGCAATCAGGAACGTGTCTGGAAGAATCAGATCCCTAGGATACACTCAAGCGTGATGCAAGTACCCATCCGTTGGATAGATATTGACTAGCAAATGGTACCCAACACATCATCTCGTCCATCTTAGAACCCATAATTCAGCTGAAGCCACCATTAGTAGTAAATGGGGTTCTTGGGGTCAGTTAAGTCGAAGATGACAGAGCTGTGAGGACGAGCACCACCACGGCTCTTAGTGAAGATGGACTCAAAGTCGATAGATCGGTTGAAGCTGAGGGATCCGTCGTCAAGAATGTCAATCCAGTGACCCTTGTAGTCGGCAGGGGTATTGACAACAGAAATCTGTGAATGCAAATGTTAGAAGACTTCCTCTGCGCGCATTGTAAGGGGTTACATACATCTCCAGCCTGGACGAAGTATCCAGTGACCAATAGGTTCTTCTTGTCGGGAGAGATCTTGACATAGTGCGGGCCGATGATAGGCTGCTGCTCATTGGGGTCATCGAGGCGCTTGACGTTATCAAGGTCCGAGATATCGAGGGCGGCGATGTGGTTTCCAAGGGTGATTGTGAAGTAAGCGAACTTGCCATCGGTGGAAATATCGGAGTAGATGGCAAGGGATTCCTTGGCCTTGTCGCCGAGATCGTAAAGGAGCTTGGCCACACCCTGATTACCGTTGGAGTCCTTGCGGAAGGGGTAGATAATCCAGACCTGACCAGGACCAACGGCACTAAATGGTGCAAATAACATTAGCCGTGTTATTGGCTACTGATTATTAGGAAGGGCACTCACGTTGCAAGGGCAGCACTCTCCTTGTTTCCGGGGATGAACTTGACATCCTGGATACCTTGTCCCTGTGAATGCGTTAGGAAATGGCTTGTCCGCAAGTAGCTTTTTATCACTTACGTTGGGGATGGTTATGGTAGAAATGATCTTGCGAGAGTCGAGGTCCCAGAGCCGCAAGGTGTCCGCCTTTTGGATTCCGGTAGTTGGCTTCAGAATCGACAGGGGTACGACAAAGTCAGAAGTAAGAATAATCTTCTTCTTGAAGTCAATGCTCAGACCGTGAGGGGAAAATTGCTTTTCAAGAATGTTAAGCGTGCTCTGAACATCTTCCGGCCACTCATGGAGGATGTTTCCACCGGCATCAGTCTCGATAAGTCGGCCAGGCGAAGTGCCGACGGCGCTACCCATGTAGGTGATGAAGAAGCCACTGTCGCCAATGATTAGATACAGTCCGGCAGACACAGGATATTACGTACCCTTCAGGCTTGGCTCGGATCTCGTCGACGATGGAGCCCAGAAGACCCCGGTTACTGTGGCTAAACTTGGGGTGGTATGGGTCCGAGGTGTCGAAGTAGAATGCAGTATCCTGGGTCTTCAGGAGGGACAGCAGACCACCACCGACCAGCAACTGTCCGTCAACAGACGGGCCCAGGTGATGGGGAGAGTTGCCACTGGAGGGGACGTCGGTGATATCAATGAAGGTACCGAAGGTTTTCTTGAAGGTGTTAGCGACTTGATCCTGGCGGTAGTATAAGTGAGATTCTAACATCATCCAGGCTGACGGTAGCCAAGAAGTCCTTGTGCTTGTTGTCACCAGCTCCAGTCCAGAAGTAGCCAATCTTCTTGGGCTTGATGTTGGACACCGCAAAGGGAGGGCTGTCCAAAGGAGGAGTGGGAACCTGCAGGATAGGCAGTGGAGGGGCGTTTTCGGCCAGAGGCTCAGTCACGCCAGGAATCGCGGGAATCAGAGGCGGGAGACTGAGAGCCGAGGTACGTGTGGCCAAGTAGCCCACAAGGGTGGCGAGAGAAACCAAGGAAGGCATTTTCAAGAGACTTGCAAGGACGGTGTAAGTGGCTCCGATCAGTGTGGTACTGTTCGTTGGAATGTGTGAGCAAGTTGATTGTGTTAGCTTGGATAAACGAGAATATTTGAGGGAGTTTCTCCAGCATATATACTTGATCAAGTGTCCCTTGGTGGTGGCGGCTTCCTTGGTCTAGAATCCCTCTCACTGGGCTGTCACATCCCCTGAACACCACAGCTGTCCTCTTGCCTCTATTTCTCATAGATCAAATTGTATCATCAAGCCTCATGAACACACAATCCAGCTTGGTCCGGGTGTTTTTCAGTATCGGCTATCGCAATCCCCGAGCCCATCGCTCTTCTGTCCGGGTCGTCGATACCATCTTTCCTAGATGTCGTCTAGTCTCGATGATGTGATGGCAAGAAAAGGAACAAGCGGCAACCGGAAATGAAATTGCCGGCTCATTCGTGTTACTGATCAGCAAAAAGTCTTCTGGATGAGTGATCAGGCTCTCAGCTAATGGCCGGTAGTGTCATCATCATGTATGCGGAAGTGTGATAAATTGCCCAGTGACGTTGATGGCCACAAAATAGGAATAGCCTCACTAACTTACTTGTCTTTTTGGTCAATCACTGTGCCCCTTATGGATGCATGCTAGTAAGAAAACCTAAGACAATGGGATGTGGCTGGCCTATTTCGGCACTCTAGTTACTGCTCATGAAATGGGTAGCGTCTGTGCCATTTCTTGAACGCATGATCAGTATATTTCGATCTACAGGTCTGTAGGATGATACCATATTCTTGGTGTATTCACCAAGCTCGTGACTGGCCTGCATTTCAGTTCTGCAGGGGGTTAGCTGGGAATGGTACTGTGTTCATTCGCCAGAGAAGGTAATCGCCTTACAACACTAGGCCCTACGAAGGCAGTGATTTCCCAGGAGCTACCATGTAAGCTGCTTCTGGTTAAATATGACCCTGTCGCCTTCGTATGCGAGCACAGATCCCCAATGCATGCCGTGGGGGTGGATGTGTTGGGGACTGGTGTGGCTGGCTACATCCAGAGACAGCCTGGCAGTCTAAATTGGGATACCAGGCTCCATGTGTGGATGATCGTCACTGTAGCCTCAGCCTTGGGTAGAGACGTCTTGTTAGCTGCGATTGCGACTTCCATCCTGTTCAGGTCCACTTTGGGTCCACGCCGATGGACCGACGCAGACTGGCAACACCGTGAACCACTCAGTGGCATACCATCCTGAGCGGTGCTTTTGTATCTCGACGCAAAACAGGGTGGACGCAGGCATTCTAAGTCTCTTAGTACATTGCAAAGAGAAACTTTGACAGATTGCAACGGTTCCATCCCAACGGATCAGGGACAAGCAAACCGCCGCCAGTTTTGAGGCCAGTGTCAGTCCACCGCAAACTCAATCAAACCCTCTTCGATCAACAGGGACAGCCGCTGCCATCCACTGGAAAGAGGATATTCATTACCTTGACTTTACGCTTAATACGTGATTGAATAGCGCGGCTTCTGATTCGCTCGTCGTAGCTTGAGTCGCTCAACGTCGGTGCTAAGAGTGCGGGTCAATCACGTTATTTCAACCACCAATGTCGAAACCCCGGATTTCGCCCCAGATCGTAGGTGGACTTGCTTTTAAGACATGATCATCCTGCAACAGTCTGAATCGAGGAATTCTCAGCTTGTCTCTTTCTTGGCAATATTTTTTGCAGATCTCCCGGCAGTCTAGCATCCGAGAGCCCTACCGCAATAGCTTCAACGCGGTAGTCATCAATAGCGTCGTGGAGGTCATCACACGCGATGACCACAAGAGGGCTCGGAGTGAATTCGTCATTCGCGCCAAAGATTTTGTATGTCTCTTCTAATTTACAATTGATTTGAAATTGAAGATCTTGCTCTCTTCGAGATGCGTTCGTATGAAGCTCATCATGAAGGAGGTAAGTGGCGTGGGTGGCCCGGGAGACAACGCCGCCGCGCTGTGCGGGACAGAATTTGTCGGTTCGTATCTCAAGATCCGGAGTGACAACTCTTTCCTACGTCTAAAGGTACTATAGACTATAAAGACTACATGCATAGCCTTCCGTTTCTTGCACCCCATTCATTGCTTTGTCAATTGAAGCATTGAAGGCTTACGTTCCTTCGCCATACTGCTTCTCCTTCCCGAGCCCCTCAATTCTAGTCCCAATGAAATACCCATCCATGCTCTCGGCCTCTTTGGCCTTATCCTGGGCTGCACAGTTTACCGCTGCAGCTCCCCAGGCTGTTGATCTCCAGAAGCGAGACGCAAAGTTTGATGAGGGAGTGCCAGATGATGGCAAAGGAAAGGGCGGCCCTATCATAGGTATGTCATTGATGTTGAACCCTCTATTCAGATTGCCTTGGGGTCCTTACTAATTGCTTGTCTACTACAGGGGGGACCAACAAGGAGCTTGATCTCCAGAACCCAGACAACCTCGGTCAGCAGCCCACTGACAATGGTATTGTTCCGAACCTCAAGTGGAGTTTTTCTGACTCCAAGACGCGGATCTTGAAGGGAGGTTGGGTTCGTGAGCAAGTTATTCAGGACCTGCCCTCGAGCCATGACATCTCAGGTGCCCAGCAACACCTCAAGAAGGGAGCCATTCGGGAACTTCATTGGCACCGTGTTGTAAGAGCACCTCCCCTCAATGGTCTACCTTCATCCTTGAGACACTTGAACTCATACTTCTCTTCAGGCCGAATGGGGTATTGTCTACAGTGGCTCCGTTCAAATTTCCGCCGTGGACGAGTTCGGCAGATACCAAGTCGAGCAGCTCAACTATGGCGACATATGGTACTTCCCCAAGGGCGCTGCCCATACCATCCAAGGACTCGGCGAAGAGAATGAATATCTTTTGGTCTTTGATGATGCGGACTTTGACAAGGCTGGGTACGTTTAATCGCCCGGCAGGCTGGCCAGGAGTTCCGTTGACATTTGAACAGAACCACCTTCATGGTCGATGACTGGATCAACCACACTCCAAAGCACATCCTCGCCAAGAATTTCGGAGTTGACCCAGAGGTCTTTGAGAATGTCACCAGCCCGAACCCGTACATCTTGCCCTCTGAGGTTAGCAAGAAGAATGTCACAGATGGGCCCGCAGGCACTCTAAACGGCGACAGCTCTTTCGTGTACCGCACTTTCGAGCACGAGCCTGAAAAGATTGGCGGAACCGGCGGCGAGTTTTACAAGATCGACTCGACCAACTTCCCCATCAGCAAGACATTGGCAGCGACATTTGTTACGCTGAAGCCCGGAGGTCTCCGCGAGCTTCACTGGCATCCCAATGTAAGGATTTACTTCATAGTGTTTATGTTTGGAACTTCTTTTGCTAACACGTTGAATAGGCTGAGGAGTGGCTATACTTCCACAAGGGAACGGGTAGAGCTACCGTCTTCATCGGCAACGCAGCGGCCCGAACCTTTGACTTTTCTGCAGGCGACACGGCCGCATTCCCCGACAACTCCGGGTAAGAGGACCGAGCCAAATATCACAGCGATGATACTAACACGGCAATTTCTAGACATTACATCGAGAACACCTCGGAGACTGAAGACCTGGTCTGGATCGAGGTGTATAAATCTGATCGTGTCGCAGACATCTCCTTGACGCAGTGGTTGGCTCTGACCCCTGCCGACATCGTCGCGCAGACGCTCAACGTGACAATCAGCTTTGTCGAGTCCCTGAAAAAGGAAAAGCAGGTGTTGATCGAATAAGGAGGTAATTAGGTGGTTGGTGGAAATGGAGGCTGGGGTTCTAGGCGCCTCGATAAGAGTGGCGTGTCGATTCAGCGCTTCAGACGGTCGTGTTAATACTCTTCAATGGCGGCAAAGTCGCCATGTCTGGATTTAAGGCATTTATAGTGCGTAATTATAATCTCAATGGCTTCAATCTCGTTGATTCGACCCAAACCCCGCAGCGATGAAAGCCAGTGACTTAATTCACTCAAGATGTTGTATTTTGGTGAACCGTGATGGTGCATGTAACGCTGTGAGGCCGACTTCGGCGGGGTTTTGTTAGCAGGCTTGCAGTGATAAAATGTAAGATGCAACAAAGAGAGTGTGTATTGTGTGTTGTCGGGATCTCTGAGACCTAGGACCTAGCTAGGTAGCTTTCTGTACTGCTCTGTACTCTACTTACTAGGTTGGAATACCTTAGGTGTAGGAGGCAGAGCCCTCAATGCGTACAGGAATGCGTACGGGAATGTGTCTAGGGTGGCCGAAATGATCACCTTACAGCCGAGCCTCGACCTCCGAGACGCCGTACTCACATTCCTCTGCACTTGCGTCATAAGCCTAATATGCGCCGGCTCCAAGCGAGCCAACCTCCCCAAGCTCAGTGACTTCCCGCCGCCAATTGACTCTCTTCAACACCCACACCTTAGACTACCTACACCAAGCTCCCTTGCTAAGCTCCTTCACGATGCGAGCCGCAACAATTGCCTGCGCCCTCGCTTCGGCGACCCTGTCCCTGTGCTCCGAGCAGCAGGCCCCTCTATTCGGCTCGCCCAAGCAAGCTCCCGCCGCCAGTGATGCCGACGCGCCGTCGTACCGATCGGAGCTGCTGAAGCTGCACAAGGCTCTCGTCTCGACCGAGTCCATCTCCGGGGCGGAACACGACGTCGGCGAAGTTCTTTCTCAGTACCTCGCCGACCTGGGCTACATCACCCAGGTCCAGCCCGTCCCCCCGCGCGACGATACCCCCGCCAATAAGGACCGCTTCAACGTGCTGGCCTGGCGAGCTGGCATCGATCATGATCCGACCGTCTTGCTGTCAAGCCACATTGATGTCGTCCCGCCACACATCCCGTACGGCATCGACGACGGCGAGGTCACCAAGCATACCATGATCAGGGGCCGAGGCAGTGTGGACGCCAAAGGCAGCGTCGCAGCTATGATTATTGCGCTGGACGAGCTGCTCAAGGAAAAAAAGGTGGACCCCAGCAAGCTCATGATGCTCTTCGTCGTTGGAGAAGAAGTTAGTGGCGACGGCATGAACCAATTTAGCAACGCTGTCGCCAACAAGGAGCTCCCCTACCATTTCGAGTCCGTCATCTTCGGTGAGCCGACCGAGAACAAACTTGCGTGCGGCCACAAGGGCGCCCTCTTCTGCGACATCAACGCCAAGGGCTTCCCCGGCCACAGCGGCTACCCGTGGCTGGGCAAGTCGGCCAACGAGCTGATGATCCGCGCCTTTGCCAAGGTTTTCGAAACCGACCTGGGCAGCAGCGAGTTGTTCGGAAAGACCACCGTCAACGTCGGTCGCTTCAACGGCGGAGTGGCAGCCAATGTCATCCCCGCGTTCGCAAACGTTGGAATGGGCGTGCGAGTCGCCATTGGCCCCGAGGAGTCGGGAGCTTCGATTGTGCAAGAGAAAATTGAGAAAATCTTCCACGACATCAGCGAGGATGCGTTTGACCTCCAATGTACCCCTGGATACGGGTCCGTCGAGTGCAACTGCGATGTCGATGGTAAGTCCCCTACGGCATCTCTGTGAGGCAGTCGCTAACACCACAACAGACTTCGACACCATTGTCGTCAACTACGGCACTGACATCCCCAACTTCAAGGGCGACCACACCAGATATCTTTACGGGCCCGGAAGCATTCTGGTTGCACACGGCGCGAATGAAAACTTGACCGTTGCTGATCTAGAGACGGCTGTAGAGGGATATCAGAAGCTGATCCTCCATGCGTTGAAGCAATAAGCCGTCTACTCCAGGAGAAAAACCCGCGAAACCTCCATCAATATAGTCTAATGTTGGATATGTTGCCTCCCGCTTCCTAAACAAAAGGAAAAAAGTACAAATAGATTCAATTACCACTTGTGAAGCGAATTCATGCTTCAAGCACCAATCACCTTGGCCCATCGTTCAGGCATGATCTTGCTAAAGTCAAACTTGCCGTCCGCTCCCTTCTCTACGGCGCCCTTTTCGGTGACGACAGTGTCGATAAGCTCGGCGGGGGTCACGTCGAAGGCAGGGTTCCAGACTCCAACCCTCTGATCAGCGGTGGCGACACGCACCTTGGAGGTCTCGTCGATGGTGCCGTCTGGCTTCACGACAGCTCCAGTAATCTGCGTAAGCTCTTCGCCCTTCCTCTCTTCGATCTTGATGCCTTCTCCAGTCTCGGTCTCAAGGTCAATGCTGGTCGTGGGCGCTGCAACAATGAACTTGATGCCGTGGTACTTGGCGAGAACGGCCAGCTGGTAGGTTCCGATCTTGTTGGCGGTGTCGCCGTTGCGCACAACTCGGTCAGCGCCAACGATGACGGCCGCAATGTTCTTCTCCTGCTTTCGGTTGCGGAAAAGAGAGGCGGCCATAGAATCGGTAATCAGGGTGCTGGGAATGCCCTCGTAGACCAGTTCGAAAGCAGTAAGTCGGCTTCCCTGGTTGTAAGGTCGAGTCTCGGTGCAGAAGGCATGCTGCAGGAGGCCCTTGGCCTGAAGGGTGCGGATGATGCCCAGAGCAGTGCCATGGCCAGAGGTGGCAAGGGATCCGGTGTTGCAGTGGGTGAGCACGGAGATCTGCTGGCTTTCTGAAGCACCAAGAGCGCGAAGCCACTCGGCGCCAAAATCACCGATGGAGAGGTTGGTCTGCAGGTCCTTCGCGAAGATCTTCTCAGCTTCTTCGATGAAGGCAGTGATGATTTCCTCCTTGCTGGCTGCAGAGCCCACTGCCCTTATATGCGCCTTGAGCTGGTTGATAGCATTGGTCAGGTCCACAGCTGTAGGACGGCTCTCCTTGAGGTAGTCGAGGGCGTCGTCGATCTGGGCAATGGCCTCGGCGCCGGAGGACGCTGTGAGGCTGCCATTGAACAGCTCGACGGCGAGACCCAGGCTCGCAACGATGGCAATGGCGGGAGCGCCACGTGTGCGCATAGAGGCGATGCTGTCAAAGGCCTCGGTCCTGTTTGAGACATCATCGTAGTGGAACTCGTGCGGGAGACGAAGCTGGTCGAGGACCAATAGCTTGCCACGGGTGTACTTGACGGCCTTGAGGGTAGACATTGCGGCTTGTGTGATCTTCCAGAGAACTGAACGACACTTGAGTGAATAAAGGTATCAAACTTTTAAAGAAAGGTTTCCTGCGACGAGATTCTGCAGCAGTCTCACTCACCAACGTGGACAAAATTATTGCCCCTCCATGACATTCTGCCACAACCCCGCCATGATCCCGCTGTGGCGTCATGCACATCCAGCCAATCATGGCGCTCCACAGGTCTCACCGCCCTGGGAGCGGAGAAACGCGTGCTCCGGTCGTTGGCGGTGAGCTCCCTGCCCGAACAGGGAGGTGCGCCGCCAATACAGGGGCCCGTACAGGCGGCTGCTGGGCTACTTAGTTAGGGACAGCTTGGAGCTTCAACGACGCCAATACATACACAACGTGGACCGACGACCATGACCAGGGCCGAGTCGCGCTGTTTGCCATGGAACAGCAATTTTCGACGTCGAAAGTGACCGGTGCGCATCCCCGATTTCCATTGTGTCTGGCCCTTTGCGCTGCGGCAAGCCAGCGCTGCGAATGCTAACTCACATATCGCCAGTCGAGTATTTCGACCCTCACGATGTCTACAAGCTCCTCGCCCCAGGGCTAGTCCCTCGTCTACCCCTACACAACCTACACTGGCAATCGCATGCCGGACCGTTACGGTCCATCGATACCCTCCACGTCGAGCTCGTCCAGGGAGATGTCGAGCCCGCATCCGCTGTATCGACCCAGACGCTGCGCCGATCCGCGAGCACCGCCGACGATGGCTTCCAGACCCAGAACGTAGGCGCCCGTGCCGCCTCCACCGAGCAAGTCGACGCGCTATCGCTTCCTTCAAGGGCTCTTGGAAGCCAGCGACGCCATCAGATCCCCGGCTTGCGCCGCACGCCCTACCTAAAGGTGCTTCTGGTGCGATGCGACGACAGCGACTCATACAAGTCCTCCGTCCGGTCGGAGATCAAGGAATGGATCAAGACGAATACCCCCCCGAAGATCACCCCCTCGTCTAGCAACTCAAAGAAGAGCAGCAAGCAAGAGAAGCACGACGCCTTTGAATACTTGATTGTGCATGTCGTCATCCCCAATACCGTCGCCGCAACACAACCAAGGAGCAGCAACAAGTCAGAGGGCGGCGCGTCAGAAAAGGCAACCTCCATATTCCGCTCGGGATCAACTCCTCTCTTAGAAAAGTTGCGAACAGATTTTGGCGGCACCGGAAAGTCGGCAATGGACCGCATTGCCCAGATTCGAATCGGCATCAATGACCTGCCATACGACCTCCTACCCAGGGTTGTCCCTGCTGTCCCAACGGGGTACTCAGAAAACGAACATGATGCGGAAACGGCTTGGCAAGAGCTGGTAGCGAAGATCAAGGGCCTCATCCTCAGCTCATTCGACATGCGGGTTACCCAGTACGAGGAGGATATCAAGGAGAAAGACGGTCAACGAAGTCTTCCCGGTTGGAATTTCTGCACCTTCTTCATTCTCAAGGAAGGCCTCGCCCGAGGTTTTGAGAGTGTCGGCCTCGTCGAGGATGCGTTGGTGGGCTACGATGAGCTCAGCGTTGGCCTAGACTCTGTGATCCACGAGCAAGCCGCGGAGGGATCACCAGAGAGACACGGCGGCGCCATGCTCAGCTACACTGATGAGTTGAAAAGGAATCTGGAAAAGGCGCTCGCCAAGGCAACTGGCGGGACTGCCGAGGATGAGGAGGCAGTTGACCTGCAGTCGAACGAGGCTCCCGGTAATCATTTCGAAGAGATTCCCATTAATGCAACGAAAAAAGCATATCGGGACATGATATTGGCGAACAATGTCTCAGTCTTTGATTTTCGTTGCTACATCTTCGCACGACAAATCACCTTGCTGCTGCGTCTCGGCAACGCCTGGTCAACGCGGGAGGAGCTCTTGGCCAAGTTGAAGGATCAGCAAGACTCTGTCCTCCACGGTGTGGCTCCTTTGGCCCCCCCTCCCAAGCATGCTGAGGAGGCGGAAAACCTCGCAATGCTGGCCGAGATATGCCGAAGGACCCTTCAGTTCATTCCATCAGTATCTCAGGTTATGCGCCATGATATTCTTGCTGCAATGGCAAAACAGAACCCGGAAGACGAAGAAGACCCGGCCGATTTATATCCTCATTTAACAGAAGTCGTGGACAATCTTGTTGCGTCTTTCGCATTCTCAGTTGCACAGCAAATTCTTGCTCAGACTTCGTCAAAGGCCCTCCCAATTCCTCCTTCGACCCTCGCCCCCACCGATAACCACGAGCAGAAGGCGTCAATCCCTGAGCCGAAGACGATGATGCATCCTGCTCGAACGTCGTCCCTCACTGTCCAAACGGGCCCACACCCATCACAGCCCCCTCTGAGCCCTGGTATTTTCCCAGGACCTGGTATGCCTCCCATCGAAGACAACGGTCAGACTGCACAATTCCTCAAAGCCGGGCTTGAGGACCTGGCTGCCAGGCGTGCAGAGCTCCACATGCTCTCCAGGAGTATTCTGGATAGCCTGGGAAAGAAACGAGGATGGAGTGATGGCTGGAGCGAAGCCCCTGTGATGGGAGAGCCAAACGCAGCGGATTTTGAGGACGTCAGCCTCGATGACAACTCAACTACTGAGGATGAACCATCTACTCGGGAGGCCGTGTCGCCTTTGGTGGCCGGCATTGAGAGTCAACTTCTAGAAACCGCTCTGGACAACTCAGACAACTTCTACCGACTTTATGAGATCCTCACCGATAAAGCCCTGCGACATTATACCGTGGCGAACCATGACCATGCCGTAAAGGCGAATATGGCCGACCTTGCGGTACTGAAGTTCTACCTCAAAGAGTATGGTGCTGCCGCAGACTACTTTTACCAAGCAACGCCCTTCTTCGGCGCGAGCGGATGGAGCTCGCTGGAGCTATCCATGCTGGTTATGTACCTACACTGCCTTCGCGAGCTCAAGTCAAAGGACGATTATGTTCGTGTGGCGCTTAAACTACTCACCAAATCGTGCGCCGCTGAAAAGGAGCGACTGGAACTCAAGTCTAAATCAGTGTCGAAGATTTCCAAACCCGATATCCTGGATGAATCGTCAATGAAGGGTATCGTCGGAAACCTATTTGATCTTGCATCATCGCTTCCGAGCCAGGTCAAGGTCCATCTATCCAATTTCTTCACCAACATCGAATTGGCTGGAGCGCCAGAGTACTACGATGGCGAGGACAGGTGCTCGTTGACAATCAATCTGCGAAGTCTGCTTCCTGATGAGATTAAGCTTGACGGTGTGTCATTGAGGGTCTCTGCGACTGAGACTGGCCCAGTCAAGGAGCTGAGATTCGGGAAGCGAGAGGACATTGTGCTTAACCCTGGCCAAAATAGCATCAAGGTTGACTGCACGGTAAGTTTCAACCCTCAACTCATTAGACCTGTTCGCACAAACTAACTGGGTGCAGACTCTCGTTCCCGGCAAGTACAGGATTGACCATCTTGGGTTGTCCTCGAGTAATCTCTTCCTCCATTTTGAACGCGACATCAACCACCCTCCACCCCAAGATGCCGACATCTTCAAGCATCCCGATGTGACCCTGTTCCAACGTGCCAATGCGCTTGATGTTCGGCTCATGGCCACGAAGCACACTACGCTGGACAAGACCAATACGCTAGACCTGGTGCTGAGTCCAGGATGGAACACGCTGAAGTACTGTGAGATCCGAGTGAAGCCTGCCACAGGAGGACTCCGACTCTTGACAATCGATGCCAGGGTAGTTGACTCGGCGGTGGACTTCGCCAAGCATCCCGAGGCAGGTGGCGTCTTTTACTTTAACGATGTTGCCTCGAACACAACTGCCACTATCCGCTTCCCCTACTCGGTTGAGCAGGATATGGGCGACGTGTCCGCCAAGGTCGAGGTGTCTTACACCACGGAATCGGGCGACAAGTTCTACTTTGCCAAGTCCATGGTGATTCCCATCTCTCTGGCGCTAGGTGTCAACGTCCAGGACGTGTTCAAGCACCAAGCACTCTTCTCACGCTTCAATGTCTCGACGTCAAGCGCCAGCCCTCTGCGGCTCTACAAGAGCGAGCTGCTCCACTCTGATCTATTCGATTCCGAGTTTGGAGTTGCACCAAAACACACCGTCATTATCTTCCCCAAACAGCCAGCCACGCTGCTCTACAAGGTGAAGCGGAAGTCCGGTGTGAAGACTACCACTCGGGTGGCAAAGACCATGTACTTGAAACTGCATTACAGCATATTGCAGGCTGAAATTGAGGAGCTGGTGGTGGCATCAATCCTTGAGGCCCTTGAGGAGACGCCACTGGTGCAGTACGCCAGATTCATCTCGGCCGTCGTCATCAAGGAAGTCAAGAGCGGGATGCAGGTGCAGGATCTCGAGCGAGCAGCAGTACTATGCGCGGTGACAACGTCCTTTTTGGCGGATGTTGCTTGGGAGCGATACTTTACTGGCATCGGCCGGATCCCCGGCTCACAGGACAGCGCAGCAAAGGCCATCGACACGCTTCTAAAGGAATGGCAAAAGTCACATCCTCGTGTTCCTATCCCAGCGTCTCAGGCGGCGGATCCGAGCACCATCCTCATCCCGGTAGAGATTCCGTCTCTGTCGATTCTTCACACGGCCGATATCCGCCTCCAAAAGCCGCTCACGACGCTGGTGGATGAGAAGCCTGGGGTAACCCCCACGGTGTGCATCAACCAGATGCTGCCTGCCACGCTGCAACTCAAGTGGACCCAGGTTTGGGATACTGTGACGCAGCACAAGGCCGACCAGGAGTTCAGCTACGAGGTCACTGCACCGGTAGACACGTGGCTGCTTGGCGGGCGTCGCAAGGGCCACTTTGTGATTCCCGGGTCCACCGGCGAACCACTGTCTTCGAAGCCAGAGACAGAGGCTGAGATTCCACTGGTGCTCATTCCTCTCCGCGAGGGCTGGCTGCCGTATCCGAGCGTCGATATCCGAGAAGTCAAGGACACGCCAGCGGCCGCTAGCGTGAACGACGGCCTGCAGACATGCGAGGTGGACTTGAGAAACCTCGGCGAGACGGTTCGGGTGGTGGGCGAGCGGAAGTGGGTGACTGTGAGTCTAGACGCAAGTGGGCCTGGAGGCGGGCCGTTGGTGTTGGAAAGCGAGGGGTTGGAGAGAGAGAAGGGGAGAGTGGTAGCGTAGATTTGTAATAGACGTAGAGGGCAAATGATGGGTGATGATGTACAATGACCTCGTTTACAGAAGCTATCGAAACTGTTTGTGTGTGTGTGCATTGTTTCCGCGTCGCGTTGCCAGTGACAAGGTTTGCGCATAACGAGACGACTAGACTAATGCAAGAGAGCAGCCCGTGTGATGTCAACTGCAGTCACCTCCATCACACCCATCGCAAATGAAACAGACCAGACGCACCTTGATCCCAACAGATGATAGCCGACATGCATGCATGCCGCATATGCACGCCCCGTCCTGGCCCCCCCCCCCCCCCCTGTCACGTCGACGTTCGCGCATCCATCAGAGACAAACGAGCTCCTGCTGCACGCATATGCCGCATTACGCGACGATCTTCCAACATCCGCAGCCCGCTTGGCCGAGTGGTAAGGCGTTTCACTCGTAATGAAAAGATCGACGGTTCGATTCCGTCAGTGGGCAAGCAAGAGGAACAGCTGTAAATGTTTCTTTTTGATGGTTTGGCTGGTTGGCTTTTTGTCGAAGTGAGGGTTGGGTTTGGTGAGGTGATGGGGAGGGAGAGATGGCGGACGCGGGAGCTACCCTGCAGTCTGAGTTGATTGTCCACCGAACTGCCAGCTTGCATGTAGTCTGGGTAGACAAGGGGAATTATTCATGTACGTGTTTGTGGGAATATAGATCATCCTGCTTTTCATTGGCTTTTTGATTTGCGCAAGCAAGCAAGTACGGCTGTTGGTTGGCGGTGGGGAGACAAACTAGAAGTGACCCATTGAGCATTCACTATGCTTGTTTTTTTGAATCAGAAACGACCAAAACACTCGCATCGTCCCAATCCGTACAATCTCTATTGCTTGCTACTCGCGTTTGTTTATTCCTCACTCAGTCCAAACCACCCGACGTACCCTACAGAAAAGTCCTGTGTATATTTCGACCGACATTACGCCCTTCATCACCCGGTCAATCAATCCCTTTCCCCAAGGCCCCAAAAATCCCTATCAAACCGTCGCCCTCCGAAATGACCCCCTCCCTCTAGCACGCACGCTAGAACAACCAAGGAACAAATAACCACAACCCCCTTGCACCACGCCCCGAAAAAAAAAAATCAAAGACACCCACGCGAGCCCAGCACCCGTCATCTCGGAAAGAAACGGCCTCCGCTTCTCGCTGAAGAAAGCGTTGGGCTGCGGGGGGGGGGAACGTTCGTCCGAACCCCCGGACGCGCAACGCTGCTCTTTCGTTCGGCGCGGATTGCCTTGCTGGGGCTAGGCTGGGCGATGGCCCGGATGCAGGCAGGAACTAGCGTTTTGCCATTATGACTATGGAGTGATGCTAAGATGACGGTTGGGACGGTGAGGAAAATTATTGCCGAGTGAGTAGTAGTACTCCGTAGATAAACCTGGTCCCGACAAAGTTAGTATTCCTGATATCCGGAACCTGATCGCGGGGAAGAGCCCAGTAGCGCGGCACCAAGTATCTGATTGCTCCGACATTTTGTTGACGGCTGAAACAACATTAGGACGGCCATTATGAGTGGAGGTAGTTGGTTCAGCGCTATAGAGATAGCATCGAGACAGTCGCGGCGGTGAAGATTCCGTGCATCATTTTCTCAGATAGCAACTGTAGGCACACTGCGATTCGAGATTCAGAAATATACGGATATTTCATTGTTTCATTATCAAACACGACATCTTTTTTTTACGGACCTCACTCCATCCATCCTGAAGCAACCATGTCAGTGACCCAACCGAACAGGCCCCGAACAGCTTCCGCTCCCACCATGTCTACAGAACCGAGACAGGAACAATGGTAAATGATAACAGTAGTAGTACTACAAGAGAAAAGAAGGCAAACCTTGGACAGCCGGTGTACTGTCCCGGCTTCTGGTGTCCATAGACCAAAAACGCCCAAATCTGTTACTGGGATTGAATGGTCCTAGGCGTTTGGTGCCGTGATAGAATGGTCCCGGTATGCAAATCCTTATTAAAAAACAATGCTCCAGTATGCCTCCTCCACGTGTGGTGCCGCCATGCAGAATCTGTTGTCCGAAGGTTCGTAATGCGTTAATGTACAGTCGGAGTGTTTTCTTTGTTGTTGCCACCTCGATCTGGGAGGAGGAAAAAAAATGGTTGCGCAAGTCGCGCGGGTATCATGCCCTCATTCGGGCCCAAAAGGGTGAATCCAAAATATGACGTCGAGTGCCTTGAAGGGTCGAGTACTTCGTGATCGAGATCGGTACCACGACTCATGCAACTCGGCTCGACTGGCAGGGTGGTCAATCCCCTGATGTGTTTGAAGGGAAGACAAGGTGGTCTTGAGTCGTAGGTTGGGTTGAAGATTGTTCCATCCATCGTTGTGTTGTCTCATTTCTTTCCTCGACTTCCCGAGGCAGTGATTTTGCTGGTGCTCATCAAGTCACCAATGTACTTCTGCAAGAACTTATTGTTGTTGTTGAGTTTATCATGCTCCTCGCGCACCGCTTCGATGCGGTTGAAGATTGTGAGGAGGGAATCCTGAAGAGCCTTTGCGTGTCTGGTTGTCAAGTCAGCAACCAGTCAGATGCAGGCCCAATTGGACAGTGACTCACCTTTGCATCTCTTCCCGAGCCTGCTTGCCCATCTTGTCTAGATCCTCGCTCGTTCGCCGGGGACTCATTGCCCTGACGTCATCTGGTCCGAACTCTGATTCCACAGGCCCAACGGCGGAACTGTCGCGAGGTACTACCAACGGCCCACTGCTCTTTCGGGTGGGCAAACGAGGACGAGTTGGGATGGGTTGCTGGATGACGTGCTCGTTGGACTCGTTGAGATCGGAAGGACTTGACGACGTCGAAGAGTCGGAACGCGCAATAGGGTGAGGCTGGCCCAAGGAGCCAATAGACTGAGTGTCGTTTTCGTCTGCCATGATTTTGGGGGTTGTGTGGTTTGGTCGGGGAGGAAAGGTCAAGGTGGAGAGGGAAACTGCCGAAATTGTTGAATAGTCGAAGTCCCAAGTCGGGGAGAGGAGAGGTAATATTGGTTGGGAGGCCAGTAGATCAAGTGAGATATGTCGTCACTGGTGGATTGTGCTCAAGACGTTGCCACTCAAGCGGACTGGAGACTGGGACAGGTGACGGAGACGGACCGAGGCGCAGACTGGTGGCGGGGGAGGAAGAGGCAATGCGGAAGCGGGAGGTCGCGTGCGACGATGCGGCGAAAGGGACGAGGGACGAGAGAAAGCGGCGGAGGGAAGAGGCGGAGGGAGCTGAAGAGGGAGCTGAAGAGGGAGAAGCGATTCCCAATGCTGGCAGCTCCACGTGGTCTTGGGGTCTGAAGGGTCTCGATCGAGGAAGAGCGGCGCGACCGAGCAGATGCTCTGGCTCAGGGTCCACTAGACTCGGCACGGATCCGGGTGGCAGAGGAGAGGAATTTTGGGCGGAGAGTCCGAGGGGATTCGAGACTAGGCCGGATGGAAATGGAAATGGAAAGCGCGGTGGCTGCTGGAGAGTTTTGTGTGAGCAAGGTAGATCCGGCCGGCGCGTTGGAGTTGCTTGCGTGCTTGGGTGCGTAGAAGAGTGAATGTGCGGCTGGAAATGAATGTGTCTTGTGTCCCGCGTGTCTCTGGGGGGTTGGTCGTTTTTGGCAGACGGGCGGTCAAGGAGGGAGGCGCTGGTGAGTCGTGCGAGTGGGCGATGGGGAGAGGGAGTGGAGGAGCCCAACTAAGTAAGGCAAGTGGGAGAGGCAAGCGGGAAGCAGGTGGGATCAAGTGGGAGCAAGCGGGATCAAGTGGGATCAAATGGGAGCAAGCGGGATCAAGTGGGATCAAATGGGAGCCAGGAGTTGCCTACCTGGCTTAGCCTGGTCGATAGTTGGTGGTGAGCGGGACTACTGAGCGCTGAGCTGAGAGCTGAGAGGAGTTCCGTTGACGGAGCGCGTGGGAGCACGGTAGCGTGGAAGCGTGGAAGCGTGGGAGGCGCCTGCTAAGCTGTGGAGATGGGTGGTGGGTGACCCTGCCTGTAGGTAGCAAACCCAGCGTTAGAGAACGAGGGAAGAAGCCGACATGGAAAATCAAGCGGGATACAAAAGCAAAAAAGGGTCCAAGCCAGCCCAGCCCAAAAGGAGCACGGGGTTCGGAGTATGCAGGGAAGAGAAAGGGAGCTACTGACTGGCAGATTGGCAGGGGGGTGGGTGGACGACGCAATGGAGCTTGCGAGGAGAGAATAAAGAGAGCGGAAACGGGAGAGGAGAGAAGGAGGAGAAAATTGGTGATTAGATACCCAAGGACCCGAGGATCCCAAGGTAGAGGCGAGAGACTGACCGACAAGAGGCGAGAGAAAATAAGAGCTCTGAGGTCACTGTGGAGAAGACGAGGCCGGGAGGTGGGAGCACAGTATTGGAACGAAACGAAGGGTGGCGATGAGAAAACAAGCAAGGGAATCTACCAGCAAGCGAATCAAGCATTCGGCAGTCCGCCGTCGGCTTGCCTAGTTCTAGTTGTTGTCTGTCTGCCTACTGTGCCTGCTGTGCCTATCCGTCCCCTGCCTACCTATCCGTGACTGCCTTGCCGGGCTGGCTGTGTGGGCAGCCGCTTAAACAAAGCAGAGGCCCGTAAAGTCGGTCGGCGACATCCCCGCCAGTATAACAACGGGGATGATACGGTGCGGTAATGTAGGTGCCACCGGTACCACCAACTAATTAAACAACTGCTACATATCGTGCAGCAGCGCGAGGTTTGTCGCCGAATGTACTGTACACTTAGGCCATGTCTGCCGGCAGTCAGAACAAGCGGCGGGAGAAGCATCACAGCAACCCCAAACCGCGTTGAGGCGAGAAGAGGGAGGGACCCTGGAATCGCAGCGCACGACGGGCCGGGGGGGGCCAAACGGGAAAGTGACGACACAGCGGGAGTCATGTGGACGCCCGTGGACGCCGTGGCCGCCGCAGAGAGGACCAGTGTACCTGACGAGCTGTGGCCCAGCCGGTACCGCGCCTCGCCAGATGCGTGCGCCGGTACCCGTTTGCGCGTGACGATCCCGGTACCTGAGACAGGAGGGCGGACGACCGCCTAGGTGCGCGAGCAAACCCCGGCGCGCCTATCGACGCTATCGTCCCGGGTACCGGTACCAGCGCCAGCGCCCAGCGGCGCACTCTGTTTGGCCTCTGTTTGTTGCACGACAGTGGCACCAGGGCAAGCAGACTGCCAGCGCTAGCGCCCACGCGACGTAATTTCTCGGCTGCTGTTCGTCCATTCGGTCGCGGATCGCTGCGCCAGAAACCCGTCATACCCTTCTGATGCTTTTCTGGGCCGCGGTACGTACGCGCCCGGCTGGGGGAGCACAGTACGGGGCCTGCTACGTAGGTAGTAAGGGCAAAGAGGGATCTTCCGAGAGACGGTGCGCTCTGGTGAGATCAGCCCACTGTCGTCGTCTATCCCATCCCCATCCGTAAGGGGTCCGATCCATCTAGCAATGCTTATGGCGATCGCGAGTGTGTCCCCGGCCACCGACCACCGAAGACAAACCGCATGGGAACAATACGTCGCAGTGCTATGCGCAGGCAGATTGACAGGGAGTGGCCTTCCTGCAGCGGTCAAGACCCCTCAACCGCAGGGGTAGACAGACATGTGTGTATTTTGGTATTCCAATCCCCAGTGACGCCCAGCTATAGGCGTTGATATAGGGAGGGGGCAATGCTCCTACAGAGGGTCCACGGGTTCCATTACAGCTCCCCCCTAGGCGCAGGACCCTTCCTCAGGCAGCCGCTGCTGGTCCGAGCGGGTTGATGGTTGCCCCTTCCCCACCGGGCGGGTCTGTCCTCGGAAGCGACTCCAGGCTCTCCAGCACGGTTGGCTGCAAGGACCACCTATTGCGTCACTTGCGCTGATCGTCCAAAATTGCAGGTTTTCCCATGTTTTCGCATGCGAGCATGGAACACTTTTTTTGCTTTTGCCTGCGCAGGGTACGGGCTGTTCTGCTCCTGTGACTCTCCTGCCTGGGTGAACCTGTGCCGCGGCGGTGCTTCTCTGGGGGTTCGTTCCGTCAGTGGCCCGAACGGCTCGACTTGTTTGGCTGTTTGGCCGTTTGGTCAGGGTCAGGGTTTGCTGTACCTACTGCAGACAGAACGCAACGTGGTGGGCCAGTCCACAACCACAGAGAACCACTATCGTCGCCTTCATGACAATCCGTCCATCACCAACCAACCTGCACGTATCCATCAATGGTCGGTTCGCATGGGATCGGCCGGCCCTTTCTTTGGCCAAACAAGTACTCCTCTCCCCTAATTAGAGAGAAGAGAGAACCCACTCACCGCTGGTCAGAGGGCCCTAGCACCCGTCAGTCTTCATTGTTCACCTGTTGATCGGGTTCCTGCCCCATCTTGACGCCTTGAGAATGGGCCTCGCAGATGGGTCTTGGCATGTCTACTGCGTACTCCACCAAGGCGGCCCCTCTCGGAGAAACTCGTCCTTTGTTGTTTGCTTTAAGCCTCATCTTGTGCGTCTCTAGTTCTAGTCCGTGTGTCTGGCAGCCTCTGTTCGCGATGCTCGCTCCCCTGAGGCCATTCACGGTCCTCGACTTGATATCCGCAGTTTACTCCTCAACATTGATCGTCTCGCCCGAATTCCAAGTCAGGCTAAGATTTGCATCGGTGGCCGCCACGGTTTCGATCCTCTTGTTTTATTACCGAAGCCACCAATCCCCAACACCGATATCTTGGTAGGGTCGGAGAATGCCCATCCTGGTGATGGGATTCCCCTGTTGTCTATTCCTGGCAGCATCTCAACAAGGTCTAACAGGACTGTATCCGAGCACACAACCCGGCGACGCAGCCCAACACTGTGCGATATCGAGTCGCTGCGACGTGCCATATCTCTCTCGCTCACACACACGTGGTCAAATGAAGTGCACTTTTGCCTTGTCTGCAAAATCTCAGTTGTCTCAACGCCTCGATGCTTGATTCACTTCATCCAACGGCACGGGACGGAGCACGGCATCTGAGTTTCGATTTCCGCAACCTTCCTTGACGCCACGATCAACAGGCATGCCGACGAAACGAACTGTCTCCACGGATGGAGACACAGTGTGCAGGTGGACCAACCGTCTCCTCTCATTCACTATGCGTTACAGCATAATCCAAGACGTCCCCGGATGCTCCATCAGCCGCCAAACTAGGGTCCACCAAGGAATCCCTTCGGCGAAACTGATGTCATGGATCGGCGGCCCTCTGTAAAGACCGGCCACGCACAGGGGCTCGAGCGTGACCTTCAAGACTTTCGAAACGGTGGCCGCTCGCCAACACTTTGCACCCAATCAATTATGCTTTCATCGTCCTGGACCGCAGTACAGTCCAACACGCTGGCTGTTCACTGTAGGATTATGACCCCAACGATGGTGATCATCGCATTGCCGCAACTCCAGAACCAACCAGACCAGCACATCCCAATTCCCTCACCATTCCTCGTTTCCACTTCAGGGCCAAGAGTATAGTACAGTTACAGCGCAGCAGCGAAAAGCGGCCCCCTGGAGAACGAAAGTCTCGGCGGAGAGACTCTGTGACTTTTGTCAAGATCACCGGCAATCCACTGTCGTTATCGCTATTTTTCATCCTTCTCGCCTTTCCCCGCAAATACCACGAACGGAAGGAACTAGAAGTTGAAGTTATCGTGGGATTCTCGGTTGCGTCTCTATAGTACGACGCTGACGGCGTACAAACGACCCCCGACTCCCAGACAGAGGCAAGCATCACATCATCACATCATCAAAATTTGGATGGCCTTGGCGCTCGACGTCATTCCTCGACCCCAGTCGCCTCCGTCCACGGTTGACTTGCTGCCTGCTCGTGTTGTGTCTTGGTTTGCCTTGCCACAAGACAAGACCCTTATTTGCCTCGCGCTGTCAGAACGGATTCGTCTCCTTCCCAACCAACTGGAATTCCGGGGTCCGATCTGGGTCTCGGATTCTGTTCGCCCCGTGTCTCACAACTGGCGCCAGACGTCTCCGGCCCTAAGCGCCCATCCGTCGTCGATGGGTGCATGCTCCGTCTCGCATTCCTTTCCAGACGTCCGTCACCGTCTGGGGGATCTACGAGCAACATGGATACTCATTGTCCGACGGCCCCGAATTCGTGTCCGGGTAACGGACTTCTGCATCACTAACCCGTCATTCTTGACACCACCACAACCACCGTCGTAATGATCGGCCCCTTACATTTGATCACCCCTCTAGGCCCTGCTTTTACAGCTGCCGATCCCCTATTTCCTCCGCGTCTCGCAGCATACATACAGTCCGCATGAGAAATCCCTCGACCGGCCGAATGCAGTCCACTCAGCCTCCATGGTAGCTTGGCGAATGCGATGCCTGCCCCGCCCACACCTCCGGGCACAGAACCCGTGATAACAACGTCAATCTGGCGGTGGGTAAAGTGCTCCGTGATCTGAAGCCGCCCCCAAGTGATGGGCTCGAATCGGAGCTGAATCTGAAGTCTGGGCTTGCATTTCATCGGGTGGCTGGATCATGACCCTTTGGTTTCCACTCACCTCGGGTTGTGAGCTGATGATCCCCGAGCCCTCTCACCTGGAGATCCAGTGCCACTATGCAGGTGCATAAGCCATGCAGATACCTCTGTCGTTCGAGTCTTTCAAAGTGCGTAACACAACATGGAAAAAAACACACACAACTTCGGCGTTGGCGGTTACTTCCGCGACCCTCCCGCCCTACAATACTCGCCGGCCACGTGTAAACGCCTAGTTCTCACTCCGTTGGCGCGCCGCCGCCGTCGACGTGTCCCTGTGCTCACGAGGCGTCTAGCTGCGAACCAGAAATGCTCCCTCTGATGTGTCGACTTCCTCAACTCATCTCCGAAGGTTTGACCTGAGAGACGGTGCCCGACATTGGGCACACCGACATCTGTCACGCCCCGATAGTGTTGTTTGTATACTCCACAGATCTCCGTCTCGCTCCGTCTCAACCTGTGACGCAGGCTGTGTAACGCTCCATCAAAGTCGTACACGCTGTGCAGTCCATAGGTAGATGGCACACCGATTGTAATACTCATCCCCGGTATCGGGTGCAAGAAGCCTCTCCCACCGAATTAAAAGCCTGGCTGGTACGGCCCAACGAAGAGAGTGACTTTGGCCCAGCCGCCTGATCGGCGCGTCACAGCTATCGTCACACGAAGTGGCCCCGAGAGCTCAGCGATGCGCCAGGTGAGATAGTGTCGTTTTGCCATGACCGTCGAAAGGAATCGTATGCCTGTTGCGTGGCTGCCATGCCGATATCCGGTAACAAACCTGTATTTTCGGGGACCATGGACGCGACCCGCGTTACAGCTCAAGACAATCATCGGCCCTTTGGTCTTGCTCGCCCGCCCCATGCTCACGTTCGGGACTGTTGAAGAATAATTGGCCTGAGTGGGAAGTGGAAGTTTGCTCCCCTGTGCTTCGCTGCTCGGAGATGAACTGGACGACTTGATTGCCTGTCCTATTCTTACGCATCCCCTGGGGAGTCATGGCTCATAGTCAACGTCATCGCTGCCTGAATCCTCCATTATGATGTCGTTCTTGTGCTGCCTGTGATGATTTCAGCTGGCGGGTCCAGCTGACACTAGAGGGGGCTGAGGTTTGCCTCGGAGGATCAACGGTGGCACTTGCACTTGCGCTTGTCCGGTCATCCGCTTAGCTGGTGCGCTGTCGTTTCAATCAGCTGGCTTGGGATACGGTTGCACTTTGGGGGGGGGGGGGGGGGCGGTTTCTTTGCGAAATATCCTCGGTTCGGAGAATATGGAACCTGTCTCGAAGGTGCCTTGCAGATCAGGCAGAGGTGGAGAACTTGAACTGCATGAATTTCCGTGAGATGAGAGCCTACCCGGGACCTCTTCAAAGGCGAAGCAGATATCTATTCCTTGTGGTGTGGTAGAGGTCTCAACATACCCTCTCTCAGCCTATCCATGACTTGCGACTGGCTTGTAAACCTCTGCTCCTGCTAGGCAAGAAAGATCGGGTTGTGGAAAGACAAGTTCAAGAAATAATAGACATGGCTTGCTATTTCTTGTTCTGGCGTATGCATCTTCAAGTGCTTATATCGGGTTGGGATCATAGTCCCGCTTTGTCCTGTCTGGGAGAACGGGGTGTCGGGAGCGACGGCAGGTTATTAGAGTTTGCTGTGCGTGAGTCTTGGAGTAGAGAATTGCAAGAAATGATTAGAGGCATTTGCGATATTATCGTGATGCTATTCAGTTCGCTGCCTCTTGGGCGTTCTTGGGTGTTCTTGGGATAGTGTCGAAATAAGGCAAAGGTATGTGTCAGAAGCCAAAGGTCATCATGACGCAGATTGGAATGACCTATAGCTTAGCATCGTAAGGAGAGTGGGACTAAGAAGAAAGCCTCCCGAGAGCGAAGAGAAGCCGGGCCGTTGCCCTTTTAAAGCCGGGCCCGAACATCTCGGCCATAAGATCTGCGGTCTCGGGCCGGACCTACGGCCATGTTCTCCACAGCGCCGGATGTCCGAGATCGACACCGGCTTTATTCTCCGCCCTTCACTTTGCAGCTTGCAGGCTGTCAGTTGACCCTGGAAGGGTATTCCATCAAGGTTTGCTATCTACATGGAATAGGCCTATTGCATGGGCGCATTCACTCACCGGCTGCAGCTACCCTGCCGTTTCATCTGTCATGAGGGGTGGTATTTCCTCACCTCCCGTGCGGTGGCTAGCTCGAAGAAGCGGTTCGCATGGGTACGTATTCACAACGGCAGGAGAAGCACCCCGGTGCGTCAAGTTCGCCCATTGGCACTTGAGATGCGGGGTTGGCGCCATTTGAACATCGGGTGACGATGTGCTCATAACCGGAAGAGGCACGTACACGGCGTTATTCGGGTTTGCGAGATCAGCTTCGGATATACCATAAGTACCAGAGGAGGTTGCATTCTACCTCATACGTTGGTTCATTCGGATCTCGTTAACAACCTCACTCATCGTCAAATCGTCTTGCCCAGCATCCTAGCAATGGCTCCACCGCCCGCTGCTCTCCAGGCCGTCGAGGCCTCTCCGCGTGTTCACGACCTCCTTCAAAGGCTCCACGCTGAGTCAGAGGCTCAAGAGAAGTCACTATCTCAGACTTGGTTCTACCTTAGCCGTCTCGCGAGCTACTTTATCTGGGGAACAGGTTGGAGCTCCGCTTCAGATGACCACATGCGCGACAAGTTTGTCAGTCTTGAGGAGGATAAGTGCCAGTTCATGTATCTCCTTGCCCGGAGCATTGGCGCGCGAAATGTCGTCGAGGCCGGCACCAGCTTCGGCGTGTCCACCATCTACCTGGCGCTGGCAGTTGGACAGAACGTAGCGGATGCCAAAGCGGTGACAGGGAAGCCGGTGACGGGCAAGGTCATCGGCACGGAGAAGGAGCCGACCAAGGCCGCGAAGGCGAGGGATCATTGGAAGCAGGCGGGTGATGAGGTTGAGCCGTGGATTGAAGTGCGCGAGGGTGATTTGCAGGAGACGTTGAAGGTGGAAGAAGGGATGCCCGACGAGATTGATATGCTACTGCTGGATAGTATGGCCCATCCTATCCCGGTCTATTCCAGACGATGTGCTAATATGTCATATAGTCTGGACACCGTTGGCATTGCCAGCATTGGAGATCATCAAGCCTCGACTAAGACGGGGAGCAATCTTGCTGGCTGACAACACTGGACGAGCCAAGCCGCTGTACAAGGACCTACTCGAGTATATCCATGACCCAAAGAATGGGTTTAAGACGACTACGACGCCGTACTCGGGTGGATTGGAGATGGCCATTTATCTTCCCTCGGCATAAGCACTGTGATGAAGAGGCCAAGTTTGTTGTGACCAAAAAGCTAATGTTGTCTGATTGCAATGAAGTGGAGAAGGGATGTAGATATCTACTGGAATCTAGTTGAGACCAAATATTCGGTTTTTAATGAATTTGTGATCCGTTGGTGCCTGTCACACTCGGGTCTTTAACTGGCCGCATCAATGCTCAATATTGAAGGTGAGAGGCCAACCTCCAGGTGTACCAGAGGAGAGCCCCGATTGATATCAGATTTAGATGAATGCACATGGCATGGGCTCTCGAAAACTTCCTCTTCAGAAGTGCCATTTCTTCGCTGGGCCCATCCAAGCCAGTTGCTTTCGCGTCCACGGTCCCTGTATTCTGTTAGTGCCTGTGTCGCGATGACCTGGATCGTCAACGAACCTTGCTGAGCCCGGTCCAGCATCAACTGGCGTGTCCTAGGCCCATAGATGAAGAAGTTGAGAGCCGATGCGACACCCGAAACAGCAAACGGAATCCAGTCACTCTTTTGCTGGATGAGCGACAACGGTCCGTGTGGCGGGAACGTCACCGCCGTGAGAATGAGGAGCAGTGACTGGCCATGGAAGTACACGGGAAAGATTGTCTTCTGGAATTTGGTGTAGGCAGGTCTGGGAAGGGTATTGAAGGCCACCTTGGTCACGACGAAGGTCTGGTAGAGCTGCGAGCCAAAGAGGGCCGAGAAGGAAAGAAGATGGAAGGGTGCCAAGTTGGCGAAGACGGATTGCAGGACGGCGATGATGGCCATGGCGACGGTGATGGCGAGAATGAATGTTGATTGCGTGTGGGTGATGAGAAATCGCAACGAAAAGGTTGGCTGAGAGCGTTTGGTGGTGGCTTTTATCCTTTGTTGGTAATCCGGCGACTTGGTTCCCGACTCGAGTAAGATCCGAAGGCATTCGGGTGTTAGCTTAGCGCGTGTTCGGGTGACTCGGATGGACTTGGGACAGGGAACACAGTTAAAATCGAAATAAATACCGATAAAATAAAACATAGGACTGAAGAGTGAGATAAAAACACTCAATTTGAATCATTGAGAAATTATACTATTGCGAGTGGGTAAACGCTGAAGAAATACTTGATCGTCGAGTTGGCTCGGTGGTTGTTAATCTGGATGATGAACACCCGGCCAGGATCTTAATGCGGGCACTGTAATTGGCGGCGGCAGCACTGATATTACACCCGGGAGGTTTCATTCTAAACCCGATCAGCCTCGGACAAACCACTCCACGCTCGGAGAATTTCCATAATTTTCTAGTTGGGCCTGGGGCATGTGCCGACATACGTCGGCATCAACGAAATCGCTGCGTGACAAGCCAAATAAATCAGCAGGTAGCAATGAGATATGTATACGCTATTCTAATTTAAAGTTCCTGGTACAAATATCTTGTTGAAATTTGTCCCACAGCGGTCCTGGGATATATCCAAGGTTGATGGAGAAGGATAATTTCCGAGCCTCTTCCATTGACCCAGGCGTGTGCACTGAAGCTTTTCGTGGCAGGGTATCCATGGTGCTCAAATCATCAGTGCCGTAGGCGAAAACGTGAAGGGTATCTCTTAAATATCGTTTCCCGACTTCCATTTCCTCAGAGGACTTGGAAGAAGTTGAATGAGTCTGGGGCGTCTCGGTATTTCGTTGCTCTGGAGGTTCTTCAAGACTTCTGGATGTCAAGGCCACCAGACTGCCGGTGTTCTGAGACCATGATGTGTTATTGAGGTTCCAATTGCTTTGGTCAGTGGATGGATTCGGGTTGGGTGTTCTTGGATGCATGGCGTAGGATGTCCCAGACCCAGGACACAGCGTGGATTGGCCAATTTGGGTGGTTGTCTTGACATGGTCGGTTGACGGATGTGACTCTGTGGGATCTGAGGGTGACGGGCTCTTGGAATATCTCGTATCTGGAGTCTGGACACTGGTGCTTGATGAAACGCTCCTTGGGCTGCTCGAAATGGTACTGGAGCTAAGAGAGTTGACGGTGAGGACTGATCTGCCAGTTTGATGACCGTCATCCGGCCTTACAATTTCCCTCGGATGGAAGTAGTAGCTGTGATTCCCACCTTCTTTCTCCCTTACCTTGTACTGCTGGATGCGATGGAGGGCGGCGTTCAAAATGTGAAGCTTCTTCTGGAGGGTTTCGGAGTCTTGAAGTATTTGGGCCACCGGGACTAATTCTCTCAACTTCAATTCGTCCATCTGAGCTACAGATTTTGCTGTGAACATTCCCGGGATTTTGCGCACTAGACAGCTCTCCACGACGAGATTGACAATATGCTGAGTGAAGGAGCGGCGAGAAATCTGTGGTGAACTGTTAGAGCGATATCCCTCAGGAAAGCTATCGTTGAGAGCGGACTTCTGACCTCATAATGAGCTGTCGCCATTCTAAGCGCTTTTTCGGCCGCTGAGATGCAGCTTCGGGACATTTCGACATTGGCAAGCATCCGTAGCGCTGCTTTGAGTTCGAGAGAATCCATGTGGTTCTTGTATGTTGAAGTTGACATGTTCCATTCGCTGAAACGGTCCACGACGCGGTCCATCAGGTCTTGGACTGATCGCTTCGAGAGGTAATCCTGGAACTCGGCGTCGTCGGGCATTGAGCAGCCATCAGAATACGGCTGCAGGATTTCTTCCAATTTTACCCTCATCTGCTCTCCCCTTTTGCGGAAAAAAGGAGTGACCACGTGCTCCAATAGCGCCTTTTCAGTTCTATCGTCCGAACCAAGGACGTGTTTGAGAAGTCTTTCAACAAAAGTCTTGGCGTAGCTCGTGACATTTTCGATGTGGCGCTCGGCTATCGCTTTCCACGGCTTGGATTGAGTCTTGAAGAGGCCAATTGCAATCTCACGGTTCGGAATCCCGGGAAATCCTGTGCCCTGGTTGACAGCTGCCAGTCGCTCCAGCTGCAATTTTAGTGTCGACTCCGAAATTGGTTCGGGATCAGGGAAGTCATAGAGGTCCAGGAACGGCTGAAGAGGATCTGGGTATCGAGTCTGCTTGGTCTCACGAACCGAGACCTCCTCATCTTTGCCGCTGTGGTCCCTTCCGTCTTTGACGTTCCAGTTTCTTTCACCGTCTTGCTGGATCACGCGACTGGCTCCTTTTGTCGACATGGTGACACAAAAGGCACGGTTGAGGTTTTGTATTTGCTTTCGTGGCTTCATCTCACTGTTATGCAGAGAGCTGGAAAAGGTGGCTGCGTATTTTCCATGGATGGCGTCGAGTGCCAATCGATGGAAGCCATCCGCAAGGCTAGTCAAGTAGGTTCGAAGCTCTGAGTTCATTCTTAGATTTGTGAGTTTGGCTTGCTGGGCTTCGAGCGCAACCGTGTTCGACTGAATGGTTTCAATGAGTTGCTGCAACTTGTTTTCGGTGTGACCAACAAGTACGTCATTGAGAGTCTTCCGCAAGCTGTGAATCCCAAGTCTCTCTAGAGGCAGAGATGATAAGACTCCCGTTTGTATAAACCGGGTTTCGATTTGATCTCTTTCATTGGCTTGGGCATACCGTTCGGTCTGTGATCTGTTTCGGAGGACGTGCCAACCACGAGGAAGATTTGGCAACTTTGCCACGTATCTGGAAAATTGTAGATGAAGCTCTGTTTTGGACTCCTCATTGAGTAGATCAGGCTTTGTGATGATCCCAAACGTCCGCTCTCCCGTGCGGTCGTATCTCCTCGCTGTTTGGAGAGCCCCTCTGTTGATAGCACAATTAGCTGCCGAAGCCACCAGAATGATGCTATTTGGCTGCTTGATGTAGCGTTTGGTTATCTTGTCGACAAGTATTCGCTCCTCTTGCAGCCCACTCGAAGGCTGTACAAAGCCAGGGAGGTCGATGAGGGTGAGAGGGGTAAGTTTGGGGCTATACACCTCAATGCGCAAAATATCCTGTGACAGCTTGCTCTTTGGAAGGCCCATTCTTTGAATAGCCTCGCCGATGATTTCCGAGATACTCGACTTGACAAACTGGGCCATTCGAATGAGATTGGGGAAGGATTTGGGCATTCTGAGTCACCGGGGATCACTTGGACGAGAGTGTAATGGCTCTTTGCCCTTCGGAAGATGAGCTCCGTAGTGAACCGCGTGCCCAGATCGTTGTCGATTGGAAACTCAATGCCGGATATGGCGTGGAGGATGGAGCTTTTCCCCGACGATCGATCGCCAACCACGATGATTTGGGGTAGCTTGGCGACATCGCCCAATTGCAGGTAACGAAGTCGATCTATTGCGTCCAGAGGTAGTCTTGTGTCGGCATCCTCGATTTCTTTCAACGAAGTCAAAGCCAAATCCACATATCTTTTCATCGTTGATCAGCTCCGTTGCCTCTCACGAAGCAGATTTGTTGACGAATGGGACTGGAAGGCTGGCAAGGGAGGGCGTATGGCTAGGAGTCGACGCTTGGGACATAATCCTGTAGAAATATAAGCGACGTAAATAGCAGCGGGTGCTCAGACATGAGCTGATTGCTAAGTATTTGAGGGTAGGAGTACCACCTCAAAATAGATTTGGGGAAGGGGGAATAAACCATGAGCCACTTCGCTTCACACGGGTTGTTGGTGGCCGATATCAACCACCCCCTTGTTCTGTCTGTTGGCTCACGGCGCGCTGAGCTAAAACGAGCTAACATCCAACCTTCTGAAAGACCTCACTACTGCAGGCCGTCTCTAGGCCGTGCGAATTCTTCCAAGCGCGCGCTAAAAGCAATTTCCCCCAGCTTCTTACAGCCTGTCTTTACAGCCTTGACATTCAGGATAAGCTCTTGAGTATATCGGAACTTGTCTAGACACGCTTTTATCACTTGCTGGTCTTATGTATTTTTAGCATGGAAATCGGGAACATTCAGGGTATCGCAACATACCATCATGATCATTGCTGGATAGAGATACGATGCTGTAATGGCCTGGGTTGTAGCGACGAAGGCTGTGCTTTTGGGTGTATTTCATTACGGGTGTCTCGATTAAATTATCGTCGATCAGGCAGATGTGGACAGTATGCCGCGGAAAGTTTGCACCCAAACACTTGTCTCGTGAGAACTTGACTACCTACGTAAAATAGGCTGGTGTCTCCTGGTGCTTTATACTAAGGTGTTGGTTTTCTAATAATATAAACATAAAATAAATGCTTTACCATAACCATTAGCTTAACCCTCATATTGACGATAAATTGTACCTTAATATAGACTTGCGTATTGTATTATCGACTTGGATCGGTTGCACACTTTATGCATCCCGCTGTATGAGGCTCCCATGAGATAACATCATGAGGCAGCGACGAAGGACAGCAAGCCATTCCGTTTTATTGACGTGGGACCTTACATGGTCCGTACATATAGACAAAAGACAAACATGACAGGAAAATATCATAACCCGTATCAGACGAAGCCAAATCGGTACATCACATCCATCATTGACCAACCATCTCATCAAGCATCCGTAATGTCAAACCGCACAAGGATAGAGCACTTGGTCTCGTGGCCCCGCATGTCCAGCATCCGGATGAAGCTCCAGCCCGGCACCACGTAGTGCAGCCGCACCGCCGCGACCGCAAACATGGGGTTCTTGCTCCAGCTCTCGTCGCTCTTGACGAGCATCCGCAGGAACACCATCTCGTTTTCTTCGTACTCCCACTCCAGCGTCTCGTCCCAGATCGGGTCCGTGGGCGGCGGGTTCTCGCCGCGGTGGAGGAAGCCTAGCCTGTGCTGCTTGTAGGGTGACGTCTTGCGCTTGGGTGGCTCGTTCTTCAGGTCGTCGGGGTGGTAGAGGGAGCATGTCAGATACGGCTTGATGCCATCGGACTCTGAGTCTTCGTGGAGGGGAATGTCGGTCGCTCCCGCGACATGGAGCGTCAGCTTCTTCTTCCTGCCTGTGTTGAGCCTTCCGCTGCCGCCGGCCCGGAGAGCTGCAGGCTTCAGCACATATCCATCCGTGCCGCTGAAGAGGGCTTCGTTGAGCTGGTTGCTGGTGCCAAAGTTCTGCAGGTTGAGTGCGCAGATCTGCGCGCCAATGCCCCAGTAGGCGGCGGGCTTGAGGTTGCTGGAGGAGATGCGGGTTCCCTTGGGGAACACTCGCATCAGGTGGTGGGCATTGTGCTTCGAAATGGCCTCGTTGTGCTCAGGGAGGAGGGCACCCAAGCCCGACTCGGACACGTTGATGAGATGGTGGTGAGGGCCGCTGATGAGCTCTCCCGTGTACCACGAGTCGTTTGTGGGCTTGACCGACTGGGCGTAGACGCCCAAGTGAGCCAGCTCCGGAATGATGATGGCACATGCAGATTTCTTTTTCTCTTTGTAATCTTTCCGCGCCTTCTTCTCGTCCTCTTCCTCAGAATCACTGGAATCACTGGAATCGGTGTCGCTCTCCACCTCGCCCTGGATGTGATGTTCGACAATCACGGCAATCTTGGAGCCCAGCTCCTCCAGGGTCACATGCTCTCCCTCACCGGCCTGCTCCCGGTGGCCATGCTCCCGGACCGCTTTGCTGAGGAGCCGGTGGCCCCATACCTCAATCATGATGTCGACGAGGCGTTGCTGGCCCTCGGCGTCGCAGTGGTTCTCCAGCGACAACATGACGGGCGCCGCGCGGAAGGATCCTGTGGCGGCGGACTCGGCGGCCTCTCTGTCGATGGCATCGCGGATGGTCTCGCAGACGGCGCGGAAGGGGATGTGGGAAACCATGGTGTAGCCGTGGGTGACCTTGGGCTCGGCCTTGTTGTCGCTATTGTCCCAGGCGTCAATCTCGACGCATCGAGCACCAGTGCGTAGCGCAGTGTCATAGGCCGTAGCGTTGGAGTCGCCGAAGAGCTGATGCGCCATCAGGTAGGTGTTGTGGCTAGAGCTGATGAAGTATTCAGGCAGCGGGTGCGATCGGTCTGTGAGCTCCGGGGGCACGCGAATGTGAGGCTTGCTCACGAACTCGAGAAGGCCCCGTGACAGGGCAGATTCCTCCTCGAGGACGGCATCTTGCTCAGACAAGAGGCCGCGATCGACCATGAGCGAGCGCAGCGCATGGCTGACTCTGAGATCGAGGACCAAATGGCGCGTCGTGTGGCCGCCGCCGGCAACAGTGCCGCTGTCAATGTCCTCTCCAAAGTCCTCGTCCGACACGCGACGGCGGGACTTTTTGGAGAAGGGGTTGAGGCTCCCCATGCGCTCTGCGATGTCCGCCATGGCTGAGAATGCGACGAAGTATACGAATGATGAAGGTGAAGGTGAAGGAGGTGAGATGACGTGAGGAGGGGCAGCTGAAAACGGGAGCGGGGTGATGATCCAAAACTCTCCGAAAAACAGGGAACAGGGCGCAGTAGAGCAGGATAATATAGCAGGGCGAATCACGGGCGTGAAGCCGTCAAATATTCGCACCGCCCGCTGTAGGGCTGCTGTGGGTATGTTCTCGGCGATGCAGCAGCAACCCGCCAAGGTCGTATCATGGCAAAGGCGGCACGATGCGCGCTCGGCGATGAGTTGTTAACCGCCTGCGTCATGCGAGATGGTGGAGTCGCCTTGAGCATCGCCACAGTCTAAGCTGGACTGGAGCTTCAAGCTTGTAGCTCTAGTCGGATTGGGGGCCTGGGGCTGGCGCTAAAGATCTTGGGACTTGGTCTATCAGCCGCCAAGATGACAACGCATGTGGAGGCCTTTGTTGCTTGTTGCTTGTTGCTTGTTGCAGCTGAAGCGTGTTACATTTCGTAATAAGTAGGTAGGTCTAATGCTAGGGCTAATATTGCCATGTTTGTATGCGTGGGGTATAGAATGGTGGAGTGAGATTGTGATGTTCTAAAAACACTCGGTCAGGGTCAGGTTCGTCGAATCCCTCTTCTTCAACAGTGAGGTTGGAATATACTGACATAGCTCTTAATAAGAGGTCGATCGGTGACGCCGAATCGTAATTGACTAGCATGCGACCTTTGCATTTGAATAGAGCACGGGTTCGACGAAGGAGTGGATGTGTTTGTTGGCCAAGCCCATCGAGCATAAGTCGGTACGGGAGAGCAACTCCAAGATGGAGCGCTGTAGTTCTAGAAGGGTCTGTAGCAATGATGTCATTTCCTGCAGAGCCACTGTCGATGAGTAGAGTTCAGCACTAATCTTCTATCTCAAACAAACGAATATATGGATTTTGTGAACGAAGGAAAACAATGTGAGTGGTCGAAGATGATAAGACGTTGACAACAGTGAGAACGTTGGTGCCCATTCACGACAGTGCCTATTCTTATCTAGGTACTCAGGAACAAGCGCACAGGCGTTCCACAAGTGAGAATGCTAAGCCATGATTGGTTTATGTTGGTAGGACCGGGCTGTTCAAGCCATGTTTAGAGAAATATCCACCGAGGAGGGTAGGACTTGACTTTTCAGCTGCAAGTTGTCATCACCAAAGCGGTAGGCGAGTGTTACCAATCCCACATGCACGACATGTGCTGCAGTCAAGTGCTCGACAGCCAAAGGAACATACCGTGGATTCCGAGGTCCAATTGCGACTATGTGATATGCTATTTTTTAGTCTGCGACCCAGTCCCATACGACCCTTAATTGATCAGTCGAATCCGAACAACACATCGTCTGGGGAGTCTTCTGAAGTATCGCGGTTGAACTGACTCTGCACAAGCAAGGGAGGGGAGGCCAGATGAAGATCCCTTTGACCTAATGGCACCCAGTAGCCCGCCCGAAACTCGCAGCCCGTCAACGGTCTCCAGTGTCTCTCCAGTTGGCCGGCCACGTATGTCTGTTCTACTTTCCAACCCAGGTTCTGTGCACGCTCTCTGTAATGAAAATAGAGAGTACTGGGGATCGCAACAGAAAGTTCTTGAACGTGGGCCCCGAGCATCCTGACCATGTTGTCGACCGGGATCATGATGGTATTCTCGAGGATGCCGAACCGCTCTTCGGCCGGGGGCGGATACCGGCTGGTGCGATACCCATGTAACTTTCCTTGAAGCGAGACATAGAGCGACCGGATTTTGGGAAATGCGATGGGGATGAAGTCGAGAAAGGCGTGGAAGGATTTCTTGTCCGACAGTGGCATGAAGGCTGCAGTCTCGTCCTGTCGGAGAAAGGGTTCCCAGTCCCAGAGAATCTCGACAGAGGTGATCGCTTCAAGCCTCTGGGGAATAAGCAGTCGGGGCAAATTCATGACCATTTCCTTGCTTGCCATGTTGAAGGTGTTTGTCGAATAGAGTACTTCAATTCCCTCCAGATACCTGTCCAGGTTAGCGAGCGTCGATTAAAGCTATAGTTTGTGGGGCACCTCACGCCTGTCGGCAAGATAGCAGCCACCCCATGATTCCGATGAAGCATTTGCTCGGCCACTCGCCAGGCCACGATTCGCAGTACCTCCGATCTCGACCGCCGAACCGGCACCTGTCTTGAGCTGGTTGAACCCGGCGCCCAGGGGGTCGAGAATATGCGTCTGGCGAGTCCCGATGACAAACGGAGCTGCGCCATGCCCACTGCTTCGGGCGGTGGCGGTTAACAAGCAAAGGAGACTGCCCGCCTTTGGCATTTTGGTTCCCATGTAGCCCACCATGGTTCGGTCGATAATTGCTGGACAACGGCAGTTCGATGACTTCTCCGGGCAGGGAGAAAGGATGATCGTAGAAGAGGTCCATGTGGACCACCTGTTCCCCGAAGGCCTCGACCAGAATCTTGTATCGGAGCTCAGCGGGGAGCTTCTCAAAGAAGATGCCATTTCCGGCGATGGGTTTCCCGGCTTCGCGCTGTTCCTCGCTCGGTTCTGTTGGGGTGATGGGCCGCGGTCGATTCTTGGGCAGTGTGGGAATGGGACGCTTCCACCCGATCTGAGCAGACCTCATTTGGAGCCATCTTGATAGGGATTCCATTGTGCGACCGCGAGATGTGTAATTATTTTTTTGGGATGTTCATCGCGCTTGACAGGTAGGACGCTGATTGGGCGGGTGACTGTGTCAGAGGGTCGCATTGATGGCTGAGGAGACTAACATCATGGGCCTCATGGTGGAAAATAAGTAAAGTATTACGAAACCTCTGATAGCCAGAAGGGTCTGATAACCCCTCTTCCGGCTGGTCCGGATGGCCTGGAAAAACAAGCATCAACATCATTATCACTGTTTTGAACACTATCCGTTTGATCGAATTGACCGCAACGGATTCAACATCAAGCATAGAGCACCAACTCAATCTCATCGTCTGGTTTGAATGCGTTGGGAGGTTGGTGTTGCCTAAAGCGGACGCTGGATGGGTCAACGGATTATAGCCTAAGATCTCAGGCAACAGAACATCGAATTTCTCAGGCACCCGGATTCGGCCCCACCACAGATTGGAAACAAAACCGACGAGAGAAATTTTGCTTTCTACTTTTTTCTCTTCTCTTCATTCAAATAATGAACAACGCAAAAAACAACATTCAGGCTTCTCTACAACAATTGATGCGAGGTACGCCGCAAGGCTTGTGCCCAGGACCACTGATTTCGAGGAACAGAGAATGGAGAAAAAAGCGAACAATCTTGGGTGCGGTGTTCCCCAGCCTCTGTGCTCGTGGGGAGGATCGCAATGATTGAGCGTACATATCACCAGACAGACAGACTCTTTGTAGGCCTGGTACTTGCTCTGCCGGTATCTGTATCTGTCCACTGCGCGTGACTTGTAATGCTACGTACTGGAGGCGAGACGATGTAATGCCGTCGCAGCTGCATGCAATTGGACACGGGATTGAGCAAAACCTGCACCCGGATCGTGCGGTGGCTGTCGATCCTAGGTGCATGCACATGGCGTTGGTCCACGTCATGGTGGCCAGCTCTCGGGCTAGCATGAGGCCGACCTGGAAACGACGAAACAAGTTCTATTCTCGCGGGACGTCGTTTCTGCTTGATGAATGCTCCGGAGTAAGACAAACACCTCGGAGCAGGATTCTCGAGTAAAGACGCCAAGACAAGGCGTCAGCCTTCTTCGACGGCACGGTGCAGCGCGGCGAAGGCCCACGGGCTTTGATTAAAGGCCCAGGCGCCATGGTTAAGCGAACGAACCGTTTTGTACCCCATGCCGCGGCCCCTGTTCCCTGCTCTCGCTCCTCGCTGCTGCATATCGCTCCGTGTGAGGCCGTGTGGATTTTCGGTGGGCTTTGGGTGCATTTTCGAGTCGGCGGGACGCTGGCGTTGATGTCGTGTCGCGCCACAACCAACGGCTGCAGAGGCCTTGTCGCCTCATCCGCCCCATGACATGGCGAGCAACGACGACGACGTGTGTGTAACCCGCACTCCCCTATACTCGACAGCGAGGATGTTGAGCCAGCCACCCTGTATTGTGATTCTGGCCGAGCAGGATGAAATGCCTTTTTGGCCCGAGATTTCATGTCCATTATGTAGAGAGAACGACTGCTGTTGTGCATCTGCTGGTCATCGTTGTTTCGCTGATTGCACCCAAACCGTAGAGTACCAGCTCGCCAAGTACCCGCCGTCCCACTCGTCCGCCGCACTCTAACCTCACCTCTTCCCCGGAGGTACCTTGACGGCCCGTACCTTGGTAAGGCATCCCCAAATCCCAATCTCGTCCTGTCCCGTCCCATCCATCCCATCCCATCCCCCATGTACAAATTTCCCTTTCCGAACCTTGACTCCCACAACCAACTTGTCCCGTCGCCTTGCACGGCCGCCTTTCCTTTCTCTGCCCTCCGCTGCGCTGCGGCCCTGTTGCAAACACATCCGCATCTTGTTAGACGTGCATCTTCCCGTCGACTAATCTCCCCATCGACACCGGCACACGGACGAATCTACGAGGCTACGATACCCCTTCCCTTCCGCGACGACGCGTGCGTGGCCCGGTCTGCAACGAGCCACACGATACACCACTTCTCCTTTCTCGCCGCTCCCCGCCGACGACCCTCCCGTTCCCGTCCTCGTCCCCGTCACAAGATCCGGCTTCCTGGGCCCTCCCGCGGATGTGCTGCCACCGTTTGACCGCTGTACGACATTGGAGACGCTCCCGCCGCCAACCCGTCGCTGCTTGACCGTTTCCCGCTCCCGCCTCCTCCCGGAACACACCGAGACTTCACTTGCCTCCCCCGGGGCGTAAACGGCCGGCATTGGGCGCATCGGGATGCAGGTCGCAAAGGGGCAGGCCGAGCTGGGACGCAAGGCCAAGGTGCGTTCCGCCTTGACTTGGACCGACGTGTTTGCATACTGACGTTTCATCCCATTAATAGCTTGCCCGTTCATACCAAGAACTTCTCGAGTAAGCCATGTCCCGTCCCATCTGCGTTCCCTAACCGCCCATCCACTGACCATTGCCACCTACAGTGAGTTCGCAGGCAAGGAACTCAAGTCCGTCGGTACCTACCAACTCGGTCGTTTAATCGGAAAGGGCTCCTTTGGAAAGGTCTACTTGGCCTCCCACAAACTTACCAATGGCTCCAAGGTAAGCCAACACCTGTAATGTCGACGTATGTGTTGCTCCATGCTGACCACCACCAGGTCGTCCTCAAGTCAGCCAACAAGGGCGATTCCAACCTTGCCCGCGAGATCCACCACCACCGACAGTTCGTCCACCCACACATAGCAAGACTGTACGAAGTTATTGTGACGGAGAATATGGTCTGGATGGTTCTCGAGTACTGTGCTGGTACTGATCATGCCACTATCTTTATACCCTTTCATTCTGCTAACATGTTCCAGGCGATGAACTATACAACCACCTCCTCGAACACGGCCCGCTACCCGTTGCCAAGGTTCAGAAGATCTTTGCTCAGCTTGTCGGTGCTGTCTCTTACGTCCACAACCACTCTTGCGTTCATCGTGATTTGAAGCTTGAGAACATCCTGTTCGACACGCAAGAAAATGTCAAATTGGTGGATTTTGGCTTCACACGAGAGTACGAAGGCAGGACCAACCATCTCCAGACCTTTTGCGGCACCATCTGCTATTCAGCACCCGAGATGCTCAAGGGCGAAAAGTACGCTGGCGAGAAGGTGGATGTTTGGAGCTTGGGCATCATTCTCTACGCTCTCCTCTGTGGAGAGCTACCATTCGACGACGACGACGATAATGTGACCCGGACCAAGATTCTATCCGATGAACCCAAATTCCCTGATCACCTACCCCCCGATGCGATACCGTTGATAAAGGGCCTCTTGTCCAAAAGACCTCTGTTGCGGCCAACCTTGCCTGATGTTCTTGCGCATCCTTTCCTGGCCGAACATGCGCCAGCACAGCGAGCTATTCTCGATATCAAGCCAACCGCACCCTTTGCAACGGCTTTGGAGAAGGATTGTCTACATCGAATGCGAAGTGCTGGAGTCAATATGGATTCAGTCATCGAAAGCGTCTTGGCGCAGAAGTGTGATGCCCTGGCTGGATGGTGGGCCCTCCTTCTCGAGAAGGAAGAGCGCAAGGCCGCGAGGAGAGAGAAGAAGCGAAAGGAGAGACGCCTCTCCGCGGCATCGAGTCGCCTGGAACGGATTACGCTGCACGACGTTGACGAAGACGGAGGCTTGACACAACAGTTTCTCAAGCTGGAGCATTCCAAGTCGCAGGGGCGCGGCCGGAGCAAGCGGAGGAGTGCACATTACTCCGATTACGTCGTGGATCTGCCTCAGCTGCTGGAGGTCGGAAAGGAGCCTGGTGGTGCAAATGCAGACGGCGACCACCCTCCCCCTCCCATCGACAAGGATTCAATACGATCCGTTTCAACGTCTCGCCAGCGACGACCCATTCCACCACCAAAAGAGGGACTCATACGCAGCGCTCGGTCTCGAGGCTCGACCCTCCATCTCGTTACCACATCCAACGCCCTCGAATCGAATGGCTCGCACCAATCAAGCCAAGATACCGGGACGCAAAAACCGAAAAGGAAACCAAGCCAAGCCATCATCTCACACTGGAAGAACTGGACACATTGGTTTATTGAGAATACGACGAGGAGGAAGAAGGGGCACGAACGACGAACCAGCCGGAGCACACCGGATCTCCATAAGAAGGAGGGCAGCGCCATGAGTAGTAAAGACGGAGGTTCAAGGCCTCAGACAAGCAAGTATCCGGCCTCGGGCTCACCCCGGATCCAACCAACGGCGGGGCTCCCGAAGGGAGTTGTGGCTAATGGCCATGCTAAGGGGTATGCTCAACTTCAGGTTGGCAATGGTTATGGAGCAGTGTCTTCGTCCTTGGCGTCGCCCACTCACCCGGCTCCCCGGATAAGCTCACAGTCGTACAAACGACAGTCGCTCTCTCCTTCGCCACTGACGCCGCGGTCTACAATGAGGCGGTCATCAGCCGGATTGCGAGGACGCAAATCGACATCGTCGTCCGTGTCTTCTGTTCGGTCGATACACCACCATCACCATTCTCATTCGAAAGCGTCGTCTACGAGTTCGGCGGCATCCTTCTCGGCATCAATGTCCAAGACGCCAATGCAACGAGGCCAGTCGCCTCATCACTCTGTAAAGGTGCTTCCGGCGACGCCTACCGCAGTGTCATTCCCGTCGAATATTCGTCTGGTTCGAGCCCCGCCACCTCCACTCAATATTTTCAATGAGGGGATGCCATCTGGATCTTCTTCACAAGCGCCAGGGTCTCCAAACCCCTTTGCCTCTGGCGTGCAGTTCGCAAAACGCAAGAGAAACTTGTTCAAGGGCCCATCGCTCAATTTCGGTGCGCCTTCAAACAACCAACGAAACCCTGGATCCGGGTCGCATTCTCGTAGTGCGAGTGCCTCGGGGATGGGGCGTCGATCTGGAGAAGTCACCATCCAAGAGGAAGACGAAAGTCTAAACGAGGAGGAAGAAGAGGTCGAAGAGGTGGACGCGTTTAGCCCGGTGATTGGTGCACCTGGGGAAATGATCGAGGAGCAGATTTTTGAAGAGGACGAGACAGCACCGACAAATGCAGCGTTTTCGCTCAGTGCAACGAAGGAAGACCATGAGGCCGACAGTGATGCCTCAACAATAGCTAATGCTAATACACCAGCACCCGCAGTGGGTGTGGAAAAGGCGGCTGCCTGAGATGGACCCTAGTCCTGACGGGGTCTCCGATTTTGGAAGGAAAATGACAAGGGTTCAACGACTTGACGAAAGAAGGGCATATTCTTAGCAAGGTGGGACATTGGGAAGTTGTTATCGTTTTTATGATTGGGGGTTCTTGAACAATTTCTTCGGCGCCAGTCGCCGTGTATATCTTTTCCTATCTGTTGCTTTTCTTCGCCTGACCCCCTTTATGAACAATGCAGCTTGGTTGCCACCAGCGGATTGAGTTGGGTGGTTGTATAGTACTTATGGATACCTACGCTGCGTATTCTTCAATCACGGAATAGAATTAAGACAGCCTTGTTTGTGTTGCTCGCGAAAAGTACAGCTCCCAAGGAGTTGGCGCCGTGTTTGATTGGTGATGTACATTATATCCAGATGAACAGTCGAAACCATCATGCCAAGCCGGGCCCAAGTCCATACCGATCCGATTCCTCATGCGCCAACGACCTGAACCCCGAGAAGACGCATACATCTCCGATGTATGCTAGACCGTATTTCCAAACCCTAAGTTCCACGCCTATCGAAGATGGGGCAAGGCCCTTACAAGACGTGGGACTGGCTTCGCCGCCTCGACTTCTTCTCGAGGATGGCGTTGCGCTCCTCGCGCAGGGTGACCCAGATCCAGAACCAGGTCATCATCTCGACGAACATGAAGGTGAAGAACAAGCGGTTCTTGAGGCCGTCGCCGCCCCAGCCAGCGGGGAGGTAGGACGGGTTGTGCGAGCTCGGGTGGGCGAAGTGGCCGCGCGTCGAGGGCGTGCTGTAGACGGGCGACGAGGGGCCGAAGAGGAAGATGTAGGCGATGAAGGCGAGGGAGAGGAGGAATCGGAGAGGCGCTGAGGGAAGCGGGAGGTTAGCGCTTGAAGTTTTGGATAGGGTTTGGGGTTTGGAGTTTCGGGTTTGGCGGGGAAGGGAAACGAACCTTGGGTGCCCCAGTGGAAGATCAAGCAGACCTCATCGGGCATGGACAGCGACACGAGATCGCTGAAGCCGATGAAGATGAGGATGGCGGCGAGAAAGGCGAGCGGCGCACTTTGGGTGTCGAAGCCTCGAGCGTAGGGCTAAAGGAATCGCAGACGGTCGGTCAGTTTTTTTGCACAGGCTCTCTCAGCTCCGGGGAAGGCAGCTCACCATGCCCATGCTCTCGCCGAGGATGAAGACCAGCGCCTGGCTGTCGATGGAGCTCGGGTTGGTCAGGAAGAAGTAGGCGATGGTGACGTGGAAGAGCGACACCGAGGTGATGATGGTTTTTGCCGAGATGAGCGCCATGGCTGCGGGTTGCTGCGCGAAGGGATTCGTGGCCTTTGTGAGGGGAAGGAAGCTGTGAATATGAAGGCGGAGTCGATGGCGTCGCAAATAGTCGTGGCTATAGTCGTTGTTCTGTCGCGTGAGGCCTCGCGAAAGGAGTGGGGGATGTCGAGAGAGAGGATTCGACCGAGTCTCGAGAAAAGAGAGACAGAAGGAGAGACGGTGGGCTAGAGCTGGAGCGATAGGAGGGAAAGGATCGAAAGGATCAAGGATCGAACAGGTGCAGGTTTTAGCTGGTCACACACATTCTCGACGACACACACTCCTCTTCGCTGGTTGTAGGTCGCAAGCTTCAAAGGGCATCCACTCACACGCACTTTACACGTAGCTAGTAGCTGGAGCTGGCTGCTTGCATAATGGGAATGGCAGCCGGAGAGGTCATTGCGTTGCGTCACGTCACATGCTGCACGCCCCTGTCGCTCTCCCAGTCTTGGCTGTTCGCTCGCATTGCGGGCATCCAGTTTTCGCCAGCCTCCTCGCGAATCAGCAGACGCAAAAGCCCAAAGCATAAAAGACCCTTGTGGCTGGAAGCTCAAAGTGTGGCGTTGCGGGACGGGACCTGGCCTGTCTCCGTTTCTAGGCCGGGACTTACCTCTAGGACTGTCCCTCGATTGACTTAAGGTGGTCAGCTTCAATCATCCTGTCCAACATCAACTCAGCAACCCGATTCCAGCTTTCATTTTCACCATCGTCCACTCAATCGTTCTCATTCACGAGTTTCCCTACGAGAGCAAAGCCCCGGTCGCTGCCATGGCGAACGCCACAGACTCCAAAGACCCTCCCTCTCTCGACAAGCAGCGCCACATCAAGTACTGGGAGCGATGCCACAGCACCTTTCTCCCCTCACCCTACACAGCATACGATTCCACCCGCCTCACCTTCGCCTGCTTCACCATCTCTGCCCTAGACCTCCTCTCCGTGCCGCTGACCCCGGCAGACCGGGCCGCCATCCGTCGCTGGGTCCTCAGCTTGCAGCACCCGGACGGCGGCTTTTGCGGCAGCTCCACGCATTCGTACGCCGGCCAGGACGCCCGCAAGGGCACCGCAAACTTGGCCGCGAGCTTCTTCGCCCTGATCCTGCTGGGGCTTGCCGCCGACGGCGAGGACGAGGAGCGCGCGGCGTTTGCCGGCGTTGATCGGGCAAAGCTGCTCCGGTGGATTCGCACCCTGCAGAGGAAGGATGGGAGCTTTGGCCAGAATGTCTGGGATGGAGAGACGGTCGGGGGGAGGGATATGCGGCATAGCTACCTGGCTAGCTGTATTCGCTGGATGCTGAGGGGGGATGTTCAGGAGGGTGATGAGGCGTGGGTTGAGGATGTGGATGTTGATGAAATGGTGGCACATGTCCGACGGGGACAGGTGAGTCTCTCTGTTGCTTTTGGGGATACGCTAAACTGACTTTCGCAGACCTATGATGGAGGAGTTGCAGAGTCTTCACAACACGAATCTCACGGTATGAACACCCCGTGGTTTAGCAGCTAACAAGAACTGACAATTCTCAGCTGGATACGCGTACTGCGCCATCGGAGCACTCTCCCTCCTTGACCGTCCTCAAGACTCTACCCTCTCACCCCAAACCCAGAAGGCTCTAAAGGAAGGCGTTCCCAACCGTGAAGGCCTATTCCAGTTCCTAGCCTCCCGGCAGTTCCGATATCTTGCAGAGGAGGAAGAGGAAGATGAAGTGGAAGAAAACTTCATCGAGTCGGAAATTGGGGAGACAGAGCTCGGCCATGTGGGGTTCAATGGGCGCTGGAACAAAAAGGCCGATACGTGCTACTGCTGGTGGGTGGGCGGAACGCTTGAGGTATGTCTGAAATCTATAACCGAACTCATGGAATTGACCACTGACGATATTGTTAGATGCTCGGAAACTCTTCCGTCATCAATGCCCCGCCATCTCGGCGATACATCCTCGACATCACGCAGCACCGCATTGGAGGCTTCTCCAAGGCCGTGGGCGGGCCGCCAGACATGTACCACTCGTACCTCGGACTAGCCGCACTGGCTACGATGGGTGATAGCGACCTGAAGGAATTCGATGTCGGCCTATGCTGCAGCAAAGAAACAACACGCAAGATTGAACGAGCAAGAGCTGGCTTGTTGGATAGTATACGGGGTGAGAGGAGGGGGTGGGAGGGCGATGGGTTCTGGTAAAGAGTTTTGGTATGAACTCCCAAACCATGGTGGAATTGGATCATTCGGAGCAAAAAAGTATATCATTACTCCTAGAATTCTGGAAAATGAAGACATATGATCTGGTATTCAGTTGGTGACAGATCCCGGATAGCCGATAATCAGCCGATCATGACTTCATCCTCCACCAACCGCATCTTCCCGAGAATCCAGCTCCTCCACAACCCGCAACGCTCTCCATCATGTCTTCCCAAGAACCAAAAGAGCCCATGGCCTCCAAGGCTCCCGAGCCAGCCTCCGTCGCCACTGCGGCCGCCAAATCAGAGGACAATTCGGCTCCCTGGAACGAGGACAAGCGTCGCAAGTTCGAGACGTAAGCTTCCACCTCTAATTCATCCCGCCCGCAGGATCGCGCGACTGACGCCGCGATAACCCCCCCGATAGGAAATCGAAGAGCGAGTTCTTCGACCCTTGCCAAGAGGCTGCGCAGCGGAGCTACAAGTGCCTGTTCCGGAACGGCGGCGACAAGGCTATGTGCGGCGAATACTTCCAGTGGGCAGCTCCGACCGCCGGCGGCCATAGAGCGCGAGTGCTAATAGCTGAGTAGGGCGTATCGCGATTGCAAGCAGGCATGGGTATGTCTTCATCGCCGGATGGCTTTGAATTGTAGGCGATTGACGGCTAATTGTACGACAGACCGACGAGCGCAAGAAGAAGTCCGGTTCTTGGTTCTGAAGCGACGCGGATCGAACCGATACGAGACGAGCCGAGACGCCGATTGAGACCCTGCCACTCCATCGAGACGTGAGGACCCCACGATTTGAGAGCATGTGAAATACCACGATTATTGTACAATAGTGTATCTGCGGCGCATTCGAGCGGGACGGAGGATTGAATGCATTCAGGATTGGAATCACCATATGGCCCGGCTACGTGTTGCCTCGTCCAGTGGCGCCGGCCAGTGAGGATATTTCCATTGTACTGTGCCCCTTGAGTGATTTTTTCAAAGAAAGGAACCGCTTTCACACCGCAACATGCAGCAAAGACGTCCTCTCGTAGCAATTTCACCCCATGAAGCCATCCTATTTTGCGCCTGGAGCTCCAAGGCGCGCTGTGGCTCAGGCACTAGCCACAATCCACAGCCCCGCCAACATTCACCCCACGTCAGTTCCTTGGGCAGCTCAATTTGAACCCCTCCAAATATTCGCTGGCAAGCCGAGCCATCTCATGAAGTATAACACGCCCATCTCGGCGACGAAGCGACCGCGCAAATGAATCGCCAACGGCCCTCTCTCAAGAACGGCGTCGACCTCCAGCTGCAGTCGGCCTTCGACGACGGCAACTGGGCCATCGTCATCCGCCTGGCCGAGAAGCGAGCCCGGACCTCCAACGACCAGTACTACCAGGTCCGTCAGCAGCCAGAGACAGAAAAACCCATTTCCTCCACGGTCTAAGTATGTCTTGGGCGGTCGAGCTGACGAACGTATGGCGCCGTAGATAGTCAAGGTCTGCGCGGAGAGCCAGCTGGATGACCCGAGCGCAAAGTTCGCGGCCGTAGCCGCCATGGCGCAGTTCGTCAAGGACGGCACCGTTGTCAAGGATGCCGACGGCATTGACCTGCTCGAGTGGGCCACGCAAGACCTGGCGCATCCGGATGAGTTCCCCGAGACTCTGGGGGCTTTGAGGGTGCGGCTCGTCAAGGCGGCGCCGAAGGACAAGATCTCGGCGACCCGGTGCTTGGAGTCGTGCTTGCTGCACTGGGATCTGATCAGTGCGCAGCAGGTATGGAATGAGATGTCTGGTGGTTGCGACAGGAGCTAACTACATATCAGATTGCTGCGATTCTCGACAGATCATTTGCACAGGAGAGGTCCTTTATGTTCTGGAATATTGTCATTACTCATATGCTGGCGGTAAGTTCATTCTATGCAGTCACTGGGATCAGGCTGACTTTCAACGCAGACAAGTCCTCAGTCACCCCCTGAGAAGAAGAAACTGTATGGAATGCTGGCTCTTAAGCAGATCCAACGAGCTGCACAGCTAGCAGAGCAGGTAATTAGACACAACCCAGCTCGTGCGTGATCTGCCTAACACAGCACTAGGCAGAAAGCGCTGAGGGTGGCGATGCCGCGAAGCCGCAACCACGAAGCATCCAATCAGAAGAGGAGATTCTCTTACTTTACGACATTGTCGAAAAGCACGGAACCAGCGACGATTTCGAAAAGCTCATTTCCAGCCCTCTCTTCTGCCCGCTTGTCCAGTTCCAAAAAGGACGGAAGGAGTTGGCTCTAAGGACCCTAGCCAAGCACCAGCGGGACAGCGACTGGGAAGCCATCTACCGACTTTGCAAGGATTGTTTGTCAACTACAGATGAAAGTGGCCAACCTAACCTCCTCGCCTCTGATTGGGCCATCTGGCGGCAATTCATTGATGCTGCCGCCCAGATGAAGGCCGTCAAACCTGAGTATGCACCCCGTCTGCACTAGGTTTCGTCCAACTAATCACTCAATAGTACCGAGAAGGCAGTCCAAGAGCTTCTTCTCAAATTTGTCAAGGTGCCCAACTTACGGCCTATCTACAAGCGAATCATCCTCTTGGCTCGCGTCTCAGCCGCTTTTAACCTGGCGTCGAATGATGGCGATGATCTCACGGACGGCCAGCCCGCTTCTTTGCGACTAAAAGAGCTCATCCATTATATTCAAGATCAAGGCGCCAACGCTGCTTGTTTCGACGACATCAAGGGCTTTGCCGAGAAACTTAACCCGCCCGCAATGAAGTACCTCGCCTACGATTATACCCCTCAGTTGGCAAAGGACACCGAAAATGAACTCGACTCTGCTAGGAGACGGACTCTCTCCCTGAAGCTACAGTACTTCGCGTCCACCTGTCCCTCGATGTATGTCACCATCCCAGGAGAGAAGCCCCTGAGGAAGTGCATAGTTACCGACGAGGAGATCGATTTGGACTCTCCTGGACCATGCTTTACCACCGTCTCTCAAGGCGCTCTCGAGCTGCACCAGTCACTGCTGGAACTTGCGCCTACACACCCTGCGGTTGAGGCAGAGATTAAACCGGACCTCGCCGTGCTCATTGCGCTTTGCAATATCCAGTCTGCTTTCCCTCCGTCAACCGACAGCTCCAACGCCCCAGTATCCCTTTCGCCCCTCATCCGCGCCACTTTGTTCTTGGAGCACCAACTGACTCTCACCCCCAAACATGGCCACATCTCTCTCCTCCTTGTCCAGCTCCACTTCTTCCTTGGCACAGCTCCCCGAGCGCGTGAGATCTGGGAAACCCTAGGTGTTAAACGCACCATCATGGATTCTCTTGGCCCGATCTTCTACGACCGCCTTTCCACAATCGCCCCCTCTATTATTTCACCCAATGATACCTGGGGATGGGAACTTATGGAGCTACTCCAAACTCACTACAGTGTCTCGTTGAAGCTTCGCATGCCCAGGCGCCTGATTGATGCGTTCGAATCGAGCAGTTATGGAAGTGTGATTGACATTCCTCGGTACATGGAGGCACTCAGATGGAGCTGCACCAGGGCAATGAGTCTTGTGGAGGAAACGAGAACGGAGAGGCTTTTGGGACAGCCTTTTGGGGAGGTGCTTCAGGATGAGCGATTTGGTATGCACCATACTGGTCCCCAATGGTCTATTTTACTGACGAATGATTGCAGCTGAGGTGACTGACGATAACGAACTAAGTGAGGTTATCGATTATGGCTCGTTTCCGTCATGGGATTGCAGCTCTCGCCCGATTGTCTACTCTCGCCTCCGGATTGGCCCACCGCCTACAGTACGACGCACCATTCACCGTTTTGGCATCATAGCTAATGAACCTACAGAACCGACGAGCACACCTCTCTCTTCTTTCCGAAGCATTCCATGAGGTCCTGACATACAAACCTCCATCAGTATACAAGGCTTCAGCGGCTGCAGCCATCCCCGAACAGACCTTTGTCCTCGAGATGTTGAGTCAATTGAGCAACTCGTTTACTAAATTCCTCAATGGGCCAAAGTCAGATCTCACGCAGCCAGAGGCAATCTACTTTGAAGCTATCAGCTTGCTAACCACGCTGATTCCTTTCACCACCGGTATGGGCCGACCATCCCCTGTTCCCGAGATTTTCGGCCACATCGTGGATGGTGTAAAGGCTGCTATTGAGACCCTCGCCTCTGAGGTTGCGCCAGAGGAAAAGTCTGGGGCTGCGGGCCAGATTGCCATGCTCAGCTCTATGCACGCGGTAGCCATACTCCGGGACACAGCCGACGCGACGAAGCAGGCAGTGCAGTGGATTCTCGCCACCAATGAACGCCAGAAGGAGCGGGATCGCTCTGGAAACAGCAACCTATTGAAGGACGTCGTGGCACAGCTTAAGGCGCTTCTCGCAGTTGCCGAGACAGCGCTCAAGGACGGCAAGGGCTGGACGGCAAAGTTGAAGGAGCAGGTGTCGGGTAGGGATTTCGAGCCTGCAGCCCGGCGGTGGATTTTCGAAAATGGAACAGACATTCAAGCTGTGGTTGGGGATGATGCGCTGACTAGGCTCGTGGGTAGTTGGGAGGCTAACATTAAGGGATGGACGGAGGTGAAGTGGATTTAGACGGTGAGAACTCCGCGGCTTAGTTGGATAGAAGTCGATTGACGATCAAAAAGCGATGACGACATATTGACATTGTGCCTCTGGTTCCATAAATGGGAGTGAACCATTTCTCCTATCGATGGGTGGATGAAGTAGACGCCATGTACGTGTCGGGGTTGAGACGGCCGCGTGAGCCTTTGATGCATGTTGTGAAGACCGACAACACGTACAGAGGCAATGTAAGCTTAGAGCTAAGGTTCAGAAAACAAACCGAAATACAGAGCTCATCCGGATCTCGCCCTAGCTTTGAGAATTAATGGACGGGCCCCCGTCGGACTTTGCGGGAGGATTGTACGTGTGTCCGATTCGAATGTGCAGTCGTCGGCGGTCTGACGCCTGGAATTGTCCGATGGACGACGAACTGCTCGAATTCTGGCGCATGTGCCCAGGCCAGGGAATGATACCGGAGTCTGCCAAATACCAAGCCTACTCATTCCGAGGCCAGCAACTTGCATTTAATCAACAGGTTCAAAGATTTTGTGGCAGTGAGCCGCGACTTCATAATAACCAGTGTGTGAAGCGAACATGCAGGCTCCCTCAAGCGGAATGGCAGACCAATAGTGATAGTATTTAAACGTTTACATATACGGATGGGAAAGTGTACCCAGAAATCTAATCGTGTTTAATCTGTTCGGTCTTGAAGTTCGTTACTCAGCTGGCGTTTGGAGTTGACCCTATGACTTGGTTAGGACTCACGCGCACATTTTGGGGCCAACCCACTTACCGCATAAATCTGGTAGAAATCTATCGCAATACCCTCTTTGGACCGTTGGAAATGAAGCCGAGCAGCCCAGGGCATTTGTCCCGTGGTTCCATCCTCATACCAATATTTACTCAATCCGTAAACCATGACCTCTTGAGGACTTCCCGCTGCGAATGGGAAGACTTTATATACAACGTGGAGACGCGAGGCTTGGCCCTCCCACGATCCCATGTTGATCTCAGAGATAGCTAGGTTCATCCATATCAGTACCTCGTATATGCTGTTGGAAATTTGGAGAAGTTGGCTCACCGTCACGACCAACCGCATCGGCCGTCTTCCGCTTCATGGTTGCATCCTCGGTGAAGCAAGCGGCCCAACTATTGGCATTCTCTCTGTCGTCGGAGAGCGTGTAGAATTTCTGGAGAAAGTCTGCTAAAGGCTTATCCAACGTTGCGCTATCAAACTCGAATGTGTGAGCAGCGAGCTCGGCGGCAGTGGGTTGATAAGTCATGACGACGGTATGTGGTCTTGCGTCAATCAAGGTGGCGGACTATTGGACGGGTCTCAATGATATTTTGCGAAAGGCAGCCCTTCCTCGTCGACCTTAAACTTATAAGGAATCGTATCAATGGATCACGATAGAATAGTGTGGGGTGTATTCGGACTTTGGGTGGCGCCTAAAAAATACTCGTCGGACTCGACGGTCAATGTCCGACACCCCTGAACATCATGGCAATCCCGATATTGACCTCTAGTGCTACAGTAAGATGAACTGTACCCTAAAATAAACTAGCATATTGTATGAGTGACTTAGATTGGGTCCAAACTTGTGCATCTCACCGTAGGATATCGGCCTTGCATGGTCATAATGCCGATATTTAGCTCTTATGGAGTTGTCAGTGCTATTCTGATAGCGTCTTCGTAGCGGCCGTAGTACCCCATGATTAGCGCATTGCCACAAGACAGGTGTATTCCCGAGACCGTATAAAGGTTGATGATAGACCAACCATAGCACGATCCCGTTTTCTCGTGACACAATCACGGCACACATCAGAAAATTGTGCCCTTAGCCCATCGTAAGGGAGCGTCCTATCATAGTTTTTAAGCTCTTCCACAATGCTCTCCTTGCAGGAAGCACGGACACCTTTCCAGTCCCGCGCCACCTTTCTCAACTTCGTTCGATCGCCAGAGGCTCCTCAAGGTCACGACACTGTTGGAGAGCGAGGCTCACGATGGACAAATCGCGACCTTGAGCCAAAGCGACCGGAAGAACGAACATGGACTTGGTTCGTTCTCAAAATATTAGTCTAAAGTGACATCTTCTTATTTTTCTAGGTATAATTTGCCCCTCTACTGGCTTTCTACAGCATTTGGCATCACAGGATGGAATGTCGCTGCATCGCTGATTGCGATTGGCCTGGTACATATGTCTCCGATCTCGTATTCGATTCCGTTACTAACATGGGCACATTGGAAAGACATGGCAACAGGCGTTCATCTCGTGCGTCCTGGGGTCGTTTATCAGTGCCGTCGTGGTCGTAGGAATGGCGCGTGCCGGGGCTCGATATCACATTGGCTACCCTGTCTTGGTTCGCTCATCTATGGGCATGTATGGGTCTTTCTTTTCATTTTTATTCGTGCCATCATTGGCACCATTGCCTTCGATATCCAGACCTTTTACGGTGCCAACCTACTGTCGACGTGTCTACGCTGCATATTCGGCTCTCACTGGGAGAATCTGGCTAATACGCTGCCGGAATCGGCGCATGTATCGTCCAAAACGCTACTGTGCTTCTTTCTGGGGATACACCTTTTACCTGGGAATACATGGCTAAGGGCCAGAGAGATGGATTCTTTGATGATGAAGTTTCGGGCGACTCAGTTACTGACGGCATCGAGGCAACTCAGCAGATTCAGATTGTGCAAGAGTCAGCTGACAAGAAGGTTTAAATTGCCATTAAATGTATCGTGGTTATACAAATAGAAGCAGCCTGATCCTAGCTCTTAAGATTCTCTAGGATTACTACCTGTGAAAGTGGAAAACTCAGCGGATGACTCCACCACAAACATGGATCATGGAACTAAGCTCGTCGCAATCAGAATATGGCGTTTTCGGGGTAACATAGTCCGCTCCATCGTCGGGTCAACATGAGCCGATGAGACCGGCGCGTGTACGAGCGGACACGGAACTCAATGGAGTGCGTAAGTTGGCAAATGAATTGATATCCACTCTCAGTCAAATGTTCCGCGGCATATTTAATCGTACACATACTTTCTTTCCTCCATCGGCTTAAATCCATTTCTTGCATCTCTCCGCGCCACTAGCATCTTTTTGCAACAGTTTCTCATTTATTTTACCCTCGGGCCTTCAGCAACGCCATGGCGGAGCCCCAAGTTGACAAGACTTGGATGTGGCATCCCCACTTCTCCGAAGAACGCAAGGATACCGCCGGTCTACTTGTTCACTTTAGAAGGGAGTTTACAGTCGAGGGCGAGCCACCTACGTCACTACCAATCGAAATCACTGCAGATACTCGATACAAGCTTTACGTTAATCATCAACTTGTCTCATTTGGTCCTGTCAAGGGTGATTCTAGCCTTTGGTTCTACGATGAGATTGATATCGGCCCTTGGCTGAAGCAAGGCCACAATCAGATCGCCGTCATTGTCCTGCGATACTTCTATTCAACTCAATACGCCACGTCATTTCCCCGATTGCCTTCTGGTGGATTGAGAGTGTTCTTGCCCGGACCACCTGGTCTTTGGCATGAACTCGTTCAGAGCAGTCCTTCTTGGGAGACAGCTATAGACCCCTCGACGACATTCAGAGTAGATGAACCCGAAGACGATTTCTTACACATCTACGAAAATGTCTGCAATGCTGACGACAAATCCTGGGAGTGGGTTCCAGCCAAGCTTCTCTCATATCAAATTTCGACTGGCAACTCATCTCCATGGAACCTCTCCCCACGCCTTATCCCGCGAATGAGATGTAAGGAAGCTATCTTCAGCTCAGTTCATAATTTGCGAAGCTGCATCCCTCAGATAGTCTGGGAGACTCAATTACTTGGGATTCCAGCATCACTGGAAGGTCGTCAAGGCCTCCGTCTTCCTCCCGGAACCAACCACCACATTGACCTCGAAGTGCCAGAACACTTGACGGGCTTTCTCTCTTTCCGGTTCAAGCGTCCTGAATCCCCCGGTAGCACTCTCAGGGTGACTTATGCTGAGAGTTACGAAGACACTCCTAAGCTGATTCCCTACCTGCGACAGAAGGGGAGTCGCTGTGACTACAGCAAGGCCCTGACAGGTCCTCAGGATATCTACCATTTTGAGGGTATGAAGCTTGTACCAACAGCTGGTCATTACAACAAAGAGAACGCAGATGAGAGTTTTGCACCTTTTCACTTCCGCACTTTCCGGTTTCTCCGTATCAATATCGAAGTTGGAGAATCGGAATTGATCCTGGAGGACTTTGCGATTACAGCAGCAAATTATCCTCTAGATATTCAGGCCAGATTCAAGGTCTCCGGCGGTCCCGATAACACGCCACATGAATTGTGGGAGACAAGCATACGGACGCTTGTCAATTGTATGCATGACTGCTACGAAGACTGCCCGTTCTACGAGCAGCTCCAATATGCAATGGACACACGAAGCTCGGCTTTGTTTACGTACTATGTCTCTGGTGACGACCGTCTGGCTCGTCAGGCCATGATCCAAATTCATAATTCATTCCAGGCTCGGCTAGGCCTTACCGGCAGCCGTGCGCCCTCGCATCGTCCCCAAATCATTCCGCACTTCTCACTCTTCTGGGTCAACATGTTGAACGACCACCTCGCATTCTTTGGCGATCGGATATTCTTGGCTCCGTTTATTCCAGCTGTTGATGCGGTTTTGAACTATTTCCATTCTCGTCTGGATCCCAAATATAGGCTCGTCCTTTCCGAATCGCGAGCGGGTATCTGGAATTATGTCGACTGGGCTGACCAGTGGAGGCCGTTTGGTATTCCTCCAGCGGCAGAGAGATCAGGGATATCCACCTACACCAACCATTTATATGCCTACACTCTGAAGAATGCAGCTGCTCTATTAGTTGCGATGGGAAGATCAAGCCTGGCCGAGGAGTACATCTGCAGAGCTGGTGACGTTGTCCAGGCCCTCCAGTCCTATTGCTTTGATGGCAAGTTCTTCACGGATAGCCTGGCCTCCGGTGCTGACAAAAGCGCCGACTACAGCCAACACAACCAAGTGTGGGCTGTACTAAGCGGAGCAGTAACATCAGAAGCTGGTCAGGAGCTATTGCGTCGGAGTCTTAACACAGAGGCAAAGAATGCATTCATACCCGCATCCATTTCCATGTCCTTCTATACTCTACGTGCCCTCAGCAAAGTCGGTGGGGATGTCTACGACGAGCACTTCCACCAGTTCTGGGATCCATGGAGGGTTCAGATCTCGCTGGGTCTAACGACATGGGAGGAGGACAGTGTTTCCCAGCGCTCAGATTGCCATGCCTGGGGCAGTGCACCGATTTACGAGTTCATGGCCGAGGCTGCCGGGGTTCGACCAAAGGGTCCTGGGTGGAAGGCTATTACTTTCCAACCAAGGCTGGCACTGTATAGGGAGCTAAAAGCCACAGTTCCGTTGCCAATGGTAAACGGGAAGGCAACCGGGGCTGCGCACGTGGCATGGACAACCACTGTTGAAGGGAACATGGTGGTAAGTTTGAGGGTTGAGCTGGTCAAGCCCGCGGTTATTCCTGTATATGTCACGCTTCCAAAGTCTCCATGTTTGCTTATGGATAGCACGGATGACTTGACATTCATTGTGAAACCAGGGCGATGTCTACCAGAGTAACGAATATTGGAATTCAAGAACTAAAGAGCTTAAGAGTAGACAGTGATAAATACGCGCAAGAGTTGATTTACTTATGTATTGAATCCATCCGCACTTCCAAATGACCCAGGGGACTGCTGATAAGTAGGCAGCGCGAATAATGGCACTGTAAACCAATTGGATGATTCTTGACCCGAGAGACTGAAATAAGGCTCGGTAGGGAGGGAGCTCTGAAGATCAGTGTTTCTGAGAGATGCTTCAAACCCAGCAGGATTCTCATATGATGCCGTGGCCTGCTCTCCAGCGACTTGGGTTTCGTGCAGGAAAGGGTCAGCTCGAAATTTGTCCTCCAAGTCGCACGTCGCAATGCGAAGATCGACAAGCGAGGGCAGCACACCTGACTGAGTGCGATTGCCAGAAAGCCTACTATTCCTCAATTCAGTCTCTGCTTGGTGAAGCAGTAGCCAGTATTTTCGGCTAATCTGCCAATACCTTGCCATCTTCTTCACCGATTGAAGCAGGATGTCAAAGTACTGGGGCGATTGGCAGCAGCCGTTGTATTCAGAAACAAGCAGGTATCGGGCGGCCACCCAGACAGACCAAGCGAACGGCCAACCGAGACTATCCCTGACCTTGTCTGTGGCACTTGAGCAAATCTCAACCATGGATTCCACACTTCTCATGCAGGTGTCTTGACTGTCCTTGCGGAAGTCGAGGCGCTGGGCGTAAAGAGATTCCTCGAATGGAAAGGCCATCAGGCCGTTCAAATAAATGGTTGACGCGTGATAGTAGGCATGCAGCATGAGGGCCGACGGCAGAGTGCGATGAGTTGATATTTGTGGCTGATTTGATGTGTCTAGATGTAGACACTGTGGTAAAGTTTGGAACCACTCTGACAACTGAGTCGAGCACCCCACGAATCTCTGGAGCCAATCAGACGAGCCAGTCTCCTCTATAGGGAGGGTGATGTAGTCGATGTAGACAGCATGCAGTCGCTTCGAAATTTCCATTAATTCGAGCTGATAGCTGAAGACGAGTCTTGGTGTTGCCGTCGCACCGGTCTCGTGGGGCTGCTTTGGCTGGGTCTGGCCTTGGGGCGTCATGAGAAGGCGAATGTCTTGCGGATCTCGCCAGCTGACTTCTCTGGTGTACAAAAACTCACGGAAATGAGAGTCGGTCAATTCCGAAGGGTGACTCGTCGTCATGGAGATGTAACAATCGAGCGCGTAGATCGCCCAGAAGAGCCTGTGTTGGTGAATCTGATCTGGTCTGACGAGTGGCTCATCCGTGGGGGCTCCGGTTGATGCTCTGAAGACATGTCTATTATCCGGCTTCAATTGGAGTGCGAGTTTGGTGGCAACAGCAAGAGCTCCCCAAACTTGTGGCCCATTGGTCATCCCGGAGAGGTCAAGAACTAGGACGGTCAAGGCTTCAAGTGCGGTATACGAGGGCTCTTCTAGGATCTCGATGAAGATTCGTCGCTTCGAGTACTTCCAGAAAGCGTCGGCCGACTGTTGGTTTAGGCGCGAGTCGAAAGAAAACGGCAGGGAGACGCCGAACAGAGCGTAGTGGAGCAGTGACGGCTCCTGCGTAGACCCCATCTCATCGAAGACGCGCTGCGCACTGAGGAATGGGAGCCATGTGTGAATGTGTCGAAAGAACAGCGAGACCAATGATACAACCAAGTCCATAGGGGGCTTTTGTTCTGTGATGTTGGCCGTTCGCGTTGACGTTGCCAAAGGTGGTTGCTCAGTGGTTTGCCTGGGAGGTTCTTCTGGATCGAGATTCATAGGCGCCTGCGATAACTCACTGGTATCCGAAGTCAGCGCTGGTATGGCTGAAGCAGGTGGATTATGCGCTTGTTCTCTCCCATCGGCTTCACGCAGCGTCTGAATCTCTGTTTCTAATCTGTCTGTGCCAAGATTCACACTGTATTAGCCAACCCCAAAGAGATGGCTGGGAAAAGAGGTGACAAACTAATCTTGTCTTCTAAAACCTGGCGCTGGCCGGTGGGAAACCCAGGCTTGCGACGATCCAGATACTCGCATGCCACTCCAGCCGCCTCACACCGCTGGCATGAAGGGGTTTGGCGATCGCATCGGCATTTCCGTCGCTTACATCGCTCGCACCTTGGCCGAAATGTCAATGCCACATGTCCAAGGCGGGGTGTTCCTTAACTTACGATACAGGCCGTCTCTCAGTAGTGTCATCGGATCCGAACCCTCCTGCGAAGAGTCCGAGGTTAGCGAGGAGTCCGAGTTAAGCGAGGCGCTTGCCATGATGCCAAAGCTGGTGTTCCAACCCGGGCTGACGGAATGAAATAGACCGACGCCGGAGCAACATACCGACTGATGGCAGGGAAGTGCGGTGATTAGGCATAGCTGTATTTGCTAAAGCTGAACTGGCCAGAGAATCAGGAGCAATCTCGAACAACTTGACGGGAATCGGAGTATGTTATACCTATGAGTTGCCACGGCGCGTGACTGTGCGGGGAAGGATGAGTACGGGGAGTAGTGGCATTGAGATTGACTTGTCTAATTGGTTTAAGCAAGTTCCGAAGCTCAGCGTCCCCACATCGACATGGATGGGTGAACTGAGGCTGGCGGGGATCGGAGGATGTTACTCCTGTCCGTTGCCAGGAGAAGTAGTTATGGCTCGTTTTATTGGCTCAACCATGGCCCATTCTACCCTCCTCCACATAGGAATGGGCTGGTTTGCACCTGGACTTGGTCTCGTGCCTCCACAGTCGGGCCAGACCTGCCCCGACATCCCCGGATTTTCATCGACTAAGGGTATCCAGACGCAAACCCCATACTGTCAGGTGTACGAGAATACCACCGAATCCGGGGTAATTGAAGCGAAGAGGCGTTCATGGGCTGGCTCTCGGGAAAAGATCAACGTCGCTAGCAGAACCGCCTAACGGGGACATCTATATAGACCAGGGATTCCCCACACAACATCCTCTCCGCAACACCCTCAACATTGGAGTATCAACACATTCTTCAACATGGGATTCAAAGGCCAGAAAAATCCTGCAAATGCTCAGGTGGATCACCTCGAGGTCCCAAGTCCGGCCATGCCAGAATCTCGGATCAACACCCACCGCTGGTGGCGGTACCGAAACCTTCGGGCCCTCAACCTCTGGATGTTGATTCCGCTTCTTTCCATCTTCTCGCAGGGGTAAGTTTACTTGAATCCGCTTCGTTGGAATCTGCTAACCCATCGGTGTCGCAGCTTCGACGGCTCGATGATGAACGGTCTCCAGTCCGTCTCGCATTGGCAGTCGTATTTCGGAACACCCAAGGGCGCGACTCTTGGCATCTTCAATGCCGCATATCCTCTCGGTGGTATTGTTGGTGTCTTCTTGATTACCCCAGTGGCCGATGGCTATGGCCGACGTGCCGGCATCGCCGTTGGTGCTGCGCTTGCCTGTCTCGGGGCTGCTCTGCAAGGAGGTTCCATCAACATCGCCATGTTCGTCATCTCACGACTCTTTATTGGCATCGGAAGTGTTCTTGTGGCCGGTGCCGGTGCTCCATTCATTACCGAAATCGCCCATCCTGCCCATAGAAGCACGGCTACGGCTCTCTTCCTTACCTTTTACTCTCTCGGCTCCGTCACTGCCGGATGGTGCACATTCGGGACATTCCGCATCGACGGCACGGCGTCTTGGCGTATCCCTTCTGCTCTGCAAGGCCTTCCATCCGTCATTCAGCTGATCTTCATTTGGTTTGTCCCCGAGTCTCCGAGATGGCTCGTTAGCAAGGGCCGCAAGGAAGAGGCGCTCGCGATGCTTGTCAAGTATCACGGCGAGGGAGATGCCACCGACCCGGTTGTTCTGTTTGAGTACCAGGAAATCACCACCACAATCGAGACTGAGAAGGAAACAAGTGAGACCTCAATGGTAGGTACTGCGCGAGAGTTGCTGTCCCGCCCAGGAAACAGGAAGCGACTCTTTATTCTTATCTGGGCTGCCATCTGCTCACAAATGTCCGGCAACGCCTTTGTGTCCTACTATCTGTCGCCTATCCTCACGTCGGTCGGTCTCAAATCAGACCTTCAGCAGACCCTCATCAACGCTACCTCGCAAATGTTCTCATGGGTCATGGCTACTTACTTCGCCACCCTCCCCGAGAAGCTGGGTCGGCGCACGATGTTCCTCTGGTCCCTTGTTGCCATGTGGGCCGTTGTCATCTCCATCACTGCAGGGAGTGCAGTATTTGCCAAGGACAATACCAACAAGGCCGCCGGATATGCTGTTGTTGCACTTCTATATCTCTTCTCCCCCGCTTATAACTTTGGATTCAACGGAAACTTGGGTCTTTACGTCCCGGAGATTCTTCCTTATCACCTGCGAACTCGAGGAATGGCCTTTTTCTATTTCGTCCAATATTGCTTTATGATTCTCTCCAATTTCGCGATCCCAGTTGGACTCGAGAACATTCAATGGCGCTTGTACATAATTTTTGTTGTCTGGATCATGGTTGAGTTCTTGGGGGTTTATCTGATATTCCCAGAGACCAAGGGTCCATCGCTCGAGGATATCGCCATCATTTTCGATGGTCCACAGATGAAGGACTTGGAGGAGGAGATTGACCATGTGCAGAAGCCTACCGCGGAGCAGAAGTAATTTATGCTAGTACCGAGCTTGAATCACAAGACGACTTAATAGGCTTTACTACTGAGTGAGGGAGTGAGCAGAGGACACTAAGAACACACAACCCACCCAGAGGCAGAGCTGTGATGACCGCGATAGTGTTGTGTCGGAAAGGTCGGATAGGGTCAAGTTTGGGGTCCGGATAAATCGGACAGCCGGGCAAAGTAGATAGCTTTTTCCAGCTGATAACGTTTGATCAAATGGACCTTCAACAGGTCCCCAAAGGATAGGTCAAAAGACTGTCAATTGAAAAACGATGAGATGCTAGGAGGATGATGCTTCTGTTGTGTCCAGAAGGTCCTGTCCGAGACCTTCCCAATTTATGGCCCCAGTAGGTCTGGCTACCGGTCCTACCCGATGCAGCACTTCCTGTTGAAGGAACCCACCAATCCTAGCCCTAGCGGCTGCAAGCATCCGATCAGATGACCTTTATCCCCAAAGACCGGAAAGCCCCGACTCACTACGTATAAGTCATAGTCCATATGTCTCCTTACGATAACAACATCCCATTTCCGAAACATGGCAAAATAAGGTTATTCTCGGCAACGTGGAGCCTCACTTCCCACTGCCGACTATTGGTCAGTAGCGGGGAAGACGATGCTCCCTGTAGGTCTGCAATTTTAACATCGCCGATCTGTGCAGGGTAGGTGAATTGTGATTTTATTTCTATTTTATTTTTGAAAATGTTGTTTACTTCATCATCGGCGTGTTTGCGCAAGCCGAGGGATGGATGGAGAAACAAGAAACAAGCATTTACAAGAAAATCAATATATTTAGTTTACTCATATAGAGTCAATACATTATCTTAGTTCTATCGAAAATTATTGTCTAATTTTTAATCGTCGATGGATAAGTGACCTTCGTCAATGTGGTAATGTAGTTTAATGGTGATAACCCATCCCCAACTATCAATCCAATCAACAAAATTAACACACCCCCAGTACCTTGACTCACATAATCCCTCACCAACGATCCTCGTTTAAAAATGCCACATTTCCAACACAGTCACAGTTATTGTCAAAGCATGTGAAATGCGTACGGAGTGTCGGACTCAAATGTAGGGTAGGCTCCAGCCCGGGATGTCAGCCTTTCCCTTGCATGACTCAATGGGAGAATAGCGTCTTGGCACATGCTGACGATGGATACGTGGGCTGTGCAGAATTAAGGTACTTTATGGTTGCTTTTCCTTGGTGAGAAGATTGCCCGTATTTGCAATTTAATAGTGAAATGCAATCGTGGTTGGTTGGGAAAACTCCGCACAGAAGACGTGATGCAATCACTCGGTGGCCGCGCGATCCGCTACCGAGCTTCACAAGGTCCGTGTGAGCTAATACCTTAAATGCCGCCACACTAGTCTCTGATCGAAGAAGTTTAACTTTCGTTAGGCCTTAGAAATCTCGATTTAAAATGAACAAATTGACCGTTTCTAAACCACCCATTGTGGGGGCTTCTACCTCTTATACCGGGATCCCATCATGCCATTGTGCCAGCTTATTCGTCTGAACCATTTATACGAACAAATTCCAAACAAGGCGGAGATACCCGATTTTGATTCTATGTCCAGGTGCGCCGCGCAAAATCCAAATCCCGTGTAATAAAGAATCCCTTCTAAAGACACTCCTCCATCGACACCTTACGCCCACTGGCTGAGCAGTCCTGGTCGGTCCACCTCCGCAGCTCCGAATTCACACCCTGCAACGTCCGAACCAATGGCGTAAAGTCACGTTCCTCTTTCGAGAGATCTCCAATCTTCTGGGCAATTCGCCCCAAGAGCTCCAGGTCAGAAACAAAGGCACTGGGGTTTGGCGAGTGCACGATATTGCTGGCCAGGCAGGCGTAGGGAATGAATGCCTGGAAGAAGCCCACCATGAGCGACATGGTCTCCGAGTTTGGGAACTTGATGAGTAGAGTATAGATGATGTTAAGGATGCTGCGCGATGCCCTGATGGCCAACGGTGAACGGGGAACATCGTGGTCTGATGAAACGGGACTGGGCGAGCTCGTCTCGAGGATATTGTACTTTCGGAGCATGAAGATGATGCTCGTATACCCGGTCAGCGCCACGTCGATGAGCATCCACCAGTGAATGTCGTTATCTTCAGCCTTTTGAATCCACTCGTCCTATTCCCTGTTTAATAAATTGCATAGGAAATTGACGGTTGTAAGGAGCTTACCATTTGCCATTCCTGAAACAAAGTCTCAACCTCCTCGCCTAATTGTTCAATTCTCGAGAGCATGTCGCCGCCAGGCGCATCATCTTCAAGGAGCTGAAAAAAGCGGGTGAGGACGAATGTGATTCGCGAACTGACTAAAAACGCCAAGGTTGGTACTGTTTCCATGTCGGGCTGAGAGTCGGGTGAGAGGTATGGGAGATTGACACGCCAGCTGTTCATGCTCTCGGTGAGCGTTGGGGGCTTGTTGTACAGTAGTCGAAAGAAGAGTTCGACCTGTATCAGCTCCCAAAAACCCCTTCGGTCAGAATCCACCTTGGACCCGTTGGAGTTGGCGAAACCTTCGCCACTGTCGAGATTGTGCATGTTGAGGCCTTGGGCGTACTCGCACGCTTTCTTGAACAACTGCCAGCTCAGATCGTAGTCGAAGCACTCCGCTGATACTCGAGCCTGGGAATTGGGTTACAAATGAGATCATTTCAAAGAGGAGTCAGACGTACCGTAAGCATGGCGGCGATGAAGTCGGTCGTGGTTCCTGTCGCCTCTCGTTGCCAATTCGGGAGGGAGCGCAAACAACAGAGGTAGACTTGTCGAGCATATTTGATATCATGAATATTGTTGGTCACGGTAGACGGTAGAGAGCAGCCGTGATAGAGAACAGCGTAGTATACGACGAGAATGGCTGCATCTAGGTGGACAAAAGGTGAGTCGATAATGTCGGGAATTTGTTCGATTAGCTTTGCATCGATAAGACTTAGGAATGCATCGGCGCGCATATGAGTGAAATAATCTACAGGACAACAAGTGTAAGTAGAAGAATCTTGATACTGTCACACAGGGAAGACTTGAATGAACGGGCCGAGGTGGTGCATACTATGAATCCATTCTTTCGCCAACTGCGTTGGGATAGTGACTCCGGCAGTCAGCGTCGACTTTGCAATGTACTGTAGCCTAAGCCGTTGAACTTGACCGACGGCGTCCATGAGAACAGCCGTGATGTCAACATCCGCCAAGGGATATGTGGAGCCGGATGTTCGGGGCGTGTTGGTGCCTGCGCTTAAGTTGCTTGGAGATGCGTGGGAGGCCGGGCTCGATGTGGTGCTGCCACCGAAGCAAGCGACCTCATGAGCCGCATCCGAACTCCGCGTACGCCTTCCATTAGCCCTGGCAGGATCGGGACTGCCATCCGAGCTGGGTGGTAGGGGGTTGAGGGAGATGACGTGTTCTTCAACCCTCTGCAGCCGCTGGAGTATGGTTGATAACGGGCTGTTGGTTGCTCTATATAGGCATCTAATTAGTATCCCTGTGGCTGAAACTTGGAGAGTGGGCAGACGCTAGTCGGGCCGTAAGCCCCCTTCGTGACCTCCTCTTGACTCGCTCAGGGTAGTGGCACTCAAGTCCTTGAAGTCTGCATCGGTCGCAGGTGGGTGTGATGCGGCTGCAGCGGACCTAAAGCGCGGAGTCCATCAGCCCTGCGCTTGTGGACTGGGGTTGTCTCATCTGGGGAAGCTCAAAGAACTAGGGACTGACCTTCTTGAGCTTACACATGCGACACTACCAAAACGACGTCATGTTAGCGGAAAGGATTGCTGGTAGAAGGCCGGACTTTGCCAGAACCGGCAGGGGCTCTAGCCATCATCGGACGCCGGCGATGGGCTAGGCTGTGACACTTACCGACAGCGCGTTCAGCGAGCTGACGGACTCCGCCATGGCTGAGGGGCGTCCGGGCTGGGCGTCCGGGCTGAGGATTCAAGGGCCCAATGTTTTGAAGGAGGCTGTTGGTGGCTGCGTGGTGGTGGATGCGCGGAGATCTGGAGTCAGGAACAGAGGCGCCCTCGGTCCTATGCCGTCAAGGGGAGTCCGGAGTGGTTTTGTACTCGGCATATACAGAGTCCAGACTAGGCATAAGCTCCAGGCAGACATGCCCGATCCCTGACTGTCCCCCGTCCGAGTGCGTCTGAGAGGCGAGCTACTACGTAGTAAAGCGGAGCTAAGGGGGGGTGTGTGGCTCGCTCGCCGGACCCCGGGATTTGAGGCGGCCGAAAGTCCGGACTGAGATCCGGAACGAGTGGGTCATGGAAACATCCCGGACTCATCCCTCCCAGGTGTTGGAGTCTTGGCAAAGTCCGGCCAACAGCCAGCGTGGACTCGTCCGGACTGTGTCTCGGACTCAGCGTCGCGCAACCGGAAACTATTGACGTCGTCGGCACTTGGCGTAGGCTGTGACATGCAGGTTACGACATGGATTTGATCGGAGAGATTAGATGGAATTTCAACTCGAGAGCTGGATATATAAAGCTCCCCGGCCTGGGATTCAAAATATTCTGTTCAGTGCACCAACCAGAACTTGAAAGATTTCGATCCAGAATCATCAACACTGTTCTATTTTGTTCTAAATTGGGCTGTTTCTATCGGCTGACTGCCTCTTCCCTTTTCCTTTCCTCGCCTGTTACTTGGCACCCCTGAGCTTCATCATGCCATCTGGCAGCAACGCCGAGGCCGGGGGCTCTATGCTGCCCTCCGAAAACGAAAAGGCTAGCCATGAGATTCCGCCGTCCTCGAATTCCGACTCCATGTCGACGATATGCCCGGATGCAAAAGAGGAATCGGCCGGCAAGGACTGCGACGACTCTGAGGCGCGCATGAATGACGAAGTTGTCGAGCTCGCTCGCCGCTTGACCACCAGGTCTCACGGCGCTCCTGGCACCCTCTTCCCCGTTCCTGCTGAAGGCCCTCTCAATCCTGCCGGCCCTAATTTCAATGCTCGCAAGTGGGCTCGAGCCTTCTACGACATCCGCACTGATACCTCCGAGGGAACACCACCAAAGACGACTGGCATCGCCTTTACGAACCTCAACGTCTATGGCTTTGGTACTGCAACCGACTTCCAGAAGACGGTGGGAAACGTGTTTCTAGAAGGCTTCAACTCGATCAGGGGGTTGTTCAGCAAGAAGCAGCAGCGTATTGATATCCTCCAGGATTTGGAGGGTGTTGTCCACAGCGGCGAGATGCTTGCGGTTCTGGGACCCCCGGGATCTGGTTGCTCCACGCTGCTGCGAACTATCGCCGGTGACACTCACGGATTCTATGTTAGCGATGATGCCACCATCAACTACCAGGGCATTCGACCTAGCGAGATGAGAACCGCCTTCCGTGGCGAGGCAATCTACACGGCCGAGGTCGACAACCATTTCCCTCACCTGACGGTTGGCGACACCCTGTACTTTGCCGCCCGCGCTCGCTGCCCCAAGAACATCCCTGAGGGGATCACCAGAAGGGAATACGCTGAACACCTTCGCGATGTCACTATGGCCATGTTTGGTATTTCGCATACGAAGAACACCCGAGTTGGCGATGACTTCATCCGAGGTGTCAGCGGCGGAGAACGAAAGCGTGTCACTATCGCAGAGGCCGCTCTAAGCTATTCTCCTCTCCAGTGCTGGGACAACAGTACCCGAGGTCTCGACAGCGCCAACGCTCTTGAATTCTGCCGAACTTTGAGAACTCAAGCCGATACCATGGGCTGCACGTCTTGCGTTGCCATCTACCAGGCTTCGCAGGACGCCTACGATGTGTTTGACAAAGTCATTGTGCTGTTCGAAGGCCGTCAAATTTTCTTTGGAAAGACCACCGAAGCGAGGGCCTATTTCGAAAACCTTGGATTTATCTGCCCTGATCAACAGACCACGGCCGATTTCCTGACCTCTATGACCAGCCACCAGGAGCGTGTTATCCGACCTGGTTGGGAGGGCAAGACTCCTCGCAGCCCTGATGAGTTTGCTCAAGCCTGGAAGGCCAGCCAGACTCGCGCCAGCTTGATGAATGATATCAGCGAATATGTGGAGCGTCATCCCTTTGGAGGAGAGCACTATGACCGTTTCCTTCAGTCCCACAAGATCAACCAATCCGACATGCAGCGCTCCAAGTCGCCCTTCACGCTCTCCTACATCGAGCAGATGAAGTTGACGCTTTGGCGAAGTTGGGTCCTTCTGAAAGGCGATCCATCAATCACAGCCACCATGTTAATCACCAACGTCTTCGAAGCTCTCATCATCTCCAGTCTCTTCTACAACCTGCCGGCCAACACGTCCAGTTTCTTCCGCCGCGGTATCCTACTGTTCTTCATCGTCATCATCAACGCCTTTGGCAGTATCCTTGAGATCCTCACTCTATATTCAAAGCGAAAGATTGTCGAAAAGCATGCTCGATACGCTCTTTATCATCCCAGTGCAGAAGCTCTCTCAGCTATGGTTATGGATTTGCCATATAAGATCATTAATACGATCCTGCTCAACACCATCTTATATTTCATGGGCCATCTTCGCCGTGAACCGGGCGCTTTCTTCTTCTTCCTTCTGATCAGCTTCACAATGACATTGACCATGTCTATGATGTTCCGACTTATTGGATCTGTCACCAAGTCTGTCTCCCAAGCCCTTGCCCCAGCCTCGATTATCCTCCTCGCCATTGCTCTATATACTGGGTTTGCGATCCCTCCGCAGTATATGAAGGACTGGATTGGTTGGATCCGCTGGATCAACCCGGTTTTCTACGGTCTTGAAAGTTTGATCCTCAACGAGTTCAATGGACGCAACTTCACTTGCTCGACCTTTGTGCCCAGCGGCCCGAACTACGACTCTATTCGCGGTCTTGAGAGAGCCTGCAGTACGGTAGGATCAGTCCCCGGCCAGGACTTTGTTAGCGGCACTGACTATGTGCGACTCTCATATGGATTTATCAACTCCCACCGCTGGCGCAACCTTGGTGTCATGATCGCTTTCATGATCCTCTTCATGAGTCTGCACCTTGTGGCCACTGAGTATATCGCTTCCGAACGTTCCAAGGGTGAGGTTTTAGTTTTCACACGCAAGGGCTTGAAGAACCCGCGCAAGAATGATTCCGAAACTGCCAGTGGCAACCGACACGTGCAGGCTAGCAGCAATGATTCAGGCGACTCATCCGACGTGGCGAAACAGACATCAATCTTCCACTGGAAGGATGTTTGCTACGAGGTCAAGATTAAGAGCGAGACTAGAAAGATTCTGGATCATGTCGATGGATGGGTTAAGCCTGGAACTCTGACAGCTCTGATGGTAGGATGATTCAATTCGACACTACTCGAAGTGATACTGACAATTATCTCTAGGGTGTTTCCGGAGCCGGCAAAACGACACTTCTCGATGTGCTTGCTACTCGTGTTACCATGGGTGTTGTTTCTGGAGACATGCTTGTCGATGGCAAGCTCCGTGACGAATCTTTCCAGCGCAAGACCGGATATGTCCAGCAACAGGATCTTCATCTGCACACCTCGACCGTCCGCGAAGCCCTTACCTTCAGTGCTGTTCTCCGACAGCCCTCACACTATACCCGACAAGAAAAGATTGCCTACGTTGATACCGTTATCAGTCTCTTGAACATGGAAGAATACTCGGAAGCTCTTATCGGTGTCCCCGGAGAAGGTCTCAACGTTGAGCAGCGTAAGCGCCTGACCATCGGCGTTGAGCTCGCCGCCCGCCCCCAGCTTCTTCTATTCCTTGACGAGCCTACTTCTGGTCTTGATAGTCAAACCTCTTGGTCTATCTGCAACTTGCTCGAGAAGCTTACCAAGAGCGGCCAAGCTATCCTCTGTACCATCCATCAGCCCTCTGCCATGCTCTTCCAACGATTCGACCGTCTATTGCTCCTCGCCAGGGGCGGCCGCACTGTCTACTTTGGAGAGATTGGAAAGAACGCAAAGGTTCTGGTCGACTATTTCGTTCGAAATGGTGCTGCCAAGCTACCTACCGGCGCGAACCCCGCTGAGTACATGTTGGAAGTCATTGGAGCTGCTCCAGGTGCCCATACCGAGATTGACTGGCCTGTCGTGTGGCGCCAGAGCCAGGAGTATCAGGGTGTTCAGCAAGAGCTGGCTAGATTGAACGCTGGCGGGAATGCTGAAACTCAACAGACACATGATAACGCAACCTACTCGGAGTTTGCCGCCGGAATGAACACTCAATTCTTTGAGGTGACCAAGCGAGTGTTTCAGCAGTACTGGCGCAACCCGGCGTACATCTACTCCAAGGCGGTCCTGTCTTTCGGCGCGGTTCGTATTCCTCCAAAATCTCTAATTTTACTTGTAAGCTGACAACAATCTAGGCTCTATTTATCGGACTCTCTTTCTTGAACGCGGAGAACACTCAGCGAGGTCTTCAGAACCAGATGTTTGGCGTGTTCATCTTCCTTACGGTTTTCTCTCAAGTTGTAGAGCAGATCATGCCCAACTTTGTCCAACAGCGCACTCTATACGAAGCCCGTGAGCGCCCTTCCAAGGCATACTCATGGATGGCGTTTATGGTTGCCAATATTTCGGTTGAGATTGCCTGGAACTCGGTATGAAAAGACGTTGCTGCGACTTGGATAACTTGAATGCTAATTTCTTATAGCTGATGTCTGTTCTCTGTTTTGTCTGCTGGTACTTCCCCATCGGCCTTTACCGCAATGCTGAATTTACGGATGCTGCCAACTCACGTGGCATTACCATGTTCCTCCACGTCTGGGCTTTCTTCATCTTCACTAGCACTTTTGCGACCATGGCTATTGCCAGTCTTGAAAGCGTTGATATTGCCAGCGGAATTGTCAATCTTATTTCCATTATGATGTTTGCTTTCTGCGGGTAAGTGCTTTCCTAATAATTAACCCTTCGTGCACTTGACTGACACTATCTCCAGTATTCTTGCGGGTCCTGGCGATCTCCCCGGCTTTTGGATTTTCATGTACAGGGTCAACCCTTTCACATACGTCGTGGAAGGCTTCTTGGGCACGTCTCTTGCGAACGCGCCTATGGCCTGTGCCCCCAAGGAATTTGTTAAGTTCGAGGCTCCGAGCGGCAGCACTTGCGGCGAGTACCTGGCAACATTCCTGGATATAACAGGCGGGTACCTCACGGACAACAACACAAGCTCTTGCGAGTACTGCGCCATGTCCCAGACTAACACGTTCTTGTCGGCTATCCATGTCAACTTCGCGAACCGCTGGCGCAACTTCGGATTTATGTGGGTGTACATTATCTTCAACATTGCAGCTGCGCTGGGCTTGTACTGGCTGGTTCGTGTTCCCAAGAACAAGTTCAAGAAGCAGTAGACCCAAGGTAGTAAACGCAATGTGCTAGAGAATGGGTCCTCGGGAAAAAAGGACGAGCGGGGTGGAGAAGGGATGAATATTAATAGACGCTAGAGATAAGTTGCATCATAGACAAGTAACGGAGGAGTTGGTCGATAGAATTTTGCATGATCCTGCAATCCGAGAAGCCCTGGAAACAATGATCTGAAAAGCCTGAACGAGCACACCTGGTGTGTTAGACAGAGATTCATGGGTGGAACTGATGGAATATGGATATTGGAGCTACAGTGGGATATAAAGACAGAGCCGGACACTTTCTTTCGAAGGGTATCAGATCCCAAATTTTCTATGTCAACTTCCAGAGTTACAGAGTTGGTTGCTAGCTTAGCCATTATTATTAATTATTTTGCCGATCATTTTGAAATCCCGGTGAAGAGAGCCATAGTGTCACATTCAGCTTTTGGATTGTCAATCATGAGCTCGTGCAAACCACCACCAGGATATAGAAGAGGTCATTGCCAATAACAAGGCGAGGAGGGACAAGTCAAGTACAACGACGCCGAGAGGTGGAATGAGCCTGCAGTTTTCAGTGAACACATCACACAGTGAATCTAGATAAAGCTACAAACAAGCATGGAATACCAGTGACAGGAGCTGCTACTACAGCTTGGGAAAGAAACAAGGCAAGGCAAAATGTGTACTTAAGATTAGAGAAGGGAAAAAGCATATTTTGCCAAAGCTCAACGGCAGAGCTATGACTCTGGGGGAGATCTTAGCTGGCAAAGGGCCTACCGTACTAAGCTCTGGCCATGCCTGCTAGCACCGTCACAACAAGTAAAGTGTCTCGTAGAAGAGACTAAAAGTACAGCCTTGGATATCTGGTTGAGTATAGTCTGGAATTCAGTAATACGATGATATAGACTAAGTGGCTGCATCGCATTATAGAATGTACCTAAACTGAGGGTTCTAGACGGTGTTAGCTTCATCCTATTCGTAATGGGGTTTAATCGTACCTTTCTATCAGTCAGGTCATCCTCATAGGCGTGATCAAAGCCCTCAGGTGTACCGTTGTTGTCACGTTGGCGGTTCGTCCACATGCAAAGCATGCGATAGACAAGTGCCAACAACCCAGCAACAACCGACGTGACAACAACCACAACAAATCCAGACTCATACCGGGGTGCCTCGTGTTTCTTGAACACCAGGGGTCCCACAAAGTTTCCTAGAATGGAGAAATTAGCTTGATAGACTACGAAACTGTGGGGTTTACTCTGCTCTTACCTAGGCAGTAGCCGATATACATGCCCGAAGAAGCAATGGACCTCTTCGTATAACCTGCTGTGTTGGCAATTTGCATTCCCATGAGCACAGCATAGCCAGCTCCCACTGATGGCAGGATATAACAGGCGAACAGCAGAGCCCCGGTGGATGAAAATGGGAGACGCCATAGCAGCAGCGCCGCTAAGGTTGTGCCCATCTGTGCAATGAAGACCAGATAAGATCGAATTCCCGGGAACTTGTAAGCCAAGAAAGGGAAAAGTAGTTGCATCGTTCCCGCGTAGGCGCCCGCTGGCATCACGAGGAGTAGGGAGTGGAGGGTGCTGAAACCCATGCCGTTAATGATGATAGGGACAAATGTGGAAATGGGCCCATTGGCGATCATGGACAAGAAAGCAATCGAGAAGACGACCCAGAACTTCGCGTCGAGCAACAACTCCAAGATCTGTTCGACCTTGAGATGCATGTTTCTGACACCGGAGTTGTTCGTCCTCAGACGGGCGACGAGAACATATCGCTCTCGTTCGTCGAATCCCTTGACTCGCACTGGATCCGGTGGGAGAACAAACAAGAGGACGATTCCCCACGCAATAGTGAGTGCTCCAGCGAAGTAGTACATGTATCGCCACGAAGAGACGCCCCCGTTGACCTGACCGAGTGCGTAGTTGATCAAAGGCGAGAATACGGACACATATCCAGTGCAGCTGTACCAGATTCTAAATAACATAGTTAGTATCGTTTCGGTCCCTAGATTAGTGGAGGGCTTGTGGCTTACCCCATTCGCATTGCTTGCTCATTTTTCTTATAAAAGCTTCCCTGCGGTGTGTCAATAAGCTATGATAACGGCGAGGCAAGCAATCGTTGCTCCGGCATCGGAGTACTTACCACAATCAACATGAACATGGGACTGATGCCACTTTCAAGAAAGCCAAGGAAGAATCGTTGGATGTAGATGCCTTGGTAGTCTTTGCAGACCGTGGTTAAGATCAGGCAAAGACCCCAGACGATGACAATGCCGGACGCAACACGCTCAACGGGGTAGCGCTGGGCAAGGACCATAGCGGGGTAAGCTCCAACGATGAAGCCAAGATAGAAGATAGAGGCCGCCCAGGAGTATCGATTGCCTACAAGGAGGTCCAAGTCCGTTCGAAGGCCGAAGATTGCCTTCGTGATGTACTATTAGCAAACGACCAACTTGATAGAGTAGATTGGGTTCATACAGCTTGGGAAAGCATAGCCTTGTCGTAGTACTGAAGTCCATATGTGGCACAGAGGACTGGCATAAGTCTCCAGTCAATCTTGCGACGCAACTTCTTCTCTTCTTCAGGTGTCCAGGTCTCATCGCCGGTATAGTTTTCCAGGACTCTCAACGCTTCGTCATTGTGAACCACGTCGACAGACTTGGAAGCCTCGGGTTGGGTTCCCATGGCATTTTCGAGCTGGTGCACCGGAGTTCCTTTCTCTGAATCCGACATGTTCAATGATATGCATACAAAGAAACCTGGTGATGGTTGAGAGTTGAATCCTTCAGCCGGGGCGCGTATCCGTTCTTATGCAGGTAGAGTAACGTCGGACCCCATGGGGAAGATCAAGGCCGCAGTGGGGTTTCCCCAGCAGACAGACTCACAAACCCTGCAGATTCAGTCACAAGGGCACCGGTCATTGTTTAGCGCGTTAGTCTCCCCGGTATCTTGGGTCGCGTCGGTGGCCGGGACTGTCGAAAAGGGATTACCGGTGGATAGCCGAGCCAAAATATGGGGTAGATGCGTCACTTTAGCCACCAAATAACCAACATCTCGTCGATGCGAGTCTAGATCGTTCAGCTACCAAGGGTCTTTGCCGATTTCTTTCGACTTGGATGCACAGGCTTGAACTTTGTTGTACACAATCAAGCAGCGACACGCCGTTGAACCCGGCGACGAATCTCACCCCGCCTGAATTCGACTGACCGCCACACGCACAAGAAGCAATTTGCCATTGACTCAACGGAAAGGCTATATCGGCTTGACAAACATCCCGGAATTCTTCAAACCCCACGCAATTTAAAGGACAAATTCCAATCGGCCTACCATGTCCAATGAACATCAGATCGCACAGATCCCTCAAGGCAGGGAAATCATCGGGGTCAAATTGATAAACCCTGTCAACTTTGGGCCAGCTATTCTCGACAGGTTCATGGCGCCCCCCGTTCCAGGCCTAGAGACATTCCAGACCTCGCCCTCCTTTTCATTTCTGTTGGAACACCCGTCAGGCCGCAAGTTAGTCTTCGATCTGGGCATCCGAAAAGACTTTAACAATTACTCGCCGAAGATCACGGAATATCTTCCAAGCACGAATTACGATATTCAGGTGCAGAAGAATGTTGTGGAAATTTTAGAGGGGAGTGGGATAGAAGCTAAAGAAGTCGAGGCTGTCATTTGGAGGTGAGCAGAGCTTGAGTGATGTTCTTGACCTTGAGCGGCTAATATGGGCCATATCTTGCAGCCACTGGCATTGGGACCATATTGGAGACCCGTCCACGTTCCCTGCCACTACCGACCTAGTGGTGGGTCCTGGATTCAAAAAGGCGATGCTTCCGGGGGCCCCAGCAAACCCAGAGTCCCCGATCTTAGAGAGCGATTACACGTGAGCCCCGGCAATATCCCTTCTCATACTAGCACATATATATTAACCCAATCTTAGAGGCCGAAACCTACGCGAGATCCAGTTTGAGGGCCCAGATTCATTCCATATCGGTCAATTTCCGGCCGTCGACTACTTTGGTGATGGCTCTTTCTATCTCCTCGACAGCCCTGGACATGCAGTCGGCCATCTCTGTGGCCTTGCTCGAACAACCCAAAACCCGGACACATTTATTCTGCTCGGTGGGGATGTTTGCCACTATGCCGGCATTTTACGCCCATCGAAATACATGAGCGTGCCGGAATCGATTACACCCCACCCATGCCACCCTCATGGGAACATATCGTTGTGCCCGGGGGATGCATTCGAACAGCTGCAGAAGTCTCGCGGGAGGAACGCAAACGACACACTCTACGACATGACATTTGGCTTGGATATCCCGCTGGCAAAGCGGACTGTGTCGCATCTACAGCAACTCGACTGCGACGAGAACATCTTCATTATTATTGCACATGACTCGACCGTGCGAGACGGGGTAGACCATTTCCCAAATAGTCTGAATAACTGGAAGGAGAAAGGATTGGGGAAAGGGTTGAGGTGGACATTTTTGCGCGATCTGAAGACCTATTGGGAATCGAAAGGCCTTGCATAACGTGTTATATCCCAAGTTATCTGATCCTTAAAAAAGGTTAACGATTATTTGAACTTTCTCATCGTCACACTTTATGAACTTACCCATGATAGCTACCTACCAAATAATTCTACTGCTCTTATTCATCTATTAATACTGTAGTGATTTATCATTGAGTCCTGCGCCGCTGGCATACTTTCGTTCATGGAAGCGAGGAGAAGTGCGTGGAAGGGCGGGGGTGCACACCCTACCTCTATATGGATCTGCACTTGCGCTATGAAGGCCTCAGAATGGAAAGTAAAGTATGATCGAGAGGACATGCCTAATCATATGTTATTGATCGCAGAAGGAAGCAAAAGCTTTGGAAAAAGAAAAAAGGAGTGAATTATATAAGTCCGAAGACAGTGGCGTAGTAGCCCTAGAATGTAAAAAGAAAATATCGAAATCTATGCAACCTGCTCTCTGTAAATAGAGCCAAAAAGTAACCCGCTCATCTATGATACCGTCCTCATCAATACAATTTCAATCCAGCACCCTAGTTCTTGTCGTACTTGCCAGGGTACCACTTGCCATCGTCATGGCCAGTCTCGCCGCCTTCATATTTGCCCTCATGCCACTTCCCATCATCCTTACCAGTCTCGCCGCCCTCATACTTGCCCTCGTGCCAAGAGCCGTCGTCCTCCCTCTTCTCCTTGGGATCGTACTTGCCGGGGTACCATTTTCCATCATCGTGGCCAGTCTCGCCGCCCTCATACTTCTCAGGCGCCCACTTGCCATCGTCCTTACCAGTCTCACCACCTTCATACTTGCCCTCGTGCCAAGAACCGTCGTCCTCCCTCTTCTCCTTGCGGTCATATTTGCCGGGGTACCAAGAGCCATCGTCGTGGCCAGTGTCGCCACCCTCGTACTTCTCAGGTGCCCACTTGCCGTCATCCTTTCCAGTCTCACCACCCTCGTATTTGCCCTCATGCCACGATCCATCGTCCTCCCTCTTCTCCTTGCGATCGTATTTGCCAGGGTACCACTTTCCGTCGTCCTTGCCAGTGTTTCCGCCCTCGTACTTCTCGGGCTCCCACTTGCCATCATCCTTGCCGGTGCCGGGACCCTCGTACTTCCCAGGGTACCAAGAACCGTCATCTTGTCTCTTCTCCTTGCGGTCATATTTGCCAGGATACCACTTTCCGTCGTCTTTGCCAGTGTCTCCGCCCTCATATTTTCCAGGCGTCCACTTTCCGTCATCTTTGCCTGTGCCGGGACCCTCGTACTTTCCAGGGTACCACGAGCCATCATCCTCTCGCTTTTCCTTGCGGTCATATTTGCCAGGGTACCACTTCCCGTCGTCGTAGGGAGTACCGGGACCCTCATATTTGCCCGGGGCCCAGGAGCCGTCATCGGCGGCCTTGGGTGTGGGAAGTGCCAGAGCCGTCACGGCAAAGGCGAGAAGAGTGAAAGAGTAGCGCATTTTGAAGAACTGGATGAATATTCAGGAGAGGTCAGAAGAGGATGGTTGTTGTTGGAGGATTGAATTGAGTTGTTATTAAGAGAGATTGATGGTGGTGAGGAGAGGAGGAGATGGTGATTGTGATGGTGATGAGTAGAAACGAGTGTAAAGGTAGAACCCATGGTATCTTATATACTTCTAAATCATCCCCAAGACGTAGCCCTCCTCTTCCCCAAGCCTTGATGGCAGATGGCGCAGCTTGCACCTCCAACGCAATTGCGTCAACTTCGCCGATCGAGATTCTCAGGTAGTTCTCGCCACCCCGCTTCGTTGAGGTAGCCTGAGTGGCATAAACTTCCCGAGAGCCTCGTGTCCAGCTGTTGCTGCTATTTTCAGAGCCCCCAAGTAAGCCTCAGCCAGCTCAGGTTCTCTGCAGTCGGAAGCCACCGAGGCTCAGCTCCGCCCAGAAATCCTCCAGTTTGGGTAACGTTCCCAGAAGATCAGCGCTAGCTGCTGCGCAACCTTCTTGGCACCCTCCCAAGTCCCCGAGTGGCTGAGCTGGAGAGAAACACTTTAAAAAATACGTTGTCCATTTTTGGTAAAGGTCGGCAGTGCCACCGCCTTCGTTTGTATGTAAGTACCTCTATTGTATTCCACCTTGCGTGATTGACCGCCTCTATTTTGCCATTGGCTTTGAAGTGCAAGTAAGACAATTGTACCAGTAAAAAAAAGTAAAGAAGTTCGCTCGTATTCCGCATACATACCATGATTATCGCCAAGATGGACTTGAGAATCCTTCTATGTCTGCCGTAGGGACTAGCGTGTGCCACGGCCCATGACACCATCGTAGGCCATCACCGGCCCCCACAGATCACCGCAGGCCACCACGGGACCGTGGCCCTCCAGGCAGGAATCTTATTCGACAGTTCGGGAAGAGCTACAGTTATTTTAGGTTCTGGGGGTGATAACTGAGATGTTTTCTAAATGGGGCATTCTTGACAGACAATGTGGTCCTGTTTGGTTGGTGTCTTGGCCTCATTGAGGCGCGGGGTCGAAGCAACACCGACTGTCAGCCGGCCTACATGTGCACATCACGCCTCTCAGCTGGTGGAATACCTCAGAAGAAAGTCAAACACCCACACGGAACATCAGGCTGTGTCTACGAATACGAATGGGAAAGGATGGCGTGCCCAAAAGCGCAGCGGGGTTCCAAGACATGCAGTTGGCTGATTCTCAAGGCTGAATGAGGCGTGATCTAGCGTCACTTGGTCATCTGTTATTCTCTGTGGAACAGGAGACTTGCCGAGCCTTATTTTGCTCTGTAGGTAAGAAGTGGAGGCTGTGCACATCCACGACTTTTAGAAGCAACATTACGTCAATCACTTTCATTGGCGGGTTGGATGAGAACAAAGGACGCAGACACGTTGCGAAGTATTGTGTCCGTGATGGAAGGAATGCATAATAGAATCGAGGATGCACCCCCCAGGCAGCGGATGACATAGCCACGGCCACCAACTTCCCGCTTTCGTGTCAGCTGTTGAGCCGCAAGACTTTTGATCGCTGATCTTCTGATGGTTCTTTTGTCGGACCGATCCCGACCTAGCCAACTGGACAGTCTACGTACGAATACCTATTATTGGAACATAAATGTCTTATTCAGTCTCATTGACAGGATCTAGTCTTGCTTGGCGTCCGTAACCAGAAGGATCGTATCTGGCCTTGGGCCGACATGCAGAAATAACGCAACTTTCCTCATGTGCGATATGAATACATCTTGCGGCTGGAGTGAAACATACAGCTTGGGAGCATCATCACTGCCGTGTCTGGAAGGACTGGTTATCACACCGCCAGTTTCCATGATCTCGATCATTTTCAACACCCAGTAGGCAACAGGACGTTGCGTAATATCACATACACGCAGATAAACAATCCGACATCGGAACTGATTGAGCTACCTCATGGTCGGGCAATTTCTCACCGGCTCGTGTGATTGTCACTCGTTCATGCAGTGGCGGATGCGTGTACGAATATGTACTCACCTGTGCAAGCCTCGACGCAATGTGATGTAACTCGACAACGCCCAAGCCCTTCCTCTTGAAGACATTCCCAGAGGTTCCAAGACGCTGTACGTGTCCTTTCTTGGAGATTTTGTTCCTCGGTTCCGATTGTACCCGACCTGCGCTCTCGGCGAATGACCCTCGCTCGCGATGACACTCAACGGCCCGCGCCTTTGCAGGTTACCATCCGGGCGGCTTGCGTAGGTTTGACAGCGTCGGCTATGGTCCTCCTCCGGTGAACTCTCCGCAATGACCGACCCCGCCGGTAATCCCAATCCGTGATAGTAAGGTTCCGCAAGCGATAATGAACTGGGAATAGGCGTCGGCAATCCATCTCATGCTCGGCGATTATCAGGTAATCTGTTTTGGGAAAGGTGGGAAGGACACTGTGATGGGTTGTCGCCGCATTATTGCCGACCCCCGCATTCTGTCTTCTCGCAATTGATCCAACCCCGGCTCTGACATAATTACGGACAACCCTGTAGTCGGTATCTCAAAGTCATATTCATAGTTCAACATCGGACGTCAGATCCTCCATTTTATGATTATACATACCAAGAACCTTGCACTCTACGGCGCGTTAGACCAGGCATATTACAGAGTCTTGGTACTCTCTACGGACACATCAAAGACACCACCTCCTCCTCATCAAACACCGCCGACATGGGCTCAATTGACGGGCTGAACGGCCGGACCGGAAATAATATCCATGCCACAGAAAACGGCAATTCATTTGCGGCTGCAAATGCAAACCTAGATTATGACGTCCTCATTGTTGGTGCCGGGCTCAGTGGAATCTTCTCCCTGTATCGGATGCGTCGACTTGGCTTGAGAGTCAGGGTCTTAGAAGCTGGATCAGCTGAAGGTGGCACGTGGTTCTGGTAAATAGATCTCTGAAGTTGCACTTGTCTATCGACACTAACACGAGCCTAGGAATCGATATCCTGGTGCGAGATTTGACTCAGAGAGCTACTCGTACATCTTCTCCTTCTCCCAGGAAGTTCTGGATGAATGGGACTGGACAGAACACTTCGCGCCCCAGACTGAGACGTTGAAGTACGTCCAGTTCCTCACCAAGAAGTTCGATCTGAAGAAAGACATGCAATTCAATACAAAGATACGGTCAGCGCATTGGCAACAAACCAATGATTCGTGGCTTTTAACGGACCAAGAGGGCAACACGTACACCTCTCGCTACCTCATTACCGCCATGGGAATTCTCAATGAACCTACCTTGCCGAACATCCCTGGCGTCCGCGATTTCAAGGGCACGGCATGGCATACTGCGAGATGGCCTAGCGATGCACCTAGTCTCGAAGGCAAACGCGTCGGGGTTATCGGCACTGGAGCAACTGCAATCCAAACCATTCAGACCATCGCGGATCGCGTTGGCCATTTGACCGTCTTTCAACGCACAGCCAACTGGACAGCTCCGCTCCGGAATAAAAAGATCACGCCGGAAGAAATGCAGAAGATTCGCAAAGATTATCCCGAAATATTTCGCCAATGCCTGGAATCGTACTCCTGCTTCATCCACGTGGCCAACAGCAAGAGCGTGTTTTCAATGACAGAGGAGGAGCGCCTTGCTCACTGGGAGGACTTGTATGCCCGGCCTGGTTTTGCCAAAGTCCTGGGCATCTCCGCAGACATATATACGGACAGAGAGGCCAACGCACTCTACAGTGCGTTCAACGCGGACAAGATTCGTGCACGGATCAACGACCCAGTAGTCGCCGAGAAACTCATTCCGAAGACCCATGGCTTTGGTACGCGACGTGTGCCACTTGAAAGTGGCTATTATGAGGTTTTCAACAAGCCCAACGTCAAGTTGGTCGACATCTCTGAGAATCCTATTGAGAAGATCACAGCGAGTGGTGTACAGGCTCACGATGAGACTCACGACCTTGATATTCTAATCTATGCCACTGGGTTTGATGCCGTCACCGGATCCTTCAACGCGATAGATTTCAAGGGCCTCAACGACACCAATCTCAAGGATGTGTGGAGCAATGGCATTCGAACGTTCTTGGGTTTGACCGTCAAGGATTTCCCGAACATGTTCATGATCATGGGCCCTCATCAGATGTTTGGCAACATCCCTCGAAGCATCGAGTACGCGGTTGAATGGACTTCCGACTTTATCGGGTACGCGCAGAAGAACAACGTCTTGTACGTGGAGGCGACGGAGATGGGCATGGAGCAATGGACCGAGCATGTGCATGAGTGTGGACAGGGATTGTTAGCGAACGAGGTTGATTCATGGATGACTGGGGTGAACAAGAATCTTGCTCATAAGCAGAAGAGGTCGATGACGAGGTACAATGGCCCGGCGCCCGGTTACCGAAGAAGATGCGATGAGGTGAAGCAGCGGAGTTATTCGGACTTTGTCATGAAACAAGGATAGTTCATTTATCAATTCACATCTGTAAATTTCGAGATAACCAGTGCTGTCTACTTGATAATAACGACCGTTTTCTCTACCCTATATTGTCCTTGTGATGCCGTTAGGTTCATCAGAAATTGCCCTCACGACTAGTCTCTACCCAGATCCGCTCACTGACTAGTACTGAGATTTTCAATGAAGTTTTAGACTTATTATCTGAAAAAGGGAAATCGAAGCATTCTAACATCTTATCTAGTTGGGAAATCGCAAATTTAAGACTGATTTTAAGTCTTTATGACAAAGTCGTCAGCAGGCGAGGGCTTCGATAACGCCCATCGAATTCCATCCTCCATGACCTTGTCCCACCTCGCCGAGGCCGACAGGCTGTCTCCAAACCGACGAAACCCATGCGGCACACCTTGAAACAGGTTGACATCTGTGGGAATCCTGTGTGCAATGTAAGCTTCCAGTTTAGAGGAGAGAAAGGAAAATATCATACCGAGCCTCGGTCAACAATTTGGCATACAGCAACCCTTCATCTCTGAGAGGATCCAGACCGGCAATTCCAAACACGGTCGGTGGAAGTCCTTCTACTTGCGCAGGTGTGGCATTGCCTGGATTGAGCCTTGTATCATCAACCTGAGGATCCTTAATCTGTAGTAGATCAATAAAGTATCTCGCAACCTTCACAGGCAGTATCGGTGCATCTTCGTTTTCCTTGTAGCTCCACAAAGAAGGGCTTGTCAACCGCTTGAGTTGTGGCTCATAGCACTCACTGTGAGTGAGGCATGGGATCATTAACACCTGTCCAGCAATGACGGGGAGGGACCCAGGGCCTTCGCTCGTCGTCTTCAGGTGCTGTTCCAGTGTGAGCGAGGCCGCAAGCTGTGCGCCTGCCGAGATGCCTCCAATCACCAACTTCTGGCCGTCGCCACCAAATTCGCTCACATTAGCGTGAGCCCATTCGAAGGCATCCTCGGTATCATTCCACGCGGTAGGGTAAATGTGTTCCGGTGTATGACGGTAATCAACATTTAGAACGACGACTTCAGCTCCGCAAGCAATACGGGCGCAGATGGCGTCCTCGGAGGCTAGAGAGCCGAATAAAAAGCCACCGCCGTGCAAATGGATATAAACGGGCAGCAATTCAGCTTGGTGAATAGAGACGGGACGATAGGTTCGAGCCTCAATAGAGCTCCCGTCCCGTGTCGGGATCTTGAAATCCTTGATGTGGACCTGCGGAGCTAGGGATTTCATCGCCTCTGCTGCCATCGTCTCACGGCCCTTGTTGACGACGTGTTTGAACGCCGAAAGCGGCTGATCTGTCGCGGGTTGCGGTGGTAAGGTAGCCTGCACGGCGAGCCACTCGTCACTCGGACCTCCATACGCTGAAAAGTCAGACATTGCAGTAGATTGAGTAGTTGATGGGTCCGTTAAGATCAAAGGGATCAAATGGATAGTGTTCAAAGCGGTGATGATGTTGATGATTGCTTGTGCTGGTCATCCGAAGCGGCCGGAAGAGGGGTTATAAGACCCCGTTCTGACTAAGGTCAGGATATCAATCTATCAGAGGTTTCGTAATACAGGGTGTTGGATCCGTTGGATCTGTTACGGTCAAATTGATCAAATGGAGAGTGTTTAAAGCAGGTAGTGACGATGATATTGATCATTACTTGTGCCGGTTATCCGGACCGGCGGGTTATCAGACACCTTTCTGACCAAGGTCAGGACATTAATCTATCAGAGTTTCGCAATACAGGGTCATCTTCCAACAGTAGCCAATAAATGTGTATTTTTGAAGACCGACGTAGCAACACCAATTCTACCAACCTGAGAAGTGGAGGACGACGTTGGCGATGGCATTTGCACGTAAGTGAAAGCTGTCACAAGCTGCGCGATTTTCCCTATAAGCACATGCCAATAATACCCAAGTTAGTATGAATACCTAAGCTTTGATTTCTAATAGAGCAAAGGGCGGTCTGCCGCTGTATAGCACGTTAGAGCGGAGCCCCTACAGTGGGTGTGCTCGGGCAAATTATTCATAGCACCTTGCAACAGAAATCGCTCCGGCTCTCCCACATCCTCGGTACCCCACTGTGGAGTGCATGCGGCATCCGGGATCGGGCGCTCGAATGAGTGCTCGGCATTCCAAAATAGGCACTGGCTTGCGATGGGAGACTCGGGAATTCTTACCGACCGAACACTCGAAAGAAGGAACTAAATACATCAATAAGCTCGAGGTATTCATTCAGTGCAAATTAAGACTTGCCCGAAAAGGAAACAACCCAAATGTCGTTGCATATCCCAGCAAAGCCCCCTTCTCGCTCATTCAGCGGCAAGGTGGCAATCGTTACAGGTGCCGGCTGTGTCGGAGATGGCATTGGAAATGGCCGTGCGATCTCCATTATGCTGGCTGACGAGGGTTGCAATGTGATTTGCTTGGACATGGATTTGGCATGGGCCGCAAAGACTGCCGATATGGCCAACTCCGAGACAGGGCGTGGAACAGCAATCCCCTTCCAAGGAGACGTCACGTCGGCATCCGACTGCGAAGGGGTGGTTAACCTTGCGCTGTCGAAGTTTGGGCGCCTGGATGTTCTTGTCAACAATGTCGGAATCGCTGGCGCATCGGGCACCGCGGTGGAAGTGGATATGGAGCACTGGGCCAAGAGTCTGGAAGTCAACGTTTCGAGCATGGTGTTAATGTCGAAGTATGCGATTCCTGCCATGAGCCGCAACGAAGGGGAAGTCAAAGGGTCCATTGTGAACATGGGAAGTGTGGCTGGACTCAAAGGAGGGACGCCGCATTTACTCTACCCGACTTCCAAAGGGGCCGTGGTCAACATGACCAGGGCTATGGCTGCACATCACGCCAAGGACGGCATCCGCGTCAACTGCGTTTGTCCCGGGGTAAGAATTTTCCCCATTTGAGGTCCTTATCCATCACTAATTTTTTACAGATGCTTTACACACCAATGATGTACGCGGGGGGGATGACCGAGGAAGCGAGGGCGGCGAGGAAGGCGAGGAGTTTACTAGGCACTGAAGGTACGGGTTGGGACTGTGCTTGCGCGGTTACATTCTTGGCTGGGAATCATGCGAGGTGGATTACGGGGGCAATCCTGCCTGTTGATGCAGGGACGACGGCAGCTGTTGGGATTGGAATGCCAGCCAGCGCAAGCGTGAATGGGTGAAGCATCTGGAGAGTTTTAGTTCAGAGTAATAAATTGGATGGATTCACGACTATCGGCAATCACGACTTCCTGTGCCATTTAATAAAGATACTTAGTTCTGCTGTGTACGAATCTAATCGTGCATCAAGGCCATCCGTCCCTTGATCTTCCCCTCACCCAACGCCTTGAGAACCGTAGGGAAGTCCTTTAGTCTGGCTTCCTCCACTTGGGGGGATATAGCTCTGGTTTTAATCAACTGGAGAACTTCCTCAAGATCCCTAACCTGTCCACCGTAAGAGAATATGTAGCTCAACCTCTTGCGAGTCCCAATCTTCATGTGGATTGTATTTTCCGTATCCAGACTACCAATGCAAAGTAATTTTCCACCGCGTCGGACTGGGTAGAATCCGCATCATTAGCGTGTCCTGTAGGACGGATGATCATACCACCTACCAATATGCTGAGCATCTTCAAAGGTCTGATGGGTGCCGACGAAATCTAGGACAGTGTCGATTTTCCCTTCTAGACCATTTTCAACGATGAACTCTTGTGGCGATTTGCCAACAGGAACGATATCGCTTCTTGGCACACCTAATTTTGCGGCATTCTCGAGGCATTCTTCTCTGATGTCGCACACGATAACCCTAGCTCCGATATCCAGAACAATCTGCAATGCGTTGAAGCCGAGACCACCCAACCCGAATAAGAAGGTGGTCTCTGTCTTCTTGACTTCGCCTCTTCTGTGAATTGCGTGGTAGGCCGTGTTCACTGCATCCGTGGCCACAGCTGCTTCAGCTGGTGTAACGCCTGTGGAATGTGAGTGAGTAATGACTGCATTAAAAGACTGAAGCCAACAGATTAGAACTCTTAGCGATTACATACCATCGGGGACAAGGACAGCCCCCCTGATGTCCATTGTGGCATATGGGGCGTAAAAGCCGTCTTGTCCAATTCCCGAATGGTGTCCTCTTTCACATATCTGTGACAGGTCTCGGGAGCATTCGGGACATTCTTCACCTGCACAGCCTGGGACGGCGTGGAGAGCAACCACATCTCCCTAGATAGCTTTAGTTGTGCCAAGTGAGGAATTTGACAGTTTATTAGTTACCACTCGAAGGTTTGAATCCTTAACCTCGGCACCTATTTCCACGATTCTCCCACAACCCTCATGGCCCTATTAACAGTTAGCATCAACTGGATACAAACTGAGATTATGCTTAATATGGAATGGAAACACCTACCAGGGTGTACTTTTCCTGAAACCACCCTGCTTGCTTATCGATGGTGAGGAGTGAGTGGTCGCTGCGACAGACTATCATTGCAAGTTTAGACCAGAATGTGACCAATACAGATTTTTTTGAGATGATAGGGAGTCAATCTTGGTATGTTCTTACCTCCAGAAGCTATCATTTTGCATAGAATACCGGTTGGTGGCGTTTGGGGGACCGGGATCTCTTCCCAAACCTGCAAACTGGTTACCTTCTAATGCCTACCCAACACGACAAGAGCCTAAAGTTACTGGCTCGGGGTTGCCCCTATGTTTCCTCCACGCAAACATAGTCTTGGGGATTTCGGTTGACATTTTTATTGGGATTTGTTCCGGTGAGGATATGTTCTGGTAGTGATAGACTGCTCTTTGGTTCTCGCTGGAGTGAAGAGCAAGGGATTAACGATCATGAAAATCACTTATCCGAAAAGGGCAGCCGAGTCTGGGGTGCATCAACCTGTAATGAAAGTAAAATTGCATGCACAAGATATAATCGCGCTACTTAGGTCTGGGTTGTCGGTTCGTGGTGGTGCGGGGAATGTTCCCCGGCCTCGATGATTAGCTTCGCGTCTGCCGGTTTAGCTCGGCTGTCAGTCGGCATACTTATTTCGGCCAAGCCGTTAAAGCCCTTTGGCAACAATTCGCCTAGTGATGGAAGTGTTTGGGACCTTCATTTTGGATTAATGCATAACATACCTGTTAATAAGAGGACTGGTCTCTTATTCAGTTAAGTGAAACAGATTGCTGCTTATTTTTACATCCTCGTATGCTCTTAAATATCCTTCAAATCGGTATGACACCAACGGATCTAGCAGTGCATACGTCCAACTAGCGAAAGTGTTTACTTGATCATTCGACTCATCTTATCAAAGAATATTCTCTCCTTCCAAATCGCCAATCCAGTAACGCTTAGAATTCGGCCATAATTCCGGAAATGGTGTTCTATCCTCCCAAATGGGTACCGGAACTCCCGATAGGTTCGTATCCCACACGCCTCGCTTCCCCAACAAACGAGAAGTAGTGTTAATCCTAGCTACAGCCCCGCCTGATTCCATCTCTATTGCAGAGTTCATGAGACGTGAAGATCTCGGGCGATGTCCTGTATCGGAAAGCCGAAACCCCTTCACATGCGCTCTCACTGGGCGCACGTACTCAGTGTCCGAGCTGTTCCATCGATCTGAATCCCTCGCCAAAGCCTTTTCTCAGCGATTAGGGTGGCTACCTAACGAAGGTACAGCATGGGAAAAGGTTGTTGCTATTTTTGCTCTAAACACTGTAAGTGATATCTGAAATGCCACTTGTCACAATTTGCTCATTCGGTCATCAGGTCGATTATATCACTGCAGTGTACGGCGTGCACAGATTATCGGGAATTGTAACGCCTGCAAATGCTGTTTACTCTGCTGCGGAATTCCAACATCAGTTGGTATCATCAGGCGCGAAAGCCGTCATTACATGCCCCCCCCTGCTTGACGTAGCCTTACAGGCCGCGAGGGGAGCTGGCATTCCTGACAGTCATGTATTCATTATGGACACTCCTGGATATAAGACCAAGGACGGCATACCACATGCAACAATCGAGGACCTCATTTCAGAAGGCGACAAGCTTGAAGAGATTGAGCACTTGAAATGGACCAAAGGCCAAGGTGCTCGTCAGCCTGCCTTTCTATGTTATTCCAGTGGAACTTCTGGCCTGCCGGTACGTCCAAGAGGATAAATGAACGTGACTCTTTCAACTGACTATGCATCAGAAAGCAGTAATGATTTCTCATTGCAACGTAATTTCCAACGTGTTGCAGCATGCGACATACGAGTCTGTCGCGAGAAAACAGAGAGGGGTGAGAGTCCAAAATGTGCTTGGATTCCTTCCATTTAGCCATATCTATGGCCTCATTGTTGTGGCTCATACCTGCACATGGCGTGGTGACGGAATTTTCGTGTTGCCAAAGTACGATTTCACCTGGTTCCTGGAATCGATTCAGAAATACAAAATCGAGCAGCTCCTCGTGGTATGTGGCTCCTGATTGAAGCGTTCACCCCAAGCATTAACATGAACCAGGTACCTCCAATTATCATCACAATGTTGCGCAACAAGAAAACCTGTCAGAAGTACGATCTAAGCAGCGTTCGTTTTGTGTACAGTGGTGCCGCTCCCTTAGGCAATGAGACCATTGATGAGGTCCAAAAAATGTACCCTATGTGGATTATCGCCCAAGCATATGGTATGAAGCTTCCTGCTTAAATGGGCTCCGGACGCTAACACATCCCAGGGATGACAGAAACTTCGGTTGTTGTCACTTCACCAAGTGAACACGATGTGTACCCAAGGGCTTCAGGGTCTTTGTTGCCAGGGACGAAGGCAAAAATATTGGACCCTGAGGGCAGAGAGATAACCGATTATGAACAGCCCGGGGAACTTCTCGTTCAAGGCCCAGCGGTGGTCTTGGGTTATCTGAACAACGAGTTAGCAACCTCGGAAACATTCGTCCATCATGATGATGGACGGTGGATTCGAACTGGAGATGAGGCTCTTGTCGCAGTAGCCCCCTCTGGTAACGAGCAGATTGTCATCGTCGATCGAATCAAGGAGTTGATCAAAGTCAAGGTACGATTGTACTTTCCCTTCCAATTCATCGTGTTCAGAGATTGACGTATTTAGGGTCACCAAGTTGCACCAGCTGAACTCGAGGCACATATATTATCGCACCCCGCAGTGGCAGACTGTGCAGTCATTCAGACACCCGATGACAAGTCTGGAGAAGTCCCAAAGGCTTTTATAGTAAAGTCCCCTGAGGCAGCGTCCATGTCTGATGAGGAGGTTGCCCAAAAAGTGATGGCATATGTTGCCGAGCACAAAGCACCCTACAAGTGTATCAAGGGCGGTGTGGAGTTTCTTGACATGATCCCTAAGAGTCCAAGCGGTAAGATTCTGAGGCGATTACTCCGAGACCAAGAGAAGGAGTCAAGGAGAAAGCAAGGCACAAAGCTGTAGTAGTCTTATGGCCAGCCGCGATATGCCATCCAACATAGATGGGTAAATTTGTTTGAGAAATCACAACCGGATAGATAGTAGAGAATATCATTTGTCAAGCTGCCATCGTTGACTTCCACTTGGCGAATAAGAAACATGTGGGCAAATTTCACCAGGGCTTTCAGCACTAGATATTTCTTTAGACACCATCTACTTTTGTCTGATGGATCACTCGATTATCTTCATATAGTTGCGCCCAGTGGGGTGGTTATTGAAACAGCGTGCCGTTGTCACAGAGCTTTCAGGTCGGATCTTATACGCCACAGGTACCTATTATAATTATAACTCGTAACTAAACTTAGGGTAATTTTGCCAGTGTGCGAAGTTTTTTCTTGTATACTTTCTTAATCTGTAGAGTGCATTCAACGAATATGTAGAGCATGCTAAAAGTACAGACATGTACTAAAAGTTAATCTTTGTATGTTCTCACTTTATAGTCATCCAGCCACTTGTCTTCAATAATCACAAGCTGGGACTCCTGCACCTTCTTGAAGTATTCATCTTCCGTAATATCCTTGTAATCATCCCTGTCGATGTCTTGGAATCCCTCTTTGGCAACGGATCGAGGGGTGATCATTAGTGAGCGCCCTACGTTACGTTAGCATATCTGTAATTTCTGGCTGCTTTTCATCAGCAACTAGCGAAATCTTACCATTAATTGACTTGTCAGTCGCAATTTTCATCATGCAGCCTGCCACATCGATTTGCTCTCCGAACTCGACACCGCGATCAACCAACCACTTCTCGTACTCCGCAGTACGTATGGCACTCTTGATCCAGCAGGGGGCAACATAGTTTATGCGAATGCCTTGCTCAAAACTAGAACGACGCGCGGTCCTCATGAATCCTCTAAGGCCATATTTTGTAGCTGTATATTCCCAGTTGCCCTAATCATGTCAAACTCAGTAACACGCATGAAAAATATCATTAAGCGCAGATGGAGGTTACTTACTGGGGAGTCAATCCACGCCACCATACTTCCTGTGATGATAAAGCATCGATCTCGGTCTTCGGTATCAGGTTGCTTTCTGAAATAGTGCACGGCAAGCTTCCAGGTGTACAGAGTACCGTCCAGATTGACTCTGACGATATTCAAGTCGGGTTTGGTTGGCTCTTGATTTGGATCTAGAATTCTAGATTAGGTTCTGAGCAATGATGAAACTCCAATCTCGCCTGCTTTATGGTCAAGCCACAGCCAACTTACCATCCAGATTCCACAGGCTGTCACCAGAGCTGCGACTAATTCCAGCGTTGGCAATGACTATGTCAACACTGTTGTTGGGGCTTTTGCTCTTGGCTGTTTCAAACATGGCTTTCTGTTGGTCCCAATCACGGATGTCGCATTTGACGAAGACTGAGCAAACCTGGCTCCTGTTCAATTCTTCCTCGATGGCTTTCCCACGGTTCTCATCGACATCGGCAAAGGTGACGAAGGCGCCAGCAGCGGCAAATTCACGAACACAAACCTCTCCCATGCCATTTGCACCTCCCGTGATAACAACCGATTTTTGGCGGACATTATCACGGTTGGTGGGGGTGGTACAGTCGAGTGGCCCAGTGTAGGCGTAGCGGGGGAGCGGCATTGTGATGGGTTTGGATGTAATAAGCTCTGTTAGCGAATAATTGGAATTGGTAAATCGACTTGAGGAGAAGCGGCTATGAGTGACTGAGCTCTTGAATAATACTCACTATCGCTACTGCAAGAACTGTTGGCATTATGTGATGGAAGCCGACTTGCAATGAGCCCCGCCTTACACCGCGATAGGCTACCCTACATGTTACCCCGCGTTCAACTTCGGGATCGTTTTCCCTCGATGCGGCAAACCAAATCGGGATAGCCGTGTCCACTTTTCCACTATTGCCGGCTTCCATGACACTTCGTCACATGAACTCTTTGCCGGACATCGCGTGATTACACTCTGGCAGGGCGAAATAGGAGAGTGCCTTGGTTTCGGCACCGGCGTCGGTGTAGTGGAGGCTGGAGCAAGTGGCCCGTTTCATGAATTGCCGGGCAACTGCGCTTCCTGACTGAAGAGGACAAAGTATCTCTGTCACCATTTAACGCAGAGAACAATCACCGGGTAACACTCTTGGCAGTCACGCATCATCTAAAGTATTTGATAGCTTGATTCATTATTTCTTTGACGATACTGTCACCTGGTTGCATGTGGGTACCCTGCCTTCTCACACCCTATCTCAACAACACCATTGGAGATTCCTCTCTCTACCTTGGTCGTCCCTTTACCGTCTCCAATCATGACTGCCTTTGTCGATGCTCCGGTACCTAAAAATCCGGCACCTATCCCTAATGGCGGTGACATCTTGCGTTTCCCCTCAGCAGAGCTCCCTGAGGTTCTTAGCAACCTGGATGGAGCGAGGCGCGCTGCCGCTGCAAACGAAACCGAGACTGGGCCTGTTGAAGATCCCTTCAAGCTCACGCCCAAATTCGCCTATACGCCCAAGAAACTCAAGGTGTTTACTATTGGTGCCGGCTTCTCAGGCCTGTTGATGGCCCATAAGTTCCAGCACCGCTTCCCAGATATGCGCGACATTGTCGACCACACAATCTTTGAAGCCCGCCGCGATGTTGGTGGAACTTGGCTTGCCAATGATTACCCTGGCGTCCAATGCGACGTCCCTGCGCATATATACGTGAGTACAGATCTGATACTCCCACTTAACCTAGATGTTACGCGGATTATTAACATAATCGGAAGGCATTTCCATTTGATCCCAACCCCGATTGGAGTAGATTTTACGCCAGCGGTGCAGATATTCTGCAGTACATGAAGCACACAGTCAAGAAGTGGAGCTTGGATCGCGACCTTCAGCTAAATACCAAAGTTGTTGGCGCCTGGTGGCAAGAGGAGTTGGGTCAGTGGAAAGTGACCGTCGAGCATGAGGGCAACCAACGAGATGAGTACTGTCATGTGCTCATCTCTGCCCAAGGAGTTCTTGTGTACGTTGAACCCCTCTCCCTAACTGAATACTCCAGCTAACCAAGCTTCTCAATAGCCATGAATCATGGCCAGATATCCCTGGTTTGAGGGAGTTCAAGGGACATCTGACACATTCAGCTAGCTGGGATCACAGCTATGACTACTCCAACAAGAGAATCGCAGTCATTGGCAACGGATCTTCAGGCATTCAAATTGTTCCACAGATGGCCAAACTACCTGGCACAGATGTAACAAACTTCATCCGGGGCCCCGCCTGGGTGTACTATCGAGCCCCGCCCTCGAAGCACCTTGGACGTGAGGATGACGATCCCAACCCACGTTACACCGAGGAGGAGAAAAAGCGATTCCACGATCCGGATTACCACCTACAGCATAGAAAGGGTATCATCTCACGTACCAACAAGTCTTTCTATATCTTCATGAAGGGCGAGAACAACCAGGAGGGCATGAGAGTAGCCGCCCAGCAGATGGCCTCGAAACTCAACAACGACCCAGTTCTCTGTGAGAAGCTTATCCCCAAATGGGAGTTAGGGTGTCGCCGAATCACCCCCGGCCCTGGATATTTAGAGTCTTTCCTTAGGCCCAACTGCCATTTGACGAACAGTGGCATCACTAAGGTCACCGAGAATGCTGTCCACACTGCTGATGGACAAGTTTATGAGTGTGACGTCAGTAAGTTGACCCCTCCAGAATATTCCGATACTGGAATCGCCTATTTCTAACCTGACAAAGTTGTTTGTGCTACGGGCTTTGATGTTTCCCATCGTCCTCGCTATCCGATCGTGGGTAGAAACGGCGTTGATTTGCAGCAAAAGTGGGCTGAAGACCCAGAGTCCTACATCTCTGTTGCCGTCCCTGAGATCCCCAACTATTTCATGATGATGGGCCCCAACTGTTTAGGTGGCCACGGATCGCTGGTTGAATCTCTCAACTGGACTGGTGACTACTTCGTCAAATGGGTCAGGAAGATGGCGACCGAAGACATCCGATACGTAACTCCAAAGAAGGAGAAGGTGGACGCCTTCATAAGATACAGCGACGAAGTCCACAAGACCCTGGTCTGGAGCGGCGGTTGCAAGAGCTGGTACAAGAGAAATCGAGTCGATGGGCGCGTGACGGCCTTGTTCGGTGGAAGTGCGCAATTGTTTAACCGCATGCTTAGCGATATTCGCGGCGAGGATTTTGAGATCACGTACAACACGGTGAATCCTTTCCGGTTCATGGGGTCCGGGTTTACTGAGTTTGAGATGGACGAGAAGAGTGATTTATCATGGTATGTTGAAAAGGCAGAGACACTAGTTAAGTAGGCGGGCAGGACACCTAGAGTAGACCATATTGAGACAGCTGTTTGCCAATAGTGCCAAAAACAATTCGCCCGATGGGGAGGGGTAAGCACATAAGTGCCTCAAGTTCCAATATTACTGTCAGTATAGCTTACTATGTACCCCTACTAAACTAAGCCCCGAGTCATACACTGATGCTATAAACTTTGAGACAATCTTAAGATCATACAATCCACTGGCAGGCTAGCTTCTTCAGATCCTGTGGGAAGTGATCATCTGGGATCTGCGCGCTTTGCCTCTGCTTGAACGCTTGGTAAAACCTCCGTAAACCAGCGAGCTCCGGGTCAGATAGCAAATCCACTTCGTAAAACTCCTTCGCAAACTCCAGCAGCGAGTACAATACACAGTCTGCAACCGTAACAAATCCTCCATCACCCTCAAAGTGCGACTCCTCAGTATAGTATCCTTCCAATAACTTCAGCGGCCGCTGGGCCCAGTCGAGGATGAGCTTAGCTGCGACGGGGTTCGTTGGCTCAAGGGCCGCAAAGAGCTCGGATCCCTTGTGGCATGCCAGCCCAAAGTAGTTTGTAGTCTCATCGGCAAGGAGGAGCATCTCGCGAGTGCGGGCTCTTTCCTCAGCCGTGATCCCGCGCATGCTGCGTTTGGCGCCAGCGCTTTGAGCAAGCTCGACTTGCCAAAGCTGCTGCGGATCGGGGTTGTCGCAGATATCTTCTAGATAGTCGAGGATGGCAACTGATTGCTTGATAAAGGTTCCATCTGGGAGCCGGAGAATTGGCACGCTGCCGGGGGGCTTTCCTGGTGCGACAAGCTCCACCTTAGCAGTTATGGCAACGTCGGTGATTTTGATCTGGGGGTGGGACAGGATGCCTTTTTCTGCAAGGTAGAGTAAGACTCGACGAGGGCTTACTCCCCAAGGGAAGACAAAAAGTTCGAGAGATGCAGCCATGATGATGATAGAAGGATGTCTTGAGTAATGTTGGTATGCTCTATTTCAATGTGATTTGATTTGACTTTTTCTACTTAATTTTTAGGCGGGTGATTGATCTTGTTTTATACTAGTTTATCTTCGGAGACTTTCGCAAAATATTGTGGAAAGAGTCACAGATGGGGACTTATCTCCTATGGGTGCAGAGTAACAATTGCGTAGTATGTTTCCGACAATGTTTCCGACCATTTTTGGAAACAAATCCACTTTATGTCGGTCGAACTATCATTACTTCTACTACGATAATTTTCTAAACGATTATGTTCAACATGCTTATTAGATTTACCAGCCCAAGTAACCCCAGGCGAGGGAACCTGATGTGTGCATCCTGCGTTTTTGTTGTGCATGTCACAGTTGCCGAGACCAACGGATGTGTTTCAGGCTCGTCATGTTTTATTTCTCTCATCATATCTGGCGTCTACAGAGGCTAAAGACGAAAGGTTGAGCGGAAGACAAAGGCGAAGACAATTGCACAATCGCCTGCCAAATTAAGCTGTTGAACATACTGGTGTTTAGTAAAGCTACAAAGAGAACCAAATATGTTGGAGTACAGCATATGTTAACGGATTATGAACCATAAACTTGGAGCATGCGAAATTGAAGCAAGGAGAATATTAATTGCAACTAATCGGACTAAGATAATAGAATATTGGTACATTCCACACTTGGAAACTTTCCTTTGCCACGACCACCAACGTCATTGTTGAGGTGCACTCTACATTTACGAGAAGATACCCTTCTTTCCATCACCATCTGCGTCCTTGAATGGGTTCAACTTGTCCTTCAAGGAAGGCTTCGATGCAGTGGTACTGGCCGACGAGACAGACTGGTGACTGCCAAGGTTATTGTCTTTATTGCTAAGCGTCTTATGATCGCTGGTGCCAAGGACATTGTTACCACCAACGCGGGACTGATATGAAGTTAGCATATTGTTCCTCCCGAGGATGTGAGTAGCTACATACTTGGTTGCCGGTCGTGGATGTATTGTGGTGAGCAGCCTTGGCAGCAGCAGCGGCAGATCCAGTAGCGCCGACCGCCCCAGCGCCAGGAGCGCCAACGAATCCGTTATTACCGTGCATGCGAGAGTGTTCACCGAGTTCATCTTCCTTAAGATGACCTTGATGACCCTCTTGACCCAGTTGGCCATCCCGGCCGAGCTGGCCCTGCTCTGCAATTTGGCCGCGCTGAGCCTGCTCACCAAGCTGGCCATGATGACCGTGCTGGTGGCTGTGTTTGCCATGGACCTTGTCTGGCTCGAACTCATTCGACCCCATGCCCTGAGGGCAGCCTTCAACTGTACCAACATGGGTCGCTTCTTTGGCGTGCAGCGAGCCGGTACCCTTCTCAAATTCCGCCAGGGTCTTGGTGGGCAGGACTGAAGTCTCATGGTGGACTGGGGCCACGTGGTGGGTTTCGTGAATGGGCACTGTGGTGTGCACGACGTGTCCCTGGATAACCTCCTTGTGAAGGACGGGCTGAATGTGCTCGTGGACGTGATGGTGAACCCGCTCTGACTGCACCATAGGAGCAGTGGTGCTCGAGTGGGTCGTTTCATGAGTCGTGGTCGTGTCTTTGTACTTGCCGATATCACGATCAAGCGTGTCCTTCAGTTCCTGCTCATTGCCATGGTGGAAAGTCTTGTGCTCCACATCCGCGACACGGTGTGAATGCTTATCGGGGCTAGATTGTAATTGTTAGTTCGCAGCCGTGGGGGCAGGAAAGGAGGATGCCTTACAGGACCTCAGTGTGCTCCAGAGGCTGGACAACTGTGTGGTGGTGGTCTTTGTGGACATCACGGTCGACGGCAGTCATCACGTTTTCGTGCTGGTGGGCCTTGCGATGCTCGTCGGTGACGGATTCTCGGACATCCTGATGCACCGATGTCTTGTGTTGACCATCGCGGGACGTGAAGTCAGAAATAGCTTGCTTTGCCTTCTCCATGATGAACTGTTGTAGTTTAGATTATGGTTTGAAGGGTTGTTTTGAGTGTTGTTCAAGTATGCGTTTGTGTGTAGAATGATGTAGATGATGAGAAAGGTGGTAGTATTAAGCTGCAAGAGCAGTTCATATATAATGATGCTGGTCGTCGTCGTCTGGAGGCATTCATCCCTCCAAGGCGTAAAAGCTCCGGGATGTGCCCGCCAGTAGGGACGTATAACCAATGATACAGCAGGATATCTAGATCCACAGTCGAATTTAGAAGCCAGAGATTATGGATACCAGGGCCCCCGTTCGAATCACACCAATCTTGCGGGGAGGGAGCCTCGAGAAGTGTCAGTGGTAGTGCAGTACATCCTCCCACACAGAAAGCACCACGGAATGCCAAGTATTTCCAATCGTAGTCACTACCTCAAGGTACTGCTTTCAGAGGGAGAATGTCTCTGTGATGTACTCTGATGAACGCATCATGGAGACGATATCGGGCCTGCATTGCATGAGGCTTGACCACGTAAGATTATCACGTCATGGACTAAGAACCTCAGCTGCGACGGCCACATCTCCAGCGCTTCACTTTCGTCCCCAGCAAGTGAAATGTGCTCACTTGGCCGGATGCAATCTTAGCCGACAAACAAGCTCGTTGCGTTATCCGCAATTGGCAAGGTGCCGGAACAAGCCGCATCGCTGCGCATCGCTGCATCGCTGTGAGATGCGTCCGCAATCGAGACCTGGCCAGCTCTTCGTTGTGGACGACTAGTGAGTCACTACTCCGCCAGTAAGGCACACGGTATGGAGTAATGCGTCATAGAGTATGCCCACCCCTTGAGTAGGCTGAATCTGCATTCCAGCCTAATCACAATTAACGTACCAGCAGGCAAGCCCCCATCGCTTTTGATCCCACTAACATGAGTTCCCCCACGGATCGAAAGATTCTACCTCTACGTACTATTTCCAGATTTGATCTAACCTGGCGAACCTCCCAGTTATCCCCGTACCCTGCACCATAGTGCGCACTCGTCGCTGGTGTGGCGATCATGATGAGGACCCTGGTGTTTTAGCTCATACCCTGTGCTGCCCAGTAGAGAATCCCCGAAAAGGAGAACAAGGTGAATGTCAAACGTTGATGGAAGGCGAGAACGTGAAATATGAAGCGTTACATGGAAACATATTTCTTTTCTCTCAGTCGACGTCACTCGTAGACAATTCCTCAAACCTTTCCCGAATGAGGTCATACATATTCCCAATTATTGATACAACATTTACCATCTCATCGTACTTCGGCCCTTTTATCATTAAGATACCTTGCTTGGTATGCTATCTTACTCTATCAGACAAGAAAAGGCCAACACGTTTTCATACACTCTGCCCTTGCACTTATCTAAGCCTGGAAGCTCATGCTTGAGAAGTCCAGGGGATAGTCCATGAATGGCTCAAGGAGGTCCTGGTATTGGTTGAACAAGGTTTCGTGGAAGTGTGCGTTCTCCGGGGACGGGAATCCTCTTGTCGCTGCGCCCTGCTCCTTGTTTGACAAAAGACCTTTTGCTATTCGACTGGTGGAATGTGTGACGAAAGGGAAGAGCAATGTCCAGTCGGGCGCATCGGCAGTATCAGGCATACCGAGTGTCGCCGACTGCATTTCAAAGTCGTGAGAGTTGCCGTGGATGGGAATCGATAACAGATCGGGGTCATTCGCACTTAGTCCCAAGTTTGTTGCCGTGTTATTAGGTGCGCCGGTTATGCGGGATCTCCTCAGACGCTCGAATCCTTGTCGGATAACGTTGGCCGAAGCCCACATCTGCTGAAGCTGCCCAACGGCATGAGTAAGCACGTCCAAGTCCTCCTCGGCTTCTTGTGCGAATTGCTCGATCCTGCAGGCCTGCAATAGTGCGATGAAGGCTGTTCCGCTGTACCAGCAAGTGATTGCCATCAGGAAACGGGCATTTCCGCGCGATAAAATATCGCGTAGTATCCGTGCGATGCATGACGCCGCTAGAATTGCGGGTGGTAGGGCCTGCGGGAGGTCATGAGCAGACTGCTTTAGGTGCAGTATGATGATGGTGGTGAGGTAAGGGAGATGAAGCTGGTGGACGTCGCGGTCAAAAGACTCGGTAGTTGCCGAACCGATTGGCAATTGTAGCTCGAGAGGCAGGGAGTGAACCCATTCGACCAATTCTTGTTGAAGATTGACGGGGAATGGATACGAAGCTGAGTTAGACGACTTCGATAAGTATTTAGCCACCCTACCCACAATGGCACAAAGACGGATCCAGTATATGAAGATTTGTCCTTTGTGCTGAGAAATAGGGTCGCTAGGGAAGTCGAGAGATTGGGGTTCTTGGATATTGCAGTCATCGGGATCAATGATGCAAGGTTTACTCTGACACAGCGCCGTCAATCGCTCCCGGGCCTGATAAATACTGTTAGCATGCGAGGGAAGGCGGGGTCACACTACTGACAAATACTGTCCACCAAATCCGTCGCCGCAAGCTCAGGTCCATCCTATCTCTGAGAGGATGGTTTTCAGATGGTTCGCGATGTAGGTTCATCTGCTGAGCGTGTCTGATGATGACTGAAGTCCACCACCAAGATGAATGCCTGTGAGCGGTTGAGGGGGGACGAGGAGCCCACCAGTAGAACAAAGTCAGCGCCTTCAACGCAGTAAGGCCATCGGCCTCTTCGTCATTGTAGAAAATGGCCCTTGCCCGATCATAGTATTTCGCCGGGCCATCGTGTGGTACCAGCGGCGGCTGAATATGGCTTGCTGCCAAAGAAAGGGCATTCTCAAGCAAGGGAGATCGTGCTATGTCGCCCATGACGGTGGCTCTATCGAGGACCGGGCACCATGGGTAGCAATACTCCCAGTACGTCTCTGCGAAACTTTGCTGAAGCCCCCTTCGTGGTGTGTCGGACACATGGTGTCTAATCTCAATGATTGCTTCGAGTTCCTGTTGCTCCGCCTCAAGTTGGTTTTCGGGGCCGTAGACCTGCAGAAACCCGGTGTCGACATCTCCCGCGTGGCTGTGGCAGGTGTCTTCAGTGGGCGAGATGCTGGCCTGAGGCGGCTGGGGATTAAAAATAACAGGTAGTGCCTGAGCTGAACCAGAGTGGGCGGTATTTGGAATGCGGTCATCCTGCAGCGATGAAGGGGACTGGAGCTGAGTCTGGGGTCCGTCAATGTCTACCTGAACAGGGCCCTCGGGCAGTTCTTCAGGCAGGTCTCCATCCTGGTCTGAGTCAAGTATTCAGTAGATGTCGACTGTGCAATGCAAGTCCCAATATTTACCTGGTGGTGAGTCGTTACTCGTTGCATCCCGACGCGTATCAGGAGCAGCGGCGCCGGGACGATGCTTCCCTCGCTTTGAGGGGCGGAGGTGACACTCCCGATCTGGACAGTCACAGTTGCTGCACTTCTCAAAGCCCTGATTTTTGCGACCCTGGAGCGATGCAGTTAGCAAATTGTGATTGCACATACCCAGGTCAATGGCCGGGGGGAGGGAGTCGCACTTGAAGGTCGCATTTGATCTTCTTGGAGTGGCAGAAGACGCAGACCAGCTCGGCGCGTTTGCGCTTTGGTTCACGAGCGCTAAAGTGAAGCCAGTTCCCGGTTAGCTCGGGCATATCGGCGGTTAATACAGCGATGATAGGTCGAACACGGAGATGGCCCCGGCGGCGGCGTGGAGTGGTATTTGGTGCTCGCGATGATCGCTTCCAGAGTCCGGAATCTCCAGATCCGACACGCTGGGCCTCTTTGCTGCATCTCACGTGTGGCAGGGGGGAGGCGAATGCGGGGACAGAGCGTGGGGATGGATGGATGCGGGGGAAATGACTCTACCTCGGAGATAATTTAGTAATGGGTTCTCCGGAGCCACCGGCGCTACTAAAAAAATATCTAGGATGGACACGTTGTGGCAAGATAAGATGTCAAGAGGGCCTCAGAATATGTGCATGCGCATACTTGGATCGTAATTTTGGGAGTCTCGAGGCATGTTTCCATCACCAAAACATGCCTTCACGACGTTTCGGTACCTGTCGGATCCTTCCAAATATTGCTAAGCCAAGAGTCTCGACCGAGGTGTTAAGCTTAAAGCTGGCTAGACCTACAGTACGAGCCCCTAACCTTTAGCGTACTTCGCCTCAAGTTTCAGCGCAACTTGCCCTAATTTTCCATCAACTTTACGGGCCCTTGAGCTTCACAGAAAACGGCCTAGGTAGGTACAAGGTCGGGTGCACGCGTGCACACAAGTTTGCAACCATACGCGTGGCGTAAAGATAAATGCCATTTTGTAGCAATGTTTGAATTGGATTGAGAGTAGCCCTGAGTACGTTCAATGATTGGTAAGGTTCTCATCACAGGTCTCGGTCTGAAGAGTTTATCCCGAATTAACGATCGGCCCTGGCTTTGGTGCAAGCGACTAGGTCCGGGACCCGTCTCGGGGGGAAGACTTGCTCCCACGCCGCCATGAACCTGACCAACTTCGACTCTTGATATGCTGGTGCGATAGCCTGTAGGCCATATGGCCTCCCGCTACTTTTGATGTATCCCAAAGGAACCGCGGCCATGGGATAGCCTATAACGCTTCAATATCAGCACTCGGACAAACAGCACAAGCATTACAGGCTCCCTTTACTCACGGGCTGCGACCGACACACCGGCAAAGTAGCTATCCGAGCAGCAAACCACCACATCCACGGCATGCTCGGATGTGATTTTGTCGATTCCTTCTGTTGCTCCCCAGCGCTTGCAATGTTCCAGCCACTCAGAAACATCCTCGTCTGGCTTTGAGTTATTGAGAAGTGTAGTGAGGAGGTCCTGGTTAGGGCTGTAGTCTGCATGAAGAAAGGTAAGACTGGCTTCATCGACCGGGAGTGTACTAATAAGGCGTACCTTTGTGAAGTTCAATGTCTGCGTTGTTTTCGTTGAACTTGATGATCCCCTCTAAGGTACGAACTTTGGAGACCTCAAGGCTATTCAGGTATCGTTCGAAACCGTTCTTTCCTTGCTGCACTAGTGAGGGGGGAGAAAGAAGGTTACTGAACCAATTGCTTGCATGGTATGTTCGCTCAAATTACTTACTTATCATGATGTTCATCAGATCGTCGACGTTTGTGTCCCCAATCATGCACTCTTCGGGAGGTTGGAGGTACACGTCAACGATTTTCACGCCATTCTTGCGCAGCCGATCTTTTGCTTCCTGATACTCCGTAGCCTGCGAACTATCAGTAGCTGGTAAATCTTCCAAGGCAAGAGGGGTTTTACAGTTTGCTCAAAGTATTTCGGATCGCCGACCTGAGTATGGGCTGGCAGCCTCCATTTTTCAATGTCAACGAATCCCACTGAGACATCCTTCAGATTGACAGAGGATGCGAAAGAGGCCAGGTTAGAACCATCTTTCGTCACTGAAAGAGCGTCGCATACGAGGGCAACATCTAGAGCTGATTTCCCAAATGCACCAACCGTATCAAAGAAAGCATTTACCTCCATGATTCCGGCCAGTGGGACAGAGCCTGGAGTAAGCTTCAGTGCATACAAGGCAGCGGCAGCGGCAGGGGAGACCACAGAGCCGGATGTTTCTGTCCCAAGAGAAACAGGCGCAAAGCCACATGCAACACCGACGGCGAATCCAGTGGATGAGCCGGCGGGCGTCTGTGCAAGCAGTCAGTCAGGCATACATGAGGAAGATTTGTCAGTGCCACAAACAGTCTCGCCTCGAGATTTCTCCCCGATCTCGTACCCGGTTGGAATATATGCAGGCTCGCACATGCCCCCAATAGCAGACCACCCACTTACACCTCTGGTGACGTCAATTAGATCATTTCTTGGGGGTAGCACCCATGGTGTAATTGGCACTTACTTCAGCCCCACAAGTTCCTGTGGAATTGTTAGCATTGAAGCGCCGCGATGGCTGGGTATCAAACTTACCGTTAAGTTAGCTTTCCCCAGAATGATCAATCCACGATCGACCAACTGAGCACCTCTGGTTAGCAAAACCTTTTAAACATCGATGGGGAATGTTGTTTTACGTTGTCAACAACCGGGGCGTTGCCAGAAGGGCACGAATCACGGAGCGCGTATGAGCCAACGGTTGTGGGCATTCCAAGAGAGGGATCCGTTGCGAAATTGTCCTGGTGAGAAGGAAATGTCAGCATCGGGTTTGGACAAATGCTAAAACTGTTGAGAATAATTACCTTCAAGAGGACTGGAATCCCGTGCATTGGACCCCTCAGCTTTCCCTCCTGTCGCTCCTTATCAAGCCTAGCAGCGCAGGCAATGAGCTGGATTCTTGGCCGGGTCGAGATGATGGCTCTGCATTTCGCACCCTTGGTGTTGTGCGCCTCGATGTGCGACAGGTAGCATTCTACAATCTGCACGCTGCTGATTCCGCCCGATGTAAGGAGCTTTCGAAGGTCGTCCGCAGTGGTTCTCAGTACATCAAAAAACGGGAGCGACGACGGAATGGTGGATGCCATGGTTCCGGCCGCTCGATAAAAGGTTGTCCTGATGATGGCCACTAGGAAATACGGAATTCGAGTATTCGCGGATCTTCCTGGAGATGATAAGCGAGAAATAATCTCTGGGAGAGAAATGTAGTCAAAGGGAGCGAGGAAAAGAGTAACATTGGGGAAGGAAGAAAGGCGGATCTTGATCCGAAACTTTCTTACCGAAAAGCCACAGTGTGCACATGCGCATGCACAAAGCTACAGTGTGGGCACAATGGTAATGACACGGCCAGCTTCACGAAAATTTTGTCAATTATTTTACCATTGTCTTGTGCAAAGAAAGGCTTTGTACTTTGGGTGTCGCAGTTCGGTTAGACGAAATGTCGCAGACGTTCCCTTTCATGACCGCTACTAGTCGATCTGGCTGGATGAGTTCAGCTTCCATAGGAAATAGCTTGAACGGTCATCAGATAACGGTATCACGTTGTTATGGAAAGATGTTAAGCACGAGTTGCTCTTCCTAGAACACGATTAATAAAAATAATAATTACAACAAGGCGAGGAAGCGGGCCACGAAACCAAAGAGAAGGCGGTCCGAGGAGGTGGAAAGCACAATGTGGCCATTGCTAGGAATAAGCGTCACAGACCGCTAGAAATAGCGAAAAAGAAACTGGCTCTATGACCGTAAGCTGCTGATCAATGCAGGCCTTGTGCCGACTGGTGGTGGGGAGAAATTGATGCAAAATCATTGTCAGACTGACACCCTTCGCATCTTCTCCTCTATAGTCATCTCTCCCCCAAACCACGCTTTCATTTGACAGCCACAACCACATCACGCAATCCTAAGTTTCATTCTCCGGCTTTTGACCATATATGATAGTTCTGTATAAAGAATGAGCGTTGACTTTGGTGTTGTTACAGCGTGTTGACTTACACCTCTCCATAGGCATGAACATTCGGGTTCAGAAGCTCGTTCCGCATATCCACAAGGAACAGTTGTGCATCGTCAAAAGACCACTATATTCGTTAGCACGACACTCTGATGATGCGAATTGGGCGTCGGAAACTCACGCCTAGCATTTCGGTTAGGCCGCGGATGGAGAACCCTTCTAGCGCTTGCAGCAAAAACTGGCGATTCCAGGCTCCCCATCGCTTGAGCTTCTTGTCCTTTGGCCACGGTCCCAGAGGAAGCTTAAGTCTGCGCTCAGAGACACCACTTAGACCCGCTTCTCTCATGGCGTCGGCTGCCTTGTCACCGTAGAAAAACGTCTTGCCGGTAAGTTCTCCGATCTTCTCAAAGACCTCTACCCACTTATAAAGCGGAGAGGTAGGCTTCAAAGATCCGTCGTCGGATTTGCACTTGCCCCATAATTCAACGTGCTCAATAAATCCACCTGGCTTTAGGGTTCTATTTTGCTATTAGGATGCCGTGGTTCGAGGCGAGGTGAACAACTCACCGCAACGCCTTTTTATGCAGCTCGATCCAATCAGGGATACATCCTGTCATGCTGCGGATGTGAATAAAGTCAAAGTTGTCAGTCGGGTAAGTCCATTCCTGGTTGATATCATCGACCTCAAATTTGCAGTTGGGTGGAACAAAGCTGGGCTGAATTGGCGACAGATCCACGCCAATGACTTCAGCAGATGGATGTTCATCAGCAAACTCACTAAGGGAGATATCAATAACGAGCCACTGGAATCAGATCATGTTGAAGACTCACATGGCCCAGATACCTGTACCACAGCCCAAATCGAGAACTGCCTGCGCCTTGGGTAAGCATCTAAGCATCTCCGGGGAATACGGTAAGGCAACAAACTTGAGGAGTATCACTGATTGGTGCTTCGTAGAGATTACCGTCCAAGATAATACGGAACATCTCGTGCCTAAAACATGTTGGCCGGCGGTTTAGAAAAATGGGACATGGACTGACATGAGGTCTTCAGCGTCTTGCTGGCGATCGTCGTTCGGGGCCCTTGTAGAGGGTGAATATTTCAACGTAAGAGATGACACACAATAAATAGTTACCAGTATTCCCCATCATTATAGGCGTGGTATCGACGTCCGTTCTCCCATTTGTAGTTCAAAATTGATGATCTCAACGACTGTGTGTCAGTGACGCGCGTCCTTCATCAAGGTTAGTTCCCGGCGTCTTGAAGACAGGATTACAAGAATGTCCTACCCCTCAGAATAGGTTGAGTCAGTATCATCGTCCTATATCACGGCCATTAGTACAACAACAAGGCACGAGCCCATCGCGGAAGAAATATGGCGAGCGTACAACTTCAATGTGGTTGTCAATGGCCTCATCTGTGGAGTTTCCCGGCGCCTCAGGCGAGCGAGTGGGAGATCTGCCCGCCTTATCCGGAGACGGTGATTTCCGTGGCGAAGACATAGCCTGATGCTGAACAAAGCGACTTCTCGACAAACAATGGTTCGCGTGCGTGAGTTAAAACATGAATGAGGGGAAGAAGATCTCAGGACCCACAGAGAGTGATGACTGCAGGTTATGCTCAAATACTCCTGGTTATATGAATATACCAAGACATTATTTTCAGGGTTCTTTGTTGCATTTTAGTGGAGTTTGTGCTTCGGCAAAGTTGACATGATGTGATAATGCGTGTTGGCTGCATGTGTTAGTGTCATGCCACATTGCAACGGACCAACAGCCTACAACATCACCGTCGTACAGACGCTCGGCAATTTCATCAACATGGGAGTTTCCGCTGGTGGGTTAAAATGAAATTACCGGGGTTTTTTTCTTTTTGGGAGTTTCTTTCCCATAGTCTCGGCCGCATTGTACTGCTTCGAGATGTTCTGAAAGTGCTGTTGGTAACTGTCTATTAACCTTGAAATCTGTGGTCGGCATGTGACATGTCATAAGAGAAGGCCACGTCACGCCTATAAAACCTTTTCCAGTGGGATCCGCGCTTTGGAGTGCACTCTTGGCGTCCATGACTGGGGGCTGCCTCCCCGCGTCTGCGGAATAGCTCATCCTGGCACTACAGAAACTTCTCCGTGCCAAGGACGACGCCGTCTGTGCATATGCTGCCATTGGGCGGGATATCTACAGCTACGACTATGCCCACGTTACTTGAAGTCGACTCTTGTGAAAGGTTCACATAGAAGAGCCTTACTTCCCAGAACACCTGGCGCAAGAGGCAAGCACGAGAAGGCCTGTCAGAGACACCTCCGACAACACGAATTGCCACCGCCGTCAAAAGGAAGTTGACTCTGGAGGGAACCACCACGGGCAATTATTCTCTATACCGTATTCCCTAGGTCGACCGTGCAAATGAGTTCTGTCTTCCGCTTCCCCAAAAATGGCTTCCAGAAAGAGCAGCAAAATATTGGGGGCAACGAAATTGCATCACAACTCAGGCTATCTTCAAAGCTTCGCGTACCTTTCTGGCATGCCCAAGCGCAAGACCAAGTACCACCTTCACCAACGTAGTGAATGATCTATAATCCGCGGTCCGTTCGATGGGTTACTAGCATTCTCTTTCTGAGATGTTCATAACCCCTTCAATTTTACGTTTATACTCCGCGAAGAACCAGGCACATTTCACAAGCTTCTGAAAGACAGCTAGGACTGGAACATTTTCTCCATTGGAAAGAGGTTTAAGTATGCCATCGCGTCCAGAGGGGGTTTTATGGGGAAGAAAATGAACTGCATCTTAACAGTGAGTGCACGAGGCACTAAGCACTGAAACTAAGGGCACGCCGGGTGATAAGTCAGATGAATTTTCAAATTTAACCGAGTTAGCTTATTCATCGCCTAGCACCTAAGTCAAGATCATGAAGGTTGGGAAAGCTTCAAGAAAAGTGTCTCCTCTATCTTCCTGGAATCCTAATATCATCATGGGCCGTATTTCTGGATGTGAGATATTTCTATCAATCGCCGCCCATTCTAATGCCCTGGGACTTAGAGAACCCTAGATACTAAGCTAGCCTCCTTAGGGAAAGCTCTGTAAAATTAGTATCAGTTCACACAACAATTATAACCAAGGCTTTGAGAAAGGTTTCGTTATATCTTCTAGATAAGTTCATGACCTTCATTGTGGCTGGAAATTTTACACTGTAAGAAATGAGCATGACCCCTAATTTGGAGCTATAAATACCCTGATACCAGATGTTGAAAACTGGGACTCAGACTCGTTACAGATCCTGACGGGCTCTAGGGTAGCCTCGAATTCCTAGTGTGATCAACACTAGCTGTACGGTGTAGCCACAGAGATATCGCAAGTTGCCAAGAGACAATGAAATTGGTTATCGGCCAGGAACCTGAGCCTTTGACGTGCGCAGAAAAAGTGAAGTCTAATTTCTCATCTGCTGAGGCATTACTAAATGGGGCATTGGCCGTGGATTCTTTGCAAGGGCATGCGAGCTATGGCTAGAATAATGGAACTGTATCCTTTCATTCAACACAGGTCCTATACCCTACCAACCTCCTCCAGGAGTTCTTCTACCATTGCTCCAGTCCAGGAACGCTCGTTCGGTGGTCTATAATCGCTCCGATACATACTGCTCGTCTGTACTGGATCCATGTCCCCTCCAAAGTCAAAGAAATCAAGGTCAAGCCGGAGCCTTGGCTCCTCCTCGTCCACAAGTCTAACACTATTCGTATCTGTTTGGCCACGGTGATTGGGCGGTTCTAATGGCCTCGGGACATTCATCACGCCTCCATAATAACCGTCCTCTAATAACAGCACTCGTGGCAGTTCCTCGCTACCTACGTACCGTCCACGAGAGAGGCTTATATCCACCGTGAAAGCTAGACGAAGGTAGGCCCGAGGTTGATTGACCAAGATAGTGAGCCAGTCTTTTATCTCCGTTGTTGTTGAGAGGAGTTGAGTAGTAGGCATCTGCTCCGACATCTCTGTAGATTCGAATGGGCATTTCTCTAATGACGAAAGAGTCGTTGCCGAGGCGACACTTGGTGGAATATCCACAGAAGCAATTGCCTTGTTGATAGTGTTGAGGGCCGTATGCGCGCCGGCGTATTTCTCACGACAGAGCTGCATAGCATGATTGCTTAATCGCAACTGAGTATCTTTGGTGGTATTCTTCATCCTCGTAGAGCGTATATCGATCGTGTTCAGAATAATGGGAAGTGCTAGATACGCGACACTAAGAAGGGTCAGCTAGGTACAGAAGGAAGTCCTTGATGGGGAAGAAAGACGCACGCGCTGACAGGAAGATACTGGGCAACGTTTTGATGAACAAACGAACCAACAATACGTGATATTTGGGCGACGGAGAGGTGTATTTCGTTACCAAGCTCTCGAGTGCTTAGGGCATTTGGTTCTGGACAATTGGCCTGGAGGGCGAGACACTCGTATTGACAGAGGGCTGCACGAGCGGACCTAAACCGATAAAGTCAAAATAGTCAATCTTGAAAGAGCGTAGACCTTGTAACTGACCAGTAATAAATCTGCGTCAAGCCCCAGAACAGGCGCACTGATGGATGTGGTGCTGGACTTGAATCTGATGCTAGGACCAAAGCCTCAGACTTCGTTTCCCAGACAATCAATTCATCTCTCAGACGTTTCGTCACTGCTGGCATAGCCATTAATGAGTTATGGTCCAGAGAATTTATCGGGTAAACCAGCGCTAAGATGTCAGTCAGAAGAATAGCAAGATTAACTTGAGCTTCCATGACACGAGCTAGGTTGCGCTTGGTGTCGCTCCCATAGACTCGCGAGGTCTCAAATTCGCCCTGAAGGTCTGCTTCGGTGAAAGGTTCTTGGTCGAAATCGAAATTGTAACGACTGATTTGAATCGATCTCCTCACTCCGAGAGGTAAAATCCGGTCTCGTATAATGCAGCACCTACTTCAAGTCAATTATATGGAACCACAGATCATTGACCTCAATACGAACCACCACAGCCTTTTCCGCTCCTGACGGACTTCAAGTGGCAAAGAGCATGATTGAGAGTACAGATGCGCCCGCTCTGCTTGTGCATATTGTATAGCGATGCGAAGCCAGAAAGTGTTCACAAGCTTTGCAATAGTGAGCAGGACAGATAGGTTTTTCGGGGGCACAATAAATACCGGTTCTCTGCCTGAGCAATAATAAGTCAATAGTAGAGCTCCTTGCGCTTTTGCGATGGGATCTGATATGACATCAAAATCGTAGAGTAGCTTCGCTCGGCGATACAACGAAGATCTCGCCTCCAAAGCATCTTTGAATCCCAGAAGCTTGGTGGTGTCCCTCGATACAAACTGTCTTGTCAGCAGCAGCTGCTACGGGCTTGAGATAGAAACTTACGCTAGAGGCGACAAATAGCATAGCCCGGAAGGTAAAGAGTGATATCTTTTTGGCTTGCTGATCAAGTTGCCCGTCGCCAAGATACATATTCCAAAAAGCACCTTCGTCTAGTATCGGTAGCATTGGATGAACATGGCGGAAGTACTCAACAACAAACTCATCGAGCACAGGCCTGGCGGGCAAGTGGAAGCAGCCCTTGGTCTCGAGGAACTTGAAGTCCGCCGTAGGTATGTGGGACAACGACCCAGTCGCCAGAAAGTCATGATACGAGAAGAGAATATCGGCATCGGACACTGTAGAGGATGATGGTTCTCGGAATGTGAAACCTGGGGTAGGAGAAGGACACTCTCTTCGAGAGTTAAGGTCCAAGGGGTATTCATCAGAGGGAGGTGTCACGGTGGCCGTATTCGGTGCGATTGTGGATTTTGTACTCAGGAGTATAGGCACCTGAGGGTCTTTATCCCGTATCTGCTCCGGTGATAGTGATGGAGCAAGAGTGGACCTTTTTCGCCGATCTAAATCCTCAGATATCAGTCATTGCTTTGCCCGATAGGATGGTCCGGGAACTGCGTCCGCACCTGAAACTGTACATGGCCGGCCATCCAGTCTACAATTCGTGCAAAGCTGCCCTTCTACTACTACGTCGCAGCGAACCTTCCGCTTTCGACATTCCAGACAGGCTCGGTGTGCTCGGCGGCGGCGGCGGATAATGCGTTTCTTTGTATCTGATTGCTGGTCTCCCTGCCGCGTGGGAGAGGCTGGTCGTGGGAGCGACAGGGCATCCTGTTCCGACTCCGAACAGTCCGGGTCGGTAAGAAAATCTTCAAGGTCGAGCTCGGCCATATCTTGGCGCGACAGATACAGAGGGAAGCACGAGTTGCGGGGCTGAAGGACGATGTTGAGAAGGGATGGGGGAAATGTCCGGGGGTGTTAATCAAGACGCCGGCAGTATCGGCATATAGCAAGTGGACTTTAATGGCAGGGGTCCACAACCCATCCACACTGGACTACCGGTACACTATCTGGTAGCCCTTTTCCGAGATGCGGGGATGATGAAAGATGCAGGCTGTTGAAGGGCGACAAGGACGCGCCCAAACTTTGGGTAAGGACATTTACCTTGGGACACAATACACTACTCTGTACTAGGGAGTCAGCGCGTACACACTGAGTCAGACTGAGTCAGTAATATTGGTATCAGCATTAACCAAAGAAGGGAAAACCTCTCTTATTCTAGTCGAGGGAGCCTACAAGGGTAAACTCTTTCTGGTCTTAGTGGCTTTAAGCCCCATTCCCCAAACTGACTACCCTACCTCCTTAGGCCCCAGGAAGATGCCCATAAACCGATACTCCTCGGTATTTCGGTACCCCAGAGTGCCCACTGGCATTGTGGCCAATAAGGCCCTTGTTACCCCAGATGAGGGTGCTGGTGCTTCCTCCACCCCCGCATTCTATGACTTAGACTAACGTACTCCAGATTTGATTGCTATGGTCTCGACTTTGTTGTTACGGTCCAGAGCCTCTTGTGATTGTCTGTGCTACACCATGTTATAAGATAGACGGGATTCCCCAGTGTCACATTGTAATTCACATTGCAATCCACATCCTTGTTTTGCTCTCTCGACTGAATACCTCAATCCACTCAGCCAGAACAACGCAGAATATTCCGTCTCAAAATGTCAGACCCTGGCAGCGAGAAGGCCCAGGTCTTCCATGACCCCAACGCATCCAGCGCCGAGGTGTTGGGCGACGATGATAAGAACCACCTCCACTTGCACAATACCCTTGCCTTCAAGGGCGACGACTCTGATGGAAGCGTCGTCTGGACCCCAAAATCGATTATTGCTGCAATTTCGCTTGGAGCACTTTATTCAGGTCAGTTATTCTGTCCCCAAAGAAGCACATTCCACTCGCTCACACACCAGAAAAGGTTCTCAAGTCAATCTGTACTTCGTTGGTGGAGCGTTGAGCTACATCGAGGCAGACCTTGGAGCCACGGCCAATGGGGTCTGGCTTCCAGTCAGTAACACCTTGGCCATTACCGCCGTGTCTCCATTCGTAGGCTATCTGCAAGATCTTCTCGGTCGTCGCGAGATTACTTTGGTGGGCTTGGTCATAGTCATGATAGGCCTTGCTCTTGTTGGGACCGCTCATTCATTCGGACAAGCTATAGCTGGCATGTCCCTGTCTGGAGCAGGTGCGGGCATTTGCGAATTGACGTCTCTTGCTGGGTCAGTTCATCTTCTACAGTTTGGAGGCCTCGGCGGATTCGCTAACGACTGAAAAGCATTTCCGATATCGTTCCCGTGAGACAACGAGGCCTATCCCTGGCTTTTGTGACGGCTTTCCTAATGCCATTTACTCCTTACGTACTGTACTCTCAGCTCCTATCCACACATGCGACATGGAGATGGACAATGTGGGTGACAATGTAAGTTACAAGTTCCGGCAGTATCATGTTGGAACCCTCATTAACCTCGACAGGATTTGGAACGGATTCGTACTCGTCGGTCTTACCTTTTCGTATTTCCCAAAAGATCACCCTCGCATGGAAGGAGTTTCGAAACGCGAAATTCTGAAGCAGATTGACTACGTCGGAGCTGTCCTGTCTGTTGTTGGAATCACTCTCCTGTAGGTTTCAAAATATACACCACCCAATGATTTTTTAGGAATTACGGCTAATCCATTACAGCCTTGTTGCTTTACAAGGAGGCGGATACACCCATCCATGGAAGAGTGCCTATATTCTCGTTCAACTCATCCTGGGCATTCTACTCATTGCAGCCTGGATCATCTGGGAGTGGAAATTCGCAAAGAACCCAATGATTCCACGAGAACTCTTCGCAGGCCAGAAAATTGTGGGGGTGGCATTCTTCGTCGCCTTTGTCGCGGGACTCAACTTCTACTCTCTCATCAATTTCTTCCCTCTCACATTTTCTTCTGTTTACACTCCCGACCCAGTCCAGATTGGACTCAAAGGCCTGGGCTACGGTATCTCAGTAACGGCCGGAGCAGTATTCTTTAACTCTCTACTTTCCGTTAAGGCCATTCCCGCCAGCGCCTCATTAGCCATCTCAGCTATACTCATGAGTAAGTTTTCTCATTCATATACATGACAGTAATGCTGATACGTTCTAAAACAGCTGCATTTGGCGGTGCTCTATCCGCAACTACTCCTGAAAACCCCAAGTTCACCGTGGCCATGGGAACCATCGCCGGATTCGGTGTCGGAGGCCTCCTTGTCCCAGCTGCAACAGTTGCTATGATTGTCGTGCCAGACTCGCTGCTAGCGACCACAGCCGCGCTCTCTCTGTCTATCCGTACCCTTGGCGGCTCGATTGGCTACACTATCTACTACAACATCTTCGTCCACAAGCTCACAGGAATCCTCCCAACAACGGTTGCCGAATATGCAGTTAAAGCTGGTTTGGCACCAGAAGATGCCAAGGTGTTCGTGGGAACGCTTCTCACTGCGCCAGCCAACATTACGACTGTGCCTGGATTCACTCCCGACATCCTACAGGCGGCCGAGGTTGGAGTCAGGTGGGCTTATTCAGGCGCGTTGAAGTATGTTTGGTATGCCAGTATTCCATTTGGCATCGTGACAATCATTGCAGCTGCCTTCCTGCCTTCTATTAAGAAGTACCAGACCAACCGAGTTGCTGTTTCTCTGTAAGGGCCAAATGATATCACCAGGCTTCCAACTGCAAATCTAGAGCAGAATATGGGATACTAGTTTATATCATCTAATTAACAGTCGCTGTGACAGGCGGTCAATGAGTTTCGGGCTTGCCAGTCGCTAGCATGGATGTAATAGGGATAAATAGGGGTGGAAGCTGCATACAGAAGAAGGAATCATTATTGTATCTTTCTTTGACTATTCTTTTCAGTCAGAGAGATGGAAGTCTCTCAGACCTTATTGTCAGAGTTAATACAGACCCTTAACCGTTGTGTTAAGAGATTTCTATAAAACATTTGCAACACCCTTAACAATCCTCACCCGACCTCAGTCTTCTATATCACCAATTAATCGGCCGCTGCGGTTATTTTTCAATACTTACTACTATCTTTTCCCACCGAAGACTTCTAAAGTATCCGACTAAATGTTTCTCTATTGAGAGGTCTAAGTCGCAGGTCTCTTAGACTACAAACGCGTAGTCTGGGGCAGCTTCGGGCCGACCTAGCGAAAAGCTTGTGCGATGCTTTCCTCTGCATCCCTCTAAGAGAGGTTGTTGAGTTGGGTGTTGGCTATCGTCCCTTCCCACCGCCAAGTCGACAGAGTTCGGCTTAACCTTCAGGATGGTTCGATATGTAATAGGCGATGAGGGATTTGTGATACCTGTCTAGATTACTCATTGCTTTTCATTCTTTCAAGGTTCTGTTGTTATTGCTTCTTTCTACTATCGGAGACTTACACCTGACAAACTGCGTAATTCGGGCATCAGTATTTAGAGACGCCCAGGGCTCTTGTGCACAATATTCTAGTAATTCTATTTCTTGCTCTACACCGCGTAAAGGCAATGTCCCTCATAACCTCTTTATTGTTCTCTAGAGCGAGACCCTCCATCGCTTCCGAGAGATCTCTTGGACTTGCTTACTTGCCACCCATTTCCTTTCATAATGCACTTGGCTTAGTTGGCTTCAAATCTCGTATGACCTTTAACCGGCGCACAGTAATGATTTTCCGGCCTTGATGTCCAAGGCGCACTACTTGCATGCGTGACTGGAGAGCTTGAGGCCTAATCCACTTCAAAGAGCTTTCGGGTGTAAACACTCCGATTGCTAAGTCAAAGTCTTTGACGTCTTGGGATTAAAAAAAAAAAGGACTTGGGGTGGGCGGTCAGATGACGGCCCTGATGAAAGTAGAATGTCTGGTATGCCTGGCAAGTCTCCGCGTGGATGAGCCGAGCCTCATCTTCGTATCCTCAGGGTTATGATGGCATCCAGGCCACCCTTGAAATCATCACATCAAAAGGTTTGCTTAAGAAATGACTATCCAGCATGCAACCATGGTGCGGCGGTGGCAAATAACGAAGTCAAAAAAGCTATAAATGGTTCCCGACACAGCTCGGTGCTTCCAGTTCCGAACCTAATTCGGTTAGTGCATCTCGCTGGAGTTTAGATAACATCGGGGAAGGGGGAGGAGATCAGAATGCCTGCTTATCGACAATAAAGGAAGGCGCACATTGGCCCTCATAAAGAAATGCTAGGAGACAAATGAAGTTTTGAGCGCAATGAGCTATAGTGCTGTACAAAGTGGGCAACATGAAGTAGCCCCTATGAGCTATGATAGAAAATTTAGTTACAAGAGGCTAATGTTCTTTGAACTGGATCGGTCTATTTAAATCCGGCGGGGATTCCCAAGAGTACCTGTTGACGTGTTGGTAATAGTGCTTTAACAAGAACCCGTCGTTTTCAAGTCCGTAAGTCGTAAGACGCTTAATGTTTAATGTGGGTAATGAGGCTTTGTTTGGGGTAGCTCCACCCACCTACAGACTGCTAAGCCGCTTATAGTACGGAATGTCGAAGTTCCATGGTTAATTCCCAGAATAGCAAACGGATGGTGTCATCCCGCTGTCTCGAGGAGCAGGAAGCATCAACTACGCACCATTTCATCTCAATCAGTCTACTAATTGGCACTGAAAATTCCGTATCCATTGCAGGCTTAAGCGGAAGCAACGTGGAGTCACCTCATTTTGAGAGCGCGGCGGGGTAGTATCCCCCAACCTTTGCAGTATAAGAACATTACGTCCATTGAAACATCACTAGATGGCTTTGCAGGCAGAGCTCAGAAAGATGTCTCGAATCACTTCCTTCCTCGCCGGCTTTGCGGCACTTGTCTCTGCCGCGGAGCTTCAGCAAGTCACCTCTTTTGGGCCCAACCCTACCAACGTCTCCTTCTACCTCTATGTCCCCGATTCCTTTCGGCCCTCAGCTCCTCTCCTGGTCTATCCTCACTGGTGCCACGGAACGGCCCAAGATGCTTTCGAATTCAAACCATGGCGTTCACTAGCCGATGACTTGGGTTTCATCACCATCTACCCATCGTCGCCATGGACTGCAGACCACTGTTGGGATGTGTCTTCCACACAGACTCTTCATCATAATGCGGGAGGAGACTCACTCGGAATAGCCAGCATGGTCAGGTGGACTCTGGCCAACTACGACGTGGACGAAGACCGGGTCTTCGTGACAGGCATTAGCTCTGGCGCAATGATGACGAATGTCTTGATCGGCTCGTATCCAGAGTTATTTGCCGCCGGGTCTGCCTTGGCTGGAGTACCTTTCGGTTGCTACGCCGGTGACGGGTATGCCGTTTGGAATAGCGATTGTGCCACGGGTCAGATTGACCGAACCGGCAAAGAATGGGCGAAAATCGTCCATAACGCGTACCCAAAGTACAAGGGGCCCCGGCCGAAGATGCAGGTTCTCCACGGAACTGTTGACAACATCGTCAATGTTACCAACTACTACAACGAGGTCAAACTCTGGACCACTATTCTGCATACGGGAGCTAAACCCACTTTGATCGAGGAGAACAACCCGCAAACTAACTGGACAAAATACGTTTATGGTCACAAAGGGCTCTTTGAGAGTTTTCTGGCTGGAGGGGTGGATCACAATATCCCAGACGAAGCCGACGAGATCGTCAGATTCTTTGAGCTTGATTGTACTGGAAAACGTTGCTTCTCAAGGAAGTCTCTTCGAGGTCGTGGCAAACGTTATTGGAGGAGGTCGGTTTAAGGGCGGAAGTGTGCGGGTTACCCCGTGGATGATACCGGTGTCCATACTGATAAGCTCGGCCAAGAGAGGAATAGTCAGCAAAGGGGCGAAAGGATAATTCAAGCAAAGAATATACAGTTGGAAAAAAGGAAAAATAACTCTTTGCCCTCCCAGTTAATTTAAGCATCGTGATAGCTCACAGTAAAAACGAGAATAATAGCTGCAGTGGCGATACCGGTCGAATTAGCGGCCGAAAGCATATTGTAAAGCAGGGAAGTGTCTACAACTAACGGACGCCGAGGCCGCCGACAGAAAACACGGCGAGCACAACAATGTGCTGAACCCTAAGCCCCGAGACAGCCGAAGGGAACAGCGGCTGTAAAGTAACTAGCGTCACTTCAGTTTGTGGCTTTTCAAGGCAAACCTTCTTAAATCTCCGTAGGGGAGCCGGCGATATTGAACATTCCTTCGGCCCCCCGCGGATGTCCGAGACGGCGGCGATCGGCCCACCCACACCGCCCATACTAACATCCGGATGCCCAAATATAGTGGCTTGTACAGCCCTGCACAGCCTTCAATTAGAATCCGCGGCGCCCGGTAAGCTGGCTTTCATCGTCATGACCTTCTCTTCTTCTTCATCTTTCGACCGAGCTCTTGTAGCATGAACGTGCGCGGGGGGACTCAGGTGTATAAAGTCAGGCTGTTTTTTTTTAGGTAGGTACATAGTAGAATTTAATACAACACCGACATACTCGCTCTTGAAGATTCAATTGCGTTCATGGATCCCAAGTATAATAACTCGCTCCAGTCTTCTGTGAACGATGACTACAGCAACAATGCTTCTTTTATTCCATCCCCACATATGGCATCAATGAAAGGACAGTCCACAACGGTGCGAGAAAACCGCAAGCCAGGTCTCTATAATCGCTTTCACCACCTAAGTGCCAAGATGGCGGGCCCAGTCAATGGCTTCGCGAACAAGCTCGGATGCGAGGCCTTCATGCCTACCTCACTAGACAAAGAGTGCGATAAGGCAGCGCGAATATTAAAGTCGTTCTGTGGTATGTCTTGGTGCTGCACGCTAGACGGAAGGCTTGAAATTTGTCGGAAGAGATGCACTAACACCGTCTGCGTTGTCTATAGATGAAACAACTTTTGCCAACAATTCGTCTACGTCTCCAGACGAGGCATTATCAAGTCGGAAAGCAATAGTCAGAATTCCTCGACAAGTCATTACGTCCGCCGCAGGCCTTGCTATCTTCACTGCATTTCGGTCTGGGACACAATTCTCTTGGGGAAGTGGTTCTGGAGTTGTTGTAGCGCGGCGAACGGATGGGTCATGGTCGCCACCGTCTTCCTTTGCCGTGAACACTCTCAGTGTTGGCTTCATGTTCGCAATGGATATTTACGATTGTGTATGTGTCCTCCGGAATCCCGAAGCAGTCGCTGCATTCACCAACCCAAGGATTTCCTTTGGTGGTGAGATGGCTGTTACTGCTGGGCCGGTTGGTACTGGTGTTTACGTTGATTCGGCCATTAGTGGCGGCGGTATCAACGAGCCTATATGGAGCTATATGAAGAGTCGGGGCTTTTATGTCGGGGCACAAATTGACGGAACTATCATAACGGCGAGAGACAAGGCAAACGAGGACTTTTACGGGGTGGAGGTTACGGTTGCTTCTATTCTACAGGGTATGGTTCCAGCTAGAGGACCGTTGTGGCCTGAAGGATACTGGAGGTTAAATAATGTATTGCGAGAAATAGATAGTCGTACGTAAGAAGTGCTATGTTCGAGACTTGGATGCTGCCTCCACTACTATCGCCGATGATGGAGATACCAAAGTTTAGCATTATTCCAAAGATATCATGGCCGAGCGTGTCCTTCATGTAAACGCCGCTGCCTGTGTGGAAGCAGATCAGCGTTGGCTCTTCCGATGCAGAGAAATCATCTACGAATCGGTCTCTTCGGGTTCCTCGCGAAGACAGAAGTGATCGCAGTTCGTTGCTCGTCTTAGGGCCCTGTCCGCTGTTGGCCATTGTGCTGTCTTCAGAATCAATATTTATTTTATTGCTCCCCCTCGAAACCGAAAACGTCGGACCTCATCATCGAGTTTATATAGACGAAAGAACTTACATTCGTACAACCGACAACACCTCGCCCAAGCTTCGACACGTTCTTCCAAACAATATCTAAGCTCCTCTCCACTTACGCTTGTCGCCATGACTTGTGTTTCTAAGCTCGAACGCTGACAAAGGGGCAAAATTAAGTTTATTTTCCTGGCCTTGCCTTGGAAGTGAGATGTGCCCTAAACGGCCTTAGCTGCGAGAAAACATCGAACCCAGGCATGATATCCCGCTTCTAAGAAAATTCTACTCGTTTTCGCTTTGTTTTGCTGAGATGCGGCTTCCGAGGACCGCTTTAGATTCTTTGGCGGTCTGAGGAATGCTTCCACCCTGATCAGGTGACGTAGTAGCAATGTGCGTTCATCTGAAGTCATACGTTATAATTGGGTGTGATGAGCCCAAGTTAGGCACGCGAGTAGTTCGAAAAAGAGGCAAGCTGGGAAACAAAATGTTGAAATGAGAGCTTACGGATGTTATGATAAGTCTCACTGGCGGCTAAGGCGCGCGAAGCTCGTGTCCTGATGTGGATCGCGCATGTCGGCGATTGCCATTCAAATTAGGTGTGAATCGAGACGCCGGGTAAACTTAGCTGTGACGTGCTCATCAACAAGAGTTCATCAAGGCGTCATCCACTCTGACGTCGATAAGACCAGCCAGTGATGCATGACGTGATATCTCGGCCCGTAGTCCAACGGATTAAGAAGACTAAAAGAATCCGCAACATCCGAAGCCTCTAAATCCTTTAAAAGTGGATAATGGCTTGTAAATTGACTTTCGGATACGGCACGAACATGAGATCAACGTCAAATGAGCCACCGATAAGGCCCCAACATCCCACGCTGCGGGTCAATTAAGTGGTGTGATGACCCGCCGCTGGTGGCCGAAACCACGATACGTTGTGAGAACCACGCGATGTGGTTCATTGTTTGCAACGATTCCCCGTCACTGAGGCTAATAACGGATCCGCCGCCCTATCTGTATCCACAATTTCCATTACTATATAATGCCCTTAGAATTACTTTCGACTTGTGAGTTTCCTTCTGGCCATTCAGAGTTACAAAGCAAAAGATTCGTCAAAATGCAGCTTCCCACTTACCAAGTAAACACACCACTCGACCCTTCGTTCGACAATGATATGAGGGATACCCACCTAATCTACGACTACGACGCACGAGACGCCCAAGGAAATCCGGAGAAATGGCGGTACGAAATTTGGTTCTTCTCCCATGACCGAGTCGTCTACGCTATTCACGGTGGTCCTATGGCCGGCCGCATCAACTACCAAACTGCTGGGTACCAATGCGTGCGTCCAGGAGAGTTATGGCAAATCAGTTGGCTAGAAGAAACGGGAACTGTGGTGTCGCTTGTCTACGACATAACCAAGGGCACTATCAGCGGACTCCTGAGCTTTTCGAAGGGGCATTGGGAAAACCCTGTGGAAGCTCATGGTGACAAGAGAAACCCAGAAGATTTTGACCGGTGGAGGACTCTAGCGACATACGGAAAACAAACCGACCGATTCATGTTAGTGGAGCAGGCGCAGATTCTTGAAAATTTTAAAGGGAAGGGAGACTTGATGCCAATTGAACCCGACGCTGTCACATTGTAGACATTTTGTCGTGGTTATTCATGTACCTTCATGTAAATATATCCGGCAGTACACTTAACCTAAATATTACTACAGCTGCAATATAAATGGGGAGTTGGTTCACAGTTAAATTCATCATTTCGTATTTTTTGATAGTCATTCATCATGACTCTAGGCTACTACTTGGCCGATTTTCAGGCCTTTTCTCCTGACCAAGCCTTTACAATATCTGCGAGTGTCTCATTGCTTCCCACGTTTCCAGGGAAGACCACATATGGCACCCCCCGATGACGGCTCGTTTCCTCATCGCACTTCCAGAGCGGCACTCCTGGGGCAGCCTGGCCGACTACTCTTGCTCGCTTCATTTTTAAACCCTTGGTTGCAGTATCAGACGACGTGATGCCTCCCTTGGCAATAATATATCGTGGTCGAACGCGGACCTCCTCCACAAGACGAACCAGGGCGTGGGCGACCTTTGAACCGATATTGAGCGAGCTGAGTGCATCGGGGCCTTTGATCAAGTCCCGCGATGTCATGACTAGAACATCATGACCCGCTGCTATTTTCTCAGACGCTTTGCTCGCAGCTGCTAATGTAACCGCCTCCGCTGCCTCTGCTGATGCGATAAGCCCAGCGACGTCTAGTTCGATCACAGAAAGCTGATCCCCTCGTTTCTCTCGCAGGGATTTCAACTGAGCCGTTGTTTTGGGTACATACGATCCAGCGACAATCAAGCCGCCCGGCTGCGGAGTAGCAACGGGTGATGATTGAATATCTTGAAGTGTAAGTGGCGGAATGCCAGTTATTCCCAGTCGCGACGAGACAAACGCCGCTCCGGTGCGGAAAAGATACCGTCTCCCCTCCTTTTCAGCCTTTAGCAGACCGGAAACGAAGACATGCATGTCTGATTCGGCAGCAGCATTGACAATAAAAACGGTCTTGGGCCCAGCGGACGCGGCAAGGAGCCTCTCTGCGACGCGCGTTGGCCCACCGAGTCGGATATCATCAAGAGTTACCGAGACGAATGAAGAGTCGTCGAACCGGGAGCCGCACTTTTCTTGGATATACTCTCTCAGATTGGAGTTCTTGTAACCGAATGTAGCATCCTGAGCAAATGGCGTTTGGCTTGCTGGCACCAAGACATCTCCCTCCTTGACATAGTGAACATCGTCGATGGTGTATCGTCCGCCCTGGAAGAAGAAGGGCGCAATAACCCAGCCATCAAACTGACCAAAGGCCTGCTCGGCAGCCTCGGGCTCCTCGGGAAGATGGCCACGTAATGTTGAATCGCCACGGAGAACAATTTCGACAGACTTTCCCGTTTTCTCTGCCGCCTTCTTCACATTCTCGCAGATCTCAAGAATGAGTTTCCGGGCCTCTGAGGATGGGAGAGCACGAGAATTTGTGAGGATGAAAAATCCTTTCGGGTCAAGACCAAACTCGGACTCCAGGGCCTGCGCGTCCCACGTCATCAAAACGTCAATGTCATGGCAAGTCTGTGTTCCAGTGGGATCATCGTCCAAAACGACTAGAACAGGTACTTCCCTGCTGTCGACAACGTTTTGGATTGAAGTAATGACGTCAGTAGAATATTCGGTTGGTAATGAATCGAGAGTTTGTTTTGCAGGAAGCGGTTCAGGCACTTTTTTGGCCGGGACGCCAACAGTGGTAGACGGCTCGTTGGTGGAAGTAGAACCCTCTTTATCTTTAGAGCCAGCCTGCTCGGCAACTGTAATACCCGTCATCGACTCATAGAAACGGACAACTCCGGCATCGGATTGGTGTGACAGGCCGCGCGCCGCGCCGGAGATATATAGGGTGTGAGCCGCAGCCGAAAGTGGTGCTGGGTAGAGGCAATTTCTGGCCTCGTCCAGCACGATTCCCAGATCCTTGACAAAGATGGCCAAGGCTGAGTGAGCTGTCCAGTCGGCATCAAGCATCTGGGGAACTCGGTTCTCAAACATCCAGCTCCAAGCGGCGGCACTTTTGAGGGTTTCGAAAAGCGACCGCGTGTCGAGGCCAAGACGGGCAGCGAATGCCATTGCCTCTGCTGCAACGGCGATGTGAACACCCGCGAGTAGCTGGTTGATGAGCTTGACTGAAGAAGCAGCACCGACGCCTCCTTGAACATGGCACAGGTTGCTGGCAACACCTGTGATTGCAAGTAGAGGACTTAGGGTTTTCGAGATCACAGCATCATCTCCCGAGCAGATTACCTGTGATGAGGTTAGTTTGAATACGACAGAATCCAGACGTTTCGATGATCACTGACCGTTAGAGTTCCATTTGCGGCTCTGGCGACTCCTCCGCTGACAGGAGCATCAATCAAGGATATTCCCTTCTCCAAACCTTCCAGCCGCTTCGCCAAGCTCTTAACATATGAAGGGGGGACGGTGGAGTTGAGAATCACAATTGCGCCTGGTAGTAGGGACTCGGCTCCCTTCCCAGACCCAAACAGCAGATCATCAACCTGCGCCGCGTTTTGAACCATAATGACGACAAGCTCCGCCCCGACTATTGCCTCGACAGGAGAGCTAGCCTTGGCCGCTTTGCCAGTGTTCGTCAGGAACTTGTCGATGGCGCGCTCGACGACATCATAACCGTGGACGGAGTACCCAGCCCGGAGCAGTGACGATGCAATACCTTGGCCCATGGCTCCTAGTCCGATCATGCCAATCTTGGAGATCTCTAGCGGGGTGCTACCTGGCGTCAAGTTTGTTTGCGGAGGTGCTCGGTTAGCGCTCATCTGAACGCCATTGGGATTTTCAGGAAGGAAAATTCGGACGAGGCCGGCGTCATCTTCCCTTCCGTAACCCTGGGAAGACCCAGAGATGTACAACTGCTCCGCTACTGACGCCAAAGGGACAGGGAATTGCAGACTGCGAGCTGTTGAAACTACAATTCCCTAGAAGATTGAGTTAGCCGGTGCAAATAAAACGTCAGGCAAGAGCATAATACCATATCCTTAACAAAAATATCCAGCGCCGAATAAGGCGTCCAGTCTCCGTCGAGCATGTGCGGTACGCGGTTCTCAAAGGCCCACGAGCTACCGGCAGCATTTGTGATGATTTTGTAGACTTCGCGGGTATCCAACCCAGCCTTTGTGGCGAGACCCATGGCCTCGGCAGCAGCGGCGATGTGGGTTCCCACAAGAAGCTGGTTGACCATCTTAACCTTGCTGGCTGCGCCGAGACCGCCAGGAATGATGTATAAATTTTGAGACATGTCGTGTAGTATCTCGTCAGCTTTAGCCAGAGCTTCAGCTGTTCCAGACGCGAAAATGGACAAGGTGCCATCCGCGGCGCGCTTTGTGCCCCCAGAGACGGGACAGTCGACTAGAAGGATATCTGACCTCCCGGCTTGGGTAAAGCGAGACTGAAGGGTCTCATGAAAAGTAGGGCTCACTGTTGAGCAGATGAGAATTGCCGCACCATTTGATAGCCCTATTTCTCGTCAGTCAACCGCCGCGAAAATGACCCATATGGGATGCCTTCTCACCTTGCAGGGCACCATCCTGCTCATTGAACAGAACGCTCTCAATTTGCTGTGCATTGGTCACCATGCAGACCAACAACTCGCTGTTCTCTGCAACATCCTTGGCGGATTTAGCATCACCGCCCCCCTGGCTCACAAATTTATGCACACTGGGCGGGTAGACATCGTAGCCTCGGACAAGGTAGCGGGACTTGGCCAAAAGATTGCCTGCCATACCAAGGCCCATGGCCCCGAGACCAATGAACCCGACCCGCGTTGCATCTCCAGTGTTAGATGCCATTGTGTCTTTGGGGGGGGGGATGAGAGGCGCTGTTGATGGGAGACCGGGTGAATCAAGTGGGTATTATAAGCCGGCTCTTTGGCATGGCACAAGTCAACGCTGGGAGGATGTACGACAAAAACAGCACATGGCTGATCCAGCCGTACATTAATATACCGGGCTTGATTCGAAAATGCTCACGCGGCGGAAACGCAGCGTCTGCTCCGGGGATCGATCCACCGCCATCACATCAAGTGGAGACGACGCGGGCAGATGACCGCGGTCTCGACTCTCAGAGTTGGCGCTAATGTGGTGTACAAAATAGGTATTGGCCGTCGTCTCCCCCGTCGCGGCCATCGTCCCGTTCTCTCCAGCTTCATCACCTCTCGGTCATCGTTCCGCCTCTCATTCTACTCCACTTCAACACCAAGGTCAAGATACGATTGTGCATACGGCGGGCTTCGTCCCATGAGACCATGAAGCGCACGCGGTTCGACAGCTCGGCAGATGGCGCCTCTCGCGAATCAGCTGGCCCTCTGCCCAAAATCTCCCGAAAGATTCGAGCCTGTGAGTGGGCCCTGTTGCCACGCTACGACGGCGGAGACGAGATTCAGATTGATACTGACCTGATGATCAATGTATAGGCCAAGAGTGTCAGGGCCGCAAGATCAAGTGTGATATTGAAAACGGCCAGAATCGGTGTGCCCGGTGCGCTCGCCTCGGCCTAGAATGCATCGTGAACAAGAGCCTGCAGACACTCCTAGAAGGCGAAAACGAATGGAAGGAGTCGATGGAACAGCAGGTCCGCAACCTTCAGGCGGCTCTGGCTGATGTTCAGAGGCGCTTGAACATGCCTCAAACTATCCCTCACCAACTCTCATTGGATCATGAAGGCACCCAGATGCCAGCACAGAACCCGGGATTGCCCACGCATCTTGCATCGCAGGTTAGCCCAGCTGGGACCTCGCCTTTACGACCATCCGATGTCACGGCCATGACGAGAGAAAACTCGCCGGAAGCAGCGATACACGAGGCTCAAGAACAGGCCATTGGCAACGCTCCAATGGCGAGTCTGTTTGAAGTTACCAAGCTCCGGAACATTCGAAGTGATCCTGGTGCTACGATCCACCCGAAGGAGACCCTGGCCCCAGAACCCGACTTCATCGCTCAGGGGAAAGTCAGCCTCAACGAAGCTGAAGCCCTCTTCTCCACTTTCTGTGGAACGCTCAATGCATACTTGTGGGGAGGAATCGCTCTGGTTCACAAGACGCTAGCTGAGACACGCAACTCGTCGACACTTCTGACCGCAGCCATTCTTGCGGTGACGGCGTTGCATGCACAGGATGGAGGCCTGGCCTTTGACAAGTGCTATCCCATTTTCCTCGAGCTGACCAGCCAGTCGGTGTTCAAACGCTACCACTCGCTGGACGATATTCGCGGTCTCTGTCTCGGGGCGTTCTGGCTCTCTGATGTAAGCTGGAAGCTCTCGGGTCTAGCCGTTCGCATCGCAACCGAGCTCAAGCTCCACAAGTTCTGTGCCAAGGCTCTCCAAGGGACATCTCCTGAGCATGTTGAAAAAGCTAGGCTCTGGTACTTCCTATACGTTTGTGATCACCACTTCAGCATCGCATATGGACGACCGCCCGTCATCCACGATGATGTCACAATAACGAGCCATGAGACCTTGCTACAACTTCCCGGTATCACACAGGCGGACTTCCGTTTGCACAGCCAGGTTGGGGTGTTTATCATTCTCAGTCGTGTGTTCCACACCTTCGGCTCAGACCGGTCGAGACTTGTGGCCAACGACGAGTTTGCGGCGCTTCGGCGATACGACGTAGACCTCGGTCATTGGAGGGATCATTGGGAAAGTCGACTAGGTAAGCCGGGATTGATGCGTGTATTCCTAAAGCATGGGTTGATTTAAGTCGGCGGGTTCATGAGAGCTAACAAGCATGTGAATCCAGACCCTGATCATCACATCTCGAATTACCCAGCTAAAGGTGTGGTTCTCCATTACCATTTTGCACGACTACAACTATTCTCCATTTGCCTCCGCGGCCTGAGCCCCTCATCTCAGTATCTGGTATCATCTGAGCGAAGGACTTTTGTTAATTTGGCAATACAAAGCGCCTGTTCAGCTTTGGAGCTAATCCTCGATGACCCCGACATGCGACGGTCGGTAATTGGGGTGCCACTATACCTGCTAACCACCATTTCATATGCATCCATGTTCCTTATGAAGGTGCAGCTGCACTGGAAGCAAGCCAACTTTGCTCTACGCGGCGAAGAAGTGATTCTTCTGATGGAAAGAACTGTCGTGTTGCTAGATGAAACGCGTCAATGTGTCCGTCACGTTGCCCACTACATCGGGCGAGGACTCAACAACATGCTGCAGAAATTAAAGGAACGCGAGATGCAAGATGAACAAGCGACTCCGTCTAGCAACCCGGCGGCACCGATCGCTTGGACGGAGACGCCGAGGGACGGGTGGCAAAGTACTGATTGGAGTGGCTGGGTGTTTGACGGCGACATGATGGGACAGTTTGATGGAATTGACCATAATCCACTAAACATGCTAGACCTCCTTCATTCGCAGTTGCCAGAATAGGGCGCGAGCTTTGATCTAACGACTGCACTGACGATCAGTGATCAACACATGACGGTCCAGATCAGCCACGATTGAAGCAAGCTTTCGCAATGCGGGACACGACAAGGGACGAGGTAGCACGCAAATGAGGAGGCGTTGATGCACGATAACATGTAAAAAATCAACCGAGCAATACCGAACAGCGTCCCATTATACTCCCCGCCCCATGACTTGGGTGACATGAGAATGTCGGGTATAGCGACTGACTCGTCCAGCCCCGGTCGACTCATGCATCCTCAAGGGTCGCGGGTTGAATGCCGCGACTTGGTGGTATTCTAGATCATTTCTTCCCCCAATCGGCGCGAAGACCGCTACGGAGCTGCATCACGGCTTTGCTCCGCAATGGTTCTTTTGCCCCGCCACCCATCCCCGTGGGGAAATGGCCACCAGTGCCGTCCCAGGTTTCCGACAGATTGCCAACTCCTTGTTTCGACGTTTATATACCATGCGATTGCCGTGGCATTTTTGTTCTCCTCAACCCATCCAGTCTCTCTACAGCATCGCCTGAGAAAGACCAATCACCCTACTTGGAGAACACAGACTTGCCGCCGTCCATCACCACCATGGATCACGACAGAAAGGAGTCTGTGGAGATGAAGGAAGACCCCAATGGCGAGGTCACGCAGCAGGACCGTGAATTGGCCGAGGCTCTTCGCAATTACGTCCCAGGCACTGTCGAAGAAAAGAAGCTCGTCAGAAAGATTGACTTCTTCCTCATGCCCATCCTTTGGCTCATGTACATCCTGAACTACATTGACAGGACCAACATCGTAAGTGCCAAGCCGGGTGCACCACGCGGCGAGAGGACTGCGTTTGAACTAACACATCGCGACAGGGCAATGCCAAGATTGCGGGTATGCAAAAGGATCTCAAGCTGACTGATGACGATTACGCCTGGGTGCTTTCCATCTTTTTCTTCGGGTACCTCATCTGCGAAGTCCCGTCCAACATGATTCTCTCCCGAAGCCGACCGTCCATCTTCCTCCCCGGCATCATGCTCGTCTGGGGCGCTCTGAGCGCCTTAATGGCAATCTCCAAGACCTATGCTGCCCTGCTCGGATTCCGATTCATCCTAGGATGCATTGAAGCAGGATTCTTCCCTGGTGTTTTGTATCTCTTGAGTTGCTGGTACACCAAAGCCGAATTGGGTGCGTGTCTTGAAAAGAATATATTAAATTAACACAGCGCTGATATTGAGATCTAGGCAAGCGATTTGCCATCTTCTACACCGCCGCCGTCCTCTCCGGCGCCTTCGGTGGTCTTCTTGCCGGCGCCATTACTTCCAACCTTCACGATGCGCACGGCATCGCGGGGTGGCGATGGCTCTTCATTGTCGAAGGTGTTGCGACTGTCGGAGTGGCGATCTGCGCCTTCTTCATTCTGCTGGACTATCCCGAGACATCGACACGCCTCAACGAGTCTGAGCGGCAGTTGGCCAAGCTGCGAATCATCCAAGACGGAATCGCCGAATCCGGTGGTGCTACGCGTCGGCTGACCCACTGGGAGGCCTTTGTCGCAGCCGTGTCTGATCCCCGGACTTACTTGTTCCTGGTTCTGTTCATGCTCGACGTCGGTGCAGGTACCATTTCCTACTTCATCCCCACCATTACCGTGTCTCTGGGCTACGAAACCACCAAGGCCCAATACATGACTGTCCCCATCTACGCCGTCGCCGCGGTATGCCTCAACATCGTCGCCTGGTCGTCTGACCGTGCTGGCGAGCGACGCTGGCACATTGCCGGGGCGCTGGGAGTTGGCTTCGCCTGCAGTGTTGTGTGCGCCGCGGTTCACACGGCGGTGGTGCGCTATGTCATGATCTGCTTTGTTGCAGCTGGCATCTGGACCGCCCTGCCACTTATCATGACCTGGACGAGCGGCGTCATCAGTTTGCCGGCGGAGAAGCGCGCCGTCGTGCTGGCCTTGGTCAACGCATTCGGCAACTTCTCCAGCGTGTATGGAAGCCGAATTTGGAAGAGCAGTGATGCGCCTGGGTATCCGATAGGGTTCGGAGTCACGGCCGGTTTTCTGGGATCTGCCATGATCTTGGCCGCCCTGATTCCTGTTGTGTGCCGGCTGGTAGACTGGAAGGGAACCAAGGCTGAGAGGGAGCTAGCACAAGCGAGGGAGGTGCAGGAAGAATGAGCTTGAAAGGATGCAAGGCAAACAATATCAGGCATTCCTCCATCAGCCTCAACGCCCTCGACATGATGTATTCCACTCCAGAGTCATCATCGGGGTAATTTGTAAAGCAATCAATTATTTTTGGCGAAGGCTATAATCCACATAAATCTGATTTCAAGCAAAATCGCTCGTGAAAAAGACCATAATAAAGTCCTACACATGCATCAGCTTCCCTCCAGAGTCTGATCTGTCCTAAATACGTATAAAATACTACCGTCTCTGTGGTTTCCAAAATACCTTGGTGGCAAAACAGTACGTCATTTGCTACAAGATAAATCTTGAAACAATTACGGCTATTTAGTTTCGCGAAAAATACGCCCCTCCCAAGGTATACGTTCTATTCCACTAGAATCCATGCATCCCCTGCTGGGGCTTGCGTTGAATCGTATCGTGTTCAATGGAGGACATCAGAGTACGCGTCGATAGTAGCACCTTTAAGCAAGCTGACATCGCTCTCTTCCTGTGGGAGCTCGATTTCGATGGCCTGGATGAGTTCCGCCTGCTCAGTATTTCTCAGCGCATTGTTGTAGAGAAAATCCGCCAGATGATTAACAATTCCGGGTGTGGCCTCGAGCTTCGCCTCGATTTCCAAACCCTGCTCATCAACCGCCTTGCTGATGTTGAAAGCAGCTAGTGTCTACGCGACGGTCAGGAAAATGGTAGAATCTGAGGAATAGCGTCCAGGGAATATTCTGCGCCCGAAGACAAATGCCACATTCATAGGGTCGAGCTCGTTGCGAGGCTCCAGGTACCGCTCGGGGCTGAAAGGGCTTGGGTTGATGTACACCTCGGGATCATACAAAAACCACCATACAGCCGGAACCAAAACTGCCCCTTTCGGGATCAGATGGTCCTTATAAACCAGGTCTGCATCCGCCAAATGTGGCATACCGAACGGTGGGATGGGTGACCAACGATGAATTTCTTTGACCACACTCTCGATGTATGGCAGGTTGCCTCTGTCCAGAAATCCAGGAAGCCTTTCGTTGCCGGTCACGCAATCCATTTCCTCCTGCGCCTTACGCTGAACCTCCGGGGTCATTATCATGGCCAAGATGAAGTTGGTGAGCCTCGGAACTACAGTATCAGCGGCGGCAGCACCGTACAACGTGGCGGCTATACCCTTGATAGCGTGCTCGTCGTCGCGACTCAGATTCGACTCCGCAGGGTCTCCATTGCTGCTCTTTTGAACCACCCGTGTTTAAAACAGCACGTCCCCGCATTGTTAAGTATATTCCTGCGATTACTTTCTACATCCGCATCCTTGATTCCAGGGTAAGACGACACTACACCACCACAGATGTGCTGACATAAACGCGCTATCCCTTTGGGTTTTACAGCGGCCTGCTAGCGCATGTTCTGCGCCACTGGACGCTAGTTCACGGATGCCGACTTCCCGCGTCGGTACTTCACGGTACACACAAAGTACAGCCCGCAAGGATGGAAAGGTTCATTCCATGTTCAGTCTGGCTCATCAGGGGATCCCTCGGTGAGTATTAAGCTCTCAAACTGCAGGTAGCTTACAGTATCTCTCGAGTCTACTGTGCAGCGTCTACCAATCCCTCTCTACTCCGTACCAAACCAGCCAACGAAACGTACACCCATTATCTTAAAAGTGGGACAGGTTTGCGTCTTACATCTCGGAAGTTCGCTGAAGCGGCAGAACGGGTAAGCCGACCAATTACAATCGCCTCTCCATGTCGTCACGGGATCTCACCGCTACCGGGCGGCATCGGAGTATTTAACGTAGTCCACGCAATCCACGTAAACCTCACCTTTCGAGGTCTGCCACCAGTGGTTTTATTCGTAGTACGAACGAGCACAGTGAACTCTCCGACGCTATGAATAAAACGTCCCGAACGGACGAGCCCCTTGAGGGCGACGACGGCTACAACCAGAGTCCGAACCCGCTCTCCAACGACCTGACCACCAATGAGGACTTCAATGGAATCGCCAATAGTAGGGCCTTGGGGGATCAAGACTCCCAATCGTTGCAGGGCACAGCGTTGGCCGCTTTACAAGACACCGGAGCACGCAACACCACGTCTAAAAATGACTCCACGATCACCCACCAGCTGGCTTATGGGACAATTGACCATGGCCAGCCCCCCGAGGGCGTTTTGCAAGTCCCTGCAATCGCCCAACCCCCGCTTCACTCGCCTACCTCGGCGGGTGGTGATGGTGATGCCGACCATCTCACACCGTTCCAGCGACTCAAAAAGAACGTCCTCACTTTCTGCTCCTTCATCGGGCCGGGCTTTATGATTTCGGTTGCCTACAGTATGTCGTCCTCCCTCTCGCGATTTCACGCCGCAGCGTACATTGACGCACCCACCCAAAGTCGATCCTGGCAATTACTCGACAGACATTGCTGCTGGAGCTTCGTACCGCTTTCGCCTCCTGTTCATTGTCCTCCTCTCCAACTTGTTCGCCATCTTTCTCCAGAGTCTGGCTATTAAGCTTGGCACCGTCAGCGGGCTCAATCTTGCAGAAGCCTGTCGCGCATTTCTCCCGCGATGGCTCAACTACATTTTGTACGTCTTTGCGGAGGCTGCAATCATTGCTACGGACATAGCTGAGGTACCTTACATTGCCTTTTGTATATCTACATATGTCCAAACGTGACTAACTGGCCAGGTGATTGGTTTTGCTATCGCATTAAACCTGTTGATCCCTAAGATTCCATTGGTCGCTGGATGTGCCATTTCAATCATCGATGTTATGGTAATCCTCATCTTCTACCAGCCAGAAGGGTCCATGAGAGCCCTCCGATTCTTCGAGATTTTTATCATTTGCTTGGTCATGGGTGTAGTCGTGTGCTTCTGCATCCAAATGTCCCTGATCCGCGACACGACGGCGGGAGAAGTCTTCAAGGGATATCTGCCATCAAAGTCCCTGGTCGAGAAGGAAGCGTAAGTGGGCGATGCTCCTCTTTCTTGAGCGGTCTGCTAACGATAACAGCATCTACCAAGCCTGCGGCATTCTTGGCGCAACAGTTATGCCGCACAGCTTATACCTGGGATCAGGTATTGTCCAACCCCGGCTGCGGGAGTTTGACGAGCAGCGTAGCCTTTTGCCTCGTGAGCTTGCATCGGGGTCCTCGTCCGCCGACGACGGCATCGACAAGGGCTACTACGTGCCGTCCTTGGGCGCAATCCAATACTCACTCAAGGTCTCGATTTTCGAGGTGGCAATCTCTCTGTTCACGTTTGCGCTCTTCGTCAACTCTGCCATCCTTATCGTCGCCGGTGCATCGTTGTACAACAACCCCGAAGCCCTTGACGCGGACATCTTCGGCATCCACGATCTGCTCTCCGCCTCCATTTCGCCTGCAGCTGGTACTATTTTTGCCTTGGCCTTGTTGCTCTCGGGAGTCTCGGCGGGTATCGTCTGCACCATTGCGGGACAGATGGTTAGCGAGGGCGCGTTGAATTGGAACATCCGCCCTTGGCTCCGCCGTCTGGTGACTCGAAGCATCAGTATCACCCCGAGCATTATCATTGCCGGGGCAGTAGGACGCCCAGGACTCAACGCCGCGCTCAATGGGTCACAAGTTGCCCTGAGTATCGTCCTGCCTTTTGTTACAGCACCGCTGATCTACTTTACCTGCCGTAACAAGTACATGACAGCTCAGCCTGGCAGAGCGCGGTGGCTGCTGGTCGGTAAGAACGACGACAACGAAGAGGCCGATGTGATCAGACGCACCGACCTCCCATTTTCGACTACGAGTGGGGGTATTAAGATGGCCAATTCATGGTACACGACGATTTTCGCAATTCTGGTGTGGCTATTCATCGCAGTTATGAATGTGGCTAATCTGGCATTTCTGGGGAAGGATTAGTGGGACTGGCGTCGAAGGTGCTCGGTGAGGAGCAGCTACGACCTTTGCTGATGTTTTGATTTCATGTTTCGTTTCGCGTTGTTGATTTTTTTTCTCCTGGATGTCCAATCGTCCTGTAACATTCCTCGGCTGCAGCTGGCTTGTTTGTTACTTGACAAGTAATCTATGTAGGCGGGCGGCGATGTTGGGCTCCAGATTTGATTTACAGGCAAAGAGAAGACGGAGAATGTTCAACACAAGAGTTACAAGGTAGCTTCAACAGCCCTTAGATAAAACCTTTAGCATACATTAGAAAGACTGTCCGCTCATTCGTCATGTATAATTCCGTCGCTTGAGGGGTTGAGATTTAGGAGTGGACGTATGTGGATAGGCAAAAACATACCCCAGCATCACCTCCCCAACAAAACAAACATGTCGAGACCAATTGCCAACACCAACCCGTGTGCTGAAGTGTGTGAGGGTTTCGGCTTCAACAAAATACTACGAGATGGAGGACCAATAGAAGTTCGATGAGCGTAAGAATGATGCGAATGGTTACCAGCGCAAATCTTAAGCTTATTAATCACTGTTACACTAGTATAGCTCTTTCTATTATACTTGAACTAAAATACTACGCTATCTCGAGGTCCTAAATAACACTTTAAAAATCCCAGCCGCACTGAGGTGAGGCGTAAAAGAAAACGCGCTATTTAATACAAGGTAAATCTTCACACCCCAGATCTATTTCAAGAGTCTGCAGTTATCTTATCTCCTCTATTTGAGCTGCTAGAGCTGCTGAAGGAGGCTCGGCGTCAGGCTGCACAAGTCATCCAGGGGCGGAGGGTTTAGTTGAAGATTGACAGGCGAAGGTTTTAGGGGGCGGTCATCATATCTCAAGGCCATCTTACTTCAATTCACTTCGTTGAGCAACACAATGTTCCCTTTATGAACCGACGCATGAGAACTATAAAACATGCGAGGCGGATTCCCTTCACTAGCACACTTCTTTATCCTACATAATCAGGATTGGAGTGTCAGATGTCATGATTTCGGTCCATCTCCGGATTGGTTGCAAAGCCCACACAGTCTCCAAAGCCTTCAAGCCGGCAGTGATACTCCTGAACCGAGTATACTTGTATAGCGCACTCAAGCGCTGCGTGAAAAACTCCCGGTGCTCTGGCAGAATACTCTCCGCAGCCGCAATGAAATACGTCCATACAAGCGCATGAGCACCTTTGGTGTCGGAATCTATCCACAGCACCTTCTGTTTTAGCTGCTCTACAAGATGAATGGATTCATCTTGAGAGAGAGATGATTCAACTCGGCGGCGGTAAATACCGCAGGCATCCCAGATAGCACCTCGTATAAGCTCGATGTTGTTGTAATCTTCTGAGCCCGGAATAAGGCCAGGATAGGACATAAACTCGAGGTAGTGATCTGGCGGCCCAGTAAGGAGTTGAACTCCTTTAGCTTCGTTTGAAAGTGGCAATCCAAATAGCTGGAACATTTTGACCTGCTGCCAGAAGAACTGTCGGAGCTCTAGTGGCAATGCCATCACAGTCTCGGGGCATTGAGTCAAGCATGCCAGCATCTCCAGGAGATAACCATAGTTGTCGGCCCCTGTAATGGTTTCTCCGACCAGGAGTACTAGGATTGTAGCCAAGGTGAATGGCCCAAACACCTGGCCTGGTTTTAGATGAGAATCACGTCGCAATTTCTCGACGATAGCGTGATGACCAGCCTCGGCCGCATCGCGGAGTTCGGGCGCCTTTTCAGCTAGATGGAACGCGGCGACGACAGACACTGCTCGACTGAGTACCCCATCTTGGCGTGCGAGAGGTAGGATAATGTCTCGATAGCCATTGCTTATAGAGTCAAAAACAACCATAATCGGAGCGACACATTCGGCGACTGGAAGATATGTCAATGAGCATGTTCCTAAAACACGGAATGAGCAACACTCACAGTGGCTGAAAAGCGCCCGTGCCTGCGGGTGTAAAGAGTCATCCAATGCCAGTTGGAGAGGCGCATGGTTACGATAGATGACGATTTCTCCAGAGTTTTCGGGCTCGTCATGGGTTGTGCTGGAACAAGTCTCAGATCCCGGACTCGCGCTGCTAGCTTCAGACCTGCGGCGGGGATTTACAGCACGAGGTCTCCTTAGCCTGTCTCCCGCATCAACCCAGCGATAACTGTTTCGAGTCCCAGCAGAGGCTGTTGATATTGAGCTTGGAGCGGCTGCGGAGTTCGTGATCTGAAAAGACGAGGGAGTTGAAACAACGTCCTGGGGCTTTTGTGCTGGTTGGGACCTCGCAGGCGCCATGTGACCACTGAACCGACAGCGAAGACCCTGGCCAGAGCAGCTAATTCCCTTCTTCAGGCACTTGAGACATTCTGGTTCCGTCTTGTCGCATTTGAGGCGCCTCTTGCAGCATTCGTAGCATCCTTTCACAAATCTGTGTCAGTCTACTACACACAATCCAGCTGCCAGGCCATGACATGAGCGGCCTTGGGATGGTGAGGAAGCAAGGTACCATTGTTTCTGCGAGCCAAGGACATGACAACTAAATCCCACTAGACTGGGTCCCGGCTGATGCAGACCGACGTGGTTGAAGGTGTTATCAGTTCAAGAGCATGCGAATCGATTTCGGCGCCGAGAATGGTTTGGTCGGTGCTTGGAACCTGGGGAACGCCAGTGGTCTCTCCAGCAGCTTGAGAGCAAACAACGATGAAATACAGGCCGGAGAGCTGGGACTAATAAGCCCCACAATGCAGTATGTAAATTACGCACGCATGATAATACGTACGCCCGTGATAACGAAGCGATTGCCTGGTAACAGTGCAGGCTGTTAGTGAGAGTATTCTACCTGGATCTAGACAAGTGTCCGTGCTAATATTTAGCGCACCCCGCTAAGTTTTTGGTTGTGTTGGCCACCCTGAACTCAGATTTCAGATTCCGATGAACATGATTCAGAAGATATGCTCAATGCTTCAATTTCGTCTTTACTTCTGTGGTCAAATAGCAGGATATGGTGGCTTAATAAAATTTCTGTCCTATGTACACGAATCTACAAATACCATCTACACCAATTTTGCCTTCAGAGCGGGCTGCAGTAGAGAATTACGAACTGCAATCGCCGCTCGTGTCCCCTCCTCAATCGCGCCATCGATAAAACTTCGCCACCCCAAAGCCCAGTCTGAACTGGCAAAGAAAATATTGCCTTGGCCAGCTCGCATATCGCCCAGATGGTTGGAAAGCAAGCCAGGGCCCGAGAAGAACCTGTCGCATGTCAGTTTGGAACAAGCAGCTTTCTGTGAGATGATTCTTACCATGCTCCCTTTGCAAACTCGTCCTTCGACCAATTGTGGAAAACCTACGCTAGTTAGAACTGTCTGTGTCACTTCATGATCCAAAATTAAACTCACTATTCGTTGAATATCCATAGGAACAAGCCCTTGAAGGGCTTTGATCGTCACCTGAATGTCTTCCTCAGGGTGGAAATGATTGTGTTGCCCTCCGAAGCCAACGATATGAGTGTTCCCCGCCGGTGTGGTTCCATCACCAAGCGCGTAATACAGTCCATTGTGGGGGTAGCTGATGCCCGTGTATGAGCGCAGTTCTGTGTTGCGGACTTCGGCATGGACTTTGATGCATTGGTTCACATGGCCAATATCTGCAGCCGTCTTCTTACCCCGTATCAAGGGCGGGCTGAACTCCACAGCATTCAACACGTTCAGAGGCATAGCACTAATGGCTTTGGAAGCCCTGTATGTCTGACCGCCCCGGGTGGTAACCGAAATACCGTCTTTGGTGTCAGTTACCCTTGCGACTGGAGAATTGAAGACGTAGGTCAAATTGCCAGTGGCCAAAGCCTCGCGAAAGAACTTGATGGCGAAGCTGGACTGGCCGCCACGGAACTTGTATTTCACAAGGTACCGGATGCATCCGTCGTACGAGTATTCGCACAGCGCCCACCAGTGCAGGAACTCGAGGAAGCTGGTAGTCTCGAGCGTGCCTCCGCTGCAAAGAAGGACGAATGCCTCGATGCCGAGACGCTCATTCGGCGTGAGCGAGTCTTTGATCTCGACTAGGCGGGCGGCAACTGAGACTTTGTCGTATTGCAACGCCTCTGGCGTGAAAGCCGCGCTATGAGGAAAGGGAATGACCGTTTTGCCGAACTCGCCATCGACGTTGACCAGTTTGCGGAGTCCAGATTCCATAATGGCATCCTGCGCGAACAGATCAGATTAGAAGGGTTGAACAAATAGACAGGGTTCATCACCAACCTCCTCATCATGGCTGAGTGTCTGTGTTCCTTCAGCGCTCGCCAGAAGGAATTTATTGATCCCCCTGGAGAAGTCATACGAGATTTCCAGCTCATCCTGCATCTGGTAGCGCATGATCTCGCGCCAGACGTTTGGCTGGCCCCAGTACACCCAGGTGCCACCCATCTCAAATGGGTAGCCGCCAATGTTGGATGACCAAGAACGTCCGCCGATGCGATCGCGGCCTTCCAGGAGAAGAACCTTTAATCCTAAAAGTGGTGAGCTCGTCAGTAGAGCGCAATCGAAACGGAGATGATGACAGTACCAGCCAAAGAAGCATCACGGGCTGCTGTGAGGCCGCAGTACCCAGCACCAACAACGACGACGTCGAAAATCTGAGGTGTCGTGCTGTTGACATTGGTTGGCGGCTGAATGGCTCCGATACATGGGACACCGGCCTTGAGGCCTTGGTCCTGGGTCCAAGTGTAGCCGTCTCTGGAAGCCATTTTTTGAGGGGGATTTGTTTTCAGCGTTCGGCTAAATGATGACTGAATCTTGACTGCGTTGATCGAGGAGGCGAAAGCCGAGGAACCTACCCTTTTGTAACCCGGACAATCCAACAATAGCAGGGGCAAAGCATATACCTATCAGGATGGAAAAGATAGCCGAGGATGAAGATTCGCCCCAATACTCCTTTAGGGAATTTCTCGAGCGCGAGGAGCTCGGGAGATGCTGACCAGCCGTCTAGATAGATGTCAACGCATCTCTTCAATCTGTGGGATTTTTCTCTCGAAATTCCCATATTCGGCAAGTCAATAATTGCGTCCCATTTGCGCTACTGCACCCCGCATTATCGCGCGGATCTCGGCCAAGAAATGGCGCGTGGAGTTTTCTCGCAAAATTACTTGATTCAGGTAAGACTGCTTTGGCGCCGTATCAGGTGCCATACGTCAAAACGCCACCCACGCATCAGCAACGTGATAAAGGCGGACGTATCTGAGCTGAGAGACTAATGATGGATCTAGATGCCAAGTTATCAATGTCGAACCTCCGGGAAAGCGAAGGTTGTCGTGTTCGGTACCGCAGGCGACGCCCATCACACAGATGACTGATAAGCAGGTGTGTTTCGGTGTCCCTGCACATTGGTCGCGCAGCATAAAATAACAACGGCACCCCAAGTTTGTTCTAAGAGTAGACCCTCTACAAACTCCTTTCTCTTCATCAACATGTCGGCCGGTACTACGTCGAATAGCAACGAGGGCCACCTCCAGCCACGGCTGTCGGGGTTGACCATGGTTGCAATGGCCTTTGCCATTCTGAAGTACGTCAAAGCCGAGGAATCCGACACCTCACAACACTGACCCGATGTCTCTAGCACATGGATTGCTCTTGCAGGATCAATCGGGCTTATCCTGCCGTCTGGAGGCGCCGTATCGCTGTTGTACGGGTTCCTCTTCTGCGTGTTGTGCAACTTTGCACTCACCGCCAGCCTGGGCGAGATGGCCGCCATCTGGCCAACCTCTGGTGGCCAATACCACTTCGTCTATGCTCTGTGCACGGATAGGTGGAATCGATTGATGGTACAGTGGTCCTATGCATATTGCTAATGGTTGACTGACATCTCGACGTAGAGCTTCTGGGTCGGCTGGACCAACATTGCCGGCTGGTTGGTTGTGGTCACAGTCCAGGCCTTTTTCGCAGGTACGTCCAACGCACAACTTCTCTATCCATACTAAACGAATCACAGCTCAATTCGTCTGCGCCGCCGCCGTTGTGGCTTCGAACGAGAGATATACAATCACGGCATGGAGCACTTATCTCATCTTCTTGGCCATCATCGTCTTCTCCACTGTGGGTAATATCTGGGGCAACAGAATACTGGGACGATGGAACGACCTGGCTTGTGAGCAGTCCCTTGGCTCGACCATCTATGTACTTGCTAACCCGACATAGTGCTCTGGTCAATCCTCGGTGTTGTAATCATCGGCATTGTGCTCCTCGCCATGTCGGAAAAGACCGATGCGACTTACGTCTTTACCGACTTTAACAACGAAACCGGTTGGTCCGACGGCATGGCTTGGATCCTTGGTCTACTTCAGTCGGCGCTGTCACTCATCGGGTTCGATGTTGTTCTGCACATGGCTGAAGAGATGCCTAACCCTGCGCGAGACGCACCCCGAGCTATGATCTATGCCATCGCTGTAGGAGGGGTCACGTAAGAGTCTCACACCAGATAGAGTTCCGAAATATGCTAACCATCGCAGTGGTACTGCCTTCATCTTGATCATCCTGTTCTGCCTCGTGGACCCCACAGCCATCGTTTCGTCACCTACTGGAATGCCTATCGTCGAACTCATCCACCGAGCGACAGGGAGTCGCGCAGCAGCGACTATATTGACATTGATGCTGGGTATTTGTTTCATCAACGGCACCAATGCAAGCATGACGAGCGCCAGTCGACTTTTGTACGCGATGGCACGAGACAAGGGTATCGTTTTCCACCAGTACTTCTCGCATATCCACCCCAGTCTCAATGTCCCAGTGCGCACTATTCTTGTCTGCTTCTTCTTCAACGTCGCATTTGGCCTGCTCTACTTAGGTCCGACTGTCGCCTTTAGTGCTTATGTGGCATCATGCACGATCCTTTTGAACGTATCATACGCCTTCCCCATCATCACGCTTCTCATCAGAGGCAGAAAGATCCTGGAGCAGCACCAAACAAATGAAACACCCTTCAAGCTTGGTAAATGGGGCTATGCCATCAACTGGACTGCCGCCCTGTTCGTGGTTGTGACCTCAGTCGTGAGTGAATTAAATTCCCGTCTCGAATATTTCCTCCTAACCTCGAATTAGTTTTTCTGCTTTCCTGCTAGTCTCCCAGTCTCGGGAAACACAATGAGTACGTTTCCAGTGCAAATTCCAACTTCATTTGATACTGACATTGCCTAAATTATGTCTCCGCCGTGATTGGGATCTTCTTCCTCGTGATCGGAATCTACTGGCTCATCTATGGACACAGGTTTGAAGGCCCGGTAGGTGGACCAAAAGTTTCTCCCCAACACCTGACTCATGCTGATATGCTGTACAGAAATTCGACGTTATTCTTGGGGAGCAGGCGGACAATGCAACGGCTAGAAGCCATTCTCTAACGGTATCCCTCAACGAAAAGGAGGTGGCAGCGAGGGATGATAACGTATGACGGGTTTGGAAAGTCTAGGTCGTTGAAAATGGACCGATAAGGAATTGAGAATGTTATCGTAGTTTTATACCTTAATGGCCTTATAAGGGTTTATTCTTCTCTGACGACCGTTGGGAAATGTAAATATCGCAATCAAGAGTGCCCAGCTGCACCAGCAAAGGTGCGCCTTCTCCTTTGTTCGTCGGCCGGTAAGCGATGGACTGTTATCGGCCTTGGGGTGTTAGTGTGCGCTGAAAGGCTTACGCGTCACTTTTAACTATGTTTTTAAGACCTGAGTGAATTTCGTACTCTAGCCAATCATGTAATATCATCCCAGGCCCTTGAAGCATGGTGAAGTGCAGCCGACTCCCTTTGACGCAGTCTACAGTATCTTGGGCGGATCGGTCTGAGGCTTTGACGCCGATGGGCTAGCCTAAACCGGAAATTCATTCAATTTGCAAGGTTCTTCTGTCCACAATCGTCACAATCTCGGGACGGTCATTCCAAGATCCGTCCCGATATTGAGCTAGTGAACGTGGGCCCTCTGTCAGACGGCGCCCATAACCTCCGACCTCCGCCCATTTACAGCAGTCCAGCTTGAGTAGGGGGCTGTGCAAGCCAACTTCAAGCAAGCAGATTTCGAACATGATGTCGCAGTCTGACAGGGCTGCCATCGTCATACCATCCAGCCCTAGCAAATGCGCAGATTATGTGGCCAGTGGAGCCCACAAGTTCAAGGTTGAATGGGCGAAGCAAGATGTGGCGGCCGCAGAGTTTGGCATGTCGGCATTTAAACCGCCGTGAAGGTCAGGAGTCGAATCTGTATATATTGCCTGACCGACTGCGTCTTTTAAGAATCGTTCCATAGATACCTATCCCACCCAATACGATATCGACCCTCAGCATGGCGGAAACCAAGTCCTATTATCTCTACGATCCGTCCGAGGCGCTCGCCGGAGTTGTTGCCGGCCTGTACGCTCTCAGCTTTCTCATCACACTCTTCCAGACAATACGCAAGAGATCATGGGTTTGGTTGGTAATGGTACTCGGCATCGGAAGTGGGTAACAAGTTCCTTTCTTGCCAGCAGTAGCTAACTATTCGCAGTGGAAGTGATTGGCTACGCGGCACGAGTTGTGTCGGCAAAGAATCCAACAAATAAAACGCCTTATGTCCTCCAATTCACACTCGTCATCTTAGCGCCGGTTATGATGGCCGGTGTTATCTACGTTATCTTCTCGAGGATCGTGTTCTGGGTTGTGCCCCCCGAGTCTAGGACGCTTCGGATTCTCTGGGTTCCCCGTAAGTTTCGAAACCCTCCCGCAAATCGACCCAATACTTACCTCTCCACTACCAGCACGCTTCATCACAGTCATCTTCGTTGGCTTCGATGTTGTAGCACTGCTGCTCCAGCTGGTGGCCGCCGTGCTCGTCTCAGGAACCGACCCGACCGACGCGAACGCAAAGGACAAGATTAATTTGGGCAAAGATCTCGGTCTTGCCGGCGTGAGCATTCAGATCACTGGCTTTGGTCTCTTTACCATAGCTGCTATTCGATTCCACTTTACCTCGAAGCGGCTCGATGGACAGTTCGCCAGAATGAACCAGGCCAAGCATGACATCCAACGACACTGGTCAAAGCTCTTGTTTGCTGTGAACGGGTCGTGTTTCTTGATTCTGGTTTGCTCAGCCCATCTTATTTTACGCCATATATGCTAACGAGGAATACAGATTCGTTCCGTCTTCCGTGAAGTCGAGTTTGCCGAAGGCAAGCAAGGTGGAACCCAACAAGAAGAGTGGTAGTATGTGCCCACACCTCTGAGCATGTTCACTGTGGCAAAAAGAACAAAGCTAACCCATTTGGCAACCAGTCTCTACGTCTTCGATACGCTCCCAATCCTGATAGTGGTTATTCTATACAACATCTGGTTTCCAGGCAACTACCTGAAGCACCTTTCCTTCCGATTGCCGAAGGAGCATCGACAAATAGCCCCGAATCAGGATGCAGTTAGTCTGCAGCAAGTATAGGCCGAATACCGAAGCTGCATGAGTCTTCTGTTTACCATTGCACCTTTTATAAAATGTTCCTGGACCTGTTAATTCGTCTTGTATTTGTTCTCTATTATCTATATCCCTTTGTTGCACGCATCTTATAGAAACCCATTGATTATACACGATGTCTATTTGACAATCACATTCTAAAATATTACAACATGCTCGTCTGAATGGCAACGTTTTCGAAAAGTTTACGCCCGGCGGTCAAGAAGGGGAACCTCTGGCACATATTTCGCACCCGCGCCATCCGTGTTATCGTCAGCTCGTTGACTCTTAGCTGCGCCACTGTTTGAGCCTCGTCCCTGAGCAAAGCACACCTCCACCTCAGGCCATCGCTCTGGTTCAAGGTAGAACTTGTCTCGTTTGACCATTGTCAACATGCCAACAAAGTCAAATGGGTCCAAAACAAACATGAACCAAGGCCGGTTGTGAATCCAGCCAGGACCCATACGCTCGGTCTTGCCATCAAAGTCCAAATACTGCTTGGGGTCGTTGGGGATAAATCTTCCCGGGTGAATAATGTTGAGCCAGTAGGTGTAGAGTAAAACTGGTAACGTCTCGAACACGTAGAGTGGCCACTCATGTTTGAGAAGCAGACCACTCTTGTCGCCGCCTCCGCTCACCAAGGATCGGAGCTGGAAGGTCTCGACGGCTCGGAAGACGCAGCGTATGGTGATGAGAATCGATGTGCCGTAAAGCATGATGAACATGGTACGTACGTTCCGAGGCAGCATCTTGGAACGCACGCAACGGTGATGTAGAATGCCGGTCATGGTTATGAAACCGAGTTCCACCACACCCTGAAGAACCACAGCGACGGCCATTAATGTAGCTCCATCTTTCATGAGCGCTACATCATCCTTGCCTTGCGCAGCTGCCATCCAAGAGCCACCAATGGCCGTGAGCATCTCCACAATAGAGCCTAAAAAGACAAAGATGTAGACGATTCGGTTCGGGTTGATGAAGGCATGCATTGGCAAGTAATGCATCAATCGACCGAGAGTGTTGTACTCGGCCGCAGAGTAGATGGGAGGACCGAGGTAGATGAAGATGCTCTGGATCATGAAGAGGGCCAGATTTCCGGGGTACTGGATCGAAATGCACCGCACTACCCATCCGATGGTGTAGAAGAGGCCAGCGTAGAACATAAAGAAGGTAACCCTCCAAAATTTGTAGTGTCTATAGTAGCACCAGAGTTAGAAGGCATAAATGGATCGAATTCAGACGCGACTCACTGGTTCTGATAGGTATGGCCCAGCAGAGATATGCCAATCAGCGCGGCTGTGATGGCCGGGAGTATTTTGTTGGCATCATAGCCAAATAAATTGTCGATTGTTGCCATATTCGAATGAATTCTGTGGCTAAAATCAAGGAACGGTCAAGAGGCCTGGTGTTTCTGGAACCACTGTCTGTCTGAACTACATGCCAGGAACATGGCCATGGGCATCGGTATTTATATCTCATGGACTCTCTCTCCTCTCTCCCATGAACAGCTGCCTCTTGGGCGAAGCGCTGAGCACTGTGGCATGGCCACACATCTGCCTTACAGCGGTCCATCTCGACACAATCGGTTAGAGCGAGGAGCAGCATGTGGACGCAGCGTACCAACAGGATCCACCAACATGCCGTATAGAATACGACAGGGATCACAACTGCGCTGTGTCATCTTCTGAGCGGCACATCTCGCTAGAAGAAGCTAGCGTCGCAGGGCGGTGATTTAAACACCGCCACGCAACCGACAATTCTGAGGCATCTTCAGTACCAATTGAGCAATATGATACGCTGTCAAATATCTCGCTTCCCTTTGTTATCTTTAGAGGCAATCTCATTGCGAGCCCTGGTTTTGTGATCGTACGAAAATACTGTAACCCTTGGCGTTTTGCATTTCTACTAGGTCATGATAATTTTCAAATGTTGTGGGAGAAGATTCTGTAAAAAGTGTTCCCTCAACCTTCATCTTGGAATACAGGCCAGGCAATTTAAAAAAAAATCGATTTAGCTTGGACGAAATTTTGGCCTAGTTTGGCACTGGCGAACAATTCGAATAGTCAAAAGTGGTACGTTAAGTTGTGCTTACACAAGCTTCCTCATCAGCCCATTTACCCTAGAGTTTTCCACTTCAGAAAAAACAATACAGTCAGTCAAATTGAGCTTCCTTCGTTTTCATGGTGATAAATGCAGGGGCCCGTCGAATATAATGCGTGACAGGATAGCCTGGCGTGAGCAAATCATGCGTGATAGATTGGTTATTGAGGGTGATCCAAATGAATCAGCCCAGAAATGAACCTGGGCAGTGAGACAAGGAGGGATATATAAAGGGTTTTTAGGGGCGCGTAGATCAAGGCACGGCAGAGAAATGATGGGTTCGATAACTAGACTATTTTATGTATATCTTCCTGTCGACTGATCAGAAACTTCTTAATCGTAGCTCCATATTCCCCTGTAAATACCCGTAGTAGCATCCGTTGCTCTTCGGATACCTCACCCGATCCCTCCACCGTACGTAGGTATGCAAGCGCCATACCAACCGGGAAAGTCAACATATTAATCACGAAGCCGCCCGCATTGCGCACCAAAAAGTACGGAAGAAGACGCGCCATCTTCCGACAGTATACGCGCGGGTTCATTCGGTTAGAAATGATCGTAGTCTCCGTGGCCGCCGTGACTGAAAGCAGAACAGGATATAAAAGTATGCAAGTTACCCAGTAGATAATGCCAAGGTGGGCCATGGACAGCTCTTCGTTTGAAGGGGTTTGATCCTCCAAATTTCCTTCGGCCAGTTTCATGGCTATCAAGTCCATGATGGGGCGTCCTATACCTGATTCCCAGGCTTGTAGCTCCTTGTCGTATGCCCAACATCGAGATGATAGTTCAGCCCGTCGTTTTTCTCGTTCATTTGCATCAATGCACAGCTTCATCGTATCAAATTCAGCAAAGACCCCTGGAATGTCCACAAGAATATCCAGAAGGACATCCTTGGGATCCTTCGGTAACTCAATCCATGGAATCTCCTTCCATGCTGGTTGGCTCAAGAACGATGGTCGACGAAGTTGAATATCATTAATTATCTACTATTATCAGTATGTCGAGGATTGAGAAGTATTTTGATCGCTTACCTGATGTAACCGGCCGTCCACAAAAACTCGATGGGAATTTCCTCTGACATACGAGAGTGGTTCTCTCGACACTATAAGTGCTATATCTCCTGAAGTATGGGCACTCCATCTTTGAGATTGCGCTGAGTGATCAGCCTCATCAGCTCCAAAACATAGCTTTGGATTATCAGCAATCGTCCTCTTCTGGACCAAAGTCTTAACTCACCTCAAACTGGCTTAGCAACCTCGAAGCCATGAGCAGCTCGTTACTCCTCATCTTGATGGGATCTCTCAGCGTCCTAGCTACCTCCCCTAAAGCCAGCCCATATATTCGCAGACTTTCCTCCATCATCCACTGTTGTCCATCTCTTAGACCAACAAGCGCCATACAATTGGCCATCAATGCCATATGAAGCGGTTTGTCTTGCTGATGGAGGCCCTGCACTACATTCGTCCAGCCCGCCGTCGAGTATCTGGCTGCCTCCTCAGAGAAAGACCGCCCATTCGGGAGATATGTGCCCCAATAAAGCCCCAGGAATTTGTCTCCATAGGCAGATCGTGTGAGCGACTCCGGTAATGTGGTGATTGTTGGTCGGTCGCTAACTCCAACGCGGATCAAGGATGGTTGGAACAATCTCTGAGTGTCCCACTGGAGGAGCTTTTGTTGAGCCACAGCTGGTGTGCTATTGACAAAAACACGGTGCCTTTCATAGCCACCACATTCAATAACCGCTCGCCGGCATTGACCACATGCTGGCCGCTGAAGATCGCACTACGTCCCGTTAGCCTAGCCACATCGATGTCGGGTATGGGGATTTGGCCAGGGCTGAACACGGTTGCGGTTGGCCTACATGAGCTGCTATTGCTTACCCCTTTCTTCCGTCTACGGCAAGTGAGACAACCTTTTGACCGTCCTGGAACTCCAACCATTTCGAGCACTCCGCAATCCCATAGACGTCAACGCTCTTGTGGTGCGTGAATGTCTTCGATTATATTCCTCCCCCGCCCGCAACAGGATTAGGATAGGCACCACGGAAGAATGTCGGATCCAAAACATGCTGGGATTGTGGCGAGGAACGGGCATGATCATACACAGACTAAATTAGCCCTTACCTTCCTTAGCGAGCCGTTGCCAACTTAAAAATGAGGCACTTACTCCCACGCTTGATGCTGCTGTGAACCAGGACGATTATGCCAGCTCAAGACAGCAATAAACCATGTTTATGTTGGTCTATAGGCAGTAAATCATTGATAGTGATCATATCCTCTGTATTACTCAGGCTCTAATCCGGTTGAACATCGGAATCGGGAAGCGCGGCATGCCATATTTACATGTGGTTCGCATGGAATCACTGCAGGTCGCGCGCAATGCTTCCAGGATAAGCTTAGTTCCTGTCAGATGTTAGCGCATCCTTCATCGCCCAACTCGATTATGAAACGAAAATCCACTTGACCAGTGGGATGATCAAAGAGTGAGCAGAACGCGTCAGAATGGAATCTCGTGGATTCGATCATGCCGAGCGTATGCAGCCGGCGCACATTGCTTCCCAGTTGGGCTGCTCGATGACATTGGATAGTGACGATGCGAAAACGTTGAAAGGTGGGTATAAATATGACCTCTCTGGAACGGTTTGATCAATTCAGACACATCATCCTGCCGTCCTACAAAGCTCTGTTTCCTCAGCATTTCATACCTGCTCTATTCATTTCTATCTACCTTAACCCAAATCAAGTCTGTCCCAGACGCACAGTCACATATCCCCAATATGATCCCCCTCAGCCCTGACCACTCCATCCACTACGAAATTCTTCGCAACATCGCCTCAGCCCGGTACCACGGCGCCGACATTGCCGAAGTTCTAGAGGCGGCTAGCCAAGTCGATCATACCAACCTAGAGACCTTCCATGATGCCTTCGCTGCCCTGGCCCGGCGCGTCGACACCCAAGCCCAAGCCATCGACTCTGTCCGGCACCCCGTCTCTGCCCGGGATGCCTTCTTTCGAGCGGCGACGTACTACCGTACTGCTGACTTTTACTTGCACGGAAATCCTTCAGACCCGAGGATTAATGAGTTGTGGGAGCTGCAGCAGGTTGCGTTTGACAAGGCGCTTGCGTTGATGGATATCCCCGGCAAGCGGACCACGCTTCAAGGCGACGGCTTCGACATCCCGGCTATTTTCTACGCAGCTGACAAGTCTTCAACTCCTAAACCAACCATCATCGTCGGTACCGGCTACGATGGAAGCCAAGAGGAGCTCCTTCATAATTTTGGCTTCGCGGCCTTGGAGCGCGGTCACAACGTCATCACCTATGAAGGCCCAGGCCAGCCACTTGTCCGCCGAAAGCAGAACCTTGGGTTCATCACGGATTGGGAAAAGGTTGTGACACCCTTGGTCGACTACCTCATCACGAGGCCGGATGTTGACGCATCCAAGATCGGCGCGATAGGTGCCAGCATGGGTGGATGGCTTGTGGCTCGAGCCGCAGCATTTGAGCACCGCATCGCAGCCGCGATAGCTGTCGATGGCGTGTACGACTTGCACGAAGCTTACAGCAAAGCCATGGCTTCACCTATGCTCGCAGCCTTGGAAGCAGGTGATGGCGATCAGGTAGACAAGATGGTCAGGGAGGCATTAGCAGGCGATGGGATCCCCGTGAGTCAACGCTGGGGCATCGAGCAGGGCTTGTGGAGCTTCAACGTCGACTCGGCGACGGAGTGGATGAACTTGGTAAAGCCGATGACGCTGAAGGGCATTGAGAATCAGATCCAGTGTCCGATCTGGGTCGGGGAGGCGCAGAATGACCAGTTCTTTTTGGGACAGCCGGAGAAAGTGCGAGATGCACTGGGCGACAAAGTCACGTACGTGACCCTCACGTCGGAAGACGCTGCTGGAAATCATTGCCATGTTGGTGCCCAGGTGTTGTTGAACCAGCTTGTGTTTGATTGGTTTGAGGATATCATCTCCAAGTAGGCGATGGCTGTGTATTTCAATAGGAAACAGGGTAAAAGTACATACACGACTAAGATATAGACACCTGTAGAACCCAATCGAATGCGCATGCATTGTTGTTGGTGCATCAAGGCGCATCGCAGTGCATATGAGGCGACCAACCAGAACGAGGTGGCTAACATGATAGGCAGCAAGCAACCAAAGAATGAGGCTGCAGGGCTAGGAAGTGCACATTGAAAAGCAATAAGGCTGCGAGAGGGGTAGCATTGGACTTGAAATATTTAAATAGCGCATGGTTCCTGACTATTGAACAAATTGTTACATCTTTCACAACCTATACCTGCCATACCTAGCAAGCGCAGATTCTGGACAATAGGATACACGAAGAAGCCAAGTCTCCACGCCTACAGCAGTTCAATATTTTACATCATTCTACCGAATCTCTCTCGCATTTGCATCTGAATTTGAGTTGTTACTCGATAAATGCCAACTTCCTCATACTGCGACCCAAGAACCAAACATGCCTAGCACTTCAACTGCCATCCGCCCGCCTTCTGGGGACCGGATTCAAGTCCACATTTTCATCGACAATTCTAACCTGTGGCTCCAAGGACAGAAAACATACGCGACAAGAAGAAACTTGAGGGTTGATTCCGACCCGACGTGGCGATGCAACATTCTTGGTCTGAAAGACGTCATCATGCAACAGTCTAGACTGCATGTTGACGAGGACACCGAAGGAACCGACGTCAAAATCAACCTGTATGGATCCACGCCTCACCCTGTTGAGACAGTTTTGAGCGGGATTGAATCAAAAGACATCAATGTCATTACCTCTCGACGAAGCTCGTGGACTGGGCGCGAGAAAGAAGTAGACGCCAAAATCATCACCGACATTGTGGACCAAGCAGCGGAAGCCTATTATAAAAATATTCGAAGCGAGTTTGTCTTGGTGTCCGGCGACAGAGACATGCATTTTCCAGTGGAGAAGGTTGCCACGAAGTACGGGCTTCCGGTGCATGTGTGGTCGTGGGTGAACGGCCTCTCTGGGGCGTATCTGCAAGAGAACGATTCCCTCATTCAGGTGTATACCCTTGACGACTACCTCGAGGAAATCGGCTACTGCGAATCCACGTTCCACGTCGACCGGAACGTGATCAACCCCCGCAGCATTGTGGTCCTCGATCCGTTGCCAAAGGCCAACGATATCGAAAATTTTCTTGCCGGTTGGAGGGTTCCCACCCTTCGCTACGAATTCGCAGACACGCGAGCCGATGCGTCCAGCGGAGACCTCGCCATTATACCCGCTGCGGCCTGGAAGATGACAGATGACGAGCTGGATTACCTCTTCCAGGCGGCCAAGACACATCTTGAGACTCATGGACTGCGTGTTATCGCCTATGCCGAGTACTTTCAACATCATATCAAGGGTTCCAACGCTGAACTCGTCATCTCAAACCGATTCCATGAGTTGCCCCAAGAACACTGCAAGGGAGGAGAAAGCAGCGGAGACAACGAGAAAGACGACAGCGAAGATAGCTTCACCACCGTGGATCGCTATTCTCGACAAAAGAAAAGACGAATACAAAATGACGAGCGAAAGTCGCGTAAACAATGCATTTGGGGAAAGTACTGCAAGAAAGGCCGCGACTGTAAGTATGGCCACACCAAAAATGAGGAGGACATGTTCAAGGTCTACGGTCCGTTGCCAGTGAGGAAATTCAAGTACTGTCAGAGGGATGACTGCATTCGAGGGGCTGCATGCACCTTTGCGCACGACGAGGCAGAATTGCTGTGTCCTACTTGTGGCGAGACAGGGGTCGGGCATGAAATGACCAATTGTCCCAGGAGTCCCCGCAACAAATATCGTAGGTAATTCTATAAGCAACTCAAGGCATTGAGTGAAATACAATGATTAATTTGGATGATTTAACTAAATCTCAATGGTGTTGTGAGGGCTGGACTGAAATCAGGGCAAGGCAGGCTCAATAGACCAACGGCACTCGTTTCTGGCTATGATGCCTTTCCTACCTGCAATCGATCAAATGATCCTGCCCTCGTATTTGTGAAACATGGAAGCCAACTCGTCTAGCCACTTTCTGACAACCTGATAACCATGCTGATCATGAGGGATTTTACAGCAGCTCGATGCTGGTCTTGACCGCCAGCAAGACCAGGCTGGTGAGACAGGCCTAGATCTGCTCCAGTGACAGTGTGTGACACTCGAACTAGACCCAGACTCAGTATAGTAAGCGGGTTATTGAAAAAGCCATAGAGACTTGCTATTGTACGGTGAATGTTGGCTGCTGATGGGCTTATTGTCTCACCTGCTGTGACACTGACTGCTTACCAGGCTATGTACACCGCAGCCCATCTAGCCGAGGATACCTACAAATTCATTCGACGACGTGCAAGCCACCGCCAGCTGAGAGAAAATGTCTTGTCCAGAAGACCTCGTGACGTCCGCAGTGGCAGTGCCCAGACACCACCAAACCCGATTACGGTCGAGTTCTGTCTCCCGCATTCAGCTGAGCTCAAGCTAGGAACCTTGAGGGTAAGCGTAGTATGCTCATTGGACATGCCCATCAGCTCAAGCTCACGGACATGCAACTGCGTGACAACACCAGCTCACGATTGGTCGCCTAATTACGTCCTGCTCTTCCCCGCAACTCGAAATCCCAAAGGCTTGAGGCCCTGCTGTGGCAGTTCGGGCGAAGCAGACTTGTGGGCTGTGTCAATGGGGGTTTTTTATTGCTCCGTTCGGAGAGTATTGCGGCTATTTTTACAATATCTTGATTTCTTAGCTTCAACATGGCCGGAAAACGCCTTGGACCAGACGCCACTTCGTGGGCTGAGCATCGTCCTGCGTGTCGTGATGTGCAATTTGGCTTTGGCTTCGAATACATAGAGAGGCTCGAGTCCGATAGAATTGGAATTTTCCCTCATCACAACTCACTCACAGCCATCTGAGCTCAATTGGAGATCTACAGCACTCAACCACCTCTCACCTCAGCTTCAACCTCTCGTTCAGTCACTCTCCCACTTCAAAATGCTCTTCCAAACCCTCCTCGCGACGGCCTTTGCCTCCGCTTCTGTTCTCGCAGCCCCGCTTGAGGCTCGGGATGACCCCTCGTTTGGCCCTTCTGCCATCTGGAAGTACTCTGTTAGCAACGGCGCCATCTCCACGACTACCTTTGGCGAGGTGTCCAAGGACACTAGCAATGGCGGCAACGACATCACCACCCTCGTGACATTCACCTATCCCACAGAAGCCGAGGGCATGCAATGCCAATTCGCCTTCTCCCTCGATAGCTCAGCCGTGGTTTCTGGTAGCCAGAAGCTCGACGTCTTTACCAGCAACAGCCCGGCTCCGGGACCTACTACCGGCTGGGGCCCCGGAAACCAGCGCAACATCCATCTGGGTCGCATCTCAGTTTCTGCCCCAGGTGATGCCACCTGGGATGCTACCTACAACTCATACCTGACCGCGAAGACGCCCTGCAAGGCCGAGGGTACCGTCGAGGGTTTTGAGCTGGTTGGGGTCTACGACAACGACTATGTCTCCTGGGACCCTGATTTCGCCGGCCCCCGCATCATCTACACTTCTTGATTTTTTTGGAGATGGATGTGAGGGATTCTTTTTCATTTCGTTTCACTCTTTAGCCTATTTGGGATCACTTTTGCTTTGCCAGGAGAAATAAGTCGAACGGGGCGTCGGATCATTTGAGGTATTCACTACTACGGTCCTTTTATTACGCAGATCATTCCATGTCTAGTCATTGCATCCTACGAGGAAGTTAAGACATAAACAAAGGATTTTGGTATCACCATAACAACTTGTCCTAATTGTGTACCACCCGTAGCTTCTAGAGGGTAGCTCCCTGGTTGATTGTAGGATCACAACCGTATTTGATTGCTTCTTCTGCCGGGACCTGACTCATCTATTCCAGTCCACAAGACATTACTGAAACACACGCTTCGGAATGACTACAGCGGGCGTAAACTTGTCTTCCCCAAACATTAAAACCACCAACACAGCTCTTGCACTCAAAGCCAAGCCCACACCATGGACCACAACCAGGGCTAACACGCAAGCAACTCGTCATCATTATTTCCATCATCGACTTTGAAACTTTGTTCACCCTTCCTCGGTGCTACATTCAAGGCCTTCGTTCCACCTCACCGCCGAGATCATAACCACGGTATTTTCTTACTGGACCAACTGCAAGATCAAGAGTTTTCGATTGAGATGTCGAGTATTTTACGGCCATGCACGGTCTTAATAGTAGAGGTACAAGTGATTCAATTCAAATGGCACCAACCATCCTGATCTGAACCAATATCTGACCTGGTAGCTACCAAGTGGGGAGTCATGGAAGTACTAACAAGCGACTGTACGGCAACAGAATGAGGCATTGTGCCTCATGCATATCTTGAACTCCTACGGGATGGATAGAGAGGTTCCCGTCACTTTTGAAGACTATCGCGCCACTCTTGCCCGAGGGACACCTCTTGAATCCGTAATATAATGGACCTTTGATCCAAAAACCTCCCAGAAGGATGCAACCACCCAGCTCCATGCACCTGGTTCATCCCGGATTCCTGTATTATGACTGCTTTAATTCGTTTAAGTGTGACCATACAGGTCAAACTGGTGGGGACACTGCAATTCCACACAACTCGATTGGGGTCGATGAGCCCAGGACATTTGCGATAGAGTCGCGTGTGGTGGTAAATGACAAGGGACACAATCCCACACCAATTCTACCCACATGGATGAGTGAAATGTATCCAGTTAGTGCTAGTGGGAGTTCATTCTTAGATCTTCGTGAGATATGCATTAAATTCGAGACTGCAGCTCAAGCAAATGGACAAAAAGAGCCAAGATTTTGACAGTGATCAATTGCCGATCGTGCCCCGCGGGGTTGGCGAGTAGGACGCCTGTAGCACGCTAAGATTCAGCGACGTGCCAAGTTTAGAAACTTCCGAGACACTGCAGGGAGGCGGGTTTAGTGGGGAATAGGGGAAAATAGGGGCCTAGAGAAGAGCAATGACGCGGTCCAGAGAAAATCTACCCGGCGGACCATTTCTTATTTCCATTCGATAGTCTTCAATATAGCTTCGCGATAGACCTACCGGTACAGGATCGGTGGATCAGGGGGCCACTGTTTTCCCCAGTTGAAGACAGGCTGTTGTACGGAGTACCTGGTCCAAGAATCCCTGGATCCAGAGTGCTTGTCGCTCTCACGGACCAAGACCCAGTCACTTATCTTGGAGCTTTCGTCACCTCATTTTGCGGGCCTGGGATTCCCTGGCAGTACTACGTAGTAAACCTCCCGAGCTTCTCCGTTGACTGTTGTTCGCATCCCATTCATCCGGTGCATCCACGTCTTCCCTGCCAAGGCCCAAACTTCCTGCGACCTTCCGAATCATGCCACTGCCTCCCGCTCTTGCCGCTCCCCTTTTTGACTCGTTTGCTCCAGTGTTTTTCTTGGCCCTGTTTCCTTGATTTTTGTCCCCTGAAACCGGACTTGGTACAACCCCCGTTCTAGGTGCTAGACCCCCACGGTGTCGGTCGCCCAATTGTGTGCACCATTTTGGCAGGTCCAGGCGTCTCCATTCCGCGTATCCCGAACCCTTGGGCCACTTTCTTTTCCCTCACCTCACATCACTTCCACTTTGCCTCAGCGTCAGTTCTCCTTCACCATTGTACATCTAGACCCACGGAGAAGGCCAATATCTTTACCGCCTGCCTGTGCACGACATTGCAACGACTGATCCATGGCTCGACGACACACACCTTGACCTGCTTCACCTTGCTTTACCTCGCGCGCCTCGTTTTACGTTGAACCGAACCGACTGGACCGACCCCGATCGCGAGACCTCCTGCTTCTTACCGACCTCGAACTCTTCCGCCCCGCTATGCGACAGCAACAGTCCCACTTCCATCGATAATATTGAAACCTTCCGCGACGACGGCCGCCAATTACGAGGCCAACACAAAGCCGCATTTGCCGGCTCGTGTGCATCATGGCACAGGGGCTCCTCAGCGGTGGAGAAAAGCTCGACCTCCCCACAAGCTGGAGGAGTCGGCCTTCCCGCCATGCAAGATCAGCGAAGTCGGTGTGTGTGCCTCCGCGCAGAAGATCCGCCTTCTTGGCCTTCGTCCTCATCGCCGTGTTTTTCTTCCTGAGGTCCGACAACCTCCCCTTCGGCTTTGGGGGCGACAGACCTGACCGCCCAAGCCTTCAGTATGCGCCCGCCTGCGACCAGGCGGTAAACCACCTCCGCAAGCCCTCGTACGAGTTGACGAGAGAGGTCATTTACCAGAAGCGATGTATTCGCCCAGTCATTGACAGAAGCGTCGATCGAACTCGCATGACCAACATCGGCCAGCCGCTTGTAGGCGAGGGACAGCTCATCCATCTGGATAAGAAATGTGCCGGGTGGGAAGAACCGACCTGTGAGCCCATCAAGCTCAACGTGCCTCCGGCGTATCCCACCATGGATTATTCGCATATGATCTTCGGTGTCGCAACCAGCCTTGAGCGCTTGGCCGAGTCTATGGTCCAATTCGAGAGCTGGATGGCCTACTCTGGTGCTAGCTTGCTAGCAGTCATAATCGACGCCAAACCCAAACCCAACGCGAAGGAAGATGCAAAATTTGAGAAAGTGGCACGAGAGTTCCGCCAACACGGAATTGATGTCACCCTGACTAGACCCTGGAACACCTCCGTCACCCAAAACGAGCAACACTTCACAATTGTCCGCGACCTTCTCCGACACACCACCCCAGAAACTAAATGGGCCGCCATTGTGGATGACGACACTTTCTTTCCGTCGCTCTACCCCTTGGGAGAGATCTTGGACAAGCACGACCACACAGTTTCAGCATACTTAGGCGGGCTGTCCGATAACTATGACGCAGTCAAGCATCACGGTTTCATGGCCTTTGGAGGCGCTGGCGTCTTCCTGAGTATTAGCCTCCTACGGGAGCTAGATCCCCATATTGAAACTTGTTTAGGTGAAGAGCATGTGCCTCAGGGAGATGGTCTTCTCAAGGCTTGCATCTACGGCAAGACGAAGACGGAGCTTACCGTTATCCAGGGACTCCACCAACTGGACATGGGCCCTGATTTGAGCGGCCTTTATGAGTCGGGAACACTTCCCATAAGCCTTCATCACTGGAAATCTTGGCACCACGCCCCGGTCGATGAGATGGTCAAGATTTCCGAGTTTTGCGGGAGCTGCTTCCTGCAGCGATTTAGATTCGGAGCGGACACGATCCTCTCGAACGGTTTCAGCATTGCCAGGTATCCAGAGGGGACCAACAGTGTCAATTTGACCCAGATGGAGGGCACATTCGACGGATACCCGGGATTTGAGTGGAGTCTGGGACCCATGCGCGAGCCCCTAGATCGCTTCCACAAGAAGAGCTACCGGCTCATCGAGTCGGAGAAGGTGGGGAGGAATCTACGACAAATATTTGTCCACCGGGTGGAAGACGACCTACCCAGTCGGCGTGAGATCGAGGCAGCGGGCGGGGCAAAGATCCCCCATCCGAAGATCTCAACAATGAGAGACGAGGTTGTGGAGCTGTGGTGGGAGTGGTGAGCGAGTGACATCTCGCATCACACGCCTCGCATATAGACGGAGAGTGTACGTACAAAACATACGACAGATGATAACTGCCATGTGGGACTGGCCTAGACGGACCGCCTGCAACGGCTAGATAATGCTAATTAACGACTTATTTTCCCTATCTAAACAAACTAAGCCAAAGGGTGTCAACCAGTGCCGCTTGATTCGCCCACGCCCGACGCATGGCTTATCGTGTCAGTGGCGCCCTACGCGACATCGGGGAGGGGGATGTGGACCTCAATTGCCGCCACTGGGCCACTACGAACAGTCATCCAGACGCATCTGGAAACAGTTATATTGGGCACTAGTACTCGATTGAAGTAGGCCTTTGAACCTACTCGGTCCTGGATACTCATTCTCTTTGCATCATTGTCATCAAGACCGAAGTATCTTGGCAGGAGTTACAGCAACATGCAATCTTTTATTAAGCTTACTACACTTCCGGCCATCATCGTCTTGGCCATCTGGGCTGTCACCAGCATCGTTAGTATCTTCCACAAGTCGTCTCAGAGTCCAATCTAACCGCAACATCAGGCCAAAAGATGGATGCAGTCGCGCAAACATCAGGTGCAGCCGAGAGAGGCCGCAAAGCTACCACAGAAGTCTTTGCCGATCGAGCCGCTTTATGAGTTTGACTGGAAGACTGCCCAGCGGCGACAGTTGCGGCCCTTCAAGCCCACTTACCACATCACCATGGGTAAGTACTCGGTGATTCTGAGAATGTGGCCGGGCCATGGCTGACGATAATCCGACTTAGCCATCCAGGCGGATACCCCATCGGAGCTCATCACCATCGATGAAGACTACCTCGACCGAGTGACCCTTCGCCGCGACCTCATCGCCAACCACGGCAATAAAGTACACGGATGTGTGCCTGGCGGCGAAGCCGCTGTACAAGAGCTCTACACCTATCTTCTCACCGAGCACCTCCCCGTCCGCTTCCCATCCCTGTTCAAGCTCTCCGGCGACAAGTCGTCATTCACAAACGCAGTCACGGGCAAGACATTCCCCACGGTTCCGACGGGCGACGCAGATGCCGCCCTGCGCGTCATCGGCGAGACGATCGAAGAGGACGTCTTCCTGCTGCAGCCGTCGCCCGAGGGCCACCGCTCCGTCGCGTTCATGTGCTGTTTCCCCTCTGGCTTCGACCCGTCGTCCAAGTTGGGCAGAACTCTGATTGAGATCCACGCCCCGGTGCCGGCTTATGAGAAGATTGGGGCCAGTATGGAGCGGTTCTTCGGCAAGCTGGAGGTGGGCAAGAGTGTTAAGCGCACGAACGTGAGTTGTCCGTATCATATTCGTGACTGCGGCGATGCTGACCGTCTGGGTGTAGTGGTCGGTGCAAACTCACACTGAGCTGTTCGACAGCAGCGCGAACCACATTACGGGCGACGACCAGTACGAGGCCGACGAAAAGGTCGACATCAAAAAGGTGTGCCTTCTCCTCATGAAAACGTCGTCTCAGCTGGCATACTAACTCTCATCGTCCCAGACCTTCCTGCGCATCGAGCTCCAGACACTAACCCGCCTCCCCAAATCCCAAGCCGTCCTCTTTTCCTTCAAGACGTACCTCTACCCTGTCCAGCAGATCAAGGACGAGGGCCTCGGTGTCGCATTTGCGGACGCAATAGAGGGCCTCCAGAAGGGCAATGCGCCAGGGATGTGGACGTACAAGAGCGCTGTGCGGTGGGGGAAGAGCGTCTGCGAGTATCTACGGGCTTGACGGGTGGACTGCAAGCGGATCGGAGGCCGGTAGGTGGAGAGACGGTTCGCATCCCCAGATTATTACGTACATTTGCATCAATATCTTGCTAGTTGATTTGTGGTCGTGAATGAATTACGAGATATTTGGAGCGAAACGGATTCACCCCGCAAACACATGAAGTCACTCGCCCACGATGCAATCTCCACAAACCTCTACATCTTGACTCCGTCCCCGGACCCTCGTATCCCGACGATGCAGTACAAGGTATCCCGTTCTAAAGCCCCGCTCTATACCGATCTACCCGGTCCGGCATCACGACCGACACCGGCCAAAGTACAATCGCCATCTTCTTGAGCCGCGAGACGATAATGCGAGTTATGATAAGGGTCTCAAATGGAAGGTGTAGTGAGAACCTCGACCCAGCTGACCACGACTCCGCTATTCTACCCCGCATAGTTACTTCAGGCTCCGGTAGTGGGCGTTCGGGTCCCAGTGGCGTGGTGCGGAGGCTCTGGGCGGTGCTCTCAATCAACCTTCCGCATTAGGAAAGTGAAGCTTAAAATGCAGCGGTGCGTCGAGGTCAAGAAATGTGTCGTGTGTGCATGAGCAGCGGCGAGTGGATAGATCCGACTACCAAGATGAAATTGGCAATCGGTTGGTAGTGTCTCTGGGAGCCGTGATCCAAATGAGCTATACTTGATGAAATATGCAAGTGGTAAAGATTGCGGTGCTGAGTACCTCCATGCGACAGATGAGTTTCGGAGTAATCGCGAGCCAAAACCACCATGCCCTTTCGGCAGGCGAAACCGCGATTCAGATATCAATTCATGAAGCCTAGGTACGCAATTTATTCTCTAGCAGGCCTCTTGCTCAACATCCCATCCTGCCCTCCTCTTGTCCGCCCACCTAAATGTCAGCCTGTCCCACCAGCCTACCGTCGCCGCTCCCAGTCAGTGGCAAGAAAGGGTTCTAGCCAGGAATATTATAGTCCAAGATATAACTTCTTCAATATTGAGGCGAATCGGTTCGCGTTGTGCAAGACCGGAGGGCTTTCATTGGTGCCCCAGGCCTGTAGTTTTCTGTCTACACAGCGAGGGTGTGTCTTGGCCTGTCCAGCGCATCTACATCAGCCAAAGCAGTATCTCAATATTAATCGCAAGGATTATTTTTGATCTAAACATATCTTGAACCCCACCCATACAGTCCAATTCCCATATATGAGCTCCTGGTGGCTGTTGCCCTGATCAAGGTCGCTCAGGACCGCATTCCTGTTGAAGCCTCCAAGTCCCAACCCAACGCCTTGCACTGGGGCCCGCTCCCACTGAGGCCTACCTTCAATAGCTTTGCTCTGGGAGGTCGCTATTTAATATTGATAGAAAAGCACAATGGCACCGGTTTCGATCAATCGTTGCGCCCCAAGAGTCAGCCGAGTGGATCCTGTCCCAAAGGAGTTTTCGGAGTCGTCCCGGAACTTCCAGAAGGAGACAGCGACGATGGCTTGATTGGCCTAACCGGGGCGGTTCAGATGGTGCTGACGTTCGTACAACTTCAATATAGACGAGAGACTCGGGCATAAAAATGCTCAGGCATATCGGTACCTGATAGGCATACCTTGGAATATCGGGATTGTATTTACTTTCTAGAGTCGCGACCGCCATGCATTTCCTTCAGGATAGCCTCTCAATGACGGTTGGTTCATTTCCACCACCCGGCCTCGCATTTTGCAATGAGACTACATTATTTTCTGGGCATCACCAAGTTGTGTTATTTTCGACTGCTTTATCCTCCTGGAGTATGTATTGTAACGTTTTGAGGTCTGACTTGATCAGTTATGACGTCGATGCATCTCACCACGCGGCTGACAAATTTCGCCTGACCCACCAAGCCGTCGCAAACCCGACCACGACATTCATTGCCAGCTCCAACATTGTCCATGAGCACAAGTGCTCCTAATATCATTTATCTTGCGACTCATCTCCTTACCGCCATGTTCACGACCTTTGGCATCAACACTCCCTCCTCCAGCTCCAACGAAAAGACGCCGCCCCCTCATCAGCCGCAGCGAGCAAAGCGGGCCCAGGTCTCTCGCGCGTGCGACTGGTGTCGGCTCACGAGGGTCAAGTGTGACTCAGTTCGGCCATGTCGCAGCTGCAAAGACACAAATCGGGAGTGTGTAAATTCTGGACGGGATGACTTTAAGAGCGTCGCGGCTGCCACAAGGTATGATCCAGGTGTTTCCAATTGAATGTGAATCCGGAGGCTAACTTAAGCTGCGTAGGGAGGTCCAAAAGCTGCGGGCTCAAGTACAGGAGCTCGAATCAAAGTTACTAGCTTCATCTATATCTAGCGATGGAGATTCACGGAAACGTGCTGGGCGTGTAAAATGGAAAGGCACTGTAATCAACGGGGCTCAGTATGGTCCCTCCTCACTTTCATACTTTGTCCATCGACTTGCCGCCTTTACCAAGATGGACCTCGCACCTGCGCCAAATACAAGTGGACTTATTACTCCTCCGTGGGACGCCATAACAAACTCTGGCCGATTGCAGCGACAGCAACAGGACGTATTACTCGATCTTTATTGGCAAGGATACCACGCCATCTATCCAATTCTTGACGAGGCCCGTTTCCGAAAACACTACAATTCCCTGTGGGAGAGCCCTGCGCTTAGAAAGGACTGTCCGTTGGTGGACAGTGCCCTTGCTCTCTGTATCCACTTTGGGTCGACGTACATGTCGTATGGGAGTTGTAACGCGGACATCTCGAAGATCCCAGGAAGAGAGTTCTATCTCCGAGCACAGTGCTACCTCAGCCAAAACCTGGAGGTCCAATCGTTGGTGACTGTTCAGTGCTACTTTCTCAACGCCATCTACCTTCAAGCGACCTGTCAAGCCAATTCGGCACATGCCATGGTGGGAAATGCGATCCAAGTTGCCCAGTCGCTTGGTCTTCAGCACGAAGCAGTCAGCGGCGAGTCAATTGAGGGATCGGGTTTAGATGAATCGGGAAAACAATTGTGGGATTGCCTGCTCATGTTGGACATCCAGCTCTCCCTCCACTTGGGTCGCCCATTCGCCATCCGGGACCTACAGCCCGAGAACCGAGGACCAGATCCAGACCAACGCGCTGAGACCGTCGGTCCAGCATTTGCCCTTGGCCCCGACTTCGGCGTCAATTGGCTGAGCTTCCAGTATGAGCGACGCCGCCTGTTCGAGGTGGTCCGCGAAATCCACGAAGAGTTCTACGCCGTGTGTGAGGGCGTCCTGAGCAAGATTGATGCACCTGACTTGTACTAGCACCCTGCCTCTCGCGAACAGTGTGCTAAATTCCTCTTTGAGCAATCGAAGAAACTGAAGAAATGGGCTCAAGAGCTGCCCGAAGGCCTCAAGACACGAAGACAAAACGGGATACCAATGTCGATTGACCGCTCACCTTTGGACCTATGTCATAGCGACCCTCTCTGGCTGCAGCGACAGCGTCTCGTTCTAGAACTCGAGTATCACAACTTTTCCATCATCCTACGCCGACCATTCATCTCCTTCTTGCCTACCCCGGCACTGGGAACCCTATCCAGCGACAATCACTGCCTCATGGTTGGCAACTCTGCCATGACGGTCACGAACATACTGCACCAAGTGATGAAGGACACAGACATTCTCACTGGATGGTATCAGGTGCCTGATTGGCAGCACAATGCAGTGTTCGGGTTGGCGGGTTTCGCGTGTGGATATCCCATTTGTCCGCTATCACCTTCGATGCGGAGGACGATCCCCACAGCCGCGGTAGTATTCGACGCGGTAGGAGCCACAGAGAAGGCGGATTTGGCAAACAAATTGAGAGACAGGTCTTTTCAGATTCTGAAAGATTTTGGCGAACGGATTGGAATCACAAATCTCATTACGACACCCTCACCAAGTGGGAGTGGGGAATCCACGAGCACGAATGTTCAATCTCCCGTCAACACAGGCCTTTCGATGATGGGAATTGGCGACAGGACCGTTCCTAACACTGGTGGATTTAGTGGCATCGACACGGAAAACTTATGGATGGCAGATTCTCCACCCGCGACGTTGCTATGGGGTGATTTAATGATGGACCTGGGAACGGAGCTGATGCCGCCTATCGTCGAGTAAAAAATGGCACTTGAGCACCATTAGCAGTGAAGGAGTTATTTTTGAGCTCCCCGCATTATGTCTTTCAATCAAGGCCAAAATAATATTTACTTTAAACCGGAATCCTCTTAACACTGTTCGCTATCATCTCGAAGAAAACCGCGCCTCGTCGCATCGCTCACGTCATAAACCATCAATCGCACATTTAGATATACGCCTTGACTTGATCCTCCGACCACGCCCAGAACTTTTCCGCCATTCCTGAGCCGCCCTCCGACTCGGGAAGCGAGCCAGCCAGGAGGTCGGAACGGATGGGCGAGAAGCGCCCCCACGGGACCACTAAAAGTACGTGTCAGCGAGAAACCAATACGGCTAGGATTGTTACTTACCCCAAGTTCCTGTCTTCTCAATGGTGAGCTCTGGGGAAAAGGCTGCAAAAAGCTCTGTGTAGGCCCCGTTGATGGGCGGGTAGCAGGCCAATGCTCTTGCGTTGTAGAGCAACCAGGATGAGGTGCGATCAAGTTCACTGTGCAGGTTACCCGGGTTCAGAGGCTACACTGCGTTAGCGAACCAACGACGACATTGGCTCTGGATAACATACAATACTGATAATGCCGTCCTGCTTGTACTTCCTTGCAAACTCGGTGGCGTGGTAGTAGTTGCCGGCTTTACTGACGCCGTACTTGAAGTAGATATTTCGAGGCTTGTTGTAATCCAGGTTGTCTGGCTCATAGCCTTGCTTGGGCGAGAGACCGTCAGCTGCAGAACTGGAGACCCAGACAACACGGACGGAATCTTTAGGTGCCGTCTTGGCTGTAGACTGGAGGAGAGGCGTGAGGAGTTTTGTGAAGAGAAAGTGTCCAACGCAGTTGGTGCCGAGCTGCAGTTCATAGCCCTGCTTCGTCTTGGATCCCTCCGGAGGGGTCATGACGCCCGCATTGTTGAAGAGGATGTCGAGCTTGGTCTCTGCAGCGAGAAACTCCTGGGCCGAGCCGGAGATGGTGGTCAGGTCTGCGAGGTCCAGCTTCAGAAACTTCAGGGCGCCATTGGACGACGGGTGCTGCTGCTTGATGGCGTCAATGGCCGTCCGAGCCTTTTCCTCGGTGCGAGCGGCGATCCAGACGGTCGCGTTCTTGCTGTAGAGGACCTGCGCAACCTCCTTGCCGACGCCTGTGTTTGCGCCGGTGACGAGACAGACGCGGCCAGAGAGATCTGGCACGTTGGCCTCGGTGAAGGCGGGTTTGGGGGGGAAGGCCTGGCGAAGAGCGTCCATCTTGGATCAAGATTTGCAATGCCTGAGAGACGAAGTGTCAATGAGCTTCAGTTGAGTGGGCAGATGAGGCGACTATCTTTGAGGACTAGTTTGGGTAGATTAGTGTCTAAATACGAAGGTGGGATGGGACGGGGACGGAGACGGCATATCCACATAGCCCGACCCCGTGTGGCAAGCTTAAAGGGAGAGGCATGCTTAGAGGTTCTCCTAGTCAACGTTCCTAATCAAACCCCATTAAATAAACTATCAAGGTTAAATACATAATATTGATGCTATCTTTGGTTGGATGCGTAGGTACGGAGGACCGGCACCTTCAATCCAGGGATGACTGTTCAATTGGGTGTGATTGCGAATCCCTTGATTGTGTTGGAAGACGGAAGGTGGGGGGACGGGCCATCCCACGCAATTGGTGATCTGAGATTGGGCGCGCCTTCCCCAATCAGGCGCAATGACCATGTCACCATGTACCAGCACGTTTGCATGTACCACACTGATCAGCCACAACTGCCGCACAGCTGCCACACAGCTGCCACACACTTCACAGTGACTTCACATCACACGGCCCACACAACGACCACCCCTTGCCCGTGCCGATGCGGGCACCAGCCACACAGGCAGCCAAACAAGGCCCAGCTGAGCCACCTGGAGCCGCATCTGATGGCATGGCTTGACCAGCCGGTGAACCAACCAACAACTCCATCTTGCACCTCTTCACGCTCCACGCTCCACACGCGAGAACAAACGAGCTGTGCCTCGTTTTTGTTTGCGTCTGCAGCTCCTCCCCCTCTCGCCGCCCGTCTGTCTCTCGCCCCGCCGCCATCGTTCCCGCCTGAGCTGTCGCTGCCCTTGTCGCGCGCTCTCTCGTGCTGCGTGCTGGCCCTGCCACCTCTGATGCGGCGGTTTGGCTGGCGCAATCGACCGACCGCGGGCACTGGGCAACCAACCATCGTCTTCCATCCTTAACCGCGTTTGTCTCCGTCCAACCCTCCGCGCAACAACTCCCGCGAACGACAACGCTCTGGGATATGCTCTGATCCCGGCGGCCAGGGCGCATTGCATTCTCTCTCCCGCGGGCGAGCCTCCGTTTGTTTTCGTCCGCCTCCGTCCGCCAAACAGAGCTCCTCAGCCTTGCCGCCTCGTCCGTTTGTCGTCTGCTTGTTTGCGCCCTTCCGCGAAACCACAACCACGCCTGCGCCCGCATTGTCTGCGCTTCTGCCTCCGGCATCATCTTGTGCAACCTTGACCAGCATCCTCGCATCAGCTTCGCCCTGCAACCATGAGCACCCCGTGTACGGACTGAACGCTGCCCACCCCCTCCACGTCATGTTTACTAACAGAACCCCCCCGGCAGTGACCTCCGAGGAGCGGAACCGCTACACCGCCATCATCGACGGTATCCTTGAGACTGCCGACCTCGAAACCATCTCGCGAAAGAAGATCCGTCAGGGGTTGGAGGCTGAATTGGGTGGCAAAGATTTGACCGATCAGAAGGTGAGGAAACGAAACATAGCTACAGCCAAGCTTCCCGCTATGGCTGCTGCCCGTACCGTCTCCGAACCCGCCTCTGGATACTAACCCACTGCTCTAGGACGCCATCAAGAAGCTCATCGAGGGTCGCTTTGACGCCGTCTCAGGTGCCTCCCCTCCCGACCCCGCGCCGACCAAACGCTCCGCCAGCCGTGCCACGTCTGACGCCGGCGAAACCGACCCTGACGCCTCCCCCGAACCCGCGAGAAAGAAGGCCAAGCGCTCGTCGTCGGTCGAAGATGCAGATGCCCGTCTAGCTGCCCAGCTCCAGGCCCAGGAGAACAGCCTGGCTCGCAGCCGCAAGACCCGTGGCGGTAGTGACAAGGCCAAGGCGCCAAGGAAGCCAAAGGCGAAGGCAGCGCCACGCAAGAAGAGCGCCAAGAAGGTCGGCGCTGACGACGACAGCGATGTGGGGTCGGGTGAGGGTGAGGTCAAGAAGAGAAAAGCCGGTGGCGGCTTCATGAAGCCTTTCAACCTGAGCCCTGCCTTGTCGGAGCTTTGTGGTGAAACACAGGTATGTACATGTTTTTCATCAAGCTCCATGTCGGCCAGAGTCACCTCGCTCTGGGGTACAGATTCGCATCCTGTATTCCTGGCTAACGCGTCTCTGTCTAGCTTTCTCGCCCGCAGGTGGTCAAGAAGCTATGGGAACACATCAAGGCAAACGAGCTGCAGGATCCGAAGGACAAGCGCCAGATCTTGTGTGACGAGAAGATGCAGGCCGTTTTTAAGCAGGCCAAGGTCGACATGTTCCGGATGAACAAGGATATCGGAAACCACTTGTACCCGGTCGAGGAATAATCTGACATAGATGCTGGCGGGTGGGGGGCATCAGAGCTACGAGGCTCCGGGAGATATGACAGAGGACTGCGTTTTCGGCGCGCGGCGGCGTATCTGGCATTCATCGTTTGCTCATTTCGTTTATTTCCTCGGCGGCGGTCAAATCATATGGAAAGGGGCATACTGGGTAGTTTCGTTGGAAGGGCTAGGCTTTGGGCATTGCGGCACCGGCTTTCTGCCGGATAGTCAAGGGTTGATGAGGAAGCGTGAATGTGTTATGGAGAAGAGGGGGAGACAGAGACTTATGAACGGCGTCTCATTACCCGTATTAACCCGTATTATGATACAGTCAGTCTCGGTCTATCAAGATTGGCAAAACTCGAGTAGTGGTTGGAACTACTACGGTCATTGGCGAGCCACTTTCCTTTTTCCGTGTCTTCACTTCCTTTGTTCATGTGGAGTACTTGGCTATCGGATGTTCCCGATGTCACTATGGCAGGAGAACATAGCTGCCATGGTGAGTTGGTGGATTGTGCGAAGCTAGCTCAAAATTTTCCCACTGTGAAGGCTCAAGGGATGGGCTGTGCCAACGCAAGGCACTGATTCTATCGCTCAGCGGTGTATGTCCAGAAGCAGCATGTGCAATTCATCATACTATATGCTATCAATCGGATAGCTTGTGTCCAACGAACGTTTACAGCGACGGACCCTTTGATCGACCCTTCCAATCCAACAAACAAAATCCGATAAGCATCAACCTTTTCATCGATCCATGAGGAACGTGAGTTTCGTCACAATAAGAATTGACATCATTGGATAAAGGATTATTCAAATCCTCAAAGTCCTCAATCTTTTAGTACAGTACTGACGTGGTCAAGGCTTAGGGTAGTGCCACACAGAAACGAACCAAGGAATCAGCAAGACCACAGATCATATAGCAGTGAAGCGGGAAAACTACATTAGGCAATGCTCATCATTAAATCCGCTATTCAGCATGATTGTAGTAAAACATGCCGAGACCAATTCTTAAGCGAGCATAGTGCCAGAATAGTATTCGCAGCCTCTGCAACTTTTCTCATGCCTAAAGGCTTGGTCGTGGTTTTCACCATCGAAATAGACCAAAGCTGTTAATAAACACCGTCCGAGAAATCGACAACAATAGCTTTATCCACTAGACCGCCTACGCTCTTGATGAAGGCTTGGTGAGCCGGATCCGTCTTGACATAGTAATCCCTATCATCCGCACTGCCAAACTCCACAACAAAGCCATGGGTAATTCCGTTCTGAAATGGTCAGTTTTCACATATCTCCATTCAAACAGTTTGGCGACGTACTTGCAGACCCTCGTGTGAGTTGTCCTGACCTCCTTTCAGGGAGCTGATGTAGGCAGAGTTTGTGGTTGGGTGGAGGCAATCGGCCTTCAATGCCTTAAACCGCGCGCAAGCCTGCAAATTGTCTTGAGTCAACTCTGTATTCACAAATACTACTAAGTACATACCGCCTTTACATCTTCCGGGTTTGCGTCCGCTTTGAACTGGAAGAGGACTGTGTGAGTGATACTCATCGTTGCAGTAGGCGCGAGGGTGAAAGAGGACCAGGTTCTGAGCAGGGCAAATATGAAGATGACGGATAGAAAAATTGCGTTATCTATTCCAAATGGACGATGTCAAACCATGGACGGATTGAAACCTGGGCGACGGATCTTTCTTAAGCTTAAGAAGTAAAAGCTGAGGGATGCGGAGGACATTTCCCCGCTCGCATCACGTGTTACGTCATTGGTGGTATCTCGCCCATCCTTGTCCGAACTGGAGACGGCATTCGTAACAGTTACAGCATTATTATTGACTGGGCTAGGTGTTCCATTATTGGTCGGTGTAAGAGGCCAAAGGCGATCTCTCCGCCGGCTCTGCGATTCTCGAACTGCCGATCTGAACTGAGCCCAAGGAGGTAGCTGCCCCACTCCTCCTTGGCCGAGGAGTAGAAGCTACCTCGAGTCAATCTTTGCCGACTACGAAAGATTAGAGAATATACAAGACTTGGATGTGCTAGAATACTAGAGATTAATCTAGTCTCCCCGTAACCCTTACAAGCGAGCTGCTATTCGACTCCTCCACTCCGTAGCGCATTCGAGCACTGATAATAAGAGACAACTCAAATCATGAATTTCCTAGCTCCTTGATTCAAGTATATTATAGAGTTTATCGATTGGCGAACTCCGTGAATGCAGATGATTGTATTCAGTACAATTGCCTGAAACTATGAGTATAAGCTCAGAGGAATAAATTAACAACACTGGGCAAAATGGGTCTACCGATAATCAAGAGAAATATCCTCAGCATATCTTACAAATATTTCAGTAAGAACAGTACCAAGTTGAAACTCGAAAGATAACTGAAATATTACCAGTATTGATGTCATGACATCAAACGGTGGGTTAAGTAACCAAGATCGAGATTAACAACGTTTTTAAATAGAATAAAAAATATTAGAACATGAAGCCGTTCTTTCTTAGTTCAAGATTCATCCATAAGTTGAGATTGCAAGATCTTACACCGAGATTCTATTCTAGGGGCGTACAAACACTTTGATGACAAAGGGACCCTGTGTGACGTTTTGTTGGTGGGAGATGCGCTTTAGTCCATACCACCCTCCGAGAGGTAGAATTGGTTAGTGCAAGTGGAAAAGACAGGAGGAAAAAACTCCATAAAATTGGACTCAGTAGCATAATAGTCTAGTATTGGATTTTATGTCCCCGATCTGCAAAATAAGACGAAAACATGTTAAGATTATGACAATACAAAGACTAGAGCCTTGATTCGTTTATAATTATCCGCTGTCAATTCCAACATGATTTGAACGCTCGCGGCTCTGGTCCCCAACTTCTGAGTCAGATGATGACGGATATCCGAGCCTGCTGATTTTCGCGAATTAGATGAGCTCTCTCACGGGATTTGCAATGAATCCGAGAGTGTGCCGGCCGATGACGTCCGGCCGCGGAGCTCCTCGTGGTAAACTCTAGGTGCGGTAGCCGCCAATAGAAAGTAACGTCACTGATGAGGTGGCCGTAGAGGATGTAGGCAGCCTTGTGGAGCATCTAAGATTGCTGGGACTTCCATTACTACCGGATGTAGTACGGGAGACAGATATTGTTCTCAAGTGGTCCCCACATCCCTGCAGTGACTTGGCCTGAGCTCTTACATGTAAAGGATTGAGAGGCAAGGAGCCAACCGGAAATACGAACGGTCTCCCGCAATACGGTGGTGGTTGTGAGCTTGTTGGCTAAGGATCGCTCGGACAAATGGCCCCGGCACATATTATGGAGTTATTGGCAAGGTATTCCATCCCACAACCGGTTTAACCCGACTTCTATCACCAGGAATGACGAGTCCATGGACTCACCGTTAACCCACTGGGATGTGAAAAGTGAACGGGTTAATACTCCCCACCACCACAAAGAGGTATTTGAGGGATGGAGGCCCCGGAGGAAGTCCTTTAGGACCAATCCCTCGGCTATCCCAGAAGGATCGTTCTTCTCTAACCCACTTTTGTCTCCACCAGGTGCTGCCATCAGCCTCATCCTCATGCAACTAAACGTTGAGACGTCCGATGCCCTGGTTGACAGGCAGGATGCAAATGCACAGGCGAGTCGGGATCGCCCGCCTGCGTCGTAACACTGATCGTCACCGCACCCTGCAGTTCTCCAATATATAACCACGCAGAAACTATGTCGTATCGTCTCAACTAAAGTTGGCCACTGCACGACCAGACGATGAATGGCCCGAGTCCCAACAAACCGCCGACACAGAAGCGATTGGCTTGTGACCGCTGCCATGCTCGGAAGTTGCGCTGTCTGACAAAGACATCGACGACACGATGCTCTCGCTGCATGCACGATGGTTTCCCTTGTACATATAGCCCCCCACTGAAGTCGGGCCGGCCGAGGAAGGCCTCTCTAGCTGTGGACAATAGGAGCTCTCAAGGCCAGCGAGGGGAGACTTCACCCTCTGAGGAATCGAGTCTTCTCTCCGGTACCCGCAGTGAAAGTATCTCAAGCAACATCACCACCCCGCTTCCGGATATGACACAATTCGATGCAGCCTGCGACTTGAGCTATCTTGCTCCTGATTCGGATTTTCTCTGCCACATGGACTTAACTGGTGGCCTTGCATCGAGCTCTCTGCCTTCGACATATCCCGCGACCTTAGACAGCTCTTCGTGGCTCGACTCTTTGATACACAACGAGCAGCTGATCATCCCCGACCAAAGTCCAGAGAAAGCCCCAAAGGGCTGCAGTAGAGGGGCGAACGGAGACGACGACACGGGGAGTCCAGTGATCAACCAACTCGAGCCAATGGTAGACTCCTGTGCCAGCGACGGAATCTCCGATCTTGTCCAAACACTGTGTCGCCTGCAACAAGAACTGGCACACCTGAGACGACCCTCACGCGGCGATGGTGGCGGACCAAGCACGACGCCACCATCGCAAACTTCACCGAACCCCGTGGATGCCATACTGCGGCCGGGACAAGAGCTGGTGGACACAGTACGCCAACTCTTTGACGAGTGTTCCAAGGATCGAAGCACGGAATCGCGGCGGCAATTGAGCTGGGATCGACGGACACTTCTTCCTTTAGTGTTCACCCCACTGTCGTTGCTGCTCTCGACATACGGCGACATGCTGCAAGAGGTCACGACAGTCCGGCCCCAGAGTCGCCATGCAGCAGACCCAGTAGATCACGACCGCCCGGGCGCCAAACATTCTTTCATAGCATCTTCTTCTGGTGCAAGGGAGTGCGGCCAATATCAACGGCAATATCACGACAGGAGCTTTGCCCTGCCACCTTCACCTTCATCTGTATCCCCCGTCCCTCATCAACCCTCCACCCTTATCCCTGGAAACTTCAATTTATCACTGGGAGAGATGAGTCTCGATCGCCCTCTACAGCTCATTATCGTGACGACGGTAATCAAACACCACCTTGCTCACTTGGAGCATGCCCTACACGTCTACGAAAAGTTTCACATGCACGAGTGCGAGTTGAGTCCCTCGGAGGGGTTTATTCTCTCCGCTCTGGCGGAGATAAGGTCATACACGAGGTTGTTGATCTCAGAAACATCCAAGATTGTACAGTAGCAATACACAATATCCAATAGTTAATACCATGGCAAAAGTGGCCACGTCAATACCCTTGCGGAAACCGGGTAGGGCTGAGGCTAGTTCGGAGATCAGCGCGGATCGGACGGCTAGCAATGGGCTGATCTTGGTGGGGATGTTTCAGGCATCAGGAATCTGCAAGGCACAGTACACAGCCGCACATAGGTAATGTGCTCAAAAATGTACTGCGTTAATTATCTCAACATCACACGCTGTATTAAGTCCGCTAAGAGGAATACCATTTACAGTGTAGGCTCAATGCACAAATTACAGGCTGAATACTCTCACTGCACACGTTGCCTAATATCATGTAAATAAGGTACAAGCACATCATCAGTGTCGTATTGTGGAACGCTCCCTTTTGCCTTGAATAGGAATCCTTGACGTTTTCCACGTAACCCAACGAATCCAAGACCAGAACACTGACCCATCACCTTATCAATCGTCTCTTAATTTATCGGCCGCATATACGGATGTACGAATAGGGTTTGTTGGGGACTAATTATAGCCCGAGTCCCCACCGGTTTTCCGCATGTTACAGGAGCTTATTCCTTGAATCCGGCTTCTCCCGTGAGAACTGCAGGCCCTTCTCCAAGTTACCTAGCTTGACAAACCAGTAATCTGACAGATAGTTCGTCCGGGGCTGCCATGGTGCCTGATCTGCTGCTCTGGGCAATTCACTCTCGGCAACGGCAACGTACGTCGATGAGAGATTGAACAGCCGCCTTGGCGTTAGGGCTGTACCCTGCTCGGCTCGAGGCGTGGCACTCGACATCTTCTTCTTTTCCATCTTCCGCAGCAAACGACACGTGAGCAGAGCAGCGGTATCAACCCCCAGGGTCCACGAGATGGTGGCGTAGCCGATGACTAGAGACAGGTTGGGCACATCCTGCAACATGACTCCATTCCAGAAGTACTTTTCGGCGGGCTTGACGGGGACGCCATCAACTTCGATGGTAGCGCCGCCAGCAATTTGCAGTTTGAGACCTGTCGCGGTGATGATGATGTCGGCCGGAATTTTGTCGTCAGGGGCGTTGTTAAGCACAATGCCGTCAGCCACCACTTCCTTGATGGTTCCCGTCTTGATATCCGCTTTCCCGGTATGTAGACATTTGAAGAAATCAGCGTTTGGCGTTAGACAAACGCGCTGATCCCAGGGATTGTAGCGAGGATTGAAGTGTGGATCGTAGGGTAGATGGGGTGGCAGCTCCTTCTCGACGCCTTTCCTCAGCCGCTTACGAGCCAGGTTCGGAAACGTCTGGCAAAAGAGCCAGATGCAGCGCGACCATACCAGGAACGACAGGCGGGTATAGGCATGAGCCCACCGCCTGGGGAGAAATCGTACCACCCATGAGGGCTTCTTTCCGCCGTTCGGGATTGATAGGATATAGGACGGGCTGCGCTGGACCATGGTGGTTCGGGCTGCCTTCTCAGCCAACTTGGGTATCAGCGTGATGGCCGTGGCACCGCTTCCAATGAGGATAACCTGCTTATCCGTGTAGTTGATGTCTTCGGGCCAGAACTGCGGGTGTACAGTCTGGCCCTTGAAATTGCCGAGGCCCGGGATGTCGGCTTCGAGGCCTTGGTGGAAGTCATAGTAGCCGGTACAGAGCATGGTGAAGCGGGCGCGGTACTGAGTCTCGGTGTGTGTTTGAGTGTCTTCCACCTTTAACGTCCACTTCTGCTCGGGTGTCGACCACGAAGCTGTCTTCAATCGTCGTTCGTAATGAATGTGCTTGTCAATGCCGTATTTTTGTGCAGCCTTCTTCATGTAGGTTACAATGGCACCGCCCTCGCCAAGCGTGGTGCCTTGGTCCCACGGCTGCCAGGCGAAGCCAAAAGTGTAGAGATCGGAGTCAGAGCGAATGCCTGGGTAGCGAAACAAGTCCCAGGTACCACCGATCTCGTCGCGGGCTTCGAGTATGACGTAGCTGAGGTGTGGTAGAGCGCATTGTAGACGGTAAGCAGCGTTGATACCGGCCAGGCCGGCGCCGACGATTATGACATCGAAACTATCCATTTTGATTCTATCTCCGCCTGCTTCTAGAGTGCCCGAGTTCGAGAAACCTCCAATGAGGGTATTTTATCCTTTTAGTTTTTTGAAGTGGCACGATCGGGATGCAATTGGGTTGACTTTCTAGAACGCAACTGATCCCAGACCTCTCGGCGGGTTGATGACTCGGTGGGTTTATTCATCGCCACTAGGTTCCGAACAACTCGCCGGCATGACCTGGTGGTATGATTTAAGCTGCATGGTGTTCCTTCGCATAGTCGAATGCTTCGGTACGACTTATTCAGGGGTGACACGCTCATGGTACGATCCCCATCGCAAGTGGTCAGGCTATGAATTATGCTGACGAGAAGGAAAGGAACTAAGATTCCTTCCCGAAATCTAGCTACGCCAATTGATGTATACGGTTTTGATGCTTTGAAAGAGCGACACGTGAATCTCCTCATTTCTCCCTTGGCACGCTCAAGTCCATCGTCTGGACAATGTACAATTCTAGGTCATCAAGCTTCCGTGTTCTAGTCTTTACTGTTGCAAGTCTATCTAACACACCTACCGAGTTAAACCGAATGGTCTTTCATGCGAACTATCACTATAATGAGTCAAGTAGTTTTTGGACCAAGGACGAAATAGACACTGAGAACTGTGGGTAGGACTACAGAAGGTAATTGCACATTAAACTAGACAGATCAACTATAAACTATACACGGAGCTACAGTTATGCATCGACCAAGGAATTCTCCATCAACGAGCTCTTCTCTGCCACCCTGAATGCGAGTGTTTGCAAGCTGTTTGCCTGCAGAATTTCAAAGACGGCAATGTCTGCCTTCATATCTTTCTGGAACCAGTTGCGCAACTCAACGGCAACCAGACTGTCAATGCCAAACGCACTAGTTGGTCGGGTTGGGTCAAGCTCCGCGATGTCCATCATCAGACTCCGGCTGAGCTTGATCGTCATTGCGTTGATGATCACCGTCACAGCGTCGGACAAGGACAAGGCGGCTTTGAGGAGGGATTGGGTGGATTGCACGCCGGTATTGTTAGAGTGAGCCACGGAACGGGCGCCGAGCTTCGGGAGGTGGGAGAAGACAGGACTGGATTTCCAGAAGGGCTCGTCAGCGGGAACGCCGTCGTCATCAGGAAGGGTGGATTGAGTCTGGATGCCGGTGATCATCTGACTCTCAGCAGAAGACGAAGAAGACTCTCGGATGGCAATCTCCAAAATGGCATGGAACTCATCCTCTTCGATGCCTACGAACCCCTTCCTCTCCAAGTTCCGGCGGATCATGCCAGTTTGATCCTCTGCCACAGCACCCACGGACAAAATCATGCCCAGATCAACGGAGATGGCTGGGAGGCCTTGCGAACGGCGGTACTGCGCGAGGGCATCTTCGTATGCATTGCCCGCTGAGTAGTTCGCCTGGCCTGAGTTACCAAGAACACCGACAGAGGATGCCATAATGATGAAGAAATCCAGGGGTAAGTTCAGAGTTGACTGGTGCAGATTCCACGTTCCATGAACCTTGGGTCGGATACCCGCGTTGAACGAGTCGAGCGACATGTTGTCGAAGATGGCGTCCTCCAGGACCATAGCCGCCTGAATGACGCCACGAATAGGCGGGAAGCTACCTGCAATTCCGCTCAGGGCGGACTCCAGTGCTGGCCCATCAGTGATGTCCACTGGTAGGACTTCGACCCGCGTGCCGGCCAGAGCCAGTTCGTCGATGAGCTGTTGCACTTCAGGACGACTGGCGCCAGAGCGAGAGGCGAATACCAGGTTTTTGGCACCGCGAGCGGCCATCCAGCGAGCCATACTGCGGCCAAGGCCACCGAACCCGGTAATCAGGTACGAAGCATCTTCAGAAAAGGTGAATGGGCCGGTAGAGGCTGGAATAGCCTAGTAAATGGGGTTAGAATGGTGGGTTTAATATTGATGCACAAGAACTTACTGGAACCATGTCATTCTCCTGAGGAACCATGACAATCTTACCAACGTGCTTTCCCTGTTGCATAAAACGGAAAGCCTCTTCAAATTGTCCGAAAGAAAAAGCAGTGACGCGCGGAATAGGCTTGATGGCCTTTGTTCGAATTAGCTCCATCGTCTCGTGCATGAGCTCAGCCGCCAAAGAAGCGTTCTGCTCGTAGACGGTGATTAGATCAATCGACGCGAACATGACGTTACGCAAGAACGGCGCCATATCGAGACGACGATTGTCCACGATGTCCTTCTTGCCCATCTCAATGAAGCGGCCAAATGTAGCAATGCAGTCCCACGTGGCGCCCAGCATGTCCCCAGCCAAGCTGTTGAGCACGACGTCAACGCCACGACCGTTCGTCGCCTTCTTGATCGCCTGAGCGAAGCTGGTATCACGACTGGAGAAGATGCGACTGTCGGGGATACCGAATTCGCTCTTGATGAGGTCGCGCTTCTCCTGAGTACCAACTGTCACAAAGATATGAGCGCCGAGAAGTTGGGCTAGGATGATAGCTGCTTGTCCGACGCCTCCAGCCGCAGCATGAATTAGGATTGATTCGCCCTTCCGAAGATGGGCAATGTGTTTCAAGCCGTATACGACGGTGTTGTAAACAATTGGTAATGAGGCCGCAGTTGCGAAACTCATGTCATCGGGAATTGGCTCGACGACACCGGCGTAAGTGCGAGCATAGGTAGAGTAGTTATACCTTGTCCACGCAACGACACGCTGCCCGACCTTGAGGTGAGAGACATTGTTGCCGACGCGGTGTACGATTCCAGCACACTCGAGACCAAGCGAGGGATCCGACATCTGGCCGGTACAGATCATGATGTCACGAAAGTTGACACCAGAGGCCTTGACTTCAACTTCAACCTCATCGGGACCGAGAGGCTCCGCTGGTCGAGCATCGTCTTCGAAAATCAGGGTATCCAGCAGACCAGGTGTCTTGATGTTCAGCTTAAGGGGCCGACCCGGCTGTTGAAAGGGCTGTAGCTCCGTCTTTTCGCTACCAATGGACTCGTGATTCAGGCGGCCGTGGATCTGAGTGTTGGTGTCGACCGACTCGAGACAACGGGGAATATTCCAGCAGCCGTCGCCATAGTAGTACTCTGGCTCTTGGGACCCTGGGCTGCGCAATATCTGTTGCAATAGCTCAAATAGCTGCTGTGCGGCCTCCGCAGGGTTCTTGCGGTTGACGGATGCGAAGTCGGCCGTGGTCAAGGGGAAGGTCTCGTTTTCAGCCCGGAGGGAGCGAGCCATACCGTGGAAGATTGCGGATTCCGGGCGGCTGGCATTTTTGAAAGCTCCTTCGGTCACCCAGACTAGGGCTTTGCTGGTCTTGACGATAGCCTTGATTGTGTCAAACTCGGCTTGTGTCATGTCCTTGACGATGGGGCGGTCGAGTTCGGCTAGAGACACACAGCAAGCGTTCTCTAAGGTAGCTTCAGTCAAGTCTGCAAGCCGGGTCGTCTTAACTAGAATACCCAAGTTTGCAAGTTTCCGGTCGAGAGCTCGCCCCAGACCACTTGATGGCTCATCGTCGGTAATCAGCACCACCGAGTGAATGGATTGGTCGACGGCTGGTGTAGCATCCTGTTCAACAGCAACACACGAGAAAACGCGACCCAACTCGTCATTGGGGTCCTTATTATCTGGAGCAGCTAAGGTGAGGTCACCGAATCCTACACGCTTGAGGTGCTCCGCCCACATCTCCTGATCCATGGTAGGACCCCACGGACGGTAGCTCTCCTCGGACATCCACCAGCCAGGCAGGCAGCCGAACAAAAGGAAGGCCTGGTTAAGCATGTTGGAGATCTCCACCAGGATCAATCGGCCACCCGGCTTGAGCAGCTTTCGCGTGTGCTCCAGGGTCTTCGTAATGTTGGTCGTGGCGTGCAACACGGAAGCTGCAACGACGAGGTCATACGTGCCGGCCTCGAACCCCTGATCGACCGGATCCTCTTCAATGTTCAGTCTTCGGTACTCCATGAGTCCTTGCCAATCTTTGAACTTGGTCTCTGCCTCTTCAAAGAAGCCAGATGAGATGTCGGTGAAAGTATACGAGTCAAACTTGGGATATCGCCCATTGTTTCCTCCAAAGGCGGAAAGGATAGGCGCCGTGGCACCGCCAGTACCACCGCCGATTTCCAGAACCTTCATATTGGGGTTCTTATTGGAGAGCATCTCAGCGTATCGATACAGGATATCGTAGCCCAGCACGGCTTCGTAGTACTGGTACAGCAGTTCGTCTTCCAGCATCAGCGCAAGCGGGTCGACGACGCCGGTTAGGATTTTGTCAAGCTTCCGACCAACGCGGCAGATGAGTTGTGCATCGGTGCCGGAGGATTCTAGTCGGGCGGCTAGGCTCTCCATTTTCTGACAGATAACTGGATCGTCGAGTTGCTCCCAGTCGGGTGTTTGGTGAGGGACCTTGTGAGCCTGGACTCGGTCACGCTGGTATTGCATGTATCGATAGAACTTCTGATGGTGAGGCTTCATGTTCGGGACCTGGTCCTCGCTGACGGTCTGCAGAACTTGGTAGTAGTAGAAGTATGCGATCGTCTCGAGGTTCGCCACGCGTTTAGGATCTTCGCAAGGACGGATGAACTGACGCATCAACTCATCGCCCTTGGCATGAGACAGGAGTTCTGGATCTGGGTGCCAGGTGGAGTGGAAGCACAGCTTCTTGACAGCCTCTCGACCTGCCGCGTTGTCATCGAAGTTCGTCCCCGAGTCGATGCCGTTGCACCGCACGTCCTGGAAGCTGACCATAGCCTCCCCCGTGCCCTCGTCGCGGACGAGTACATTAGTCGTCACCTCCCGGAACCCGGTATGGTTTGCAGTCGCAGCACAGTCGAAACGGTGGCCAACGTCCTGGGCAATGTCGCCTCGAACAAACGTGTCGGCGAAATATACGGGCAGATAAGGCGATGCGATGGAAGACTGAGCGTGTAACAGCGCGGGGAATACCATTTGCACGAAGCTGTCCATGGTGGCCGGATGTACGAGGTAGGGATACTCGAACTCAAACGGCATCAGGGACTTGGTATCTGGGACTGTCGCGATACCCTTTGCTACGCCCTCGTTGGACACAAGGTCGCCAGTTAGATTCCGGAATGGCTCTTCGTACACCAATCCAACAGCATCGACGATATCATACAGGTTCTCGGCCATGCGGGTGCTAGAGAAGGTCTCCGTGGCCACAACGCCATCCAGCGCCGGGTTGTACGGAATATGGCTAGAGGGAAGGGCATTGGGGCCATCATAGACGGCAGTAATCAAGCCGTGGGCATGTTCGGCCCAGCCATCCGCAGCAGACCAAGAAAACACGCGGAACTCGTACCAGGTGTTGGAGAAAGAAGCGCTGCTCTCTTTGTAGTGTCGCAGTGAGAAGAGTGTCTCCACGCCCTCCTCACTCGCTGGCACCATCAACGCGCGAATCAAGCTGATTTCTTTCAACCGATATCCCACAAACTTGCCCTGGGGAGCCGTGTACTCGGGCATGTGGCGGAGGTGATTCAATGCTTCGAGGGCCATGCAAATGTACCCCGTACCCGGGTAGACATATGAGCCCTGCACAATGTGGCCCTTGAGCCAGGGCTGCTCGCGGAGCCGGATCAGGTTTCGCCAGCGTGGTTCCATAGGGTTCCAGTCATTGACCGGGTAGCCCAGGAAGTCGGTACGGGCGTGACGGCGGAAGCGATGCTCAAGGCTCATCCGAGACTCCATCCAATGGCTCTTGGTGTGGTTCCAGAAATAGGGTGGTAGATCGACAACCACCTGCGGGGGAGCAGTACGCGATCCTGCCGGTGAGTTGATTTTGTACAGGTCGACAGTGGTGCATCCTTTAGCGAAGAGGAATGCCGCCGCCTCGAGAGCAGTATCACAAGCATCCTGACCTCTGGATAGCACCGACTTGTACGCGATACCACTCTTCTCCAGACCAGGAACGCTGAGAATCTGCTTGATGGGACCGGCCAGAGCCGAATGGGGGCCCAGCTCAAGGAGAACATCGACGGCGGCCTGGCTCGCCGCGAGACGACGAGCGCGCTTGGTGACTCCCCGGGGAGTACAGAGGATCTGCAGGCCGGTGTTGAAGCGGACGGGGGATACCATATTCTGTCTCCAGTACTTTGGACCGAGGATATCAGAAGATGTCACGGGTTCGCCAGTAACCGTAGAGATCATCTCAACTGTCTCTGAGGGAGGCTGGACTTCCATGCCGGCTAGAGACTGTTCGTAGTCGCTGGCAACAGCGTCCATGTGGTGTGAGTGATACGCCGTCGAGACCTTGAGGAACCGCGCAAACACGGCGTCCTTGTGCAGAGCGTCGGCCAGCTCGGCCAGGGCAGGTCGATCGCCTGAGATGGTGACATTGGTCGGGCTATTAATACAGGCAACAGATGCCTTGCCGAGGGCAGGATTGAGGGAAGCAATGTACGTCTTGACGTCCTCTTCAGACAAACCAACAGCCATCATGGCGCCATCGGCCGAAGGCAGCTTCGTTTGTACAAGAGACGAGTGCAGGCCACGGAAGTACGCCGCCTTGAGAGCCGAAGCCGTGGGCAAGATCCCGGCGGCATACGCGGCAGCAATCTCACCACTCGAGTGACCAATAACTTTCTGGGGATGGATGCCCCAACTGGCCAGCAGATCGATCAACGCAAGCTGTAGGGCTGTGCAGGCCGTCTGACTGACGAGAGACTCGTTGATGCGAGACACATCCTCGTCTTTGCTCAGCTCGTCTATGCCAGTGGGTGATTAGTATTTACTCAAACGGGTTTCGAACGAGGCTTCACTTACCGGTGAGTGACCAATCGGCCCCAAGGCTCTTGACAAACTGATCGGCGTGTTCAAGCCGCTGTTGGAATAGAGGGTACGTCTGCGCCAGCTCCCGACCCATGGCAAACCATTGGGCACCCTGCCCCGTGAAGACGAACGCAACCCTCAGGGGATGGAGAGAAGCACGAAGCGGCTTCTGGCGTGTGGCAGTCACCTTCTCAACGAGATCGGGGAGGGAGTGGGCTACCAGGAACGACTTCCAAGGCAGCATGGACCGGCGACTGCATAGGGTGTAAGACAAGTTGTCGAGAAAGGCTTCCTCGTCGGCCTCCTTTCGCTGAGCCAAATGCTCGGCGTACACTGCACCACTCTTGCCTGCGATGTTTTCTTCATGGGTAGACCAGATGAAGATGCGACGGCGCTTTACTGCGGACAGAGCATTTGTATGGTCGTGAGCATCACCGTTGGTGTGGCCGTTGGTGTGACCATTAGCATTACCGTCTGTATGGCCGTTTGTATGGCCATTGGTGTAGCCGTTAGGCCGTTTGGACTCGGCAAACAGTGGCATAGCGGTATTGCTAATTGCAATGCTTGTCTGCAAGTCCAACAACGGCTTGGGAGCCGTTCGGTGCGCACCTCTCAGACCACGACCTTGGAGATAGTGGAACGCATCATCCAAGATAACGTGTCCATTTGTTCCTCCAAAACCAAACGAGTTGACACTAATCCGACGCTGCCCTTCCATCGGCCAAGCTACCATTTTGGTGGGCACTCGCAGGTTCCAACCCTTGAGGTCGATTTGCGGGTTGGGGGTCTCAAAGTACACGTTGGGAGCGATGACACCGCGTTCGAGGGACAAGACTGCTTTGATCACGCCGGCGAGGCCACTGGTACCTTCAGTGTGTCCAATGTTGGTCTTGACGCTGCCAATGTAGAGCGGAAGCGTCTCGCCGTTTTCGTCCACCGGGCGCTGGGGACCGAAGGTGTTACCAATAGCACCAGATCTGTCAAGAGTCAGTACAACCACACTTTATGATCTTGGGATGGACTTACTCAAGGGGATCTCCAGCTTGTGTTCCCGTGCCATGGGCCTCAAAATAAGCTGTCGTGGCGAAGTCGCAGCCAGAATCCTTGTATGCAGTCCGGATCAACTCTTCCTGTGCCTCTCGCGAGGGCAACATGATACCCGAGGTCTTGCCATCTTGATTGCAAGCAGTGCCTCGTATCACGGCACGGACTGTATCATTGTCACGGATGGCGTCAGCCAGTGGCTTCAGAATCAAGCAAGCAATACCCTCGCCACGAGAGTAGCCGTTGGCGCAAGCATCGAAGCTGTAGCAACGTGAGTCCGGGCTGAAGAAGTGCATGTTGGACATTGCTGTTATGATATCTGGATTCAGGATCAAGTTGGTGGCGCCAACTATTGCGCGGTGGCTTTCGCCTGAGCGCAAGCTCTGACAGGCCAAATGAAGGGCGACAAGACTGCTACTGCAAGCCGTGTCGAGAGTCAGACTGGGGCCCTTGAGATCATAAAAGTAACTGATACGGTTGGACAGAATGGCAGCTCCGTTGCCTGTCACTGAGTACAGCGGTGCTGTTTCAGGGTCGCGGTCAATGATCTCGTAGTAGTCGCGTGAGAAGCTACCGACATAACAGCTCGTGTCCGAGCCAGCTAGGTCTTCCATGCTCATTCCGCCACTCTCCATGGCCTCGTAGACGGTCTCCATGAGAATGCGTTGTTGAGGATCGATACTCTTGGCTTCTGTAGGAGGGATGGAGAAGAATGATGCGTCGAAGGCGGCGACGTCTTGTTTCAAAAAATGTCCCCCTTTCGCATTTGTCTAGGTAGCCATCTAGTCAGTATAAAGATTCTTTTGTACAGGGAATGGAAGGATCATACATTGCCCCCTCGTTCACCGTCGGGATGCCAATAAGCATCAATGTTCATGCGATCCTTGGGGACCTCACTCCACGCGGCTTCCCTGTTGGCACATAGCTCCCATAGTTTGTCGGGGTTGGTGGCTTCGCCAGGCAGTCTACAGGCCATGCCTACAATGGCAATGGGCATGGACTTGTCCTGCTGTATAACGGCCTGAACCAGGGGCTCTGGTTGTGAGTGGCCATTACTGCTGTTGTTGGAGAAGGAGGGCATCTTGGTGGGCCTCTTGGCAGGACTTTGGCTTCAAGAGACGCGTGGTGATTGGAGAAATGATTAAAAATGACCGCTGGAGACGGATTGGGTATTCCCTTTGTGATATACAGCGTTCTCATTTAGATGAGCTTCATTTACGGGATATTTCTACAGATTTTCCACTTTCAAGGAGATAGAGGATTCGATCTGACCGGACATATCCGCCAAAGATTTCGGAGGCAGCTTCACTGGTGGTAGCCAGCGGCGGATAAAACTCGTGAGCCGATCCACGGCGGGATACGAAACACGGTATTGATTCCTGCGCCCCGTTTCTGCTTACCGGTAAGCTCAACTACGAGATACCACATACAGAAAGATGACATGAGATTATTTTCCCGAATATGCAAATCCAGTTCGTCTATAGCGGTTCCCGCATGCCGGCGTCCGTTCGCTCACGCCATGTCTCGGCGGGTTCCTGCAAGAACAAGACCCATTCGCTCGGTGGGTTTCGACGGCGCGAATCCTTTCGGGAAATTCCGAACAAGGAGGAAGGCTAATTTATAGCAAATGTTGAAAACGAGGGGAATTCAACATGCCAAATCGAGTGATAACACTTGGCCGCTGATTCCGCCCTTGTGCAAACCCCCTGAAAACAGTAGCATGACAAAACACGGCCATCACAACGAAAATCAATCATAGCCAGTTAACCGACTCATGCGACACGATGAAATTTCTCTGCTTGCATGGTGCTGGGACCAACTCAAGTGTACGTCTTGCCTCTAGGGCTTTCTTGTAATTATGAGCCGGTCTAATTGTTCCTAGGTCCTCGATATCCAAACTGGTTGGCCAAAGCATCCCACCATTATAACTCGTATTTAACTGAAGAGCAGGCCCAATACGTGACGCAATCGGCACAAATGCCACTTTTGAGTTCTTCAATGGATTTTGTGAGGTAGAACCGGTTGAAGGTAACTCCTCCCTCTCATATCTCCTTACGTTTAGACACACTCAACTCCATTGACCAGAAATCAAGAACATCTTCGCCGGCCCCTTCTACACCTGGTACTCCCCCGGTTTGGGCGGGAAAACTTTGACGGAAGCCAAAGCTGAGCTACTAGACCTTATCGCTGTTGAAGGGCCATTCGACGCCTGTCTGGGCTTCTCGCAAGGTGCCGCTATCCTGGCTGCCGTGATCATAGACCATCAGGCGCAAAACCCATATGGGCCCAACTTATTCAGACTCGCCGTCTTCATCTGCGGCGGTAGTCCGCTCCTTGTCACCAAGACACTAGAGAAGCATGATTCGGACTATCAGCCTCCTGTAGATAACATGGCTGCGTTGACGGAACCGTGGTTGGGACCCTATGTACCTGGACACGAACCACACCCTGATGAGCAGTGGAATATTTTCAAGGCACAGAAATTGAACGATGCCGGCTTGACGATCAGGATCCCTACGGCACATATTTATGGGGCAAGGGACCATACCGTCAAGGAGAGTTTGAACTTGAGGGATATGTGTGACCCGAGAAGGAGAGTCGAATTCGATCACGGCGGAAAGCACGAGGTACCAAGAGCGACCAGAATTGTGCAGCAGATGGCCATGACGATCAGGAGAGCGGTAGATAAGGCGATGACAGCTCAATAAAAAATTAGTTTTGCTTTTCTAAATTCATTCTCTCCAAATGATTTGGTTCACAATCGATGAAACCCTCATGCATTGGCTCTTTTTTTCCCCGAATATTGCTATTTGTACAGATAAAGACATTCTTGATCCTGCTAATAATTATGCAATATCCTCCTCGAGTAATGTAGAAGATATTTCTTTCTAAAGACTAATATTTAGTGTTTATTTTTTATTGTATTAATATTTTATTTTGTTTCTTAGTTCTAATTCAATAAGAAAGATGTCCATTCAGTACTACCTTTAACTGCCCAGCATCGTAGGTATATCAAAGCCATGCAACAGTTTCAAACAATAGGGGCACAAACTTAGCACTACACCGTACCGGAAGATGCGGTAGTTCATACACCAAAGTTGTTACACATTTACCTTTCATTCATCCATCACCGCATTTATATAGGGAGGTTACCCTATGTCAAGACCAATTTACACATTCAAGAATAACGCGTTAACTACAGGATTATCAGAAGGGCGAAGGGTTTTAGTCCGAACATGAAGAGTAACACAGATATTTTTCTAATTTCTTCCATTCATACTAAGTAAGCTTTTGAACATAATGATAACTAGTACGGTGGTAAGCTAGGACTGGCTACTATAAGAAGCATGAAATGTATTCCCTATCTGGACTCGCAACCACCAGCACCATCAGTCACTCCGTCGCCCTACTTTCTCTTACTATAGCTCACTACCATGCACTTAGTATCACTCAAATAATTCACAGGCTTCAAGAACACGTACCCGGGAACTCCTCTGTTATCTTGGGGGGGTGCACGATCCACCAGTCCAACGCCTTGAGGGCCAAATTGCGCCACCACGACTTCCAGGGAGTGTCTCCTGCGTTGAACGAGAACTTTTGCGCCATCATGCTCTGCCTGGCGGCTTGGAAGCCATGCTTGAGCATGTCTTTTTCGTAGGCTGATATTCGGGCTGTGAGAGAGATCTCCTGTCCTTGCTTCGATTGGGATTTCAGAGCATCAGCGAGAGACATGGCGTCGATAATGGCGCTGCTGGCACCTTTCCCCAGATAGGGAGTCATGCTGTTCGATTCGTCAATTTTGCTTTCATCTTGATTCTAAATAGCGTGAGGGACTCACCTGTGAGCAGCATCTCCAAGAAGAGTCACCCTTCCCGTCTCCCACGGATCAATCGGGTCCTGTGTCTTCACATGCGAAACAAATACCGAGTTCGGCACACTGAGGGCAAGCAATGCGCGTAGAAGTGGGTTCCAATCTTTGGCTCTGGCGAGACATTCGTCTTTCAATTCCTCAGGCGTCATTTCGTCCGGGTGTTTGTTCTGGTTGACGAATTCATCGGTATAGCAGCCCATTCCGAACATGAGGAATGAGTCCGCAGGGTCGATGTTCTGCAGGTCGTAGGGTCCGTAGGGTTTCTGGCGATCTTTGTAGTACGCCACCACCATTGAGCGTCGGGGCGTCATTGCCTGGATGTGAGTTAGTTATCACATCCACAGTCTTGGGGTCATGGCGGAATCGTACCACGCATCCGGACTTCCAAGGTATCATAGCCTCAGTTTCTGGCGTAAAAGGTGCTTTGAAGTAAATAACCGTGAGGCCGCTGGCAGTCCTGCTGCTACTCGGCAACAACTGCTTGCGGACTTTCGAACCAGCTCCATCAGCTCCTACCAGGACATCACACCCAATCTCATCACCGTCGCCAAACCGCACTCTAACACCGCCTTCCTCCCCCTTTACCTCCTCGTAAGAAGAAAACTGTTTGCCAAACTTGACAAACTCCTCCGCGCCGTGCAACAGAGCCTCCCGCAATCTCCACCTTGAAATGGAGCACATATCTCTCGACTGCTGCACATCCATCCGACAGATGAGCCCGCACTTCTCATCCATGAGCCCCACGCGGTTCCCCTGACTCTGCGGGACACCAACGGCGCCATCGATGAGAGCTACACAAGCCGCAGGAAGTTGGTCGCGTAGGCTATCGAGAACGGAGGGTGGGACAAGGATGCGGTAACCAACCAATGTGCTGGTATCACTGCCTCCTCGTGTGCCACTCTCATAGACAGTCACACTAAATCGAGGGTCTTTGTGAAGTATCTGGGCAAGAACCAAGCCGCCCGGGCCGGCGCCTATGATGGCAACGCGCAAGGGCTTCTGCTCCGACATAGTTGTTATTGTTCTGGATATGTGGCAGAGTTCTTCCGCTTTTTTGAGTATTCATAGCTACTAAGTCAATATGAGTCTACTGTACACAATCGTTCCACTTCGGAGGGAACGCACTGAGTATGAGAGGATTCTCGGCGGGTTTTGCTTACCACCGGTTGAATGAGGCCACCTGCTTGTGGACCCGGTTCGGACCCGGCGGAGCCCGGAATCCTTTTCAACGCCCCCTTTCCTAACATTGGCAATGCTGTGATCTTACAATATTCACAGTGGCAATGGCACGACTTTCAGAAACCGGCCAGGCGCCGATGCCAGAGCGACCGCCCCAGCTCGACAGCCCCAGCACTAGCTCCTTGCGCATGGCCTTGGGCGTCCTTGGGTACAACCCCTGTTACGCTACAATCTACTCGGTGTGACTCTTCTGATACACAACAGACTCTGGATATGCCTCTTTCTGTCCGCGCTGGAAACGACTATTGTCGCAACAGCATTGCAGACCATTTCCGATGATCTCAACGGCTTGGCACAGTCAAACTGGGTGGTTGTGGCCTATCTTCTCACATACAATGGTAGAGCAGCCACGCGAGAGACATACAGACGAACACCGCTGACAGCCGACGTTGAAATAAATAGGATTTCTTCTCCTATTCTCCAAATTGACCGACATCTTCGGACAGAAGGCCCTCCTCATCGTGGCTCAAATCATCTTCTTGATATCTTCTCTGGCCTGCGGGGCAGCGCAGACGATGCCCCAACTGTAAAACTTCCCTAGCACCTTTTCCATGTCATCAATCGACCCGTCTCTGACTGTGGCTATGCCGACTAGTATCGTCTTTCGCGCCTTCCAAGGGCTTGGCGGCTCTGGTATATATTCCACTGTCTTTATCATCATTGCCAAGATTGTCACGGTCGATAAAGTCGGCACGTACACGGGGATCCTCAGTTCAGTGTTTGCGTTGGCCAGTCTCCTGGGACCAATCCTGGGTGGTGCAATTGTTGACAATACGACTTGGCGATGGGTGTTCTTCATCAAGTGAGAAACAATCCACCTCCCATGATGGCGTATCCAGCCAAGAAGAAAAGAGTGATAGACTGATGCTTATAGTGGTCCGGGTATTGTCATCTCACTCCTCCTCGTCATTTTCGCCATTCCCAACTCGAACCAACAGTTTCTTGGCAAAGACACGATACAGCGCGTCGACTTCATTGGGGGTCTCATATCCATAGCCTGGCCGATAATGCTAGTATTTGCGCTGCAAGAGGCCGGCGACGGCTATTCATGGGGCAGTAGCACCATCATCGGGACTCTCGTAGGCAGTGGTGTTGGGCTAGTCTCGTTCGTCGTGTATGAACTTTGGGTCCAGGGCCAGCCAAAGACGGAGCCGATTTTTCCCATTGGACTATTGAGGAGCATAACATTGTCGCTCAACTTGATGTGCGTTCTTTCTCTCATCATGTTTGAAGAACAGTTGAAACTGAGGGAAATTGAGCTGATCCAATATTTACAGTACCATGTTCGCGATGGGCGCCTGCTTCTATGCCGCTATAATCCTCCTCCCCCAACGATTCCAATCCGTCAATGGCCTCTCTGCTTTAAACGCTGGTCTCAACATGCTCGCCTTCACACTGGTCTCGCCAGTTTTCTCCATGGCATGCGGCATAGTATTGTCCAAGAAGCCTCCAGCCGCCCTCGTTCTGTTACTTGCCGGATCTGCTTTGACGACCGTCGGGATGGGCTTACTGAGTACTCTGGCAGACTCTGGATCTGTATCTGCTCCGGCATATGGATATGAAGTTCTTCTTGGAGTGGGTTTAGGTCTTATGATGCCGTCGTTGATCTTCTTGTTAAAAGTTGAGTTTGACGATGAGAACTTGGGTATGTCTTCTCCCTTTTCTCTTCATCTTTTTATTCATTTAATAACGATGCCAGCCGCCGTCATGGGCGCAAACAACACAACTCGTACTCTGGGTGGTTGCGTAGCCTTGTCTGTGTGTTCGACTGTGCTACACACAGATCTTCACAGCAAGCTAGCCGCCTTTCTTACACCTGAACAGATTACAGCGGTGCTCGGCTCCTCGGCCGCCTTCGGCAACCTCTCTGACTCTGAGGCACTCCGGGTACGCCAGGCATATGGTGCAAGTTATGATACGCAGTGTCGAGCTATGTTGGCGTTTGCTGGACTGGGTTTCGTATCGGCACTTTGCCTAGGATTGGCTAGTAAAAGGTTGAGAGACAGGATACAGGCTGTTGGTGCAGGGCAAGAACAAGGTTAGTGAGTAATTAATCGTGATATTATGGTGTGGTACAACATATAAATGCAGAGACGTTGAAATTTATGTTTAGTAGAGATCTAGCTACGTATACAATGTTCCATTCATTTCTACCGTTACGTTCAAGGTCAAATATACTATGATTTCGCACTTTTCTGTGAGTTGAGTAGATAGTGAGTAATATCCTAGCTATTGTGAGTCCAGTCTGGATACAAAACATCCACGGACTTCAACCAAAAGTGAAAGCAGATCTACCTAGATCTACTTGGCCAAATTCCTCAACCACTCTGAATTTCCAAGTGCTTTGACCGACTCTATCAACCCACCTCGGTGGAACCACAACATCCGCCCGCCAATTCCCAATCCCCCGAAGACAGCACTCATACCCAGGAGGCTGACAGCCCATAGATCCCAATTCTTTGCCTTCCATGCTGGCATCCGCATATCCGCCGTCTGTAAATGCATGGGCCTGAGTTCCTTTCCATCCTTGAATCTCAGCTCGGTGTCGTACATGAGCTCTTCAACCAAATCCGCGGCATGGTGCTTTCGCCTGGAAGCAACATGGGCAATGCGCATCAACCGCAGAGAATTCCGCTGGTAACTCCCGTCTTTGTCTGCCAGAATCTCCTTGCCTTTGGTGTAGAGCTCCTCTGAGGTGAAGCGGAACTTATTCAACGGCTGAGCAACGCCCCCCGCGACCAAGCGCGTTGTGTTGGAGATCTGATCCATAAATACACCCATCGACAGCATGGGCACGCCGTGGAAGAGACCCTCATTAGCGCTAGAGCCACCTCCATGTGTAAAGTAGATCTTTGTGGAAGGGTGGTCGAGGATAGAACGCTGGGGGACGAAGAAAGAACAGAGCCAGTTCGGGTCCTTGCCTGAGAGAAGATCGCTTAGACGGATCGTCTTGTTGCCCCCAGACGGCTTTTTCATGTTGTAGGTCGTATTGAGGTCGAAATCCTGGCGGCCACTCTTGCCAATGGACCAAATTACACCATCGATCAAACCCTCCTCCATAAGGCGCAGGAGGCCGTTGATAATCTTAGCTGCATCGGCGTTGGTAAGAATAATGTGCGTGCCCAAGGCGATGTAGATGACCTTGGTGTGCTGGGACAGGAACTGGTGACACTCCTCATTCAGCGGGGGATAGGTATCACGGATCAAGGGTCCAATAGGGGCGCAGGTAGGAGGTAGGTCACGCGGGATTTCCAGGCCTAGGAACGAGTTGATGAAGATGAGGTAGTCGGGCTTTTGGATTCGGTGAGTCGGGTATGTGACACCGTTCTTTAGGCGCATCTGCTTGGTCCACCGCATCCATTTCATGATGACAGGCAAGTCAAAGTAGATGACAAGTTCATTCCTCATTCGCAACCAAATGCTTGCATTCTCAGAGGTAAGGGTTCCCTCGAGCTGGAAGCCCGGTTCGCCAGGGATGTAAGAGCAAGGCATCATCAAGAAGGGCATCTGCGGCCAAACCTGGGCGATGGGCAGATTATACTCGACGTGGATATCCTTGACAGCGTCGACGAAGAAGTCAGCAATCATCATGCTCGGCCTCGTGTCAGGGTCGTCCATGATGGCTTTCAGTCCCCGGTACGTCTGCGGCCAAAACGAGTCCCAGAGATATTTGCTGGGCATGGTTCCGCTAATGCCCTTGGAGATATCCCACGTTCGCATGCGCAGATAGTGGGCATTCATCTGCTCCGAGGTCGGGCCCGGACCAAGGGAGTGGACTTTCGTGATGAACTCATAGTCCTTAGTCCAGCCGTCTTGACCGTCGAGTGTAGCAAACTCGACGGTATGGCCTCTTGCAGCGAGAACGCCGCCAATTTCAAAGACAGGGCCTGTGTGGTATTAGATTTAGGAGAGCTTGTGTATCGAGACAACGGGGATGAGCTGACATACTAGCATGCGTGAATCCGCCCGTCGTCACCACCAGCAAGATCTTGCGCGATGGGTGCGCCAACTCGAGATTGGCCATGATGTCAATGATGGGCTGAACGATTGCCAGATGACGAGATGACAGGCTCAGGTTCCCGTGAGTGAAATATTTTGTCCCGGATCGCCTGATCTTAATTACAGCATAGCCACGGAATTGACCGCACCCAACAGCGGCGGGTTTATCAGTGTGTGATTGGCCATCTGATAACCCGCCGAGGCCAAGGATGTTGGCTGCAAGTTGACCCACCTGGAACCAGGAAGTTCCCTCCAACAGGCAAAGGCAAAACAGGCTAAGTTAACTGCTCTCAATTTCCCCCTGTAACAAGAAATAATTCCGCATCGTCGCCAGGAGTAGCCTATTGTGCTCATCCCAACACGAAGGAAGATTTTAGAAGAGTTCATATTCCTTTCTAAAACTAAACTCAACACACCACTTGGACCATACAGCCTCCGTAGAACCAATGGACTCTAGTTATTGGACGGTCTGCACTCTCAGATAAGATTGGCTTCTTACTGGAGGTTTTGCTTCTTAAGAGCGGGGAGGCCTGGATGTCTTGTGCCTTCTGGGAAGTTTCATCTACAGGCTCTATTAATTCATTGCGAGTGCTTCACGAGGAAGTAACGCAATCTTAACCAGTTGAGAAAGTTGAATACACCAGCCCTATATCCCACTAAAAGTCCACCCTCTTCGGCGACTTTTTGCCCGAGTCCGCCACCAACTCGCCGCTCAGCCAGGGTTTCCTCGGAAGGTTGTCAAGGTGAAATTTGCATTTCGATCCCTGACAAGGGTTAGTTCTCTTGGCCTCATCAAATTTTTGATACGGCGGCTCACAACCACTTTGATTACTTGCAAAATCCAATTCTAGACGTCAAGTTCATTTTACCTGTAGATAAATATTCATTGCAATCCCACTGATGGAGAGCAAATCAGCGGTGTTTAGCTCCGGAAACCCATCTTCGCAGACACTTGTCGGCCGGTTTCAGCAATCATGCACGTTCAAGGCCTGGCTACGACGTTGGTATGTGCCATCCACTGGGTTTCAGCACATGCATCCTCGGTTAGTATGTGACAGATAAGCTGCGACTGTGTGATCGGATCGTTCTAATGTAACCATTCCAGAATACCCAGCAGGTCTCGGATTAGATGAGACGAAGTGGGGGGAGGCCCGAGAGAAGGCAAACAACCTGATTGCCCGCATGAATCTCACGGAGAAGGCCATGATGGTGACAGGTACCTTGGACGGTACCTGCATTGAATATGTCGCCCCAATTACCCGTGTCGGCTTCGGCGGTTTGTGTCTGCAGGATGGTCCCAGTGCCCTGCGAACGGCGGACAAGGCCAGTGTCTTCCCTGCTGGGCTGACTACCGCCGCGACCTGGGATAAGAAGCTCATGTACGCTCGGGGATCGGCATTGGCACAAGAGTTCCGGGACAAGGGAGCCCACGTTGCACTCGGGTAAGTGGTCCCCATTTCATCTACTTACGTGCAGCTGGGAATATTCGTTGCTAACGTGTGACATCCGTATAGCCCTGTGGCCGGGCCATTGGGTCGGTGTCCGTGGGGCGGACGAAACTGGGAAGGCTTCTCCCCAGATCCGTATCTCACAGGCGTCGCTATTGATTTGACCATTCGAGCCACTCAAGAGATAGGCGTTCAAGCCACGGTCAAACACTTGATCGGCAACGAGCAAGAGACGCAGCGGAAGCCGACTTTAATTGACGGCGTTATGGTCGATGCGGTATCATCCAACATTGATGATCGCACCATGCACGAGCTATACCTCTGGCCTTTCGCGGACGCTGTTCACGCCGGGGTTTCTTCCGTCATGTGTTCATACAATCGAGTCAACGGCTCATATGGTTGCGAGAACTCAAAATTGGTCAACGACCTCCTCAAAGGAGAACTCGGCTTCGAGGGCTATGTTAGTTCCGATTTCTTCGCCACCCGGTCTGGTGTAAAGTCGGCCAAGGCCGGTCTGGACCTCAACGTCCCGGGGCCAATCGCCTATACTAATCTTGGAAATACCTACTTTGGGGAAAATCTTGTGACCGGGGTGCAGAATGGGACTTTGTCCTCGAGTCGACTAGATGACATGGTTCGCCGGGTCCTCATGCCGTACTACTACCTGGGTCAAGATGAGGGCTACCCATCTGTAGACCCATCAACCTATTATCTTGTTGCTCAATTTCTGGGTGTTTCGCCACGCGATACACTCACACCAGCGGGACGGGACGTCAGAGCGGACCACGGTGAGTTGATCCGAGAAATAGCGGCTGCCGGTACCGTCTTGTTGAAGAATGACAACGGCATTCTCCCTCTGAAAAACGCTTCTAATCTCGCCGTGTTCGGCAACGACGCTGCTGATCCGACAAGCCTTGTTTATTCCGATGGCGGTCCTAACATCGGCACTCTTGTCATTGGCGGTGGAGCTGGGAGTGGCCGCAACTCCTATGTCGTGTCGCCGTTGGATGCCATCAAGTCTCGGGCCAAGAAACTAGACGTGGTTCAATTTATCGCCGATAACACAGTCCTCGCTGAGGGAGACTTCTCTTCACTATACCCACAGCCTGCTGTCTGCTTGCTCTTCTTGAAAACCTGGGCAGAGGAGGGATATGATCGCACTACCCTGGAAGCAGACGATGACTCTACCGCAGTTGTCGCAAAGGTGGCCTCTTTCTGTCCGAAACGAACTGTGATCATAACGCACTCTGGAGGTGCCAACATTATGCCCTGGGCATCGAACCCCAATATCTCAGCTATTCTCGCTGCTCACTATCCTGGGCAAGAAAGCGGGAACTCCATTGCCGATATCCTTTTTGGCGACGTTAATCCTTCGGGGAAGCTTCCCTATACGATAGCGAAGGAGGAATCAGACTACAATACTCCAGTCTTAAATTTGACGGGCCCCGATGCTACCAATTCTTCAGAATGGCAATCTGATTTCGTCGAAGGTTTGCTTATCGACTATCGTCACTTCGACGCCATGAACATTACGCCTCAGTATGAATTCGGCCATGGCCTGAGTTATACCACCTTCGCCATAACTGATGCGTCAGTGGTAAAACAAAAGAAGGTGACAGCATTTCCGGCGGCTACCAAAAAGTCTACCATATCTTTGGGGGGCAACGCCAACCTCTGGGACACACTATTGACTGTCTCCGTAACGGTGTCAAACACGGGTTCCGTATCTGGCGCCGCAGTGCCTCAGATCTACGTGTCCCTGCCTCATGATGAGGTTCCCTCCGGAACCCCTGTCCAAATCCTGAGAGGATTTGACAAACTCTCGGTACACCCTGGGAAGGAAAAGAGTGTTAAGTTTGCTCTAACTCGTCGAGACGTAAGCTTCTGGGACGTCGAGGCTCAAAACTGGCGCATTCCAAAGGGAAAGATTGAGTTGCATATCGGGTTTTCCTCTCGAGACATCAAAAAGACTTTGTCTGTAGAATTACTTTAGATTTAGTGTTACTGCTATTCTATTTTGAAGACTATTTTATATCTATCTTATCCACACCCCTTGTCTTCCTGTCCGTTTTGCTATCTATGAAGTTTATCCATGCTCTTTTCCTCTACCAGTTACGAGATCACGCCTTTGAGAATCATGCCGGTGATGGTTAAAAGCGTTAGAGAGCAAATCATCTCTGCTGGCGACTAGACAAGTTCCTGGACTAAAAAGTAATACTTTTAACGTCAGGACGGGGGAACTGATTTGCGCAGCTCACATCTACCGTCATTACAAGTTCAGGGCCTGTATTATCACTCCAACTCTGGAACGTACGTTTCTAAGCCATTTTCTGATATTCTTTGAACTTTATGCCATGTCGCTCAATCTAAAAGATCGGGACTTTTGTCAAGGCTCAGGGCAACTCTTTTATTTATGGAACACTAACAAAATCTGCCTGAAAACTCAACGCTACAAAACGAGGTTCTACTAGACATGGACGAGCTATATCTAAGGCAGAGATTCATAATTTAGTTGAGAGTATATGGAGATAGATTTCTTCCTTACCATTGAAATTGATCTATAGTAATCTGGATCAAACAATCTAGGGAAGGGTCTTACTCCTACCCCCGTCTTCGGATCCAAGAACCCTGGTGTGCTGTAAATACTTTCCTTGTAGCCAACATTCAGGTTGCTCTTACCTTGCCGCAATGTCTTTCCGATAGAACATGTTCTCAAATGAGACACACTCTACACCCTTGTAGGCGAGAGAGACAGCTTCCTCAAGTGTTGGTCCATAAGCAGCAACCGACAGCACCCTACCGCCAGCGGTTTTGAGGACACCATTGCTGCATTCAGTCCCGGCGTGAAATATACACACGCCTACATCAAGAATACTACGTCAGAAGAATTATCATAGCTGATAGAAAGACTCACCTTGGGGATGAGGCTTCACCTCAATAATGTCTCCTTTTAAATATGACTCGGGGTAGCCTCCTGCCGCAATAACAACATTGCAGGCATACCCCGGAAGGACTGGGATAGCAACAGTATCCAGGATCCCCGTACAGCACGCCAGTAGAATCTCCGCCAAGTCAGATTCTGATGACAGTAGCATCATCATTGTCTGGGTCTCTGGATCTCCAAACCTAGCGTTGTACTCCAGGACTTTGGGGCCAGTTGGTGTCATCATGATCCCCGTAAAGAGCAAGCCAACAAAAGGGCGACCTAATGTCTATGTCAGAAAGGCTTTTGTCTTCTTTGACTATACAAAGTACATTACCTTCAGTCTTGAGCCCATCAAATGTAGGCTGGAGAATTGTCTCTTCGATCGTTGCCATTTGCGCTGGACTCACAAATGATACAGGTGCATAGACACCCATCCCCCCAGTATTTGGCCCTTTATTTCCTTCAAAGATCCGCTTGTGATCCTGTCCAGGCGGTAGTGACTTGAAGGTTTTCCCGTCACTAAATGTCAGGACGCTGATCTCGTCGCCTTCGAGGTACTCCTCGATGACAACGGATTGACCAGCCGTCCCAAACTTTTCCTCAACCATCATCTCACGGAGGGCATCCTGGGCCTCGGCATGGTTCGTTGGAAGTACCACGCCCTTTCCGGCGGCAAGACCATCAACCTTAATGACCACTCGCCCTGCGTCGACTTGTTGGAGGTAAAGGCTCGCTGCTTCGAAGTTGTCAAAGCTCTCGTAGCTGGCAGTTGGGATGTTGTATTTGCGCATGATGTCCTTGGCGAATTTCTTCGACCCTTCGACTTCAGCTGCCTCCTTGGTGGGGGCAAAACAAGGTATTCCACCTAGAATAATTAGAACGTCACGGAAGAGTTAGAGGTGATGCGCTCACTGCCACGGAAATACCCCTCGATTCCATCGATGACAGCGTCGTCGGGGCCGGCCACGACGAGGCCAATATGGAGCTCTTTCGCTAGAGAAACCAGGAAGGGATAGTTGTTGGCTTCAACATTTTCGATATTGGAGACTCGTGGAAGCTTGGCCGTCCCTCCATTGCCGGGAACGACGTAAACATGGCGAACCGATGGACTCTGGGTCAGTTTCCAGGCCAGGGCGTGCTCGCGACCGCCTTTGCCCACCAACAGCACCTTAAGACCAGATGGCGTCGCATCAGCCATTGCGAAATGAAGCGATGCTCTGTGTATAGAAATTTTTGTGGTGAGATTAATGCTTGAGTTTTTATTCCGCCTTGTCCAGAGGCTTAGTCAACCTATACCCTGATGAACGACGTTGATGTTGGGCATATATAGTTCACTCGCACCACGGTTCTATGTGTAGGTTCATGAAAATTGGTGAAATTCAATTCGCGTCGGATGGCTTATCCTTGGTTCATTCTATGTCATTGGCTTTGTCGATATTTAGATTTCGTTTTCGACCCATTGACGAGGCGCAATAGTCATTATAACCAGAACAATCCAGCGAACACAAATAGCAATGATGCCTTCAATCAACCACCCGGCTTGAAAGCATGGATATCATCCAAATCCACTGGAGGAAGCCCATAGACATCGGGTCGATCGCAGAGACGGCCGATCTCGATGGAGCCAAACCCCACTGCAAAGGATACAAGTTATTCAGCCGGACAAATCAATCGCAACTCGGGTCTCTAATTAAAACACAATGAATTGACTTTCTATAAATGTTTCCTCATTCCCAAGGATTTATTCCATGAACAATTCGGGGAGGTCTGCGTGACTTGAGCTTCCAACGCGAACCCGTCCGTCGATGCTCCACGACTCCGCCGCAGGCTTTCCCCACCGTCCTTCACGAAGGCTCTCGGGAACGATGGCGGCACAGCAATCGTACGTTTGCTTGCTCGGGATCTCGGACGAAATAACCCAGCGACTGAAGGTGGATAATCCGCCCTTGGCCAACCCAAAACGAAATGCTGGTCGTACACCAGCTCGCAAACCAGGGCTCGATCGAGTTAGCTTTGTGTCTGGTTTCGGGTATTTTCACCTCAATCCCTGCCATTCCTGCGCCATCCGAGGAAGCACAACCTGTCAAGCTCTTCCCCGCACATGTGATGGATGAGGCGACAGCCGTCAAACATGGGGTAGGTGGCAAACGGCTCCCAGGCCATTAGCTGCCAATCGTGCTTCATCAATTCTACTTTCAACTCCGAAACATTTCGCTTTTCTACGAGTGGCCGCTCACAATGCCTGCCCACGACTCAATCCCACTCGACGCTCCGCTGCCGGCTATCTCGGCCGTGGACGACTTGAATCAAGCGCAATGGGACATTATTCTTGCCATTTGCGATGCTATGATTCCAGCCATTCAGCCCGCTGCGCTCTCAAGTAACCCTGGCCAATCAGCCAGTCATGCTCTGGATGAACAGCAACCCCTTATTGTCTCTAATTTCCAGTCATTTGAGGCGCAAAAAAATATCACTCAAGAATATCTTCATGAGATCCCTTCGGCAATTCCGGAGTTTCGGCATCTTTTGCGCAGAACCTTGCTTGATGGTCTCTCGTCGACAGATAAGACACAGCTCCTTCGAGTGCTAAATCTCCTCAGGTAAGTTGATAATACCAGTACATCGTCTGCTGTCCTCATGAACCAGCTTATTTATCGCAATCAAGTCCGAACAGTATCGGATGAGACTGACTACTTTCCTAGCTACACGGCCGTTTCGGCATTACTCACCGGTCGGACGACTATCATCTCCGAGCAGCCAATTCATATTCGCGAACAAATCCTCCAAGGCTGGGCGACGTCTCGATTTGGAATTTTGCGTCTCTTTCAGCGTCAACTTGGTCTCCTGGCAAAAGAGGTATGGGTCCGCACCACTCCAACCCTCCGCCCAATGCTGGGACTCCCCCGCGTACCAGTCAACTGTACTTTGGGAGAAGGGCATCAATACAACTTCATCCAAGTACCTCCCGGAGAAGGCGATGAAATTCTCGAGGCAGATGTGGTGATTGTTGGAAGCGGTTGCGGCGGAGGCGTGTGCGCGAAAGAGTTCGCCGAGGCAGGTCTCAGAGTCATTGTAGTGGACAAAGGACACTACTGGTCGCCAGAATACCTCCCCATGACTGAGGAGCAAGGTCCGAGTCAGATGTTCATGAATGGAGGCCACTTAATATGTTTGTGAACCGCCGGTCTGTCTATCTGGTGCTCAGCCAGCTGACTCAATCGCAGCGGACGACGGGTCAGTATGTGTCGTGGCGGGCGAGACCTGGGGCGGCGGCGGTGCCATCAATTGGTCCGCTTCGCTTCAACTCCAAGGATATGTCCGACGTCAATGGGCAGCCACAGGACTGCCGTTCTTCACATCAACGGCCTTCCAGCGATCCCTTGATCGGGTCTGTGAGACCATGGGGGTATCTACCCAGCACATCCAGCACAGCAAACCCAACAAATCCCTCCTGGAAGGATCGCGAAAGTTGGGTTGGGCGCATAGCGAAGTGCCCCAGAATACCGGCGGTGCAGAACACAGTTGCGGCCACTGCAGCATGGGATGTCGATCTGCGGAGAAACAAGGACCGGGCGTGGCGTGGCTCCCCAAGGCTGCCGCAGCCGGTGCCAGCTTTCTCGAAGGGTTCACTGTCAATAACATCCTGTTCGAGAATGTCCGAGGCGAGAAAGTTGCCAAAGGAGTACGTGGTGTCTGGAGAGCACGAGACGAGCATGGAGGCGTGGCTGGTAAGCCCACAACGACACGCAAAGTAACTATCCACGCAAAGAAAGTGATCGTATCCTGTGGCACATTGCAATCACCATTGCTCTTGCTTCGATCCGGCCTCAACAACCAACACATCGGCCGCCACCTATATCTCCATCCTGTGTCCATGGTCGGAGCCATATACGATGAGGAGACCCGGCCTTGGGAAGGCCCGATCTTGTCTTCGGTGTGCTCTGAGTTCGAGAACCTCGACGGCCGCGGTCATGGTGTCAAGCTAGAGACCCTAAGCATGATACCTTGGTGCTGGCTAACATGGCTCCCGTGGACTGGCGGCCAGCAGTTCAAGCAGCTAGCTGCCAGACTGGGACACATGGCAGGTTATATCAGTGTTCCCAGAGATCGAGACACTGGTCGTGTATACGCTGATCCAGCGGATGGGCGATGCCGGATTCAATACCACCCGTCCAAGTTCGACAAAGACAACATCCTTGAAGGCCTAGCCGCACTGTCTCGAATCAACTACGAGGCCGGGGCCCGTGAGATCTTCACAATTGTGCCAGGTATGGAGACATACTTGCGCCGCGACCAGGATGACTCGAGTGCTCCCACCGAAACCAAGGCCGAGGAAGCGGTTGACGCAGAGTTTGAGCATTGGATGGCGGGATTACGTTCCCATGGCTTCCCTTCTCCTCAGTCTTTCTTTGTTTCGGCCCACCAAATGGGGACATGCCGGATGGCTGCTACGCCGAAGGCTGGTGTAGTGGGTGAAGATGGTCACGTCTGGGGAACCAAGGGTCTTCACGTGGTTGACGCAAGCGTGTTCCCCACGGCCAGCGGTGTAAATCCGGCTGTCACTGTGATGGCCATTGCAGATCACTTGAGCAGATCGATTGTGGCGAATTGGACAAGGGAAAGGTTGTAAGAGTATTTTTGCATTCGAATCGGCGGTGTACCAAGTAATTTGTCTGTCTAGCTTCACAGCAGTGAGAGTAAGAGTCGACAGGCAACATGCATAGTACCATATCCCACATATTCTAGCAGTCATGAATCGAATTACTGGTCTTGACCCTTCGTTCTTGCTTGACGAATGCATATCCACTCTTGCAGCATAGCCTCAGCTTCCTCGAAGTCCTCGTTAGACCGCATGCCATCGATGGCAAATCGAAGAAGTCGTCTTGCCAACCTGTAAGCGGGCTTATAGGCGAATCTGAGGTAGTCAGGTCCTGCAGCTTCCTCAAAAGTCAACTTCAACTGGACACCTTCCTGGGTCGGTGGCTCGTCATTTGCTGTGCGCTCGTCTTCATCTTCGTCATCATTCCAAGCCCAGATCCACATGGGAGGAGCACATGACATGAACATGGGGGCGAGGACAGCATTGTCACAATCAAGAACTGCAGAAATGACGGGGGTTTGCACATCGAGCGTCGGGTTGATCAGAATATTGCGAGGAGCGAGATCCAGGTGAGCAAGTGAGTAATGGGTATCGGCAAACCACCCATCGGCCTCCAGTTCGGAAGCCATATCGCAAAACCGATCCAGGAACTTAGGCGTCAATAACTCCGTGGACCACCATTTAAGGCGGATAGCCTTCTGAGCTTGGAAGTTGGCTGTGAGAAGCTCGTGAACGGATTCAGTCATGGGGGAGTCGGTATATGGAGTGGGAGGCTGAGCATCCATCAGTCTCAAATGTGCGACGTAAAGTGGCGCACTGAGACGTTTGTGCTTGTTCGAAAAGGCCAGCCTGCCGGCCACGCTGCTCCGTACAGCTAACATTTGGCGATATACGCTTCCGAGTTCTCGAGCGACTCTACATCGTTGAATGTGGTTCAGTTTCGGGAACGATGAGTGCAAGTCGGTTCCATCAACGCGAATCTGAGCTGCATACGGAGAGCCCAGGGCATTCTGGTCCGTCTCGTCGAATGCCACGACCTCTGGGGCGGGTATATTGGTATATTGACGAAGGAATTGAACGCTGGCAATTTCACTTTCAATATGCGCCGCGTCGAACCGTGGTATGCGCAAAATGTACCGAGTTTTGGTGTCGGTCTGGGAATTGTGCTGTGTCAGGCCGGTAATGCGGCTGTATCCGCCTCCTCGCATGCGCTCAATGGTGATTTCATCGGGGACGGAACCAGGCCAGATGCTAGTGACCGCAAGTGCCAACACACGGGAGCGAAAGGTGACAAATGGTTCGTGTTTGTAAATTATGGACGAAGAATCCGAATCGTCATCCGAACATGGTCTTGGTGTTGAGGTAGAGGCCATTCTCTGGCAAACAAAGGTTGAAACAACAGAGCACCAGCATACCCTACATCACAGCAGGGAGATCAGATATCCTCCACAACATATGATTCACGTGATATCCTCAGTCATAACGAACTAGAAGGTGGCTCTGAATCAGTTGACATATTTTAACGCTACCTCGAATGGTCTCTCATCGTTTGTTCTTGGTGTATGATGTCGAAGGACTCAAAACCCCAACCCCATCAGTGAGCAACAAGCGCTTGGTGTTGGCGAAAAGATGCGGGCGCGCACTTGGAGACGATTGGACGAGCATTGCTCGAATATTCCGGACACTTATCCCCCTGTTTCAACGTCTTCCATGATTGCTTGCCAGTGTGAGACGAGGTAACATTTGAGCCATTCTTGGCGAGGTTGAGCACAAGGCAGTTTAGGGGGTGGGAGATGACTCTTTTGTACGCATATGATGTGTTTGGCTCGATACGAAACTATGCACAAGGCACGACCAAAGCACAGGACATCACTGGCTCATGATGAGCCATCAGTCTCACAGTGAGTCAGGAGCAGCCGTCAGCAGTCTAGGAAACCAAGCGACACCAATCTCCCCATCCCCCACAAACGAGCGATGCGTCCTCGCCGATGACTCCTTTGCACACGCAGCCAATAGACGGGCCCAATTCCGCATAGCACGACCCGGAACCGCGGAGAACGGGTCAGCCATTACTCAGCCACGACCACGAGCCTCCCCACGCCACAAGCCACAACCCTGGAGGCGGCCGTGCCTGCCCTGTTTGCCTGCCTGCCATTCTGGGAATGGGAAAGTGCCGCCATCGCCAGCTTCCTCCTGCGATTCTCCTTGGAAGCACCCATCTAGACCATCCTCACGTTGCTACAGCTCCCGAACCGCTTTGCGAAACACACTTCCATCAGGCCCCAGGCCCTAAGGCCCCCCCGTGAACACCATATCGACCAACAGCAAGCAACCAACCACAGCCGAATCGACTCCCCGCAAGAATACCAGATCGACACCGTCAACTATCATGGCTCCAGACGGAGACACTGCCTCTGCGCCAGCTCCCGGCGACTCTCAGACCCAACCTCGCGGCGGCGATGGCGCTCGAGGCCGTGGCCGTGGACGCGGCAAGGGGAACCAGAAAGGACGAGGAGGCACCCGCCGTGGACGAGGTGGAAATAACAGCTCTGCCGATGTTCCAGCCAACCCAGCTGCCCAGGATGTCGCTGCCGCCGCCTCACGAGCACACGCTCTCGGATCCGGGGCCACAGCCAAGGAACCTGCCGACGAGGATGACGATGCTGAGGTTTGCTTCATCTGCGCAAACCCCGTCGCTCACCACTCGATTGCACCTTGCAACCACACCACCTGCCACATCTGTGGGCTTCGCATGAGGGCCCTTTATAAGACAAAGGACTGTGCTCACTGTCGTGTATGCTTCCTCCCCTGTTTCCTCCCTTGTTTTCAACTGACTGACAATACCCTCAGACCCCAGCAGACTACGTCATCTTTACCGATGACCCCGAGAAGCGTTTCGAGGACTACACGGACAAGGACTTTACCACGTCGGACAGCAACGTCGGAATCAAATACACCAACGAAGACATCGTCGGCGACACGGTCCTCCTCCTACGCTACAACTGCCCCGACCCATCTTGCGACTTTGCTGGCCTAGGCTGGCCCGATCTGCACCGCCATGTCAAGTCTGCCCACCGCAAGCGCATGTGCGACCTCTGCACCCGCAACAAGAGGGTATTTACCCACGAACACGAGCTCTTTGCCGACCGCGAGCTGGAGAAGCACATGCGGCACGGCGATGACAAGCCCGGCGCTGCCGACCAGACCGGCTTCAAGGGCCACCCGCTATGTGGCTTCTGTGGTGAGCGCTTCTACGACGACGACAAGCTATACGAGCACTGCAGGATGAAGCATGAAAGGTGCTTCATCTGTGATAGGAGAGATTCTAGGAAGCCTCACTATTACCTTGATTACAACGCCCTCGAGGGCCACTTCAAGAAGGACCATTATCTGTGTTCCGACCGCGAGTGCCTCGAGAAGAAGTTTGTTGTCTTCGACACCGAACTTGACCTCCAGGCCCACCAACTGAGCGAGCACGGAGGCAAGTCGACGGGACGAGATGCTCGAGTAGTGGACATTTCCGGATTCGACTTTAGGCAAACATACCAACAGGAGCAGAGGAGAGGAGGTGGCCGTGATGGAGAGGGTCGCGGCGGCAGAGAAGGACGAGGCAGAGGCCGTGGCCGTGATCCAAACGCAGAATCGGTACCAGTGAGCTCAGCTCAACCGCTACGCAGAGATGAGCTGGCTTTCCAACGCCAAATGGCCATCCACTCGGCCCAGTCCGTGTCAAACCGCACCTTTGGCGGCCAACTGTCCGGTGCTCCTACAGCTTCACCACAGGCCCGAAGCGGGACCTCAACGCCGCGAGCAAGTCAAAATAACCTCAACAATCCAGTAGAGTCAGCCACCGTCGCCGACACATCCAACATTTCTCCCGAAGAGCGGGCCCGCCTGGTTCGCCATGGCGCCGTTGTCGAACGGGCTTCAAACCTCCTCGGAAACGATGCCCATAAGATGGCCACTTTCCGCTCCCACATCACCTCATATCGACAAGGCGCCTTCACTGGGCCTCAGCTAGTCGATGCATTCTTTACCCTCTTCGCCGACACGTCATCCAATGCCCTGGGCACCTTGGTCCGCGAGGTTGCCGAGCTCTTTGATGACAAGAACAAGGCCGATGCGTTGCGCAAGGCGTGGCAGGACTGGCGCGCAATCAATGAGGATTACCCAAGCTTACCGGGACTCAGCGGCATGCACGGTGCCACCTCCAGTTCAAGCGGCTGGGCCAGTGCCTCGGCGGCCAGCCCGGCCTTGCCGAATGCAGCGCCCTCTCAGAAGTATTCCAACCGTGTGCTCAAGCTCAAGAACAGCACTCGATTGGGTGGACCTGCTCCGGTCTCTTCGAAGGGGCCGTCTACCTGGATCGCTACCCCGGCCCTCCAACCTCCGCGAGCGGCCGGCTTCCCATCTCTCCCGTCCTCCAAACCTTCCAAATCCTCTGCCGGTCCTTCCTCCTCCGGACCCTCCTCTTCCGGCCCATCCTGGAACACCGGCTCAGCTGCTCAGGGCAACCAGTCAGCCCCTCTCAACAACCGACCGCGCAACGGCCGCGGCGGTGAGGACGCTTTTCCCGCGCTCCCCGCCGCCCCGAAGCCCCAGACGACCATCTTCGGCTACGGCAGCGGCCGCCTCGTGCACCGCGACTACGGCCAACGCGAGAGCAACTTCCAATGGGGAGGTAGCGAATCTTCAACGCCCGCCGCCGAGGAGCCCACTCAGGAGACCGAGGAGGGTGCACCCAAGAAGAAGGGTGGCAAGGGAAAGAAGAAGCAGGTTTTGGTGCAATGGGGATAAACCAGATGTCAGGACTCATATGTTTCGAAGATTGTTCCATCTCCAGAATGTGTTGCTTAGGGGGGCGGAGTATACCTGGGCGCAAAAGCGAGCGAGCGAACGAAGAGGCAAGGCTGACATTTTAGGCGTTGTAACGAAGAATATGGATGAAGATCGCATCGGAGCGATGGATAGCGAGAACCAGATGTCAATTGAATATACCGGGCATGGCGTGGCCCTTTCATGACGCAATCTTTTGTGAGTTGGGCATCCGTCCCAAAAGTTGAATTGTACCGCCCTGAGCACCATCCATGTGTCATGATCAAGGGATCGAGTCGCCTGAGAGTTCATTGCAAATGGATACATAGAGATAGAGGTGACTTCGGTCTACCATAAACCTCAAGAATAAACACTCGCCAACCATCCAAGTCAAGCCCATATCCAGTCTGTTATGCACGTCGGGAATCTGCTTCGATGCCCTTTCATGTCTCTTAGTCTCTCGCTGCGAATCAAACTTTACTCACCCTAGCTGTGAACGGGCATCAAGTTATCTGGTCTGGGTTTCTTGCTACCCCATCTTTGAGCTCTCCAGCCAGGTATGTGCTCCATGGGAGAACAGAAAGCCAATCTTGCACGGGTCTAAATGGGTTGAGACTCCCACAACCTCACAGGACACCCCGCCAGGATGGGAACAAAACTTGAACATAGCCATCACTCACAGTTCGTGCTTAGTTGAACGACGAAATGATTAAATTCTTTTCAGCCAATTTGCCGTCTTCCGCTACACTAAAGCTTTGCATGATAATCCATCAATACATCACGTGGCACCTTTTAAACCACGCAGATCAGAGTGCCGCGGGCTCGTAGTACTCTCTGAATCGATCCGTCTCTTCCCATTGCACGTTGTACACCACGTTCCAACAGACCAACAACAGCATCGGAAAGCGCACTGTCCAGAACGCCAGATAGCCATCCGGCAGGGGACCGACAGTCCGCTTCAAATTATCCGGCATATCCTCGTAGTGGTTCTTCTTGTTGCGCAGAGCTCGTAGCAAGTCCAAAAGCCGAGTGCCAGTGTACTTGCGCTGCTTGCCAAGAGAGTCGACAAATTCCCTTGGCAGAGCTCGGAGGAAATCGCCCCTGGTAACCTCTGGTGCGTGCCTCTCCAACTCAGCGAGCGCCGACGATGGCGGATCTCGGGGTTCCTTTTCGAAGTGATCTGACACATCACAGAGGAAGGCCAATCTCTTCTTCGCTGACCAGAAGAATGGATGCGACATGACGTCCCTTGCTGTTGGCCTCCTCTTAGGGTCGGCCTGCAGCATTGACGCGATGAGATCGTCCGCTTCATAGGCGAAATCACCGAGGGCATCAAGGGGGCTCAGATTATGGTTGCCCTTGCGAATATTGACTTCCCTCATGTATCTGTCACCACAGTCGAAGGGATGGGAGCCATTCGTCAAGACGTAGAAGAAGACCAATCCGAGCGAGAAAATGTCAATAGCACGTGTAGCTCGGCGGTTGTGGACCATGCTGTCGTTGACGAGGACGGAATTGGAGCCACTTTGAGTGCTCATATCCATCAACCCAGAATCACGGGCGTCATCGTCAAGCAAAAGCTCGGGAGCACGCCATCCAGAAGTTCCTGCCGCCCTGCCAGTGGTAGCGCCAAAGGAAGACTGGCCACCCTCGAGCTTCTTGCAAAGTCCAAAATCCGAAACCAACAGTCGGGGCTTGCCGTCCTTACCCATGTTGACGAGAATGTTCTGCGGTTTCAGATCTCGGTGGACGATGCGGAGACCATGGAGATGACTAATTCCATTCGTGATCTGGTAAAGCACGTTTGGAAGATCATGTTTTCCAGCGTTGGCGAGGTCTCGGAAGAATTGAGGCTTCTCTACCACGTCGGCTAGCGAAGCAGCACAACGTTCTAAGGCGATGTAGAGGAAGCCGTCGCGCATCTGTTGCGAATGGTATCGAATGACTGTTCTTGTTAGCTTCAGCCGGTCAACAGAGGATTGCGGTAGCACTACCATTTGGATGATCATCACTCTCCCTGAGCAACCTAGTCTCCTGAGAGGCGATATCGTAAAATTGAATCAACATCCGCTTGACAGCCACATCTCGGCCATCAAACTTTCCAGCAAACACCAAGGTTCCGTTGCTGCCCGTTCCCAATTGCTCATCGGTGTTGACTTCAATGTTCCCCATGCGAATGATTGGACCGGTGACAGACGACATATCGTTGGCAACTGTCATGACATCAGGCTCCAGACTTGGTCGATCGCCCAGCTTCTTGGCGTTGTTGACGGCGTCCTCGACACTCTGACCAGGATCATCTTCGCGAGATTGAGACAATTCCCGTGCCCGAGCCGCCTTGCGGTGTTTCTGACCTCCTCGGCGTCCCCTGTGCGCCTTCTTCTTCTTCTCGGGAGGTGCCGCTGTCTCAGCACCGTCCAAGGAATTGGCTGGGGAAGGGGAGTCAATGGAGACCTCCTCAGGTAACTTAGGTGTTGCTTCCCTGTCCGCAGTCTCCACCTTGTCACTTGTCTCTGGCGTCTCCTTGTCTGTAGGGGTGGGTCCAGGAGTCGTACCATCAAGCTTCTCAGGCTTCTTCTCTGCCTTCTTTTCTTCAACAGGCTCTTTAGGCAGTGAGCCCAATATTTCCTCCCTGTCACTTTGATAGTCGTCCTCGATCAGCTGGGGATCTGGGTTTGCGGAGAGGTAATATTGAAGCTGATTGATGAATCCTTTGCTCCGAGCCTGATGGTACGATCGTCGAAGCTTCTTCTCATTGTAGATCAACGCCACAACGAAGAGGATTATGAGGATGGGGTTGCTGATGAACTCGGTGACGCTTTTTACGACACTCTGAGGCAACAGCTTGAACTTGGTGATGATGGTTGGTTCCTCATAATCGACAAGTGCTGGAAGTCTTGACTCGGCGTCCTTGTCCTTGTCATCATAGCCATCGTATGCATCGAGGCCGTCATTCGGGCCTGCATCTAGACTGGGTGGTTTCTGGTAACTACCTCGGACGCTCTCGAGGAAATGTGTCCCGACCAAGGCCTTTGAAAGCTGTTCCTGGTTGATGGTATCCCAGGCAGGTGCGATATCCAACCAGTCAGGGCGAGATATCTGGGCAATGGGGGCATTGATGATGAGAGGGTATGAACGGCCGGACAGGGCGTACCAGCTCCCAGTCCTGGTCTGATTCAGGAAGATGCTGTTGCTACGCATCCGGGTAATCGTTCTATCCTCAGACGGTATTGGTGGCTGGGGTAGAACAACCAGGTCTGGGTTGCTCTCCAGTGTAGCATCCCATGGTCGACAGACATCAAAGACACGAGCGACGGGGGCCGAGAAGTCTTCACTAAAGAGCGGCTCGATCTTGTCGGAACGTGAGTAATCAAGTGCATACACTCTGCCGTCATGCTGGCTGGTGATGTATCGGTTGTCGAGGGAGGAAATATGCTGCTGGTAGAGATCGTTGTCGAAGTTGTTGGGACTCCATTCCGAGTATTTGAGAGTTGCAATTGCACGGCCGTCGACACGGCGCTGAATGCCGACAGTGTACTCGGTCCGTCCCAAAGTGATGGTACCTGTGGAGCTACACTCTTCATTGTCCTTGTCGTACAGGGTATTGGGGCGAAGGCAGCTTTCCGCTTTGTTGATATGAGACCCACTGGCGCCAAACCACTTCAGCACTCTGCCGGTGGCTGCATCAAGAGTAATCATGGTGGTTTTCTTGTCGCCAGTGTAAACCACTGCCGGGGTGTCATGGGCGTGGGGAGCTAGGTCTTCGACAAGCTTCTTCATAGTGTAGCCGGTCCATACAAGGCCGGCGTTGGAGTCGGGGATCCAGACGTAAATTGCTCCATCGCGGTTGGGCTCGACAGCCCAGATGTAGTGGTCGATGGGGTCGTAGTCGTCGTCGAGGAGGGACTGGTTAGATCGATGATGGGTCGTCTCAACCATGGGCTGGTCGACTTCGAGATGCCAACGTTCCTTTCCGGTGCGTCGGTCATTGGCGTAGAGATCTCCATCGACGGTCGCCATAAGAACAAAGTCTTCTACTTCCCAGTCCTCCAGACTCCGCGCATTCTGCGGCGAGGTCAGCCCAGAGGCAGGGATGCTGCTGGGCCGTTGATGTCGTGAAGGGGGTGGTGCTCGTACGGACTGAGCCGGAGCCAAAGTTGCGAGGGCGCTCGCATCGTCAGGGATGATGATGTTTTGGGGGTCATTCTTTCGATTCTTTCGGTTGGTGATGTGCTTCAGTTGCTCTGGGAGGTTTCCCGGGAGGTGAGGTGGCTGCTGTAGCTGGCGCTTCTTCAGGGCCTCGAGGGTCTCGCGAGAGGCACCGACGACGTTGATGGGCGTGGCAGCCCATTGGTGGACGGTGTCATCGTCGGAGAGCTGTTGGCTGCTGCCACCGGGGTGGTTTAGGTGCGGGAGGGGTTGTGCGGCGGGTCGGTGCTGCTGCTGAGCGTCGACGAGCTGGATCCAGGGCAGGAGGATGATGGCAAAGGCGAGGAGGAGTTTCTGTTGCTGAGAGGGCCGACGTCCCTCGCCAGGAGGTCGTCGCAGCATGTCGGGGGAGGATGCAGGACCGGTTGGGCGATTACATGGAACCGTGGTCTAAGGCGGAGGCGGTGGCCGTGGAGGAACAGAGGCCATGCCAGGAGGGACGGAGGAGAGGGAGGCGAGAGAAGCGCGGTTCGGTGGGATGCAGGATGAAGTCACACCACGGTCTGGGGCCGAGAGGAGAAAAACGGATACTGCGGAGGTCGGAGGTGTGGGGAGAGAGGATGGAGGAGGGTGGAGGGGGGCGAGCGATGGACGGTGGGCGGTGGGTGGAGGCGGCGGGCGGCAGGATGACGACGATGGTGATGCGATGGCGATGGCGATGTTGAGGTTGAGGATGCGGTGTGATGATATTTGGAACAGTTGACGGGTTGATAATGTTGGATGGATGGAGACGGATGGAGACGGACGGAGCGGGAGGGAAGGACACGGCAGGGCAGGGAGACAGGTTGCTCCTTCCATTTCCATGCCCTGCCCTGGCACAACGTGAAGTGACCTGTGCTGACGGGACAGAATGAACACGCACGACTGCCACACACTGGGCACATACACTGGGCACAGACACGCAAGTTACACTGGGCACACTCGGTGCTCCTCGTTTCTTTCTTCGCCCTGTCTCTGTGTGCGTGGGGCTTCGTACGTCCGTGGCGTGCGAGCGTCGGGCCTGGGCGCCTTGGGTGAGCACAGCGTGGCACGGACGCGGCAGGAAAGAGAAGCAGGGAGACGGACGCCCAACCCGGTTGGCTGGATGAGTGCTCGATGGCTGGCTGACGGGCTGACGCGAGACCGAGTACACTGTGCGTCCACTCCCAAGGTTCGCACCGTCCGCCCGACGCCCAGCTGAAGCAAGCTCGCTCGCAATTCTGGGCTCGCCCAAAAAGGCGCTCAACATCCGATAGACCAAATGCTAAAATTACGTCAGACGTCAACAACCGCCCAGCCCGTCGCGGCGAATTGGACGCCCGCACTGTGCCGCAGAGTGTTGATCTGGCCTGGATCTCATGCACTCCCTGAAGCAAGAAGCAACCACTTCCAGTGTGAGATCGGACGCGCCAGAAGAGGGGCCAAAAAAATAAAATAGGGGATTGCTTTCCAGGATTGCTTTTTGGGCCTGCAACATGTCCCAGTCTCCACGCCTGCTGGTTGGCTCGGGGCTCTTCCCTTGCAGCCACCATGTCAGCCGTGGTTTCACACGCTGCCGAGAGTGCCAAAGGACGGCATAAAACCTCCGTCTGCGGAAGGAGCAGGGAGCAAGATGCAGGGAGCAAGAAACAAGACGCAAGGAGGCCGCGACGATCGTATCCTGACCGTTCCGTGCGTCGGCCACCTCGCACGGTGCTGAATACTGGCTGCTCAACAGTCAAATCCCCCCATTTTGTGGGTTCGCTTGCGTTTCGTTCATACCCCCGTGTGGCCCGTGCTCCACGCCCTCAGCTTCCCTTCCCGTCCCTCCATTTCCAACGGCTTGCCGACTCGGGCCCATCCGTCGCTTTAGGGTAGCAACGGTCGACGGGCAATGAAACATGGACAAAGAATTGCCTTAATACCAGACCTATTTATGACGCAGCATCTAAACCATTGTTTTAGAGGCTAAAACTAAGAGCCTAAATATATGGGAATTCGGGCGTAAACTCTTTTACTCCTTATCATTGTGCAACGTGTCAACCCCTGGGCCCCCCCGTTGACGTCAACCTTCCTCCCAACCCTGTGCCACCAAATACGAACGTCTCCTAGCTCTAAGAAACCACGCGTACATTCCATCACGTCACTTTCCACATGTCGCCAAAGCGCTTTTAAAAAGTGTCACGAATGTTGCCTCAGGGGGAAGCCGATGTAGCTCGATCTGGTCAACCGATTGGTATTAATCAATAAAAGGTTTCCTGACTTGACTAGATTAAATAGCAGCGTTCGCTGGTAAAAGTGACATATGACGAACAAGCTAGCATGCTCCAGGCGAAATCTTGTCGAGAGAAGATTAAATCCTCGACCCATCAGATCCCTATACGAGCTTAGGTTCTCTGTACTCCGTATCTTAGGCATATTTCTAGGCAATACCCACCAATACCTAAGCCCAATACAACATTCACGATGCCTTAGATTGGCGTCCGTATAAGAATGCCCTTCCTGTTTCAGCCGGACCAACCGGGCGCTAGATCAATTACACAATAACCTAGCCACGACATGAACTCTGACGAATCTAATATGGAATGTGCGCTTGTTTCCCAGCAGGTTGGTAAGCTAAGTACGTACATGACAGCAGATTACGTTGGACGAATCGTTGGGCAAAAGTATACACAGTCTATTATGAATGCACATCTATATACACAATAAAGTTAGGCGTTCGAGAATCAAAATCTACTTGCGGCATAGACGACCAGTCTGGAGAGTAAGCCAGGTGCTCAGCGTCTCGAGAAGGTCGCTGTAGAGAAGACCATCCACGAAGTCAGAGACCTGCGTAATCTCCCAGTCCTCGCTGCCGACGCCGGTAGGCGCATAGAAGACACCCCACGGATCGAGCTTCTTCTTGAGCGCGTAGAGCCGCTTGTAGTTGTCGGCGCCGTAAAACGCCTGGCCGAAGTCGGGCTCCATCACGTCGCCCTCGTTGCCGTAGCCGCCCGAGCCGGGGCTCACGTCGCGCAGGCGCTGCATCCAGTCGTTGGTGATCTTCTTGTTGGTGGCCAGGATGGCCTCTGGGCTGCTGCCGGCCACGTCCCAGCCGGAGCCGATGATGGCGAACATGGACACGTCGCGCCACGCCGGGTTGAGCGCGCTGGCGGCGACGCCCTTGGGCGCCGCGCCGTTGATGTTGTACGAGATCAGCACGGAGCCTTCCTCGACGATGCTCTGGACTGCGTCGAACGTCTCCTCCCGCAGATCGGCGTTGTCCCAGTTCTTGCGGGGGATGAGACGCGAGGCGGTCCGGACGTTGGACGCACCGACCGACTCGGTAGGGAAGTGGTTCTTCCACGTGTCGTAGAAGTTGTCATGGGTGAAGAACTCGGGCTCGACGTTGAAGCCGATCGACTTCCACTCCTCGAGAAGGGGCGCCACCATGGACTTGAACGCGGGCAGCTCCATACCAGGAACGAGCCACGGGAGCATCGACCACGAGTAGGTGTCGTTGCCCGTGGGGAACATGACCGAGTAGCCGTAGGTGTTGTTGTCGTTGTACTCGGGGAACTTGGCCCAGTAGGTGCGCATGCCCTTCCAGAAGACGTCCTTGGAGATGTTGGCATCGGCAGTAGCCAGGCTCCAGGTCACGCCCGAGAATGTCATCTTCGGCCAGACACGGACAGTGAAGGAGATGACAACACCAAATGTAGCTAAATATGTTAGCAATCAGGGCCATCGATATACAGGAGTCGTTGCAGCTTACCACCACCGCCGCCGCGGACAGCCCAGAATAGCTCCGAGTTGTTCTTCTCATCGGCAGTGACGAGACGACCGTCAGGGGTCACAATCTCAAGGCTCAGGACTTGGTCTGATCCCAGGCCAGCAATAGGAGACATGGGAGAGTGGCCGCCCATAGCAGTGTAGCCACCAGCAACACCAACAGTCTAACATCCAACGGTCAGCACGGCAAGTAATAGGAAATATGGCATTGTCGACTTACCCTGCACTCGCCGCCAACAGCAGTGTATCCATGCTTGTTAGCAGCCTCATACAACTCCACCACCTGGATACCGGCGCCAATCTTGAACGCAGGGCCCTTGTATGAACCGGCGGACTTGTAGGTCTTGATGAACTGCATCTTCTTGAGGTTGTGGGTCCAGATGTTCAGGGCACCGGCGCCGGTGGACTTTCCGAGGAAATCATGGCCGGTGTTGCGGATGACGAGGCGCAGGTTCAGGGTTCGCGCAAAGTTGACGGCGAGCTGGACCTGCGAGGCAGAGGTGGCGTTGACCGAGTAGACGGGAAGGCCGCCCAGCTGACAGGTGGCGCCCTCCTTGCCGGCGTCCTGAGGGAGACAAGCATTGCCCTCGAAGAGAGGATACATGTTGGCGGTGGGATCCTCATCGCTGGTATACAAGTTAGTGCCACGCTCGACGAGGTCAGGGTCTAAGGGGAGACGGGTCCACGAACTGAGTATCGGAGTTGGTCCAGTTGTCAATAATGCGAGCGCAGGCATCGGCATCGTAGTGCTCGCCCTGGTAGCAGACGGCCCCAAAGGGAACAGTCTTGATGAGAGCACCGCCGGTCAACAGATTGAAGACCTTCCACACGACCTTGCCAGGCCATGCGAGATCCCCAGGCATGGTCTTGCAGGACGCAAAGCCCAGGCCCCGCTTGTAGGCGGACTCGCCATCGTCGCCGAACTTGAAGAGGTCAATATCGGTGAGATGGAGATCAGTCAGGTTTGCCAAGACGGCGTCCGTGAGCTCAAGGTTATCGTCAGCGGATTCCGCAGCTGCAGAAACGGTTCCCTCGTTGGCAACTAATATGGAGTTAGAAACTGGGCCCCAATACTAATGCGACGTGTGCCAGCAGGAGCTGAAACGTCAGATAGATGACTTACCGACCACACGGCCATCGACATTGATTGTCTGGGCGTTGGCGAGGCTGCTAATGCAGGCGGCCAGCACTACGGCTCGAGCAAGAATGGCCATTTTGACGAGCTTGCCTATCAAGGAGTGTGGGTGGGATGAGAAAGAGGCTCAGCCCGGCGATGATTGTTACTTTATGTCGCGTATTGGAACTCATGAGCGTGGGCCCCGAATCTCCGGATCCTTCTGCTAGAGCTGGGGGATCTGGTGACAGCGGATAGGCCGTTGGTCCTGCTATGGCACTCATGTGGCATCCATGCCACCTCGAGAGAAGGACTGCCCGCTGGCCCCGGCTTCTACGGCGGGCTCCATGCCTTCGGTGCCATCGAGCAATCTTCTTTCCAAGCGCTTCCCTGGAGAATGCGTAGCCGAGCGGCCCACCGACCAGGCGGCCGGAGGACCGACTCGCCGTGCTGGGCAAAGATCGGCATCGGCAGTGGATTTCCCAGGGACCGCGGGATGCTGAGCCATGCAAACCATGGCATTTGCCTCCGGATATTGGGAATCACCGGATGGTTGGCCAGGTACGAAGCTGGGGAACCATCCGCTTTCGATCAACGCCGATGCAGCAGCGAGGATGTAGACAGAACTAGTGTAAGCCATGGCCTGACGACTGAAGATGGAGGGCATGACATTGAGGGCAGATATGAGTCCATAAGCCTGCCTCACAAATGTTTAGCATGAACCTTGTAAGCGATCAGTATGTCTAGGTTGGTTGGCATTAATATTTCCCTTTTTGTGTAGAGGGTAGCCAACAGGAGGGGCTGCATCGTTTCAGCTGCAGCATGATCAGCGAAGCGGAACCGCTCCCGAAGACTCCTACAGATGAGAATCGAGATTAACGAGATCACGGTCCACGAAAGCAAAAAGCGAGAGCGAGCGGAGCAGCGGCAAGTCATGGCCAAACATGGAAACAACGGAGACATTATTGAAACGGGCCCGTTTGTAGTCTAATGCTGGAATCTTGGTGTGGTCAATTTCGAACCTTTTCGCTGGGGAACGACTTAGACTTCGACCAAGGACCAACTGACGGGAATTGCCATGGTTCCCAAACCTTCATTGATTAATGTGTAGGTGAGAATCCAACATCGCACCCATGGCCGCAATGGGGAAGCATGTCCGCTCCAAGCCAAAGCAAATTCCCGGCAGCAACAGGGGCGGCTAATATACAGCGTACACATCGAACAGTCATAGGCTGCTCCAAGGTCGCAGTCGTTGGTCGTCGATGTAAAGTTGGTATGGGCCAGGTCAGCCCTTGGCGTGATGAGCGGCCAGGCGAGGGATCATGGAGTCGACCAGGGGCATGGACGGATAGAGGAGCCCGGCAGTAGCGTAACCCTACTAGGGTTTAACTTGGGACCGTCGTGTCTAGTGCGACGGGGCCATCCTGGATCTCCATGCCTTATTCGCAGGTACCCCTGTGATTTTCCGGAGACGGCGGGGAGGGCCGTCAGCAACTGAGGAGTAGCAGGGAGAAGAAGGAAGGGAAGACCTGGGTCGTTTGTCAGTCTGTGTGTGCCAAGAGAGTGCCGTCTAGAGTCGTAATAATGGCCCGGAAAGCTGGGCATTCAGCTACGGAGCGGGAGTGGTGGGCGCGGGAAGCGTGACATGAGATACCGGACTCGCTACAGAGCTTTAATAGCGAAGCCTAATAAGTGACAAGGAGGCGTCGACGCCTTTGCCACCGACCCGGATTCTGGGGTAATGGGCTGAATCTCTCCAATACACGTATCGAGGACAGCGCAAGCGGGCTGCGGCATTGGCGGTTTGGAATGCGGCATATTCCCATCCATCTACCCCAGCTTCAACGAAGGATCCCAAGGTTCTAGCGGAACACGTCCCGGAAGGCCCTCGTCTGGCAGCCCCAGCCCAGCCCATTGGGGGAATAAATGAAAGGAGGGTCGCGTAGAGGGTGCGGCTGTTGGCTGTCAGCTGTGGGCTCCAACTGCCGATGTACTTCGTACTGCGTATGCAGGATACGGCATTCTAGAAGCCAGCCCTGAACACGTCTATTCGCGTGCTCAGGCACAGATCGAGTTCCGTGCGGTGACGTGTAAGATCTCGTGGGAAGAAGCAATCCACCACGGACGTTTGCTGGGAAATCCACGTGGAAGTAGATGGCAACTCTCACGAGTTTTGGCTCCAGTGCTACGGTCCCGATGGCTTCATGCGCGGGACAGCCGCACCGGATGGCCTCACTTAGTGCGACGACGAGAGGCCGATCACTGCCCGAACAGCATAACCGACCAAGACGCCCAAAAACCTTGACCTCGTCCATCCATCCATCTTGGATTTCAGCCTGCTGTTGGTTGGGCCCTGTCCCTGATGATCTACCAGGGTTCAGCCCAACCCAATCCCAAGCCCCGACATGAAGCGTCCCGTCCATCACGCAGATGCTGTTTCTGGGCCAGTCCGCCAGGGATTTTGCGCTGGCTGTCGGTTGTTGTCCTCGCGTGCTTGCAGGAGTTCGTCTCGTCTCCAAAAGTAAATCTTGCGTAGACCTGTTCGGGCTGGTGTCGAGTTGGGGCTGCAAGCTGGTGCCCTACTGTAGGTGCGACAGCGCAAGTAAGCTAGGAGTTACAAATGTAGAAGACTAGAGCCATCTCCATCATTTGAGTAATCGTTTTGGGATATTGATGGTGATTCCTTCTGCGAGTTGAGGGTTGGTTCCTACAACTATCCTGCAGTTCCGCACCTCCAAGTCCACTCCCCCCCCACAAAGTCCTATTCTCGAGACATCTGGCGGCCCTTGCCGATGGAATCTTCTCTCTTGCCTCGGGTGCCTCCTCACGGCGATGTGAACGGGCTGCCATCGACGCCTCGCCAACTGACCGTTGTTATCTTGACATTTTTCTTCCCCATCTTGTCCCTTTTTGTCTTCGCTTTGCGCGGATATGGCAGAATCAAGACTCACCAGTGGGGAATTGGTAAGTGAAGAATCTTGTAGGAACCCACCGAGTCTAGGAACTGATCGGCGATGATTACAGATGATTACCTCTGTGGCCTAGCAACGGTATGAGCCAGATCGACACTGACATGGCTTGTTGTAACTAACATTGTGCCAGGCGTTGGCGTTACTGATGATGGGACCGACCTTCATGTGTATGTTCAATCTCTGACACTTATGGCTTCGAGCCCACTTCCCAAAGTAGTTTCCCCTGAAATTGACCCCATCTAGATGTGAGGTTGTCGTATGTTGGCTTCCACGACTTAGATGTCCCAGTGGACTACGACCCGACGGCAGCGCTTTGGTGGTTCTTCTTCGCCCAGATGGTATACAACCCTATCCTAGCCCTCGTCAAAGCCTCAGTCTTGGTATTCCTCCTCCGTCTCGGCGGCCAAAAGCAGAGAGTCCGATGGAGCATCCATGCCCTGAATGCCTTCAACGCCGCGCATGCCGTTGCCGTCTTCTTCGTTGCCCTTCTCCAATGCCTGCCAATAGAGGCAAACTGGAATATGGAGGCCAGGGCGAATGCGTTTTGCGTGGAGAAGGAGTTTCACGTCATCGCCAGTTTCTTGGTATTGTTGACTGACTTCCTGGTCTTGGCGCTCCCGTTCTGGATTTTCCTCGGCTTGAAGATGCCCATGGGAACGAAACTGGCTCTTATCGGCGTCTTCATGGTTGGTCTAATGTAAGCGTCCAATCTCCCTCAATGACTATTTTTGTGATGCTGACCTGATGTCGATATTTAGTGTCCCGATTGTCTCTATCATCCGACTCGTCGAGATTATGAAGATCTACTACGAGCCAGGAGGCGCCAACGACTTTCATTACTCCATTACCATTGTCTATTCGACCATCGAAGTCAACCTCGCCATCGTCTCCGCATCCGTCCCTGCTCTGCGATACCTTGTCCGAAACTGGTTCCCGAAACTCTTTGGAAGCACCGCCAAAGGCAATTACAACACGAGTGGAAATGTGTACTACGGGTCGAATTCTCGCTCGGCTCCTCGAACGACCGATGTCATCGGGCTCAAGGACATACGAAGCGGGCGCCATCACACCGAGATTCGAAGCGACTCCCCCACTGGTTCTGAGGAAGAGATCATGACATACAACGGAATTATCCGAACGATGGATGTTAGCCAGACATATTCAACCGCCAGCGGTGCTGCGTCACGGGACTCGACAGATTTCAAGAATCACGCAACAGCAAAGACAGATAGTTTATAATGGAGACCCGATAATTACTATGGGATAGCGAGATGGTTGGATTTGATACAGAATTATTCTACCGTGGGATGTACTTTAACAGGATTGGGGCAGACCTATGGGCGGACATGTACATGCTAGGACTATGGAATGCAAAGGCAGCTCTTCCCCTTGGCCTGGGGGTTCGAATACGAATATATATACCCCTTTTCGCTTCAATCCAAATGTTCACGTGGCGAAATGACGAGGCCTTATCGCTAGACATGGTATTGGAAACATTCGGCAAACCCGAAGAGTAACAAGTTCATCAAGTATTCATGAGGGGAGATGGCCATGGACCGTTACGCGAAAAAGAATGCTTTTCGACCAAACTAGAACCGATGCCCGTCCTGATATGTAGAAGAATTTCATTATGTGACCCGTCGCCCTGACCAATTTTCTACCAGTACAAGCGAATCACTCCCTGCAAATGCAAGAAAAGGGAAGCCGTCTAAACGATAACCTCCTCACTCTCCTCAAGAACATCTTCCACGATCTCCTCGATAACCCGGTCCTCTTCTGACGTAACTCCCTCGATCGACCTCGTCTTGGCCTCCAGAAGAGCAGCGTGAGGATCAGCTGGAAGGCCAAGAGCTGCTCGGTCCTCCAAAGCTTCCGCCTCGACCGACTCGCGCCACGAGACCCACTCCTCGAGCATGTTTCGGCGAGCTTCCACAACAGCCAAATCGGCTGAGGCACCACGGTCGGCATCCTCCTGCTCAAAGACACGGCTGTACTCTCGGAGGTTCTTGCGGATCTGCTTCTGCTCATCCTTGTTGAGCATGGTGGGCGGTCGTGGGCGCCAGGCGAACTGCTTGAACTTCTCCATGGGCTCCTCTCGCAGAGCCTCGCCGCGGAAATCGTAGATGTGGTAACCATTCTCCATCTGTCAAGGTATTAGCACGAAATTATCAGGTTGCAGGGATGGTGGTATATCTTACTGAGTGCTTCCACACTGAGGCCCAAGTGGCGACAAATCGGCCAGAGGGATCCCACTCAACATCCGTCACGCCGTAGTGGTCAGCGACGTTCATGAGCTGAAGGTTGGCGGTGAGGTCCTTCTCAGCCTCGGGCTTCTCGCCCTCAAAGTCAAGGTCGAAGAAGTCCAAGTCGGAGCTCTGCTGGTTGTGGATGGTGGCAATCACCACGAACCGACCTCGAGGAGACCAGTAGATGGCGTTGCTGTTCTTCTTGTCTAGAGTTCGGAGGTGCTTGAAGTTGCCGACGACTTGACCCTTGGCCTTCTCGGGGCAGAAAAAGGCGACTGAGGTCTTGGGGGGAACGGCGGTAACGCCGACGGGCTCGGTGGTGGTGATGATGGCAAATCGGTCGCCCTTGGGCTCCCAAGCGAAGTTGATGACAGTGTCCTTGATGGTGTCGACAACTTCGACGGGGACACCCTTCTCCTTGACGCGGAAGATCTCCAGAGTGGTGGCCTGAGATTTCTTGGACTTGGAGTGACGGTCGACCTTGACACAGAGGTATGCGGCGTCGGATTGCCAGTGCAGCTTAGCGTCGCTGACACTGAAAAGGTTGAGAGATCTCACGACTTGTTTTGAGGGAATGCTCATCAATCCGACCTTGGCGGGGTTGCTGCCAATCTCAGGAGTCCAGTAGCAGAAAAGCTGCTCATACTCCTTGACACCGTCTCGGCGGGGGGTCGCGGGCGCCCAGTCAAAGTCCATCACGCCCTCAATCTTGATTGAGGTCTTGTCGAGAAGGTTCATGCGCGGGAGCTCGTAGACGGAGATGGAAGAGCCCTGGGTCAACCGAGCGACATACTTCTCATCAGCAGACCACTTGAAGGCGGGCCACTGCAGCTTAGGCGGGGGCTTGCCCTCCTCAGCCTTGGGGGGCTCGAGGTTGGCAAAAGATCGGAGGGGAGCGCCGGTAGCAACGTCCCAGATGACATAGTTCTTGCCATCGTCGTCGATAGATAGAGCGGGGTGGCCCTCCTCGGGGATCGAGATTGGCCTGTTAGACCAGGTGACGAGGTACTTCTCATTGGGGGAAAAGGCGATGAGGTTGACGAAGGGGTGGGCGAATCGGGCCTGTCGCGACCACGAGGAACCACCCCACAGCTGGACACCCTGGGCGTGGACAGAGGTCAGGTAGGTACCGAGGGGAGACCACTGGACGAACGTCTCGGTCCAGTGTAAGCGGTTGATAACACTCTCGGGCTGATCCTTCTCGTTGTTCCAGAAAACACCGACATCGTCGCCTCGGTACATGACGAACTGGTCGCGGCCACGCTCAGCGGGATCCCGGAGCCACCATCGCAAGTGCTCCTTCTCGACGAACTCGTCAATGTGAGGGGGTTGGTAGGTCTCGTCGACTCGGCCTTCTCGTCCAAATCGTTCGATATCGGTGACCTTGTTGACGCGGAGGATGTGCTTCTTGTCGAGGGGAACGAGGTCCAGCTGGCGGGTGGCGGCAGCGGCCTCTGCGGGAGAGGAGTACTCAACAAAGGCGAAACTGAGGGCGCCAAGGTCAGCGAAATGCGTGCGGCAAGAATGCGCCAAAGGTGCACCAAAATTGCAGCCAGATACGACTTACCGAAGAGACTTTCCGTTGTCGCCCATGGGCATGTATATCAACTCCTCCCGGGTCTTTCCAACAGTGTTGAGCTTCTTCAACAAGAACTTGACCAGCTTGGGCTTCTGCTCCTCCGTGACCTCGGGCAGGCCGTCGATGACGACAAAGCTGTCATAGCCCTGTTCCAGCTGGACCTCGAAGCGCTCTCGCAGGTCGGAAATATCAATATCATCCTCGTTGAACTCGTCGTCGTCGAGATCGGCCTCGCGCAGGTGGTCGAATGAGGGCGCCATGATGGGCGATTTGTGGTTGTGGAGGGGTGCAGAAAAATTGCCCCGCTCTCTCTTCAGGCGAACAGCGCGTGTTTTTGTGGTATCGGCGTGCGAAGACGAAGCGTATGGAGGGCTTCGGTCTGGGAGATGAGGCCTTCGGGACACGCAAGGGTTGACCGCAAGAGGCAAGCTCGGGGACGACGGAGGCTCGAGTTGTTGCGGTGGCCGACCTGATGCAGCACAAATTTGGTGTTCTTCACTTTCCACTTTCCACAAAGTGTGCGCGACGGAGAAGCGATCTTCCTCCGCCGACAATTTTTCCCGACCGCGGGGCAAGTCACGTGTGGCCCATGGTGCTGGCGGGGAGCCTGGTTTTGCTGATTGATGCTAGCTGGGAGCTCCCGAGAAAAAGGCTGCAACTTGTCCCAAGGCTGAAGCATTTCGACGACATACCTCCTCCGACTCGACCGGCTTGTCGTGTGAAATATTCAGATTGCCCGTCATGGTATGTCCCCTATGCATCCTGGAGCAACTGTTATTTGGGTGATTTGCCCAGAGGAACCAATACGCTAACATGTCTCGTCTTCTTCCACCCCGCCAGTCTTTCCAACCAACCCAGATTTTCGAAGAGGGCACCACCGAGGAGAAGGGTGAGAATGCCCGTCTCGCCGCCTTTGTTGGCGCCATCGCCGTGGGAGACCTCGTCAAGAGCACCCTCGGTCCCAAAGGAATGGACAAGATCCTGCAGTCCGCGTATGTCCGCCGTCTCCCAGCTCGCCGCGACCCCCCTTTTTGACAACGTGCTAGCTCGACCGCCGAAATCATGGTAACAAACGACGGTGCCACCATCCTCAAAGCGATCGCCCTCGACAACGCCGCCGCAAAGGTCCTAGTCAACATTTCCAAGGTCCAGGATGACGAAGTCGGTGACGGCACCACCTCCGTCACCGTTCTGGCCGCCGAGCTGCTACGAGAGGCCGAGAAGCTGGTTGACAAGAAGATCCACCCCCAGACCATTATCGAGGGTTACAGAATAGCGAGCCGTGCTGCCTTGAAGGCGCTGGAAGAGTCGGCGGTTGACCACAGCAAGAGCCCCGAGGCTTTCCGAAATGACCTCCTCGCCATTGCACGGACGACCCTCAGCTCCAAGGTCCTGGCCCAGGACCGAGACCAGTTTGCCGAGCTCGCTTGCGATGCCGTGCTTCGATTGAAGTCTTCCGACCTCACCCACATTCAGATTATCAAGAAGGCCGGAGGAAAGCTCAGCGACTCTTACCTCGACGAAGGATTCATCCTGGACAAAAAGATCGGTGTGAACCAGCCCAAGCGGTTGGAGAAGGCAAAGATTCTGGTGGCCAACACTTCCATGGACACCGACAAGGTCAAGATTTTTGGAGCCCGAGTCAAGGTCACCGGCACAAGCAAGCTCGCAGATTTGGAGCGGGCGGAGAAGGATAAGATGAAGGCGAAGGTCGAGAAGATCAAGTCCCACGGCATCAACTGCTTCATTAACCGCCAGTTGATCTACAACTGGCCCGAGCAACTGTTCACCGATGCCGGCATCATGTCGATCGAGCACGCCGACTTCGATGGTATTGAGCGCCTGGCCCTTGTCACTGGCGGAGAGATTGCCTCGACTTTCGACCACCCCGACCAGGTCAAGCTGGGACACTGTGATTTGATCGAGGAGGTTATCATTGGTGAGGACACCCTTATCAAGTTCTCCGGTGTTTCTGGCGGTGAGGCTTGCACGATCGTGCTTCGTGGTGCTACCGAACAGCTTCTCGATGAGGCAGAGCGAAGCTTGCACGACGCCCTGGCTGTTCTGTCCCAGACTATCAAGGAGCCCCGTACCACCCTCGGTGGTGGCTGTGCTGAGATGGTCATGGCCAAGGCCGTGGAGGGAGCCGCCACTCGCGTGGAGGGCAAGAAGCAAATGGCTGTGTCTAGCTTCGCCATTGCTTTGAGGCAACTGCCTACCATTCTGGCCGACAACGCCGGCCTGGACTCTGGCGACCTTGTCGCCCGTTTGCGAAAAGCCATTTACGATGGCCTCACCACCTATGGCCTGGACCTGATGACCCCCGGCGGTGGCATCACGGATATGCGGGACCTCGGTGTTATTGAGAGTTACAAGTTGAAGAAGGCTGTTGTTTCGTCCGCCAGCGAGGCCGCAGAGGTGAGAACCCATTCTATCGTCTTATATTTATGAGAAACTGACTGACATTATCTAGCTCCTTCTCCGTGTCGATGATATCATCCGGGCAGCGCCTCGCAGACGGGAACGAATGTGAGGCAGAGGCTCTGGTAGCTGATGAGGATGTGTCGGATAGGCATAGACCATGATGATCTGTAATGATACCATAGATGTGGGGGCATGGAAATGCAAAAGGACCATCGTGATCGAGCACCTCGCCTCGTTACGAACAATACGCTCCGTCTCACCTGTGATTGCTTGGCTTTGTTTTGTTTTGTTTTCCGTGCCAATAATCTGCTTGCGTCAGGCTGCTTGGGAAAACCAACTTTTGTCAACCACATCTCACTTTACACTCACTTTGCCATGTCTGCAGCCACCCAACCCCGCCGTCGCTGTCTGCACCTAACAACAGTGGTTGAACACTGCGTTTATTTCGCAACATGACCATTTAGAATCCTGCCTAATTTTTTGTCTTCTTCTCACCTTCACTTGTCATACTCTGCGGCCGCGATCACTTCACCCCGACACTATCTGTGCCTCGCCTACATCGTCTTCGATTTCATCTTCACTGTTAGGCGCACGCCTAGACATACCCTTCTCCGAGTTTCGTTTGGCTTTTTGTTTCGTCGGTCTTTGAGATTTGCGCCCACCACACTCTGTCTTCTCTTGCGCCTGTCATCTCACTTTTGTTACCTTTGTTCCACCTTGCTGCATCTACGTTACACTCTCTGGTACAGTCCCCTCATACCGTCGCATTCTTTTGATGTTCATTTACTGACCCTGAAACATCAGAGTGCCTACTGCAACTTCCCACAAGAAACTGCGCCGGCAACGCTGCGGTCATGTCTCAACGCAAGATCTCCGACATGTTCGCCTCCCAGGGACCGTCGCCAAGGCGCTCTCAGCCCGATCTCCCGCCAAATACCAACAACCGCAAGCCCGGTGGCAGCCAAGTCATTGCTTCCAACGAGGATAAACAAGGTCCTGGGTCGAGCGGCAAGAATCCTTCACCACGCAAAAGACATCAGGGCAGTGGGCACGCAACTGCCGAGCCACCTTTGAACACACAAAACACACCTTCTGCCGCTTCTTTCATCTCGATTCCTTCGACGCCACCCTCCGAGGATATTACGTCGCCTAAAGGAGCCCAGAAGAATATCAAGCGGGTCAACGAGAATGTGCCAGAAACGCCTCAGCCGAATCGACGTGGAAGAAACCCTCGTGCCGCAAGTGGTACAACACCAACAAAGCCCATCGAGCTTCCTCTAGGCACATCCCCTCACACCCCAATCGAGCTCTCATCTGGGGATGACAGTTCAGACTCAGACTGCATGCTCCAGAGCGTCCAGCCAAGTCCCACCAAGAAACGCAAGCGGAACACGGCCTCAACTCCCAAGGCCACACCCGCAAAGCGAGCGAAGGCTAAGGAAGCTGCACCCAAAACCCCTACACGCCCCGCAGCGAAGCAGAAGCCGGCCAGCAAACAGAAACAATCTGTCCAGAAACCAGCTGCCAAGAAACCAACTGTCCAGACACCAGTAGCGCAGACACCGAGTACCCAGAGAATACCTGCCCGAAAACCGGCTTCGCAAGCACCAGCTACCCAGAAGCCGGCTGCGCAGACACCAACTACCCAGAAACAAGCTGGTCAAAAACCAGCTGCTAAGAGACCAACTACCCAGAAAACACCTGCCCGAAAACCGGCTTCGCAAGCACCAGCTAGTCAGCCACCGGCTGCCCAAAAACCAGCTGCGCAGATACCAGCTACCCAGAAACCAACCGCCCAGAAGGCTCGGGCAGCATCCTTGCCCCCTCGTCCGAACCCAGCTACTGGCTCTTCGAACCCTGCTGCTGCAAACACCATTGGCCCTCTGCTGAAGAATCGGTTTGCTATCAAAGCGAAATTTCTCAAAGGGACTAAACTTCAGGCCAGCTCGGCCCAAGTCACACCTAAGAAGGATGATCCTGATTGCTTCATCGACAAGGTTCAGCCCTCTCCCACTCCGAAGCGAAGTCTTCCAAACAAGGCAAAGAAACCACCACCAAAGAAGAGACGAGTCGGGAATTCCAACGCTTCAGTTGCTGTAGCTGATAACCCGCCAAGAGAAGACGATGATTCGGATTGCGAGATCGTCAAGGTTGTCCGGACCCCCAAGAAACGAGCTACTCACGACGAGAATGACGCGGATGGTGAAGATTCCGAAGAAGAGCCCAAGCATCGCAAGAAGGCACTCGGCACCTCGAGCAAAGCTGCACCTGCCCGATTGCAACAACCCTCATCCAGCCAAACGCCCGCCAAGGCCAACCCTGTCAAATCCAGCCCTGTCAAACCTGTCCCTGCCAAGCCCGATCTTGCCAAGCCCGACTTCACAAACACACCCACACCGTGCATCACTTGCGACAGACCCATGGTCGATATGGTCCATGGCATTTTGCCTGAATATTTGGCGGCACCAGCGGGTAATGTTAAGGGGAGAGATGTGTCTGTGACCGTTGCTCCCGTGGCTTAGGACGCTAAGGATGCTTCGAGAGGTAACCAGACTGCCGCCCGCGCATACGTTGAAAGTCGAGATCACGACGGGGTCGGTGCCAACACCTCTTCAGGCAAAGCGAAGTTGTGCCAAGTCGGGGGATCGCCACCATCTGCTCCAGACGGCTCCATAAACTCGCCCACATTTGATGATCGTCCCGCACCATGCAGGTTGCCCAGGGAAGAGCCCTCAGACATTGCCAAAGAGGACTTCTCTACTATTTTTGGGTTTACCAGCAAGAAGGAAGCGCTGAGCCAAGATGTGTCTGAGTCTGAAGAGGAAGATTGCATTATCAAGAAAGAACCGTCGCATGACTTTAGGCGAGCTAAGACAGAACCAGCAACTGACATCAGCGATGAAGAATCCCTCCCTCTTTTCAAGAGGATCTGGAAGAGAGAAGCTTTGAGCCTAGACATGTCCGAACCCGAAGAAGAAAATCGGGACATCAAGCCAGACCCAGATTCCTACTCGGATCATTCGTCCCCGCTCTCCTATCACGGCTCTGGCGAGAGCTCCGGTGACGACTCCAACAACAGCTGTAATGTCAAATCGTCACCCCCGCCCTCCCACCAGCCTCCGACTTCGAGCGCAAGTTTCGGAAGCCCCTTTGGTTACATGAGTCGTTCCGAATCTCGCGCTGATTCTCATTTTGAGCTCTCGGACGACCTTGGCACCGAAGAGAATTGCTCAATGCCATCGCCCAAAATCCTGCCAAGCAGCCGAAGCATGTCGACAGGTGGCTTGAAGAGTATCTTGAAAGCCCCAAAGACATGGCCCTGTCAGCCTCGAAAGTGGAAAGACGGCCGAGGCAACCCGTTTTCATCAATCAATGTCTCGCCCTTGGCTGAACATGCTGTGTCTTCGCCCAGCGAGAGAATACAGCACACGAAGAAGCAAGCCAAGTCAGTCAGAGCTTCAGCTTCCAAGAAGGTGGCCCTAGTGCCTGGGAAGAAGTTCACTACTGCCCTGAAACGTCTTGCTTCAAACGTGAAGAAGAGCAAGCCCAAAGTGATGGGAACCTTTGACGCATTCTGGAGCCCTCGTCGCAAGCTCAGTGCCAAGAAGATACATTCTACTCCTGCGAACAGAGGATGGATCTACAAGAGTAAGTACTCACCACGTTTGATCCGAGCAAGTTTTCCCACTGACTGCCCGAGTAGAGAACAATTTGACACCCTTGAAATCAGTCACACACGACACAAATTCCGACGAGGCAGATGAAACGGATGGAGAGACCAGCAGTATGGACATGGACACCCCTTCGAAGATCAGGATCAAAGTCGACCCCACGGTTCCAGATCCAAAGGAGCAGACGAAACCCACAAAGGTTACTAAGAGCCTTAATAGTCCCGGAGAACAACACAACAGGATTGTAGACAACAAATCTGGTTTCGATGTCCGGGAGTTCAAGCCGGCCGTGATTCGAGATGGAGTCTCGGAGCATGCGATCAAGCCTACAATTGCTCGGCTTGAGAAGAAGATAGCCTCTGGGGAAGTCTTTGCCAACCAAGGCCAGGACAGTGCGTCGCGATACAAATGGACGACGGATTAGAAACTCCCGGTTGCCCGTTCAGATGTGACCTCACGAGCGATGGAAGCAGAACTCTTGCACCGAGGCATCAAGACGGACAGGCAGTACGGCAATTTTTGGTATAACCTCATGATGAGATACTCTCATCTGGCGGGATCGACTGTGCCGTTGTTCACGATGAAGAAGCAGTCACTGGATGACTTTGTCGAGGAGAGCATGAACAACCGACGAGACCTGGCGCCAAAGTCGAAGGACTGTGACAAAAAGCCAGCCAAGCCAGAAGGGGTTGAAGCACTCAAGCTCTGGGGCGCTGGGGAGACGGACAACGAGAGTTCGTCATCAGGGTCCGACAGCGAGGAAGACCTGGTTGCGAAGATGCACGCCGTGACGAAGAAGCAGAGGGTTCGGGACGGAGCGGGCAGCAGTCTTGGTAGATGATTTTGGGTGGTGATAGGGGCTGATTGCGATGTCATTTCGATGTTGACGTTGGGTTGAAGTGACGCACGTGATTGTGCACTCTTTTGAGGATTGGCTGATGGCGGGGAACTTGTTAGTGATGCCGACGCCACGGCAGGGGTTTGCTTTGTCTTGTGAGACACAATTTTATTCAACAACAAGGAAGTGATGGTGCAAGGCTACATAATGCGCAGGGAGTGTCCTCGGTAGTGGGACATCTTATGTAGAAGAAAGGAGGCACCAGGCAAATCACACATGGCGTTCAAGGCCGCTGCCCAGACCGACTTTAATATGCCTCGGAACCCTGAAACGTGATTCGCTGTAGAGGTTGATTAGCCGCGCATATGCGGCCGAGATTACAGGCGGCAGGGGTCCGATATTGACGTTGACAGCACGGGCACTGTGCGGCGCGCCCATTCTCAGGCACCAGGCACCGTCTTGCTGTGGCCATGCACTGTACGCACCCCTCCATGGTCCCCTGTGGTGGCTTGCCCCGATAAGGCCATGCCACCCGGCGGATGGCGGGCAAAATGGCGGGCAAAAATTGTGCGCAAGTCCCCCGCCCGCGTGGGAGCGGTGCGCAGGTACGTACATACCCCGGCCCATCCTGGGTGGCGTGTGCGCGCCATGCCGTTTTCGGACCGTGGCTCCTCCCTGTCTGGGTCTGGACTGCGTCGCGCCTTCCCGTTCGCTGGGCGCTGGTTGCCCGTTTTGCTGGGCGGCGCTGGCGGCGTTGGCGGCGCAGGAAGGTGCATGGGACGGACATGGGACGGGCGTTGTGTGTGTGTTGGCTTTGGCGCTTTGGCGCTTTCTGCAGTGCTGCGGTTCTGCGGTTCTGGTTTGTGGCGCCTCCTTAGCCATCGTCATCAGGCGTTCTCACTCTCGCACGCACTCTGCACTCTCCATCTTCCTTGTTTTCGCCCCCCGATTGAGTTGCTTACTCCCTCCCCGACTTGCTTGCTTTCCTACTGTGCTTGGATCCCAATTCTCTCGCTTCTTTGGGTCCTCGATTCTCTCGCTTGCTACACGCGCATCTTTTAACCACAAAAACCCCGTCTCTCGCTCGCTGCTGCGCCTCCCCGTCGTTCGTTAATGGGAGCAACAGCGTCAGCAACAACCGCCCGACTCCTCCGCCAGGCGACTCCATCGTTGATCGATCTCCCCCATCTTGCGCTTCCCTTACTACTTTCGCTATAATCACGATTTCATCTCGCTTCTATATCATTCCTATTACGGATCTCCCCTCCCTGACCAGCTCCCGTCCCGAGTCAGACCCTGGCAATCTTGAAACGACTCCTTCATCAACCAGCCCAAGCTCCAGCCCAGCAACAACCTCGACCCTGCACAGCCCGCTTACGTCCCGCTGAACAAAACAAGACGACACCGCTCAAGACGACTTCACCGATAGACCAGACATATCGACACACGAGACAACCCCGAACCAGACGACTCCCGACGATCCTCGGGCGACACGACCGCAAACTCTCGTCCTCTCGGCACCGCCATTGTCCTCCTGCCATGCGACAATGATTCGCGCTCACGACCTCGATATCGTCATCCCTAGCCCCGAGTCACCTCCAGGGATGACGGCCTCCAAGAGCTCAAAATCGTCTTCTTTCCAGTCCTTTAGTAGCGATGATGGCAGTGTCCTAGCCGACGTCGGCCACTTTGAAGACATTGGCCTGGATGACGACACCGATACTGTGACCCTCAAGAGCCCATCTGAGGTCAACATCCGCTCCCTAGCCGTCAAGGCGCCCACTGGACGAACCCTCGCAGCCGGCCGAACTGCTTTGAAAGGCCGTCCGCCTTTTCCGGCCCTCCAGACCAACGTCTTCGCCTCGAACCCGCGCAGCACCAATCTAAGTGCTCTTACTGAGCCTCTCTCGGCCAGTCGCCCCAAGCCCTTGACCAGTCCTTCCACTTCGTCCCTCCCATTTCCACGGCGCCGAACCCCCAGCCCTGCATACTCGCTCAATCCGAGAGACCCGAGCCGTCCGGCCAAGCCTCGCCGTGGTAGCTGGCAGACGAATCGCGATCGCAAGTCCTTTACCGACCTGGAACGCGAGTGTGACGAAGACGACGGCGATGACATCCCCGACGGCCTGGTCCTGGATAATGTTCCTATCTCTCCCCGCCCCCCGCAGGAGCGTTCGCCCAGCCGGACCAACTCCATATCACCATCCCCCGACCGAGCCCCCAAAGAACGCGTCCGGAGCGTTGGCAACGGAACGCCGGCTGTCGCCCAAGCCCAAGGATCTCTCCGGTCTCCTTCCTGGAAAAGCGATGCCCCCCCTCGCAGCCCTCTCAAGGCTCGCGCACACAGCTGGAACGCGGCTCTGGCCGAACTCAATGCTGAAGCCAAGGCTCTGACTGAAAAGCTGGAAGAGCATGCGGATGAGATGGACGAGAGCCAGACCAAACGGCCCAATGGCACCCGACCCAATACTTGGGCCTCGACCCGTCGGAGATCAGTGGACAGCTCCTATGACAAGAGGGAGCGAATTAAGTCGACACCGGAACTGCCGCCTCTCCGGAAGACTAATATCATGATTGACCCTCTTCCCATTTCAAAGGAGAAGGAGGCTGTCTTGAGCCGCACTCGACCATCCTGGCTCCCACCCAAGGATCCTGCTGAGGAGAAACGACATTTGAAGGAATACCAGAAGATGATGGCTGCTAGCGCCCGATCTGAAGAACGCCGAGAAGCCACCCGTAAAGCAAAGGTTGAGGGACGTGATGTTACCGCAGATAACCTGATGCATATCTGGGAACGAGATGTGATCCCCCGCTGGAACGACGCCATCCGAGAGCGCAGGACGAGGGAGCTGTGGTGGAAGGGTGTTGCGCCTCGAAGCCGAGGAGTCGTATGGTCACGAGCGATTGGCAATGAGCTGGGCCTCAGCGAAACGTCATTTGAAGCAGCACTAGCAAGAGCGAGAGAGGTGGATGCTCGGGTCAAGGACGACAAGGGCGACGCGGACGACGTCAGGAAGGCCAAGTGGTTCCAGGAAATTCGCAAGGATGCTTCCGAGCGGACCTGGAAGGACCTCCGCATCTTTGAGGTTAGCGGACCGCTGAACCAGAGCTTGATTGACGTGCTGAGCGCGTATGCCATGTACCGGAGCGATATTGGCTATGTGTCGGGTTGTAATGTGAGTGTGAAGAAATCCTTGGTGATACATGAAACTAACAATCTCAGACAATCGCTGCCTTGCTACTGCTGAACCTACCAAACCCCGCCGCAGCGTTCATTTCACTCTCCAACGTTCTTAATCGACCCCTACCATTGTCCTTTTATGCAGCGGACCCGGGCGCTCAGTCATCGGCTTGCAACTTGGTGCTGCAAACCCTGGCACTCAAATCCCCCACGTTACACCACCACCTGACTATGAATGTCGACCCCGCAACACTGGAAGCCTACCTTCGCGACATTTTCACCAGCATGTTCACGGCACAGCTTGCCATCGACGAGGCCGCAAGGTTATGGGATGTATATGTCTTCGAAGGAGACGGTCTCATGGTGCGCGCGGCTGTGGCCTTCTTATTGAGCAGAGAAATGACTCTGCTCGGAACAAAGAACTCAGGGGAAGTGAAAGCGGTCCTCTCAGTGCAGAATGCCAGCGTGCGTTCTGCAAGACCCGCTGGCGAAGTCGGCGCGGAAGACCGATTTATGATCTCGGTCCGCGAGGCTGGCAAGGCCTAGCTAAGTTATGTCTTGGGCAACGGCAGCAAATCTACGACGTTGATTACATAGGTGGACGGTATTTACGCTCCCTTGGAGCTGATATGTATATTTTGGTATAGATGGGGACATACGCGACTCCATTTCTCGGCGTTTGATGCAGGGGCGACATCTTGGGAACCTCAGCCAGAGGAGCGGCTCTTTTGCGTAAAGGTGTTTGAATGGGAGGGAGATGGAACTTAGTTACTTAACTTCGTAATCGTTATTACATCCAGAGAATGGATGGTGACCTATTGAATCAAATTTTAGATTCTACACTCAAACGTGGATTTGAACTTTGCAGTTCTGTCATGGACGCTCTCACACATGACAGTCTCAGACGTGGTGGTTGCAGCCGGTAATTATAGACAGGGTGAAACCTGGGATGAGAATGTCTCAGCCATGTGGCATCATGTCCATTTTGGCAAGGCTCGGTAGAAGTTAGCTTCGAGGAATTTGAGGGGTACAGGTACCTTGTACGGGTGCCCTGGCAATGGAACATTCCAATTTATGCATTTGCTTTTTGTTGATGATGGCAACCAGGCTGTCTCAGTCTCAGACTCTCAGACTCACGTAGAGCCCAAGTGTGTCACGTGAGGGACGGCCAGTCTGCACCCCGCCCACTCTTCGTATTGCTCTAGGTAGGCAAACAAGCAGACAAAAAGATCCAACCACCCACCACTCCGTCTTGAAGCATTCTCTCCACCGACTGGGTGAATCCCCGCCGAGACGGGACACGGGAGACGGAGCCGGACACGGAGCCGGAACCGGTGTCGGAGTCGGAGTCGGAACCGGTCACGGGAGACGGGAGACGGGAGACGGGAGACGGGCCACAGCAAAATGCCTTCCGGGTACAAACATGGCGACACCCCGAAAAAGGCCATGGTCCGGGGCACCATCTCCTACCTCGAGTCCCAGGGCCTGCCCGTCAATAAGTCGGCCATCTTCCGACACTTTGATCTGTCCCGCTCTCAGGGCTACGCCGCGCTGAACATCCCGGCGTCGAAGCGGAATGATCCGGAGTGGGAGGAGACGCGCGGGCGGCCCAGCAAGATCTCCGAGGACGACCAGCAGAAGATGGAGAACATCCTGTGGGACGAGCGCTACGAGACGTCCAACCTGAACTGGAGCGGTCTGGCCAAGGAGGCCGGCGTGCAGATGGAGTGCAACCCGCGCACGCTGCACCGCACCATGGGCACCCTCAGCTACCGCCGATGCCTGGGTTGCGCGCGCTGCTGGGTGCACAAGAAGGCCCGCGAGAAGCGCACCGAGTACGCCCGCCGCATGCTCGACGCGTACCCGCAGCCGCAGGACTGGCGCCTCGTGCGCTTCAGCGGCGAGCTGCACTTCGGCTTCGGCCTGGACGGCAAGATGCGCCTGCTCCCCAGGGCCGGCGAGAAGTTCTGCGCGACCTGCGCGCCGCTGCCCGACGCCAACTGGCCGCGCGACGTCAAGAAGGCGCATGTCTGGGCGGCCGTGGGGTACGGCTTCAAGAGCGAGCTGGTGTTCTACGACGAGACGACGAACCCCAACTGCATGGGTGTCATGACCATGCCCGAGTACCGCGACAAGGTGCTCGACAAGATGGTCAAGCCGTGGCTCGCCGACCTCGGGCCGCAGGGCTTCATCCTGGAGGAGGACGCCGACTCGTTCGCGCACGGCAGCGCCAGCAAGGTGAACATCGCGCAGCAGTGGAAGGAGGACAACGGGCTGCGGTGCTACTTCAACTGCGGCGAGAGCCCGGACCTCAGCCCGCTCGACTCGCTCTGGCCGGCCAAGAAGCAGTGGACGGCCGACGCGCCCAAGGACTGGGAGGACGACACGCTGCGCCAGATGGTGCGCGACGCCTGGGCCGCCATCGACCAGGAGCGCGTCAACATGTGGGTGGACTTTATGCCGCAGCGCTTGAGGCAGGTCGTCGACACCGAGGGCAGGCTGGTGCCGTGGTGAGGAGCCGACGGGGGTTCGCTGCGCTATGATTGAATGAAGATTCGGGAGTCACGGATGTTCTGGGAGTTGCGGTTTCGGTTAGCTTTGGCGTTGAGGGTGGGAGGTTTCGTGTTGCAGGTGCGTGATTTGATTCTTGGCTGTGTTGTTGTAGTATATCTTCTCTTCCTCCTCCAGACACTGGAGTTCTTCGCCTTGTTTACTTATTTTCATGGCAACATACAATACTTTGACGGAGTCAGATTTTGATTCCGTATCTTGGCTCGGTTTCTACTGCAGTATGTGAATCGAGTTTCTGGTTATCTTGATTGCTGTGTGTGTCCACAAGGGCGTCTGGCCTGCTCTTCAAGGATTTATCCCACTAGTACTCAATTCCTCAATTCTCAATACTCTTGAGGAGCATCAGATACTCCTCTATCAGCTAAAAATGCCATCATCCCTCTTCTGTCTGGATAATTGGAGAATGCCCAACCCGTTCACTGACGCTGAGAATGAACCAAGGTGACCCTTGATCTGCTCGCGCTACTATGTCTGCAAAGTATAAGACCCTCATGATAAATATGCCACTTAGGTATATCCTCAATCTCACTGTCGTGGCCCTAATAAACACAGCCTGTGCACGACTGAGTTGAGGAGCGATACCAAAGAGTTGAGTTTCCTTGTCGTACAGCACACCCAAACTTCACATAATTCTCACCTTCACCTCAGATGAACCAACTGTCAAACAAGGAGAACCCATAACCAAGCTAGTGCAGCTAGCTGCCTGCAGCCGAAGAAACGGTCCTTGATTCATTGCTGCGAAAAGCCGACGCGACCCTCCCCGTTCCTCCGCATCTCGAAATTCCTACTTCTCACTCTCGGATTCACAGCTCGCCTCTGGCTGCGACCTTTTGCAGCGCAAGTCCATGACTTGTTTCGGTCAGACAGGATGAAGCCTCCTCATCAATCTGGCAAGTCGAGACACCGACGCACACACTCCTCGTACAATCGCTTTGCAGGTTCACTGAACTCGCCATCGCCAAGGCCCTCGACGCAGGACCAAGAGCCGTCCGTCGTATCGTGGGATAACGGCCGCCGTGTTTTGACACCATACAGAGCAACTCCGAACAACCGCTACGAGATAGAACCGCTGCGGCCGGTGGCCTCGAGCGTACCGCTTCGCGCCCATGTCTCGCCCAGCAAAACCGGAGAGGGTTCCATGACGCGCTTCATCGAGGTTCCCGACAACGCTCCTCCGCACGCCCAGAGCAGACAGGCTCCATCCCAGAGCCAACATGGCATCAGGGGAACAGGGGCCCATGACGATTCTTTGACCCGTTCTCAGGGTAACTACCGAGACCCTTCACTGAGACGCGGCAGCGGTATGGTTGTCGAAACTCCGAGGGCGATGCGAAAGGCCATTGGGGAAAAGAGGAAGAATGGAGAATGGGCACCGAACTCGACTCAGGCCTCGGCAATGGTCCCCACGCCTGCCAACTCCCGCGATGCCTCCAAGGAGTCGAGAGATCTTGAGAAAGAGCCCCTTGCAAAGATCACAGATGTACGTGCCATGTATCGACCTCAAAACTCCAATCGCTAACAAGACTTCCAGTGGGGAAACGCTCCGCATCGGCCTCAACGAGGAGATGTCCCACCCTTGGTTGTGCACCAGCCGATATCTGTCGAGGGATCCCCAAAGTGTCAACTGTCGAACCTTGAACGAACTCGCATTCTCAACATATGTATAAGTTCGCAGAAAGACTACCTCAGTCTGCAGCCGGTCATGAACCACACAGAGGAAGACTTCTGGCGCGCCATCATGCAACGCATCGAACCCACTTCGCGGGACAAGTTCACCGACTGGAAGCACCTGCGGACCAACACGAATTCATGGTGCGACGGACGCCGAAAGGAACTCAGAGAGGGCGCCCTCCCTCCGCCACGCGACGTGCGCCGAGAGCTCGACATCGCCATTGACGGATGGAACAAGATCTGGGTTCAGCGGTTCACGACCCTGCACAAGGGGTATTTCGAGACTGCCGTGTGGGCCGCGGTGGAAAGGAAGGTACTCTCGTTTGTGCAAGAGGAGCTCTACGACTGGATCAACGGCGAGTTGGCGAAGCGCAGAGACGCCATCGAAACGCGGAGCCGGGCTCGACTGCTCCGGGAGAACAGCACTCGCGAGGACTACAGCAAGACATTTGAGCTGTTTCACGACAAGGTCAAGTCGGGCGGCCGCGTTGCCTTTGAGATCCGGGAGTCCGAGGCCATCATGTCTCTGATGGTTGACATCCAGCCAGGTTTGGAGAAGATCATTCGTGGGCACATGAAGCACAACGACATCAACAGCGAGGCTGCCCACAAGTCCATCTCACACTTACATGACAATGAAAGCGAGGTTGGCCTACCCCGGGACGACGAGGTTCTGCCCTCCATCGAATCCAATACCCCGGAGCTATCTCCTCGAATCCTGCAGCTGCTCCAGAGTTATAAGGGAAAGTATCGGGAAGCGCTACGAGACAACGAAGATAAGAAGCAGGAGAAACTTCACGTCGACGAGACACCCGATCGGCCAACCAAGAAGCGAAAGACTAACCGAGAGCCCAAGCCTGCGAAGAGCAGCACTCCGAAACCCCGTGTCGAGACTCAGGAAGCTCAGAGTCCTGAATCAACTTCAAGCTCGTTCTCCTTCTTGCCATTGAGTGACTTCATCAACCGCCATCTAAGCGTGAGAGGAGAAACGCCTAGCTCTCCCCTCAAAGGTCGATCCAAGACAACTGCTATTGTATCGAATGTCGAATCCCTGGCTCGTAAAGAGGGTGAACGCATATCACCGTCTGGAACATCGAAGAAGTCGAAATCGAAGGCGGGAAAGTCGAGCTACGACACCACAGTTGCTGTAACTCCAGTGGCCAATACGGGCGAACGCATGTCACCGTCTGGAGTGTCGAAGAAGTCGAAGTCTGGGAAGTCGAGCCATGACACCGCAATTGCTTCATCTCTGGTTAGCAACAAGGGCGAACGCACATCACCTTTTGAAACATCGAAAAAGTCGAAGTCTGGGAAGTCGAGCCAGGACACTGCAGTTGCTTCGTCTCTAGCTGGCAATGAGGGTGAGCCTAAAAAGTCTTCTGGAAAAGCGAAGACGTCGAGCAATGAAACGCCACCACCGGAACGAATGGCCTCACTACCGACTCCGAGAGACTCTGGATTGGTAAAGACGCCGGCTCCGTCACATCAGCAGCATGTATTCGCGATTCCTCACCGTCCCAACCAAGGGAATCCAAGTGGACAAAGCGAATCTCCGCCTCTCTGGCACAAGAATAGCAAAAGACGCTACAGGAACAACAGCCCACTGAACCAACAAAATCGGCCGAGCAGTTTGAGCTCGCGCAACTTACAGCCGACGCATCGGGGCGGGACGGGTCAGCCGGAGGACAGAAACACTGAATTCCGAACCCAGATCGAGTCTCCACTGCGATTTCGGGAGAGCACAGTTGACTTTCAGGCCATGGCGCCGAGAGCACGCGAAGACATGCTATTCCGAGCAATCAAGACGTTCATGCACGGAGAACGTCGCGGATAGAGCGGGGGTTTGGCTTAGGCGTGGGACGTTGTGGGATGTTGGCCGTTGCTGTTACATCTACAGCATTTGGGAGGACCGGAGTGGGTGGATTGATGGATTGATGGATGCGTTTGCGGCAACATGGAACGATCTGCTCTCTGGGATTGTCTGAAGTACGAATACGGCTCGTTGGTTTGTCTCTCTCTTGGTTTCTAATGCTGCCTTGCTGGTTTGCCCCAACAAAAGGCTCTCGAGAAGTCCCGAGATGAGCAAGGAATGTCGGTGCCGGACGGTTGAAGTCCCGAGATGGGCAGGGAAGGTCGGTCCCGGGCGGTTGACGAAGAACCCAGCATTGACATTGCGAGGAGTGGCTAAGTTCTGAGATGTAAGATAATGGACCAATACGATAGGAGACAAAGTTCTAAAAGGGAGTGAAAACAATCACATCCTCTGTGTTGTTGGGAGTTGTCGAACCACCATGACCTGACCCGGAAGGCGGCTCTGCGAGAGACGGCCGGACAGGAGCCAGGGTCGGCAGAAGCTGGAAGGCGGGGTGGATCACGGACCGCCGGGGCGGAGGCAGGAGCAGCGCAAGCAAGGCAGGAGCAGCCAGGCGACCGGCTACGTACTTATCGAGAGGGCTGCTGGGGGTTGGGAGCGGAGCTGTCTGAGCTGTCTGGAGCTGGGGCACACGTGGGGCCCAAAGAAGAAGCAGCACCTGCGGAAGACAAGCTCGTGGCAGGACAGGAAGGAGACAGGGGAGGAACCAGGGAAGGAACCAGGCAGGCTGTTGTTGAGCACAGACAGCTGAGGCCCGCCGATTCCCCATGGTCAATGATAAGCTGATAAGACTGATAAGACTGGTACGAACCTTCTCCGTAATAAGGTCCGCTTAGCATGACAGGCGTCGCAACTCTGTTCCACCCGCCGAATAGCCTGGAAAATTAGGGGACGGTGTCCTGAGTAGTGTGCGCGGCTGGCGTACTGTGCAGCCGGAAGCGCCTTGCCACGATGCGGGACGGCTCTGGATAGTCGGGAAGCGGTATGCAACACAGTGCATTCGGCGGCCTGGACTGACTGTATCAGACGCCCATCTTGCCACCAAAAGGCCAAAAGTCGGAAGCGCAGAAAGGGACCCCCACCAAGGAGCCGCCAGCCAGCTTTCGAACCCTTGGGCCGTGGACGCCAAGCCCAGGGCAGGGGGCCCCGCTCAACAAAATTCCCAACAGAAAAAAAAAAAAAAAAAAAAGTCGGAGGAACTGCAGGCGAATCTCTGGACCCTGACGGAAGGTCCCCGATCTGGACTCACACTGACTGGAGGTAGGTACGTACCCGCCTATTCCCCCCTCTCCCCCTCGCCCCCCACATTGGCCAAGTCCCCAAACTTCCGTGGTTTTTGTCCAGAGCCGACGCGGTACCAAGATATCATTGCACGCTTGTGTTGACCACCCAGAAACAGGGAAGTTAGAGATCAGGCACCGCGTCCCTCCAATTGATGGAAAAGCGAAAAATATGCGCCTCGGCATTTCCGCTCTTTGACATGTGGTCGCATTGCTGCAGCACCCCCCCCCCCCTCCCTCCTTTGATCGACTGTGCTTGCTGTCCCGCATTTTGCTTGTGCTTCAATGGCCGTCATGATACCACATCCTCGCTGCTGGGAGGCAGCCATGCGGTCATGGAAGTGCAACCTCGTCCTCCAACGAGAGGACCACATGATGGAGGGATGCAACGACAGGCGCCTTGCAGTAAGGTTATCACAGGCTCCAGCGGCATTTTCAACCCGAGGTTTGTCGCCGTCACCGTCGCCTGCGCGTCTGATGATTCAATGCCCGCCCACATGGGATCGTGATGCGTGCGCCTTGTGGAATCTTATCCATCAGCTATCCCTTGCCTATCAGAGGACGGCGAACCACCAGCTCCAACCTACAGGACGCCACAGGAGCACAGATGGCTTCATCACATTTCATCACGAGGCCTCCTCGCCGTGTCTCGGTCGTCCAAATCGAATTGCCCGGTGAGCCAATCGACACAGGTGCAATTCGCGTCTGTCATGAAGCCCGAAGAAGGACCCCGTCCCCCTCACTTCCATGGCTTGGGGCTTGCAAGTTGGGGCTTTCGGACATGGGGCCTGGATGGGCTTGGGCCTCTCGTCCCGCATGGCCCACGCCTCCGATTTGCCCCGTGGCTGTCGAACGAGGTGATTCACATGTCGATGATCTCCAGCCCTAGCCCAGCAGTAGGCGACTCGGAACCACTTGGCAGCCAGGCCCAAGCCAACTAGAGCCGCCCCCGCCCAAGACACGCAGACCGGCCGCCCTCTAGTAGAAGGCACGTCGCAGTAAGGGGTTGGCGGCCCAATCTCGTGCGCTACCGCCATCCCGCCTGGCCATTGCTCTGCCGCTGTGGCATACTATGTACCCAGTTATCCACACGGGAAGTGTAAGAGAGCAGGCGGTGAGGCCTCTGGTGGTGGTTGTTGAAAGCTGACAGCATGGAATGCAGCTGAGAGCGCCATGTTTGTGAGAGGGGGACGTGATGTGCAAGTACAGTACCGGATAGTACATGAGCCACAACGATGCATCACAGACGGCCAGCCAGCCATTGCAGTGCCGTGCAGGATCGACCCTAGACTTCCCTGGCCGGTTGTTCTTGTTGGCGCCGTGGCGGGGAATTCCTCGACAATGTGCTTGAGCATCGTGCCACTTGCGACCTGTTTGTTGGTGCCGTCCAGGGAGCGAAGAGGGGTGTAAGCCGTGCCCGCGCTCGGCATCTACACGAGTCGGGGGTGGGAAAGAAGCGGTGCCGCGAGCAACGAACGACTGAGCGAGAATACGAATACTGGCATTGGACAGACGGGGCGGTACCCGTACATGTAGAAGCAAACCCGGGATCCTATCAGGGCCCTGGGGATTCATCATTCCACGGCATCAAGACGTTGAGTGGGGCGGCGAGAGAGGCAACTTTGGCGAGTCGAGTAGAGCACGGTACGAATACCTACCTCTCATGTAAAAGCCCTTTCGTTGTTTGTCCCGTCCCCGCCACTCCGCAGGGCTCGTCGTCGTCGCTGTGAAACATGCCCGGCCTCCCCGTCAGCGGGCTTGGTCACGTCCTGGCCGGATAGCATTACCGGTGCAAGCCAGAGCGAGCAGCTGTAAATCATTGCCACCCTCTCAGGATTTTGGCCAAGACCAAGACCAAGGGCATCCGTTTTCTAGCGCCGCTCCGGGGGTTTTTTCCCTTCCTTTGCGGGTGATGGTGGTGGTGGTGGCACATCGTTAGGTGGTTCCGGAAGGTGTCTTCCTTTCGAGCGGCGTGTACTTGCGGTGGCGGGTACACCCCCCTGGCGATTTTGCTGCGTGTCGGGCTCCCAGAAAGAAGACGCAGCATCAAGGTTGATCATCAACCACTTCCAGCGCATGGCTCTCTCCCTGGCCAATTCGAAACCTGCAGCGTCCTGCTGGCTTGCTTAGTCCCTTGTCTCGGTCTCGGGTCGCCGGGGGTGTGGTTTTCGTACCTGGAGGTGTCGATTGCGCAGCGTGCACTGTTGCGTCCGTCGTCCCACACCTGCTGCCGGCTGGCCGCTGGGCGTCCGCTGTGCCCGCTGTCGCCGCAGTGGCCGCTGTCCACTGTCCTGTCCTGCTCCCCGGCGTGCCCTGGCCTGGGGGCTCCCTGGCTCCACGGCCACCCCCAACAAAACATTGCCGAGCGAAATCCCATAATAGCTCCCGCACTCCACCTCAAGCCAGTTAAACAGCCTCCCCTTCCCCTTCCACCTCGCACCCCGTTGTCGCTCTCCCTTCTTCTCTCCTCTGCTTGACCTCTCTCCCCAAGGACCAATTGGCTCGAGTCCGCGTCTCATCGGCCAATACTCGTCGCAACTCTCCTCCTCCTCCTTGTCCCCCCCACCCATCATGGCCTCCGTCTCGACCTCGGCCGCGCCCCGGCAGAAGCCTGCCCAGCGCCGGAACGCTCCCTCGGCCTCTGCCACCGACTCCGAGGCCTCGGCTGCCGTTTCTCCTTCGGAGTCTCCCCAGCACTCGGCCTCGTCCACCTCGCTCTCTTCTCTCGCCTCCGAGTCCGAGGCCGCCCCCAAGAAGGCCGACAGCAACTACGGCCGTCTGTTCGACACGTACGGCAACGAGTTCACTCCCCCCGACTTCACCATCAAGGACATCTACGATGCCATCCCCAAGCACTGCTTCAAGCGCTCCGCCTTCAAGGGCTACCTCTACATCCTCCGCGACGTCATCCTCCTGACCACCACCTTCACCATCTACTACAACTTCGTCACCCCCGAGTACATCCCCTCCAAGCCCGTCCGCGCCGGTCTCTGGGCCCTGTACACAGTCCTCCAGGGTCTCTTCGGCACCGGTCTGTGGGTCATTGCCCACGAGTGCGGCCACGGCGCCTTCTCCGACTCCACCCTCGTCAACGATGTGACCGGCTGGGTCCTGCACTCGTCGCTCCTCGTCCCCTACTTCAGCTGGCAAATCTCCCACCGCAAGCACCACAAGGCCACTGGCAACATGGAGCGCGACATGGTCTTCGTCCCCCGAACCCGCGAGCAGCAGGCTACCCGCCTCGGCAAGTTCGTCCATGAGCTGTCTGAGCTGACCGAGGAGACCCCCGCCTTCACCCTCCTCATGCTCGTCATGCAGCAGCTCGTCGGCTGGCCCAACTACCTCTTGACCAACGTCACCGGCCACAACTACCATGAGCGCCAGCGCGAGGGCCGTGGCAAGGGCAAGAAGAACGGTTTCGGCGGTGGTGTCAACCACTTCGATCCCCGCAGCCCCCTGTATGAGAACCGCGATGCCAAGCTCATTGTCCTGAGCGACATCGGTATCGGCATCACCATTGCCGGCCTTGTCTACCTCTCCAAGACCTTCGGCCTCAACAACATGCTCGTCTGGTACTTCCTTCCCTACCTCTGGGTCAACCACTGGCTCGGTAAGTCTGAATCTGATCCACTGGGATCATCCCCAACATGAAATGTGCGTCCTTGCTGACTTGTGCAACCTAGTTGCCATCACCTTCCTTCAGCACACCGACCCTACCCTGCCTCACTACACCGGTGACGAGTGGAACTTCGTCCGTGGCGCCGCTGCCACCATCGACCGCGAGATGGGTTTCATCGGCCGACACCTTCTCCACGGCATCATCGAGACCCACGTCCTGCACCACTACGTCAGCTCCATTCCCTTCTACAACGCCGACGAGGCCACCGAGGCCATCCGTCCCGTTATGGGCAAGCACTACCGTGCTGACGTCAAGGACGGCCCCGTTGGCTTCATCCGGGCCATGTTCAACAGCGCCCGCATGTGCCAGTGGGTCGAGCCCAGCGCCGAGGCCGAGGGCGCCGGCAAGGGCATTCTCTTCTTCCGCAACCGCAACGGCCTGGGCACCAAGCCCGCCGTCTTGAAGAAGGCGGAGTAAACCCCCTCACTAGAGGTGATGAATGAGTGGACGGTATTTTGCAGTGTTGTCAGCGTTGATTGTTCCGTTTGGTCAAGGGAATCGGTTGGGTCAAGCGAGGCCGGTCTCGCCATCGTGAATGCACACGGCGAATGCATGCGATGATCTTCTGCCAGGATCCCGCGGGACGAGGGGAGAGAAAGAATCAAAGAGAGAACAGGATGGATGAAAATCTCGACAGAATCAAGACATGATTAGATGATAGAGCAGATAGATGGACCTGACGAAATCCAAACTTCTTCGACCAACAATGGTGTCCTCACGCGCTTGCGTTCCTGTCTTGTGGTGTCTGAGAATGTTGATGTCTGAGGAAAGAGGGGATCGTGAAAAATGGTGCGAGGGATTGAGTCTCTGTAATAGCCGGCCCACGGAAGATCCGGAGCTAGAAATATCGGATCGGCTCCTAATGCGGGGAACATGGCCGTGCGTCTCCACGCCGTGTCCCACCAACCACCCGCCAAGACTTTTGTGTAACACGGAGCATTTCTTCTTCGTTGTCGACAGCGTCGCTAACATGTGTCGGTAATGAGAGGATGACGCCTCAATGGGACCTACGTCATGATGACTATATGTGTATTAATTGGTGGCATCCTCTGGTCTGTGGTTGTACTTGGGCGGCGGAATCATCAGCCCACCCAGGTTCCGAAAATTGCACCTCTGGCACCACAGGTAACAAGAACGTCTTGCCCGACTATTACTCTCGAAATAAGCAGTGACGAGGTTGCTAGCGTTGCGTAGTCATGCTGATATGATTTCAGGATGATGAAAATGAGACTGGAGTTCACAGAGGCAACTTGCAAGACACTTTCTGTGATTTCCTGTCCCTTCCGCTTCCATTTATGCTCGTCTCCTTATTTCACCAATGCGTGAGACTAAATGTGGTAGGGAAAGGAGAGTGCAGCAAGGTCAGGAATAATTTGACCTGATAGCTTCATCCGCAGTCCAAGTGGATGTCAAGCTGACCCTATAGAGTTGAGCTGACCCTATCCGCAGAGTTAAGCTGACCTCCCCCCCGGTCAACTAGACACTGCCCCACAATATTAAAGATCTGACCTATAATATTAGGATCCGCCTCGCCAAAGGGGCCCACTAGCAGGTAGTAATCTCTTCGCTTGATGAGCAGACATTCTTGAAAACCCAATCCTCTACACCTCACTCTCTAATGCATTAATAATGCATTAAGAATCGAATCAGAATCGATTCCGAATCATTTCTCACCAACCATGGATTTTCAATGGGGAGATTCGCCCCCGGTGCATTTAACTCCACAGTATCGAAGCGGTAACACCGAGCAAACTCTCGAGCAAATTCTCGAGCAATTGGAATTCACACCACGTCCACCCATTTGGGGCAACTCTGACACAACTGATGCCAATACGGGCCAAGAGATTGAAGAGTTCGAGGGAAAATTGAATCCAGTTTCAGTAAGTGGCCTTTCTATGGAGTGATTCTGAATCGATTCTAACACATTCAGCTTACAAGTAATGTAACTAACGTTACTGAAGTACCTGATCCCCGTACTATTAATACTCTAGTATCAGCAATACCACTTCAGTTCTCAACAAGGAACTCCCCAATCGAGACACCGTTATGGGTAGACACTATTATCTACACTCCGCAGATACCCGAATACCCGCAAAGCTCGATGACAGGGGTATGTTATATAATTCCTGTTGGAGCACTTGATGCCGATGAAGTAAAAAAACCATGGAACTCGGTAAGTTCATTCTTTGAGACCCCTATACTGTACTCAGGACTTGTCTGACATCGACCGAGGTTCAATATTGCCTTTCTCGTAAACACCCTACTTCGGTAACAACTACTACGCTACTCGATGACGTGCGTTGTTATCGTACAATCTTTTCCTGCACCGGAGGGAAAGGTTGTGAGTTTATTCGAGATCGATGGCACCATTTCGAGGCAACAGAAGATATCTTCAACGAGATGGCTGCAGTTCGCAACGACCTCTCTGATCCAAATTTGCAGCAACGAGCTCACAGGTATGAATTGTTTCAGTATTTACGAATCGATAACTGACCTGTCCTTCAGTTTCGTTCAAGCCTGCTTGGAGAGATTCCGGACATATTCCTGTACTCACAAGCGACCAACGTGCGAATTGGAGGTGTTCTCTAGCGACAGTGAGGTAAGAGCCAGTTAATTGGAATCTGTTCCAAAGTTAATCGGCTTTATGTTAGGATTCAACGGACAAGTCATGGTTCATCCAATGTGTGAATTATCAAGAGCCAAATGAGAACCACTTCGGCTCTCTTCTTCCAACTGAATTCAACCATCTCAAGTCTGAAGTGCAGAGGATTGTCGAAGGTCTTGATCTAGTGCCGGCGGAGAGTTGCGGTGTGATGGATTCGAACCGACGGAGAGTAAAGACTTGTGGTAAGTATTGACCTATTCAGAGCTAACCAGAGTAGAGGTGCAGCTGGACCCTAACTTATTGCTCAGGTAAAAAACACTTTGGTCAAGCTGGAAATATTATCCAGTTCAAATGTCATGTTACTTGGGTTTTCTATACCCCATTGGATGGTAAATCGAGCCCAATTATCATGGCTTCTCATGGAATGCATACGCACCCACCAATTCCTCCAACAAAGACCCCTATTGGAGTTGGGAATCAGTTGATCAAGCTTGTCAACCAATCTCAGAATGGGATGAGATATCTCGGTAAGCAGCCTATTATTCACTGCAAATCAATAGCTAATCCCAACAGTACCCCTTCTTGCTTCCCCTGGCCTCCAAGCATTTTGTCAGATGTACAACCACCAGTCGACTAAGGAAGTCCACAAAAGCCTTATTCGTATGGATCGAATCCAGGCTATTTTCCAGAAAAAGAGAGCGCTCGACTTCCCTAATGCGATCAGTCAAATGTCGATACTTCTTGCACAACGAGACCAGACGACACGTCGGGTAAGCAATGACATATGATTCTGAGTCGATTAAATACTAAGTGAGTAGTATATCCAATATGCCCGTGGTAATGGCGAGCGCTTTATTGCTATTTGCTTTTATGAAGGGCAAGTAGCTCTATTTCGCCACTCCGAGTTTCACTCATTTGAGATTACTACCAATCACAGTCCTCGGCCTGGTGCAAAGGACGTGGAAGTAATCTGGAGTTGGTATAGCCCAGTTACCGAACGAGGTATGATCTTCTATTCAATGTTACGTCGGAGTCCAACCTAATATAATTTCAGCGCTCCCTCTTGTTCGAGTCGTCTCGAACGATGCATCACCTGAGATGTATACCTTCATGTATAAAAAGGTATTTGAGATCTATCAATCAGATTTTGATCTCGAGCTCCGGTGGAAGCATCTCCATGATACTGGTCTAGTTGGAATAACTATCAATCAAGATTGGAAGAATTTGATTGGTAAGTAATATTGATTTTGCAGGGTATAGACCAGTTGCTAATTTCTTAGGGTTTGGCAACTATCTGTCAAAATTTGTTGATCCTGAGCATCACGACTGGACCTGGCAAGTGAGCCGGTGTGTGCGATTTTGCAAAAGCTTCTTCCAGCTTGAATTGGAGTCTTATTGCACCTCTGATCGTAGCGAGGGCTCCAGGTATGCCACAATGCTCTCCATCTTAGATGCTCAGTCAGAGGCAGAGTATCTGAAGCTGGTCAACCTCCTGGAAGGTAAGCAAGCCGAAAGAATGCAGCGAAATCAATACTAATAAGCATAGACGAGCCTGACCTTTACGACTGGGCCCTACACAAGGGTCATGGGGTAATTCGGTCCGGCTTGAATCAAGCCTGTAGCAATATAAGCGCGGAGGGTTGGGATTTATTCTGTGGGCATACTAACACAGTTGAACTGCTGCACGAAATCGTTTACAAGTGGACTAAGATCATGGATCCCCTTCGCGACTGCATCTGCTGGTAAGCAATTCAGAGGCATTCTTATGAAAGTCTAACATCTATTAGGGGCAGCGGTCTTGATATGAAATACCTGGCAACCGACGAAACCTACGAGGAACCGGGTATCCATGCATATAGTGACAATCGGTCGCTTCCAATCCGAGATGCAGATCGTAACGATGGAGCTCATCATCAACGGGCCGAGGGATCTCAGGATCGACCCTGGTCTATTCCACCTAATCCGATGCCAGATCAAGCTTATCCTCCTGGTGCATCTTTGCAAGCATCGTCCGACATAAGTTGGGGATCGAGTCAGCCACAGAGCCAGGGTGTCAAGCGAACCCGAAGGGGAAATCTATCCAAGTACGCATTCTTGATCAATCCAGGAGTAATCCCTAATATATTACAGCCAACCAACATCGCGACATCAAACTGCCCAACAAGCCATCGATGCCGCAATGCGAGCGAAAGAAGAATCGAGGAGACACCCCACAAGAATGCAAATGAATACGGAGACGCCGCTAGCACCTCGGATTGAGTTAGATGAGGAAATGATTGAGCTTGCCGAGGCGCAACGAAACATGGAGCTGGAACAAATAGATCATGAGTTCCAGGGAGATGAAAGTGGAAGACACCTTGCAAGGTTGAACGTGAATATGCGCATGGAGAGAAGCGGGTTTCCGGTTGACCCAAATCAAGGGGAGAAAGACCTTGCAGGAGTGCACAGAAATACGGAGACAAGTCCAATGGAGTTTTCAAGAGGGCAAAGAGATGCGGGGATAAGGCCAATGCAGCATGGGGTTGAGGAAGACGAGAGACTCCTCGAAATACGCGAAAGGTGGCTAGCTTTGCAGCGAATGAAGTTTGAGCTTGAGGAAGCGAAGTTTGAGCTTGAGAAAAGGAGGCTTGAGATTGAGATTGAGAAGCTTGAGATTGAGAAAGAGAGGCTTGATGTCGAGATAAAGATCGAGGAAGTAGAAAAACAGCTGGATGCACTGCGGAGGCAACAGGTGTGAACTTTGTTATAAGGTAGGTTGGAAATGATGGATATCAGCTAGACACCGTGTGCAATTTGAACTGATTGAGAATGTCTCCAGAAGTAATCCCCTTCGTGGGTTCACGGCAGGAAACAGAATAGTGATTTACGAGGAGAACTGGCCCCTTCGCCCACCCAAGAACAAACTAGAAAGCCGGATCAAATTAGGTTCAATGTCAAAACTAAACCCGACGCGGGGGTCGTTGGACTAGCCATTACAGTAAACCTCTTAAACTTGCAAGCGCAGCTCTTGGGAAAGATAATGGGCATATTGAGCCGGCCTTCCGTCTCAAGTCCGGGATACGGGATTTTCGGCCACCTTTGAGACTGGGCCTTAAGCATCTGTAATTCTGAGTGGGATGCTGTAATCACTACCCTGTGTCCCTAGGGTTAGGGGATTCAGGAAGTCAGGTCTCTCAAGCAAGGATTAGAGTTGGGTCGCGCCGAGGTACCAGGAGGTAGACGGATCGTGATGTAGGCTGTTATTGTAATATGATCATTTTGCGCAAAACTTGAGTCTCCGACTAGGTATCCTCTCATATTTGCAAGCGAATCTCTGTTTGGGGGTCGGTGAACTCGGTTGGCCGAGTTCCGCCCCGGCAAGCAATAATATTTTTCTTGGTGACAACTTGTCTAATCGTAACGAGGTTGGTGGCGGACAGAGATAGGAGTGAGAGCGTGTTCTCTAGGTGGATTCCTGGTCTTTCAGCAGCTCTCTGTCCCGTAGGGTTCTCTTATTCGAACTCGACGCCTCGAATAGGTAGTCATCTTTCTCGGGTCTGACTTGGCAGGACCCATCGACAGTCCCTTGATATACCTAGATTTACACATCAAAAATTATCGATGACAAGCACAACAGTAGCAAAATTGCATGGCCTCTACACCTGTAAATCACAGAGTAGATTTAATATTGCGAAGGAAAACCGGGCATAAGGGTAAATTGGACTGTCTCCTTGAAGGGGGCGCCATCAGAATGTGGAACTTAGTCACGGAATGAGCAATATTACCGTCAGCTGACAGATATAAGACAAACATCTAGTGATCATCGCCGTCCCTTTGGGGTAGTTGCATCGCATGTGGCCCCACTCCTAACATTCATCCCTTCCAGGACGACTCGATCTAGAGGGCCGAGAAATAACTCGACCGTTAACTAGGAAACAGAAGTGCTCTGTCTTCATAGATAATAGTCCGACGTCTATTACCGTGTAGCCAGTCCCTTTTAAGTCAATCATGCTCCGAACCGGCTCCATGACGGCCATGGCGACGATTTTGACAATCGGAAGGACTTGTACGATCTTGCAAAACCAGGCCCCGTGGCGTTATCAGACCACCTTGCTAGTCGACGACTCTTCGTCGAAGGCATGTTCCTTCGTAATTTACGGGAAGTATGTCTTCCGAGGTCCCTTAGCTAGGCTAAGTATGAGTTTATTTTAAGTTGACGCGAGCAAAGACTGGCTACTTTGGGAGATGGGGGCCAAATTATCAAAGTGACGGTCCATTCTCGCTGCCGGCTGTGCTATTCTTGGGTTAGTGACGCTTCTGGCCTAGGGTGCTCCTGTCAATCCCGTGGTGTACGGATAGTTATAGGTTGCCGAGTTAGTGTTGGCTAGCGGCCATCCAAGTTGCGAGCTGAGTATGCTGATCGCCGTTAGCATTCGTGCGGGGAGTTTGCGCACTCGGACAGAGAGACTCCGTAACCGTTGGTGCCATGCCATAGGGAAGCATCGCCACATGAGTAAAGTTCGATGAGAAGGGCCAAATTCTGGCCAACTGCGTATGGGGCTGAGAAATCTGCTGTTTCTGAAACCTTCAGTGTGTCTAGGCTTGATGCGACGGTTGTAGTTGGCTCGCCGCGTTTGCGGCTGAACGCCATCCGATCTTGGGATCGGCCTACAGATCGGTAGCCCACACTTGACACATGATAAAATGTTCACCAATGAGTGGCAAACTGGGAGAGACACAGACAAATGTTAATTTACACTCAAGGAAACGGTTGTTGAGGTACATGGGTTAAGGTGATATCTCTGTGTATGGTGAGAGCAAGACACGGTCTGGGTCCCAAAGGCGCCTCAATGTAGTCAAAACACACATACTACATGTGGTCCTAGAGGTGCCGTGGCAGATGCTGAATTGACAAATACGAAACCGTACGTATGTGATTCCCAGGGGCGAGTCAAAGTTGCGCGTGAATCACCTCGCGATGATCTGATCGAGCTGCTGTTTCTGGTTTCGAAGATTCAGGTGATGGGCAGATGTGTACCCAAGGCTGGTCTCGAGCGAGTCCATGGGCAAGCCAGGCTGAGTTGCCATGGCTAGCGTCCTCATCCAGAATCTATGACGTTGAGTAAAATCAACGGAGGCGGGTCCTCGGTTAAAGCTACCGATCCGAATCTAAAAGCCAGCGGAACCGCCAGTAAAGCCAGTCGAAGGGCAGCTTGTGGCTTGATTAATCATCCGTGAGTTCAGCTCTCCGCCTCCGCTCCGGTTTCTCCTCTGTGAGACAGGGAGTGAAGAGGCATTTCCACAGACAGTGAGAAATGTGGCTAGCTTAGCCAACTGAGACGCGACTTCAACGACGCGTCGGCCCTGGACAAGAAAAGAACAAGGAAAAAAGAAAGATCCGAAGGGGGCGTGAGCACCGGACGTGGGCGGCTGATGTGGTGGACTAATGAGACAGTGGCTGAAGCCCAATACGACACACTCCACAACATAGCCAAGAGTGCGTCGCTTAGAGTCGTGAATTAGGCACGACATGAATGACGACGAGGGCTTCACTGCAAATACACGCCCTAAATCTGCAGCATAGTTGCAACATGGTCCGAGGTGACCCTCAGCATTCCAAATTCCCCTCCTTCGCTCACTCTCTGGAAACTGACACTTTGCCAGTTCAAAGTTGGTACCAGACATCCGTCCCCAGCTTGTAACTGAGTTTAACTAGACAACCCAGGTTCCCGGGGAAAGAGACGGCCCACCACACAATAAACAACATTCGGGCATTCCTCTGAATTAACCGCGCATCCTCAGAGGCATCTCGGAGCCAACTCTACGAGGCTAAATCTGACCACAAACGCTCCCTAGACGCCACGCCAGGTGATGTTACTTCTGGGGCATCCAATTGACCGTGGCCTCCGGCCGTAATAACCGAGACTTGAAGGGGATTGCATTGCGCCACCCCGATGCCTAGCCAGATGGACGCTAGCTGTGACTCCTGCAGGGGGGATGTCAAAGCTCAAGGTTGAAAGATTAGTGAGAGATGCTAGACTAAATTTGTAGACAAGGTCGAGTCTGTGATGTCCTCCCTCCATGGTGGCCGGCGGTGAGTGTGGTGACGCCCGGACTTTCCTGGGTGAGACCTGCATATAATTTCATATCATGAAGAATTCGGCTGCATGACGGAGGCATGTGTACCGACTTGACCCATGTTACTTCTGATATCAATCTGGGTGATAGCTGGCTGTGGCAAAATTTCTGTCAACGTGATCGTTATCCAAGATGTACCCCGGTTGATATTGAATCTTTCGTGGAGGACAACGAATATCACAACGACTTGGTCCGTGCAATTATGTCTGAATTCCACAGCAAGTCAACCACGGACCTCTTCAAGAATTTGCTCATTGTCGGTTTTCTTGCCCGGACTCTGTCTACCATAGGTTGTCCGCCTCCCTCGTGTCTCGTTACCATTCTTAGTTTTGGTGGCCACTGTCTGGACTTTCGTCTGTCTGCGGCAGCGACAACAGCATTCGATGCCTGCATTCATGGGTTACAGTCGAGTGAACAATGCGATTACAAACTTCCACGGAGTTACTGACAAGTCGATGTTGTCTTGTTTCGTTTCAGAGTTGTCTTGTTTCTCCACCCGAACGCCGCCATCGATACCCGAGGTCAAAAAAATGATTGTCTGGGCAAGGTTTCAACTGTATTAGAACCATGTAAATTTCATTGAGAGCCGTATAATATCATTTTGTATTTGGAGTGTGCTTGGATCATGCATATTCGCAACTCTTGACGTTTCCAGTGACAGTAACAGCTGCATCCGGGACAGATGGGCAACTCGCAAACCACCCAGCGGGGATCTTGTGACTTCTGCACTGCTGGCACCTGTATCAAATCCCGGTTCGCCTTTCAATATGACAAATAATCAATTGTAACCTCCACTACGGTAGTTTGCTGGAGTCCTGGGGATTTTATGACAGTGGAAAGAATCAGCCCGACGAACAGTATAACCATCTATGTAATGGACAGTATCTCGATACCAAACAACGGAATGTTCCTCAGGTCTGCTAGTGGCCCCTTTCCTGGTGCGTACATACGAGCCCACCTTCTAATTTCCGATGGAGTGAGACATCTTAGATGAGCTAGTTCGGGACCTGTGCCGAATTGCGGAGCACACTTCGGGTCACAATAACGCCTAGCAATGGTAGACGCTGACAGAATGAACTTTTTTTGACCATGAGTGCTCTCACGAAATTGTGAAGTTTGTTGAAAGGACGTCCAAAAAGAGTGTCACGTGGTCGCCATGGAGTGGGCCCGCTTGGATCCCGATTGATCGACTTTCAGCTGGTCTTGTATTGTGTGAGAGACGGAGAACGGATTTTGGAGGCGCGAATATTTACCCTTCCGAACACGGAGTGTTTCCGTAAGCATAGGGTAGGTACTCTGGTATTTTCCGGTTTTTCTTTTCCGGGATTCTGTTGTGTTTCAAAGAACGACATCCACCTTGTGAAAGTCGGCAATGGTAACCACATGCCTCGTTGATGAGGTCCACAGCTGAATGTTCAATTATATCACTGCTAAAACTATGAACAATGTAAAGATGTTAAAGTATTGACATGGTCCTATTTGAATGCTCTTGGTCCGCTGCAAGTCACTGCACTCAACCCAAAGGCTACCCCACTTAACTTTATTTGCAAGCTCCGACCGGGACGGAACAGGCATGGAACCGACCGAAAGGAAGACGCCACATGGACCATCTCATGCACTATTCAACGTATCGAGTGTAGATCAAGAGCCCTAGACCACTTCATCTGGGAGCCGCAACTGGCGTCAAAGGTTATTCATCTGTACGTGTGCTTTTTTGTTGGTGATTTGCGGGTGAACCAAACTTATCTCTCCCTCAAGCAGGAAGCCAGCCATTGGCTGGGACTTGGGTCGAGACCATGTTCGATGTTCCGGATATCCCTCAAGGATTGGCCTTCATTGGTGACACTTCGGCACCGCAAGACCAGACGGGTGCCGCAACCGCACTGCGGCCGAATACGAATGCCGACGGGAGTCGGCCCCATAAAGAGACTGCGAGCATTCTGGGGGCCGTCCGCTAAAAACAAGGTTGTGGCACCTACGCAGTACGGATTGGGGAGACTTTACGCCTCCAGTCGAAACGGTGACTAAGGGAATTCACGGCCCATTTTGGTCAACAGTGGTGCTGAGATCAAAATTGGGTTGATACAG